GGACCAGGTCCAACCCGTCAATCCAACGTCCAAACAAAAGTAAACCAGAAAAGGAAGACCAGTAGAACCAGCCGCATCACACAATGGCGCCCACCTTCGACATTCCGTTCGGAAGAAGCAAGACATCAGCAAAGAGAACTTCTCCCGCTGTTTCAAAGTCAGTCGTGTCTCGAGCTAGGGGCAAACGGCGAGAAACTTACCTTGTCTCATGAAATCTTTGAGGTGATGCCATTTGACGTCGTACGCCAAATTGCCCACATAGACCCGACGGTCTTGTTGAGAGGACTCGCGCACTGACTGCATCATTTGTTCTTTCGCCGCAGCTCGTTCTTCAAATGATCTTTGCGGTGGTCGACCTCCACCAGCGAAGCCCGATCCTCCTGAGTATCCTCCAGATGCGTTGGCTGCACCGCTCATGGGACTCCGAGACCGACGTTCGCTGCGGCGGTATTCGTCACCTCTGCTGCGAGATCGGCTACGGGGTGAGTAGGAGCGTCGGCTCCGTCGTGGACTCCGTGATCGGCGACGGGACGATCGAGATCGGTCTGATCGGTCCCTCTGTAAATGATGGTCAGAAACCCCACGGGTAAGAGTGATCATAACGTGTGAGCGAGGTGAGGCTGCGGCTGAGGTTGAATTTAAAAGGGCTGCGCAGGCGAGTGCGAGATTCAGTGACACGTGCAAGTGATGCAGCACAAATACTGTGATACCGCAGTGAATCGACAATGAGGTGGTCTAGTCTCCCTGAATCGCCTTTCCGCCTCACGCACAGGGACATAAGGCGCAAGTGGACCCCAGGCCGATTGGGAATGGTCGCAGTGAGGTTGGTCACATCTTCACCCCCCGATCCAGGTGAATGCGAAACTCGGTGTGTGCGCGAAACAGAAAACCGTGTCACTTACTATAAGTCACAGAGTTAGCGATCCGACTGGCGTAGGCAGAGATGTGGAAGCGGAAGAAAAGAGACGGTGAAGGGATGAGGTTGGGCAGGGAGATTTGATGCAATCGAATTCGGGACAGGGCACATGTTGGGCAGGGCAAGGAATGACCAGGCAGGTCAAGGCCGGAAGGGCTAGACTGGAGCACCGAGGTGAACAAAGCAGAGGAACGCACCCATGATTATCGATTGCCGAGAGGTCGTGCGGCGGGTTTTGCTCTGTTGACTCTACTGAGATCAGGATCGTATGCACGAGAATGCAGGAAGGGAGGGGGGAGGGAAGAGACCAGCTAACGAATTTCCCGAGTGGCACAAGGGCTGTCTGAGCTGTCCGCAGTGAACGCGCGCAGCTCGTTTTGTCCGTGTGTGGAGCGGCTCCTCTGGACCTGGCGACAGGCTCCGGGGAATCAAAAGATAGGATTCCTGACACGCGCGAACACAGCGAAGACCGAGTCTGACGGAACCTCCGAGCACAGAACGGCGCGTCTTTAGACCGACTTGTTCGCGGGTACAGAGTACGTGCTCAGGTGTTTGCTTCTGTGCCGGGTAAAATTTTCTTGCCAGCCAAACGGAAGTTGAATTGCGGCGGCAAGGAGCCCAGTCCGGCTCTGGCGGGGCGAAAGAGAACGAGTTTTGAAGTGGAGTCTCCGAGTCATGCAATGCTTTCCGAGCGCGGTGCTGTACGTGGGAGATAGGACGTGATTGGGCCGTGATATGGTGTCTTTGGGAGCGTGGTGTTGATACCTAAGGCAGGTGATGCTGTAAATGGAAACCTCTGCCATAACACGGTCAGTCAGCAACATGTTCCATCAATGCTTCCATTCGTCACGCGCTTGTCGCGCATCCATCACATCGGACTCCACCGTCTCTGAGGACGATTTCGCCGACGCAGCCTCCACTTTCCAGGGTGCCTGTGCCATTCCTCCTCTTTTTGTCTGTGCCAAAGCAAGGGAGAGGTGAGTGACCAACCAGAGGTCGGCCACTGAGCGCGCAATTGGCTCTTGTCGGGGCTGTCAGGACAGGGTCCGTTCGGAACGGTGCCCAATAGGGGCTGCTGTCACGATAATACAGTCGATCGAGTAAGCCTGTAAGCCTGCTGTCTGGGGCCTAACGCGAGGACGGATGCGGCTGTGTGAGCAGCACGGCAGAGTCGGGCCACGGAGGAGGGTTAGGAGGGTCAGGTATGGGAAAGGCTCCGATGGAATCACGGCAGCTATTGACGCGGGAGGCAGCAAGATGGATGCAAGGTGTTGATGGCGAGAGATGGCTTGTGGATGGGCGCAGCACAGAGTGTGACGGCAAAACAAGCGAAGGCACGATGTCTGAGTGGGCCGCTGGCCTTGGCGCTAGCACTGCATTTGAGCTGCTTGAACTCCCCTGTTCCTGTCACCGAGACTTGAACTGTCAAGCTAATTGATCAGTCCTACACACGCAGTAGTATAAGCCAATACTGGTGGGCCTGTTCGAGCTTCAATGCACACCGAGGTACCTAGTCTACAACCCTCGGTGCGCCTATAAGGCAGCGTGGGTGCCAATAGGGCCGTTGTTGCCGCCAGGCAGGAAATCGGTTCCTCGATTTCAGAGCCAGGAAAGGGCCTCTCCGAGCATAAGCTCTGCCTCCGCAACCTCTTCTGCCTGGCGCTTCTCTTTCAGCCCTCTCAGGACCGTGGCTCTGCAGCTCCTGTATAGATTAAGCTAGTCCTGCGTTCTTTGTGCTGCCCCTGCACAAGACTCTCTCGGGTGGCGCCTGAGAGCCATTCGCATTGTTACGAAGGGAGGACCGTTAGAGGGAGATTTGAGTTATGGAGCATTCTCTGCTGAAGATGCTCGCGACTAATGGTCTGTCCGAGCAGATTATTGATCTTCGAGACGGAGTCTTTCTCCAGCTTTGGACTCGCTCGGCTGCGGACCGGCCGCTCATCGCTCGGCCTACCCACAAACTCTTGACATGGGGATCTCTAGGTTTCCCATTATGTCTGCTGTTCACCGGCGAGGTGCCAGATCCTGAGCCGTGGAGATAGTGTATTGGGGTCGAACTCTATCGTCTGCGACCACGCTTTCTGGACCTCGTCCATGCGGCGCTCTAATCTTTCATGCATGAAGCTGACCCAGATTGAGCAGGACCCTTCCAAGGTTGTCAAACACTGTCTAGGGTTGACGGCTTACGAACGATAAGATCGGCAGCCCGTGGCGCCATACGAGATAGCTGGGCGTGAAAACGTCCCACATATCACCACCGCCTGTTCGCCAATTATTGCGACCGGGTTGTGCTGGCTACTCTGCACCTGCTAAGGTCTGGAGTTACATAACATGCACTATCCTTTGTTCGAAACAATCCCCGCGCATTTATCGGCCTGTTGGGTTCGATGACCCCACGATAAGGCCGAACTCTCCCTCGCGCATGTTGCGGCTAGGTGCACCGGAAGCTCTCCCACATGCATCTCGCAAAGTCTAAGCGCATTTCGGGCCTGCCTCTCAGGTGAGTGAGGAGCAAGCCACAGCGGCAGCCAAGTCAATAGTTGGCCCAAAGCCTCGATGCCCAGTCAATCGGCATGAAGTACTCCGTAGAAGCGCGGATAAAAGGAGCCCAAGAGCCTGCGGCTGCGGCGCTGGGCTTGGACGATCCACCGGCTCTCTGCTTCCGCGTTGACCGCACACAACCATCTTTCAACCTCGCTCCTATGAACGCCGATGACTGCGCCACTTTTGACATACATTCCTGCTGCTAGATGCATTCAGCACTCGGAATGGTGACTGGAAACAGGTTGGCGCGAGGTGCGACTGATGCAAAAGCGCATAATCGACTACTGTCGTCTTTTCTCTGCGGGGCATCCAAGGGCCGGAAGCATTCTTCGCGATCGTGCATGGTTGGCCCTCTTACGAAAGTGGCTCGAAGGGAAGCTTTGGAGTTGTAGGTACTGTGTAGGAATCCGAGTTGCATATGGAGTACAAGTACCCCATGTTATGCAAGATATATCCCGGGACAATTTTTATCTGGGTCACCTCTGTGACGGTGCCCAACTGGACTCTGCCTCTTGCGGCTACACATCGGGTACATACTGTACGTAGTACTCGAAGACACCGAGCACTGGGCTCAACCCACACGTTACTGCACACGGATCGAAAATCCTTCAAGTAATCTTCTAGAATAATTGTCACCGCTCCCTACTAATCGTAGCCGCTGGGAGTTGCATTCATCTGACACGCCTTTGCTGGATTCAGATGCGATCCGATCACTTAGTTATGCGAGCAGGCGGGTAAGAGAGGAGAGGGACATTCGGTGGTCAGGCAGAGTGACAAGTGCATTTTTGCCACCTGGAGTACTACCATCTATCTTGCAATATAGGTCTTTACCTTCCGCTTCTGGGCGATGTCCAGCTGGCTAGCCGTCTGACACAAATGGGTGATTAGAGCTAATGTCGGGGTCCAGCTCCTGGATCGTTCAAACAGTTGAGCGCAGTCCAGCGAAGTCGAATCAGTCACGGGAGCTCCCCGTTGCAGCCAATGAGGCTAAGTCAGTGCCAAGCCTTGCAAGGCTGGAGATTTTCCAAGTCCGCCGCAACTGCATCTGCGCCCCAGGAATAGATCACCCAATATCTTCGCCTGGCTCATCAAATGATCAAGCACTTCATGATTAGCTTATGCCTTCGCGGACGGCTGCAGATGTCGTGCATATTCACATGCAGTAGGAACCACACACTGCACATCTGAGTCGCCAGTCTCTATCCGCATCTCACGTCCGACAACTCGCGCTCGCCCAAACCGCTTGCGATTTCTTCAAAAGAGCTCATACCGTAGTATACCCGTCTCATCCCGATCAGGTCAGGCTCCGACCATGTCTACTGCTTGCGCGCCGGGTATGACACTCACAGAAGCATTACTGGCTCGTTTAGTTACGACAAGTAAGCCATGCCGATCCGCAAACAGGGTGGCTACCTACCAGCTCAAACGAACATACTTCTCGATACATCACCCGGATCCCCCACCTTTCCCCGAAGCCCAACATAGAATCCTCTCTGCGGCTATCAAACGCGTTCCAGAACATGGCTTCACACAAAGAGCAATGACATTGGGAGCTAAGGACGCGGGATACCTTGATGTGACAGTCCAGCTGTTTCCTCGTCGTGTGTTCGATCTGATCAATTATCATCTTGTCACACAAAGGCTCTTGCTGAAGGATAAGGTACAATTCCCCGAAGAAGGCAGGTTCGGTCTGGGTGGGAAGGTCCGGACGCTTGCCATGGCACGCCTGAGAGCCAATGCAGACATCATCCAGCATTGGAAAGCAGTAAGTGACACGCCATCTCCCTACTCGAGCGAGGAATTGACAAGCTTCGTGACAGGCTCTGGGCCACATGTCCCTCCTCGAAAATATCCCTGCCTCCGTGAAAGAGCTCAATGCTCTGTCCGACGAAATCTGGTACCTCGCTGGCGACACAGCTGTTGATTCCTCCTGGTACACGAAAAGAGCCTCACTCGCAGCAGTCTATGCCAGCTCGGAGATGTTTATGACGACAGACACCTCGAGTGATTTTGTTGCGACAGAAGAATTCCTGGACCGAAGGCTGAAAGATGCGCAGATTGTAGGAGGGTTGGTGGGAGGATTCACACAGTATGTCAGCTTCTGGACTGGCAACAGTGTCAATTTGGCCCGATCCTTGGGCATGAGGGTGTGAACGGCGACGCCCAAATCACATGTGCTTGAGTTTGACGAGACACGGAGTAATGCCCCTCTCGCGGTATCGATCTTGGGTCGCGCAATTCCGCTGGAGATCAGATGCCTCGTCCCTCCACCATCATTCAGGGTCTTAGGCAAAGATTCTGCACTAGAAGCCTGGAGGCGTGTCCAGAAAATTGTGCCATCAATCGAGAGAAAACAAGGGTAGTCATGGATTTCCTTCCTTCGATCACCTTTCTGATCTCACTTCTCACCTCTCGGAACTTTTGTATCAGGGGTCACATTAGTCACATTACTCAGATTATCAATCCTCCGACTTTCGGTACCAAAGCCACGCCTGGGACGGTCGACGAGGACTGTAGGAGGCTCTCATGGATTTCGTTCATACGCTGACATGCGAGGCGACCCTGCAATCATGTCCGCCCGAGAAGAATATCGTATTTCCCGGAATCCTCGTGTTTATGGAACGTGGCAGATCCTCAATCCACCTGCCGCAAGTATCAGTCTTGACGCTCGCTCGTCGCTGCCCCACTGGGCAAGCTCTTGTTAGCCATAGCCCAACCACAAACCAGAATGTGCCCTCAAGATTGTCAATGGGAGCTGGTCAAAGGTCATGTACATCAAACGGTCAGGCAATTGACTTGTTGTCATGATGAAACCCATTGGCCACCTGGTGGAACCTTCTGGCTAGTGAGACACCCCATGGTCATCTACACTCCCATCGCGAAAGCCAGCTTCCGTCAGGCAGCCGTGGCGGAGTTCTACCAACATCGGCGAAGAAGACAAGATACCCGAGAGGTTTGCTGGTGGAGAACTCCAGATACAAGACGAGCTCTTAAATCAAAATGGCTTCAACCTGGCGCTGCTGGGCCGAAAGATTCTGGATCAAGAGAATGCTAACGGTGGTTGGTTATGACGGCCATCGACAGGCATGTGATGGTTTCGTCGGTTGGCGGGCAATCGAGGGGAGCCCGTGGGCGAGCGTGTTGGCGCGATAGCGGACATACGAGAACCAACGGGCTGCAAATCCGCTCCGAACGACCGTGTCCTGGTCAGGAGAATTCCAGGAGACATACTCCGTACATCGTGTGATGAGTGTATGAACCACCGCCACGAGAAGGTACATAGCGCCTATACCACGCGCTTTTCTGCGAGGAGTGAACTACGTCCTTGATTGTGGGAGATCGGTGCCAGGAAATGCCTGCTTGGCTGTGACTGCACCCTGAAGGTCTTGTCAGCCATGGCCTCTTGTTCCGACCCCGAAGAGCTGGGCTTGCGTGGACAGGGCCAAAACGACTAAGAGTGGGCGCTCATCTCTACACCAACGGGGCGCATTGGCCCATCTCCGCAGCCACAGTTGTTGCCCTTGCAGCTTTCTCCAGTTGGTCAAAGCACAGCCACTGTGGCGAGTATTACAACATGGCACGGGGCGCCCTGGCATCTTTCATCATGCCACTAGACTACTACACGTACGATCCATCATGGGCGTGTGGTTCGTCATGCAGGTGAAAGAAGTCCGACCAGTTGCTTCGTCCAAGTCAAGAAAGGATGAGCAAGACTCGCTGGGGCCTTCTATTTGGTAAAACACTTGCACTCTCATGCATGCGGCCGATCACTCTGCACGCCAAAGAAGAGCATCCAACGGCACCCGACGGAGTAGCAAGCAATCCTCAGCCTTTGCTTGTAACTAAGTCGGCAGCCTTCGTTTCTCGTGTCAACCAGGACGGGCCTTTATCACTCCGGCCAGCTACGTGAACCAATGGGCTGCATGCGGCTCAGATCTTTAAAAGAACATTAAACAGGGAGACATCGGCGAGGCTGCGTACACTAGAAAGGAAGGATGATCTCCCACTGAGCGTGTGCACATGCCTGGACACTTTGCCAACTCTCTGCCTGGATGCTCGTATATTCAAAAGCAAAGCAGCCACTCGCGAGCGAAGAAATATGGATCAGGCAGCGCCCTCGCTGGGAAATTACCATATCGGGCAGTCGTGATCTGGGCGTCGGGGTCTCGGGTATGCTACAAGCAGCACGCAATTATAGAATCTTCATTCGAGCCTCAGAGGATGGACGTTGCCCTGCAAGACGATGGGAGACTCGTCGCATCCGCCACCATGATAGACGCATATCCACTTGACGCACAGTTCAATATCATCAACTCCCATCTAGATGGAATCGGCATTTCTAATTGACGAAGCGCGAGTGTGCCCAGTATGGTTGCTGAGCTCAAGCCTGACCATCCGGACTGAAGTATAAAACTGGCCACCCTCCCTGGCATCCTTTATAAGTTATTGTTGTTTGTAGAACGCATTGCGACCTCCTCAGACTGCCGAACTGCTCAGTGTTGTCAGCTGCGCTGTCGACGGATCGATGACAATCCTCCGCACCACGCCAGCCATGCCGACTCCGAACCAGCACTCATTGAATACTGCTCTCTACACAGCTGTACGTACTTACGTCGTATATGCCGAGACTGAGAGCTCAGACACAATGCCCGGAGCTGACCAGTGCCATATCAAGGCCGGTTCAGGAACCTCCCACAATCAGAAGCATACAGCCGGTCATGGCAAGGGGTGCAAATGCCATGACCTTATTCTCCATCTGCGACCTTTGAGCAAGGACAGCGAAGGAGTCGTTGGAATAGAAAGATTCTTGAAGGAGGGTCCCTGCGAGCAATACGCCCTCTTCCCATGTCCAGATACCGGAGTTCTTTCAATCTCAAAGGGCTGCACATGCGGCAGTCTTACTGCCGAGTCGGCCAGCCTTGCCAGTCGTTTGTGATTGAGAGGCTGGAGTAAATTATCGTTTATTCGTGGGAAGCTGGGTGCAATGGTGAAGCTTTCAATAAACGCTAGCAGCTTAAGGCAAGTCTGCCGGAAGCCAACCATTATCTCGTATCTCGTACTCCGTACTTCGTAAACAGTCTACCAGGCTCACCGAGACAACCTTCAGCCACCAACACCGGCATGTCGACGAGCCCGCACGCCTCTTAATCTCATCCACTAAAAACTGAACCCTTCCTCAAAGACTGCTAGTGAATTCTGCGGCTAGAGGTTGCAGATCGTGAAGCAACTCGGTCTAGTAAACGCGTGTATCGTCTGAGTCGCCCTTCTTGCGATGCTCGCTCTACCAAGTGTCGGAGAGCCCAGGTTTGAGTTGTCCTCCCTTGCCGGGCTGAGTGCCACATCCCTTTACCCTTGTTGGACACCACTCATGTAATATTGATAAGATGGAAGCCTCCCCATCAAAAGCACGCGCTCAGGCCGTTGAGTCGCACTCCTGGTCAATCGTCCTTTCGTGGCTCTCAAACCTGTGCCACCCGTCCCCAGTCCCGGCGTTCGAGCGAAATGCCACTACACTGAAAGCCTTCCAATCTCTCATGGCCGAGAACATTGCAGCAGACCGGCTCCAGGAACTACTCTTCGACGCCAAATTTGAGGAACTGGCCATCTCAGAACGTGACCGAATGCAGCGAGCGAGTGGTCAAGGTCAAGAGGCAACAGGAGACAACGCGAGTTCGCTTCTTTCCTCACTCGAAAATTCACTCTCAGACGCCGGAAAGGACTCATTGAAGTCTCTAGCCCGCTCAGCAGGCCTGCTTGGCTGCTGTCCGCCATCGTCGTTATCATCGCCCTCCCAATCCGCGAGCATAATCGACAGTTTACCCGCCCGGATCGTCGATCTCTCGCGCCAAACATTCCGCCTGGAAGACCACATCTCATCCATCGAAACTCTCATATCCACCCTGCAAACCCAAACCACCACGACACTGCACCGCGTGTCCACCATCCGCGAAAGAGCGGCGCAGCTGTCCAACCCAGAAGATACAGCGGGGTCACGCCCATCTACACCGCCTCACGCGTCGGGCATCGGCATCGGCATCGGCTCGGCGACGACGACGGCGGACTACTCGCATCTCCACGCCCAGACTCTCCAGCACCAGCGCGAGACCAAACAACTGCAGCTGAAGTCGGCGGAGTACAAGGCCCGCATCGCCGTCCTGGACAGCCAGCTCGCAACCGTTGGAGAACGGGCCAGACAGAGCACGGCTGCTTTGGTTGCGAAACAACAAGTCCTGGATGACAAAAGGGCCCAAATCACGGCCTTGGAGCGCCGGTTTCGGGAGTTTCGTGGTCTGCCCCCGGATGTCGATGCCTCGAGGGGTGAAGTCAACAGGCTGCAGGCGGAATTGGAGGCGCTGAAGAGGCGGAGGGACGAGCTGTTCGAGCGCATCTAGTAGGCTTTGTTTCTGCCACGTGCCATGTTTCCACGGAGGGTACAGCTGAGGGGATGTGGGACGGGACGCGATGGGTTCCCTCAGGGCAAGTAAGCAAGCAAGCAAGCACTCCAGGTTCTCGACCGTTGGCTACCAACCATCGCCTAAGCGGAGGGGCCGTTGAGGTGAGTACTGGGTGCCCGCACTGAGCCAACAACAGTAGCTCCTATGTCGCCGAGTAGAGGACACGATACTCAAGCATCCCAGTCTCGAGGGGTGAACAGCTGCGGTACCTACTGGCTTCTCGGTGGTCCTCGCGTCCGCTTTGTCGGAAAATAGAGGTTCATAGACAATTCAGTAGGAACCGAAGGATACAGTAGGAGCTTTGTGGCGTCATCACATGGGCAGAGCGGCAGCGGTTTTCCAGGGGAGTTTTAAATACGAAAGAGTGAGTCTCCATAAGGATTCAGCACCACCATGGCAATTGTAAGCTACCGCAAAGACAGCACGCTTCCAAACGCAACCTATACTCCTATACAAGCCCCGACTGGAGCCAGTCTACTTCACTGCTGTACCGTTGGGCTCACTCGATCTCAGCTCGCAATAAATCTTGGTGGCGCGCTGGCGACAGTTGTCCCCGTAGGGCTTGACCTTCCTCTTGACGCCGTCGACCTCCTCTTCGACCTCCAGTTCCGCGGTGTTGAACTCGGAGATCACCGTGCTCCTAAAGAAGGGCGGCGGCTCCGACCACACCTTGGTGACCGCATCGGCGAAACATTCGATCTGGATGGCCTTGAACCCCTCTCCGTGGGCGTAGCGCATCAGGGACTGTGCCAGCGCTTTCATGAGGCCCTTGCCTTCGGCGTCGTGGCGCGTGCTGGTTGCGTTGCGCAGCATGAGCTGCTTCTCGGCCGTAGGCTTCCAGCTTGCTTCGGGCCGCGGGTCCAGTGTCTCGAGCACGTGGTAGAAGGTGCCGAACAGGGGGAGGCACGCGATCAAGGGCATAACGCGCCCCTTGTCGAGCGGTTTGATGCCGTCGTAGGCCATGGCCACGCTCACGAGCGGGAAGTCCATCTGCGCGAGGAGCTGGTCCGCGTCCAGCGTCGTATCCTGCATGTCCCAGTACAGTCTGCCGTCAGGCTTGGATTCCGTGCGCTTGAACTGGTATTCGAGGTCGAAGACGCCGAAGCTGTAGCCCGACTCGATCTGGTGCCGGATCAGATACTCGCCGGCCGGAAAGGCCTCGTAGAGCCGCGCCGTCTTGTTCTCCGGGTACACTATGGGCCAGACGGGCGAGTAGAACATGTTGGAGTGCAGCACGATGGCTAAGGCGAAAGGGAGGTGTTCTTGCGTGAGTCTCCGGATGTCATAGCGAGCGGGCAGGTTTACCGGATTGGTCGCTGTCGCTGTCGCTGTCGCTGATGATAGCTTCGTCATTTCGAGCGCTTTAGAGCCTGAGCGGCTGCGGTGCTGTCACTTGTGAGAGAATAGGTCCCGGATTAGTTTGCGGAGGAAGGGAGATTTCTCTGCCGATGTCTTGACGCGGCTGGTGGCAGCACAAAGATGCGTCGGGCGGTGGACGCGGGCCATCAGGCTCTTTATGTTGTGCTGTTCATCAAGGGTTTGCGGTGTCGTTCGGCTTACGACATTGATCCAGATGTAATCAGCTTACTTTAAGGTGTGGGACTTGCCCCATGAAGACTGGGACGCCGTTAAGGATGTAATGAAGCTTGAGGTCGCAGCGGTCCTTGAAAGTCTGATCAATCCACAATTCCATAGGCTAAGTGCTGAGTGGCGGGAGACAACTATGTAGCCTCGAAAGTTGAGGCTATTGTCTTGCACCTGCCTTGTCGAGCGGTAGGCGGGTACGCGCTGCAGAGTAGTGTTAAGCTCATACGCGGATAGGGGAGATCGAGTACGTATATCAGCATGGAAGGAGCACCAGGGTTTAGGTCACTTTTTACCCGTACCGGGTACGCTTCCAGGCCTTTGTGGGGTGCTTGAACCCTCAGAGATGGCGAAGGTCGAAAAGACTTTGCTCGACAGCGCCTGAAGAGAACCCGACGGTGCGGGATACTCAATCGCAATGCCGGATCAGAAGCATAAGCAATGGTAGGCCGAGCGTTCGGGTATTAGACGAGGGTGCTACAGTAAAATCAGTATCTTGGGGTTTATCCTGCCCGGAGAGTCGACGACTGAGAACAAATACGCAACGTCTTATGAGTGGCATCTGATTTCAAAGTTACCACGGGAAAGTTGTGCCGAGTGTCGCATTGGGGATCGCGTGGTTTTGCCCCGAGTATCTATACGGTGGAGCACGACTCATGAAATTCCATGCGGCGCGCAAAATATCCCGTGGTGTTTGTTTCACCGTAGACGCACGACTGCGAGAATAACGCGCATGGTGGAAAGCCCAATCTTGACCACAGGCACGCGAGCAAAAGAGTGAAGGAGACCACATGTCCAAACTCGACCCCCAGCATCAGGAAGACGTGGAGACTGAGGGTGCCCAGTCATCTTCGCGGCAGGATTCCCTCGGGTGGGAGCATGCCGACCACAATGTACTCGCTGGAGATGCTGTCGTCGAACAGGTCGAGGAATTCGCTAAGCTTTATGGATTGACCGATCATGTTATGGCGCTGCGCAAAGCTGCCGTGCTTGTGCAGGGCGAAGCATCGCTAGCGGATATCGACCTTACCGCTTCAGAGGTTCGATCCTTGCACGACGAAACGGATCGGCGGTGGCGCCAACCGAAGATGCTGTACTTCACCATTCTGGTATGCTCGATCGGTGCCATAGAACAAGGCTGGGCACAGACTGGCATGAACGGAGCCAATCTGTATTTCCCGCAGGCTCTTGGGGTTGGCTCCGATAGCAAGCACGACAACTTCGTGGTGGGATTGATCAACAGCGCCATATACCTCAGCACAGGGCTGGTTGGTGCTTGGCTCGCAGATCCATTCAACAATCGACTTGGGCGGCGTGGTGCGATCTTTTCAGGAGGATCGCTGTGCCTAGTCTCAAATCTGGGGTCCTCTCTGAGCAGGACTTGGCCGCAGTTGCTGGTCTCTCGATTTCTGTTAGGCATTGGGCTTGGCCTAAACGCGAGCACCGTGTCTGTCTATGCTGCCGAATGCGCGCCAGCAGGGATCCGTGGTGGTCTTGCCGTCTCATGGCAGATGTGGACCGCCTTTGGAATATTCCTGGGATTTGTGGCCAATGCTGCAGTCTACCATGTACGTCCCATGCCTCATCGCTGATTCTCGCGGGAATTGCTGACTTGACAGTACGGCGATGATGCCTGGCGATTGCAACTGGCGGGCCCATTCATCCCCACCATCCCTCTGCTCAGCATGTTGTATCTCTGCCCCGAATCGCCCGCATGGTATCTGAAGAATGGGACCCGCTATGATCTTGCTTTTCGGTCCTTGGCCCGACTCCGGAATACGGAGCTGCAGGCGGCCAAAGAGCTTTATTCGACCTACCGACAACACGTCGTCAAGTCAAAATTTGCGGACCCCGAGGAACTCTCCTTCTCAAGGAAGATTTCCGGTCTTTTCACTGTTCCTCGTATCAGACGGGCGACCACGGCTTCATATGTTGTGATGCTCTCTCAACAGCTGTGTGGGATCAACATTATCGCATTCTATTCATCGACGATATTCTCGGACGCCGGCTTCTCCGACTTTGGTGCGCTTTTGGCATCCTGCGTCTTTGGCTTCGTCAACTTCCTGGGCGCGTTTCCTGCCGTGTGGACGATGGACACACTAGGACGGAGGTCGCTTTTGCTATTAACGCTACCGCTGATGGCGGTGACCATGTTGGCGACCGGCCTGTCTTTCAACATCCCAGCAAACTACTCAGCACATTTTGGAGTGCTCGTCGCACTCGTTTACCTCTTCTGCGCTCTTTACTCACCAGGAATGGGCCCAGTCCCCAATACTTATTCAGCTGAAGTGTTTCCTCTCTCACATCGAGAGGTTGGGATGAGCTTCGCCGTCGCTACGGCTAACTTCTGGGCAGCCGTGCTATCGCTAACATTTCCTCGGATTCTTACAACTCTGAAGTCTCAAGGCGCCTTTGCTCTATACGCAGCACTGAATGTGGTGGCAGTGATATTGATCTTCCTTTTCCTGCCGGAAACACGACTGAAAACACTCGACGAACTTGATGATGTCTTCTCTATCTCAACAAGGGCTTTTGTGAAATACCAGGTTACCGAGTACTTGCCCTGGCTCATGAGGCGGTACATACTGCGTCAGAAGGACGCTGATCTCCGGCCACTGACACATGAAGGAGGGTATCTCGAGCTTAGACAAGGTGAAGAGACGGAGGAGGGAGACTTGTGACAATCCTAAGCTTCTGGCTTCGCCGCCTTCCGATAACAAATGCTCGACAGTAGCGCCCCACCGATAAGGAAGCCATCGAAGCGAGAGAAGCTGCGAATTTCAGAGCTGCGACTTCGTTGACTTCCTCCTGACATCGGCGTCGTCCGCCGACATTGCTCCATTTAAGACAGCTCGAACAGATCAAGAACCCACAAACCGAAGAACTCAAGTCTCTCTATGCAACGTCTGTCACAGCTGCACAGTCACTGCACCCCTCGTTCTCGCCACAGCATGGCGTCCCCAATCACTTGTCACGTCCTGAACACACTGTCGGGCACTCCGGCGTCCGGCCTGAAAGCTACGTTGACCCTTCTGTCGTCCAACAGCAGCTCAAACACACCGTCGCATGTGGCCTTCACTGCTTCCACAAACGAGGACGGGCGAGTTAAAGAATGGGAACCATCTGCCGGCAAGAGTCTACAGGAAGTTGTGGAAGGTTACTCTGCGGGAGAGCGAATCGCTTGGAGCATCAAGTTTGACATTGGACCTTGGTATGAAGAGAAGGGCATCGAGAGCTTCTGGCCCGAAATTGAAGTCAAATTCTACGTCAAAAAGGGCGAGCGGCATTACCATGTCCCCGTGTTGGTTGGCCCATGGACCTACACGACATACAGAGGGTCTTGAGATGCATATATCGACTAAGCTTTGAGTCTCTGTCTACCACTAGATGCTATCAGCAAACGGGGCCTCGCATGCGCCAATCATCAACGCCAATTTCCAGTCGAGAAAGAGATTGCTCCGCAGTTCACACGACCTGTGGGCCCAGAACCTGCATTTTCTCTATGCCCGTAAGTGTCAAGCTGCCACGACTCCAGCGCAAACCGACCTGCATATACCTGACTTCCCGCTATGCAACCGGGCAGTCCAACCTGATGAACTCTTGAGGCGCATGGCCCCCGCATCCTACACTCCTGCCATGTGCCTCATTATGCAACCACAGCCCGCCCGTGTCCCATGGCATTAAGACGACAGCCTTCCTTGCATGGCCTGGTGTCATCCAGTGGAGAGCCGGAGTCTTGTCGCACGCACTGTTTGTACGAATCGACGTCCACTTGAGTCACTTCTCGGCATCGAGTAAGCCAACCGCCCAATAAACCATGCTGCATCGTGCAGCACGCAGAGTTTTCAACAGTCTTCTCCAGACTGAGCAATGGGCCGTGGCGAGGGGTCACCGGTGTCGTTCTCGCCTGTACTGGGACGCAGAAGCATGCGTGGGACTGTGCCGCCGACTTCCGCTAATCGACACAATCTCATTGATGTCACAGTCGTCGTCGTCGGTGCCGCTGCTAGATCGATTGGACATCCTCATTGTCTGTTGCCGTTCATACTGCTCCGACTGTCGTTTAAGATCCTCGATTTGCTCCTGAAACACCATCAGCTCTACCCACCTCATCATGCTTCAACAGGCTTACCTTGGTCAATTGCGGCCCGTTGATTAGAAAACCTTCCCGTCCCTGGTCTGAGTCAGCCTGGACACTTCCATGGTTGTGGTAGTGGTGGCCATACATGATATGAGTATGGTCTCACGGTGGCGCCTGGGCCCAGGAAGTATTGGAGTTGTCGAAGTACAATGTGGCGGGATAGACCATAGCCTGATATCCAGTAGTCGTTTGCAGGGCTGATTGATTGTGGCATGTTGGCGAAGGGACCGCACAGCAGTCGTAAACGTATAAAGGGGGCTAAGGGCAGTGGTGTCGACGATGTCGCGCCTTGGTGCTGTGTTGTTCTTCGAGTGAGGATGTCGCCGTGGTAGGGTCGGACGGTCTCATGGTGAGAGCCTCCAGCAAGATATAGGACTCCTAAGACGAGGGACTGGGTCGGTGCGATTCGTCAATACCAACAGCCTTCCCCTGGTGCCATCGCAGCACGGACGTGGAATTGGAAGCAGCTCGATTTGGCTTGGGACAGCATTGCATTCGTCTGAAGCGACATCAGTGTTGACAGTGGTTGCCTCGAGAAAGGCTCCCCACACACTTCCAGCGGCTTGTCCACGAGTGACGCCCCCTCCAAGTCGGCACGGAGCGGCAGCCAATCAGAGCAGCCGACGTCAGCCGCCCTGCCAAATGGGGCCAACGCCTTCATTCTCGCCTCACTTTGAGCATCCCTGCTCTGTCGTCTCAACCATTCCTTGGTCATTCCTTCGCACTCGTCTGCGTCCACTGCGACCGTCCATCCGCCGCTCGACACCGGCGCTATCCAGGCGGCCGCTCAACTTTATCTTAGCTTTGAGGCTGCAGAAACGCGCCAGTGCTGCACACGTGTTGGCAAGCGCTCTTTAGAACCCCGTTGGATGCTTCTTCAAAGTGGCAACATAATGAAGGTGGTCGCTCCAGCTGTTGATCTTCCTTCCATCGTACGCGCCAAACAACAACCGCCAGGTATTACGGGGAAACGCTGATCGAGAATGCACGCAATCATCTGCGGTGCGAGGCGAACCCGGCGCCGGCGACTGTGGACTGCAGCAAGTTGAACTTGGGCAGACAATAGTCGCCCGAGCCCATCTGCACCATGCAATGCCATGCAGGATTCGAATTCACGCAAAGCGCGATTTCCACACCGCTCAAGGTCACCAATCTCCTGTCGGCGAACAGACTCTCCTCGGCGGAGGACGGAGTCTCCGTCGTTTCTTCTTCGCACACGTGGATGTGGTACAAACTGGCCTAACCTGTCCGGCCTCTCGAATGACTACACTTCAGTTGCGGCGGAGACTTTAGGTACGGCTCTATCTGACAGGGCGGAATCCAGACTAATCGTGCTCTAACCGTTGCACAATGCTCCCTCTACCTACCTTTCATAGGTGGCCAAGGTGTCGCCAACAGCATTCTTCTATGCGAGTGGACTAATTTTCGAGGATTCTCCTCGTCCCACCATAACTACACGACCGGGGGAATCGGCTGTGAGTGCTAACTGGCGACATTTCTGGGCTTGTCACCTATGGAGCACGATTGTGGATGATCAATCGTTTGGCGATTTCTCTGCTCGATTCTTCAGGACCTCACTGGCGATATTCTTCACGATTCCTGCGAGAAATAGATGGCTCAAGTGAAGAAATGTGCCGCGATCATCGAGAGAAGCAAGCAAAGTGGGAATGGCTAATTCCCACAGTATTCCCGGCGTGATCGACATATACTCGTACTTTGTATTCGTCCTGGGAATCGGTTCCTCATAGCTCTACTCTGGAGACCCGACTACCTCGTCTGGGGGAGCCAATCCTCCTCTGCTACCCCAGGAACGACACTTTCGAAGCGGCTAGCGCTGTTTCAAGCCTGGGGACTGGTTCCAGGGCAGCCCTGGTGTAGGCTCGATCGCCGCACGAATCAGAATTCGCAAGGCTGCAGCCGATCAACGGCCTTCTTTTTCTTTAGCACGCGCTGACACAAGCTCGTCTTGGAGAAGCAAGATTCCCGAGTAAGGTGTTTTCCAGCAACCCAACTACAGCCGTACAATGATAGGCACGATCGACACTGCCTAAATCATAGCTCCTTGCGCGAACGCTGTCGCATGAACTTGTTCTGACGATCAATCGACGCACGAAAAGCTTCCTGCTGAGGGCCGACCCTCCGTGTCCACGCATGCTCACCTTCGAGCTTCTCTTCATGTCGGAAGGTAGCCGGTAACCAGCGAGGATCTGCACAGCTGAGCGCGAATATACCCGTCACTACCCGGCCCCTGCGGATCCTACCATCTCGTCGGACTGCAGTGGAATGTTACCGACACCTTGGCAACACACCCTTACAACATCTAGTCCTTTGACCATCGAGCCCTTAAAGTGTCAGCCTGATCCGTCCTGCCTCACTTTCTCTGATCGACAACATTGCACCCAAGGTCAGAAAGTCGGCAACCATGGCAGGAGCGACTCTGTCAAGCCGATCGGATAATCCAAGAACCGGCTATCTGTGATATCAATTGTTAGAGTGCCGGACCGAAAGTACACTACTTGCCCCTAGGTGATGCAAATGGAACGTGCAACGAACAGCACTTCCTTGCCCCGGTATGCCAATCTCCAAAGTGATAGTTCCAGGACTGCCTCGCCGCGTGCGGATATCAGTGCTTCGAACGCGGCACTTAAGACACCTTAAAATATGGGGAGACTTGGGTCAGTGAAGCATAAGCCAACGAACCTTTGAGCCGGCCTTGAATGTCACCTGAGTGGCAAGACCTCACTACACCGAATCCCTGATGGGTCACCACAGCATGGCACATACCTCAACGGAACAAGAAAACACCGGCCGCAGCGCCAGTGCCTTCAAGTACTAACTAGCCCGAGGCTCATCTTGTCGCAAGTAGTGGGACCGAGTCTCTTCACTTCCCATCTCACCTATCCCGCAAGCGACAAACACAATTTTGTCCCTCAACCATCAGTACCAGTCGACTACATGGGTCTGCTAGAGCAGAAACAGCAACCGCTGCGGACGCAGAAACGGGCGTCATCATCCAGCGACCAAACGGACCGCTTATCAGGCACTGGACGACTGCAAAGGCCCGCCTTTAGCCTCACCGTGCCAGTCGTGCCTACCCGTCTATGCGGCCCAGAAAGCTTCTCGTTAAAACCACGGTTTGGGGTCGAGGGCCATCACCCGACCAATCAATACACCCACTCCTGCTAAAGATCAGACCACAAGAAACCAACCCCCTCCTTGTTAAAATGGTGCGACCGAGCAGTCTGTCCTATCAAGTGTGCCAGCTACCTCACTCTGATATTGGGACTAAGCCAGCAGTGACAACATTCCCACACCTTCTTATCAACTCATTAGCGCGTCCGCCATCGGATCAAACGAGAACCGCGCACCATGCCTTGGGGCAGTTTCGACACAGTCAAGTCATTACATACTCCATGCCCCCGGCTGGCGAGAATCCGTGACAATGAGGCATCATAGCTATGTGAGTGTGTGTGGATGACAAGAAGCTTGGGACCCATCTAGACCGCCAGCCAGCCAGCAGCCAGTCACTAGCTAGTCTGCTCTTAACGCTTTTCGCGTAGGCAACCTCTTCTCCGAGGCATCAATTTGGCATGAATTGATCTGCCTCGTGCCAAACTTGGCTTTCCAGCTTCACTCACCACGAGACCGCCACTTCATGTGCTTCATACCCACCAACCGGCCGGTGGGTGGGAGGCACATAGCTTGGGACCCGGCTGGACAGTCGGCCAGGCAGGCAGGCAGCAGCGAGCCAGCCGGCCAACCACCGACGCTTTTCGCATAGACGACCCCTTCTCCGATGCGTCACTTTGACATGAATCGATCTGCCTTGTGCCGAAGTTTGCTTTACTGTGTACAGCTTCACAATCGCCACGAGACCGCCACTTCATACGCCCAAGACAGTAGTTCATACTCATGAAGCGGCTGGTGGGTGGGAGACTGCCTCGATTGGTGTCCCTATGCAATGAAGATCTCATCATACCGTGCAATGGTGGCAACCAGTCCCATGCGCATACTTCCCAGGTGCCACCTAGGAGGAACATACCACATCTTCAGGAGTAAACACTCATTACAGAAACTCAACCTCTAGCACCTCACTTGGACGTGGTTACTAGATGAAAACGCAGAAGAAAACAACAGAGAAACCAGGCACAGGAAACGCAGCGCCAAGAATTGATTGGACGCGGTCTATGCTCATTGATTGTACTAAGCTCTGTCTGTTGCGTGGTCTGACCCTCAGGTACAGTAAGACCGCTCGCCCTGCCTGCCCATTGCCGAAACCGCGTGGGTGGTCCGCTTTGGCATGCCATGCCTGCAGAGCACCTACAGATCCGGAAAAGACTGTCTGCCATGAGCTCTCTATCACAGTGAAGCTGGGACAATCGGCTCCACCCGCGAACGAGTGAGCGAGTGAGCGAGTGAGTGTGTGCCGTCCAACCATCGAAGGGTGCAAAACAAGTGAATGTCTTTTCAGCGCCTCGGGTTTCCCCCTTCCTACCCCGACTGACTGCCACATTCAGCCTCCAAAGTGAGGCTGCACGACAGGAAGGGCGCGTGTTAGCCTCGGCGCCGACGCTCATCCCAAAACCACCCAGAGAATGAATGGACACAAAAACGACCGACGTAAAGCCATTAGCCAGCGTGACAATGTCGAAATACACAGTTTCCCAGCCCATTCGTCAATCCCTTCCCAAAGGTTTCCCAGGTTGCTCCAATATCCCTTTCGTTCCAAGTCGTTGATCCATTGCCAGAGTATATTTACATAGGTTGTTTCGTCTTCGAAAGATCGTCGGTGGCCCCCCTAAAGCGTGCCTGCTACCCTTCCGAAGTCCATACTGCCTCGCCTCTCACATGAAGAAGTCTTGCGCCGTCGTCGGGTCGATCAGTTCGAGGTTGCCATAATCCAGGAAGTTGTCAAAATCGTTTCTCTCATGCTGCTCAAGCTTCATGGGGAGTTGTGGTGCTTGCAACCCCCCGGAGGTATGAGGAGGCAGGTCTGAGAAGTCGAACGCCACAGCGTCGGCTGCAGGCGACGAGCTCGAATGCGATAGACCTGGGAGATCATGCTCGGTAAAGCCCCCGAGACCTGTCGCCACCAGAGGTAGAGCTTGATCCATCTCAGGGAGATCAGGCAGCATGCTCGACACTTCGGCTAGCTCAGCAGGCGTCAGCTCGCGGTAGGATGGGCTGGGTTTGTTTCCTGTTGAGTAGCCCGGGCTGTGTGGTGGAGTAAACGAGAATGTGTCCGGGGGGAAGCCCATCACCTGATCCATGGCCAAAGGATTGTGCTGTGGCATGCTGAAAAGACCCATGGACTCAAATGGTGAGCTCCCACGGATGCTGAGATTGTCCATGGTCTCTGTTGGTGGTGAGCCCCAACTAGAGATGGAACAGCTCGACGCCGAAGATGCATAATAGTCCTGTTGTGGCTCGCTGTTGTTCTTCCTGGTTCGACTCGCCTTGTCAAGGCGCTCGTCCATCTCTGGCCGGTGTTTCCTTGGCCGCCCTCGCTTAATCACCTTCTTGACGACCCCCTCGAAAGCACCAATGCACATTCCCCTCTGTCGATGCCTCGTCAAGGCGTCATGACGAGCGAATGAATTTCCACAGAGACAGGGATAGGGCTTGCTACCGGTATGGATCTTGGCGTGGCGTTTCAGGTCATGGCCTCGAACGAAACACTTCTTGCAGTGGTCACATCTGAATTGGCGATCACCAAGATGAGTCTGGACGTGCGACTTGATGTTCTCTTTTCGACCGAACTTCTTGTTGCAGTCATCAAACTTGCAAACCCACTTGTTGTCCACTGGATCGGGGCCCTCGATATATTGCGCGATGTCGTCGAGGGTGATGTTGGTCTCTTCGATTGATGCCTCGATACCGGGCTCTAGATGCAGGTCCGAGATCGACATGCGGCGTGGGGAGAGCGCTGGCCTGCTGGGAGAAGCGCTGCCTGCAGCATCCTTCTTGGCTGATAGGACGGGCATAGGCTGGTCTTCGAGCCTTGGTGCTTGAGAATCGCAGATATCACCTTTTTCGGGACTTGATTCGAGTTTAATCTTGGTCACCTCCGTTTGTTGACTTGATGGTGGAGTCTGGGCTCGTCGACGAGGGCTAGGTACAGGCATCTCAGCCATTTCAAACGCCCGCGCAACTGGCGTCGCTGGAAGTTCGTGCTTGAACTCTTCGTGCTCTATGATGCCTTGCAATGACCTACCTCGGGCCATCGGCACCGGGTACGGTGATTGGAGAGCAGGTGAGGCTTGTAATGAACGTGTGTACTGTATTGTCTGGGTGTGTTGGCTGAAAGGTGGTGTAAGGGGAAACCGTGCTGATGAACAGTTAGTCAGGCCCTCGGAACTTTGACGGACCCGGTCAGTACTCACCAGTCTGGATTTGTTGCGAAGGTGTGTGAGGTCGCAACTGGGTCTGTACCCGCAGATCCGGTTGCGACATCCTCCGGCTATCGAAGGAGATACCAGTACTTTGCTGGAACTGGGGACCTTGAGCATCATGGAAATATTGAGGGTTATTCTCATCCATGAGGCCTATTGGCATCCCGTTCTGCATCGACATGGGCATGTCGCTGAAATAGTGCTGTGAATGCTGGAAGTCCATGCCTGGGGAATTCTGATGCATGATGGCATTCATTGTCATGTTGTCGTAGGGTGACGCTGGAATTGAGTTGGACGTCACTTGAAACATACCACAATCAGGAGAATTGGGCATGCCGATGTGCATGTTTTGTTGTTGGTGTTGCTGGCCCGGTCTTGCTATTCTTTGCTGCTGCGCTTCCCGCAAAATCTGTTGTCCGTGGATTGATCCTAGGTTAGTCATACTTACCGTGCTGCCTTGCTGCTGTTTCCGTATGGGGCTTCGCTGTAGATCGAAGGACTGACCCCGTCTGTGGATACTGTGGCGTGGTTGTTGAGGCATGCTGGCAGAGACCTTCATGGCTTCGAAGGCTACAACGGGTGTCGAGTTCTGTCTCCGATGTAGCCTTTGTCGTTGCTGAAGAGATGAAGGTGGATTGGACATCATGATTGGCGAGATGAGTTCGAATGTCGTCTTGTCGAAGGGTTGGTCGTTGTACTAATTGTCGAAATATGGATCCTTCAGTGGTTCGAGACTGCACGACATGCAAACGTTAGTCTCTAGTAGCATTGCCAGAAGTGTTCTCTTCCGTCTCGGCCTTACCTCACGCAGCGCAATGGCTGCGGACCGGGCAGCGGTCTTTTGTTATATAGCTTTCACCAGCCGCAGGCGATTCCTGGCGACTTTCTTTTCAGAGAAGGGGCCCTCTCAGGGCAGGTATAGTTGGGAGATCAGAATTGGGTCCTGAGAGGGTTCTCGGTTGACGTGTATGTAGGTCTCTTGGGTTGGTTTGGGAAGTGTAGAGGTTTGTTCTTGCGGATTGGTACGGGATGGGAGGAGGATGCAGAGTCAAGATGAACTGCGAGTGCAGGGTTCAAAGTATGTCACTGCCGTGAGGAAGTGGTGGCTCAGTCAACAGAGGCGTCGGCTGCGCGTCGTCACAGCAACGAGATCTCAGGTTTGGATCCGAAGGCGCGTCACAGGCGGCAATTTACCCGAGCGCAGCGCGCTTTCGGCAAACGGCAGCTGATTGGGTGAAGTGCCTGTTGACAGCTGATAGCCTGGACGGGCCTACGTAATCAACCCCAATGCGCCAACTGACTCCGACTTACGCTCCGATCGAGGTCCGTTCTCGTCCTTGCTTTGAAGATCTTCTCTGGACATTATTCCCACCCGTCACTGTCGCGTTCGTCCAACACTATGAGAGTTTCGTCTGCCCGTGGTAACGCAGGCTCATGAAGCTTAATTCACCAAAACACAGTGAATCCCGCATGACCACCTAGGCAGTAAGCAAAAAGCACATGCGAAAAGAAATAGTTGTGCACGACGTGGGCATGGTGGCACCTCCGCTGAAATGAGATTGCGGATTCTCGAGCGCGTCACGGGCTCTCTTGTCATCTTGGAATGCTCTTGATCCCGTCAAGCCTGGGCCTGCTAGATGGACGGTATGCAGAGACGTCTGAAAGCTCAAGATTTGACGATGTGATCAATGACTGGCAAGAACATGTGCTCGGTACTATCGAGACGATCGAGGCTTCCGCTCTGGCGAGTGAGACATATCCTTCATTCTATCATACTCAATCTCGTCGCTGGTTTCAGTTATTGTGGCTAATCTCTGCTTCTTGCCCGACACATAACGATGCCTTAGACTCGAGCTGATATTCGCAAGCAGAAAGGAGCTCGCGGCATGGAATCTTGCGCTTCTGGGGCCTCTGAAACACTGCTCCCAAGTTCGGGTCCACGCCTCGAGAGTTAGGCTTGAACAAGGTTTGGTTTGATGGCTGACGCGTTAAGTCGAGCGGTAGTTCTTCCGGCGGAGGTGGCAGATGAAGCAATATTGTTCATTAGGCTAAACCCTCCCAGAATAGGTTTCTGCGGCCCTTCCTGTCGACTATTGCGATTCTTCGGCACCGCCCCGCGAGTATTCGCCTTACGAATGGTCGCTCCTACCACCTCGCTTCACCTTGAGGCCAACAACAAGTCACGGGCTACCTCAAAATATGGTTCTTGACAACAACGAATTGAGTTCTACAGAACTCACCTTGCCCGCCGTAGCCTCTCGGTCGCATTGACTCCAACCCGGCAGGTTCAACCCTTGCCCATTGTCGCACCTACCTGAATGACGGCCTCTAGCAGGCTACACCTCAAGCCTCGGGATATATCGTCGCCCAGCCAAGATTCCCGTTGTCCCTTGACCCCTAACCCATAGATTCGACTTGTAGTCCCGCTGCGACCTCGGGCCGTTGTCTATCTTGCAGCCACTTCTTCCAAGCAAGATTGTCAAATGCGATGATCTTAACTTCCGGCTGAATTACTGTGGTCGATTTTCAGCCCCAGTCAAAACTGGCATTATCAGTCGGAGAAACCTGCATCCCATCGCGATACAAAGGAAGTGGGTCAGGAGAATATCTGCTTTGGAGTTCTGGTGGAGCAACATCTTGTTGCTTGCATTGCTCTCAACAGTCATTCGCCCATACGTCTGTTGGATAAGTGAACCCTCACACCAACCCTAACAGTCAGGTTCCAGTCCGACCCCGAGGCTGACTATTGGGAGCCTCCTCCGTCCATGGGCATGCGTATCTGAAACCGAACAATCGATGCGAAAACAGTATTTCGGCCTGGATGAATTGTACGTTTGTTGCAAGTATCGGCAGCATTCGCATCGACTGATCTCTGCTACACGAGCAAGGTCGTCACTGCTTGTTCAATCAAGGTGGCTTCCAAGTGGTGAGGATACTTCTAGGTCCATCTGATCTTATCTAAGACGCACAATGACACCGAGGTACGAAGCCGTGGTAGCATTCGACATAGATAAAACAGCATCGACATTACTCCGTAGACGTTTTAGGTGTGCGTTGAGGGCAAGCAGAAAAGACGCGTAGAGGTCGCGCAAGGCGCGCCATGTCGCAAGTCACGTGCTAAATGAACTAGAAGCAATGATTACATAACATGGCAAAATTGCCAAGCCCCCACGAGGAACTTTTGAATTTCTCTTCGATGCCGCTCGCACTTCTGCTGAACAACCACGATTGCATCTCGAGGATTGAGGAAGACAGATCGCTGTCGAGGTAGGCTTTCCTGTCTTATCTTCTTCCTCGACTCTGGCTCACCATACTACCAGATCTTCACCATGCAGTTTTTCGTGCGCAACCTCGCGGGCGAGACCCTCACCCTTGAGGCTGAGTCCAGCGACACCATCGACAATGTCAAGTCCGAGATCCAAGGTATTTGGCATGACGAAAGCCCGCACATCGTCGCATAGCATTAACACTGCTCTCCAGACAGGGAAGGAATCCCATCCCACCTGCAACGCCTGATCTTCGCCGGCAAGCAACTCGAAGACGGCCTCACGCTTTTCGACTACAACGTCCAGAAGGAGTCGACCCTTCACCTGGTCCTGTCGCTCCAGGGCGGCGCCAAGAAGCGCAAGAAGAAGGTGTACACCACCCCCAAGAAGATCAAGCACAAGCGCAAGAAGACAAAGTTGGCCGTGCTCAAGTACTACAAGGTCGACGGCGACGGCAAGATCGAGCGGTTGAGGCGCGAGTGTCCCACCAAGGAGTGCGGTGCCGGTGTTTTCATGGCGGCCATGCACAACCGACAGTACTGTGGAAGATGTCACTTGACCTATGTCTTTGACGAGTCAAAGTAGATTGGGGCAAAGCGGGCAAAGGGGTGATGATCTTCGAGATGTAACAGCCCACCAGCCCAGTCTCAAAGGATGCTAGGTAAATGCAGATAGCAGGCCGCATCCGCACCGGTGCGATAGAACAGATCAAAGATCCGCAGAATCGATTTCTGTCTAGAGCTTCATGTTCGCATGTCCTTGGCGCTTGAGACCGTCTAAATTATCCTTGATATTGTTGCCGAGCCACCAGAGCGGCTTTGCGCATCGGCCGCAGGGTTACAGTAGCTCGTAACTTGTATCCAGGGTGCCCGCAACACCTGAGCGGCATCAAAAGTGTTCAAGGCTGACTAATCGCTTCATCCCCACATCCACGCAGCCACGCGCGTTATCGATAATTAGCGCATTGTTTACTCGGGCTCTTGTCGTGGGGGACTCTCACCGAACCGCAGCATTAATGAATGCTAAAGAGACCAGCACGATCACGTAGATTGATCACACTAACTCGACGACACGATGGAATCAGAACCGACGCTCCACCCCCATCTCCTCCCGGACACTCACCACCGGAAAATCGAACTGCAATCCACCCAAGACCTCACGTATCTACAATCCAACCTGATCGCCTCGGCGCGCCAGAAACTCGATCTCCATTTCCCTCCTTCGGCAACACAACAACAACAGCCAAAGAAAGCGCAGCCCGCGACAGTGATATCACTGGATGGAGTGAACCCCACAGCCCAAGACTCACACTCACAACCGACAACACAACAACGACAACAAGTGTCTAGCAATGCGGGCGAGATCGAGGACCGAGAAGAGGATCCCATGCGCGCCGCCGTGCGCGCGTACGTGGACGCATTCATCTCGCGTATCTACACGTCGGCGTCTCACTCCCTCACGGTCAACGGGCTGGACGTGACGTCTCTCCCGCCCACGAGTTTGACCACCAAACATCCCGCCCCTGTCTCAGCCAGCAGCGACGCGCGTGGCTCAAGTAGTGGGGCAAAGGAAGAAAAAGAAGGCGTGGATTTCATCTACGAAGGGCATGATACGCGCCTCCAGCAAAAGGTCGCGGACATGTACGCCGAGTTGGAGAGTCTCACGGTGCAGGTTGGCCAGTTAAGACGCGAGGCACCAAGACACGGGGCCGAGGCTTTCGGTCGGCTGTGCAGTGAGACAATGGAGGGCGAGGGCGAGGCCTTTGAGAAAGTGATCGCTGCGTTAAAGCAGGAAGCCACGGAAAGTGGAAGTGACGACCGGGTAGGCGACGTGTTGAAGCTGAATCCCTTGCCGGAGGGGTGGTTCGAGGATCGTAGGACAATGTACGAGCGCGGGACGAATCAACTTGCAGCTTTTGCTGGGCTGGCAGGGCAACGTGGGGATGGGTCTCGGACCGGCTCTGCTGTCAAGGGGCCCAGTCTGACGGAGACGGTGGGTAGAGTCCAGCGCGCAAGGACTGTGGCCATGGAGTTCGAGTGAGACGCGGATGGGACTCACGATGATTCCACCATGATTAGCAAAACTGGTATACGAAGGTCACAAGTAGGCGGATGCAATTGGTGCGATGAATTATGCCACTCACTGGCAGGGAAGAACAACCATGGAGAATTGGGTCCAGTACGCTGCCCTTCTCGTTACTACTCACCATGCAACGAACCCTGGCACTGGGGTTGTCGTGTGCCCACACCGCCACTTCCACTCGGTGGCGAAACTACAACAGCCATTGTCAGGCTGGCACTTACTTCAATATCTGACAGGGGGATTGAACCCCTGCCACCGAATTGAACGGGCGGCAGAGTATACATGAAACCGGCATCAGTGCCACTGACACCTGAGCTTACGGTGTACGGACAATATCATTTTGCTACCAACATGTCTCGGAGGGACCTGTCTAACGGATATACGTGTGTGTGGAGCTGCTGGTAGGACCGGTCGCAGACAGTGGGATAAGTTGCGACTACGCGCACGCTGACAGCGATCGAATAGAACTCTCGAGGACGATCCCTCCAAGAGTCGGATCTTTCGATCAAATGCGTATGCGCGCCAACGGCCACCTTCATCCTCTGGCGCTAGAACCCGGGCCTTTCTGTTTCTTCGACCGGCCGGCACATCCAGATCTTTTCATGTCTTTACCGTCACTCGATGCGGTGAGGCGACTCGCAATTTTGGCAATGCTTCTAGTTCATCCCTGATCCTGTCGTCCCGAACCCTGTTGCGTGTGAATCCTCCAAGGGCATCTTGGGTCCTTCAGAAGGCACGTTTTCGGCTTGCGCAGGTGCTGTAGCTGGGGCGGGTTCTGGCTTTGTTAGCGGGTCCTGGGCACCACCTCCTGGAGCCGGTTGAACCGTATTGTTGGCTTCCCTGTCGGTAACGGGATCGTTCCTCGCCCATTTCGGTGGCTTTGCATATGCAGGATCTTGCCAAGGGCCTTCATCGCTGAATTGACATCCACTTGGGCACTCGCAGGTGCCGCCAAACTCCTTCGGAAGGTTTTCTGCGGGAACCTGAGCCAGTAATTCCTTCTGGTAACCTGAACCGAGGACGTGAATTTTGGCGACGGTGATGGGGTCGAGGAAGGATTTGACAAAACTGAAGACGCTGCTGAAACCCCACGGGGCATTGATGATGTACAGTTTGCCCAGTCGCTCCGGATAGTAGTCCTGCGAAATGGCGCTGACAGATTTGAGGTAGCCGTAGACCGAGGGAATTCTGCCCACCCCAACACCCTTCATGTCCATGATGGTGCAGCATGTCTCGAGAAGCTTGCCTGCCTTCCGCGAGCAAGCGGGCAAACGCGGGTCGGCAACCTTCTCGTACTCAACAACCAGGTTTTGAACCATTCGCTCTGCGGTAGAGATTTTGTACATGGCATTCAAATCGATCTTGCCATACTGTTCAATATAGACTGGGCGGCCGTCCTGCATGCGCTGTCAGCAATCCCAGCGAGTCTTTCTTCAAATGTGCTATTTTCCCACCTTGTCAGTTTTGTGATAATACTGTGGGTAGTATTCAAACATTTGGGGCCTCTCCTTGTAGTCAAAGGTTCGAACCAGGTCGTCGGTGCCGAATTCTTTCCGCCATTGCTCGTTCTTGATAAACCTGTGGCTTTGTCAGTGCCTCGCCACGACAAGATTGTCGATGGACGCACATCGCCTTGGCGTTCTCGACGTTGAACTTGCGCGCCCTCAAAAAGCGTAGCAGTGTCAAGGTGTCCAACCGGGCCTTGTAGCCTTCCTTCTCGAGCATGGCTCGCAGCTGGTGGACTTGGGCATCTTGTTCCTTGGTGGTGTGGCCGGGATGACCTGACTGATTCTCCGGAGCAGTCGTAGGGAAGTCGTAATCGTCATATTTAGGATCCAGATCCATATGGGGGTTTTCTCCCGTCGTCGACATGGTGAGAGAGTGAGGGGCACAAAAATTCGTGGCGGTCAAGGTCTTGTTTGTACAATGATGCGCAAGACCGAGAAAAGGGTGAGGCTGTAGTAATAGAGAAATAGAGTCTACTCGGGACTCACAGGCTGAAGTCTACCTCTTATGACGGGTTGAGAATGGAGTGTACTGTAGCAATAGCCAGCAACGAGGGATGTAAAGGCACGGGCGCAGGTGTTAGGTCGTCGATTTGTCCCTCCAGGCTTATGACGTACCCCGCCGCTCTCGCCCTTGCAAAGCCCACACGCACTGGCACGAACAATAATTTTCCCTACAGCGACACCAGCCAGTCACATCTTACAGTCAACGGCACTGGCACTGTGAATGTCCAGTCTTGCTTGGCAACGAAATCCGGCAGTGCTTGATCATTAACGACCGGGACGCTGCTCCAGGCTCTTGACTGACCATTCAGAGGTCCTGAATGTGACTCACGGCTTGTTCACCAAGAGAATTCACGCAAGGCTGGGAACCACGCATGGCATAATTACATCTATTCTCCACTGTTGCTAGACACATTCGTTCACAAGATCACACCGCAGAGAGACCCTCCTGTCTGGACTATGCGACTACAGCGCGCTTTAGTTGTCGAGATCCAGGTTGATGCGCGATTCATTCAGCCATAACAGACATTCAGCCGGCAGAAACCGCATCCCAAAAATCCAATATGGCGTCCAAAGCCCAGAAGGCTGCTGCAGCCAAAGGCAGATCGAACGACGACAACAAGGAGGACCCCCTTCAAGCAGTAATTGTTGCCGACACTTTTGAGACCAGATTCGCACCATTCACCTTGGAGAGACCGCGATGTTTGCTGACCCTGGCCAACACCCCTTTGATCGAGTATACCCTCGAGTATCTGGCGAGTGCTGGAGTTCAGGTAGTCTACATCTATGCTGGCACACATGTGGACCAAGTAGAGGCTTACATTGAGACCTCCCGGTGGAAGTCACAGCAGTCCCCTTTCGAGAATGTCACGTTTCTCCGGTGCCTCGCCAGCTCCGTGGGTGACATTATGAGGGATCTAGACCAGAAACACTTGATGGTTGGCGATTTTCTCGTCGTCAGTGGTGATATTATCTCGAATTTTCCCATCCATAAAGCTTTGCGACAACACAAACTCCGCAGAGACAAGGACAAGAATGCCATCATGACGATGATCTTGAGGGAGGCCGAAGCAGGAATCCACGACCATAGTGGTGGCGTCGTGCCCACATTCGTCCTGGATCCCACCAAGGACAGATGTCTACATTACGAAGAGGCGTTCCCAGGCACTCAGTTTACGTCGCATATTGACCCAGAACTCCTGAAGACCCCAGAACTCGAGATCCGACAAGACCTTGTTGACTGCCGAATCGACATATGCACCCCGGATGTGCTCAGTCTGTGGTCAGATAACTTCGACAACCAAACGCCACGCAAGGACTTTCTCTTTGGTGTACTCAAGGACTGGGAATTGAATGGAAAGACTATTCACACATACATCGTCCTGGAAGACTACGCCGCTCGAGTCGCCGACTTCTGGTCGTACAATATCATCTCCCAGGACATGAAAGCGGGCGTCGTTACGTCAATCGCGGTCGAAAACAACGCTTTCGGCAGCACACACTACCGCCGGTCCCAGAACGGAGTCATTGTGGATGGACAGGTGGTTGCAGCAAGGCATACGAAGCTCGACTCGGGCTCCATTGTTGGGCCGGAAGCCTCTATTGGAAGGGGATCAGAGGTCAGAAACAGCGTGCTCGGCGAACGGTGCCATATTGGCAAGAACACGGAAATCGACAACGCCTATATTTGGGACGATGTTTCGATTGGAAACAATGTAAAGATTTCACGAGCGATTGTCGGGAACGAAGCCTTCATCGGAGACAACTCTGTGATTGAGGAGGGCAGCCTGATCTCTTTCGGCGTTAGGATCGCCCCAGGCACGACCGTCAGAAGTGGTTCGAGAATATGTCGAAATCAGCCAGGAATTGATCGTGAATCGAAGAATGACATCCTGATAGTCGGTGATGCAGGAGAGGGCCAAGCGTATGCCGACGATGAGGAAGACTACCTGAGTTCAAGATTATCAAGGCTCATTTACCAACGGCCAGAGTTTGCAGACTCGATCTCCACCTTGGAGTCGGATCTTTCTTCTGACGAGGTCTCATCCCTTGGCGGATCTAGAAGTCAGAGCTTCGGAGACGAGTCTACCGACCGATTCCAACATGACACTGTTGCCATTCTGGTCCAACGAATGCAGGAGGGGAAGCACGCGGATGACATGCTCAGTGAACTGATGGGTCTTCGATTTAGTGGAGGAGCAGATGAGACACAAGTACGCCGCGCAGTGGCCGTCGCGCTGATGAAACATATCCACAGCGAAATCGAGAATGGGGTGCCTGCCGCCGACGCCACCCGGCGGGTTCTGACGGCATACAACACGCTTATCCGGAGGAAGGGAGCAGAGCAGACGATTGATGAGCAAGCGGCGTTCTTGCTTGATGCACAACGAGATTTGATCCGAAGGAAAGATGGGGGCAAGACACTTTTATTCGTGGTCAAGGACCTCTATGATCTCGAGATATTCCCTGAAGAAGCATTCACTGACTGGTGGGAAGACGAGAGGTCGAGTGCTGAGCCTGAAATGGCGGAAGTAAGGAAGCCAAGTTCACAGTTCATCGAGTGGCTCGAAAATGCCGAGAGCGAGAGTGAGAGTGATGAGGAGGACGATGATGAGTAGGTGTCGCTGCAGAGTGGTCTCGAAACTATGATACATTCTCAAGAAGCGAAGCCTGGGCTGGGCTTTGACAGCCTTGCGAACGTAGCCTCGTCACCAACGTGCACGTGCCACAGAGCATTGCCGGCGTCGGGATGAATACGGACCTGTTACCATGCTGTGATGGTGTTGCAGGGCAGGGTCCGGATTTTGATTTCACCAAGGAGGCGTACCTACCTAGGTACTCGTAGCAGATATGAAGTTGGCCCTTGATCTGATGATGTAGTCAGAATGCTGTCCAGGCTCGCCGGTCTGATGGGGCCGGACCATCACGTGGATAGAATGGATATGACGATAGAGGGCCTGAACATGCTGCTGCTTGGTCAGTGGCAGCACGCCACCTGCAAACTTGGACTTGCCGCCTCGTTCGTTACTGCCCGCCCGGGCCACTTATGTAACCGTCGAGCGCCTGTGTGAGCGCCGTGCTCCGTAGTGCCACTCAAACTGCGCTTTGACTTCTCGTACCGTCAAGCTGGACTGTTCCCTTCGTGTATCAACTGGAGACTTTCTCTCTGCATTTGGAGATCCCATATCTTGACATCTACAGGGTTGCTCCATGTGTCTCTGACTGTCGACTAGCACGAGCTGCCGTCTTCCTTTTTCTGTAATTGAGTCGTCTCATCATTCAGTCACCTGCTTCTCCGAACATCCCCTCACTAGCAGCCTGTTGTCTCGTCCGGAGACGCAGCTGCCTCTACCCAAGTCATCACGCCTCCTCAGTCCAAGAAACGAAAGGTTGAGGAGTGCGTCACCGACGCGTCGAGGCACGATCCCGCAAAAGCCCGCAAGACACAAACACTTCCCGCGCAGGGCCCATCCACTCCCATCACCGAGCACGGCTCGCCGTCCTTGAAGGCCATGGATTCAGAAGACGACTTCATGTCCGATCCGCCTAGTGGGGATGAGATGGAATTCGAGGAGGGTACACAAGACAGTGACATCGGCAGTATCGGGGGTGGTCGGTGCATCTGGCTTCAAGCACCATGATCCAATATCGCTGACAAACGCTCGCAGATTTCGACCAAGATCATGATGGTGGCTTCGGCTACGAGAAAGACATAATTGGCGGCAGCCAGAAGCCCTACGAAGTCGACTACAAGATCCTTAGCCCGGAAGACATCCACAACCAGCAAGAACGTCAGTTCAAGGAAGTCTCGACCATTGTCGATCTACCCGTCGAGCTGACCGCTATACTCCTACGATCAATGAGATGGAACAAGGAGAAGCTGATCGAAGCGTACATGGACAACCCCGAAAAAGTCCTCGAGTCCGCTGGCCTGGGACCTACATTTGCCGATACACCAAGGACGAAGAAGGTTGAGGGTTTCGTCTGCGAGATTTGCTTCGAAGATTCACCGGACTTGGAAACATATGCCATGAAGTGTGGCCATAGATGCTGCACCGATTGCTACTCGTCTTATCTTACACAGAAAGTCAAGGAGGAAGGGGAGGCCGCTAGGATCGAATGTCCTTTCGACGGATGCCACCGGATTGTAGACTCCAAGACCCTGAAATTCCTGGTCGACCAGAGCGTCGTGGATCGGTATGAAATCTTGCTGACCCGGACATACGTCGACGACAGGGACAACTTGAAGTGGTGTCCGGCTCCCGAGTGTGAATATGCGGTGGATTGTCCCGTAAGGAAGCGTGATCTTGGCCGGATCGTGCCTACAGTACGTTGTGGCCACGAACACTCCTTCTGCTTTGGTTGTTCGCTAGCGGATCACCGCCCTGCACCTTGCGCTCTCGTCAAACGGTGGCTCCAGAAGTGCGAGGATGATAGCGAGACCTCGAACTGGATATCCGCCAACACGAAAGAGTGCCCGAAGTGCAACTCGACGATCGAGAAGAATGGAGGTTGCAATCACATGACTTGCCGGAAATGCAAGCACGAGTTTTGCTGGATGTGTATGGGCCCCTGGTCGGAGCACGGGACAAGTTGGTACAACTGCAACCGGTTCGAAGAGAAGTCAGGAGCAGATGCTCGTGATGCTCAGGCACGCTCTCGACACTCGCTGGAGCGTTATCTTCACTATTATAACCGATACGCCAACCATGAACAGTCAGCCAAACTCGACAAAGACTTGTGGCTGAAGACGGAAAAAAAGATGACTAGCCTTCAAACACAATCTAACATGTCGTGGATTGAGGTGCAGTTTCTTGATACTGCGTCCAAGGCCCTGCAAGCCTGCCGCCAAACCTTGAAGTGGACGTACGCTTTTGCTTTCTACCTTGCACGAAACAACATGACCGAAATCTTTGAGGACAACCAGAAAGATCTGGAGATGGCCGTCGAAAACCTGAGTCAGATGTTTGAAAAGCCGGTACATGAACTCGGTGGCCTGAAAGTTGAGATTCTTGACAAGACGACGTACTGCAACCGAAGACGCGAGATATTATTGAGTGACACGGCCGAGAACCTGAAGAAAGGTAGGTTATTGCTCAGCCACTCTTGATCGCATGCGCTTACATCGTGATGACAGACCAATGGAAATTCAACGTGGAGTTATAATGTACTATGATAGACGATGGCGGAACATCATCGACCCAGTGTCAGTGTTGGCTTTATGACTATGCTAGCGAGGCGTTGACGAATGCACGGCAATCTGGAGTCTTTACTCATCGAGGATGGCGCCCCTGGTCAACAGGTTCCAACGCATATGGAGAGCGGAATTGGTAGGACGCTGGCATCCGGGGAGTCGTTGTAGTCTACTGCCCGCAGTATGTGCTCCCGTTGCGGCCGCGGACATTGAGCTGGAGAGGAGTCGGTGAATCCCTTCTTTCCGAGCCACAGCTACAAGTATCATGTCGCAACACAAAGCATTGCAAACACGCAACCAACATATGAGATCCCCAGCGGCACTAGAAATGCTGCATGCCCTACATACTTGTAGTGGACCAAAAGCGTATGCGGGCGTATTGGAGCAGCCTCAGACAGCGAGTCAGCAGACAATGCGCTGCTTCACACACGGTGAAGCAGGGACTTTGTGGCCGAGATTTAGAATTATGGCCGAGGCGAGGTTTGGGTGACTGGGTGAGCAGCGAAATGAGGCGAGTCTCAAAGAGGACATATACAGCGAGACACGTAGCGAGGTCGGAGGATCACCATTACGACGAGCAGACAGCGCCGAGGGGGAAAAGGAAGGCGTCACAGGCATCATCGGTGCTGCGAGAGCGTGCAGCTCGGGCAGCATTGCAGGGCACCAGGGCCGCTGCAGCGTCATCCAAGCCGCAGAGGCCCGCGTCCAACCAACCACTTAGCTAGCTCTTGCTACCCTGGCTCGAATTTTGGCTTAGGGAACAAAATCTTTGGGAGGGCGATCTGATACGAGTCGTTCTCGCCTGGGCCATTGTTAGCCTACGACTTCCATCTGATAATATTCCTCCCGGTCAATCGCCTGCGTCTCTACCACGTACCGATTCACAGAAGCCTCTTTCTCTTTTTCCGTGCGAGGCTTCGCTGAAGTCATCTGTTGCACTTCCTGGGCAAGTCACCTTACACCAAGTGAGAGCGACAGCCGAGACACATCGATCTGCAATCGTGGCGACGTCAGCCAAATTCCCGGCGGCATTGACCGCAGAGAATATGCCAGCGTTGAATAGCCCGGATGCAGTACCTGGTGAAGAATTCGAGTGAGTCGACTCGAGCAGCGACGTTCAGCAACGCACCGTGGGAATTGACCAAGTCGCAGCTATGAAGCCCTCCCACCGAACTATGGACTTGGACACAATATGTTGGCCGGCGCGTTCGCAGGCATTGCAGTACGGTCCGATCACGAGTGACTATGGGAAAGAGGCTGACAGGGACCTTAGGAGCACACGGTGATGTATCCAGTGGACTTGATGAAGGTACGGCTCGAGCTTGTTGCGATGGCTTACAACGTTGCTAACCTGGACTTCCTCCCACAGACACGAATGCAAGTCATAAATCCTTCGGCCGGCGGTCTATACACGGGATTGTCGCATGCAGTCTCTACGATATACCGAATAGAAGGGCTGCGGACATTATGGCGCGGTATGACCAGCGTCATCGTGGGCGCAGGTGTGTTTGCAGCTTCGGAGATCGGAATATTGAGGCAACTCTAACATTTGATTACAGGTCCTGCTCATGCTGTATACTTTGGCACCTATGAGATTGTGAAAGAGGCGGCTGGCGGAAACAAAGCAGATGGCAAACACCATCCTCTCGCGGCCGGTATGGAAGCCATCAATTTGCAAGATCCTGCTGCAGTTGGACGAAGGCGCTAATTGAGACGACAGCTGCAAGTGGCGCATGCGCAACAATCGCGAGTGATGCACTCATGAACCCTTTTGACGGTGCGCATCTTTCCCTACTCAATTGCAAGAGGTGGTGCTGACCGCATCTTCGCAGTCATCAAGCAACGCATGCAGGTGCACGGCTCAACTCACCGGTCCATAACCCAGTGCGCCCGCTCGGTCTGGCGCGCCGAAGGCTTAACCGCATTCTACGTATCCTACCCAACGACACTGTGTATGACGGTCCCATTCACCGCGACACAGTTTATGGCCTACGAGTCGTTGTCGAAAATCATGAATCCACGGAAAGAATATGATCCGATTACACATTGCGTGGCTGGTGGCTTGGCCGGAGCATTCGCGGCGGGAATTACCACTCCACTGGACGTGATCAAAACACTATTACAGACAAGAGGACTTAGTCAACGAGATGATATTCGCAATGTACGAGGCTTGTTCCACGCCGCTGCGATTGTCAAGAACGAGTTTGGCTGGAGTGGTTTCATGAGGGGATGGCGGCCCAGAATCATCACGACCATGCCAAGCACCGCCATCTGCTGGTAGGTCTCGTCTCGCAAATGTCAACGCTTTGGCAGCTAATATTGTGCAACAGGTCGTCATACGAAATGGCAAAGGCGTACTTCAAGAGAACGCTTCGAGAAGAGCAGGCTCTCAATGCTAACAAGTTATGATTCAGTAACCGGCCAAGCTGGTCGCCCTTGTGTCCTCGACAGCCGGAGATTCCGGAGCGGCCATCCGCGAGGGGTTCAGCTTGGTACCTAGGTAGGAGGGGGGACTTTCGGCATGCGTGGCTCCGTATTCGGATTGTACGCGAAGAAGATACCCAGTTGAAGGTGCTTTTTGAAGGACACCGCATGCGGCATGCACTTATCTCTCCGTTCGAGGAGCATGAATGCATGCTATCCACCTAGCAAGGCGCAGGGGCAATTTTCATATGCCCGGCCAGGTATGGGAATGCGGATAAGAAGGCGTTGTGGCAACGAGCGGCTCCCGACAGACGGTTCCATGTCGGTAACGAGGTCAGAGTCTGGGTGAGACTTCTGGATAATACTGTACATTTACCAAAAGTGGGCTGCAATGAGCGACTTGATCATTTCCCTCGGCTTTGCCCCAAGGTGATAGAGCGGCTCATCAGCAATGAAGACGAATATATGGTAACTGGATGCTTGTTTGGTAGCTGTGCTTACCTTGCGGGGCCTCTGATATGCTCGAGGGTGTCGAGGGCTATTGGCCCCTGTGTGTACCTTTGAACTCGTCCTCCTGCTAGAGATAAATCAGCATACCGTAAGTCACTGGGACAAGAGCACGCATCAGCACTCGGTCAGTATCTTAACGCTCGGGTGATGGCTGGCCAGACGGTCTTGGTTTGGCCGGTCCGGTGACGTATGCGCGGGCAGGCTGTGTGCGTAGCGGACAGCGGGACTTGTTCCTGCGGCATCGCATATGGTGATTGCCTACTGTACTCCATACTACGTTCCCGCCTCCACAAGGTTGTCAATTGATGCGAGGCTCAGCCTCCGTCCAACAGTGAACTCATACAATCTACCACACCTCGCTCTTTCCGTCCCTCATTTTGCGCTCTTCCTCTCTTAGCATGTCCATGTCGATGCAGCAGGCAAGATGTTTCGGAGCAAGCCTTCCTCGTCCATGCAAAAGACGTACGATGAGGCCTATCTTCAATGCTCTACCGCCATATTCTTCGAAGGCCAGGTAAGGATCCTCCGATTCGGAATGAGTAATTGGCCGTGACTCACTTCTCTGTAGAGCAACGAGGCGGAGGCTCTGCGCTCATGGAAATCAGCACTAGACCAGATCAACTACTACAAGGCCTATAATCTCTCCTCGAATTACTCGCCCAAGTCCGAGACCGAGCGCGCGCTTTATGACTCTCTCAAAGAGTTGGAGATGCAATGCAAGGAACGGGTTGACCTGCTCGAAACCTTGAAGCGAAGCCGTATGGACGTCGGGGTTGAACAGCGAAAGGAAGAGAAGGCCGAGCACAGAAACGGCCACAGCACAGGCAGCGGCCACGGGAGTGGGAATGGTGCCGGAAAACGGCTGCAAAAGAGCAAAGCAAATCATTCACCAGCGACTACGCCCAAGCATGAGCAGCACGCATCGTGGCTTGCCGGCGAGACTGTACCACCCATGCATATGTCCGAACTACCCAATGCCACACCAGCTTTACCTTCGCGACCATCCCTGGGAGCCACTCGAAGCAGCGATCATCCCGTGACCGACAGTTCCTCTCCAATATCCCGAGTGCGCTCATCACCTCTGGGAATTCCGCCAACGCTACCCGTACCCTCTACGAAGGTTTCGAGAAGCCCAAGCCCAGATCACGGGAGGAAACCCATGCGAACCACGTTACGCCCAGAAAGACGAGGTTTCATGAAATATCGGTCGACCTCGAGTCGTGATAAACGCGCGGAAACCATGAAAGCCGCGGGGTTGGCCTGGGACTCTCAACCGCGGAAGAACTCTCACCCTCAACGACCGGAGTCAGATCCTACCATCGAAGCGAGGTTGAGCGCTACAGCGGCAAGACGAAGTATCGACCAAGACGCGACAGCTCGATATGAGGAACAACGGAAGTCTAACGCTTCATCCCTACTGAGTGTGCCTGACTACAGCCAACACCTAGGACACCGTGACGCATCGAGTTCGACAACTGTACCAGCACCATCCATCATCAACAGATCGATGGAAAGCCTGAAACTGACTTCAGAATCAGCACCAAGTCTCATTGACTTGGATTCAGAACCTGAGAGAGCGCCACCTCCTCCGCCTCAACATGCCCCACCTTTGAGCCCGCCCGTTGCCAAAGCCAGGACGGGATCTCCAGTGTCTTTACCAAAAGCCCCGGAGATTACGTATCGCAGAGAATATCCTCCGAGGGTACACAATGTGCCGCAACCGCTTGCGAGGAACATACTTGAAAAGGCCTACCCAAGGCCTGCGACTACTAGTAGCTCGTCTGGTATCAGTCGGAAACCGGTCGGTGCCGCAGGCACAGCACTGGAGACGAGAGGACGATCTCCACCGATACGGGATGGGCACTCCGACACCGAAGATGAAACACCGAAGCGAAATCCGGACAGACCTAGACGACCTAAAGGGGTCAGAGCAGCGAGCGCAAATACCATTACGCCACCATCCACGGACGGCGAGTTGCCAGAAGACGATGAGGGACTATCGGCTCAGGAGAAAAGAATGAAGGAACTCCTCAGGAACCTGCCCAAAGGACTAGATGAAAACGCCGCCAAACAAATTCTCAATGAAATTGTGGTTAAAGGTGATGAAGTACACTGGGATGATGTCGCTGGCCTATCAGCAGCCAAAAAGGCCTTGAAAGAGGCGGTGGTATACCCCTTTCTGAGACCCGATCTGTTCATGGGCTTGAGGGAACCCGCTCGCGGCATGCTCTTGTTCGGTCCACCCGGCACAGGTAAAACGATGCTCGCAAGAGCCGTCGCCACAGAGAGCAAGAGCACATTCTTCGCGATCAGCGCTAGTAGCCTGACTAGTAAGTGGCACGGCGAGTCGGAGAAATTGGTCCGGGCGTTATTTGCGATGGCGAAGGCGCTCGCGCCGAGCATCATCTTTGTGGATGAGATTGATTCTTTGCTCAGCGCGAGGAGCGGATCGAGCGAGCATGAGGCATCGCGGCGAAGCAAGACGGAGTTTCTGATTCAATGGTCCGACTTGCAGAGAGCAGCGGCGGGGAAAGACACAACGGTTGGGGACGCGAGCCGGGTTCTGGTGCTCGCGGCAACAAACTGTCCGTGGGACATTGATGATGCGGCGCGAAGGAGGTTTGTCAGACGGCAGTATATCCCGTTGCCTGAGGCAGAGACCAGAGATACCCAGATCCGGACCTTGCTCGGGCATCAGAAACACGACTTGAGTGAGGATGACATCAGGCGGCTAGTGGAGTTAACAGATGGTGAGTGTTCGGCAGATACCCAATCGACCCGACAGCGCTGACAAGTTGATAGGATACTCTGGTTCAGACATTACAGCATTAGCGAAAGATGCTGCAATGGGACCCTTGCGGCACCTAGGCGAGGCTCTTCTGTATACACCCAAAGAGCAGATTCGACCAATTCAGATGGTTGACTTCGAGGCAAGTCTTGAGAGCATTCGGCCAAGCGTTAGCAAGAAGGGACTCGAGGAGTTTGAGAAGTGGGCGAAAGATTTCGGCGAGAGGGGAGGCTGATGTGTGGACATATACCAACGTTTTGGGTATGGCCTTTCCTTGGGGGCGTCTACATTACGAGCCATGAGATGGTGGACAGTGATATCACGAGGTGATGAAAGCAAGGCGGACTCGACTCCGTGAGCTCACGATACAGAAAATAGATTATTGTACAGTGTCGACGAGCATCAGACGGTCACGATGGTGCAAGGAATGGGCGTGTGGTGTTCAAGACGAGGCTGACGAGGACGAGGCTCTCCGGAGAAATCCGTCCGGACCACAGGTCAAACGCTAAACTCGGTACGGCTAGACCCCGAAGTCAACGTCGACACTGACCACAGACAGACAGCGTCAATCTTGATTCCTCCTTGCTGCGAGTGGCGTTGGTCCAGTGAGGTCTATTGTACACAATGCCTTCCTGTAAAGTACTGCTTTGAGAATACTCTTGTAAAAGACTCATGGCAGCGGAAAGCTGAACCTCTTCGGCGGACTTGGTCAAGGCAGCAAAAGTCTTCTGATCATCGTCGTCGTCCACAAGTCTCAACAGCAATCAGCTTTGGTCTCTTATCGCTCGTCGAGAATGCCCACGATAACCGGATCCAACCGGAACTGTCATGATTTTGAATGAGTCGTCTGCCAGCCGTTACGAGCGGGGTTTAAGTTAACCCTCAAGCCCGTCTATCCCGAATCACATATTAGCCCAGTCATGGGCTTACCCAGCTTTCACTTGTTTGATAGGGACAAGCTGCCGTTGAATCAGCCCGGTAACAGACCGAGTGAACCATTTAGTCTTTTCGAGACGTGAGAGATGACCTCGCGTGGGTTACCAAACCGGAACGAAGGTGTCAAAAGGCACTTCACCGCCGAGCACATGGACAGCAGCATCAGCCATGTATATGCACATCCAGCCTTGTCACGGTCCGGCAGATCACACGATGGACTGTCACTGGCAACCGGTTCGCCAAGGCGAGAAGGTGATATCTGCGCACTGACCACGACTACATATTCTGCCGCCGTCGCCCCGGAATCTTGCCTACATTCCTGAGCACACCCTGACAACAACCTCAACATTGGTGCAAACCTTCGACACGCCCTCAAGACACCACGACGCTCCTTCGCGACCGCATTGGTGAGTAACAACATCTTCTTCGTCGCACCTTGCCGTGTGAATTTTTGTGTATCGATCTTGCCCTTGCGCGCACTCCGCAGCTACCACGCCAGACAGGCCTGCTCTCGGTGTCGCCTCAGGGACGCACCTGAAGGTCGGGGTGCATTCTTGACTCTCCCAGCAGCGGCCACTGGCAAGACAGGCCAGAATCAATTTTTCTATTGTCTGTGCTTTGTCTTCTGGCCGGGTGCGCAACAAAGAGGCCACAGCCAGTTGGGCTGGCGATACGTGATCTTGCGACAGTGCTCGGACCACGATTGCATTGACTGGCAAGTTCCTTGTTCTCCCTATACAAGACCGGCTATATCCCCCGCAAACGGCACTCGATCTTGGGTGGACCTCGCAGGCTATCCTGCCTTGAACCACCTTTTCACTTCTTGCAAAACCGCAGGCCGGTGGACTGATCAGCTTACTTTGTCTGTCTTTCGAGAATATAGGTCCTGCCGCTCATTCCGCTGCTATCAGCACACCACATTCACTGTATCAACCGCCATGAAAGCCACTCTCCTGCGTGTCGCCGCCGTGTGCGCGCCGGTCGTGTTGGCTGTTCCGCATGGTAAGTCTCCAGATCGACCCGTGGCGCGCAGGCACTTACTAGTATCAGGAGACAACCACCGTCACCAACGCGCTGCTCGCCGTGTCGAGACGGACTACGCGACCGTTACTGACGTTGTTACCGTTACCGCCGACAATGCTGTCGTCTGGGTCGACCAGTTCAACAATGTCCTCTCGACCGAGTACCACAGCCACCCGACGCCCACCACCCTTCCCTCAAGCTCCGAATCCATCTCTCTTGCTGTCACCCCTACACTCGCTGCAGATATCGCCTTCACTGCCGAAGCCGAGGTTTCTACGGAGTCGCCTGAAACTTCTGCTGCTCCTACAACTTCCGTCCCTCAAAGTGTATTCTCGGTCTACTTCGCACCATCAGAGACCGCCAACTCCCCAGTTCCTTTGACTACTGACGATCCTGACACCACTACCGCCGCTCCTAGCTCTGCCGAGCCCAGCGCCGCACCAGACTCCGACGATAGAATTGCAAACAAGGGCATGCACGGTGGCAATGGCGGAGCAAGTCATAACAGCAATGCAGCCGGTGGTGGCTATGGTATCGACTTCGAGCTCATTGGTTCCAACGGCTGTAAGCCTCAGGCCGAGCTGAACGGTGAATTCGGCTTCCTCTCTACCCAAGGATTTTCGAAGATACGCTTCTACGATATCGGCTGTGACCTTAGTGTGGCCACTGCCGCAGCTGCCGCCGCGGGCTTCTCGGTGACTCTCGGTCTTAATGGCATCGGCAACGTCAATGGTGATTTGGCAATTCTCATCGGCATGATCAAAGGGAATTGGGGCCCTATCGACACCGTGGTCATTGGCAACGAACTCACCAACCAAGGCGCAAATCCCGGTCAAATTGCTGCTGCGGTCAACAATGGCCGCGCTATACTGCAGGCTGCCGGATATACCAAGAACGTGGTCGCGGTTGACACTTTCATGGCGCACATGGCCCATCCCGAGATCTGCCAGGCGTCCGACTACTGTGCTGTCAATGCCCACGCTTTCTTCGATGCCAACACCGTGGCTGCCAACGCCGGCACCTTCGTTAAGAGCGTCATCTCCAATATTCAGACCAACGGCAAAGCCATCATCGTCACGGAATCTGGCTGGCCGTACCGGGGAGATGTTAATGGTCAAGCGATCCCATCTCTTGAGAATCAGCAGGTTGCCATTGCCAGTCTGAGGGCTGCTTTCGCCGGAAATCCTGGAGGCTTGTTCCTCTTCCAGGCATACGATGCGAGTTACAAGGGTGAAGGGGCTTCCAATGTCGAGCGATTCTTTGGCATCTACGGCCATTGAGGTTGACGCTCGCCCCTGGTCCGAAATGATTTCCGCACAGCGTGTTATGTTCAAGAGTACACAATACCGCCGGTTGCACAGCATGACGAAGTGATGGAAAGAACCCGCATACATTACGGCCCTGGAAACGACCAGTTGCAGTCAAAAACAGTCAATCAGAGCCTGTTCAGCTTGTCTACCACGGGCGTCTATCAGCGATGGCGTTCTGGCGTCGAGTCACAGAGTTTCAAAGCATGCGTTCAGCCCGACATTTCCTTTTCAGTTTTTCACCTTCGACATCATACCCAAGCACAGTTTTTCACCAGCAAGTTTTCCCCTCCTATGTGGCCCATGAGCCTGGTCAGATCGGCACTGCTAGCAAGAGGCATGATGATTGCAGTGGCTATACCTGCCTATCTACAACTATGTCCTCCTCGCCTGGACCGGGTTCCTGGGATCCCTCTGTACATCTTTTCAGGATATGCGTGGGATACCGGGGCGTGCAGGTCATGGCCAGCCAAGCCAATCGCAGGATATCGCAGAGCTTTGGCTATTGAATGCATCTTACTTTCCAGGCCCGGCTTTTGCAGCATAGGTAGTAGATAGCATTTCAACCTTTCAACCCACACAAGTCCTTCCAGCCGAATTCACTTTGCTCTTCATTACGGCCTGTGTCCACCAGCGTGAACCGATTTGTGGGAGTCAGAGAAGACAGCCTCTTGCCGCCGAAGTGTCGACCACGTAGCTGAACTCAACTTGAATGGCGTTCCAATCTCTTCCATCTTTAGTCTTTCCATCCCATGGTAGTCGGGAGTGGGGAGAACTCTACGGTCTTACAAGACTTGGGGGAGACATCCGTCTTACTATAGTATGTACCGAGGTGTCAACTTGCTTGACTGACAATTTAAACGGCGCTCCAACCCCCCAAATCTCTACTTTTTTTCCATCCCATGGTAGTCCGGGAGGTTCAAGACTCTATTACACAGTCTTTGAGACTTAGGGAAGATAATCTCCTGCCATGTACCGAGGTGTCGATTGATTTAGCCGAACTGACACCCTTGAACGGCGCTCCACCTCTTAGTTATGTAACCTCTCGAATCGCTGCCGTTTCCAATGCAAGGTACTCCGTACATCATATCATTCCCTACGTAAGGTCATGCTGTCCTTTTCCGCTCGCTTCATTCTCGTTTTTTTCCCGACTCGATAGACCCATAGATAATTAAATCGTGTGTGACCACGGGGAGTTCAGGACTCGACACGGTGGTTGGGGCCCAGCGATACTGCAAAAACAGTAAGGCTATCGACTTACTATTTTTTTTTTTGAGGAACCCCACGACTACAGGGGGTTGGCCGATTGATCAATTGATCAATTGATGGATTGATGGATTGATGGGTTGATTTGCGTGATATCTTATTTGATTTCTACGTTCATGTTCATATTCCTCCTCTCACGTACCCGTACCCGTACCCGTACCCGTACTCGCACTCGCACTCGAACCCGTGGTATCGTAGGTGTTTGATTTCTCCATCCACTCACTCACTCACTCAGTCATTCATTCACTCTGGGCTTTTCTTCATCGAGGGCGTCACATCCCGTCTCGTCAAGTGTCTGTTCCCAGGCAGGGCAAGGACATTTATGGAATTGGCAGTGTCTCGCGCCTCTCTTTCATAGTCAAGATTGCCCAATCACTCGGTTCTTCTGTTTTACTGGCCTGGCCTGAGCTTCCATCCAGCTTGTCTGTTCTGTCCACTACCGGGTATGGTATGGTTTGTGAGCCTACTCTACTGTACCGCTCTATTTCTAGTCTACGACTACTTTTGCGATGGGTGAGCTAGACACGCATAGGCATCATCAGACAAGGCTTGCTTGCTTGCTTTCCTTTTCTGATCACCAATGCTAGACTAGACTACCGACGGCGCACCGGGCTTGTCCAGCTCGTCATCGTCTGTCTGATCAGTTTCCTCTTCTTCCACTTCTTCGTCTGTTAGAAATGGACTCCTTTCCATCTCGAATTGCGGGCCCGGAACACCCCGAGACGGCTCCTGCGCTGGCGGGGTAAGAACCATCCTAGGCATCTGCATTTCAGGTTGAGGATGCTGCGTTGTCTTGTTTTCGACGCTGGGCATGTCAACGATTGTGGGTACGGATTGAGATATGTTTGGCGTGATTGACTCGGGAGGTGTAGAAGACGACAGAGTTCGCGACTGTGCCGAATACGGGGTCGTTGACGAGAGCACTTGGTTCGTGACTGCGTCGTGGAAGGGTTGGTCGAGTTCTTCTTGGGAATGCACGCGGGATACAGCGGGCATTTCGGTGTATACTGGAGGATTGGCTATGTTTTCGTGTCCGGCGTCTTCGATTACGTCTTCTTCCAAAGGAGGTAATGTAGGTTTATTTCCAGCACCGGGCCCGGCCGGTGACTTCTCTTCAAGCTCCAAATGGTCCATTGTCTCGTGGATCTGATCGAGCGCTCTAGCTTGAGCCTTTTCCAAAGCTTCGCTAACAGGTAACTTTGCACGGCTTTCCAGTGTTGACGCGGAGTCCGGGTCTGAAGGACTCAATGTCGGGCCCACTGGTGAAAATGGACTGTGCTCGGGTATTCTCTTGCCCGATATTGTTGTCGTAATTATAGAGGGGAGATTGGCACTGAATCTGCCAGGTTCACGTGTACTGTCACCACTACCGTCCCTTCCTTTCCTCCGTCTCGCTTTCGGGGTAGGTGGAGGCTTCTTACTAAAGGGCAGGCCTCTGTGATGAGTCGGGATTGGTGGTGGTTTGTCCTTTTCTTTGAGCTTTTCCTTGTCTGCAATATCAACTAGGGCCTTGCCGTGAACGTGGCGATGGTGGAACGGTATAGAAGAATGATGGTTGTAGCGAGACTGGTTTTGGTGATTATCATCAGCCTCAGGTCTCGGTGTCGCTGGTTCTTTCTCAGGTTTCGCTGTCGGCGGTCCGTTGTCAGGTTTCGGTGTCGCCGGTGCGTCCCCAGGTTTCGTTGCCGCCTGTTCGTGCTCTGGTAACTCGGCGGTCGCAATTTCCGCGTCACTCTCCATTCTCTGGGCCTTTGTTCTCATGGCACCAGACCGTCTCGCCTGTGGCGGTGGAGGCTTCTCCTTCTTCTGCATTATCGCCGCGCGCAAATTGTTTTTCAGACTTGGATTTCTGCTCGGGGTAATAACCCCTGGCTTCTCAGTCTGTGCTGCGACTGCCATCATGCTCAAGCTCGACTGCCTGGCTCCTTCGAGTTGAGGGGTCAGATACTGGCCGATAGTCAGTACGGAGTTTTTCGTAGAGTTTCGCTTCTTTAGTTTCCGTGGCGCTGGGAGAGCTGGCGGTACCGCCTTCGACGGAGAGGTGGGCGACGACAGATCGGATGCCACATCCTCTGTAGGCGATTCTGCTTGCATCGGCGATTTCGTCTCGGGGTCCGTCAGCCAGCTCACCCCTTCACATCGCTTGACAAGGCGTTTTGTCGTCTCGTCTACCGCGTCGAAATGGCCCCAGTGATGTAGACCTTCTTGAGAGCCATTTTGATCTGTGAGGTGACCGCCGCCTAGCACGACCAACAATTTCCGAATCTCGTCCCTCTTGTAGTGTGGAGGGTGCTGGAGCTGGGTATGTTCGAGGAGCGGGTAGAGGACTCGAAGGTATGTATGACGCAGGGATGAAGCTTCTTCGGGCAGATCCAGCAGGTTTCGGATCAGAATATCGACTAGAACACGCAAGTCATTCGTGTAGAAGTATTCATATGTGGGTGGCGTGGTGAAGAGGAGGTAGAGCAGCTTTAGTGTCAAGAGCTGTAGAGACGTTTCGTCTGGGCAGGTCAGAGGAATCCTACGTCAACAAGACTCTAGTGTATCATACCTTCACGGTTGAGCAATAAGATGATATTCTCGCCAAAAGTCTTGTAAGCACTGCCATGAGCAGAAAGCACCTTGATCACTTTGTTTGTCAAGGGAGCTGGAGCATGACCACTGACAGGGTCGTGCGCGGCGACCATGAACTGTTCATTGAGAACTAGCTGCGGAACTTGTTAGGTTGGATGTGATGGGTGGCAAGGAACAGCTAACCAGAACACGAATGGTGGGATAATGGTAGGGGTCATCGACGTCGTCCGAGACCTGCTCGATGATCTCAAACAACATCTTGACAAAATCATCATGGACACGGGCTGTTCCAAAGTAGGTGGTCACATCAGCCAATGTTCCCTCCTTTGTGTTACCCACGTACCCAAGTCGTCGGTCTTGATCCTCTGGATGCGCGACATGTCATAGAGCAGCTCCATAAGGAGTCTGTGAATTCCTTCGTGGCCATGTTGTTTCGGACTCTCGATCAGATCGATCAGTCGGAGAAACGCGCCCTCTTGATTCATCAGCTGGTAGGTTGCCTCGTTCGAACGAGCATGAGCGATCAAGAACGATGTTGCGACCAGAACCACGTTTGGTTCGTCATCCTGCGGAATTTGTGTGTGAGTCCAGCACGTGGCGATTCCAGCTCTTGTTTCGACGCACCTCAATCAGACAATGAACGAACTGGCGACAGACGTAGTCGGCATGGGCAGCGAACAGCGGCGACTCTTGGAGCTTCAAGGCGCATCGGGCGAGATCATAGTCGGACGGCAGGAACCGTTCTATGGCGTCGTCCAAAGTCAGCGCAGCCCTCACTTCTCCTGGCCGTGGACTTACTTACCGCGACAAGAGCCGATCAGGTCTATGTAGGATCGCAAAGTGTCGTCGATGCTGTCATGCGTGTCACATTGCTTTGAGACTGTCTCCTCGAGAACTGCAGGGAGGAAACGTTAGGACTGGCCGAGGCCTGCAAGAATGTCTGTCCCTACCGATCCAGAACTGTTGTTCGCCCTCGAAGTCTGAAGTAACCTCGTGTTCCATGCTATGAATAGCTTCATGTCGTCGAGTCGCTCCGAGGTCACCAGCGGATCAAACCCTCTCCTGTAACCCAGAAGAGGCGCAGTGGAGCACGGACGTTCAGCGACAAATGCCACGCCAACATCACGAGAGCGAAAGTGAACTGAGGGTGTCGCAGGTGGCATAGGAGTGTGGAGTGACTGGGCTACCAGGTTTGGGGATGGGGCCGCCGCTGATGACGCCGTGGTTGCAGCTGGAAAGGCCGGATCAGCCGTTACGAGTTACACCTGCGGTACGGCAAGCATGCACGTGGTGATGACGGCCACTGTACCGTGGCTACAGCCTATCAAGGACCGTCTCTGCTACAGCTCGTTTAATGCTGGTGGAGCTTATGTCTACAGAGTTGGAAAGGCCGGCCCACTTGTATACGAGGATAATGTAAAGGGAGAGAGGTGTCTGGAATAGGTGTGAAGAATCAGTCATCGTCCCTGCAGCCGTTAATCTAGGTATGATGCTGTACTCCGTACAGATAAGGTGTTGTCGTCTCTCGAGACTCTATACAAATGGGCCCTGTTCACACCGGCTTCGGCCGCCGGAAGGGATGTGCCTCTGTATTCCTGGCATCTCAAGTCAGTAACCTGCACGATCACCTATCAAGAAGTGACTTACAAAACGTAATCATCCAAACTGATCAAGTCGGGCTCGCTAAAAAGCAGATAATAATACTTCAACGTCTCGGCGAGCCAGAAAGACTCCATTGTGTCTTGCTGCTCTTGGAGGAGGCTGGTCACGTCCTTGATGCCTGCATTGGCAATCTCCGTCTTGGTGGCCCTGTCGACTGCTCCGAACATGGCCCAGCCTTTGTCTCGCCACGTCTCGTCGCCGGTAAGTCGATACATGATGAACACCGACTCGATGGCTTCAGGGCGGAGGCGGTAGTCTCGCGACTGGATCTTGGTATACCCAGGTGGTATTCGCTGTTCTTGAATCTTGGCCGCTACATACTTTTCGTGTGACAAAGGGGCCATGGGCACGAACGGGCTGGGCTTCAGACTGCTCATGCTAATGTCGCTTTCATCCCTAACGCGTGAGTGTGTTGCTGAGTCTTCGTCCACATCCGTGAGGCTGTCTCGCCTCTTTAGACGGCGGCCCGTCAGGACAGAATAGGGGACAGGCTGCTCTTCTTCGTCAATCACATCAAGATCGTCCCCCAGAACCTCCTTGTATAGCCTCTGCTGGATCCCATTGTAGGCCTGCGCCGCTTGCATTCTGTCATCACGCCGTGGGTCTAGCGCTTCATGCCATTTGGTTTCATTCCAATGACAGGAAGTGAGACTATCGCAAGGCACAAGCTCAAATTCCTCTGGCATGACGCCTGCAGGCGTAGACCCATACGCCCAAACGCATCCGTCAGTAAGCTTTTCCGCGATAGCCATGTCAGACGGCAAATTGAACAACCTGGAGCCAAGCGCGAACATGCCGCCGGCATAGCAACCGAGATGCGTACCCTCGTAGAAGGTCTCTGTTCTCTTCGTCGGATCCTTCTGCCCGGGTAAGATGTTCTGCTTTGCCAAAAAGAGTATGTCATGGTTCTGCTTCGTCATAGGCCGAAACAGCAGTTCTTCCCGGACCACCTTCAGCGAATTAAGGTACATGGACTTGTACTGAGAATTAAGCCCGCCGAGAAGTGCATATTCTTTCGGAAAGTACTCATATGTCGAATCAGCCATCGAGCCGATGCCATATGTATGGGTCTTCGACTGCGGCTCGGTGCTTAGTCCTTGCGGCTCACAGTCGACGTCGTCAAAATCGTCTTCGGTCCAATGCGGTTTGCCTACAAGCTTCTTCCCGGTCTCCCCTGTGTTTTTCTGCAGAGGTTGTTCCCGCGGCGGCGAAGAGGATAGCTGCTGTCGCCTGTTTAACCGGCTCACGTCGTGCTCTTCCGGCGAACGCCGGAACTCCGTCGCAGGGCGTTTTTCCGAAGGCGAGTCGTCACTTGCCCGGACCAACACTTCAGAAGCAACGGACTCCGGCAATAACACATCGTCCGCATCAATTACTGAGTCGGAGACGAGCCCGGCCCGATCGGTCTTTTCAGGCTTTTTGCAGCCAGATGCATCCAGCTTCAGCGGCCAAAGACCTGGAAAAGATGTCTTCATCTGCCAGTCCTCGAGAGCGTTGGTGACGCGTGCGACTGCATCGTAGTATTTCGGTTCCTTCGTAATCTGTGCTAAGCGAGTGAATTCCACCGAAAGGGAGCCAATCTCGGCCAGAACAGAGTGCGGACTGGCCCGATGTGGTTGCGACGCGTAGAAAGGAGCCCACTTGTAGAAGACAGCGGGCATGCGATTCGGGGTGTCGAAAGCGCCCATCAGGATATCCGCCAGATCGACGGCCTTGTCCAGCAAGACAGGGTACTTCCCAGAGCTCAGGTCGTATGCTGCGATGAGTCCACCGAGATAACGAATCACCGTCTCAAAGAGAGGAATGTCCTTGCGCGTCGAGGTCCTGAAATCGATTTTGCTCACTTCCTCCACAGCATCTGCAAATTCGTCGTAAAGCCCCATGATCCACAGAGAATCGAGCGAGTCCACCAGAGTGGCTCCCCACCCATTGAACGGATCGCCCACGTCCTTGGAGAGGGGCTTGAGCTCATCGTGCGGTAGTGAGTAATTCTTGTAGCCGAACCAAGCATGCTTGAAAGCTTCACGGATGACAGTCTGCTTCTGTATCCGGTCCCGCCTCCTTGTAGATGTCTCCGCCACAAAGTGGAACTGCACCTGGGGCAGCGCCTTTGGCTCGCCTGTTGGCAAGAGTATCATGCTATGCGATGGGATTGGGAAATGTTCCTTTTGCTGCTGCCAACGCACTGATTCCTGTTCCACAGGCTGCAGCTCGATCCCGGCCTGACCTGCATCATGTGCACCAAATTCATCCAGATCTGTTTGCTTCGTGAGCAACTCTTCCTCCGAGACAGTTCGCGGTGGGTCTTCCGGGGACGTGGAGAGCGAGGCGGTGTCGAGAGCAGCTGAAGGGGAAGGGGCAGAGCCCCGGAGCTCGTTAGGTGGTAGGGCAGGATGCGGTGGCTGGACTGGCCGATTCGCAGCGTCTTCTCGGGGAGTGACTGGGAGACCGAAAGGTTGCGCCGGTGTATCTGCAGTCAGTTTCCCAGCGTGATGTGATCCCAATCCCACAAGAGCCTCAAAGGATGAGCTGTCCCAGGCATCTGTGCTACTCAGGTGGTACACCAGGACGACCGCGAAAAGCGCCACCACCAGAAACAACCGGTAGCGGCGGAGGCGCATCATCTTGCCCTGCTGCTCGGAGGTCGCAGATCAGAGTCCGGCTACAAGACAAGACGGTCTGCATTTGTCGGACAGGATGGCGCCGGACAATCTCAGTGTAAGACGAGGGGGCCGTGTCAACGGCAGTGTACTGTCTAGTCAGCGATCGGGGTCGTACTAATGCCACCAACGCAACTGTCTCCTCTGCAGGCAGAGGCCGGTACGAGAGCGGAAAGTTGGAAAGTAGGAATGCAGCCTCGACTTGTAATCAACAATTCAATGTTGAGCAGAGGTGGTCCTCTGTGCTCTGACATGAGCATCCTCCGGCTTGCGGGTCACAGTCTGATGGATTCAGCACGAGCGACGGTCTCTGGGGCCGCAGAGGCTGCCTATCACTTTGACGGAGGCCTCGCTTGCGGCTCCTCCGCGATGCTTAAGTCGTGCACGGCACTATGCCCTACGGATACGAGATACGAGTAGCTCTAGCGGCAAATGCTTGGCTTATTTGCAGCATTGGGAACCGGAGCAGGTCAGACGGCACAGACTTAAGGACAGCCGGAGACGACGCAGCAGAGGCTTGAGTGTAGCATGGTATCATTGTCCTTCCATCATTATCATTTCCAACACGAAAAGTCTGCTTGCACCCCAGGCGACACAGGCAACCCTGTGTCTGTGCCAACGTGCTCGTACTGTTCATGCCTGGAGTAAGACTGTCGCCTTCTTCAGCCTCTGCTCTAACTCAACGTGGAATGTCTCGTGCCGCCCCAGATGCTGAAATCCATAGATGGGTTTCCTTTTCAGAAACTCGCCCACTACAGTTGTGAAAAAGGCCACCTCTTGAATGAGATTGCCCGCCAACTCCTGGTCTAGTGCGACGCTGCTTTGCGGGACTGGAGTGTCAAAAAAGCCGGGCATGCCTTCGAAATGCACCTGCTCGTACAAGAATTGCGACTCGTCAAGTCGCCCTTGGCAAAGCCTTTCGCATAGCCGGACCAGATGATTGATGATGCTTGACAGCAGCAGATGGCACGTGTAGTCCGTCTGAATCGACTTGCTGCGTAGTAGTCGCCGCACCGCGGCGTTGCTCTTCCTCAGCAGCTCAAGCTGCGTTTCTCGCGGCTGCATGTCATCCGCAGAGTGCTTTTTCAAGTGAGCCAATAGCTTGATGCATACCGTCTCCTCGTCTTCAAGGGCCCCGTCGGCTATGCAAGAAGGGATCCCACGGCTCTGCGGGTGCAGTTTCGAAGGATCAACAGGACATGGTGATTGTCTGGAAATAGGGCGAGCTTCTAACTGAGCTGGCGAAAGATATCGAGGGAACTGTGGCGGACTGAGGCCGGGGGTCGGCAGGCCGTTATTGCTGAAGAAGCTGAGATCACTGGCCGTTGAGTAACTCCGGTTGCCTGCCATGTCCAACGCACTCAGAGACTCGGTAGTTTCGTCGAAACTGAGCAAGCTCTGATCACCTCCGACGAGGTACGAAGACCAGGTGGGAGGGGTGCACTGTCTCTTGCCGGACTCGTCCGAAGTATGGGTGGTAGCCGGCGAGGGTACAGATTGTACAGGGATGGAATTGTGGACGATCCAGGACTGCGAGTTGATCGTGCCAATCGAGTCGTCCAAAGGCCGCTTCCTTCGCTTGCCTACAACTTTCCCCACTCTGGACTCGCTGTAAATGCAAGACAACTTTTTTTCACAGCATCTGCGACATCCTTCTTTGTTGCCGTCGCATCGAACCTGTTCCAGGTAAATTCAGCAGGAGTCCAAGATGGAAAGAAGGCATGGATGTTACCTTTGCCGAGAAACAGTGGTTACAAGCTGCCCGCAGTTTGATAGGTTTCGGCTCCGTCTTGGAAAGAGTGGTTGCGGGTTTCGTAGCAGGTGACGAAGTCGCCAAGGTGGTCGACGTAGAAGATGTAGAATGCGTTGAGGATGCCATTGATATTGTCGTCATCGCCCTTACACCTGTCAACCCAGGATGTTTGAGATCAGGAATGGAATCTCATACCCAGTCTCTGCGATCGTGCTGAAGATTATGCTGGGGTATGCAGTAAAGAGTAGCCCAGGCCAGTGTAGATCTGCAGATGCGCGCAGGAAAGGGTCCCAGCTCCGAGTCAACAGCCAAAGCAAGAGGGATCCTAGTCCACAGGTACAACGCCCGGAGGGTTGATAACAAGAGTACAGACAGATGTGTATCGAAAAGGGTTGTTACTCAGACTGTCTGTATCAAAGTCAGAACATGCCTATAGTGTGAGGACGCAGCAGCAGAACACGGATGGAATTGGGCCGATTTATCAATTCACTGCTTCTTTGCGCGGGTCGGGCATGGGGTCGAGATAGGACCAGCCTCGAGGGGCTAGAGATGATCTAGTGCCTCCGGTGGGCTTGCATCGATTTGCCGCGTCGGATACGAAGGCGACATGGGAAGGCATTTCGGGAGAATGGCAGTGAGACTGCTTGTGCCACGATGGCTCGTTCCTTCATGCTGTGGTAGTCAGCACCAGTGCGAACAAACGCTTTAGGAGCCAGGGGGCATACCGGATGCAGAAGAGGGAGCCGGTTGAAAGGGGCCGATGCAAGGATCAGGCATCTGTGGCCCCTAGCGTTGCTGTGCTAGCTGTTGGATCTGGGCTCATCAGCGCCACGAAGAGCGCCTCGAGGCACAGGTGGGAGCGGTAAACGGATAGGGTAGAATGGGCCCCTTTAGCACTGTGGGGTCCGCCTGCAGATTGTCGAAATGTCAAAAGTGACAACTTGACCGGTTTATCCTTTCCGATGTCAGACCGTCGTATTTTGGGTACCAGCATCAGACTCCGACCCAAGTTGTTGCTGGCCTTGGCTGCGAGTGTGAAAATGATCAACGATTTCAGGTATACGTCTGCTTATGCGAGTGGACGAGCTGAAGGGTGCACCGTCTACGGACAGCCAGTCCGAGGGGATGCGGTCCAGGCATTCACGTTAGACATTGAGCGAAACCTACGCGTCTGCTCCGCTAACGGCTATCGACTCTCACTCGATATCTAAAACGTACCAAGGGGGGGTGTGCTACGCACTCAGACATGTAGTGTAGGGGTCAACGACAAGGTGCTTCCGGGTCGTGTATACAAGTAAGTGCATTTGATGTGCACGTGCGAAGGAAGCAGTGATATTCTGATCCGGCGATCGTGATAACCATCACACTCGACGTGACATTGTCATTATCCTCATAGACCCTTGCCGCCAGGTCTCTGCGGTCATCAGGTCACAGTCGAGGCCCGCCGCTTTGATTTCAGATTTCCTCCGAACATATACGCATCATTGGTCGACCAGGTGAAAGCTGCTTCGTAATCTTAGGGCGCTATTGTCCAGAGGACATTGCTGAGCCGTCACAGCAGAAGTTACCGGACCCGAGTGAACCAGCAGAAGGACCAGCTTCGACAGTCTTCAGCAAGCAAATCTGGCCGCTGCAGCTGCGAAGCATCAGGTCATTAAAAACGGCGACAACAAATGGTAGCAATGCCAAGCTCACAGCGAGCAAAAAGCGGTTGGAAGAGGGTCGAGTGCTGCAGCTCGCTTGTTAGCGCGGTAGTGTCATTGGAGGAGGGCCCCCGAGAGGCACGAGTTGATGGGCACTAAACTCCCCAGCCGTGGAAACTGTGCTGAGTACGGAGTACGGAGGATCTTTGACCTCATTCATTTCTTATTTCTTTCTTGATCATGCTGCGCGCTCAGAGTCCCGCCAAAGACATGGGGCAAAATCGATGTGCAACTTCTGCACGTAAGCCATTGGTAGTAATATAGATTACATTGTCGGCGTTTGATCCAACAGTGTATCCGAGGTTGCGCGCCTCACAGCATCGTATCCATGCCAAGCAAAGCTACCCCGTACAATGTTTGATGCAGGCCAACACAAGGTGCATTGGACTCTCCGTATCAGCCACGTAGCTCACTGCCTCGTACGTAGTGGCGATACGGCTGACATGCCATGGCGCTGCTCCAACCACGCACATAATCGTAGAGGTAGTGGAGACTTACAAAAATTTCCTATCTCTCTGGGGAGCTTCTTGCTACAAGACATTCTCGCCCACTTGGCAGACTGAGGTTTCGTGCGCAACAACGATCTACAAGCAGCTACCACTAGATTCTGATGCCATGTTCTCGTCCGTACATAGCGACACGGTAGGGATTCCTGGGCAAACTTTTACGTCCGAAGTAGGAAGAGCGCAATCTCGGAACTCGGACGATCACCTCCACATTCCACCCAGTGGCGGCTTGTGCTAGTCCGCATTTGCCGACACACTCGATTTATCTGAAAGGAGCCTGCGCCATTTCCCCCTTTGGGACGACTTTCCAAAGAAAATACTTGTAGATAAGCCTGCTCGTGCGTGACGACGATGACTTCGCCCACGAGTTTGTTTCTTATGCGCGTGATGGCTCTAGACCCCTTTAGAGCTTTGGATGTTCGCATTCGAGCTGTTGGCTGGAGTGGCATAAGGAATCTTCACCACCTGTCTCAATAATACTGACATACCCCGGCGGTGGACAAAAGGCTGATGAGCATCGATGCCGAGAGTTAATAGGTCGATGCCAGTACAGTACGCACGTACAGAAATGGGTAACCTTAACCGTGATGCAGAGAATATTCCACCATCGCCATGAATACGAAGGGATATGACATTCCAACAATTCTTGTGACAGACAGACACGATTTTCTTAGACGGGCGTCAAGAGAGGCATGGCGGTTGGGTCCCAACCCTTCCCGCACCGCTTTGCTGGGCTCCTCGCGCAAGTAAGCTTTGTCTCCTCAGCCGCACGTTGCTCGTTCCCGAAATGCGGTGGCGCCAGTAGAGATGCAGCATGCTGGGTCTCCCAAGGCCAATGCGGCTAGGTTGGTTGCTTACCTGATAATCACCCCAGCTTCCCTATTTATAAAGCAGTCGTTACTCCGACATCTGGACATGACACTAAATTCCGTGACCATAAGATCACCGCCGCCTGCCACCCAAGGCCAGCGGTCGGCCTAGCTCGGTACTACATTGACCCTTTCCGCAGCCGAAAGTGAAGGTTCTTGCCAGATGGCTAACTCCTCGGTACCGTGGTAACAGCAACCGATGAAGCAACTGCAAACGACCCGTCCCAGCTGCCAAGTCGCTTCGACGAGTAGTACAACCACGATACGCCGCTTCTAGACCTCTTGTGCCTCTTGTTGATGTGTTTCGAGGCTCGTATGTCACGCTCGCACCGCATTAGTGATATTATTGTCAACACAGCTGTGTACGTCTGGACGAAAGTACCCCCGTGTTTTGTGATCACGAGCCTGCACCAAAAGACTTCGACGCTGAGCTACCAGAAGTTTCTGCTGCCTGGCTCAGGAGCTGGGCAAAGTCTCAATGGAACATCACAGAGCACCTCCCATAACTGTCGCCGTTCCCGCGAGATGGCTCAAAAGCTCGTCCAGCTCGCTTACAACCTTCAATGCTTTCTCCACGGGCTCAGCAACTTGGCGCTGGACTGCCGCAGTGCTGTTTCCGAGGACATCAACCAGCTGACCCTGACCTAGCCTCCAACGCGCTGATTCGAGAGCACTTTCGGTCGCCTCAGATTATGGACAACTAATTAGCGGACATCTCAATAAAGAACTGATGACCAACACAGGTCTGCGGTGGAGACAGACCAATGACAGACCAGCTTTGTGTTTCCCTGGATTGCGTGCAAATCCTGTAGACGGTGATCCGCTGATCGCCGGTTTCACCGTGGCCAAGAAATACTCTTACCTATTGCGTGCAGCTGAAAGTCTTACTGAAACGGCATCACGACGCTGAACACGGGGATTGATGGGGACAACTGAGGCTCGGTTTTCTCGTAACATCATTCGACGACTGTCCTAGTCCCAGCCTTGCTGTGAGGACACTATCGAAGGAGCCATGCATGGACGGCTTAGTCAATACCCAGCTTACTACGGAGTATGTAGACTCAAGAGCACCGCACTTACCAACCACTAGCTTGTGGAGACCCATATAACAGTATCTATTCTGCCTCTGACGGAGGACAGGCAGCCAGCAGGAGCATGATCATCACAGCGAAGCGGTCTTAGGGCCCCCCTGCCGACAGCGCGATTTGTTTTACGGCCCGTGGCTCCGTGCAGAAGAGCAAGAGTCAAGTCAACACCGCAGGCAGGGCACTTCTGCAATACTTCGTCGAGGTTCCGAGCATCGACCAATGCGTCGTCCATTCGATGAAGAAGTGACGACAGGATACCACGAAACTGACGCTTCTTGCTACATATCCCTCAGGTGATGGCGACAAGTTCTGCTCCGGGAGGCCTATTGATCTACGAAGTAAGGTATACTAGTGGAAGCAGGGCATGAAATGCACATCATTAGCCAGTGCCGCCGGTGCTAATCCTACCGTCCTGTATACCATGATACACAACACCCTCGTACTCCGTACTCTGTACGAGTACATCGGTCTCTCCAGGTCTACGGAATACAACGGTTGGCACGGCACGTCTTGTCCCCACGAGGTTGACTTCGTGCTGACTGAAATCCAAGGTGAAATCCACTTCAATGCAAAGAATCAAGCTTCATCTGTGGACCCTCACCCTTGGTCTTCATATAAGAACTAGTCGGGTTTCTACCACATAGAGCAAATTGCCTTGCCTGTCCTTCGACCTCATGAATCTGTGGCTTTGCAGATTCTCTACAGTGGCAATGGGTCTAGAAGCGCCGATTCTCTTTCTGGCCTCACTCGCGTCGTAGTCGCGGAGTCACTGGTTTCACGCAGAAACTAGCCCCAGAGACTTGAAGGACGCCATAAGAGGTACTGATTCCAAATCCTTCCTTTGCGCATACTCTTTCGATTTCTCTCAATGACGGAGCTGGTTTTGCTACAAGACCGTGGCCCACTTGGGCGACCCAGCACCTGATTCGCACTCACCGCACGGTACACTTGTCTAGCTAGGATCGACTTCGCCCCCATCTACGACCATGATACACTGCACCCAGCCAGAAACGGACCTCCGTCATTCTGACGCTGAGGTTCAACCTGGACAGCCAAGATGGGCCATAAGCAAGACAACCGAGGATCAGAAGAGGCGGACAAAACGTTTCCAGCTAGCCTATCTGTCAAAGACATCGTCCACTGCCTATTGTGGTCTTTCGGAAGCAGAGTATAGGTTCTAACAACAATGGCCGGATGTCCACAAAGCTCTCAGGTTGGGTTCGGACAAAATGTCAACCATACGGAGATGGGTCAGGTTTGTGATACGGCCAGGAAGACCCTCGAGATAACAAGACAACGGAGAATCACCAGGCTGGGCGGTGAGTCTCAACTGAGACCTTGAGTGCTAGCGGTTCTCGACCCTGAGACGCACCACATCGGGCAATAACTTACTCCGTCGGGCCAAAGACGGCCACTCATTGCGATAGAGTCCCTGGAGTCCGAAGTCTGGACTAGGCAGTAGGACAAAATTGTTTCATTTGCAGCAGGGCAGTCTGAACATCAAGTCTGCTTACGAATGCAGTGTCCGGTCTTGAACACCAGGGGCTTACTTACTGGACATCCTCGTAGCAGGTGGCGACGATGGGCTCGAGCTGTACGACCGCCGAACGCGACGAAACAAGCCATACCAGTTAACTGGTCATGTGAAGCAGCCTTAGCCTTTCCCCTGGGCATGAAGTGAGCGGCTGGCGTAGCGCCGATGATTTCCCTACAGGACGCGATTTCGGAAGGCCAATAACTAGGTATGCAGCTTCACAACCACGCAGCGCAAATCTCATTTGCGTCCAGGCCTGTTGCTGGGGAAAGAGTCGAAAGCGTGCCACGATCGAGAACGAGCGATATGGTCATTGACCAAAAGCCGCCAAAACCGACTGAACGGATTGGCATATCACCCTTGCACCTCCCATCCAGATATGGATTGTACCCGTTCGCGGACTGGACTTCGCGTGAGCTGCTCAACCCCGGCTTGCTCTTGCTCGATTAGGACCCCGAAAATTCACGGACGTCGTTGTGGATAACCTGCATCTTCACCATCCGAATTCCCCCACGTACACAACCGATGCCATTGACTCCCCTTCGAAAAGGGCTCCTCAAATACCTGTCGGCGAATCTATCGACGAAGAGGAGGCCAGACGGAGAATACGAATCGGCCATGAAAGGTGGATCAAGCGGTTCGGGACAGCTGGATTCAGTGACACAATGCCAGGAATATGGCGTCCACCTGCACGCACCAGCCCACTTGATGGTACAGCGAGGGGTGGGAGATCGTGTCCAAGATACTGTAACGAGGTAGGTAGGTCCCCAGCACGCTGCGCGAGACATATGCTCCGAAGGACATCTTGAATGCTTCCAGAAGAGTCAGGAAACTGTGCTCGTACATCGTATGTCTCAGCTCAAAGATCGTATTGGCAGGTATCTGGCTGATATAGCTAGCTTGTCATGAACTTTGATAAGGCGTATTTACTAACTATCCCAGTCCGAGGAAGGTGAACGCAGAGATCTGCGGTTGATGGCGAGAGCACTCAAGCGCAACCGCTTCGTGAGTGTTTCCGAAGTCGCGATGCACTGCACCAACGCGAAAGGGCGGACGAACTACTACAACTACAAAGTAGAACGGGTATGAACGACGGGTGGGCACTTCCGTGTGCCTGCTCAGGAGAAATAATGCCAGTGCTGAGTGAGTGAGTGAGTGAGTGAGTGACTTATCGACCCATTGGCAAGCAGGCTGGAATGCGATTATTGCTTTCCAGCCTTGATCTGCTCCTAGTACTTGAGGGATAGTAGATGTGTCTGCACGCTTCAAGGTACTCCCCCCAAGGTACCCGTGCCCGCACGTACTGCTAGCCTATGTATGCATGCATTGTCCTCGGGTAGACAAGTGACAGTCCACTTATCCTCTGTCCGTATGTCGTCTCTCTTCCAGGCAGACACATCGCTCGACGTCGCTCTGATCAAGACCATTCTACTTTTTAAATTATACCTCGCCGCCAATCCTGCCCAGCCCGCCGTTCCTCTCCTGAGCCTGCGCCTTCTGAAACTGCCTGATCAGACCCAAGGGCCCCATCGGCGCCATCACGGCGCGTACGTCCCGTTCGTTTTCTTCCTCGCTGTCCGCACCGGAGGAGGAATCGACCTCGTAGTTCCAGGATCCCAGTTCACCCGACTGGGAATGGGAGTGGGGAGCCGAAGAAGACCTTTGCGCTTGTGTGGCTGAAATAGGACGGTCTACAATTGACGTCGCCCGTGCCTGCAAATCCTTTGGAGGCTGGTCTTCCTCTTCCGCGACGTCGTCGGGGTGGAGTTCGCGGGCACGGTCGGCGGGTACAGTAGTGCGACGGGGAGGTTTGGCGAGTAAGCTGCCAACACCGACACCGACACCACGGGGCCTTAGCGCTTGAGGCGACGTTGGCCCAAAGCCACTTGCTGATGGCTGGTGATGCGGGTCAAGAAGCAGAGACTGGAGCGGTGATGGTGCTCCGTGGCCTTGACTCGCGCCGTGGTTCTGAGCCAGAGCGTTAAATCTCGGGGTGCCGAAAGTCCCACGTTGAGGAGGCGGAGAGGCCAATGAACCCATGAGAGGACCTGAACTGCCGTGGCGGAGCAGCTGCGGTTGTTGCCCTGTGTGCTCTGCATGAGGTGGGAAGGACGGTGACGGGAGTCCAGGGACTGGAGGCGGGAAGTTGAAGCGCCGGCGAGAGCTGTTGTACGGGAAGTGGATGTCTGTCTTGGGATTGCGAGCGTAGTCGTTCATAAAGCCCCAGTAGCTGTGCTCGAGTTTGTTGTCCTTGGAAGCGAAATAATCGTCCCTTAGATTCGTGTTTGTAGGATTGGTCTTCGAATTGGCGTTGGCGTTGGCGTTGGCATTATTCGCCGTGGCAGCAGCAACCGTGCCATCAGCATTCACGGCCCCTCTCTCCTTAGGAGCTGGTCTGATGGCCTGACCCATGAAGCTGAACTCGGCGAACGTGCAAACATAGCCAATCCCATCGACATGTACGGTGAACTCGCGGAAGAAATCAATGATGCGCTCACTGCACCGAGGCAGAGAGAACCAGAGCACAAAAGGCGTGAAGAAGATGCTCAGCACCTCCTCCAGGAAGATCATCACCTTCATCTGGTAGAGCTGGGAGAATTCCTCCTTGACCTCAACGGTATGTAGGCGATTGGCCCAGTGATTCGGCTCGTAGTGGGTGAACTGGATGACTTCTTGGACGGAGAAGGCCGTGTCGTAAACCATATTGTCTTCGGGCAACAGACCGCGCGCCACCGCCCAGATCGAGCCAAAGATGCCAATGTAGAAGATGGTCGTGCGGCCGGGCGTGACCTCGAAGTTCAGAAAATTGTCCTGATCTAGAATTGTGGCCAGACCGAGCACCGAGACGACGGCCCCAGATATTAGACTGACAAACCGCGCAATCTGGACGGTTTTGTCCTTGGGAAACTGGTTGATGTACCGGTCCGCAAAGGGGTACGACATGTTGATCCGCCGGCGGAACAGGTGATGCAACTCGTTGAACTCGCGAAATTTCCACTGCGCAAAGGGCGTGTAGTCCCTCATGCCGATCTGGGCCGGGTTCTTCTGGTAGTCGTTGAAGTTCTGGAAGAAATGCCGGAGCACGAAAAAGGTGGCGAGGAAAGGTGCAAAGGCCAGGCTCGTGATGCCGGCAATAATGAAGCGCGACCGTAGGGCATTGGCCAAGTCTTTGCGATGCGTATCCTTCAGGAAGAGGGGCCGGACTTGGCCTTTCCGGTTGAAGACAAAGTCCATGATGCAGAGATCGATGTTCCATTCCAGGGTGCGGGTGAAGAGTTTGCGGTGACGCAAGTACGGCACCGGTAGCGTCAGGTCCAGGATGTCCTTGTTGATCATGGCGATCATGTAGTTCTGTCGGCGCATGAGCCTGTTGGCGATGTCGTGGGCGTCCATGCGCTGCTTGTCCTGGGTCTTGACGAAGGCGCCGGGCCGCGTCGACTTGGATGTGATGGTCGGGTTGGAATCACGTAGCGCCATGAGTCGGCTGACGACCTCTTGCCACGAGATGGACTGGATCTCTTGCTCCGGAATATCGAGGAGGTAGAAGTAGAAATCGTGCATGTGGTACAAACGGGGGATGTCGAAAAGGTACAGAACGCCTTTCCAAAGCCACACAAACGTGGTACACCAGAGCAATGCATTCGGGATGAATCCCATCCTTCTTGTACACTGCGGGACAAGGATCTCGGACATTTTGGTGCTCCCTCGTATTTCCCGGTAGTCGATGCATTGGGTCAAAAAAACAGAGAAGCCCACAACGAAGGCAACATTAAGAAGATTGAAGAATCGCATGAGAAGGGTGGACCAGAATCCGTGGTGGAGGTAGTAGGTATACACTTCGAGCAGGAAGTTGTCCAGGTCCGTCACGTTGACCCAGCGGAACATGGCTTTCTCCTTGGGGTCCGCGCTCGCAAGATTGCCGCCCACAATTCCATTGACCGGCTGTGCTCTCGAAGGGTTCTGGCTGCTCGGCTGGGGACCAGGCCGGCGTCTCGCGTTAGAACCCCGAGCCATAGTTGAGGGTCCTGCATCGTCTCGTTGTGGAAGACCATCAGGCATCGAGCTGGGTGGTGGAGGCAGGGTGATGGAGTCTGGGTCAATGTCCTGAGCGTTGTGGTCGATGAGTAACGACGCCGGCACATCGTCATCTGCCTCTTCCACGTCCAACAGCTTGCTGTGTCTGCCAGGCCGCCGTGACCTGTTCTGCATCCTGCTCTTGTCTTTTCGAGGGATCTGGCTATGGCCCGGACCCCGTGTGCCAAGCTGACTCGGTGGTAGGTCGTCTCTTCGATGAGGCTGCGCTCTGAAGTCGTCTGAGGCTCGGTCGGTGAAGCTGTCCCTTCGATTGCCACCATCTGGGGCCATGGCTGCTGTCTCCTCAACGTCCAAGCCCTCTGAGTCCTCGTCTTGTTCCCGCAACGTTTCATAGATGGAGGCGGAGGGATTATTAGAGCTCATGAGGCGAGACATGAAATTCGAAGCCATCGTGGGCGAACCTGGTGAGCCACAGGCGCGGTGTGAAAATCAAGACATGGTCAACCCGGCGAGTCTGTGCCTGCTATGGTCATGCGCAGGCACATGACAGTTCCGCGCGACAGGCAAGGGGCGCCAGGGTGGAGGGTGGAGTATAAAAGGGCCAGATGATGTCTAGAGACGAGAACAGTCCAAGCACGTCTTGCCTGACCCAGCAGACTTAGGCTCGCAGGGTTCTGGAAACAACACAAAGAGCAGCACTGGATCCTACAGCATCAGGTTGGTATGCGCAGGCGCGTCGAGTTGGAGAAGACGAGCGTTGGTTACTTCCCCAAAGACGTCACGAGGGCCACAAGGCTGCGCCCCGCTTCGACGAGGCTTTACAACGAACGCTGTGATAGTCATCATCATGGTCGTCATTACTCATCTCGTGTGCTAAAGTACATTGTGCTCCCGCCGGACATCTAATGGCCCCAGGCTGAGTATTATGCCGTGTATCCTTGTCCCAAAAATCATAGTCCAGAGCGTTGCCGCCCGCCTCCCAAACTTCTTTCTAAAACAGTATCGCGGCGAGAAGCGAAACTCCAAAACATGCGACAATCCATTGCTTGTGCTGTTCGGCCCTGGCTCTGTCCAGCTTCTCTAGACTACCTAACCCGGCAGCCAGCACGATCGTGAGGATGATCAACCTATTCAGGACGCTCGTCATGAATTTGAAGAACAGCAGTGGTAGAAGCGTCATTGTGAGAACACAAAGAGGAAGGAAATCAGGTGTCGGCTCAGCAGCGGGCATGCGTGAAGGATCCCTCGTTTCGGTCAGCGATATGAGGTCTTCGTCATCATCCAAGAACCCAGACTCTAGGTGTGTTAAAGGGTTGTGCTCTTTCAGCCACGCCCGGAAGTGGCCAATATCAGCAGGTGGTGGTAACGAGGAGAGCCTATCCACCTTTTGGGACGCTGATAGAACCTGATCTAGCATCAGTTAGCCTTTCATGTTGTCTCCCTCACAGTACTTCGACTCACAGTATTGCTCAAGTTTTATTGACAGGCGCCCCAAGATGTGTAACCGATGTGCTGGCAAGTCAGACTGATTCCACTGCCAGCTGAGCCTTCTCGATGCCGGCGATGTGCTACCGTCCGCATTGAGGCGGGTACGGGTGTCGGCGATATCCAAGGCGGCGAGCTGTTGCTCCATCTCGAGTATCTCATCTTGTAACTGTAACAGAAGCCGGAATCTGATCTTCTTGAAACTCCGAAACACAGGTGGAAGCTCTCCGGAAGCCAGTTTATCCGAGACCAGATCATAACCAGACAGCGGAGCTGGGGAGCGAAAGCCGCCATCGAAGCTACTGGGCGACGGAGGGACCCCGAAGCGGGCCTGTTCTGGACTGTGTGTCCTTGCAGCGTGGCTCGGCAAATGGTGTTTATGAGTCGCACGAGGCACCTCGGGCCACTTCCACTGTATCCGCTTGGAGTGGTTGGGCTGGTCTCGTTGCGGTTCGAGAGGCTCTGGCTGTTCTCTGCCATCCTCTGGCAACGGAGGCAAACCAGCATCGACTGGGGAGTCATTGCTGAAGTGAAGGATGCTGTCCCCCATCGATATGCCCGAGTCTGAATGCAGGCTCCGCACCACGCTTTCGGTGTCGGAGTCGTCCCTTACCGAGGGGGTTGTCTCGACAGTCTGCTCTTCAGCATGTGGAGGCTCTTTCACTTCCGGCACGATGGCATCTTGTTCGTCTTCGTTTACGAGAAACTCGAAGACGTCCACGGACTCTCTGGACATATTCTTCTCCTCGGTCGTCTGTCCCGAGCTCTCCTTCCTCGAGGATGGCTTCCCCTCGCGGGCCTCTCGGGATGACTTGGTCCTCGATGACTTGCTCCGCTTGGTTGAACTCGACGAGGACTTTGAATAGGACTCTTGAGTGATCGTTGACGAGCTATCGTTCGACCCATGGGATTGATGGGACGCAGTAGTGATGGCGGAGAGCAGGGACAACTTGGAGGAGCGAGCAGCCTTGTTGACACCGTAGGCCTGGCTGCGACGCCGACGACCTTGTGGACGGTCGCGCACCGAGACGAACATACAGAGTTGGCAATCTTGGTTGGCTGAAGGGTCCACTCATAGGAACAGCAACGCTCAGGGACGGAGCAACAGCGACGCTCGATAGCATCCAGTGATGGCAGTGACTAAGGAACCAGTGGTGAGGCCGTCCATCGCTCGACAGAGGGAAGCTTGGTGCGTCAACGAGAGGCAATGTCCTGAAAGCAAGGCACAGGATATTGGTGGTCATGAGTGTATCAGAGTCATCCCTTGCCGCGAGCACGGCCAACCAGGCATGAGGTGACAGGTTCGAGCAGAGGGGCACAAAATGTAACAGCACAGCTCTGGCCAAGTAGAGGGACGTGTTCGTGTGGCAGGGTGACCTCCTTCTCCTGAGTGATACAAGAGGACAGGAAGGGCCGGATTGTGGTCGAAGGGGAACGATCTCCTGAGCCTTAAGGGGGAACGTGGAGGGACAAACTCACCTGTCAGAGCAGACCTCGGGGTTTTATCTGGGCGAATCTGGAGTGCACGAACAAGATATTTCTGCCCAACGTCTGCGTGAACGGGTGATTGCCAGCGAACAGCAAGCTGCATACCTAATTGCCACCGCCAGTCACTGGCAACGGGCAACGAGCAATCAGGGGCTCCTGGTATTGGAGGACTTGGACATGCACGCGAGCGTCAGACCCGCACACTGTAGGCCCATGGGATATCGGATCTGGTATTGAATTCCAATAACCTCTGGCCTGGACCAATTGATGACGGTCTAGTCGCGAAGCAAAAGCAATTGACCGACGCTGTGCACTGATTGAAGGCCGTGTTTAATGCATCTGGCGGACAGAAACGGCGGCTGGTCCATGCTATTCTTCAACCAGCGATACAGTACGTCGACAGGCGATTCGCTTGAGCTTGTAGAAAGTTCAATGCTGATGACGGCAAGACGAATCAGGGGAGAGAAGAGCGCTGCATTTGTGCATTCGTCGTGCGACTTTTGGGCGACTCCCATTGAGCCAGCGAAGCCGCTTAGGCAAGGCACATGCAGCCGCCACCGCCACCCCTACCAGAGGCTGACGGCCCCGAGCTAACTCACCTTAAGTACTGTAGCGGTTCATCGTCGTTGCAAGCTCAGGCGGTGTGAGTATTCCCCCAAAAAGAATGGTGGGCATATGATATATAAATCGACCTGAGCACCGCATCTTTTGACACTCGGGCTTGTGCTATGCCACGTACTTTCTGTGATTCGGGGGGCTGGCTACCTCGTACCTTTGGCCCATCAAAGCCGTGACCGTCAAGGCAAATGTAGATGGTAGGAGAAGCTGTACATCTAACCAATGCTCGCTAATAGGAGCTAAACAAAGCCCGCCAAACGCATCATCGACAGGCGAGACAGCCAATGGTCAGGCCCAAAACCTCCAGCCTGGAGTCCCCCGGGTGCCCTCGCACAGTTCGGGATGCTTCGCTTTCCACTTTTCATCTGCATCGTCAGGAAATTTCTCCTGGCCCCTGGGCACGAACCGAAGAGCAACATGTCCAGCTCTCATTTGCAAAGATATGATGACACTGAGGCCAGTCAGCATCAGCTTCCTCGCCCGTTCGGCCGCCTTCTCCCACACTTCTACGCGAGCGTCTTCGTCCATGGCGATGACCTCTTCGTCGGATGCCCACTGGTCAACTGCTAATTCGACTGAATAGTTCTGCAGGATCACAGCTAAAGTAGCGAGGACTTCCACCTGTGCAAACCGTCTGCCAAGGCACGCTCGGTAGCCGTCACTGAATGGGACATAAGCACCTTTGGGTGGCCGATAGAACTTGTCGGATGTGTCAGCTGCCTCATTGATTGCAAGGTCGTCTGCCGTCACGGTTTCGTTTGGCATGTCCTTCTTCCCGTTCGCGGTCTCAGCCTGCTCAAAATCATGGGCGTCATCTAGGAGCCATCGCTCTGGATGAAACTCCTCGAGGTCGTTATCCAGGTTAGCTCTGGGATGCACAGTGTGGCCCCCAGGCAGGGTCGGCTTGGATGTCGGCCAGTGTTTCGGATTCCGCTGGACATTCCCTGATGCAAGGCTAATATAAACACCGGCAGGCACTGTGCAAGCTTTGCCCTCGATAGTAATTGGTTGGTCCGGTACGCCCCAGGTCGACTTTGGTATACCTATGACCGGCGGAACCAGGCGCAGTTCTTCGGCCAACACGGCGCCTACCATGCCTCCGAACAGCGCTGGCAGATCACGGTCATAATCCCACTCTGAAGGCGGCTTGCCCTGGAATATTCGGTCCAGGTCCTTCTGTGTTGCTCGTTGGCTCTTGGGGTAAAGCGCGAGATAGACCAGAGAGAAATGTATCGAGTTTGCGGCCGTCTCGTGGCCTGCAAGGATCAGGACGAACATATTACCGAGCACCTCTGAATCCGTCAGAGGCACATCCTTGCTGTTGGCTTTGTTCTTCTCCGACGCGACCTGGCCTTTGACCAGCTGAGCCAAGAGATCCATTTGGTCTTTGCTCTCATCTGCCGACACCTCAAGATCCTTCTTCTTGGCCTCCACAGCTTCTCTCATGTAACTTCCCCACTCATTGTATGCTTCATCAGCCTTGTGGAATTTGGCGCTTGGGAAGCGCCTGAGAAGCCAGCGCGGCACAAGGAATTGGAACAGGATGTTGTCCAGCAAGCAGTGGATAGCGTACGTGTAGCTCATCGAATGGCCTCGACCGCGGTCACTTTCTTCGTTCTGAATCTTGGACTTGTCGACGTAGTTGGCGTCAACATCGGCTTTGGCGTCAGCAGAAGGCCATTCCAATTTCTTCCCGAAGCCTGCCCTGCTGATCACATATAGACTCAGACGCATGGTATCATCCATCACACGGTCGACCGTAATATCGCCTTTCCCGTCAGGTCCAACCCACGAGCTCAGCATGGCAGAAGCTTGGTCGATGCTCTCTGTCCACACGAGGTGGTTGTTCTTCTCGGTGAATGGTGGGCTTGTGGCTTTACGGTGCTGGCGCCAGATGGGCCCCTCAGTAGACACGACGTTCTTCCCGTAGATGTCCAAGGATCGGTAGATGGGGGTGGGCTTGGGAAAATCATTTCTTCGCGTCGTGATCTGCGTGATGACAGCCGGGTCGGCCGTGTGCAACACCATGCCTCCCGGCGCAACGACTAGAAACGTATCAGAGCCGACCTGCTGAAAGACTTCGATGCTGCGACGGAAGTAGAAGTCTGGTATGCAGAAATCGACCCATTGAGTCCACTGGCGTGGCAATTTTGCCAACAGCGGCAGCCATAGTCGATGGCCTACCAGCCACCAGGTTTTAAGATAGTAGACTGGGACGACAACGTAGGGGATTCCAGATTGTTTTGCTTTGCTCACATTGCGGCGGAAGCCCAAGAAAGTGCTGGCCACAAGATACAGTAGGTATGCGCAGAAACCGAGCAGTATCATCGACCACATGTTGGACGTTGATGTGCTGATCTCGGGAGACTTCAAGATGCCTGTCTGGAGAAAGAAGGGAAGGGGATGATCGAGGACGAGAGAAGAATCGAAGACAAGTTATGGGTGAACACAAATGCGAGGCGGGGCCGGTTTGGGGTGTATCGAAACGGAATGGTTAACGAAGGATCTGAAAAGGTGTGGATGAGCCAGCACAGTCTGCGGATGAGGACTCGTCATGCAAGATGTCTGCAGTGTCAGTGACATGGTCTTGCGGTGGCGATAGTGAAGCCCGAGTTGCAGTCACGAAGCACGGAGTAATCTCTCTTCGAAGCGAAGGGTCTTTCACAGGCATTGACGCTTCGAAATAGGACGTTCACATGTTTTGTTATCGGTCCCGATCAACCGATCCCAGACAGCCGCTAAAGGTCCATGTCCTGGTGATTTGTTCTGGAAGCGTGCGGGTCCGTGGCTGACACTCCTCCGCCAGTTTGAAGCAGCAGGGAGCGATATTGCAGTAACAGGGAGGAGGAAAGGGAAACGAAACGGTGGCATGGCGGGAGCAAATCATATCAGCGTCTAGGGCACGCAAGATCGAACCGAGGGCGCCTCGAGGTCGCTTATGGCGGCTTTACCAATGAAGGACGAGCTGGCATGCTCATCATTGCTTCTCCGGCCCAGCCGAGCAGGATCGAGTTCCGATCGACAGACCCTAGTGGAAATGGAAATGCGCGCTTCTCGTCCGGACTTTCCCCTTTGCGACTGTCGCCCTCCATTTTCTGGGAGCTCCGATATGCACAAGGCTGATCTCCAAGACGGTGTTGCTGCGCGAAAGGGAAGGCACTCCGTCTACGATGCATCAAGGCACCCAACACGGAGGCAGAGGACAGAAGAGGCAGATGCATACTCGTGAGATCCTGGGTTTGCTGCCGGAAACAGAACTACTACTCCGTTGTTACTGAACCTCTGCCCCTTACTGTCGAAGACCAGAACATCATTGAACATCATCCATGCAACAAGCACCATCAACGATATTAGGGCATGCTGGACGAGCGCCCCTGTGTCATACATCCAATCCACCCAACTTACTTCCTAATGCTCATCCTCTCCCTGTCTCTGTCCGAGAACGAGGCACTCGAGCGGTGTGCAGGCGTGTGGGGGCTGCGTGTAGTGGTGACAAGTGTTTCTTCCTCACTATACCGGCCTGCCTTCTAAGCGGTCGCCTGCTCCAGATGAGTTCCTTGTGCCTCAGCTGCCGGCTTGGGGGTCGGTTCGATCGGAGAGGGTACTAGTTCAGGGGCCTCTGAAGTCGCTCGCGTGCTGCGATCCTCCGTGGGCATCAAGTTCGAGCCGAGCCCGCCCGCGTTTGAGTGGATGGGCTCGAGATGTGGCTCCCATCTTTGCAGCTCCTGTTCCGCGTCGGCAAGAATCTGCCTCGCCTCATTGACCTGGGCGAAGGGCTGGCGCACGTCTCCCGGCACGACAGGAGTGTCGTCGAGCAAGTTCAGCAGACGGCGGCCATACTTGGCGAGAATGATTTGTTTCTCTGCTCGCTCGATGGTCGCAGCAAAGTGAATATCGTACGCTTCCTTGATCTTCTGGCGTGTCTACATCGTGCTTGTTAGCATTCCTCCAGGGTCATTTGCAAGCAACGGACTTACGATATTGGTGAGTTGAGCTTCTGCGACCAGGTTTTGCGCCTCAGCTCGCACGAGTTCCTGTTCCAATGTGACCAGCTTCGGGCTGGACGGCTCCTTGTACTTGAGCCTTTGAATCTCATCGCTGATCTTGGTCTTCTGGTCCCTGCTCGGTTGCACGCTGGATTCTATGTTTCTGATCTGCTTCAGGATGGCTCTGTAGTCCTCCAGATTCTGCGCGAAAAGATCCTCCTGTTCGCCAATCTCGGAGAGGATGACGCCAATCTTGTCCGAGATGTCCGAGATCGAATCGTCGTTCGTGGATTCGCCCCAGTCTGACAGCTGAGATGCGATGGAAAGGCGCTCGCGCCCCGCGGTCTCGTAGGCTCCAATGGCATGATTCTCGGTCTTGATCAGCTTGTAGAGCTTCTTGGAGAGCTCAGCTTGCTGGATACCGCGCAAGGTGGAGATGGAGAAGGTGTGCTTGGAGGCTTCTTTGGCGTGGTCATCCTTCTTGCGGGATCGGATGGATAAGGCTCGATTCATGGCTGTGGGGAGATGGTGGTTGTCAAGTGGTTGTGCGAGGGTCTTTACGTATGCGTGCCGTCGAGGGTACGGTGCGAGGCCAGGTTGAGCTCCTACAAGCTGTATGTATGTACACAGTATGCGCTATGAAGTAGGAAGTTGCAGCGTGGCTGCGAAAACTGGATGTGAGGGTGCACATACCAAAGCCCAGAACGACCCCTCGATCTCGCAGCCACATGCAGGAATCCGGGAATGCATCATCAACTGCACAAAGCGACACAAAAGGCGATGACGTGTGTGGATCAGGCGGGGCATTTCTACCTAGTACGGAGTACCTACCTCGTACCTCGTAGTGCTTCGCAATGCGAGCTTGCTTCCCCACCTGCGCTATTTGCGATTTGCGAGCTGTCACGGCTGTCAACCTGCGTTGTCCCACAATGAAGACTGACTGGGTCCATACTGAATCTACCTCGTGTTCAGAGGCAGGGCCAACGTTGTTGCATAGAAAAATGCTCCTAGATACATGTCAAAAGCTGGTGGAAAATGTACTCAGAAGTCCTCCGGAGATGGCCACCAGTCGCCCTGAAACTGCTATTCTTCTCATCATCTCGTTTCGCGGCCGTTCATGTGCGTCAATAATGGTTGCGGCTCCTCCTCTCCTCGGTCACAATGCGCGTCCTGCTTCCGCTGCGTCGCCGTGGGTCGGCGTGTAGATGGTCAGAATGGCGTTCAGAGTATCGGTCGTAACTTGGTCGATGAGCAGATGTTGACCGCCTAGTCACCGTCTCTCGTCGATACGTAGCTACCTCGGGTCGAGAGACGTACTCTCGGCTGGCCCGCGTTTGTGACCGCGGACGTGCCCGTCTTCTGATAACCACCGCCTCGTCCCTGTCGCCACCTCCGAAACACATGATCGATGAGATTTCGTATGGAACGGTGTGCAGGATAGGGATAAGTTTGTAGGTCCGCCGGAGATTGTTCAAGGATCTCGTTGAGTGCTACTTTCGTGGAATAGCGTGTGGCGATCTGTGCCAGGGGATGAATTTATATTCAGCGAGGGGCGCAACAGCGAGACAGGGCGCTCGTTGCCTTGCGGTACTGTCAGATGATGCGACACCGAATGAGGCGGAAGGCAACAACAGGCCGAGGAATAAAGTCTAAGGCTGAGGTATAGACCACAGTTGATTACAGGTGCGCCCTGTACATATACACCTTCCCACAAGCAAGGCAAACATGTGTTCATGTCAATTCCCTGATTACGCCCGGCCTTGGACGACATCATGCATACCTCGTGGCTGGGCAAGACACGGGCTGCGTGGAGGGTGCAAACAACCCACAATAATCGGGCCACTCGTCGGGCGTGGCAGGGATTTCGCTTCAGCAAAACGACCGGTCCAGGATGTCTTTTGCGCTTTGCCATACGAGTAGCCGTATCATCGCGACGGGCGAAGAAAGCTCGGTTCTCGGAACGGTCTCGTGCCCAGCAAAATAAATGCAACAACGTCCGGGATTCAAGCTACAGATGCCACCATGATGTCCCCCAGCCGTGCCATACCCTTGCCTCTGCAAGCTCATTGACAGACATGCCCAGGGAGTTGTATAGTCCTGCACTTCGCTGCTCAGCAGAAAAAGACCATCCGAGTGATCGGGCCTTGTTATGATGTATCTACTCCGTCTAGCTCCGCGATATGCACAACGGGGTAGAGCAAGCAAGCGAATGCAGGTGTGTAATAACATAGCCCTACCGAGGTAATGTAGAGCACTCTCGATTACAATTGACTAATCCTCCTGTTCTGTTCTGTCCCATCACCAGTCGAAGCGTTCATTGCTTCATTGTGCGATTGGACGTCTGTCCTGATGAGACTGCCAGGGACCACGTAGCATCCAAGAATCAAAGATAAAATCCCTAAAGCCATACTGATACAAGACACAAGGAGTCGACTTTTCAGTTGCACCTTTATGTTTTCCATGTCTGCTGCCGTGCATCGTTCACCTCGAGACCTCCACCGTTTGATTTTGCTGCGGCAGCTGTGGTATTGAATTCTGTGTAGCCGGACCATTCCTACCTGATTGTGCACCCTCGGTTCGGTCTCCGCCACCACCATCATGCCGCGCCGCCGCCGCTCCGGGTGCAATCGGTGTGGTCGGCGTTCCACTGCCTTGTCTTTGGTAAGCAAATGACCCAGTTTGTTGACCTTGCGAACTCGGGCCCTGCTGAGTCAGAGTCTGAGCTTGATACGGTCTCGGTGTGTAATGCTGCGCCGATCCGTTGACCAGTGGTTGTGGTTTCTGAGGACTAGCAGACCTCGCCAGCACCGCAGCGGTTTCCTGTGCCCGCTGTTGGTACCCCGGCTGAGTTGGTCGCTGAGAATAACCACCTGCTGGGGTTTGCGGTCGTGACTGTTGCTGTGACGGTTGCAGCGGGGTGTTACCGCCGTAACTACCATAGCCATTTTGTACAGCCGGACGCTGAAACTGTTGAACCGTGGGTCGGTTCGCTGAGTAGCTGTTTCCGGTGCTGACCGGGAAAGTGGATGTTTGAGGATACGTTGACCGCGAAGCGGTGGGAGTCTGATGTGGTTGGGTTGTGCGCATGCCGAATGCCGCTGTCGCGGGGACAGAGGTGCCGTAGTTTCTCACTCCAGAGTTGTACGACATGGTATTTGCCTGCACGGAGGAGTAGCTCGGTCGCACTGGCTGAGGTGTTGCGTTCGAGCGAGTCACTGCTTGCGTGGCTTGCTGAGCCATCTTCTGGCGCCGCAGAATGTAGTCGTCCGGCTGTCCGGTTCCGGGATAGTCAGGTACCTCAACGACCAGTCTCGTAGAGATGTTGAGATCGTCCAGTTGGTCGCCGTTGAGTTTGGCAACAGCAAAGGGAGGTAGGGATGCAACCAGCACGCTCAGCTGGTCTCTGAGCATCTCAAAGGTATCGAACTCTGGTGTCTCGGGCTTTCCTGTTCTGCCAGCCACAAGGTGATCCAAGCTTCGGTTTCTCTGATAAGAGCTCAGTGTCTCAATCATCTCCGACACCTCTTCCAACAGGCTGTCGACCTCTTTTTCCGTCGGGTGCGATTGGACTTCTTCTGGTTCTTGCGGCTCGAAGTTGGCAACTACGTCGGCGAACTCGTCACTTCCTTCAGCTTCTCCATCTGAAGGAGATGAGTGTTGGTCTGTCGTTCTAAAAAGTCTGGATAGCTTATGCTCGCCGTTCTGGCTCCACCACTGTCGACTTAGATCTTCCTGGGAAATGAGGGAATATGAATTGTCTGAGCTCGGCGCAAAGGAAGAGTAGACGGAGCTGTACAACGCTTCCTCGCTCATTGCCTTTTCTTGGCGCCCGTTATTCGACGCAAGTGCCGCTTTGAAATCCGCGCTACTGGAAGATGGCTGTATCCTTTTCCGCTCCTGTTGTGAGTGACGGTAAGAAAGGTACGAGCTAGTCGGTAGTTTTGCGAACTTGTAGTCGTGTTTGTTTAAAGGAAGGTTCTCCGCTCGACTGGAGTTTGGGATGAAATCGAGAGTGTTGCCTCTGACCACATCCTTGGCTGTGTGTGGAAGGTCCAAGGGTTTGAGACGGCGAACTGTGGCGAAGACTTTCTCGAATGTCCGTTTCTCCTGCTTCTTAAGCACTTCTTCGTTTCCACTCAACGCAGTATAATCGGTGAGTTCAAATCCATTCGGCAGGCCCGTGCCAACTACTTCTGGCAGGGCATCTGGTTCCACCTTGTCGAAATGTTGCTGAACCTGGAGACCTGAAAATAGCACATGTGCAACACCATTGACATTGCTTCGGAGAGAGAGGAACTGCTTTGGTTTCTGTTCCGCTCGATCTGCATTCAGAGTTGTTTCGCCCTTTGATTCCGAGACTCCAGATGATTCTAGATCATATTGTTCAAGCACCTTCATTATTGTCGACAACTGTCCCTGCACGTCGGTTTTTGTTGTGCCATTTTGTGTAGCGGTGGACGCATCACTTAGGATCGCGTCACGAACATTTTTCACATCGTCTTTGAGAGCGTGTATAGACTTATATGTCCCGGTCAAAATGCGATCCTCGATCGTACCGTTGGCCGATTCTGACTTGACGAGGCGCGCCCGTTTCAGGCCAGGTAAGTCGAAGTTGGATGGAGGTAAAGGGTATTTAAGAAGCGACGGAGTTGTATCGTGTCTGGTTTGCTCAAGTTAGCTGGGTGACAACCGTTGGGGACGCTATTCGAGACGCACTTGCGGAGAAGTTGCAGGACATGTTGTAGCGTAGATTGCAGTGCAGCATCCTTGACTTCTTCGATTTGTGGAGAAATAGTACGTTTCCGCTTTCCCAGATGCGAGAGGGAGGCCGTCACAGGCCCTTCGTGCTTCGGAACACCGTTGACTTCGGCCATGGCGATATTTTGCGTATCCTTGAGAGGCCTTTTAGCGAAGTTCGCGGAGCGCAGGGTTCGGGGCGGGCTAAGCGAACTGCATCTGCGTCAATACCCCCAACATGCCCTCTACCGATACACTCGCGCAAAACGCGTAATATTGCGGTCTCTTTGCGCGCTGGTGCAATGAAATGATCAAGACAGGTTTCAAGAGGAACTAAAGGGATAATGTCTGGTCGGCCCCAAGCACTGAAGCCACCCGCGATTGCCTGTGATTAGTATCGCACAATGAATGAGTGGACGGGATCCTTGATGTTTGTCAATCAAGAGGGATCGACAGTGTTATGTCGCAAAAAGTGAAATTCGTCGAACGGGTTGATCGCGACCAGGATGAGATGTTGAGGAACTGCGATGCGATGCGCTTCTCGTGAAGATCGCGGCGCCTGTTGCTCCGCCGCACAATAAAGCCAAGTAACTACGGCGGAGCAAAAGACGCGGGACCTTGCGCACGTGATCAGCGTCCGATTCCCAGCCCTCTTTGCCTGGTTTCTGGAGATTCGTAACTGAGATTCCCCTCCAACACACAGATCTCATGCAGCGCCGCGCTCATTTGCCTCTCACTTTTTTCTTTCCACAGTAGGATGGATCGGCCTACGCACGCTGTGTGAGCGCAAGGGCTGAAAACCCTCAAAGTGCAAGGCATACGTGGGAGGCCCGTCGTGATTGCAGCCAACCTGCTTTCCCTGCACGTCGGTTTTCTTCTCCACCCTTGCAGTACCTTCCTCGAGATCCCGTGGTTGCTGTTGTCAATGCCATCAATCCTGTTCAACTCGAGGCCAGATGTGCTTCTGCTTGTGCTTGCCACTCTGGTCCCATTTGTCTCACCCTTGCTCGCCGTGTTTTCTTCTATTCTTGCTCGGTATTTGCAGACTGAGGATCGTTCGAAGGGTCAGCCCAGGTGATTGACCTTGATACTCATGTCATTAGGCACAGGCAGCCCCAAGGCGTCTGAACAGTTCAGGGACCGCTTGGTCTCGAGGTGATTTCTCTGCTCCCTTGGGACCGCAAGCCCAGTCTTTCTCTGACACCGCCACGGGCCTGCAGGTATTTCTCCGCCACCACGGATCTTGCACGACCAAGCCCGGGTCTCGATATAACAGAACTGAACACCCGTCGCGCAGTCAATTTCGCTCCCAAATCCTCCACCGATACCGCGCTCAATGCTTTTGCTGAGTTACTTCTCCTTCGTCTCAACGCCACCCACGCATTGATATCTCTCATCGACTCAAGTCAACAGTATGTTTTAGCAGAAGCTGCAACGGCGTCGGCTACGCAGTCGGGCTTCGCAGCCAAGAATAATAATGCGCTCTGGATTGGTAGTGTGGTCTTGCCCAGAGAGACGGGGCTGTGCTCATTGGTCCTGTCCAACTCCTCCGAATCAGCATTGTATGCAGAGCAGGATCATGATGTTGACCCGGACATGGTAGTCATCAACGACTTGAGGGAAGACGCGAGATTCTGCAACCGCCCGTTCGTGGTGGACGGCCCTCAGATGCGCTGGTATGCGGGTGCTCCTATCCGGTCGCCTGACGGCGTAAAACTGGGGGCTGTTTGCGTGTTCGACGACCGCTCTCGGCAGGATTTTCCGAGGGAAGATCAAGTATTCCTCTGTAACACCGCCAGAACTGTTATGAACCATCTTGATGCTGTCAAAATCAGGTCAGAACACCAGCGACGAGATAGACTCATCGAAGGTTTGCAGGCGTTTGTGAGCGGTCTGTCGGGACTCACAAGCCAGTGGACTGAAGCCGCTGATATGCGTCCTGCAGACGGCGCCATCACAGCTCCGCAATTGAGTCAGGGAAGTGATGTTGACTCGGCAAGGCATTCGACATGGTGGGAGGCGGCCCTCCCTTCTGGTTGTAAGTCCATGTTCAGTCGAGCCGCAAATATAATCCGGGCTGCTGGCGGCTACGATGGTAGTGCCTTTTTCTACATTCCCTCTGTTGAGTCTTCCCGTAAGTCTAGACCACGCCAGGAACAAGTGGACAACCCTATGCGGGCTGAGATACGCCACTCTCCGATGACAGGCAGTTCTCCGTCCTCAAGCGCGACAGAAGAGTTACCCGATGCTATGGAGTCTCACCCCGACCAGGAGCCTTCTAGCGATGATGAGACTAGTTCAGATGCAGTCTGCCCTATATTGGCTTTCTCCCTGACCCAAGCCGGTGAAGAAGTTCGAGTCAGAAATCAGCAGCAGTTCCCTCGGTTCCTGGTACGTGATATGCAGAAGCTTATGGGACGTAGACCCCGCGGACGGGTATACTTGCTGGATAGCCTCAGTACAGCGTTGCCAGGCGACACTTCAAGTTCGGGTTCGGGAGCGGACAACCGAAAGCCTGATCAACACACCACGACGGGTGCCAGCACTCGCCACCCTGATGACCGGCACAAGAGACGCAGAACCGCGCAAGTCAAGGCGTTGCTGAAGCTCGAACCCAACGCCAGGGCATTCGTCTGTCTTCCTCTGTGGGATTACAATCGAAAGCGATGGTTCGCATTCAATGTTTGTTGGCTTTTGAAGCCGGATCGGGATCTTGCGACTGACCAAGACTTGAAGTTTCTACAGGTGTTCAGCAACAGCATCACAAATGCTCTGGCGCATCTTGACTCTCTCGATGAAAGTCGAGCAAAGGATTCCTTCGTTTCTTCGGTATCGCATGAACTACGGTCACCGCTCCATGGCATCCTCGGGGCTACCAATTTTCTGTATGACAGCAGCATGGGACGCTTCCAGCGCGAAATGGTGGACACCATCACAAGTTGTGGGCGAACCCTGTTGGAATCTCTAGAACACGTCATGGACTTTGCCAAAATCAACAATTTTTCCCAAGTCAACAGCGAAACCCTTTCTAAAGCAGCATTGCCAAAGAAGCAGAACATGGAGTGGCGAAGGAAAAAGGCATTCGCGGCGTCAAGCCTCACGTCATCTGCCGACATAAGCTTGGTCATCGAAGAGGTAGTGGAAGCTGTTGCGCTGGGCCATACAGTTCAGCATGATTTCCTCCACTCAGAGGATGCCACAGGAGGAACCGCAGTGCAGGTTCCAAAGTTCACCACAGAGCCACAAGAACAATCAAATAGCCACAGGATCGGAACAACACGTGGTCAGGTTCGCCTATGTCTAGATCTGCCTGCTGGCAATTCTTATTTTGAAACGCAGCCAGGCGCGTGGAGAAGGATCATTATGAACCTGGTGGGTAATGCGTTGAAGTACACATGGGAGGGCTCCATCAGGATTTCGTTACGGGTGCAGGACGCCGAAATTGGTTTAGGTGAACAACAACCGGACGATTCGAAAAGGCCCAAGGATGGTGCTGCTTTGTTTCTGACGGTCCGGGACACTGGCATCGGGATGTCCAACGAATTCATGCAGAACCATATCTTCAAAGCATTTTCGCAGGAGGATTCGTTGGCTGTCGGGACTGGGCTTGGCCTCAGCATCGTGGAGCAGGTGGTCAACTCCATGGGCGGCCATATCGAGGTTTCAAGCGCGAGGGGCTTCGGATCGACGTTCGGCGTCCATCTAACATTGAAGAGGGCTGAGGTTAAGGCGGCGCAGGGCACGAGAGCAGACCTCATCGCTGCCGTCGCCAACCGCTTGAAAGGTCTTCGGATCTGCGTTCTTGAAGACGTCAATTCGAAAGGCTCGCAAGAGAACAGGGAAGTCTTATTGAGGGCCGAGCAGCACTTCTCACAGAGTCTTATCCACACTCTTCGGGAATGGTTCGATATTGAGGTCTTGACGGCGTCCCAATGGACTGCGAAGTCTGCAGATTTGGTTATCTGCTTGGAACCATCCTTCCACCAGCTCCAGTCAGTGCGCTCGCTATCTGGGAGTTTGACGCCTCCTGTATTGTTCATCGCACATGATGCCCTCGAATCGGCTGTACTACGGGCCGATTCCCGTGTCACAAGCTCAGAATCATTCGTTGAGATTACCTACCAACCGTAAGTCACTCTTCAGAGACGAGGTGTTTAGTCTACAGCGACGCTGACTGCTCCAATGCAGGCTGGGACCCCGCAAACTCGCCGCCGCATTGCTTCACTGCCTCGACCAGGCGCAGTTGCACACCCAAAATAGCTCGGCGGAGTCCCTCCTTCCTGAAGACTCGCGGTCCGATTATCGAACTTACTTAGAGGGCGCAAACGCCGCATTCGATCCAAATGCGCGATGCGCTACGCCTAAAGACAGGAGGCCTTCAGGAGATGTTGCGCATCCATACCACGGAAAGGTACCGAGGGAAGATCGTAGCTCTGTGCTTTGCGTCGATGACAATCCCCTTAACCTCAGGGTAGGCACTTCTCGAGCTTCAACATGACACAAGCTGACGCTCTTCAACAGCTCCTCACTACCTTTGTGGCGAGGAAGAGTCTGCCATTTGAGCAGGCGGTCAACGGACAAGAAGCCGTCGATACGTACATTGCAGCACCAACCTCGTTCTGTTGCGTTTTGATGGGTGCGGTCGCCCAGATCTTCTCATTTGCTCATCGATCTCAACTGACCCGCGGTACTTAGATATATCAATGCCCGTGATGGATGGTATGACAGCGACTCGGCTCATTCGGCAGTACGAGTCCCAAAACTCCCTACCTCGTGTCCCGATATTTGCTTTGACAGGTCTCGCATCTGCAGCGGCCAAGAACGAAGCTCTGGAATCTGGCATTGATCGCCTGTTGACAAAACCGGTCCCTTTCGATGCACTCGCCGAGATTTTGTTGCTATCGAAAGCTCCACGAACGACTCATGAAAGCGGTCATGGCGGGCAAGACTGATCACATCTTCATCCTAGGTAGTTATGCAGTGCGTCTGAGGGAAACCTTCTGTAAAATGGGGTCTCAAAAATGCACTGACGCTGGAGAGCACACTCCCATCGCTTGGCCGGGAAGAATCCTAAGCTAGCACGCGACTGGACCCCAGAGGGTATGTCGTCGTTGCTGCTGGGGCTCAACGTCCTCGGAGCGCAAACTCCAGCTGAATTCTTGTCGCTGCAACTCAACGGCGGGCTGCGTGCTCTGTATCCTGCTGCAGACTAGCCGCCGAGGCCGGACAGCAATTAAAGACGATGAAAGAGCCGACCTGCAGCAAATCAGGACAGCTCATGGAGTTCGCGACAACCCTCCTGGACCGTCAACAGTTGGGGTGTGGCTCACGCCAAGACCCGTCGACACAGTCACGTGAGTTGGAGCTGCCAGCCTGCATCATGTGGCAGAGTGCGTCTCCGTAACTTCTGCGAGAGATCAGTTTTCATTCCTCGTCCTGACTATGTTACTCCGTAGGCAATAGCAATAGATCGATAGAAAAGCAACCTCATCAGATCTTCCTTGCATTTACCCTACAATTTCAGGTTCAATGAGCTAGCACGAAGATTCTACTGTCGCGCCCTCTCCCCGTCCATTACCACCGACGCTCGGTAGCTTCTCCATTGAAGCATCAATGGATGCTCAGCGTTCGTCGCGCTCTCGTCTCCGTCAGCCGCGGTCCTCTACCACTCCTACAATACCCCAGAACCTCGAAGGGAGTATTCCAATGTAAACACCGAGGGCGACATGATAAGAGCCAGCCAGGTGCTGCGGCACCTTCTCCTGCGATACCAGCTGCGTCGGACTTCTTAGCCCACCAGCAGGCTTTCTTTCCTACCGAGTTTTCCGAGTTTATCAGGCATACTCGGTCGGAACACCATGGTGTCTTGGAAGCTTGTAAGGAAGCAGCGGACGATCTCGATACATGGTGGATGAACCACGATCACGATGTCAAACATGGAGAAGTGCGCCGCTCGTTTGAGGAAGGTGTCGGACAGCAGTCTGGATTTCGCAAGACAGTGGAGCAAACGCTGTCTATCTTTCTGCCCTCGCACGCCAGGCGCAACAAGGTCGACCTTTCCTCCGTCAATCCTCTTCGGGGGCATGTCGATAGTAAAGCACTGCCGGAGCCATCAATCGTCGCTTTCAGGCACAACACAGGCTTGCGCAGTCTCCTAGTCGAATACCTCGAGAAGGTTGAGCCCTACCTTCAGGAAAGATCCGACAAAACAAGAGTCCTAGCTGCCCTCGAGTCTGTCTTCAATGATCACGCCCTAAAACTCCTGGAAGAGACCGGCAACGATGTCTCTGCCGTCGCGAGCTGGGCATGGGTGTTCGCCTCGCCATATCTGGATCTGGCGTTTGCTAGATATGTTGCCCTGGCTACAGAGACGCGCCAGTCTGGGCCTGGGCGGATTCCCAAATTTGTGCCTTTACAACTTCTACGTGCCGAAGAAGTTAGCGCCCCATCTCTCAAGGCATTCATAAAGAGTATCCTGGAGGACCTGGAACTATGTTTGGGTGCGAAAGAATACCTTGGCTGGAATTGGGTGACGCGAGTGTGCTTGGTAGTTCGACTTCTTCGGCATGCGCGGCAGGTTGCACCCGAATCGTTCGAGGATATCAGCCTCATCATCAAGCACCTCTTTTCCGACTACTATGCTGTCCACCCTCGAGGGCTTGAGGAATCCGAGCTGCAACGACTGTCTCACATCTTCAACCGCTTTTTGTCGCTAATATCCTTCGCGCCTTTGAGAACACCGTTCAACGCGTATCTCTTTCAGCAAAATGCACAACTGGTCATAGTTCGCATGATGTTTGCCTTCAAGCCACAAATACCCGTAACCCGAGAGGGCTACCGTGCGTTGGTCGCTGTCCAGCTTCTGCATCGCAAGACCACGCACGAACGCACATGGGCCAAAGCAAAATCCTTGTCGTGGCCTCCGTGGCGGCAAATCAGTATGGGAATCGAACAGGACCTTGAATACCCGGGTAAAGAGAGCCGGGTCATGAAATTGCTACGACGGATGCAAGAGGCCGGGTACACGCTCGGTGACTGGGAGAAAAGTGCTGCTGTTCTGGCTGGATGGGATACAGATCGTAGCCCTACCATTCAAACGCGGGCAATCCTAATGCGGCAACGGCGTCCCTGGCTCCTGCACCAGCGGAAGCAGGTCAGCGATAAGACCGCATGCACAGATGCACCTGAAGTGTGGGCGGCACGCATCCAAGCTACAAGAACAATTCGAGAGGCATGGGCCTGCTTTCGCTCTTATGACCTGGCCGTTGGAACCTCTCAGCCGCATTATCGGCCGTACTTCGCCATGTTGGAGAAGCTGCTTGCGTCCATAGTTCGGCCGGCATCCTCCCAAGCATGGAAATACATGCCAGGCGATATCAAGGAGGCCTTTGAAGTTTCAGGGAACCCTCGGGAAGTGGTCTACGTTGACGCCGAAGTTCCGTCTGCGGACGAGTTTTACCAGGCCATGTTACGCGCTGGCATCAAACCTGGGGGTAGTCTCATGGCAAGTTTGCTGAAACAGAGTCCTAGTGCCGAGGCTGGGTTCACCTTTATTCAGGACAGCGGCTGGGACGAGGTCACCAAAGACGTCCTTCGGCATGCTGAAAAATATCCTGTGCCCGTCATTCGCCACAGTCTCCAGAGGCTTCCGCCGTCTACCTTGGCTGCCTTCGTTTCGCTCCTTTGTAGGAGTGGACCAGAGGATACACTGGTCTTTCGGAATATCGGCTACCAAGGCGCCAAGACAGGAGGACTAGTCAGCAGAGATGGCGTCGACGTCCCTGCGATGACATACGCATCGCACCTGGTGGCCACAGCAGGGATCACCGATATTCGCGTGTGGAACGCACTACTCGATGGAGCGTCTGTTGGCGTAGCCAAGTATCTCAATGCCAAGGGCATGGCATTCAGAAGCGCCGTGTGGCGACGCCTCAAATTGATTCTCTGGCCTGAACAAACGTACTTCAGCCTCCAAGCCGATTTGGACACTTTCCGGTTTCAGGCCAAGATATTGCACCAGATGCTGAGATACGTGAACGCGCGAATAGATCCCAACGACATTGGGTCGCTCGCCAGGACGACATTTGTTCGCGCATTATACGGTCGCACTTCGAAGACCTTCCTTCCTTCACCCCAGCAGCCTCTTCTTGTCATGCCCAAGGTTGACGATGTAATGCTTATGGTGAGGGTATTGGTGTCTGTTCATGATGTCCAGGGACTGGTTGCTCTGGTGAAATGGATCGACGAGCATGCAGGTGTATTGGGGGAAATGCATGGGGGGTCACAATCCGATGCTCATGACGCCGTAGCCCGAGGCCACGATGGCATGCAGTATTCACTGCGCGATGTGCTTTCCGCGATCCGGCTCTTCCTGGGAGGGGCGGTAAACCTTTTGGATGGTGCAGAAGACCCTGCACGCTTTGTCTCGCCTCTACCTTATGAGCCACACCTGATCCGAGAAGCAGAGCGACACTGTCAGAAACTTGGATGGCCGTCAGATGACGAGGTTATTGCGTTTTCCGCTCACAATACTGCCTGGGTGGACATAGTTAGACGCGCAGCAGACAGTATGGCGCAGAGGAAAGCAGGTAGCAGAACAATATGACAAGTTTACAATAGAGCCCCGACGAGACTCAACAATGTGTTTTAAGGTCCATGTTGTGATGGATGGGACGCCAGTGCGGCCCCGTCAAGGTCAAGCTCGCCCAGAGTTTCAAAGTGCCAGTTAAGCATCTAGGTAAGGCCAAGTAAGGCTTAGGCGCCCCTCCAGGCGACCACGTTTACCAAGAGTTGCTAAGCTTTCGCTTGGTACGGGGCACGAGTTACTTGTATCTGGACTCCCAGGTGCATTGTCCATGTAGCGCTGCCGGCTGTGAAGATAGGAATTAACGCATTCCGTCGTGAAGTCTGCGGATAATGCTAGCCTGTACTCGGTATCTAGGAGCACATTCGGCCTTGCGGACCATGGGCATGCGCGTCCAAGCCTCTCGCGTTAGAGCGCAGAGGATCGGCCTCGTCTCTGAGGCGGCAAGTCTCGGTGCCATTGGGCAGCTGATGACATGGCTCACGCTGATGAGGCAGTGCTCGAAACGCAATCTCGGGTTATGGTGCGTGGCATTGGTGGAGCTGAAAGGATGGGTGGAGGCCAACCTTCTGCACCTCTGAGACAGCTCCAACTGGGATTCGTTTGATGCTCGATTCAAACGTCGCTAACTTAGGGGGCTCGTCTCGATCTTTTCTCCTTCCTCTCCATCGCGGTACATGCCCGTCTTTCGCTCTCCGTTACTTGTCCATTGACATATACCCCAATCTCGAAAAAACACCGCCATTCTTTTCACGACGATACACGGCTTGTGCGGGCACAGCGTCAACGACGTCCATCTTCTGCGCAATATAATTGCCGAAAGGGAAGTCGGTTTGGGTTGCGCGGCGAAACTTGCCGCCACGACCGTCAGCAGCGACAACTCTACGGTCGCGTCTGTTATAACACATATTTGACCATGAGGCTCTTGCCTCTGGCCCTCGTGCCTGGCGCACTGGCCATCACGCTCGATATCAGTGACGAAAATAGCGTCAAGTCCGCAACCTCATCCATTGCCTACGACATGATGACTTTTTACACGGGCAACCAGACTGGCCAGGTACCTGGATTGCTACCCGGCGGCCTGAGCTGCGATCCCAACAACCCGGCTATCTACTGTTGGTGGGAGGCAGGGGCGATGTTTGGTGCTCTTATCAACTACTGGCAATACACGAATGATTCGTCGTACAATCCGGTGGTGTCACAGGCCCTGCAATTTCAGCGAGGACCTGACAGCAATTTCAACCCGCCCAACCAGTCGAAGAGTATGGGTATCGATGACCAAGCGTTCTGGGCCTTTTCTGTAATGGATGCTGTTGAATCCAACTTCCCAGAGTCGGACGACGAGGATGCCCCTTCGTGGCTGGCTCTGGCGCAAGCCGTCTATAACTTTCAGCGGAATTACTGGGATACCAACACATGTGGAGGAGGTTTCCGCTGGCAGGTATTCTCATTCAACGCCGGCTACAACCTCAAGAACGCCGTCTCCAACGGCGGCAATTTCCAACTTTCCGCTCGACTGGCCTACGTGACAGGAAACCAGAGTTATGCCGACTGGGCGAACATGGTCTACGACTGGATGGAGACCAGCGCGTTGATGCAGACGGACCCGTCAACTGGTACTCTTTATATATGGGACAACACGGATTCGAACAACAATTGCACGGATCAGACGCGATTTGTCTGGACGTACAACTACGGCACCCTGCTGGTCGGCGCCGCCTACATGTACAATTACACGAATGGCAGCCAGATCTGGCTGGACCGAGTCAACACGATCCTCAACAGCACTTTCTCCCTGTTCTTCCCAGCTCAGTATGGGGGCAACATCATGTCAGAACTCCAGTGCGAGTCCAACATGGTTTGCGACCAGGACCAGAAGAGTTTCAAGTCGTATTTGTCGAGATGGTTGGCTGTAACGAGTCTTTTGGTGCCGCAGACGGCCGGTCAGATCGTTCCCAAGCTGCAAGCAAGCGCACAGGCAGCGGCGGGACAATGCGACGGAGGTCCAACAGGCCGACAATGCGGTATGCAATGGTACACGACCACGTGGGATGGATCGACCGGGGTTGGACAACAGGTATGCTTGATCTCCCCTTGGACTTGGTTTGGGGTGGACACTGATCTTTACCTTTAGATGGCTGCATTGTCGGTGATAGGTTCAACGCTGAACAGGGACATTTTGACGCCCAAGTCCAGCCACACGGGAGCCACCTCGCAGGGCGATCCGAATGCTGGATCCCAAGCACCAGAAAACCCAGCTGCATTGAGGGACAAGATCACCACGGGCGACAAGGCCGGTGCAGCGATCTTGACCCTCCTAGCCGCCGCTGTTGTCATTGGAGGCGCTGTTTGGTTGGTCACCTAGAACTGACTCCACGAGGCCCATATCTCGACGAAGTACTTTGATTGTGCACCCTGTTGGGTGGGATTCGGCGGTTTGGACATTAAGACTACATGATTGGGCGTCTTGAAGTGTGTGTATCCATTCATATTCTTACATAGGAGTGCACGATATCTGGTGCCATATCAAAACCATTCTGGTGTCCCAAAGTCCGGAGTAACTGACCGGCGAGACTGTGTACCCCGTACGGTGGTGACTGTATGACCTCTTCCGGCACCAAGTTCTTCCGCTCCGCACAAACTGCGGAGATCCAAAGTGCGCACCGAATTTCTGGTTTGTGGTCGCCCTCTTCGACGAAATATCCATTCGACGACTTCCGCCCTGCCACGAAACGGGCCACGATGGGGTACGCTTTTGACGGATGCAAGGAGCGACCGGCGCACATTGACGAGATCCTCAACGGGCTCAACCGGTACAACCCCGAAACGACGACGACATTTCAAGAATACGTCAACCTGCAATGCGAAGAGAAATTCTTCGACGCATACGCGTCCATGGCGCTGTTGAAACTGTGAGCCACCCGAGCCCTCGTTGAGAATTTGTGTTATCATGATGAAGAGAGTTTCTCATACCACGTTTCCTATTACCTGACGGGGTCCTCCGGGATTCATGGAGATTGAAATATTAGCTCTATCTGAGATATCACACGCAGCGACATATCGACTCAGGCTTTCATCACAAGAAGGAGCAAGATGTACTGACTGCATGCAAATTAGATACCAATTTAACCCGCAACTCCTTCATCCCGACACCGTCACCAGCATCCTCGTCAAAGCACTGACGGTGTTCCCATCCCCCGCCTTCTCCCTCTGCCTCGCCCTCCTTCCACCTTCCACAATCCCGTACAGCCCAGGCAACACATCCATTCCCACCACCGACCTCACAGAGTCAATACAAAAGCTCACACGTCTGAACACTCTGCTCGAATCGGCGCAATACGATGCATTCTGGGCGACGCTGGAATCCGATGATCTGTACTCAGATCTCTACGCCGACGTCGTGGGCTTCGAGGACCTTGTCAGGATACGTATTGCAGGGGAAGTGGGCAAGACTTTCAGACAAATCGATCTGGGGGTCTTGAGTGGGTGGCTGGATTTGAGGGGGGACGCGTTGGTGAAGTTCGCACAGACGGCCTGTGGCTGGAGAGTCAATGGGCAGCAGGTCGATATCCCGGCGAATGCGGAGAATGAGGCCAAGAGCGAGACCAAGGGGGAGAGGGTCGGGGTGGATATGTTTGGACGGGTGTTCAGAAGGGGTTATGAGGCGCCTGCTTGAGCGGTGTACAAAGTCACAATGATGGATGAGTTTCAAGAGATCATGGGCACTGTATCAGCGTGTCTGGAAATCCCGCAGACAATAGCATGGGTCCAGACGCTTCGGGCTCTCATCCAACGCCCGTCGGTCGTGACGAGGCTCTGGCAAGCCTTCAGCTGCTGTCTGTGCTCGAGTTTGTGACTTCGACTCCACCTTCTGTTCAAGACACAAGTCTCGAGACTGATGGGAGCACATCAAGGGATATCGCGGAAGCATATGGACTATGGCAGCACGGACGATGACATGAGACCATGACGAGACCCGGAGAAACGGGTTCGACGCGGTGTCGTGGAGCTCTTCAGGAGGAGTTCTTCAAAAGTACGCATAGATACCAATTCACGATCGGTGTGAAGCGTGATGAAGATATAAGTGCCTCAAATCTGCGGACAGTGACACAAAGAGGGTGTCTGTCACCCAACTGTAAATTCGCTTGGCGGACTGCCCGCTTCACCGAAACAGGGACAGTAGCCTGTGCTGTGAAAGCCTGGAGTGCAGTTGGGCGGCGGGACGGAGCTCGCCAACCAGTCAGCCAGTGGCGGCGCGGCTTGGGATCTCACTGCCCTGAATCAGCCACGCGTGGTCCCCAAGCCCAATGACATCGTCACCTCCTTCGAATTGGTGTGAAGGCAGTTCGACTCCCCTGCCTCACCACCAACGGTGCTCATCACTGGCGACTCACTTCTTACATCCCACTGCCTGCTCAACTCTTCAGACCTCTAACTAAAGATCTATCTCTAAGGACCACAGGACAACCACACGCCATCACACTCCCTTTCGATGTCAGCTTCCTGACATACTCAGCCGGCCATTGACGCATCTTACGGTCAAGATGATTGCGCAAACACCGACGGCCCTGTTACTACTTCAGCTTCCGGACGAGGTACTGATCAACATCTTCAGCTTTTTCGACTTCCGGACATTGTGCAACATCACCTATGTCTGCAAGCACTTTGACGACCTGGCCGAACCGTTCCTGTACCACACGATCCGCGTCACAAGCGGCAGTCAAGGCTCCGCCTTGTCCGCCAGTCTCCATGCTAATCCCCGCCGCGCGACATGGATCCGGTCGCTGCTTGTCTCCACCAAGTTTGGCGATGATGACGGCTTGAGCACGCTACCTCCTTACCTAGCTCTGATGCGGAATCTGCAAACTCTGCGGCTCGAGACACCAGATTGCAATACCAGGTTTCCCGACGAGCGGGTCTCTTGGGTGAATCTGCAGGACCAGTATGAGCGGATCTTCGAGGCGGCTTCTGCGGTGGTTCCCCACGGTGAACGGGCGTTGCCGCATCTCCAACACTGTATGTTCGAACCACCGGCTGCCTTTCTGACCTGACCGTGTTCCAGGTACCTTGCACTTCGTCGACGCGCAGAAGGAAATCTACTCGATGACCAAATACGCCATGCTCTTCCTGCACCCGCGGCTGAAGTCGCTGACAATGTCCTGCGCCAGTACCGACTTCCCGGACCGGTTGCTCATCCAGTTCCAGGACGACGAGACGCTAGTGGGGACGACGGATCTGGAGCACCTGCACCTCGAAGAATGCGACATCTATTCACCTTCCCTCGCTGTTCTCCTCAGCTTTCCTCGAGCACTCAAGTCGCTCAAAATCAGCGAAGGGATCCGCTATGACGGCATGTTTACTAGGAGTAGTCGCATGCACGGGAATGTCTCGCCGGGTTCCTTTGTGGACGCGATCGCCAAACACTGTACCGGCTCGCTCGAACATCTGTCTTTGAGTCTGGGGTACTCGAGGCCTTCCCATCAATCTTTCAATCACCCAGGCCAGCATCTCAATCTGTCGAAGTTCTATGCCATGAAGCAACTTGACCTCGACGTGCGAACGGTCAACCTGGTCCGAGTCCGAGCCCTGTGCGATCATGCCACGTGGCGCAGATTACCACCCAATCTTGAGACGCTCAAAGTCTTCGGTATACCGCTTGGCGATCGACCACCCTTCCATGCCCGACGACGCGTCTGGTTCCCCTTCGACACCTGCATCGCGACCGACAAAGTCCGACATGGCGTCCGCCTGCTCAAGACCTTGGTCTACTCATACGAGTACTACCGCGAAGACGACGAAGCCCGGTTGAGCGTTTCCGACGACGGTGACACAGAGGAGCAGGTCAACCAGGTCTTGCTCGCGCAACGGCTCATGGTGGAGAAGTGCAAGGAGCTGCAGCCCGTGTTCAAGAAAGCGGCGGTTCGATTGGAGGTCGAAATGGTGGCGCTGCCGAATGGATTCATCCCGCCATATTTGTACACGGAGGACACACCGAGGTCTTTCACATTGTGGCAGTCGGCGCCACGATGAACGCGGAACGACTCAATACGCATAGAGACGACGCAACAATGCGCGCGATTCGGACGGGATGAAGGTTTGGATGTGCACACGGGGTGGGGTTGCGCCGGCGCGAGTTTTCATGTGGTACCCACTGTGTTCAGAGCCGACCAGGAGCAAGCATTGAATTGGGTGATACTGGTGGGCGAAAGGGCTTTTCATTCGTGTTGGGATATGTAACAACAACAGCTGCATGGAGTTGTTGGAAGTGGTCGAATAAGGAAGCAGTTTCCGATCCGGCCGACTCGCAGCTAAATCAAAAGCTGTGAATGACATCCAGATGCGTCTTCTACTGCTGTGGACCTTAGAGGCATGATCGAAGCCCACCATGCACCATGACGTCTGCGTGGTTGTGCTGACTAGACAAGCTCAGGCATTCAAAAGAATTAATGCCCGTACGCAGGGGCACAGGCTACAGTACGCGCGTGTCGGTCCTGGTTCCTCAGATGGTTATGTAAGATCACTAACCGCGTTGAAACAGCGAGATTGCCGGAGAAAATCCGAGCGATGCCGACGACATTGTTAGGAGTTGTGCTTTCTTGCAGCCACTGTACGTGTCTCATCTGCAGTTCATTACGAACAGTAGCCACTCGGGGCTGTGCACAAAAACTACCGTCTCAGGCAAACGCCTGGAAACCAGGTCCGCCCACGGTCGTGATTCAGCAGCAGCAGCAGCCTTGCGGTACTTGCGGTGCTTGTGTGGTACGAGCAGTAGTAACTAATCAAGCCGTCCAGCCAGCCTCGTTACAAAGCACGGCCTGTCCGAAACCTTCTAAGAACCTCTCTTGTTTTGTAATGTGGGGATGCTGCCCACAGGTTCCCCCTTGGTCGACTCCTACGTCCACACGGGCGCTCCAGCAAGGCTAGGACTTTGCGGACGTATGGCACCATGCTCTCGACGCAAGCCGCTATACCTCATCATTGGGAGACCCGACCTTCCATGCATGATTAATCGCGGTCAACATGGCGCCATGTCCTAGGCCACCCCCAGGAGCCTTTCTATAAAAAAGGGGTCCATCTCCCGCTCCTCGACGACAAAGACCCTGCCTTCTACCTCAGCGTTGACTCGCTCCCAGTCTCGTCTTGTCTACCAGTATCTGTCAGTCACGATGGGCGGCGCAATTGCAGACGCCATCCAAGATGCCCCCTTAGGACAGTTCATCAACTGGGCGTCAAAGGGCCGCTACTTCGCCTTCCCAGAAGACGACCCCGACTTCAAGATCCCCTGGGAACAAGCCACGGCCTCCCAGAAGGAAAAGGAGATTGAAATCGACGCCGTTGTCAGTGGCAGCCACGCCAGCACACCACACGCCATCTCGCGCGAACCCTCGACCTCGGGCGTCGGCAACCGCGAGGACGTCGAAGCTCGGCCGCCACCACTGAGCACAATCCCGACCTCGCACTCGTCGGCGGCGCGGGGAGATTTTGGCGTGGTGACGACCCGCACGCGGACCAGGGAGCAGACGAGGCCGTACTCCCGGGAACGGTTCGACGTGGAACAAGAAGAGACCATCGAGCGGCAGCGGAGCAGCATCATCGCGCCGCAGCGCACGGCGGACGGGGTGGTGCTGGTCGACTGGTACACGACGGACGACCCGGCGAACCCGCAGAACTGGAAGAGCGGGAAGAAAGTGTGGGTCGCGTTCCTCATCTTCGTGTACACTTTCGCCGTGTACTCAGCGTCAGCCATCTACACGTCGGCCGAGCCGCAGGTGATGACCAAGTTTAGCATAAGCCAAAGCAAGGCGAGTTTGGGACTGAGCATGTACGTGATCGGTTACGGGATCGGGCCCATGTGAGTGATCACCTCAACAGTACCTAATTACAACGCCACACCCCTCGAGAACCGAAGAACTAATGCGAATTGGGGACGATATCTAGGCTCTTCTCCCCGCTGTCCGAAATCCCCGCCATCGGCCGCAACATCCCGTACATGGTCTCGTTCGGCCTCTTCGTCGTCCTGTGCATCCCCACGGCCCTCGCAAACAGCTACGCCTCGCTGCTCGTCCTCCGCTTCCTGACGGGGTTCATGGGCTCGCCCTGCCTGGCCACCGGCGGCGCCAGCATGGGCGACATGTACGGCCTGCTGAAACTCCCCTACGCGCTCACCGCCTGGGTGGCCGCCGCGTTCTGCGCGCCCGCCGTGGGCCCCCTCTTGTCGGGCTTTTCGGTGGTGGCCGAGGGCTGGCGCTGGGCGTTGTGGGAAGTATTGTGGATGGCCGCGCCGATCTTTGTGCTCATGTGCCTCGCCATGCCCGAGACGAGCGCGAGCAATATCCTCTTGCGCCGGGCGCGCCGTCTGCGTGTGGCCACGGGCAACCCGAACCTCAAGTCCCAGGGCGAGCTCGACCAGGGGCAGATGAGTTTTTCCAGAGTGGCAATCGACCAGATGTGGAAGCCCGTCGAGATCTTCGTGAAAGATCCCGCCGTGTTTTTCACGCACGTGTACACGAGTTTGATTTATGGTGGGTCATACCCCCGCGGAGCGGAGCGGCGCAGTTAACATCCCATATTCGCACGTGGAACCGTGAGAGCTCATGGCTGCCACGCTCTCTTACATCCGTCGGACGCTCGCTGACGCTTGTGGCCTCACAGGAATCTACTACTCCTTCTTCGAGGCCTTCCCGCTCGTCTACGTGGGCATCTACGACTTCAACATCGGCGAATTGGGCATCGTCTTCGTGTGCATCGTCGTCGGCTGCGCACTGGGCATCGTCATCTACGTCAGCTACGTCTACTGGTACCTCGAGCCCGACATCAAGCGCAACGGCCTGCGCGCACAGGAACATCGCCTCGTGCCCGCCTTGTTCGCCACCACGCTGTTACCGGCGGGAATGTTCTGGTTCGGCTGGACCGCAACTCCCCAAATCCACTGGATCGTTTCGATCGTGGGCATCACGCTGTACGCTGTGGGCGCGTTCGTGCTCTTTCAGTGCATATTTATGTACTTGCCCCTGACCTATCCCCAGTACGCGGCCAGTCTGTTCGCGGCGAATGATCTGTGCCGGTCCGCGTTGGCGGCAGGGAGTATCATCTATGCGCACCCTTTGTATGTCAATTTGGGCATTGGGCGCGGGATTTCCCTGCTGGGGGGCCTTCTGTGCGGTGGCGTGTTGGGGATCTGGGCGCTGTGGTGGTTTGGCGCCGGGTTGAGGGCGAGGTCCAAGTTTGCCCTGAGTTGAGTTGGCGGCGTGGCGGGAGGATGATGCGACAAGTACACATTCCATGCGTGGGCATGGACACAATCAAAGAGTTGGCGTCGTAGCGGTGGTGGGATGAAATCGTCGGCTTATACCGTACACATTCTTGGAGTGGGCGCCTGAACGGTCAAAAGATACGCCATTATCTGATTGTCTGATGCATATTCGAGGAGTGGTTTAGATGGAACGATCAAGACGCTGTCGCCATTGTCTGATTATCTTTACACACTCTGGCAGTGGGCATGAAAGGAGCAGTAGCTGGCGCCATAGTCTGATTGTCTATACAAGTTCAGGAGCGGGTACCAAGTGTCGCCATTTGTAGTGGGCAGTCCTGTTCCTGCCCTGTCCCTTCCTTGTTCCGTCCTTACCCTCGCATGGCGAGGCAAGAGCAGCACAGCTGCAACATAACTACTTGATTGCTGAGAGCTCAGCTCTCGAGAGACGGGCAATCAGAGATTCGAGACATACAGCAGTGCCCCTGCCACACCATGATCTGATCGTCTGAACATGGATCTGGTCCACGATGTAGCAGTAAGCGCCGGTTTGGATCGTGACGGCTTGTATCTCGGGCTTGGGCACCATCAGCGCGTGGGGCCGTTTACACTCCGAGCCTGGGATGATACAGGTACAAGGCTTTACCCTTTGTACGAGTGACGCATCGCGATACGGGTAATTACTACCAAAGATATGATAGACCACATGTAGGGGGAGTATGTCTTCCTCATTGCACAAACTCGGGACTCGATGAGAACAATACGACAGTTTCGGCTTGGAGATATATTACGCCTCTCACAATGTGGAGTGAGCTACGTATCACGCAGAGGGATGGATATATACACAGAGCTTTCGTTCCACGCAGGGTACTTCGAGTACACAGCGGCGATCATTTCACGCGGGACATTCAAGTTCAGCCACAAGTGTCTTTCGTACAGCACCACCCTTTCTCACTTCTGCGTTTGCCATGCTTTCGCGAGCCAATCATTCGCAGTCGGTTGCTGATTTTGCCATGGATTGCCTGGATTGCTTGGATTGCTTGCTAATGCGGAGTTCGAATCGTCGGCAGGTGGCACTGGAATTTGAAGCTCGCCGAATCCTTTAAAGTGAAGCATATCGCCAGGCTGTTGGAGGCAGGGGTGACTTGACTGTGGCGCCCTTTGGCTGTCGAACGTTGGAAGCTGAAAGTTGCCAGATGCTGCGCTTGGCATGCTACTCAGTAGTGCTGGGTCGATAGTTTGAACACCGATTCCTACTTGCATGCCCCCTGGTAGTGCTGTGCCTGTCGGTTGATTGTTGTATCCTGTTTGGCATTGCTCAGCCAACCGCCCTCACTATCGGGGGACATCGTATTGGCCACCTGTATTCTCGCTGCTCCGCGGCGGCCCGACGTTGCCAACGCCACTGATTCCTACCTCAAAGCTGAGATTATTGAATCCAGCATTTCGCAGCGATCCGGTCATCGAGTGCCGTCCCCGCGTCGCCTTTTCCACTTCGACCATTGCCCGCAAAGTCTGCATGGTGTGGAGGTGCTCCTGCTTTGTTAGCTGGTGGACCCAATTCTGCTCCGGGCTTGTGGTCGTCGTGATAGTTCCGGTTTGATACGCCAGTTTGGCGAAGAGGAGTCTTTCGTTCTTATCTAGCGCAGGCGATTGGAGTAGGACGTCGAACAGGTCAACGAGCTTGACGGACCAGTTGATCTGGCCTCTGAACATGCCAGCTTTGTAGTGATGCATCGGTGAGATCATATCACCCTTTTACCTGTCAAAAAGTGCTTCGGGCGGATCGCCTGGTCGCGGTGGCGGAAGCCCAGACGGAAGATTCATGACGAGGTCGAGTTGTCGTCTGTGACCTGGTGGTTGGTGAGTATGCGATTTGATCTTTGGTGGCAGTGACTCACTAGAGGGAATTGTGCTCAGATGCTATTCAAGCCATACGTAGGTGTCCTGAGTGTCGACCGATTAGAAGAGGTTTTGAGAAGATGCCTACTGAAATGCTCAGCGGCCACCGTCTGCTGACTTCTTTGTTGTCAGAGGAAAATGGGCTGGCAAACCTGTTCTGACGCATGGTTATTGATTGCCCTATTCGTGAATCGTAGTTGATATCAGACAAGCATAAAGCTAACGGGCTTCTCGTTGCGACCTGTATAACTGTCCTTGATCTGTGCGACGATTGCCAGTGTCGTTCTTCTGGCTTGTCCGCCTCAGCCGCTGGTCTTATGTCTCTTCTTCAAGGACCGCTAGTCCGCCTGAACCCTTGCATTCCCCCTCAAAGGAAAGACTGGCTAGCGCTCCCTTTCTCAGTTCCTCTGAGATGACATCGATGCCGTTCATTGCGCGATCAAGTTGAACTATCATGAAGAATCCCGCGAACGTATATCTGTGCTTCACACACATCTCTTCGCACGTCGTTTTCCTGCCTGGAGCTCTGTATTCGTCGGCCATCCTTTCGATGCCGTCGATGACTTCCAGGAGCATTCCCTTTTCATGCTTGTCTAGGAGGGAGGAGCTGACGAGGATGTCAAAGCAGTCGGCTAGCCTGACATTCCAGGTAGTCTTGTCTTTGAAGGCGCCATGCTTGAACTCGGGTACGAGCAACACCATTTGATGCTAGAAAAGTCATAGGAATTGTTCGAACGGCTTATCAGCCAACGGAATGTTCGGGGCATCCGGTTTCTTTTTGACACCGAGGCTGCAAAGTTAGCGAGAGGGGTAGCATGGTCGAGGTGATGGCTAACCTTGATAGCATGGCCGGATGGAGTGGCATGGCTCGCGATGAATTAGAGGAAAACTGGCTGGGAATGATACCGAGCTGGAACCGCAGTAGGCAACGTATGACATATGTGTTGCTTGTGCAAAGCAGGGATAGGTAAATAGGTGGACGACCCAAGTGGCTCTTTCCACACCGTTCCTGCTATTGACGAGTCCAAGGGCCAGAAGGAAAGGATGATGGCAACAACGGCCGAGTATGGGTGGCTTTGCAGTGTCTGAGATTTCGTCTTAATGTCCTGCCTTCTGACTTGAGTGACCGTCGTTCCATCTCGACTAGCTGTCGGACTCTGTGATATGCAGCATCCTGATATACCTTCTCACCAGCAAACTACCCGTCTCACCTCAAAACAGCTCCGATCCCTCCGCCAAGGGCTCCTGCCAAGTCACCTCATCACCCGAATCTCCTTCTCCTCAGTCTTTACGCAGCCGACAGATCCAACGGGCTCCGACACGTAAAGCTATTTACTTGTGGGTTCTTGAAAGCCTCGATCATGCCTTGGATTGCCGCATAAGCTCCCAACCCAGCCGTCGCCAAGGCTCCACCGGCATGGATGACATGCCACACATTGATGTACCATTTATCTGCCCAGAATCCTTTCCAAATTCGTGTGAGGAGAGCGCGGTGAGCTTTGGTAGTTTGCCCCGTCGTGGAGTCGAAGCCTGAGCTGGGGTCCATGGAGTTCCGTTGCACGGTGTAGGCGAGGTGGATTATCGGTGGGAATGAGTATGAGAATTGGACGATGCAGAAGGCTGCGATAACGGAGACGAAGCCGAAATAATCCTTGGATCCGGCGTCAGCTGGATAAACACTAGAGTACAATAGTACACGGAAAAGTAAAGAGACTCACCGGAATAGCAGCAGCAACCACAAACGCAATACTCCAGTAGATTGGCACAATCGAAGCGAATAGGTACTTCCCGCTCTTTGTCGACAACGGTGGCGCACCAAACAACTCCTGCAACACTTGGTTGTACAGTACTTTGATACCAATATTGCCATACAAGCCCGCGGCAATCAGTCCAGACACCACAACAAGCATATCACACGCAGCTTGGAAGCCGTAGGGCGACAAGCCCATGTATGATATCGTGAAAGAGTACTGTCCCTGATAGTGATAGACGTAGCATCCGTAGATGAGGTAAACGGCATAGATGAAGAACTGAGCCGACCACATAGCCTTGATGAAGTCCCAAGGACGACGCATCTCTGCCATGATCTCGATGAACAGTTGTGCCCCGCCGTAGGCAAAGACTCCGCTCATCAAGCCGTTGATGGCGCCCACGAAATTTCCGCTGTCTGGCATGCCGCCGTAATGGATGATGGGTGGATAGACTCCGTTGGTGTCTGGTGTTATGCTATCGGGATTCACTGCCGAGCCCGCAGAGCCGAGCACGGAGATTGAATAGTTGGGCGGCGAATGAGCCATTACGCCCATCGAGATGAAGATGACGAGCAGGTTGATCCCAACGGCGATCATGGAGAAGATACCAAAGTTCCTCAGGGTGCGGACTTGACCCATGAAGAAGCCGGCGATAACGAAGAGAATCACGCAGACGGCATAGCAAAGCCGGAACTTGCTGGTCTGGGATATTCCCTGCCCGTTCTGAATGATGACTTGTCCACAGATGAGGAGTAGTTGAATCGATTGGAGGATGTTGACGACGTGGCGTGCACCTGTGCCCATGGTGCGATAGGCCAAGTCGCCGTAGTTGCGCAGGGGATACTCATAGCTGTCGAGGCCAAGGTAGACTTGCCAGAGAAGATAGCCAGAGTAACCGGCCATAAAGGCGAAAACTGTGTAAAGGGCAACGCCAGGGCCCCATCCGAGAGTGCCCAACGCGAAACCGACACCGTAAGGACCGAGAATGTCCGTAGTGATGAGATAGAAGCCGGCCCCCCAGCTGGCAGTCCTCAAGGCGCGTGAAGCGTTCCGCCATTCATCATCTGTGATCACGGAGTGGCGGGACAGAATGCTTCTGCGCCGGGATTTAGGGTCTTCTCCGTGAGCCGGATGTCCACCCTTGTCTGAGGCTTTTTCAGCTGTGTCGACGCCACTGAATGGCACTGGCATCGGCTCATCAGTGACATGAGATTTCCTCCGGAAGACTTGTTGGAGTATGCCATCTTCGGCGGGAATGTTCTGCTGGATCTTCTCTTCTTCCCTTGTCCGCTGCGCATAATGCACGTATTCCTCGAATGTGACCGCTGGATCGTAGAGCTTTCGCTGCGACGGGCTGATCAAGGTTGTCGCTGTTGGAGGATTGCTGGCACCACTGCCTTCCTTTGTCTCTGTGGTAGACATCGAGGTCGATGCAAGTGACGATAAGCACGGCCAAGCAATTCTAACAGTAACAGTGAATTGGCACTTGTCCTGCGAGATAGGTAGAGGGTAATAGTAGAAGAAGGAAATTCGCAGATACTGAGCAGAAGTCCGACACCCTTGGGCACATGCGATATTACTGTACGAGGTAGCTCGGCATATAAGATCGACAGCTGGCGATGGCGATCAATACCACCTCAGGTTGCGTGGTGGGATGCACGGTACTCCGTACAGCCATTCTGCCCACTGTGTTCAGCGGCCGGACAATGACGACAATGCACGATGCAGGTGGAAGAAGAGGAGCAGCTCGAGTGTGGAAAGGTTCGTCTCCCAATCGCGGTTCTTCGCAAGGCGCGTTGGAGCACAAGCATCACAAGCTTTCGTTCAAGCAAACGCCCCCATGCCCACAAGTGGAGCGGATGCGCGCGGGGAGTTGTCTGCCCGGGCATCTCTAGCCTAAAGTGGCTCCGGAGGGGGTGGAGTTGGCAAGACGGGGCCAGGCTTCCGATGCATCCTATCTCCTCGCGCTCTTGACGGTCCATTTTTGTCAGGCCTACCCATCTATCTCGTGAAGGATGTAACTTCGTTGGCTCGCATAGTAGATGTAACCATGGATCAGGCCATTCGAATCTTCGAGGACTCTTCTGGTTCTATCTCTCAGCCATGAGAACGCCTGATAGATAAGATGGAGACAGCCGATGCCTGTGATACATCAACCCCTAAGAAATGTCTCTGGGCTCAAGCACGCGAACTCTGATGTTGCATTCGGCTATTTACACGTGGGGTGGGTTTGTCAAGCATCGACCACGGCTTCTAACTGTCACGAACGGTCCGAGGCACCAGTGGGATTCATCGTTGTTCGGACATTACTTAGGAGCTTTGAACGCTGTCACTCGTCAAGACATAATTAACTGTGTTGTTTCCACACGGCTAACAATGCAACCACTTCAGCAATCTTCTCGTGTTCATCCTGCGCGTTCACCTGCGCTCTTTCATGCCATTGCGCTGTCGGACGACTTCAAGTCTACCGCGCGCTCTTTCCCGCGCTCACTTCGAATTGGCCTTCTTGACAGCCGGACTGGCCGGCGCATTGACAACTTCTCTGCCTACTTGACCTCGATCCTTGGGTATAGGGCTTGAGGAGCGTGGGCTTCTGGCCGCTGTGGGGGTACCAGGCTGCGGAGTCCGCAAGTTTTGCCTCGAGGGTGACCGTGACGGTCTCTTGTCATGCTCAGTCTGGCACTACATACTCAGCATGTTGCCTAGCATGCCTGGATGTGCAACGCCGGCGACGTGTTTGACGTGGTCTGCCAGCTCTTTCGGATCAACAAAAACCCTCCAAACATTGTCTGGGACGTCCTTGAAGGCGTCCCTGAATCGCTGAGGCTTGTTCTTGTCCTCCATATGAGGAGCGTCAGTGACCTTACGGATGTAGATCGCTTTGATCCAACCCGGATACTTGGTGTAGATATCAGCGTAGGCTTCCGGATCTGACTGTGTTGAGTCACCAATACAGATAAAATGGCGTCGGGGTAGCCAGGTGTGGATCTTTTCGATACGGTCGGTCTTGTATGATTCGACACCTAGGGTAAGTGACTGTAGCAGGCCAGCAAAGTTCATCCACGAGGCGTCCCTCAGGATCATAGTCCCTTGCGGGTAGTGTTTGTCAAGAAACTCACGAAGGAATGGGTAGAGGTTGTAGGGAGAAGCTGACAAGTAGAACCAAGCAGGCTTTTTCAGCGACTCGTCCAGGACCTTGTAGAAATCTTCCATTCCAGACGTCGTCACGGGAATATCAGCAAACGTGGACTGCAGGATACCGATTGGCGCCGTGGTCATGGTCACCTTGATGGTGTCGTCAATGTCGGAGATAACCCCCCAGCCTTCAGGTCCTGCGAAACGGGTGTTCCCTTCCAGGTCGGGGAATACATTCCCTTCGCTGGTGCAGATGACCGTTTTTCCGTCGGCATCATCAGCGCCACCAGTGAGCAAATTCTGGCTACTGATACCATTGCTGTTCGAGGGCCCGAGTAAGCGTTTATGAGGGGTCCCGTTCGGAGTGGGGCAGGGAATGTTGATGTCGATAGTGCGAGCGGGAGCAATCGCCATGATGAAGGGTCTGAGACGTTCTTCGATCCTCTTCCTGGCCTCTTCATTGCTCCCCGTCTTGCCGTCCAGGCCTATAATGTCCGCAATGGCACTAACATTTTTCGAAATGTCGCTGCGGCCCTTGTAAAAGTAGCAGGCAACGAATTCGGCCTCCCACGCCTGAGGGTCGTCTCTTCCAGGCCTGACAGGGCGGTAGGCAGTGTTGTCCAGAAGCCAGACGACGTTGTCCTTGGCGGTCGCCTTTTTGCCAAAGGGATTCTTCGAACCCAGGAGAGCTGCTAGGAAATGTCAATAGACTCTCCTTGAAGATGGAACGTGCCATACCGGTGCCCTTGTCGATCAAGCCCATTTCAGTCCTTCTAAAACGTTTTGGCAATCGAGATTCGATGTCAGCGAAGTTGGCTTCCTGGCGAGCTTGGGCTTCAGCCGGCGACCCATTGGGCTTTTGTTCGACTGCTTCCATGGTTGATGGCTTGTGCTTTGTCCTGAAACCTCTCATCGGCATTGTGCAGAAGGTCTTGCGACTGCTTGGTGCAAGTGACCGCGGGAAGAGTTGAGCTCGTGATGGGCACCTGATACAACGATAATAATAATAGGGCAATAAAGCAATCCGTGGCGGGCCAGCCCTGTGACGATGAGGAATAGATGAAAGGTGAAAAGGAGAGATCAAAGGAGAGGATGACGAAGAAGCAGGCAACTTCTTCATGGCGCCTGATGTGCTAGAGGAAGGTGCCTTGGTCCACGGTTAACATGCAGGCGCTGGGGAGAGGGCCTGTGCTGGAGTCAGCGGTAAGAAACACATGAGCAGCCAGCCAGCCTCTGCGCAAGGAAGCGCATCACAGGCATCGAGGCGAGGGCTTCCAAGCATGATGAGCAGAGCAAGGGACAAATCATGTCTGAAACCCAGTTTCAACTTCCCTTCGAGAGGGCAACCTAAGGGTGCGACAGGTGGCCGGTGATCTTGGCCGTTGGGCTTGTGATGTGACAGCGGTGCATGATGTGTTCCAAGGTTGGCTTCCAAGTTTCGGCGCTGATGCCCACGGAGTCGTCATCCGGGAGGGAGGTACCTGAATTTAGGAGCGGGGATGCCTCTAAAACCCGCTCAGGCGCCAACTCTTTAGCACGATAGTTAACTAACTAGGCGCCAAGGTGCCTGACTAGAGCTCACAGAGCTTAGAGCGTAGAATGCCTATGCGCGACAGTTTCGTGTTCGGCCAATTTACGCGTGTTCCTGGTCGCGTCTTGAAGTCTTGAAGCCTTGAAGAGACCACAGCGCAGTTCCACGTCTTCACAGTTACACGGATCGATGCAGGCAAGATGGCATCAAGACCAGAACTGAAGGTACACCACTCCCTTAGGCTGCGCCCGAAAGTTGCTCACGAGATGGATAGGTTGACGACGAGGGTGGCTTTATCCGCTCCTTCCGCGCATTGCCACCAAAACCGGATGGAAACAACACCATCCGGGTGCTCGACCGATCCGACTACTATTCAGCGCACGGTGATGATGCAGAGTTCATCGCAAGGACAGTGTACAAGACCACGGCTGTCATCAGAAATCTAGGTCGGTCGGAAAATGCTCTACCCAGTGTCACTATGTCCACGACGGTGTTCCGCAACCTCCTACGAGAGTCGCTCTTCAAACTTGGCAAGAGAGTTGAGATATGGGAGGCAAGCGGCAAAGGACAGTGGAAGCTGGCTCGTCAGGCCAGTCCCGGCAATTTGCAGGCTGTTGAAGAAGAGCTCGGCTCAGGCATGGACAGCCAGGGCGACAGCGCACCGATTATACTAGCCGTCAAGATAAGCGCAAAAGCTGGAGAGGCCAGAAGCGTTGGTGTCTGCTTCGCTGATGCTAGTGTGAGGGAGCTGGGTGTGAGCGAGTTTCTAGACAACGACCTCTATTCCAACTTTGAGAGCCTCCTCATCCAGCTGGGGGTCAAAGAGTGCATTGTGGCCGGGAGTTTCCAGAAAAAGGATCCCGAGCTGGCGAAGATCAAACAAATCGCTGATTCATGCAACGTCGCCATCTCTGAGAGAGCCGCCTCGGACTGGGCGAGCAAGGATATTGAGCAGGATCTGGCTAGGCTTCTGAAGGGCGAGAACGCCATGGGACTTCTACCTCAGACCGACCTCAAACTAGCAATGGGCAGTGCAGCAGCGCTGATCAAATACCTTGGTGTCATGACGGATCCCAGCAACTTCGGCCAATATCGACTGTATCAGCACGACCTTGGTGGCTACATGAAGCTTGACGCGGCTGCGCTCAGGGCTCTGAACCTTATGCCTGGCCCAAGAGATGGGGCGAAAAGCATGAGCCTTTTCGGTCTGCTCAATCATTGCAAGACCCCCATCGGGGGCCGCTTGCTCGCTCAATGGCTCAAGCAGCCGCTGATGAGCTTAACAGAAATTGAAAAGAGGCAGCAACTTGTGGAAGCTTTCCTCACGGACACCGAACTTCGTCAGACCATGCAAGAAGAGCATCTGCGGTCAATCCCGGATCTATACCGCCTGGCCAAGAAGTTCCAGCGAAAGCTAGCAAATCTCGAAGACGTAGTCCGCGCATATCAAGTCGTCATACGGCTTCCAGGCTTCATCGAAGCATTGGAAACCGTGGTCGACGAGCAATACCAGATCCCTCTCAATGAGCAGTACACGTCGAAATTGAAAGACCTGGCTGGTTTCCTAGGCAAACTGGCCGAGATGGTGGAAACAACAGTTGACCTCGATGCCCTCGACCGCCACGAGTTCATCATCAAACCAGAATTTGACGAGAAGCTAAAAGTGATCCGCTCCAAACTCGACAAAATCAAACATGCAATGGATGCAGAATATCGACGAGTGGGCAAAGATCTTAATCAAGAGCTTGACAAGAAACTTTTCCTTGAGAACCACAGAGTGCACGGTCATGTGTTCAGGCTTACGCGCACCGAAGCTGGGTGTATACGAAACAAGAAGGACTACAAAGAAGTCTCTACGCAAAAGAATGGCGTCTTTTTCACCACAAATACCATGCAGGAATTAAGACGAGAACATGATCGGCTCTCGGGGTCTTACAACCACCAGCAAAATTCGCTGGTATCCGAGGTCGTGGGCGTGGCTTCGTCATATACTCCGGTGATTGAACAGCTAGCAGCCATTATCGCCCACCTTGACGTGGTAGTCAGCCTGGCTCATGCATCGGTGCATGCTCCGACAGCGTACGTTCGCCCGAAAATGCACGAACGAGGCACCGGGGATACCATCTTGAAAGAAGCACGCCATCCCTGCATGGAAGCTCAGGACGACATCAACTTCATCACGAACGATGTGGAACTCAAGCGGGACAGCTCAAGGTTTCTCATCATTACAGGTCCCAACATGGGTGGCAAGTCCACGTACATCCGTACAATCGGCTGTATCGCTCTTATGGCGCAAATCGGCTGCTTCGTGCCCTGTTCAGAAGCGGCGCTGACAATATTTGACTGCATTCTTGCTCGTGTGGGAGCATCTGACTCACAGCTTAAGGGTGTCTCAACGTTTATGGCCGAGATGCTCGAGACTGCGAATATCCTCAAGAGCGCTACGCAAGATTCCTTGATCATCATCGATGAACTCGGTCGCGGCACGAGTACATATGACGGGTTCGGTCTCGCCTGGGCAATCAGCGAGGAAATCGTTGCTCAAATAGGTGCATTTGGATGTTTTGCCACGCATTTCCATGAGTTGACTGCATTAGCCGACAAGTTCCCCAACGCGGTCAAGAATCTTCATGTCGTTGCATTTGTGGGCGATCAAGACACGAACATGACGAATGCCGACGATCCTTCGTCTAAGAAGCGAAGAGAAGTCACATTGTTGTACAGAGTCGAGCCCGGCATCAGCGATCAGAGTTTCGGCATCCACGTGGCTGAACTTGTCCGCTTCCCAGAGAAAGTTGTCAACATGGCACGCCGCAAGGCCGAAGAGCTTGAGGATTTCACGAGTGCAGGAGGAGAAGCCAAGGCGGAGGACTTCTCGAAGGAGGATGCAGATGAAGCAAACAAGCTGTTAAAGGAGATGCTGAAAGACTGGAAGCAACAGATCGAAGAAAGAGGGAATATGAGCAAAGATGAAAAGCTACAACTGATGAGAGAAATGGTAAAGAAAGATGAGAGGCTGATGGGAAACCCATTTTTCCAGTCTGTTCAAACACTGTAAAAGACTTTGGCAGTGGTGAGGATTGACTTGTATCAAAAAGCATGGTGTTGGGAGTTCATTCACCGTGCTGACCCGAAGTCGCAAAGATACGATGTTGTGTCAAGTCAAGACCGAATCTCTGAAGTGATGTTGATGCTGAACTTTCTTTGCCTTTCTAATGCATTTTGCCGGACGCATGCCATGCTCTAAAAATCTGATGGGCTAATATGCACCGATATGACGAGGATTTTCCCTCTGCTCATCCGAATGCACAACACCTTCAGCTAGCGTTCAGCCCACATAGCCCTATGAAGTCGCGTTCTTGATATTGCCCCTAACATCATCATTCCCTCCATACTGCTCCTCGTACTGCTTCTTCAGGTGCTCCGGCCCTTGTCCAGCCTCTCCCTGGTCAAAATCTCCTGCTTTCGTCGGCCGACCGGTGCCCTTCTGGATGTCTCCGCCCTCTTCAACGGGGATTTCGCGGTTGTCTCCCGCCCCCGAAACTTTACTGCCGTACTCGGCGGTGCTGCCCGGGAATTTCGCGGTTACGCTTTGGTCGATTCCAGATTCATCAGCTGGGCGAAGTGTTAGCTTGCTGAAAGAAGCGACTGGAGGGGTCCAACGCACTACTCGTACTTCCTGCATGGCCTTGCTTGGCCTGCTGTGAACTGAGATCACGCTCCGCGGCTTTGGCGATGTCGATGGGGTCTTGGCCTTTGTATTCTGCGGACATCGTGGTAATCTGTGTATGCACTCAAGTCGTGGGTATTCAATGAAGGCTGGTCGTGTGACTTTCTGGGAAGATGGTGTAGAAGTAGTGCATTAGTATCCGACCAAATATATCCCCCGCCTACCGACAGAATTTGTACCTGCGTTCTATGGCATCATTGGCAGGCCTGAGGCTCCTAGCATGATGTCATGCGAATAACGTCATGATGCTCGCCTACCTAGGTAGTGCTTCTAGCCTAACTGGCCTTGCTGGAAATGATATCCGTCACTGCGGGTTTGCGCAAGGCTGAGAGACCCCCGAAGTATAAGAAGAGGCTGACGGTTAGGACTTCACTGCCAGACAGTAGCTTCACCTGCACTTCGCGATTCAATTGCCTTATATATTTGAGTCGACAAAATGTTTCCAACTTCTACACCAAAATTGGTGACTCTGTATGCATAACCACCTACAGCAATTGATCTATTCTCCGAACCCAGGAGATGTCGTGTCATCAGGCGGATTACAGGTCTTCGAGTTTGGAGTTACCTGCCAAAAACAACCACCAAAGTATCCTGTAGCGTAAGTCCATGAAAATTGTTCCCCCTACAGGAGAAACGGGCTAGTGTAAGGGGTGCGTCCCTGCCTGGTTTGGGCGTTTTCACGGGGGTTCGAAACAGGGGTCTCGCGGCTCGAATCTGATTTTTTTTGCGCCTTGGGAATGTCTCATGGAATTTTTGGTCGAGAGCCGATGGGTGCGGGCTTGGCCGTTTATGCTGGTGAAGTGGTCCTGTAGCGGTGGGCCTGGAGGGTGTCGTGTGAGGCAGCAGCCAGCCAGGGTGTGATTCCCGCTCTGCGAGAATGCCAACGTTCACCTCGGACATCGCCCTGACTGCGACAGCTACTCCTTCCAGATCGGCGCAACGACACCAGGCAGGTACCTGTGAACAGAAGGAGCCGGCTACTGAGGATGCAGTGCTCCTTCCGCATACAAAATTGTGAACGGCCTACGTCACTCCGGTTTGTCCTTGTTTGGCTCTTCGCACGGATTGAAAGCAATGTCCATGGATCCTTTCGTCGAGTCAGGCCTACACGTCCAAGCACGATGCCTGACACGCAGGTAGCACCCGACACTCGTTCTATCAGTGCTAAAAGCCGCAGATCTTCAGTCTCTGCAATACCCCGTCCTGTATCTGGCACCTCTCGTCGTGCCACTCCCACAGTTTCCAGAGCCGGGAAAAGAGACTCACCAGCAGCAGGCCCTACTCTGGACCTTTACCCTCGCAGAAAATCATGGCACACTAAAGACAGTCTCGCACCCACCTCGTACCGAAAACCACAAATCCAGCTATCACAGCTGCCAGAATATTCTCTCCCATACCAGCAGAGGGCCCAACAAGACCTCTCTGGTACCCGACAGCAGCTTCACATTCGCAATCTCTCCACACATTCTCTGAATGTCCGTGATACAGACACGGGTCTTCATCAGCTGAAGCAGGCCTCAAGTGCCAATGCCCTCCCTAAATCAAAGACGATCAGCAGCTTCCGATCTCCGCCACGCGACACCACGCCAGGAAGACGCCTCCTTCAACCTATTGGCCCACCATTACCCAGGACGCAGACCTTGGGAAACATCTCATGCTTCAATCCAGTGAACCACTCGCCATCACCGAGGAAGCCCCAACCCATTTCGCTCTCACCTCCACAGCAACACCACAATAACGTCAGCCAGTTGAACATTGCCGATGCCTTGGGTGAAAGCAGGATGACCAAGGAAGAGGTGGACCTAATGAAACAAGTACAACGAGAGGCTACAGCTAACCGTGCTCGGCTTCGAAACGCACATCAACAATACAAACCTTCCCCCTACGCAGCTTCAGAAGGATCCGTAGCGAGCAGAGACATTCCAATCCTCAACCCGTCTATGAATGATGCAGCCAACATTCAGCACCCCGAAGGGAGCAAGAGAAGGTCTTCATCTGGACGACTGCTGTTCATCAACTCCACCTTGGCAAACAAGAACTGGCAACAGAGTGAGCCCTCGACCGCAACAAGTGTGGTGAGCATCGGAAGCGTCACCAGTTCAGAGCCAAGTCAGAAAGAGGAGAACGACCCTAGAAACGTAGGCCAGATCCGTCAGGTGTGTTCTCATCGTGCTGTACTGACAGTCAATCAGGTGTACGTCGCAGAACCGAAAGCGTACTGGACAGGTCGTTATATTTCCCTGTGTGACCGACTCCGTATGGCAGAGCTCAAGAGACCTCCTCCATCACCATCCGAGACCAATGAGAAGCAGATTGATCGTTTGTTCGAAAGTAGCGAGAAGGTTCGAATGAACTCGGCTCTGGAAGAATTGAGGGGCCATTGCAAGACTTCCGAAGCACTCATCAGCTTTGAAGCCTTTGAGGGCTCTTTGCTGAAAAGCATGGGGATATCTCGCCAAAGCCTTCATCGAGCAGGTGCTGTTGCATATGGAACAAAGGTGGCGGACCGGGGATTGACAGCGTCTCGTACGATGCCGTTAGCAATGGCTGTGTCTCACACGCCTGTGACTCTATCATCCTCAATGAGTCGGATCTCTAGCGTCAATGGTGAGCCTGCTATGACGGATGCATCCAGGACCTGCTATGGTGAAGGTAATTTAACGAAAAGTAAGACCACCGGCAACCTGTCGTCGCTGATTCCAATCATTCCAAAGAGGCGACATGTTATTATAACTGGTCCTGCATCCAAACAGAACAGCGTTCAGCAAATTTCGCATAGGCGGCAGTCTTCCTACTTCGAGGGCTCCCCTGAGACCAGAACCAAGGCGCTGAAGGAACGGGAACAACGCGCGGCTCGAAGAGCGGCCGAAGCACATTGGCGATCGACGTCGCAAGCGCTGTCTCCAGACGGACCGAGCAGCCGTCCACCCTCTGGTAAAGTGCTCGAACCTGGAGAGATGAGTCAACCTCAGCTCGTCTCTTACAGCTCTAGCATCAAAGGGTCTGATGAACTCAGCTATTCATTGAGCGCTACCGCGTTAGAAAGCGGACATGGACGGCCACCACCAGTACCGACGAACGTTGCGCCATCTCGGGTCGAGTTGGTCAACATGGCTTCGGGCGGCAAAGAGAAGGTGATCAAGTCTCGACACAAGCCAGAACGGCAATTCAGCGGGGATAGGGTCAAGACTTTCCTTGAAGCCGGGGTACGAGAGGTGAGGAAGATGGGCCGACGAGTCAGTGGCATGAGCTGGCCAGGAAGCGGGGAGTACTAGTCTGTGTCTGGAAGTGTCGGCTTTGGAGAATGGGCCGTTATAGGTGTATGAAGATGGGAGTAAGGGTGCGTTGTACGAAGTAGCGCTGAGCCGAATGCGCCGTTCTGGTAAGGTTAGGCGCACCAAGTATCACGAAAGACTCCGCATCAATATCGAAGAAAACTGGAGATGAAGCTCAAGAGCCAGGTAGAGCCCCAGCCAGATTTATACAGGAACCCAATGAATCTCCATCTGTACCTGCCTCTGGCCGCCGCCATCGTCCGCAAAGATATGCACTTTGTCAAACCGGCTTGGCACCCTCTCTGCCCAAAAGACACTGCTGTTTCGATAAGCCAGGACCTTCTCATCCTCAGCACTACTCGAGAAAATGCCCTGCACAGAGGCTTGTCTCGTGCACTCGAATTTACTCGTGGCTGGATTGACGAGGCACGGCGAGTAGGACGAGGAGAGGGAGAATAGCGGGGCGTGTCCGGGGTCAACGACGTCGCGCTTGGAGCGGAACGTGGCACATTGGCCTGACGTGTACCACTCGCCGTGGCGGATGAGACAACCTTTCTTTCCGGGGGTGTCATCGAGGACGTGCATCTCTAAGTGGCCCTTGCCGGTAAAGGGCGGGGCCGGAGCTGTGGGTTCCGGCGGTGACGTTGAATGTGTGGCTGTGGGTGAAGGTGAGGAGGCATGTTTAGGCAGGTATTTAATTCCCCGGCGCGGACAGTTTGATGAGATCCCATCGGGTGGGGCGGGGACGAAGTGTCCGTGCACCGTGCTCGCGTTGAGGAATGGTGAGGTGGGGGCCGAGTCACTGCTGGGCGCGTACGTGCTGTGTCGAAGCGAGCCCTTCACACTGAAGTGGTACCAGATCTCGTTTAGTTCGCCCCTGTGGTTACAGCGGAAGGTGACGGGCTGGGCGTGGGCTGAGGAAGAGACCGCGTCTTCGAGATCGCGGAGCGTGTATCGCTTCGTGGCGCTTGGGAGGATCCCCGCCTCCGCGAGGGTTGAGTACGTATCCAGCGTGCGAAATAGGGACGTCGTGTGGATGAAATAATCCAGTACATCGAGATGGTGATGATGGGGATGGTCGGAACGATCGCCGTCCGGCGAGAGAGTCTCTGGCGGTTCGTAACAGTTCGGTTCGAGCGTCGAGATGCATGTGCCGTGTTTGTTCCACTCGTGGGACCACAGGTGTCCGTCGTCCCCGTCGTAGGATAGCCAGTAGGTGCGCATGAAGTCGAGCAGTTCGGCGATCAGACTGGGGTCACCCCTGTCCGCTAGGGCCCGACTCAATACGCCGGGTATGTCGGAGTGAGTGCGGGACGAGTCGCAGAAGGCGTCGAACCCGCCCGTGCACAGGTCGGGCCATAAGCCGTGGACGGTCCATGATGTGTTGGGCCCAATGGGTGGCGCGGTGTCCCAGAACTGGGTCTGCAGGAAGTGGCCGGACGGGTGGTTGACGCAGCATGTGTTCAGCGAGTCTGGGGGTGAGGTAGGGCAGGAGAGGGCGGGCGGGTTGGGGCAGGAGTGCTGGTTTGGTAGCAATGGGGATGATGATGGGAAATGGGCGCTGTCGTGGTTGAGTCCTAGCGAGGGTTGGTGATTCAGCAGGGATGAGAGAAGAGGGATTTGAGACACGAGCTGGGATAGGGAAGGCATCTTGAACAAGAAAGAATAAAGAACGTTAGAGGTATGAATGTGTTCAATACAGGTAGCTGTCCTTTTGTTGGATGATGTTCGAAGAGTCGAGGTTGTCAATCGCGTCGGTCACGGGTCGGTGGTTGTCGTCTGATCAACAAGGATGACGTCAGCAAGGCTGGCGCAAACACCCAGCACGCACGAGGCTGAAGCGCCAGGGCTTAAGGATCCGGTGACTCGCATGCCACAGGACACGGAAGCTCAGTCTTGCGGATATATTGTTCCGCCTTGTTTCCTGATCTCGTCCATGATCTCCATGACTCGCAAGGTCTCTTTCCAGGGCATGATGGCACTCTCCTTTCGACCTGCAGCGATGTCGAGCGCCGTGTTGTCCGCCTCGTAGATGAACCCGCGGCCGACCTGTGGATAATCGTACTTTTTAGTCTCAAAGTCGTCTTTGGTATCATCTTTCGTGCCTGCCTTTCGGCGGTGGGTGATAAACGAAAGAGGTAGTGCCGGTGCTGCGCCCTCAACATCGACGTGTCCTTCGGTTCCCTGGATCCGGCAAACCACGGGATCGCGGAGCCCGGACATAGTTGTGGACGTGACCACCCCTTGTCTCCCGGTGGAAGGGTACTGCACCAGGATGCTTGAAGTCACCTCGACCCCGTGCAGATGAGTTTGCGTCGCTAATATCTTCGGCCTCTCGGAATCACTCGGTGTGTTTGGATCCAGTGCCAGGAAAGACCAAGTCAGTGGGTAGATGCCGAGATCTAGCAGGGTTCCTGCGCCGAGATTGAGATCTTTGTACCGTGAGGTATCCGGTAAGTTGCTGATGTCGATGAGTAGAGAAAAGTCGGAAAACATGCGGAAAACATCCCCAATGACTTTATCCTCGAAGAGGAGTTTTCTCAACTCGGCGACCAGAGGACGATGCCGCAGCCACATTGCCTCATGGACATAGACGTTCTTCTTCTCTGCCGCGGCAAACACTTCCCTCGCCTCCGCCACGTTGATAGTGAATGCTTTCTCGCAGAGGACATTCTTGCCCGCGGCAATGGCATCCAGACAATTCTTCTTATGGAACGAATGCGGGGTGCCTATATAGACACAGTCGACGTTTGGATCGCTGTAGACTTCCTCGTACGTGCCGTAGATGGTTGGACTGGCCTTTGGACAATTCTTCTCCGCAAAACTCTTGCCCTTGTCAAGCGATGAAGAGCCAATGCATTGAATCACATGGTTTGCTTTTGCGTCTGGTCGATCAAGGACCAGGTCTTCGACAAACCATGATGATATGAGACCAGTTGCTAGACGGGGGTCAGCTCGGTCAGTGCATCGACCTTCAAGTTAGCGATTGTGACGCACAGACTATTCCCCATCTGCATGTTGGGACATCGGGGGCCATCTTCAAATCTGTACCTTGCTTTTAGCTAACCTACCGGGTTGACTCAAGACGGAGCAGGTCCGCAAGTCCATACCTAATGCTTCGCTCATACACCTCTGGGCCGCTGCCGCTTTAGTGAATGACATGTGACCTGGCTAAAACGCGGCTTTGCTCAGTTTCAGGTTTATGTTCTGTCCGCTGCGCCGTTGCGCCTCCGCCAGCCCCCATATTTCATGCGGCGTCTCCTCCACCTCCTCGCTATCCACTCTTCTCATCCCCATGCCCTTGAGCGGTAGCGAGCGTTACGAGTACATGTTGGCATATAACGAAAGCTGTGCCCCATCCGCGGCATCAAATAGTCACCAGACATACTCCGTACAGAGAACGCCAGACGGAGGCCGAGACATTCCTTTGCACCGAGGCCTCTGGCCGCAAGACCTTATCAACATCCAATACTTGGCGGCAATCACTCCATCCTCGGTCCAAGGCTGGACTACATCATCCTGCATCTTCTTGACTGGCCCCAAAGTCTGCGACGGGCACAGCGGGGCTTCTCTTCTCAGCGGCTGGCTGCGATTGTTTTCTCACATCCCCCAATCTGCTGCCGTTCCTGCACCGAACTGTCACCCAACAGCCACAATCAAGTCACTCCCCCGTCCGAACAAGCAGGTCGTATGCCGACAACAGACTCCGTGCTCTACCTCGAACCCTCCCTCCAGAAACGAGCCAACATGGGCCGCTTCATGACCACGATCCTTTCCTGCCTGCACAATCTCCTCATCCAGGTCCCGCAGAACGGCTACCATAACATCTCCCGCGTCGTGCAGCCCCAGATTCGAAGCCTGTCCGATAGTTTCGTGGCATCGTCTTCTGTCCGCCCTGCTGCTGGCATGAAGAAGGGAGACATCGAGTTGGAGTCGATGAAGCCGAAGCAGATGGACGCGGCGCCACCAAGGACGGAGGGACAACATCAGACCGTGCCGACTCGATGAATTCGATGATGCTTAAAAAGAGATGTTCAACTATAGTTGAACTAGACAAAGTGTGTTAGAATACCGCCACCCAGCCTCGCGACAGCAGGAAGGGCAGACTGACAGTGAACTGACCTCGTCGCGCAACGCCTACTTGGTACACCGACCATCAGCGCGCCGCGGGCTTCCATTTCGATTACGGACCAATATCATGTCTGGGCCGCAGTCAGGCCGGTGGTACCACCAACTACGCGCGAACGTGCGATCCACCACCAGTCAATGCGGCTCGGTGCCGTAGTCGAGGATCTGTTTCGCACAAATGGATGGAACATGGACGATGGGAAGGATGGACCCTTTTGCAAGCGTCGCCGCCACAAACAGCACCAGGCCGCTTCGAGACACAGCTCAGAACCACGGATACTTCACAACATAGTACTTCGTTATGCGAACACGCCGAGGGTGCATATACACCGTACGGTATCTCGACAGATGCAGATATTATCCCGAAAGCAAGACCCAGCATGCGCCAGGCAGCCCGCCCGGCCGACGACGACGTGGAGCTTTATTGGACTTCTAAAAAGTAGAATACTAGTCCGTCCCGTCTGGATGGCGGATGGAGAGGGGAGGTTTCCGCACTCCAGACTGTGAGACCATTGAATCGCAGGAGTTTATCAAAGATCTCGATTCTGTTCTCGGTTGCGGTTCCGACTTCGATGGTAGTCGAATGAGAACCAACATCGACACTGACACGACCCAATAAAGCTACATAACATATAGCCTACGCAGACGGAGTCTCTGAATGAATACAGTACATGCCTTGTATTTATTGCCTGCGTTCCTCATGCATGGTTGTCTTCGCCCTCGGCTCGTCCCCCTCAGGACCATCCTGCTAAGGCTGTACCACTGCGTACCCTGCAGATCTTGTATCGTACCTTCGCTCTGGGAACTCTCTTTATCGACATGTCGACTTCTAGGGTTTTCCACACCAGATGACTCAGCACATGGACGCCGTTCGGTCGTGGCTCATGAACAACGCATTATCTGCTCCTAGTGGGAGCACGGAACTGTGCGAGGTCGTGACTGTTCGTCATAATTATGGATGTCTCGGGGGTTTGTTATCGCATTGAGTTCTTAGTCTACATGTGCTCTGGTCGAGGCATTTGAGGGCTTTAGGACGATACGTTAGGAAGCGTGGTGTGCGCAATACATTTTCGAATTCATCTTGCCCATCGTTGAGTCATGTTCGATAGTCATCCGTTCATTCATCCCGTCATCATGTCTAATCAGCCAGATCGCCATGTGCCCTATGGGTGGGTGATTGATATCCAAGAAACCATCCTAGGCAGCTCGGAGCCATAAGGCTTGATAAGCCCTCGTTCTGAGCCATTCGCTTCCTTGCTCGCTATCAGGGACAGACATGACAATCTCAGCACTCATTACCTGCAAGAGTTGATGTCTCTTCATCTTCACTGCACCTTTTTGACCACCACAACAATCAAGTCCATGTCCTTGCCCATGTCATCTTATCCTCGCTTAACCTTTAGCACCCCTTTCAGATTTGCTCGCAATCGGTCTGGTGTCATCCACGAATATGCCGGCCGCTCATATGATACATCTGCGCGACAGTCTTGGGCTCCGAGTCCTCAGTATGGTAGCCAGCAGAAGACCCGGTGCTCACTACACTCTCGCGGGCAGGATTCGTGAATCGTTCCCCTCGATCTTGCGTGGAGTCGCCACTGGAGTCGCGGTCCCGGACAAGGTGAGGCTGGGACTGAGCTCGTCCTTGACCGACTGCACCGATTTCGCCATCCCGCGCTCCAGCGTGATGACCATCGTCGCTGACGTGTGAAACCCCCGCACGTCGAAGATCGCGGGTTCCTGCGCGCAGGTGGAGGACACGGGCCACGCCGGTGCGTACGTCCTGGCCACTATCTTGGTGATTCTCCTGCCAGTTGTTATTACTGTAAGTAGCTGCAGGGTGCCGACCGGAGTCTCGAAGACGAGCCGGTGGACTGCCTGTTCCACCAGTAATACCGGCACCACGCATGATTCGCTCAATATCAGGGTCTGTCTCACTACAAGGCAGGTCGCAGGAGGAGTTCAACATGTCCAGGGCGCAAATGCTCTTGCGATAGACCTCTCGATCACTGCTTGCAACGCTATGATCAGAGCCGTCGTCCTCGTGAGCACTTTCTAGCCTCGAACCCTTATCTTCACCTTGAGATTGACGTGATTTTGGTGTTGAGACTTCGGTTATTCTGCTTAGAACTCGTCGTGCCGTCTGCGAGGTCTGGCCCATGATACCGTGACTCAGGTAGTCCGATGCTATCTGTGCTTGCAGCGGACTTTCCATAGACGATGTGATGCCTGCCAGACGGGCTGTTGCGAGCTGCGACATGGACATAGGATCTGCTGGCAGAGGCTTGTCTTTGTTGATGGGAGAGACAGGAGATGTGGCATTACTACTACCATATCCGAGGGAACCTGAACGTGGTGGAGCAGGGGCAACAGGGTCGGGCGGACCTTGGTTGGCAGCTGCGCTCCAGGCAGGATCACCTGAGCCCTGCATTCTGTCGATGGGAGTATTGGGAGTGGTGCGTGCTGAATGCTGATTTGTGTGTGACTGTAGCGAAGGTCGGTGCTGGAGAGCTTCTTTGCTGACACCCAGTGCCACTTCTTTGGAGGAATACCTGGCGTCGACAGATGACAGTCCCAGTGTGCTTTGACTGGCCGGTATGGTTCCCTTCTTGTACTTGTCCTTCTCCATGCCGAAAAACCTCAGTGCCTTTGAAGTGTTGCTGCTCTTCGCGGCGGCAGAGTATGGGTCCGGCTGGGCGTGAAGCATTGCCTGTGTTTGAGCGACGACGTTCTTGACGTCCTCGCGTCGTGCAAAGACTTCCTCACGAGCACTGCCGAGTTTCTGGCGGAGATTGGCAATCTCAGCGTCCTTTTGATCGAGTTCAAGCTCATGTGCGGTTTTCAAGCTCTCCATGTTACCACGAAGCTCTTCGTAGCGTCGGTTCATCACCTCAGCCTCTGTGACAGTCATCTGGCTCTCAGCTAGAGCGCTCTGATTTTCCTGCAGTTGTTTGGTCAGATGGTCGTTCTGCTGCACCATGAGCAGTAGCTCATGGTCCTTCTCCCGCACCAGCTTGACGGCTTTCTCATACTTCACGGCATATGCGTCGAGGTTCTGAGACTGATCCTTGATCATGGCGGACTGTCCATGTAATACCTTACGGTATTCGACGACGAGATTTCGGGCTTCGTGTAGATCGGTCGCATACTTGTCGAGGGTCTCTTCAGGGACGCGGAGATAGTCGACTGAATCCGGGCGGTCATTACGCGTGTAGTCGGCTATGATACGGAGAACTTGCTGAGTGCGTGGCTCGTTGATGGTGTCAACCCAGCTGGGAAGATTGTTCTGAATGAATGTGCCCAGGAGACGTGCGATTTCGTGGACGGTGTTTCGCAGCTCCGAAACCCGCTGGTCTCTTTCTTCGATCTCTTTGTCTTTCGCAACCATCAGTTCCAGTGCCTCTTCAACTTGTTCTTCTAGGTCTTTGACGCGTTCCTTGTTGGCCTTGCCATCCCGCTGCGCGAGTGACTCGGCCTGCTCGACAACTTTGCGGTATTCTGCAGTGATGGCGCGCATCTGATCGGAGAAAGTCTTGAGCACCTAATAAAGGTCAGCGGCGCGAAGAATCCCGGAAACCATATCACTTACGCTGTTCAAGGTTACCTGATCGACGCTGCTCTCTATCTGAAGATTGGATGCTTCATTGAGCACGCCGATCATTTTCTCGATCTGCAGGCGCATAGCAGGGAGCCAGTGCTGGGATATCATGCCGGAGTCGCAGTCAGGAAGAGTATTGAGCAACTCCTCAATGGTCATCACTGCGAACGGCTTCGTAATTGCTGGGGTGCGACTTCCGATGGCGTACGAGGTCGGCATGTCGCTCCTAGATCGGTCGTGTTTTCTCGTCGTCAAATGCCTAAAGGTGTCCATCGTGCCTTCTTCTGTGGAAACCGACGCAGAAAGCGAAGGGACAGAACTTAGTAGTGACTCGTCAGTGTCCCTACGCAGGTGTCGAAGCTGCGGAGGCGGCGAGATGGGATTTGTTTGCTGAAATCCCTGGCTTGCTTGAAGAAGTGAACCCGGGAGCTCGGCAACAAGTGAATTGTCCTTCGGACTGATAGGCGTTTGTGGTGGTGAAAACAACATCTTGTCGGGTACGGCAGAACTGTAGCGTGAAGCTGTTGGTGGACATGCAACATCCACAATCGCTACCGCTGAGTACTTTCGTCGGTTTGTCGGTGTCCTTGGAGTTGGAGGACCATCACCGCTTCCCAGACTTGAAATAACAGAATACTGAGCTGAAGATGTTACCGAAGATCCACAACCGCTTGATATTCGAAGGAGCGGACGTGCGGAACCCAATTCCTGTACCTCCCTGCAATCGACTCTTGTGTTTGTCTGATCCATGACCTTGCCTCCAGGGCGAACGAGTCCACCGAGTCCACCGTTCGGTACCATCCTGGTCGTTCGGGCGGAGTTCCTGGGACCAAAGAGTGAGGCCATATGTGTGCATAAACGAGAGCGAAGCGATCAACACCTGAGAAGGCAGACATGCTGGCAGAACAGGATCTGATTTCCGAGGCTTGATACATATCTGTGTGTATGCATAGTGCCGTATCGCAACGAAGAGCCAGAGGCCGAGGCCTACGTTTTCTATGCAGGGGCCTGAAGCAGAAACAGTGTCAAGAAGTAGCTTCGTTGAAGCTTCTTCGGGAATAGGATAACACATTAAACCAATCAAGCAAAGCATGAGATGGCCTTAAAGCTCTCGACCATGTGGCTTCGATTGTGCTACCATGCGCGGGCTCGCTTGACTTCGGGCGACGAGGCGCTTAAGCCAGGCCATCACGGGGCCAGCACCCGACACCTGAGAGCGCCGCGCAGCTGGATAAGTATCATCATGACACGACCGACGGCCACGAGGGAGAGCCGATCCTCCAGCGGGGGTTATGGCCATCCAGGAAAGCAATAGTGACACTCGAGCGAGAACGAGAGAAAAAGAGGTAGGAGTAGACGGCCTGGAAGAGGCGGGAAGAAGCTGAGCTCCACAAACGCACCGTCGGATTCTCGGCGACGGGCGCGTCAATTGCTCCACTTTTGCGTCGACGACGTCGGTGACATCAGATCTCGCTGACTTCCTCCAGAATCCGCCTCCAACTCCTTCAATAAATCCAGAAACGAACCTTCTGTTCCCTTCCACGTCCCTCATCTGCCGACCTGCAAGAGTTATGATGCAGCCTTGAGCAGAAGATGAACTCAACAGGTGTTGAAGGGCGACCTTCGAAAAGAGTAAAGATGGATAATGAGACCACCACCAAAGGCCTAATACCTCCAAACTCGAAACCCGGCAAGGACCAGTGGGCGGCACAGAAGGCACAGAGTCCCAATCACCCGCGCAGCAGACCCAACTACCGACAGAGAGCCACAATCAGCGCGTCCGGAATCCACAGTGGTGATGTCGGGATATTGGTCACAAGCGACAAAGGTCAGGAAAAGAAATGCTTGCAAGAACTATCAGACTTACTTGCAGAGGTACGCCCTGTCGCGCTGTGACAGGTGCTTGTTGACTAAATTCCACTAGTTCTTTGAGCAGGAAGCAGGCTCAAGTGCGGCGCCGGCGGATGAGGATCACACCGCGACCGCCACCGAGAAGGAAGTGGATATTGAAGCCGATATCTCTGCTGAGCTGAACTCTCTACGGCCTCATGGTGCAAGCACAGATGGCGCGTCACAGCACCTTTCTTTGGTGACGCTGGACATACCCTGCGTCTCTTTTGTCCGATTTCCAGCAAAATCCCCAGTTGACCCCGTTGAAGTTGTACGCAAGATCTGTCTGGCTGCCTCAAATGGGGACCAATCTAGGCCGCGAAGTCGGTACATCAGGCGACTCAGTCCAGTTAGCCTGATGAGAAAGACGCTGAATGAGGGCCTCAAAACACTTTGCAGCCAGATACTGCCCAAGCACTTTCGGGTCGAGAGCGAAGCCGAAGACACCGAGAAACATCCCGAGAGCAATGTCCACCCCTCCCAAACACCATGCAAATTTGCTATCCGCCCTACCATCCGCAACAACAATAAAATCAACCGCGACGAGGTGATCCGGACCGTCGCAGACAGCGTTGCCTCTTTGGGCAAGCATACGGTCGACTTAAAGGGCTACGACAAGCTTATCCTCGTGGATGTGTACCGAAATGTCGTGGGTATGAGTGTGGTTGGGAGCGAATATGAAACCCTCAAGAGGTTCAACTTGGCGGAGCTCCAGGCGAGTCATTTCGGAAATCATGACAAGGACGAAACAGTCTGAGCCCAGGATCCAAGTCAGATGGACCCGCAAGAGGTTGGCAACCACAGATTGAGTCCGGCTGATTCAGAAGGGCGGCTGATAGCCGATACGCTCTGCCGTCCTGGCGAGCTCCTGGAACGAATTTGACAGACTCAGTCTAGTCAGAGTGTTGCTTCGGCGTACGCTGTCTCTGACGCGACTCCAAAGAGGCTGCGACCTTCCAGAGTCGTTCGACGGGCTTGACTGTTCGGTTTCCCTCACAACAGCCATCTGCAGCCCACTTTCTTGTTCCTGCTGCCCGAACCCTCTCAAAGTCCGCCGGCTCAGCCAGTAGCCTTGCAGGTTATATCGGCCTTTCCTGCTCGTCGATTTCCGGCCAAGACACTGGTTCAGGCAACGATTTCGATATGCTTCACTAAGCTTGAATGGAGTCGTTGGAAGAATCGAGGGCGGCTCCGAATTCCACGGCAGGGTCGATTGGTAGGGGACCGCGATCAATGGTTGATGCAGAGGAAGGAGAGGAAGAGGCTCATTCGGAGGGGTTGAAGGTGGCGAACAAGCTGCTGTCAGCACTGGATTGCGGCCTTTGGTGGGCGATGGGGCAGGTCTCGGTTGAGTGTACGCTGTTGAATTTTCGAACCCGATCAGAAACCCTCGTTCGTCATATCGGCCACGACGCAATGATGGGTCTTCGCCGTGCAGCCGCTCATCAACAAAGGGATCCATGTCGTCATAAATGCTGCTACCACCAGCTGAGGAGCCTTCTGGTGGTGTTTGAGCCGCTAATGGAGAGCTCGAGAGCTCCTTCTCTTTCATTGTCTGCGCCATCAGGGGAGTATCCAATGCTAAACGTTGCGACAGAGCTGGAAGGTACAAGTGAGATGGGATTCAAAAATTAAAAAGGAAGTGCAAGTCATTTTCCCAGTGATGCTCTGATGTCTATCTCGAATTCACTTTCCAAAGAAACAAAATTTGCAATTAGAGTGAATACTGGAAGCGACCTCAGGACAAAAGATGGCACTTTCCTTCACTCAGACAATAATGGCATCACGATTCGACTGGCAACATAATGGGGAGACACGACGCATGTTACCTTGGACAACCCTTTCTCTTCCCACCGGACGCTGACTTGTTGCTCATACCCTGCAGCCTCCAGCGATTGGATACAGTATTTCACAAGACTTCGCCTCGAGGATGGAGTTCGAAGCACAAGGCCATGACTCTCACACCCTCCATCACACGGCGTGCGATCCGCCCTAATTACGAGACAAAATCTGGAAATCTGGCCATCGGTACGCCGAAAGGATGTTAAGAGCAATTCTCCTCCAAACCCCCCATGGCAGTCGGGTGGTGGGTATGCAGAGCCCATCTCTTCAAATTACCGCCTAGCCGAACTCCAAGCAAGCCGGGCATTGCCATGGCAATCTTTGCTCAGGAGGCAGCGCCAGGGAGGTTGTGGCGCGCAATAGGCGCCAACAGCACAATCACATCGGGTGGACGCGGCGGCGATGGAGCACTATGTTGTCGACGTCGCGAGCGCTGTGGCCATCTGTTGTCATGTTGTGTCTCTTGCTCTTTTGTCGATATCGCGGGCACCAGCGACATCATCCAGCGGCGCGCTGCGGTTAAGATAACGGTTGGGCGCCAGGAACAAAGACACTTGGACACTTGGAATTTCGGACCCCTACTGCTCGGTGGAGACGTGGCTTGGTTCTTACAGTCTCAAGCATCAAAGAAGGCCGGGATCGGAATTCAGCTCGGACAAGGACGTAGCTAAGGCATTGCAAAGACGAGAATACAGCTCGACGCGGCTGATGCTATTCCTTGTCGGCAGTGCCCAGTCCCTTCCTGGAATTGACAATGGCCATTGCGCCTTGCGGAGAAACATGTAAATCGGCTGGAAGACGTATACCGTCTTCTTGGTCATGCATGTGTCACAGTGAGTGGTTTTGTATTTCTCGGTGGTCGAGACGAAGGGCCGGAGCCTCGAGGAGATTGATGAGATCTTCAAGAGTGATCATGCGATTAGGGTGGCCCTGAAAAGGTCAGAGATCGTGCTGCAGAGAGAGAGAGGGGTGCCACCGTCGAGGTTGAGGAGCCCGTGACGACGACCCGGAAATTTTACGTGGAAGAAGTGGGCAGGGCCTTTCATGCTTGCGCTGGAGGCGGAGATAGGAAGAGAACTATCATTCATCGCGAACCCCACTTACAGGCATCTGTGCGATACTGGATGTCGCAATGCGACACGAAGAGTACCCTTGCCCTTCGATACCGCTGCGCCTCGTTTCTATGCCGGGCTCATTCTTGTTCCCATCTCTCTACACTTTGACAACAACCCACCAAGACCCTTCCGTCCCCATCAAGCCTTGACTCCATGGATTACACACCCTCGCACCTTCAGCTCGTCAAGGCAGCAAGGCCCTTCCAGTCATGGTACACGTCAGGCCCCTGCCGCCTTCATCCTCACCAGTAATATTCCATACACAACGCCCCTACCAGCTTGCCAGGACTCGGACACGTCTCCGGCGTCCTCGGCATCTTCCTTCTCCCTTCCTTACAAGGCACCTGCTGATGACCTTCAGGACAACAAAATACGCCGGCCAGGTCTCCCAGTATTTTCGCCTGCTCGCCTGTATACCCCTTGGGACAGCACGTTGCGCCGAGCGCGGAGATCGGTGTTATCACTGTCCATGTGTAGCCTTTGGGGCAGGTTCCAGGTTTGTGCGCCATCTCGACGATATTCGAAGGGAGAGGTTTGGCGATGGCCATGGCAGGATACTCCGCCATGAGGAGGACGAGGTGGTGAAGGACGATGAGAAACAGGTGGTGTCCGGAAGCCATGCTGAATGCGCTCATATGGTGATTTGCTGATGTGGGGACGTTGTTGTTACTCGTGGAGCTTTGGGGCAAGGCGGCGATGAGTGAGGAGTGAGGACTGGCTGCAACAGCGTTGAATTGAGAAACTTCGGCGGAAGAGTCGATGAGACTTCTGTTGAGTCGGCGAGTTCGAGGTCTTGGGTCTGATTAGGCCGGGCCATTCAAGCCAGGTCATGCAGCTGAGTACCGGTACAATGCGCTATGTCTCGAAAGGGTGTCAGATATCGGTGCTTGATGGTCGCGCAAAAGCAAAAACGCCCAGTGTCTGAGAGAAGAAGATATGGCGAGCAACTCCCAAACCACAATAATAGGCATGTAAAAGTTGAGGCTGAAGTGGTGAGTTGGAGGGGCACAAGAAATGGGTGAAAGGCAAAGTGAACAGATAATGAAGGCCAACGCATGGGAAGGTAAAGGGACAACAAACACCAATGCAAGTCAACGGCACATGACACTGCACGCGAAGAGTAAGCTCAACTGTATGACAGCCGTCAGAGGTATGCAATGTAGTTCATGCATCCGACCCCAATTTCAATGTGAAGAGAGGGCGGTGAATCGAGCACAGCTCATCAACGTGACTGACAGAATTCATTGACCATGACCAACGCTGTTGCGCCTTCCCATGCACTGTCTACTCGCTCAGATCTTGTTGACTCAAGTGACGTCCACGAAACGCTCCGTTCAATTCGGCAGCTGCAACCAAGGCACCTCCTCCGGCGTATACTTGTACGCTCGGAATACGGCATTCGCAGGGAAATCAAACCCAATGTCGACCAGCTCCGGCGCGTTCAGTTGCTTGTAATCCGCAAAATGAGGGTTTACATATTCGAAGCAGATCTGTCCCGCAGGGGTGACTTCGAACATGCGCCCGAAGACGGCCTCTGTAATCAAAGTATTGCCGTTCTTGAGTCGTTGAGCGCCGCCCATGAATGGCGAGAAGAACGCGTTGGGCATAGAGCGGTCGCGGTACTCCCAGACTATCTTCTTGGTGGCCCGGTCGACCTGGATGACGCGGGAATAGGTCGAGCTCTCTCGGTATCGGAATGTGCCGTTGTCGAAGATCAGAATACTGCCATCATCGAGTTCGCTTGCGCAGTGCTGTTGGGCTACGACCGTGCTGTCGAGGTGCCACATGATTTCACCGGTCTCGCGGCTGATGACGACGACTGCTGAGACACTTCGAAGCGAGGCAAGGATATTGCCATCCTTGAGCAATTGGACACTGTTGATTAGGGGCCAGTGTTCTCGGGCGAAGTGAGGATGGAGGGGAAACTTCTCCGGGTCGAGGTGGTCGATGGCGCGCCAATGGAATAGAACTTTCCCCTTATCCGCGGGGTCTACCAATTTGATGCAATCCGCGAAGACATTGCCGTCTGGTGCCTCTGAGCCCGAGATGCCGCCCGGTATGGTTGTAGCTTGCTCAGGTGTGAGAGCTTCCACGGTTGTGTACAGCAGCTGTCCGTTATCGAGGTGGTGCTGGTCATGGTGTGCCAGAGAGTCTCGATGCTCAGAGATGACTTTGCCGCGAGGGTCGACTTGCATCATGACACCACCCCGATATTTCTGCCACATAGGGAACAGTCTCGGTGCATCAGGGTGAGCCCCATTGTATGCCAGATTGCCATTAGGAAGGATGCGAGCGTGACGGCCAGGCCGATAGGGAAGGTTCCAGCGGTGGACTTCCATACCATCATTGGCAATCAGTCGAACCGTGCCGGGGCTGGTAAGGTGGGTATAAAGTAGGTAGCCGGGCGCCACCTGGCTGTGATCAACACCTCGAAGACCGACGCCTCGGCGGGTAAGAGTGCTTTGCTCCATAGTCGAACGGATTTTGCTGGCTGGATACTGGGTTGATCTGTGTTCATGGCTCTTGAAGTGTCAGAGGCTCGGATTTCTGTTGTTATATACCAAGAAATGCCACGGGAGGCGCCAGGAGGGGCGCCGCCAGAACGGTGGCTATCGGAGTGGACCTGCGGCAGGCTTGGGCGTCGCCATGCAGGGCTGCGATTGTGCCATGGTGGAGAGCCAATTGCGTTGAGGAATCGCCTACGGCAAGACCGCGGCAAGCGGCCTCGAGATACCGTGCCTGCGGCATGCCGAGGAGGATAACGGAATTCCCTATCTGGCCCCACGGCATGCCGTACCAGGTGATAATGATAGTCTTGCCAACACCAAGAACATGGTGATTGCGTGCTCACGAGGCAGCGATGAGGTGCTGCCAGGATGCAAGCATAAAAGAAAGCTGATACCCTTGTAAAGGTTCATCATGACCAGCAACAATCCTTACAGTATCAGTCTCGCAACAGCTCAACTTCAAACCCGATCGTCATGGACAAGTACACCAGCGATAAGGCGCCGGCGAGCAAAGCCCGGTCGTGTGATGATATCATCGAGGATTCCATCGAAGAGAAAGCACTGCGCCCAAAGCCCTTCTCGGGATCATGGCTCAGATCCATCCTTTTGACCGTGGAGACAAGGGGCATCCAGCGCGTGACCGAGGAGGAAAGGAAGCAGAATACGAGCAAGGTTTGGAATGCTTGCACCTTCTGGTACGTTAGTCCACTCTTCATCCTGTGTCCCGTTCGCTCATAAGGTCAGGCTGAGTGCGAATATGGCGGTCGCGACTCTTAATGTTGGCTCCGTTGGTGGTGCCATGGGTTTGTCGTTTTGGGACTGCTTCGTCATCATCCTGGTCGTCAACCTCGTGAGTTGCATGATCCCGGCCTGGACCGCTGGCTTTGGGCTGACTGGGCTCCGTATGACTTCCTTCTCGTAAGCAGCCCACAGTAGTCCGCAAAACCCTAGAACTGACATAGGCAGACGATATTCCTTCGGATACTGGGGCAATCTCCTCGTCGTGATCTTCTCAATGGTCTCCACAACAGGCTGGAACGCAGTCAATTCGATCTCAGGCGCATCTGTCCTCAACGCGCTTTCTGACGGTAAATGCCCCACCTGGTTAGGAGTCGTGATTATCTGCACGACGGTCTGGGTTATCTGTGCCCTTGGCATTCACTGGATTCACCAACTCGATGCTTACCTCTGGATCCCGCCGTTCGTGGTTTGGTGTGTCACCGCAGGCTGCGGTGCCTCGCATTTCTCGGGAAATGCAATCAAAACTCCCTCTGGTGCCAACGGTGCAGCTTCTGCACTCTCCTTCGTCGCGGTCATCTTCTCTTTCGCCGTCTCCTGGATCAATTGTGCTGCCGATTATAATGTCAGAATGCCAGTCAACACGTCTCGAGCACAGATCTTCATCGCAACCTATGTGGGAATCGCGGTTCCGACCATTCTTGTGCAGATCCTTGGTGCAGCGCTGTACACTGGCACAGCGGTCAACCCCGAATGGAAACTTGCTTTCAAAGAGAGTGGGATTGGTGGTCCCCTCAAGCTGGCCCTCGAGCCTGCTGGGGGTTTCGGAAAATTCCTTCTGGTTCTTGCTGGTCTGAGTGCCATTCCGGTAAGTTGCCAGGTTCAACCCAAGGGACTTATAGCTGACGAAAGAAAGAATAACATTCCCAACAACTATTCTTTTGCCATGCATGCACAGAACTTTGGTCCATGGGCCGCACGCATTCCTCGGATCGTCCTCGTGACATTCGGGTTTGTTGTGGCCATCATCGTCGGCGCCTGTGCCGCCGAGTTTTTCGACGACACACTCCAGACGTTCTTGAGTATCATCGGGTACTGGACGATCATCCATCTCGTCGTTGTTGCAGAGGAGCACATCATCTTCAGATTTCGCCGCTGGAGCAACTATGATCTGGAAAGTTGGGACAAGCCAGCTCTGCTCCCTTTCGGTTGGGCGGCCATTGGAGCATTTGGATTCGGTTTCCTGGGTGCCGCGCTTGGTATGAAGACAGCCTGGTATACGGCTCCGATCGCCGCGTTAATCGGAACAAAGGGCGCAAATATTGGGCATGAGCTGACTTTTGCCTTTTCCGCACTGGCTTTCCCAGTCTTTCGGTATATGGAGAAGAGATACAACGGCGGCAAGTAGTGGCGGGGGCGAAACTCTTCTCCATCATAAGACCGTACATATCAGAATCTCCAACATCAAAAGTTGTTGTCATTGAACGGCTCCCAATCAGGTATAAAATCCCAGTTTCCCGTGCTCATCGGATCTGGTCCGAGTATATCCGGGAAATTAGCCCAGAATGGGAAATCCGCCCATGCGTTGTTCTCTTCCGAGGTAATTGGCGATGGCCTGGCGGCTGGGCGGAGCTTTTTGTGGAAAGCGTCGACGATATCGCCCAGCGTAAATGCAGCATGGCAGGGCAAACCTATCGACTTTAGCCAAGACACGAGTTTCGATATCAGCGCGTCCAGCTCTGCAATGTCCTGCGAACGAGCCAACTGCTCGTCGTACATGTGCAATAATCTGCAGAGTGTGACAGCTGCAAATGTGATCATGTGGTAGATGTGGTCTGAGAGATGCTTTGTGCGGTCGTCAGCGGTTGTCATTGCCAGAGAAATGATTGCAGCCGACAGCCGAACCATCTCGCTCAATAGGCTTTCACGGACTCTGGCAGACCGAGCCTTGAGGGACTGATCATAGGCCAGAAGCTGTGCAAAGCTGAATCCCATCTCGAGGAATTGTGACCGCGGCTGATCTAAAGAGAACCATTAACACCGCGGATCACCCTGATTGCGGGTTTCGTACAGACCTAATACGAGCTTCCAGGTCTGCCTCCATTGTTGCAAGGCTGACTGAGCTTTGGGAAGATCAACATCGCCCAAACAGCAGTTCTCATAGAGAATCCAATACAGTTGGATTTCTGCAACCATCCGCATCTCAAAATTTGTTGCACTGTCTGAGGCCAGAATATCTCGACACCGGTCAACTTGACCGCGACCTATTACTGACTTGCGCCTGGTGCCCACCGAGTAGCTATCAAAGTCAGTACCTTGAGTCCAAGGTTGCTGAAAGTCATGGAATCCTACTGTAAGTGGACCAAGCAGAGATGATTCCAAAGCTTCAATGCAGCCATGCTCCGGTTAGTGCCCCGAGACGCACCATTGACGACTTCCGAGAAGATATCGCTAGAAAGGCAGTGCTGAATAGCAAACCCGCTTAGCAACCAGCTATCGATACTCAAAGGCACTTGTCCCACTGTAGTCGACCACATGCTGAGGATAACGGCCGCCTGGAAGAAGTCAAAAGTCTGCGGTGTGGAGAGTAATGCACTAGATAGGAGAGTTTTCGACTTTTCAAAAAGTTCTGGTGCTAACAGGAGCGCGAGATCTGAGTTTGTATGTCGGACAGCGATAAGGCAACAAGCGCTTAGGAGGAGCTGTGACTTTCTGGTCTCCTTCAAAAGGTCCTCCGGTGAGCTGAAGGAGTCAACAAATACCCAACGGCCATAATGCTCGGCGAATCTGTGAAGCCATGTTAGGGGACTTCTGTCTAGCTGCAAAAAAGAATCCGTACATGGCCAGTAGTGTTGAGGCCTGCTGGCTCGACAAGATGCCTTCGCGAATGAGATCGGAATCTTGACCTTCCGCTCCTGAGCGCGCACTGCGAATGGCATCGGGAGACTCAACACCGATTTCAGTAGCAAGGTCTCTGATAACAAAGACAGGCGCGGATGCTGTATCCCTCGTTTCGTTACGTTCCTCGGCGTGGTGGGCTTCCGACGGACCTGACGGCGTGAGCCCCGAGGCGTTGTCATCGCCCAGTGCGATCCCAAATCGGCTCACTATAGTCCCCACAGCCTTCTCAAGTCGCGCAAGTCTGTAGTATGTCAGTTGGACAGAGGTCCCAAGGTACTCATCCCTATGACAGACCTGGCGTCCGTCGAGTTGCTCGGTTGCGCAGTGCCTGGAAAGTTCGGAGGTATCCCATTTACATGTCTCAACGGTCGTTCAGAGGCGAGGGAGCATTGAGTGCCAAGCTTTTCACAACGCAGGCACGGTGCACCTGCAGTCCTTGCTTCATAGCAACGTGTCTTGAGTCGTCGACATGACGCACAAGCGCGTGCAGCTCTTGACTTGTCCGTGGACATGAGGACCGTCTAGGAAGGAGATCCTCCCATACCCTTCTCATCAATGCATGTTGCAAGACGAGCGGGAAAAGTGGCCGACGTCTCAAAATATCCAACCTCGTCAATGTTATTGCGGAAGCTGGAAACAGAACATTCGAAGGTTCACGCGTACGCTAAGGGGGGCGTAGTGCGATACGCGTGCTCCGACTGGCGGAGTAGAGGCGGGTCGAGTCGCCTTGGCGGCCTGTTACTGACAACCCCACCAAAGTTTTGCAGGCGGAGACAACGGTGATTTTCCTACCCTTCGTGAATTTTCCATATCAGCGTCCGCAAACACAACCGATCAGCCAACCACTGAAGGCCCAAAATGGCTCAAGGACAACTCAAAAAGCCCTCCAAGCCCTCCAAGCCGTCATCGTTGTCATCCTCCAGCAATAGCAACAGCAAAGCCACGTCCGGCAAAATCACCAAGAAGGGCTCACGGACCATCACGCCCAAGAAAGCCAGCCTAGTCAGGCAGGCGAAGCTGAACAAGAAGTTCACGGCCGGGTTGACCGCAAAGACGGAGGCCATGCTGGGTGCTAGAGCGGGACATCTGGAGATGCTGGGGCAGGGAAAGGGTGGAAAGAAGGGGCAGAAGAATGGGCCCAGCAAGGGCGGGAACAAGTCTGGAGGGTAGGGCAGAGCACGGTACGGTAGGCTCGCGATCGCTGGGCCCTACTCTTTCGCCGCGATCCCGACTGGCAGACGGTCACACAAGAGCGCGCGAATGACTTGGGAGGGGAATGACACCGTGTTGACGGAGATGGCAATCGATAGGACTACAATTCCGCGATGGAGCTCTTCGATGGTGAAGCGACAAGATGGCGCATCAGCTGCTATGAACCACAGCGACACTCGATGGGCCTCTGAAACCCGAACGCCTGGACCTGGTATATTGAATGAGCAAAACAAACGAAACCCGGGACAACGGCCATCACATTCCTCCCAACGCCCGAGCAGCCTCCCCACCGCCACTCTGCACCATCGCCTGCTGCCCGAGGTCGGCTCTGAGCTTGCCCTTAGCAGCTCCACCTTCGCCAACACCCATCCTCCGAGCAACATATCGTTGCGACACGATGCCAATCACCAGACTAAGCGTCTCCTCGACCCACTCGCTCACCCATTCTCTGGGATCAATCCCACCGCTTGAGATAATCTCCTCGATGCTCTCCGGCAAAGTGCCCTCTCCGCCGCTCGGGTCATCAAGCCACTCGATCCACTGGCCCGGGATGGCTTGAGAGATTGCCTGGAACGCAATCCCGTGGATAGGATCATGCAGGAACACTGCAAAGACAACCTCTTCATTGTCCTTGTCATCTTGCGCCTCCTTGACCGGTCCTTCCTTCTCCGACGTCGGTGCTGCCGCAAACATGTCCTTCGGCACGGGTTGCGAGATAGCTTGGATGGCCAGGAATATCTCGCTGTCCCGGGTAGGGTTTGAGGCTGAGAGTGTTTCCGTGGCTCGCTTGGCAGCCTCTTCGACTCCACCTTTGCCGGAAAAGTATTCCTCGGCATATCCTTCTGCGGCCGCTCTCGCAAGTTTGCTGCCCTCAACGACACCCCGAACTGCATTGATACCTCTGCGCTCGCCGCTTCTCCACCACGGACCATCATGCCAAGATCCAAGAGGGCGTGAGGTCTCCGACGACCCTCGTTTCGGCCCTGCTTCGTGTCCTCTTTGGACGACCATCAAATCACCGCCTTCGACCTGCGCCATGACTCGGCTGAAGACTTGGTAGATTAGTGGATCTAGTGTCGGATAATTCGACAGGTCATGCGTGATGTGGATCTGCAGTCGTTCGTGCGAGGATATAGGCGGGGCAATCGTCTGTAGGATGTTCTGGAACGTCGGGATGGCCATGTTCTTGATCTCGCCGCCTGTACAATGCAATCAATTAGCTCCCTCCTTGCCAAGTAGCCACCCATACCCGGTGGGAATATAACCATACCAAAACCTCGTAGCACATCGACATTGCCCTTCAACTGCTCGGCCCACTTTTGCGCCTCTTCGTTCTTCTGTATCTCCTTCACTGCCGCCTGAGCCTGGCTCACCGCGGCAGTCGCGGTCGAGAGGAACCCTCCCCACCACCCTCCTCCACCTCCACCTCCACTACTCTTAGCAGCGACGGGTACAGGGGCCGGTTCAGGCTGCTGCGCCTCATGCTCGCCAGCGGACCCTTCCGTCGAAGACGACGACGTCGCGGGCGTGAAAGCCTGGTGGAACGAGCGCGTACTATCCCCCGACTTGCGCGTGCCGGTGGTCGATTTCTCCTCGCTGCTTCGTCCCGGGGGCGGCGTCGCAGTCGACGTGCGGGCGGGCGATCTACTGCCCGCGGTCGACCCCGGGGCATTCGGTCGGAGCGACGGCGTGGCGGGTCGACTCGCCGGTCGGTGGTGGGCAAGGTTCCCCAATTCGGCGAGGAGATCTTGTTCGTTCTGCGAAGTTGAGGCAGCGGACTGGCCTTGTCGCGGAGTCCGGACGGCGGAGGGTTTCGTCGAGGGACGTGTGGTGGTCGAGGCCTGCGTGCTCAGGTCGTCGAGCTGGGCCAACAGCTCGTCGTCTGTTGGGGCGGATTTCTTGGTGGCCATCGTCATTGCATTACCACAGGGGTGAAGAGGATTGGGTGATTATGTCCTGTCCTGCAGTGATGGAACGTTGCAGGGCCGTGTTCCAAGCAGATGGCCTGTTTCGAGGGGTGTGGACAATGCCGCCCCCAGGTAGGTACCAGGGGAATGACCGCATTCAGGGTTCGGCGAAACACTGGTAAGAATCACGCAGATTGTGGGTCCCTCTGAGCAACTGACTGAATGGAGCTTCAGATCAAGTCCCCTTCAGACATGAGTGTACTCTGTAATTACGCAACAGTTTTCTGCGCAGCACCAACACTTTGCTCGTAGCGAAGTTAGATGGATGTAATTCATCCTATCCTGGTTAGGTCATTTTACCGTACGAGCGTGTTGAACTATCCAGAGATTTTTTCGAGTTTGGAGAGGAGACAACCATTGTTTTACTACAACCAAAACCTCATTGGGCCGTTCGCCGAGGATCCGTACCGTTCACTAGACATATTCTACAACCTCTAGACTCCAGCATCCTCGTGAATGTGTATAAGCTGCTCCGGACGGACAATGACCTTTGCTGCCAATAGAATACACCCTGTTCAATATCCATGGGACCTTGGGCGGATGTAGAGAACCAAGCTCTACGGTATTCGACTTCCTCCAGGTTGTTCATCCATCCCGCCTACCAGACCCGCTAATTGAGTTTGGGCGGCTTCCATCTCTCTTAGCCTCGCGATTCTCTTCCTCTGCAGCTTCTCGAACCACGCCTGCTCATGCGCTCTTGCGCACCTCAACAATGCCGCAATCATAGACTGGATATCCAACTCCGGAGCCAGGGCCAATGTAATGAACTCGTCATCAGCGATTACGTCCTTGAGCACAAGCTCGTGTTCCTCGAGAGCATCCTCCGTCGTGATTTCGCCCATGAATGGCGACTCAAACATGACACCCGAGTAGATGTACGCGAGGTCGATGCTGAGAGGAGTATTGGGCATTTCGCGTTTGGCCAGGCGAACCATTGGCAGCGCAACGTAGATCCCATCTATGAGCTTCTCGTAGCTATCTGGTGGACGCATGTGCGCGTGGATGACCACTTGCTCCAATTTGGGGAACAGGTTTCCAATGATCCCGATGCTGGCAATCCAATCCACGCGGTTGTCGCCCAGGATGTGGACGCGCCATTCAAGGCGTCGGACGTCGTTCTTCATCCTGGCGAGATGCGGGACGATGGACCGCATAGGATCTCCTAGTGGTGAGCCTAGATGTAATGTGAACGATGACAACAGGATATGCTGGGCTTCATTGTAGATCTGCTTGCATGTGCGGAGAGGTCGGAAGACTTCCTGCCACGAAAGGAGATCGGACGTCGAGGTCCCCGTGGTTACATCAGTGCAGGCGATATTAGTGCATGCTCGGCAGCCACCTTGTGCGAGCTGCGGCCCCGAGCGCGATGGAATGACATGAAGGTCGGCGAAGACAAGGTGCCATATTTGGTTGCGGATTTCGCTCGGAAGCTTTAGTAGGGGTGAGTCAGACTGCGACGGTATCGTCATTTTAAAGGTTTCTGAGGATGTTTGGGATTAGTCGGCTCAGGTGTATTTGAGTGCAATATTGCAAATATTTGAAGACTAGGGAAGAGGGGCCGATAGAAGGTGGTGGGTGCTGAAAAACGACGACATCTTTCAGAGGTGAGAGTGACGGGAAGATGACAAGGATGGGATTGAAAGTCGAAGGTCAACCTGCTCGGCGAGGAAGATCTTTGATTCCACGAGAATTGGCACCGTCGTTCGCACCTTCGCGCAGTAAGCGCCGCTTCCGAGGATGGTTTCATGCACTATTGAATATAATGCGTACATCCCACTAGAGCAGTTGGTCACTACAGATGCGGCTTGTCTGGCTCGGCACTGTTTCCGGCAACTCAAGACCGTGTCGCATAGCATACCTAGGTACCTAGGGCCCGAGTCGACCACGTTGTGTTTGAAGACTGTTCCGCAAAAATACTGATATTGTCGGCTCAAGGAATGAGTAGGGACTATGTAGGAGTGGCAAGCAGTCATGTCGAAACCCATCAAGCGGGCTCTACAGCTCTCCATAGACTGAGAATCACCCACGGTCTCAGAATATCATTGCCAGCCAGCCTCAACCTCCATCACTAATCGCAGCGGCACTGCTCCCATAGTGCTCTCCGCAGTTCTCGTCATGTCCAGAATAATGTCCCTTTCCATCCTGCTGTATTGGCTTTCCGTATTCAAAGCCCCAGGTCTGTTCCACGTCGAGTTTTCGACTGGGCGGTCCTTGTCTCTCTTGACCTACATGCTCACCCTGCTCCGCACGCGCCTTCATAGCCCTCTCTCGATTAGAGCGTAGCATTCCAGCATTTGGGTCATAGCCACGTATACCATAATAGTCCTCGACTCTTTTTTCCTCAGCATGCCTCAGCGCCTTGTCCTTTTTATTTTGCCTGACTCGCTCTCTGCTTGCCCTCCTTCTCTCGTCTCGATCCCTCCCTTCTCGGTTTCTGCGTGCCTTGCGCTCCCACAATGCAGCGTCTTTCCGAGCCTTTGCCTCTTTCTTCTCTGCGCGCTTGCGATACTCAAGGTCCTTGACTGCAAGCTCCTTGATCCCCTGAGGCCGTCCCAAAGAGATGCAGTTGAAAACATTGCTCCTTCTCGGGTGGCAAACGAGGGCCGCGACGGGATCAGAGGGAGCGGACTGTGGCTTATCGTGATGCGACTCTGACAGCGCGGCAGCCCGCGCAGAACCGTTCCGCGGTCCATCTGCTCCGCTCTGAGATTCTTGAGGGGCCATGGCTTTTATACTGGGTTGTCTGTCGTGGCAGGGAGTAGGCGCTGGCGTGAGGGAGATATCGACAGGATTGAGTCGAACCTGAAGTAACGGGGTTCCCGGTTTCGGTGAACGGTCAAGACGCAATGGATGAAAAGTGCAAGGACTGAAACGATAATGATAGGGCCGATGAGATATCCCAGTAGCCGAATGAGCGTGCTAAGGTCCATAAGCGCCGTAATGATGCGGCAAACAATAAGAGCGGGGATTATTCATGACAGCAGAGGCACCTCTTCATTTGAGTCGTGGTGATTCGCAAACCGAGCATGCTTTTGCAGGCGAGGCAGCAGCGACGAGAAATGTTCACTCGTTCCGACAGCGGGTTCCGCGATCTCCATTTCAGCAATCGCGCCTGCCTTTCCCGTTCACAGCTTGCTGCTTAGTGTTTCTCTTCCTTGGCCCACTTTGGCGCGTTTGTCATCTAAATGACAAGTCCAGGCATGTGAGTCAGTCCAGAGACTTAGGAAGGACCGGTTGTTTAAAATGCCTGGTAGTGGCTGGCGATGTTTCGGCCATAAACTGCAGTAACTGCTCGAGATACTTCTCCGTGTCACTTAGGATACCGACACCTCACGGTGTAAAGGTGCTGATTCAGCGTCAAGCCGACTCTGCGCCGCACGCATTATGTCAGGTCTTCTTCTTCCTTGACGCGTGGACTCGCACCCATTCGTTTGACGCAGCCGGATCCTTGTCCAGGCTCGCGTTGTCCTAAAGGCGTCTAACGTCGGTTGTCATTCATACCTGGAGGCCCACCCATAAATCCTGGTGGTGGAGGCCCCTGCCCCTGATTCGGTCCACTGCCTGGGCCAGGGCTTGGTCCTCCCAGTGGAACTTGTGAACTCTGACCTGGTGGGGGAAAGCCGCCCGGTGCGCCAGGAGGTGGGAACTGAAAATTTGGGGGAAAGCCGCCAGGAGGAGGAAAAGGCAGACCATTCGGGAGTGTGGGAGCGCCATTAGGAGGGAACAGTGGGAAAGGCATGCCGCGACCGCCAGGAGGAGGAATTATGCCTCCGGGGCCTGGTGGGGGTGGTGCACCTGGCATGCCGAACGGGGGAGGCGGCATTCCTAGACGCAAGTGAGTAACCAGACATTGACCTCTCATGAAAGTGGCATACCTGGAAAGCCCGGCATAGGCGGGGGAAAGCCTGGCCCAGCTTGCTGGAGCATAGGGTTCGCTTGACCTTCAGCCGCGTATGAGGAAGTGATCGAGTCGATGACCGACTGCGCCTTTTCGTGGCCAATCTCTGTAGGGCGTCAGCCGTCACAAGTCCTCCATCTAACCCATCTCACGTACGTTGATAGTACTCGACCACATTCCTCAGATGATTACGGCCAGCATTATGCGCTTTGCGCACCGACATGGAGTCGTGTGTAAGGTACACATCGCAGTAGTCGCAAAAGAGTGCTGGAAAAGTTAGACAAGCTTCAGTCAGACGGAAAGTAATACTTATATTTCGGCATTGTGATATGTTGGTTTCGAACGACCGTCTCGAGAAACAACTCTGATGTGTAGATTGTAGGTCCGATGTGTTGCCAGAGTAAAGGACTAGATGTTTGCTTGCTGAGGAGCCAAAAGGCTTCGTGGAGGCGGGCGGTGAAAAGCGGCAGAATTTCCCCCAGACTCGCGTCTTGGGCTTTCGAAACGCGTCTGGTCTGAACTTTCAACGGGAATCTGCTTTCCGCACAACGGTTGATTTGCCATCATGCGGTGACAACGGCCTTTAAATCTTCGAGTTAAGCTGAGCTGATCCGACCTAACTTTCTGCCTGTCGGTATGGCGGACGGGGGCAGCCTACACAATGTGCCCCTGGTGCTAGATAACGGCAGCGGCACCATTCGAGCAGGCTTCGCAGGCACGGATCTCCCCGCCGCCTACTTTCCCTCATATGTTGGCCGACCCAAACATGTTCGCGCTCTCGCGGGTGCGTTGGAGGGCGACGTCTTTATTGGGCCCAAAGCGCAGGAACTACGAGGCCTCCTCAAAATAAGATATCCACTGGAACATGGCATCGTTACGGATTGGGACGATATGGAGAAGATATGGACGTATGTCTATGAACAGGAGCTGAAGACATTGAGCGAGGAACACCCTGTCCTGCTTACAGAGCCACCCCTGAACCCGAGACAGAACCGCGACACAGCGGCGCAGATCCTTTTCGAACAGTTCAACGTCCCTGCAATCTACATGTCAATACAAGCCGTGTTGAGTCTGTATGCAAGTGGCCGAACGACAGGCATTGTGCTTGACAGTGGAGACGGTGTCACCCACGCGGTCCCGGTTTACGAAGGGTTCGCAATCCCCAGCAGCATACGCAGGATCGATGTGGCCGGCAGGGACATCACCGAACACATGCAGCTTCTTCTGAGAAAGAATGGACATGTGTTCCATACCAGCGCGGAGAAAGAGATCGTCCGCATTATGAAAGAGAAAACAGCGTACATTGCCCTCGACCCCAGGAAAGAAGAGAAGGACTGGTCTCAGGGAATATGGAAGAACGAGAAGAGAGACGTTGAATACGTCTTGCCAGACGGTCAGAAGATCAAGATCGGAGCAGAGCGATTCCGAGCACCGGAGATAGTGTTCGAGCCCGCGCTGATCGGGCTGGAGTACGAGGGTGTCCACCAAATGGTTGTTGACGCCATCAATCGGACAGATATGGACCTTCGCAAGAACCTTTTCGGAAACGTTGTCCTCAGCGGCGGAACAACTCTGTGTAAAGGGTTCCCGGACCGACTTCTGTATGAGATGCAAAGATTGGCAGTCAAGGACATGCGCATCAAGATCTATGCACCTCCCGAGCGGAAGTACAGTACCTGGATCGGTGGTAGCATTCTCGCAGGGCTAAGCACATTCCGAAAGGTAAGCCGGACCGCCCCAGACCTGACTCCCGGCACGCACTAACAGCGAATCAGATGTGGGTCAGCATAGACGACTGGCATGAGAATCCAGACATCATCCATACCAAATTCACGTGATAGAACTTGGCCAGAACCACAGCTTTGGCACTCCGACAGCAGGGTCGTGGGCCGTAAGGCCGGGCACCTCAGCTGCACCTGATGCAGACCATGGAACGACGGACATCTGGCGGTGAAAGCCAAACATTTCAGGGACCGTCATGGAGACCAATGATGGCGACATTCACTTACCCCGGAAAAGTCAATATTGGATCTGCTGATCGATGACACTAGGAATGCCGCCCTTGGACATTGCGGGGAAGCGCCGACGATCCGGGGCAGAGAGCAGCCCGCACGTCAACAAGTCTGGAACCACTATCCGCATTGAGGAAGGACGCGACGGCACCTTGCGAGCCTGGGTCAGGTACAAACGCGGAAGGTGCATCACAGTATTAGGAACCTGTGGCGAGAACATCTCGTTCCTGCTCACGGGCCGCTCTGGGCAGCCAACACGTGTCATGTTGGCAGGGTGAGAGGTGAGACTGCAGGGACCTGCAGCAGCTTTACTGTGGTACTCGTACACAGGCACAAGCGAAGAATGGGAGTTGAAGGCTGGAGCCCAACGTGAAGAAAGGACTGGAGAAGGAAGCATTCTATTACCCCCAGGAAACCACCGTCCCCGCTCGCGAAAGCGGCCCATTACCCCATAGTTTGGCTCTGGCGGCTCGGAAGCATCGCGTGTGGCGGAGCATTTAGACCTATTCGTGGCATTCGGGCTGGGCATGACTAACGGAATGTCCAACTTGGTGAACTGACGTCGGCGCTCGCCCAATCAGCGTGATTTGCTCCCAGATCCGCCAACTTTTGGCGCTGCAGAATTTTCCATGAAAGACTTTGCCATCACTTGACTTTCTGCCCACCGCCCACGTTACCCTCGGTTTCCGCTCACCGTCACTGTGTCCTCGGCGGATTCCTAGCGGACCTCCTGGCGTGACAACCGTCCGGGGGTGTCTTGTCCAAGCGGGCTCCATGACGCCAGTGCTTTCCAATCTCCCTCCCTGGAATGTCGCCATTGTTGCGCCCATCGTGACCTGAAAATTTGCATCACATGGCGCTTTCCAGTTAACGGCAACCCCTTTACGGGCGCTTTCCAGTTAACTGCAAGGTTCGAGACGATGCTGGGTTTTCATCGTGTAATCGAGCTGCGAGGAGATGAATCTTGATGCCTTGGCTTTCGTTGCCCCGTGGCCCTCTTCGCCCCTTGCGCGTCGTCGTGGCAGCTGGCGTGAAAAGCTTTGGTGTTTCGACTTGAGAAATTTGCAAGGCCCTGTTCGTATATAAGCATTTGACTCCCAGGATTGCCATTATGGGCTTTTCTGGTTCCCCATCAGTAAGCTGTTGTAGGAACAAAGACCTCATCATCGCATAACAACACCTGGACACCACATTTGGCGCCAATCCATTTCTGGCCACACATAACAACACTCAACCAACCAATCACAAATACTACAGCAACCTACAACCAAAGCACCCTCAATACCATCGCATCTCTCGAAGTGAGCGTCTGAGTGCCTGAACCGACAAAGACTAGCTATTAAACCACATCAATAAGAAACCAACCAACCAACAGCCATGTCGACACGCTCGTACTCCATCGTCGAACCCCACCCCAATCCATCACCCTCAGCACAATACATCTCAACCGGCCGCGGAGGCGCCGGCAACGCCATCCGCACCCGGGGCGCCGACGCAACAGGCCCAGCCGCCGCAGCCGCCATTCGCGCTTCCCTAGCCACCACCAAGACCTCGCCGTCCTCCATGTCCACCCACTCATCGTCCCAGCGACAATGGTCAACCGTCGGGCGCGGTGGCGCGGGCAACGTCTTCCCGGCCTCGGAGCGCGCCATCTTCTCCTTTGACGAAGAGCTCGAGCGCCAACTACGGCGCGAGAGGGACGTCGCGCCCGTGTATCACGTCGGGCGAGGCGGGGCCGGCAACACCATGTACGGCGCTTCCGGGTCGGAGAGGAACTTGAAGGTCGAGAGGCGAATGAGCGACGACAGTGGCGCCAGCTTGGGGAGCACGAGCAGCCGGGGTAGCGAGGCCGGTGCGGACATTATCAACCGGAGCGTCAAGAAGGGGTGGAAGAAGATCACGGGCGCGTACTGATTAGCGCTTGCTCGCTGTTGTATTATCTCTGATCTTGGATGTTCAATCCTCACGAGCCCTCACTTTGGCGTGGCGTTTGGGTAGTTTATCTCGGGGAATTCAAAAAAGTTAAGCGCACGGCTTGCATGAGGAATGTTGTGGCGTTGGCGCTCAATGGTGCAGCGCATCACCAGGACAGGCATTTGGTACATTACGGATATGGAGACAATTGATGACCATTGATACTGTGTATACGTACATGCTTTTTGGGTGACGAAGTAGGTTGTCGTCTCAGTCGAGCGATGTGAGGAAATCCTCCACCAGCATTCGTATCAAATTTAATGAATGATTGAATTTTTCTTCATCTCATTCTCTACGTCCATATGAAGTGCGTGTCATGGATTGAATTTTTCTTCTTCATCCTCGTGTTCATTTGACTACGCTACTCTTCTTTCGACGCCTTGTCTACTCACAGTAAGATACTTGACGCCCTTGTAGGGCCGAACACCATCCCCCAGCCCTTTGGATTTCTTCACGTCGACGACCAGGCTGTCGACCTTGATGCCGCTTGGGATCCATCCCTTGACGTTGAACGAGACTGAAATCGACCGCGGCATGAGGGCTTTGCTTGCTTGCATTCGTTTGCCGGCACTTCCATTCGGTGATGGGTCGGGCCCGGTGCTCTGATTCGCGACAACCTCTTCGTTGTAGTAACCGGCCATTGAGTTCAACTTGCCGGCTTCAGCGGCTGGGGTTTCTTCGTCGGCCCCGTCAGCCGGGTTGAAGGGCCCGCTCACAGTGCCAGTCAGGGTTGCTGTGCCGTTAACCGACGCCCCGTCCTTGGTGGGGACTTTCCACTCGACGACCTTGTCGAATGCGTTGAACGTGGCTTCCCCTCGCGAAGCTTTCAGCTCGGTGACACTGCGGACATCGGCTGGGAACGGGATTGTAACCACCACGGCTTCGAGTGTCGGGGCACTCGAACTGCCGGTATTCGAGCCTCCGAAGGACAGGGAGGATATCGGGCCTGAGCTTGTTCGAGATGCATTCGGTTTGGTGGAAGAAACGACGCCGGGGAAGTTGTTGTTGAGGGTGAGTTTGGCCTCGAAATCACATGCTGAAGGGCCTAGTCCGCCTCGCAGATCGACGGTTGCTGGGAGGAATATCCTGTCGGTCTTGCTGGGAGGTTGGCCGGTGTCAAGGGATGTGGGCATGAGGTCGGTCTCATAGCCGGCAAGCATAAACCGGCCGTCTGGAGGCACGAACGAGAGTTCTCCAGGATGCTCTTTCCACCTCGCCAGTCGGACACAGGGGTGGAAGACTGGCAGTTGCATGGTCCGAGCGATGCCCGCCGCCTTTACGCTGCTTGTTCCCCCAGCCGCCGTCAAGACCAGCAGCAAGTCTGGGATTCCGGATATCTTTGCAGTGAAGGCTATTGAGCCATGGGATCGCGCAGATATGGGACGCCCCGACGGCGCGAAGATAACGGACAGGTTCTCGATGATATCGACGTAGAGCTCGTTCGAGGTATGTCGCACATTCGATTTGCGCCAGGGGATGGCTGGGCCTAGTGAGGTTGTAGGCGATGGACGTAGGCTGGAGGCGAAGTTGCTCGACGGTCCCAGCGCCGGCGACGCTCCAGGGAGTCCGACTTGTGTGAACAGCTTCCCCAACACTGAGGAGACTTCTACCGACTCCCGCAGTGCGTTGGGTTCAGTGTTGCATATGATGCCGCCATCGCACATTTCGGCCAGTAGTTGGGCCACTATCTCATAATTGTCCTCGATCTTGCTCGTCAGGAGGGGGCTTCCAAGAAAGTCTTCAAAGATATCGAGCACCCGATTGAGGAAATCGAGGATGGCCAGCGACTGCGCATCTTTGCTCGAGACTGCGATCAGCTGAAGGGCCGAGTGCGTAATGCAATATGCCGTCGTGGGAGGAGCGAGGTCTGAAAGCTGCGTGACGGACGGTCGAGGCACCCGTCGAGTCGCTAGGCTCGCGATGAGGGTTTGCGCAGAAGGGGGGCGGCCGGAGTAGATGTGCTCAAGGACGCAGTTACTGGAAGATGTCAGTGCCGGTGCCGCTTCTCCCAACCGGGTCAACGCCTACTTGTGATCATCGAAGATGTACAGTGCGTCAAGAGTGACGCTCATGGTGGGAGGAAGAATAGTGGAACAGAAGCCATGAATCGTGGCGGCGTCGTCGTCGAGGGGCGTGGCACTAGTTCAGCGACGCCGCAGACATTGTCCGTTTCAAGCATCCGTTCGTTAGTCAAATCGCAGCCGACACAACGCCTTCGTTAATTGTGTCTCCTTCTCGTGTTCCTTGCATTCGCTATCGGGACGCTGCCGTCCTTGTTGTCAGCCACGTTCGGATCCAATAAGATAATTGGGCAAAAGCTGAAGCTCGTCCCGTGTCTACGATGGACTACTGGCAGTACTTTCGAAGCAAGCAGACCTCTTCAACGATAGAATCCTAGACGACAACCAAGTAACAGGCTCTTTCGGCACCGTGTACACCCATAATGCCCTACACTCCGATCGTTCGTTCCGTCCGGCTCCATGATGACTACTGACAGGGACCGCGTACTAGAATCTCTTGAGCGATAATGGGACTTTGTTGCCTTCGTTCCGCAAAGTTGGTAGGCCGTTAGCCGCTGTGTAGAACTGGGTTTGTCTACTGAGATAATGCAGTCCCCATTGGCCAGTCGACGCCCTGTACCGCCAGGAATTTTATTAGGTGCCAGCATGTAGGCCATCCCACCGACCATGGAGGAGAGGAGCTGAATAGTTCAGTCGGCCACATCTACTCCTACCATTGACGGTCAAGAGCGAAGGAACTTGTACCAGTCTTGATTCGGTGCTTGGAAGCAGTGGCGGTGACCGCTCGAGCCGGCCATACTGTGTACGCATTTCCTAATGCTGACCCGAACTTGTGTACGAGATAATACTGTCGGGAGCCATGGCCCCAATATGAGTAACGGAATATTATTCAACCGGGAATGCGAGCACATGGTGTTCGTCCACGAATATACATGAACTGGAAGTCCACACCGCTCAGCCTCTGCTGCCTTTCTCGCTCAGCGGCTTCAAGAGACCAAACCTGCAGATTGCCACCTCAGCAGCTGCTCGACTTTACAGTTCAATATGGGTGTCAAGACACTTTTTCCACCATCCACAGTCAAACCTCAGTCACAATACTCCATAGCAGCCAACATCGCCAATGAAAGGACCGGTGCAAAGAAAACCGGGTTCGGCCACCTCAATGGAGGTGATATTGCAGTACGTTGAGACCTACCCTGTACCGGATACTCACACCAGATCGGACGCTTACCCCTTAGCAATGGCCAGATCCTGAGAGACAGTTTCTCAGTATCAACGTGGCTGCTCCTAGGCGGCGCTCTTCAGGTCCTGCTGTCTTTCCTCTTTCCACGCTCGTATCTGGCCATTCCCATCGTTGGCATCCTCGGCTGGAGGATCGCCGATGCCTATCTGATGCATTTTGGAATCAAAAAGAACGTCTGGGCCGAGGGTGTCATTAAGGGCAAATGGAGCGTCGGATACCCCTCCGACGGCGAAACCGAAATCGTCCACGGGAAACCAGGCGACAATGGTCCTGGAGGTGAGTCATGATTCTTATCAGAAGATTCTGGATATCCGTTCCCTTTCTGTTTCCCCCTCCTTGGGACTCAGGGTTGCATCCATCGTGGAACTTACTCACGCCACCTAGCTGTAATGATTCTTGGAGCTAAGAGCAATTCACCCCTGGGCATGTTCGCTGATGGTAAGCCAACACCCCCACGTCCTTGTTCGAACGAAGTCTCACTGTCCATACAGGTTACAAAGGAGTCGGTGTTCGTTTCCACGATATGCTCGTGCAGTTGGAAGACAAGGCAGAGGAAAGTGGCTGTAAGCGCTCTAAGAAAGTGATGAATCCATACCATCAGACTGACCTTCCGTTAGTCATGGGAATGTCCACCTGGGTCTCTGCGGGAGAGAGGCCTACAAACAACGAATTTGCCACAATCTCATATTGGCGATCAGTCGAGGATATCCACAACTTTGGACTATCTCCGATCCACCGCGAAGCCTGGAACTGGTGGAACGAAACGATCTCGAAGCACAAGCATGTTGGCATCATGCATGAGATTTTTGCTCTGCCGGAACGTCAAGGCTGGGAGGGCATTTACGTCAACTACCAGCCTACCGGCCTTGGAATGACCACCAAGGCTGTAGAGTCACCTGAGAAGGGAGGTCAGAAGCTGTGGATTAACCCCATCGTGGATGCCAGCCGTGGTGTATACCGAACAAGCCATGGACGGATGAACAGGGGAGATCCCGAGGGCAAGAGCAATGACAGCGTCATCGCCAAACATCCTTACACCTCGGCGGTCCTGATGCAGTAGGCGAACCATCCTGGAAGTCCTACCCTCGTCGTTGTCATCTTACTCCACATCAAGATACTTACCAATCTTGACGACAATCGAAGATTCCAGCGTCGTTTTCAACTGGGCATCTATAGCTTCATGAAGAGTCACGCTCTATTATGTCCTCACGGTCTTGGTCCTCAGCACTGCCTTCTACCGGTTCGAAATCTCAAATCCCCAACTGGATGATACATTCATGCTGCTAGATACATCCCCCGAAAGTCACCACCTTACCACTCGCAGTCAATACAGCCTTGATCTATTCACCAACCCATCAACCACAGCCGGTTCTGCTCCAGCAGTACCACGCTGGAAATCCGCCGCTTTCCTCTCAAGAGTCCCCACTCCAACCAACAACCACTCACCCCTCCACCCGTCTCTGACCTGTACACCTCGCTGCTCCAACTCCACATTGTCTTCAAACCCGCCTTCCCGCCCACAATGCCTGGCCCGCGATCGCCACGAAAACAGCCGCCCCTCCACCAATACACAACTCGCCCAGCGCCGAGATCGGGTTGCCCTCGACCCAACAAACAGCCACGCTAGCAAGGTCGACGAGATCGCAGATCAACCCCAACCACAACGCCGAGCGGAGATTCGAAGTCGCAGTCGCGGTCGCAGTCGCCTCAGGCTCACTCGGCCTAGCAAAACCGGGAACACCTGTTGCCACACCACCGGCTGCTACTGCTCCTCCAACTTCACTTGTGCCCCCCACTCCTGCAGGCTTTCTCAACAACGACTCCCTGACCGGTTGTCCTTCTGCCGTGGTTTGCATCACGCGCTTCTCGACGTCCGCGACCCTCCTCCACAAGTATGCGCCCAGCACAAAGTCCCGGACCCCGACCATCCGGCCGAACAGCGCGGATTCACCACCAGCGGCAAGCGGCACGCCCCATATCGCTCCTGCTTGTCTTGGGACTAGGAGGCAGGATGCCCCGACGGCCATGCGTAGCGCGGACAGGGTCTTTAAGCTGAGATTGGACATGGTCAATGACGACGGCGACGGCGACGACAAGAATACCGCAGAGGCGTCAAGACGTGATGGGCAGGGAGAGGATCCGAAGAGGGTATTACCCGCTATTGGGGGCTGTATGGTCAGATTGATGCCACGGTACCAGTCCCAGTACAGACAGGTTGTCGGTCGCTCGCTTCTCGCCACGCAAAGGTTACTTTGGAGAGAATGCAAGATTCAACGAGTTTTGGAGTCTTGCGGATTTGGCAAGCTGCTAATCAGAAGTGCTTCTCTCAAGTAGCGTAGTGTACGGTATTCAGGTCTCTCGGTTTTCCACCAGAAGGCATGGACAGTCCGGAAGTTATGCACGTCCACAGGAATATACGGAGTATAACTACCACGGATATATGTGCCTGGCAGCTGGCAGCCCAGTGCGTTATGTAGTGCTCTCTGCGTAGAGCTTCCGCCGCAATCCGCCATGTGATGTTGTCCAACATGGTCGTCAAACTTCGCGTCTGGCACGGCAGCATAACGTAAGGCTTGCATTGCGTTACGCTGTTTTGCGCTGGTTTCCATCATGTACTGTACACGTGCAGGCTTTTTAAGCGGGGAAGTCAGGCGGCTCTGGAAAGGCGAAGTAAATGTCATGTCGTTATCGCTGAGTGTAAATTAATCCATCACAGACTACCAACTTGAAGGTAAGGCGGTCATTGCTCGAGAGGTGAGGTGGTCGGGGCATGTCCGCCATTTGAGGACCGTCGTCGCCTCTTCAAGACGGAGTCTCACGCATATTGCAGTCACTTTCCATCAGAGGGACTATCATTAGCAGTACCAATACTCTGTGTTCGTTCATGTCCGGGCTCATTCTCCCCTGGTCTACTCTCTTTGCTGAGCCACTTCTAACAAACTCGACGCAAATCCCTCAAGAACGCCAACCAATCCGCAGGCACAACTTTTCATCATACACTGCAGCCCCGTCCGATAAGTTCCCCAGCCCTGACACATGTAGCTTTCATCGTTGCGAGGAATCATGATCGTGTGCTAATCATCCATCTGACAATATTGGCCTCCCCGATTGCTGAGCTCCAAAGTTGAAACCTGCCAGCTCTGTCGAGCGCTGTCCCCCGGTGTCGCCAGCATAACAAAGCCTGGTATTGATAACAGTCGTCACTTTGTAGGAAACTCCATTCGCCTTTCGTCACCCGACGGCCAACAAGAACACACACCAAAAAACAAGATTCTCAGAGGTTGTCTTTATTTCTTCTTGCCCTTCGACCGGCTTGGTGCCGTAGAAGATGCGACGCTCTGAGCACGAGAAGTGGCTGGGGAAGTTGCCTTGCTGCCACGAGAAGACTTCAGCGCGTTGACCTGCTTGTTCTGCTGCCTTGTTAGCTTCGGCACGTTGGAACGAGAAAGACCGGGTACTCACGGCAACGCCATTCTTGGCCTTCTTCTTGACAGGCGCAGCTTCGCTGTCGTTTTCGACATCTGAATCGTCGTCTCGGTCACGCCCGCGTGCTTTGCCTGGTCCGTGGCCGTTTGTGAGCTTCTCTTCAGCTTCACCAAACTCTCGAGACACAGTGTTCAGCAAAGTTGTGCAACGGCGGCCGATCTCAATAGGTGTCCTGCTGAGGAAGAACCAGTCGAAGCGAAACAGGGGCGATTCTCGAATCTCATCACGGATTCTGTCGTAAAGGCCTTCTCCGTCAATGCCGTGCTTGTCAAGCATGACCAGTAAAAATCGGTCTTCCTCTTCCGTGTAGACTTTCTTGTTTGTGGTGGAGACTGTGTAATTGATCTTCAGCTGTTGGAGCGGAACCCGGTACATCTCCATCTTTCTGCGTAGCATTTTGCGTTGACGTTCCGTCTTTCGCAATCTCTCTTCCCCAGCTTCGATGTTTTTGATATATTTATCGAACTCGGCAATTTCAGTGTACCTCTTCCAGAACACTTTGGCGTACTCTTCAATTTCATCGGGTTCTTTGCTGTCGACTTCCGTGGCGATACCTTCATAATTCGTCCGACCAAACTTGGCAGAACCATTGATGAATTGCTGGAAGTCCCGTCGGTTCCAATTACCGAACCCGTGCTCTTGCATCTCAGCCTTCTGCCGCTTCTCCTCCTCGGTCAAGGGTTCGGCATTGTCAATCTCGTCTTGGGCGAGCCGCTGATCGGCTTCACGAGCTTCACGATCGCTATCCGCCTCCTCATCGTTACCTTCAGCAAGCGGCACTTTGTAACCAATCTCCTTGTGGTAATACGCAGTTTCCTTTTCCTGCAACTCCTGAAGACCAGGCGGGAAGAACTGCCAGTCGTGAACAGGCACTTGCTTGGGAGCTCGAGGGACCTTGGGCTTTGTCTCTGCAGGGCGGCCTCCGGTTGACAGTGCTTGTTTGTAGTACTTGTCCATCGAGTAGGATTGTTCCTTGCGCTCACGCTTGGTGGGGTTGATCCAGTTCAGACCAACGTCTTTCTTGCGGTTCTCGAAATTTTCACCATTCCATTCATAGGCACTTTCGGACGAGAACTTCTGCAGGTCGTCGATTCCGAGTTTCTCATACTTGGCCATCAGCTCAGAAGTTCGAGCCTCGCCTCGTCGAAGGATCTCGTCAATATCGTCCAGCGCGCCTACTGCACCCTTGGTCTCGAACACCTTTTCAGCACCGTGTTGAATCATGTTCAGCAGTTCGTCCTTTGACGCAGCTTGCTTCGCCTGCTGCTGAGCACGACCCTGCTGAATGACGAGCTGATCTAGGCGTAACTTCTGAGCCGCTCTTTCAAGGACTTTCTCCTCGATGGCGTTCTCAGTCACAAAGCGGAAAACTTTGACTTGTTTGGTCTGGCCGATGCGATGTGCTCGATCCATGGCTTGGAGATCTGCTTGCGGGTTCCAGTCACTGTCATAGAGGACGACGATGTTGGCAGTGGTCAAGTTGATGCCTAGACCTCCCGCACGGGTCGTGAGAAGAAAGACAAATTTCTCCGAGCCAGGCTTATTGTACTCGTCAATGGCGGCGATTCGGTCTTCATGAGCAGTTCCACCATCAATGCGGCAGTACTGGTGGCCGCGAAAGACGCAGTAGTCTTCGAGAATGTCGAGAACTCTGCTCATCTGTGAGAAGATCAACACTCTGCTCCCCTCCTCCTTCATGCGGGCCAGGATCTTGTCAAGAATAATCATCTTGCCAGAGTTGTAAATGAGATGTTCATCAGTAGTGTAGGGCGGACCCGGCTCAGCACCTTCAAAGAGGTAAGGGTGATTGCAGCATTTCCGAAGTTGCATAACGATATTGAGCAATCTTGTCTTGGATTCGCGCTTGCCTCCGGCACCGTTGACGGCGTCTATGTCCTTCTCCAAGATTTTCTGGTACCATTTGACCTGCATCTCAGACATTCCGACATAAAGATTGAGCTCCTTTTTGGGTAGCAGACTCTTTTCCACATCGCTCTTCACTCTCCGGAGCAGGAACGGTTTCAGCACACGATGGAGTTGTTGGACAACAGTGTCTTGATCTTCGTTCTGGCCCGAGAACCAAGCGTCGAAGGCTTCTGAATCACCAAAGACGTCTGGAAGCAAGAAGTTGAGGAGCGCCCACAGTTCATGGAGATTGTTCTGCAGGGGAGTACCAGTGATCAGCAGGCGATTTCGGGAGCTGAACATGCGGATGATTTGAGCGAGGGATGACTCTTCGTTCTTGATGCGGTGCGCTTCATCGATGATGATGTACTCCCATGCGAACTTCTTGAGGTGCGACTTCTCGCGCAAGATCATCTCATAGCTGGTGATACAGACATCAAACTTCTCGTCGATGAGGCGCTCATTGATAAGAGCATGTCGTTCTTCTTTGGCGCCTTGGAGGACAAGCACATTGACTTCAGGGGTCCATTTCTTGAACTCTCGGTGCCAATTGTCCAGGGTCGACTTGGGGACTGCAATCAGATGCGGGCCGGTAATATCGCAAATGTGGCGCAAGTATCCAAGGAAGGAGATAGTTTGCAGAGTCTTCCCAAGCCCCATCTCATCAGCAAGTATACCACTAATACCATTCTCATGCAGTGAGACGAGCCAGTTGAGGCCTGCCACCTGGTAGTCACGCATCTCACCGCCCTGGATGAAGGTTGGGGACTCCCGGAAAACAGTCTGAGAAGCAGTGCCGCGTTTCTCGTCCCTAAGAAGTTCCGCGTCCTCTTCTTGTTCAGTCTTGCGTTTGTTCGCACCAGCTGCACCGCCCTTGCGGGAGACAACCTTTCTTGCCTTTGCTTCTTCCTCGGCAGCTTCCTTGTCAATCTGTTGGAGAACTTCTCGAATCTTGGGGTTGGGGCTCGCGTCGATGAAATGGCGGAAGAGATCTGTTAGGCCTAGCAGGTACTTGAATCTTCGGAGGGTATCATCTTCCTTTGATTCATCTAGTTGACCGTGCTTCCTCCCCAGAATACTCTTGCGCAGTTGGTTGGCTTCGGTGCGCTTCTTTCGGCCGTCGGCATGGGGAGAGTCTCCGGCAACGCTAGATGCTGTCGTGTTGGGATTCGTATCTGAGTCGGTGTAATCCGGCGTGTCGTCTACCAGTCGATTGAGGTGTCCGAAGGACGGTCTGTGGGGATGGCGCGGCTCTGGAACGTCAGCCATGGGGGTGTCGGCAACTGATGAGGTCTCTGATTCGGGTTGCTGCGACCTTGAGGGTGCCATTGTGGAAGGAGGTGGAGGGATATTGGCCCGCCTGGCCGTGGTGGTGGAAGTTGTCACTTGTCGTTCAATTAATGGGAATACTTCGAGACGCGACCTTCTTGAATCGGTTGATATTGAGCCCAGAACGAGTCGTCACAAGGAAGAGGTCGTGTAGGACGTCGACACCCCGCGTAAAATGAGTAGAGAGGGCGCGTGAATGAGGTTGAAGGGTTTAAAAAGATCTGGGGGAGGGAAAGTGCCTCCGCGAAATGCTCATGCCCTCATCCCATAAACGCGCTGTGCCCCCTCCTGATTGGCTCAATGCAGATACTTTACTCCGGCAGACCTTCCGTCACTTGGAAGACATGTGACTGCCGCCTACTGAGTTCATTAGTCCGAGGGCAACGTTGGACTGCGCTGGCACCACCAGGCAGCTTGTGAAATTGGTTTGTACCAGGTTAACCACTACCCTTCGTCATCTCATTAAATGTTTTGTTCGTGGTATACACGATCTAAGGCTTGAGCCTTTTTGTTGTACAACCACTTCATTGTCTTCTCTGCCAAGCGAATTTCCACGAGCCGCTGCAGCAACCCAAACAAACCCCTCTTCGATAGCAAAGGTCTGCAACAGACCCAACCAGACGGTCTACGACCTGCAAAACCGTACCGAGTCTCACCATGGACTCGATGAGGTCTCTCAATACCTCCTTACCTTCGGCCCGTCCTGCGCCACCTGAAGCACTGCTCCAGGCCTTCCGGACCGCCGCCCTTTCAGTTACAAACCTTTATAAGTCTGCCGTCACCGACCAGAATGCCAGTCGGCAAGCCGGCTACCAAGAAGCTTTGGCGGATCTTTTGGGCTTTCTTGACCGAGAAAACCTCGGATTGCAGGACGGCGAGGGCTGGCGAGTGAGGCAATGGGCAACCGAGCGATATGATGGCTCTGCTCTTTTACACCAGAACGAAAGTGATGACGAAAGAAGTGAATCCGGACAGAGACCGCGGAGCATGACGCCCACGAGAGAGCAGCCAGTCACACCTCCGTCAGAAACGTCTGAGCAACCGCGAACGGAGTCTGCGACCCAGACCGACGACAATCCGACCTCTGCTACGCATGAACAGTCTGCACCTACACCGATTTTCCACTTCTCTGGAAATACTGTGTCCATCCCGTCCGACGACATGCAGACCGACGAGGATGGCAATGCGCCCACTGATGCGACCACATCAAGTCACTCCAGCCGAACAGCAACCGTCAATGCTCGGGGCAACCGAACTCCTCACAGAAGCGGCAGTGGGCGTCATGCAACCAGATCATCGGCCAGAGAATTTACTTTCACTGCAGGCACTAAACGCAAGTTTCAGATACCCGACTTTTTCGACATTTCCAATATTGGACCACGGGACGGAACAGGAAGCAACAAGCGAGGACGCATTTAACGCTTCATTCTTGAGCGTGGTGAAGTTTATTATATTCAGAGTGCATGTTTCTGCATCGCGAGGGAATTCTTTACGAAGACATGACACCAGGCATAGCGAAGTTTTGTTCATGATGGTACGTGCATGTGTCAGCTCATGTTGAGCCTTCTAGATTAGAGACTTTATTCAGGAGGGGATAGACTTGAACGCCCCTAATAATACATGTTCGAAACCAGCCAGGTTCATTTCCCGTGTTGCATCATTTCGACGACACACTGTACTCTCCACAGCTCGCGTAAGGTCCCAGCGATATCAGTTCTAGTTGAACATTCGGTAGATTCCCAAGCCCACTAAAGTTGCCGACAAGGATACAATCCCTAGCTGCCGCGATCCGTACTTGTACTTTGATTTGCTGAGTTCGATCGCCTGCCTGGATGCTCGTAGCTGCTGCATGCCTGAGAAATATGTGTAGCCACCTAGTAACACGAAAGCCGTCGAGCCTGTCAAGGGTAGTTAAGTATTAACCACCTCAGTAATTGGTTGGTGCGAAGGGAAGGGCATACCTAGAACCCGGCAGGAGAGACAGTCGTGTTTCTCGAACGCTTTCGGGTCATCGAACTCCGTAAATTGCTCGTCTTTAGGCTTAAACACCATCTTTGCCCCTGTCACATTTCAGACCACGAATTTTTGGGTTCCGTCTGCTGATCTGAATCGATAGCGAAAGCGCTCGACTATTTCGCCCAAGGAATTCGCAGAGCGCGCCATGTGCCAAGAAAAGCCAGCTTAGTCAGCGCCCGACCAGCCCCTTGCGCTTCATTCGGCCATCATTCACCCATGAGTTTTCTCACCTACTGCTCACCTTCTTTTCACCCTCTTGCACTTTCACAGGCTTCTTCCTTCCATCTTCTCATGATCACCACATCCTGCGTCCACACTTCCCGACCATGAGCACAAATTGTCAAATGCTGAGGCCCATTAACATTATCTCTGCGCCCTTTCCCAAATCGATGTAGCCGAGAAGAAAGTTCCAGGTGGTGTGACTGAGGAACTCGCCCATTCCTAAAAAGCCAACGGTCCGATCCGGGTACGGGAGCAGATCACACAATACATTACTCCCGTATTGCAAATGTCATTATGTCCTCATCTTGCTTGCGCATGCCGCCTCCACGACTGCTATGTCGAGTCTGTAACTTGTATCGTACATGCATGTTTCTGAGACGCTCTTACAGAGGTCAGAATCGAGTCACCATCCATCCGATCCTAGACAACAGATCGCTAAAACGGGATAATTAAACGCCGAGCAATAGGCATTGAGTCGCACAGCAGCTTCGACACCAAGACTGCTTCGTCCACGATACCCATCTCAAGCCTCGCCTGTTCAGGAAGCGCCCCGCGATCCAAGAAATGGGGTTGAGATGGCCCCGGCTCCTCCGTGCTTGGCTTTCAAGCTTGAGAAAAAACTCGAGTCCTCCATAGGTGGGTTTCCTTATACATTCTCTCTTGACCAGTCTTCACATCACATCCAGCCAACTTGGCGCAGCCTTGGTATTTCCGGCAATTATGAACTTCCAGCATTTGGTAGCGAGCCATGCTACTCAGTTCCAGTCCCAACCAAAGAAAGGTCGCAGTCGGCAGAAAACAATTGCCGGGGCTCGATATTACCGGCCATGTGGGTGGATGGAATGATTGCCATACTGTCTTGCAGTAGCGGGGAAACTACGCTCCAGCATGGTATTATACATATCTCGCCTGCTCGATCGAATCTTTTCGACTCCGACTCTGTTTCCACTGTCACCTGAAACACGTGGCTTCGGTCATTGACACACCTAGAACCATCATGGCGTCTAATGCGAGTGGCGATCACGACCTTCAAGACCTCAAAGCCAAAGCTGAGATCGCCGAGTTTGTCGAAGATGCCCTTCCTCAGGAGCATCAGGAGTACAAGAAACGCGAGGCTCGGCTAGTCGCCAAATTAGACATCTACTTGGCACCGATTCTGATGCTTTTGACGTTGATCAGCTTCTTGGACAGAGGAAATATTGGCTACGCCGCTTCCCAGGGTATGATCGTCGACATCGGCCTCAAAGGCAACCAGTTGAATGTGAATTTCTTCGGCATTCGTGCTATGCTCTCGCTGATGCGTGCACCAGATCGCCATTTCCATCTTCTACGTATTCTACATCTTGGCTGAAGTGAGTCGCAAACCCTGGCTGAAGCTTTACAAGGCTGCAGACTCATCGCGTCCAGGTGCCCTCTTCTCTCCTTGCCAAACGCCTACAATTCAACAGAGTCATCCCCGCTGTCACTGTCTGCTGGGGCGCAGTCTGCTTGGGCAATGGATTCATCACAGGCTTTCCCAGTCTTGTAGCCTGCCGCTTGCTACTAGGTCTCTTCGAAGGCTTCTTGTTCCCGTCTTCTGTTCTCTTGATGGCAAACTGGTACAAGCGTGAGGAACTCGGCCAGAGGATCTCATATCTTTATAGTATATCTCTGCCTCGATCATACCTCAGTCAACCATGCTGACATCGAGTCAGTTGCTGCCGCCCTGTCAAGTGCCTTCGGTGGTCTGATCGCGTTTGCCATCCTCTACATGGACGGAACAGCTGGAAAGCAAGGTTGGCAATGGTAAGATATTCCCAAACGGGCCGAGCGGGACACTGACAGTAACAGGCTCTATATTATTGAGGGCATTATCACAATTGTCATTGGCGTCATGTGCTTCTGGCTCATCCCTAAGGACTACCAGACTGCATATTTCCTCAACGCAGAAGACCGAATCATTATGAAGCGACGAGCCGAATTGACAGAATCCTACAACGGCGGTCAAGGCCACTACACGAGGAAAGATTTCATGTTGGCTGTAGCCGACGTCAAGACCTGGCTCCATGGAGGTATCCAATTAGCGGTGATGACAGTCGTGTACGGCTTTGGTGTCTTCCTTCCCATTATTATCAAGACAGGGTTCCAATACTCAACCAAGCAGGCACAATACCTCGCAATCCCAGGTAAGGACCCGCTTGATTGAAAAGTGATCGCTGCACGTGCTAACGAGAATATCTTAGTTTTCCTCTGGGGCGCCATAGTTTACGCAATCGGTGGCTTCCTGTCAGACAAATATCAGAAGCGTTTCCTTCTGGTCGTCGCGGCCGCCCCTTTTGGAATGGTGGGCTATTCAATCCTGCTCGCTTATGACCGCGTGTCTGTCGGGGTTCAATATTTCGCAACCTTCTTAATCTCGACCTGCATCTTCCTATGTGGCGGAGGAAACATGGCCTGGCTCTCTTGTAACTCCGCTCCGGATGGGAAACGGGCTGCTTCGGTTGGCATAACGTTGACTCTGACTAATATCGGTAAGTCGACCAGCTTCAAACCATGACTGCCCAGTGCTGACTCTGCCGGCAGGCGGTATTGTCTCCGGACAGATCTACGTCGTAAAGCAAGCTCCTCAGTATCGACTGGGCCATGCATGGTGCCTTGGGTGTCTTCTCCTCGCGTGGATCGGCTGGTGCGTGTTAAGATATATTTATAATGTCCGCGAACACGAGAAGGATAAGGCTATTGGGGAAGGAGTTGCAACGCCGCCAGGAGATTTCTCCGATCGTGCGACCACCTATAGGTACCAGCTCTAGAAGTTGGGCTTGATGCAGGAACAGGAGCAGTTCAGAGTCAGAGCAGTTAACCAGATGACACTTTATCTCTCGCTCCGCTGCTGTCTCCGTCTCTAAGCTTGGATGGAGTGTTTCATAAGCCGACTGCGCATGACCATACACCTCTTCGCCATGATCTTGGCGTTTCGAGGTACAATACTGGTGATTCGTTGTTCTCCGTTGCATCAGTCTTCACCACCGAACCTACGGCACGGCGGCTTTCATTGCAGCTTGCGAAAACGTGCCTTCGAGGTTTATCAGATTTCCCGCGGAAATAAGTTGTACCCCCTGGCACCTTTGAAATATGGCGACGCCGCCTCTCAAGACGTCCGCAGTTATCATTGTGGGCGCTGGTGTATTCGGCCTGAGCACGGCTCTCCATCTTGCACGGAGAGGATACAGCAATGTCACCGTGTTCGACGCACAGTCTTACGAAGCCACAAAGTACGACTATTTCTGCGGCTCTGACGCCGCCTCAGCGGATCTGAACAAGATCATTCGATCAGCGTACGGCGAGCAGACTGAATATCAGGATTTATCGACGGAAGCCATTAGATCATGGAAGGCATGGAATGATGAGATCAGAGCCGGTAAATGCGTCCCAGATGGCATGGACGTGACCGACAGGGTATTCGTCAACAATGGCCATCTGTCCTTGGTTGATGGTGAAGAACTGCCACCTTTTGAGAAGGCAACAATTAGGAATATGGAGCGAGCTGGTTTTGTCGATACTCAACTCATCACTACCGACCCGCGAGATGCAGAGATCATGAGAAGCCAAGGCTTCGGGTATGCAATCGATCCGTTCCAAAAACAGTCGAGAGGCAAAGGATACCTGGGCGTTCTGGATGCGACTGGTGGCATCGCCGTTGCAGACAAAGCATGTCGATTTGCGCTTCACAAGGCGAAAGACCTCGGGGTCCGATTCGTCCTCCACCATGAATCTGGCTGCTTCGTGACTTTCTGCTACGACGAGGCAGGGAAGGTGGTTGGTATCAAGACGAATGACGGCCAGAAACACCTCGCATCAAAAATCATTATGGCTTGTGGCGGATGGACTCCATCATTGCTGCCAGAATTGGATGGCATTTGTGAAACCACCGCGGGCTCGGTCATCATGCTGAAGATCCCGCGCTCCTCACCGCTCTTCGAACGGCTTGCTCCCGAGCGCTTTCCTTCATGGTCCTACAAAATGCGCGATGGCGCCAGGGGTGGGCTCTATGGCTTTCCGCAAGATGACAGGGGGTATCTGAAGATTGGCTATAGGGGCACAAAGTACACATACCCAAAGGTACAACCGGATGGCAAGGAACGAAGCATACCCATCACGAGGTACACAGAGAACGAAAAGATCACACAACTCCCGAAGCAAGCAATGCAAGTGTTCAAGTCCTTCATCGCAGAGTTTCTGCCCGAGCTGAGTGAGGAGGGAATCGATATCGAGCTGACCAGGCTATGCTGGTATACCGACTCGTTCGACAACCATTATGTGATTGATCACCTGCCGGGTCAAGACTCAGTCCTGGTTGCGACAGGTGGTAGTGGCCATGCTTTCAAGTACTTGCCGGTTATTGGGAATTGGATTGTCGACATCATGGAAGGTGTCGGTCTGGATCGTCCACTGGTGAGGAATTGGCGGTGGAGGAAGTTGCGGCCAGGCCAAGAAGCAGTGAACATCCTCATGGAAGGAAGCACCGGCCCAAGAGCACTTCAAAATGTTGAGATGTCTACGGACAACGATCTGAAGTTATCGAGCCGGCCACGGCTGTGACAGCTGGGTTTGCGCAATTCCTGCTCCAGACCACATGGCGCGGATAGAACTGTTCACATTCGTATTGCCTGCGGTCTGCGAAGAGAATGTCTGCGTACCGCTTGGGGATTCTGTAGTGCCTACGGAGTACGTATGTAGAGGTAGGCTGGCGAGGAAAAGGGAAGTCCCTTCTGATAGCGACGGTTCTGTTCGAATGCGAGTGGGTTTGCAATCTAGCTCAGCTGGTCTCAGGGGCAGGCACCTAGAAGGGCCGGTAAAGTCTAGTCAGGCAAGTCTATCAATTCCACTGGGATCATGTGGCTTATGCCGAGTTTTCCTTCTGGACACGGACTACGGGGTAGTAGTACTTAAGGGATTCTTGCGCTGATGCCTCCGGCACTTACAGCGCCTAAGCACCAGCTGAAACGGCCAACACGAGCCTTGCGCTGCAACACCAGAGCAGAGCCAAACACCCATTCACCCTTGGCGAGCAGCCTTCATTCTTGGCCTACGAATTAGGGATCGTGCATATGCGCCAGTCGCCCATCGAGAACATCCAAGATTTACAGTCAGGCTGGCGAGCAAACCACAGCTAGCCATGCATTCAGTTGTTAGATTTGTGGTTGGACAAGCATGGTGAACATGCCACGACCTGCTCGTGCGATTCGACAAGATTGTGCATACAGGTGCACGTTGCAATCTGGTGCTTGAGGCCCAGCCACGGCCATCGTGCCATCCTCCATCAGGAGATATGTCACACACAGTCGACCAAGGCTGAAAGAGCCTCATCGTCCCATCCCGGCCCCCAGGGACTGAGGCTCGGCGAACGCCTGTTGGTGCAGCCGAAAGGGGAGCCTCACGCACTTATGTACTTATGCCCCGTCTCGGCCACATCCATACCAGCGGCTTCTCTTAACGGCGGCATCCCCAACAATGGGAAAGACACGGACATTGCTTGAGGCGGCAGTTGCTGCCGGCCTCTTAGCATTTCCAACGCAGGTAGCTCAACATGTCTATGAGGCAAACAATCTTGATGAAGCCACCGACTGGATCGAGTCATTCACGGAGAAGGCCAAAGGGAGAGCTACCCTGTTTTTGGGCGCTGCCATCTCTACGTTCAAGCCAACACAGTTGCCTATGTGGAATGACTTCGTACAGTTACTGTGGGCCTCAGCTCTTGAAGTCGCTACCGCAGACATGCGACCTGACAGGGGTACGCCTCCAAGACTTCGTCGTCGGAGGGACACTCACTGACATCCTGAGAAGTGTCTGAAGGGCTTTTGGGCTTCTTCGAGCGAACGAAGGACCGTGTGCCCAACTACATGGTGACCGAAGTGATTGCAAGGCGCTTGGGACAGCAATACCTGCAAGTGCTCGACGCGTTTCAGGCTGAAAAGCTGCAGGACGGGACGTACGCCTTCAACGAGATTCACAAATGGGCCGCGAACCTTCTCGCTACAGGAGCAGTGGCCGCTGTCATGACCACGAATTTTGACAACTACCTTGAGAAAGCGATCGAGGAGAGGACTCCTTTATGCTACCAAATCACTGGAGATCCTCATGTGGACGGCAGAGAGATCTCTTCCCGACTATACTTGACGACTGCAAAATCGGCGCTGGTCTTAGTTGTGAATGGAGCAAAAGCATTCGCCTTCGTGCGATCTCTTATGCCACAGCTCGGTAGTGGGAAAGTCACATTCTTGTTCAAAGTCCACGGGTCCTGCTATGATCCTGTCAGCTGTATTGACACGCGACTGCAGCGAGCTCAAGGCCTGCCATCCTTTGCTACTGACGTCCTCGACATTCTGCTCAAACGGACCGTGTGGCTGGTTGCTGGCTTCAGTGGAAGTGACATGAATGACAATCTCGACTATTTGCGCTTCCTTTCGAGCAAGAAGGAAGCCGCCATCATCTGGCTCACGTACCCTGGCAGCCGATGGGAGTCCGCAATACACCGTCTCACCTCGGCCATGACCCTGGAGAAAGGCTCACGCACTGGGTTCTGCCTGGTAAATGGCCACTTCGTTGGCGAGAGGCACACGGAAGAGAGCAGCTTCCCTCAGTTTGGACAAAAGATCTTGAAATGGGCCCAAAACCTGGGGCCGGACTGGTGCAAACTTCTGTTGGTGGACTTGGTGGCCCTCTTCGAAGACAAAAAGCAGAGCAAACGGCGCCTCCACAACTGTTGCAAACATTCAATCAAGGTATTCCGCCTCGGCAGGACTGGAACACGATTCTGGAGAACATGGACCTCAAGGCCGAAGAATCCCAGGTGATGCTTGCGCGTTGTTGTCTTCGAAACCCGTACTGACTAAAGCATTAGATAGCCCCAGCAAAGAGCTGCTCTGAACTATGGGCCTTGGTACACTGCGCACTCCGCACAGGTAACAGATTGCAGAGTGAAGCCAGGCAAGATCTCTGCAGGCGACTTACTACCGGCCTGGAAGTGCTCGGTGGCCACCACATCAGACTCCAAGAAGCCGCCACGCGTGGAGATCATCCGCAGGTGCATGCACAAGCATGGGTTGTCAGTGCCTTGAGTGGGCTGGCAATGCTGTGCGGTGGGGAAGTCAACGGGGCAGCGAGAGCGCTTGAGATCTCAAGCGGCATCGCTTGGCTGGTTGGAAACTATGAGCATCACCAGTCGATCGAAGGACTGTTGAAAGTCATGTTCCAAGCCGTGCGCACTTCAGTAGATGTTGAGGAGGAGGAAGACTCTCCCGCCTGCAAACAGACCGTCGGCTGTCTCGCCTTCAGCCCTGCCATGGACAACGTGAACTCCAAGATGAACAAATATGGCGTTCCTCCGCAGAACTACATGCGGGCGTTGCTACATCGCTCGATCCTGTTTGCGGACGGTATGATTCTTCCTGCGAACATCATCAGCAATTCGACGGTCCTTGTCGATGAGGTATTGTTTCAGGGCGAGCGTGATGAGCTCAACGAGGTCTACATCCGCCACCTCTACCCAGCCCTGCCTGCCGAGTTCAGAGACGGGCCTCGGAAGCTTCGGAGGTTTCTCGATACTAGGCCCGAGAGTTTTATCTTTGAGTCTGTCAACGACGATCATATTGCGCGCATGGACGACTTCTTCGATAACCCTGCAAACGCCCATCAAGTTCTCTACTTCGACGAAAGCTTACTCGGTCGAAATTATGGCAAATATATACGGAAAGCAGTTGATCCGCTGCATCGGGAGGCTACAATATATCATCTTGTTAGGCTTTGGAAGCATATCGAGGCCGGAGGTGGTTGGACTGAACAGCCAGATCACAGTGAACGTTCCTCTGCTGCTAAACACGCAGCTGAGGATCTGACCGACTCTCTCTGCCTCCTGACGACATTGCTCCCGGAAGCCGTGAGGAGATCGCCGTTGTACAAATTCGCCGATCTCTTCGACGAAGCCAGCGACAGAGACAGCATACTTGCATTTCTAAGAAGTGACGCTGGAGAGGAGGCCAAGCTGCAGCTGTTGCAGGCGCGGGATCGTATCATCGAGAAACCATGGCTCTACAGTCCCTTCTGCCACGAAATGTTCGATGCGCCTTATCGGGCTTCATTAGCGTTCGACTATGCATCCCGTGCTGAAGTTGACACGGTGCTCTTTCTAGAAGAAGAGGAGATCCCCTCGTGGGAGTTCATGTCATCGGATTGTCATGCAAAGGCCTTTCCGACCAACTTCGAGGCACTCCCCATATCAGCGGACAGCCGTAAGTACTCCTCGCTTCTACTGAGCCAGATGACTCCCGCGACCTTGCGGAAGGCGAGAAGAGATCTGGCGCCATTCCGAGCAAAGATCGTTGAAGGCTCGGCGCTTGTAGACGATGACGTGGTAAGAATAGAGGAGGCCATGGCTTCTTTCGAGAGTCGTTCGCTGGCGCTTCCTGAAGTTGAGATCAAAGCGCTCGTTGACCTCGACCCGCATGTGAAACAGGTGGCAGAACTGCTGCTTGCCCAGTGTGTCTTCCTGGTCAGAAACGGTCCACCACTTGACCCAATGTATGAAGAGGCGCAGATTGCGGTTCCCGGTCTTCTGGCGTTGCGCCGCCAGCAGGACTGAACAGCGAGCTTGTGGGAAAAGAGTGTTGGTTATCAATTTCTGGCGGGTGCGCGGCAGATGTCACCATGCAGCAAGCTTCCCAATTCCATGGTCGCTGTGGCGTTTCCGCCGTCCACAGCGTGATTGGTGCGGTAACTCTTCGCCTTCTTCGGCTCTACCTGTTGACATCGACCAGGATCGCCAGGGGCTCAGCTCAGCTTCGACTTTTCCGCACTGCCGTTCCAAAGTTCCAAACATCGCCACGCAAAGTGACAATGGGTGCACAGTCGATATATTCTCGGTTCTACACCTCGTCCGTGAAGATGATACGGGGTAGCAGTGACTGTCTGCCTCCAAACCGACTGCTCAACCACCAGGATGCTGTTTGACAAGACCCGGATCCTTGCAGACTTTGACGATCTGGTCGCCCGGCAAATAGTCCTCTACGGTCCAGGGACGGTCATCAGTATTATAGACAAAGCTTTTCAGGTAAAAGGTTGTTCTACCGATCTTGTCGTGACGGACTAACCTTCCTCCCGCAGTTTGATTTCCGCATATGTCCCGCGCTGGCGTCGAAGCCGGCGACAATTGGGGCCACCGAAAATGCCGGAGTCGACACAGTCCCGAAATATGGCCCTGGGAGCGACCTCGCTGACGCCGATCCGAAATTGGTCGTGTCAAAAATCCGTGATACGCACCTTCTGGTTTTGAACCGGTTTGCCGTCTTCCGGCCCCAATACTTGATCCTAACGCTGGACTCGTTCAAGCGGCAGACTGAGAGCCTCGACAGGACCGACCTCGCTGCCGCGTGGACGGTCATGCAAGCTCTGCCGGACGAACACTTCGTCATGTACAACTGTGGGAGTGAGGCCGGCTGCAGCAGATTGCACAAACACCTGCAAGTCATCCCTTGTTCGAACGGTTTGACCATGTTTCCCGAGCAGCATGGCCTCGACCCCATGGACATTCCATTCAAGTACTTCATTCGACCCATCGATTCTTCGACACATGCCTCGCCTGGTCGGCTGCATGCGATGTATCAAACCCTCCACGGAGAGGCCCAGCAGGCGTGGCAATCTTGCACAGAAACAACGCTGGAATATTTCCCCCACAACGTGATGCTCACCAAGCGTTGGATTATGGTCGTTCCCAGACGCCGAGCAGCGTTCCAGGGCGCGAGTGCCAATGCCGCCGGCATGATGGGCATGGTGTGGCTGACGAATGCACAGCAACTGGACAAGTGGAAGGAAATCGGTCCTGCTCGAGTGCTCGAGGAGCTTGGAGTCCCAAACCGACGTGGCCAGCCTGCTATGAAGACACCTAATTGTCACATGTAGAAAAAAATTTCGTTGCCAGACCCTGACATCCCTGTGCACCACGATCAACTGCTACCCTAGCCCAGCACTCCTTCTCTGACCAGGTTCTCGTACAGCCCCACGCGGCCAGAGTCTTCGCATCGCGCGCGCCCTCTCTCCACAGATCTTCATATCTCACCAACCTGACCTGAATATTCTCGCCCTCGGTCCTATTGCCCGTCAATCTCCCCCTCAACCGCTCAATCTCCCGCCTGGGCATGACTTTCTCGCACAGAAAAAGCGCAACAAACTCATCACACCCGCCGGGAGAAGGATACACGGCTCTCTGCAGATGGTCATCCTTGTCATCCCGCACCGCCAGCTCCGTCATATCGACAAGCTCATCCCTGCGGACGACCAAGCCCGTCTCCTCCCTGATCTCCGTCGCCGCGGCGCCTACAAACGCGTCGTCCTCGTCATCGATCATCCCCGCGGGGATCTCGCAAAAGGCAAAACTCCCGGCCGGCACGCGGGCTTGCTGCGTCATGACGACGAATCTCGTCACGGGGTCGTCGTCCGGTCTGACGATCATGAGGATCGCGACGCTGCCGCCTCGTAGGAAGACGATCCCCGGGAGAGGTCGCGCGTCGATCGCGCTCTGCACCACGCTTTCCAGGAGGACGAAGAGGATGCGGCGGGGACCTGCCCATTCGACAGAGCGGACGGCAATACGGCGGAGCTGGTAGAGAGAGTCGTAGTTAGGGTGGCCGTTAGGGAGCTTCTGGCTGTGGTCGTCACACCGATGCTGCTGCTGTGGTCGTTGTTGGTGTTGCTTGGTGATTGACTGCCGTAGTGTGGAAAGCCAGTTCTTGAACGGCCGAAAGGCGAGGAGTTGGTCCTTTGTCACATTCGGGGGAATCGTCACCTCTACTTCTGGAGAGCCGGCGATCCAGTCGGGGAGGATGAATGAGGACATTGTGGAAGTACGTAACTAGGGGCCGAGCCTGCCGGTGAGGTGAGTTTTGGAGCTGAAGAGTCGAAGAGTTGAAGTGTCGGCGAGTCGGGACCCGTTCTGTCCTGTACTTTCTTGCACGGTGAGTGGCGATGTACAGTGAGAATCGAGGACACTGGTCAGAACAGCTTGCGGTGTTGCTTGAAGCACTGCTATCGACGGCATCGTGATCTTGGTGTCTAGGTAGGGTTATGAGTCTTATATAGATGGAAACGTACATATTCATGCTCTGTCAGACACCACAGGCGCTGTGGCGGGTAATTTTAATTACTGTCTCTCATTTTGGTTCGACTGAGACAACTCCACTCGACTCATTCGAAGCCACGAAGCTGTATGCTTCACGGAGCGCGGCGCGTGCATGGGAGGACTATCGTGGAAACAAGTGGTGCAAGCGGCACAAGGCTGCGCAGGCCCTTTGGCTATTTAGCTAAGTAGGCACAAACAACCACATGCGGGGAGATAGGCACAGGCACAGCCGAGGCGGACACGGGGCGGGGCCCCAGGGGTGGTTGAGCTGGCACCTTATGGCTCACGGGCTCGCCTAGACTGTCTATGTAGTAGCCTTGTGCCTACGTTGTATGTACTTTCGTATACTTACTTAGAGGTGTTAGCCGCACAGTTCGCCACCACCAGCAACGAGTGGCTTAACACAAGTCAACAAACTTATCGGTGGTAGTTAACACTGTGGCCTCGCCAAAAGTCGCCTCACCAGCAGCGGGAGGGAACGGCTTAGGCACTTTAGGCAGGCAAGCGAGATGGCGGGGGACCTGCACAGAATACTCCATACTTTAAGCACAAAACCTACTGTTGAGGAGCCTTGCCGCAGACGCTCCAGGCGCTCTCTGGCGTGGTTGCTTCTAGCTCCTAAAGCAAGGGGCGTGGGGAAGCCTCAGCCACATTCAACAGAACACAGCACACAGTACGGAGTACTCCGTACTTAGGTAGGTAGCTAATTGGCAGGGTACCTGAGGTACCGTAACAAACTGTGGGTGCGCACATTGGAGCTCGCTTTGCGTGTAGACAGTACAAGTACCTTTTGGTTGACTTGATCTGCCTGGTCTGGGTGCTGCTTCATTGCCCTTCCCATGAACATTGGAGCTCACTTTGCGTGCGCACGAACTGTTTGCCTTAGCTTGATTTGCCAGTCTGGGTGCTGCTTCACTGCCCAGGAATACTTGTGGACGCCATTGGTGGCCATGTACGCTGCTTGCTCCGCTGGCCTCGCGAGGAGAGGTGCAGACTGGTCGCAAACAGCTCTGATGGCAACCACGACATGCGCTGCTGAATTCCTTCTGACCGGGGCTGAACTTCAGACAAATCTAGACTCGGAAGGGGCTTCCGAACATTGCTCACATCCAGTCTCAAGGTGATGGCCATGATTGATTCGGTGAGCAGAAATTGACATCAGAGGGAAATGGTCCTGTCGCGTTGATGAATGTGAGATGAGTGTTGGGTGAGCGCTGGGTGAGTGGAAATCAGTGTCAGAATGATGTCAGGGTCCAGAACTTGGGCTTCCCTTGATTGCAACCGCAGGAGCAACGACTACCATTAACCATCCTTCAAACTCATCAACTGACACCGGACCAGCTTCTAAGGATACTTGATGATGAGTCCGACCGCACGTCACTTTGACAACGACAAAACTCCTTCCCTTCATGCGGATGCTCACAAAGAACTTGTCGCCTCCCTGACACGCATCAACACTTACAACCCACCAGTTCAGACTTGCTCGACAGGATGGACATTTCACGGATTGTACTATGGCCCGACCTCAGTAGCATACCTGTTCTTGCGGCTATCTAAGCTCTACCCTGATCTTGCTTTCAAAGGCCAGTCACTTCTCGACTGGGCTCAGTCGTACCTGGACCTGGGAACGACCGGCCATCGTGACAGCGTCGACTCAAATCATTGTGGCATTGGAAATGAGGCTCTAGCGCAGCTGGCCCTACGCGCCGCCATAGAACGGGACCAAAGCCTTGTCCAGAAGCTCTGCTCCTACGAAAGCATCGTCAACGACACGGGCGGCTCAGACGAGTGGCTGTACGGCCGATCAGGATATCTTTACTATCTTCGTCTTGCTCGGTCGCCGTTCGAGGATGCATCCAAGACTGCGGAGATGATTGACACAACGATACACAAGACTGTACAGAGGATCCTGCGCTCCAAATTCCCATGGACCTGGCATGGCAAGGCGTACGTGGGCTCCGCACATGGCGCATTCGGCATCCTCGCTCAGCTTGTTCTCTCCTCCCCACAGTGCGCTGAGACGCTGGAGCCGCTGCTGACTTCACTGCTTGATACACAATTCCCTAGCGGGAACTTCCCGTCGTCCCTGCCGCCGGGCTCAGACAAAGTTGTTCAATTCTGTCACGGAGGCCCCGGCGCGGTTCTCGCACTCAGGTCATTACGGCCACACTTCCCCAACCTGCAAGCAAGCATCGACTCCGCCATCACAGCGGCGCAAAAGGACATCTGGAACCGAGGCCTTCTGACCAAAGAGCCCTGCTTGTGTCATGGGATTTCCGGGAATGCATTGGCTCTGGACGACGATGCCGAATTTGAGCATTTCTTGGCTTGCACGACGACTGACTCGCTTGAAGCTGCTGGTCGTTTGAAGGCAGCAGGAAGAGATGATCAATTCGTGGGACTTTACACTGGCGAAGCGGGGAGGGCGTGGACCTGGGCTGTCAGGGATAGACAGCTGGGAGACAAGCCTTGCATCGGGTTCAATGACCTATGAAGATCTATGCGATACGTAACTTGACAAGCTGCAGAGTCGTGTCTCGAAGGCGCTTGTCTACAGGCGTCCCTCGCTGTATCATCCGTCATCCTCGACGATCTTACCATCTTTGATATACACTTCTTCCCAACCGACCATCCACTGCGCCGACTGCCACTCAAAGAGCCGGTTCTCATCCGGCAGGATGAACTGCTCGTAATACAGATCCTCCCGCGCCCTCTGGAAGCATAAGCCGTCCGGCATCAAGAACTCCCCAACGCCATCGAACTCGATCTTCTTCAAGCCTTCAAGCGCGGGAAAGGCTGCAATAGCGAGCGTTGCGGCGGACGAAGGGGTATGGTACTGTCCGACAGCATCAGCAGGAGCAGATCAGTCACGTATGTCATGGGCTGTGTACCGAGTGTGGCCCTGAACCGGGGGAAGAAGCGCCCGCAGAAGGAGGGTATGCGGAGGTGCTCATGATCAACTGACCTGACTTTACTTCACGATACCGTGCCTAGCAAGTCAATCAAGCACCGGCCCTCTATGCGTCTCAGTCCAATGGCGGTGAAATTCATCTTCACTCGAAGGCTCATGCGCTTGGCGAACAGCGAGAGTTTCACAAGGCGCTGCTTGGTCGCGATCGGTAGTCGACAGCACGACGGTTTCGGGTTCGCTGAGGATATGAACGTAAGACAGCAGTGGTTGTCTTTATTCCAGAATGGAGATAGCTACCATCTGGTCACGGAGCTTCAACGTGGGCACTGTCTCTTCTGCTTTGTTGGCGACAGCCTTGCCCCGCCCCACAGGGCTGCGCTACATCTCGTTTACGGGAAAACGCCGGTGTTTGGTGTTTTTGTGGGCATCTTTTCCACACGATGTTTCCGAAAATCCGCGACGTGTCCCTCCTCTTACGCAACCCGGCCTCATGCTCAGGCTGAAGATGGCGGTCGCGCAGGTGCCTACACAACGTCTTGCTCTTAAAAGTCCTGGCCCTCACCTGCGACAATCCTCACGCCCTCCGTCCCTAATTTATGCGTAGAGCGACAATAACCACGCGCTCCCCCGTCTTGCCCCGCGCGTTGGAACGCCGCTGACATGGCATTCATTCGGATGTACCAGGATTCGGACAAGGATGCAATGATACACATCGTCAGTTGCCCCGTCCGTCCGAACACCGCGATCCCCTCTAATCAATACTCGTACGAATCCAGTTCCGCGAGACATGTGCCCCAGACCTCATCACCGGAGGCGACACGGTCCTCCACTACGCCTCCTTCCTGTGGTGTCGACCCTACCTGATGTTGCGACCCGAAAGCTGCTTCGTCGTAGACGATGGCACAGGACGCGCGGTGGGGTACCTCCTCGGCGTTCCCGACACGGTTGGCTTCGTGCAGGACTACCGCGAAAAATACATACCGTACTTGAAGTCGGAAGGGTTCGAGAAGCCCGAACCCGACGAGCCCACGGGATGGAACGAGCACCTCCCCAACGCGCTCAGGCAGATCATGTTCAATCCAGAAGGAATGTTGCAAACAGGTCACCCGCGTATGATGGACGAATGGCCCGCGCATCTGCATATAGACCTGCTGGACACCCATCAGCGGCAAGGCTGGGGGCGACAATTGATCGATCGCTTCTGCGCGCTGGCCAAAGAACACGGCGCCAAAGGGGTACACCTCGGCATGGCGGCGGCGAACGAAAACGCATACAAGTTCTACGCTCGCGTGGGATTCACCCGGTTCCCTGTTTGTCTCGACCAGGGTGTGAGTGGTGAGTTAGGCCAGAACGGCAATACGATCTGGCTCGTCAAATCTCTTTAATCCCGTGACGGTGATTCCGATTTCATGTACTTGAAGCGAAGTACGGAGTACCAGTATCGAAAATCAAAATCAAAAATCAAAATCACGTCAGCGAGCCGATGGTCGTATGGAATCATCCGAGGTTCTTGCTGGCGGTGCCGTCGAACAAGTACGCAGTAGACGCCAATAATTGTACAGAAGTCCTCCGTACTGGGGTTTTGACTCCAGCATGCGGTGGCAAGCGGCCGAGACGGCGCAGCGGGCGTCGGCTTTCCAGGCCAATGGATCCAGCATACTCTGTATGAACCTTGGTAAACAAAAGCCTGGTACTGCGTGCTCGTGTACGAGTACCTGGGTAAGTAGCGCACAGCTTTTGATCGCCTACTTGGCGGCTCAACTGTTACATAATCTCCATGTTCGCTCCACCAGCTCATTCCAGCGCGATTGTTCGGCGTCTCGGGCTCAGTCATGAACAGAATATTAGACAAGGATCCCAGCTTTCTAAAGCTCGACGTGGGTTGATCGTACGTCCTCGTTTTCATCTGCTCAGGAGTCGACACCATCCACGCTGTCTCTCGTCCATCGGTTATGAACTGTCGGTTCATCCTATGCTTATGTGAGTCTGTCTCAGGCCGGCCACCAGCAGCCGATCACTGATCACTCGTGGATCGGCTCCGGTTTGATGAAACAATGTCAGCAGCGTCGCCGCATCAGGTACGCCGTAATTACATGCGACGCTACGGAGTCGAGAGACAAGCTTTGCAGCCCACAAGTAAGCATCGTCGCTGAGAGCATCCTAATTCCCCCAGTATATATACGCCACAGACTTCGCGGCGCGATGTCGAGCGAGCTGATGTTGGTATCCCTGCGCCCTCGAACACAAGTCGTCTTCCAACCTGACGCGTTCATTGCGACAACACGATTATCTGAAAACTAGACGATATTTCGAGCCGTCCGCAAACTGTGTCGGTCGTCTCTCGTGTTGCAGGACCGTCCGCTTGCCCCAAGGCTCAACGCAGGCTTGGATCTACTCGGTACAAGGAACAAGCATACGTCAGCTGGTTCGCTGCAATGGTCTTCCCCGCGACGGGTCCAGTACCCGACATACCCAACAAAGACATCTGCTCATGGATTTTCGACGAGCCGAAGTATGATGTTCACAAGCCAGTGAGTAGATGCAACATCTCCACGCAATTGACCCCGTCTTTTCTCCCACTTACCCCTTGACCGCCAGATCTTCATCGATGCAACAAACACCAGCCGCTCAGTATCGCACGTCCGGGCGCGCAAGCTCATCCGCCAATTGATCGCGGGATTGCACAAGGCTGGCGTCAGACGAGGCGATTGCGTGCTCATCCACTCATTCAACGACATCTACTACCCGCTGCTCTTCCTCGCCATCACCGGTGCAGGGGCAGTCTTCGCGGGCTCGAATCCCGGCTACACGCCCCTCGAACTGAAACACCACGTCAAGATCACCAACGCGCGATTCCTCATCAGCGAACCCGAACTCCTTGAACCGCTCCTCGAAGCCGCAAAGGAGACAGGGATCCCACGCACCAACATCCGCATCTTCAACAGTCAAGCCCATCAACCCGTCCCGGACGGCTTTCTGAGCTGGACCGAGCTTCTTGGGCATGGCGAAGAAGACTGGGTCCGGTTCGACTCGCTCGCGACCAGTACGACCACGCCAGCCGCGTATTTCACGAGTTCCGGCACGACGGGCCTGCCCAAGGCGACCATCTCCTCGCACCGCAACCTGATCGCCCAGCACGAACTCGTCTACTCGCCTACGGTGTACAAGCGGCCCTACGAAGTGATCAACATCTACCCATTGCCGATGTTCCACGCAGCCATCGCGCCACGGTGCCACACATCGACGCTCAAGCTCGGCGAGACCAGCTACGTGATGCGCCGGTTCGAGCTGGAAGCCTACCTCGCCAATATCGAAAAATTCAGAGTCACAGAGATGTACGTCGTGTCGGCCATGGCCGTGGCGATCGCCATGTCGCCCTTGCTGAAAAAGTACTCGCTGGAGTCCATCCGGGCGGGCCTCGCGGGCGCGGCGCCGCTCAGCAAGGAGACCCAAGCGGCCATCAGACCGTACCTGCACCCCTCCGCGCCTTTCGTGCAAGCCATGGGCATGACCGAAGTGTCGTGCATCCTGACAATGTTCCCCTGGCCCGAGGACGACACCACGGGGGCCGTCGGCCGCCCGATCCCGGGCGTGGACATCAAGCTCGTGGACGACGACGGGAAAGACATCACCGCGTACGACGTGCCGGGAGAGATGTGCGCGCGCGGACCCACGGTCATCAGCGGCTACCTCAACAATCCGCAGGCCAACGCCGAGGCCTTTGATGCCCAGGGATTCTACCACACGGGGGACATCATGTACCGCGACGGCCGCTCCAAGCTGTGGTACGTCGTCGACCGGAAGAAGGAGCTCATCAAGGTGCGCGGCTTCCAGGTCGCCCCGCCGGAGATCGAGGCCGTGCTGCTCACGCATCCAAGCATCGTCGATGCTGCTGTCATTGGCGTCGCCGCGGCGAGTGCGCTGGATGGCGAGGCGCCGCGGGCGTACGTCGTGCGCAGGCCGGGCGTTTCGCCCGCAGAGTTGACCGAGCGCGATGTCTACGATTGGGTCGCCGGGAAGTTGGCCAAGTATAAACGCTTGGACGGCGGCGTCCTGTTCCGCGACGTGATTCCGAAGAATGCAAGTGGCAAGATCTTGAAGCGGATTTTGAGGGATGAGGCTAAGGGGGAGAGGGAGAAAGAAGGCGCCAAGTTGTAGATGCGCCACCGTGGGTTGGGCGGTTGATATAGCGGCGTTAGCGAGATGTGGCATGCACGTGTCTTTCATAGAGCCAGTATCATGATATTATGTAATTACACCTCCTTGCTCAGCGGGCCCCCATCTGCCGTTTAATGTCGACGGGTTTGAACCAGTGAGGTGGCGGTGAATGGGATTGGCCGTATACCGCGAGCAGGCGGAGTTAACACCGAGTCTCATGCATCGGATCCGGTGGTACAGTACTTCAAAATAGCAGAATTGTACGATGTATTCGAATTGGCGGGCTTCCTAATAGCAAACTCAATCTAGTACGATAGCTTGTTCTGTGGATCGAGCGAAGCAGCTTGCACGAAATTCCAGTTGCGTGAACTGCAGGGGGGGTGAGTGACAACGAATGTCCAAGTGTCCCGCTGATTAGCTTAGTTGGCTGTATATGGTCGCTGTTGATAAGAATACAAAAGCTTGCGTACAATGCCACACTCATAAATACATCAATACATACATACATTATCGTCGGGGCTTCCTGCGTGCTTCTTCCATGGTGGATACTGACACTCGCTCAGGTCACCAGAGCCCGAGTACAGAATCGATCGATTGCGCTGGCTAGTCGAGAAAAGGAAACTCATATCTGCTGCATATCGCTACGCATGCCCTTCGTTTCTCCAGGCCGGCCTTTGGTGACTCCAAGGCGATATTTCCGGTATGGAGCTTCGGACTTGAGAATGAATGTTGTCGTTCATTACTAGTATCGCGTGTTTTTGGCAGAATCGGCGAAGGAGGCGGTTGTTGGGACATGTTGGGGTAATCCCCGCAAGGCTTTTTTTCTGACGGCTGTCATCTCACCTCATCGTCGTGTATGGCGAGGCCTAAATGCTGGCCGGCCAATGCCCTTTGCCCGACGATTTGCGGATTCGGTGGCAGAATATCCCCGTCATGATGGCGGAAAGCTCAAGTCGTCCTTCGAATCCTGCATACCGTATTACTATTGCCGCATTGACATTGAATTGCTCGACAAGAACCGGCAGTCGCAGAAGCTCTGACGCAGAAGCTCGTTTCTGAGGGCAACAACCTCGTCATGGAGAGCAGAGACAAGCGAGCTCTGGATGTGCATCTTCTCCTCCTCCCTCTTGCACCGATGCTGGAGCTGTTCGATAAAGGCCTTTTGGCGGTTTCGACATTTTGTTGCCGCTTTGCGGTTCAGTTCCAGCTCTCTGGCATGTTTGTCAGACCGCGGTGTGATGCGCCCCGTGGTGGTTTTCTTCCGCTTGGCTGGGGTGTTCCTGGGTCTGTATGAATCGTCATGGAGATCTGTTGTCGCCAGAGACAAGCGCCGCAGGAATTGTTCGCGACTGAGCGATGCAGATGAACTCGATGTTGAATCTATCGAGCCCGTTCTCCTTGGGAGCGATGTCTGGCTGATGGACGACGGGCTTGAGGCGTCGGCATCCTGTGCATGCAAGTCCTGTGGCTGGACAAACTCGGGCATACGCCCTTCGGAGGCGAGTGTTGATAAGGTTGAGCCTGGTAGCGCCGAGAAATCTTCGAGAACGGATTCGTGAGCAGCGTCCGGTATGAATGAGAGGTTGTTGGACAGCTGGAAGTCCCATGGATTTGTACTCTGGCCAAAGTTGGTCTGGAACTCGCCGGTCAAGGCCATGATCGTGGTTAGTGCTGATGTTGCTTTTGATACTGTGTTACGGATTGTCAAGAAATGCGTTCACACCAACAACACCACGAATGATCTCAAACATTTCTTGTATGGCTACAGAGCCAATATGTGTGGGGTAGGCAGCTCTGTGGCAATTTTTCGTCACCGGCGGCCGTGAAGTTTAGGACCAAGTATCCGAAGCCCTTGGCACGTCGATTCTGCGCCAAACGCCAATGGATAATTGTCCCGGAAGCACTGCAACAGACAGCGACGTGTGGGCGGCCACTCGCGTGCTTGAACCACCCCAGGGCCGAAGTGCTACCAAGTGCTCGTATCTCCGACAGGGCCTAGGGTAGAGAATTGAGCGGCGCCGAAAAGAGGTGGAGCAATACCCCCAGCCAACCATCGAAAGGTACCTGCTCGATTCTGACCACTCAAGGCACCTCACCGGGTCTTTGATCCGTGAGAGACACGATGGAGCCGAGCTAGTGGAGAAGTGAGTGCTTGGGATCATCCTAGCTGCTCAACGGTGCATGCACAAGGTGCAGGTCTCTGCTGACCGGCCCTTCCATGTGGACGGAGGAGTCCACCGTAGTGTATACGAGGGCCCCAGTCTGTGCCAAGACCGGAAGAAATGTCCAGGATGGGGCTGCGGCAAAAGTGACACGCAGATACACAGTAGAAATCCATGATCCGGCGACATGTAGGTGCTCTCTGTGTCCACGGAGAGCGAGACTGGGAAACAGGCAGACATGCCACAGATCGCTTCACTTTGATCGGCTCATGTTCGCATAACCGCATCGACGGCTCAGATTCCAGGTGAAAGATGGGAAAGGGACGCGTCCTTTCTCAGTGCGCAGCGCGATTGCTTGATGCTTGGGCCAAGGCGCGTAGGACGATACTGTGTCCTCGTACGGAGTACTGAGTCGCGACTGTTATTCTGTGTCCATTAATCCAAACCCCACCTCCCATGATTGGTTAGTCGCGGACAAGCCTCGGCTTCCTACAAGGTTTCGGCTTGTTCCCGTCTTGCCCCGCAGACCGTGAGCGAAGTAGACCCTACGTAATGATGTCATTTCTCACGGCGGATTTTCTCACTACTAGCAGCCGGTTTTTTTGCATGTGCCTTACCACGTACCGGAAATTGTTTCAGGAGCTCTGTTCTCAGCTTCTGATTGGTTCACATCGGGGGTTTTCTTGAAGCACCTCTAAAGCAACTCGTCCTGGGGTACTCGGTCTTATTTACCATGGATATCTCCCCGGGCCTGGTGTTGATTTGCACCTGCCGTGGACGGTACCGGCAATGTTTTTAAGCTCAAGGGTACAAGTCGCTGGCGGTCTAACTTTGCACTTACACAGTATAATGCAACCCGTGTCTATTCGAATAACTAAAGTTCCACACGACTGAATCTCTGATATTGACGCCTTAATCTCCTAATCCATCATTGCACTTGACCATCCTTGCCGTGGTAGACTTCGCATTACAGACCGAGATATGAAAGCCCAGAGACCAGGACAAAAGCCCAATGCCGGTGCAAGGACGACCGTGAAGGGGAAGCGAAGGACTTCTCGGGGGAGGACTTCGCGTGCGTGAGTAGTATTCACCAGTTGCCCCTTGCGCCAGGGCTACGACAACCGGAGGCTAACAGCTTATGCAGCTGCGATCGCTGCAGAGTAAAGAAAGCAAAGGTACTGAGCTCACCTTCACCGAGACGGGTCTTGTATTAACCATAGTCAGTGCGATGGCGCTCAAGTATGCAAGACCTGCCAGGCAAGTGACAGCCCGTGTGTATACTCTGCTAGGAGACGGGAGGCAAGAAACTAGTAAGCGCATTCCCAATTTTGCGGCGAAGACTGTGTTCTGATACTGGTCAGTTACTGCCAGATGCGAGAAGTAACAGACACCGCCCTTCAACGACTATATTGGGCCTGCCGGCGGAAAACGGGGTTTCCAGGAAGTATTCCCGACGAGTCCACGGGCGTGGTTGCCACCACCGACATTCTGAAGGGCATGGGCCTGATCAGACCCGAATTTGATGAGTTTGAGTTACCGAAAGAGATGGAACAGACTCTACCGCCGGCCGATCGCCCAGACCGGGCAAAGCGCCCACTTCTGGCCATCAAACCTCGCGGCCACGAAGATGACAACGACATTCCATCCAGTGCGTCCTCATATTCTACTGCCAGCAGCCCGCCGGTCTTGGGCGTGCAAACCTGTCAAGGCAACACATCGCCGCCGGCTACGCCATTCGACGAGATCGATATGAAAGATCAATTCCTGGCATACTCGCCGGCCGCCAAACCCGTGCGACCTGTCGACAAAATTCAGAGCCCCGTGGAACACATTCCTCTATTCCACCAAGGAGAGAACATCGCCGACTCGCATCATATGGATGTCGAGGCATTCCTAGACATGAGCTTCTGCGCACCAGCCACCTCAGCTCCGCAGCCTGTCTACAGCAACTACCGGTCGACGCCTTTCAGGATGCCACCTATGGCTGCGCCTCATCTTCCCGACATGCAATCCCTCCGACCGCCACCTGATCTTATCTACGACGGCTTTCTTTCGCCGTGGCCGGGGTCCTTGGCCGCGGCGAATCAATCGGTTGCTATATAATATTTAGGTTTGACTTTCTTGGGCGCTTACACGTGTAGCATTCTACGAGAGCCCTTCTCGCCTTTTCCCAGACTGGCGGAGCAGAATGAGACTTGTCGAGCTCACTGACACCAAAAGCATTTTTTGAATTGGCGTGGACTTTTGTGGCGCGCTCGGATATTGTCGGGCTTGCATGCCACGTTTGGGAGGTACTAGCGACGGCCATATCAGCCCTTCGCCGGCGTCAATCATTTTCGCCATGTGTAGGTTTACAGCCGCGATTTGTTGCGGATACTATCGTCCAAAGCCAGCCTGAGACCGTGTCGCCCACGGCTTCTCGTCGCATTTGCTTGCACAGACTATTGTCTTTCTCCGAGGGCAATATACCCAGAGTGGCAGCCTCAATGGACTGCCGGTTTCCACACAGCATTTGCAGCACTACATCTAGCGCTCTGAGATAAGCTTCTCCCGGAGTTGACGAGAAGCCGTGGTCCAGACAACACAGACGACTGATTATTTTGATCGGCGCAATTTCTTTCGCAAAAACTTCCGCAGGTTTCCCCTGCAGCTGCCCAAGAAAGCAGGACCCTCCGAAGATCACTCGTACGCGAGGAACGCACAAGGAAGCCCTCGAGAAGAACTAGGCGGTGCGAGGAGGGGGAAAGGAGGGGGTAAGTCGTGGTCCCGGGTTCGGAAATGCTGATGTTTCCATTGCAGAAATGATCGGCATGAACCAGGATTGTCGGCATGATGCATCCTTGGAGACGAGATGTGAAATCATCGTGCATTGCTATCGCCACCGCTTCAAGTACGGATTGTGCTCGCTTACTCGAACTGAGGACTTCATGGCGTACCTCGTACGAGTGTCTAAGGGAGGGAAGAATAGATGGCGATCCTCTCGGCGGCATCGAATTTCACTTGATCGAAGATGGTTAGCGTCGTCCGCTCGATACTGATACTTCCGCGCGATGTAATTCGTGGAACTACACTTCCTCGCCCTCGGCTACTACGGCGGGCTGATTATGCAGGCTGTGTCGGACCAGGTTCCCCCAATCCTGTAGCATCGTCTGGCACGGGCTCACCCACCGCAAGTCCTTTGGAATCTCCGCTGGAAGAAGATTCCCAGGAGGCACGAAGATTGGAGCTCGGTGCTCGTACGAGGTACTAGGTAACAAGGCCATACTTCCGATACGCTCAGCCGGCTCTCAGTACGAGGTACCGCGGGCGAGCAAGGGGTGTACTGGTACCAGCTCCAGCTGGACTGACTGAGGACCGGAGAAAAGATCCTGCGGAGAACCCCTCACTCTTACTACCACACCATGCGAGTGACTCGTAATACGAGTACACGGTCCACCACAGCAGCCCAAGTTCCTGGGGTCGGCCTTGTTGCAATTAAGGTCAAAACAACCATGCGTGGGCCTTTGTTTGTAACTTCGCTTGCACACTTTGCAGAGTGCAGAACAAAAGGCGGTGTTCAGCGCTCTATGCCATTGGACTTTGAGGAGTACAGGACGTGGAAAAGGATCCCGGGATAACTCGTTGATTGCCATCGCTCAGTAGTGGCGATCGAGTCAGCAAAGGCCGATGACATGCCTTTCCGAAATCCGACAAAGTGCCCATGCTGGGTCTATTCCTGGGCCGTTCGGTTTTTCTTGCCCTCGCAAGAGGTGACTCCGCCCTGTATGCACCGGATATGCGCAAGTTCCCAGGATGTGCGTGTGTCAAAGGTACTGTGTACATGGCTAGTGTAGCGATAGCGACTGGGGGGTTGCGCGCATCGAGGTGCCCGGCCTCGCAGACGGTGAACAAGAAGAATGATCTCTAGATCAATGATCTGGCTGGACGTCCTCGATCCTCAAACCTTTTCCGCCTTCGAAGATCCCCATCCAAGTCTGATGATCAGCCCCCGCCTCTAATATCACAGCTCGGATGCGTCAGGCGAAATGTTGTGTTGCCCTCATCCTCGTCTCGCGTGCCTGCTTCCGTAAGTCGTGGGTGGAGGGTGACGATCTTGCGTGCTACCAGTAGGGGAAACATTAGTTCTCAGCGTGGGTCTGACGGAACACTTATCCTTGCGAGTGACCGCATATCCAAAGTACTGTAACTCATGCTTCGACGGATAAGGCACGCGCTTGGTCCGCCAAGTCGTTGCTGTCGTATCGTACTTCCTATCATTGTGCCTACTAAGTAAGTGGTACGAGTGGCTCACCACCTCTTGGGCGCCGAGACCACTGTGCGTGAAAATGATGCGCTCGCTTGTTCCAGCTTCTTCTGTCTTTCGCGTGCAACGATCCCCGTCCGATCCGTCACTGGGGTGGCATTGGCAATTTGATCGAAATCGTCAAAGTCCTCATCAGCGGAGCCCGATTCTGCGTCGGAATCAACGAGCTGTGTCGGATTGGCATCGCTGTTGCCCGCTTTGTTGATGTTGTTGTTGTTGTTGTCGTCGTCGGACTGTCGCTGATTCTCTGTCTTGGGCGGTTCTGCAGGGAAATTCTCCGCAAAGGGTCTGGACGCGAGAATCTTTCGGCGGATTTCCGCCATCTCCGCCTCGTCGTCATCCTCATCCTCGTCTGGAGGCAGCTCCAACGGCACGCCTTGTTGCAACATGTTGCCCTCGTCATCTGCGGCTGACTCGTTGCCGTTATCTGCATCGTCTTCGTCGTCATCATCTGATTCGAATACCTCTCGCCTGTTCGTATTTCCACCGGCCCAGTCGTCAGCCTCCTCGCCTACAGCGTCCTTGTTGGCTCGACTATCTGCATACTCCTTCTCCAGCTTGGCGAGCCACTTCTCCTCTGCCTTTTTGATCTCTTCCTCATTCTGACAAGCCGCGTACCGTTTGAAGAGCTGGGAATTGATCTCGAGAAATGCCTCGCCGTACGAGAAATGCTGGAGCACAATCTCGGCCCAGTCGTGATGGCCGCAAATGGCGAAACACGCCGCTAGGGCCTCGACACAGTTGAGGCGCCATGGCTTTCCATAGTTGACTGAGTTGGCGGCGACAAGGTACGGCAGGAGCCGTTCGCATTTGCCGCCGATCCGTGAGAAGGGGACCTCTTGAAGCCTGATCCACGAGCATTCCACTACTGCGGCGCCGTATTGTTCGAGAAGTTCCCGGTCAGCCGGTGAGAGGATCGTCTTTGCGTTGGGACTGGACGCCCGGGGGTGCGTGTCAGCGTGGCAATTTGTGCAATGTGTCTCCTGTGCGAAGGAACGGCAAGTGCTTACGAAATGACGACTCCAGGGAATTTTTGACCGACGGGCAATTCCCGCATCAGGCCAAAATGCATCAATCGTTTCCCGCTGCAGCGTTTGGAGTCGCAGTGCCCGAAATCCCAGCAAGCGGCCTTGAAAGGTGGGCGTTCTGCGACGACGTCATTGTCGTCGCCATCTCGCGCCGTCGAGCGCGGCGTGTGTCTAGACTTGGTGGAATATTTCTTCGCTTTGGACGAGCCGTTGTCTTTCTTATGCCGCACCATTGCGAAGACGGATGGATCGGTATGTTGATACGAAGAACAAGCGACAGGAGATATTGTTTTAAGTATATAGGTAGATTACTTGAAGAAGCGTCATATCATGTCACCTCCCGACCAGAGAAACCGCCAAGCTTTTCGCCCCGCTTAGTCACTAGTGTTTGCGTCTGCACGTGCTCACGTGTTATTGAATTGTCTACCGAAGATATCCCGGACTGTCTTCGATTCGCATACACAAACTGCACATTCTGTTGCTTCAATCACGAATACTTCTCCCGAATTCCTCCTGCAGACAAACTTGCAATCATGGGCTTAGCTGTGCTGCCGCCAGACACCGAAGACGAAAATGTGCCCGTCCAGGTCTCAGATGACGAAGAAGACAGTGATGCGTCAATGCAGGACGCCGAGGAAGGGCGGCCTTTGAAGCGCCGCCGGCTGGCCTCCTCTTCTCGACAGATTGCGCTGCCGGGAGAAGTCATCACCGACGATACACAATGGATGAGGTAGGTATGGATTACACGCCATGTGGCAGTCCACGTATACTGTACGCGTGGCTAATATAATCCGCAGAGGACACGGCACGTACATGACCGAAGGATCGCCCACGATGATCGCAACCCTCGCGGGCCCCCTCAAAAAGACCAACAAGCTGCTATCCGTCGCGCCGCTTCGCGCACGGTATACACCCGAGATCGGAGATCTAGTGGTCGGGCGCATCGTCGAGGTGCAGAAGAATCAATGGAAGGTTGATGTGGCCGCCCCGTTGCTGGCTCTCCTACCGCTCTCGTCCATCAATTTACCTGGCGGAGTATTGAGACGACGGACAACGGCAGATGAGTTGCAGATTCGCAACTACTTCCAGGAAGGGGATCTGTTGGTCGCCGAAGTGCAACAGTTGAGAAGCAGCGACGGCACAGCCAATTTGCACACGCGGAGTTTGAAATATGGCAAGCTTCGCAATGGCACGTTCTTGGCAGTCTCGGGGACTGGTGGCGGGGGTGGCGTCGTTCGAAGTCGAAGACAAGTTTTCACCATCAACAGTGGCGCTCAGGGCGGTGGGGATGTGGATGTGATACTTGGAGTCAACGGCTACATCTGGCTTAGCAAACACGTAGAGCAGGCGCAGGATACAGGCAGAATGAGTGGTGGCGGTGTCAGTATTTCGAACCTGGACGATGTGGTCAGCAGCGCCATCTATTCGAGCCAGAACGATGATATTGGAGAGGGCACGAGGAGAGAAATTGCGCGGATATCAGAATGTATCAAAGTGCTCGCTGAGGAGGGGGTGAGGGTCGACGAGGACAGCGTCATCAAAGCGTACGAAGCCGCTGTTGACGCTGAGATGGGGTGGATGGAGCAGGATGGCGTTCCGACGAGCTTCGGCGATGAAGTCAGGAGAAGGATTCTCGACGCTGCTCTTCATTGAACACCTGCTGTTCGTGTACAGGCCATACATGTGCAACGAATTCGGTACGAGCCAAGCATCCGAATGGGACAGCGAAATAACGCTACTCGGCTTCTGTGGTAGGGCGCCAGCGTCGTCTGAAGTAAGTCTGGTTGTCTATGTGAGGGCTAATCGCTCAGCTACTGCTGTGTATGTTGGCGTGCCTGCCTCACATGGCCGGGGCAGGAAGCGGAAAGCGTGCCTACCACAGCTTCATTATCCACATCACATCGTCGATTTCGTACTACTGACGGCGACGCGAGAATTACCATGCTACAATCTACCCGACTTTTAGTCGTACCAACCTGACGTCTCGACGTACGGACCATTAGAAGACGCAGGCCTCTCTTCCCTGGCTTTCTTCCACCGCTTATTGCGGTCCTTCATATCAGCCTCGGTCTTGCGCATCGTGCCGCGAGCCAACCAGAAGCCTTCATATTTGTGCCGTCTGGTCGCACCGGGCAGAACACAATCTACTGGCGGCGTGGCATACTTGTTTCGTAGGCCGGCGACGATAGGGTTGGAGGTTGTCCTGGTGGATTGGAAGCTTGGTCGAGAACCACGCCTTGAAGCACGGCGGTAGAGCCCTGTAGCAGGTGAGTCCGGGACATACGAATACTGCGACGCCAGCGAGGGCGACCACGAATACGTCTGCTCCTGGTAGCGGGTTTTGATGAAGTCGGCGAGCTGATCGGTCGTCTGTATCGTCGCTGGCAACCCCTGCTCGCGCGCCAGCCGAGGATCAAGTCGGCCGGTGCCGTTGTCGTAGCTGCACTCCAGCAATGGAGTGTCATTTCGACTTGGCGCCGGACGAGGTGCAATTGGAGGCGGAGGAGATCGAGATGGTTGGCGAGGTGACGGGCGGAAGTCATAACTGTTGGCAGTCATCGGCCTCGACGGGCCAGTGCTGTTGTCAGCCTCACTCCAGGGATTGCCGGACTTACCTCGCTTTGCGAACTCGGAGAATCTGAAAGTCATGATGGATGCTTGGGGTGTCTTGGTGGGTACCTAGGTACTCTGGACGAGATTAGTGGTGTGATGTTTTTGAAAGAAGTGGTAAGTTGAAAGGTTTGTGGTGATGATCCCAAGAAAGCTGGAAAGGCAATGATGAGGCTCTGAGGACTGCCAGCTGGCGATCGTCTGAGGACAATGGCTCTCTTTGTCTCCATCTTGCTGGGCGACAAAGAGCGGTTGTCAGCACTTCGAGGGCAGTCGTATCTTGCACAACGGACACAACAAAGAGCAACGTCTTTGTGCCGTTGCTACACGAGAATGCCTGTGAGGATAACTCTATCAATATGTCCTGCCACGCTCTCGACCTCGTAACCGTTAAATGTGGGGAGATGGAACCGAGCGGAGAATCTTTTGACCTCCGACAATGTCCGATTGGCCAACGTGGGCAGCTTCGGCGTTTAGGCCAACTTTAGGCCAGCTCCCATCAGCTCCCACCACTCTCAGCTCGTAGCCCGCATCAAACCAGCTTCTACCGCTGCTGGACCGAGGCATTTCGTGGCCGCCTTGAGGTGGGAGCGGCCATTGGGAGCTTTCGCTCGCACAGTAGCAATGCAACGCACAACGCGAGATGCCACTTCCGTAAACCCCGCTCACAAGTCGGTAAGCCCTCAAATTGCCATTGCCATGAACCTTTACTCTTTCCCAACACCATCGTTACCACTGTACGGTCGTGAAACTGTCTCTGGGTCCGCAAGATGGCACGTCCAGGGCCGCTCGAACGCGCCAATCGCGTTGTGACGGGCACAGTCACCATGCCTATTGCCCTCGTCCGCTATGCAGCGACAGAACCACTCTTTACAGGAGCTCTGCTGGCTGCTCTGACCAGAGCACCAGTTCAATACCGATCACGCTTGCTCAAGCTTCTGGGCGATGCCGGACTGTCGTCCGAACGGACTGCCCTCTTGATCAAGTCGCTGAAGTACCTGCTCGCCATCGGCGTGGCCAGAAAGCTCAACCAAGCACTTGACAAACTTGCCCTCAACCATTGGAATTTCTTTGGGAAGCCAGGCGCGCCGTTCAATTGGAGTGCCGTGAACAAGTCCGAACTGGTTGTCATCACTGGCGGATGTTCCGGTTTTGGATATGAAATGGTCAAGGGCTTCTCCAGGCATGCCAGGGTTGTCATTCTGGACATCTCTCCCCTCCCAGAAGAGCTGAAGAGAAGTAAGCTTTTCGCTTGAGGGCAAGCATCAAACTATCCCGCTGACCGTCCAACTAGTCCACGATGTACACTACTACCAGATCGACCTGACGGATTTTATCGCCATAGAGTCAACAGCCGACGCCATCCGCAGGGAGCATGGTGATCCGACCGTCTTGATCAACAATGCCGGTATAGGTAAGTGCATTTTTGGCCACCGGTGTCTGTCAGGCGGTATACTGACCAAAGTCATCTGAAGCGACTGCCACCAGGATCATCAACACCGATGCAAAGTTGAATGACCGAATCTTCAAAGTCAACCTTGCTTCTCACTTCATCCTGATCAAAGAGTTCCTGCCCGCTATGCTGAAAGCGCGGAAGGGCCACATCGTCACCATCGCGTCCATGGCCAGCTTCATGGCCGCACCGGGCATGGTGGACTACTGCTGCACAAAGGTTGGAGCATTGTATCTGACCGAAGGCATGCTTCCCTGCCCGTGAACACCACGTGTGTCCCAGCACTAACTCGGAGCGCAGGGCTCCGAAACGAACTCCGCGTGTATCACGGGGCCGAAGGCAAATGCATTCAGACGTCGTCCGTCCACCCCTCGTGGCATGCAACCGGTATCGTCAAGCCCTTCGAAGACAAGCTGGAGAAGTTCGGCATCAAATGTGACCCGGCGTCGAATGTGAGCGACGCCGTCGTCGAGCAGGTCCTCGCCGGCAGGAGTGGCCGGATTTTCGTGCCACGGGCGGAAGAGCGCAGTACGGGCGTGAGGAATTTCCCCGTTTGGGTGCAGGACGCTCTCATCTGGATGAGTCAGAAGCGATTTCAGTTTTGACGGGGAATATGCGCAGCGGTAATGTTGGTTCCCTCGGCGGTGTCCAGGGCTGAAGCGTGGACATCATGATTTCGATGTATGGATTCGTGCTCACTAATCTGCCATGCATGGAGAATGGGAATTTCGGTTTAACATGTATCTTTCTTCTCCTGCGTCAGAAGCCAAAGGTTAAGGTCGGTTTAGCTCTTTGATTGCCTTGCCTTTCCCTGATGGAGCGGCAGATGCATACCCATAGGTACCTAGGTAAGTAGACAAAGGAGCATATTCACGGCGATTTCGACTCTATGATCAAACTTATCCCTTGTACTGCGAATCGTGAGAGACCAATGCGCTCTCTCGCCCATCCAGGTAAATCGCTTAACGTAGCCGTGCGATGATTGGGTACCGACTCGAGGCTCAAGTGGATACCATGAATGCATTCCGGGCAACCTCCTTGCGTACAGTGAAAGGAAGGCAAGAGCGCCCATCGCTTGAAATCTCCTTTCACTTGAGTCTTCCATTGCTTCATCTCAACCATGGGAAAACCCCTGGCCGTCACCATGCTCGCGCTCACGCCCACGCGCGGCCGAAAGTCCATACTCTCCTCCCTTGGCATCATGATAATACTTGTATACATTCTGTGCTCCCGTCGTTCTTCTTCACAGCAAGCATTGCCACTGATAACGGGAACGTACCAGTACTTCACGGAGATCAACTTTAAATATCACACACACACACTTTTGGCGCCATAAGTCACTGTGATCCGAGGTTCGCGCCGTCGCAACCACTCGGTATCGAGGAAACGAAGAAGACACTTCTGGCGCTGATAAACTCCTATGCCGCAACAATGAAAGATCTTGGCGTAGAGACTTGGATCGGCCACGGAACTTTACTCGGATGGTATTGGAACCAGAGGGTCCTACCCTGGGACAATGATATTGATGTCCAGATGACGATGGAGACACTATCCCGGTTGGCTGCTCGCAATATGAGCGAGTATCACTATCCAGCAGGATCTGCTGATCAGGACACGCCAAGGACGTACCTTCTAGAGATCAACCCGCATTACAGGACAGTGTCAACCCGGGACGTTGCCAACAAAATTGACGGTCGCTGGATCGACACCACGAATGGGAAGTATATAGATATCACAGCCGTGCACGTCAGCGCGGGCAAAGCGGAGCATACGCCATTCGACCAGGGCGTTCTCTTCTCCAAAGAGGGTCATCGCTATTTGGTGCGTCCAGGCAAGCAAGCCAGCGCTTCCAGCCAAGATGATTGAATGCACGAACGCGAGGAAGCTGACTACTCTTGACTGCAGAGTCAGGAGCTGTTCCCCTTGCAGAACGAGAGTTTCGAAGGCATTGCCGTGAGAGTACCGCGCAAATCAGCTAAGATTCTTTCTGAGGAGTATGGCGAGAAGTCTCTTACTAACACGCGCTTTCACTGGTGCGCCCTTGCCCTTGCCCTATTTTCATTCCGTTCACTGATCTCCTATTGGATAGGCATCGTTTCAACAAGACTTCCAAAATCTGGGAACCCGAGTAGTCTGTCTTTGCTCCACACTGCCAAAGCAACTCTCAGCCGACTCGGCTTCCAAAACACATTGATGTGTGTATTTTGACAAGCACGAGATTGTAGCTGCGTTATTTTGCGAATTGGATGGGAGAGCAGTTGGAGTCCTCAGGTGATGATGAGAGTTGTGATGGCTTCCACGAAGGGATTGACGACCTAACGTTGCAACTTTTCCAGGTCCGGAGCAGCAGTACCGACATGAGCCTCGTCGAATCATCCGCAGGAAGTCGTAAGCGGATACTAACACCTGGGCAAGACCATGTGTAGGCCTTGTGCCTACTGCTATCAGCAAACATCTCACTTTGCCAGGACGTTGAGGTGTTGCCGTAAAGTCGAAACTGGGCCAGGGAAAGTATCAATTTGACGAGACAACCATAGTACGGGGAAGTAGACGCTCGGGTATCGAGCACCATAATGTGCATTTTCGAGACCACGAGCATTGGCGAGGGTGCCACGGCACAGCAATTACTTTTGTGGAAGCAGGCGGGTCGCACCGCCCCTACACTGCGCTGGACACATTGGATCAGGATATATGGTTTGGCTGTGGCTGGACTGGGATGATGTTAGATTGGTCGTTCTGATATGGTGTTCAGGGTGACTTGCTTACCATCTTAGCGATCGCATCTGCATGGAATTTAAACAGAGAGCCGGTCTCCTATAACGTGGGACGAAGCACTGCCCTCATCCCTTGATTGTCTGCGGCGAACAGGGTGTCTTGAATAACTCGTTCCCAACCTCGATAAATTACGCCTCGGTCCAAGCACCGTACTCGAACACCGTGTAACCGAAACGAAAGATGGTAGGGTAGACCAATTCCAAACCAGAGCCTGTACATGGCTGTGTTGATCGACCAGAGAACCGTCTGGATTCGAAGACAATTCAATCAATCTGCCACCCCATCTCCTCGTACATAACGTCCTGCAAACCACGCTTATACTTCCCCTCTCCGGACCTCGGCGGCGGCCACTTTTTGGATTTCCTCCTCAGGGCCTCCACCTCGGCAATGGCTGAGGCGAGATCATCCACCTTTCCGTGGATCACGTATTCCTGCTCGGCAAGGGCCTCGGCCAATTCAACCTGATGGTTATGCAGAAGATCCGTATTGGGGACGACCACAATCGGCGCCCCGATGCGGAGGGCATCAAGGATGGAGCCAGAGCCGGCGTGGCTGATGACCATGCCTTCGGTCTTTGGTGACGAGCCCTTCACGGCCCGCATTTCGTCTGCTAGGCCTTCCTTCTTGAAGCCAAAGCCTGAGACTTGGAAGCCATCGTGTGGTTCCTGTTCGTTTAATAGCTGGACTCCCTCGCGGTATGTGTTTTGCCCGCTTTGATCGCCATATTGGATTTGTAGCTGCGAGTAGCCGGCTTCACGAAGTGCCTTGATAAATACCGGTTCCAGAACGGCACGGACTAGACTGTTGAAGGGCGCGGTTGCGCCTACGGCGACAAAGCATCGTTTCCCGGATGTCATGTTCATCTATTCGGAGTGCAGATTTACGAGCTTGGGGAGTGATAGAAGACAAAGCAGGACGAGTAGAATGCGAGGTACCAGGTTCGAGGACGGAGTGGTTGAAGTGTTCCACGGTGGAGCAAAGTCCCGAAAAGCGACGTTGCTTCTGATGAGCTTTTAGACCCCGAAACGCAGGAAATTTATGTGCAGCGAAGCTCTTTCCACATGCGCACTGAGAGTACTCCGTACTGCACGAACAACTCGAGTGGTCAGAGATGGCCACACCAGCACGGTACCTGTCACGGACACTGTTCCAGGTCGGTCGGCGAATACCAGTGAAGAGGAAGTGCCAGTCCGCAGCCTTTGCGCGACCTCAGATCCCAAACCGGAGCATACAATGTCGAAGACATCTCTCAACAACCATCGCCCAGCGAGCAGACAACAGTCGGGATCCCTCAGCGTCCGACGGCGCCCAGACCGAAGATGCACTCGACGACTTTGATTTCGACAAAGAGCCCGAAGGCGGCTACCAAACGCCCAGCTCGCCCATCACGGTCGCGGACCTCGACGCCGACGAACTCGCCGACTTCAACATGCTCTCCCCGAAAGACCAGGTCGCGTACCTGAAACTGCAGAACCACTATGCCGCCGAGTTCGAGGCCGCGGGGATCGACGTCAACAATGACCCCGAAGGCGAGCTCCCCGACCCGGTCATGGACAAGCTGGTCATGGACGTGGAGCGCAAGTTGGACAGGGAGATCGAGCCGCTCGACTTCCCGGACATCCCGCTGGCGAATAAAGACAAGGGGTTCTGGGCGCTAGACGAAGAAGACGACGAGTTCGCGCAAGTCGAGGACGGGGAGGAAGAGTGGGACGAGAGCGCGATCACCAGCGTCGCGCACAGCGAGTTGGACTTGCACAGGGAGATCAGGGAGTACACGCGCGTTATTGCCTGGGATATGCCCTTGTTACAGAGTAAGCGTGCCACACTGACTCCACTGCTACAGCGATGCCTGGAGGCTTTGCTATTGGCGAGAAGTCGACTAACGGGTACTCAGAGTTCGTCAAACCGTTCACACCACCCTCGGCGTCCACGCCCCTCCGCTTCCGCTACACCACATACTTGGGCGAATTCCACCCGGCGGCGCGCAAAGTGACGGTGCAGTTCTGCACAAAGGACCTCCCTAACCTCACTGAGCAACAACGCCAGAAACTTCTGAAGCTCGTGGGGCCGCGCTACAACCCTGACACGGACGTGGTCAAGATGTCGTGCGAGCAGTTCGAGGCTCCCGCGCAGAACAAGCGGTACTTGGGCGATCAGGTGAAGAAGTTGTTGGACGAGGCGCGGAACGGGAAGGATAGCTTTGAGGATGTCCCCCTCGATCTCAGGCATCACAAGTCGAAGAAGAGGGTCGAGTTTCCTGAGGCGTGGAAGCTGAAACCCTCCCGGGTCAGGGAGTTGTTGACTGCCAGACAGGAGCAGATGTTGTTGGGTGAGGCCCAGGCGGCTCATCAGGGGTCGGCGTTGGATGGAAAGGAGGTGGTGCATGAATATGTCAGGCAGATCTCAAGACCGGTGGCGCTCAATGCGCAGAGAGCCGTGTAAAACAATGTTCGCTTTGTATAAAAGCATTCTTACTAAACCTGGAACCACTTCGGATCTGTGCCAGACCTGTGTCTATGAAAAACTTGAAAAGCAGAACCAGAATAATGGGGTATCTCGTGAAAGCCACGTCCAGGCTATGTTACCGTGGTTCCTCAATGCAATTCAAGCCGTCCACTTCTCCATATCATTGCCCATGCGCCGTGATCATCGTTAAAGGAGGCATGCCCATCAATCTAGTCCTTCCCCACAGTCTTGCGCGTGCTGCGACCGTTTCGCCCATGGGCCTTCTTCTTGTCGCCAGAACCGGAACCAGGACCAGACTTGGTTTTCTCCTCCTTGCCGCTGCCACTCTCTTGCCCCTTCGTTACAATTCTCTCCTGGAGCATACACGCCTTAGCATCTGCGCTTGCAGCAGCCCAACGAGCCTTCTGCTCTTCCTCCCATCCCGCCTGCTCACGTTCCCTGATCTTCACCATCTCGGCATCGGTCATTTCAGTACAGGAATTGCTCGCCATGTCAGCATCAAAAGCAGCCGCCATGCGCCTGTCGCGGCGTTCGCGTTCCAATGCTTTCTCCTCGTCCGTAAGGACACGAGGAACGCGTTGAGCACCAGTTGCGACACGGCGTGGGATGTTGGGTCGGGAAGTTTGTTGGTCACCACTATGTCGAAGACCTCGGGACGGCGCGCTGTTGATGTGGGCAGCGATTGTCCGTCGAGTTGCAACAGGATCGACCCGGGTACGAGGCCCAGACTTGCTAGGCAAACCACTGATATCGTTAAGAGTAATTCCAAAGCTCAGGCCGTTTCGTCCACCATTGACCCTCAGGCTGCCACAGCCATGCGCCTGGCGGAACCAATCTGGCAGGTCGCGCATACCGGTAGCTTCAAGGACCGGGATGCTGAGGGGCATGACGTGCTTGAACTTACAGCCGGTCTGGGTGAAGCTACACTCGCCGTTCCGGAGCCAATAGGAGCAGTAGATTTTCTCTCCGAAGGCGGGCATTTCGGGATTCTCGTCGTACTCAGGTAGAGACTTCTTGGTCAAGGTGGACAGGCCTGGGGTCGGAGTAGGAGTACGAGTAGGAGCAGCGTGATCACGCCAGGCCAGCAGGGCTGGTGCGGCCGGCGCAGGAGCTACCGGAACGGGTTTGCCAAAAGCAGTCATGTCGGGAGATGTCGCACGCGATGAGTTCGTTTCCTCGGTAGCTGAGGTTACTGAGATCTTGGAAGGTGGGCCAGAGGCGATGCTCGTCTGCGAATCTTTTAGCGATTCCAAAAGCATTGACGAGAAGGAGAACTTACTTCGATGTTCTTGCTGGCATCAAGACCAACTTCTTGGTTTCCAGAAGGTGCCGCCAGATCCGCCGTGCGCAAGCTCGGTGTGCTGGCTGCAGAGTCCGGCGTAGACTTCGAATTGGATGGACCAAAAGGAATTGGTTTCGTGTTGTTGATGCTCTCGACCACGTAGAATTGATGTCGAGCTTCGGCAAGACCAACACCGGTCATGCCACCAATCTCAAATGCGCTCAGTGTGCGTGAGACCCCTTGGATTTGCACATGGATTGGCAGCTCATCCATGGCGATGAGTGGAACCATGGCACCGTTCTGGCGGGTGACGAAGAACTGAGGTTTAAGCTGTGGACTGGCCATGACTATCGCTGCTTGATTGTTGCTGGATGAAGCAGATACTGGTATGGTTGGCAGTTGGGGGTAGGAGGAGATCTGTCGATGGTTTAGTATATACCCAAGATTGCCAGTGGGAACTCAAGGCAAGCGTGGTCATCGGGAAAGTCCAGGTGAGGGAGCAGAAGCTTTATAGTCGGGAAGAAAAGTTCGTGTGAGTACTTGCGCCACTGCCTTTGGATAATGGTGACAGTGATTTCGTGAAGATGACCAGGGAGGAGGTGAAGCAGAAAGAGAACCATGACCGTGTGGCAGGTGCTCGGTAGGTTGTCTGGGGAAGGCAGTACTTACTCTGATTCACACAGTAAGCCACTATAGATCGGTCAGTGATGTCGTGGATGGCGATGACAAAGTCTGGCAAGGTCGCTGAGTTTTCCTTTCAGTCAGTATAGCAGGCTCCGCTTCAGCTGAGTCGTGAATTGGAAGATGACGATTCATTCTGGACAACGGGGCCGCAATTCACAACGATATATACTTCGTCCGCTCACGCACTGTCCACCGTTTGACCATTAACAAACGCCTGGCACAGCAATCCAAGACGGCGTGTTGATGTTTTAGTTGACAAACCAAGCGGGCAGCTCCAGAAGTGGCCAGAGATCAAACGCCGGAGCGCAGCGTCAACAAGACAATGGACCGACAGAAACAACCTCACAGATGCACAGGCAGGAAGCATATTCAAGCCAAAGAACCCGTGTGTTTGTGTGTTGCAGGCGCATTTCCAGGCCATACACCTTTGCAGCGGGCAGATGATGCAGCTCTTTGAGAATCGTGTCTATGCGCCTGCAGCTCGTACAGACAGGTCTGCCTACTTAGTATTCAAGACCATTCATTCATAGCGACAAATTGTTCATGCAAGGTACCGAGAACAAAGGAAGTTGCGTGGGAGGAACTTGTGCTATTCATCCTGATAAGACTGGGTACTCCGTAGAGACAGTTGAATTTAGACGCACGTGGCACAGTCAGCGGCGTGTCGCCAGTTTCGGCTCCTTACGGGATAGAATCTCGGCCGATGCACCAAGAAGTTGGAAATCTGTTTTGGAGCCTCCTGGCGAAGGATTCCGGAAGCCAGGAACCAGTAAAGATAGGCGTCAGCTGAGCTGCTCAAACTAGCCAACAATAGGCAATCCCGATATGTCCGGCGCTGCATAATTCTGAGACATGGATTACTTGGTCCCAAGTTAGGCATCCCTTCTCCTGTTGTGCTCACCTGGCAGCCCGTGTGATGTCTCTGTCGGTGCTGGTCCGTCCTCTCGAGCCTTAAGCCACAGCCCACGGAACGGCTAAGGTAGCCCAGGGAACCCTGCGTCTTCTGCCACGACACCGCCATTGGAACCAGCTAAGTTAACCAGCAGCCCGGACTCGCACCGATTTCGTTCCCCATCGCCCAATTCGTTTAACCAGTCATCTTCGCTGCCTGCGCCTCACCTCCAACCTTCTGCCTTTCCACCTGTAACCTGTTAACCTCACCACCTCCTCAAACGGCCAACGACTCACCACACCACCCGAGGTTGAGTTCACCACTCTCGTTTCTATCCTCCTTCGGTTCTCATTGTCGATCTGCACCAATATACGCGTTCAAAGCCCAGAGTTCTCGCGCGATACTATGGCCACCGAGGCCTCCATCGCTCTCACTAACCGCTCTCTCCGTACCATCCGTACCGTGGGTAACCACTTGAGTGAACGCCTTTCGGATCACCAGGCTAATGCTCTATAGGAACTTGAATTCCTCTGCGATACCAATGTCATCTCCTCGGAACAGCTTTCATCAATCCTAGCACAATTACCCGCACAGACACCGCTCCATGCTCCTTTACACGGCCAAGCCAATGGCGCAACAAACACACCCGTCGACCAGTTCTCAAACATGACCCTCAAGGAAGGTTATGTTCCTGTGCCAACGCCTGCCCCATTACCACCTCCAGCCTACGTGCCGCCTCCCATACTCGCTATTGCGTCTGCTCTGTATGCCTATTCACCTACGGACACGGGAGATTTAGCGCTACAGCAAGGGGATAGGATACAAGTATTAGAACACATGAACAATGACTGTATGTACCATGATCGACTCAGGGCTCATCGTAATGCTAATGGTTTACAGGGTGGAGAGGTCGAAACGAAAGGACCAACTTGGAAGGTATCTTCCCTCGAAGTTATGTCAATGTCATCGAGGACCGACGGCCGCCCATGATACACTCCTCATCAACAGACTATGGCAACATGCCACTCCAAGTCAGCCAAACTGGCTCCAGCATGAACCCGGATGGCCGGAAGTACAGCAAGCTGGAAGAGCAAGGCAAGAAGTTCGGCAAGAAGATGGGCAATGCCGCCATTTTCGGCGCTGGTGCTACGATTGGCAGCAACATCGTCAACGGCATATTCTAATGATGGGATTTACGTTCTTATGTTGAACTCATGCAGCCTTTCCCATTCGAAATGGATATGGCTATGAAATTGTGCTCGCAGTCACTCGCGAAAACGGACGGGTAGAATCCCGAGCGAGCACTGCAGATGGAGTGAAATGGGCAATTGTCTTCGAGCTGGAAGCATTGATCGATCGAAACAGCATGCATGGGGAAATGGCGTCAAAACAGGATAAAAAACGGCGCTAAACAACTGGGTGCTCGGTCACCGATTTCTTTGAACGTGGCTGATCATGGGGGAATTGCGTTTCCTGAGACAATTGCCTTGTGCCCTATATTTCTTTTGTCCTTTCGAACCATTCGCCAAACTGCGAGTCCGCTGGGTTCAAGCATCGCTGCTGGAGATGAGAGACGGACCACTTAGAGCCACGAAACCCAAGAAGGTGAAGGAAGAGTGTGAGCATGCAGATCTTGTACGGACTGATGACGACCCAACTTTTCGAAATTGATATGCAGGCAGATTTTCATTACCTGCACATACTGTATTTCTTATCACCGAAAGCGAGCTCGCGACGACGAAATCAAAACTTCCACATTCATAACATTAGGAGTATCCTTCGATCTTCAATCATCACTCTGCATTCGGACTTCTAGTCGTTTCCAGCCACCCGTTTTTGGCTGCTCTGCAGATCATCAAGCTCGTGTCATGCAAGGCCACTCCTTCCGAAGATATCTGGCGTGTGAGCCGAAAAGCTTGGTCGTTTCGACAGGAGGCTCGGCCGTGAGACGCCCGCCCGCGTAAATGATGTGCCGGGGTTGTGATCGGTGTGTGAAGTTCCTCCAAAGCTCGGTCTGGATTAAAATGTCCAGACAGCAAGTGAAAGCACTTTGACTGTGTGAGATGCTGTCTCTCCTTCTTTGGGGTCTTGCAAACCGCTGTCCCGACCTGCCGCACTCCACCTGAAGGTGAGATTCTGGCTGATGAATTTGATTTCCATCCCAGCGTCGATCAATCCTCCTCCCTCTGTGGCGGTGGACCACTCGCCCTGATCATTTTCTCGATCATCTGCCCTCTGACAATCTCACTGTTTTCACCGAGCCCCAATGCCATATACGAGAGAAGAGGAGGATGGCCGACATAAGAGGCAAGGGAGTCGCGGACGATGTTCTGGGACCACTCATACCGAGTGGTGTCTGCATGGCCAGTTCCGACATATTTCGCCTGGAGCGACTCAAGTTGTTGCAAGGTGCGTAGCTTGTCGGCCATGTTCGAGAATCGCGGCGAAATAGGCGGGTATGGATCAGTCTGTTTCTTTTGGGTGCAAATTGTTGCCGACGAAGATCAAATGAATTTTGGGTGAGCGACTATACGCGACCTCTCGGAGCCGAGCGCTTCTCCGAATGCTCCAATTCCGCCGCCGCCGCTGCCGCCGCAGACCCCGCCCCACGCCTTCCACTACGTATGAGGCACGAAGGCACCACCTCGGCTTTTCACATCGCCAGGTCCCTCCCTCATCCGATGGAACCTCGAAACAAGGGAGGTTGTATCCGTGCCGAACTATCGGCGCACTTCTCCTCCAAGCTCTGAGCTGTCGAGAAATGGGTTGACTTGATTCTTCGGTGTCGCCAATCTAACAGCCTCGGGAAAGAAGACCTCACCTCGATTGACGTACCCTGGCCTCTGCATTTGTACCCTTCCTTCCCTTCATCTAGACTGGCGCTCTCCCTCCCTCCTCCCCACATGAATTCTCTGCGATCTGCGCTTGCGGGCGCCGCCACCAGAAGTTCCACCCGTTCGACCAGATCCATATACCACTCGTCCTCCCCTCTCTCTCTCCGAATGGCTTCCAACGCCTCGACCAGACTCGCTGCCGAACAACGACGTATAGACGGTTCACGCACCATGGCCTCCTCTACCTCAGCGACCAAGATCAAGGTCAAGAACCCCGTCGTTGAGCTCGATGGCGACGAAATGACCCGCATAATCTGGCAAGATATCAAGGACAAATTCATCCATCCATACTTGGACATTGATCTGAAGTACTATGACCTGGGCCTGCCGTACAGAGATGAGACGGACGACAAAGTCACCGTGGAAGCCGCCGAAGCGATCAAGAAGTACAGTGTGGGCGTCAAGTGTGCGACCATCACGCCTGACGAGGCAAGAGTCGAAGAGTTCAAGCTCAAGAAGAGTACGCTCCTTCCCACCCTCATCTGTTCGATCCACGTGCTAACATGCCCGAAAAGTGTGGCTCTCTCCCAACGGCACAATCCGCAACATCCTAGGCGGCACAGTCTTTCGCGAACCCATCGTCATCCCACGCATCCCCCGTTTGGTGCCTGGCTGGGAACACCCCATCATCATCGGCCGTCATGCCTTCGGTGACCAGTACCGGGCCAAGGACACCGTGATCCGCGAGGCTGGCACACTGGAAATGGTCTTTACGCCGAAAAGTGGCGGTTCTCCTCAGAAAATAAAGGTGTTTGATTTCGGCGAGACCGGCGGCGTGGCGCAGACGCAATATAACACAGAGGACTCGATTCGGGGCTTTGCGCACGCGAGTTTCAAGTTCGCCCTCGACAGGGGATACCCCTTGTACATGTCGACGAAGAACACGATCCTAAAGGCCTACGACGGGCGGTTCAAGGACATCTTCCAAGAGATCTACGAGAGCGACTACGCCAAGGAATTCGAGTCCAAGAAGATCTGGTACGAGCACCGACTCATCGACGATATGGTCGCGCAAATGATCAAGAGCGAGGGCGGCTTCGTCATCGCCATGAAGAATTACGACGGCGACGTCCAATCGGACATTGTGGCCCAAGGATTTGGATCTCTAGGCCTTATGACCAGCCAGCTGATCACGCCGGATGGATTGACCTATGAGAGCGAAGCCGCCCATGGGACGGTAACCCGCCATTACCGGGAACATCAGAAGGGCCGTGAGACATCCACCAACCCGATTGCCAGTATCTTCGCGTGGACTCGCGGACTGGTCAAACGCGGCCAGCTCGACGAGACGCCCGAACTGGTCACCTGGGCGGAGAATCTCGAAAAGGCCGTCGTGCAGACGGTCAACGACGACGGCATCATGACCAAAGATCTCGCGCTGGCGTGTGGGAGAAAGGATCGGGAAGCGTGGGTTACCACCAGCCAATTCATGGAGGCGATTGAGAAGCGATTCAAGAAGAATCTCGAGAGTGAAGGGCTCGAGGGGGTCGCGAAGGCAAAGGAGTAAACTCCTTTTGCATGGAGAGTGAGGGGAGAAGACCAGCATCGACTCTGCAGAGTGCCGAAGGTTGATTGGATAGACAGCTGCTAAGGCTAGACGGCAGAAATGGACCGGAAGGGATCACCTCAAACCTCTCCGCGCTGTGCGCCTGTGGATGAACGGATGGATGGATGATTGAGGAGTGCGGTTGTGGGAGATGACGCATTCTAGGGCGCCTGGGAATGGATGAACGGTCGGACTTATTTCCTCAGCATAAACCGAATCACAAGTCTTTTTTCGCAAAGCTTTGGGTTGATGCAGTGTTTGTTTCCTTGTTGTGGATAATTATGCTTGCCTGTATGCGCGAGGCATCGACGATGAGACACATATATCATCAGCATGGCCGCCATGGTGAAGGGAAGCAGGCAAGCAAGCGCGCAAGCAAGGAAGTGGAGGCCTAGCATAAATGTAGCATGAAAACGAAGATGAGGAATTAATCCTGGCCACGGAGCCCAACGTTCGATGTGCTGTACGCATTGCCTATCCCTCTCGCTGTGCTGGGGGACGCTGTCATTAGATGGCTGGAAGGGCGCAATGGATTCAAATTGGGCGCGGATTTGAAGTCTGTATCTCAGATAACTCAGGCTCCATTTGGGCGCTGAATGAAGATACCATTTGATCAAGGCAAACTGCAAGCCTGCGTCCCCTTGCGGTCACTCAGGGCACATGTGCCTAAAGGCACACACCAAAGTGGAATAACCAATACCGTGTATGCATGTAAGCATGGCCCACTCGGTTCCGATCCTGATCCCGGTGTGGATGCTGGTTCATTCTTCGGCGTCAGGAAGGCCAAAACCCACCACACGCCACTGTGAACGTTGACAGCAGCACAGAGCGAAGCCCGAGCCTCCATCGTCGTTGGTTTCTTTACTCGCCGCTTTGAGCGCCCGTAATGTAGATATCTGGTCTGGTAGACCTTCTTGCTCACTTCTTCTTCGGGCCCCCGAGGGGAGCCCCAATATCAGTCCCCCGCAGCTTGACGCCCAGCACTCGCTCCAGCTTCGCGAGCAGTTGCTGGTCCGGGGCCGCCGACCCGTTCTCGTACGCCTGGATCACACTGGCTTGGGTGTTGACCTTGTTGGCCAGGTCCTTCTGCGTCATTTTGGGAAGGATCTGGTTCCGGCGGGCGATGATCGCCTGGCCGACCGCGTGGCCGACCGTCTTGGGTTTGATGATCTCGTCGGAGCGGTCCACTTTGGTGAGGTGCTGGCCTTCGGTTGCTGATTTCTAAGGAGGACATTGTTGTTAGCTTTACTCTGTCATGTTCGCAATTCACATTCACGGCTGTGGTGTGGGGAGAGGGGTGGCAAAGCTAAAGCTACATCTAGAGCCAGAGCCAAAACCCAGAGCCGGGAAAGAGAGGAGGATGTCACTTACAGTGTTGGCGCTGGAGAATTTCTTCTCGGTGCCGATGATGGCGCCGGACCGTTGGGCGGCGTTGAGGGCCGATTTGCCCTTCACGACACGTTCGCGGTCGACGCCTCCACTGCCGGGGCCGCGGACCTTGCTGCCAATGCGGGTGACGCTCTCCCAGTCTTCAGACATGGTGTAGGACGTGAGCGGAGGGGAAGGGTGGAAGTGGTGGTGAAAGAGTCGGGTGCGTGCGAAGTGGCGGTCTCGTGGGGGGTTGGTGGTGGTGGTGATAAGTCGAAAGACTGTCAGGCAGTACACTGTGTTCAGGAAGAGATGGGTGGGTGTGTTGTTAGATGGAGACTACTGTATAGGAGGGAGATGTGAGAGGGGTCACTGGCGGCGAGAAACAAATATCGGGAGTTGCAACAAAAAGTCAAGGTGGTTAGTCTTTTTGTCTGCGAGATCAGCCTCATGCATCTAGAAGTTGCCATGCGAGTTGACTCAACGAACCCGCCAAGCCCATTGAGTCATTCAGCCCCATTCCGGACAACGGAGCCCCGGGGCACCCCGGAGATATAATTTATCCGCCACCGCGTGAGGCTGGTCGGATATTTGCACACTACTCCGTATGTCCACTGAGAAACTATTTGCGCTGGTACTTTGGCCACGGGCATGTGATGCGCATGGTGCAAATCGACACGGGCTAAATTGCTGGTACTCCCGGTCCCCGGAGAACATCCGGACATCAGTGCTTCATAACCGTCAGCCAGGCCCATTGGAGGCGCTCTCTTGAGTGGCGTTTGCCGACTGACTTGAACTCGACTTGGTAGTAACCTATCTCTCACTGATGATAGTGATGTAGTGGAGGCAACATTGCTGTCTGAGCTGGCGTCACAGGCAGTGTGCCACTTTCTGGGTTCGGTGCTGGGTCCGTCCATCACTGAAGCGTCGTCCTGGACGGCTTGCAAGCACAACAATCACGCACCTGATCGGGAAATTCTGGAGCAGCCAATGACACACGGCCTCCCCTACGGCACATCCTTCATGAATTGTGTCCGCACGAGGCATCGTCCACTGCACTTTCTTGTAATCATATCGAGGAGTCGATATGACTCTGTCCACCAGTACGACGTTGCAGTATGCTGACCAAACTTTCTGGTGAATGGCGAGGAAACAGGCAGAGGGGCAATGAAATATATAAAATGGGACGATCCGACTGTCCATTATGAGGTCTACTTCATCTCTGTCACCCTTGCCAGGACTTCAGACATTCTACATTGGGATCGGAAATCACCGGGCATTCTCTGATCATGTCGACCTACGAAACCACCAAAGACAAATACGTGACCATCAACGGCATCAAACATGCCTATCGCCTCTTCGGCCAAACCACCGGCACGCCCCTGTTCCTCCACGTCCACTTCCGCGGCAACATGGACTGGTGGGACCCCGGCTTCATCAATCCTCTCGCGGCACAACGGCCCATCCTCCTCGTCGACAATACCGGCGTTGGCCGTAGCGAAGGGGAAGTCGGCACCACCTACGTAGCGTGGGCTCAGACCATCATCGACGTCGCCAAAGCGCTGGCCATCCCGAAGCTCGAGGTCCTGGGCTTCTCCATGGGCGGGTTCGTGGCGCAGCGGATCGCCATCCAAGCTCCCGAGTTGACACGCAAACTTATTGTCGCGGGCTCGGGCCCTTCGGCCGGCGAGGGCGTCGTAGGCGGCGATCCGAAGTACTTTGTCGAAGTAGCCAGTGGCGCGACTTTTGAAGAGTTCCACTCCTCCCTGAAGCACACGTTCTTCTCGCCCTCGGAGCGGAAACAGGCCCTTGCAGAGGAATGGATCCAGCGCATGGTCAACGCACGCAAAGATCGCGCCCCTTTGCTGGGCAAGAAAGGCACCGAAGCCCAGATCGCGGCCGTGCAGCGGTGGTTCTCGGACGAGCACCGCGACGAAGGCTCCTACGACTTCCTCGACAGGATCACCGCGCCCACGCTTGTGGCGAACGGGTCTAATGACCTGCTCGTCCCGACGGAGAATAGCATCGTGCTGTGGAAGGGGTTGAAGAATACCGAGGCCACATTGCATTTGTATGCGGACAGTGGGCATGGCTTTCTTGATGAGTACCATGTGCAATTCTCGAGGCTGGTCAATGAGTTTTTGGACGAGTAAAGGTTCGGTGTGATCTAAAGGCAGTTCAGAATGCAGTCACTGTGAGCTCTTGTCGAAGGAGAAGCTGTAGTATCCCTTCCAGAGTTGTACTGTTGGAGTGCATCGGGTCCTGCGACGGAGCGAGCGCGGGATATAATGTCAAGAGACTTTGTAGCGAACGAGGATGCAACTGAATCCTATAGTACCATTCGGACGCTTGGACTCCTATGATTCAGTTCTTGGCCGTTATGCCTCAAGGTCCTCATCCAAGCGCTGGTGTGGCTGTCAATTTTCTTGCTGGTTGAGTTCGCCCATTGAGCGGTTGAGGACCTGTTCGCGTGAATCACCATGCACGGGCAATCTATACATCACCAGTACCTCCCGCATCTTATGGAAGAGTTCATCGAGACTTACCAGCTCGTCGCTGCACACCGACACTGCCATGAGGAGGCACAATCTCGAACTCAGTAACCACGGCAGAAGCACTCTTCCAGCCCTGAGCATCTCTCAACCTTACCCGAAGCACAAGCTCTATCTTCCTCCAGAGATCATCAACGAGATCATCTCCTACTTCGTCCCGCGACAAGGCTTTGTGCATCTCAAACGACCCGGACATCCACACCGATTTCGCCATGATCGACGCCCTCGCAAGAACAAGCCGCCCAGTCAGAAGTCAAGTCCTCCACAATGCGTACAACCGTCCCCTGCGCATCGTCATAACCAGCGGAAGGGACTGTATCTGCAACGGTCGATCTGACAGTTTCCTCTGTCCTCTGCTAAGCAAGGCTCTTGCCCTGCCGGTGCTGAGGTTTCGCCAGATCAAAGTCTCGTTCGCGCCTGACCTGCACGCCGAACCATGCGAGTATGTCTATCACCGAATATGGCGCCAGGTGGAACCTCCACTGGACAAACACGGCACAGAGATGTCCGCCAACATGTACTGCATTGAGGGCCAGTCCAAGGCTCTGGCCAGGGGATTCCAGAGGATCTTAGAACCGTACACGAATCCACACACCCCCAGCTTCAGCTTCGAGTGGGACGCAAGCAAGGGCGTCGCGGAAGCTAATCACCAGCGGGACCTCCCTTTGTGGAATTTCCGCGACCTTCGAGACATGATGATGAGCTGGCGCTGGGTCAAGGCCGGGTGCTTCGTGGAACATCAGATCATCCTGCCAGAGCAGGTGGCGACTGGGTGTTTGGACGAGTCCAGCCGGGAGGCTTTGAGGTCGCCTGACTCGTGGCGGGATGGTGAAGAGACTCTCGAATCGTGGCCCGCACCACGGAGTCCGTCGGAGCTGCTCGGACAGACTTGGCAGTTTTGCCCGGACGATTTCTGGTCCGATTCGGCTTGGTTCATGCAGAATCGTCGCCATCACCGGAGGTTAGGACTTTGCATGCGCTTCCTCGTGACATTGGAGCAATCCGATAGTCCTGAAGGAGGGTGGTTATATCGTGCAAAAGGGGCTCCTTGGGCCTGACCAGACGTGGCATACCGTAGCAGCAGTTCGTCACTGAGGGGAGTTGCACATCACCACATCAAGGCTCTTCGCACCTCGTCATCCACGCTGTATGGAGCGAGCGACCCTGGCCAGGCCTTATCGCACGCATTGCTTGCACAGAGTCCGTCAAGACGTATTGAGCGGCACGCTCCTCTGGAATTCCCAGTACCCAGAGCTCGATAGTCCATGGACGGCATGATAGCCCAGAATGCCCTGGATGAAGGCCAGGATCAGCGACACATTCACTGCCGCGTTTCGCTGATGATGGTCGAACGGCTCAATGGTCAATGAGTCGTGAAACAAGCCGAGACCAAGTTTCGATTCGTGCATCGTGATGCGCCAGTATGGAATCTAAGACTTGTCAGTTGACCATGAACCCAGCAGGGAGCTTCCAACATTTGATTCCAAGGTCCTAACCTTTCGAACGTCCTGGAGATCGGTCTTGATCCACCGCTGCAAGTACTCGCCCAGAAGTCGGAGGCTCGGCTCGTGTGTCCCATTGACAGTTATTTTGCTTGTATCGTGCGAGATTACATGCATCAGGAACGGAAGCGTTGTCTGGAAAAGGATTTCCGGTCGCGGCAACGTCTGAAGAGAAGGCAGGTCCTTCAGGATCTGCGGAGGCTGTTCGGCAGGGCGCGTTCTGATGTTCAGACTCATGCTGTCGCCGTTGGAGGCCAATTCAGCCCAGTCATCATCATCATTGTGACTCTGGGCGGATTGGACAGGATCGGAATATTTGGCCGGCTCGAAAAGGGTCTCGAGATCTTCTGCGAAAGCTGACGGTGCAGCGCTCAACGCTTGGGATGAAGTCTTTTTCGGTAGCGTTATGATGAAGGCGGATGTATCTCCGACCCAGGATGTTTTCACTCTCGCTTCGTCGGCGACCTGCACGATTAGCTACTGTAGCTGCCTGCATATATTCGCGTTGTTTACTTAGTACTAAGTGGACGAACTCACCTGGATTGACAACTTCACCTTCTGCACTCGTGATAGCTTCTCAAGCAACACTTCGGTCCAGGCTTCGAAGCTGTCGTCTTCCAATCTTTTAACAAGGCTGTCGGACCAGGCTTCAATGACTTTCGCGATGCTTGGGACGAAAATGGCTTTATCCGGGTAGGCAGACTCCAGTTCGGTCCAGAGCATATGCCACTCTGGTTCGCACGATACAGGATAGCCTATGACTTGGGCCAGGTACTTCAAAGATCCCTGGACGGTGCTGTCGGCTTTCTCGAAGACATCGCGAATGTCCTTTCGGACCTGCAAGGGTCTGTGCAATCGTCAGAGCTTGTCCCATACACGCGACGGATGCTGCGTTTTGCCTACAACTGATGAGACATGGTGCGGGAGCTTGAAGGAATCCTCGTCGAACGGATGCCAGGTCGCTTTCTTTATCGAGAGCACCTCTAGGCCATGGCAATCGCCCGTGTCTTAATTCCCCATGCCGAAAAAGGGCTGCTCGGCTATCTCAGCCTGACATCTTCGGCATGTTGCTGCGGAGCTGAGTACTGTACTGTATGTTGACCGAAGACCAGAAGTCGAGACCAAAGGCGCAAATTCAACTTGAACGCCTCTTGGGTCTTCCCGTCCCTGGAACAAGTTCAGGCAAACGAGCGGTGTAATGTGTTGCTTCGCTAATTACAGCATTCGCACTCCACCACCGCATCTTTGGCCCCGCGAGGCTTGCTCCCCAGCCTCGAGTGAGCCGTGCCCAGGCCTAAGAACACCATAAGCGCCGTGCTAGCTTGCCTCGAGCTTGCCTGGGACAGCCTCAATCTGGCACGTTTCTCACTGTACTTCGGCATTGCAACGGCACGATTCCGGCCCGTTAGTCTCTAATTCCTGGGCGCTCGCCTACCAAGACCACTTCGGACTCTGGCCTACGCCACAGGGGCCCTGCTCCCGTGTTTTGACTTCCACCATCACTTCCATCAGATTGACCAGCAGGGTGCATTTACTGTAGTGGCGCTGCATAAGATCGCAAGACCGCCCCAGCCAAGATGAAGGACACTCTAGAACCTCGCAAAAGATGCCTCTCAAATCACCCGTGGACAAATTGCCGCTGGCCGTTCGCAAGAATGGTAAGCACAGGACCGCAATACCGTGCAAACATGACCACTGATCCATAGTAGTGCGTGACGAATGGGACTCCAAGAGACCAGATTTCGAGGATCGGATATCCAGAACTCTTGGACAGCCATGGACCGTGACCGCCAATTCAAACCTCTTGTACGTCTATACCGAGGACGAGTCCTACAAGTCACGGATCGGCGAAATCATAACCTGGTATGTATGCCGCCCCTAGGAGGCAGAGATGCCGTACGGCTCTAAGAAGATCTGCCAGGTACATCGAACCCTTCTGCTCCAACCTGGAATCTTTCGTCCAATCTTACGGCGACGATGGGAAGGCCGAGCTCAACTCGTTGTGCTCGAAGCATCAGGTCGAACTCGCACCACAACTCGAAGACACCACCTTCACGTATGGCGGCCTTCATATCAAGGACGGTGTCCTCCGTCTTGTCTTCGCGGAAGGATCTCTGGCCGTTAACACCAACGACGTCAGTCAAGGGTTTCAGGACGCCCTCAAATTGGCCGCCGCGTCGTCTGGCGGCGCAAATGCTTTCAGCATCAACGCCAGGCAATCTGTGCGCGGATCCTACGACCCGGAGATCGGAGCCCTCCAAAAGGCCATCGGCGAGCTCGTGAGAGTTCCGGACATCAAGCTGAACCCGGATTTCGAGAAAAATGCCGCCGTGCTGATCCAAGCGGGCGACAAAGTCCGGTCTGACTGGGACAAGGTCCTCGGCGGTGCCACCTTGGCGTACTTCGACGGTCTGAAGTACCAGCTTGAGCGCGCCGGGTTCAAGGACGACGACATGCTCCAGGAAGGATTTCAGGAAGGCATATCGAAGAACGAGATTGCGTTCCGGGTGGTGGAGAAGCTGGAGAACAGCAGCTATCACGAGACGCTGGTCGAGGATGGAGTGCTTGTCATGCAGGTAAGTTCTTTCGCGAGAATCAGTCGTGAGTTGTGCTTGACTAACACTCCAACTTCGATTAGACGACGCCGGAACACTTTTGGACAAACACGTCTGACGTTGGCAGCAATATTCTAGACTTACTCTGAGCGATCCGAGTATGGCTCCTGGTGCCGGGTCGACACGGCGACGGCTATGTTGTTTCTCTCCGCGACCTCTGAGTCTCTGGCAAGGATAGTAATCGTCTCGAGTCCCACCAATTGCCATGAATTATAGTATTGAGCTGATGACAAGACTGTCCTTCCTTTTCCGACACAGGGTTTGTCGCCCATGTGGACGCATGCTTCTGCTTAGGTTGGTCCATCCTGCCGGGTCGAACGAGACAATTCGGCGCTCATGAGTGGGCAACCACCATCGTCGTCAGAGTCACAACTATCTCAAAACACTAACGTGGTAACTGCGCTAGGCCTCTCGACCAGCTTGTAAAGTGGTAATAGGTATGTAGGTATGAAAAGCCCTCACCCGCAACGCATTGTCAACTTTGCAATTCCAGCCACCTGGCAGCCACAGCGTTGGTGATCCTATCTTCGCCCATCAACGATTTCCACACTTTGTTCGCGCCATGGACGTCCTCGCCGAGCTTGAATCCATGGCCAATAACATTTCGCTAGCAAGCGAATGCATCGTCTCCGACGCCGACATCGCGCGGTGGCAGCGCCTATTCAACTTCACGAAATCAGAAGCCGTACGCCGCATAGAGGACTACCGGAACGACTACACCAAAACCAGGACCTCTGAAGAGCTGTGGACAACGATCCGCCCCACCAAGGAGGGGGGAAGGCTTCGACCGCGAAAACCGAAGAGTACTCGCTCGCGCATCAGCAATGTGTACCTCGCCCCCTAGAAGCCCAGCACCAGCAAGACACCTCCGGCACATATCTCCTGCGCCTAGAGGGTCCGCTAGACACAGCACAGAAAGTCAAGACAGCCGCGGGCCTGGCGGACGTGCCCGCCACCACCGCCGGAGTGGGCGGATCCGGCGCATGTACCACCTTTTGCGAGCTCGACGGCCGCGCCAAAGCAAAGATTCTTGCCTGCGCGTGGGAAAGGCCTTTCTCGTCCGTGCTCGCGAGCAGGAAGATGCACTGCGATTTTACGAAACAGACAAGTACGAGGTCGTCGGGTGTCGCAATGCCACTGCTGGGCGTATACTCCCGGGTCTGACTTTTCGGTTTTGCGGCTCGCAAAAGGAGCTGGATTAGCCTGCACCGACGACGAAGAGATCTAGGCGACCGTTCCGGTGGTTGGTCTACGCGAGTTAGTACTGTACTGTATTGTACAAATACGTGTATCACCAGCAGCAGGCGTAGAGTATGCCGGCTATTGGCCAGCCATTACATATATAGGCTGAGAGTGCATCAAGCGGTGTGTTTGTCGAATTTATTGCATTTAACCGTGCGAATCTCAGGCACGAAGTTCTCGTCATGCATTCGTATCTCTATGATCTGAAAATCCAAGGCTTGCTCGGCGATCTCTCACTCGCCCGCTTCATCGAAACGGCACGGCCTCCATATCGAGAGTCCCACCTTCGACGCCGTCTAGGAATTCTTTCAGACCCATACCCCAGCGCTGCTGCCCCACAGTCACAAGGTCCAAGTCGGCCGGACACGAGGGGATAGTCGCCCACTTTGATCTATCGTCAGGATCGACGTTTGAGAGACTAGGATTCTCTTTGTGGCCTTTAGCAGCCTGCTCATCCTGACTGTCTGCCAAGTCAGGCAGATCGAGCGTCGGCTCCTTGTGATGAGCACCTTCGCCCGAGCCACCGTTTCTTCTGCCCAGGTCCTTGCCGTCATCATCCAGCCTAATCCGCCGCACCTTGACGAGAACGGGAATGACCGCTCCAGTACCCAGGCCGAAGTCTCGATGGCCCAAGACGCGTAACATGGCGGCGATGGCGCCAGAGTGGCTCGTGACCGAGACGCTGTCCTTTTCGGGCCCCAGCATCTCGGCATCGGACATCAAATCGTCAAAGAAGCCACGCATTCGCTTGTCCAGCGCCGAGGGTGGCTCCCTACGGTCGGACGTCCAGAATTCGTCCCGCTCCGTAAGATAGACGTCCGCGTCGACGTTGTAGCTCGGATACCGTGCGCGGATGGACGTGACGCTGCCGCGCCTGTCGCATGTATGGATTCCTGTGCCTTCGCGGGCCTTTTCCATCACCACGGCCTTTAGTCCCGCCGATCCCACAACGCTGTCGAAACTGAGTTGCGCGGTCTGGAGCGTGCGGTCGAGCGGAGACACCAAGTAGACGTCTGGGGCACGCATTTTGTGGCTAGCAGTCTGGTTCTTCCAGAAGGTGTTGACTTGTCGGGCTTGTCGCTTGCCTTCGCTCGACAGCGCGGCGTCCGACCAGGTCATGACGCCGTCCGGGTCGCCGTCTAGCGCGCTGAAGTGGCAGTCCCAGGCTGTACTGCCGTAGTACCGCTCCGCGATGTTGTGGTAGCCGTTGCCGTGCCGGCCGAGGAAGAAGACGAGGTATCGTGTCTGTGTGGCAGAATGTGAGGCGTGGCGCCGTTGCCGTGTCCCTCGCTGGTTCTTGTGTGCTCCATCTTCTTGTGCTTCTGCGTCGTCGTCGTTGTCATCATCTCGCGCATCTTGGTTCAAAGATCTAACGTGGTGTTCGAAGCGCTGCCACTGCGTCATCTCCTGGCCCTTGTTCGGTAATGATCCATCGGACTCGTACGCCCGGTCAATCAACCCAAAGTTCACGTTCGGAGCCATGAAGTCGAAGGTCGCGGCGTCCGTGGACGGGTCGTCCTGCAGGAAGTACCCTCCCAGAGTACTGTATTCATACGTGTATCTTTTCGTGGGCGGTGCTGCTTCTTGCTGGCCCCCATCGTGAGTTGAATCATCCGCGCCGTGTGGCTGCGCGTTGGAGTCAGAATGCGAACCCACCACTGCCTGGCCTGCCGGCGTCTGAGTGGATGAGCCTGTTCCTGTGTCCGCCATCTCGAGTAGACCGCAGACCACGAGTGAGACGGTGAGTAGGAGGAGGAGCTGGACGGCGACGGTGATTCGACAGATTCGGGGTGGTCCTCTCCACCGACGGTGTGCTTTGCGATGTGGAGAGTAGTATATCATTTTGGCATCAGGGCTTTTACCGATAAGGGCGTCATTGTGAGGATGTTTGGTACTACGCGGAACGGGTGGGTGATCGTGCGTGAGACGCGTAGAACCAAGTGACTTTGAGGTTCATCAGAGGTATTGACGGACAACGGTGGGATGAGATGGCAATGGCGGGGGTCACCACCCGAATATCAGCCGACTCATACTGTATACATGACATTGTGACATTCCGTGCAAGTGATAATTAATAGGAGCAGAAGTGTGAGGACATATGGAAGTCATCATTATACTAGAAGGTCATGCCGTACAAGAGCCAAGGTATGAGTACATGGCTGGTGCCTTCTCAGAATGTAGCAGGCTTGAGAGCACAAATCTGGCAGCCCTCAGAGCATGGGACATCAGCGCCGTGTCGCGTATGGAAGAGTGCCGCGACTTCATCAGTTCCCTCTTGCCGTTGAACCTCTGTCAAAAAGTCCTCGCGGTTCCAACCTGACGTGACTGCCTCGAGTCCGGCCACGGACTCCGGAGCCCGCAGGAATGTCCTCAGCGCGTTCTCAACAGCGACCCAGGTATGTGCCCTTGCACACTTGACCACGGCTACCAGACGGCACATCTTCCATATCCGCTTGTAATGCTCCTCTGGTGGGAATGCAGCGAGCAAAGTCCACAGGAGATGTTCGGCGGTCAAACTGCTATCGTCGTCGTCTTGGTCGAGGATGCGTTGCAGAGATCGCAGATAATTTTCTGTGGCTGGTGAAAGGACGCCATATTCAGCCATGATTAGATTCAAGTAGATCAAACACGCCATTCGACAGTTGTCGACTGATCTGCGCTTGTCAGCACTCAGGAACCCCGTGTCTCTGCTTTCCAACGCCCGGGACAGCTCGGTGCCCTCCTGGAATATCGTGTTTTGAAAACGATGGCTCCTGAACTCCCTCTGTTGTGCAGGTGTCGAGGGGAGATTCGTCAAGGCTTGACGCCGTCGATTGTCGAAGAACTGGACGAATTCCTCGCAGCTGCTTCTGAAGGCACTTTTAGAACCTTTGGCCGGAGAGCCTGGCGTTGCGGCTGCCAACTCTGTATAGCTGTCCTCGTACGCCGGGTTGCCATCCGGGGTCGGCCCCGAGAGGGCAATAAAGCTCCTGGGTACGATGTTAGGAACTCGCGCATCCATCCGATATTGCATTACTCACCAGACGAGCTTGGTGTGCATTGGTGTATTGTGTCGGAGCGCGGGAAACCCGCCACGCTCGAGGAGTAACCGCTTAAGAGCTCCCCAGTGCATTCTGGCTATCTCGCGATCACCCCAAACTCGCTGCATTCGTCAGCGCGGAGGTTTTACAGCGGGTATTCCAAGCTCACCTCAGCGTTGGCAAGCAGACCGACCCCGATGATGGTCCAATCGTCGCAAGGCTCTCGTAGCGTCTGAAGCCTCCGATTCACCGCCACAAGGCTGCGCTGCTTGAACTCGATTACTTGCAAGGATTCGTTTTGCCCTCTCATGCTGGCCAGATGATGCGCTGCGTGGTGCAGCATGCCCAGGAAGGGGATCTCGTGCATGCGATAGAGGTTGAATAGATCCCAGCACGCTCGAGGTCGGCGAGCTGCTCTTTCCCAGTATTTGTGGACAAGTGAAGGGATGACAAAGTAGACTGATGCGAGTTAGTCTCTGATGTTTCGTGAACATGTCATTCGACGTACAGTGATCAACCAATTCGTGCACGTCTGGTGTGGCGAGAATTGGGTAGGAATTGAATGGGTCTGCTCGCCCGCTTCCCAGGCGCTGCAGAAATGATGCCTCGTCTGTCGCCGTTATCATGTCGGCGGCCTTTGCACGAACTTCCGTGTTCGTCCGCTGTGGTCGATTCTCATCCGACCTAGAGGATATGGACGGTGGTGTTGGGCGATGTCTCCTCTTCCCTTTCTTCTTCCCGTCTGCGTCTGCGTCCTGCTCGTCGAACCGCTCGTCGAACCGCTTTCTGCGATAATGCTGCGTCGTCACCCATGATCTTGTCTTCTTCCTTAGAGCCTTACTGTTTAGTCCCTCAATGAATTCGAACTGCCGCTGAAATTCAAGTGGAGGTCGTTCTGCCACACTTCCTTGTTGGACGGAGCCGATTAGGTCTCCAGAAGTTGTGAGGTTCGATGACCTACCTCTGCTCGAGCCTGCTCTACGCATTGTTCTCTTGCAGAAGTCATGACCGAAGCTCTAACAGAATAATAACAGACTGGCACTTCACCAGCCTTCGAACTTTAACGCGGAAGATCGATCCAGCACGATCATGTGGTGTAATTTTTGCAGACACCTTGTGGCGCCTGACCTTCGAGTCAATGGCCTTGAAGTAGCGGTTCATGTAGGATTCACTGAGTGGTAATGGAGTACATGCTGGTACGCACATAAGCAGATAGGTCAGATCCTAGGATAATTAAGGCAACCCTTCAAGCCTTGATGCCTGTCTCCACAATGACTAAGTAATCGGGTTAGTTCCGGCTTGGTTGCGGCTCCCTTATTATCTAATACATCTCATTACGGAGTGAGAGTGTCCTTTGCGGTTTGTATCCAGCACCAGGCAACCCCGGGTCTAAAGCGCCATCCCATTGCACCTAGGCGTATTTTTGTGCAGTCTTTTCCGTAACTCATTGTCAACATACAGGATCCTTCAGCCAAGCGGTTTCACAGGATGGCCAGAGAGGTGAAGAAAGCGGCGATAAGCACTTTTGTCTGCATCGAGGACGGTGTAGCCGGTGCACCATCATGGAGAGGCCGGGCGCTGGCGCTGACAGCTGGAAGACCATCTGTTGCCGTAACAGGGATGGTCGGTGAGGGAACGGCCGGTGAGATGCCAACATTCGGGTACACTGCCGGCGGATTTGTCTGGTTGACTAACAGCGCGTACGTCGCTTCCAACGCGCAAAGTTCCTGACCAAGGCCAGTTGTACCGTCCCATCGGCCAAGATACCACTTGCTGCCACAAGTGTCTCTGGTTTTGCCTCCGGTACACGATGCTGCTGCACCCTGTGCCGAAGCCCGAAGAACCTCGCCTATTCTTCCTGCTGTAAAAGGTGCCATCTTCGAAGTAGCAGCCATCCATCGAATCAAGTATGCCTTCATTGAAAGCTGGTCTGTGTTACAGGTGTTGGTGATCTCACACGCAGCTTCGAACATGATGTTGGATGCATTTTGAAAGGGACTGATGAAGGTATTCGTCGCGGCCAAAAGGCCAGCAGTCCGGTCGATCCAGGGTGACGATCCGTTGGTGAAGTTCTGAAGTACAGCAGCGCCGTACAAAAAGGCACCAACATTGTAGCTCCACTGATGGTGATCTATGCCGGTGCAGTTGATCAATTCATCTGTGCCATCGTAGACGTTGTAAATGCTGTCGATCAACCCTATGCCCCACGCCCAGTTCCATACGGTCTCCGCCCAATGTACGTACGTCTCGTTGCCGGTGAATCTTGCAAGTCTCGCCGATATTTGAAAGAAGGCGCCGTTAGAGATGCTGTTTTTGTAGTAGTATCCTGCGTTGTTTGGGTTGAATTGCCATTTCAGTCCGCCATGGCAACCAGAAGTATTCCAGCGAAAGACATAATCTTGCCAGGCATTGTTGACGATCTGAATCCAGGAAGGGTTGGGCGCAGGCAATTGAGGGAAGGAGTACTCAGCAGCTGCCATAGCCACAAAGACCCAGAAGGCTTGGTCGTCATTTCCGGTATCGAAAGCTTCAGCAGGCACGTTGAAATCGTCCTTGGGCCCGAGTTGAGCTATGAGGGCTTTTTGCATCACATCATTAAACGTGTCGTCGCCTGTGTAATGCCAGTATTCCATCAGCCCGCCCCATGCTCCTCCTGACTCCCACCAGTAGTAAGGCGGGAACGGCCATTTTCCCAGCGTGCCTCCAGTTTGATTGCCACTGTACAAGTCGATTACTTTGTGCGCACCCAGCGCCGCTGCCGCGAGAATAGACTCTGAAGGCGGTGTTAGTCTGTGAGGCAATGAACTGAGCTTCGGAGATCAGTGCTTACCTGTATCATCAACGTCAATGGCAACGCCAACAACAGTACTTGACAGGAACGAGAGGAACATCATGACGGAAAGACCGAGTCCAGGCATTTTCGGTTCGAAGGCGCGAAACTCCAGACGCCAAGTAATGGAAATGCCAATGAGTGTTCCCGTCAACGAAAGGAAGTCGCACCGTCGCTTAAACGAAAGGAGAAGCAGGTAGTCGGCGCGGCGAATAGGCAGTGGAACTACGAAGGGAGTGACGATCTGATTGTGATTTCGAGAAAATCAACGGTTGATCATCTGTAACAGCGATTCAAGCGATAGAACTGTCGTACATTCATTTCAGCTTCCAATCTCAAATAAGACCTCACTTGTCACCCACCACTCACCTCACTTGTTACTCACTTGAGAACTTCACCATTCTGCGGTGCCGGCTCTGCGAGTATTCGACTTCACATGGAAGTTTTTCAGTTGCATTTTGGTACGTTCAAGGGCACAAAACCGAGGCCGTCAAACTCACGCACATGATGAAATTCACGACCGCATGATTCGGCAGCTACATGCCTCGAAGATGCATGAAGCGAGATCTCATGCAGTTTGCCGCAGTTGCCATCGAGATCACAGTCATATCGGTTGGTTACGCTTTGAGAGGGCAAAGATGAAGAAGGGATGTTTGCTGGCCGCCTCGACGAGTTCAGACTTTGGGACGCGTGTAACGTTGCACTCTTCCTTCTGGCTGTGTTTCACGCACGCTCGGAGATTGATGGCTAGGCTAACGCCTTTGGATTGCGCTCAGAGGCCTGTCAATGGAGAAGCACACTGCAATGAAGTCAGCTCACGGGTTTCACATATATGATGTGCATCAGTCATGCTGCTGACACCCAGACTCTCTACCGCGGCTATAAGCAGCTAACCCCGCGTTCCTCAATACGCTTTAAGGCGGGTTTGCTTATTTCTCCTTCGCCTATTTTTCAGGCCGACTTATTCCAAGGATGTCAGCAATGATATGTGCTTCCGCAGTCTATTCTGACTTGTCTCCACGGAGAAATGGTTCCGTCTTACCTGCATCAAAGCCCTATCAGGTAATTCCGCCTGTCGCAGAGCAGGGTCAATCTGCCAGATTTTATTCAGCGTGCCTTAGCACCACCCACATGGTTTCGTAGATGCAACTGCATAACCCAATATGGACTTCGCACAACCCAATGCCTGTTGGTGGCTGAACCTAGGCCTGAGTATAAATGCCCCTCTGCGTCGTTCGGGATTGATGATTTCGACAACCTAGACTGAGGCCCTCATCCAGCATGATTGACTTTGAATTGTCGCAAGAACAGTTGGCAGTCAGAAATGGCGTGCGAAGCTGGGCGAAGGCAAATCTGACAGGCGCACGATCGCTGTATGAAGGTCAGGGCGACTCCACTGGCGAATGGCAACACCGCTTCCGGTCGACTCGGCCAATATACGCCGAGGCAGTAAAAGCCGGTTTGGTCAAGGCTCAGATTCCGAAAGAACTCGGTGGTGCCGGAGGACCATTGATAGAGGCCGCTCTGGTTGTTGAGGAGTTCTACGCGGTCGAAACGAGCACTTCTCTGACTATTCTTGGCACGGGTCTTGGACTGACTCCTCTGATCATGGCTGGGAGTCCAGCACAACATGAAAAATTCTTCAAGCCTTTTTTGGACGGCACCGGCACGCCGCTGGCGAGCCTGGTCTTCTCTGAGCCTGGCGGAAGTGCCAACTTTGCTGAGGAGGGAGCACCCGGTTTCCAGACTGTTGCAAGGGCAGAGGGAGACGAATATGCCATCAGCGGTGATAAGGTGGGCGTTCATCTGAGAGTCATCAATATTGATCGCTAATCCGTCAAGATCTGGGCAACCAACAGTTCAGGCTGGGATGATCGAGGGGCCGCTGTGCAGTGTGTGCTTGCCCGCGTTGTTGATTCAGCTGCCGCCGAGGACGTCCGTGGGCAGACTGCCATAATCATCGTAACAAGACAAGACATCGCCGCGAATGACCCAGGCGCTTATCAGGTCCTATATCATCCGGAGACTATTGGGCATACAGCCGTGAATGGCCCTCATATTCGGTTCAAGGACTTGCGCGTGCCGAAGACAAACCTGCTGGCTCCTCCGGGCAAGGGCGCGGACGTAGTGGAAATGACTTTCACAGCTTCAGCGTGTTTGGTCGGTGCCATGGGCGTTGGCATCATGCGGCAGACTTTTGAGCGAGCTCTTGCATGGGCCAAGACCGAGAACCGCGGTTCAAAAGAGACCATGTTGAAGAAGCAGAGTGTGGCGGACCTGCTGATCAAGATCAAGACTCGATGCGAAGCTGCTCGGGCACTCGTTTGGAAAGCGGCTCATGCTTTTGGCCGCACACAGTATGGAGCCGAACTATGTTATGAAGCTAAGATCTTCGGGTCGGAGAGCGCGGTTGAGTCGGTTATGGATGCTATCAACCTCATAGGCGTGTCTGCGTACTCCCGCAAGCAACCGTTCGGCGACTTGCTCAACGACGCGGTGGTATTGCCGATCTTTGATGGAGGAAATGTGGGCGTTCGAAGGCGACAGATCGAAGCAATTTTTGCTAAAGAGGGCTACGATCCATGGGAGACAAGCTATGGTGCGGACGAGCAAGGTGCGACTACGAGATCGTAGGCTCAAAGGGCTGAAAAGACGCGTCCACCTATGGGTGCCTAACACCCGAGTGTTGGAGTTGGATGAGGTGCGTCCCAGTGTGAATTGTGCCAAGGACAACACGGATGACATAAGCACTTGGCATTTACAGTATGTTGCCATCTGTTGCTTCCACCAGTTTCTCCCTGTCAAGTGCAGGCGCCACTACTCGTACCGCCCTGGATTTCCCCCTGATTCAAGCAAATTTTGTCTCCTCGATCTGTGTCAAAAGCATCCGAAGCTCTTCCGGCCTGCTTCCCGCCTTTCACCTGACTCTGCTTCTATCTTTAGAGATCATGCCGAAAGCCCAGAAAGGAGCCCTTCTCCAATGCGACCCACCCCAAATGGCGATGGTCCGAAAGATCGACCGGGAGTCCAACCATGCTTATATCTTGGAGGAGATTGACGACAAGACCTGCCTGGTCAAGGAGAATCGAGTGGAGGAGATCAAAGCCAAGGTCAAAGAGTTGATGGATGCTGCAATGGGCATGGATGAGGATGACAACGATGACAAAGACAGCGACCTAGATTGATCGACCTTACGACTCCCTCCTCCAACGGTTAAGTTAAGATTTCGCGTTGGCCTTGCTCTCGCGATGCACCCGAATTGCCTAAGGCGCGAGCAACGCATGATGCGGGGTCGATCCGCTCACGGGACAAGTGTCCATGTTTTGGCACGCTGGAGACGGTTTATCGTCTATGTACGGGTACTCCGTACTCCGTGCTCCGTACCCTGCTGTAGGCTGCAAGGCCAGCAATGCTCGGACTGTACCACACTGGTCTCTACACCAGAAACGAAAGAGCCGTGAGCATGCAGTGGTCAAATCTGAAGCACACACCGGACTTTTCGCGTCGATAAATCACATCATTAGAGCCCCGACGCCAACAAAGTGGTAGCCTTTGTACCTGGATATTTTGAAAGGCTATCGATAGGGTAGCCCGCTATGGAGGCGGAGGAAGGCGGGGAGCGAATCATCCCAAGTTCGACGCTGCACTCGTGCGAGTTGTCAACGTCTCGAGCGTGTAACGCGCCAACTGGGGTCAGCGAGACGGGCCGTAGGCCACGCGGATGGCAGGGATCGACATCGGGGGGCTTTAGCGGAAAAGAAGCAGGAAAACTATTGGGGGGGATCGAAGAATACAACAGCAAGACTGCGCTTGGTTCTTGAAAGGTGGCTCTGCTATGTACTATGCAGGCTTAGTAAGGGATTAGAGCTCTTGTCGCAGGAACAAGAGTGCCTAGATAGGGAGGTGCAGGACCTTCCCCTGCGTCTGGCAGGCGGATGGCCTCCAAGAAGGATTTGGACAATGTGTGCCCAGGACGTCCTCAAACCGGAAAAGCTGCTACACCTCTGGAGTTTCCAGTTTGGTCAGATGCAGATAGCCGCAGGAGGCAGGATATTAGTGCAATGAATATGCCACAGCTTTTCAGGATCTCCATATGCTCATTGGAGTAGCAAATGTCTATGGAGACTCTGCACGCGCATGCCAGTACACAGTCGCAGTTGGTGATCTCCGCGCTTGTCAGCAAAAGCAGGCATGCGGGAATGTTGGCAAGTCCATGGACAGAATAGATAAAATGGAGTACTTGTGTACATACAGTACGTGGCTAATTCTCGAGCGGCGAAGCACTCAAGGAGTTGCTTTAGGCGTGGAGCCTAAGGAAGCCGACACGCGACAAGGCCTAAGGAGACTTCTGCTGGGAAAGCCTAAAGCGTTGCCTTTGGAGTGACTTCAGGGACCTCTTCCAATAACATGATGCAAGTGTTCACAGCCACATAATGCTTTATTCTTTTCCTGCGTACCTATTAAGATCAGCTGCGTATCATCTTCGAGCTCCAGATTTGCAGTCCACGAGTACTATACTCCGTACCTTAGGCTCATGCTCTATCGTCCTTCTCGACCTGTTGAACTGCTGATCCCCGTACTCGTACAGTAGGTATCTTGCTAGCAGGATTCAGACACATCTCCCCCAATACTCCGTACAGCTTGGCTAATTCTGCTTGCTGCTTCTTCTTTTCAACTGCTGGCATGACTTCACCGTGCCAATTCTGTCTCCAAATCGCTTCCGCGCTTCACCATAATCTGCCCGTCACCGTCCTTCTCCATCTATCCCCAATCCCTGCCCCGGCTCCTCATGCACAGGTGCCTTGAGCCTTTCATGCTTGTGCAAGCTCCGGCTTCTTCGCTTATGCCTATCGCGGCGCCCTTTCTTCTGACTTGTCAGTTCGTTTAAACCTTCCCACCATTGACGACTCCCGGTCGTACGTGCTCCCCGAGCTATTCCCCACGGATCCTGGCCCTTGATCTGCAAGACATGCAGCCAGACACAGCACATCACCAGCCCTCAAACCCTCGTCGTGCCTTCAGTCCGTTTTCTCCTTTATCACCTTCCTAATCTCGAGACCTTCGGTGCCAGTTGGTCTACTGTACGAATTGTTGTGCCATCACTCTAGTCCTTTTCTGGGTCAGCATCATCCTACACGCAGGTCATCACCGTTACCACCACCGGATGATTAGAGACACCAACTCAGCATACGACGATTTCTTCCTCGCACAATCCTTAGTATTTGGTCTTCGGTATTCGGATCTCTTCCGGCCCATGAACTTTCTTCGATCACAATATCTATCCAACTCGATTCTTTATCACGGATTTGTCACGAGTGCTTCTCACGTTCATCAACCATAGGCCTTCGAAACACCCCCACAGCCACCTCAGCAACATCCCGCAGGTACCCGCCATTCAACGTGGGCTACTTACCCACTTTGTCGCCTTCAAGCAGTCGCAGAACCTCCTTCACAGCGGCGAGAGAACAAGAGGGACTACCTCGTCGCGCCACAACGCGCGTGAGCGGCATCGTCAGATTTCAACAACGACGTGATCAACTGTAGTATACACGGTCGAGATTACGTTATTTCGCCTTCGGTCACACACCAGTCGCTAACTGCCCTGGCTTCCGCGGCACAAGCCTTGACCTAAGCTGTCGTCGCGGCGAAGACCCCGCGCTTGTTGGCTGCGTTTATCTTGCAGAAGCCATCGTCGTCACTCGCCTCTCACTTCGATAAAGTCTCCCAGTACATTTTGAGGCATGACGGGAAGCTTCGCCCGCCAGAATTTCGAACGACCTTAATCACGCTCCGAACCGAACTTGACGCCACCACCCACCAGAAAGACTGCTGCACCTTTTGCAATCTGGCACCAGGGTTCACCGCTCTACGCATACGCGTCTCAAAAAGAGGTTTCTTTCCACTTATACTGCAATCCCGGCTTGTGGGATGATGAAACACAGAGCCGATCCGACATGTTGTTTGAACCCGGTTCAGTGCCTGCAGGCCCGCCCATCGAGACAAAGAAGGCCCTGATCTTGGTCGACTTCCAAAACGACTTCATCATGCCAAATGGCAATCTTCCTGTCAGCAATGTTCAGCCTTTCTTGTCCAACTTGTTGTCGCTCGTGGATGAGTTCCGTTCTAAAGGCGAAGTGATATGGGTCGGAACGGGATACGGACAACCTCGTTCTTCTATCTCTCTTATAACGGGTTCTCACTCGATCGTTCTCAAGCACCATCTTCAGCGCCATCAGGCAAACGAAGATGACAGTGAGTACTACAATGACCCGAGCAACATTCGCTCACCTCACGAAGATCCCCTTTCTCCCTCGCCGAAGCCAGATGCTGTCCACGATCGGGAGGCATTTCTCGCTCCGCTCATGACAACAACCAAACACAGATGCTGCATGCCTGGAACCTGGGGGGCGGAGTATCCTGAGATGATCAAGGCCGCCATCGATCCGGAGCGAGACGTGGTCATGGAGAAGTCACACTACTCCGCATTTCAGGACACACCCCTACTCATGCACCTGCGCACACGCCTGGTCACTGAAATCTATGTCTGCGGCACGCTCTCGAATATCGGAGTTTACGCTTCTGTGCTTGATGCTGTCTGCCATGGTGTACAAGTCACGCTAGTCGAGGACTGTCTCGGCTATCTAAACGAGGCGTGCCATGTAGAGGCCATACGTCAGATGGCAGATAGTATGGGCGCGAAAGGTGTCGATTGCCAGGAACTCCGCGATGATCTTGCCGGTCTACTTGGCGAGGTCATCCGAGAAGAAGACTATACGACACGACTGCAAGTCAGCCTCCCTCCACCAGGCCGAAGAACAAGAGTGCATAAGTCAAGACAACAGATCGATGACTGGATATCGGAATTAGAACGTAAGCAGAGTCCTGGCGCAGCGAGTGACCCCAAAAGAACCGAATCGAACCGGAACGAAGAATTGGAGGTTCTCCGCCGGGACTCCTGTAGCCCAAGTGAGTCAACCCGCAAACCGGTGAAGGAGAAAGCAATCGAGCACAAACCACCCCAGAAAAGGTCGACCAGCGATCTAGATCCACTCGATGAGGATCGCGTGCTCAAACTGTCACAAAAACCATCCTCTCGTCGCACCTCGACACATGCTGAACAGATAAAGGCCAAACAGAAACAACAAGTAACGCGAAAACGGCGTTCTTCGCGAGAGTCACCTGTCAGGTCCATTCGGCCATCACAATCACCGATCCATCGGACTCGGTCAGCCGAAGAGTCATCTTCTCATAAAAGCAGCTCACCCGAGAGCGGACGGACGCGTGTTCGAAACCTGTTATCGGCTGCATCACCTGAAAGCCACCATCAAACCGCACCAAAGAAGAAGAAAAAGACTCTGCCTGACATTGTCGGACTCGGGGACAAGATTGGCGAGGGTGATTCGAGACTTCACGTCGACCTACTTGATCAAAGTGAAGCCGCACAAGCTTTCTACTCATGCAGGAAAGATGTTAAATGGCAGAAAATGTTTCATCGATCTGGCGAAGTGCCTCGTCTTGTCGCTGTCCAGGGGATCATGCCTGGAAATGGATCTGAGGTGCCAATATACCGACATCCAGCCGATGAGTCGCCTGAGCTTCTACCATTCGGTACAGTCGTGAACATGCTACGGAAGGCCGCCGAAAGGATTGTTGGCCACCCACTAAACCATGCTTTAATTCAATGGTACCGAAACGGCGAAGACAACATCTCCGAACACTCAGACAAAACACTTGACATCGTACGTGGATCCAGTATTGTCAATATGAGTCTGGGTGCTCAGAGAACTATGATCTTGAGGGCGAAGAAGTCCGCCCTTCCAGGCCCTGCCGAAAGTGAAGAAGCTGACACTGCGAGACCTTCCCAACGTGTGCCTCTGCCTCACAATTCTCTGTTCATCCTCGGCCAAAGCACAAATCAGTACTGGCTCCACTCGATTCGAGCCGACAAGCGACCTGCTATTGAGAAGTCACCTGCAGAGCTTGCATTTGACGGAGAGAGGATCAGCTTGACTTTCAGAAACATTGGGACATTTATCAATATTGCCGATAATACGATCTGGGGTCAAGGCGCGACAAGCAAGACCCGACCTGGAGCAGCACCTTTAGCAACTGGATCGGAGGCCGAACGAGAGGGCGAAGACATGATTCGGGCATTCGGGCAGGAAAATCATCGCAGCGTGGACTGGGACTGGGATGCATGGTACGGAAGAGGCTTCGACGTGGTGAACTTCGAGACCAAGCAGGCGGATGAGCAGCCCCCAGCCGAGGAAAAGCACGTCGGCGGCACAAAAGGTGAGAAGAGGAGAATTGACCAGGGTGATGTCAGTTCGACCCGAGCAGGCTCGGCGCCGTTCTGAAGCTGCTCAGATGATGGCCAAGATATAAACCAGCCACGACAAGAACCATACCCGAAACATAACGCGCTGGTTCACGAAGGGTCAGTTCTTCAACAGACGAGTACCCGCTTCGGACGGAAGGAAGCAAAACGGAAGGCTTCGCTACGTCGTCCTCGCACCGACGCATCAATTTCAAAACGCAACAATCCACAATTGGAGGACCCGGGCCCGCGACTCAGCGTATGCGAGAAAAGAAGAGCCATTACACGACACCCAACACTGACGGAGGAGCGAGTGTGACCACGCCTGTCGGGCCCACACCCACATGCAGCAAGGACATCAATGGCTGGAAAACGAATGATGGCGCCGTCGAAACAGCATGGCGCAGCAGCGGACTACATCGAATGGTATGGTTCGGAAAGTGAGACCGGACCTGAGACTGGTGCGGGGACGGGGACGGGGCCCCCGAAAAGGGATTGCCTGGGTGTAGCATGCATCGGATTTTGGAGACGGACGGGACCATGGGGGCATTGTGGCTGAGCTGGCCAGGCACGGGACGGGACGGGTGGTATAAAGAAACTCTTTACGAATAACGACTGATGAACGGAAAATGGGAAATGGAAAACGAAGAAACGATGAATGACGAATGAATGATCAATGAGGGAACGACCGCCATGAAAGGGCACGACTACGTGGATATGAAGGATTGATGAACCACCTGGAAAAGCACACTTACTTATGATGGGAAATGTACTTTTGATGACAGCATGAATCGAGGCAGAGCTATACGGAATGGGCGATCACAGCTTCATACGGAGAAGACATTGTGGATGGAACTTGCAGAAAAAGGGTGGTAGGCACTCTAGGTGAAATTTCTGTTGAGCTAGCAGTTGCTCTTTAGCAATTATTTGATCGATGCTCATTCCTACTCGGCGAATAACTCTGTTCATTCTCCCCACGAGCCCGCGTCTGGTTCTTTCTATAGTGCCGTATCTCAGCATGAAAAGAAAAGGGGAAACAGAAGCAGAAGGAATAGATGAAGTTCAGCTAAGATAATACTTTGCGGTATGTAATCAATTGCACGCATTCATTTCCCCAGTGTCAACAATCCAGCTCGATATCAATATCCATGGCCAGCCTCCCGTGTCGCTGCGCTGCTCCGACTGCCTGACGCCGTGCCACGGAACAATCGATACCTGTTTCAGGTGCCAGAAAAGATGTGCACTGCATGCAAACCCGCGATGCGTGCCCTCCTCAACGCCTCCGATGCAATTCACAAGATTGGGGCTAAGTCATAGCGTCCTGTCGCATTCACAGTACGTTGGTCGACCAGCCCCTGTAGCACCTGTCTTAGCTTCGACCATAGCCGACCGTGCGCCATATCGCGTGTGCGCCTCAGCGCCACGGTGTGTACCAAGAATATATTTCAAATGAAGTAGTCTTGTGGCAAAGCTGCAAGGCCGATGACCGTACCTACGGCGCCAATGGCCATGCCTGTAATGGTAGCTGCAGCCATTTTGATGATGCCATGGCCACGTCGTTCGCCGGTTCTCGACTTCGATCTCCTAGCCCTCTTTCGCAGTGGCTCAGAGTTTGTTGCAGGCGCAGCCTCAGCAACTTCCGTAGCCAGGGGTGGTTGATTTAGCTCTATGGTTGTGGCGGCAGGCCTCATAACGTCGGCATCATTCGACATTAGGGCGGCATGAACGTTGCCAATCTCAGAGGAAGCAAATTCGGATGGCGCAGGGTTTGCGTGGAGAGTGTCCGAGGAGATTTGGTCAGCCTTTCGTTTCTTGGAACCCCTTGATTCTTCCTCAGGCTGTTGTTGGACAAGGCTTGCAATCGAAAGCGGTGATAATGGGTGAGCTGGAGCAGGCCCGGCAGGTCCTTGAAAACCGAAAGGCGCAGCATAAACCGGTGGACAAGTAGTGTGAGACGGCTGGTAGACCGAATCAAACTGCGAGCGCTGCTGTGTTGATGGCCGTGGCACAGGATCGCATAAAGCAGAGTTATTGTCAGTCAGGTCGGGTCCTGGTCGGCCTGATGGATGTACGAAACCACAAAATGGTAGGCCATACTGCGGGTACTTGGGCCATGGAGGAGCCGTCGACCAGGCGAAGTTGGCAGATTCGCCTGACGGCTTGACCATGGCTGCATCAGATGGGCTGGGAGCTCGGCCGTGCTCCTGTGGTATTGGAGCGTTCATGATGGAGCTGCTTGGAGCGGCCTCAGTCTGTGAGGACGGAACATAGTCTGTTTCGAGGGGATCTGAGTATTCGTTCTCGAGCTCGTCATCCGCACAGGACTCGGGTTCAGAGGTATCTCCGTTGTCGTAACTCTTTCCAAAGTGGATAACATCAGCGGGGCTAGTGGCTGATGGTGGAGAGGGTGCGTTCTTGTCAAGATGCGTGGCCGAGGTAACCGGAGTAAGCGTGTATACCGGAGACAGAGTGACGATCTTAGATCTCATGGCAGATTCTGTCTCGTCGTCTGAAAATTCCTCAAGCGACGAGCTGTCCTGAGTAGAAACCTCATCAGAGTCTGGGGTAGTGAGGGGTGGGGCCTGGGGTACGACGACCTCGATGCTGGCTTCGCGGACGGAATCTTGAATGACCTGATCTTCGTTGGCGGACTCTGAAAGGTGGCCGTCCACCTCCTCGTAGACCTGGTAGTCGGGTTCTTCTTGGTCACCCAGAATTTCCGAAGAAGGTTCCTCATAGGCTTCGTCTTCGCTGTAGTAGTCGGCGGTAAAAGTGTTTCGATAGATGTTGCTGTGAGATGAATGGAGATTATTCGAGTCAGAACTGCGGCAGAGGTCAGCAGGGGCAACAACAGTGAATGGGGTGAGTGAGGTTGTACCTTTCGTCAGACCATTTCCAAGCAACTCGTAGTCTAAGAGCGCTGAAATGGGCTGGTCCGATGTCACTACATGTCCCTCGCAAAGTGTCGTTGTACTCACCACTGCCTCTCACCACATCAGCACCCAGGGTCACATTGTCCCCACACCAGACCTTTTCAACCTGGTAGGTTGATAGTCTCCTCCCACAGAGCTGAGTGCCGTGCATTGAGCCGATGTCTTCGATCAGAATGTCCTGCTGGTATTAGCTCGAGGTCTCTGCAGCCGTCATAAGGAGGAACGCACCTTTGTCGCAGGATCTGCTCGCAAGATGGCATGGTTTCTTGACATAACCTTCGAGTCAAACCAGGTGTTGTCTGGGGCTGCAGTGATACCTCCGTAGCCGCTCTGAGTGCCACGGCCAATATTGACATGCCACGCGGGGCCTCGGAGGGTGACGGTTCGCTTGGGGATGGGCTCACGAAGGTCGACATCTTCGAGGGTGACGGTCACTGCGTGTGTTTGGTTAGCAAGAGGCTGCACTACAGAGTCAGAAGCTGTAGCACATACCATGTAGATCTGGATGCTCCGTGCCCGCCATGGCAACAGTTCTACGGCGTGGTGAGACTGATCCGGCCGTCCGACTCTACCTGGTTAACCAGTACAGAAGAGCGTATTTCAAGTGACAGAGATGTAGGAGTTGAGGAGTCGAAGTTCACAGGGAGAAGTGAGGTTCAGATGAGGCGCAGGCAACCGGGGGATTGAAGTGTTCGTGTCGACTTTGTTGGACTAGGCTGGAGCCCGCAGCACGAAGCACGGTACTCCGTACTGGTTGGAGGTTAAAGGTCCGAGACTCTAGAGATAAGCGGTGGTTGTGGTTGCAAGCTGGGTGAATAAGCAGTGAACGACCGCTCAGGCTGACCTGGGGCAGTTCCTCTGTCCTCAAACAAAGACGAAGCAGTGGCAGTTGTTCAGGCGAGGGGAGGATGAGACAGTTTACTCTGGTTCAACTGGCACTCACACTCGTCTTACAGGCCAGGCGCGTGTCCGCAGTTGCAGGCAGGGAGGAGCTGCCCCTCACTTGGAGCCTGCCAGCTATCGATAAAGAGTGGAGCAGACTATTTCCAAATCAGGTTTAGACCACGATAATGCTTGTTCTGACTGTCATTTGAAACGAGGGATTTCCGGAGCTCGAGGCTGAGCTCAGCCTTGTCAAACCATTTGTACTTGCCCTTATGGGTATGGTGCCGTTACAACTCGTATTCACTCTCTGAAAATGGCCAGCTGTTCATTTCTTCGCAGGGAAAGAATTCAAATATATAATGGATGGGGTAGGGTCGGGATGGATCATGGACTCGATCCTGTCTACAACAAAAACCCCAATTCTCAATCACCAGGGCTTGAATTCAACCAGTGTCCGACATCGAGCGTGATCGACCATGGTCAATGTGGTCTCCTGTCTACCCTACCTCTCCTGGTCACAACATCCCAAGGAATATCCTCTTCCTTCTCACATTCAGTCTTCCGTTGTATCTACACCATGTGGCAACTTGGAGCTTCTGTGTTGTCAACCCAGGCACCCTAATCCGAACACACCGCCATTGATCTTTGTACATGGCGGCTTCGGTTTCGCAGCCGTCTGGCTTGATTGGATGACGTATTTCTATGAACGAGGTTACGCTGGGACCATGTACGCCTACAGTTCGCGAGGCCACGGCGCAAGCTATGCAGTCCCATACCTTCAGATGGCCTGGGGGACGTCTCTCGATGATTTCGCCAGCGACTTGGCGACTGTCGTCAAGACCATCACAACTCACTTCGAAGACGAAAAGAAACCGATCCTGATAGCTCATTCCGCCGGCGGAGCACTCGTGCAGTACGCTCTCGCAAATGGCATGATCGCAGCCACTGCGCTCTGCTTGGTAGGCTCGGTTCCACACTTCGGTGGACTCGACGCATATTGGAACTGGACGAAGATGGATCCCTGGATGCACCCTCGTTCGTTGATCCTCGGCTTTCATCCGATGACTGGACTTGCCCATCCAAAGCTCGTCCGTCAGATATTCTTTTCGGAAAGATTTCCTATGGACAAGGTAGAAGAATTCATGCACTGGATGGCACCTTACGAGAGTCTAGGGTGGGCTGGCGGCCAAAATGGCTCATTTTGGAAGTGGTTGGTGGGGAAGAATGAATGGCTGGAGCCCGTGCGCATCCTGAAAGCGGTAAACGGGTGGGAACGACGGGGCGATCGAGTCTGTGTCATAGTCGGTAGTCAAGACCGAATGATGGATTTAGCCATGGCACGAAGACAAGTGAGCGAATTTCGAGCAGCGGTCAGGGCAATGGAGTTGGAGTCTTCGGCAAGTCAAAGCAGATGTCGAGCCAACGAGGACGAAAAGAAGAGTACCCATGACGAAGACACAGCAGAAGTCGAGGTTGAGACCTTGGAGAGAGTCAGGCTCGTTGTGGTACAAGGCGCCGGTCATCACACTCAGAATGATGTACAACGGCAGGCTGCAGCGGAAGCAATCTGGCAATGGCTGGAGCAGTTGTGACGAGTCTCAGCACGCGAACCCAGAACTGAAGTGTTTTGAACTCCTCTTATTATACACTCCTTTACACCTTTCGGGACCTCATGCTCATCAGAACGCCGTGATGCGGACCTCGGAATCTAACATCGAGATTCGCACGAGCAAGTGTGCTATTACTTTACAGATCGGCAAGTCTCCCTCGTGTAGATCGCTCATCAGCATGAAGCATGGCCCGTACCCATACCCATTAGACAGACCCAAGAAGACAAAGTGAGAAGGGAGATCTGCCGCGAGAAAACCAACGGCAAGATTAAGAGCAGCCATGCAATGATGACCGGATTATCTCAACTGAGGACCACCCAAACCGGCACCTTCCATCTGCTGCAGTCGGGCTGCTAACTGCGGATACTTTTGCGACACCTCGAGTTGCGTACGTGTAGCTTCGGCGTAAGACAGTGCGTTGACAATCTCGCCTTCTGTTCTTGAAAGTTCCGCCGCACGTTCGAAGTACTCCAGCGCCTTGGTAACCTTGCCTTGCTGCAGGAGCAGTTGAGCCATGGTGGCAACGGCGATATCGCATTCTGGGTCAACTGCGAGTCAAGGTCAGCGATATGTCACGTTTGTAGCTTCATTACAACTTACGGATCAAGGCTTTCTCACAAAGCTCTTCGGCTGCCTTGAAGTCCTGTTTCCACTGGAAGAGCGCGAGTGCTTTGTTGATCAGTGGCAAGACGTTGATGGCTCCAGTGGGCTTCGTCTGTCTTTCCATATCGATAGCTGTCTCGAACCTTTCGATGGCGTCCTGGTACTTTTGCTGGTCGAGCAGCAGCTCACCATAGTAGTTGTAGACATCCGGTACCTTGTCAAAGTTCTTGACGCATCGTCGGAAAGTTGCCATGGACGATGCGATTGAGCCGAGCTTGTACTGGGTGACACCTAATTGGATGTGTGAGTAGATGAAGTCTCTGTCCAGGTCGATCGACTTTTGGTAGTCCTTGGCAGCATCGGCGTATTCGCCCAGGATAAAATGTAACTGAGCACGGTGGTAGTAGATATCGGGATCGTCCTTGTCCTGCGCCATGGCCTTCTCGAAGTCGTCTGCAGCAAGGTCCTTGTTGCCGAGCTCCAACTGCATGCTTGCACGTTTTATGTACGCTTGTGTCAGGGAGGGCTGCAGTTCGATAGCTTTGTTCAGGTCTTCAAGGGCTTTTGCCGTATCGCCCTCCAGGTACAAGAATGTCGCCCTCATGTTGTAAGCGAATGCCTCGTGGTCGCCCAAATCTCCGAGTTCCAGAGCTTTTTTGAAATTGGCAGCTGCCTCGTCGTAGCCTTCTGACGTCTTCTTTTTCATGGCAACCAAGCCTCTTTGGAGCTGACCTTTCCCTGTGTTCTCCTCGAGCTCGGTGGTCTCCTCGAGTCCTGTAGGCGGCGGCCGCGGGCGGAAACTTTGCAGATAGTTCGAGACGAATGTTGCGCCGGGCAGCTTGTTCTTCTTGTTTGCCAGAATTGCCTTCCCCTTCTTCTCTGCCACTTTCTTCAGCAGCCTTTCCACGCTCTGGGCACTACTTTCATTCTTGAAGCCGTCGATGATGCAGCTGGCGGTGTAATCTAGGAGGGCTTCCGAGAAAAGGCCCAGGTGTTCGTAGGCATGGGCGCGACGGTTGAGGGCTTTGACATATTCCGAGTCCATCGAGATGGCCGCCGTGCAATCTTCAACCACCTTGTCCCATTCACTAAGCGCATTGTAGCAAGCGGCGCGGTTGGAGTAGTAGACGGGGTCGGGTTTGCAGAGAATGGCCTGGCCGTAAAGTTCGATGGCCTTGTTGTAGTCTTTGGAGCCATATGCTTTGTTGCCTGCTTGCTTTAATTTGCCTGCATACGTCGCTCGATCCTGCTTAGTGTCAATATCAGTGTGCTGGCGCTTGCTGGATAGGTCGTACCTCTTTCGAGAAGCTTTCGACATTGGACTCGTTAATATCTGGCAGTTCGTCCTCCGCCTCAACGGACGCCGTTCGAGGAGCAGCAGGCGCTATATCATATGTTAATCAAGGACGATTCGCCTCGATGAATCTTGCCTTACCAGCCTCCTCATCTTGCAGACTGATACCCGACGACTTAGCTGCCTCTTCAGCTGCTTTTTTCTCTTTCCGTCGCTCCTTCTTGCTTTTCCTCTTTTCTGTTGGTGTCGCTGGGGCACCTCCCTTCTGGGTAGAGAAGTAATAAATGGCACCAGCACTCGTGACGACGACTACTGTGCCAGCTATTGTGTACGCAACCGCCTTGTTCTCTGAGACCCAGTTGGATACGCGATCCCACAGGGATGCAGGTGCGCGAGAGGCATCGATGGCGGCAGCTTCTGCCATTGCCGTTGTGACAAAGGAATTGCAAGAAATGGACAGGAGCTAGGATATCGAGTTTCCAAAGTCCTGGAAACAGATGAAGATGGCGACAGGAAGACCGTCCAGCAGGAGAAATGCAGGGAAAGCGAATGCACTGCGCAATGATCTCAGAACAAAAGATGGAGATGGAGATGGAGATGGACACGTGCGGCAACCAATCACAGGAGCTCAGCTTCTCCCGCCTGCGCCATAGATACAGAGTACTCTTTTGACCAACATAAGATAATCCTGGATATTTCAACTAAGACTGCAGGGCGCTGCCAGATGTCTGTATATCTCTACGCTTTCTGCAGCGCATCTGCCAGTTTCTTCCACGATGCTGAAGCCCGTGTGGCATATCTCTGCGGCAGCTCTCGATCTGGGTCCGCCAATTCCCGCGAGAACAGCTCCATGCTGACCCAGCCATCATATCCCAACTTGTTGACAATTGCGTCCATCACAGGCTCGATGGGAAGATACCCTCCTCTGTCCTCTTCGTATGGAAACAGTCGGGCATTTCGCGACCAGCTCATCCTTGCGGGCTGATCAGCCGCGTAGAATGGATGGGACTCGCTCAAGGGCGGATCCAGCTTCTCGGCATCTCCAGCCTGCACATAAAACACCTTCGCAACATCTCCCTGCTTGACCAACCTGTCGAGAGACACCGCAAGATTGTGTTCTGCATCCGGAGTTCGCCCGCTTTGCGCAGTAGGGTCACCCCATGTGCGGCCAGCTATGTGGAAGGTGTCCAGACACAAGCCAAAATTGGGTCTGTCCACTTTCTTAGCAACCTCCCACGTGTCTTCCCAGGTGTCAAAGTGTCGGCCCCAGGCGACGCCTTCATACGCAAATCGAACTATTGGGCTCTGTGCAAGCCCCATATCAGCTATCTGGCGAAGGTCTGCCACAACGGCCTCTTCTTTCCCAGTCGTGCCTTCTTGCAGCCAGCTTGTAGGTACCTGAATCATGTCTGTGCCTAAGCTGCGGGTGATCTCAAACCACAGTCTCAGCTTCTTGAGCATGGCTTCATGTTGCGTGCGGTCAAGAAGGCCTTCATACTGCCGAAAGGGTTGGAAGACGAGTACAGTCAAGCCGAGTTTGTCGCATTGTTGACGGATGTCCTTTGCTGCCTTGATGCTGTTCGAGTCTCCAAGGCCTCCAGGAAGCTTTTCTGCCAATGACTTAACATCGTCCTCAACAATCTCAACACCCTGGAAGCCGTTGTGAGCCGCTTGGAAAAGTCTGGCCGACCCATGGTGCACCCTTGGATCACCCAGTGATAGCGAAGCAATCGCTGGTCGAATCATGATTGCTGGAATGCTACCAGATACCAGTTGAGTTAGGTATGGCAGGAGCCCGCCTTTGGAGCTTTCCTATGTCTTAGCCGCAATGGATATCGCTTGACGACGGTACGAACAACTACATCAGGTGAGTCTATCCATCAACGAACGAGGACTGCACTGTGTTTATCTGATCACAGGAATCCTTGAGAGTTCGTAACCACTCCGACCTGGATACGTCCGAGAGCTCAGCATCTCCGCATTTCGTCCTGGAGTCTCCAACATCGGCTATAAATTACTCCGCCACCGCGGCTAAGGTCTACGGGATGACAAACCTCTCTCTGGCTATACGCCGGACTGATTACCTTTACGGTCAATACTGGCTGGCCTATGTCTCGCTGGGTCCATGTCCAGGTACAGGCAGCTCCATATGAACATGTCGGTGCACGTCAACAGTGGTATCGCTCTCGAGCGTGAACTATTGTCCCAATTCGCAATCGCAAAATTCGGGAGATGAAGCATATCTCAGTTGACTTCCTAGTTCATCCTTGCAACGAGAAAACGGCGTGAGCAGCCAGTTCCTTCACCTGTCGTTGACAGTGGCGTCGCAGAATGAGGCATCTCGGCTTGCAAAGGACGCGCGTGTATATGGCTGGAGCTCCTGGAGGAGGTACCATTGCCGCTCCTGTCCATGACTTTATTGCACAGTGTCTTGGGAAGAGCTGTTCCATGTCGTTCTTGGCAGCTAAGAGCATTGAAGAGGTTGTCGAAATGTTCCGAGCGCCGGAATTTGCAGGCGGCATCGTGACTATGCCTTGGAAGAAGAACATTATTCCTCACCTCGATCATGTCGACGATATCGTGTTGACCCTCGGAGCTTGTAATCACGTCTCAGTGAACGTTGATGGCACTCTGCGTGGAACGAACACTGATTGGGTCGGGGTCAGAGACGCTCTACTCGGGGCACATACGTCAGCTTACATTGTTGCGGGGCGAAGAGGTCTCGTTGTTGGGGCAGGCGGCGCGGGTCGAGCTGCGGTGTATGGCCTGACGAGCCTTGGCTGCAAGGATATCTACGTGGTCAACCGAGATGCTAGCGAGGCCGACGAGCTTATCCGGGACGTGCAGAATTACGAGACGGCGAGTCGACCTAATGTTACGCACATAGAGACTGTTCAGCAAGCTCGAGGTCTCCAGCCTCCGCACTACATCGTCGGCACCGTGCCCGACTTCGAGCCGACAACTGCATCGGAAATCGAGGCTAGGGAAGTCTATGTGGAGTTTCTGAGCAAAGAGAGGTCGGACCAGTCAGTCATGCTTGACATGTGCTATCACCCACTGCAGACACGCAACATCCGGCTCGCGCAGCAGTATGAATGGCCCACTGTCGACGGAGTGCAGGTTGTCGGACATCAGTTGAAAGCTCAGTGGAAGCCTTGGATCGGCGGAGAACTGGACGAAGAGCAAGAGAAGGCTGCTTGGGAGATCCTGCGGAGCTGTGCACTGTCAGATCCGACAGTCATTCCTCAGGAAGCGAGAGTCTGAACTTTCTATATAATAACAAGACTACTCAATTCAATACCATCTTCGAGGTCGACCGGGTCATGCTTTACTGCCACACAGACCGACAGTTCGCAATGCCCGCGATCCACGTGTCAATGTTGCCATCATCCATGCAGTGTAGCGTGTTCTACGGCCAGATAGTCAGTTGTCTCTTACATAGATAACCCCTTGGCGACATCTGTATATGTACGTCTGAAGGTCGAAGCATTGCTCGGATGCTTGCAAGAAGGGGAATACGAGATTTCCGACGTGGTGTTCTTCGCCACTCTTTCTCTCTTACAATCAACTTGGTTCTTGCGGTTCGCCCTGCTCGTCCCCATACTCATGAATTTCATAAATCAATGCTTGAATCAACAGAAGTTACATTGAAAAGAACAAAATGTAACGTATTGACTCCGTGATCACCTTCGCAGAACCGGTACATTCGATCGCCCAGCCTGGCTTTAATCCTTCATTTACACATTCTCTACCCTTCCCATTCTCATCTCCAGACATACAAGTACCCACAGATCAAACCATATCTACCCACCCGTCCACTGCAAGTAACACACCAACTTAGACGATGTGAGCAAGCCCAGCAACGAAGATGTCAAATCCCACGGCCAACAACGACGAAGACGAGAACATCACGACGACGACGACCACCACGACCACCACTACCTCCTCCCTCATCTCATCCCCGAAAAACCACAACCGCAACCACAACGAATTCCACATCCTAACAACACTACAATATCACTTCTTCAACGAGGAAGACGAAGACGCCCGTGCTGAGGCCAATCCACCCATAGACACGCCATCCAATCTCATCAATACATGGAAAACCCTCAACGCGACGCTTCTCGGCCTCCATGCACGACGCATCCTCGACGCGGCCACCGCGTTGAGGTGGACGGCCGTCCTCGACATGCACCTCAACCTCGGACCTCTCATCGAACAAGCCGCCCGGGCGCAGCTCTTCCGTCCACATGGCACCACTGAACCCCCAGACAGGGGGGTTATGGTCTCTGCGCGCGTCCGCGTCCTGGTCTCCGAGGCAGCTGTCGTGACCATCGAAGTTGTTCCCCTGGGTGCGGCTGCCGCCCCGCTAGCACCCATACTCCGGGCGCGTATTGGGAACTACACGACCAATCCGTTCGAAAAGGCGACAAGTCCATCAGCGGCAGAGATGAAAGTGCCTAGCCGAGTCATGGTAGATAGTCGCCCTACGCTACCTTCGGTGTTCACGCGGCATAAGACGACGTGTCGGCAAGCGTACGATGAGGCGAGAGGGAGGGCGGACCCGCCATTACGGCCTACCACGATGCCCACAGACTGCGAAGTTCTCTTGTTCAACTCCGGTGGCGAAATCATGGAGGCGTCCATGTCGAGTGTTTATTTCCTGCGGGAAGGGGAAGGCATGTGGGTTACGCCACGGTTGGAGGCGGGGGGCATGCAGTCTGTTACGAGGACGTATGCGCTGGGCAAGGGGTGGTGTGTTGAGGCGGCCGTTATGAAGGAGAGTATAAGGGATGGGGAGGTGGTTTGGTTGAGTAATGCGGTTAGAGGATTCTTTTCGGGCAGGATACACCTTGCGGGCCAGGCTGGGTTGGGTTGACAGAAGAGAGAGGATACGTGGCCAGCAATAAGCAGATGGCCTTGAGACGGTCTCGCTGAGTACGCTTCTGGTCGCCTGCTATGCGCAAGTCCAATCATCGCTCACATGGGCTCGTCTTCGTTGTCACTGTGCGATCGAATCGAGCCTTCTAACGCTCAATGCTCACTCAGATCTAACGACGTGCACCTGTATCGCTCTATCATTCCGTTTTGCACAGTCACCTCACTGGGACCTCGTGTGTCCGCCCTTCTGGCTTCGCCTGTCCCTTCTCTTTCTTGGCCTTTTTCTCCTTCTCGGGTTTTTGCTTCGCTGCCGCCTCTGCTTCCGCTGGGGTCACCTTATCCGCCGACTCATTCTTGAACAGAAGCGGCTTCCTCGAGAAGAAGTCCTGTACCACCTGATCCGTCACTTTTGCCCTCCGTTGCTGGAAGTCGGCCACATACTTCTGCAACTGCTCGATGCAAATGGCTTTGATCTCCCCAGTCAGCAGCTCACCCTTCTCATATTGTTCTTTTATCCGTGCAAGCTCGTCGTCGTCCTCCAAGAAGAATGTCAGGTACTTGTAAGGTACGTCCACGTCTGTCCTGCCCCCTAGCTCGCGCTGTTTCTCGGCCGTGTCCTGACCACCAGAGAAGGCAAAGCGGTTTATTTTCTTCTTGATCGCGTTGGGCGTATCCGTGAGGAAGATTGCCGAACTGTCGATACTGGCTGACATTTTTGTGCCTTCACCTTGCAAGGCGGGCAGAAAGCGGGAATGTATCAGGCAGGGCTTCTCGTAGCGCATCTTCTCGGCAATGTCTCTGCACACACGGAAGTACGGGTCTTGATCGATGGCGCAGGGGATCAGGCACGGGATTTTGGGCACGAATTTGGCGTCCTCGCCGAAGATGTGGGGGAACGAAGTCGCAAAGGAAGGTGCGGATTGAGTCGCTGGGAAGTGGAACTCGCCGATGTTGTTGCTGTCGTTGAAGCCGAACGCGCCTTTTATTTGGTTCAAGGTGATGTACTTTGCAGCGAAGCAAACGTTGTAGTAGAATGCGCCGCCCATAAAGCCAAAGTTGGAGAAGATGAACGTCTTTTGCGGGTGGAATCCCACGGCGATAATGTCCTTGGCATTTTCTCTCGTGTAGCGGGTTGCGTCTTCGAAGGTAATCGTTCGCGAGTGCATGAACTTCTCGTCGTCGGTCAGCTGGATGACCAGCGGGCAGTCAAAGACTTCTTGCATATAGCGGGTGAACTCGAAGGGGACAGAATGGCCGACGTGCATGCTGTCGCTTGAGGGCCCTCGTCCTGTGTACAGGTAAAACCTCTCGCCCTTCTCATATCTGTCTAATATCCTTTCTAGTTCGCGGTGGGAGATGACGATCCCCCTGCGCATGAATCGGTGGGGTTTCCGCCCGGTGACTTTTTCGAAGCGCTCGAGCAGTTCTGGTGATATCGGTGTCGCTCCGAAGTCGCGGATGAGTTTGTCGTAGTCCACAGGTTTCAGCTGGCCAGACTCGTCTACACCGCCGGACACCTCGAAGGGTGTGATTTTCTGTTCTGCCATAATCTGTGTTCGTGAGCGAAGGAGGCAGATGCCGCCTCAGAACTGCAAGAAACCAGGTGGTGCAGGAAATATAGGTACGTACTTTCTTTGTGACTCGACGAGATCCTCAATTTGGTCCCCTCAATTTCCATGCGGCGGGGCTCGTTAAACCAACGAGATCGACGAGTCGGATCAGCATATCCGGTTCCCACAGGTTCTTGCTCTCCTCTTTCCGCGGCCGAGTTTGGTAAAGTGGCAAACTGAACTCGGAGGGAGCTCGCGTGCGAAAAAAGGGCACTGCATCATCATCATCACTCCTCACTCCTCACTCCTCCTCCCGCCTTCGCTTCCACCTCAATCATCAGCCTCTTTCTTCAGTCAATGTCTCCAAAGGCAGAATGAAATTCTATGAGCATTCATCTACTTATGACTACACGTTTCCGGCTGTCGCTCTCGCATACTTCCTCCGCTATCCGAACCCTTACTCCAGACATGTCTTGAGCTCCGACGTTATCGATCGTTACATCGACCCTGAGACAAACCGACTTCACACTGTCAGGCTCCATCTCAAGAAATCGAAAGTTCCTTCAGCCATCCTCAAGTTTCTGCCTCGCAGCTTAGCAGGGCCCGGGGGAACCAGTCAAAGCTATGTGCTAGAGAAAAGCACCATCGACGTCAAAGAGGGATGGTTGGAGACAGAGTCGAAGAATATGGAGTGGACGGGCATATTGAGCGTGATCGAAAAGCAGACATACCGAAGACAGCGTCTATCCGACATGTCCGATGACGAATTTCAGCCGCAGCGACCCCAGGAGACGACTGCATGCAAGACTGTGGTGACCTTCGTCTCGCACCTTGGTCACAGTAAGCTTTTGAGTAAGAGGAAACCAGATCTCACCGCGGACACTGAAGAAGAACCACCGAAGCAAGGATTGTTTGCCGCTTGGTCAACGGCTGGCATTCAGCGGACGATTGAACTCGTTGGGGTCAAACGAACCAAGTCGGCTTTGGTTAATGGCAAGGAGGGAATGAACATTGTTCTTGAGAGGCTGAGAAGTGGTGGTATCGTGGCTGTCCTTGAGGGGATGAGACGAGATCGAATGGAAAGTGCAGAGGGCCACTGACAGAAATTCAGTTACCGGCTAAAGCCACGACAGCATTGAGCAGCCTCAATTGCTTCCTGGCAGCGAGGTGTATTACCAGCAATTAAGTTTTTGATGTTTTGAGCGAGGCGCCGGGGCATGCACAGGGAAAACCGAGGATTTGATTGATGCGTGCCGACAACGTATGTATTCTAGGAACGTGGTGCTTGATAGCAATGAAATCATTATCCACTCAGCCTCCGACTTGCAGAAGACGTTCGTGCATGCTGAGGAGTGACGAGGGCCTGAAGACAGGAGCTGCGATGGGTGAGTACCTGACAATCACACACGCATTTCATCTTTCCAGCTGACTTCTCCTCGGCATAGCCCTGCCTGTCGAGGGCTCCTCTTCGGATGTTGTCAAGCGGTGTTACCGGGCTGCCGCACCCATATTCACTCCTACTCTGCTTGCGCTTGGCGGAGGACATCATGAGTTTGGCGGTGAGATCAGATTTCTTCATCGTGACTTCTTCTCCTTTTACATCACACTCCTTCCAGCACGCTCCTTCTTCTTTCCTTTTCTCGATACCTAGGTAGTCATTCGTTCAACCGTCGTCCGTTCCCTTCATTCCATAATTGACAAGTATTACTTCATCTCAACTCCAGTCATTCTTTTGGGCAAGGGGAGCGTGATGGTCGCGGTTACCTCACTCCTGCGGTTGGCCGCCATTGTGCTGATGAGCCCCTTCAAAGGTACTGAGGCTGCCCGCCGTTTCAATCGGCGTAGCGACCTGGACCATGTCCCTCCCATCAACGCCTCTGCCGCCGTCCACTGGACCGTTCCTCTTCAAGGCAGCCGAACCTGCGACGCGGGGCAGCCATGTATGTGGTCTCCCTTGCGGCCTCTAACTCTTGGTTGACCCTTTTCAGGTTTAAGCTCGCTTTCAGCTCCATCATCGACCAAACCTCTTCAGTATCTTGCAATCGCACGTGGATTCTACATGTACCTGTGCCCTGGGAAAAGTCCAAATGAAGCAGCTCAGTTTCAATCTCAATCAACGCAACTTTACGATGCCGCACCTCTTATCCCGAATCTTCCCAACGAAGCCGCTTTTCATGAGTTGCCTGGAAGGCTCTACGACTTCGACTACGCTGAACTGAGGAACACCACACTCGACTGCATGGGTACTATTGGTACAGACAACAACACCGCCATCGTCACACTTTTCGAGATCGCTACTTTCGAAGCCCTCCCGTACGAGTCTGTGCTTCCACCTGACCATACAGACGAGGACGGCCGGTGGGCACATTCAGTTAGCCGCAAGAGAGATTGGGACATCTACCGGGTCAAGACTTCAGGTGGTACACCACCTACCTGTGACGGTACGCGATTTATGGCCGAAAAGGAATACACCGCGGAGTATTGGTTCTTCTACGGGGGAGGAGAAGATCTATGGACACCAACCGATGTCAAAAGAGAGGAATCGACCATAGCTCAATCCATGCCGGCTTTCATATGACAAGCGAAAACAGAACTTGACCGGAAAGGGAAAGAGTAACAAAGGGATTTCAGTATGTGCAATGACTTGTCAATGGAGATGATAGCAGCAAACTGCGACATATCACCTTGGAACAGATTTCCGTGAGCTGGCGAGTGAGTGGACGAAAGAGTCTCATCTCGATCTTATGGGCAGTAATGGCAATTAGATCTTTCCTTAGGGTAGTGACAGTGCTTTAGCTTGGAGGACAACGATAATCCTAATAATGGGAAATGAGGATGAGATTGAGGATCTAAACGGATAGAAAGGGCAGAAGCAGTCTCCTGCTTCATGCTTAAGGGCTTCACACGGACAAGACCCGTATCGACACAGAAACGTCTCGCCTCATCACCTTGCGTGCGTTCAGGACGTCGGCCTCAGTGCGTACATCCTTACAGGCAGCAACGTCTTCGGGAACCCGGTTTGCAGCTGTGTCTTCACAATCATCAGCCCGGCCTGCTCGAAACACTCCCTGAAATGCCGATCGCTACGGCTGATGCTGCTGTTCTCCTCCCAGAATATGTCTTCCCCGCCCGCAGCCGTGGAGAGATTCTCCTTCACGATGATATAGCCGTCTGGTGCGAGCAAATGGATCAACTGCTTGAGGTAGCGGACCAGATCAGGGGATGAGAGGTAATCGAGACACCATTGGTTCCAGACTAGATCATACCGGCCCTCGTTCTGGACTGTGAAGTCGTCCGTGAGGATTGACCTCTTCCGATTATCTACGTCTGATAGCTGGTTCGAAGACACCGCGTTGGCAGCATCGAACGAAGGAATCAACTCCGCCGTCCACTCCTGTAAAGGCACATTATAGACACGCCGCAGCTGCCCAGATTGGATCAGCGGCGAGTCCGACGCGGTTAGCATGGCGGTAAATTTCTCGATCGGCTCGACAACGTCGATTTTCTCGCATATCGAGGCCAGCAAGTTTCGCGTTACCCGCCCAATCCCCGCCCCAGCTTCGAGACAATACCGGAAGGGGTACTTTGTCGTTTTCTGGTTGGGGCTGCCGGTTAACGAGGATTTTCCGTCCACCGAGACCGGATGGAGCCGGCGGAGCTTGGACATGAAATTGCGAGAAAACTGGATGTCCACGCGAGATACGTGCGCGAAGCCGCCGAGCATGCCATTGTCGTCCACGGATTGCTGGGCCCAGTACTCGCGTTGCTCGGCGGTAGATATTCGAGCATCGTTCTCTGTCTGACCATCAGTCGCGGTTGCGGGCATTGCGGATTTCTCTTGTGTATTACGGATGTACTCGTTGCTAGAATTCCTCGTACGGAAGACGAAGGGTTAGAGAGACAGAGGAGACCGTGTAAGGCTGCGCAAGGCTGGCAAGCCGGCATTATTTGATTGGTGGGATCAAGTGCATCCCGCCTGTTCTGCCAAGGCATATGCTGCCGTTATTGGTAACGTAAGCGACCCTCCGTCATCGCAACCACCGGAACTGCGAGGCTGCGAGGCAGGTGTGAGGACCTCCTCAGCAGTAGTTACACAAACGAGACAGTGCATGACCAGTATTTCTCCTCGCTCATCCTCTCCAACGTGGTCGTGGACAGCTGCGTCCCGCCTGTTTTTTTCTCACTCACAGCCTGTCTTATTTGCAACCTCCCTGAATTATTGTTGAGGCATCCGTGCGCAACCCACCATCGCCTTGGCCGCATCTTGCCCCAACTGACGGCGCAAGATCCCCCTCATTTTGACCTCGAAAACCGATCGCCCTTGAGATGGTCATTCACCAATTCAGCGACTACGGGTGATACCAACTATAGAAATACGACTTACTCACCCTCGCCGGTGGGCAAGCTGTCTACTAATTCCCTCCCTCCAAAATGTCGTCCGCTATCCACAACGATGAACTCTCCATCTCACTCCCACAAACGGACTCGACCCGTCCGAGACCCTCGCTTCCTACCGTTGTTTCTCCCCCTGCGCGCCCAGCTCTAAGTCAGACCCCGATGGGAGAGTCTCCGGGCACGGCTCGGGCCATGCAGCGACTTCACCAGTATACCTTTGTCCGTAACATCGGAGAGGGGTCATTTGGGAAAGTCAAGTTGGCCCGGCACAAGATTACAGGTCAAGAGGTTGCGATGAAGACTATCAGTCGCCGCAAACTGATCAGTCGAGACATGGCAGGCCGCATTGAGCGAGAGATCCAATATCTACAACTCTTGCGACATCCCCACATCATCAAGCTCTACACGGTCATCACGACCAAGACAGACATCTACATGGTGTTGGAATACGTTCCCATGGAACTCTTTGATTACATCGTCAAGCATGGTCGACTGGGCGAAGCGAAGGCACGCAAGCTGTTCCAGCAGATCATCTGCGCCGTGGAATATTGTCACCGACACAAGATCGTCCACCGTGATTTGAAGCCAGAGAATCTGCTCCTGGATAAGAACATGAATGTCAAGATTGCCGACTTTGGTCTCAGCAATATCATGACCGACGGTAATTTCCTGAAGACTAGTTGTGGGAGTCCGAACTATGCTGCACCTGAAGTTATCGGCGGCAAGCTGTATGCTGGTCCGGAAGTCGACGTCTGGAGCTGTGGTGTCATCCTCTATGTGTTCCTCGTTGGTAGACTTCCGTTCGATGATGAGTTCATCCCGGCTCTTTTCAAGAAGATCCAGGCAGGGACCTTCCACATTCCATCTCAGACTCCGCCTGGTGCGGTGAACCTTATTAAGCGCTGTTTGCAGGTGCACCCGGTTCATCGCATCACAATCCCTGAGATCCGACAGGACGAATGGTTCATAAAGGACCTGCCCGAGTATCTGGTCGATCCTGTGGATGAGTTCTTGAACACTGGAGTCGACCCAGGCAAAGCGATCGACCCACGCCAACTCGCGCCTGGAAAACCAGTCGAGGTCGCCGAGAAGATTCATGAGCAAGTGGTCGGCAAGCTCGGCCGAACCATGGGTTATGCCAAAGAGGATGTCAAGGAGGCTCTAAGCAAGGATGAGCCCAGTGCTATCAAAGACGCCTATCTTATCGTGAGGGAAAACCAAGTCATGGTGGACACTCCTCAGTACCGCTCAGATAACCCCATGCTGGAATCGTTCATGGCATCTTCACCACCTGTCGAACCGAATTATCCAGGTTTTCCGGGATCGCCGAGACTACGGCTTGGAGAAAACGATGTCAAACCGCTCACACCGACCCCAGTCCGCGGAGAGGCACACCGAGCAAGCCGCACGTTATCAGATACTCCAGCCACGTTGAAAGAGGAGGAGAGGCCCAGAATTTCCAATATTCGGGTGCTGAATACATCGCTTCCCCATGTGCATGAAGAGCTACTTCAACTTCGCGCAAAGGCGAAAGCTAATGGCGAAGACCCTGACACTATTCTCCACCCACCGAACCACGAAGACAAAGACGACGCCGATAGTCCGATTCCCGAGGAAATTAAGGATGAACACGGGAACCCGATCTACCGGTCCAAGGAAGAACAAGAAGCTACATCCAGAGCCCTCAAGCCGCATTCTCGATCTGTGACGGGCCTGAACGCAATGAGAGATACAAAGAGTCGACCCGAGAACATGACATCTATGTCAACCGATGAGAAGCGGCCGGCGGCGTCAAAGACCAAGCAAAGACGGTGGCAATTCGGTATTCGCAGTCGCAACCAGCCCTGGGAGGCAATGAAGTGCTTGTACGGCGCGCTTGTCGCTCAGGGAGCTGAATGGGAGGTCAACCCCTGGTTGCGATCTGAACACATGCCCGAAGGAGATGACGACAAAGATAGTCTCCCGCCTCCTCCACTTGAACTCGAGCCTGGCCAACGCCATGAGGTACTGCAACAACGATTCTCATTCCTCGCTGAAGATTACTACATCCCTCGCGATCCCTTCAACATCCGCGCGAGAATTCTGAAGAAAGGCTTACTCATGCCTGGCGAAGCACCATCACTGTCGGCTCATAGTTCTGCAGTCAGCCTACCAGCAGAAGCACAAAATCAGTTGAAGAAGCATATTGAGCAGCTGGGCTATGCCTCAGACGACGTTAAGCAGGCATTGGGCATGAACAGCCCGAATGGCGGACAAGCACCCGTCAGGTCTCCTGTTGCATCCGCACACAGCACAAGACCCAACACTGGCGGTGGGGAGCCGGCTGGTCACAGTCAGGACGCATTCACCGGACCAGGTCAAGCGCCCATGATGAGACCCGACAGCCTTGCGGCGCTGAGCAAGAAGATACCGAGTGAGAACATCGGAGTTTGGGTATTTATTGACATTCAACTTTATACCATAGATCCAGGCACCTTCGTGGTCGACTTCAAGTGCGATGGCTATCAGAACGTCATATGGCACGACTCGAAGAAGGATCGAGACCGGAACAAGACACCTGCTACAAGTAGCACGGTCACAAGTCCAGCGAACAGCAGGCCAGCCAGTGGCTTCGGCGACAACCGCCACACCAGTTCTGACAAGTCCAGCGAGGAAGAGGGAACACCAGAAGGCTACTGGAAGCCGGTCAGCAAACGATACAAGAACATGGAGAAGGAAATCTCTAGCCCGTATCCTTATCTCGATGTGGCTAGTGACTTGGTGGCTCAACTAGTAAGTCTGAGTGCTAGGGCTGCACAGCGGTCTTCCTGACTGTGAATAGTGGGGTGGCGCTGCTTAAGACACGACAGCCGACGGACGCATAGTTTCTACAACTTGGAATGAGCACAACGACATTGGATGAGGCAGGGAGTATTGATGGGGGGTTATGAACGAGGGCGGGATATCTGGATTGACCGACCAAAAGGTGTATGGGAACGAAGGCGTTACTGTAGCTGAGGGCGGCTGGCATGATTGCTGGGCAAGACGACCGGACAAGTCGTCGACAACAAGGGAGTAACAGGGCATAGGAAAGCATAGCTAGCGCCAGCTTCACTCAAATGTGAGGGTGGTCTACGTCAATGCAAATTGGTACTACAGGACATGCTTGGGATCCGTGGCTCTTGCACCACAGTAAAACCGCGGAGCGCGTTGAGCGGCCCCTCTGTAATTAATGGCACCCCCACGTAACCCCTGGTGGTGTTGCCATTCACGCCATTCCACAGTACATGATGACTAAGTGTTGTGGCGGTGGTGGCGCACCTATGGCGAGTGCGGCGTTTATCGTTCTAACGTCGCCATGCGGTCACGCTCCGACCTCGACCCTCGTGCCTCCACGTAGGTGGCATACTGGCTGCACGTTTTGCTTTGATTCACTCATTGATACTTGCACCTCAACATCATCTCTCTTCTTGGTGGTCGATTACCATACCGCAGAGCTACGCGTCGGCCCTCGCATCTTGTTTGTCGCGTGACTACAGCATTTCGCTCTCTCCTTTCGTCAGGCCAGTGGAAGATCCCGCATTGCGAATATCGAAAGCTAGCTTTGACCGGCATACACCCGAAATGGGCCTTCGGTCGAAGCTACAATCCTGGTCGCAGGAGCTTACGCCCTACTTTCTTTACCTTCTCCTGATATCAACACTAGGACCTTTGCTTTTCGGTTACCACCTTGCCGAGCTCAATGCCCCTCAGGCTGTCATCACTTGCTCCAAGAAGTCCACCAATTCTTTGGCACTGAGCGGCTTGCCACAATGTGTTCCTATGAACGCTGCGCAGCTCGGCCTTGTCTCGTCCATTTTTACCCTGGGGGGCCTCATCGGTGCGCTGGCGGCGGGATCTCTGTCTGCCCGCTATGGGCGCCTTTTAACCATGCGTGTCAATACTGTTCTTCTAGCGCTTGGTCCTTTCGCTGAAGCACTCGCACCGAATATCGCTGTGCTCTCGATCGGACGTCTCATTTCCGGTCTAGGCGCCGGGGTCTCGGTGGTTGTGGTCCCCATCTACATATCCGAGATCGCCCCGCCAAAGGAGAAGGGCTTCTTCGGCGCCTTTACGCAGATCATGACGAACACGGGCATCTTCATCACCCAGCTGTTAGGCTACTTCCTAAGCCACGGACAAATGTGGCGCATTATTCTCGCCGTGGCCGGGGTCATTGGTGTCTTGCAGTTCGCTGGACTGATGTTTTCGGTCGAGAGTCCAAAGTGGCAGGCCGACCATGGCGAGCCGAGACAAGCTAAGAGCAATCTGCGCCGCATTCGAGGCCACAAGGCGGACATTCAGGAGGAGGTCGAAGGATGGAGGGTGCAGAACGAGGACGAGCGGAACGGTATGCGGGTCAAGTAACCTTCCTGTCACACACGCGGCTAATGCTTGAAGCAGACGAGGAACGAACCCTGCTCGCAGAGTCGGACGACGAACCGCGCACAGACGAAACGTCGCGTGGCAAGAAGTCCGAAGCTGTAGGCATCCTGGCCGTAATAAAAGACCCTAACAACAACCGCGCCATCCTTGCCGTGGTCGTGGTCATGATGGCCCAACAACTCTGCGGCATCAACAGCATCATCATGTACGGCGTATCACTCCTCTCGGACCTCCTGGCTGCCAACTCCGCACTGCTCAACATCCTTGTTTCCATTCTCAACATCGTGGCCACGACGGGCTTCGCACCACTTGTCGACGTCCTCGGCCGCAAACCATGTATCCTCATCTCGATTGGCGGCATGGGCATCTCATCGGTCCTCCTCGCCGTGGGCATCCGCTTTTCGATCTCTGTCCTCTCTGCGGTTGCCGTCCTCCTCTTCGTTGCCAGCTTTGCATTCGGTCTTGGCCCCGTTCCCTTCATCCTCTCATCTGAGCTGGTCGGCCCGGAAGCCGTGGGCGCCACTCAATCATGGGCTCTCGCAGCCAATTGGATCTCCACGTTTGTGGTGGCGCAGTTCTTCCCAATTGTGAATGAGAGGCTGGGCAAGGGGACTGTATACTTTATCTTTGCGGCCATTGCGGCGGTATTCTTCGTCTTTGTGGGGTGGTATGTCCCCGAGACGAAAGGCAAGAAGGATGTGGATGAGGTATGGGGTCGACCATCCCGACGTGAAGATTGAGTCAGCCACAGGTACATTGGGCCTTGAGGAGCTAGAGCCATGGTGTACGCGCCCAACTGCAACTCCGGTCTCGATTTAAACCCGGACATGGGCGCATGCTTAGGAGGGCCGTCGTCTCTCTCTCTATCCGGCCATGGTTCGAACATCTCCTCCAACGTTCAACTTAGAAGACCACGGCCATCATTGGACACCGAAACGGCCGTTATCAGTCATTTGTCCCGTACGGCGAGAAGACATGGAAGTGAAAATGGAAGCCTTTCACTTATCGCAGGCTCTTCCCGGCCTGCAGTAACCCGCCGGGGAGACGCGACTACAGTATACACTACAAAACGATCCTATACCTCCATTTCATTTCGACGATCTTCCAGATGTTCATGTGTTGACGCCTTCATCTCAGCTATATATATCCAACAACAAACTCCAAGATGAACGCCACCAACCGACAGCAATAGCATCCCCATCATCGACTTCTCGCGCTCAACGACCAACCTGTCCGCCCTCGCCGAAGAGATCAAACAAGTCTGCGCAACATGGGGCTTCCTGTACCTCGTGAACCACGGCCTCCCGCAACCGCAGATCGACCGCATGTTCGAGGTTAGCGCCACCTTTTTCAAACCCATACCTCGCGCCGAGAAGGCCTTGTTCCCATGGAACAGCCTCGCCAACGTCGGCTACGACGCCAAGACCGGCACGCAGGGCTACTTCCACGACTGCATCAGATGTACCGAAGCTAAACGTTACGTTACACCCAATAATGCATAAATCAACTCCTCATACCAGTCATCAAGCGTTAACATTGCCTGTCTCAAACTGTCTCCCTCCCGCATTACATAGCATTACATAGGTTACCGTATCTGCCCAGGCTGTCCAGGGACAATTGCTCTCTGGGCTGCCGCCTGTCGCCCGGCAGCCAGGTAGTCTCTGTTCTCCACCGTGACACTCTTGGTCATATGGTTGACCTTGTAAATGCCCACCAGTCGCTCAGCCAGTTCAAACATGTTGTTCCGCAGAGAAATAACAATGAACTGTGCGTTCTTTGTGCGTTCTTTGATATACCCTGCAACGATCGAGACCTGGACGAGCAAGAAGTTAGCGGTGGGCAAGAGCAGTCGTGCATGCACAGCGCCCAACTTACATTTCGGAAGTCCAATGCCGCATCAATCTCATCCATGACATATAGCGGTGTAGGACGATACACGTGCAGCGCAAACACCAATGCTAGCGAGCTCAGCGTCTTTTCCCCCCCAGACAGGTTGCCAATATTCTTCCAGCTCTTCTTGGGAGGCATGACGGAGAACAAGATGCCCTCGGAGAACGGGTCTAACGAGTCGACAAGTTCGAGCTCGGCGTTACCACCCAGCGTGATGAGCTGGTACATCGACTTGAGATGTGAAGAGATGGTCGTGAAGCCAGCCATGAATTGCGTCAAACGCAAGTTCCGCAGCTCCGTCAGGCGACTTTTGGCTCCATCTCGTGCCTTGATGGCACTCTTGAGATCACTAGTACGAGATGCTACCTCGTCGCAACGCCGGCGGTATTCTGTGATGACGCTAAGGTCGATACCGGAGGCGTTCGATACCTTCTCCTCAAGTGCCGCAATAGAAGCGACAAGGTGGTCCTTGTTTTTGTCAAGAAGCTCGTCGCGTGTGAATGTCTGGAGTTGGCTCCGGACTGGATGGGCAGGTGACGGGGACTGCTCTTCAGATGGGTCGCCTTCGTCGACGTCCATAGCGTCTGGGTCTGCTTCTGGTGGGGCATCGTGCATCTCTTCGTCCTTCGGTTGTTGAGGCTGCTCCTCACCTTGACGAGGCGAGGTGCCCTCCAAGTCCGCTATGTCGTGCAGTGTAAGCTTGGATAGCTTCTCTGCCCAGTAGCGACTCTTCTTGTGGTTGTCTGCCAGGACTTTCTGATTCTCCTCGAGCTTGTTCTTCATCTCAATCTCGAGCGCTCTTGTGGAGTTCAGCTCTGTCGTTTGCGTGTCAAGGTCCTTCTTCAAGTCTCCCAGCTCTTCTTTCATAGACGTCTGCTCTTCCTCGGCCTTTTCAGCTTCGCCTCTCAGCTCGGCTGCACCAGACTTGTGCTTTTGAGTGTCCTCTTCAAGCCGTTCGAGATCCCCTGACAACGACTCGAGGTCTTTCTCCGCATCAGCTTTGGCCTTTTCGTTCTTGATCTTCAGCTTTTCGTTCTTGGTCTTGGCAACTTCTGCATTAGAGATGTCGTCGTTGAGCATGTCGATTCGTTCTTTCAGACCGTCGACTCTGGCCTTTTGGCTCCGTAGCTGAAGACCGCCGACTTCCATGATTTTGTCTTGCAGAGCTTGAATCTCTGCCTCCAGGCTTGCTGTTTCTGACCGAAGCTTTTCGAGCTCCCTATTGAGTAATGTAAGCTGCTTTTCAAGGCTCTGGATGTGGCTGTCGTCGGCCGACGGTCCCGCCAGCTCAGCCATAAGATCTTGAACTCGTTTTTGTGCGTCTGCAAGATTCCTGGTGCAAGTGTCGACCTCGAGATTGATCTTTTGTATGGCGGTCTCCAGCCTTGGGATCTCATCTTGCTTTTCCTGCAGGCTGGACTCTAGTTCTCTCTGTCGGGTTTGGAAAGCATCAAACTGCTTCTCCAACTGATCTCGTTCCGCTTCGAGCTTCTGCACTTGCTCCTTTGTAGTGTCAGATGTGAGTTTGGACGACATTGCGCCTCGAGCAACACGAGTGCCACCACCGCTCATGGTACCGGAAACGTCGATCAGTTGGCCGTCCAGAGTAACCACTCGCCATCTTTTAGCACCATATGCAATTCGATTCGCCTGTTGTAAGTCCTGTGCGACAAGCGTGTTCTGCATAACGCTGTAGAAAGCAGGGCGAAATCTGTCATCCTTGGGTTTTATGAGATCAAAGAGCCGCGGAACGTTCTCAGGAGTGTGGATCGGAGAAAGATCGCGCTGCGCCAACTTGTCGAGAAGGATGAAATTTGCCCGTCCCAAGTTGTTCTTCCGCAAATATTCAATGCATTGCTGGCCAACTTCCACATTGTCCACGACCATGTTCTCGAGGGACGGACAGGCAGTAGAGATTGCAACATCAAATTTCTCGTCGATCGTTCCCAAGTTACCGAGACGGCCATGGAACCCATCTATGCGACCAGAATCCCTCAGACGCAACAGACCCTTGAGAACATTGCCCTGGTTCTGACTGCTTGCCAAGCTTGACCGAACCTCGTCCGCCTTCTGCCGGGCCGAAGATATCTGTGACCGAACCTCTGGTTCACTTGAGGCAAGCTTGTGGAGGGCATCTTGGATTTTCCTGACATCCTTTTCAAGTCGAGCTTTCTCATGCTTGCGTTGTTCGATCTCTTCGAGCTTGTGTGCCTTCTCTGCCGCGATGTCCTCAATCTTTGCATTTGCCTGGTCAATCGCCTTTTGACCACTTGTGGCTTTGTCTTTCAGGATATCGAGTTCAGACCGCGCCACGGCAATGGCTGACTGCTTCTGGTTGATCTTCTCGCTCCAAGGTTCCAGAGACTTCTGTTTCACGGCAATTTGGTCTGAAAACACTTGAGTTTTGCCCTGAAGGTCCTCCCGGATTACAGCAAGCTTCTGCTCTTCAACGCGCATTTCCTTCTCAAGCTCGACCACCTCGGAAGTTTTGCGTTGGATGTCATCGGTGTGCTTTTCGACCAGGCTCTGGGCTTCTGATGCAGCCAGGCGACTGGAAGTGGCGGTCTTCTCGGCCTTTTTCTGCTTCCCGGTAATGAACTTGCGTTTCTCCTCGAACTTGACATTTTCCTTGTCATACTTGGCCAGCTCTTTTGTAAGTTCCTGGGCTTGCTTCTCGATGCGCTCATATTGCTTAACGGCCTTGTTGTAAGCCTTTTCAAGCTCTTTTATCGCGTCTTCGCTTCCGGCATGCTTCTCTAGCTCAGCGTCGAGTTGTTCCTGGATCTGTTGAATCGCTTCTTCCGTGACCTTGGTATTGTCTTCGCATTCCGCCATGTAGATCTGATAGAGTGCCGACTGTTTCTCTGCCAATTCATTTTCATCGCGAATGAATGCCAACGCCTTGTTCTTCTTGTCTTCGAGGCTATTCTTTTCTTTTTCAACATGCTGAACCCGGCTCTGCTTTTCGACACAGACTTCATTCAGACTCTCGAGCTCAACGGCCGCTTCTTCGATAGGCGTTTTGTATTTGGACGTGCCGATGATGTCTTCTAGATATTCCAGTAGACCGTCGTCGTGCTCGTTTGCTGCCTTTGGCTTCATCTGTGCGATTGACTCGACTTCACCCTGCAGGATTAAAAATCGTTTGTGATCCAGGTCGATGCCCTTGTCCTTCAGCAACGTTGTGACCGTCGTGAAGTTCGTTGTCCTGCCATTTAGGTAATAGTTACTGGAGTTGTTCTTAAAAGCTTTCCTCGAGACCACAAGTTGCGAGTCTGGAACCACCTCGTGCCTCCCTCCAGGAAGATCCACAACCTCTTGGAAGTAGACTGCAACCTCACAAAAATCAAGATCCTGATACTGTGCAGAGTTGTGGATAAGGGACGATATTTTGCCCTGTCTCATTTTGCTCGCTCGGAAACCAAATACGAAAAGCATCGAGTCGATGACGTTCGACTTGCCCGAGCCGTTGGGGCCAACAACGGCGGAGAATGAGGGATGGAAAGGACCAACGACTTGTCTGCCCGCATAACTCTTGAAATTTGTCATGACTAGTTGTCGGATGACCATCCTGGATTTAGGCGCACTGGATTCCTCCACAACAGGAAGTCCCTGGGCCTTTGCCCTTATGACAATATCCATCGGCTTCTCCATTCGCATATCTGCCGGCTTTGATGGCTTGAGCATGTCCGGGCTCATTCGGGGAGGGGTATTCTTGTTCAGTGCCTGGCTTGTGACATCTTTCAATGGGGTAGGATGCATGTGGTCAGCTTCTGGGGAAGCACTGGCGTCCGGAGTAGGTAGATCGGGTACAGGTGGCGCTACTGAGGATTTCCTGCTTTTTCGCGCGGCAGTGCTCCTTCGTTTTGACGGCGATGAGGTCTTGGAGGGAGAAGCAGGTTCACTCGGCGGCAGCGTCTCTTCTGGCTCGAATATCTGTGAGGGCTCGATGCCATCACCCGTCTTAGCCGCCCGTTGCCGGCCCGACTTTCTGGGCGATTCATTTGCACTCGCTGTCGTCTGTCTTCTCGTGGATTTGCGCGGACTCCGTTTCGGTGCAGGCGTAAACTCTTCATCGTTCTCCTCTTTGATCAGACTGAGCTCGTCCTCGGATTCGTCAACCACGACGGTTTTGCGCGCGGCGCGACGCGTCGGTCGAACTGGAGATTCGGCTGACATCCTGGCCCTGCCGTTGTTTTGGGTCCAGCGCGTGATGACTTGGCTGTCGAGTTCGTAGTGACTGCTCGATTGAGTGTTGACATTATGGACGAAAAGGGAAGTTGCGATGCCAAGCGCTGCGGGGCAGCCACGGTCCACTCTGATTGGACCAGCTTCTCTCACATCCCGGCAACTTTCGAGTCCCCCTTGGACGGTCGCAATATCTGTCCAGCCCCTACGATGGATTGGTCTTTCGTAATACGCCCAAGTCAACGTTCAGGAACCAGGGCGATAGCTATGGTCTCAATCTGACACGAAAAGTACGGAGTTTGCAGTCGGGCCCTATGTGTGATTCGCGCGCTGTGTGGAGTACGGGGCTATCTCGGTCCAATGAAGGAACTCAAGTAGGGATAGCTATGGCAGGCCAAACCATGTGGATCACGACCACTGCCGCAACAGTCACAGAACGTGGGCATTTGTGCTCTGCTAGCGGTATATATACCGTTGTCATCCTGTCTACTTCGCCAGAAAAGCCTGAAAGGCCGTGTGCTCGATAACCACATTCCCCACGGCCTTCAATTTCTTCCTTCCCTCCTTCTGCTTCTCGAGTAACTTCATCCGCCGTGTTTTATCCGCTGCATGCAACTTCTGCGTGACATCCTTTCTGAAAGGCTTCAGTGTCTCCCTCGCGATGATCTGTCTGCCCACCGCAGCTTGGATGACAACTTCGAACATCTGGCGATCAACGTGCTCCTTGAATTTCTCAACCCATTGCTTGCCCACGTGGCGGACTTGACTGTGATGCATAACCCGGCTGATGGCATCGACCGGTTCCTTGTTCACAAGGAGTTGGAGTTTGACGATATTGCTGACCCGCCACTCTGCCTCTTCATAATCCAAGGTGGCATAGCCCTTCGTGGCGGATTTCAGCTTCCCGAAGAAGTCATCCACCAGGTGAGCGAGCGGCATCTCGTACTTGAGAATCACTTGCGAGGACGTAAAGTATTCCATGGACTTCTGTTCGCCACGATTTGTCTCGCACAGTTCCATGACCTTGCCGAGGTATTCTTCTGGGAAAGTAAGAGTCGAGAGAACGTATGGTTCACGGAGTTCAGCGACGTTCCTACGCGTTTCCTCGCTATCAGGGAATTCGGCAGGGTTTGTGATGACGACTTCCTTGCCATCTTTGTATAGGACTTTGAACGGTACGGTGGGCGGGGTGATGATGATACTGGTGCCATGTTCTTGGCGAAGCCGGTCTTCGAAGACGGAGCAGTGCAGGGTTCCTAAGAAGCCGAGACGAAAGCCTGCGCCGAGGGCGAGAGAGGATTCCTTCTGGATGGTGACACTTCTGTCATTGAGAAGGAGTTGGTTTATGCTGTCTTCGAGGCGCTCGAATTCGCCTTGGTCAACGGGGAACGCGGCAACGAAGACCATGGGCTTGGGTTCCTCGAATCCGGGCAGTGGTTGAACTTGATCCTGGAAGCCCAACTTGGCGTACGTGTCACCGATTTTCGCTTCGCTACTCTTTCTCATGGAGGGGTTGAAGTAGACGTAGCCAACTTGCCCGGCACGTAGTACCTTCTGAGGCGTTTGATCCGGGTACATGATACCGACTTCTCCGACGGTGTACTTCAGGCCCGTTGCAAACGAGACAATCTGGTCTCCTGCTCGAAGTTCGCCGTCGAATATGCGGACTAGAAGAATGACACCTTTGTAGCTGGAGTACCAGGAATCGACCAAGAATAGCCGCAGTGGCTTCTTGGTGTCGCCCACCGGTGCTGGGATTCTCTCTATCACGGCGGGAAGGACGCTCTCGACGTTCAGACCAGTTTTTGCAGACACAAGCACGGCAGCGTCTGGATCCAGCTCAAAGGTATCATGCATCTGTTCCAAGGCTCGAGGAGGATCAGCGTGAGGCAAATCAACTTTGTTGAGAATTGGCACCAAGGTCAATCCTTGAGCGAAGGCCAAGTAGAAGTTTGCAACTGTCTGCGCCTGGACACCTTGGCTCGCATCGACGAGCAGAAGCGCGCCTCCGCAGCTAGCGTAGCTGCGCGACACTTCGGCGCGGAAGTCAACATGGCCAGGGGTGTCGACCAGATGTAATAGATAGTCTTCCCCTTTGTGGTTGTAAATCATGGAACATGTTTGTGCCTTGACAGTGATTCCACGTTCTCTTTCCACGTCCAATTTATCCAAGACCTGCTTGTTCGCACCCGCTTGGATAGTACCGGTCAGCTCCAACAACCGATCGCTGAGGGTGCTTTTGCCATGGTCAACATGCGCGACGATACAGAAGTTCCGATAGCGCTCGATGGGGATCGCAGCGATGCGTGTCTCGAGATCGCCCAGAGGCGCGGTGTTTGGCGCATGTCGAAAAGGAGTCGTCGCAAGGTGCCGCGCATTTGATCTAGACCATATTGAGATCGAGGCAGAAGATGTGCTCAATGCAGCTCTTCGCCGTGCAAAGACCTGCAGCCATGATCGCATGGGTTGCCCTGATGCAGGTCAAGCAGAATCATTAGCCGCTTTGACGATATTCGAGCATGCTCAGAAATTGTCCCATGGCGGCGACGAGGAAGTAAGCTGCTGCCGATAATTGCCCGGTCAACAATCACGTCAACAAAGTCTGGCCAACTCTGTCTCACTGCTCCTTTCTAACTGCGCAAGACTTCAGCATACATCAAGATGGCGGCTGACAAGAAGGACAAGTCGCAATTGCATAAAGTGGCTCTAAAGGGTACTGTTACAAGTTTATAGATGGCAGGACCTCGCTAATAGCCGTGCGACAGGCTCATCGAAGACGGTCGCTGAGTTCGTAAGGGCATCCTACCCCATCCCAGTCGAGGATAGCAACTTACTGTCACCAGTTCGAATACTCGATCAATACAATCTTGTTCCAAAGAGGAGTCTATCCCGCAGAAGACTTTACACCAGTCAAAAAATATGGCCTCAATATGCTGGTCTCGTCCGACGACCAGGTCAAGGCTTACATCAAGAAGATTATGTCGCAGTTGAATAAATGGATGACGGGGGGCAAGATCTCGAAGCTAGTGGTGGTCATCACGAGCAGAGAGACGGGCGAACACGTGGAGAGGTGGCAATTCGATGTCCAGCTGCTGGGAAAGCCCTCGAAGTCACGATCATCGAAGAAGGCAACGGACAAGGAGAACGCAACTCCTGAGTAGGTACCGTCCACCACCTCGGAGAATGTGCCTGACGAACCAACAGGAACGCAACACCAGAAGACACCGAGCCGGAGAAGACCGAGGCACAGATACAAGAAGAGATCCAGGCTATCTTCCGGCAGATCACAGCATCCGTCACGTTTCTACCAGTACTCGACGGGAACTGCACATTCAACGTGTTGGTCTACGCTGATGCCGATTCCGATGTGCCTGTCGAATGGGGAGACAGTGATGCCAAGGAGATCAAAAACGCTGAGAAGGTGCAATTACGGAGTTTCAGTACCAGCAATCACAAGGTTGATACGCTGGTCAGTTATCGGTTGTTAGATTGATGCCGAATGGAAATATGGCTGAGAGAGCGAGGAGTCTGAGGGACCTTGGTGGACACAAGAGAGGCTGGAGTTGGCGTTGGGTTCGGTGCTTTGATATCTCGGTTGCGTGCCAGCGATACAACATAACGGATGTAGGAACGACGACTCTTCAACGATGCATCTGGAGTCCTGAACGTGGAATGTGCACCCGATGACTGTTTTGCGTGCCTTCTTCCAGTTACTTGATGTGTAATTTGACCGGTAACGACTGACACCACACATTTAGCATGAGTCGTAGTAATCTAGCACTTTGACTGTTTGGAATGTCCACTCTACACGCTGCAATACCTGGTGGAAATGAGTCAGGTTGTGCTGTTGGGACACCAGTGATTGGCGCTCAAGACGAGGCTCCAGCTCAGCCTTGTGAGGTGGGGTGGAAGTTGGAGAAAAAGTTGTCGCGCATGTCGCCCACCATCGAATTCTCGAGGCTTTACGCTACAGAGACTTTGGCGCACACAGCAACCGCCCTTATGGTCGCTTCTGATTCAGCCGGCTCACAGCTACCATTCGAGCGACGGTGATCATTGCAGCAAGATGGCTGCTACCACGGAAGTCCAGGGCATGTTCCTGGGCAAGGAGCAAGTCATCCACGATGCGCCCAAGGTCATCAAAGAACTCCGGTTCGGCGTCTTGTATGACAATCGCGAAGGAGGTTAAAGAAACGTTCTGACGGCTACAGGTCGGATCAAGACATCATCAATCAGTCCGCGGTTGAACTCGTCGATCGCCGTCTCTTCGATCTCGACAAGACTCGATCCGGAGGTGCTCGTGCCATCGCCGAGTATGGTCCTCTCGACCGACGCATGGGCGTCTCGTCCAAGGCCAACATTTGCGATACGTGCGGAAAGCCTCTACAAGACTGCAACGGCCATTTTGGCCATGTGCGCCTTGTCCTGCCGGTCTTCCATGTCGGATATTTCAAAAAGGTCATTCAGATACTTCAGAGTATTTGCAAGGTATGCAATCGCCGCCAACGGCATCACTAACAACTACTGACTTCTTCAGGACTGCTCCTGCATTCTCCTCTCCGAATTCGACCGCAGAAAATTCCTCGGTGCTCTCCGCAAAGCCCAGGATGATACTCTCAGACAAGCCGCGATCGTGAGAAAAGTCGCCGACCAATGCAAAAAGACTAAGACTTGCTTCGAATGTGGCGCCATCAATGGCCAGGTGAGGAAAGCTGGGACACAGTCTTTGAAGATATCCCACGACAAATTTAGATCATACAATGCATCTACAGCCCGAACGAAGGTACCTCCCGAGGAGAAGAAATTGTTCGATCAGTCTTTTGAGGCGGCGAAGCTCACCAATGCTGAACTCGAGAAGCATCTCAAGAAGGCAATGGATGATTTGACTCCCCTGCGCGTTTACCGTCTCTTCAGACGTGTAAGGCGTGCTGATCGCGACTTGCTTGGTCTCTTTTCGGCGAGACCTGAGGAGTTCCTCTGGACGTACATCCCAGCGCCCCCAGCGTGCATACGACCCTCGGTAGGTCAAGAAGCGTCGAGCACCGAGGACGACATCACTGCCAAGCTGGGCGACATTGTTGCTGCCAATGATGCCTTACGGGATACGCTCGAGAGGGGACTTCCCACGGCCCAGATCATGGAGCATTGGGACTACTTGTCTCTCAATCTGGCAATGTACATCAACAGCGACGTTCCGGGTCTAGCCAAGACAGATGGCAAGCAGATTCGAGGTTTTGTTCAGCGCCTCAAGGGCAAACAAGGCCGCTTCCGTGGTAATCTGTCAGGCAAACGTGTTGACTTTTCTGGTCGTACCGTTATTTCCCCTGACCCGAACCTGAGCATCGACGAGGTCGCCGTCCCCGTGCTTGTGGCGAAGAACATGACCTACCCCGAAGTGGTGAATGAGACAAACATTGAGAAGCTACGACAACGTATCCTGAACGGACCTGACAAGTGGCCCGGGGCTAATCATGTCGTCAAGTTAGAAGGCGGGTACAAGAACTCTCTCAAATACGGCAACAGCATGACTGCCAAACATCTGAAAGAAGGCGACATTGTCGAAAGGCATCTTGAGGATGGTGATATTGTGCTATTCAACCGGCAACCTTCCCTTCACAAGCTCAGTATTCTGAGCCATTTTGTCAAAGTTAGGCCTCATCGGACGTTTCGACTCAATGAGTGCGTATGCAATCCATACAACGCGGACTTTGACGGGGACGAGATGAACCTTCACGTTCCTCAGACTGAGGAGGCGCGAACAGAAGCCAGACTCCTGATGGGTGTCAAGTACAACATCGTCACACCTAAGAACGGAGAGCCCATCATTTCTGCCATCCAGGACTTCATCACTGCTTCGTGGCTCTTAAGCAGCTTAGACCAGTTCTTCGACAAAAAGACGTTCGTTACCATGTGTTGTGGTATGCTGGAGCCTGGTACGAAATTCGATCTTCCGCCACCTGCGGTGATCAAACCACAGACTCTGTGGACTGGAAAGCAGGTTTTTAGTATCCTGATGCGACCGAACAAGCAGTCGAATGTGACAGTCAACTTGGACGCTCCCTCCCGAGACCATAACCAATATCACCCCGGCCTACATCGAGATCTGCAAGACGACAGCTTCTTGTGCATCCGCAACTCGGAAGTTCTCTGTGGCAGAATGGACAAGGGCACGGTCGGTTCTGGCAAGAAGAACTCGGTATTCTACATTCTCTATCGTGACTTTGGTCCTGGTGAAGCTGCCCGTGGAATGAACCGGCTGTCAAAGCTCTGCGCCAGGTGGTTGGGCAACCAAGGCTTCACCGTCGGTATTAGTGATGTCACACCACCAGGCAAGCTAGTCAAGGAGAAAGGCGACATGATAGGAAAGGTCTTCAATGAGTGCCTTGGCTTTGTTCGAGACTCGAAAGCGGGCAAGCTGAAGAGAAAGGCAGGTCTTGACGACGCAGGCACTCTAGAAGCAGAGCAAGTCCGAGTGCTGAGCACAGTCCGAACAAACATCTCCAAAATCCTGACGAATCAGCTGAGCAGGTACAACACCCCTATGGTCATGGCTACATCCGGGTCCAAGGGATCGAACATCAACGTAGCTCAGATGGCTGCTCTACTTGGACAGCAAGATATTGAAGGAAAACGTGTTGCCGACGGTTTCCAAGACCGTACCTTGCCCCATTTTCCGAAGCACGAACGATCGCCACCTTCCAAAGGCTTCGTTTCCAACAGTTTCTTCAGTGGCCTGCTGCCGTACGAGTTCCTGTTTCACGCCGTTGGTGGGCGTGTCGGTCTGGTCGATACAGCCGTCAAGACTGCGGAGACTGGTTACATGTCACGTCGACTGATGAAGTCCCTCGAAGATCTCTCCACTCAATATGACCGGACAGTCCGGAACTCCGCATCCAATGTTGTGCAGTTTCGTTTCGGAGATGACGAGCTTGACCCAGTGGACACGGAATCGAGCGCTAAACCTGTTGACTTCGAGCGTACCTATGCTCACGTTGAGGCGACCACCTTCGACGTGAGGGACCGGGGGCTTGAGGATACCGAGATCTTCACAACCTTGGAAGAGAAACTCTCGGCTGAGCGTAAGAAGCTCACAAGAGAAGGTCCAGATGGTGTCGAGCTTCAGTACGATGATAACGATGAGAAGCTTGTTGATCAGAAAGAAAGTAACCGGGACTTCTTGAGGTCGATAAACGACTTCATAATGGCGAAATCGCAGTCATTCAACGAGGCAAGAGCCAAGAAGAAGCAATACGCCCTCCCTTCGACTGGGGCAGGAGCTGGCCTAAAGAGAAAGGCCGATGCCGGTATTGATGACATGGAGGTTAGCACACCCGCGCCCAAGAAACGTGCCGGCAGGAAAGGTGCTGTCCCAGCAACGGCCAAAGGAGGCAAGAAAGGAAAGCAAGCGACGATTGCCAGCAGCTCATCGGCTCCACCTTCAACCAAAGATCGCTTTGACCTCACCTCGAAAATGTCGAAAAAGACCTTGGAGGCTTTCATCACTGAGTGCTTGACGAAGTACGAAAAAGCACGTGTTGAACCAGGTCATGCTGTCGGTGCAGTCGGTGCACAGTCCATCGGTGAGCCCGGGACGCAGATGACGTTGAAGACTTTCCATTTTGCTGGCGTTGCTGGCATGAGTTTGACAGCCGGTGTACCTCGTATCAAAGAGATCATCAACGCCTCAAAGGAGATCAGTACGCCAGTAATTACCTGTCGACTAGAACGCAGGAGAGATTTGTCAATACCCGAGGGTCTTGCTCGTATTGTCAAAGGTCGTATTGAAAGCCTATTTCTCGGTGATGTCGCTTCTTACATTGAGATCCGGCATTCTCTGGACAGACCCAGCTGCATCCACCTGAAGATTTCTACCGACACAATCATCGACTTGGGCCTCGATCTCACCATGAGGGACATAGTCTCGGCCATCCAGAAACATCGACAACTCAAAGCCTCTAAGTTGAGGATCCAGCTGCGTGGCAAAGACGAGCTCAGAATCTCGACAGAGTTCGCTATCAAATCGGCCAAGAGAGGAGCCGCCGCCAAGGTGGACGAGGAAGGACAGGGCGAGCGTCTGATGCGTCTTCAAATGCTGCGGCGTATCTTGCCTAGTGTACATGTTCTTGGCCACCCGCAGGCGACCAGAGCAGTGGTCATGTCTGAAGACGATCCACGATCAGACGAGGTCAAAGCTATGCGCAGAGCTCTGGCCGAGCAACAGACGAAACGCGAACAAGAATCATCTACAAGCAGCGAACCAAAGGTCAAAGAGGAGGCCAAGACGGTCTCCAAGGTTAAACTCGAAGAACCCACGACATCTACCCTCTCCAATATCCCTACCAAAGACACCGCGCCTGTGCAAATGCACAAGGTCATGGTCGAAGGCTACGGCCTACGCTACTGCATGAATACCGAAGGCGTCGACCCCTACAAGACAGAGACAAACGGAATCATCGAGACGTTACAAGTGCTGGGCATCGAAGCGGCACGGTCGAAAATCATCACAGAAATCCAAGAGGTCACCAAAGGCTTGAGCATCGATCCGCGGCATATGTACCTCCTTGCAGATGTGATGACGTACAAGGGCGAAGTTCTGGGGATCACGCGCTTCGGGCTGGCGAAGATGAGGGACAGTGTCCTCCAACTCGCCTCGTTTGAGAAAACGGCGGACCATGTATTCGACGCCGGTGCCGCGGGGAAGGTCGACCGTATTGAAGGTGTGAGTGAGAGCGTGATTGTGGGCAAGACCATGGGCGTGGGCACAGGCAGTGTCGAGGTTGTAAGGTACTTGGATCATCCTCTCGAGACCGGGAGTAAGTTTGTGATGAAGCGGTGTATTTTTGAGGATGCATGGGAGGGGAGGAAGAGCAAAAAGAGACAGAGGTAATGATCCCGACGGGGCTGGACGGGACAAGCTGAAATATAATCGACGTGTACTCCGTACGGAGTAGTGATGTGATGAAATAGCATATTGCATCTGCTCACTGCTGAGCTGGCTCGTGATGCTCAACTGGTTTAAGCCCAAAACCAGAATATTGTCGGAATTCTCGCTCCCACGGCTCCCAAGTGCACGTTCAGCGTACGTAGGCGTAACAATGCCGGCTTGTGACACTCGCACGTGTCAAGCTCGAAGCCAGAGTCATGTTAAGGCTCGGTCGCACCGTACACCCGTGCAGTTCGGCGTAGGGGTAACACTCAACGTCGCGAAAAACACCCCAGAATCACACCGAGTAGTAGTGACGTGGTCTGTCGAGCGCGATATTGATTTCATGTCTGGTTCACCTGGCGAGTGGTTATATGTACAGTCCCGCCCTGGCGGTTGTCTTCGCCCTCACATTCCAAGAGGTACAGTACGTCCTGGTCCACGCATGCCTGCCCACATCTAGGGTACTGTGACTGGCGAATTGCCCAAGCCTCCTGCAGCAGGTCCATCCCACTGATGGCGGCGAGCTCGTTTTCCGACATTCCCACATGCCTGGAACGTTCACACTAGCAGGATCCTCTCGCCAAACCCCTTCAAGACACGGAATCCGTTTATTTGATCCCTGCGTCCCGTGCACGTTGATCTTCTAGCTTGGCATAGAAACTGTCGCGGGCTCGCACGCGGGGCAGGTGGAAGCCGTACCACCAGAGGTATCCGAACGTTGTGCCGAGACCTGTACCGTATCGTGGCGTTAGTCTCTATTTCCTGGGCCTGCCTGCCTAGCTGGAGCTCCGAGTAGATTCTCTGGGAAAAACATACCGCCAGCGATGCTGAGATCCAGGACGAGGCCCCTTCGGAGCATCTGCACGAAAGTCCACCTGTCAGCGCTATATATCTTGGAAGACTACTGCCGAGATGAGGTCGAGGTTGAGGTTGAGGGCGGGAGCACGCAACATAAGAGCAGGGCTCGATCAAGGCAGACATAGACATACTCCTTCGATAGGTTTGATTGGCATATTTCTCACTTCGGGAGCTCTTCGAGAGCTCGAGATCTTCCTTTCTTTGTGGTGTCTGGGTGTTCACGCCCCGGTGGCTCGACGAGGGAGGATAGGCCGCAGTCGGGTAGGGTCGTGGTTAAGGAGAGCGACTTGCAAAGCGGATGGTGGAAGTGGCGTGATCAAGCGTTGGTGTTGGAGCTCCCTTGAAGATCCGCAGTTGAGGCCGAAGTGAACGCAGGCTCAGCCTTGGTCTTGGCATATTATGTAAGGCGCAGCCTCGGCGGGACTCCGAACGCAAGCCGACGTTGCGTGCGCCAACCCCAGAGCCCAGGTCGACGGTGATCTGAGGACCTGAGATATACTCCTTGATTCTACCATCGTTGATGCGAGGAGCAGGACTGCCCCTCCGACTGCGCGGCCATGTCAACCATCTCACCGAAAAAGAAGATCCCGTACCACCACCATCATGTCATGCGACACAAGCCTCAAACGATACCTACCCGGGAGCCGGCCCTGATCGAACAAGAGGTGGTGGACAAGCTACTGGCAAACTGTATACGGACGATTTGCCAAGAAGAAGCGCTCAAGCAGGACATCAGGAACCCGGGCATCCAAACGGCTGTGTTAGAGTCCCTGGTCGCCATGGTGGATGAATGTATGTTACTCATGCCCCGAGGGCCACGGAAGAATACATGAATACATTACTGACATTGCCTGATCTTTCTTCCTAGTCATGCTGAAATTCCTGTCCAAAGTGCGGCGGTCGATGCTCGCAGCCCGCCGAATATCTCCCATCGCGACTGATTTCGAAACCGCGATCGATGTCCTCGACGTTCCCCGGCCAGACGACCAACTTCAACCCTATAGTACCCAGCCGCAGATCAATCCCCCTCTATACCCGACCCCTCCTCCCGAAGACGAATTCCACAACCTCGTCGAACTCCCGGTCTCGTTCTTGGGCCCCGAGCTGGACGGTCATGGCGAGCTGAAGAAATTCTCCTTCACCACGAAAGGACTCCCCGAGTTGCCCTCGGCGCATACCTACAAAGACACACCCGTTTACCCGCAGAGAGAATCCGACACGCGCAAGATCAGAGAGCTGGCAACCCACGAGGGGAAGCTGGGCGAGCAGGCGTTGCGCAAGTTGGCCGGGGCCGTGAAGTTAGATGCCGCGCATACACTCGAGACGGAGGCGTCGTTGACCAAGCAGAAGGCCCCAGCGCCGCGGCAGCAACGCCGAAAACGATGGAAGACCGGTGTCAGTTTGGCAGAGGAGGCGGTCTTCGAAGAGACGGTGCGCGACTTGCTGGCCCAAGAGCCGGGCGGGTTCGAGTTGGGACCGATCGTGACTTGCGAGAAGGCGTACCGCATGCCAGACGACGTCGCGGTGAAGAGGAAAGCACCCACTGCCCACGGCGGCGGTAGTTACTCCATCCAGAACGGAGAGGATATTGCGATGGAGCTTTGACGTCCTGTACACAGCATCGGTATGGCTGGGCTGGTGGGATCGTCCTTTTGCTTAGCGACGGCGTTTGGGCTGGCAGAGGCCCTGCATGCATATGATACCCCAATCTAGGCAGGGCGAGTAAAATTCATTTCTTCGACCAGATTGACGTCCACAATGTCGGTGTCGAAGATGCGTCCGATTCGTCCGATGCTTCCTTTTCGACCGCTTTCTCGTCCTGTGCGCGCGGCGGCTTCCAAGCCAGTGGACCTTCCCAAGCTGTCGTTTCGACGTGGAAGACTTTGCCCCCTTTGACGCATCTGCCAGTATGTTAGCATCTGCCGCTAAAACGAAGGGACGGATAGACCATAGACCGACGTACTTGCGAAATAGCCTCACGATGGGGAAACATTCCATCCTAGGCGTGCGACTTCCACTCGCCAGCGCCCGTTCGATTTGCTGATTCGGCGTCGTGCAGCTGTACTGGACGAGCTCCATTAATTCGCAGTCGCGCTTCAGATCGAAGCCCGGCGGCAATTTGCGTGATCTCTCTTTGTAGTTGATCGTGTGGCCGTGGACTTTGTGCTCGAGGTCCGAGACCGGGAAGACGTGTTCGGGCGGAGCCATTGATACAGTACCGTCCCCTTTGATAGAACCGGACAACCTTAAGTTCAGATTCCTTGCGGACGCTTCATCGGGCGCCCGTGCCTGTCGATCCCGTCGTGCTTGTCATGGCAAAGTCATGGCGGCCGAACACTATGGAGCGAGACTCCTCGAAGAAGTGCAAGAAGAGAGTTTAGAAAAGGTAAGTGTTGCTTGGATGTTGGAATCTCGTCCGCTCCGCTGCTCTCCACTCCGCGCTCAATTTGGCCCGTTTGGTCTGATGCCCTCAGCCCCGGTCTTCGTGTGTCCTCAATGTTGACAATAAAGGCGATAGTTTCTAGCCGACCTCAGAAACATAACGTGTCCGCAGCCACGAGCAGTATGTGGCGTGCCGCAGCTGGATATACTGTTAGAAGCAGTCCGTTATCCTGCAGAGACGACGCCACAACGTCCAGCATGGCTGTCGCCAGAACGTCACGACAGCGACAGCGAGCGCGAGGGTCAGCAGGATGCAGACATTAGCCTTCATGGACGATATGTCGAGCCAGCCCTGGATCCGTCCAAAGCTCAGGCCAAGGCCAAGCCAGCCACGATCGAGCTCACCAGCACGACGAGCGCCTCCGGAAAGACGACCCTCCTGTCCTACTTGGCTGCCGTCTCCGTGCTGCCCAGGCGGGCGGGCGGCAAGGGGTCAGTGGTAGTGTATATTGATGGGGACGGCCGCTTGTCTGCCAGGCGACTCAAACAGATTATGTACCATTACATCTGCCAGCAGCGGCAGCAACAACACCAAGAGTCCAACCAGCAGTCCATCAACCCAGACAATAGCAATACCTCACCTCTCAACCCCGAGGCTAAAGTTGACGTAGCCGCCGACCTCGACGTCAACATCAACGTGACCATCCAAGAAGCCTTACACCACGTCCACGTCTTCCGTCCGCAATCGTCTGCCCAAGTCCTCTCCATCCTTTCCAATCTGGAGACCTACCTCCTCGACACTCTCCATTCCCACCGCCCTCTCGGCGTGGTCATCATCGACGGGACAGCGGCATTCTACTGGCAAGACCGCTTCGACCGGGCGATGGCCCGCCTCGAAACGCCCGGCGGACAGAGCACCCAAGCCCAAGGAAAAGGACTCAGCATGACGCAGACGCTCCGGATCATCGAGCGGCTGAAACGTCTGCAGGCAAAGTTTGAATGCGCCGTGCTGTTCAGCACGACCACCGTGCCCCCAGCGGCTCCTCCTTCCGTACCCGTGTCGGATGCCCGCGTGACGCCTGCTGGGCCTCCTGCAGACAATGGACGCAGTATATCACCCTGGACCGGGTATGCGGCGTTGACGCTCTCGCTTGCGAGAACACCCGTCGCGCGGTTCACGCCGCAGATGGGAATCGAGGAGTGCGTGGCAGTTAGGGAGCGACGGTTTGAGGCCATGAGACAGGGGCGGTTCACTGCCGTGGTGCAGAGCATGAAGAGTGTCGAAGGGGTGAGACCTGCTGGCGTGACCGTGGCTGGATTTAGATTCAATATAACGGAGCAGGGTGTTGAGGTGGGATGGATGGACGGATGAATGCATAAATGAGCGTGGCCAGCACATCTGTATATTCATGGCTAACATACTTGGCTGTATCGAGACGGGTATTCAATCAACTAGAAGATTCCTTCTAATTGATGTCGTGGCAATTTGCAATGCGAGAGTACGAAAGAGGAGAGGAGAGGAACACCTGCAGCCAAGGTATATCAGCGACTGTACGTGTCTCGCTGTCAATACCTGACAACGATGCTCATACGGAGTGATATGTACATGTATATTTTCTTCTAGGTTTCCGTTCTCATATCGTCATTATCTATGATCGTCAATGGGCGCAAGCGCTGCTCTAGTCTATCCACTCTACTTTGTTCTCGTCTACTATGGCTCTGTTCTGCCCACCCACTATATCACCTTCTCCTTACCCTCGACCACCTGCCGGGCAACCACCCTCCTACATTCATCAAACACACGCGCCTGCGCCGCCACGTCCGCAAGCCGCCCAATCACCTCACCATTCCCCCTAGCGAAGCCGTAGATCGCGTACGGAATGCCCGTCTCTCGACAGAACTCTCGCACATGGACCTGCGCCCTCCTCAAATTATGCCGCGGAATGCGCGGGAACAAATGGTGCACGGCCTGGAACTGCAGCCCGCCGTGCACAAAGTCCAGCCACGTGGGACAGTCGACGTCCATGGTGGTGCGAAGCATTTTCTGGGGGAACGACTCGTGCACGCCCATGTCCGCGGTCGACATTGCAAAGTGCGAGAGCGTGATCTGGACGTGCAGCGGCGCGGTGATCATGTGGGAGACCATGATGAAGACGAACCGGTCCCACGCCGTGGGGATGGATCTGTACACGACGAGATACCCAAACCAGGTCCAAAATGCCACATGCCCCAAGATCTCAAGGTAGCGGTGCCACCAGGCGGGGCCCTTTTTCGGGGCTTGGCCCAGGAAGAGATATTCCCAGGAGAGGCGGTACAGGTTGAACCGCCCGAAGGTCAGGAGCGGGTAGTACAGCCAGTGTTGTTTGGAGATGGCCCACCTTGCGAGGGCGTCGAATTGCATGACGCGATCATAGTACGTGGAGCGGAGGGAGGTGAAGAAACGGGTCGAGATGGCGAAGAAGGGCATGTGTTCGATGTCCGGGTCGTGTTCGGGCGAGTTGGTCACGATGTGGTGCACGTTGTGGTTGCGCTTCCACCAGCCGATGGAGAGACCGCCGAGGAAGTCGGCGATGAAAATGCCAATGCATGTGTCGACGTGGAAGTTGTGCGTGATGCCCATGTGGCCTGCGTCGTGCGCGGTGAAGACCAGTTGGTGCCAGAACACACCCAAGAAGGCGCCCGCCAGGGCATAGTACGAGTATCGAAGGGCAATGAGGAAGGAGGCGAAGAGGAGGACATAGCGGCAGCATTCGACGCCGTAGGCTCCATATGGGCAGTTGTAGAGGCCAGCGGCACGCATTCGAACGTCCAGGGCCCGGTATTTTGCCACGATCTCGTCCTGGGATATATGATCGAGGGCTGGGTATTTGAGTATGTCCGAGGTCCTTTCCGCAGAGAGCTTTCTTTGGATAGCATCGGTTCGCGAGTCATCGTCTGACAGCGGAGTAGCACAGGGGGTCTCTGGTTCTTTGGCGTCCACCGGGTCGAATATTGGTGATGGAGGTGCCGAACTGTTGCTGCTCGAAGAACTTAACGCTCCGTCTGTCTGCACGTCTGACCCGACATCTTCCTGTTCTTCTGTCTGTTTGGCCTCCTCAACACACCGCCTGAACCGTCCCCCTTGTATGGGTGGTAAGAAATTGTTCCATCTGCCCTCAACTCTGCCGATGGCGAACTTCTGCATGTGCGCCTGCGCGTCTGGAGAATGTAGTGCCCGGATCTCATCTGTGCCGTCTCTTCCCACCATGTGCAAGATCGACTTGTCACCTCCAGGGTGGTAAGGGAGCCATGCATCGGCCTTGATCACCTGTCCATCGAGGATTATGATCTTCCTTCCTTCTGCAATAAGACCTTCGATCTCTCGTCGTGACCAGACTCGGTCTCTACTGGTCCTGATGGTGGACATTGTGCCCGTATTGACGGGCGAAAGGTAACTCCAGATTTAGGGAGTCATCTTGCGTTGAACGAGGGTGAGAGCAAGTATGCGGTGGAGGGCCGTAGGAGCGTCGAGATCAGTACCGAATACGGGGTACGCAGGGGTCTAGAATGGCGGCACGGAAAAAGTTTCCTCCATCCGCCTCATTGTCCACTCCAGACGATAAATAACTTGGAACGGTCCATTTAAAGGCCGGTGATATCTTCATACAGTCTCTGGGAGGAGTGGAACTGGAGATGCAAGGACATCCAGTACATGCCTCCGAGAACAGTCTCTGCGCTATTCGGAAAATTCTGTTGGTCGCGGGACTTGGACAAGAAGAGCTTGAAATGAGGTTCGGCAACCGCATCATGAGAACGCTTATCCTTGATTTTGCTAAGACAGCTTATCAGAAGCGAGGTAGTCGGGCTACCAAGACTCAGGAGCAAACACAACCTACGTCCTTCCAAGCAGCCGCAATATCACAGACGGTGAAACTCCCAACATGCGAGTCAGTTATGAGGAACGGACGTCGTCACTGTCATCGAGTGAGGTACGAAGACGTTTAAGGTAGACAATCACAGGCCGCGGGCGTTATGTGCTTCTGGCCATTTTGAGGCGGTCGCACGGTATGCTTCGCTGGAGACTGGTGAAAAGTGGAAGCCCAGCCAGCTAAGCATGCGTTGAATCTTGGACGATTTTGATCAGATATCCACGCCGTTTTTTGCAAGAGAGCACTGGTACTCGAGCCCCAGGCCGTTTTGTTCTTAGCACACCCAGCATTGCCTCCCTCCAACGCACTGACCGTTGCCCGGAATTGTTTCATTCCCATTATTCGGAGAATCGTCCGTAATGGCACCTGAGGAAAAAGGTCTCCCCCGAAGAAAGACGCCCGGATCCAAGGAACACCGGTTTTTGATGTAGCCCCGTTGGATCGATTTCCCACCAACAATCACACCTTACGGGGAGGGCGTTCGAAGTCACAACTTTCCCAAACCGCCTAGCTTATCGCTAACACCACCTATGCCCTGCTGAACCGCTTCCTTGCCCAACCCACCAGAGACCAGCTCGAGCTCGTCCTCGCCCATGACGGGATTTTTCTTCAACGAGTCTGTGAAAGTTCAGAGGGTTAGTCAGGACTCAATGACTCTGGCTCAGAAAGCACAACCGCGACGCATGCAAGTAGGCACGCAACTTCGGTATCGAGTCATATCCCGCGTATCTCCAAGGCAGTCACCGCGCAAAAGGAGGAAATAGCGGTGAGTGGGAATACATTAGGCTTGATAAGCCCCGCCGGCCCAATGCACCTATTTCCTCTTCTGTTCGTGTACCTCGTTGGGCAAGGTGGTACCTTCCATTCGTGTATCTCTTTGGAGTCGGGTGGGTTTTCATCTTCACTTCCAAGAAACACAAAGCCAAACACTAACAAAACCACAACCTAAACAAGTTGGGAACTCACCCTTCACCACCCCCTGGACCTTCTCGGCCCCGACATTCTCCAGCACCTTGACCTCGGCGATCGCCTTGGCCTTGTAATACCGCTTGGCCCACCAGGCCGCCACATCATCGCCGTAGCCGCTGAAATAGACGCTCGCGGCGACGATGGCTACGGCAGTGACGATACCCGTGACGGCAATCAACAAGACACTCGCGTACGAGAAGGAGCGCGCAGATTCGTAGGTCGCGTAGGCCGTCGCGGCGGCATGGGCGGGGGATTCGCGCGCCAGGGAGGTGCCGCTTGAGAAGACGCTAGACGCGGCGGAGGATGCCGAGGATGCCATCCTATGTATGGATTGGACGGAGAGGAGTTGGTTGCAAAGGGTACGGCGCAACGGGTGGATGTGGTAACGTACGTGTCGATGTCGAGTGGTATTCAGTTCAAGTTGTGCTCGAGGTTGGAAGATACAGGTACTTTTGGTTGCTGGGTAGAGTTCTCGGTCGTTCTGATGGCGATGAGAGCAATGAGAACGGAAGTAGGGATTGAAAGATGAGCGCGGCACAGCGGATTTGTATAGTGGCAAGATATTGTAACCCGGTGCGAGATACCGTGATCATGAACAGGTATCACTATCACTGCCTTGAAACCTGATTGCAGCTTCTCACTTCTCACTCACTTCTTGGTTTTTCAGATGCTGGGGCTTCACGCACACACGCACCCACGTCATTGTGATATAAAGTTCGAATCAGGCACGAACAGCTTCTTGCAATGATGCATGCGCCACGGATACGTTGTGAGACCCAATGACTGGCGATTGCGGCGGTTTAGCCACGCGGAACCACAAGCCGTAAAGTGACGAGCGTTCTCGTACTGTGGGTAGACAAACGGACAGGGGCGCCTCGAGGTTTCCAGGCTGATCTTGATCATGGCTATCACTTACAAGGCATGGAGCAACAACCTGGAACAGGGGTCCTGGCAGAGTAGATAAGCGGGGTACTAATGTTCCTTGGTGCAAGATAACCGATGAGTGCAGCGTCAACCGGGCGATGGAAAAGGCATGCGAGACTTGTGACGCAAAGTCGTGCATGGTGCCTGCTCCGTACAGTACGAGATAGGTAGGTATTCGGTCCGGTTGTCGTCTCCGCTTCAGCCCTTAATCTGTGTAGTGGGATACAGTAATTACTCGGGCTCGCAGAGCTCGATGATCTCGGCTTACCACCCTTCCCGCCCTTGAATCCCGCTCGCTTCCAGAGCAGTGGTAGTCCTGATATTGGTTTCCTACTCAACACGCGATCGTAATCCTCCCTTCCAGTCGATCATCCGCTTTGCATTCGGTATACCAGACTCGAAAGCAGCCAACCGCAAATGAAACGAGAGCTAAGACCATTGCAAATGTCCTTGCATGTAGAGCTCCTTCCTCCCAGCTTGGTCGGACGAGGGCTCGGGGCAAATGCGTATGTGACTCAGCAAGTTGCCTAGGCCGCCAATCTTCTTCCATTGAGAGAGACCCTCCAAGATGCATCTCTTGTCGGGACGCGCTCGTCGATGTAGACGCTAGACATGGCTCACCGTCAAGCGCAACATTGCGACTGGGTCTGGTAAGCCATTGATAACTCATCAAAAGAATGTCCCGCTGTAGTTGAGAGACAGACCGGACTCCCACGGTTAATATATATCCAATTTCAAGTCCCTGGCTGCGGTCGACACTTTGTGAATGGGGCAATCCATTGGGCAAACTCGACGGACATGACGACTGCTCGAGTGCATTCGCAGTGATGCCGTAGGCGCTAGAGGTGGAAACAGGAGTCATCTGTGCATGCAGGAGACCGAATGATGGACTCTAAGACGCCCCTGTCGTGCTCTCTGTAGTTGAGGACAGTCCTGTGACAACCGTTTCCTGGCGAGTGGAGATGGTACCTGTTGAAGGAGAGATTAAAAGCAGCCAAACACACACCCCGATAAGGATGAAAGCAGGCATATATCCCATTGCTGTGTGCCCTTGCGACGTATGTAATGTAAGAAGCAAGCAGGATATGTATATTCCTTAGCCTCGACGCCTTGCATTGCTGAAGACTGAGCTTGAAGTGAAACAAGCAGAGCATGTTGAAGACGTCAACCAGATCGGTCCACCCTGACTGCAGTTTCTGCTTCTGCCAGGCCCGACGCAGGTAGCTGCTTTGCCTGGCTGCAACACTCCACTGGGGGCTTTCAGTTCGCAGCTGCCTCGTGTAGACGGACAGGAAGGCGCAGAGGGGCAGTGGTAAGGCCATACGAGTGTCGAACAATCGGGTCCGTCTCATAAGTCTCAATGCCATCAAACTTTTGCAACATGCGCACGATCACATAGCCAGCCTCGGTCAATGCAAACTGCTGTCCCAGGCAGATCCGAGGCCCGCCGTTGAAAGGCAGGAATTCCCAGCCGGGTCGACGGGACATCCATCTCTCGGGCTTGAACTCTTCAACATCTGGACCCCAGATATCTTCGCGGTGGTGCATGATGTGACAAGAGTAGTTGACCTCCATGCCCTTCTTGACGTACAGTGGAGAATTGCCATCCGGACCACCCCCGCGAGGAATAGTAGTGTCTCTGGTGGCGCGGCGGCTGTTGAAAGGCACTGTGGCGTATAGTCGGAGAGTCTCAGACATGACGTGTTGCAGGTACGTGCAGCCCTTGAGTGTTTCGAAAGTAATCGACTTTGGCGACTCGTACGTGCCGAAGTTGTCTAGAATTGTGTCGCGCAATTGCTTGAAGACCCTGGGGTGCCTGACCAATAGGTAAAAGGTAAAGCCGAGGAGGCCAGCCGTGGTGTCACGGCCAGCAAGCAGGATGTTCAGCAATTGGCTTCGCAGCTCGACAGGATCGCGGGTGGCTTGGACAAGCTCTTTCAAGAAGATGTATTTCTCCTTCTTCTGGCTCTTTCCTTCTTTTTCGAAGTTATGCTCGCTCAACGACGACAGATCCGTGGTCAGCGCCAGGTTGACATAATAGTCAGCGAATCTGTGAACTTCTTTGCAGTTCTCGTTGAAGTGCATGGGGTTGTATAGCCAGTACAGGTCGGCCAAACGGCTGCGCGTTCCCAGAGCCATAGTGCCGGAGTCGAAACAGTTCGCGAATCTCGTCCAGTCCAGCTCACCAGGTTTCCGCCCTTCCCCAGTGTAGCCGGGCAAAGCAGCTATCTGCGAGTTGACACTCTGGCCGAACAGGAATTCTGTGGCAGAGTCCAGTGTCAGGCGGAAGAACAGTGGTGACAGGTCAACTTGACTGGTCCAGCCATTTTGCGTGGTGAGATGCTTGAACATATCCTGGACATGGACTTCCTCCAATTCCAGATTTGAGACTTGTTGGCGCGCGAATTGCGGACGCAGAAGGGCCCGCGAATGTTCCCTGGCAAAAGTCAGAAGGCAAGGAATCACCCTCGTGCGGCGGGACTCAGTGACTTACCACGCTTTGCCGTCAGTAGTGAAAATTCCATTGCCCAGCATGGGGAAGAAGTTTCCCCGGCGCGCCTCTCCCAGCTCGAAATCGTTGAATTGAGTTGCAAGGATAGCTTGGACATTCTTTGGATCCGAGGTCACGTAGCCGTAACTTCCAAGCATGTTTTGGGACCATGTTGCCCTCTTACCGGCCTTGTTGTTGTACACGTCCAAGAAGTAATTCGGAACGACATGGTTCTTATCGGCGTCCATGACCTCCTTCACCAGGTCGATACCGAGTGGTAAGCGATACGGCCGTTCCCATGCTGGCTGGCATCCGAGTTCTCGGGCCTTCCTGGCGTGATAACGGTTGGAAAGAAAAGACGCGATGATAAAGTAAACCACGGAAAAACCGAACAGCCCTAAGCCTGCACTCAGATATGAGTTCATCTTGAGACCTGGACGGAAGCGACAAAAGGCCTTGTGGGTGTTGGTAGTTTGTCAGTGGGATGGGCTATCGAAGAAGGGATAAATAGAAACCACCGAGGATGAGAACATCAACTTGTAAAAGCTGCGTGCGATGCGATGCGAGGTGGAGTGGACAGAATAGACCGCTAGGCTAGATACCTTCCCAAGCAGGGCTTTCCAGATGATGGGATTTCGAGAGATGACAACCAGATAAGGTCGCAGCGTAGCTTCTTGTACCGGTCTTGCTCTGCGTTGATATATAGGTCTCGCCCGCCATACTGTAAGCCCGAGCGGGAATGTTTGGACTATCCATCCCTCGTCACTCCATGCGTACTCGTATGAGATATGGGGTAATTCGAAACCCTCTTGTCTGGCCGCTGTCCCGAGACGTAAGCGATTGTGGAACGGGGCGAATGGCAACCAGGCAGCCTCAATGCAACCACGCCAATTGGTACGCTGGGTCAGGCAGGACGCCTGCCAGGACGACTTAGCGTGATACCAGGAACTGGTCTGGATGCCTGAAGCTGCACAGCTGTTGGTGCCGCTGTGAAAGACTTCGGATTCGACCCCGCAAAATGTCCGAGGCATTAAGGTCTGGTAAGTCATCCACTGTCAGGGTAGTAAATGGGTTACTTAGGTGTGGGTGGGCGAGGTAACCGGCTAGTACACTCGTAACGGTGGGCGACGCTGCTGACTGTGGTATGGAATGCGTTTGATTGGGAGATGATGCATCGGTAGCAGCAATCCATCCGACGCCGAAAGCACCATGAACGCATTTCTGCCTGTAGCAGTACGAGGTCCTTGGCTCTGAACTCCGGATTGGGATCTCCACCTCGGCAAAGCTGGGAAAGGATACGAAATACGCCTGAATACGACGCCGGTGGAGTCAGATATTTACAAGAGAATATCAAGAGCTGAACGTGTCGTTGTAACCGTTGTTACGGCCAAGTCTTCCAAGGAGCCGAACCGCGACATGACTGTGCAACAGCACAAGGACTGTTGATGTTTTGGCCAGGCCAGCCATGCTTCTAGAGGGGTAGTGAGAAGTTGCCACGAATCGCAACATCTGCCTGTTTCGGCACCTCGAGCGCGCTGGGATTGAACGAACTACAGTTTATCTTGAAGGGGTCGAAAAAGATTTCCAGCACGGACAATTAGACGAAATGCTGGCGAAATCAGAATCACCAAGGATGACATCCACTTGCAGTTCTCGTCATGGCACCATGACAGGGATATCAGCTTTGGAAGGATTCAGGCCTCTACAGGGGAATGCATGACCACCGAGTCCAGCTTCTTGAACATCGCACGCACCTGCTGGACAAGACAAGACAGTCAGAAAAATGCCCAAAGGCTCATTGGGTAGTGGGGTATCCGATTATTCATTGTTTGTCTGTGGCAGGTTTTTGTCACATAATGTACACCTGTTTGCACATCGAGAAATGCTGGAGCACTGGAGCGGCCAGTAAAACCGAAAGCCAGAAGGTCTGGAGCTGCTATCGTGGTGCTGACAGGAATGGAATCACTCCTTGACGAAGTTCTCCAGATCTGTTGAAAGGAATTAGCACGGTCACACCTGTGGCCACGGGTATTGCACCAACCTTCGAGCCATTTGACGTATTCTTTCTGCTCCTTGTAGTCCATATACTCGGGGAGAAAGCTGGCGAGCTCCTCGTCGATACCTCTCTCTTCAAGGTACTGCTGAAGCATCTGCTGGAGCTCCGGGTCAAGCTCGTCGACAGGCGGGCCTGCATAGAGGCTCCGAGCTTCTGCTGCGTCCTTCGTACTCTGCGCATCCAGCAGCGACTCCTTGGGGAAGAAACTGAGGTTCTCGATCTCAATGGTGCCGTCTTGGGCAACAGCTCGTATCTCAATCGCCTTGTTACCGGGCTTGGTGATTGTGATGGTCAGTTGAGCAGGGTAGGCAGGAGAGGGCTGATCATCTTCGGCTTCACCCTCAGCTCGGTCAGCAGGGGCAATGCTGTCCTCGGGCATAACGTCGACCTTTCCTCCTCTTGCGCCTGACTGGTTGGCCGTTTTTCTTCCTGCACCAAAATCCTCGTCCGAAAGCGCCCCATCTTCGTCTATGGCATCAAAATCATCTTCGGCTGGGTATTCGGAGATGTCGGATACGCTCAACTTGATTTTGATTCTGTTTGCAATTAGTCTCGATCTCGCAGTCCGTTGGAGGAGCGCCCGTACTTCTCATTGCCGAAATCTCTCGCGAGGACAATCTCGTGTGAGCCAGGCTTGTCATGTAGCTTGAAGGGGCTGTTCTGGAGGAATTCGTCAATGATGGCTTGCTTGTCATCTGTCTGTGACTGCAACTCGAGCTGTCGCTCGTTGTTGAGTTTCGCAATCAGCGCCTCGTCCGCTATCAATGTATCAGTAGTGTTCTTGACCGTAATTGACAGCCGTACATTGACCTGCCGGTTCTCTCCTAGAGACAGAGGTTGAGAACGCAGGGTACGACAGTTTCGATGCCGTCTGCCATGGCGCCCGGCGAGGTGCGAATTTGGAGATGGATGATATAGAGCGGACCGCAGGCTGGCGAGACAAAGTTTTGGGCAAGGCCCGGCCGAGAATCCTGAGCGAAAGCATCTTTAGAATAAGCAAATACAGTTCAAATGAAGATGAGAATGACTAATGGATGAAAGACACTGGAAGCGCAGGAGCTGCACTCCAAAAAGCCGCTCTCGAAAGTTTCCCATAGAATGCTTGGAAGCGAGTCAACACGTCACGTGGATGGCTCCACGACGAGTCATGCTAAAGTGTGGAGCCGGAAGACCTCGGGGTGATGTAGAGGTAGTGTCCACGGTGCCACAGTCATCGTGAAATGTGCCACGATACTGCGATGCCATAATCCTTTGTTTCGGACATGATGCCGACGAGATATACGCTTCTTGATATCCGCGCATGAAACCGCCCTTCCTCAGCAGAGTTTAACGCGAGCTATTAAGGTCGTGCAAAAGCCATCAATACCATCGCAGCTGCTGTTCTTACAGTGGGACGCTGAACCTTCAATACTGCCAATACAACGTGCAGATAAGCAGGGGTTATATCCCGTGGGCTTCCAAAACAACCATGCTTTTTCCTCCTTTGGGCCCTCTATCGTGTCCACCGCACCTTGGCCTTCAGCAAAGCGACAAGGATATCCTAGCATTATTAGATGCCTCGTGACTACTCGTCCCGGCTTCTGTTCGGACACGACTTATTGTGTCTCTTGGCTCCCTGTACCCATATGCTCACGTCATGAGATACGTACTCATACATCGTCTGGCCGCAACTGAACGAGGTAGGGTGGTAAATGCCCACCGAGCTGGAGGTGTCGCCATAAATGGGCCCACGGAAAGGCTCGTAGAGACGCGAATGATTGTCATAGCTCTCATGTCGAGAAAGAGTCCCATCCACGGAGATGGTGTAGTGAATACGAACATTCGTGAGGCCCTTTGATTTCAGGAGTTGGCCTTTGGCGGAAAGTTCGACGGCTTTATACCACCCGCCTTGACGACACGAACGAAGTCGAGCGTGTTCAGTCCGCCCCATTCTCCCGCCCATCTTTCAACTTTCGACCGGCTCTCCTGATTTCGAAGCTCGGGAATCCAGAAACCAGCACGAAACTCACGTTCTTCAGCTTCCTTGCGCTGTGAAATTCGCTCTTCGGCTTTTGTGGGCGGTCGCCCTGGCCTTCGTTCTGCTTTGGCTTCAGCCAACTCGTCACCTTCCCGATCAATGAAACTGGAGTGATTGTGAGATACAGTCCCGAGAACGAGTCACTCCACATACCTTTGGGTCAAAACGTGCATCTCGTCGTCTGACAGCGGACCCGAGGACCCTTCTAGTGCTGTTTTGAACCATGCCACTCTCTCCACTACCGGAGCGAGATGTCAATAGCGATACATCCAACTCACCACCATGGCACCTACCATAGACATGATTTGCTCTCACGGCTGCGTCCATGAGCCGAGCCAACTTTTCCTCTCTTGCACCAGCACGGCGTAGCCGCCTTGCATCTCGACTGTTCTCATGCAGAGCGTCGGGTTTACCACCCCGTTTCTTGGAGATTTGTTTTTGGACTTTGTTTAATGCTCGTGCCATGTTGGTGGTTGCATGCTTGGTTTCTAGTTTGACAGCCAGGCACGGTTCATCGTCCTGTGACCGAAAAAAAGCTGCACGTCCGGCTCCTCGGGTGAAAGCGTGGCTCGGCGCCACAGTGGCTTAGTGGCTGGTGAGCAAAATGCAGGCACGCAGGCGCCAGTACACAGTACACAGTACACAGTAACGGGCTGAGTGGATCCCCCGCAACGCGTCGCGCATTCAGTGGGCGCTTGCTGCAGGTCAGCTCAGATATGCTTCGCATTGCACTCGCCAACCGAAGTACTGACACCACCATTACATTTCGCATACACACAATCGATGGCTCCGCGTCTTTCATTCGCGCCTATACCGTCACTCGCTATCGCCGTGCTTGGATCTCGTCTTCGGCCTTCCACATTACCCTGCATAAGTTGGTCGCATACCGTAAACAGGCGGTGAGAGTCAGCGGCAAAGGCCGCCATGGGCATCAAAGGTGTGTATCTGGACATTCGTCTGTGCCCTTCGGATTGATATTGACACGCTCAGGCTTGTTGCCTTTGCTGAAATCGATTCACAAACATTCTACCCTCAAGAAGTTCTCTGGACAGACCATTGGAGTCGATGCCTATGGATGGCTGCACCGTGGCGTGGTGGGCTGTGCTTTCGCGCTTGCCCTGGACAAACCCACCACGATTCACATCGATTTCGTACTAAGCCGAGTCCGCATGCTCATCGACTTTGGTGTTAGCCCATACCTGGTTTTCGATGGAGACAATCTACCCAGCAAAGCCGGAACGAACGCTGCGAGGCGGAAAAAGAGAGAAGAGAGCAGAGCGCTAGGCCTAGAATTGCACAAGGCTGGGAAGACCACTCAAGCCCAGCAAGAACTACAGAAAGCCATCGACGTGACACCACTTATGGCCCGACAGCTCATCGAGGAACTGAAGAAGCTTAATGTCCAGTACATTGTAGCACCGTACGAAGCCGACGCTCAGTTGGTGTACTTGGAGCGGAAGGGCATAATCGATGGCATTCTGGCCGAGGACTCCGACATGCTTGTATTCGGTGCAACGCGGCTTCTGACCAAGCTAAACCAATACGGAGAACTGGTTGAGATCGAGCGGGCCGACTTTGCCATGTGCAAGGAGATTAGTCTTGCCGGCTGGACCGATACGATGTTCCGACGGATGGCGATCCTCAGTGGTTGCGACTATCTACCTAACATTGGCAAACTCGGGCTGAAGACCGCCCATGGCCTTGTCCGCAAGTATAACGACGTGGAGAAAATCTTGCGCATTGTTCAACTGGAAGGCAAGATGATCGTACCAACTGGCTACCTGGAAGATTATCGCAACGCGGAACTGACCTTTTTACACCATCGTGTCTTCTGCCCTACCACACAAAAGGTGGTACATCTGAATGAGCTTGCACCAGGAATGTCCGATACGAACATGCCATTTCTGGGGCCGCACATCGATCCTGAAACGGCACTCGGCGTCGCCTGCGGTGACCTCGACCCGTTCTCGAAGAGACCCTTGCAGGTCAACAAATCGCTTGTGCGTCCAGCTCTGGGAGACCGGAGAAGGCAGAGTTATGGCCATGCGACAGACCTGAAGTCGAAGAAATCGATAGAGACATTTTTCCAGCCATGTCGCCAGCCTCTGGCGGAGCTGGACCCCAATAGCTTGACACCTTCCCCTTCACAGCAGCGGTTACTCGAACGCAACCGAAATGCTTCGTGGGAGCCAAGATTGGTCAACTCGGCCCCTGCTTTGCGACGTAGTACAACAATCGTGGTTCCGCCTTCGGTCCCTGCCGACCGCGCCAGTTTCTTGGCTCGAGCTGCGACAATGTCGACATATCAGCCACCGAAACGACAGCGTTTGTGTTCAGACTCGGCCGATCCTTCGCCTACCAAAGAGATGAAGCAAAGCCCGTTTTTCCCAGTCAAGGGCGCAGATGCAAGCCCCTTGGCACAAAAGATGCCTAAGACCAGAAGAAGCCAGAAATCGAAATTTGAGGTCTTTGCAGATGATAACAGGGGAATGCTGCTTGGATCTGAGGTCCAGCAGGCTGCCAGTCCCGACCATAACGTGCCACGCAAGGCTTCCGCGAAAGTCAAACTGCCACTACCGCTTCAAGAACATGATTCCCAGGCGTCAGTGCCACAATCATCTCCAATTGCCAAATCGCCAAAGCAGCCACTGTCATCACCTTCGGCGAGCATGAGCCCTTCACACAACAGCGCCACTGTGAAAGAGATCGACCAAGACGACGATCCCGATGGATTTGGGGATCTTCTGGACTATCACATTCGAAAGCAAAATGAAGCGTTGACAAAGGCAAAGCTAAAAGGGTCGTTAATGGAAACTTTTGGGCTTCAAACGCAGCACCGGCGAGACCGCTCTCTACGGTCTCTGCAATCACTTCCCCCTATAGACCCAGGACAACAGACGTACGACCGCGCATGTGAGGAAGTACAAATAGGTGCGCTCAGGAGCATGCCCAAAGCTCGAGATGGTGACTCAGTCTGCGATAGGGAGCATCAATTCAATACATGGGACCGTTCACCACGGAAGGTTCGGCAGGCGGCGTTGGAGTCGCTCAATAGACGGACTGCAGCACCACCAGCACCACACCTACGAAATGGAGTCATTGGCGACCGGCAGCCGAGTACCCAAGCAGAGGGCCACACCTCAGCACCAGGTACTGTGCGTGGTAGTGAGGATGCTTTGGTGCCCAACAGCGAGGATGAGAGCTCAGTGGTGGGCTCGCCTCAACCCAAGTTTGACCTCAGTGTGTTTTCATTTGTATCGGCGTGATTGATTGGGTTCCTAGAGTTAGCGGCGTTCTGCATGGTGTTTGATTGTTCTTTAGCGGAGCATTGTCTTACGATGTGGAAGGTTTGGATTGGTTGTCTAGAGACTCGTCTGAGGCGTTGGGCGAGCGTGACGAGATACAGTAGTGATGACCATTGGCTAGGAGTAATCAGCTGTAATGCCTCATGAGAACTGAAGTGATAACGCCGGCTGTTGGACACTTATAGGCGCGTGGGAACAACTTGCACAAAGCGAACAAGCACAATCAACCACGAGCTCGTCCTTGACAGCGTGACACTCGGCACAGGAAGATGGACAGCGGCTAGCCCTGACGTCATTGTTTGGCTCTAACTTGATTTGGGATTCGTGCAGCCTTCCTCGCCCAGCCTTGCGGAACTCCCTCCACCGCAGTTTTCCTGCCACCAGATTAATTTGTAACGATTCATTCACTCATCAGCCCAGCCTCATGGATTCCAACATGGCAGATCCGTGAAACCCAATCATAGCCGCAACAATCCCAGTCTCGAGATATCTCCAAGGACTAAATCAAGCTACGCCTCTCTCCCCTTCTTCCTCTTCCCTCCTTTACATACAACCTACTCATCTGTCTGCCGGAAGAAAGACCCAGGCAGCTAACCATTCTATTCCTTCAGGACTCTTGACTTCCGCGAAATACTACGAGTTCCTTCGTACCGACATTTTTAATACCACACCCTCCCACTTCTCTACGCTCCGACCATCACCCCGAGTCTGCATTGACCACGTCTTGCACCGGCCCAAGTGCCAAAGCTCGTACTCGTGCTGAGTTTCAACCCGGAAAACCGTCCTCACGGACGGCAAGCACACCACTGAAACACATCTGGAGGGCATTGACCTTGACAAGACACCGACACCATGGCCCTACGATTCAAGACAGGATGGAGGAGATTTGTTCCCTTCATAGGATATCACCATGTTCTCATGATATTCATAGCCATCGCCATCATCCTATTATGTGAGTCGCATCATCCAGGCCTCCCAGCCGTCCCTCCAATACTGACTGACTCTATCTAGCACTTCTACTCGCAGGCTGCTCCTCAACCTCCCCTCTGATCCCGGACATCTACCTCATCTCCCTCTACTACCAACAATACCCACCCGTCTTCTCCAGCGTGCAAGTCGACCCCTCCGTCACCACCGCCATCGCAAACATCGTCGCAGGCGCAGACCTCAACGTCCGCGTCGGCTACTTCGGCATCTGCATCCGCGTCGACCGCGGCGCCTGGATGTGCAATCAAAACTCAACCGCACTGGCTGACTTGGTTTCTGTGGATCAAGACCCGCTCAATCTGATATGGGTGGCCAGCACGTTCAAGAACGCCATTGTGTTTCCCTACCTGCTCATCATCGCCGTGGTGCTGGCGTTCCTGACGTTTGTGCTTCTCGCGACATTCCCCGGCTGGCATACCAGCACCGGACCCGATGGATCGGAGCACGAAGTCCGACCATTCCCCTCACGAGCTGTCTCCCAGGTGGCGTTGGCAACGATATTCATCTCCTCGGTGTTTGTGCTTGTCAGCGTCATGTGGCAGCACACTGCGGCCGTGGCGGCGAGCACGGTCGCACAAGACCTAGGGAATGGGAGTGTCAAGTCCGGCGTTGGCACGGCGGCCATGGTGCTCGGGTGGTTTGGCTTTGGATTGCTCGTCGTCGTGACGTTGGGGCTGTTGGTCATGATATTGAGTATTCAATTACTAGACCGGTTGACTGATGAGGTATGATGTTTCCCGTTGAAAAGCCACAAAAGTTCAGGATGATGAAACTAACATCCAAGCAGGACTAAGAAAGATCTCATGTACAAAAGGAAAGCACGAAGCGGATGAAAGCGATGTTTTCATGTTTTAACGGCGAACCGAAAAGAATGCGAATCGACATCATTGATGCGAACGGAAAGGCTTAAGGCTGGACATATGTACAAGCCCTGCACGGCACGGCAGGCGGCGTTCCTGGACATAGACCTCCACACGGTTGACTCAGCGACACTGTTTTGCATTTTCACGGCGGGATGGGACCCGGACTGGAGACCGAAAAATTCAAAGACCATTCACATGAATTGGATGCGTGCATATGTGCATATCGGGTGACAGGGGTGCAAGCTACAAGTAGATTGGTGTCAAGATTGCCGTATTCCTGGCAAGGGACGGATGACTTGTGATGAGATGAGCTGAGATGAGCTGAGATGAGATGATATACCTGGTGCCAGCTGTTACTGCTAGTTGGAAAGCATAGAATGGGAATATGTAGGCTCCATACGGAGGAAGAAGCGTTCGCGAGGAGGATACGCCAGTACTTTACGGAGTGTGGACTACTGAACAGTGAATCGAATGCTTCGTGGTCAGGCCCACGAAAATCCCAATTTGCCATCATGTCCAGAGCCAGACTTTGAAAGCAGACACTACAGCCAAATCTAAGATATCTCAGGCGGGAGAGAGAGACAGAGAGCGCGGTCCCTACGTCGTACTCCTTGTACATAGGATGGCAGCACACGTCCCTGCGTGGATCCATAATTCGTACTTGGAACACACCATGCAGACAGACAGACATACACTGAGCATCGTGAGAGCCATGGGGCCATTAAGTCATAGGGTCATAGGGTCATAGTGCCACAGATAGGGATCATTGTTCGTCGACTACGGGTCTACTCGCAACAATCCTGACAATAGACCCTGTACTCCGTGTCCCCACCGTCAATCCCATGCCCTTGCCTTCGCGTACAAGTTCTGCAGGGAGACGGGAAACCCGCTGATCGGCAGCGGAGCCGCCGAGTCCCTAAACCGCACAGCTACGAGCAGGGACTTTGTCTCTGAAGGCTCGGTGAAGTGGACGGGGACGCGAAACGCGCAGCCTGCGTCTAGGACTTGCTGCTTGATGGTCGTGAACGCGGGGACCTCAGTCCAAGGCTCGTGCTGCATGGACGGCGAGATCGAAATGCCTCTCGACGAGGCGGAGAGCTTTGTCCAGGAGAGCCCCGTCACTTGATTGAGAAGGCGGCTCAACTCGCCGCTGCCGTGGCGGAGTCGCGTTCGTATAGTGCCTTGGATCTCGGTGGGGACGATTTCGTCCTGGGCTCCCGGTGCTATGGGTGTAGGGGTCGTGGGACTCAAAGGTGCTTCTGCGTCCGGCTCGAAGTAGAACAGACTCGCCAGCAGAGCGGTCGTAACGTGGCCGATTCGAGCCCTCCAGTCTGGCTCTTCCATCTGACGCTGCACCATTGCCTCCAGGTCATCCATCTTCTGCCATTGGTAGAGAGCGACCTTTTGGAGATCCTCGTCGATAGGGGGATTGAGTCGGTGGAGGCGATCCCGGATGCCATCGGTGGCGCCGCTCGACCAGAAATTCTCCCACTGATTCTCACAGTCTAACTGCTCGTGGAAAGTCTTGCAAATCTCTGCGAAACCTCCAATGCGGATCGCCTTCGGGATTTTGACTTCGGACTCCTGAATACCCGTTCCTAACGAGAGCAGAACGTCGAGCGATGGTGTGTTCTCTGGCCAGATCTTCTTGACCTCCTCAACGGCGCCCGGGGCCGGACAGTTCATATACAGGGCCCCATCAAAGTACACATTGCCGGTTTCGGTCTTCTTGAAAGGAGGCAGGTAGAATGGAGCGGCTGATGTTGCGAGCCCAGCCTCCCAGATTTTCATGCCCCTACCTTCGTCGTCTTCGCGGTCAAAGTCATTACCGGAGCCCAGCGTGGCTCTGTTGTAACTGGTGATTAGATGGGCCCTTTTGCCGAACTCTTTCGTCGTCACCACCGCAACTCTCGTCGAGCATTGATGATGTCGAGTACGCGCGGAACTGAACAAGCTGGTGTGCTCGCCGAAAAACCGCTCGAGTCCGGCCTGCAAGGGGCTCGAATCAAATTGTGCTTGATATAGGCGGAAAGACATGACCACACTCGTCACAAAGTGACCGAGGCCCAGCCTCTCCAGCAGTCTGCCAGACCGACGATGGAGAAATGTGGCTGAAGCAAAAGACTTGAAAGCCTTTGTGAGCACGCTGGTCCGCGTGTCGGCATCTTTGTCGCCCATCGAGATAGCTAGGCCAACAATCCCTCCTGTACAGAATGTTAGATGGCCCAGTCTCAGAACCGGGGGCATCATTGCTTCAATACTCACCGGTACTTGTGCCCACCACTAGATCAAAATAGTCGCGAAAGGGGATTCCTAGGGCGAGCTTGTACTCGATCTCCTGGATAAGAGCAAGCTCAATGATACCGCGGATCCCGCCTCCGTCGAGAGTCAGGATTCGGACACCGGCGCAGCATGGCGGCTCTCTGATTAAGTGCGAGAAGTTTTCCCCCGTCCTTCTGCAGCAAAGAGAGCAAACCTCGAACATCCAAGCAGATTCGAAGGACTCGGATGGTTTTCCCAATTCGCGCACGCATCGAACACAGTAGCCATGCCCGCAATGCAGGACATTCTCTGGCACTGCCTGCAAGCACGCGAGGCAAGTGGTGTTGCTTGTCATGTCGAGCCAGTGTGACCAGTACTTCTGCATGACAGCTTCCCGAACGCGTTTGATCTTATCTGGATGAGGCCTCCGCATTGAACGTCGTCCACTCCGGTCTTCCGTCACCACAGTATTGTAATGATCCAGGAATTTGCCACGGATCAAACCCACCAGGTTCGGGTCTAACACTTGTCTGAGGACGAACGACCCATTGGCTTGCTTGTTGTTAGGCGAGAGATGCAGTTGTTGATGAGCTATCACAGGACCGTTGATGCAGGGTTCACAGCTCGCGAACTTAAAGCCGCACTGCTGGTACTTCGCCTCGAATTCCCTGATGGCAGAATGACATTGATCCGCCACCGAAACGTCGTTCTCGTCCTCTGGCGGCACGGAATCGAAGATGTGTTCAGGATCCGCCACTAGAGACAGAGGTCAGACAAGAGGAGGAACCGTGCAGTGAAGGGGTCTGTTACCTTGGTGGAGGTTTCTCATAGCCCAAACAACAAGATTTAGGGCTATGATATCAGGTATCATGGCTTTCGTTTCCCTAGAATGTATTGTATTCATGGCAAGCCGGAGGAAGTTGGCAATGTGGCCAAGGACCGAATGAGGCTTGGGCCTGCTTATCCTGACTACCTGGTTGAAGTTGAATGGTTTGTCGCTGGTTCGGAAATGCTCAAAGGCTGCAAAGAGCATTTGGGAGAAGGAAGCGACATCGTATGTCATCCAGACCTGCGACCGCATGCTTACCGCTCGTCGAGACGCCTCGTCAATCAGCGTCCGCAAACCCAGATACTGAGCGAAGGCCTTCTCGTCGCGGTATTCTTCGATATCATCGACGCGTGGGATGCAAAAGCAAAGCGTTCGATCGAACAAGACATCGTACAGATCTCGGTTGTCATAGATGTGTTTGCTATACTTGTCCTGCCGGCGGTTGTAATCGTTGACGAAGGTCTGCAGTATGCCAGATCTTCTCCATAGGTTGACTGTCTGCCGGTCTAAGTAGAGTCTTTCTAGTGACTCAGTATCGATGATCTGCTGACGCTGCCCAACGGCTCCGTTCCGGACGATGATAAGAGTCTTCCGGGAAGGGTAGTTGACAGAATGTAACACTGCCGTTGCCGCCCACTCGAGCGCGCTCGTGAGGAGGCTCGTGATGTTCTGGTCCTCGTTGGTTACAAAGACAACAACGTCGCTGATGGAGTAGAGGAATCTGGCATAGTATGACTCTGCTCTTCCCTGTCCGTCTTGGGTGGAAATATTTGCTGTCACGGGTTCTTTGTATAGGAGATTGGCCTCCAGAGCATCTTCTTCAGCGGGCGTAATGCCTTGGCCACTGGTTAGGCGTTCGGCATTCGTCTGAGCAGCGCCAGTAAAGAAGCCTTCACAATCCGCGAAGAGAGTATAGCCGGCTGGGCTGGACGGAGGTCCCCGCAAGGGTTTCTGGTCCTTGTAGAGATGAACGCCGAACGTGGTCGGATCTGCAAGATGGTCGACATGTCCTGATCTCGTCACAGGCAAAGGACCTTGAGAAGAGCTGACGTTGCTGAAGGCTGTCAAGCGGCTGTGATTTGACGCCACCACAGAGATGTCATCGGTTCCTACCTTCTGCGCATCGAGACTTCCCAACAGCAGCATCGCTCTTACCAATGTGCTCTTCCCCACGCCTGATTTTCCAATAAAGGATACAATTGTTGGGAAGGTGCTCGACGCGTCGGCGCTGTCACTGGCGGGAGAATCACATAACGGAGCGAACCGGTCATAGATATAGAGGTAAGGCTGGGAGTTGTGGTGACGGATATTGAACCATCGCGTGCTGGCGTTCTCCTCGTGTAGCTTCCGCAGCCGTCTCGGTTCGTCCTCTGATCGTATCACATCCTGGACGAAAAAGTGCTGCGTAGACACGCCCAACGCAACGTGTAACAATGCGTCGCTATGGCTCCGAGGGAGGTGGTTATTCCAGCAAGTCCCATGCCGCTGGCAGTCCTTGGTATTACAGGCTTCAGTGTGGCAATAGAGGGAGTAGTAATCCTGACACTGCTTGCTCTTCGAGCACCGAGCAGCCCATCTCCAAGGGATACTTCGAGTGCAGTGACATTTGCATACCGACAATTGGTCCTGAGCATGTCAGCCTTGCAACCAAAAGCATCATCAATGATCGAAAGGTCTCACCATTATGGTCATTCACCAGCAAGGAGATGAAGCGCCTTCCGGCTTGGCTTACAAGCAGTTGTTCCTCACGAATGCCGTGTTTCTGGCATATGCCGCCCAACGTATATCTCGGAGGCTCTCCTCAGTCGGAGAGCAACAGGAACGATATCGTGATGAAAACGCCGTGTCCTTAGCAGACCGTCCATTGTTCATCGGGCGCTTTGAAGACGCTACCTCACGCTATGTGCCTGGCACACTGTTCCATGGCTGCGCTCCTGCCCAGCGGTAACATTGCGAACCTCACTGGCGAATTGGGCCGGGCCGCGACCCAGCGAGGAAGGCGACACGGCTGCATAACGGCGGGTTGCGGCTCCGCCTAAAAGGCAGACATATCGTCTGGGCATTGATTGTGGGTGTATTCGATGCGGCTGATTGTGGCTAGCTGAAGCCAAGCTGATAGTATCCGCCGCCTTTCGTGTCCTCTCGATTATTGGTTTCAGGCTCCGTGGAGACGAACTTTCGTCCTCGTGCGGGATAACCCGGTACATCATCACGACCGCCCAACCCCTGCACGCGCGCACAAACCCGGCATGCGTCCAGTAGAAATCTGGCACTTTGGCACCAGAGGTTCAGAAGCATCGAACCTGTCTGCCTTCTCCTGTTGCCAATGGGGAATCATGGGCTTCGCGTAAACTTGCTATCCAGCTTCTCGCGTCAGGCAAAATCGCGATCAAGCCTTGTTTATCACGTTCGCCATCACATTCTAGTCCGAAGAGGGCTAGCGAAGACACTCTCCCTCCCTTCCGAATGCACCCCCTTTGTTTCTCCGTATTACTCCGTATTCCCGGTCTGTAGTCGTACCTCTCAAGTTGCATCTTTGAGGCTGAAGAAATACGAGGAAACGTCTCTTCACCGGTTATGCCGAGCGCCTGTGGTTAGAGACAAGACTAGCATCCCGACACCCATGTCCGGCCGCTGCTGGATATACAGCAATGTCTCAGCCAAGTGTTGGTGCACATTTCAGTCCGAAAGGCGAGCCTGCTGCGATCTCGCCATGGTCTAGATTTCCTTGTCCGCGTTTCGGCGTCGGAACTGAGGCAGTGCTTCGTAGTTATCCGGATAAGGGTCAGTGCCATCGCCAGTGTAACGGGAGGGCTTGACGCCGCAGCAAAGCTCCACAATCCTGACCAAGATCAGGATCGTGAAGGTCATGGTGAATGCGTAACAGAGGCACGCCGTTATATCCACGGCCTGATCGCTATGGAGGGTCAGCATATAATCGCCTGAGCACAGCGGGTGTCCTTACCGAAATCGAGCACCCATCGTTCGATCCACAAGTCGACTGTAACCATCGAGGCCAGTGGTTTCGTTGCTAGAATACCCGTTGTCAGCTCCTCATCTACTTCCAGGCGTGATCCGATCAGGGCATACTCTGCAAAGAAGGCCGTGAGTAACATCCCGGTAGCTCCACCACCTGCATGCACAGCGAAGACGAAGAGCCTGTCCTCTCGCAACAGAAACGTGCTGAAGATAATTCTCAGGATCTTGCACACAACGGCAGCGACAACGCCGAATACAGAAGCGTACTTCACAGGAACCTGCTGTTTGTCAGCCGGGCCTGGGTCAAGGAGAGGGAGACGGCGCGAGCTTTTAGGATATACTCACATATCCTGCGGCTGGTGTAATGGCCACCAACCCAGCAATCACGCCGTCACAAAACTCTTGGATGGATGGTGTGTGGAACAACTGGTCAGGGTCTTCGGCGATTCTGTCCAGACGGATTGCGCCCCATTGGAGAAGTAAGCCGATTGTACCTCCTGCACAGGCGGCTGTCTGAGTCGCCAGGCAGGCTGACACTGCACGTAAATTCGCACCAAGGGCTGAGCCCCCATTGAAGCCAAACCATCCTATCCAGAGCAGAGCAGTGCCGACGACCATGTGGTTGATACTGTAGGGCAATTGTGCTTGTTCCATTTCCAGGTCACTTTGTCGTGGTGGTGGTGCTGCGGAAGGTTGTTGCTGTGGGTTTGGCGCTCCTCCATGGAAACCTGGGTGCGTCTCCCCAGGCGCGGTTGTTAGTTCCACTTCGTTGCCATGAGGCAGAGGCGCGAAGGAGAGCCATCTCCAGATCCTCCACGTCTTGACGTCAAGCTTTGCCGTCCGATTTCCAAAGGTGACGGAAGCAGTCCAGTTTCGAGCTTCGACTTGTGCGAAGACGGCAAATGCAGCCACTGACGAGCCCGAACAGACGTGGACGGCAGTGCCACCGGCGAAATCCATGGCGCCTCTCAATTTTGACCACCCTTGTGGATGCCACGTCCATCTTGCTATCGGGCAGTAGACAAGAGTTACCCAGAGAGTAATGAAGAGGAGGAACCGGCCGACCCGCATCTTACCCGCTGCTCCACCAGCGACCAAGCTTGCGCTGGAAAAGAAGCATGAGTCCACGGACAGAAAGCCGAGTGAATGAATACTTACGTGAAACACGCAAACATGCCTTGGTAGAAGACGTATACCATTTCAGGAATCTTGCGTCCCCTCATGGAATTCGAATCGGGTCCTTGGATGCCCACGGGTCGAGCAGTAACGTCGAGATAAGCATTGGCCTTCATATCTCCGCCGTACCATGAAACTCCGCCGAAGGTGGTGCTGTATGTCGCTGGGGAAAAGGCCAGGCTGTAACCCCAGGTGTACCACTGATCGACTGTCAGTCATTTACTGTGTGCTTCTGCTTCTTTGTACTTACAATGCATCCCACAGCAGCCGTGGTGATCAGCGGTAGCCGCACCAGCGTGAGCGTTTTTTGCGGCCTTGATATGCCTGAGAAATGAAGACACAGACCGGCAATCATGAGAAAAACGAGTACAGACGAAGACATCATCCAGCCAATGTCTGCGCCCTTCAGATCAGTTAGAAGCAAAGATCAACCCTCTGGGTGGGCAGGACACTTTCCTCAAAGTAGAGCTCGGGACTGGATTTCAACTCTGCATAAGTGGCCGTTACGTTCATCTGAGGGGCGGCAGGCACAGGCCCGAAGGTGAAGACTTCGTCCATCGCCATCGTTCAATGCGTGGGCGAGCGTCCGGTTGTAATTGTCTGTAGTTGAGAACAGGTCGGACTCTAGAGGAGATGGTCAAATATGAAGCCATGGCGGATTCCTCCCGAAAGAATGCTGCCTTCCGCACGCCTTCTTGGAGACGATGCCCGCACCTCGCTCTGGGGTGCTTGGCTGGGGCTATTGCATGGACAGCATGCCGGATTGGGATAGCCCTGTCTCGCTTGGTCCGCATTGGTCGCGTGGCTTGCAGGGTTGCCAAAAGGCAGCTAAAGACCACCACTAATCCAACGGTCCTGCAACCCAGCCTGCGGATCCATGGCGTGGGACTCGGCGCGTGGAAACGTGAAAAGGCGAGCTCGTCCGCCGGAGCGATCGTACACCATGTCCCGCGAGCGCCAATTCGACCTCGAAGCCTCGAGCACTTTCAACGCCAAAGCCCGGTGGGTGAGACATTCAATTGCAAGAATACCGTAGCCCGATGACCTACTTTGCCACTGTCGGTTGCAAAGTCAATGTCGGTGACGTCGGCTTCGGGGCCTTTCGCGAATTCCACGCTCGTGTTATCGAAGAAGGCATTCACCAGAGGCGCGGAGGAGGCGGCTGACGCCTTGCAGCACAATCCTTGCATTTTATCCTGGTGCATGTCGCACCAATGACAAGCCGTGGCTCAAACCTGTAGATCAACGGTTGGAAACCTCGTCAATCCGCCTTCATCCCATGGGAATAGCTCACCACAGCAACTCGCAGACCTGTGAGGCCACCAACACCACTAATCGGTCTATCACATTGCCTCTATTGCTCATATCAGTACTAGAATGACCCTAAGACATTGTTGATCTCCTTGATATCGTCGACAGATATAACCAAGATGAACCTTCAAAATGGTGTCGCACACCTTGCCCAAGAACCTCAACTGTACACGTTCGGGGATGAACCATGGACCCAGGGAGTAGCTCATTCATTTGAGGTTGGACTTGCCGCCTCTGACGGCAACGAACCTTCCGAGGTGACCAGATGCATCGCAGCCATCCGACTTGTTCAGTCAGACCAGGAGAGACTGGATAACTTCCGAGTGCATTCTCCAAGACTTTACCATCGGCTTCTCCACGAAGAAGCGGCTCAGTTGCTTCCCCGTCCAGAAACTGGCATGACTGCCGGGTCGCTGCGTTTCGTCATCCGATTCCTGAACGGGACGATTGACCTGCAAGGCAACAAAGAAAGACAGAGTTCTAAGTTTCTCATGTGGCTGGCACAAATTTGCATCACCCTGTGGAAGTACGACTGCAATAGACAGTTGTTTGTGGACCTGGAAGAACGCGTCCATGAATTCGTATGTAACGACATTTTTCAGCCCTCGGAAAATGACGCGGCGTATCTTGCGATCATCGCGTTCGTTCTTGGTGGACGTATGAACGACAAACTGCACGAGTATGTCGATGCTGTGGTGTGGCACTCGAGGGCCGACTTTGCGTCCGTGATATCACCCTTGCGGAGAGTGATCATCCGTAAGTTCTCATGGCTTGGTCACCGCCACTGACGCCGGCTGACTCCAACTAGGCGAGCGACAGGCACTGCTGGAAGTTATTTTCGGTCGGTTTTGCCAGATCCTGACCAGTCTGGCGTACAGCGACGATGTCCGAATGAGATCTCTAGGAGAGACACTGCATAAAGGCTTCCAAAATGCCACAAATCCGCAGATGGATTTTGGCAAGCCATACGCCCACTCGCGCCATATCGACTGCGCAAGATACCCGGAGATCCTCCAGACAAGGCTATTCGACGCCTTGGGTTCAGAGCGCACAAGGTTGATGGACAGAGCACCGAGTATTGCGTCGAACCACTCAGACACGAGCAGCAAGCCGATCAAGCAGGAGCTTACACGATTGGGGGGTGGGATTCCCGCGATCAAAGGCTTGACAAGGAAGGTCACCGGGATGAATCAAGAGTCTCCTCCGCCATCTAAAAGGCCCGCCGAACGCATAACCGCTATCATCGCGGAATCAGAGAAAATAATAGGCGATAGAAGGGAGAGGATAGAAGACGCAGTGAAGGAGTTGATAGAAGACAGGGATGACAGATATGATAGAGGTCTAGGGCGCCCTTCTGCTGAAGAGGGTCAGATGGAGATACAGGGACTGGTCCAACGGAAGGATCTTCCACATGAGTTATGAATCGTATGAGCGGGATGTCAAAAGAAAGAGAGAGATTCTGGCAACGGAAGGGGACATGGCGTGTTCCATGTAGATGTCGAGTTAAACTATTTGCAAAACGTAATGAATACCGCATGATGAGCCGGAAAGAAACACAAATCGTGGCTTTACCCTGCGAGCCTGAGTCCGAAAAGGCGCTTGTGCGGGTTTGTGCCCCGCCGTGCCATCGGTGCGTGGTGGTACGGCCCAGCAGTTGGTACGACCAACGCCGTCCCGCATCCTGCATGTCCCATACTCAGTACATGGTGCTTGTGCTTGGTCAAGGACGACGGCGTGATGGACAATTTGAGTGTAGGAGGCGCAACGAATGGGCGGGAGACGTGGTCAACCCGGTCAGATTGAATATACCTATGTCTCTACTCGTCGCACTAGCGCTCCAAAGGCTTGGACTCATTCACCGGCACTTCTCTCATCCTTCTTTGGTGCGACTGGCGCTGTGTCGAAGAACTTCTGGGTGAGAAGAGCCGCCGCCACACTAACGTTGAGGCTGTCAATATCTCCTACCTCGGGTCTCGCATTGGCGATACCGGCAACACCGTCCACCATCGTGCGCATGAATTCTCGAATCCCGGATTCTTCATTGCCAAGGACGAGCACGCAAGGGTGTTGTAACAACGCGCCTTCCGCCTTTAGAGGCTCCTGGAGTCCTTGGTGCATGTCCCGCCTCATTCGGATGTCAGCTGTCTCTGGCGCATCCGCCGCGAAGAATTTCCATCCATTTCTACGCGAGAGCTTGATGAATTCTCGCTCGTTCTTGACGTGAAGAACAGGCATATACTCGAACGCTCCGGCAGAAGCTTTCACACTATTCGTCGTGATTGGCGCAGTACCGTGCTCCAAGACGAGGACTGCATCAACGCCGAGATACCAAGCAGAGCGAACGATGGCGCCAAAGTTGCCGGTGTCGGTGATACAATCGAGCAGCAGCATGAAAGGATATCTGTGAGTAGGCCGAACGGATGGAAGCGTTGCTTTGTTACCCGACACGTCGAAGATGTTGTTGATAGCCTTCTCCTCCTCAGATGCCCATCCCACAGATACCGTGATCGCATCAGATGGTAGTTTGATGGGAGACAGTACCGTCACGGGTAGCTTCGGAACCGGAGAAGCCTCCAGAATCCAGCCGTTGTGCGGTCGTCCGTCAGATGCCTTTGAAAAAATCCCTTGCCAACGGGGTCCCGACACGGCTTCCACATGTACTCCAGACTCTTCGGCAAGGTTGCTTATCCTGTTGTGCAGCCGAACCTCCTCTGGCGACTGCTTTGGTTGCATGGCTCTGGCTCGCTTCGTGTCAATGCCGTAGCCAGGTGGCAGGAGCCTGTAGAGCTTGTAGAGCTGTCTCCGCCGAGCTGTAAGTGCTGCCAGAACCGAGAAGGTGCCATAGAGAAATTCTGACCCTGCTGTCGTGTAAGGCATGGATGTTGGTACTTCGCCCCGGTGGCGCTTCGGCGTTGTGCCTTGCGCATCTTGTTCTGTCTGTAAGGTTCTTGGCCCCTTTCGTGTCTTCCGCCCACTGCGTCGTTCATGGCCAGGAATTAATACGACTTTCTTCGCCTTTTCCTCGACGGCTGCTCCTACTGTGCTGGAACCCTCCTCGTCGGTGTGGCCGGAGACTTCTCTAGCTCCGGCATACTGGTCTTCGAGCCGACTCCTGCCGCGCTGCGCATGTCGGATACCTTTCTCGATAGCGCCGGTCAGGGATATGCAGCGTGCATGGTGAAGGGGAAAATTGGTTCTGATGGACGCAGCATGGCGGAGTAGAGGGTGAGAGAGCGACAGCATCCACGGGTAGCTCAAAACTTGGATCAACGATTCGCAGGAGGAGGAGGAGGAGGAGGAGGAGCTCTGCGGTGCGTAGGAAATGGGTGAGTTGCAGTTGAGGCGAAAATCAATTTGGAGTGACGCGGGACGCGTCTTCACTGCGCGATGCTTCCTCTAGCCTCCAGCTCGCTTTCGAGTCTGCCATCTCACTGCGGCCTCGGTCCTCCTCGTTTAACCACGGTCCAATGTACGGTAGAGGACCACATGTGTGCGTTCGCTCCCTTCAACTTACGTGAACTGAGTCGCCCAGTTGTAGGGGATCTTGACTCTACTCTTCCGCGTCGCGTTCACGGGCGCATCTTTTTCTTCCCCGCATGCTGCAACTCAACGTGATGAATGGGTTAGATCTGTCCGAATGGGTCGGAAAGCCACCTGACAACCCACGCAAGCCCGAAGAACACGGAGTTCCTGCCGAAGACGCTACCGAAGCAATCGTTCAAACCCCTGTCGATGGAAAAGGTGTCGCGGTCGAAGAATTTGAGGATGACACCTCGTTTGCTCCAGATGAGCAGGCAGAACCGTCACACTCAGATGAAAGTGACGGAGGAGATATTGTGCACGACTACAACATTACGAACACCAAACCACGAGGAGCACCTGTACTGAGCCCCGACACGTTCCCGAGTGACGAAGATGGAACCGAGGACGACTACGAAGAGGAACCTCCCTCACTTGGGTTGTTCCAAAAGAAGTTCTATGTCGATGTGCCCAGGTTGGCAGACGAAGTCAAAGAGACGTATGACTATCTGCCTGGACATTTCGCCGTCGAAAGTGTACTGTCTCAGCGAAAAGACAAGCGTTATGTCGTAAGGCTAGAGAGCGGCGAAAAAGATATCGTAAGTGCCCTCTCACTGTCGCCGTGGTTATATTTAAGGCCTGAACATATCCTCTGACTCCTCTCCCACATTCAAGACTGGCCCTTCTTCGTTTCCTTCACTCTCCTACCTCCGTTCTCTTCTATTGTCTCATCTCGGTATCTAGGCTTTCCCGGGTGCTCCTGTTCGATTGGGTCATCATCGATGAATCGCTGACGTTGCCTGCCGGTCAGGTCTCTGCCCGTAGGATACACGAGCTGGACAACGGTTATGACGCGCTGCGAGCGTTCGAGGACAGTCAGCCGCAAGCCAGACGACCATCCCAGAGGGATCCAGCCATGCTAGACTGGAGCACGGTTCCCTTAACAGATTCAGGAGAAGACTCGCCGCCCCGGCGACGACGAAAGAGCGCAGACGACAGCGATGCTGAACCTGGAGAATTCGAAGAAATCTCAGAGGCGGATGAAGAGGACGGTGTTTCAGAAGAAGATGCACACAATGGTCGCCGCTCTGCACGACTCAGCAAAATCAGGACGACAGCCTATCTCAAGCAAGAGCTTGATGACCTTCAGGACGTGACGCATGGCCGCCTAAGAAGGAGTGCGAGGGGCACCACAGGCAGATCAACCCGGCGACCGAAGAGAGCGTCGACGCGAGTATCGATACGCCCTCAGCGTAGGTCGAGAATGAGGAGGGACTCGTCTCCGGAGACAGATGTGGCGCCGCCAGCGCGCCGATCCGAGCGCACCCGGACGCAGCCGAAACGAAGTATGCGCGAGAGACAAGAGGATGAGATCTCAAGCTACGAGGACGAGAAAACAGCCCCAAAAGTCATCAGCACCAAAGAGCACTTCGTCAAACTACCTGACCACGATCCTTTCAGACGGAGGCATCGGCAGGAATGCGAGACTTGTTACTTCAAAGGAGACGACCCAGGGAAGGGACCTCTAGTCTTTTGTCAAGGCTGCACCAATTCCTATCATAAGAAATGTCTCGGCTTTCGGGGCACGAGAGACCACCTTGTCACGAAGGTCGGGGAGCAACTATTCGTTCTGCAATGCAGACGTTGCATCGGCCTTGCTCATGACAAGGAGCGTATGGCGCCACACCAGGGACGTTGCACCAGCTGTCGTGAATATGGTGAACTGTCGAAGCCATTAAGGGGTCGTCTTACCACTCGGCAGGAGCAGCTGCAAAGAGAGGAGAATGGGGGAACGGATCCGATCACAATTGTTGAGTCTAGGCTCATCAACAATCCATCGCTGGTCATGTTCCGTTGCTCACAGTGTTCTCGTGCATGGCATATGCATCATCTTCCCAGGCGTCAGACAGCCCATTCACTCGACGACGAAGATGAGGATATGTTGGATGAAGCGCACCTAGCGCAGAAACGGTTCGAGCATTACCATCGGTCTTGGGTGTGCAAAGACTGCATCGAAAATCAACACCAGATTGATGCACTTGTGGCGTGGCGCCCTGTCAACCTGGATTCTTATCACCCGGGAACTGTTCTCACGAAATTGCCTGAAGATGAGAAAGAATATCTAGTCAAGTGGCGTACACAGTCGTACTTTCGAACGACCTGGATGGCGGGAGACTGGGTCTGGGGCATTGCTCCAGGTAGTATGCGCCTGCCTTTCCTCAAGAAGCCAGAGAATCAACTTCCGAAGATGACCACAACGGACGCCATCCCCGAGGAGGTATTCCGTGTCGATATTGTCTTTGCAGTGCGCTATTCGAGTGTTGTTCGCAATAGTACCAAGGAAATCGACCTTGCCAGGGCCAAAGAAGTTGACTCGGCTTATGTCAAATACAAAGGTCTCGGCTATGAAGATGCTATCTGGGAGAAGCCCCCTCCTCCTACCGATATTTACCGATGGAACGACTTCAAAGCTGCATACGAAGATTATGTCATGAAGCTGCACATCGCGATTCCCACCCAGTCGACCTTGAGACGACATCTGGCCCATATCCGAACATTGGATTTCGAGAAGTCGATCATGAAAAGGCACCAGCCAGCGAGTATGGTCGGAGGCGAGCTGATGCGTTATCAATTGGAGGGTTTGAACTGGCTTCTCTTCCAATGGTTCCAGAATCAGAACGCCATTCTAGCCGATGAGATGGGTTTGGGCAAAACGATCCAGCTAGTCTCTTTTTTCGCTACATTGGTCCAAGACCACAAATGTTGGCCTTTCCTCGTGGTGGTGCCCAACTCAACCTGTCCCAATTGGCGGCGTGAGATCAAGAAGTGGGCACCTTCTCTCCGGGTTGTGACCTACTATGGCTCGGCTAGGGCGAGAAAGCTCACGCATGACTACGAATTGTTCCCAAAGGACAAGGAAGAAGATCAGAATACACCACCAAAGCGGAAAGACAGGGAGGTCAAGGATATCAAAGCTCATATTGTTGTCGCCTCATATGAGTCTATCGTCGAAGAAAAGACCAGAAAGAGCCTCATGAAGGTGCCGTGGCAAGGCCTTGTCGTGGACGAAGGACAGCGTCTCAAGAGCGACCGAACACAAATCTATGAAATTCTGTCCAAATTCCGCTTCCCGTTCAAGGCCCTCCTGACAGGTACACCCCTTCAAAACAACGCTCGAGAGCTTTTCAATCTTCTACAGTTCCTGGACAAAAGCATGAACGCAGCAGAGCTGGAGGCCAAATACGCCAATCTCACACAAGAAAACGTGCCTGAACTGCATAATATGCTTCGAGAGTTCTTCCTGCGACGCACGAAGGCTCAAGTACTCACTTTCCTGCCTCCGATGGCCCAGATTATCGTGCCAGTCACCATGTCAACACTTCAGAAAAAGGTCTACAAATCGATCTTGGCCAAGAACCCGGAACTGATGAAATCGATCTTCGCGCGCGACGGTACTGCGAGCCAGAAGGAGAAACACAATCTGAATAACATCTTGATGCAGCTGCGAAAGTGTTTATGCCACCCTTTCGTGTATAGCAGAGACATTGAGGAGCGAGGAGCTGAAGGCGCCGCTTCCTTCCGGAATCTGGTGGATGCCTCCTCTAAGCTGCAACTCCTGGCCATCATGCTACCTAGACTGCAAGAGCGAGGGCACCGTGTTCTCATTTTCAGTCAATTTCTTGACAATCTCGACATTGTTGAGGACTTCCTTGACGGGCTTGGAATGCAGCATCGCCGTATCGACGGGAGTATCTCTGCGGCCGAGAAACAAAAACGCATCGATGAGTTCAATGCTCCAGATTCGCCATATTTTGCGTTCCTGCTCTCAACGCGAGCGGGAGGAGTTGGCATCAATTTGGCCACTGCCGACACCGTCATCATTCTCGACCCGGATCTCAACCCGCACCAAGATATCCAGGCTCTTTCTCGAGCGCACCGTATTGGACAGAAGCACAAGGTGCTCGTTTTTCAACTGATGACGAGAGAAAGCGTGGAAGAAAAGATCATGCACAATGGTCGCAAAAAGATGGCACTCGACCACGTTCTTATCGAGCAGATGGACAGGGAGGAAGACGCTGGTCGAAATCTTGCGACGATCCTCCGTCATGGGGCGCAAGCACTTTTCGAAGATGATCCTGCGGTGCAAGATATTGTCTACGATGACGTTTCGATTGATCGGTTGCTTGACCGTTCCCAGATCGAAGACACCAAGATTGATACAGAGAAGTCGGCCGAGTCGCAATTCAGCTTTGCTCGAATCTGGGCGAATGACAAGTCTGCATTGCAAGAAGACCTGCCCGACCGCACGGCAAATAATACCCCTAACCCTGGAATCTGGGATAGAGTCCTGCGGGAACGTGAGCGAGTGTTTGCCGAAGAACAGGCGCGGAAAGCTCAAGCGTTCGGCAGGGGCAAGCGCAAGCGACAAGTGAGCAATCCTAGCTTAGTGAGTGTGTGTGTGGCTGACACGAACAGACTGTCGACTACCGTCTGGGCGACCGCGACGGCGAGAAAGCAGAGCCAGAGGCCGCTGACGCCGAAGTCGCGCCAGGTGACCCTGATTACCGAGCGCACGAGCAGTCCGACGACGACGTGGCCACAGAGACTGACGCGGCCACGGAGAGTGATTCAGAACCAATGGTCAAACGAAAGGTCCAAGGTAGGGAACTCAAATCCTGGCCTCGCAAGGCAGCATAGTCGCCGATACTGATATGTGGTGAAATGTATAGCGAGGCCCTTCAGACGCGTCAGAGTACCCCTTGGACCAGCGCCGCACTTTAACGGCGACGGGGCGTTTGAGTACGGTCCCATCCACCAAATGCCGCCGGTGCACCAATGTTCCGCTTGCAACGAACAACATCCCATGGGTTGGTGCCGACTAAAATTGGCAGGCGTTGAGCATTGTGGTCTATGTGGCATTGCTCACCTCGGCCACAGTCGCACATGCCCACATCTCAGCAACGAAACGCAAGTGGCGACCTTGCTACAGACCTTGAAAGAAAGCACCGAGAGCCGAGAGCTGATTGAACAAGCGACGAAATACCTGCGCGGGGTACGAGGAGATCTCGCCCAGCGCAAACGAGCCAAAGAACGTAGGGAGCTAGAGGCTCTTTATCATCAGCAGTCTTTGCAGATTCCTTCGAATACTCAGTGACCTGGATTTCTAGGTGTCGAGCCGTCGAAACGGTTGCATAAGATGCGAGTGCCAGGAGGCAGAGACGGGATGGTTTCGCTGGAAACACGGGAGACATCACAAGAGGTGGCAGCATTATGCTCGATCAACAGGAAGGTCTTATGTGCTTGAGCAGGCACATTGTATGTAGTACTCCTACTCCGTACACATGCATCTAATTCGCTAGATCTACCAATGGTCAGCAATGATCTCCTGTTGATGGGTTGCCGAAGCACGGGACCGGACAAAGACCCCTACATACTCCGTACCGCAAATCTAGACCGTCGCTTGGAAGACGCGCATGCCAGGGGACAGTTGCGATACCCTCAGACACAATCTCTTGGCCTCTCGCGTACTTAGGAGGGCAAGGCCTTTGATGAAACGCACTGTGAAGCAGATCTGAAGTCGGATGTTTCCAAAGTGCATCTCCGAGCAGGACAAAACAGGCATGACGTGGGAGGCTGGCCGTTGGCGGAACCCCGGAGCTGAGGGAATGCTCAATCTCGCAAAGCACGAGCACAGCCTCCATGTCGACACGGTCGTGAGATTGTGTTGTTGCTTGTTATCATCATTGTGATTAGTACCATCGAAATAAGCCTACTCGAATGAGTCCTCATAGCGACCATGAAGAAGGACGCGCAAGTGACAGCAAAACCCGTGGGCAGTGGAGAATGCTCGTTCAGCACCGACTTGTTTGTGGGGGAGCGAGTGAGTGATGCACACCGGGAACGCGGTATGCAGGAGACCTGCAGAATGATGTCGGGTCCAGCAGAGGCAAGCAGGTAAGACGCTTGCCTGTACTTCCCTACGGCGGACGGGTACTCCGTACTCGAGACCAGACTCGAAATCGCTCCGTGTCTATGTATCTCGGAGACCGTCGTAGGAAACATCCGTTGTAGCAATACCGCAGAGATCCGACTGTTTGCAACCACGACCGTCACACGTATCCTCCGTACCGGCAAGGCAGATTCCGAACATCAGCGACCTAAACGACAGCCTCGTGAAGCCGCGACAGATGTTTGGTTGATGTTGGAACAGCAGTAATTTCCTGTGTGGTCTGCTCAGCCACGCGGCCCGCGAGAGAGCGAAAACCCCATAGGCACAACAAGTTCAGGGGGCCAAGGGCTCTTTGTTGAAAGCGGGTTAGCGGCTGGGGGCACGCATCTGGAATGCTTTTGACCCCTAGCTCGGCCTTGCGCGTCCAGCTCCGTAGCCTATCGCTTGTGTTCCCCACTGATCCTGCCACCACCACTCACCACGCAACTGGCAGGCGGCTGGCCCCCCATCCAAGACAGCGCTACCCCCCCAAAGCCCGGTGCCCACAACGGTGGAATCCCACCACTGGAGACGCCGCTCCTCCTGCTCTTGGGCTCTTTCTTGGGCTGCAGACGTGAGAGGCTCGTCTTTCTTGATCTCGCGGCGTGTCAAATCTTGCATCTCTCCCTGTTCCAGCCTCCGTCACCACTTCCTTTAACCTCCTTCACCACAATTCACGCTCGCTATTCAAGTCCAACTCGACTACGACGCCGACTGCATTCACGATCTCAATTGTCTTTGACGGCCTCTTTGTCACTGCGATCCCACGACGACCGCGACGATCCTCGCTGCAGCACGGGTGTCCCTGAGTTTGCCGCTCGTTCCAAATCCCGCATTTTGCCCAACCTCCCCTCAGAATCAATGACACCATCGACAGTCCACCTCGAATAACTCACAACCGCCGACGAAGATCGTGCTGCTCAAAGTCTAATCTGAATACAATAATACGACTTTTCACAGTGTCTCATTGTTTACTCATTTGAAGGTGCTCGCCCTGGTTGGCGCCCTGAATTACATTCACCCCCTTGAACACCAACTCAGTCTAATCGCAGACGCCACCTGCGACTCTTCTCACCATGCGGCCACAGAGCTCATTGTCATGGCTCCTCGCCCTCTTCACCGCCCTCTCGCTCTCACCTTCCACCCTCGCCGAGAACATAATCGAGTCGAACTCGTTAAACTCGTGCAAGAGCGGCTCCAATTTTACAGCAACGCTGTTCAATGTCGCATACACCCCTAAAAATAGCAGCATCGGTCTCAACATCAATGGCGTCTCCTCCATCGTGGGAAATGTCACGGCGCAACTGGAGGTAATTGCCTATGGATTCACCATTGTCAATGAGACACTCGACCCCTGTTCGATGGGTCTTGCAGGATTCTGTCCCATGCAGACGGGTCAAATCAATATCGAGACCAATATCGATGTGCCCAGCGATGTCTCCAAGCAAGTCCCAGGTATCGCGTATACTGTACCCGATCTGGACGGTGTGGTTCGAGTCTACGTCACCTCTCTCGATACGGGCGAAGTGATTGCTTGCATGGAGGCCGATCTTTCCAACACGAAAAGTGTCTACCAAAATGCCGTGGGCTGGGCTACTGCCATTATTGCTGGCTTGGGTCTCGTTGCGGCTGGTGTCACTTCCGGCCTCGGCCATCCCAATACTGCTGCCCATGTTGCGGCAAATGCTGTCTCATTGTTCGGCTTCTTCCAAGCTCAGGCTATAATTGGAATGACCTCGGTGACGATGCCACCTATTGTGCAGTCATGGACCCAAAACTTCCAGTGGAGCATGGGTATCATACGTGTTGGATTTCTGCAATCCATCGCGACATGGTACCAACGAGCAACAGGGGGTACACCAACTACCTACCTTTCTACCCTCAGCACATTCTCTGTCCAAGTCCAGAAGCGCGCCGTCAAGCGCTCCCTCGACACCATGGTGGCGTTTGCAACACAAAATCTTCGTTATCTCGCGAAGCGTCAGAGCTCGAGCGCGGGAACCGCAACTTCCACAGCCGACAACGTCAAGGTGGTTCGCGGAATCGATAGAGTCGGTTTTAGAGCTGGGATTGAGCAAACCAACATCTTCATGACCGGTTTGATCTTCTTCGTCTTTATCCTCTTCATGGTTGCCGTCCTGGTCGCTCTCACCAAGGCCATCCTGGATGGCTGTGCCAAGGCCGGCTGGATGAGGTCGGAGAGATTCTTGGAGTTCCGCAATGGCTGGAAGATTGTCATCAAGGGCGTTTTGTTCCGATTGGTAAGTCTAATTGATCCTGTGGCAGGCGCCCAGTTGCTGACAGGTACAGGTCGCGCTCGGCTTTGTGCAAATGTCCATCCTCTGCCTATGGGAATTGGTCGAGCGGGACTCCGCCGCCGAGGTTGTTTTGGCCCTGGTCGTCTTCATCTCCATGGCTGCCGCTTTGGGATGGGCCTCCTTCAAGGTCATCCAACTGGCAAAGAAGTCGGTCGCCATGCACAAAAACCCGGCCTACATTCTCTATTCCGACCCTGAATGCCTCAACAAGTGGGGTTTCCTTTACATCCAGTATCGCGCGACTGCCTACTACTTCATTGTGCCTCTCTTGGCGTACATCCTGGTCAAAGCTATCTTTATTGCCTTTGCGCAGAAATCGCCAGTCGCTCAAGCTGTGGGGCTCCTCATCGTCGAAGCCGTTGCATTGATCGGCACGAGCGTGGTGCGACCCTACATGGACAAGAAGACCAATATCTTCAACATCTCGATCGCCTCGGTCAACTTCCTGAACGCCATATTCCTCCTGGTCTTTTCAGATGCTTTTGGTCAGCCGGAGATGGTCTCGGGGGTCATGGGCGTTATCTTCGCCTTCTACAACGTCGTTTTTGCGGCGGTTCTTCTGCTCTTGGTGCTTATTGCCTCCATTTATGCAATTGCATCGAAGAATCCGGAAGTCAGATATCAGCCGATGCGCGACGACCGAGGTAGTTTCATCAAGTCCCAGGCCGCGCTCACCACCGAGTTAGATGCTCTGGGCGCAACTGCGAGACAAGATGGACAGGCGGGGTATGTCAAAGATAAAGGCTATGATGACGATGCTTCCTTTACAAGCGAGTCCCTCAAGCATCAATCTGAGATCTCCCAGCAACCAATGACGCAAGCTCAACCCTACCCTCCTCAAGACTACAACACACCAATGTATCCCAGCGATCAGCCGGGCCGCCGCGGTCCACCACAATCACATGAGCAACGACAGATGTACAATCAAGGATACAACAACAGCGGCGACTACGGCTACGGCGGTAGACCAAACACGGGTCATAGCCAGCAAACGTATGACCGAAGCATGAGCAGTCTAGCCAGCGGTGGCCACCAAGCGCAGCCTCCTCGATCCGCACCGGGCGGCTATCCTCCACAACAATCTTTCAGACAGCAAAACAACGCAAGCCCATGGCAACGGGGCGCAGGTTATGATTAACTACGCTCGGGCCACGATGGAACCCCCGCAGAGGATCAGAACCAGCGACAGAATTACCAGCCATTCCACCCCACCGCCGTGCCCGGCCAGGACAGAAGAGGTCGAATGAACGGCGAGATGCGAGACTTGAGTGGATACTGGGATCGAGAATGGTGGCGAGACGAGTATGCAACTAGAGGTTGAAAGCAATTTCGAGCTGGGAGAGACGGGCCTCTGTATAGCTGATATGGGCATACATGCAGCATGGCTGGCGCGAACAAGGACAAAAAGCAGCAGAGAAGAGAGCTGCTTAGTGATGAGACATGAATCAACTTACAGTAAAGCATTCAAACCCTGCATTTCTTGTGCGTTGGGGCTGGCTGTGTTCGATTAAGCAAGGACGGATCATTTCCCTATGTTGACGCAAAAGCACTGCCTAGGGTGCTAAGAGCCACCAGAATGGGAAGCAGAAAGACACCACCATCGACGCTGTCTTGTGTATAAATATCCACAGTCGTGCAGAATTGAAAGGCAAGCATCGAGATTAGCTTCCATGTCTCCCATCCATTGCCATGTGCTGTATACAGTCCTGAGTATGTATACCTGGCCCACGGGCGAGGGGAATTCTCAATGCCAGACCACCATCGACAGTGTTTTACAGTGTGTGTGTGTGTGTGTGTGTCAATGTCCACGGTGGTGTAGCTTGAATCGGCATTCAAAAAGACAAAGATCGAGACAGGGCCCAGGTCTCCTTCCACTGACTGACTGACTGACTGTCTTGTATTATGGTGGCGTGTGTCACAGTATCCCGTATCCCTGGTACGAGTCCACCATCGCCACCGTCTTACAACAATGTGTGTACTGTATCAATAATACCCACCGTGGTGCGGATTCGGGCATCAGAAATCATAAGCTTTGTGATAAAGATCGAGAACAGGCCCCCCTATGCCTCCCTCTCCTGCCTGCCTTGTACTACCTGTCTAGTACGGAGCATGGTACAGGTACCCTGGATTCCTGATACGAGTCAACGTGGGAACTACGTTGGTGTGGAGTAGTTCAGCAAATCAACGGTCTTGCGGCTCCGTGGTATATCTATCCAGGTACAGTGCCTACCTCGATGGGAGACGCGCATGGTATGGAACAGTGGAGGACATCCCTAAGTACCTGGATACGTACCTACCCAGGCAGCTCGACGCATCTCTTCGGTCAAGTTTGCAGCTCGGGGATGTACGATGTCTTCGTTCATACACTTTGTTCTTGTTGATGGGGACTCCGTACGGTGCTCTGCCTTGTAATCTCCTTGCCTGTAGTCACCCAGTAGTCACTACCTAGGGAGGGATTGACTCTCACGTGCCTTGATCATTACTCCGTACACCCTTATCCCTGCTACCCGCTGTCTACCGCCTACTACCTACTACCTAGGTAGTAGCAAGGTCATTCACAGACGGAATGGACGCGCATCCTCACATCGTCCGATTATGCCCATTCCCAAGCGATACGTCGACCGCGACAAGGGCCCCTTCGTTATGAAGAAATCCTGATCGTAGCTAGTTCCGTCGTGTGCCAGCGGTCTAACTTTTGTGTGCTCCATACTCGATGCGACGGCCTTGTACGTCTCTTGGAATTGTGCGAAGTGTCGCAGTTGCAAGGTGGAATGCTCAGGATATTGGCGTGCTGGAGGACAAAGCTGCATGATCAGACCGACGTGCTATGGCGGAAAAGAGTCTTGTCTTGCGGTTGAGCAGCGACGTCTCCGGACGCTGTTCTGCCACAATCGAGGTTGGGGAGCAGAAGATGCTGTTGTAGAAATAGCTTGTGGCCAGTTCCATCGTCGTCGTCATCGTAGCAGTGAATTGTGCGCGCGTCTTGCTTGTGATCCTTACCAGTGCTGGAGACTGTTAAGCACAGCAAGGCGCGTCGTGTCTGCGATAAATATCAACACCAGGTATTTGGGCGTACAGGGTCCGGCAATTGCAAGTCACCCCTGGTGGTCATTGCGTAGTGAATTTTAGTCGGTGAGAGGGTCAGATCAGTCTTCACTGACCAACGCCTTGGGTGAAGTTGCAAACAGGCAGTTCTTCAGCAGCCTCAAACCCGCGTCTTCTCCTTGATAAATCGCGTGTGAGATTTATTATCGGAAGTTGGAGGCGTCGAATCTCTTTCACCGCAGCCCTGCATCGAAAAACACTCACCGTTCAGTTCAACAAATGGATCACGATCAGGCTCGTTCCCGTGTGGCAAGCAAGTTGAACACAGCCGACTCCTCGCTCCCTACAACGGGCCAGCCGAGATCCTTCTTCGACTTACCTGTGGAGATCAGACTAGCTGTGTATGAACACTTCGCCTACATCCCTCCGAAGCCGAAATGGTCGACAAAGAAAGCGGAAGATCTGTGGGCGGTCCAGCTCGGCGGCGACATAAACAAGCAGACAGCTAAAGACACTGTACCTACAGAAAACCACCCCACCACTGAGGACGACACGACCGCTTTGACAGCTCGAAAGAACTTCGAGGCTCACCAACTCATCACAGCCACGAGGCACTCCCTGTTGTTGACCTGCAAAAGCGTGCACGCAGAATGGGCTCCGCTGTTCTGGTCCACCGCGACAGTGACTTTAGGGTCAACCGCTCAGACTGACCCGGCCACCTTCGAACGGCAGTTCGTCGCTCGAGTCGACGAATACAAGCTCCGTTCAATCCGACATCTGGTGTACTGTCCTCTGAGATGGCGACCGCAGGTCAGAGGCCTCCCCGTTACAACGGAAAGTGACTGCGACCACAGCGGCGTGTTGAAACTGGGACGAGTCTTGCAGACATATCCATCCTTGCTGAGCGGCCTGAAGGGATTGAAGGTGATTTTCCAGCCGAAAGGGCTCCTGCCAACCCACTACGTCCTAAATGCGCGAGCTGGAGAGACACCGGGAGACAAGTGGACTGCGATGGATCCAGGTGGTGACTGGGATGCATTTGTCCATATGATGAATGGTGGTGAGGGTGCGGCAGCGGCAGCGGCAGCGGCAGCCTGGAAGGCCGAACGGACGATTGAATTCGAGGCATTCCGAGTCGTGCCTGAGGGTGGAGTGTACTGCTGGATCGCGGCGCGGTGGGAATTGACGTGTCGGCCTAAGCGACCCGATCAGAGGATGCAAGTGAGGATTGCCGCGACTGGGGAGGAGTAGAGGGTTAAGTTGAGGAATTGAGCTGACCTGGCGGCGGTCGAGTCCAGCGAGGAAGAGTCAAGTTTGGCGGAGCGGACAGCATCTTGATTCGTCCAACAGGCGAATGACATAAGCCAGCGCCCGAGTCAGTTCGAGAGGGGCGTGAAGGGACAGGATCGGACTGGGGATCAGAGCATTAATTACCCCACGCAAGCTCGACTCTTCTCAAGGGGAAAGAAACTTTCTACCCAGCAAAGGGGGACAATTGAAACGGCTACAAATATTGGTGTTTGCGTTTCTGGGAAAGTCGGTGTTGTTTCTCCTGGCTACTAGTCACAGCGCGCTTGCTTTTCTTAGGAGCGCGTGGTCCGGCGATAGGCACCCGTGAGTTTATAGATGGCACTTGCTGCGTGCGCCAAATGGGTTTCCGGGTCAATGCGTGAGAAGGTAGGTATGATTGCTAACTCAAGAACGAACCAATAACGCGCTTTGCGGGCACTGATTATGGTCACTTGTATTCCGCCTCCCTAGCAACTCTGATCTGATTCCAGGTCCTCGACGGAGCCTTGCTTCGCATATCCCAAGTGAAAGGTACAAAAGACCGGGCCAGCGTCGGAGGCGCGGGCGTTCACCAGCAGTCAGCTCATTCGATTCCCATGATGACCCGAAGCAACCTTGAGCACTGAAGAAAAGAAATTAAGGACATCTCCACGTAGCTCTCCTTGGCTGCAAGCTATGTATACCATTCATCGAAAACACCACCACCAATTTTCTGCACACCGAGAAGCGTTCGAAGCCCATGGTAGCTTGATCGCGTCCGCCCTCGCATCAGCCCACAGCATCCACCTCGGCCCGCGGCATCAGACGCCATCTGGAATACTCAGCTCATGAGTTCCGCTTTCCTGTCTTCCCATGCAGCTTGCCAGCTCTTCGTGATCGTTTCATCATCCACGGGCTACGCTCATATCGCTCCAAATGCCTTTTGAACATCTTTGAGAGGAACAAAGTTGCTCACAACTTCCAGATCAGCGACACAGTCGCCGACGCCATGCCCTGTATCCCTCTTCGAAAAGTGGACATGTACGCAAAGAATTTGGCTCGGATAGAAGCCATGGTGATAGCAAGTGTTGACCTTTCTGGACACCCTTCAGCCCCTCAAAGCCGCGCGGCGATTTCTTCGCACGAGCAGGTGTTCGATCTCCTCCCATAGGCCACCATCACTTGCGGCTGTCCACACACTTGCTGCGGCGTTGCTTGATTGAACCCACCAGCCTGGCCACCTGTTCCTACCATGCCAAATCTGCCACCTTGCATATAGCTCGACCTCTTGCAGCGACGACAAGTCTGTTCGGTAACGATCGAGGATGCGTGCAAATTGTCGAAGATTTGGGAAATTGACAGTGGTGGCCTTGCTATAGCTGACTGACTCGAACGGACCGTGGATTGAGGCATCATAGCAAAGTCTTCGGATGTTGCCGAGTGTGCTTGCACTGGCCGATCTGAGGAAGAACTTTTCGAAACCAAGGGCCCTTCCAGTGGTAGTGCCAACGCCACCGTCATGCAGGTACTCTAATATGGGTCCATGGACGATGATGGTGGTAGTACGAAAGAAGACGGGCGACCATTCGGCGTTGATTTGGTGAGACACACTCAGCAACGATCTCCGGGTCTTGAGGATGATTGTGAGTTCTTCAACAAAACCAGCATCGACTCTCCGCTGGAGAGGGAAACAGCGGTGACTCTCCTTTCCAGCCTCAGTGATGGCTGAGAAGCCTTCATCGGAGCCGGCGGCATCTTTCGGCGCTGCGACGAAATAGTCGTAGACCCCCATTCTGACTTCTAGCGGCAGGTCCATGAAGCGAAAGGATCCCGAGGCCGTGGTCGCCGAATCCATCTTGACTTTCAGATCACAGTGGGTGGGTGGTACTTCGCTCTCGACCGGGAGATCAGTGCTTGTGGAGGGCGTCCGGGCTTTTGAGGTGGTTGAGGTCGGCGTGGCCACTGAACGTGGTAGATGACGGAGGGAGAAGCTCGGTAAACGAAAACCGAATTAAAATGGAGGAGGAGGTGAAATGAATTCAAAGGTCAAGGCAGTAGCAGCGCCGTGAGAAGCAGTGCCAAGGCACAGCTTCACTCTCTGGCATTCACCTGATCTAGTAGTCCCTTTCATCACTGAACTTCTGGTCAGCTCATAAACGTGAAGACTAGATTATCAGATTGAGGACCTTCTTGGGGTAGCAATGATACTAGGTATCAGGCCCACGAATGAGATGCACTTGGTATAAAATCACCCATGAGTAGGATTGAGTCAAGACACGGGGGCAGAATGCGTGGCTAGGGAAAGTTCTCGTATTGCTTCGACCGTGTCAAGCTTCTTCTAATTACATGAGTTGAGGGTAAGCCGCAGGCGATATCAGACTTCAGAAACTAGCGAGCCACAGGGATATGCCACAAGGATCATATCCTAGTCGATATGAGCAAGCCTCTCTGGTGGTACCTGCGCGGTCCCAGCCGAGGATAAAAGAAAGGAGAATCCAGCCGTGCTGTGCTCTCGACAACGAGTCGTCCCTTCCCACCGCGTTGTTATCAGTGCATTCAATCGACAAACCTCAGCCTGCGCGTTCATAGCGAGACCAAAGCCCCACATCATCGTTCCGGAGCAGCATTCCGTTCAAAGCAACCTCAGCGATCCTTCAGCATACTCTCACTGACCCAGACGCCAGGCACGTTGACATCGTCCGCGCAGAGCACAAAAGGAATGGCCGAATCCCCAGCCGCCAGCCAAATCCGGTAGGCACTCCGCAGAGAGGTGTTGTCGTGTACGTCTATGTCCTTGTCAACCCCCTTCTCGACCCAGAAGAATCTGAAATTCAGCAGATCGTCGCTTAGCGCAGGGAGCCCACGTCTCTGTCGGATTGACTGGCAGCCAGCGCGGATGGCCGTGATACTCATGTCGTCTGGCTTCGGCGTCGACATGGTGTTGAAGAGTTGCGCCATGTTCACCGCGACCGGAAATCCATATTTGAGACTCATAACCTCAAGGGTATTGGGCACTGCAGGTTTCAGATCATGGAACCGTCGCAGCATACCCTGTGCAGCGTCCAGTGTGTTGTTGGTGTCCACTTGGTGGCTGTCGCGTTTGTCGTCCCTTTCTTCCCGTGTGAAAGGCGCCAACGTTGCAGATGGTGGTGCGTACGTGGGTGGGTAACCATATTCATAGTTGACTACATGGGTGTTGCTCTGCGGACTGCCTGCTCCGACATTTTTCTGTCCATCGCCAACAGCAGATAGCCCAGGCTGCTTCCCTCGGCGCGCGCCGTTGGCGATTTGGATGAGCTTGATAGGTGCCTTCTGGAAGAACTCGTGCGCATGAGGGTACTGTGCCGGCGAGAAGGCGCGCTGGAAATATATCCCCACCCTTGCATCAGCCACCAGGCAAGCGGCGGCGCGATCACGGATTGACCTATTGGTGGCAGTGACGAACATCAACGGCTTCCCAGCAGGAAGGATTTCGTCGGCGATGGTGAGCATAGCCTCGTATGTCTCGGGCGTGACATGCATTGCCTCGCGGAATTTCCGTGCGTACCATTGCAGGTTATTGGCGTTGTTGTTCAACCTCTGGTAAAAGCCCTCGTCTTTTGGTGGTATGCCAACTTGTTTGTTACTGCGAGCGTCCATTGTGATGTTGCTTTGGACGGCGGTGGGAGGAGCTATGACGGTCGCGCAAGGCAGGGTCGAGCAAGCCGCGGCAGAAAGAAATTAAGCAGTCGGAATGTGTCGTGTGTGCGGCGGCGACGGTGACGGTGACGACGTGGATGACCTAACACATGTACGAGGGTTGTAAGAGATAAGAGGTAACGCTGGTGAGGCAGTAACTGTGCGCAAAGCGAATGTCCTGCAAAGTGAAGTGAGGTGAACTGCAAAGTGAAGGGTGAGTACAGTTTGACCCGAGACGTCCTTACACTCTTCTCCTCTGTGAACAGCTCAAAGTGCCATCGTCATGATGAGCACTTCCGGTATCTCAATTCCCCCTTTACCCTCAGGCGTGTTTTGTCAAATCCTAGTGGTCATGTCGGTTGATTAGGCACAGAGTATTAGTCCACCTGTACAAGACAGAAGACACGAGAGAGTCGCCGGAAGCAATTTAGCAACAAGCGTAGGAAGCGGAATTGGTGCACCTGAAAGCAAAGGATATAAAGGTATGAGGGAGTGAGAAAGGCCGAGTTGGGGAAGGGAACGGGTCACGCCAAAATCGAAGCCATATAAGAACCAAATGATAGCAACGGTGGTAGTCAAGAGTGGAAAGCTCTGTTGTTCTGAAAACCAACCAGTAAAGTCCTAGATGGGCATTTTTATGTTAGCTTCGAGCAGTATCTGGTATAACATCGACTCTCTGCTCACCCTACACTAACGGCTTGGCCGCATTGACTTTCATTCTCGGTACCATCCCGAGGTCACCCATCTCCGAGTACATCTCGAAGAGAGCCTCTATTGTGTCGACGAAGCCTGTCCAGCCCATGCGTCGGGCCTTGTTCATGGCAAGACTGCCGACTCTCAGGAAGGCGGCGTCCCCGAATTCAAAGTTCGCTTGAGGGTCTCTGAACGGATCATCAGTGAGTTGGCCTCCGGAGGCCTTCATCAGCTGCTGCCAGGCCTCTTTGTTTTCCGGTTTCGAGGCCCAGTCGACGAGGGAGAAGAGGCTGCGCATGACCGGAGCTGGGCCGTAGCTGTGTTTGTGCTCAGCGAAGACCAACAGGTGCGAACTCAAGCTTTACTCACCCCATGGGAGTATCCTTCCCACTCCTACCCTTGATCTCGTGGAACTTGCTCAGATCCTCTTCTGGGGGATGAATACCCTTCCCAACACCAAACCAACGCACCAATTCCTCGTAGAACCTGTCCCAGCTGATGGCTCCGGTATCCACAGAGTTGAAAGCCTGATTCTTGCACTTGTCCTCCAACACCGCCCATTCTGAAAGGTACCCAGTGAGCATGGCACTAGAATGGTGCGACTCCCCTTGCCACGCATCCCAATCCCCTGCAAAGTACAACGGTTCCCCCTTCTGAGCTTGTACAGCGGCGTATATGGCGAAAGGGTGCAAGGCATTCATTTGAGCATTATTGACGGCGCCAAGAATCCAGGCCGGACGGATTACGTTCCAGGTAGTTTGGTTTGCTTCACAGAACTGACGTAAAGACTTCTCTTGTGGGTAGTAGAAGTTTGGTTCGAGATGAGCAGGTGGAGGGTCTGATTCGATGGCGGGTACCCGTGCTCGACCGATATGAACGCCGTAATGCTTGGCGCCTGTCTGGAGTAAAAAGCGCTTCGGGATGATGTTGGCCTGGGTAAGCGCGCCGAGGAAATTGTCAAGTAGCGCACTATTCACCTTCACGAGCTCGTCGCTGTTTGACCACACCACCGCACCGGGCGGAGGTCTTGGCTGCAGGTAGGAATAGAAAAAGATGTAGTCAGCTTTCACGCCAGCCGAGGTCATCGCATCAGCAATCTTCTTAGGATCCTCAAGAAAGTCAACGGCGACATGTTGGACACGTGAACGCTCCTCCGGCTTGAGTAATCCCATCATTTCCTTGGGTGGCGGTCTTCTGGACAAGGCATATACTTTGCTCCACCGTTCCGGGCTTGCGAGCAGAACCCGCATTGTGTGGAAGCCTGAGATGCCATTTGCTCCAGTGCTGCAAAGTTCAGTCAGCCTGTAAAGGTGTTGAAGCCACAGTAGGGTAGTTTCCCATGAGAAAGCCGTCTTTCGCAGGAGGCGGGACTTACACGATGGCGGTGAGGTTCTTAATGGCTGGGTCAAAGGTTGGCAGGTTGTGGTAGATCCCACTATGTTTCACAGGATAGTGTTCGGACCCCATGGTGATATGTTATCAGATCCGGGTCAAGCTGTGGTGTATGGCTGAGTGAGGAGGCACGAATTTCGGAAGCTCACGCTCCCCCTTATATCTTATAGAGATAGGACGTGGGCCAGGCATAGAAGATGGGGTAAGCACGACTCACCCTCGGTTGTGTCCCTTGTTAGTTCTGGGCGATTCTTGACGTTAACTTTGTCCTATATTGGTCTGCGCAATGGCTTGGACAACCCTGTGCAAAGGCGGGGTCGGCCACCGCATCAGACGAATCGGATGACTCTCGCGGCTCTGTAAAGACGCGAAGGGACCCTGTTTAGATCATTCGCGTCCATCCGGCTCCATATCCTGTCGTGCAGAGGCAAACTCAGGTGAGAACGACTCTGATGATAGACTATTAGTTAGGTATGCTCGGAGGTAACCGTTGGCATGGACGATGTGGAGCTCGTGTTGTAAAGGGGACAGACGTTTATATCGCAGCCGAGGGCCGGAGGAATGGAATTGGAGATGCCCTTCGGCGAAACAATGTTCCGCAAATCATCGCGACTCGCAGCATCGCGCCGAGTCAGTAAACAACCAGCGCAGAAGCCGGTCAGCCAGTACTCGTATCCTCAAGCAGGCTAATATCGAGCAACATGCTTGACTGGCAAGATTTTGATGCAGTCTTCCAAGCGAAGACGGACTACTCCTACGACAACAGAACTGTTGAGACCATTATAAAACACCGAAAAGAGTTTGGTGATCAGTTGTTCTTCGATCGTATCTGGAAGTTGATCGGCCTCGCAAGACGTGAGATTGTGCTCCAGAAGAGTTCGACGGGACATCTAACAGATTACAGCTGCAAGGACTAACTATCCTCCACGGTCGAATGCGGATCTACGCAGCCTGTGGTCGAAGATAGGCCAATCGACTGCGCCAGACGAGCAGAAACTCGCCCTTCTCTACTATTTGCTACGGGACTGTCGGCAACTTCCCAATGCAGAGGCCAACTTCGCCCGTCGAACGCATCTTCCTCCCAGATGGCAGCTACTTGTGGCAGGCCTGTGGGAACTCGACCATGCGCAGTTTTCGCGAGCCCTAGAACACCTGACAGACCCTTCTCTCACGCCCACCTTTACGGATGAAATCCTCCATGCTCTCCTTCAACACCCACGGTGCGACCCTGCCCTCGCAACTGCATACTTCGTGTCGGTAGCTCCTCCGCTGGCGGATAAGAAAACAATGGACACATACTTTGACCTAGTCATGAGCAACAACCTGGTGGAGGCTTATTATTTTGCGCAAAAACAACAGCAGTCCAGGCACAAAGTGCTGTTCGAGAGACTAGTGGTATCGATACACCAAGAAAAGCCTTCGCATTCGCGTGCCGAAAAGGCAGCCCTCCTTGTCGGGCTCCCACTGACAGCTCAAGAGGATTCGTGGCTGGAGGAATGCTTGCTGCATGGAGCAGCATCGAATTTGCCTGGTGCGAAGGACTCTCTGATGGCACGAAGCATCGCTGTAGGAAGATCCATGGGTGACAAGAGCCCTCTGAATAGACTGAAAGGGGATAGCGTCGCTGGGGTCAATTGGGACACTGTGAGAGCGGGGATCACCGGAGCTGTGCCGCATTGAGTTTCGGCTTGATCAACCTTCGAGTGAAGGGCTGACAAAGGCGCACGAAGGAGTAACATCCTTAAAAAGGCTGCTTTGGTAGACACAGGGCACTTTAGGCCACACCGACAAGTACGGCTACAGTACGCTCTGCGGAAGTCAGGGCTGCAGGCTTTGAAATGAGATACAGATGCTGACGCGGTCGTCGGCTCGTACAAGATTAGGTACCTAGGTACCTACCTACCTGCGCAACCCGAGAGCCGACGACGTCACGACTGTGTACACGCACCGCACACCCACCACACGTTTCAGGTTCGGCCGCCGGGACAGGTACCTTCATCTCCGCCACGGACGTCAGCTCGCACGCAACCTTATTGTCCCAGAATGCAGGTGCAGAGCTCTTGCAGCTTACCTAGACGAAAAACCCGCGTGCCTGAAGCTCCCAGGGTCATGCCTGCCGTGATGCAGGATCACTGCGCCTCCTGGTGACGCTCTGCTTTCCCACAATGAATCACACATATTGGCTGTCTGGCGCATTGCCAGACCGGCTTTCGAGCACGGGTAGAGCAGCTCTTCAATATCTGCGGGCAAGCCGCGAATCAGACGAACATCAGTCTTTACTACAAAGACGAGGTTCGGCAAAATACCATCGATCAGATGATTCATCCTCCCAACGACGATTTCTGCCTTTGATTTTAGCCATGCTGCCACTCCTTTTGCTGCTGTATTATGTCTCGACAGTGCTGGCTACTGATCGAACAGTTCACCTCGGTTACGCGTCCTACAAAGGCGCCTCCTCATCTAAGGGCGTTTCTCAATGGCTGGGAATGCGCTATGCGGCTCCTCCGACAGAAAACTTGAGATTTGCTGCACCTCAAGATCCTCCAATAGAGTCTGGTGTACAGGCTGCTGACACGGTGCGTCTGCGTTTATGCATAGCATTCAGACTTCACTCGCTAATATTGTCCAGCACGGGAAGCTTTGCCTAGGAACAGGCGACAGCCCCCGTAATTCAGCTACATCTGAGGATTGTCTTTTCATCGATGTATACGCTCCCACCAGTGCTACCAGCACGTCAAATTTGCCGGTCTACTTCTTCATTCAAGGAGGTGGCTTCAATTTCAATTCGAATGGAAACTACGACGGCAGTGGTTTGGTTGCTGCTTCCGGCAACGGGATTATTGTTGTCACATTCAACTACCGAGTCGGACCCTATGGGTTCCTCGCGAGTCGAGAAATTGAGGATGCGCCGCAGGCTAGCTTCAACAACGGTCTCAAGGACCAGCGCAAAGCCCTCGAATGGGTGCAGAAATACATCGCCCAGTTTGGCGGCGACCCCAGGCATGTTGTCCTCGGTGGTGACTCCGCGGGTGCGGCAAGCATCGCCTATCATTTAACAGCGTATGGTGGCCGTGATGACGGACTCTTTGTCGCAGCTGCCGCCGAGTCGGTCAGCTTCGCGACTATTTTGAACCTCAGCGAGAGCCAGTATCAGTACGACAACCTGGTCAAAATCGCGGGCTGCAAAGACGATGAAAATACTCTTTCATGTCTCCGCTCTAAAACCGCCACAGAGTTGCAGACCTATAACCGCAACATCCCCTACCCTGGCGCCAAAAATCCGCCACTGTACATGTGGAATCCGGTTCTTGACGGTGATATGATTCAAAACTACACACGCGCATCCTTCAACAATGGAGACTTCATCCAAGTTCCTGTCATCTTTGGCGACGATACCAATGCGGGAACGATCTTCACACCAAGGGGCACATCAACTCTATCTCAGTCAAAGACATTCCTCCACAATCAGTTCCCTTATCTTACTGCGGAACAGCTTGAACGTATAAGTCAGCTCTATCCGAACGAAGGCCCAGATTTTCCCAACGCAGGTACATGGTGGAGACAAGTCTCCAATGCTTATGGTGACATGAGATACATGTGTCCAACACTATGGATATCTTCCGCGCTGCTGCGCTATGGTGTAAAAGGCAACTGGAATTATCGCTACAACGTCGAAGACCCGGAACAGATGCAACGGGGTCTTGGGGTGCCTCATACAGCCGAGCTATCGGCCATATGGGGTCCCGCCAACACAAATGGTGCAGCTCCAGCGAGTTATCAAAAAGGAGAGCTTAATGATTGGATTGTACCCGTGATCCAGAGTTACTGGGTGAGCTTCATCAAAACATTGGATCCGAATTCTCTCCGGGCCAAGGGCTCTCCGAGATGGGATGAGTTCATGCCTATCAACGCGCAGAATGACTCGGGCAGTGCCGACTGGAGCAGGATGCTCTTTGATACTGCAAAGACTACTGGTATGGAAGATGTCGGTACAGCGGTACGGACGAGGTGCCAGTATCTGAATTCCATTGGACTGGCGATACGGCAATGATGTTTACGATACTTGTGACTTTAGCCAGCGAAGGCGTCCAGGACAAACCGTTGAATGTCGTCGGATGTCGACCTGAATGATCAAGTATTGGGTACAGTAGAATGGCGTCTTCACACTCAATATCATCGAACTATGCAGGGTGATCACTGCATCACCCGCTCGAGAGGCGAATACCAAGAGGGATGCGCCGAGCACAACGTTGATATGTGTTTCATTTCAAATGTGGAGCCTCGCTCAGCTTCCTGCACAAAGCAGGCTGGTTGTCAGCTACCTCACGGACTCGATGCCCTACATTAACCCCAAGCTTCTAGATCCGCATCGGTCGTGCATATCTCTCTTGCCTCATCTGGAACTCTACCGACCCCGCAGTCATCCAGCGGAGTTGCGCTACTGACAGTTTGATAAGGCCGGCTTCTTCTCTCTTTCCTCTCTCGTCTTATCACTAATGTCCTGTACCAGTTGTTGCGTACCTGGATAATCTTGTGAGTATAAGAGAGCTGCCCGGAAGCTCTCTTGAGACTCCTCTCGAGGTAATTCTTTTGCTCTCCGCGAACCCGGCTGTGATTGAACGGTTCGTTTTGGCAGTAGCCCTCCTTCGAACTGATACATTGCTCACAATGTCTACCACGACCACCCTCAGTCAAGTCATTTCCACTGCAGCGCCCTCGTCAGAAACTCAATGGCGGGGCAAACTGCGATTCATTCCGCCGGGCCAAACACCGACCCCGTCGCCTCACAACTTTCACCTCCCCGCCATGGCAGAGTTCGGCGATGTACGGCTCCAAGGACTAATAGACATGCGACCTGTGCCCACCATTGCTGAGCTGGGAAATGCAAAAGAAGGAACAGCGCAACTCGCCACCCATGGCTTCACGGCCATCCGGCACCCGACCACGATGAATTCCCCACCGTACAGCCTTACAAGCTGGAAAGATCCCAAGCTCCTCAAGCAACTGTATGTCCCCGAGACAGAGGAAATGGTCAAGCAACTCACTGGGGCCAAAACGGTCATCACCGAGGCCCTTCTCCTCCGCAGCGCTATTTGGTCCGAAGCAGATGCTCTGGCGACGCACGCAGGGCATGGCGAGGAAGCAGGGGGTGAGGTCAAGCCGGCCGGGAAGAGCCAGGAGGCGAAGGAGCTCGAACTCGGGTTCCCGCAATTCATTGGATTCTCGCCCGAACATGGCGGCGCTTCTCCGGCTCCCAAAGTCCATCTCGACTACGCCCCCAACGGTGCGAGGACACATCTCAGGAAGTATCACCCTACCATGACGGCCGTGGCGAAGCCCATCATCGAGGCGGAGGAGAAACTCCTTGCCGAGGGAAAGTCCCTTCGCGAAGAGTACGCGGCTTCTGGCCTCGGACCACGATGGGCACTGTATTCCATCTGGCGACCCTTGAAACGTGTGCGACGGGACCCCTTGGCACTCGGCGACGCTCGGACATTCCTCCAAAGCGATTACGTGCCTGTTATCGTGAAGACGCCCAACCTCGGCGTCTCGGAGGATTCCAAGGAAACGCACGACACAGAGTCCTACCTGGCGCGATGGTCCAGTGGGCAGAAGTGGTACTTTATCTCGGAGCAGGAGCCCGAGGAGGTGCTGGTGATTGGCTTGTTCGATAGTCAGAGGGATAAAGAGACAGTCGCTGCGGGGGGGACACTGCACAGTAGCGTGGATCTCGAGGGGACCGAGAATGAGGAGGCCAGGGAGAGTATAGAGTTGAGATGTCTCGCGATCTGGTAGGGATTCAAGTGGGTGTGCTTATTGTGGTTTGGTTGTTATTGCTGCGTGGTCGGGTTTGGCGTACGAGGTACTGTAATGACTGTGCCAGGGCTTTGCACCCACGCAGTCATCCTTTTTGCTTGATAACTTCTTTCACTCATGAGTCAGTTGTGGATTGCTTCGTTCAGCTTACTGTAGGTTCGTCAAGCGACATATCCTTTAAATGTCACATGCTATAGCCGTCGTGAGATTTAGATTCAGATCGCCGGATATTGTTCCGTCCGGTATCGTTCGAGGTGAGCAGCAAGTGATTGCCACTGTATTATTGTGCTTCCATCTTTGCAACAGAGTCTAAGACTTTGCTCGGGCAGAAATGTTGGAACCAGTGCGGACTCCATTCTCTCATCCCAGCGAAGGTATCTCCGCTGCACGGCCATTGCCATAGCTGACCTTGAAAATAACGCGATATGAGGGTTGTACCAGTGCAAGCAGAGGCTGAAGACTGGACACGTGAGTAGCGCGTCGGAAACTAGCACCTCGGATCCCTCCCGGCTGGATGGCTCGCACGGCAATGGAGAGTAGCACGACCTGGCGGCGGTCATTGGCCCGGCATTGTCCTTGCCCATGCGATGGTTTGGGAGCTATGTCGACCGAGATCCGCTGCAAGGTACGGTGGACAGGCGAAGGCAAGTGTGTTCATTTCTGCTTCACACCTGGGATCCCAACACTTGACACCTGGAATCTGCAGCTGACCACAGGTTTAGGAACCAATGTGAGGTGTCCCAGCACACCAGTCAGCTCCTACTGTTCCCACATGTGAGAGCTCTCAATAGTGGTTGCGAACCCAGTGCTTGCCCGAACAGGCACCGGAACGGGGCAACTCTGATCGAACGGCTGCTCCCTCCCGTGCAAGAGCTCAATAACAGTCCCACAGAAGGGCTTCGATCCTCTTGTTCGAGAGCTGAGGATAATCCCTGTCAGTCTGTGGCTTGCCCTGGGTTGCATATCCGACCACCAAGCTGCGGCCGAGATCCCGCATATCTGGGGTCAAACTCTCGACATGGCTGCTTGCACATCATGCATGACAGACTTGCGGGTCAACGGGGGTCTGCTGTGGATGAGTGCCCTCTGTGCCACAGGTATTGCTGGCGCCGAACTTACCGACCGCGACGTTGCTGTGACCAGCGCTCGACACATTCGGCATTCATCGAGTCTGAGTCAAGACCTCGGGTCAACGAAGGCTCGCAGAATGGCAACGTTGAAGCGTGATTCACTATCTGGCGCAGATGGACACCTTGGATGGATGGTCGGTCCATGGAACAGGCCGAAACCCGCTCATGATCGACAGCGACAACTGTCACGTCGCAAAAGGTATCATACGAGCCTCGTAGATAAGGCGATCTCTGGCACGGAGTTCCGGTATCGCATATCTTGTTAGCTCGTAATGCAGAGGTACCTCGTTCTCGTACTGAGAAACTCTGTTTTGAGGTCTGCGTAATAGTTGGCAAGGATGTACGCGTTCGGACCAAGACGGCAAGCTTCGTGGTGCGAAAGCCGCTATGCCGTATGCAGCGTCCATGTCACGCCATCACACCACCTTTTCACGACGTCGAAAGCCTCTCGATCGACCCCAAACTCTCACATGGGCGGGCATGCTGCATCTGACGTCTCCTGATGCTGGTATACCTGTTACCCAGTCCAACCCAGAACCCTGCACACCCCTGTTACGAGCATATCATGTCTGCGGCGATGGCCTGTCGACTTGGTCCAGACATGCAACATATGCTGGAGCTCGAAGCTGGCGCACTGTTGATTGGCTGGGTGACCCAGAGTTCAAACCTTTCAGCAGCTTTCGGGATAATAGTCAGCTTGCTCACAATGCAGCTTGTGCATATCCGCGCATCACTCACTTGCAACCTTCTTCGGCCACGTGCAGGGATTGACCAGCTGGAATTGAGGGAGCCCAGTAGACTTTTGCTTAGAGACGGAGCTCGGATCGCTCACTGCAAGCGAGACACTGGAAAGTCAAGGTATCGCAGCTTGTCACTGATCCGGCACATCCTACATACTGTATCATGACGCTCGTGGGGACCAGCATGGACACACGGTGTCCGCCGCCGTCACAGACCACGTATTAACTTGCCTCGAGGTCGTACTCGTAACTGAAACCGTGATTCGTATATATTGTGCCTGCCTCACCTTGCCCTCATTTTTCCTTTACTTCCCGCTCACTTTCCCACCCAACGTCGTCACGCCCAACTCAGATCCCTTCCTCCACCGCCATCCCTCTTCTCCCTTCTACCACTCACAGGCACTCAACAGTCTCTGTCGCAATCAGACGCCATAGCTGAGGGCCATGGGTTCCGTCGTGGAGGGCGACGTCTCCGTGGAGAGCATCTCGCCATTCGGCAAGGCTCGCTCGACCATCAAGGATGCGCCTCTGAGTGAGGAAGAGCTTAAACTCACCGATGATTACATGCGGGCCAGCCTGTATCTCTGTCTGGGTATGCTCTACCTCAGGCAGAATCCGCTGCTCAAAGAGCCCCTCAAAGTCGAGCATCTCAAAGCCCGGCTTCTCGGACATTGGGGTTCCGATGCCGGTCAAATCTTCACCTATGTGGCCATGAATCGGCTCATCAAGAAATACGACCTCGATGTCATCTTTATTTCGGGACCTGGCCACGGTGCCCCAGCGGTCATTTCCCAAGCCTATCTGGAGGGCGTCTACAGCGAAGTCTACCCGGACAAATCAGAAGATGTCGAAGGACTGCGGAAGTTCTTCAAGCAGTTTTCGTTCCCAGGTGGCATTGGCAGTCATGCTACGCCCGAAACACCAGGTAGTCTGCACGAAGGAGGTATGCATTCAATGACCCCATCAGGTATGGCACCTTTGCAACTAACCTCCTTCTAGGCGAGCTTGGATATAGCATTTCGCATGCATTTGGAACTGTTTTCGACCATCCGGATCTGATTGCTCTGACTATGGTCGGCGATGGAGAGTCCGAGACAGGCCCTCTGGCGACTAGCTGGCATAGCACCAAGTTCCTGAATCCCATTACCGATGGCGCTGTTCTCCCCGTTCTCCATCTCAACGGCTACAAGATCAACAACCCGACACTACTCGCCCGAATCAGCCACCGAGAGCTCGAAGCGCTCTTTGTCGGATATGGATGGACTCCGTATTTCGTCGAGGGCAGTGATCCCCTGAGTATGCACCAGGCCATGGCCGCCACGTTGGAGAAAGCAGTCCAAGACATCAGAGGCTATCAGAAGAAGGCACGGGAGTCAGGAAAAGCGTTCCGCCCACTGTGGCCCATGATCATTCTTCGAAGTCCCAAGGGATGGACCGGCCCCCGGACAGTGGACGGCCACTATCTTGAGGGCTACTGGAGAGCTCATCAGATTCCTCTTCCAAACGTCGCGTCCAGCCCAGAACACCTCAAACTCCTGGAGGAGTGGATGAAGAGCTACACACCCGAGAAATACTTCACCGAGGACGGCAAGCTGGTCCCAGAGCTGAAGAAGGTTGCTCCGGAAGGCAACAGACGTATGAGTGCAAATCCCGTTGCCAATGGCGGACTGATCAAGAAACCCCTTCTTATGCCTGACTTTCGCGAGTACAGCCTTCCTGTCGAAAAGGGAGGTATCAAAGACGCGCCTAGCATGTCCAACTTTGCCAACTTCCTTCGGGACATCATCCAGAAGAACCCTCACAACTTCCGACTGTTCGGGCCTGACGAGACGGAATCCAACAAGCTTGGTGGCGTGTACGCGGCCGGCAAGAAGGTCTGGTTGGGGGAATACTTTGACGAAGACGCGGACGGCGGCAATTTGGCGTTCGAAGGTCGCGTCATGGAAATGCTCAGCGAGCACACCGTCGAGGGCTGGCTCGAGGGTTACCTGCTGTCAGGCCGCCATGGCATGCTCAACAGCTACGAGCCCTTCATCCACATCATCGACTCGATGGTGAACCAGCACTGCAAATGGATCGAGAAGTGTCTCGAAGTCGAGTGGCGCGCCAAGATTGCCTCGCTCAACATCCTTCTCACGGCGACGGTCTGGCGGCAGGACCACAACGGCTTCACACACCAAGATCCGGGCTTCCTCGACGTCGTGTGCAACAAATCCCCCGAAGTCGTGCGCATCTACTTGCCGCCTGACGGGAACTGTCTGCTGTCCGTGATGGACCACTGCTTCCGCAGCAGCAACTACGTCAACGTCATCGTCGCGGACAAGCAGAACCACCTGCAATACCTGGACACGGAGGCCGCGATCGAGCACTGCACCAAAGGCGCCGGGATCTGGGACTGGGCCTCCAACGACCAAGGCGAGGAGCCCGACGTGGTCATGGCCTCGTGCGGCGACGTGCCCACCATGGAAGCCCTGGCCGCCACGGCCCTGCTGCGCGAATACATCCCCGAGCTGAAGATCCGGTTCGTCAACGTGGTCGACCTGTTCAAGCTGATCCCGCACGGCGACCACCCGCACGGCATGACGCAGCGCGACTTTGAAGCCATCTTTACACCCAACAAACCCGTCATCTTCAACTTCCATTCCTACCCGTGGTTGATCCACCGGCTCACCGCCCAGCGGCCGAGCCAACACAACCTGCACGTCAGGGGCTACAATGAGAAAGGCAACATCGACACGCCTCTCGAGTTGGCCATCCGCAACCGCACCGATCGGTTCAGTCTCGCGATGGAGGCCCTGGACCGCATGCCCGAACTGGGCAACAAGGGCTCGAGCGCGCGGGAGAAGCTGCTCAGCAGCCAGATCAAGTACCGTACCGTGGCGTTCAACGAGGGCATCGACCCCGAGGAGATCCGGACCTGGAAATGGCCCTTTTGAGCAGATGAGACGAATTACAAACTTAGTCGTACGATCGACGAAGCGCAAGCAGACTATGGGGGAACTAAATGAGGATGCCACTAGTGATGTGGAGATGTCGACGGAGTTTCACCATTTTTGGAGGAAGAAGCGAGTCCGGGTGACAGACGCAGCGTCGGCAGAAGCAAAATAATAGACAGTATGACATGAGATATGCTATTTGCTTCGAGACCATCCGTCTTAACAGGGAGAATAAACATAGACTTCAGAACGGGCCTTGGTGAGGTCATCCTGGCTGTCGTTGCCTCTCTCGTACGCTGGTTCGCTACCACCTAATCATAGAAGGTAAGTGTTCGCCCGAGAGCAAGGCTGACGTCCGAAGGGGGGTGCTCCCGTACTCCGTATATTTATTGCGTTACGCATCGCATTTATTTCGTAGACATCGTGTTACCACATGTTACTTGTGACATGTGATATTCGTGCTTCCTCACGCCCATATCCTGTACAGCTCTCCCATCTCCTGGTAAAGCGGTTCCACGCGGAAAGTTCGGTGGGTGGAGGACCCCTCGAACTCCTCCAGTCGATGTCGACGTTAGAACTTTGCATACTCAGAGTAAACACCGCAACTTGCCGGAACAGATGGTCATCCTTTCATGCACTGGTTTCTGTCCATAGTTTGAAACCCCACGAGGATTTGCCCGGACCTTGTCTTTTCATTTCATGACCTCCAGGTACTCAAGTACGGTCCTAGAACACCATTTCCCAACGTACTGTAGCCTCGTCTCTGCCCAAACCTTGAACGCCGTTGCTCGTGCCCCACGCACCAGTTCAAATCCATCCAGAATGACATTGACATTGACATGTTCAGCAGCACCAACTTCTAAAGCCCAACCTCGCTTCATCCATATGCCACGCCGACTATGCTCCTTCGCTGCCAAACTCTGCCGTCCACTCGGCATTCCTCTTCAGGTCGTCCTGAGACACGGTCGGCCTCGAGCCCTTGATTGCACGGATAAAGTCCTTTACGACCAGTGGAGGTTCCAGCAGTTTGTCCGAGTCGACCTCCATCCATGTCATCTCCATGGCTCCCGCGTCACCTGGTGAGCATGGCGTTAACTTCTCTTCGCCGTCGACCGTGACCTAAGATGGCGAGCCTCGTTAGCGTGTGTCCCCCAGCGATGACGGGCACTGCTTACCTTCTTATAGTGCGTCGCTGTCTGAATTTTGCGCACAGGCTGCATCAAAGCGTCCTGCACGGCAATGCTGATATCACTGCCCGAATACCCCTCTGACATCTCGGCCAGTTTCTTGTAATCCTCCGGGCTCATCTCGCACTTGGTGTCTCCGACGGCAAGCTCAAACATGCGCATCCGTGCAGGTTTGTCGGGTAACGAGATGTGCACTCTGCGCTGGAATCGGCGGCGGATAGCGGCATCGAGCTGCCAGGGGATATTCGTCGCGCCGAGGATCAGCACCCCTCGAGAGTCCTTTCCCACACCGTCCATCTGTACGAGCAGTTCGGTTTTGATACGCCGCGAGGCTTCAGACTCGCCTTCTCCTCGCGGACCGCATAGTGCGTCAACTTCATCAATGAAGATGATGGCGGGCTTGTTTTCCCTCGCCATATTGAAGAGCTGTTTCACCAACCGTTCCGACTCGCCCATCCATTTGCTGACCAGGTCGGACGAGCTGACGCTGAAGAAGGTGCTGTTTGCCTCGGTCGCCACGGCCTTTGCGAGGTACGATTTACCCGTTCCGGGCGGACCGTATAGTAATATCCCCTTCCACGGCTGTCTCTTTCCCTGGAACAGATGGGGGAACTTGATGGGCAGGATGACCGCCTCTTTTAATGCTTCTTTGGCGCCTTCAAGACCTGCCACGTCCTCCCACTTCACGTTCGGCTTGTCCGTCAGAATCGCACCCGTTAACTGGCCTCTCAGCTTCTTCGCGTCGGCGTCCTCCTCATTATCCTTGTCGCCGGCCTCTCCCTTCCCGCCCCCGTTGACGGCTTTGCCGTTGACGCCCATCGCGGCCGGCTTTTTGCGGTTGCTTGAATCGTTCGCTTGGATGTGTTCCTTCAGCTTCTCGGCCCGGTCCATGTACTCGCCGGCTTTTGCGCGGATCATCTCCTTTGATTTGGCGTTCTTCTCCCATTTGATTGCCAGCATGAACAGTTCCAGCGCGGCGTAGTACTGTTGGTACGCTTGATCGTAGGAGCCTGCGGTGTCGAGCTCGATCGCTTTCTTGACAGTGTCGATCGCCCGGCCGAGGAAGTCGGTGTTAGACATATTGGAGGCTGGGTCGTGGGTCTTAGGGTGAGAAGACGTGCGCGATGACAGAGAGAAACACGTTCCTGTACTGTGGGCGAAGGGTAAACAAGCGCCGGAGCGTTGCAAGATGCGTCGTGCTTAGGCGGCTTCGGACGGTGAAGGCAATATCTACCGACAGCGTGTGTCTCCGGAGCTGCAGATGAGCGAATCCCAAACGCGTGGTAATCGTCCTGCAATTTATTCTGCAGGAAATCGAAAGCTCACAGAGAAGTGAAGGTGGGATGAATGTCGGCATTTGCCCCGCGAAATGCCCTATGTAATTAATTGTGTACGCGCTACATAGACGGGCCTTTCCCCTTCCAGGCAGCAGGTGGCAGTTCAGTTTACAGATCCGTTACAAATCTCCTGCGCATCGCTCACAACTAACAGAGAGTCATGGAGGAAGACAGAGAGAAACTGCAGGTGCTTTCCGAAGCCCTACAGAAGATACAAGATGGTGAGTCGTCCGCCAACAGATGGGGACATTCAGGCAAGGCTAATTTCCGGTGTGTGCCAGATCTTCAGTCTGCGGTCGAAGCACGCCAGAAGCTAGAAGCCCAACAACAGGAGAACAAAGCCGTGCAGAATGAATTCACTTCGCTTGCCGCAGATGCCGGCATCTACAGGCTGGTCGGCCCAGTGCTACTGAAGCAAGATAAGACTGAGGCGGTCAGCACCGTCGATGGACGATTGGAGTTTATCGGCAAGGAGATCATCAGAACTGAGAACAGGATCAAAGAGCTGCAGGAAGGAAGCGAGAAGAAGAGGGTGGAGCTGATGCAGTTACAACAAAGGCTCCAGATGGCCGCGCAAGAGCAGGGAGCTGGCTGAACAACATACTCCAGAGAACAGGCAAAGCATGAAAGCCGCGCTGGAGGAATGAGCCTCCAAAATCGCCGCTGAGCCCTCAAGCTGAGAAGCTGCATCCTGGCTTGCCTCAAGTCTGGGGCGGGACCGATATTCGCTCAAGCGTCTATGTGGCGGAAGCGGCATGTCGCATCTAGCAAGATACAGGACGACGAACGCGCTCGTCTTTGACGACGAGGATTTGATCAAGTCGATCCGACAGCTTGACACCTGAACGAATTGGAGACAAGTAGGAGAGTGGCCAAACAGCCGGGGTTTGAAGCTGGGGCACGGGAGGCTTGGAGAGACTCCCTCCGCCGTCAGAGGGCCACCTATGCCTCCGCAACGCTGCCACGGATTGCTTTTGAGGAAATCCTTCCAGCGTAAGTGCAGTCGAATCCAGACGGTATTTTGGTCCGAAAGCACAGAAAAGGCCGGAGTCCGTGCTTACTCTGGACGGAGGCAAGAGGCATCGGGATGCTGGGGGACCTCAAACCAGGAAGCACCAAGCCGCTGTGGCATAATGGCCTGGTCAGTTTCCAATGCTTGTAGCTAGCAGAAATACATATAATTGCTCAGATCCTGCTCGAGTGTCTCCTCCGTGGTTGTGTTCTCTCGACAAGTGCCGAAGAAAAGGAAGGCCTCCATACCCGAGCAAGGCTGGGAGTCAGCCTCACTGTCTGGGGTACGCTAAACGCGGGCCGTGAAAGCGTACTTCTTTTGATTGGCGGCATGTAGTAGAGTCTTGGCGAACAATTTTCGTGTCCAGCTTGACTTCAACTATTCTAGAAACCGTCCACTGTCTGAACATACCACTTGCGCAAGCGTAGTCTCTTGCATTGCTTGCTTCGACTCCGCAATGCCCCGCGAAGTCAAAAAGCGAGGCCGCCGCCACCAAGAAAAGGAGCGGAAAAGCAAAGAGACCGACAGATATGAGCGATCTGCGAAGCGGTTCAAAACCGAGCACATCCCAGCGGAGGAGACCGCGGACGCAGTGGCAGTAAGCGGCGATGCCGGTGACGACTTCATTGGATTCAATATTGAACGACCGCGTGGTGTCGAGGAACCGCAGGAGGAAACTGAATTCTACGGCCTGCTCGAACCTCAGGAACAGGAATATTATGCGAATGTGAACAACAAAATCGTGGCGAATGATTTCGAGTCGCCTGAAGACCGCAGCAAGTTCATCGAGGCAGTGCACCGGGAAACAGAGGGAAAGGAGCTCAAGGTCGCCTCAAGCCAATCATGTTCTCGCTACCTAGAAAAGATCATTATGCTCTCTACTCCCGAGCAATTGCGCCGACTGTTCAGCACATTCATTGGCAACCTCACCTATCTCGTGCGCCATCGATTTGGAAGCCATTGCTGCGAGACATTGTTCCTGCAAGCCGCAAAGCACGTGGAAAAGGCCACCTCGAAAACGAGCACTGACAGCAGAGATCTACCTTCGATGGAAACCCTCTTCCTGCAAGCCACGGAGGAACTAGAGCCAAACATGGGCTTTCTCCTCACGGAAAGATTCGCCTCGCATACTGTTCGCGTCCTGTTTCTTGTACTGTCAGGCGACTCTCTGGACGACGAATCAGTAAAGACAATGCTTGCGAGCAGGAAGAAGGAAAAGCTGGACGCACCCGTGGAGAAGGCATCAGTGTCCGAAAACAGACGCGTCGTCCCGAAGTCGTTCCGAACTGCGCTTGACAGACTCATCAGCAGCGGCGTCTCGACGCTGGACACGACCTACCTGAGAGCATTGGCTACACACCCGACCGGCAACCCTGTCCTGCAGTTATTGGTCCATCTCGAGCTCAACGGCCCTGCCAAGAGCAAGTCGAGTACCCAGAATTCCGTATTGCAGAAGCTTCTACCGGATGAACAGCTTGAAGATGGTTCAGAAAGCGCCAAATTCATTGCTGGGCTGATCTACGATCCCGCCGGCTCGCACCTGGTCGAGATCCTCGTCAAAGAGTTGCCAGGGAAAACATTCAAGAAACTCTACAAGAATATCCTGAAATCACGGCTTCGAAGCATATGCAAGAATGACACGGCAAGCTATGTTGCCATCAGACTGCTGGAGCGACTGGGCAAAGATGACCTCGCCGAAGTGAAGGGACCACTACTGGGCGACTTGCCACTACTGATTGCGCGACGACGGACCGGGCTAATCCGAGTGCTCGTGGAAAGATGCGCCGTCCGAGGTGTGGATCTTGGGGACGTGGCAGATGTGATCCGCGCAGAATACACCAAGGCCAACAGCGACTTCCTTTCAAGCCTCCTCGATCTGCCGGACTCGGAAACAGGAGCAAAGCTCGATGATGTGGCTGACGAGAAAAAGCCCGCCTCAAAGCAGGCACACAAGACAGATGTCCATGGCTCACTCCTGGCACAGGCAATGTTGCAGGCTCCCAAAGTGAGCCAAATCGTCCAAGACAGCCTCCTAGCCGTGGAGATGAGCACGCTCATCGCAATCTGTCAAGACCCTGCGTCTTCACGGGTCATACAGTCGGCACTTGCGCCCAAAGACTCCAACCTGCAGTTTCGAAGGCAGTTTGTTCCTCGCTTCTACGGCCATATCGCGGCCCTGGCGCAGAACCTCACCGGCTCATATGTGGCGGATGCGTTATGGTCCGGTACAGAGGGCCTGCATTTTATGAAAGAAAGGCTAGCAGATGACCTTGCCAACCACGAATCCATGATCCGCGAATCGCCGTTCGGGCGGAACGTATGGAAGAACTGGGCTATGGACATATACCGTCGCCGGCCTGGTGAATGGCGCGCACTAGCCAAAGGACAAGGACACGATCAGACACGAGACGCACCACAGCAGAGGCAGGGTCAGAATGAATCAGCGGGCGTGAAAAAGAAGTCGGCAATCGAGCTTGCGCGAGAACGACATGCGCAGAAGAAGTCTCAAAGCACGAACAAGAAGCACACTCCTGCCACCTCCGCCAACGCAGTGGTTCCAACGAGGGCGTGACGTACGGAAGACGGTACGAGTACTTGTACGCGGTACCTGCAGGCGGTAGACCACCCTCGATCGACCCCCCAAATCCTCAGCCTTGTTCTCCACCAGATGGCGTCATTCGCTAATCCGAAAGATTTTTACTCACTTTGGAGAGAACTTTTCGCTGGTGGTCGGTTGACCCTCGATGACACGCCCCCAGTAGAATAGATTTCTTCGGTCTTGATGCTGCATAGACTTCTGGTTTGGTCACTTCGTTTCAGTCATTATTATCAAAATCCTAGACTCCCCACACTTAGCACGTTGATCTACCAGCGCAGACCCGATACACATTGTTACAGTACAGTACAATGGCAGACACGCCATTCGAAGACGGCGTCGACAGCCCAGTGCGGGATAGTGCACAACGAACCGGTCATGATGTGGGCGCATCTAATGGGACAAAAGCCAGCAGCAGCAGGTCGAGCGATTTCTTCTATTCCAGGGCCGACGAATTACAGGACCTCCTTGTTTCGGTCGTGTCGCGTCTCGTCCCTTTCGTCCAGCAAGCCGACATAGAGCGCAGAGCTCACCGGGATCACCAACAAGTATCGACATCGTGTCTCGTGGACTCACACCCACCTTCGGATTTGCTGGCCATCCTACACTCGAGTGGCACCCTCGACCTGCCCGACCAGGGGACCGGTCAAGCTGGACTCGAAGAGACTCTGTCAACCATATTGAAATATAGCGTAAACCCTTCGGCGCCCGGGTTTCTCGACAAGCTTTACGCCGCGCCCCTACCACCTGGGATTGTGGCCGAGTTGATCCTTGCCGTGCTGAACACAAATCTGCACGTCTACCAAGTATCGCCAGTTCTTTCTCTCATCGAGACACACGTCACGAAGGCGCTCGCGCATATGTTCGGTCTCACGGGTCCACGTGCCGGGGGCATCAATGTCCAAGGCGGCAGCGCGAGCAACATGACCAGCATTGTGATTGCGCGGAACACGCTGTTCCCGGAGACGAAACGACTCGGAAATCATGCTCCGGGCCGACAGCTCGTCATGTTCACGTCGGAGCATGGCCATTACAGCATCGAAAAGGCAGCGCAGCAGTGCGGGTTTGGCAGTGACAGTGTCGTTCCCGTCCCCGTGGATCCGATCACCGGTGAAATGGACCCGCACGCGCTCGAAACACTGATAGTACGAGAAAAGAGCCACGGCAAGACGCCATTCTACGTCAACGCCACGGCTGGGACGACCGTACTTGGCTCCTTCGACCCCTTTGCGCCCATCGCGGAAGTCGCCAGGAGACACGGCCTGTGGATGCACATCGACGGTGCATGGGGCGGCAGTTTTGTCTTCTCGGCTTCTCTACGGTCCAGGACGCTGAGAGGCTGTGAACTTGCCGACAGCATTGCCATCAATCCGCATAAGATGATGGGCGTGCCAGTCACTTGCAGCTTCCTGTTGCTCAAAGACCTGAAGAACTCGCACATGGCCAACACCCTCCGAGCAGGCTACTTGTTCCACGACAAGGCGGGAGATGATGACGAGGGTTCGGAAAATCCAGTGGGAGTCACGAACGGCACAGCGAACGGTCATTCCGACAATGACGACGACTGGACCCCTCCGGACGACCTTGCGGATCTGACGCTCCAATGCGGCCGACGTGGCGACAGCCTGAAACTGTTTCTGTCCTGGCAATACTACGGCACGGCTGGATATGCGGCCAAGATCGAAAATGCATACTCAGTGGCATGCTACATGGCAGATCTTGTGGCCAAGAATCCGAACCTGCTGCTCGTAAGCACAAACCCACCGCCGTGTCTGCAGATATGCTTCTACTTCGCGCCAGGAAAGAAGATGGTGCATGCTCTAAGCGATATTTCCCATATGAATGGCAGCCATAACGGGGACCCAAAAAGCCAAGCGCAGAAGTTAGGCAAGCGCAACTCAGCAGTGACGAGCCGCATTGCTCAGGCTCTGATCCCGAAAGGATTTATGGTAGATTACGCGCCGGCCTTGAGCCACGAAGTGGAGAAGGGTTCCTTTTTTCGAGTCGTTGTCAACATCTCCACCACCAGGGAGACGGTTGAAAGGCTGGTACACGAGATCGATGTCGCTGGACGACTAGCTGTTCCTGGTAATTCGGAGACCATTCCGAACAGTGGTTGAAAAGAGCTGCCAGGCTGCGGGTGGCCATTGGAAGAGACCCCGGGGCTTGTCTCTTGGATCCGAAAGCGTGAAGAGAGCTTAGCAAGGCGAATTTGTCCAGAGGAACGGGCGGCAAATCATCAGTCGCATAGTCACCTTTACCCAGGTGGCGAGAACGCTGTCTCCTGGTTCGTCTTTGCCATTTGCAGGCTCGAGGCGCCCGTTATGGCTCCGGCCGAATGTTGGAAGAAGGAATGAATGTATTTCCTCTCGCCGCACAGATGTACTGAATCCCTTGGGCTCCGAGGTCAGATATCCATCGAAACGACAGTCTTCCCCCGGCGACTATGGGCATTGGTCCTGGTCGAAGCTCGCAGGGCTCTGGACTGTCTCGGTCGGGTTTAGACCGAAGGACTTCGATGCGCTGACCGGCAGGTTTGTCGACCGCCACCGTCGACAAAAATGAACCGGAATGGAACGGAATGAGAAGTACAAGATAGTACCGAGCACAGCTGTCGAAGATCGAAGCTCCAAACAACAGCGTAACAATGCCGCTGCGCAGTATCGCTTACAGCCAACGAAGCCGCCATTCAGCTCCTCCCAGCCAAGTACGACGACAACAAGCCAACCAGCACGGCGTCTCTCACCGCGGAAAAGCCAAAACCAGGTACTAGACGAGACACGATCTCAGGAAGGACGCACCGTTAGCGAAGCTTTAATTGGCATTGCCGTTGTCACATTGGTCACATCTTTCTACAGCTTGCAATACCACTCTCTTATCTATACTTTGTTCAGGATACCTGATCAAGGTGCTTCGAAGTGTCGGTAGTAGCTTGGGCCGATCGGGCCCATTGGACAGGATGAGCATCTTTGTGTCGTGTGTGGCACCCGTCACTCCCGCTTCAAGCTTACTGTAGTGATGAGGAGATTGGAAAGCATTCCATGCTGGACACCGAGCTGACGTTCGACCGTCCCCAAGTTATATGCTGATTATGAAACCGGGTAAGAGCACAGCAAGTGGCTGTCCAGATTGCCAACCTAACACCTGCGTAACATAGCCTGCATTATCTGCCCTCTCAGTCGTCTCTAATGAAGTAGCTCCTCCACAACTTCGAGCCCATAACCGCAGCTTGTGCGCTCACAGCTACAGGGGAAGAAAAGTGTAAAGGAGTTTGCCCTCTGCTCGCCGATTATGCGTTACGCCTATCTCGACGGAATCCACTGTGGATGAATTCTTTGTCTTGGACAATATCAAGGCGATTTGGGGTCTCTTCATTTCTTGACTACATACATCACGGTTCGGGACGCAGATCAGCAGTATCTGCGCCGGCCACTATACTGTATGTACCGTCTGTCTGTGCTGCTGTCAAGATTGCAACTGCAAGAAAAAAAGACCCTCGACCGCCAGTCCGACCTGAAGCCTAACGGGCCCCTGTCGTATCATACCTTCTTCCCCCCCATCCATAGCACGTGTGTGTTCTCGCATAACGCATGAGCAAAATTAGAAGAAAATCAAATTTCATGGCCGACCAAAATTTTCAGAACCATCCGTGCCATTATTTTGCCTTTGGTGCTGTACAAACCCCCGCCCTTGCTCCCGAAGGTTTATGTACAAAGGTAATGTAGGATGCTGGCATCGACGAGGTGATGCACTGAAACAATGAAAAGGCGTAGCCTGTTTCATCATGGCTAGACTCTCCTAGCGATAGAGATGATACCTCTAACAACACTCTAACAGACGGTTGCAAGGAAAAACTGGGGGGTGAATGTTCATAAAGTCGGGTATTGGTGGCCGCAGCTTGAATTCCCGTACACCGAACCTAGCAATGCATCGATGTTGACATAATTCAGCTTCGCTGCATTCCAGGTTGCATCGGTGCACCGTTGGGCAAGGCCATGCCATAAGGGTTAACATGCTGATTGCCGAACGCATTGGGGTCTTGAATGCCGCCTAGGAATTGAGCAACGCCTTGCGCGTGGCCAACAGGACAATCTTTATGACCCAAGAGCAATGTGCGGAGGTTCCGGATTTCGTCATGAAGCTGGGCAACTTGTGTGTTGAGACTGTCATTCTCGGCAGAGTACATTTCCACTTTGGCTTGGAGGTTTGCCAGCCACTGTTTCTTTCTCTGGCGACATTTCAAAGCAGCAACTCTAGAAAGTGGTCAGTAGAAGCGTGATACAGTTTTCAGCGTGGACTTACCGATTACGCTCGAGGAAATTCCTCCGCTTCTCTTCGTCAGTCATCTTCTTGCCGTTGGGATGTTGCGTCGGCTTATCATTATCTTCACCCTCTTCGCTGTCGTCGTCATCATCGTCGTCATCGTGAGGCTCAAGGGCTGGGTCGACAATAGCAGCCCCTGAGTTACCCTTCGACCGCTTGTTACTGCCTTTAGCACTAGCTTCTGACTTTCTTCGGTTGTTCGTGGACTCAGTCTTGGTGGCTGCTTTCTTACTCCGGCCACCGCGAGTCGCGGGCTTGCTTTCCTCATGGCTCTCGGGACTTTCACCTGCATCGGTGCCGTTCCGCTTCGGATCTGGCGCATTTTGGACGGGGACTTGGTTGGGAACGGGGAATTGGTTGTTAGTCTGTCCTCCTTTTGCCAACATGAACAAGCCGTTAGCAGCGTCTGTGGCGTCATGTGCAGCGTCCATGTTGCTACTTGAATTGTCTTGGGGGTTGGAAGTATTGGCGAATTGGTTGTTCTTGTTTCTTGCGGCGGCGTTCATTGCCGTGCGATGAAAGTCAAGTGTACCCGGGGTAGCGCCACCACTCTGTAATGAGTTGAAGAGTGCTTGCGAGTTTGGGCTGGGGGCTGGGAACATTGACACGCCACCACCAGGAGTCAAGCCAGTCCGTAGGGATGACTCGTTGGGTGTAGGGAAGCCACGGCCGATACTGTCAAAGTAATCGCCTTGCTGCGGACCAGCCAACATAGCAGGGCTCAAAGGCCCGGACCGAAGAGAACTTTGCCAGTTGTAACCTCCAGTTGAGCTGGTGCCAGGGATGGCAGGTGACGTGAGCGCCGCAACAGGGGGCAGCAGGTTCTTACCCGGCGTCTCTGTCGAGGGCGCACCGAATGATTGTTCAAATGGATTGAATTCTTGCCCAATGCCGCTTCCGTTGTTGTGCAAAGCGGAGAAATAATCAGGTGTTTCTGCTTGAGTGGTGGGCGCAGGTCGCGGTGGCGGTGCGAGAGGCTCAGATGCTTGAACGACAGGTTTAGGTTCTTCGGCCAGCGATGATTGTTGAATCTCTGTTGTTGCATTAGCAATGCACGCGTGACTTGATGGTAGGCGCCGACGCGTACCTGGTAGTGATGGTTTCGTCTGCAACGGTGAGGATTTGGCAACTACAAGCGCAAGATACTAGTCAGCTTTGATACATGCAATATGCGGCCGAGCGCATGTCGACGCTTGAATGGTTTGCCATTTCGCAATTGATGATATTGATGATGGTGTTGTCGCTGGTGGTCGAGAAAGCCGCCAGAAATTTTACAAATAGGGGTGGCGAGGTGCACTAACCTTCTTGCTTCAATGTGGCTTTCTTATTGTCCATAGGCGACGAGGTGCGAGAAGTCGGGCCAGCCCCAAGGTGTTGTTGCGATGGTTGAGTTGCGACTGCGGCGCTCGCCATATTGTCGGGTGTGATGAAGCAATACGTAGATGGAGGAACCAACGTCAGCCGTTGCAGAAGTGACGTCGATAGAGCTGGGAAGGCGCTGGCGCCTCATATATTTTGGAGGTAGGGCAGGCGAAGAGCGCAGGCTTGGGGGGGACGCGAGGTAGCAAGGTTGGCTTCGTTCGAGCGGGCAGGGAATTGTGGGTTCGGAGGCAAGCCCGCGAATCAGAGCGCTGTCAGCTGGAGAGTCGGCACTCGATGGCGATCGACAACTATCGAGCCCATCAGCATTCAGGAAAGCGTTTTCGCTTGCCACTCAGGTCGACCCGCCCACTGCCACAGCTAGATTGAAGCCAGGCGGGAATTGGGTCCGAGCCCACGACAATTCCTGGTATCTGGCAGTCCTTACCAAGTACAGCTTCTTGACAAGCCTGTTCTCGGATACTATATAGTCCTGAAAGAGAATGCTGTCCTCTTGAATAGAATTTGAATTTCGCAACACAGAGGCGACGGATGGCGAGCTAAAATCGGGGCGGTTGCAGGAGGCAGATGATGACGTGTGTCCCGGTTTTGGGGTGTTACTGCCGATGAAACAACACCGCACCGTAGACAAGACAAGGGGATGAAGAGAAGTAGCAGAATAGGAGGACACGTCCCGTGATTGAATATTAACCGAGTATGGTACAAGCGGAAGTATAACAATCTTTCGGTGGTGATTTGACCAGCCTGTTGGTGACGGTGGCTTTTTGAGAGGCTCAACTGACGGGAGAGCAGAATGTGGATGGGAAAGTTCGCAAAAGAGGGTGAACAAAGATCAATGACCTCAGCCCGCAGAGCAATATAGAAAGGACCTCCAAGCCCGTAACTCGTATTAACAGAGTACGAGTTGCTGGCTTCTCTGCGACCGTCGAAGGGAAGGAGGGTGAGATGATGGCGCCAATTGTTTTTCCTCGCCAGCCTTTCATCACGTCATCGCCATTGCGATATGCGTTGACACTTGCGCCTTACCAGACTTAGAACAGCTCAAAGACTCCACACACCAATCATTTGAATCGCTTTGCTTCTCTGCTTGCAAAGGCTTGCTGCATCTGCATGCAAGCAGCGCTCCCCACGACCAATTGCCATGCAGTTTCCTCCTTTCTTACTAAACAGTACATCCTGCGTAGACTTAAGGGGGTGCGACTTCGGATATTGTGTGTATACTCCGTAGTACTTACATTCCTAACTAGCGCATATTTGGGTGGGTGGGAGATATTGCACCACGCTGCAGAAGCAGCTCATGTTTTCTTGCCTCTCACCACAAAAACACAGGCATGTGGAGGAGTAATTCATAGCTGGGCAAAGCCGAGAAAGGACATTAGTAAGACGGCTCCGACACGGAGCACTTCCCCGCCCGAACAATGATGTAAATGCGGTATCGGCAAAACATGGACCTACCAGATGATGGTGTCCCCCACCGGCGTTGAGCGTGGCTAGAAAGCTAACATTTTCCGGTGCTATTCACCCAGTCTATAGGATGTCCTGCCCGAGTAGGCGGCAATGGGGCAGGTGGAAGGGTGACAGAATACATAATACGGAGTACTCGTTGGAAGAAGACGCGGCAACACACGACCACAATTAGCGTCGGGAATAGAAGGTGAGTAGGGTTCCCGGAAGAGAGCGCCCGGCCACAGGTCAGGCGCGACCAATTTCTTATCGGCCCAAATGGAGTTCCAGGATCTAATGCTACATGTGCCTCTGCTGCATTTGTGATGCCTCTAAATGCGATTTGTGCATTTCCATGCTGCCGAAGCGCCTTTTCGCAACCGAGATGGCCGAGACCAAGCCAATGCCTTCCGCCGTAGTGGCCGTGGAACTATTTGTAGAAATCAAACTTGTCGGCCTCTTGAGCTCCCTTGACTTGACTCGAATAGGCATCCTCCAGATCCGCCTGAATGATATTGTACCTGTTCTTCCTTACCGCCCTCAGCCCAGCTTCTTGCATAATTGCTGCGATGATGGCTCCTGACAACGGATCATTCCGTACAATGAGCGAGTCCAAGTCGACTTCAGGTGATAATGACATTTTGCTGGCAATTGTGGAAAATATCAGTCGCCGTTCTCGGCGGTCGCGGAGAGAAGGGAATTCGATCTTTCTGTCTAGACGACCAGGTCGCAATAACGCAGGGTCCAAGGTGTCTGCTCGGTTGGTGGCCATGATGACTTTGACGTTGCTCGTCTGATCGAAGCCATCCATCTGGTTGAGCAACTCCAGAAGGATACGCTGGACCTCCCGGTCGGCACCAGTCTGAGCGTCGAATCGTTTGGTCGCAATTGCATCGATCTCATCAATGAAGATTATGGCAGGTGAGTTCTCACGGGCCATGCGGAACACGTCTCGGACCATGCGCGGACCTTCACCCAGGTATTTCTGCACGAACTCTGAACCGACAACTCTGATAAAGCTGGCAGTCGTGCTGTTGGCCACGGCTTTCACCAACATCGTCTTGCCAGTTCCTGGGGGCCCATACAGCAAAACGCCACGTGGTGGGTCAATGCCAATCTGTTTGTAGAGGTCGAAATGCGTCAGGGGTAACTCAACAGCCTCTCGAATTTCTTGCTTTTGCATGTCTAAACCGCCAACGTCAGCGTATGTGACGTCCGGTTTCTCGTCCTGTCCAAGCATCGCAATCGAAGAGTCTGCTTCAGGCGGGAGGATGTCGACAAGCGAGTTGGAGTGGCGGTGGAGAGCAACAGAAGAGGATGGCTTAAGCTTCTCACGGTCGAGTGTGGAGAGAATGCGGACGACGTAGTTCGAGCCCGTTGAAGATTGTACGATACCAGTGCTAGGCGAGAAGTCAATATCTAATACGCCTACGGAATCTTGTCTTGCTTACTTCTGGTCAATTGCTTCCATGAATTGGCCGATGACCAGCGGTACACTCTGGATTCGTTTGATTTCTTCTTGCGCCCGGACAAGCTCGCGCTTGAGTGATCTAGCGCGACGTCAGTACAGATAAGAGGCATTAAGCTCCTATGTCCTACCTCTGCTCATCCTTGATGTATTCTTCTTGCAACTTGATGTACCTATCACTCAGTGAGCCGCGGCGCCTCACCACAGGTGCAAAAAGACATACTCTAAGTGTCTTTGCAATCTCTTCAAGGTCGCATAGTCATCGTTCGCATCGGCACCGGCCCCTTCTAATGAGTCGATTTCGGGGATGGCGTCTGAGATGGGATGTTTCTTATGAGGTGGAACAATGTTCACAGGGTTGTCAACAAGCACGTCGCCCATGCTGGTGGTCGTGGAAATTCAGGGGTGCAAGTACAGTAAGGGATCCGAAGGAGAAATAGCTCGAGAGGGGTATGATGATAATGGTATGACAGGCAGATGGGAATGAAGTTGGTGATCAGAAGAGCTGGCCTGTTCAAGATCAGAGCCAGGCTGCGGAAGTCCAAAAGGCAACATGAGAACGCGCAGCGCAGTTGCAGTAGAGACACTAGTCCAGAATAGAGTTAGTGGACAAGTTGTAAATGCTTGCTCCCGCCACTGGTGAGGATGGCACAAAATGTGCTGGTTGATCAGCTCCAGTGGCCACCACTTCCTCTTGGATGGATATAGTGACTTTAATCTACGGTCGAATCCCCTGGATAGGACAAACATGTGGTGGTGTTTGCTTATGACTGACTCAAAGGCTGCTAAGGGTTACAGGCATTACTGGGTATCTGTACATCAGGCTCTAGTTACCCAGTGCTTGACCCGACACCGCTGAGTATGTGGTCAGTGCCATTGTGGCAGGCACATGGCTCCGAATCTCCTAGCGCCTTCAGAATCTCAATAAGTTCCCGGATCGAAGTAGGACACTGTTTGGTCGCTATGTTAGTAGATTGTTTTCGATGTGGCTTCGGCTGGGGAAAGCAAAGCAGCTCGGGGACCCGGCTTTTCGGTTTGCTCGATTTGGGGAAAGCCGCAAAAATAGAGGAAGATCCCGCACCCGTTGATCCCAGCTTCTCTGCCTCATGACAAGTACAGTACTGTCGCTGGCCCCTGTCATCCCATGAGACAACTGACTCGACGGATTTGGGGGACCTAGCTGTATGACCCCATTAGATATTGCCACCCCTCCGCAATGCATGGGCCCTGGTGGCATTGCTCACTGAGTATCACCAGGTCTTCCTCTGGTTGACATCGGGCCCATAACCGAGCGCAGAGAAGCGGGCCATGCAACTAGAGATAGTGCCACGCCGCATTGGCCATGCAGCATATGTGCCTAACCATCCTGGACGGGTGGATGAGCTGAATTGCATTGGTTCTGGCAGTATGAAGAACCCGCCAGTTCGCTTGGAATTATCTTTGGCGTGTGACACGGTTTGAAGTAACTGGACTCAGCCTGTCCGCGATGAGGAAACTAGACTCTAGGATCTGCCAATCAGGACAGATGCGGCCTGCCTACGCCGCCGGTCGAGCTGGGTCGAGCACAAAAATGAATGAGGGACTATCCAACTAGGTATGTAAGCCCTGGATCCCTCCTACCTTTTGATATCCCTCCTCTTTTCTTTCTTGAAAGTTCCATCTGTTCTTAGATCTTGCATGTATTCCCTCCTTCTTGAGGCTGCTCCCTAGTTTGGGTTGAGTAGTCTACACTCATTCTACGGCTGCGTGTATTCTTCGGTGCCACTTGTGCTTCATCAGCTACGAGGGACAACAAACTTCTACTAGGTCGCCCAGAATTACCTCGACGGTTGTTCTTCTCAAGGTCTTGAAACTGTCTCTCCGCAAATATGGAGGATATCAGTGACTAATTACCCAGTTCTCAATATCTCCTCGGTTCTGCGTTCAGGGATCTTTGGGCGAGACCTATGCGGCTGAGCACGCAGACCGAGGGGGTCAGCAAGAGAACAACAACAAACTCGCTCAGACAGCCTTCGAGATGGAATGGGAAGCAACACTCTACCAGGCCTCACTCTCACCCTCACCGGGGAAAATCGTCGAGTCCACGTTCGCACGCCCAAGGAAACTTAAGGATGATCTAAATCGAGAACGATACTGGTGTGATCCCGAAATCGACTTTGCTCTTGTGAAACGTATTGCCAAGGACGCAGGTGCGAGCAGCCACTTCGACTCCCTCAGGTGACCACGCCTGTGCGCATCTTTCAAAAGGCCCCAGATGAGCCTTGAGATTCACACCGCGAGTTTAGCTATCTCCCGGCTCTCTTGGGACACATTTCAGGCGGTCTCCGAGACTGCCACAATCGACGGAAGTGAGCAAGTGACGGCAGCGGGTAAGGAAAACGGGTTTGCCTTTCTATTCTTTGACAAGCCTGCATTTGCAGCACCAATCAGCAGATGCAAAACAGGGTTAGCGCGCAGCCCCTCGCCCCTAAAGAGCCGAGCAGCCTGAGTGACGCCGGGTCGCCCGCCTTTAGCCCAACCTTGAACAGTCAGACAGCCTCTGCACCTCAATCTCGCAGCACTGTCACTCTCCCTTTCCGCTTTCTCTAGGCTCCCATTTTTTCCTCCTGCCCCGATTCCAGCGCTATACGGCACCTGCTGCTTGTTCACAGCTATCCCGGCTCTTTTTGTGTTTCATCGATTCCCAGTCGTCAGCCTGGACTCTGGGCGGTGCCTGTCTCATCCCTTTCACTGATCATTTTCCACCCCGCTCTCGCCTTGCCATTGTGACTGTCCTGTACGAGCCACCACGTATCAAGAATCAACACCACCGTCTAATCACATCGGTAAGCCTCCTGCCTTTCCTTTGCTCCGTTAGGACCATTTTTGCCCCTTATCCGAAGCCCCTTGCAACCTCTAAGATAGTAGGCTTGTCTTGTTGCTCGTCTGCCGCCGGTTCACAGCAGCCGGAGTTGAAGCAGGCAGCACATGGTTCGCCCACCACATCATCATTGTTTCCTCCTTCGTCCGCCGACAGATCCATCACTAGCGCATCTCTTATCCATCAGATACTCGACATGAGATCGTGTTGCACGGCCCAATAGACCCGAGTGGGACCTCTCCATGATCCTCATTGCCTGTTCCTCTGGCCTGGCTAACCGATGGCTAACCTCCCTCTCGCAGGCAATCTGACGCCGATTGTGGCTAAACCTGTTTTGTCAACCCCAGCCCTCCAGGAAAATCATCGACATTCCGTGATCGGTTTGCAGACCTACACGCTGTGACGGTTCCGTTAAACAGTGCCAGCTAGGTAAGTCAAGTCCTATGCGAGTCATTATCCCATTGATGTACCTTTCACTTGGCTCGTGTCAGCACCCTGCGCGCTTAGCACCCACCTCAGTCCTCATGCGACGCGTCCTCACCTAACTTCAACACAACCAAGTTTGGTTCCAATGCACATCCATAGCCACCGCCATCCATCATGGTACACAGACCTATGATAGGTCTTGTCGACTATGCCCTTGATTACTTGCGTTTTGAGATGAATACGGGCTCTTTCGTGTCAATGCTGATGATTAATGCTACCCTAGCCAATGGATGACCGAACTTCATTCGAGCCATGAACCCTTGGCTGAACGACGCCTCCCCGAATCCAAACAATCATGTTGGCTTTGGAGGCCCGATGGATGCAGGCATGTCTTTCTTGCAGCCTCCTCAGACGATAAATCCCGCGCAATTCCAGAATCCCGCCTTTCTTAATGGCGCCGGTCGAACGACCTCCCCTGCCTTCCACAATCCTGTATATCAGACCAATTCAATAATACCGTCTAAAAGAGCAAGAGAAGACACTCTGATCTCATCGCCACGACAGGCACCGGGCGGCTTGCCTGCCTCGAGATCGCAAACTCCTGCTCAAGTTCCCTTTCCCGGCTACAATCCTCAACCCAATGGCGCACCTGCGATATCCAATGCGCCTACACCTTTTGGCCATCTTCAGACCTCATCTAATGCGACACCTTCTCCCACGATACAGCAGTTGAATCATTTCAACTCCGCTCAGGCCAACCAACGCGTTGCGACAGCTTCTCCAAGCCCCTTCTCACCCCAACATGGTCCGCCTCACGCCTCGCCAGCTCCGTCCGACCACGCCGGTCGCGTCGCAACACCCCATGACAATCCTCAGAATTTCATGCCTAATGGCGCATTTGCGCAGGGGTTTAACCAACCACAATTCGGGCAGAACGTCGGTAACGGGATGGCACAGATGGGGATGAATCCACAAGTCAATATGGCTGGTCAGCATCCCAACGTGGCAGCGGCGCAGCGCAATTACCAGATGCAGCTGCAAGCTCAAGCTCGTCAAATGCAGGCGCAAGCCCAGGCGCGAGGGATGAATGGTATGCCAACCAATCCTGGCCAGCACGTTCCCAATCCACAGTTACCCCAGCAAGGACTTCCAGGAGCGTTCAATTCCTCCAGGCCGAACAACCCGGAAGATTTCATCCGCGGTCTACAATCTTTCATGGCAGCCAGAGGCAGACAGGTCGACCTGAATCCCGTGATCTGTGGTCGGCAACTCCCACTTTTGAGACTGTACGCAGCCGTGGTTAAGAGCGGCGGCTCACAAAGAATAACAAAGTTGAATCAATGGGCTGCTTTTGCTCAACAATTCGGATTCCCGCCACTCCAACAGATGCAAGCAGCACAAGAGCTGCAGGCGTACTGGGTGACCAATCTCGCTCCTTATGAGGCTGCTTGGCAAATGTCCCAGCAGAAACAGAAAATGGCAGCGCAAGCCGCCATACAAAACCAGACACCACATCAAATGTCCCCTGCGCGCGAGCAGCCACAAGATCCTGGGCACCAGAGGAGTGTGTCCGCTACTGGACCTGTCCCGCAACCAGGGCAGCACCCTACAGCAAATGGGTTCGGTCAACCTCCGCATAATCAAGGACAGCAAGACCTTTCTGCCACTTCCCAGCATCGTTCAAGCTTATCGCGACAATTCGATCCTCAGCAGTTAGCTACCATACAGGCCCAGGCCCAGGCAGAAGCACAGGCACAGGCACAAGCACAAACCCCTCAAAAACGTCCTCAAACAAGCACGAGCAAGATGACGGAACCTGAGCCCGACCTGAACAAACCTCTGTCCGCCCCAATAGAGGATCCCTTTAAGCCTGATGTCCTTCCTCCGAGCCGCTTTCACGGGCCGATCAATGTGGAGGAGATGTTCATCATCGGACAACATATTTTTGAGTCCAAGCCTGTGGTACCCACTATCCGCGAGCTGGGTGTGATTGACATTCATGCGTTAACGATGGCGATCAAATCTGGCATGCATGCCGAAACACGCGTTGCGCTGGACACTCTTGTGACCCTGTCGATGGAGTCTGGCCTACAACTTCAATTGGGCGAGTGCGATGATCTTGTGGACACCTTGATCGATTGCGCGCAGGACCAGGTCAATTTCCTGAGTGAACACGCCACAGAAGTTTCCGATGAGATGTTCCTCACATCATACGAAGAGCTTGTCCGCGCCTGCCGGTTCGAACACGAGTCTCTACAAGACCCCGTCGAATTCGGAACACTCGCATATGACCTGGAACGAGCAGCAGACCGCTTGATATGTATCACCACCCTTTTGCGCAATTTTTCCTTCTATGAAGCCAATTTTAGCATACTTGGCTCGGCAGTAGTGGTCAAGTTATTGAGCGCGGTTATCCGGTACCTTGGGACGACAGAAATGTTTCTGCGCCAGAATCAGAACACCCTGGATTTTATGAAGGATGTGGTCATCTATTTCAGCAACCTGTCAACATCCCTTCAACTTCCTGGCAAGGACGAGGCTCTCTGCGTTCTCCATTTTCTGCTCGCCTTTGCACCCACTCCGCCGCCGACGTCAGGCTCATCAAACAAGATCTCCTTTATTGGGTACACGCCTGGTCTTCACAAGTACATGCCTTCTGCTGTTGATAGCCTAGCAAAATTGCTGGCGCGTGACGAACCAAACCGGACCTATTATAAGGCTATTTTCGCAGCCGAAGGTCTTTCCAACACTCCCTACGAGCTTTTGACGAGAGCATTTGGCTTGGCTATTTCTCCAATCCCTGGCAATTCAAACTACACGAGGACGATTATTGAAGCACGGAAGCCGTACCTCCTACAAGGCATGTTGGCAGCGGAGATATTGGCGAATCTTGCGCCTGGCTCGGATCATCCGCTTGCACGCTCGTGGCTGGAGTCAGAAGACGGTTTCGCGGGCAACCTCCTACGGCTAGTCGGCTTACTCAGTGCAGATCGCAGTACGCAAGCCGCTCCTAGGCAACCCAATAACCGAAGCCATCCACCTCCAGAACCCGACGCTAACGGCTATGGTGCGATCGCGAATCGGGCAATGGCAGTGCTGAAGACGCTCGTGCAGAAAGCTCGAAAGACGGATGAGCTTGGTTCTACAGCAGTACCTTTGGGAATAATGCCAAGTAAAGAGAGTTTGCTGGGAGCCATGATTCAGAAGGATATTGACCCTGGTATACTGCGACAACTATGCGTTTATGCAGGTCTTGAGGATTGAATCGAATGACTGTTTATCTGCGTGGCCAAGGTCCAGGCCACTGGAAGCAATATCATGAGCTGGAGCGTTTGAGCATTCCACAGGAGCAAAAGGACAATGATCTACGGCTGAAAGGCAGAAGACTTATACCAGACCTACTTTGTGTTGCCCCGGTTCCGGGCCACGTTGTACTCAATATGAAGACCTCTGGTTGGGTACGTAAGGGATGTCTAAAAAGGAAAGAGAAGAGAGGGAAAGCACAAACTGTGTCTATTAGTAGTCTTCCGCTTGGTGAACCAATACATGGACCCCTGAAAGCAAATTGAGGTTTTACAGGCACCATACACACGGCGGCATCTACCATTTGCTCCCGACTTTGCGAAAACTGAAGTCCGCACCTCGGAGCCCCTTGACCCGCTCGTGTTCAATCGTGATATCGCTGCCGTACAGGCCAAACATTCACCCTTGCAGAGCCGTTTCTGCCGCCGTGGTGTGGAGCGCCTACACATCAGAACGGAGCAACATGCTATGTCGCAGCGTGACTCGAGCGCATTGCGACTGATCGAACGGCATGCTTCAATGTTGAAGAGTCCAACGTCGTTTTCTGCAAGCAAGCTGGACACTTCGCGCAGCCCCAGCCAGCAGTGTCTTAAACCTCTGGAGTTGCTCAGAATCCACTGACTTCGGCCCACCGCTTGATCTCGGGTCCTCTCCAGCCTCTGATAATCACATGCTTGGTTATCCGGTTGACTACGACATTCGCCTTCTTCCGCCCTCTCATGTCTGTCATGTACTCATCCATGCCCAGTGCTTGCCTCACCGCTGTTGCTAGTTCTGTCAAGTCGCCCTGTATCTTCCGGATCGTGGTGATATGTTTCGAGCCGCCGGATTTTGTGGTCTGGTAAATCGGCAGATTCTTTGAAGGCGTGCGCAGAATGCTATAGGGGAGCGGAGAGAGGGTTGGCGTTATGCTAGAGCCACGGACTCGGCTTTTGAGTGAGGAGGCTTTGAGGTCTGCTGCTAGCACTGTAGGCGGGGGCGTTGAAGGATCTGTGTCAGGGTACATCCTCGCGGCTCTATCCTCGCTGGCTTGTCCTGTAATCGTCACTTAGGTAAGCCATGTCACAGCCAATATGATGGACAGGACGCACTTTCTTTCCGTACAGCAGCCTTCTGCCTCCTGTGTAATTTGTCCAGAGCCGTGATCTTTGCATATTTCTCCCGTGGCATCCACTCCGACTTCCATCTGAGCTGGCAAAGAGGCTGTCGAGGGCGTAGTAGGGCGCGCAGCAATGTCGTCGAGGGTGCCTTCATTGCCATCGCGCTTGCTGTGCAGTGATGAAGTTGGGGATGTCGTCCTTGTTGACTGAGACGGAGGTGGTCGTGCAGGAGCGTGCTCCTCGTGTCGCATTGGAGACAAAGACCGGATGGGAGCTGGAGCGGCCGTGAATCTGCAAGGCTGAAGTCCTTGGCGCTTTGTATAAGGCTGCGCTAGACCTCTTTGCGTTAGCGCAGTCTTCGGGCTTTGCCATTTCCAACACAACGCAAGAATCACAAAATGACATCCACCACATCGAGTGGTTGGTATTATCCTTGGTTTCCGTCTACGCCGTCAGAGGGTCCGTGCCGTTGTGGTCGAGAGCATCTGCCCGCTTACTCGAGTTCTCATCTAAACGAAGCCAACCTCGTTACGTTGCAGTCGCAGCTACCCTGGGCACCCTCTCAATTGGACAGATGGCTGGCATGGATGAATACGCATTCCTGGCGCAGCTCATCCAGCGCATGGACAGACACCTCATCTTCCCTTTACTAGAACACCAGCTCCTCGCCGAAGACATCTCTCAAGAGCGCTACGATGACCTCAAGCTCGCCATTTTCAACCTCCTCAAGAACACCAACATGATCGACTACGTGGGCAATCTCTACAAGGAAATTCACAACACCGAGACCATTCCCCCAGAGTACGCGAAGAAGAGAGAAGAAGTCTTAAGTCAACTGGAAAAATTCAACGAAGAGAGCGCACACCTTACAAACCTGCTGAACGATGAGTCAGTGACATCTCAACTGCGCAGCGACAAGGTCGCCAACTTGAAATTCCTCGAAGAACAGCACGGCGTAACTCAGCAGATGGTTGACAATCTCTACGACTTTGGCCGCTTCAGATATGAATGTGGTCTCTATCCCGAAGCCGCCGACTTACTGTACCGTTTCCGCGTCCTCTCCATCGATAACGACAAAGTTGTGAAAGCCACCTGGGGAAAGCTCGTTTGCGAGATCCTGGGCGAAGAATGGGAAAGCGCCTTGGAAGAGGTCGAAAAAGTCAAAGAGCACATTGAAACCCGTCTGTTCAACAATCCTCGAGCACAACTCACAGCCCGAGAATCGCTCGTCCATTACGCTCTCTTCCCTTTCTTCAACTACGAGCCCGCCCGAGAAAAGTTGACCGAGCTGTTCTTCTCCCCGCCCTACATCTCCTCCATCCAGACCGCCTGTCCGTGGATTCTGCGCTACCTCGCCGCGGCAGTCATCACCAACCGCTCTCGCACTGGCAACTCGTACAACTACCAGAAACAATTGAAGGATCTTATCCGCGTCGTCAAGCAGGAAGTCTACGAATATCAAGATCCCGTCACGGAATTCGTAAAGGCACTCTACATTGACTTTGACTTTGAAGGCGCGCAGAAAAAGTTGTCAGAAGCAGAGGGTATTCTGAGAAGTGACTTTTTCCTGTCCAGCTCAGCGGATGCCTTCCTGGAAAGTGCCAGACACTTGATCTCCGAGAGTTACTGCAAGATCCACCAGAGAATTGACATCAAGTAAGTCATACACTGCCCCAAGGCCGTGCCGGGTCTATAAATGCTAACAATGGTCCCTAGCGACCTGTCAACCCGTTTGGGACTTTCACCCAGTGAAGGCGAGAAATGGATCGTCAACCTCATCCGGGACACAAGAGTGGACGCCAAGATCGACTACCAAGCCGGCACGGTGGTGATGAACCATCCTCCCCAGAGCGTGTATCAGCAGGTGATTGAAAAGACGAAGGGTGCGTTCTTCAGAACTCAGGTTTTGAGTGCCGCCGTGGCGAAGTGAATGGGTTGCATGACCGGAGATCGGAGAAGATATTGAGCTTGAAGTGAACATTGAATGAGACGATGGAAGTCGAGTTGCTCCAGGAAGCTCACGTCAAGAAAGCCACCTGTCACACAGGAATGGCAGCGCTGCCACGACGAGGGATAAAGCAATGATTTCCACTCCAGGTGGTGAGACGATTACGAGCTGAACGTGAGCAAAAGCGCGCTCCAAGAGAGCCGAGGCCAGGGCAATTGTACGCGAGAACATGATACCCACGAACGACTCTTGATGTCGAATGACCACAGGGCTCTGAGAGCAGTGAGCATGGAGCTAGGTAGCTAGAACACAGCACAAGCATGAAAAACAAATCATGCCAATGCCAATGCGGATGGGACTGACAGCCGACGAGGAAAAAAAGGCATGCCGATTGAAGAAATCACTTTGACTGCTCTCTCTGCTGCCTTAGTTGTTCTTCGGCGATCAAGGCCTTGACTTCTTCCTCGGACATCCATCCTCTCACGCTATCCATCAGATCCTCGAGACCTTGCCCGCCGCCCAAGATGCCCTCCAAGTCACTGCTGTCCATGCCGCTCCGATGATCCGTCACCCGTCGCTGACTGAAATTGTACGTGCGGATCTTGTCCTCGCGGCCCGTCCGCGCCACGCCGCCCATGGCACTCCTGCGGATCCGGACGATTTCCTCCTCGCGGGCCTCGCGGCGCATCTGGGCGATCTTGGCGCGCAGCAGCCGCCACGCCTTTTCGCGGTTCTTGTGCTGCGACCGTTCCTCCTGCACCGCGACGACCGTGTTGGTCGGCAGGTGCGTCAGCCGGATGGCGCTCTCGGTCTTGTTGACGTGCTGGCCGCCCGCGCCGCTGGCGCGCATGGCCTGCGATTTCACGTCCGCCGGGTTGACGTAGTAATCTGACTCGGGGTTCTCGTAGTCGAGCTCGGCGTCGGTGTTTGTGCCTTCTGGCAAGCTGGGCAGCACCATGACGGACACGGCCGAGGTGTGGGTGCGGCCCTTTTTCTCGGTCGCGGGCACGCGCTGCACGCGGTGCACGCCGGCCTCGGTGCGCAGCACGTCGTACGCGCCGGGTTGGTGCACTTCGAGCAGCGCATCGGTCAACCCCGTGTCGTGCGTGCTGTCGTCCGGCGTGTAGCTTGCCAGCGTCGTCGGCCAGCGCTTCCGCGCGCACAGGTCCGTGTACATGTTCAGCAGCGAGTGGGCGAACAGGGAGGCCTCGCTGCCGCCGGCGCCGGGGTGGATCTCGATCATGCAGGGGAGCGAGGCGAACGGGTGCGCCGGGATCAGGCTGTTCTTGAGCCGGGAGGAGAGAGAGGGGAGTTGCGAGGTCGTGGCTTCGATGTCCTGCGACGCGAGCGTGCGGAGTTCCGCGTCCGAGGATGGGTCGGTGAGCATGGTTTCCAGCTCGGCGAGGGACTTTGCGCGTTCACAGAGAGTGCGTCAGTCGAGGTTATAGTTACGACCACAGTTGTGGCCGTAGTTGTCGCATAAGCAGGGGCATGGAACTGACACTCTGTGCATCCTCCCATTCCTTCAATGCGGCCACGACAGGGCCAAGCTCGCCAATCTTCTTCGCGACTGCGACGTCGTAGTTCTCTGCGTTGGCCGTCGACAGGTGCTGGTGTTCAGCGGCGATGGCGCGGGCCCGTTGCAGGAGGATAGGCGAGAGGTCAGCCCCATCTCCAGTACCTGTGGATGCTGGATACAGCAAACGAGATCAGCGCGACACTCCGAGCAATACCGGGGACGTTGGATGCAGGGTACGGGTATGTGGTGTAGAACGCTTTGAAGCAGGTACGTGCACGTTGTGTAGAACGTACATGAAGATTGGAAGCGGATGGTGAGAGATAGGGACAGCGCAGCAGGCCTAGCTGCCGTGCGCAACGAGGGTCCAAGGCATCTTGAGCATAGCCTTGCCTTCAGGCTCCTGCTCAGCATGCCTTGGTAATGAGGTAGACGAGGTCAAGAAGGCGGCTGTGTGGGCGAGCGTAGACAGAGCACATCAAAGGTCAGACAGAGTCGGAGACGCGCGAAAATCGTCGCCATGTCGCGGTCGTGCGGCAGAGTCCGCTTCTGGAACTGGCGCCGCCTCCGCAGGTATTTCTCAGGTTTCCGGACTAGAGTACTGCGGCGTTACCCCTACTTCTATGTGCAGCTCTTCGATCGGTGCATACGAGGTAGGCTCTCGGCGATGAAGAAAAGACAGTGACCGGCGCGTCATCCTCGTGAGCCTGCCGGTGAGACTCTGACCCTCGCATTTCCAAGGCTGAACTGATCGCGATCGCAGTTTTCGCCAAACTGCGAGGCAGTGTCGATTGTCCCGCTACAGAGAGGCCGGATTGATCTTTTCGGCAGGCTGGTTATTGATACCCCATACGTAGAATTTGCCCTATACCTGCCCACGCGCGAGTGTCCCGGGCCTTGCTTGGACAGAGACACACAGTACCGAACTTGCCCATTTCAGACAACCCTGCCCCAAGTATCTGAGGTGGAGGGTCGCGGCAAGAGCTCTGTCCGTCGAAAGATCAGAGCACATCTGGCGCAGCCACTCCCGCTTTGGTAAAGACAGCATGCTCGTAATGACGATGCAAGAAGAGAGGATCTGGATCTAGATCGGATAGGATCTGGGCGGACATGCAGGGAAACGGCGAGGGTCCCAATCGGAGGATTCTTGCCTGGCCTTGCATACGCTGTACATGTGTTTCTCAGCCTTGTGGCTCCTCTACGAAGCCGAAGGTAACGATGTATCAGCAGAGCAGCTGCGTGACTGAAACCATCCACGGACTGGTGCTGGGCCGACGGGAGAATGAATCTTCATCATTTATCTCTAGCTCACTACATAATGCAAGCCCTGACTGATGGAGCAGGCCCATATCTAGCATTCATGCGTCATCCGGAGGCGAAAGCACCTGATTCAATTGTTTCCCTGCATCATGTTTCCTGAATTGCAATGTCCTCAACGCTTGAGCAGGTATATGCAAAATTTTGTGTCATATCTTCGTAGCCGTGCGGGCTAGCCTGAGCGGTACTGTGGTGACTGTACATTTTGGACGCCGTTCATGCCTTCATTATTAGCTGTGGATGTGTGGAGAGGTCTTGTCTTCTTTTCTCGATCTGCCATGGACTCATGGTCGAAATCCCCATATTGATCTCATCCCGTTCTCCTCTTCAACTCTCATTTCTTTCTTACTGCCCGCCAGCTCGCCGTTGGTCCGGTCGCGAAGCGGATTAAGCCGAGGCGATTGTCCCGGCCAATTTGACGTCCTATCGTCGCCGTCCATGGGGAAGAAGACACCTTCGACCTCTTCGTCGATCTTCTTCGAGCTCAGGCCAGGACTCGAAATGCCACGGTCGAAGCGCCCAACCGGCGCTGATGAGTGCCTCAGCCCACTGGACTGAACCCTCAGACCGTTGGACTCACCAGAGTCTACTCTATTCAGTTGCATCCGAGCCATCGCCTGAGATATACCAGATATCTGCACACTTGGTGTGACTGACTCGCTCGGCATCCATGACCCTCGAAGTGGTGATCCGATATGGCCGAAGCTAGGTACTCCATTGTTGTCGGCAGCCTTCTTTTCCCGTTGTTCCGCCCACAGCGCACTAAACCTGGATGGACTTCCGGCTGGAGGAGAGCCGACATTTGGGGAAGTTCCGTTCGGAATGGCCAAAGCATGCGCATGGGCATGGTCCCTCGGAGTAGATTCTTGATCCGGCCGTGACAGGCGTCTCATTTTCTCCTGTGGTGTGAGTACCTCATCGTGCAGGCTATTGGGTAGCAAATCCGTCTCGACGTTCAACCCTTCCTCCCACTCGTACGGCAGGTTTGATCGTGGTACACTAGCCGACAGGCCCCGAGTCTTGTTTATCGCTCTTTGAGAATGCATGATCCGCTGACCAATTGACTCCTCAGCGTTCTGTGGGGAGAGGCCAAGAGGTGAAACATTCCTCAAGCCAGAACCTAGATTGGCATTTCGGACGTTCACAATGGACTGAGGCGGGCTTCCTAGCTGTCGCGAGAGGGAGGAAGAAGCTGGCGATCCTAGACCGAATTTATCGGGTACAGATTGTCCAAGCGGTCCGTACTTTGCAATATGGGATATGCCATTGGCATCAAAGGACTGTGGAAGAGGCGCGTTGAGAGCAGTTCGGAGGTGCTCGACGGGTGACTTGGGAAATTGATAATCATTCGGAGGGGACCCAAATTGTGAGGTGGGAGGTGAGTTGAGGCCTGAATGCAGGGCGGAGTCCGGCTGATATTGGTTGTAGCGCTCGGGGAAGGCTTCGGGCTCGTCGCCTTCCATGAGAGGGAACGCTTGACTTTGAAAGTAGTCCGGCCCATAAGGAGGTTGGGTAAGCATGGGATCTGCTAGACTAGGATCTTGACTCGGAAACGGAGGCTGGTCAGATCGATTGGAATAGTTGTAATTTCGACCTGCCATGGCAAAGCCTGCGTCTAAATCCGCTCGATTGACTCGTCGTCCGTCGGGGAGGTAGTGAGCAAGCGCGCACTTGGCCCCGAACTTGCAGTTTCCCTGGACCCCATTAGCGCCGAAGACCACCGGGTGGCAGTCAATATCGTACCTTCATGAAGTACTTGCAGGGTGCTTGCTGCGTCATTGGATCCATCGAGTGGGAGAATGGACATGCACTTCCTGCCTGACAAGCGCCCTGGCGGAAGAACTTGCAAGGAACATGTCTGGTGTCTACCACAATGTCAGCATCCGCCTGCGTGTCATGAAGCTAATCAACTCACTCTTATTTGAAGTCGTGGGTGGGCTCCTCGCGACGTCAAACTGTGGCTGGCCGTGTGAGATGCTACTCTTTCTCTCCACACCATTGCCATAACCCGGCACTGGTACAGCGTTCTCGCCGTTGGTATCATAGTCACTGCGCTGTCTACCTGGCCCGTGCATCATGTGTTGAGCGGCACTGTTCGAGTGTGGCCGGGTCACCGCGTATGGGTCATGGTCATCCCAGGGAGCTGGGGGGTTCGAGGTGGTTCGAGGATGGACTGCGCTCATGGTGTGCGTTGGCCGAGGAATATACACTCGCAGTGAGTGGGTGGTGGTTAGGCTACCCCAGACGCAGTGATATGCGGTGTGATGAGCAATGTACTACCACAAGTCATGCGGCACCTTGACCGCGAAGACTCGGGAGACTGCTGCCCTCCTCCACGCGTTCGGCCGACTTTGGGCGTGGGGGTCCGACCAGGCAGATAACGCAGGAATGGAGGGGAGCTGAGCCACTAGGCCTCACGAAGCGCGATCGCGTTGGCTAGAGGATTGCAGGCTGGTGAGCAGAGCGTATGGGAGAGATGCAAATCAGTCGCGAGGATGGTGTTATCAGTGAGAGGGTCATGCTCATGGTCATGCGATATCGACCCGGACGGAGGTGCAGATGCAGGCAGGATGCGGGGCGTTGCGGTTGGCATTGGCGCTGGCGTTGGGCAGTCACCAGCAGCGGTTAGAAGCGGTGGAGTTTGGGAAATGAGATGAGGCTGCATGCTTCGGTAAACATTCCTTTCACGAGAGCAACACTTAGGGCGACCTATCACGTGCGACCACCCGTTTTAGTCTATTCCATGCGTCGAGACTTCGCCCTCGTACATTGCTCGAGCCGAGCGACATGGCTGGTCGCATTGAGCTGCCGTTTCTCTATCAGACCAGGACTATCGTAGGTCGGTCCCGGAGGCTATTGGACTTGAGTAGGAGGCTCGTCTCAAGTCACGAAGGTAGAGAAGACCTTGCTAAAAATGGCTCCGTTTCCCCATCCCCTGAGCAGGAAGAACCCTTCCTCAGAGCAAAGGCACGGGGTGGTACTTGGGCGCCTCTAACCGGCAAACCCATAGCGAAGGACAGCGAACCAGGATCCACGATATCGTCAACCATAACCGCAAGCGAAAGAAGAGCTTTTGAGGCCATCTTGCGCTTCGCCCCTAAACAGGATGGACCTAAAAGCGTAACGCCACGATCACCGCACCAGGATGCTGTAGATACAGATATCGACGCCATCCTCAAGATCTTCACCTCGTCTGTCAGAGATCATGACTCGAAACTGGGTGCCATGCAGGATGATCAGCGTGCGGCCGAGTCTCTGGATCCCGAGGTCAGGACGAAGCATCCGATGCCGCAAGGGTCAGCAAAGATGACAAAAGCACTGCAGTCAAGCTCACAACCTTCGACAGGGATCAGCTTGCCAACAGAAGAGATGGTCCAGCATCAGCCAATATCACGAGCACAAGCCAGGAGCGAGCACGAGCCGCGATCAGCAGAACAAGTCCATCCTGGGCCTTACTCAGTGCCAGCGGAAGATCAACCCTTCACCCAAGCGACCGAAGGACAAACAGATGAACCACCGCTCTGGTCTCCTTTCGGAGGCAAAGGAGAGCCGGGCCATGTTCTATTCCGCCAGGGATCTCGCTCTCTGCTTCGAGACAAACCCGAACCTGAATCCAATGCCACCTTAGCTACATCTTCCGCCAACACAGACGACCCTCTGGCTGGCGAGCCCAGCAAAGATGCCGTACCAGAAGACTCTGTCGACCAATATCTTCTCGAAACCGCCCCTCCCTCTCAAGCCATGTCTCAACTCGAATCATCAATCCAATCCGCCGTCCGCGCCAGGATGCTCTCCCTTTCGGCTGCCCTTGAAGCCGCCGCCACCTCGACCACTCAACGCGGCGACACCGCCATGTGGGAAGTCGTAGAGTCGCAGATATTCTCCCTAGCGAAACATTTCCAACCCCGAACCACTCAGCACCCACGGAAGGAGAGCCAACCATTCGGCGGCATCAGCAAATTCACGTTTTCGCGCGAGAAATCAGATAAGCCAGCCCAGTTGATCGAGGCCGCAGAGCGGCAGCGGGCAGGAGTTCGAATGAGCCAGCCATCAGCTTCGGCACCAGGACCTACCAGTCAAGCTCCTAGCGGTGCTGCCACAGCCTCTGAGATCAATAACGTTGCCACCCCTCCACCCGCGGAACCGCTCTCACACCACGACCTCCAAATCCTCCAACACATCTACCCGGCCGCCCTGCTGCTCGCCCTGCGCCTATACATCACGCAGTTCCCCTCGTCACCGTACGCGTTCCTCCTCCTCCCGCGTATTCGCGCCCTCGGCACGACGAGCTACGTCCTCGGCGCGAGCCCGCAATTCTACAACAGCCTGATGAGCCTCGTGTGGCTCGTCAGATCCAGCCTCCGCGAAGTCGACGGCCTGCTGGGCGAGATGGAGCGCGGCGGCGTCGAGATGGACGAGGGCACCTACGCTGTGCTGGGCGCGATCGAGGAGGCACGCACCGCGGACTTGGAGCGAGAAAAGAGGGCGGGGCGGGACGATATAGAAGGAACGACGACCCGGGTAGGCGCAGACGCAGACCCCTCGCGAGGCGCCGCCTGGTGGAAGAGGCAGGAGCAGATGCTCTTCTTCCCTCGAGTTCTGGACTGGTTGGACGTTATTGCAGGACGGCTTGCCGCAAAGGAGAGAGCAGGCGTGGTTGAAGCCTAGACATAATGAACCGAGTCGATAGAGCTAATGATAGTTGAACACCGCGCTGTATAGGTCGCTAGTACCCGGACAGATGTATGCCGTCTTTAATAGCAGCGCTATCCGGAGTACGAGGTCAGATGGTCGGAGAACGATGTACAACCCAGTAAAGTACAGCACATTACGTTTATGAACGGTCGCCAACCTCAACCGGCAAATGCTCGCTTCCGTTTCACTGTCCGGTAGTTTGAAGAGCGGTCTACACAGCCGGTGCACAGTATGAGTGACTCGGCCGGATCATGGCAGCCACATCCCGTCATTGTCTCCCTACACCTCTCGTCGATCATCTCGTGGAAGGTCTCCTTTGTCGCTTCGATGCGTGAGTGCGCTATTTTTCTCCTCTATGTTGTTGCTGTCACCTTCATCGACCTGTTGTTATCCAACCAGGCAGTGTAGTCAGGTAGACAGTGTGGTCGTCAGACCCCGAGCAGGTTCACCAACATGCTGATCTCAATCTCATTGTTCATTCAACCTCGACCGAGTCGTTTTGCCGTTGAACGATATCGGAAATTGCAGTTATGCATCCGTTCGTTCGTTCGTTTACTCATCCGTTCGTCATTCCTCGAACCGATGCAGACGTGTCATGCAACACCGTGGCGCCGATTGTCGGGCTGTCGAGAGCTCCCACTTCATCAACGGCCTGCGTCTGCACTCCCTCCTTCCTTACACCTTTGTCTTTCGCCTTGGCTTAAGTTGTTGCCGAATCGCCTCTTTCTCCTTTTACCCCTCATCGCTATCCCAACCATGATCTCTTTCATGCCTGATAGTTCAGACCCTCGCCTTCTTCACCTTGGGTATTTCCACGGAGATGAGGTCTCTGTTGTTACGGTCGTCCCCGCCGTTGTTTCTGTCGCCAGGTCCCATAGGAGCCTCCCGTTTTCTCCGAATCTTAGAGGTACGTGGTGCGCGTGATTGTCTTTCCGGATCCAGTATTGGAACTGGATATGGTTGTACAGCTCGTACTCGTTTTGCACCGGCTTCTTGCTCAAGAGATTTCTCTGCCAGAGATAATTTTGCCAAGGATGCAATACGCTGTTTGCGCGGAAGAGACGAAGTCTTCCGGTTGTGTACCGCGCTCCGACATTCTTCTTCTTCGTCACTGGAGATCACAATCGGCTCGGCTGACTTTAGAGGCGGGCTTTGTCGGGACGTTAAAGTAGGCATATCTTGGCCCATGAGCAGCCTAGATTCCTCTGTAGTCGTGATAAGCGAGGAACGACTCGTGATGACCATCTTTGACATGTGCTGAGAGCCTCCCTGCTCTTCTTCCTCATCTTCACTGTCTTCGATAATGCGTCGTGCTCGCCTGGTTCGAGCAATCGTCTTTACTGCGCGGTGGGTCATCTTAACCGTTAACCGTGTCGTTCCGCCAGCTGCCGCGTCCTCGGTCGTACTAGTCGTGCTTGTGCGCGTCGAGATGTTCTCTGAGCAGCGCGTGTCCGGGGCCACTTCGACTGACGAAACTAGTGGTTCATCCGCTTCTGCCTCTGGTTCACCTCCGCTAGAATCTCGCTGCAGGGTCTCTATCCATGCCTTGCCGAATTCGAGGCCCCAACCGTAGGCTAGGGCCCCGGGCACGCCGTTGCCTAATTGCTTATGCTTCTGGACGATCGTCCCCGCGAGAAGAAACCCGTCCGGCACGCCCATCGCGCGACAAGTCTCGCGAAGCGAGATCAGGCGGTGCTGAGATGGGTGCAAGACCACTCCACCAAAGCGAGCATCCATTGGGTTAATCGTGGTCGCAATTGTCCGGAAGGGTTCGTCTTCCTTGATCCGCATCAGGACCTTGGACGAGCGCTTTCTCTGGGTCGGATTGAGAGCACGGAAGAACTTGTTCTCCGTTGCCGAGAGCTTCTTGGTGTAATACGCCTCGCTGAGAGACGTGTCGATCTTCGGTACGAGGTTACGCAAACTGACAGTTTTATCCCAGTCGATTTTTAACCGTTTGAGAGGGATGTGATCTGGGTCCTCATGATTAAGAACCGTATCGTTATCAACGGGCTTCAGATCGTAGATCGCGCTCCAAGCGCTACGAGGTTTGTGCTCGTTACCGCGACGATCACGGTCTTGTAGGCGGTGGGCGATAGGGATTTCGTTCGGGAGCACGGCGCCTGGTGCGGCCGCAATAATAAAGAGCCTCTCGCGCGTGGACACTCCACCGACCTCGCAGTCAACCCGAATAGACTTCCGCACCTGATAACCGAGAGCGACAAGATGACAGATTGCTTGAGCGCAGGCGTTTGGTCGTATTCGACCCATGTTGACGACATTCTCAATCAGAACATATGGCGGCATGAATACCTCGATCCATGATAGTATATTCGCAAGGATAGAACAATTCTTCTGGCTCTCGTAGTTACTAGCTCCTTTAAAGTAGTTTAGCACACTGAAGCCCTGGCACGGGCAGCCCGCAATGATACAGTCAATGTGAGGAGGTAACGGCTTCTTCCCTGTCATAAAGCTTTGTAGGGCTTGGTTGACGGAGTCAATGAGATACTCACACTGATCTGACCCATTATTGGCCATGTGGCTCCGAGCTGCCATCTCGTTATGTTCGACAGCAAGCACAGTCTCAGCAAGACCAGTGTTGCAAAACGCATGATCCAATAGACCAGCTCCGCTACACAAAGCGCAGACCTTCATCTTGTGGAGTGTAGATGGGTCAGCTGGATGTTGGCGAGCTAACTTTTGGGTCGTCCTTATTGTCGTCATTCCTCGGGACTTTTGACAGTGGCAAGGCAACTCTGACTCGACAGCTTTGACATGGATTCCTTCACTTTGTCGATAGAGACTATGAATGAATAGCTGGGATCCTTGCTGGGCATGATCCTTGAAGGCTGAGGCGTTGATAATCTTGATAACGTTTCTCATCGAAATAGATTTGCAATTACACTCATCGCTGAAGAAGAGCTCATTGCCGATCGGATAAAAGGTCCCGTCCTCTGAATTACCGCATAAAGTGTCTGCCGGAAGGACAAGCCACACCACCGAAAGAGTCGACTTCGAAACCGCTCTAACCCAGGCGTATCGGAAGTTGTACTCATCCCAATTAGTAAGGGGGTCACGAATAATGACGACAGCTCTCAGAAGTTGACCGAGCTCGTGAACGCGAAGCAGCCGATTTTCGATCGCTGCTTCTTCAAGTAGCCAAGTAGCTTTAGAGATTTTATGCCGACCTGTACCTTTAAAATTGTCCCTCTGGGAGAAGCCAAGCTTATTAGGGAATTTCCACTTCCGCCTCTTATTATCGGTATAGGCTTCGACCTCAGCACACTTATCGACCACGTTCAACAGTTGATGTTTCTCCTGCCAGTATGGAAAAGCTTTGAGGAACGAGGATGCGACGTGCCGAGTAACGACTGTTTCCTCCGATGAGGAAATGGTTTCCCGGTTATACGAAAATTCACCAGCAGCGATTTCGTCCCAGACTTTATGCGAAAGTCTTAGGTTATCGCCATCACCTTTCTTTTGCAGGTGACGTACACGTTCGCGCAGGAATTGTGCATAGTACAGCACATACTGGCGAAAGTCCTTCCGCTCTCCGCATTGTGCGTGCCAGCCTAAAACCCTGGCCCCATGTACCTCTTTTACCCATGTCCAGAAGCTCGATTCAAATGTCCGAAGGCAGACTGACACACCAGTGGCCAAGTTGATATGGAGAAAGTCGACAAAGTATTTTGTAAAGTTCGCCAACCAGAGATAACTCGACCAATACCGTTCGTAGGCTTTCGATGGTGTCCTTAGTCGGTACCAGTAGTGTTTCTTTCGGCCTTCCATGGTCATGACCCAAATAAACTCAGCGGCAGAGTGTTGTGTTGTATCCTCCATGGCGCCGATGTTGACATCAACGATCGCGCCTCGGATGAAGGACCTTCGATTCTCTGCACTATTTAGAGTTCCATCGATAAACCAGTCGGTATCGTCTCGGCACGACATCACGATATGTAGAGACTCGTACCGACCTTCTAAGCCGTCGCGCTCTTTAGCGCCCGAGGACATCTTGGCCGACTGGTAGACGCAGAAATCCTCCATGTCGAACTCGTAAAAGAAGGAGGTGTCTTTGATGCTAAAGTCATCTTCGTCGTCCTCGTTCATCTGGCCGCGATCGAGAGCGATGAATTCGCTTAATATCTGCGACTCTGGACTGTAGGAAGGTGCGACTTCAGAAGAGATATTGACGGAAAACCGAGGTGGCCAGGACCGTCGCACCTCTTCTGGAGACTCTAAGTCTAGGAGGGCCCGTATGAGTATAGCCTCTTGCTCCTCGAGATAACAATCTCGAGACCGGGGTAAACTTGTTGGCATATTCCCTCTAGTACTTATTGATGTAGTCCGGCGGGGCGCAGGCAGGACAACTCTACCCTTCTCGGCCGAGCTACCTGTCTCTTCTAGGTCTGTCTCGCCGTCTGAAGAGATGTTCGAGCTTGCGCTAGTTTCGGTATGTTCGTGAACGCTTGATGGTCCATCGTCCTGTTCCTGAAGTCGTGGCATAATTTCTGTTTGCGGGAGACCAAGTGATGAACGCGTTGTGAGGGCGATAGACTTGACTTTCAGAGCGTAAACGCCGACCAGGTGAACTGATTGTTGAGGTAGCTGAATGGGTCTCGCCTGAAGACGAATTCGCGGGCGTGTGCGGAACGTGTGCGGATGTAGCGCAGCAGAAGAGGTTGGCGAAGTTGGAAGTGAGTTGAAAGTGAGTTGAGAGTGAGTCGAAATCAAGTTGGGACTGGGATTATCGCTAACTTGTTGCCGAGAGAGGGCAGTAGGTAACGAAGGAGTTGGGAAGCTGATGAACTCGGGGAAGTGCGAGGTTTGAGAGTAAGCTCCACCAGTCTAGCAAGAGTAAATATGGCACTGTACTGGAGGTTCTTAGCTGCTCCGTTCAGATACTCGTTCCTGTGGTCTTCAGGGAGAGAGGGACGGAAGAAGTGGAAGTTATATAGAGAGTGGAAAGAGTGCCTTGCTCGCAAGTCAAGCAACAATCTCAACGGTTGTGAGTGTGATGTTTGTCAACAGAAAAAGGACGGTGCTCCGCAAATGAATGTAAAGTGCAAGGAGGCCCGGTCTGGTTGTTCACCGCCCTAACCGAGGAGCGATGGAAGGGTCAGTATATTGGGTCGATGAGCCCGGCCTGAGGTAGGCCTTCGCTGTACAAAGTTTGTCCGATTTGACAAGGTCGTGCCAGCCCAGTCATCTGCGGTAACGTCTTCGTCAATTGGGCCCAGAGGACACAGAGGTCATATAATTCATTGGTTAGAAGACGAATTGTAAAGATGAGGCCATACTTGCGGTCCTCGACCCCATATTAAATGTCCTTCTCGCGCAGCTACCCTAGAAGTCCACTTAGTCAAGGTATATTGCCGTCCTCGTCAGTGAGGATGAAGCGATTATGTTTGTTTTCCTTGGCAATGCTAAGGACCTGGATGGATGGACATTTGCCGAAATAACGTTGTTGCTCGTACATGCTCTGGTATCTCGCGATTAAAAGTCAGTCATAACCCTGCGTCAATTGTCTTCTCTGCGTCGTCAAATGTCATGGCCATCATCATCTGCATGCCCGCGTTCTCCAGCTCTGCCTCTCCGTCGCGAGGAAGAGCTCATCAGATGAAAAAGCTTTGATGGGCCGTCTCGGCTACTCGGTTGAGGTCTTCTAGTCTCTTCAACCATATCACCCCCTTCTGTAGATGACACCGATTCCGGTGCCCGATGTGGGAAAGGGATTCGTCGATCCCATTGGGATTGGGAACTTGAAGGGGTAGTATCTCCTTCTCCGCCGACAAGGGGAGAAGGTTCGGAATCCCGATAGTCCAACTCCGTCACAGTATCTGCGGTGGGCGGTAATGCCGTAATACTGCTGTTCCTGTTGGACCTTGGAAGTGACTCGTCGAAAATCTGGCTGTTGGTTGGCATTGATTTCTGCTGATCCGTGACCAGTCGCTGCCACGTATGCTCGGATCTCTCATCGGGCCTTTCAGCTTGTTCCGCAGCTTTCAGGCATTCTTTGGTCTTCCGGCATAGCTTCACACATTCTGCGTGGAAAGCATGCACAGCCTCATCATCAGTTACATCACCGATGTTTTCAGGTGCACTACAGGTGTGTTAGTATCTAGAAATGTACCGGTAAAACCACAGCGGCCATCTCTGGCCAACCCAGCGACAGTGTCTTTAGGACTACTTACTGTGTGGTCCACAAGTCAACCATTTGCGCGAGCACTGCGTTGATGTTAGCGTCCTGAAAACCAGATCGTGACCCTGTCCGTGAAATCCCTCTTTGCACGAATCCAGGGATTTGGAGGAAACTCACGTTTGGCATGATCCAACAGGAAAGGAAGACTAGGTAAGCCTTCCCGGGATAATGCTGGGAGTCGGCTACGTATTTGGTTTGGCGCGGCGTATTGAGGCTCGAGTCTGGCCGAGGCTATCTGAGATGAGCTTACGCCACAGATTTCGTCGATGAAGGATCTGAATTGGTTTGTTGAAGCGGCTAAGAACTTATTCATGGGCTCCATCCATGGTTCCTTGGTCCCGAACCGGCCCAAGCTGGCAAGAACGTTCAGCGACTTGGCGATCAAGGTGAAGGTTCTTTTCGTGCGATCAGGCGGGTGATCTCGAAACCACGTCAGCGCGGAGCAGGTAGGGGTACCACAAAATACTCACCATGGATAAGGCCATGAAGCTTCGGGTTAAGGATGGCGGGACAAAAGAAGCGCAAAAAGAGAAAACCAGAAACGCTGGTATACTTGACCGTCCGGATGAAAGACCCATAACGATCCTCGGCGCAGGAGCGGACATGGCGAAAAATAACTCGCAGGTCCATGGGACATCGAGATGCTGACACGTAAATGGACTTCCAGATTTCGCTGCTGAGGAATATCAGGTTTGCCCAATTCTTGTCCAGTTGCTCCTGAGACCGCACTCGGTTGGGATCCACTTCGCAGTCGGGATCTCTTTCCACAATTTTGCGGATTTTCTCGCCCAATACCTCTTCCATGTAGTCTTTGCCTAATCGTCGCATATGGGCGTCAAGTGCTTTTGTGACAAGGGAGTTGCCCCGGAAAAGTAGGTTGGCCTCCATTGTGGCCGACCGACTGAGGTCTCGCACCAGCATTTCTCTTTGCTCAGCAGACTCAAACGAATCATTAGAGTGAATGCGACCACTGAACCTCATCCGCATGGGTGGAGTATCTCTGTTGGTCCCATCGATCTCTTCTTCCACGAGGTTCTTGATCCATTCATTAGCCGCTCCAGTAGCTTGGAAAATATCGAGCAATATCTCTGAAAGCTCTCGTAGTTCGGGGCCCAGTAGGTGAGCAATCTGTGTCGTAAGTCCATTTCCGTAGGTATTCAGCATGGCTGAAAGCTCCTTGTACTCCTCCTCCATCAAGATGACGGTCTCACGGAGTGTCAACTTGGCCAAGAACTGGCCAACGGAATGGTCGTTGTTGTCTAGCAGCGGCCACCACTGATCGATCGTACCAGAGTGTTCCAGCTCATCGAGAGGGAGGTCCACGCGTCCAAAAATGGGGTCATGGGCGGATACCTCGAGCCCTCCCAACCCAGAGAGGTACCCTGCATCTGCGGAGATGTCGTAGAGGCTGTCAGCGACCATGGTCCATTCTTTCTCCGCAGGATTCCCCAGCTTGACGGCGACGGTGATTTTCGACAGCGCAGCCGGTATATCCACCAGATGGAATTCTTCCGCCCAGAACGCGGGCGACACATTCTGCTTGGTTGTCGTTCGGGCTCTCAAATCCTTACCGAGCATGATCTCGGCGTAGACTCCTTCTTTGCTTTGATCGGCCTTGGCAGATTTGCCTTTTACCTTGCTGTGTTCGAATGTGTCTTTGAGTGCAGACCGTTGTGAGAACTTCGCTTCTGTGAGTTTGATGGACAGTGAGCGTTCTATACGAAACATCCCTTGTGTGGGAATGTTGTTCCCGTTTGAAGATGGCTGCGACACGGTCTGGTCGTCTTCAGGAGAGAAGTGTTCCGGACCATACAATTCTGGCACCGTTAGTGCTCGGAGGAGGACAAACCAGGCTTCGAGCGCGACGTTGGACTCCAAGCAGAGCACCATGGGTCTCGACAGTCTCATGGCGGGTGTCTCTATCCGATATTGAGGGTAGACTGCAATGCAATGTGGCATTCGCAGCACACTCTCGTCTAGCCTTTGGATTGCACAACGCGATAGTTGTGAGAGTGGCGTGACTGAGAGCACCCTGTTGTCAACTTCGCTGAGGAGCCGAAACGTGCCGTTCTCATGGAGAGTGCAGCTCACTCTGCGCCAAAGGTAGTTCCCTTCCGTCATCGATCGTCCAAGACTACTGGGTGACGTTTCTAATTGAGAGCCTGATGGCAATGGGCCATCCCACAGGAGCATCTTTCCGACCTTAACTATAGCCGTAGCTTTTGGGTTGGTGAGATCGGACAGCCGTCTCTGCGATACTGGCTTCTTCTCCGTCATGCTGATCGGTTGAGGCTTGGTCATTTTGTTGTGCATGCCTTTCGGCCTCAAAGGCTGCCAACAAAGTAGGGCTGCGAGCCACGAGTCGAATGTTTCCGGCACAGGCGGTCGGAGTTGATACCCAGTGCCTGAAGATGCAATGATCACACTCAAATAGGTGCTTTGAGTCTCATGATCGTAATGAGTTCTGACAGTGCAGCCTCGCAGGTCGGGTATCAATGTCCTAGATTGATGCACTTCGCCCTTGGTCTGACACACTAGGCTGCCAGGCGCAACGTTGATAGCACAGTAACCCGACGCCCATGCCGTCGTGTGTAGTTGTCTGAAGAAAAGAATGCCATGCATTCTACCGCAAGTTGTCTTCATAAGATGAAGGATCTTACTGGAGTCAATATCGAGCAGGTTGGGCGAGCGCAAACTGCTCGTGCTCATACCCAGAGGATTGTCGGGCGAGAACGGCCGCTGCGGCGTCCGTGGAGTGTTCTGCTGATCCATTAACTCAGGACTCTGGACCACGGAGGGAAACCCGATGGATCCATGGGCGTGGGCCTCTTCTGGAGGCATAACCGGGAGTGGCAGGCCCGTTGCAATGGAACCAAGTCTTTTCCGAGTTTTCGTGATAAAGGAGCCTGGTGAGGCATCTAAAGTGGGTTCTTCGTGTGTACTGTTCCTCGTCTGCGCCCGTCTTCTTCTCCTTTCAACGATATTCTCTTCTTCATTATTCGAGGCAGACGTTGAGGTCTCCCGTCTTCTTTGCGAATGTCTTGTGCGCGTCGGTTGTAGCACGGGAGAGTGGGTTGAGCGGGCATCGAAAGAGTCGGCACGAGGAAGGATAAGGTCGGGGGTCACGGCGCGAATGGTATGTTGTTCACTCTGTTCAAACACCATGCCATGTCTATCCCGTGAAGACGCCTGTCTGCTCGATCGCCGTTGCTGCATCAATTGTGGCCGTGCTTTTCTTTGGCTCACGACGCTCGCCAGCTCCTGGCGATCATGCGGCATCATTCTCAGTAGCCGCGGCACCGCGGGCCTCGCCTCGACGACGAATTCCTGACCTTTTCGGTGACTGTCACGATAGCCACTGAGTCGTTCTGTCTTCGCCGACAAGACTGTGCGCAGGCGTCGGTTGCGTCGAGTTCCTTCGACAGACGCCAGCCAGGATGCAGGCTGAGCAAGTGCGCATTGCCGCAGACGGCTCGAATAGTGACACTAGTCAACCAGCGGGCGTGGGAGGGGCATCAGCCGCATTGGAAACAGGAGGGTGTTTGCAGGCGCTGGATGCGACGCAGGAGAGTGGCTGGATACGAGGTGTCACTCGAACGAGCGAGGCAGGCGCAAATGTTGCAAAAGCTGGAGCTGAGGAGCAGAGGGTGAAATAGGGATTGTATGCAGGTACGCTGCAATGCGACTGTCGAGCCAAGTGCTTGTGTTGCCACCTGAGAAGATCTTCAAGTAGGAGTAGTTTAGGGGTGGTCAGGTCGGGGACGCCAGCATCCAACTTCGTCCCGGTCTGCAGGTGTTGGTGGGATTCCAACGGCTTACAGTGGAAGCGCACAAGGGAAAGGAGTGCATCTGCAGCATCAAGTGTGGGGTCGATGCAGCCACGAACCACGCCTCGGGCAATCCCTTGTTTCTGGAAAATAGCCGTTGCGGAAGATGAATAATCCGAAGATCACATGATGATGCACTGGTGACTAATTAGAGTTTGCCCTCACTTGGACTTCATCTCGCCCTCGCCTGCGTATGTGCACGCAGCCTCACCACTGACCACCTCACTCCAACCCCTCCGCCTTCAAAGATGTCGGACGGTATGTACTCAACACCCCTACTGACGAGAGAAGTGCTGACATCCCTCCCAGCCGACTTCGAGACCGTGCGGCGTCTGCAGGCGGAGCGCAACTCACAAGCCGCAGGCAAAAAAGGTTCAAAGGCCTTCGACCCCTCAAGTCAGCGAACTGACTCGTCAACTAAGGCGTCTGTGACTGAGAGCTTCGACACCACTCTCTACGATCGAGATGGCGGCGATAGGTACTCCGGGTACCTCACCTCCCTTCCCGCGGAAGGCGAAGACGACGAGATGCCCGATGCCGACGATAGCCGGAGACTCGTCGGACAATACACGGCCACAAAGGATCAGATGAATGAGTTCGCGACCGGAGGTGCGGAAGAAGAGGATATTTTGCTTGGCCGTGAGAAGTCCGCCAGAATAGCAGACCGCGAGTCTGACTACCAGAAGCGAAGATTTGATCGAGGCCCGCTCACTCCCACCCGAGCCGATCCCTTCGCTGCCAACAAACATGCCGCTGTCACAGACGGCGCCACCTACCGTGAGGTTATGCAGTTACAAGACCTTGAGCGCGAGGAAGAACGGGTCAAGAAACTCATTGCTGACAAGCAGGCCGCGGGTGATGACTCTGTAGAACATAAACCCACTTTGAAGGAAGAAGCAGACAAGGAGAATGCCGATGCTGGGTCGACTGTCGAAGCCACAGGCCGTAAACGAAAGAAGAGGTGGGATGTCTCCAGCGAGTCCACCCCTGCGCCAAACGATGCCGAAGCAAAGAAGCGTTCAAGATGGGACCAAGCCCCTGGACCCGATACCGCGCCAGCGCCAACCAAACGCTCGAGGTGGGATCAGGCCCCTGCGCTTGGTTCCGCTACGCCTATGGGGAATGCTGGAATGGCTACACCAGTTCCAGGAACGTTCGGAGAGATCTCCGCCCGGAACGCGCCGTGGTCAGACGAAGAGCTTGATATGATGCTTCCCACGGAGGGCTACACCATTCTGGAACCACCACCTGGGTATGCACCTCTCCGGCATATTGCGAGGAAAGCAATGCCTACGCCTGCACAAGCAGCCAGTACAGCAGGCCTTGGTGGCTTTATGATGCAAGAACCAGAAAATCCAAGGATGATGGGCAAACAACTGCCGACCGAAATTCCTGGCGTTGGAGATCTTCAATTCCTCAAGGCCGAGGACATGACCTATTTCGGAAAGCTGGTCGACGGGGCAGACGAGAATGCCATGTCGGTCGAAGAATTGAAAGAACGGAAAATCATGCGTCTCTTGCTCAAGGTCAAGAATGGAACGCCATCTATGCGGAAGACTGCCCTTAGACAACTGACGGACAACGCCAGGCAGTTCGGAGCCGGACCCCTGTTCAATCAAATCCTACCGCTGCTAATGGAAAAGACATTGGAGGACCAAGAACGGCATTTGCTCGTCAAAGTTATTGACCGTGTCCTCTACAAGCTCGACGACCTGATCAGACCTTATGTCCATAAGATTCTGGTCGTCATCGAACCGCTCCTCATCGACCAAGACTACTATGCCCGCGTCGAGGGTCGAGAAATCATCTCGAACCTCGCCAAAGCCGCAGGTCTGGCGCATATGATTAGCACAATGAGACCAGATATCGACCACGTGGATGAGTACGTTCGAAACACGACGGCTAGAGCATTTGCTGTCGTCGCTTCGGCTTTGGGCATTCCCGCCCTCCTTCCCTTCCTGCGCGCGGTGTGTCGGAGCAAGAAATCATGGCAGGCTCGCCACACTGGTGTCAAGATTGTCCAGCAAATCCCTATCCTGATGGGTTGCGCTGTGTTGCCACATCTGAAAGGCCTTGTCGACTGCATCGCTGACAACCTCAGTGATGAACAGGCTAAAGTGAGAACAGTTACTTCCCTGGCGATTGCTGCTCTTGCCGAAGCTGCCAATCCTTATGGTATTGAGAGCTTCGATGATATCCTCAACCCGCTGTGGACCGGGGCACGAAAGCAACGTGGCAAAGGACTGGCAGGTTTTCTGAAAGCAGTCGGATACATCATCCCCCTCATGGATGAAGAGTACGCCAACTACTACACCAGCCAGATCATGGAGATCCTGCTCCGAGAATTTGCCTCGCCCGATGAGGAGATGAAAAAGGTCGTGTTGAAAGTCGTATCCCAATGCGCGAGCACCGACGGCGTCACGGCCGGTTATCTCAAGGAACATGTACTGCAAGAATTTTTCAAGTCCTTCTGGGTTCGCAGAATGGCGCTGGACAAGAGAAACTATAGGCAGGTTGTCGAAACCACGGTCGATCTCGGCCAAAAAGTCGGCGTGAGCGAGATCGTTGAGCGTATCGTGAACAACCTAAAGGACGAAAGTGAGGCCTATCGCAAGATGACTGTGGAGACGATTGAGAAAGTCGTCGCCTCGTTGGGTGCAGCAGACATTGGCGAGCGTCTAGAAGAACGGCTCGTGGATGGCATCTTGCACGCCTTCCAAGAACAGAGCATCGAGGACGTGGTCATGCTCAACGGCTTCGGCACTGTGGTTAATGCGCTCGGAACGCGGTGTAAGCCATACCTCCCCCAAATCGTCAGCACAATCCTGTGGAGGTTGAACAACAAGTCCGCCACGGTACGCCAACAAGCTGCAGATCTCATCTCACGGATTGCAATGGTCATGAAACAGTGCGGCGAAGACGCCCTCATGGGCAAGCTTGGTGTTGTGTTGTACGAGTACCTGGGCGAAGAATATCCCGAAGTCCTCGGCTCAATCCTAGGCGCATTACGATCCATCGTCACCGTCGTGGGCATCAATCAGATGCAGCCACCTATCAAAGACCTGCTGCCACGATTGACGCCGATTCTGCGAAATCGCCATGAGAAGGTCCAAGAAAACACGATCGACCTGGTTGGCAGGATTGCAGACCGGGGGCCAGAAAGTGTCAATGCCCGGGAGTGGATGCGCATCTGTTTTGAGCTTCTGGATATGTTGAAAGCACACAAAAAAGGCATCCGCCGCGCTGCAAACAACACATTCGGCTTTATCGCGAAGGCCATTGGTCCTCAGGATGTTCTCGCCACACTCCTTAACAACCTCAGAGTGCAAGAACGACAATCGCGCGTCTGCACGGCTGTAGCGATCGGCATTGTTGCAGAGACCTGCGCGCCGTTCACCGTCCTCCCCGCGTTGATGAACGAATACCGCGTGCCTGAGCTGAACGTGCAAAATGGCGTGCTGAAGTCCCTGAGCTTCCTCTTCGAATATATCGGTGAAATGGCAAAGGATTACGTCTACGCGGTCACACCCCTTCTGGAAGACGCACTTATTGACCGCGATCAAGTCCACAGACAGACGGCTGCCAGTGTCGTCAAGCACGTCGCACTCGGCGTGGTAGGATTAGGTTGTGAAGACGCCATGGTCCACCTGCTCAACCTTCTCTACCCCAACCTGTTTGAGACGTCGCCTCACGTTATCGACCGAATCATCGAAGCCATCGAAGCCATCCGCATGGCCGTGGGGACCGGAATCGTCATGAACTACGTCTGGGCCGGTTTGTTCCATCCCGCGAGGAAGGTCCGCACCCCGTACTGGCGCCTGTACAATGACGCGTATGTGCATAGTGCGGACGCGATGGTACCGTATTATCCGAACATGAAGGACGAGGGGTTACCCAGGGATGAGTTGTATATCATGGTGTGAATGAGGGGTGGAGTGCGGTCACATAGCCAGTCGTGTGCCGTCACATGACTGGTATCCGGTCCTGCGAGTTGAGTTTTCCAACATATGTCTTTATAGCTGGAGTTTGAGATAGTTGAATGCAGAGCGCCCTTCAGTGGGTCACTGTGCGATGCAATGCATCGCATATCACAATAAACTGCCAACCCCATATCTGAGCTGGTGGCCTGCCTGTAGCCGGAAGAGGAAGAGAACTAGAAGGCTCTCACTCCGCCTGGGAGGGTCTAAGCTCCCGGAGCTGGACTGGGCTGGGAGCATGCGGTGTCGACCGATCACTCGTGTACACGGTACATTGGCATGGTCAGAAGATCCATTACATGTCGAGAAGTTGAATAAAGTCCGGCGGCGGCCTTGCCAAATTGGATTACGAGCAGCATGTGCTGAGGTGTAGCTCAATGTCTCCATCTTTGGTAGGATCCAGCCGGCCCAGGGAATCAGGTTGGATTGTACGTACCCATGTGCAACAATGGCAGCCTGCCCATCTTCTTAAGTCCCCTAATTGCGTAGACAGCATAGCGATAAAGTGTGGTGGACAGGCAGGAAATGCTCGCAGTTTTACTCAATACGTAGGGAAAGCTTCTGAAAAGCGCCAACGGACAACATGATCCACGTCTTTGCGAACCTCGAATCTCTTCCCACACTACCGAGCAAGGCGCGATGTTCGGATGATGTTTAGAGAGCTGGGATTTCTCGCGTCCGGGGAACTCTACCACCACTCTGTCGTGAAGCGCCTCGAGCTCCAATCACCACATTGCGTCAAGTCGTCAGGAATACCAAAGATGATCGACCCTCTCGACGCTCGACTCAGAATGCAGAAGCGCATCGGGCTGCAATTCAGTGCTCAGCCAACCACCCGGCGAAGTCAGCTCATGTTTCCCAATGGTTATGTATGCAGAGCATTTTCGGACATGGGCTCAAACAGTGACGAGCAATCCTTTGATACGTACTTCGACTTCACCTGCCAGCGTGCCACGCCATCGACAAGCTTGGACTTGTCATAGTCGGGATCCGGAGCCCACTTCACCAGCAAGACTGAGATTACCATGACTCTGGCCTCAGAAGAGGCAAGACGCAAACCTTTCATAGTCTCACTGGGCGACCCCAAGCATGTCGGCGAGGACTTTCTCCAAGACTTCACGCGAGACTTTGACTTTGAAGTCCTCCCAGCGACGAACCGCAAGGAAACACAAGACCTACTCCCGCGGCTCATAGCGAAGGGGCGACCTATCGATGGCTTCATCATCCGCATGGGTACGTACGTGCAGGCTGACGGAGGCGTGCAAAAACAAAAGCCACCATGCCGACTGAGTGTGTTGTGTTGTGCTCACTCCAATCCACTTCCCCCAGGCACCATCCCGTACGAGCCGTTCGACGAAGACCTCCTCGGCGCCCTGCTCCCCAGCTGCAAGATCATCGCCTCCGCCTCTGCGGGATACAACGAATTCGACGTCGACTGGATGACGCGCAACAATGTCTGGTGAGAGCTACAAGTCGCCAATTTATTGACAATTCGCTGATTCTCCGCGCTGGTTCTGTAACACGCGAGACGCCGTCGCCGAGGCCACGGCCGATATGGCCATGTTCCTCATCCTCGCGGTGCTTCGCGACACGACCAGGGCCGAGAAGAGCCTCCGATCGGGGAACTGGAAGCACGGCCTCGTGCCGAGCAGGGACCCGACGGGCTTGACGCTGGGCATAGTAGGCATGGGGGCGATTGGAAAGGTGGGTGCGCGTGTGGTCACCACCCGCCTGTCTTTAAGCATGCCGCGTTCCTCGAAGCGTATCCCCCCGTTCGTTGAAGCGTTCACCATCAACGCTGACTGTGGGCATCTAGTATACCGCGCGCAAGGCCGCCGCCTTCAACATGCACATCAAGTACCATAACAGACACCAACTCGCCCGTGCCATCGATGAGGAATACAACGCAACTTACTGCGCGACATTACACGCCCTGCTCTCCGCAAGCGACGTGGTCAGTATCTCGTGCCCCCTCACCGCAGAGACCACGAACCTCATCTCGGGCCCCGAGTTCGCCGCCATGAAACAAGGCGCGTACCTCGTCAATACCGCCCGCGGGGCGATCGTGGATGAGGAGGCCCTGATCGAGGCCCTGGAGTCCGGGCACCTCGCGCGCGCGGGACTGGACGTCTTCCGCGACGAACCGGCTGTCAATCCGTACTTCTTGGGGAGCGATAAGGTCGTTATCCAGCCTCATATGGGTGGGTTGACGGATGTGGCGTTCAGAAAGTCGGAGAGGGAGTGTTTTGAGAATGTGAGGTGTTTGTTCCGCACGGGCAGGCCGGTTGCGCCGGTGAATGAGGTTTCGGGTTAGATGATGGTCGGAGGGATCAATAAATCAGGGACATGACCGATTGTGTTGTGCGTGAATACCTAGATTGAGATCAGTTTGCGGACTACACTCTATCCTTGGTGTAGGTTTGATTCTTGATAGTAATCACCAGCGCGTTACGATGGACCTGTTCTCAGCTATTCTCATTAGTACTAGGTAGGCCGACTGGTCCGAAATAACTTTTCTTGCGCATTGTGACGGACGGTGGGCCATTAATCACAACTGCTTTGCCACGAGATATCTCTGACGACAGTGCACGTTGTGGCGGAGAATTGCAGACGGCTGAACGGGTAGTTCATAATCCTTTGAAATGTCTATGGATGTACCTACGTTTTGCCCTTACATCGCCAACGACATTAGATGACCAGTCCTCCATACGCAATGATCGGCACAGTGGCCGTACGGAGTACACTGGATATGAGATTGAAAGGGCCCCTCCGCTCCTCACATTTATCTCTCACATTTATCTTGAAATATCCTCAGCTCTACTTGACCCTTTAGACTTCCGCCTCACATGGTCGACACCCTGTTTGGATTTCCTTGGACGAGCTGCCCACACGGCCCGTTGATCACGGTGAACCTATTCTCGGTGGTCCTGTTGGCGGTGAAGAACCCGGCTTGCGAGTGCGAGCAGGTTGCGTTGGCGAAGGTCGCAGTCGACGACCGGTACAGCGTGCATTTGTTGGTAGTGGCCACGCTGTCAAAGTACGCAAAATCACACGACTCGGTAGCGTCCCTGTGAGTGAGTGCAATGTGTTAGACTGTCTCAAAAGGACGGAATACTGGCAGTCAAACTCACTGGCAGATTGTGCAGCATTCGTAGCTGGAGGTGGCGTTGGTGCCTGAGCCGACGTTGGCGCGGTTGTTGTCAACGACTCTGTTGATGTAGTTGCCGGCTGAGAGGCGGGGGCCGAGAAGATTGTCGGTCGCGCAGGCTGCGTAGGTTGTTCTGGTTGCCGTGTAATTGGTTTGGGTGGTCGTGATGGTCGCGACGGTTGTCTCTGCCTGTACGGTAACAGCTCGGGTCAGATTCTGTCTCGTGGTGAATGTCGATGTAATTGTCGAATTGACTGGTCTGTCGGGGACGCCTGCGTATGTTCGTTAGCTCGGTGAGAGAAGGAGAGAAAAGGGCTCAATCGGAAATTGGACGGGGATGACTCCTTTGAAGAGAGAAATAGCTCACCAATGGTATTTGTAATGGTCGAGGTGGTGGCAGAGGTGATTGTAGCAGCAGGCTTTTGAGTGCTCGTTCTAGTGGAAGTTACGAAAACGGTGGAAGTTGTCTGTGGCGCTAAGCGTGTGACGATGGAAATGAGAGATATAAATGTGGCATCAGGCGAAGACGCGGAATCCTGGCGAGGTAGGAGCATGTCGTTTTCGGAATCGGTACCGCGTTTGGACGTCCTGTTGTAATTGTAGTTCCCGGCACTGTCCTGCACATGAACGAAGCCAGTCGGGGTGGGGATCGTGACAAGGCTCTCCGTCAGGAGCGTGGTGCCGGTTGTGGCGGTGGCGTTGATATACTCCGTTGCGGTTGTATTGACAATGTTGTACTCAGTAGTCGTGAAGTTGCTCGTGAAAACATTGGTGATTGCCTGGTAGGTGCTTGTAACATTCACAGTCGACACGTATGCAAAGGGCACCACTGTCGTGAAGCGAAGAGGACTAGTGGTAATCACTCTGCTGGTGGTCGTATGGGTCGTTGTGTCGAGGATTTTCGTGACATCTGCATCGATAGCGTTCAGTACTCGAATTGAGACAAATCAAACCACAGGTCGAGAGACACTCACGGATGGTCTTCGTAGACGTGGGCGCCGTAGTAGCATAGGCGGTAAATGTGCGCTCGGTTGTAGCTGTTGTGACTCCGCTGTCTCCCTGCGCGAGCGAGAGAGGAATGATGACAGCAAAGATTGCCAGTGACCGTAAGGAGAAAAGCATGGCTGAAAGATTGGTGGATGCTGTACGGTTTCAGCCAAATGAGTGACTTGGGGAGTTGAATTTCCTGCGCCATTGATGAGCAACCCAGCTTTTCAGATATACTCATACAGTCTCTCACACAAGGATCTGAGCCTTAAGATTAGATTGCAGCGCGTTGGCCATCGCATGGTCCGTGGCCACGGCTGAGTCGTTGCGAAACGCTTCTGCCGCTGAGGTGTGGGCTAGAATACGGTCCGCGCAGGACCATGGAATGTGCTTGTGCAGATACAACATTGGCCAAACGATGGTAACGCGTCGCGAGCGAAGAGACACATTCTCTTGTCAGCCAGTGCAGGAAGGGCATGGCCATACAGGTATTGAATTTGCACAACAAGTCTTCTTCCACATATGATGGGATGCTAATGTTGAGCCCAGAATTTCCCACCTATGAGATCTTGCACGGATGCTGCCGCGGAGTAGAGGAGAGCCGTAAGGGGCATCGGAAGCATGAATACTGCCTGAAAGATGATGGCCGGAGCTGGGACCCGACCTCGGACGGTCCAAGAGCGATATGCCCAGTATACGCGACACAGGAGGTAGTTGCGCCATCGCCGTGGATGGATTCAGAGGCACAGCCATTGCAAGGCTCCATTGGAGATTCCACATTCTGTAAAGCGCCGCGAATGAAAAAAACAACATGCGGTGAACAGGGCGCATGGGGGCCCGAGATGACCCGTTCGGGGCAAACAAAGCCAGCAGAAATCAATCGCAATACGTTGGCAGCGCGTGAGAGTGCAGTATCGAGCCGTGACGGACAATTGCACAAGCATGCCAGTTTACGAGGTTGAAAATATCGAGGAGGTGAAGTTGATCATGTTGAGAAGTGAAAGTGAAGAGAGAGTCATGATGGCAGAGCCCGTGAGACGTGTCTGCGGAATGGCTGTTCCTGCGTTCAACGATGCATGGCCCATTTCTTCGTGTTCGTCTTCTCACGGCGAATATGCTCTTGCCGGTCTGAGATCCATATTCTATGGCTATTGTGCACCAGTCTTATTGACTGCCCGCACAGATCCACCAGCTCTAACAATTTGGAAGTCAAGTTAGGTAACTGGACCTCTCCTGCATGGCTTAGTTACTTAGTGTCTCACAGTGGGACCGCGCATCACAGGAGAAAGCCGAAACGGGAATTAAGTCATCGAGCGAAAAGCTTGATCAGCATGCCTGCAGGGATTGCCAGTGTCATCCACGATACCGGATAACTTAAACATATTTCCCTACAGGTGAATTCATTAGGCACGGCGTGTCAGTGACGGAGATTTCAAGATCAAGGTCAAGCTCAACTTTGCGTCCACCATAGCGACACCAGATCACATCGCATCAACTTGGCTACAGAAAGCCATGCTACACAACATCTCGGAACTTCAGACTGCCTTGTCTTCATCCCTCCTCTCGCAACTCGCTATTGGCATCGTTCTACTGTTCGTCGCATGGCTGGTTTATCGACGCTTCGGCGCCGTTGAGCAGACACCTGTCCCTCCCGTGCAGGGTGCCCACATCGCGGCCTCAACGACTGCGCTGGACACGCTAACGTCCACGGCGCAAGACCATGCTCTCCCGCCAGTGGAACACATCCACGCCGGGGCCGCCGAGCAGCACTCGCACGTCTGGCTGAAGAAGTACATCCCGGACACGGTGCTCGACGAGTACGAGAACCGGCACCACATGGGAAACTACGTGATCGACCGGGTGACGGGGGAGAAGACCTTCGAGCAGATGAGCATCTACGTGCGGCTCGGGATGCATCTGCTGTACTACGGCTCGAGACAGGCGCAGCTGCTGCACGTCAAGCGGGTGCAAGATGTCCTCCGGGAGCAGAGCGTCAAGATGGGCCAGATGTACGACTCGCCGGAAAGCAGAGCGCATATCCGGCCGTTCTTGGACAGTTTCCAGCTCTGGGACAGCATGCGGGAGATGAGGAAGCCGGACCCGGATCACTACGAGACCTTTAACGAGTTCTTTGCCCGTGAAATCCGCCCAGAAGCACGACCCGTGCACGAGCCGGAGAACGAGCTCGTCACGTCGTCGCCGGCCGATTGTCGCTTGACGGCTTTTCCCACCGTCGACCTCGCGACCAAGTACTGGATCAAGGGATTTGGGTTCACGCTCGAGAGACTCCTCGGTGATGCGCAGCTCGCGGAGTACTTTGATGGTGGCAGTCTCGTGATCGCGAGGCTTGCTCCGCAGGACTACCACCGTTGGCACGCGCCAATCACGGGGACGGTCGAGTATGTCAAGAAGATCCCCGGCACGTATTACACGGTCAATCCGCAGGCGATCAGCCAGGAGGGCACCTTGAACGTGTTTGCGGAGAACCGCAGGGACGTCATGGTCATGCACCGGCCCGTCACAGGGAACAAGGTCGCCGTTGTAGCGGTCGGGGCAATGCTGGTGGGGAGCATCAAGTGGAACCCTGGCATGGAGGAACCGGGCACGACCATGAAACGGGGCGACTGTCAGGGCGCGTTCCAGTACGGAGGCAGCACAGTCATCGTGGTATATCCCAAAGGTGAGGTCGTGCTGGATGAAGATCTGGTCCGGAACAGCTGCGACCATCAGTGCGAGACGATCGTGAAGGTCGGGTGGAGGGTTGGAGCCAAACACTAGCCACAGCTTTCCACAAACTGCCCTTGGCCAACTCGAACGACAAGTCACTGCTCTTTGGCACTTGTCTACCTAATTCCGTCCACCCCACGAAGCCTTCTCCATTCAAGAAGAACCGGTCTTGTAAGGCGGCACCAACCAGTAAAGCACCCCGTTCACGGTACTCGCCATGATAGGCCCAACCCAATGGACCCAGTGATACGTGAACCTCTCCCCGGCAGCCATGAACCCCAGACATCTCGCCGGATTGAGACTCGTGCCCAAATACCCCAGTCTTGCGAATGAGCTGACAAACAGTGTCAGCGCGGAAGACAGGCCGATGAGGATCGGCGCAAGAGAAGGCCCAAATGCAGTCCCGTTGCGCGGATCGAGACCCAACCCGAACGCGAGGAAGAGCTGGACAAAGCACATTACGCTTTCGAACGCGAAGGCCTCGGCCGGTGCGACCAGCCCCGAGTCGATATAGCAGCCCGGCACGACGTGTAACGATATTGGACTCAGGCCCAGAGCCGCCCGTACCAGGTATGCCCCAACGATGGCGCCCAGGCATTGAAGTATGACGTATAAGATCGTCCGGGGCAGAGAGCTCAGTCGCGCCGCGAACGTGCCCATGGTGATTAACGGGTTGAAATGTGCGCCCGTGATCGGACCGGCAGCATAGATGAAGAGACTGATTTGAAAGATTTGAACGATCGAAGCAATGGCTACAGGAAACACAGCTCCGACCGAGGTTTCCGTCGCGGTGGGCAAGACCGCAACACCGAGGACACCTGATAGGAATACTTGGGTGGCCGTGCCGACGCCTTCGATCAGCGCCAGCTTCCAGAGCCGCGGGTTGCGGAAATCGGAGAACGAGAGGATGGAGGACCAAGGCGGATCGCGAAGAGCATCGGCCGGTGTGCTTGGGGTGGTGGTTGATGTAGAGGGCAGGGAGAAGCGTTGAGCACCGCCAAGGCGGCCAAGGAAAGCGTCTGTAGCAACCGAGTCGGATGGTAAGGGGGAGCTCGTTGAGAGAATCTGAGAGCCTTTTGGCACCTGCTCAGTAGTGGACTGGCGAGGATGGACTGAATTATTCTTCTCCATGTCGTACGATCTGGCTGGCGTCAGGTGGTGGTCCATGTTCGTGGACGACACTCAACACTAGCAGCTGTTGGTCTCAGGTGTCTGCAGCCCATATATTAACGTGTGTAAACGGGCTGAAATGGTGATTCGAATACAATAGAGGCTCGACGATACCCTGCCATAGAGGTCCAATATGAAGACGAGTCGATTTGGACCTGCTTAGGGCGTTTTTTCCCAAGAGGCTGGTGAACCAGAAGTGATGCTGACAAAGACTGTTGCATGAGTCGAGAAAGGGTCGAGGGGGTCTCTTGGTCAGCATGCTTCACGAGCTTTCCAACGCTCCAATCAAGTGTTGCATCGTCTTGAAACCGGAGGCGGAGACGAGCGGGACCTGTCGAGAAGTGACTTCCACAAATGGTGAGTTGGTCGAGACAAGCCTTCGCTCCAGTCGCTATTGTCCATACCTAGGTAACTTCTACAATTGCGCTGTTTTACTTGCAGATATTCGTGGATGAACAGCGCTCACCATGGAGTCTAGTGTGACGCCCCTTTAAACTTCCTCGACTTGAAGGGAAGTTCTTTGGGAAGCCCATGGCTACTCTGTAGAGCTTGGGTATACTGCCTCAGCTGCATCTAGGAAGGTTGAGGTTGACTAATGACTGATACAATGATCCGTTGGAACTCGGCTTCGGGAATATCTGACCTAATTATGGAAGACACAGTACATGGTCGTGGTCGCTGCGGAGTTGGGATAGAGTTCGAACTACTCCGTACTCCTATGTACTCCGTATGTCACTCCAGATTTTCCATGAATGCCACTCGAATGCGCACCCAGCGCGACCAAAGACTTCTTCTCATCAGAAGAAGAATGTCAACGCGTCTAACAGAATCCAAATTTTGCGAAGAATATCGCCGCGTCTGGCAGCAGCAAAGAGAGTCCCCAATGGGAATTTCAGCAAAGAGAGCAAGCGCATAGTAACTGGCAGTAACTGCCACGATACATAATCAATCAATCGGTACAAACTCTTAAAAAAACACGATTTGATCCGTCAAGGTATCTAGGGCTTCAACCAGCTTCATAGGTCCACCTCACCCCGTCTAAAATAGCCGAGCGCGTCGACGGGATAGAGCGTGCGTGCAAGACCATCACTGTGCACCACTCACGCATTTATCTGAACCCAATCAATACTCCGTACGAAGTAATGACATAAACCCGACATGCCTCCCTCAACGACTCTCCTCACCGAGCGCTTCGAGCACTTACTCTCCCGCCGCACATACCCCAAAACCATCTGTCCCTCCGAAGTCGCGCGGTCTTTATCCTCAAACGAGCTCCACAGCCTCGGGGTGCGCGAGTGGCGCGATCTCATGCCCCGGCTCCGAGAGATGGCTTTCGAGCTACGAGATAGCGGACATGTCGAGATCTTACAGCGCGGGGACGTCGTCGACGCAGATAGAAAGGAAGCGGACGTTAGGGGGCCTATTAGGATCAGGCTCAGGCCCCAGGCGGAAACAGGCACGATGGAGTGACTTGAAGAAGTAGATGCGATGTGTATTGTTTATTGTACTCCGTCCGTATACGGAGTGCCGAGTACTCGCGGGTATCTAAATCCCAAGCTTTCAATTGTTGGGCATAGAGCGCCAATACAGTACAGGAGCGGCCGTACTAATTTTCCAGCCCATCTATTCCTCAATGTCGTCCAAGCTGAGACGTGACATATATAACTCAGCTGGCCACAGCCCACCACCAACTGCAACCCACAACGCCTGTAGTGTTCGAGTACATCATTAACCCTCATGCAGTGGACCTCTGCTAATATGCACCGTACGCCTTTTGGGGTCTCAATGTAGTCCTGCTCATTGAAGGCCCAATGTCAATCCTACTCAGCTCAAGCGCTAATGGATTGTCCTCGCCATATGGCGCTCTCCCGCCATAACCCATCATCTCAGGCTGCTGCCTGTTATTGTACGGCATTCTTGTGGGCGTTTGCCGGGTATACTCTGGTTGGTACTCGAGAGCATATTGTGGACTGCTACCACCACCAGAACGAGGACTATGGTTGCTTGCTGTAGGGGCCTGATACTCTGAGAATGGAGGTCGCGGAGGTGGTCCGCCCACTGGAGAGGAACCAATGGTATACCGGTGACTTGATGGACTTGGTCGGGAGTCCACTGAAGGCAAGGTCGGCACAGCGGGGCTTGAGTGAGGATGCGTGTATGGTTCTGTAGGGAGGGGGCGCTGAGGTATGGGTTTCCTTAGCCTATTGCGACCACTAGGTGATTCTATTTGTTGGGGACTCGGAGCTGCGGACGGAGATGAGTGATACGGTGACGATGTAGGTCCATGAGGAGAAGACTGGAATGGAGAAGTTGCGATCGAATGCGGCCTTCCAGAAGCAGGCGACGAGCCAGCGCCCCTGTGTAATCTGGCTTCCTCTCTTGTACGGATTTTGATGACATGCTCCGGTCGGCGTTGCTTCCTCTCAGGCTCTGGCGCCCACGTATCGGCCGGAAGATGATCTGATGGGTCGATTACCCGTCCATCATTCCCAATGATTGGACCCTGATCTTGCAGCTTGTCGGCGTCTTTCTGCCTGGCTGCCTCTAGTGCGTCTTCCGGTGCCGAATATCCGCCATTGCTGACAGTGGGACTAGTTCCACGGTTGAAACTATCATAGGAGTCGGGACCATATGGGACCGTGCCTATGTTGTGGCGATCATCAGGAGTCGGTGTGATGGATTTTCGTGGGATAGTGTGATTAGGATTGGGACTGATAGGCCGTGGACGCACGACAACGAGGTCAGATTTGCGCGCGTATCTTCCCTCCTGTAGCTCGTAGTTATCGAATGTCTGCGCTCTGCGCGGTGCTGCATAGCCCGTGGAGTGCCTGAGATTGTCTCGAGCTCTTTCTTGGTACTGCTGCTGGATGAGATCGTGGTTTGGAAGCTGCTCTAAAGGTGCTGCGTCATCGGCAGAAGCAGTTGATCGAAGTTGGTGGAAGTCGTAGTTGTTGGATTTTCGCTTCTCAGTAGCAAAAATTGGATATCGATCATGGTCGACGAATTGACTGGGCACGTAGGGCTCATAAACCTGCATTTGGCGATGCATTTCTTGTGTGGGAGGAGTTGTCGTCTGGGACTGATCATACTCGTGCTCAAGCCTCTGCAGTGGGCTTCTCTCCTCCACTGTCTGAAATTTCATAGGCGTCCGCGGGGACTGCTGTCCATAGGGGTCTCCATAAGGCGCATTTATCGAGACGGGCAGGACAGGTTGATCGTGAGAATCTTCGTACTGCGCTGATGGCAGCTTCGTTATACGCGATATTTGACCCCTGTGAGCTGGAGGTGGTGGGGGAGGCTCGTCTTCGTCGAACCGCTGGTCGGGATAAATAGGCACACTTGGCAGCATGTCGGCCTGGCTAATTGACTGCCGGAGCGGACTATCCCTGTATGCCGCATATTTTGTGGGAGATGCGCTCGGCCTGCCGTTCCATTGCTGATTTTGCGCTGCTGCTACTGGAGGTGTCGCTGGCGGGGAACGATATGAGGAGCGATTTAATACGTCGTATGGCGGCTGTGAAGATGATTGGAAGTGTTGGTCCGGTTGAGGTAGCTCTGATACTGGTCGTGATTGTATGGGCTGAGCTGGAAGCTGCCTCCTCTGATAAGCATCTTCGGGGAATGGTTCTGATTCAGAGTAAGTGGCAATTGATGGTTCGAGATTCTGGAAGTCGTTTGAAGCGAGTCTTTCCTGATATACGTGGCTGGAGTCGTATTGTGGCTCATACGAGTCCGGCCCGAATTGAGGGTCAAGGTCATAACCAACATCGTCGGGAGTCTCGGGGACAAACTTCTGCTTCGGTGGACGAGGTGGAGGATTGGAATTGGTGTATCCGTGGTTTCCGTACAACTCAGGCTGTTCTTCTGCTGGCCAACGCTCAAAGGCTGTGGTGGGAGTCGAGACTGGCGAGGAAGAGCCGCCGGGCCCGGGTGGGAGAGGGCGTCTCTTGATCTCTCGAGGCCCAAGTTGACGCAGACCAGAAGCAGTGCTTGTGGCGTCACTGGCAATCGAGTTCGACTTGTCTCTTTTGTTTTTCAATTCCATCGGTAAGTCTGGCTTGGGTCTTGTGTCGTAATATGTCAGCTCGATTCGGATATCTCCTGCATATTTCCCTTTGAAGTTCAGCTGCCGCCATTGATCGCTCTGCCCACCACCAGGAACGATGACATCTTGCAGATCGATCCAAGTCTCACTGATGAGATCAGTCTTCTTATCGTCGTTGAACACGGAGCACTTCAATTTGTAGTAGTCAGGCGAGTCGTGGACGGTAAATCGGAGCTCTTGGTCCCTGAGGCTAGTCAGCAGCTTGTCAACAGTTCTATTTAGGCTCTGCGTACCATCTCGGCGTTTGGCCACCTCTTTTGTCTGTGTCTGTCTTTTTGGCATCTTTACCCAATCTCATAGCACAGTAAGGGTCCTGTTTGCCCATTGTTCTTCGGTTGGGAAGGTTCTTCGCTCTGTCCACGACAGCCACCAGCGTGCCAATCTCAGGTCCATCAAGCGTCATGTCGGCAAAAATCCCAGCTGTATGTGCTGCATTGACTCCCTTCGCCCGGACCGCCATGATGTGCAAACTGATTTTGTAGCTTTTCCCGTCGGCGGGGTGTGTTTGGGGTGAAGGAGCCGAAGGAAGGGTTGCAGCATTCCTGGCGGAGAAAGTGCTGAAAACGTGTCAAGGACGCATGCTGCTCGTCGTCGGGATGTAAAAGAGAGTGCTTGTCACGAGAGCCAACGTTTGTTGAGAGAAAGACAAATCCAGGTACGTGTTTTGGTTGGTGAGGGTCGAGCCTTGAAGGCTCCAGCCACGGAATTTAGCTATTCAACTATGCGAAAGGCTGGGAATCCGTCGGACGAGACTCTGTTCGGCAGTAGGCGCCCAGGTGTCTCACATTAATGGTCTGCAAGCAAGCTGCTCTCTATCTTGAAATTACGAATGACCCCGTCTTGAAAAGCTGCACTCTGTCGGCCAGCCTGTACGAGTACGTGTGCATTGAACTGACATGCTGTGGTTATGCTGTGTTGCGCATCACGTCCGCCAATCACAACGATTCCAGTGTTTTGGTGACGTTAGTGCCGGTATGCCAAGCTTTGTGGCTGAACCTTCCACCTTGCCGATTATGGACATAGGCGCACTTCCGAAATCATAGGTACCGAGTATTCGTACAAGGACATCTCCATATATGCAGGTACTATGGGGGTGGTACACAGCGCCTAGTATGGTGCCGCTGTGTGCGATTATCAAGAATTGTGTCAGCCTACTGGCTCCACAGACTAGTAAAAGTAAACTCAGAACGGAAACTTTCGAGACAACGAGGATTAAATTTGCTGTCTCGTCACCGATAGTGGCTGAGTGCTAACACTCCGAACCGCTACGTTCAAGCTGCAGGGTGCCCACTGTTCCTCGCACTTACGAGTACCTTTCTAGGCAGGCATGCAGGGCACAGTGGCTGTTCGCTGGCTTACCCACCAAGCGCTGCCAAAACTGCAACTCGCACAGTACGTGATCTCAAGCTCCTTTTCTGTATGCGGATACTTGACAATGTGCGGTGCGCGTGTACTTGTTATGCGATTGAATAAGTGCCCTTGCATCCTTATCAGCCTCCGAGGGCATGCTCATCACTCGGAGATCTTCTACTCCAAGTCCACAGTCAATCCGCTTTTCGTGGTGCAGAAAAGGCCAGAATTGGTATTCAGCAATCTTGTCCGTAAGGATTCTCCTCGTGACGGGACGCGGGCGATCACAGCAGCCATTCCTTCTTGATGCATTTGGTGCGGATCATTCGATCCTGTTCCGCTTCTCTGGGTGCCTCGCTTCCGAAACATATATTGCAAGCCGGATATCAAGCCTTCATGCGCCGTACTGCCTCCACAGAACAGATAGATTTCCGCACCCCTCAATAAGTCTTCTTGCTTGAGCAGCATGAGCAGTAGTAGATCCTCTCTGGGCGATGAGAAAAAGGCGTGGAGGCAATATAAACAATGCCTATGTGCCTATGTCGTTTCCCCTAGCCCATCAAATGAGCCATTTTTCCTAGCGGTAGACAGGCCCAAGGGGTCGTGCAAGACATCCTGTGCCTGAGATGAGGCTCCATCAGTTGGCCACCGTAACGATCGTATACCTGGTCCCGCGAATGTCCGAGTCGCAGGATCGACTGAAAGGCCATTGGTGAATTTAGCCATACTGCTTCCAATTGCCGGAATTTATCAGTCAGCGCTTGGCAGACTCAAACCTTTCAATACTTATCGGAATGCTCTTGCGGGTCGTCACTGAAGCCATGGTTGCATTGTGGTTTGCGGCGTGCTGGATGGATCAGCCGATCCTGCAGAATGGAGTGGACTCCCGTCAGGGCTCTAGTTCATAGGAGCCCCTTATGGGCTGTATGGGATGATGCACCAATAGTCAGCACATCTCCAGCAGAGGTATGCCGGGCTGGAACACTCTTGCTAGATAGATCTCTGCATATCGCTGCTGCTCATCATGGGATGTCCATTATAGTGACGGTTCAATCGTAATCAGAGACAACTGCTCCCCTCAACCAGGTGCTTGAGAAGTCAAAAGCTCTAGCATCCCCGTTGCCATTGCCGCCTCTTGTGCCCGACTGGTTTCTTCGTGAACACGCTCACGCAGCCTTTTGACTTGCTTCGCAAGTGTGTCGCTCTCGAACAAGTGTTTTGAGTAGAGGTCCATTATATTCATGGATATCTCCACACACAAGGAGACGAAGGCTGTGTTACTGATGTTTTTCCAGATCCATTGAATGATGGGTTGCAGATCAGACTCAGTGCGGTCTTCCAGGGCTGCACGCAAGGCAGATCGATAGCGGAGAGTGTTGAGCAGGGTGACCATGGTAAGCGTATCTGAGCCCCGCAAAGCAACATCAAGAGCCTCTCGATATCTGCCCTTGTGCAACTCTCTTTCCCACGGATTAAACATCTTCTGTTTTGGTCGAACGTTGCCTTCCACGATAATGTCAGCGTCTTCACCAGTGTAGTCTCGTCCTCTTAAACGCTTTTCCAAGCCTCGTGGTCGTTTCTTCGCCTGCTTCTTGTCGTATTCTTCAATTTGGCCGGCAATCAGCGCATCCATCTGCTTTTGTCTTTCCCGCTCCTTCACTTTCTGTTCACCTGACAACCGGGTTCGAATGCTGAGTTGACCGCTGGACATGCCCACAACCACATGTTTGTCTTCTCGAGGGTTTCCTGCGGCGACCACGGACACAGAAAGAATGCCAGCAGGGTACTTGGAGCCTGCGACCACATTCCATCCGGTCGTTTCGAAGACCTTGAGATGTCCATCCAAGCCACCACTAACAACCCTCGAGCCGTTCGAGGCAAGACATAATGAAGTGACAGTCTTCTGGTGGTTCTTGATCATCTGTAGAGGTCTGCCTGCCACGATGTCCAAGACTGCGACTTGGTTCTCGGCTGAGGCAAGAATTACTGTGCCCGATGGCATGCACAGGATGTCTTCAACTGCCGCAATATGTTTAAAGGTCATGACAGCGGCCTTGGGGGCGCGTGAATCCCACAGCCTGACAGTCTGGTCATAGCTGCCCGACACCATAACGTTACTGGATTGTCCAGGCAGAAAGCCACCGGTCCGAACATAGTCCATATGACCATGGAATGTCTGGACGCTGGCATCGCTTGGTAGATCCCAAAGCCTGACAGTTCTGTCATCACCGCAGCTCATCAGGGCAGTTGTCTCCTTCGAACTCCATCTGACCGTATGCACTGGCTGTTTCTGCTCCTTCCAGGTTTTCAGAATTGCTCTTGAATTGACATCAAACACTTGGATAGCTCCAGTTTCATCTCCCGCTGCAAGGACTCGTCCGTCATATCTTGCTTCCCCACTGTAAGCGACGTCGTCAAATCGGGTAATAGTCTTTAAGAGTTTGCGGGTCTTGTGGGAGAAAAGTTGGACTCGTGCTCCGGTGGTCACAACAAAGAATTCTGGAGTGGTCTGTCCCAGAACCGTCGTCTGTGGTTGCGAGATGTGTGTAACAGCGTGCTTGGTCGGAGATGTAAGGTTGAGTGGTGATTTGAAGGATCGCCAGTACGTCTGCTCTGGTGTAAGTGAGGAAAGCCGCGCAGGGAGCTTGACCTGCGCAATCGGCTGGACATCAGCAGCCATCTTGTTGGAAATCAATGTACCAGCTGCTCGACTGGCGAAAGGTTGCGCTGTCGAAGACTTGTCGCGCAAAGTCGACGGGTGCGAAAATTAATCTGAGGCACCGAAGATTTACCGGCAGCTCCACCTGCGCGACCTGTCAGAAGAGACTGACATCCGCGTTCACCCACGTTCACCTAAGCACGACATGTCACTCAGGTATAATGTGACAAGACTATTCTGCTGCCATGATTCAACGCCTTCCAGGCCCTATCTCGTGGGTGTCTAGGTGCCCTCCCTCTGAGCTGGCACCTCATGCATGGGCAAGCTCAATGCCGCTTTTCACACCCAGATGCAACAAGCCTTCTTGCGCGATGCTTACCCGTCACCCACGCACACGCCATGCTATGCTGATGTACCCTGACAAACGTGACGCTTCAATTCCCTCGACAGCTAGAAGCATATGCAGGAAGCTTGGGTCCACCTTAGTAACCATGTAACTTCGACGAGTATCGTCCAAGGTGGCTGAGGCAGGCATCATAGGTCGGTAGAGGGTGCTCGATTGCGCCTGATCATGCTTCTGTACCCTGGTACAAGCTGCAAAATACGAGGGACGATCCTGATGAAACCCGTACGGCATAGTTCGAGATAGCGACGCATACTCACAACATCAACGTAGTTGGATATGTGGATGACGCCTGAACCAAGTGCAGACCTCGGTGAGGCAATCTACTCACTCCGTCAGCACGAGATATGGAGGGTTTGGTGTCGCGGTGATGATGCCAAAGCGCGCTCTACGGATTGACTCACATGGCCGTTTCCTCTAGAAGCAGATCAAGAAATGGGATTCCTGCGGTGCGGCAAGAGCGGCTATCGATGTAGGACAAGAGCGAAGAACAAACAACAAGATGAGAACGATACTAGGTACCTTACGCCCTTCTCCCACAGCAAACTTCTTCCATGACTGTTTCTACCCAGTCACAGCTGTCCATCACACTTCAGAGTTCACTCATTGATAAGATCAGTATCTTTCGTTCTGCAGCGACCGTGACAAGCCACCCTCCGAGCTCTCGAATCATCCCATTAGCTTAAAACTAGCTGGTCATATTGGAAAGGCGCACGACTTCGGGTCGAGATGCTGCTCCGGTAAGGGCCTCTTCCATGTTCGTACAAAGGTTTTCGCCGCCCAAGGATTCGCGTCGTTCGTATATCTGCCTTCCCACACCGCCAAAGACTTAGGCGGAACCAACGTCGCCGTTGCATTACACCAGATGGGTCCCGAACAATAGCTGACATCCGAGTCTGCAGTAAATTTATCCTCGTCAACCTTCTCTTTGTCGCTGCTGGCGCTCTCCACACGGTGATTCGGGTTCCTGTCCGCCGCAAGGCCAACTACGACGCCGATGGTACCAAGTCTCTCATCTGGCTCTACAACAAGTACAAAATCACGCCAACCCGCCCCGGTCCATTCCATCGTGACAGTAGTGGAGTGCTCAAGAAACGTCAGGCCGCTGGTGCCTCCGCGGAAGTGTACGCATCTGTCCTCCTGTGCCTTGAATATCACTGATTGTGTGGACAGCAATGCAGATGATCAGCTGACCGACACATTCTACACCTGCCCGATCTTGATTGGTACTCCTGCTCAGCAACTTGAAGTGGTATGTTGCCCAGGATCATGTCCGGGACATGGGTTCTGATGCAGTCTTGATAGACCTTCGACTCTGGCTCTGCCGACACTTGGGTAAGGTGACCTTCATTGGCTCACTGGTGACGATCTAAGCAAAAACATTCCAGGTTTGGTCCTCTCAGCTCTCGCCTCAGACCGTCGACCTTGCCAGTTCTCGCGGTTCGGCATACTATGATCTTGCCAAGTCGACTTCCTACACGAACCTGACTGGCAGTACATGGTCTGCACGCTACGGCGATGGCTCATCAGCGTCAGGCACAGTCGTCGCAGACGTCCTCAAGGTCGGCGACATCACCATTGAAAACCAGGCGATTGAAGTAGCCAACACCCTGTCATACTCCTTCATCATACAAACTGCCAATGAGGGCATCTTAGGGCTGGCATTCAGCAGACTCAATAAGGTCCAACCTGTTCCTCAGAGAACGCCCCTTGACAACATGGTTGCACAAAAGGGTATTCCCGGGAACCAAGCGCTGTTCACGTGCTATCTAGGCTCCTACAAGGACGTCGGTGATCCAGACCAGGGTATGTCATTCTTCACGTTCGGCCAGATCGACCAAGACGTGGTGAAAGCCACGGGTAAGCAAATCAGCTATACTCCTGTCAACAACACCAAGGGGTTCTGGCAGATTGACTCCGAGTTCATCACGGTCAATGGGAACAAGACTGTGTTGGCGGACAATACCGCGATTGTGGACACCGGGACCACCCTGGTAGTCCTTGAAGACAAGCTGGTCGCGGAGATCTATTCTACCATTCCAGGGGCCAGATACGACGCACAGGAAGGAGGCTGGGTTTTCCCGGCCAGCACGCCCGCCGACAAGATGCCCACAGTTGTTTTGGCTGTTGGTCAAACAGAGATCATAATTGAAAAGGAACACCTGGGTTTCACACCTGTTAAGAAGACAGGAATGATCTACGGCGGCATTCAAGGTCGTGGCAATTCGAAATACAATATCTTCGGCGATACCTTCTTGAAATGTGTCTATGCGGTACGTGTAATGTGATCGTTTGAGCGCGCAACTGACATTGGTAGGTGTTCGATGCAGGCAACATGCGGTTTGGCGTCGTTCAACGTATTGATAAAACCCAGAACATTGCGGGTTAGCAGAGCTTCAGGGGCAGCGGGTTTGATTGTGGACTAGTCGCCATGTGCGAAGTGTTGGCGTGCTCCCGCTGAGCGATAGTACTGTCATCCCTGGTAGAGAGCAGTGTCGAGGGCTTGGTGAAGGGAGTAGGAACTTTGCCATTCCATAGCTGTAGTCTTATGCCCACTCGCATCTTCAGGATTTGTGTGCTCCTTAAGTCGCCCAGTAATATTTTCAATTTGGGCTTTAGAACATTCCTGCCACGGGTGATAATTCATGTGTGGGCAGGATATACTTCTTGGCCGCTCTTTCCTGTCTGTTCTGTTACCGTTGGGCCGACTCACTCGAAGTATATAAAGCAAGGGTGATTCACCAGCCCATTCTTCATCTCTTGCTCCTTCGTTCTCTCGCAAAGAATCCACCATGAGGAAATTTGCTGTTTCACTGGGGCAGACCCTCCTCCTCTTCATTCTCCTTATTCTCTTTGAAGTTCAGCAGTTCCATGAGCAGCCCCTCATCGACAGAGTGTTAGACAGCCTTCAATCTCTCTCAAATGGCACACTCTCGGCGTCCAGAAGCCCAACCGACCCAAGCTTCTCATACCACTCCTCAAACGGGTCTTCTTCCCAACTACCTCTCCTTACCCCAACGCCACATCATCCCACTCCTAAACAGTCCGAGAACACTGCCCGACTCACGCCGACGCCGACGCCGCACATGAAGCCTGGGCTGCTTCATGCAGAAACGATTAACCTCCTTACTTCTACCTGGGCTTCTCCTCCGAGCACAGTACCCCAGATCCTGCAGGTCGACTGTGACGGGAGGTCGGTTGAGGACGGTTTCCGCAGCAAAGTAGATGACTATCTCCATTCAGTCATGAGCTCCGGCGAGAATGGTCTTCCACGGCTCAAATGTTCTCCACTGAACTCAACGAGATACTCGACGTTACGGCATCCTCTCCCTTCGAGTAAGCGAAGTTACTTTTTCGCAATGAACCTTCACCAGTCTGCCCATATCATCCCGCAGCTTCTCGGTGCCATTGTTGAGGCGGTCCGCTTCCTCGGGCCTGACCATTGTGTCATCTCAGTCGTGGAGGGACGATCAACAGATGGCACATTTGAGATCTTGAAGAGCCTGGTGAAGGAGATGGAGCACCTCGGTGTCTCTTACTTCCTGTCTTGCAATGAGTTGCAGCCTGGCGGAAACGGCATGGAACGTATCTCGACTCTTGCTGAGCTGAGGAACTTGGCGCTCGGACCACTAACCCGACACCCGGATCAGTTCGACTTGTCGACCACGATCATCTTCTTGAATGACATTGCACCATGTGTCGAAGACATTCTGGAACTCATCCTGCAGCGAGCGCTCCTTGGCGCTGACATGACCTGCGGAATGGATTGGTACAACTTGGATGACGGACAAGGCGGCACCTTCTACGATTCGTGGATCGGAAGACAGATGAATGGCGAGACGTTCTTTGAGGTGCCGCAAAGCACGTCTTGGGATTTCTCCAAGAATCTGTTCTGGGACCATGAGACCAGCAAGTTACGGTACTCGCTCGGCCAACCATTGCAGGTCTTTTCCTGTTGGAATGGTGCCGCGGCGATAGCTGCCAGCCCGTTCATGGATGGAAGGATATGGTTCAGAACGGAGATGCAGGGCGAATGCCATCTCGGGGAGCCGGTCCACCTGGCAAAAGACCTCTGGAGACTTGGTTATGGCAAGATCGCAGTGATCCCAGGTGTCAATATTGGGTACTCAGTCGTAGACTCGAGGATAGCGAAGGACGCACACGGGTGGGTTTCGGAGGTGGTCGAAGAGGGACCCATGGAGCCGAACCGCATTGTTTGGCAGGAAAGGCCGCCAGGTCAAATCAAATGTTTGGAAGGAGATTGGCACAAGCCGTCGTGGGAGCCTTTCGATCTTGACACTTGAAGAATCCAGCTCACAGGCATTTGGTGTTCGAAGTGACCGAGTCGACTCGGGAGTCTGTACTTTACACATATGAAGTATCTAATGGTATCGCAGATTATCCTTAGCTTGCTTGAATATGTAGGAATATTAGACTGCATCTACCATGTACTGCTAAAAGGCGGAACGCTGTGGGACACAACAGTACATGTGCCAAGACATGATATATGTTTTCCATCATGTCACCGGAGACAAAAAGTGAGACTTTCAAGTCGAACATATGCCCAGAATCAGATCACTAGACGTCGGGCAAAAAGAAAAATGCTGCTAGGCAGACATGATTATGTTATTCCAAAGATTGATAAATGGAGTATATTGGGCGTAGCCACGGCCATCTCTGGTAAAAGGCAAGAAATGGATTCTGCAATAGCTCGTCCCACTCCAACTCGAACTTCTGGTTTTGCAAAATATAACGAGTAACTTGTTGTCACGTGCAACACCCCACGTTTGCTCAGGACGCTCCCCGCATTTCCACCCAGCTTTCTGTCTCGTATTATGGCGCAGCTCGGCGTTTCCATGTCTTCACTCGACACCTTCGCGTATTCTTCCCCCACCTACGCAGCCACGGTCTTTGCAAGAGAGAAATGAGCAAGATGGCAGCCTGTATCTTCTGCAAGATCGTCAAAGGTACGAGAGAATAGAGTTCCCGCTCGGAAATCGACCGGCCATGCCATTCCCATTGCTGGGCTCCAAAAGACCCAGGATCAAGAGAGACATGGTACACGGACACAGGGATCTCATTGACTGATGGGCACACACTCCAGGAGATATCCCCTCGTTCAAGCTCTTCGAGAACGACAAGGTCCTCGCCTTCATGGACATCCAGCCGCTGAGTAAAGGACATGCCGTACGCCTTGCCCGCCCGCTGCGCCTGCCTCCTTCGTGTCCTCCGCTCCCTATCCCCTCCTCTATGCGCATGAGCATGGGTGTCGATGTGTGTTGAACATGCTGACTTTGTCTTGTTTGCAAAGCTCGTCATCCCCAAACACCACGGCGAGAAATTGACCGACATCCCCGACGACTCGCTGATCGATATCCTGCACGTGCTCAAGAAGATCGCCGTCGCGACGGGGGCCGAGAACTATAACGTCCTACAGAACAACGGGCGGCTGGCGCATCAGGAGGTCGACCACGTGCACTTCCATTTGATCCCGAAGCCGAATGAGACGGAAGGGTTGGGTATCGGATGGCCCGCGCAGAAGATGGATATGGGTGAATTAAAGAAATTGTTTGAGGACGTCAAGGCGAAGATGTAGACGGACAGACGAACAAATAGCAAAGATGGCAGGGAGGATACGTTGAGCATGAGATGAACGGCGGTATAGAATGACTCAGTGTACAGTGCCCGATGGTAGTACCCATGTGAGTATGACTACCTATCAAGGGGGAAAATCTCTACGAAAAAAAGGCTCAACCAGCCACAGTTATGCTATGTAGGTAGGTACGTTTCGTGGCGTCCTCGTGCCTCGTGCCCCGTCAGGAGACACACATGCACCGACCTGACGGATGGAGCTGCGGCAGCAACAGCGATGATCGACCGCCCATAGCGTCCGGCCATCTAGTGGGCACGAGAAGACATAGACGCCGGTGCTGAGCCAACACGTCTTATCCCGGCGTTCTCGTCTACTGCCGAAGAGTTGACTCTCGATTTCCGTTATAAGGAGCTCGCGTTGAGCTCCGAAACGCGAACAACAGGGTGAGGCACCTTCCAGTGTGAAACACCTTCCAACGACGTATGGATCGTGCTTACAGATCAACCTGTGTCCGACATGACTCTGCTCAAGTGGGCGGATGACTCGGAAAATTCTGTTATACCGGCTACCGGCGCATTGCATGTTGAACCGGACCAAGGTTGGGCTGGTTGCCGCTCCCATGTGAGAAGTGGGAAACTGTTGTTGTGGAAGGGCAGTCATTTGGTGCGTGTTATTTTGTCTGCTTCGGAGGTTTGAGCCTCGTTATCCTTGCCCCCGGAGCATCGGGATCGGTCCATTTTGCAATGCCGGATGGTCTGCTTCCTGAAGATGAAGACGAGACCGAAGGAGGAAGTCGCTTCGAATTCGTCTGCGTCGACGAAGATGCCGGATACCGGGCTGAGGAGTTTTGTGACGGTTGTGACGAGGAGGAAGCCGGTGCAGGTAAGTCCCTGGATTTGTTGATGCCGCTCACGAAATCAGACTTGGCCAATTGTTCTTGAAGGGCGTGGATGAACATGAAGGTGGAATCTTGAGGAGAGAGCTCTTGGTGGGTGACTTCTTGAGGCATGGCTGCTGATGTCTTGATCAACGTTGGGTCGTCTCCTTCCCTCTTCGTGGTCAGTGGGGTGGGATATAATCGATGATGCGTGAAGAAGAGCACTATAAGATATCAGTCACATCCCTTTGCGGGCGTCTGAGATATAGCAGCAGATTGGGGATCAGCGAGAAGCGTTCGGTCGAATCATAGCCAGCTTGTGCGCCTGTCTCCGTTTGCAACGATACCCGAAAGCCTGGCCAGGATAGCTCTTCACACAGAATCCCCTCCTATGGGTTTCCCCTTTGGGGCCCACTTTGCACGAGCTCGACTTACCTCTGCAGAACCGTGTATCCAATGGTCAGCCGTCTAAACACGACTGCGTTGGGGCAATCGCGGTTGCGAGGCCGGAACAAAGATCAGACCCGGCGCTGCACGACTTTCCGTAAGGGCAAGGGATCAGCGTAACCCAGGCGCACCCTGTCCTGGCGTCGTTGCTTCGACTCGCTTGCAGCCCTTTCAAACCCACACCGGCCACGGCAGTAACCACAGATGGCAAGCGTGCTGTGGCACTGGCCGACGCAGCAGAAGAACACGGGCGCATGAACGGGCCTTGCGGTAGAGCGTCGGTCAGCCGTGCGAGTGAGTACACAGTATGTGCAGCCGATTCGGTGGGCATCTCTGGGGAAGCACAAGAACACGGCGCCGACGTAAGAGTGCATGACGGCATTCCTTTGAGAACGGAGGGTTGCATACGGAGTATTCTGCTCCCACCCGTGCAAAGGGTTGAGGGACGTGAAGCGACTTTCCAGAAGCAAGGCTCCATCAATGTTCCGGCAAGGCCACTTGATTGGGGAGCGCCAATGCGCGTCAGCTGAAAGTGGAGCGGCGAGGCATTACTTGGGACATGTCATGGCTTGTTTCGTGACGGTCTAGACCGGCCCATTCCTGGATATCGGCACTGCAGAGTTTGGGGGTCAAAGAATATCACCGGAGACGCTGTGCCACAGGAGATGACACCATCACGTTCTCGGACCCAGGCTTGTCGTGACGAAGCTTGGTCGGGTTCAGCATTGATCTCTGCAGGGGAAGTCTCCGAGAAAAGCTGGTGATGGAGAATTCCCTTAACGGCCTAACCGAAGCACATCAAGGTCGTATCAACCGCGGACTAACCTGGGCGGGACCCCCTTATCAACCAAGGCTCGATGCTCAAAGTCATGAGCTACAGGACTTTCGTATGCAATATCGGATGAGAGGTTACCCTGTGCATCTGCGTTGTCCGTCCCGTTGCGAGACACGATGACGATGTCCATGTCTGCACAATGCAATCCCCGGCAGCCTCGCTTTGCCAACATGTTGGCCAAGGGAGATATTCTGCAACTCGCCCGGGTCCTACGGCTAAGTGACTGGCGCACAGGCCGGCGCCGAGCATGGAGGTGCATACTCGTACAGAATCTGCATGGGCCAGATAGAGAAGCCAGCTCTTCTCTAGTGGGAAATGCAAGCCGACCTGGCCTTGCGTGCTCCTGCTTCCGTAACTGCTACAGTATCGTGGGCTTAGCTCATCATGGCAAGCTCTCACATAAGTCGAAGGGCAATACTGTGTATGATCACGCGAAGCCATCTACATGCACAGTACATGGTAACGCGGCGGGTGGGAACCCCGGTTAAGGACGAGAAGAGAAAGCCCGCGCCATAAGAACTTCCTGAATCTGGAAGCAGTACGTGCCTTTGCCGGGACCTGCGCCACCTGCTACGTATGACTTAATGGAGTCACTTACATTCTTTGTGGAGGGCAGGTTGGGGAGAATCATTATCCCTTCCAGGCGAGGAGAGACGTGGGCAACAATAGGCAGAGCAGGCAGGGGGAGATCGACAAACTTCCTCCAATCGTCCAGCCGCAGTGCAACACTGGTTTGAGATTCGGTTTTCGTGTGTGCTGTGCTCCCGCTGTGTCCTACATGTACTGTACATATCAAGTGACACGGCGTTGATGATGCACAACTCTGGGCTAGCCCCCCCGTAGCTGAAGAGCTTCCCTCAATAAGTGTTACTTACCTTTCCAGACGTTGAACAGGCAGCACACAACATGACCAAGGGGTAGATAGTCTGGGAGAAGCTCGTACAACAGCACCATCTGGCATGGATCTTAGGAGTAGACATATGGTTTTGTCTAAAAGGTATGGCTATGTACATACCCACCTACTGTACCCTTGCATATGGCTTGGAGCTGGACCATCGGACCCTTTGGCCCGGCCGTGGGGTACTGTATGTCTTGTTGCTTTTGGCGCTCTGCAGCCCTTTAACAGGCAAAAAGCAAAAGCACATCCCGAACAGGGGGACGCAATCTCAGGTGTGGTTCCCGGTCAACCGACACACCGACAGAGAGACTTAGTCGACATCATCCGCACTGGTTGCAATCTTCGGCACGTTGGACGACCCTGCAGATGCAGTGGGCGGGTAAAAGTTGATGGTCCCGTCTGGCCCGATCATGCCGGTTCGGTCGTAGTACGTCCTTGCACGCACATATTTGTCGAGCTTCCAATAGTTGTCGTTCAGCTTCCTCGCCAAGGTATGCCTCTCCTCCTTGAGTTTCTCGGCCTCCCGGCCTGTGCCTTTGGATATCCACTCGAAGGTCATCCGCTGATACTCGCGCACTTCGGCGTCTCGCTCGGCTTCAACAGCCTTCCGTGGCTCTTCCTCCTTCATTGTGTCGTTCTCGCCCGGGACGGGTTCGATGTACTTGTATTCCCAGTTCTCGTCGCCGTCTAATTCCTTGATGATCCGCGACCGCGGGATAAATTTCTCGAGATCGTCCACATTGGACGTAAAATGCACTTTGCCCGCTACCACGGGGTCGAGCCAGCCGCGGATGATCTTCCAGATGCCTTGGAATATCCACGGCGACTTGTGGACCAGCACGGCACCGAGCGATTCCGGGTAGTTGGCTTCGAAAATCTTGATCATGAACTTGACAGGGGTATAATCCATGTTGGCCATGGTGAAATTCGTCATGTCGAAAACTATACACTGGAAGGGCTGTCAGCAAGGGTGTTCGACTGCGCACGGCTGTGAGGGGGACAACTCACAGCGGTCTCAACAGGCGGCCTCAGAGCGAGCCGAGTCGTCTCAATCACATAAACCGTATATCGTTCCAGAGAGCGCTCTGTCTGCTCGCCTCCTTTATGCAATCGGACCCGGACGAAACATAACGGCCTCCCCTCTTTATCGGTCCCGTGCAGAAAACTCTTGCCCAGTCTTAACTGCGCCAGAAAATCTTGTCCCTCCTTCTTGACGGCTGGGTCATCAGATTTTGAATCCTCGAGCGCGCCTCCTTCGCCGCGCAGTACGACGTCGTCATCGACGTGTTGCTCTTGACTTCTCCACCGCATCGTTGACACCAGCATGACTAGTGCCTTTTCAACGTCCCATTTCCGTGCTCTTAGGAACCGTAGCAACAGCGCATCTGGATGGTCGGCCTTCACCATGCTCCAGAAGGCAGCGCGCAAAGACTCGGGCGTCTGTGTAGACAGGATCTCCTGAAACTCTTTGGCCTGACCATACTTGTCGTCGGCGTCCTTGTGATCGCTTGGGTCTTTCGTCGGGGTCGCCCTTCCGCTACTCGACTCTTTGTCCTTGTGTCTCTTGAATACACCAAATCGCTTCTTGGCCTTCTCTTTATCCTTGACATCGATCTCTGACACCGCGTCTTCGGTCTGCGGCGTCTCTGTCCCAGCTGCGTGTTGTGCGTCTTCCACACCAAACACTCGCAGTGTAGCCGTCCAAAACTCACGCAGTTTGGCTTCCTGTTCGGGCGTCAGATTGCCCAGATGGCCAGGGGGCGCAGGCATATCGAGGCGGAAAGGGTCGTCGGTTTCGAGCGCGAGAGTTTCGACGATTTGGGCTTTTAAAACGTGATCGGTGCTGTCGTGTGCCCCTCGAGGTCGCAAGTACTCGAAAAGGATGGCACCTCCGCAAGCGACCGCAAAGAGGATGATATACGAGGAGACAGATGCCTCAAATGGGACTAAGGGAGGTCCGACAGGGCCTTTGGCACGAAAAGGTGCAGTACGCCGGGAATGAGTCTTTACACGTAGAGGGCCCGGCGACCGGAACCCGCGGGAGAATGATGGCGCCCCTCTTTGCGCTGCGGAGGGGAGGAAGACGGATTGAGGCAGCGACCGCTGACAGCAGCAACGTCGCATGTATGTACAGCGAGCGGGAGATGAATAGTAGCTGATTATGAGATATGGGACATTTCCCTTCTCGGCCGAAGAAGCCGTGGATGGGAGGGATAATTCAGCACAAAAGGACTGACTTCATCCGCGTCTGTACGGAGAATGGGCCTGAATCTGATGCTTGGATGCTTGGATGCATTATGTCATCGTCGTGGCGGAGATTGCGGTTTGAAGCGTGGCAGTCTCCACACGACGCGGAAGCAACGACGAGCATACTCCCCATCGATCCTCCTTGAGTCGACACACTGGGCTCTGGGCTAGAGCACAACTGTGCTATAAAGCACTCAATGCTCAATGTAGAACAGGTACCACGACCATCAACTTTCAGCCCCTTTGAAGTCTCTCCTGGTGTACAGAGTAACGACTTGACCACTCCTTGGCATAGAACAACGCCATCCTCCACACGAAGCTTTCACAGAGCCCGATTGCCACAGCAATGCTGTCAAACCTCCCGAGCTGGCTACTAACACAGGCCGGTCCTGTATTTGTCCTGCTTGATTGTTTGGCTCAGTCTAATCCTTGGACTACTTGGTGCATTTGAGCTCCAATTCACCTACAACAGCAGCGTGAAGGGATTGTCACTCGTGACATCTGGAACATGTGCAAGATGTAACACACTGTTCTCAAGGAAGACTCGGGCCAGACAACATGTCACCAGCAGCCGAATCACGACCCGATGGTGAATGCACAGCTGACCGCAGAATTTCTTGACGACTATATACGCGGCCACCAGCTCTGATCGTCAATCGCGCACACTCGATTCAGTAAGGCATTGGCTCTGTGCCAGCTCCCGGCGACATGGCTATTATCGCATTCCTCAAGACGTCGCTGGTTGTATTCGTGTCTTTACTCCTTGGCCTCACCGCCGTATCAGCGCGAGAGGGCCTAATCCGCCCTCCGAATTTTCCAGCCATTGGCGGACCACAGCTTCCAAGTGCACAAGTTGCCCTTTTCTATCAGACTTTCCAAGATGCCATCTTCCTGGCGAAACACGCTGCAATGTACTGGCCCTGCGATCCGACAACTGACAAGGTGACTGACTACCTTGCTCCTGGGCGCCAGCCAGATTGACTCTGCTTGCCGTGTCCACAAAGTTGACTACTGACAATGGAACAGACTTTCCTGCGCTATTTCCGCCCAGAAAATGCACGTTTTGTGAAAGACATCTTCAGAACCATCGCCAATATCCCTCTGGACCTGGATCTCACAGACAAAAACGCCCTAGCGCAGCTGGCAGCTGAACCGCTTTCATACCATCCCAAGTACAACAAATTGTCCATCTTTTTTCTAGGAGACCATCCTGGGCTCCCCGCATTATACGGCGGCAATCTCCCGCCAGGCTCATTACTGTGTGCCGATCCTGTGGGGTGGCAGGCACACTCGAATCCTGTACTTGGTGGGGCCGAGGCACTGATATCGGTGTGTAAGAAAACGTTCTCGACCATCCCAATGCTTCAGGACGTGACGAAACCTCCTGCTTGGGCAATAGATCCAAGCAAAGACCAGTCCCGTAGAGCACAATTCTATGATGGGTACGGTTGTGAGAACCTCGGAGACACCGACAGTGACTATCTGGACAGCGCCGGCGCCGTACTCCTGCACGAGCTGTTGCACTTCCCTGGCCTCTTTGCCGACGTTCCCAATTACGATGCCATGATCCCGTTCAGCAGCGTAGCGTCAGCGCATTGGATCAGCGACTGGATGGGACCTTATCCAAGAAATGGTTATGGGGCCTACAACACCATGTCTATCAGCAAGAGGCCCCCCAGAGATCAGGACGGACGGCTGTTTCTGCCAATCTACAATGCCGACAACTACGCATGGTACGCTATCAGCAGCTATTTTTCCAGAGTGTGCAAGAAGGATTTGCAGGATGCTCCAAGTGAGCAGGCCGTCTGGAAGCATCGTCGACAACCGTTATGGCCATTCAATGTTCCGCCCAGTGTAGACGTCTCAGCCTGTAGCACCTTCCGCATCATGAAGATGTCCTCGACAGTCCATCACTCTACGAAGGGTGACTTCCTCGGACGTCTACACGATCAAAGCATCATGTACTTTCTTCACGCATGACGTCGGTTGCCAATACTCGAACTGGAGGGTGGGCCACATGGCACTCAGTCTTCATCGTGTCTGAGATATCAAAAGTACTTTGCTCAGAAGCCTCCTCCATCTAGCTCTCTATAGCACAATGGATCTTTCACCTCGGGCGCCCTTGTGCATCGAATCTCGGATCAGTCAAGGCCCAAATGCGGCACCAGCCTTTCCTTTACAAATTCCTCTAAGCTATGCAGTTTGACTCCCAGATCCAGCACGTGCTTGTCCGGGAGAACCACTCCAGGGTAAGTTCCCGTCTTGTTGTACAGATTGAACATGATATCCCTCTCCGCATTGCCAGTAGTGGGCAGGACAACATATTTCGTCGGCAGCCCCGTAACTTTCCACCCTGTTAGCGTCCATCGACCCACTGTCACTCTTCCAGCCACTTACCTCGATGTACCACCTCACAAATTTCCCGCGGCGTGTGGACCGCATCCATCGCATAGAGATGTCGCCATCTCAACTCCTCCTTGCGTTCTTCCCAGTTGTCAAACACCGCCTTCGCAACCCCCGCGAGGTCTTTCTCCACCCACACCATATGCACTGCGCGGCCCGGGATTAGCACGCGCCGCACACATAGAACCGGCCTCGCACGCAGGCAGGAGCGGGATGCGTTAACTCACGCTTCGTGGTCTCCTGGATCACGGGCTGCCGAAACTCGATGCCCTTCCCGTCCTCGGTTCTCACGACATGCCCTCTCAGCACCATATTCTCGTAGAAATTCCCCGTATACACAAACACGGCGGACTCGAGCTGCAATTCGTCCCGAATGAATGCGTCGACACGGTACTTGCCCTCGTAGATCTCGCATTTGACTTGGCCGCCCGAAATCGCGACCGAGGAGGGGAGTGTCGACCAGATGAAGCACGAGACGCCCGCGCGCTGGGCCGCCAAAGCGGCGTTTCGGCCTTGTTGTTCTTCGCTGGAGGGATCGTTTTGGATTTTCTGTGACGCTCAAGCAGGTAGGGTCAGCCAGTGACCTCGGTTAGTCAGGCAGTCAGCCAGCAGGTCAGTTCCAGGTTCAAGCCTGCCCCCCCACTACGAATCCCAACCTGACATCGACAGTATTTCCCTTTGCATTGTACTCATGTGCCGTTTCCGGCAAGCCCGGTCATCATGTGGGAACCATGCAGCGGCTCACCCACTCATCTACTCACCGCATCATAAAAGTTCGTCACCACAAACGCGCCCCAACAATCCTGAAATGCACCATCCAGGGTCGAAGGATCCGTCAAGTCGCCCTGCACGACGTGTGCGCCCAACGCGGAGAGTTTCCTCGCTGGTACGGAGTCCGGGTTCCGCGTGAGTGCTCGCACGACGTACTCGTCAGGGTATTGCAGGAGGAGTTTCGCGACCGAACCACCTGTGTGTGTCGATGTGGTCGTGATGTTAGCATAGGTCTTGGCTGGCCTGGTACCCGCCGGGACACAACCTATGACTAGGTATGGGGTAGTGTTTTCGAGACAACACGAGACGAGGAGGTCCTGAGCGTCTCTAGAGCCTGCGTACCTTGATTTCCTGTCGCGCCTGTGACGAGGACGGTCTTGCGGCCCGGCGTCGGCATTGTACCCTTTATTGATGTCTTGATGCGTGATGCGCTATGGCGTGTGTGAGTGTGTGTGTGTCTTGGGCTGCTGGGCAAAGTACTCCGTAGACCAAAGTCAATCGAATCGGATCGAAATCAAACCAAATCAGATCAGTTTAAGAGTCTTGGAAAGCTTAAAGACCAGGTCTGTGGTGTGAACTGAGCTGGAGCTTGAGCTCTGTCTTACATAGCGGAGCGTCCTCCGTACAATGCAAGGTATGTACGTACAATAACATCGATGTCCGTTTGGATCTGGAGCACTTGTGCAATGCAATGACGCCGCGCTTACAAATTTTGGGAAAGAGGGTGCGGAATGGGCGCGGGGCAACGCATGAGGCTGATGTGGAGGAAACAAGTGCTGGGGACGCAGTACCGTGTAGGAGCGTTGTAGTTATGTTGCGCTCGGATTGCGGGTCAGGCGAGCTTCGAAAGACATGATGCCGCCGGCCAGTCTTATAACCTTGACAGTACGGGCTACCGTTCATGGATCGTGGTTGAATATGCCCTGGTTCTCATGCGTCCAGCTACGCGAAGTAATTATTGTGATTACATAACGAGGCTCTAGGAACAAGGGGCCAGACTGGGGGGCGGCTGGAGAGCAAGACGACGACTTCGTGCGGGGAAGCGGCCAGCCCGCGTGTATCCGATCATCGCTCCTCGTGCTCATCCAACCGTTCTATCACCCATCAATATCTTGAAGTCCAGACAGCGCTATTGGAACGTCGCTCAAAATGGCATGGGATCCTCCAGATGCATGCTCGCTGGAGATTCACCGCCTACATGCTACAAAGACGTCCAAATGTCCTTGAACTGCGGCGTGTTCCTCCACTTTTGTGTCAACTGCAGCAGGGCCGCGGGGACCACGTCGGCCAGATCGACGTCCATCATTCTAGCCACGAGACACATCAAGGTGGTATCCAGCGCCGTTGGCGCAGCAGTCCCGAATACCCATGCATCCTCCATGTTCGTCGTGTTGTTTGCGTTTCTGGTGTTGTCAATCTCAAGGAGTAGAGCACCGGTACGCTCGATCTCCGCCTGGATCACCTCCGGTTTTACCCCGTCAACTTTTTCTGCCCGGTTCCTGAAATCGAGTCAATGACCTGTGCTGCTCAAACGCGCTTTACTCACACTCCCAACTTATATTCCAGGGCTTTCTTGTGCCTGTCAGACAAGCCCGGCACATTCATTTGGGCTTGGATCGCCTGTTCCTGCATGCTCGCCCTCTGTGGGCAGTCCCTCATAGAGATGGAAAAGAAGTTGATGGCATGTAACTTGCGGAGCAAATTTTCGATCTCCTCGGCATGTTCCGCTGGTCTCAGTTCCGGGTACCGTTCGCACAGCCACAGCGTGATTTCAAGACTGTCTGTGATGGGCCGATCGAGGAAGCCCGGACTGAGTAGAACGGGCACCTGCGTGAGTATGAGCACAAAGAGCCTTGGCTGCTCGCTCCTTCAACTGATTGCAATCAACGCACTGACCTGCCCTTTCCGGTTGATTTCGCACAGATACTGCTCAGAAAGCTGCTCACCCTTGACGATGTCGATCGGGTGGAGTTCGAAAGACAGAGGCAATAAGCCCTTGGACGTACTAGTTGCATTTGCTAACGTATACCGAACCATAGAGGAGCATATGGATCTGTGGTCGTAGTACAGAATGCATGGTTGGGTGTCCGCCATGACGTGTCGTGTAAGAGATGTTACAAGCGATGGCTAGATGCGAGGATTGCACAGAAGCAAAGCACAGAGCCTCTATCAAGTGAGACAGGGGTTACCTTTAGGTCGGGTTCATCGCAGTCCACTTCCTAGCCTACATTGGGGCTTAGTCAGCTTTGTGGCAGGCCTTGAGCGGGGCGGTCGGCTCGGCCGCATCGGCAGCCTGGTTCGTGGATCGGACGGAGGGAGCAGCATGTAGAGCGAACAGGTCATCGGGATGTTCTCGTATTGGTGAGAATGCAGCTGGACCCTGATGGATGGATAACTGCGAGTCGATGTACCCCGTAGAGCAGTGGCCGCGGAATACTCCGTACGTAGGTCTCGAAAGGTGGACATGAGGTGCAAGTGAGGTCCAAGCGACGTGAACCTCATGCTTGGCTTGTTTAGCCAGTTTGTCTAGAACAATATCGCGATTGCCTGCTGGGTGCCTGCTCATTCTCACCTCAATTTGCCTGACGCAATCTCGCAGGAGTCCATCGCATAGATCTCTTGGATCCATGGACTTCACGCGCAATTGGGGACGATCGGGCGGTGCCAGTGACTCTGAAGGGTTGTGCCAAGCATGTAATGCCACCGCCGGGATGCGTGGACAGGCATCCCATTCGAAGCCACATTCAGCCCGAATTACATCTGACGGTTGGTGAATACACATGTTCGTACCTATTTGAACATCAATTCACCACCGTCAAATATCATGCCGACTCGATGACTTGACAAACTCATTGAACCGGCCACGAGGTAACTGCAACAATTCACCTGCGTAATAACTCCTTGAATGATGCCATGCTTCCAATATCCACGGCAAAGCCTTCTCGGATCAATGAATATGTCGAACTTCACGGCCCCTACACAAAATATGGACAGGAGGGGCTCCAGGAAGTGAAACTGCCACGTCTAGGTATAAAGAGTGCTGTCATCAACATTACATGATCCTCGCTCTTACTGTACTTCGTTTTCATTTTACGAATTGTCACCCGCTAGGTTTACACTTGGCTCTCGGGTCCATGTCTGTGCTATCGGAGCGACCACCCGTACCGGCGACAGTGAAGTGTTGATCCTGTGAGAGTGAAGGATACCAAGCTTGGCGCCTTTATGCGACCACGAAGGTGGATTTCCTCCGATGGCGCACATTCTTTCAGCACAAACTGGAGGCCGACCTCAAACTCTTGCTGTCTCTCTGATCTCTGTGCGAGCGTTTGTCCTCATCTTCCGTGTCGGTCTCTACTCAGAAACACATACGATCGCTTCAGGATGGCGGCACTCGTTTCGACCCAGCTGTGGCTGACGCTCATTTCTTTGCATCTTCTTGTCAACACTATTGGCACCATGGTGCCTTCCTGGCCAAACATGCCACGGTACACTTGGACCTCTGCGCAGCCCCTTAACGACGACCAGATCTCATACTTTGCATACACGATTCAGCACGCAGTGTTCCTGGCAAAGCAAGCTGTGATGTACTGGCCATGCGAACCCTACCGCGATTCAGTGAGTCACCGTTAAAGGACACAGGTGGTAGTGTCGAGCGCTGAGGTTTCTCGTGCCGCGACGCGCACTAACAGAGTCACACACAGACATTCCTGCGCTACTTCGATCCTACCGAAGCCGAGTTTGCCAAGAACATGTTCCGAGCGATAGCCAACGTGCCATTCGACCTGGACCTCACCGACCGGGCCGCGCTCGAACGGCTTGCAAGCGACCCTGTCAGTTTCAATCCGCGGTTCGCAGGGTTGTCCATTCATTTCTTGGGGAACCATCCAGATTTGTTGCCCGAGGACGATGGTCCCGGCGTCGTAGACCGAGGCTGTGAGGATGACCTCGAAGAAGATGCAGAGAGGTTTGCTTTCATTGAAGTGAAATCCGGGGGCAGTGTCGGCCTATTATCCTTCTGCAGAAAGGTCTACCTAGATTTACCCATGCTTAACGACTTGCTACACCCACCAGACTGGGCACTAGACTGGCTCATGGATCAGAGCAATGGAAGGCAATACAAATTCGGGTACGGCGGCTGCAGAGACTTCGACTACCGGGATAATAACTGGATGGACACCACCGGGCGGAACATGTTGCACGAGTTCTTCCACTACCCCGGTCTGTTTGCAGATGTGCCCAACTACGCAAGGATGATCCCGTTCGAGTACCAAAATGCTTGGGGCGAGACAATCCCGCATCAGATACTCGATTTTCAGCCCGATCTGGACAGGGACGAAGTCGAGGGCTACCCCGAGAACGCCTACGGCGGCTGGAATGCCATGCGGATCAACCAGCTGGAACCCTTGGACAACGACGGTGTGAGATACAAGGGTATTTACAACCCCGACAACTACGCCTGGTACGCCACGAGTGTCTTCTGGTCAAGGCGGTGCGGGCAAAGATTTAGTGCACCAGAGGATTATGGGGATTATGATAGGGACCGGTCACACCCTTACTTCCCATTTTGAAGGTCGAAAATCCGCCGGGTGCCAGCCAGCCGTAGAAAGCATGCCAGGATGGCACAGCACAGGGATTATCTTCTGGTTTCGAGAGGCTGGAACTCCAGCCGAAGGGCAGATAGGGCGCATTGAACGACTAGGGCTGATAGGATGGCGGTCCGTCCAGCGAGGCAAATCCCAATCATGAATGGTACAGCGCTGGAACGACGTCGAGAGGCAGGGGGGAGGCGGAGTCGTGAGTGGCAGATCCTCGGTCAAGCGCTCCGTCGATCGACGGTTGATGGAGGATGGAATGGATAGAGATCCAGCTGACCGGCCTCGTTCACGGTAGGCGTCATTTCGGCCAGCCAGAATGTCGTGTGTTTCAATCATGGCGCCCAGTTTTATCTACTGTAGCTGAATGGAATTCAGATCCAGAATCAATGATGTGCAACGCATTGCAGGGTTTCGCGCGCTCGTGACTCCATCCGACGCGGTCGACGAGGTACTGCACCGCGCCACGAGCCGTATACACCAGAACGTGATCGACTTTTGGTGGTACGTATAGTCTTCGTCCCACTCCGTCGTGCGGCAGAGGGGGAAGGAGGCAAGACGAGCAACATGGAGCGGACTTTGCAGTGCCACGGGCTACGGTGTCGCTCCATAAACGGGACAGTCCCTGGTTGAGGTCGAGCAGAGCTATGCATGACGAAAACCCCAGTCGTGCTCGGTGCAAAGACTGGAAGGACATATGGAGCGACTCCTGACACGAAACAGTTCGCCTTATCGTGACCTCAAGGCCGCCTAAGTTCAGTGTCTTGCTCGACGCTGGCGCCCTGTAGTTTTCAGAATTTGAACAAAGGAGCCACAGCATAAATCGAATACAGATCTTATTTCAACGATATCTTCTAATCTAAGGTTGACACCATGGATGACGGTCGGTTAACGGGCCGATACAAACTCGTGATCTGACACGAAACGACACTATGAGTAAGCGTCAGACTACAAGGCCACTGCAGAGAATCCACAACAGACCATGCATTGGTTCGTAACAACGCCAGACGCTGTTGACCTTGGGATAGCATTAATTATCCTTTCATGCACAGGCCGTGGTAGTACTCCTCACACGCAAGGAGAACACCCGGAGTGTGAGATTTCCGCCCCAAACACGCTGCTTCCCACTGGAAATGGCAATGGAGTGGTGCGAAAGTTAGAAACAACGTTGGCCCGTATTTTCCACGAGCTTTTTCCAGCGGTAAGCCAGGGCGGCCACTTCGGCCGCGCTGATGAGGCAATATACTTGGTGTGCAGGGAGTAATATAAGCAACGGTTGCGCAATCATGTGGACCAAATCTGGTACACAACAGACGGCCTTCTACAAACATCAAAGGCTGCGATAATGGATCCAGGATATCCCACTGGGTCCTTTCTCTACCTCGAACACGAGACGAAGGATGGCACCGGCCCAAGACCCTCGTCGGTCAAGCTGCAGATCGCAATAGTCGGAGCCGGGGTTGGGGGTCTTTCAGCAGCTATTGCTTTGCGACTGGACGGCCACGACGTCACCGTATTCGAGTCAACGCCTGTCCTGAGCGAGGTGAGTTGAAGCACGCCTCTTCCCAAGTATAATTCTCACGTCTCCTTCAAATTAAGATCGGCGCTGGCATTCAAGTTCCACCGAACTCGACACGTATACTGCATTCTTGGGGCCTGGAAGCTGCGCTGCGGCAAATCTCGATGGTGCCTCGAAGCTTGCTCTGGCGACGATGGGAAAACGGCAAAATCATCGGCAACTCCAGATTGAATCCAGAATGCCAGGACTGGTTCGGTTCCCCCTACTACGTCACCCACAGAGCGCATCTGCATGAGATCCTGCACAGGAAAGCCGTTGAGCTGGGTGTAACGGTGCGACTGGCCAGCAAGGTGGAGAAGTACAATGCCGATGAGCCATCGTTTGTCCTCGCCGGTGGGGAAACCGTGAGAGCAGATCTCGTCGTGGCAGCTGACGGTAGGAGCCGAATGGACGGAGTAAACAGTGATATTGACGAGAATCAGGCATTAAATCCTTGGCTCGAAAGACGCTGCTCGGAACAGCAGATAGCGGACTTCGAGATCATGGCCTAGCTGTGTTTCGGGCCACTGTGAGCGTTGAGGAGATGTTGAAGAATGAGAAGACTGCGCCGCTAGTCGAGAGCCCAAATCTCCATCTTTGGTGCGTAGAGAGTGGCTCAATTGTGGGATTAAGAGCTGACCATTGACAGGGTTGGGGGCAACAATCACCACGTCATGGCATACAGATTTGCCAACGACAAGCTACTCAACCTTGTTGTAACTCATCCCGCTGAGGGCGAGCCTGAGACCTGGGACGGGAACGATCATGTTGCAGACTTGCGGAGGGATTTCGAAGGCTGGGACCCGGCGTTGACCACATTATTTGGTATGGTTCAGACCGCGGTGAAGTGGCCATTAAAGGACATACAGGTCCCAGACAGGTGGTCGTCGGCAAGTCGAAAGACGGTTTTGGTTGGAGACGCAGCTCATGCCATGCTGGCTTTCATGGCTTCCGGTAGGCCTTCCTTGCTGATTACCAACCTGCAGCTAACGCCCCGCTTAGGCGCGGCAATGGCGGTCGAAGATGCAGTGGCTTTAGCAGAAAGCCTGCGCTTTGCTACCAGGAAGGACATGGTCCCCCAAGCTGTCGCGATTTTCGAACAAGTACGCATATACCGAGTGAAACGAGTGCACGAGGCCAGTGTCAAGCACGGGTATACACTACACCTGTCCGACGGGCCAGAACAACAGAGCAGGGACAAGGCGATGGAGAAGGAAGTCAATGGCGAACATTTCATATCGAGTCCCAATCAGTGGAGTGATCCGACCGTCCTGAGCTGGTTATACCCACACAAACCAGCAGTGGCAGTGAGAAAGGCCTGGGTAGAGTGCGGTCCCATGGACGGCAACGGGGTTAACGGGTTCCGGAATAGCCAGAAGAGAGCAGCGGCTGTCGGAGGGATGTGCGACTACGACCTGAATCCGCCAAGTCACTTTCCCTGTGCGCGCATTCGATCAGATTCGGTCGAGCTTGGTGCAGGGTGTTCAGCATAGAATGCGTTCAAGCCATCAACTGAAGGGCTGAGTGACAGCACCTCCAATGAGAGGATGCCCACATGCGTTAGGGTTTCGAGCCATGGGAGCTGTGACAGTGTTGTGTCTTCCCCGACGCTCCGGCAGACATGAGAAGCTGCTAGTGTGGAAAGGCAGATACCGTAGGTGCAACCTCGTGCTTCTCACTTCTGTGCGTCCTTATTGATGACTTCTTCTAGGAAGTTCTTGGAGAATCGAGTCACCTGTTGGTAGACCTCTTCGAATCCATTATCGGCTCCATAGTACGGATCGATCACTTCTTCGCCTTTGCTCTTACCTCCGAAATCGCCAAACATCATGACTTTAGCTTTTGTCTTCTTGCCTTTGCTTTCAGCTCGCCGTTGCAGACGCTGCAGGTCGCTGAAGTTGTATGCATCCATGGCGAAAATATAATCAAACTCTTCAAAGTCTCCAGCATGGACTTGCCGTGCTCCATGTTCATAATCCGTGATGCCATGCTTACGAAGGGTTGTGACTGTTCGGTAATCAGGCGGATCTAGCGTGTGATATGCGCCAGTGCCAGCAGAGTCGACTTCGCCAATGCGAGGATTCGATTTCGTGAGCGATCGGAAGACGCCTTCAGCCATTGGTGACCGACCTTTAACGAACCAGTCAGACGAGACAAGAGTGACAGGAATGAGTGATGCACCTACATATGTTCCCGAGGCAGACAAACAGCACAGAGACTTTTGGGTCCGAGGATTCCGCCATCACCCCACATATGGCGCAGCCTGGTGTTGCGTATGATAGATTGCGTGGACAGCCTCTAATAGCGGGGAATTTGCAATAGTAGAGACGGACGGAGAAGCCGGACTTGCGTCTCGTCCTAAGATAGCTAACTCAGAATTTCCCAAAAGTGTTGAAGTTGCTGGATGCTCTGGAGGAACTGATGTCGCTATCCCTTTAGAAGTGATGCTGGTCAATGGACAACAACTGGTGTTCCGTGGTGGGCGAAGAATTTCAGCCTTGCCCCGGAACTTCGGCAGCCTTGCAGGTGGCTTGCCGGGTTAATTCTGGGGATGCCTGATGAGGCGGAAAGATGAAACGTATTGCACTGCCACAAGCGCTAGAAGCAGCAGTCCACCTTCGCGGCAGATTGCAACTCTTGGGACCTTGGCACTGGATGCTCCTTGAGCGTTCCGGAACGCAGTGACCCGGCGAAGACGAGACGTGACGCAAGCAATGTGGACGAGTATGATGGTTCAGGTCCCCATACGAGGTACAGGCGAAGAGGAACTATGTACAGTGATTGGTGGCCATCGCCTTTAACTTGATGGCAAATCGTAGGTGCAATAAATAGAACCAGGCTCGCAGACGTTGCCTGGGTGCCAACTTTGGAAACATGGCTCGCATCATCTTTGCGGCTACTGATGGCGCGGTTTGTGGACGATGAACCCCAGGTGGGTGCCAGGCGATGCTTTAACTGGCTGACAACGCGCAGTTGTCCGGGAGCCCGTAGTTTAACTGGCCAAGCTTAATGCAGGAGAGGCTCAGTGCCGCGACTCGGGTGAGTGAAAGCGTCCAAGAGAAATGCAAGTGAGAGCTGAGCAAGCTTGACCACTGCGCCCAGCTGAGAAGCGGAAGGGGGATACCTTTTTCACTCGCCTGTATCCCGCAATTGAATATTGTATTCGATCACACTCGTCCTTCTCTGTTTGCTGCCCGCAGTTGAGGCCACCCGGGACTCGATCGCATCCCACATCTGCATCATCCACTCCGCCTCGGTTCTCGGATCCAGGAACAGAAGCAGTAAACAATCGACTCCGCAAGTCCACCACTCCGCTGGGATTTCGTTCAAGAGCGCAGCCGGTCATTGGTCTTAAACCTGTTACACGATCGTCTTCGCTTGGTTCTCACATTCCAGCATCCGGACACAGACCATCTCCTCCTCTCCAGTGTTGGCCCGCCATGGCCTACAATCCGCTTGGTAACTTACAACCTCTGTCTACTGTCTATGCTGGAGATATACTGACTTTGCGCTACTCAGGCGGCCCTCCACGGGACGGTGCATACTCTCCTGGTCAGCATCCTCATTACGACTCAAGATCGCCCTCGCCTGGCCGACCGTTGCAGCCATATGTTCACCCAGACGAGGCCTTCTCGCGCCAAAACTTACCTCTTCAGATGCCTGCTGCTTCTACCGATCGTCTAGCCATGCAGCCGACGTACTCGGTGGAGAACATTCCTCAGTCTCACGGTCACAATCAACAGTATGAACACCAGATATCAAATGGCGCAGGAGGGGACGTTGGCTACGGGAGAAACGACTACATTGTGTCGCCCGAAGATCATCATGACGCATATTACACACAGCCCTACGAGCCTCATCCTCAAGGCGACTATGCCCTTGACCCATACCCAACGCCTGACCAGGGCTATCGTACCGACCACGACAGGGTGCCTATCCTACAAGCAGACAATGCGTACGGACCCGATCCACATGCGCAGGAGCCATTAGACTATGATGGATATCAAGATGCGCCAGGCCCCACTCCGTCGCCCCAGCCCATTCGGAGGTGGAAGACCGTCAAAGAAGTTCAATTGTTCAATGGCAACTTGGTGCTCGATTGTCCTGTTCCTCCCAAGCTGCTGGCCAACGTACCTCATGCGAAACCGCCGGAGAGAGACGAGTTTACGCATATGAGATACTCGGCCGCGACTTGCGACCCAGGCGAATTTTTCGGTGAGAGGTTTACTCTCAGACAGCGACTGTTCGCAAAGCCGAGAGAGACCGAGTTGTTCATCGTGGTTACTATGTACAACGAAGACGAGTTTTTGTTCGCCCGGACAATGATCGGTGTCTTCAAAAACATTGAATATATGTGCAACCGCAATACCAGCAAGACTTGGGGCAAGGAGGCTTGGAAGAAAATCGTCGTATGCATCGTTAGCGACGGACGTGCCAAAATCAATCCGAGAACAAGAGCAGTCCTGGCTGGTTTGGGCGTCTATCAAGATGGCATTGCCAAGCAGCAAGTCAATGGCAAGGACGTCACGGCCCACATCTACGAGTACACCACTCAAGTCGGTCTGGAACTCAAAGGCACACAAGTGTCTTTGAAGCCGCGATCAGCAACGCCAGTGCAACTGCTGTTCTGTCTAAAGGAGAAGAACCAGAAGAAGATCAATTCCCATCGGTGGTTTTTCCAGGCCTTCGGCCGGGTTCTCGATCCCAACATTTGTGTGCTTATTGATGCTGGAACCAAACCGGGCAAGGATTCGATCTATCAACTGTGGAAAGCCTTCGACCTTGAGCCTATGTGCGGAGGTGCTTGTGGTGAGATCAAAGTCATGTTGGACAAGGGCAAGAAGCTCTACAACCCTTTGGTCGCCACGCAAAACTTCGAGTACAAGATGTCGAATATTTTGGACAAGCCTTTAGAATCGGCGTTCGGTTTCATCTCCGTGCTTCCTGGCGCTTTTTCAGCATATCGGTACGTGGCTCTGCAGAACGATAAGAATGGCGACGGTCCACTCGAGAAGTACTTCAAAGGCGAAACCATGCATGCCGACGCCGGAGTGTTTACCGCCAACATGTATTTGGCCGAGGATCGTATTCTCTGCTTCGAACTTGTCAGCAAACGCAACTGCCAATGGATCCTCCAGTACGTCAAATCGGCAACGGGCGAGACCGATGTCCCTGATGGGATTGCGGAGTTCATCCTGCAGCGACGACGTTGGCTCAATGGCTCCTTTTTCGCTGCAGTATACGCTGTGGCGCATGTCTATCAAATCTGGCGCAGCAACCATAGCGCCATACGCAAGCTCATGTTCCTGGTCGAATTCACCTACCAGACCATCAACATGCTCTTCGCCTGGTTCGCCATCGGCAACTTCTTCCTGGTTTTCAAGCTTCTGACGGGCTCCCTTGGAACGTCCTCTACCTTAGGAACGGCCGGGACCGCTCTGGGCGTTGTCTTCGAATTTGTCTACCTTGGCACTTTGTTGTATTGCTTTATCCTGTCTATGGGTAATAGGCCTCAAGGTTCAAAGAAGTCGTACCTGGCAATGGTCATCTTCTGGTCGATCCTGATGGTTTGGCTAACGTTCGCGTCAATCTATTTGACGGTCAAGTCGATCCAGACGGAGGTTGCGCAAAAAGACTTCAGCTTCTCGACAATCTTCAACAACAGCACCTTTTTCGGCCTCATTGTCTCCCTCGCCAGTACATATGTCCTCTGGTTTGTCGCAAGCTTCTTGTTCTTCGACCCTTGGCACATGTTCACCTGTTTTCTCCAATACATCGTTCTCACCCCGACGTACATCAATGTTCTCAACATCTACGCCTTCTGTAACACGCACGACATCACGTGGGGTACCAAAGGAGACGACAAAGCAGAAAAGCTGCCCAGCGCAAATGTTAAGCCGAATGGACAAGTCGATGTTATGATTCCTCAAGACGACGGCGATCTTAATGCTCAGTATGATTCAGAATTGAAGTTATTCGCAATGAAGGCCGAAAAGGAGGTCAAGAAGCAGAGTCCTGCGGACAAGCAGGAGGACTACTACAAGTCTTTCCGCAGCAATGTCGTGACGGCCTGGATGGTTACGAACTTTATCTTGGTGGCGGCAGTTCTGAATATTTCGGGCTTCCAACGCATCAATCCGGACAATACCGAACAACAGAACTCTACCATTTACTTGGCCGTCATCTTGTGGTCAGTGGCGGGCCTGTCCCTGTTCAGATTTATCGGAGCCTGTTGGTTCTTGATTGTACGATTGGTAAGTGGATCATGATGTTCTTGTGCTGGTCTCTTCTAACTTCAGACAGTTCCGCGGTGTATGATTTGACGAACGGTCGAGACGTGGGCGGAAACGGATGATTTGAGCAATGCATGGCGTTCGAGGTGCTGGGTACCCACAACATTGTATGCATACTTCGGCGAGATACCCCCAGAAGCTTGGATGAATGCTCTGGTTCATGACAGCCTCGAACGACACTGTATGCATACATCGGCGAGATACCCCCGAAAATATTGGATGATGGCCGCGGTTCAGAGAAGCCTCGCGATGAGGATGGTAACCACGCCTTGGATATGTAGGCGATCAGAGCTATAGCGATCAAGTTATGCACTCGACACTCTACCTTAATTGATGCTTCGCTTCCACAGGTACCATGATTTGTTCAATGCGACCTAATCCTTCGCTTCTGCAAGCGCCATGATCTATACAATGCGGTCTAGAGCCTCCCTCACCTAGTGACCAGCTGTCAGGTCTTCGACCAGACACATAGTCCAATCCCACCGCACACGAGAACCATGCCTAACCAGGTATCTCGCGAAATGAGCTTGCCTTCAGCATACCACTCCCCGAGAACGGTAAACAGAAATGCCAACGAATTCGTAATCGGCACAGTAAGTGACAGTTCTGCGCGAGGAAAGCAAAGCAAGTCAGCGGGATATTTGGAAGGACGACGCCCACGCTACCAGCCGCGGGAGTTGAGTAGCGGTAGCAGGGAGGACGCGTGACAAGCATAGACATACCAGCTTGCCCGACCAGCAGGAAAAACCAGATACTGCCTGTCAAATTCATGACCAAGGGGATCGCATATCCGGGACTTCTCAGCAGGCCCAATACAGTAAAGAATGCCTTTGCGATTTGGCGCGAGATCCACGAACGGTTCGGATCCGTCATCGACGCGTGCGAGGGAGCTGTGTAATTTACTGCTGCTTTGCGGATGAAGGGCGTCGTGAAACCCCAGCAGACGCCGACAAGGAGGAAGGAAAGAATGTAGTTGAATGGTGAGGGCGTGATAGGAGGGGTTGGGGCGGTATCCGTATCCGTGGACGACATCTTGGGGTCCGTCAAGTGAAGTGATTGAGTGCAGAGAAGATAAACCAGACTGGCCGAAAGAGTCGGGTAGCTGATTATGGCGGGCGGCGAGCTTGAGGTCGCGACAGGAATATGTACAGTGCCGAGAACGTTCGAATCAAGGTTCAGGGGATGAATGTCCGGAACGGATCAAATCTGTTGCGGATTCCCGCACGCAAAGATCCATGGCGCGACACCACCAAGTCTTTCACGCGTTTGCAGTTTCTCCTTGCGCACAACACCAACTATGGTCAAATTTACACGATATGAGACCCATTTGGGGATGCTTGTTGTTTTGGGGGTTCCCCATCCGGCCCTCCTTCTAACCTGCTTGGATTGCCGATTGGGCTCTTACTGTAGTGCGCTCATGTACGGCAATGATAGGTGTCCACCCACTTCGAGGAGATGTTGGACCCTCGGTACCTCCAGAGTGCGCCTTGGTCATTTTGCCCGCGACGTTAACCCTATTGGCCGCAGGCGAGGTCTATACAACAATCCAGCCTTGCTAAGCCTCACAGTCGACCCTGGTGGGCATAGTTCACACTGTGCTTGGCGCCCAACTTCTGGTACCGCCAGGGAAAGGCTACATCCTACTTTTGAAACGGACCACTCTGGCACACTCCGTACAACTGATGCCGATGTCCTCTATGATGTGGCGCCTTTCGTGGCCCTCAAATGCTTGGTTCATCTACATAAGCGGCAGCTCCAACAAGGGTTCCCGGCTCCATCTTCCATGTATCTTTCGTCCTCTGCCTCAAGTCTTGCTTCTTATCCTTGGCTCACGATCAATCACGCACGAACACCATTTCCGAGACTCTATAGAGTACTCAAGTGTACAATAAATCACACCGGATAGCAATTATGGGCTTTTGGAACGGGAACTTGCGCAACAGTCTCCTCGACGTTACTATTGATCTGGAGGTCCTTACCACCCAGCCACGCTTTCATCAAACTAACCCATTCTGTAGTGTCCTTCTCGTTGCCATTGTGGCCGCCTATCTCCCCCAAATCGCCCGTATTGTACGCCATGGTTCTACGCAGGGTATATCTCCATACTTTGTCCTCTTCATTGTTCAATGCCATCTACAGCAACATTCAGTTGGCGCACGCCCTCCTGTTTGCAGTGGCTTCTGGGGATCAAGATGCTCCTGGTACGGAGCACAAGGTTTTCCGCTCGGAGACAAAAATCAAACCCAACGGAAAATTGAGGCATAACCTCCAAGTCTCCGAGCTAAAGCTCGGGTTAAGCAGCCTTCGCCCTCTAGGATCGAACCGTAAATGGCATTTTTGATTTTCGTTCTCGAGTAATCTAGGTAGGCTCTTTAGGCAAGATCGAAAAGCCTACATGCATCCCTCCAATGAGATAGGGCCATCTACGGAGTACGAAGTACAGCAATGCGTCAAACAAGTGCCGCCAAGCTACCTAGGTACTCGGGGCCACTCTGCGTCTGCGCTCGCTATGGTTCGCCGTGGAGGGATTCTCCACCATGTCTATAGCTTCGCCGAAGCCACTAACCCACGAAGAGGCTGGGCTGCCGTGCTCCACGCTGCCTCACTACGACCGAGGTCGAATTGATCGCACCCACGAGAACACGAAGACAGGTTTACTGCTGTTGAGGCCAAATATGAGGCTTCTATGTCACGGCACTGCTGAGATGCCTCGAAAAGACTGGACACGAGCGACACCTAACACCGCAGAGGAGCGTGATGGGTCAGCTTCTAATTTCCCAGCCTCGTCCAAAGCGAGTGGCTGGGGTCTCACTGGACGACCATGGTCTCGCCCCTCCCACCGTTATGAACCACGATCCCCGAGTACCATCTTATCTACTCCGTACTTCGTGCAAATACTCACGTAAGCTATAGTTCTAATGACCATCCTTTTCAAAGCTTGAACGGAAAGACAATCGAAGAAACGAAAAGAGCTGAACGCCTAGAGCTAGACAGCGCGAAGTCATGCCCACCATCCTCACACCACAAGGATGGGTCAAAGTCGCACCTCCTCCACCTCGCAAGAAACAACCGGTCTCCAACCCCAGGGCTGCCCTTCGAGGGCCCCTGGCATATTTGGCCTGTCAAGCACAGGCACCGACCCTCAATGTCAAGGGCGGGAACGTCAGCAAGGGAGCGAAGGCCCCCTTCCCGTACGATCTGAGCGCCAGTCCCGAGGCGTTGAAGCGACAGAGCCAGGCGAGCAGGACCGTCTCAGCACCAGTGATGCACGGTGCTCTCAGGCCCGGTGAAGACGAGATCGACACCGAGATCAGGAACGTCAGTCCATCACCGGAGTCGAAGCCAAAGTCGAAATCCAGGAATTCTCGGCACCACCACCACCACAACGATGACGATGGCCAATCAGTAGTCAGTTCGGGGTCCAATTTAAGCTCGACGTCGGGTTCCAGTTCCAGTTCGAAATCGAGCGCCAGTTCCAGGTCCAGTGCCCCGTCGGTCAAGTCGTATACGCGACATCGGCCTGTGGAGGTACGGCCTCCACCACATGCAGAGTCACAGCCACCAGCAGGTCCGAGAGATTACTTCTATCCTGCGGCGCCGAGATACGAGCACCAGCACCACTTTGCACATCCACCGGCACCGCAGGTCGTGCATGTCCCGATACCGATGGGGACGGGGGTGTCGAACGGGCGGAGTCTGTCGTATAGTTGGTATAATGCTACGACACCGCTGAATATCAAATGAATGGAGAAACAAGGGAGGACGTTTTGGCGTGTTATATTGATGTCTGCCGGTATGAGTATGGGCAATGGATTGGGATGGAGCACGGCGTTCAGGCTGTAATTTTGTTAGTGATCAAGCTGGGTGTTTGCCACGTTCAAGCATGTATTTGATAATCGATACCATTGTTATGGACTATGTATTAATACTCGTATATGCGAAGTACTGAGTAATATATGCGCCGTTGTGTTCTTCCTTCTAGAAGCCATATGGAGTATATTCCATTCAACAATGCCTTGTAATCCGTGAGGTCGTACAGAATCGACCAAGTATTCCACCCATATATTCAGCATGCGCGCCGCCGGCATGTTGCATCGAACCTCAGATATCCACCATAAGTTCAGCATGCGTGCCGCCGGCATGTTTTATCAAAAACCAGACTTCCACCCACCTGTCCTTGCCGGCCCAGTCCAGTTAACATGATTCATAAACACCTGTGCTCTTATTCGATTTCCTCCATTTGTATAGCAGGATTTTGAATGCTGGGCAGCGCGCCCGGCTCAGTCGTCCTCGACAACCACAACTCTTTCCGTCCTCTTTGATTGCCTAACCGTGCGCACTTGTCTTGTCGGCGGCGGCCGAATGAACGTTTTCTGCGTCTTCGTGACCATGACCCTCGTACCGGGATAATTCCCACCGCCCACGAACGTGAGATTCGCCTCGGGTCGGCGCGGATATGGGTCTATGACGACAACTGGAGGTTTGCGCCGCGGACGATCCGATGAAGATGACGACGAGGTGTCGCTGCCGTACCGTCGCCGGCGGCCGCCACGGAAGCCGCGCAACAAGCAGAGGAGGAGGAGGAACAGGAGGAGCAGCCCGAAGAACGCGCCGACAATGATCCCACCGACTGCGCCCGGGGAAAGGCCGTTGTTGCCATGGTTCACCGCGATGACTGCGGCGGGGCTGGTCGTGACGACGGGGATTACACTCTGGGTTGTGAGTGTTGGCGTGACAACGACGATGGGCGTAGGACACCATGAGGACGAGGACCACGTTGTGGTCGATTTCCATGCGCAGTCGCAATCCGTCGTCGTCGTGTAACTCGTGGTCCAGCCGATCTGGGTCTGTGTCGTGTAACTCGAAGCGACCCAATCGCTTGTGGTGGGTGTCCACACTGGCGTTGGACTGGCGCTGGACGTGTAGGTGAGCCATTGCCCCTCGCCGCCATCGCCAGGCTTCCTCTGTTCGATTACGGGCATTACGGAGTCGATTATTCACCTGTTTGCGTTGAGCGAGAAGACGGCATCGGGGAAGGCAGACCTTGGAACTTGGGAAGTTCGAAGCTCGAAGCTGACGCCGGGCGACCCGTTCAAGGCACATGCAATATGCATGCGAGGCATTGCGCCTGGCATGACGACGCTGGCGGGCTTCTTCCAGCCACCTTTGCCGTCCCACGAGTTCTTGCTTGGATGGGGAGGTTACTCCGTACTTTTTGTGAATAAAGCAGGCGGCTGGAAGCTGAAAGCGGAAGCTAAACCTAGTTGAAGGAGGGCAGGGGAGGGGCCTGGAGTTGGAGGGGTGGAGGGGCAAGTAATGTGGCCAATCGGCTCATAGCAGGGGCACTGGGGTCCACCTGAAGCTCCCCAGCGAGACGTGGAATACAAAAGCACAAACAGAATATTCGTGTCTCTTCGAAAACAGGTCCAGCATAAGAAACATGATGCTTGCACCATTGCAGAAGGACCTACCACAAGGCTGTGCAATGACCACAGTCCAAAAGAGGAGCTGACCTTCCCACTGCCAGTTGGTCAGGTCCCATGCTTCATGTCGTGTCACTCAGACAACCCAGACCATTCGTCGTTTGTCTTTCATGCATACTCAACAAGACCAACCACAGAGGCACTCGTCTCTGCGCGGACAACGCATGGATTTTGATGAATTTGGTGAGTCTCCGAGGTGACCTTCATTCTCAATCCTTTCAGCAGGTAGTTTCTGTCCCAGTCTGGCACCGCAGCGATGGCGCTCGAATTCCACAGGTATGTTACACTCACCCCAGCAGGCAACTCTCCTTACAATTCCACAGTTTTGCCGATGCAAAGCCATTCAAGTTCCTTGTCGGTAAGGCCGGCAAGCCCTTCTTCGTCCACGCTAAACTTGCGTCTCATCAATCGAGTACCCTGGCCACTCTGATCGATGGTGCAATGGTGGAAGCGGAGAGAGAATTTGCCGTGTTTGACGATGTGGAAGAGAAGACCTTCATCCGCTTCATGGAGTTCGCCTATACCGGCGACTACTCTGTTGCAGAACCCGTTGTGGTCCCTCACCAGCCAGACATTGACGTTGAGAATGGAGAAGACAGCAGAGGAGGTTCTGTCTCTCCGAAGATGACTGATGATCCAGACGCATACCCACCTGATGTCCTCGAAGAGGTGCAAGTTGAAGAACCCGACTTCGACTTTCCCCCGCCTCCGCGGAAGAAAGACAAGAAGAAAAGGATTACGGACCCCTGGGCCTTCAGCGGAGATGAACCGGCCGCCCCCGAACCACCGAAGAAATCAAAGGGTGAACAGCTCTGGGAATCTTTTCAAGACGAAGCCATCGTAAGAGCTCCGAGTCCCTGGAGGCCGACCACCAACTCGGACGATTCCGAGGACTACACATTGGTCTTCCTCTGCCATGCCAAACTTTACGTGTTTGCAGACAAATATAGTGTCGAACCGCTACTGAACCTCGTTCTGCAGAAGCTCCGACTCAATCTGTCAAGGTTTATCCTGCATTCGCGACGGATTGGAGATGTTGTCGAACTCTTACAGTATGCGTACGAGAATACGGCGGATTATCGGGACGGAATCGACCGATTGCGCGATATGGTGACTGATTATGTGGTCTGCCATCTGGAAAAGATTGTGGGACATAGTGACTTTGGTAAACTTCTGAAGGAGAACGGGGATGTGGCCAAGGATCTCATGCCCAAGCTGGTACGACGGCTGGACTAAGCCACAGCACTTCCCGCTCTGAACTCTCTGTACTGGTTGCGAAGACGTATGGTTTCCTGTATGTTGGACTCGTTCTGGTCATGAAGGTACCCGGGAGGCCTCTGGGTAATAAGTCAGCTTAGGTGGATGGTGTTGGCATTTGTTCTTCCCACGACAGCACTGCGATCCACCAAGATTGCCATATGGGACATTAGCTTTGGAAAGCGACTGCACTCTTTTGACGTCCTCTTGAGTAGGCTTGACCTCGTGGGATTGACTCACATCTTAGTGATGTCGGCCTTATTGTAGAGTCGACTCCCACCCGGGGTAGAAGACTTCTTGGATGCAGCACCCATTCGGGAATACCCGATGATTTGATAGGTCTCAGCAACGAGTTTGCAAAGAACATGCTAAACAGACACGACAGATTAGTCCGCCTGGATGGATCTGGCTTATCAATGCTGTCAGGCTGGATCAACATAGAATCAATTTGTTGTTGAATGTCTTCGGCCTTCTCCGCATGTCACCAGCGCCACGATCCCTCACATATTCTTCCATTACCTCGCACGAGACACTCATCGCGCCCTTCTAAGCCCTCCAAGCCCTCCGCTACGACACAGCTACACATTCTTACCCTTCCGCTGCCAGCCTAGGTGTACATCGCGCGCCTTCCAGACACCTCCACCTCGGACCTTCGTCCCGAAGCCATGGCTCCCTCACGGATATCACCAGAGCCTCCATTGGAGCCCACGCAGGGCCTCACGCCGAAACAGCTCGCCTCATTCGAGCGCAACGGCTACCTCATCATCCCAGACTACCTCTCCGCCCTAACATGCCAGAGCCTCCTCTCCAGAACGCACCAACTCCTCACTGACTTCCCTCTCGCCGACCACCCCATGACCAAATTCACGACCGGCACCGACTCCCACGGCAACAGCACCTCCAAGGAACACGTCGGGGACGACTATTTCCTCACCTCAGGCGACAAGGTCCGGTTCTTCTTCGAGGAGGACGCATTCGACGCCGAGACCGGCACGCTCAACAAACCCAAAGAACAGGCAGTCAACAAGATCGGCCACAACCTGCACGGCTTGGTGCCCGAGTTCGGCGACGTATCGCACGCCGGCGCCATCGGACGACGCAATGCCGCGATCGCGCGCGACCTCGGCTACCGCGACCCTCGCCTCCTGCAGAGCATGGTGATCTGCAAACAGCCTGAGATTGGCGGCGCGGTACCCCCGCACCAGGACTCGACGTTCCTGTACACGAACAAGCCGTCGGCCGTGGGATTTTGGATCGCCCTCGAGGACGCGACCGTGCAGAACGGATGTCTGAGTTTTGCGCCGGGGAGCCATCGCAGGGCGCCTATCAGGGAACGTTTCGTCAGGAAGGCTGATAACTCGGGAACAACGTTTGAGGCCGTGCCGGAGGAGGAGGCGCAGTGGCCGAGGGGGTTCCAGCACGAGACTGAATCACAGCCTCAGCCTCCGCATGAAGAATATACTCTCGGCGAAGTCAAGGCCGGCAGTCTGGTGCTCATCCACGGCAACATCCTGCATAAGAGCGAGAAGAACACGAGTCCCAAGGGACGGATCATCTACACATTTCACATTATCGAAGGGGAGGAGCATTACGACGGGAAGAATTGGTTACAAGTCCTTGGAGGCCCCGCCGCGTTCACAAAGCTGGACGGCATGGTCGACACACTGACATGATGCATTGGTATGGACATAGATGATACGATGATGTGATATGCTACCGTACGATAAACATACGCGCCTTCACTCACGCTTGCACCGGAGTTGGCGCTTCTATCAGCCGACAGGCCCGCGAGAGTCGACGTGCCTTTCGACAGTTCGTGCCAAAACTAGAATACAACTTCGCTGGTACAGCTGCCGAACCAGGCGCGGGTTCACCTTCGAGACGGCGCTTTCCCAATCTTCCCAGGTGGCCAAATTCGGCTCCGAGTCGTTTACCTGGAGAATAAGAGGGAGAAGAAGGAATGGAAGGAGAAGGCGAAGGAGAAATGAGCAAGCAGAAGACAGGATAACGAGGACCGTACCATGACCGTGTACCTTGAACATGGTACTGTACTCCTATCCGCATTAAAGATCGACCTTAGTAACACGGGGAGAAAACCCACTGCTGCCATCTCTACGGCCGCCATGACTTGGTACGGCGTACTGTGTACAATGTCAGCGTGCACAGTACATAGAGTACGGTTGACGACGTAGCCAGATTGCTCACAGCGGGATACGAAGTATATAGCGGGGTTAGTTTGGTGGGGTCGCCACGAGTTACTTCTTACGGCACGTGCCACAGTACGAGGTACGGAGCCAGGAGTACAACTCGACGGGACTAACGAAGAACTGTGTACCGCGTTAGACCAGGGCGGTGACGTAGCGGGACTGAAATATCCATGTCGGCTGTTGCGTCGTGGAGATGCATGGCAGCCCGACTGCCACGCACATATACCACGTACGCGCAGTGCACTTGGACTTGACCTCAACCAGTCCAGCAGGTTCTTACTCTGGTACGATCCTAGATTTCTGCACAGGGTTCAAAGCTCTTCGATCGATTCAGTCATCTGTCCAGTCCCGTTCAGTACAGTCCAGTGCAGTGCAGCCCTCGTCACGTTTCAGCGCACAAATATCGTTGGATTAGAAAGACTTGTCCGACGCACGACACGGCTTGAGTTTGGTATACAATTAATTTCAATTCGATCTGACCTGATTCGACTTGGACTTCAAGTTCCAGATCTACTTCCAGCTCCAGCTCTAGGCCGGGTTGAGATTCCCAAAATCCGACCAGCCTCACTTTCATCGGTCGAAAATGTCCAGACCACAACTCCTCTCCCGCCCGTCCAGCGCGGTGGCGCAGAAAAAGACCATCATCCTCGTGACGGGCGGCAACACGGGCATCGGCTACGAGATCGTCAAGAAACTCTCCCGCGACAGCCCCAACAACCAGATCCTCATGGCCTGCCGCGACACGCACAAGGGCGAAGACGCCGTGGCCTCAATGGGGGCCCCTCTCAACGTGAACCCGGTCCAACTGGACATCACGGACGACGAATCGATCGAGCACTGCCTGCTCGCCGTGCAGCAACACTTTGGCAAGCTGGACGTGCTGATCAACAACGCCGGAACCGCGGCGCAACATTTACCACCCGACGCGACGCTACGGGAGAAATTCGACATCTGCATGAACGTCAACGTCACTTCTACGGCGGTCTTGACGGATAAAATGGCGCCGCTGCTCGAAAAGTCGAACCTCCCAAAAGTGATCTTCATTTCCTCGACCGTGGGGTCGCTCCAGACGAACCTCAAGAACCTCACGTACGAGGGGATTTGGTACAATGCGAGCAAGACCGGCGAGAACGCGCTGGCGGTGTTTTACGCGAAGATGTACCCGAGGTGGAAAGTCAATAGTGTGTGTCCCGGGTATCGGGCCACGAAGTTGAACGGCGCAGAGTTGACCGACGAGACGGATCCGAAGCTCGGGGCCATCCGGGCTGCTGAGTTGGTCGCTGAAGGGCCGGACGGGGTGACGGGGACGTTTTCGAGGACCGACGGGCCGGTACCATGGTGACGATGGTGCTGATCGTGATGAGCATGAAGATGCGACCGGTACCGTGATGATGATCGTGATGAGCATGAAGATGACAACCGGAAATAAAGGTTTGGGTTGAGAGATTCGAAATCTGGGTCTTCACGAAAGTAGAGCCTCCCCTTCCTCAGGATCCTCCGCCGTAGCGGCGCGGGTGCGCGTGCGTGTTCGTATTGCCATATAGCTCGACAATTGAAAGCTCCAATGACAGCACATCCCCGCCACAAAACCAACGGCGTCATTCTTGAACGCGATGAGCAACCCCGCCGTCACGAGCATGACGGACCATCTTTGCTTCCTCTCTTCATCTGTGATCTCGGTGCATTCGCCTTCTTCTTTGCCCAGATCTCGCGCCCGCGGCGTGTTAAGACTCTCTCCCACACTGGCGAGCTCCAACCCAGCCGCGATGATCATGACAGACAGCAAGGCCAAAGGGAACCTGCCCAGCATGTCTGAAAGGCTTTCACCGAACAGGACCCCCAAAAGGAGCTTGAGCAGGCCGAGAGAGATGATGCTCGCGCCCGAGCGCGCGCCGAAGCGGTATTGAGCTGCCAACCCGCCGGAGCCGTGACACACGGGCATGGCGCCGAACCAGCACCCCACGAAATTCATCGCGGCCACGCTGATCCCGATGGCCGTGACTGTGGGGGTTTCAATCTCGGGGAGCAGGTCCGCGGCCAGGTGCGTGACGGCGATGATCGAGTTGAGCGTCGTCAGTGGCAGTTGGCCCACGCCGGCGTCCAGGATGCCTGTCCTCCATTCATCTGCCCTCGGCACTTGAACGTATGGCCGCCATAGACGGAATCCCGGGAACTGGCCGTGTTCGTCGTCGCCCGCCACCTGGACGATCGCGAAAGCAATCCCGACCAGGAAGACGAGCAGGGCGTACGGCGTGCGAGGCTGGACGCTGGTGGTCGCGAAAAGGACCAGAAACCCAAATATCATCCATAGATAGTTGTCCAGCCAGGACGGGGCGGTCCAGGAGAGCGACGCCAGGGCTTTCCCGCCTGCCGCCAGAATCAGGCTCAACCCGGCGCCGACCTGGATCCCTTTGACAACGGGGATGGGAATCACTCTTGTAAACCACGTCAGAAGCCCAGTGACGCTGAAGAGTAAGATGCACGTCGACACGAAGAGTCCCGCTGCCGCGGTCTGGCCCGCCGTTAGGGATTTGAGGATCGCGACGGCGGCAATGGCTTTCATCGGCTGCACCGGGAGCGGGATGCCGAATAATGCGCCGGTGAGGATATTGTAGATCCCCGTGAATATTAATGTTGTTGTCAGGGAGATTTGATGGCCTTCTGTCAAAGCGATGACGATGGGTAGGAACGTGCCTAGGTCACCGAGCGAGCCGGAGATCTCGTTCCATGGCTGCCGGCGAAAGGTTGACAGATTGTGGGCGGCGAGATGCCGGAGTCGGGACTGAATCATCTTGCTTGTACTTTGAGGATGCTTATACGCCTCTGCTCATAGCGATCCGGAGGAGAAGGAAGCGGCCGGGGGCCAAGCAGAGCAACAGGTGATACAAATAGTGGTAGTCAGCAATGTAGGGCAGATGATGTGGTCGGGCGGACGAACGCTGGATGATCGATCACCATCTCCGCGACCAATCGGCAACCAGAGAGAGCAAGTGACGAGGCTACGATAGCAACCAGCAGAAAATGGCGCAACCCAGACACAATCCAAGCTGGGCGGTGTTGAGTGCATCTCGTCTTAATTGCCAATTGGTCTGGTGTTATACACACTTGAGTCTCGAGGTCGTCCAGCACATTCTTCTATCCTACAAGCCACAAGTTGGAAGGCGAAAATGCAGTCCGTGCCCTTCGAGACTTGCCCCCTAATATACTGCACTCTGGCTCTTTCACATCACTTGCTGCTGATCATACTCCGGAAGTCGTCGTTTGACCTCTTCGTGCCTCCCTCGCCGTCCACCTTCGCGTCATCCTTGTCACGCGAGCCCGAGCCCAGCAATACCGCCGACCTCATCCCCAGATGCCCTCCCTTCCGAACTCCAGGTTGAGCAGGACGTCTAACGGGCCCACTCGCCGCCGAAGGAACACTCGGGGCTGATCGTTTATTAAATTGGTCGGTCTTCCGCTCTGGCTTCTGCTGCAACATTTCCTTCATAGTTGCAACGCGAACTCGCCGGCCAGGAGATATCTCATAGTTCTGTAATCCAATCATCGCACGACCTGCGTCCTCAGCTCTTTCGTACTCGAGAATGGCGCCTTGGTGATTGGTCTTGAGCACAATTTTGCTGACCCTTCCATACTTCTCTCCGGCACTGCGAAGCAGGCTCGCATTGACAGTGTCGGGTACGTCGCAAAGGACCACTGTCGTCTCTTTGCGCTTTTCACGATCCTCCAGACTCAAGCTCTCCTTCCCGGCTGGTGTGATAACCTCATCATCTGGGGCGATGGACACGGACTTCGAGCGGCCATTCAAGCTCCTGTCTGGCCGTTTGTCGTGCTCGGAGGTGAGACTGACGGTAAGCTTCCTGTTCTTGAATTCTTCACCATCCATGGCCAGGGCAGCCTGTGCCTGTTCTCGAGTTGCGAATGTCAAGAAAGCAATGCCGCGATTACGAGACTTCTGAGACTGGTCAAGTGGAAATTTGACGTATTCGATCGTCCCAAACCTGGAAAACACGTCCTCCACTTCCTCGCGCACGGCTTTGAAATTAATCTGCCCAACGAAGATCTGACGGTTGTCATTCGTGGGTTCTTGCCTTGCCCGCTTTTCGTTGGGTTTGGAGATCTTCGCGACGAGCGAGAGGCCGTCAATGTCCTTGCCATCGAGTGCGGTGGCCGTCTGCGCATCGCTAGGATGCTTGAACTCAACATAACAAAACCTCCGTTTCTTGTTGCGCTGGAGCGAAGGGAAACGCACACTGACAATTTCGCCGTAGGGATGGAATAGGTTGCGGATATACGCTTCATCGGCAGCGGCGGGGTAGTTGGTGACAAACAGTGTTGATCCAATGCTGAGAACGACAGAGAGCTGAACTCCTTCGAACTCGCGCCCATCTCGTGAGAGGGCAAAGTTGGCAGCGTCGGCCTCCTCAAACTCCACAATGGCGCTGTTGTCTTCATCATGCAAAAGCGTGACCTGCTTCACAATCCCACAACTGCTGAAGAACTGTCTGATTTTCATCTCAGTGACATTTGGCGGTAAGTTCCGGACCAAGACACTGGCATGTTCGCGATCCCGTTTCACTTCGTCCACCGCAGCCGCATTCTCCTCGACTGACTGTGCTGCAACTTCTTCATTACGTTGGCGTTTCGCAACCTCCTGCTCCGCAATTTCCTCGTCACGTTTGCGCTTGCCAATATGAAGACCGTTGGCAACCTCCTCCGTCCTGGTCGCAACTTCCTGTTCAGCTTGCTGTTTCTGCACAGCAACTTCTGCCGCTCGCAGTGCCTCTTGCTGTCGTTTGGCGGTGAGCTCTTTCCGTACCTTTCGGACCAGCCAGATGGCGCTTTGCAATTCTTCTGCATCCTCATAGTCCTCGCAATGGTTCAAGAGCGCTTCCATGATCGGCTCTGGATAGTCCAACTCTGGATGCTGAAGAGCTTGCTTGAGGACGCCCGCCGCGAAGGGTGCGGAAGAGAAAGTACCCAGTCGATCAGGACCAGCTCGTTGTAGCAGGGCCATTTGCATGGATTTCTGCAGTTCGAATTCGTAATATCTGAGCCAGAATTTGTAGTATTTGCCATAGTCAGCCACAGCATCGTTGAATTGAGCCCCGGCATTGTCCAGCCTTCCCTGAGATTTGAGGTACTCGACATACTTCCGCTGTAGCCGAAATGACGGGTCAAAGGCACCAGTGACTCCTAGATTGAAAGCACAGTTGTGTGCAGCTTCGATCGACGACCTGATTCCCATCTCGGCGACATCCGAGTCCTCTTCGGTAGCGTCCGGTCTTTTCGATCGTCGTAGGAGGTAGCCACACCAAGCATCATAAACCAGAAGAGCTTCCTCGATGCCGGCTGCATCCAAAAGTCCCGTACTTGTCGCCTTGTGCTTGATTTTCTCGGTTTCGTCAAATGGCTCCTCGGCGAGCTCTGAGGCCAGAAGATACTGTTTCCAGAGTGCCCCAGACCAGGGACAATGCTTGGTAGCTCGAGCCAGCGTCTCTAGTAGACCTAGCTTCGACTTTTCTACCAGATAGTCGACGTGCTCTTCCCATATGGCGAGGACGGAAGGGAAGCGCAACTCAGCACGTTGGTACAAAGCGTCGACCATGTCGAAGTGGACATTCCGGACTTCTTGTGGACGTCTGTTCTTGCTTTTCCTGTGATTCTGAGGCCTGTCCTCTTGCTCACGTTCCCACTCGATGTATTTCGCGAACGCTTGGTATTCCGCGGTTGTGTCTTTTGAGGCTTGGGCCTGTGATAGTAGCGTCTCAAAGGCATCTCTGCCCGCCCATATCTTCTTGGCATTGGCCGCCTCTCTGAGGTTCGAAGCCATGATATCTTCGTACTGATTCGGAGGTACGTTAGCTGACACAAAGCTGGAAAAAGCCTGGAACGTTTGCGGCCACTCCGCGTGTGGGACGCGGAGCCGCGCTTCGAAGAGCTCGAGAGCTGTCGTCACGTCGCCTGGTTTCAGCTTCTGGTTGAGATCGCCAAATCGAACGGTCATGTACTTGTCCCAAACTTCATGACTGCGGCTCATGTCATGACTTGTACGCTCGACAGCTTCGGTCCACGTGTCCAGCACAAGATTCCAGTCGAATACTTCACGGCCGACCAGGCGTTCAGGATCGATATCGCTTTGTGCATCGCCCATCGGGTCTAGGGCCCATTTGTGACAATGTAGCAGCCAGTCTCCGTAGGTTGTCCATAGCTGCGTGCTGCCATATTCTTCTGTCACTGCACGCCGGCAGTTATCTACCACAGCGACTCTCTCGTCGGCCGTCTGTGCAAGGATGCTCTCATCTTGAAGCCAGGTAAGCCATTGTTCCTCTCCGACCGCAAAGAGCTTGTCCAGGTTCTCTCGCGCTTGGCGAAGGTCGGGGAGCAGATCGTATGTGTGGGGATCGCGCCGGGTGTTCTGGTCTTTAGGGGGATAAATGTGGTCGATAAAGCCTTGGTGCAAGATACCGATGATTTCCTTGTGGGCTTCGTACGAAGAGGGTGATTCTTGAATGTAGGCTGCCAAAACAGCAAGTCTCTGCTGCTTCTCTACGGGAAGCGAAGTATCTGAATAATCGGCCCTCACCGTCTGCTTCGGCGTGTCGACCATGTTTATATCGATAGACGCACGCGGATTCAATGTCGCGCCGGCCGAGGTCAGATGGGGGAAGAGACCAGACGAAGATTTCTGACTGTCCGTCGATTCACGGCTAGTCAGGAGTGGAGGCGTGACCTTCGACGAAGCAAACTCTGCCAAGGCCTCGATCGAAGTAGCGGAAGAAGTGCGAGGTAGGTGGGCGGAGAGGGTGCCAGCCGGGACGGGACTGATGAGCGGTGACGGATGGGGAGACTGTTGAGACGGACTTCTCATATGTGCAGGGACACTAGAGGCAGGATGGACGGAGCGACCAAGAGGTGAGTTCACTATCGCTGACGCACCAGAATGTGATCGTTGGACATGCCGGAAGGGCGACTGGGCATGCGACTGCGACTGAGGCTGCGGCTGCACTGGTGCTGGATTCGGTGTGCTCGTTGAAGGAGTGAGAGAATGTCTGCGAGGAGTCTCCGAGGGAGAGAGGAGTGAATTGATGTCCATGGTTGCCCAAGTGCCTCGTTGTTTCTTCACGATTTGATCGGACACGAATGTTTCCCTCCAACTCTTTCAGTCCTGATGCCAGTTCCAGTCTCGACCGCGTCCATGCTCAACTCCCAGCAATAACCGGAATGTTTCCGGATAAGCCAAGTCAACCTGCGAGTAGGCAAATAATGGTCCAACGTCGATTGAGGATGTCGAGCGCAAGGTTGAAGGAGCGAGGTGGAGAGGCGCGGGCTACAGGAAGCGCACAGTACACGAACGGACGAGAAGTAATTAAAGAATGACGGAGGCGGAGAGGCCGAACGGCGAAGGGCTTCCGGGGAAAGCAAGAATAGCCTGTTTGAACAACTAGCTTTAATTCAGGATGAGGACTCCGGGCGTGAAGGCACTGTAACTGGTGACAGTTTTGCTAGGTGTAGGTCTACTCGTAGCGATTCGATTACGAGTTAGAGGCCGAGGCCGGGCTTTTCTTGGGTTCGGGTCTCGAGACAATCATGCCCTGTCGATCATCCATCCATCCACCCACCAAACGTGGTGAGCGTGGCCTGGAGGCGTCCAGGGCATCCAGGCGAGGCAGGGCATCCACGGCATCCGCGGTCCTTGTGCCGAACCAGAAGTTTGCATGTGAAGCTCGCTAAGCTCCTCCGTACCGACCCTGCCAAGCACCGCCTCATCTGGAAATCTACGAGATCCTCATCTCGAGGTGCAACTGTCGACTGCATTGACAACGGCATCAGAGCTCGACTGGGCTCAGCCCTGCAATCATGAAGTCCTACCAGGTGGCCTTGCGGCGCGCCTACACAGGCAGGTCCACCTCTCTCACTGTTGCTAAACACATGGTTAACAAAGCTTGCAGCTTGTCAATCACATTCCTCACCCTCAGCCGACCTCTCCCCATTGATATCTTCCCTCCATCTACAGCCCACAAGGACATTCCACACCTCTCGCATTCGAAATGCTCCCCCGAGTCCAGATTCAGCCTCGTCCAAGGTATCGCCAGATGCCGCACCAAAGGCTAGCCAAATGACCCCACAGGAGAGAATGAAAGCAGCACAGCGGCGCGCCCAAGAGAAGCTGAATGAGCAGCGAAAAGAATACGAAGCCACCGCCATGCAAGGCGGTCTGGCCCCCAGCAGCGCATTTGGAGGCGAGCTGAAACGAAAGTTTCACCCAGCCGGCCTGCTGGCCGAAGACGCCTTCGCCAAGCGCAATCCCAGCAACATGGACGTGGCTCTCAATCCCCGGCCCGAGGCTCGTCTGAGATGGCAGCGCAAGATGGTCATCCGCGAGATCAAGCACCGCGGCCGAATGAACAAGACGGTGCGCATCGCCAGAACCGAACGCGAACACACGTCCCGGTCGCACTTTTTCAAGACGTCGATGAAAAAGCTTGCCCCCCTTGCCCGCCAGATCGCCGGCAAGTCAATCGATGAGGCGATCCTGCAGATGAGGTTCTCGGATAAGAAGGTCTCTCAGGACGTTCGGCAGCACCTCATCCAAGCTCGCAATGAGGCCATTGTCATCAAGGGCATGGGTCTTGGGCGTGCTGGATCCGAAACAAACGCCGACTTGCACGCCGATCCGAGCGAGACGCCCCCACTCCCGCACCAGACGCCCCTGAAGACCTACAAGAAGGGCGAGGCTCCTGATCCGACGGACATCTATATAGCGCAGGCGTGGACCAATCGTGGGCCGTACGGCCAGGAACCGGATTACCGTGCTCGAGGACGGATGTACGTGATGAGACCACCGCACACAGGTCTGACGGTGCTGTTGAAGGAAGAAAAGACGCGGACCAGAGAGAAGGTCGAGAAGGAGGCGAAAGCCCTGAAGAAACGGACCGGCAAGAGCATGTGGGTACACCTGCCCGACCGACCCGTCACCACCCAGAGACAACATGTCTTGTGGTAGATGATTTCGTAGGAGTGGAACACTTCACTACCCAGACACAACACGTCTTGTGGTAGATGATTTTGTACAGGAGTGGAACGGGCTCTTAGATTATATGACCTTGTATCAAAAGCATAACATGTCGAGAGGGAAAACCTAGTGTGCCAATTTTCCCAGCTTCTCCGGCTCATACGCTCAAGCCATCACCACTCAGAGACAGCACGTCTTGTGGTAACTACATGATTCTGGATGCCCTACAGAAGTGGAACGGCTCTTGGATCATGTGAAACTTATACCAAAAGCATAACATGGCGAGAGTGACATCCAATGCGCCAAATTATCCTCCAGCTTTCCGGGCTCATAAGCGCAAGGCCACATCAAGGTGCAGTATTATCGTTTCAATCAAAAACATCGACAGCATACCGCTCGCCCCTCAGCCCATCCCACCACTTCAGTCCTTGCTCATGCGTGATGTCCTTGCCCTTTTTCTTCGAGTTCTCCACGGCAAGCCGAGCAGCGACATCGGCCACGCCTTTTCCCAACGCGCCACTGCCACAAATGTACGCCCTGGCACCACTGTCGAACAATTCGCTCACCGCACCTCGCTCCTTCCACAGCCTGTCCTGGACGTACTTGCATCCTTCGGAACGTTCTGGCTCGCGGCTGAATGCATAAAACACCTTCACGACACCATCACGGGCCCACTGATCGAGCTTGTCGCCGTGCAGTCTGTCCTTGTCGTGGTAGCGACAACCGACGAACAAGAGTGCTTCCCCAAAAGCATCACGATCCCCGGAAGCACCGAGTCGTGCGGCGCGTTCTTGGACGAAACCGAGGAAAGGCGCGAGTCCTGTGCCGGCGCAGACCATGATCATGGGTGTCTTCGTGTTCAAGGGCAGGTGGAAGCTCTTGTGAGACTTCTTGATCGTCAGCTGCACCCGTGAGCCTGGTTGAAGACCCCTGAGATAATTAGTCGCCACGCCGAGATGCTTCGGATCCGAACCGACCACCGAGTAGGTGATACTGGCTTTGGTGGGGTCGTCGAGCGGCGACGAGGAAATCGAGTACTGCCGGATTCTCATGGGTGTGAGCATCGACAGATACACGGCGAAAGGGAGCTCGATACTCGGATATTTCTCCAGAATGTCCAGGATTGACAGCCCTTGTACGTTGGGCAGAAGTTCCTTCTCGATCGAGTCATCTTTGGTATATCTGCTGAGGGTAGCAATATTCTTGCGAGTCGCGGGGTTGTTGAGTTCGACGTACGCACCGAGCACTGCTGAGACGGCGATTGCGGTTCCGGTGGGGATGGTGGTATGTGCCCCTTTCGCAAGAGTCATGAACGCATCCCACGGTAATCCGAACCGACGGAGGATCCTTGAGATCGTCTGGACGCTGTTGAGTGGCAGCAATGCGAGGTAGTCTCCCGCTTCATATGTCGTACTTGTAGGCAAGTTGAATTCGGTTTGTCGTTTCTCTGGAATGCTTGGGTCCGTCAACAGTTCGTTCTTCAGAACCAGTGCCTCCTGTACGTTGTGGCGGAGGTGAGATGCGCGGGCGCTTGTACTGATGACCATGTCCAGACCTTCAGCAACCTCATTACCATCAGGATCGACCGAAAGAGCTGGCCAGAGCTTCTCATCAACCCAGGAATCAAAGTCGTCGAAAACTTTCCCTTCTGCCACATCAGATTCCCCACGTTCCGCAATAACTTTGGCTCCTCTGGCACCAAACTCCCGGTCAATCAGCTTCGGGATCCTCTGGAAGGTGCTGACCCAGTCATGATGGCCACAACCAAAGACGGCGTACTGCGTCTCCTTGACCTTGTCCGCATCAACGATCTTGATCCAGTCCACAAAAGCTGCAGCATTGTCGGGTGCATTCCCCTCGTAGCTGGCAGTAATGATAATGACAGGTTGGTCGGCGGGGATCTGGTCTACTGCCGCATCCAAGGACTTGACGGTGGCTTTGAAGCCTCGGTTGCCGGCTGTATTGGCAAGATTCTGCGCCAGCCCTTCGCAAGTGCCAGAATTTGAGCCATAAAGGACCAGCATCGGCTTGCCGGCGTTCCCGACCTTGTTTGCCAAAGCACTCCGATCTTTCTTGTGAGCGTCTTCAACCTCAAGCCCCGCATACATCTTCCTTTCTAGAGTCACCGGGTTGATACCTTCGCGCAGTGTGGCCCGGATGAAGAAGTTGTCCGGCTTGACGGTTAACGTCTGTCGGATTTGGAGTTGATATGATGGATCATCCATTCTGATGTTGAAATTCTGAAGAATCAGGGCGATCGCCAAAATTGCCTCTTGCCAGGCAAAAGGTCTTCCAATGCACCCACGAGCTCCATTTCCAAAAGGCTGGGGCGAGTTAGACATCTACCAGTGGTCCATGTAGACATGCACTTACCTTCCACGCGTTCGGCGGCAGCCTTGTGAAGTTCTCCCCGTACATCCTCTCTGGTTTGAACTCATCCGCATCCGCACCGTAGACCATGGGGTCACGTCCTGCCTTGGAAAGCAGAACAACTATCGGAATGCCGTGTGGGATTGTGTACTTGCCAGCGAGAACCACTGGTCCAGGCACCGATGGCAGGGCTGTGACTGAGAAGCCTGGAGCGGTCGGGTTAAGCCGGAGAGTTTCCCTCATAACAGCTTCAATGTAAGGTAATTTGGACATGTGCTGGACAGTGACCGGTCCTTTCCCGACGACAGCGTCGACCTCTTGTTGAGCCTTTCGCATTGCTTCGGGATTCTTCGAAAGCTGGTAAAAGGCAAATGAGAGTAATCCGGACGTCGTCTCATGGCCTGCGATGAGAAATGTGATGATGTTATTGATGATACTCTGGTCTGTCATTTTCTCTCCAGTCTTTGGGTCCTTTCCAAAGAGCATTGCATTGAGCAGATCTTTCTTATCAGTCGGGTTGGCTCTCCGGTGGTCAACCATCTCCTGTGCCACATTTCTCATGGTCGCGATATTTTCATAGTACTCGCGCTCCGCCGTTCTGTTGAATAAGTCCCCGATCCTGGTACGCGTCGCCTTCCTGCCAGACTCGAGTAGGAAACCCACCATAGCATCGACAAAGGGGTGCATCTTTTCCGAGTAAAAGGAATTGAAGCGCTTGTCCATTACGCATAGGGCGATAGAATCTAATGTGAGTCGAGTGAAGTCATCGGCCACCGCGATCTTCTGCTCGGGGCCTGTGCGAGCCCACTTTGCAATCAACTGAGTCGCAATGTCGTACATCTCGTCGTCTGCGGCTATCAGCACTTGACCGACTCGCAGGAGAGAAGACCCTACACATGTCGTGGATCCCGATTGGGCCAAAAGCGGGTACAAGTGTTCGATGAGCAACTTCCCAGTCGTGCTCTCCGTGGTGGGCCGTGAAAAGGCCATTACCTACACCGTTTCGGACTTGGTCCAAAGCTCCAGAGACAACCTTGCAGAAGCGTTTCTCATCACACACTTCATTGAGCAGTTCAACAGAGCTGATGATGTATCTCTCTCGTCCGAAGACGTTTATCTTAAAGATTGGTCCTACCGAGCAGCGTCAGTATTGTGCAATTCAGATGAGGTTGATCGGCACACCATATTTGTTCGCCAGATGGGTGAGACTGTCATTGGCATTGTTCGGATCGACATCTAAGACATTACCGATCAAAGGTATCCCAGGAGGTGCTGGAATGGGAGTTGACATTGTGTACCAGTGTCACTTAGGAGAGGTTAACGGACAAGTGTGGGAGGCAGGAGGCAAATTGCATGGGAGGTGAGGAGAGAACAAGGGCGCTTAAGAAGCAACATGAAGGTTAAGCAATACACGATGGAAAGAAAGGATTCACGTCAACCATCAACCCAGTGACAGCCAGCTGAAGCATGCTTTGCGGTGACAGCTGCAACATGACTTGGCATATATACTCCCAGGCCAACATTGCGTGGCCTCAGCCTCCCCGAGGTCGTGCTGAATGATCGCGCATTTCGCAACAGCGAAGCGGATCGGGGGTCGACTCACGGTTGACTAGGGTGAGCTATTACCTTTACCGACCACAGATTTCGGGACTTGCCAGGCACAGGGAAACCTTGATGGGATGAGAGGAGGAGTCGTGGAACAAGTGAATTGGCAACAGAACGGAATAATATTGCACCGCCAATTGCACGTTGCCTCGGCGTGCTCGGCAGCAAGTAGAGGCATGTGCACGTTTGCGCCGATTTGCTCAAAATGCGTAGATCAAGCATTCCGAGAGCTGTGAGAAGCTTATGAGAACAGCGCGTAAGGTAAATTGTGCGAGCCTGATCAATCAAGTGCTCCGGCTAACGCCATGTTGCTAAGCAACAAGGTAATACGAGGTACGACGTTACCTAAGCTCTGGCCCAACCTGGAAATAGGTGGGAGATGGTTGTACAAAGTATCAGGGTAGGTGGCTTTGGGTGCTCGCATCTGCCCATAGCCATCGCATGGCATCGCATCGCATACTGTCCTCGGAACAGGCCAGACATGGTCCCAGCGACGTCGACTATTGCGTTGGTCATTATTCTACCTGTCCTAACTTGTCAGGAATCCGTGTATATGAGCAGACATCGATCCAGATGAAACATCAAGCGCCTGCAGTCGAACCAACAACCTGTGCCATCATGCAGACTCCGAATCAGGAAAACGCTATAGCCAAGCGATGAAGCTCTTCTAGCATCGGGTGTCTCCTCGTCAGCCGTGGTCAGGAATCAGTTCGTAGCCGCCTTCGCTTGGCAGCGTCACCGCCGCCAACGTTATCGCAATGGCACATACTGCCTCAAAGCTCCACGATATCGTACACATAGTCCAGCTCTTGTCGAGGTACCAGCCGGAGAAAAAACGCTCATCATTTTTGTACAAGTACGCCTGTCATGGTCAACCGATGTTACTAAGAGGGGAATGGAGTGTCATCTCTTACCATCAAAGCCATCCCAATGGCTTGAACAAACGCGGCCAATGCCACAAGAATCGTAAGCACACCCCAGCCTTGTTCCCTTTTCTGTTTCCCTCCGACAAGCAAAACTGCGAATGCGGCAAGCGTCATGCCCTCCAGCACGACCGCGAAGGACATGAGGAACCCGACGGACCTCCACATGCTGCAAAAGTATCGGTCGTCGCCTCGACAATCTTCATATCGAGGGAATTGTGTGCAGTGGTAGTTGGAGGTAACGGCAAGAGAAATGTTGGCCGGTGGGAGGCTCGTGTTGGAGCACCTTTGGTGGAGCCCATAGCGGTAGTGTATCGAAGTTCCGTGGTCCTGGCTAGAGTGAGAGAGGATTTTCCAGGCGCAAATATTGGCTTACCGTGCTTCCATCATATGCTATCCAATTGGGAACAATGATTGAGGCAATTGTCATGCCAGAAGCTGCGCGATCGTCAGCATAGCGCAGTTGCAGAGGTCGCAGATCGATGTACCTGCGAGGAACACAAAGAGAGCTCCGGAGAAGACGATGCTCCTTGTAAGCATCCCTGTATAATTTGTTCCGTGCCCACTGGGCACGAGTGAAAAGTCCGCCATCCTACTCAAGCCCACCACAAAACTGGTGTTTGTCCCAGCTCTTGCTACGAGTCGATACCTGGACGATAGCTGTTCTAATACGGGCTAGCGCAAATACAATGCTGCGCCGAGGTACGTGAACCCTTCGAGGAAATTGAGAGTCGCCGAAGCAAGGGAGAGGCGGGTTGTGTAGAGATAATCGGTGTGGTGTGAGTGGTGACGAGGGTCAATTGCACCGAGGCTCTTGCGATATCCGAACGCCACTCCAGCCCAAATCTGCGGTCTGGAAAGCTGCCTCCGCGAACAGCGGTCTAGGTCCTCATGTTGACTCTGTGAGATGGGAAGACGGAGAGACTGGATTTTCGATAACACCTGTGATCGCAGTGGATGTAGAGCGAATGAGAAGTGACAGGCAGCTCTTTACAAGTATCTCCACTCGATGCACGATCACGGATTTGACGCACGGCGAGCAAGCGGAAAGCTGGCGACTGGCGAGCTGGATTGAGGGGAACCCGCCAAGCCAAATGACGGAAGAAGGTTTTCCGTTCGCACGGCTGCGAGTGGAGCATGAGAGGGTACACCCGATCCATCCCGCCTCGTAGCTCTACCACAGTACGAGGTAGACAAGAGCAATGCATGCTGTTGTTCCTGGATAGGCGCCGTGTCGAAGAGCTTATGTACTTTGCCAACAACTGTAGCCGCATCACCGAGTCCGCCGCAAATTCTTAGGCGCAGCAGGCTCCCCACGCTTGGTCCACGAGTATTGCGGCTTCTATCCCCGGCCAATACAATCACTCGAAGGCACCGCTGCGTTTAGATTTCATTTCTCGCTTTCTTCTCTCTCTTGACAGTGCAATGGATGCGATGAAGCTGCGCATCATTCTTTGGCTCGGTCGGGCATTTGTCCGATGTTGCTAACGCGTGGTCAGGGGTGTATCTTATACTGGATTCATGGCAACCTGAGATACATGTCTCGAATGGCTAAGGTTTTGCATGGCCCTTCGAACAATGCGAGGCTTGAAGCACGAAGATCGAAGGAACTATCAACGAGTACGATGGCCGAAGCGGCACCTCTTTGCAAATCACGAACACGCCCTTCGCCCCGTCACGCAGCTCCAGCAGTCAGATACTCGTGGAAGTCCTCCCGCAATATGTTTGTCCCCTATCGCTGGTCAGTGTGTCACAATATCGTACACCCACATCTTTACTTACCTGCGCCATCTGCTTCGCCAGCTCATCATCTTCTTCCATCTTCTTGCAAAGAGCCCAAAAGTCATTCCTCTCGTTTTCGGCTTCGTCAAGACAAACACGACGGAAGTTCGCTCTCGACATGGGATCAATGATCTTCGTCCACTTCTCCCTCCGGACCTCGCTGTATTTGTCCAAGATGCTGTCATCGGCTTTTCCGTCCTTCATTGCGGCCAGAGCATCGAACAAGCTTCCCACGTCGGCGATACCTCCGGTCAGCCCGAGGCCTCCACTTGATATCGGTCAGCCTGGCACCATCATAGAAGGGAGGACTTACAATGGATTGCACAAGTGGGCTGCATCGGCGGCTAGTAAAAATCTTCCAACTCGGAATGAATCGGCACACCGTTGGTGAAGCTTATACGGACTGGCACTGACGAGCTTGTAGTCTCCTGGCTTAGGATTGCCCGGCAAAATCTTCTCGAACCGCGCTGGCTGGCGAGCAAGGTATTCTTCATTGGAAAGGCCCCATTCGTCACCATAGGTCACTCTCCACAGCCCGTCGTTGGTGATCCGTGCGGCCATGTACCAGTCGTTCTCGTCGATGATGAAATTTGAATCCCAGTATCCGAATTTCTTGAAATCATAGTAGACCTGAATTGTCAGCTCAGGCTTAGGGACACCGTCCAGCACACTCACATTGGTGGCGATGATCTGTTTCTGCAGCGTCTCTCCGGGGTAATTCAAGTCTCCGAAGAGCGACCGTCTGATCTGACTGTTGGCACCGTCACATCCCACGACATAATCCGCACCAAAGGTCTTCTTCCCGTCCGGAGTCTCGACGTGTACGCGCGCCTCGTTTTCGTCCTGGTCGATGGAGACGACCTTGTGCTTCCACAGGACCTCGGTGCCGGGCGCGGCAAGGAAATGCTTCAACAGAAGAACATCCAGTTGATCGAGCGGCAGACAAACCATCGGGAACTCAATGTCAAAGCGGCTTTTAATCCCCGCGATAAAGGTCGTATCGGGATGCCGCCAGCAGACAGCGTCAGGGTGAATACCGTCTCGCTTGACATCTTCCAGTACGCCTGCACGGTTCAGCTCGTACACTGCTGACGGAGCGTAATGGGCCGCTCGAGGGTTCTTGTCCAACTCATGCGATGCCTCAAGCAGTTGGACTTGGATTCCCTTCTTGGCAAGAAGGATGCCCAACAGCAGTCCTGACGGGCCGGCGCCCACTATGATGATCTGCACACGCTCGTGAGTAGACAGTCAGAGGCGGGCAAGGCGCTTGAACCCACTTTGTTGACTGGCGTCTGCTTCCCTGTCTTTGCGATCATCTTGATAAATATCTGTATACGATCAGAAGCCGACGAGCTGATACCTGGTACGGTGAAAGTGCCTTTGATATATGCTTTATGCTCCCACCGAGGCGTTTGGCCAAGTGAATCTATATAGTGGTGCCACCGGGCTAAGCGATCCTGAATCTGGCCGCAGCCCCACAGAAGACCCGAAGAACAACAACTCAGGTGATGGGAGTAAAACGGTACGAGGCCTTGGAGCGAACAGGCGCGAGCTCGTCAAAGACGCCAATTTGGTCCTTCAGGATCACTTACAGATGCTACCTAGGTACTCCAATCGCCAGAGAGATATTACGGCAATTCAAATATCGCCTGAGATCGCTTCCACAGCCCGGCCGAAAAGGTGGGGTGGTTCGTCCTCCGCCTTTCGCAGCGAGAGCCCTGGGCTGGAGCCCATCCAAGGCCAGCCAGGTTTGGCCACGGGCAGCGGGAGCAGAATGTGGGGTAAACGGGCAAAGCGGACTACGTGCAGATGCGTGCTGTCCAGGCCAGGATGTAACTGTACTCCAACTAAATAATGCACGACGCTCGGGATCAGTACTTTGTGTCCACCGCGGTCCTGCCCTCCCTCTCTATCAATGCCGCATGCTGCGGGCTCCGGACTTTGATCGAGACATCGAACGGCGCAAACCGGTGTTCTCCCCAATTGACCTGGAATGAATCGAAAGGTTTTCCCTGGGACGGCACACGGTCAGATGAAGATCGTGAAGACGTGGCGGACGGATCTCGCGAGGGGTTGAACTTACGGGCACCCCTTCAAAGTCGAAGCAGTACAACAGCCGAGCCACGACAATCCAAACGTTGGTCTCTCCGACGTTGTACCCCGAGCACACGCGGCGACCTGCCAGTATCCAGATTAGCATTCATCCTCCTTTTCCGGATCTGCAGACGGATTGGATTGCCTACCTGGTCCAAAACTCCAGTGTCCTTTGAGCACGTGGTCAAGGTCGTCGTTGAGGAACCGCTCCGGCCAGAACCGTTCGGGCTCTTCGTATTCTCGGGGGTCCATCGCAATCGCTGTCGCATTCCACGTGAACAATGTTCCGGCAGGGAATTTGTAGCCTTCGTACTCGTCGTCCTGGATGAGCTGATGAGGCACTCCGATTTCCGCGAAAGGGCGCCACCGGAATGCTTCCTTGACCGTCGCAGTAATGTAAGGCAGATCGACGCGGTCGTCGAATGTAGGCAGCCGCTCCGCATTCTTTCCACAGACCTTGTCGAGCGCTTCTCGTGCTGTAACGACCCACCGCTTGTCGAGCACCGCGGCTGCCATGACTTGGCTGATCGTCATGCGAGACGTGTCACTCCCAGCCTCCATGAGCGACCCGAGCGCAAAATACGTCTGCGTCTGCCCGTAGCTCTTGGTCTCCGGGTTTTTGAGGAATCTGGTCGCGAAACAATCTCTCGCTGTGCCGTTCTTCATCTTGAGCTCCACCTCGTCCACTTCGCGCTTGTAGAGGCTAGGTAGGAGATGTAGATCAGCTATGCATGCATACATACGTTTCGGCTCGCCCCTTTGCGTCTCACTCACCTGACCGTCTTCCGGAACATGGCCTCGCCGCGCGGTCTCCACCACTGTAACGGCCTAGGCAGCTTCTCCAGAAACGTCAACGAGTCGACCAGATTCGCCGACGGCTGGATCGCCTCGATGATGGCGTTCGACGTCTCAAATAGCTCGCGGATATTCGGGTCCTCGAGCTCCATGCGCTTGCCAAACACGACGCTCATGATGACCGAGTTGGCGAACCGCTGGGTCGCCGAGTACCACAGGTCCGGATGGTGCAGGAAGTCGTACAGCAGGTGGCGGGACTCGACGTCCTGAAAGGGCGCAAAGACGGGCATGTTCTGCTTGTTGAGGATCAGGTGCATGATGCGGCGGATCATGCGCCACCGCTCGCCGTACGGCATCAGCAGCACGCGGTTGTCGCCCGACAGGATCCCCGAGGCCATCGGCATGTAGGATCGGGATGAGTAGATGGCCGCGCGCTTCTCCATCAGGTCGTTGACCGTGCGCGACGAGTTCAGAAACACCCACGTCTTGCCCCCGATGCTGCATGTGAACCTGTGCGAGTCCGTTAGCTGATGACGGTACTCGCCCCCTGTGCTTCACAGTGCAGGACATGGAAGTCAAGCCCTTACATTTCGCCGTATTGCTTTGCCATCTGCATCGCCCATACTCCCTGCTTCAGGGGTGGGAGTTGGAATGTGTTTCCGACGATCGGTAGGCCGGGGATCCGCGGCGGGAGCTTGTATCTTCGAGCCCGGGCATATCGGTTCACTTGCCAGACGGTCAAAAGAACCACGGCCACCAGGAGTGTGACGCCCGGTAAGGGCCGTTCAGCGAAGAGGTAGAACCAGTCCACGGGATTGGCCATGATGACGTTGTTGGTGTTGATGACAATACCGCCGTCGCTATCACTGTCGATGTCCGAACTGATGTGATTTTCTCAACATCGAGCTGATCATCTGTTGGTGCTTATGAGGGTGCATATTTGAAGGGAGGTTCGTTTGCCCTCCGACCGCCCGGGAGGCCCGTGTTCCGGCCTGGCCCAGCTCGTCCATCCCTGCTCCGCACAGCCTCGTTTGTGGTGGGGTTGGTCGACATGCCCCAGAAAAGCAATTTGGAGAACGGCGCTGGTGTCGGCCATTTCCCCAATAGGGACCGGGAGCCTGGCCAGCCGAGCTGGGAAGAGCACGTATTTGGGGTGAGCCAGGGGGTTCGTGCGCTGCGAGTGCAATGTTCTGTTTATGGTTGCTTTGCTGTGCTGTGCTGCGCTGAATGATGCTGGCACTGGCGTTGGGGGAATGAATAGGTACGCGTTATGCCAGATTCTTCACCGAGATGCCCACGACATGTCATGATGCTCTAACTAAGCACGGGATTGGGCACGTTCGAAATATCATCCGCGTTCATCATACTTTGCTCATCTTAACCATTACCCAGCACGTTGCCGGTCTTTACCTGACACTCCCATTTCACTGCCATGGTCCGGACTCCACACTATGGCCACGGTCATGCCGGCAACCTCTGAGTTGGGCCGTTCGTCATCACTGACTAGCTCAAGAAATATGTCTTCATAGCTCTTGGCTCGACGGTGACCTGGAATGTCCCCCCAATCTGCGTCTGCCCAGCCATTGTGACATTGTGTTCGTTGTCCGTCAGGTATGCCGTGGCAGTGGTGGCACTGATTCCGTTGAGGTTGATTGTCACTTGGTAGGGGAAGTGAGCCGCGTTGATGACGGGAATCGCCACGGTCCCATTCGTGTTGACATACGCACTGACATAGACGTTCTCGACGTTGCTCGACGCCTCGATGCGGACCGAACCTGGTCGAGCGAAGCGGAAGTATGATGCGAACGCCCACAATCGAGCAGAAACGAAATAGCTGTCATGGTTGAGCCTGATCAATGCATTGTCGCCGGTTGTGTTTTGGGCGCACCACCAGTGCGTGTAGCCGGACGTGTCGGAGTTGACAAAGGCATTGTGCATGTACAGTGCCCACTGGAATCCCTCACTGCAAGAATCAGTCTTGCCCACAAAGGATTTGAGGTTTCTTACGCAAGCTGTCCGGTCACGTCCCAGTAGGCATTCCACATTCCAGTACCCTGGTAAGGTCAGCGAGTGTGTCCTAGTAGAAGACAGAACCTACATCAGCCCATTCGGTCATCATGTTTGGCTTCCCATTGGAGTTGAACGGGCGCTCCGGGTTGCTCTGGTAGTTGTGCCAAGTCTGGACTGATTAGCTCGACATCCCCAAGGACTTTGAAGTACCTACGGCGACGTCAAAGAGATCGGCACCTCCTGCCTGCTCCAGCTCGTAAAGGATGTTCCTTTCTTGCCGGGCACCGGTGGCATCGCAACATGCAATGCTGATGTTGGGAAAGGCTGCCTTTGCTGTTGGATACAAGACTTCGAGGAAGTCCTTGGCTTGGTAACCGTCCGACTCCATGCTGGCATACGTGATGGGATTGAAGTCCGGCTCGTTGTACGCGCCAAGCAATTGCACCTCGATGCCTTCCTGCTCGTAGAATTTCACGTACTGTACGAGGTAGTCCGCATAGGCCTGTCGCCAATCACCACTGCAGTTGCTGCTGCCTCTCACACCGCATATAAAGCCGCCGTTATCTTCAGTGCCAACTGTCTTCATGCATCCAGGAGCAGACCATGCATCGGCATACACATAGGTGTTCGGGTTATACTTGAGTGCAGTTTGGGTGAGCTGGAGTTGACAGGTGTCGTTGCCATCCCAGACGTAGTTGAATGGTCCAGCTGGCGTCGGTGGACAGACCGGCAGAATCGACGCAACATCGCCTCGAACAACACCAGGGGTTGAGCCGATATCGTTGCGAACAATGGACAGACCACCAATGTTCTCGTCGAACAGAATCTGCGTGACGATTTCCTGGTTTGCTGGAGAGAGCCCGACAGAGCCAAATTGTTGACAAGCAATTCCGAATGCACCAGAGCAGCCACCACCGATCATGGTTTGGTATTTCTGGGAAGCATCGACAGTTATCGTTGCTGAATACGTCATGTTGGTTGCATAGCTCCATGCTGAGGCGCCAGTCGCCAAGGCGACAACTAGGAGAGCCTCCATTCTGCTGATTGAGGCCGACGAGTATCATCTGGCCAAGCAATACTGCATGCAGGTACAACATAAGTACCTTTCATCTCCCCGCACGTATTGCTTAACATCCCCAGATCGTCTTTTACCCGGCACATTTTGACCAAGACATTTATCCGCCGGCGATTCCCCGATGCCGGTTATTGAACAGAAAAAGAAGGTCGTTGTAATCGAGCCTCGCATGGGTCAATTCGCGCATGGAATTAGACCAGAATCAGGTAATGATGGCAGTTTGGCATGGTCCAAAGGTCGCTGTTTCATCATTATATGCATCTGGTAGCCTGTTGCTCCGCTTGGCATTTTAGCCGATCCTCTCGTCGCCGTGGCACAAACTTGCATGGCGGCGCTGTTAGTGGTAGACCAGCAATTGCTAGCCTCAGTGTGACGTTGCTAAGTGAGTTTCGCGAACTCCGGCTATACTTGACGGTCAGGCGGTGAGATTTCCGATAGAGGCCATTCTGTGAGAGAACATGCCAGCCACAAGCGACGGAGCTTCAGCAGGCTGTACCCCGGGAGGAGGCTACTCCTTCTCTTTGTAAGTGCATGAATCCTCGCATCGCAGGTTCGTCTTTTCTGTCCGGCATTAAGGTATGGTCGTCATGCTGTAAACAGAGTGAATGTCAGAACGCTCGTCGAGTCGAGAGTGGGATAGCACAGTCACTTCCACCGTGAGCGCCGGCGATGAAAGGGTCCCCAAATGACCTCGAACAGTCAATGTACGAGTATGCTGCTGTGGTTGTCCTTGCCGACATGAGCATCATGGCTGCCGGTGGTACGAGGTAACGATGGCGTCAAAAGAGTGCACTGTTGTGGTGCACAGGCGTGACAGGCAAATACTTACTAAGTACTTACTAAACAAGATCCACTTCTGTCCATGAAAGGAAGTCTTGGCGGTACGCTGCTGCGGTGCGCTTTCCTAAAGTCAGCAATTTGAAGTGAAGGGAAAGGAAGGCACGGCTGAGCTGTAGCTAAGAGCAGGCCTCTCAGGATCTGAGGTCAATACATGCATTTAGACCATCAACAAGCGGGCCTTCACAGCTGAACTCGAGCTCAACGCATATATAATGGACGCTCTATAAGTGAGCTGCCAGCAAATCTCTATTTAACTGCCGTATCAAGCGAACTTCGTATATCTCACCTTGAATCCTCTCGCAACCGATCGTCCTCGCTTAGGCATGTGTTAACTCACCTTCAGCCGTGACTCAGCCAGAAGCCAGCTCGACAACAGTCCATTAATAATGGCCGGGTTCACATCGGTCTCTGCTGTTCTAAGCGGTGTTGAATCTCAGTTGGCGCAGGGCTAGCATTGAGCTCAGTGGCTATTTCATGATACTATAACCATGCATATCAACAACTCAGACCCAGATCAGACCCCGATCAGGTGTTGCAATGTACTAAGTATGTACTAGTACTTAGTATCGAGCGGCTCATCGCTTCAGGGTCAGACAAAGACCTGGACTGACACAGTGTCTGTTGCAGCCGACTACTAAAGCAAGAATGAAAGCAGTGGCAGTACTGTGTATTGAATGTACTTCATTTCTACCAAAAAGAGTGGGTGATACAGACGCGATACTAAGACGTACTCAATGTGCTCTACACCAAGTGAGTAGCACCTCTTGCTTGCAATCAGAACTGGCTGAAGGGTCTCACAAAAGATTGCGGTCGTCAAGTCTCTTCCACAAACACCTTACTTAAGTCCCTCAAGCCGCTGCCGTCACCTGGCACGGCACCTCCTTCAAACTCCCTGGCTCAATGTAGTCCTTGTGCCCATTTTCTCTTAACCGCAGCTTCCTCGACTCAGCATAGACAACTCTGCGCATCCGATTCGTGCTGCCCAGCGGCTGATGCACCTTCAGTCCGTGCCAGCTGTTGACGGTGATCCTATCGTCCCACCAGACTCGAAACTCCGGAAACCAGCTATCCTGCGGCTCGAATTCCAGTGTTGCAATCTGCTGGAACGGATACTTCTTCTCATCCCATTCCACGCCGATGTCTTCAACAGGCTGCTCTTCGAGGCTCTGTAACAGCTGGGCACAGAAGGAGTAAGTGACCTTGTTGTCCACGTGAAACCTGCGGAGCTCTCTTGAGATGATGTTCTTAGGGTCCTTCTCTGTGATATGAAAGTCCGCTTGCTTCTTTTGCTCCTCGCCAATGGGGAACACGCCGAACTTTGCCACATAATCACCAAACCGATATGCAGATTGCGAATATTGCGGCATGGAGACCACTGCATCCGTCAGCCGACCACATTCTATTGACCAAAGGACAGACACGGGCACTTACTGTGCTGGGGAGGGATGCTCGCCGGTCGACAGGCGACCGCGGCATCTGGTCGTTTCCTGAGCTCGTCCACAAAGCCATCCATGTTGTCCCAGTTTCGCTCGAGTGAGTCTGCGATCTCATAGGTCGTTTGAGGATCTCGAAGTTCAAGAACGGGATAGTTGTTGAATGTCCAGTCTTGAGTCTTCTTGTCTTCTCCCCAGATCTTCTCACCCTCGACGCCGAAGATCTTCATGCCGATTCCACGTGGTGCGGGGACATTATCTGGGACAAGCTTCGGCGTGAGAGAAGAGTATCGCATTATCACGTCGTACGTGGCTGGTTTTGCAAACATGCCTTGCGCCAGATGAGGAGGCAAGTTATCGTGGACGATGAACTTGCCAGCGACGCACTGTTCTCCGTCAGCAAAAGCGCAAAGGATGTGGGTGGAGGCCTCTGGACTCTCTTACGCCTTGGGTCTTCAAGTGAGTTCCGCGAAGGGCATGATGATGCTCATCGAAGTTCATCATCTGGAACCTACAGAATTGATCCGAGACCTGCTTGATCTTTTCCTGCTCGCCAGGCTGTTCTGCTTCGACCCCTGGCGCATCCCAGCGGATATAATCTGGCATGTTTGAACGAAGGAGACAACGAAAGTGCCTGGGTACTATAGTAGGTAAGTAGGTGAGTGGGCTGGACTCAGCTGACTCTGAAGCAATGAGATAATCCAGGTCAACAGAGTCAACGTCGAATGCAAATGTAGACCATCTTATATTGATGATAGGTCACCTTTCCCCGCATCTTGCAGATGACCTTCTCAGATCTCCCACCGGCTCCCGCTGAACTACAGTATGGTTCTCTGGGAGTACTCGAACCATGCGATACACAGACCCGTACTATGATGACGCAGTGTTGCGGGGAAGAGTTGATCTCGACCTCTCGCCTTCTTAGGCGCGATCTTGCGAGAACCACTGGCGGGCGGGAGCTCACCTCTAGTCAGGAACAGGTGCGGCATGATCCAATAACGTTGGGCGCATTTCGCAACGGCGGGTTCGCATTTCGACAATGACAAATACCGAATGAGGCAAAGTGGAGCGAACATTGAAGTTCCGCGGGCTCGAATCTGTATACAACCTTTTGGTGGACTGATACCTGAGCATCAAGAGGCTAGCCACAGGGAATTATTCTCCGCGCCGCAGGAGCCGGATAATGGAAGATGTTGTGCTTGTGCATAAATGGTGAGTGTTGCGCCATTTGTTTGAGAGCTGAGTATCGAATGCGATTCCCATGTAAACTCACATTGCGTGACTGAGATACGCCCTCGGGTGCGACGAGGTCCTCTTAATTGGTGACCTTTGTGTAGCTGTGTATTTCCCTGCTTCAAGCGACTGGGTTGTGACGCAGCCTCCGCATCCTAGATTGACCGACCGTGCATCATCACCAGCAATAAAACGGCAAGCATCAGCGACAGGCACAGGACCTGTTCAGGCTGCGACTGATGATGCTGGCGACAGGCACACGCTGACAAGTCGAAGGATTGGGAGGCCTCAGCGAGGATTCAGTGTTGCGCAGAGAGAGGGTTGCGACAGCGTAGCTCGGAGGTAGGAACTGGAGGTAGTAGCGACCACCAAGACGTCGGCGTGGTTAGGGATCCGGCAATTTTTAAGGAAGCGACATTACCCGCAAAGGCCAAGGGCAAGAAGAGCCAGAATGATACGTAACCAAATAGCAAGCATTGGTTCCCATCGCGCGATCGAAGAGCCTGTCTCGGGGGAAAAGTGCCGAGAGCCTCTCACTATGTAATCAGTGCAATGTGGTGTAAAGTACCTCATCTCGACATGGGGAGAGCAGCGACAGAAGGAGAAGCCGCGAAGAACTCCTATACCGCTCGATGCCAGCGTTGACGCAATGGTCTCGTACACCAACAGTGGATGCAACAAGCATGAAACTGCCACCATGATCGTGGTGATCGTTCAGCCTCACTTATGTCAGCTGGAAGCGAGCTCATGGCGCAAGGCTTAGTGCGGATGACACGATATCGGCACGTCCTGTGTCGCGCCCTTTCGTTTCCACCTACCCACCTACCCCATCAGCGCGGTAGGCAGGGTTGGCCGCGCCATGGCCATGCAGGTGGCGCACTTCAGGCGGTATGGGATTCACGTTCTGGGGTTCGTCGGTCTCACCCTGTTGCTCGTCATCCTCTATCGGGAAGTAGGTACCACCGTTCTCGGCGACTCCATACCTATCCCCTTCGAGGCGGCGACTCCACCGCAGCCACCGCCAAGTGCGACACGAACGCCTTGCGTCGGACCCAGAGGGCGGTCCGTGCAGGAGGACCGCGACGAACAAATATGGGCAGAATCCCTGGACTTGCGTACGTCCAAAGTGGTCCGCATTCCCTTGCCACTCCCTGACAGCTGATGGCCGGTAGCTTTCCCCGAGCCGGTCGGCGGTTCGCATGCAGCCCTAGGCCTTCCCACTACCTTCAACACCCCCGATACGCGATATGGCGCACACGGATACAATGAAGAGTTGGAGACTTATCCTCGCACGCGCGTCGAGTGGAGCTCTGTCAAGTGGGCGGATTTGCAGAACGAATGTCTCGAGCGGAACAAGGATCGCTTTGTCCGTACCGATAGGATCACCACCGACAGGAGGTTTACGCTGCGTGGGAGAGTCGATTCCGAGCGGCTGACGGCACGGGAAGACTCGACCGGTCGAGCGGCAATCGTGCTGAGGAGCTGGGAAGGCTACAATTACACTTCGTTGGACCGTTACCACATCCGGTCACTGATCGTGGAAGCTGGACTGCAATCAAATGCGGACATTGCGGTGTTTCTGCTGGTGGATGTGAAGGACAAGGATGGCGCAAGGCAGATCTTTCACGATTCAAAGAGCTATGATCGGGCTTTGGAGGAGTTGGTCCCCATGGAGTTTCAAGAGATTGCGGTCCTCTTCGATCTCGAGCTGCTGGAATCTTGGTATCCTGCGATAGTAGAGCATTCGGCCTTCTTCCAAGTCTACCAACCATTACAGCTGTTCGCGCAACTCTTCCCTGGCTTTGATCACTACTGGCAACTCGAGATGGATGTGAAGATCACAGGCCATGCCGGAGTATGGCTGGACGCCATGGCCCGATTCGCACGGGACCAACCCCGAAAGCAGTCTGTGGAACGGTCGTCGTACTACTACATGCCGCAAGTTCACGGTTCGTATGAAGAGTTCAGCTCGGCAGTCAACCAAAGCTTGAACGGTGGTGGTATCTGGGGGCCAGCCCGGATCGGTGACCTTCCCAGTCCCGTCGGACCTCAGCCGCCTGTTCCTGATCCTACTATGGACGACTTCGATTGGGGCGTTGGTGAAGACGCCGACTTGATCTTGACTAACGGTCTAGCGGATGTGAAAGCGACCAAGTACTGGCCATTCAAAGGCTGGGTTCACGGTTTCAAGGACGGAGAAGACACGCCTCGCTGGTACAGTCCGGTTGCCATGGGCAGATACTCGTGGAACCTGCTCAACGCGATGCATCACGCACAGGTTCATCAGGGGTTGGCTCTCTCGTCAGAAGCCACCGCCGTATCATTTGCGCTGTACCACGGGTTAAAGGTCGTGTTTCCACCTCATCCCTGGTACCACCATCCTCAGGCCGATCGGGAAGTGAGTGTCGAGGAGCTGGGGCAGTTGTTCAACGGTGGCACGCCTGCCGAGAATGCGGGAACAAACAATGGACTTGCATTCGGTAGAGCCATGTATGATCCGAATGGCGTTTACAGTCTCTTCAACGGTGGCACGTGGTGGTGGGTGCCAGGGTACCCTGGAAGGACGTTCAAGCAATGGATGAATCGCGACACAACGGATATGCCGGGTATGTTGCGGGAGTTCAACGGACAGATCTGGGCGCCGATGATGGCTTTGCATCCTGTGAAAGTGGGAGACAATGCATGATGATGCCGTGAGATCTTTTGGAAGATTTTATCTACACTCCTCCAGACATGGCAGGCGGAAATGTGACGAATGCACGACTTTGAAATCCCCGATGGTGGCAGCTTCGTCGGTCGTAGTCTCGATGCTTCTGATGCCGCAAGACTTGCTCAATGCACCATTGCACTCTGCGTTCTTTCATGATTCGACCACATAGGGCACACGCAACCGTTCACCTACTGTGTACACACCTACTCATGCGCGTCTGGATCCCAGTCGCCAATCCTGGCCTTCATACCCTCGTCCAGCTTGTCGATATCCTCGCAGTCCTTGGATTCCAATTCCCACCCAAAGATCTCCGTCGTCTGCTTGACCCTCTCTTCCTTGCTACTCTTCGTAATCGGCACGATGTGCCTATGCTGCACCATCCACCGCAAAATGACCTGCGACGGGCTCTTGCCGTACTTGTCAGCCAAGTGGGCAACAAGCTCGTCATCCATGCGCTTCCCCTGCGCCAGCGCCGAAAAGGCCGTGACCTGGATGCCCTTTGCCACACAGTACTTGACAATCTCGGCCTGCTGGCACCACGGGTGGAACTCGATCTGGTTGCACGCGGGCACGATCTTGACCCGGTCGTCCCCGGCCAGCTCCTCCAGGTGCTTCACGGACCAGTTCGACACGCCGATACTCCGCACGAGGCCCGCGTCGACGGCGTCCTGGAGGCCGAGCCACGCGTCGCGCCGTCTCTCGGGCCCGCCGCGCGGGTTATGCAGGAGGAACAAGTCCAGGTGGTCGAGTTGCATGGTGGTGAGCGATTTCTTGACGCCCTGCAAGGCGGCCTCGCGCGTGAAGTCCGGGTCCCACAGTTTGGAAGTCACGTAGAGTTGAGACCGCGGGATGCCGCTGGCGCGGATGGCCTCGCCGACTTCCGGCTCGGTGCGGTAGACGTGGGCCGTGTCGACGTGCGTGTACGAGTGACGTAGGGCCGTTAGGACCTCTTGCTTACAGTTCTGTGTGGCGGCCGTGCCGAAGGCGAGGATCGGCATGGCGTTGCCGTCGTTCAGTCGGAACGTCGAGGTCATGGACAGGGTTGCCATGGTGAGGGTACACAGTATGTTGAATGGGGAGAGCAGAGATTCAGACCAGCGGAAATGGGATGTAATGTGTGTTGAAAGTAAGTCGCTGTGTGCGACGAAGCGATGAGGGTCAACGGGCCTGTGCTTCCGCATTTTTGTCCAGCTCATTCCAACGACGCCTCGTCGTCATCCTCTCCTCGTCTCATCATTGCACCGAGCGAGTTTACAGTACTCGTACGATCGTACTCCACGCCCACAGCTACTACATACCTCGTAGTCACCGAACAGTGAGTGCCCCGCGGGCACGGGCAAACTCTGGGGTCACTCGGTGGGGCAGCGGCTTTCTCCACGCGCCATCGGTTGCATTCAGCCCTCAGTTACAGCGACAACGTCGTGCAACATAATTGTCTACCACTGCGATGTCTTCTGCTCTTCCGGCATCGAAATCTCCCCGGCTACAGTAGCTTGCTCTTCGAACGTCGTGACTAGCTCCACCTCTGCGGCTCTTGCTTTCTGTGCACCGGGTTCAGGTACTTTTTTTTTGGATTGGATCAAGACAATCTCATTTCGCAACCATGTATGCGTCGTTTGTCTAACAATGTGAGAACGGTGCTCGTCCCTTGACCATGTACTTGGTTATTTGTCCCTTCATGATCAATTCGCTCGGATCTGGCCTGCGTGTGGGATTGAGCTACGACTTTAATCCCCTTCTTGAGCTTGTCAAGTCGGGTATGCGTACGCACCGTGTGAGAATCCGCGCCGGCACCACGTGGCTTTCCTTCACTTCGCCTTTCCTCTAGTGGTCCAGTGGCTGGCCCATCGGGGACGTGTATACTCCGTGACTGATCCGTACGAGGAGAGGAGGAAGGAGAGATATGCCGCGCGTGCTCTGTATGCTCAGCGTGGATATCAACTATATAGCCTTTGGATGCGTCGCAGATGGACCCACAGAGGCAGGTACAGGAATGTCTCCGGTTACAGCCATGGCAATCCATAAAACCCACGGAGTCCTGTAACTGCGGAGTACAAGACATTGGAAGGAACCGGCAATGCTGACCATCTGCATGTTTCTGGCTTAGAGAATCGAGAATATAGCGGTCGAAATACAGTGCTTGCAGGAGATGTCTCATTATCTTGCTGTGCGATACGGACACCAATCCCAACCTCTAAGTTGATGCTGACCCAGTGCCCAAGATCCGTCATCTCGACATTGGCCTCTTCCGCCTAGACGCCGTGATCTACCTACCCGGTATCGAGCAGCCGGACCCTACGTACTGTACCGTGCTGTACGCCATATAAATAGGTAGCCCCAGTCTACAACTTGGCTTTCCGCGGCCTCTGTGCCTCGGCACTGTACAGTTCATCGAGGATACTCCTATATTTCTTCGCGGCATTCGGCCTCTTCAGCTTCAACGTCGGGGTCAACAACTCGTTCTCGATGGTAAAAGGGTCGATCATCAACTTGAAGCTCCGCACGCGTTCGTACCCCGCGAACTTCATCTTGCGTCCGCATTTGTCCAGGTCTTTCAGGACGGCTTCTTTGACTTGAGGATCCTCGCATGCAGCCTTCAAGGCCGGAATGTCCGTGGCCGAGATTGGGCGCAAGAGCATCTTTGACGCAAAGGGTGCGAAGACGTCGGGCTGGATGCCAAAGATGGCCACCAGCGAAGTCTGCGACGAGTCGCCGTGCACAAAGCCCTGTGCTAGATAAGAGCAACTCGAGAGGTAGACGCCTTCAATTCGCTCGGGGGAAATGTACTCGCCCTGTGCCAATTTCAGGACGTTCTTACGACGGTCGATGATGCGGAAGCGCCCCATTTCATCCACACTGCAGATATCACCGGTTCTAAACCAGCCGTCGTCGGTGAATGCCTTTGCCGTCTCTTCGGGATTCTTGTAGTAGCCCGTAAACACGGATCCGCCACGCAGTAAAAGTTCGCCTCTAGCATGTGGTTTATCTTCGACGGTGTATTCCATGTCAGGGACGGAGATGAGGCAGGCTTCTGAGCAGGGGACAACGGCACCGCAATTGCCCACGGAGAAGTCATTGCCGGGTTGTGTCAGGGCAATCGCGTACGTCTCTGTAAGACCATAGCCCTGGAAGACACGTGTGGCCAGAGCGACGCGCAGAAATTGCTGCAATGAAGGGTCCAAAGGCGCAGAACCAGAGACGACTGAAGTCGCTCTGTCGAGACCGAGTGCAGCGGCGACTTTGCGAGACCAGATGCGGTCGTAGACAGCGTGACTGTACGTCGGTGTTGCGTTTGACTTCGGAGGAGGATTCAACCTCGCCATCTTTGTGCGCACAATGTGTCTGCCCAACGCGCCTTTGACGCCCGGCTGCTCGACGGTGTTTGCCTTGACTGCTCCGCCAAAGCGATTCAAAAGTCTCGGTACAGAGGCAAACATGGTAGGTCGAAGCAGTTTGATGTCATCGACAAGCTCGAGGATGTTGCCGTGGAAATAACCTATCCGAAAACCGCCCCATAGAGCAGAGTGTTCGAGCAGGCGGCCGTAGATGTGAGCCAGGGGCATGTAACTGATTGCCACCCCATTCTCCGTGATATTGTTGGAGGCGAGACTTGCAGACGTGGCTGCCACGCACATTGCGTGAGTGAGGAGGACGCCTTTCGGAGGACCAGTTGTCCCAGAGGTATAATTGATGGTGATGGGGTCTGATGGCTTGGGCGGTTTGTTCGGCTTTCCCAGGGATGCTCCCAGCTTCTCGACGGCGTCGAGTGAGTATATCTTGAGACCAACATCGGCAGCCATGTTGTCGAGAAGAGCCTGCTTGGAAAGCTCAGGTCTTTCATTCTGTCCAGGCTCTAGAGGATCTAGCACGACGAGGAACTTCAGGTTTGGCAAACGGGCCTTCAGCCGGATGAGCGTGGGGACGTGTGGCAGTGAGCAGACGACCGAGGCCAGATCCGCGTGCTTGATGATGTACTCTGACGTGTCTGGGCCCAACGTCTCGTAGAGAGAGACCGAATACAGCGACTGGGACATGCAGGCCAGATCGGTCAATTGCCATTCCGGTCTATTCTGACACCATAATCCGACGCCGTAGTTTGAGCCGTTGACACCTTCTCTTGCATGCAGTTCGACCAAGCCCGCGCCAAGATCAGACCTCCTCTTGCGAACAGTCTCGTAGTCTAACCATTCGTACGGACCGTATGCTTGCTGAGCGGAGTCGTAGGGACGATACCCGAGACAAGGGGCATGGGGAAACCGCTGCGCGGCAAACTCAAACATTTCGTGGGCTGTCGTGATCGACGGATCGACGGTCTCGAGAAGGCCATCGCGACACTTGTGATGCCGGTACACAGGAGTGCGGCTCGGTTTCTCAGAGCTGGGAAGGGTGATGGAATATGGCTGGCCCTTTGGGGGCGCCTGGAAATATTCACTGGCCGTTTGCAGGTAAAGCGGCTTGGAAGAGAGAAGCGGCATGATGACCACCGAGAGGCACACAGACGATGAATAGAATGCTGGGCCGAGCGCGAGGGGAGGAACGAAAGGCGAGGAGGGTGGAAGAAGTGGTGCGCGCACGAAGAGACGACGACCTGATGTTAACTCACAGGCATGCGGAGGTATGCCAGTCCTCACGGAGGATGCCTCATCTGTGCTTCGGCACTAGGCAGCTTATGCGGATGCACTGGAGCTTTGGAAATCCTGTCTCGGAGATCAGTGGACGAAAGGCTGTTATCTGGCTCAGTTTGCTGTCTCTGTGCCGGGACATGTTTGCGAAAACAGCTCAATGGCCGGAGCCGCCGCATCATCATGTGCCCACGCGACATGCTTGAAACTGACATGCGAACTGACATTGGCCCCTGCAAACACCTAGGTGACACCCGTTGAAAGTGGCTTCTACATCATGCCTCGGCATCCCCGAATAGCCAGAGATTTACCAGGTGGGCTTCCTCCGAGCTGATGCACCAGCTGCTCTACCACGGTTGTCAGTTTGAGCACCTTGGAGGTCTACAGACATGTAGAAGCTGGAAACTAGTAGAGCTACACAGTGCGATGCGAGGTGAAGAGCCTGAAGTCGGGAAACATTCAAAACACCATCTTCAAGAATGCTGCATGCATCACCGCGGAAGGGAGTGGAAAGCATGTGAAATTCTGCAAGCGAGCCAAACCCTAAGATCACCGATTGGCGAATTAGCAGAAATTTCCCGGGCCTGGCATCTACGAGTAGTTTATGACTTAATCCTCCCTCTCGGCCACAATCGATCTTGGATGCCCACGGCAAACCCTTGGTAAATACTCTGCTCGGATGTCACCTTCTTTTCGACCTGTTCTCGTCTCCAGAATTGCATGGTCCTAGAGATGCGGCCCTGTATCCACAGATTCATCAGGATTCATTCCGATATCACAGCGTTCGATCAAAGACAAAGGGAACTTGAGACAGATGATCTAGAGGTCAGGTGGCCCCACTGAGACTCCCTTTAGAACTCGGCTCCTTGCCGGCTGTCGCATTGTCCTTGTTTGCCTCAGCATCAGGCTGGGCTGCTTCACTCGCGGTGAAGCTTTGGTCAAAGTCGTGGATGATGTCGTCAATATGCTCGATACCAACGCTGATCCTAATCATGTCTGGTGTCACGCCCGAGTCGATGCGTTCTTGTTCACTCAGTTGTTCATGCGTCGTTGTCCATGGGTGAATTGCGAGGGTCTTCGCGTCTCCCACACTAGCAGCACATCAGCATCAGAACAATCCTCGTGATTTGCAAGCTCTTACTTTGCCAGATTCGAGACGAGCTTGAAGCCGTCCACGACTTGCGAGCCTGCATCAGCGCCACCTTTGATCCCAAAGCTCAAAACGCCGCTGCGAATCTGTGTCAGTCGATTCAATGCCGCCAACCGGACGTGAAAATGAAAAACGCAGCCATTGCAAACAGGACTGGAACTTACCCGAACCCGCGAGGGAGGTACCTCTTCGCCAGCTGGTGGTGGGGATGGCTCTCCAATCCGGGATACGACACCCACGCAACGTTCTTATGTCCTTCTAGCCATTTGGCCAATTTCAGAGCATTCTCGGCAATACGCTCACACCGCAAACTCAGTGTCTCAAGACCCAGGATGAACTGCTGGGCATTAAAGGGTGACATGCAGGAGCCCAGATCACGCAATATCTCAACTCGAACCCGGATAATGAATGCCAAAGGCCCGAATGTGTCGTGGAACTTCAGGCCATGATATCCAGGTGCAGGTTCGTTGAATTGAGGGAATCGCTTCGCGTGTTTCGCCCAGTCAAATTTGCCCGAGTCAACGATAATGCCACCGATGGATGTGCCATGCCCACCGATCCACTTAGTCGTACTATGGACGAGAATGTGAGCGCCGTGCTTGATAGGCTGGGCATAGTAGCCTCCAGCTCCAAACGTGTTGTCAACAACCAATGGGACGCCCTTGGCTTCACAGACTTTAGCGATGGTCTCAAAGTCAGGGACGTTGTACCGTGGGTTGCCAATTGTTTCCACATAGACCGCCTTGGTCTTGTCATCAATGGCCGCCTCGAAGTCTTCCGGCTTTTCCGAGGTGAGAAACTTGGTGTGGATGCCCAGTCGAGGGAACATGACCTTGAACTGATTGTAAGTGCCTCCGTACAGGTTGGACGTCGAGACAATATTGTCACCAGCATGCGCCAGTGCGGCGATGGTCATGAACTGCGCAGATTGACCGGAGGAAGCCGCGACGGCGGCCATGCCCCCCTCGAGGGCCGCAATCCTCTTTTCGAGCACATCGACCGTGGGGTTCATGATCCGGCTGTAGATGTTTCCAAACTCTTTGAGGCCGAACAGCCTAGCTCCATGTGCCGAATCATTGAAGGTGAAGGAAGTGGACTGGTAGATTGGGACAGCGCGAGCTTTGGTGGTGGGATCGGGTGCTTGACCAGCATGGACCTGAAGGGTCTCAAACTTTTGGACCCAGTCGTCGGAAGACATCTTGGTGGATCTTGCTCAAGTCGTGCAGAAAAAAGGCGGTGCTCAGAGGTAGGCGATTCTGGGGAAAGAAGAGCGGGTGATGTTCAGCGTACACGAAGACCGGTCTGGTGGACCAGGCACCACGAAGAAACTCTTGCTTCCTCGGGTATCTGTGCTATTGGAGCTGCTCGCCGACTTTCGGAGTGTCTCTCTTGCTTTTTGAACTTCCACAAAGGCGAATACAGGAACTCAACTTGTAAGGACGAGCTCCTACAAAATCTCGTGCGGGAAGGGACGATCGAGGAGGGGTACCTCGCTTTCTCACCTCAGTTTGTGGGCTATATCATCCTTGAGCTTTCCCCGCATCAGGGGACGCGGTTCTAAAATTGCGTGATCAGTTGCCCGTCCCACGCAACCATCAACAGCAACCTCGCATTCGGTGACTGGAAGCTAAGGTTGCAGGGACATGACTCGAAGATATCAATATCTTCTCCCACAATCACGACAGGGACCTGCAGGGCATCCCAAGTGCTCACATCATATGTCGGCAACCACAAGAAGCTGCCGAAGAAACGTGGGGGGAAGTAGCTCAAACTCGTGTGCAAGAGGGATCTTCCGGTGAGCTGGACACCACCCTCAAGGGCAAGAGTCTTTGTAAGTGAACGAGCAGACTAGACCGGACTCGAAAGCTCTGCCAAGGTCTGCTTACGACGGTCTTTTGGGAAGCCGGGAGAAACGTTGCTGTGATGGTTTGAGCGAGAAATAAGGTACAGTAGGTTTTGCTTGCTGGCAGTGGTGATATCCGAGGCTGAAAGCGGCTATGTGATTGGTCATTGGGTGCAAATGTCTTCGGCTCCGATTCACCGGACGAGACGGAGTAGGATGTCGGTTACATAAGCCGTACGAGCCCGAAGAACGACACCAAGAATCAATGACGACTATTTGAAATGGTCACCGTCTCAGCTCTTCTCGCAGCATCCCCGCGGAGGACGAGTGCGCGAGATTGAAGGACTTTGGCTCAGAGCAATGGTTCTGCGGCTGACACAAAATGCAGCCTTGAGTCGTATGATCCTGTTGCGAGGAAGGAAGCCAGCCTTTCTCGAGTTCCGCTCCTCCAAAATCTTCATCGTCTTCGCGGTGTGCTGGTCTGTCTTCACAGTAAGCACTCCCTGACAGTGGTGGGCTGCCCCTCGTTTACCATATCGCAGGACGTCTTTTTGTATGGCGTTGTCGTGCCCGTCATCCCTTTCGCCCTCCAGGATCGCGTCCACATCTCCCACGGCGACACTCAACATTGGGTCTCGGTTCTGCTCTCGGTATATGCAGCTGGTCTCCTCTTTTTCGCCCCAATATGTGGTGTTCTAGCGGACTGGACCAGTCATCGGCGAGGGCCATTCCTGGCTGGGCTTGTCCTCCTCTCAGGCTCAACTCTCATGCTTTGTTTTGGAAAGACGATCCCAGTCTTGGTGGTAGGCAGACTGTTGCAAGGTATCTCAGCGGCCGTGGTCTGGGTGGTCGCCTTGGCTCTCATGGCGGATACCGTCAGTGAGGCGGAGTCGGGGCAGGCCATTGGTTATGTCAGCCTTGCAATGTCCATGGGAGTCCTGGTGTCGCCGTTGATTGGTGGTGTTGTATACGAGAGATCGGGATACTACGCTGTGTTTGGCGTCACATTTGGCGTGATCGGCTTCGACATCCTATTACGACTGGCCTTAATCGAGAAGAAGATTGCGGCGAGGTGGCTGGAACCAGAGTCTACAACGGTCGACTCACCTTCGGCGGCACCGATACCAGCTGAAGTTGAACTCGAGGAACGGAACGAGTCCACCGCTGTCATGGAGAAGAACACGGCCAACGCAACTGCTGAGCCTCAGAACATGCAACACAAACGAAAGCTCCCGTCTATTTTGATTCTCCTCAAGTCCCGCCGTATCCTGGTGGCATTCTGGGGAAACCTCGTGGGTGCCATGACTTTTACAGCAGTCGACACGACGCTCCCGTTGTATGTCAATCAGATATTCGGCTGGAATTCCCTGGGCGCTGGGCTCGTCTTCCTCGCTCTGGTCGCACCTGGCTTTGCAGGCCCATGGATCGGGCACCTGACTGACAAGTACGGACCGCGCTGGATTGCAGCCTCGGGCCTGCTCATGTCGGTACCATTCTGGGTGCTGCTCCGGTTGGTCGACCACGACACTATCGGCCAGGCAGTGTTGCTTTGCGCGCTCTTGGTGCTCCTCGGGGCGGCCACTTGTCTTCTACTGACTCCCTTGATGGCAGAATTCAGCAAGGTGTGCGACGCAAAGGTGAGGCAGGAACCCGACGTCTTCCGCGGAAAGTCGGCCTACGCCCAGAGCTACGGGATTTTCAACGTTTCGTGGGCTGGAGGAAGTCTTCTCGGGCCGCTGGTGTCTGCTGCGGTCAAGAACGCTGCGGGCTGGAAGACCATGACATGGACGATGGCGTTGTGGTGCGCCGTAGGCATCTTACCTACCGTCTTGTATTCCGGGGGCATGATCACAAAGACCAAGAGACCCACGAGTATGGGGCGAGTGCAGGCCGAGGAGAACGTTTGACTGCGCTGTCTACGTTAGTGAGTTAGATGTAATTGAGAGCAAGAACGCGGTCCACGCCGTTGGTTGTCACGATGTGCCACATGCGGGCTATTACTGTGGTAGTGATCTCAAAGACATGTTTTCTCCGAGCCAATCGATCGTGCTGATCTCACACTTGATTTCTCCGATCCAATCAACCATGTTGACGCGCCTGCTTGTGAAACGCGCTGCTGCAAGTCTCGCCAGTTCCAGTTCTCCAGTTTCAGCCTTGACTTCCTTTCCTTCTCTCGCCCGTTCGAGCCCGTTTCATCTTGTTCTAATTACTTCTTCCCGATCCTTCCTCTGTGCATTGTCAAACATGTCCAGGTGGTCTCACCTTTGCACTGGTCGCGGCCGGCCACAGGTCATCCACGCATGTAATCGTCTTTGATCAGATGTCAAACACGGGCAATCAATCTTGCTGTGCGTCCGAACGCGAACCCTTGCTTTCCGATGTCACTCTCGTTTGCGCGAAGCGACGAACGTCCGCTGTGACTTATAACACCCCGACTGCTTTATGAGTACCTGCTTGTCTGTCTTGCCTGGTGTCTGTAGACCTACTTACAGTTCCTGAAATAATCTATTTTCTATTTCGACACCCGCGCTGGTCAGCGAGTCGTCACTGTATTAATTAGTCCGCTACACCAGGATACAGAGTGCAGTCCATATTACACACGGCGAGGAAGGGACATTATCGTTGCTCTTCCATTTCCTGTTACCTCACTTCTTGCGGCCGACGACATCATCCCTTTCAATTTCAGTCTGATCTGTTTGTTTTCATCCTCTCTTGCAAGGACCACGTCTTCTTCCATCCATCACAACAAAACCACGGTCACCAGTACTACTGGCCAACTCTTTCGACCGCTTCAACCGATAGAGCAATCCAGGGCAGTGCATGCCCGGCCAGATCTCCCGTCAAAATGTTCGTCGACCCAATGCTGACGGTCCGCGCCCTCCAAGGCGTTCTGGCCTTGATCGCCATGGCGCTCGGAGCGACAGGTAATTAACGTCCCTTTTCCGCCCTCTTTTCCAAATTCCCCTTACTAATGCAACATAATCAGTCGCAAACGTCCTCAACACCCACCTACCACTCAACATCGACGTCCCCCCCGGCGTGGTCTTCTACATCTTCGTCGCGGTCTTCACGCTGCTCATCGCGGTGCCCTACACGATCCTCACGCCCCGCTACTTCCCGGTCCTCGCTCACCCGTTCGCCATGCTCGTCGCCGAAACGACCACCTGCATCTTCTGGCTCGCCAGCTTTGCCGCCGTGGCGGATCGGATCCGGAAGGCCGACCTCTGCGACGGGGATGGCACGTGCGCGTCCGCCACGGGGAGTATCGTGGTTGGTGTTTTCGAGTTGTGAGTGGATTACCAGCCAGTGAAATGGGTATTCTTGCGGCCCTCCTGACAGTGTTTAGCATTCTCTTCGGGATAACTAGCTTCTTCGCCTTTTCGCATCTCTTCCTGGGAGGCAGATACGGCCTTAAGAAGGCTGTAAGCAGTGGCAAGCCAGTTCAGATCCATCGAGCTTGGACCGGAGCCGAGCGGGTTTGAGGGTGAGAGTGCCGATCGAAGCCTGGGTGAGGGATGAGACGAGCCCAATTCCGCCTGAAGAAGAGGGTCGATCAGATAGATTGGCACAGCATTTCAGCCAAAATGCATGCCGCAAACCACGTGCTGCCGACGGCGGCTGCAAAACGTCTCGTCCCCGTTCTACTACTCGTGGCGATCTGTCACTCGCCCCGGACCTTGACGTGTGCACATCCCTCTCCAGAGACCGTATATTTCTTGCCCCTTCCTGCCCGTCACTCTGGTAGGGGCTTCCATCTATAATGGTCTTCACAGCTATTCTCCATTTGACACAGCTGCTCAAGAGGACACTATCCAGTAGATCTCGACTGCACAACGACAATCTGTCTTGTACCTTTACCTCCCCAAGCCTCCAAGTTTACGTTCCGCAGCGAGCACCAGCGCCGTTCGACGACCACGGCGTCGAAATCGATATTCTGGCACTGTTTCTACATCGAGTTCCATTGGCCTCGCTTTGTAAATGGCCGTCCGCCTGCGCTAGTCATGGCGGTCCAGCTCGACTGCGTCGGGCGCTCCACGGACCACATCAGAACGGGAAACCCTCTCGACATGGCCACGTGGCTCAAAGACCAAAACGCGGTTGTCTGACAGTCGGTATGCGACGCCGGTGCCGATGCTCGCTTGTTCTTGTACCTCCCTGACTCTCCTTGCCGACGCCCGCGGCCCTCAGTCTGCGAGACCTCACTGGCCCTCTTGCTGCTCGGCGAGCATTGCAGCTCTTGCTTGTAGCAGTTCGGGGTCTTCAATGACAGCTGGCGGAGGTGCGGTTGCTGTTTCGTTCGAGTCGTAGTACCCAATTTACCCGCCTCAGCACCCACATCGATCTGAAGACCACCACAATCTGTGACGTAGAGGCCTTTTCTTACTGATTAATGCACCACTCTTAGAACCCGTCACAGTCATGGCCACGAACATGGTCATCGGTCCTCAGTCACCCATCGAAGGCGTCTCCGACTCCCGCTGGGCCGTCGCGATCACCCAAACGCGAAAGTGGCGCAATCTGCGAGGCTCCCCTCCTGTGCCTTCGATTCCGAAACGCCGCAGCCCGCCAGCACACCTCCCACTCATCCCCCAGCCTGTCCAACCAGAAGAACTTGCGCATCAAGTCCTCGGTATCCGCCCAGCACCTCGCCTCCGGCAGCCGGGCGGCCAACTTGTCGAGCACGACGTGCCGTTCGGGCGACGCGTCGATCTGTGTGTCCCACGCGCTGGCCACCACCACGGCACACCAGTACAGGCACCGCTGGAGCCATGGCGGGCGCGGCAGCTCTGTGGTTTCGTTGAACGCTTCAAGCAGGGGCCGGAGTGGTCGCGCCAAGGGGATGTGGAAGGAAGTTTCGTTGTATAGGTGGAGACAGAAGGCGAGGAGGGCACGGACCATTTGCGCCTCCGGCGGCGTTAGTGGTAGGGCTGAAAGACATTGGAGGTCGTAGATTGCGCGTTGTATCGTCATGTCGGGGCGATGTGGTGCTGACGCGGCGCTGTCGTTCGTTGCTGGTGGTGGTGGTGGTGCTGTTGATTGAGATCCGGCATCCTCCCCGGTCGCGATCCAGGATATTAGCTCCGTCAATTTGACGAGAAAGCTAATAATCTCGACGGCCACGCCGCGACTTAGTGCCATTTCCGCGAACCCTTCGGGCAGTCGGGCGATCACGGCGCACAGGTGCGGCGAGAACGGGTGGCCCGGGTACGTGAGCGTGCTGATGCGGTGGCCCTTCTCATTGATCCGGCTGGCGTAGCTAGGCTGGTGGGTTTGGAGGAACGGGGCCATGACGCCAAATCTGGAGGCGCGTTAGAGATGCGACCCTTTTATCACTGAGACCCCGGGGTACCTGCGCCAATGCTCTGCCTCGGACGAAGTTTCGGACATCACCATCGCCGATGGTCGTGGCTAGCGTGCTCTCCAGTGCGCGAAGATGAACTTCGAACGACTCTACGTCGTTGATCATGTACTGCGGTGATGAGAAAGGGATTAGTCCAGTGATTTCAACGGCGCAGCGCAGCGCAGAGGGTTGGGCTGGGCTGGGCTGGGCCAGGACGAGTTGAATCTTACATTCAGCGTCAGAAATGTCGACATAGTCAGCAGGACGAGGTCCTGGCTGGGAGGACGTGGCGCCACGAGCGCATCTCTTAGCTCCTTCATGGCCAGGCCGCGATGTCGAAGAAGCATCTTGTCGGCGAATGGCTGGGTGCCTCTTCTGAGCACCCACGCCGCCCTGGTCATGGCAATGGTTGCCTCAAAGAGCATTGGACTCTGAAACGCCGACGGAAGGATCAGCGCTAGAAGCGCGTTACGTCCATTCTGGACGCTGAAAGCCTGTGCCTGCTGGGGCGCCCATATTTGGGTATCTGCCGATCCGCAATGTAGGTTAGGCCGAGTTGGTGGCGCCAGGTTTTTGAGACGGCACAAACTCACAGTAATCTGCCATAAAACGAACTCCCTTTGTGACCCTCGCGACTGGATATCGCGTGAAGGGATCAACTCGATAGCCTGCCGCGACGGTGAGCAGCGGAGACGGACACCTGCTGTTCTCCGAGTCATCATCCGTATCAGGGTCTTCGTTCGAATTGTTACGCGAAAAGTGGCGCGTATGTCGCCGGGTGAGCTCTTCTCGTGGGCTGTTCATGGTTCGTGAATCCGAAGGTCCCCATCACCGTGCGGCGGCGGATGTCTTGACACTTGTGAGTCGGTCCTTGGTTACTCACTCAAGTGGTCAGGATACATGGTGGGTATAACACGACGATGGCGACGACGGACGTACACCAAAGATGGGAGAATGCGTCGATTCCAAAGAAGGATACGCATAGGCGCAGCCACATGGTCAAGCATGCAAGGTTCCACTCCTTCTAGGGACCCCGGAGTCCGTGTCCCAAAGACCAAGGACCAAGAACCAAGGACCAAGATCCTCATGGGGCGCCCCGTGGCCTGTCATCGACATGTGTTGGTTCAGTCCACTGCAAGCCACGAGGCTCCCGATGGTTCGGAATTTGTCAACGATGGCGTCAGAGCCTTTTCGAGCGCTGCAAAACAGCAGGTTTAGGCTTGTCTGCGCCCGCCCAGAGCGCTCACACATGCAAGCTTGGTAAGCAGCAGTTTAAGCCGACCTGCACTGTCCACTAAAACTCAAAGTCGTGGGAGGACGACAACATCCGATACTGTCAGGGCATCGATAGACTGCTCCCAGGACTGGCCGATCGCGGCCACAGATTAGCGCTGGCGCCCGTTTTGGGATATGTGTCTGCGATCGCAGTATCGCGTGTAGTAATTAGTAGAAACTCGGAGGAAAGCTCAGACTTTCCATGTATTTCCGGCCGTATGGTTGATCGACATTGACATGCTTTTGCTGCATGCCTTTGCTGCATTAGGAAAAGGCCGAAGAATAAGGAAGTCACTAAATACTCAAACGGGAGAACAGAAGGCACCCATTCACCGAGCGAGGCTGCCACCGATCGACAAAGCTCGTGAGTAATCAGATAGGCGAACTTCTGGCGTCATGCCTTCCTTCTGGTGTCAAGGTAGAGTGGGCGATTGATCGCGCGTGGCAAGTCAGCGGCCAAGTGCGAGGACATCACTGCTCTGCCATGCGAGGTATGACGACGAGGAATCTTCACTTGGAAGTTAAAAACTTGAGCAACAGGAGCCATGTGACGCAAGCGATGGAAAATTCGATCCCGAATATACGAGTACCAATGATGCGGAAATAACATGGCGTTCTATAATCGACGACCAGACCTCACTTTGCCTCGGGTCAGGGCTTATTCCACGCTAGTTACACAGAAACGGCTCACTTTATTATCTCGATAACTCAGTGTGAACATGTGGCGATCCTCAGCCGTTGTAATAGAGGAAAAGTTGCTCACGACGCTCTCCTCCGGCATTCAATACACTAGCCACTTTCTCTCAGGGAAGCCAACCGGGGATAGAACATGATCTGGGATGGATTCAGAGCTGGAAAGCCTGAGTGAAGGAAGCTCTTTGAATGGAACCAAACAGCCTTTTGAGCCGCCAGCTATTGTATTGTGTAGTAGTCGATTAGGCCAAATTCCGTCGCTTTCTTCGCACCAAACGGGCAAAATTCGAGAAATGTAAGGGCGGCTGTACAAGATTCCTGGTCGTCTCCAAGCTGCATCCAAGTGACTGGTTCGCGCCCACCAACTGCTGGCCGGCAAGAGCAGCCGCTAATAGCATCACGACTGTTACCAGCACCACATATTTCTCCATATCTCCGTGCCAGGCCCCGCTACGGCGGACTCAAGAACGGAAGGTCAAATAATCCGCAGCCTATTCCAGCAGATGGTCAGCAGAAGCTCGAGTACATCCATTCAACGACAACTTCACCGGACGGAGAAGATATTATGCCTTCCGTGCCCTTGTGATACAAAAACAGAACGTTGCTTACCTTGTCGATATTGTAGTCGAACTTCTCCAGTGCTGCGAGACTCTCTTCTCTCGTCCAACCCATCGCAGTCAATCTCTTGAGAATCGGATCGTCGTGCTCAGTGCCTGTACTAAGGGCACGACCCGGCTGCGGACGCTGCGGCTTCGGTTGCAGCGAGGCTGCTGGCGGTGATGCAGCTGCGGGTACAGCGGAAGCGGGAGCCCGGGCGGGCGTCGGATTGTCCGATGTTATCTGTGGCGGCGAGGGTGAAGGCACTTCTGCGGCTTGCGTCTGGATTTGAGGAAAGTCCGATACTGGTTGCGAAGGAGCATTGTTGTTCAATGGTGCGAAGAGTGCATCCCAGTCATGGTTGGCAGGCGGTGTGGGCTGTTGCGCTTGTTGAGGGGGATGGGGCGCGGTCACGGCCGAATAGAAGTCGTCAGGAGCTGACTTTGGCGCCCCATTAGTGACAGGCCCAGGTGTTGGAAATTGCTGATGGGTAGGACGCGGAGGTGAGTCAAATGTTGGGTCGAAATCGGCCGTGCCGTTCTTGGGCCGACTGAAAACAGACCCTTCATCCTCGTCGTCATCGTCATCTTCGATAGGTGCCGCTCCTACTCCTGAAAACGCAGAATCAAAATCAAATGGCGCGGCTTTGGTCGGCGGTGGTGCGTCGGCATTGTGATCTGACGGACTCCTTGGATGAGCTTCGGGCCCGTAAGCCGGCGGATTCCCACTCGGTGGCGATACAGGGTCAGTGGAGCCACCAGCTGTAGGAGGTGGTGAAGTAGGATCCTCCCGCTCCGGCAGCAGTCCCTTGAATTCTGGAGGGAAATGTGTAGGATTGTCATTAGAGACAGAATCACCATACGTAGGTGGTGACTGTTGCGAATCTGGACCTGGCAACGAGCTTGCTGTCGACGCAGGCCCACCGAGAGGCGGACGAGGAGCCAAGGAATTGTTAGATGGAGGGATTTCGGGCTGCTTCCCTGCTTTGGCATCTGTTGGGCTATCTCGTGGCGGTGATCTCGCGTTGAAATCGTCGTCAAACTTCATAGGCGTCTCATCCTCGCTGTAGTCGCTGCTCTCGTCGTCGTCTCCGCCAAGTTCCTGAATGGCTGGAAATTCGTCGGCGCCACCAGATTTGGGGTAACCAATGCCGGCAAAGGCAGAATCGAAATCAGCAGCTTTCTGTGATGCCGAACGTTGATGGGCAGGTCCACCAAAGAAATCATCGAAGTTTTGCTCTGGGCTCTTGGAGGTGCTCGAAGGCTGTGTATTGCTTGGTCTGTCGCCATTTGTGGTGGTGGCGGAAACCCCTTCCGCAGCAGTTGTGGCAGGCCCAGTCCCGGTGGCGGTGAAGAGCGGATCCGCCCCTGGGGTCTGTGTTCGTGAATCGGGGAAGGCGCCAGGGATTTCTCCAGTGTCTTCAGCGGAAGGTTTGCCAAAGGTATCTTCAACGGAAGCTTCACCAGCGAAGGGCTGAGGCAATGTCCGTCGCACAGACTCTTGTTCCTCATCTGGCGCTGCGGCTGTGAACGGATCTTCTTCCGGGTCCTTATGATCTGCTGGACTGGCAGTTGACGCCGTGGGGGTCAATGCCTGCGGAGTGTCATTGGGGCTCACTCGACTGGTTGGTCCTGCCACTTTGACGGACGAACTGACCGAATCCTCCCTCTCGAGAGGTCTGCGAAAAGGGAGTGCAGCAGAACTAATTTGTCGGGACTGAGGTGGAGCGGGGGGCTCAAGATCTCTAGGCGTGGACGAGACATCCGGAGACTCGATCCGAGGAGGACTTTGGTGTGCTGGAGGTGGTGACGCTTGGCTCGAGAATGAGGTAGCTGGTGCGGGCGCTGCGGCGGTAGCAAATGAAGGGCCAAAGATACTGTCAAAAGCACTCTGGCTGTCCTTTGGTTCGGTTTCCGCAATGGGAGGCGAAAATGTCGTGTCTGTGTTTTTTCTGAAAAATGGATTCGAGTTTGTCGATGGTGCTGGGCTTGCAACAGGAGGGCTTTGAATAGTCGGAACAGGGATGTTACGGGCCTCCTCCAACTCCTTCCTCGACGCCTCCAGTTGCCGGGCCGATTCTTCCGCCTCGCGCAGAGCATCTTCAACTTCCTTCTGGGCGGCAGCTATTTCAGCTTTGATTCTGTCTCGCTCGGCTTCGTTAGTAGCCAACTGCTTTTTGTTGATGGCGACTAAACCTTTTTGTTGCCTCGCGTCGGACTTCAGCTTCTCCAGCTGCGGTTTTAGCTGTTCAATCTCTTGGTTCATCTGTCGTATGCGCTCCTTGAGCGAAGCGTTCTCTCGTTGATCTGACTCTAAAGCAGCGCGAAGTTGTTGGTGTTGTGTTGATAGGTCTTGGTGTGTACCGTCGATCATGGCCGCATCCGCCTGGAGTCTTTTGACTTCATTCTTCGAGGTGGTCAACTGTTCCCTAAGCGCCTTGACTTCTTGGACCTCCTTCTCATACAATGATCTGAGTTGGGCCAAGCGGCCTTCGAAGGCCTTCTTTTGCGCCGTTGTACTGTTCAATTCTTGCTCGGTCGTCTTCCTTTCCCCATGTAATTCTGTCATTTGCTTGGACAGACTGCTGACTTGGTTGGACAGGTTTCCCAGCTCGCTAACCTCGTTCGTAATTCTCGAATTGACCACTGGATCTGCGTCGCCGAGAAGATCTTCGGCTGGCGCTTGGACCTGCGGCGCAGGAGATCCTGTCGGTTGAGGAATAATACCACGGCCGAACGAGCTAGTGGGCACAAACGGTTTGAAGTTTGTAGAAGTCATCTGTGGCGTAAGTACACCTGGAGGATTAGCGAAAGGTCCAGCATCGGTCCCGCCAGTAGATTGGGGGATTTGAGGGGACGCAGCTGCGGCAGCGACTGGCGGTGGACCAAACGCGTCGAGACCGAACAAGTCATCAGCAGCGGAACGTGGCTTTGTCGGAGCTGCATTTTCGAACGCTGGCGCAGTCGGCTGAGGCGGCGCAATCTGCTGTCGCCGCATACTGGGAGGAACAAGGGCTGGAGGCAGAGTAGACGGCAAGATACCACGTCCGTCCTTAGTGCCACGTTGTTGCCGGATCAAGTACATGGCTACTGCGAACTCGTCCCTGTTCAGTTGGCCCTCCGAGTTGATGTCGGCCAGGTCCCAAATCTGCGCGAGAATCTCTTCGGGGAGCCTAGCATTACCAAAAAACTCGACTGCTTGCTCGCCAGTAATAAATCCCCTCCCTTGGCGGTCGACTGTAGCAAAGATGGAGTCGAAGCGAGCTTTATCGGCCGGACTGATAGCCCATGGTTCTCCCGTTGACTGCGCAGACAACGGAAGCGGCGTACCTACTTGTGGCGCTCTCGTAATCGGGCTTTGCGGCCGCGCATTGTAGACTGCAGGGATGGCCCCGGAGCCTGGACGCGACCCGCTACCTACACGAGCAGGTGGTCGTCGCGCTGCGGCTTCGAAGAGACCTGGAGGAAGTGTGCTGGGGACTCCGCGCATTTGACCAGACTTGTAAGATGCCAGCAGATGCATGGCAATCACAAACTCGGTGACGTCCAAGGCCCCCCGACCTTGAGTATCTGAGAGACCCCATATTCTGCCCAACACTTCATTTGGCAGTCTTGCTCTTTCGAATATCTGCTTAGCAACTAAGCCTGACAACAAGCCGTTCTCAGCGCCCGACTTTTCGAACAGGGATGAATACTCCGCAATTTTCTCCGGGCTCAGTGCCGGTACACGAATAGGAGGAGCACCCGTAGGAGGCGGGCTCGAGGGAGGTTGACCGGTCGATTGCTGGGCTACGGGTTGTGGTGCCGGTTGCGATGGTGGTTCAGGTTTAGCGACATCAAATCGAGGTAGGGGCGCAACTGTAGAAATGGTTAACCGACTGCGTGAACATCATGCCAATGACACATACCCTGCGTTGCAACTTGCACAGAAGGTGAACGGCCATTTTGCGCGTGGCCGATGAGCCGCAAAACTACGCCGAAGCCTGCCGGCGTGAGGAAGCCTCGGTTTTCTGTGTCGGCGATCTGCCAGATCTGTAGACAGTAAACAATAGCACAGACGACTACAACGAGCGGCTGACCTGTCCTAGCACATCCGGTGGAAGCTTGGTGCGCTCGAAGAATTTGACCGCGACGTCTCCAGAAACAGCTCCAAAGCCATCAGGGTCTGCCTCTTTCAGGAGTTGCCCATAGACTCGTCTCTCTTCGGCCGTGAGGTTGAGATTCGGATGACCTGGGAACATTTCTGTCAGCACCCTAGCTGAAGGCGAAATCCGCCAAATGGGATTGGCGTACCTGAAGCCGCTGTTCCTATCGTCTCCGCCATGACTAGGAGTTTATGGTGTTGTAGTGAGGACCGAGTGAGCTCTAGAGGCCGCGCATCGACGGCATTGGCAAACAGAAGACCAAGTCAAGAAGATTCACGAATGACGCTCAACTACTGCTCTCCTAGGCGCGACTTGGCGGAAATTATTAGCAACAATGCAGGTAGAGGAAATGCCTGGAAGTCATCCGAGAGTGAGGTGGAAGCAGATGGAGATGAGTGATGTTGGTGGATCGCGATGACGAACGAGGAAGCCGCCCCGGGATCAGCCCGAGTCGGGGAGCTCCCAAGCTCCAGTACCACCACCCCCGAGCTCAAATAGGTCAAAAGCGGACACCAGAGAGATGTCCCGGCACCTGGAAAGCATGGCACTGAGCCTTTTGATGCCGCATCAAATGACTATGTAGCACACTTCTTGTCGTGGATGACAATGGATCGCTCGCATTAATTATGCACTGCTAATGAACCATATTCATCAGGTTGGTCTCACAGCGAGCCACCTGAACACATTTAAACTCCTCCTGCCCCTAACATTCATGCATGACCTGCTTGCACGCTGACTGGCTCGGCATTCACGATTTCTGAAGACAGCAAGAGCACACCATCTAGTGCTCAAGCTCACCCTCGTCGCCTTCTTCAACAGAGTCACTGGCCACCTCTTCGTAGTCTCTCTCCAACGCGGCCAGGTCTTCGCGAGCTTCGGAGAACTCGCCTTCCTCCATACCCTCACCGACATACCAATGGACAAATGCACGCTTCGAGTACATCAGGTCGAACTTGTGGGAGAGAGCAGACCATGCCTCAGCAATAGCAGTCGTGTTTGAAAGCATACAACTATCACATGTTAGGAAGACGACCACAAGGAAGCTCCGATAGAACTTACACAGCACGATTGACCTTAGCAAGATCGCCATTTGGCACCATTTGAGGTGGCTGGTAGCAGATTCCGATCTTGAAGCCCGTCGGGCACCAATCGACAAACTGGATGGTGCGCTTCGTCTTGAGCGTGGCAACGGCCTGGTGAACGTCATTGGGGACAACATCACCGCGATATAGCAGGCAGGTAGCCATGTATTTGCCGTTGCGCGGATCACACTTAACCATCTGGTTGTTTGGTTCAAAGCATGACATGGAGATCTCTTGGACGGAGTTGGCCTCATGTTGTGCCTTGGCCGCTGAGATGACTGGGGCGTAGGCGACAAGGGGGAAGTGGATACGAGGGTACGGAACCAGATTGGTCTGGAACTCCGCAAGGTCGACATTGAGAGAACCATCGAATCGAAGAGAGGCAGTGATGGACGACACAACTAGTTCTGGTCAGCTACTTAGAAAGTCAATCAGCACCGGGTACAGACCTTGGGCAATGAGTCGGTTCAGGTTCTCGTAGTTGGGTCTCTCAATCCCAAGATTGCGTCTGCAGATATCGTAGATAGCTTCATTGTCGACCATGAAACTGCAATCAGAATGTTCCAATGTGGTGTGTGTGGTGAGGATGGAATTGTATGGCTCAACAACCGAGGTAGCAACTTGCGGCGCTGGGTACACGCAGAACTCGAGTTTGCATTTCTTGCCGTAGTCGACTGAAAGGCGTTCCATCAACAAGGCACCAAAGCCCGAGCCGGTACCGCCGCCGAATGAGTGGAAGACGAGGAAGCCTTGGAGACCACTACAGTTGTCTGCAACCCTTCGGACCTTGTCAAGCACTTGATCAATCAGCTCCTTGCCGACGGTGTAGTGTCCACGTGCGTAGTTGTTGGATGCATCCTCTTTGCCAGTGATCATTTGTTCAGGATGGAAGAGACTGCGGTAGGCGCCCGTTCGAACTTCGTCGACGACATTGGGCTCGAGATCGGCGTAGATTGTGCGGGGGACATATTTGCCATTGCCTGTCCATAAAGATCAGTGACATGTCAACAGAAGTCGATGATAAAAGCCTACCAGTCTCGGAGAAGAAAGTACTGAACCCTTGGTCAGGGTCGGCGGCTTTGCGCTCCTCGGTGAGGTAACCATCTGGCTGGTAACGATCAGATTCTGGTCGAACCGGCGAAAATGGTGATTGCGTACCTGGATGCCATGCTCGAGACAGTACAACTCCCAGCATGAGTTGGCAATTTGACAGCCAGCCTGGCCAACTGTGCGGCGGATGCGGTTAGCTTTTTGTCACGATTTCTCTGAACAGGGGCACCAAGGGACGGTCAAGGACGCGTGTCTGGACGCGGGCATACCGTTCAAGCTGATGACTTCTCTCATTGTAACGGCCGCGGTGGAAGAGACAACAGGATAAGGGGACAGGGTACTACAGGTGGAAGACCAAGAGCAACGACCTCGAGCACGAACAGAGGCTCAATTGTTGATTGATTGATGGTGGTTGTGATTGTGGGGTTCAACTTTCTGAGCCTAATTTGTTGACAGCCGCGCTCATCCCTTGTCACTTCACACCGCCAGTCGCTGCAACGGCGTCTGTCCAGCAGCCAATCACAAAATCCCCGGCATGGCGCGTCGTCCATTATCGCTCTGCTCCACCGTACCGGAATGTTCGCTCTTAAACGCGGTTCCTCCAGTTTCGTCATGCTTGAGTGGTTGTTCCCTTTCACCTTGGTTCACGTCAATGGCTAACCTGCACCTCTTGTTGTGGGCCTGGCTTATACACAGTGCCTTCGCCAATGTCGAGAAAACAATCTTCGTCGCTCCGGCGGCCGAGCCTCCTCCACAAGATGCAAGCATCGACAGTTTACTTCTGACTCGGCTCTCCGAGCAACATCCTTTGGCCAGGACTTTCCTCAATGCCAGCTTTCCTACAGCAGACTCTCCGAAAGGGGTTGAGACTTGGTTTCTCCTCGAAGGACTTCGCCCTCAGAGGCGATACGAGGTTCGCATCTGCTGGCTAGCAACAGTATGTCGCCCTGATCCGCAATAGGACCATTGTTGACTCTCACAGCAACCCACATCATTTTGGCTGTATACCCAGACTGTGCAGAAGGCCTTTGAGACACCAGAACTTCTCACATCATTGTCTGCATACTCATATGCGCGCCGTGGGCAACTCGGCGCCAGGGAGAAGCAGTCCCTTCAGCTTCGTAAAGCGGACTCCGTTGCTCGCGACTCAACTTTCCTTTTTCTTCAGGTCTTTGCAGCCGCAGACTATTTCAGCCTCAACGAGACTTTGATGGCGATGGTTCCACCGATAGCCGTCGACGTCATTCTTGACCCATATATCCTCAACGTCTTCCCGAAATCGTTGTTGCCGACTGGGCTTTATCTTCTGCTGATCGCAACAGGGGCATGGTTCCTATCCGGTTGGATTTCGCACCTACTGTCCGTAACCCCTCTTGCTGGACCAGCGGAGGAGACGAAGAAGGGCAAGTAGACGCGTTTATGTTCTAATCATGAACGGGTCTTGCAGCTGATCGAATTCCGTCATTAATGAGAAGAGCGGAAATTCTTCAGCATAGGATGGCAGACTCGGGATTCCGGAGCCATCCGGCGAGAGGTAACCAGTATCTGGCATCTGTCCTAAGTCCGTCCGTGGCAGAGGCGGGATCTGCTCAGCAGAATCCTCACCCGCGTAAGCCAGAGCACCAGAGGTGGTTAGAACAGGGCCTCGACCTTCAAGCGGCATATCAAACCGTAATTGCCATGGCGGCGCAGCATCTCCAGCATCCGCCATATCGAACAGGGCATTGCCAACTTTTCCGTTCTGGGTGGCGTCGGAGGCGAGGGCTTGATCCGGGGTATGTGATCCTGTGCTGGGTCTCGTGGACGTACCGCTGTTGGCCTTGTTGATTGGGTCGCCAAAGATATTATGGATGTCCTGCCTCCGCTTTTGCATCTGTATATGGTCTCGCCTATTGATGTGCTCCAACGCTGCGAGACGGAGATAACTGGTTATCTCATAATGTCGACGCGCAGATAGGTCATCCTTGGCCATGATGGTCAAGATGGCTTCCGCCTGAGCCATGCTGCTGAGCAGCGGGAACGACTTGTCGAAGTCACCAAAAATGGCAAATCCGATTACCATCGCCGAGATGAACGTGCTGTTGGTGATCATGAACAGTCTCTTCGGCACACCAATCGTGTGAACGATATCAGTTGCAATCTCGATACTTCTGAGAGCTGCGTCAATGCATGCTTCGCTCAACGTCATGGTCACCGAGTTTCCGGCGCTGTCCTCGTCTTCCGAACGGCCCTTGATCTTGGAGGACACCTTGAAGATGAGGAACGGTCTGGTCAACAGTATAATAGACCAGTAATATGCTCCCTTCAGATGCGCAATTCCAATGGTTTGTCTCAGAGAGGGAGCGGTGGACCCCTCTTTAGAGTCAAGGCTGTCAGCCTGCAGACCTGCAGGCAGTTGCATAGTCCAGTCGCGATACTGGCGAGAAATGCTCTCCACAAGCTGGACAGACACCTCTCGTCGACAATAGACCTCGTTCAGTATCCGTTCGAAGATGAAACATATTCTCAGCGTGGCTGAAGTGGTTCGGCCATTCATCTGGATATCTTCATAGTCTCTGCTGGATCGATTCCATGAGACACTTCCGCCATCGACTTCGGACGTGGCTGGAGGCCGACCAAGTGAACCGCTCATGTACAGATCAAGCACGCGCAGACTCTTCCATACTCTTTCTCGCGCGGCCCGTTCCCTCGGCTCGAATAAGTTCGATATGTCGCTCCTGTGCAGACCCAGGGCATACGCCGCACGAACAGCAATCCCCAGTAGCATGAAGGCGCCGTTTCGTCTCACTGCCGACAGCATGTAGAACGTGATGAGCGTGTAAGCCTGAATCGTCAGAACGCTTGGGTCTTCCAGGAAACTCGATACTCCAATCTCGCGACCACGCAGGAAGTAGAACTCCGCTTGGTCCAGATCACCTGAAGTCCTCGCCAAGGCGCCGATGGCCATTACCAAGTAGTAGATGGAGCTGTTGAAGTCTGTCTCTGCTGTGGAATCACGGGACCATGAGAGCAGGTGGTCGGTGATATCATCCGGGTCGAACAGATCAATCACCCCACTCGATGCCAACAGGTAGTGCTTGATGAGGTCTTGAGCCTCGGCGACGCTGGGCTTCGGGTGCTGGGACTGTGCGGGCGTTGGCACCTTGTGAGGTGGAATAACTTCACACATGGCATGACGGAGAGGATCTGAAGTCAACGGGCATTCTCCTATTTCCGCCTTGACCAAGCGGCGGATATTCTGCACGAACGCGAGATTGCTCGAGTCTCCGACAAAGATGAACTTGCCGCGACCATCGCGAAGCAGTCGGGCCAGCTTTGGCACCGGTGCCTTTGAAATCACATCGTCGAGGTCTCTGTCATACTGGGGAGTCTTTGCCGCGCTCCTCGAACCGGACAGAGTCAGAAGCGACTCAATGGCGATTTCCGCGTCATTAGATTCGTTCAGGGCATCCTTCAATGTAATGGGTTGCGATGAAGGGGTGTTGATGCTGGTCTGTCGATGTGACGCGCCTTTGGGAAAGGCGTCGCTGAAGACGCATTCCGGTTCCCTACCACGGCGCTTGCACAGGAGACAAGGCTGTTGACCGTCACATCTGAGTCATCGTCAGCACGTACAGTCGCAATGACCAAGCAAGGCCCGACTGAAGACATACTTCTCCTTTCTTCGCTTGCAGGTGTCGCAAGCCCGCGCTACTCGTTTGCGGTCTTCGTCTTTGACACGTGGACGAGGCATAACATCACTTGGATCCTCACGTCGTCAATGCTGCAGTCCCGCGACGCGGGCATGCATACACTCAGGGATCGCTTTCCGGGTGTTGGGTGGGCAAGTGGGTAGAGGACAGTCGGATATGGCACCTCGTGGAGTTGGAAACCTGAGGTTCGATGGTCAGCTGGAAATCGTCGGATGCGGGCAGGAAAACTTGTGGGGGCCAAAGAGAGCCTAGAAGTGGCGCCTAAGCGGCCGAGCACCGACGCTAAACCCACTAAATTTTTGCGGGGAACCAGTGAGCCAATTACGGAGTCGTCAATTCGACCACGACTAGCACAACTGGAAGTCGGCCGAGTTTTCGAGGGCGGAGATCCCGAGGAGGGCCTCGGACACTCTCATCAGCACCGTAACCCTGACCCTACTGTGTACACAACACAGAAATTGGCACATCGCATGCGTGCGAAGTATACGGCTCGAGATAAAACACTTTCAATATACAGATACGGCGACATGCACCGACATGTTCAGCTTGTAAAGGCTCTCAAAATCCTCGACCCATGCCGGTGGTCACCAGCCCTTCGCCCGACTCGCCTTGAGATGTCAAAGGAGCCATATGGATGTCGTACTTTAGTTGGTTCTTTGCCTTGTCGTCACCATCCCGGGGCAGGAACTCGACAACAAGGGAATCCTTGACGGCAAAGACAGAGTCATTATCAAGATATTTACTGCTCTTGTCGAAAATCTGAGTCGTGATGGGCTTGTATCCTTCAGCCAGCACCTGTTCGCCGGTTAGCTTCCATCTTTCGAGCAATGAGATAGGTACCTACGATGAGATGGATATGCGCTGGCCGGTAAGGATGTCTATCCAACAATTGCAGGAGTTTTCCTGCGGGTCCGTCATAGGGGATAGGATATGGTGTTGGCCGCAGGCAATAAAAGGCGTATTCCCCGTTCTCGTCAGTGTAGTATTTGCCGCACAGGTTGGATTTGGGCTGTTCCGCGTCTTGTTGCTCATACAACCCTGCAAGGCGTGTCAGTTGAGTTGCATTTTGAGGTGATTACCTGCCTTACCATTTGTAGAAGCCTCCCAAATATCAATAGAGGCGTTGGCAATAGGCTTCTTTGAGGTCGCGTCCACTACTTGACCATGAACGTATGCCACCTGAGCATCCTCTGGCAGCTTCTCTATCACACTTTCGCCCTTCTTGCGGACCTTGTGGTCTGTCTGGAAGAAAGGACCAAGAATGGCGCTCTGTGTAGCCAAGTCCGTAGCTTCGGATGCTTTCTTGTATGTGATCTCGTCGACGAGTCTGCCGTGGTCAGCACCAATACTCCCACGACAAGGAAACGACGTACGTCTCCAAGCCAACGATATCGCAGACCAACTGGCCTTCATTCCTCCTCTCGTTGCTCATCTGGCCGGCCCAGTTCAGCAACGCAACACCTTCGGTCCACTCGTCCACCGTCAACTCCACTTCGCGGGCAAAGTCATGGAGATGTCTGGTCAGGCTGGTCATGACTTCCCTCATGCGAGGCGATGTCTTGGGCCCCATAGCATTGATGACATTTTGAGTGAAGTTGGGGTCGAAGCGCGAAGCGCCGGTCTTCACGTCGCCGTTCGCTGCCATCCTGAATAAGAGACTTCAAGTATAGCGCAGATGAAAAGTCACGTCACAGATACGACAGGCCCAGTTGGAAGAGGGAGCAATAGATGATAGAAGTGTGTGAAGTGAGTGTATACGGTCCATGAGGGTAGGGTTCTCCGCGCATTCAAATACGATTGGCAATGGCTGTCACCTGTTTCGCGGAGTCCATCATCGGATGCAGACCGAGCAACTCTGGAGGCCACGGCCCTGCTCACCGTGTGAGCTGCATTACGGTGTCGAGCACTAAGGTACTGTGCACTGATTAATTGCGTAAACAGGCCGCCCGCGCATCCCACTAATACCCCGCCTCGACGCCCTGCATCGGATCCCGTGCCCGCCTGAACTGACGAGATCCAACTCTCCAAACCCGCCTAAGCAGCGATTCCCAAAGGCAGATTAGCTTGAGCGCGCCGTTTCAACTGTGTCAACGGCTTCGCTTCAACCTTGTTGCTCGTGTCGGCTGCCACCTTCGGGACGTGCACTCTTTCCCGGTTCCATCAATCACATCTGAATTTATCGGAAGTGCTGGTAATTCCTCACGACACTCTTTTATTCGTGGCCTGATGGTTCCGTTCTCTATGACGCCCTAACAGTTGTACGAGCATTATCAAGCAGGGCGGAACCATTGCGATGATCCAGGTTGCCTTGAAGAGTCAGCCGTCACGATACCACTCAACTGCGGTCGGAAAATTCAATTTCTGTAGGGCTCATCAGCGGACACCGTGTACCAGGGAGATAGGGCCCGATACGTTCTGCTGGGCCTGATTCCTGGCTGACAAAACTCACCTTCTCCCATGGCCCTGTATTTTGGTCACTGTGTGCAGTTAATCGTGGCCTTGGGGATTGTCGCCGGCCCATCCGACTGAAGTCTCTGACCAAGATGGGACGAATGATCGGTGCTTACGAGGCTGTGCTACTCCGCAAAGGTAACATTCCTGCAAGGAACGTCGGTGGTGACTGCTCTCCGTCCTGAAGGCCACCTGTCGGTGCCTTAGAACGAAATCCTGCAGCTCTGCAACCACCCACACCGAGATCAAGTTGCGAAACCAAAGTGAGTTGAAACCGAGCCATTGAGCTAACAGAAACCGTCATGCATCGGAGGAACGTCCACATTTTTCTGCAACTCCATCCTTCAGCCCGCCAACTGCCAGCCGAAATCGACGACAGGGCCATGCGCCTACCCATTGACTTCGTGGCACCAATCTCATGTCGGACACGCTCGACGCTGTGCTACCGACCGAGTGCTCTCGGTTGCCTCTCTGTTTCATTCGCGCCGAGCTATTCTCATCCACAAGCCGTCCGCCGAACAGGTTGCACATTCGCTTGATCTTGCTCACTTGTGATGCCCTCCCAGCCAGCTAAGATGAACCGGCGACCTCGTGCCCCTGTCGGCTTGACTTGGTTTGGTTCCTTCAATGTTCTTGTAGTCGACAGCGACGCACCGAATTCAAGCAGCTTCGATACGGACCCCTTATATGATGCCTTCGAAAGACTTATCGCCACCGAGTTACTCGGCCTCGGCACGAAGCGCGCCGCGATCTAGGTCGTCCTTCCAGCCTCCTAGGCCCACGAAGCAATACTCGCCCTCGTCAAGTGCTTCGCCAACCTCTCCGCCTCAACCACCGCCACCATGTTCGTCTCCTCCTCCACGACCACCCCGACCGAAGACGTCCTTGCCGAATATGCGGCCCACAGTCATTCTGTCGCCGCTGGCTATCCCGGGGCCTTGCATCTTTCGATTGCCGACCCCCAACCGCTCTGACCACCGGTACAAGTTTTCGGAAGATGTCTTCGCATCGCTTCCGGAACACCTGGGACTGCGGGCGGACGCGATAAACAGCAGAGACGTCAACGCTGGACATCTCAGCCCTGTTCCTCAATCGCGTGTCCTGTCTCCTAGACCCCTCACTCCAGGGACGGAAGAAACCAGAGCACTCCGACCGATGGATAGTTTCGAACGCGCAATCTTCCAAAGCCGGCCGACAAACAGCCCAACCGATCTCACCCTTGCGGCTTCACCGCCAATAACATTCCCAAAAATGCACGTCCGTGATGATGTCTCGTCATCTTCTTGTTCTCCATCGAGACCTGAAGTCAGCTCAATCAAGTCGGAGCCTGTCTACGGAGAGATCCACGCAACGGAGTCCCCATCCACAATACACTGGCGCTCGCGCCTCAAACGAAACCGACGACTGCTCTGTATGCTCGCCACGGTTCTCTTCGTTATCGCGGCGGCAACAGCCATTGCCGGGGGCGTAATCTGGAGGTTGACGACTTGTAAGTCCCTTTCCTATCCATGTTGGATCAGAGGGGTTGGAAGAAGTGGATGCGAAATTCGCGCGCGCGTGCGACGTGGTGATCTGCCTGCTCCTCAGCACTGACAATACTGATACTATACCTCTAGTGGGTCGGGTGGACTTGGGCAAGCGACGGTGGCTATAGACTACGATTGCGGAGTACTGAAGCGGCTTGTCCGCACGCGCACATCGAATTGGTCCCTGGCGGTTCATCGGCGCGTAAGAGTCGCCTGACAGCCACGGGAACACCAATGACGCCAGCACATATCAAGGCCAGCAAGAGCAGAATCTCATAGATATTAGGTACCTAACCAGGGACCGACCCAACCGTCTCTACTCCTTTCCTTTTGTTTTAACTTTCTTGCTGTCTTGCTTTTCCGAAACGCCCTTCACCTTTGCGCCGTTTGGTTTCTCCTTATTATCGTTGACCTTTCCGTCAACGTCATTTGACTTCCCTTTCTTCCTGTTCCCGTGGCCCTGCTCTGCTTTCTTACGATCTGCAACTCTGGGATCGATGCCCCGTGACTTCAACCACTTCTTCTCTGCCTTTTCAATGTGCGCTTTATCTTCCTCGTCATCGAAGCCGCCAAAGTCGTCACCGGGCGTCGAGTGCTCCTCGTCGCCAATGCCATTGGCCGTGCTCGTTGCCTCACCGTTGAGGACAGCCGGTTGCTGCTCGCCATCGGTCCTCCCAGCCAACTGTCCACTGTTCTTCGGCGTCGGCCCTATCTTCTTCAGTTTACACACAAAGAAGCCATCCACGTTCTCCTTGTGCGGGAAGTACCGCCGTGTCAGAGTCATCTTGTCGTCGAACTTCTTGTTCATGTAGCTCTTGAACCCTTCGGAACCGAAAGTCCCAAGGCCGGTGTCGACAATCTTGACATTTGGTCGTTTACGCAGAACGTACTGGACGACGCCTTCGTTCTCTTCCACTGTGACGGAACAGGTCGAGTAGACAATGTAGCCGCCGGTTTTGCTATTGTGGTCAGTCGAGTCGATAGCAGCCAGAAGGAGTTGTTTCTGCATGTGTGGTAGTGCAAGGAAGTCGCGCTCGTTCTTGGACGTCTTGACACTGGGGTCCTTTCCAATGACGCCCGTGCCAGAGCAGGGAGCATCGAGCAGGATTCGGTCAAAGCCACCTAGGATTCTGGGAAATGCCTTTTGTGCGTCGTAGTTGCAGATGATTGTATTCTTGCACCCAAGGCGGTGGATGTTGCCGATGAGACCCTTGGCTCGCTGGCGGTTTGCATCGTTGGCGAAGACGGCGCCGGTGTTGCGCATGAGCGCCGAGATGTATGTGGTCTTGCCGCCCGGAGCGGCAGCCATGTCGAGGATGCGCTCGTTTGGCTGGGGAGCCAGCGCCATGACGGGGAGGAACGAAGATGCGGCTTGTAAGATATAGTGTCCGGCGAGGTATTCAGGCGTGGCGCCCAACGGCACAGGCGCCTCGAATACTTGAAGGCCCACTTTGGACCATTTTCCTACGGGCTCGAGCACCACGCCGCGGTTGATCAATGCTTGGGCCAGAGTCCGGCGGTTAGTTCGCAGGGTGTTTGTGCGAAGAACGACGGGTCGAGGCGTCTCGTTAGCTTCGAAGAAAGCAAACGCCTCGCCGGGCGTGAAGAGGTTGAAGAGCTTCTCCGCGAGGTACCGCGTGTAGCCGTAGTATGTGCAGATGTCGGTGAGCAGCTGCTCGGTGTAATCTGTCCTCGACTTGTTCTTGTCTGCCAACTGAGAGAAGTTGCCCAGGATACGGATTGTCTCTGTCATCCTTGTCCGAACTATACCCAGATCCGGAGCGAGTCCCTGTGCAGTCACCGAGTCCAGCACACCTTCGTCTGCGGCAATATTTGTCTGAATGGCATCTTCCAACTCTTCCTGTGCTTCTGCGTCGACTTGTGCCTGCTGTTGGTCCAGTTTCCTCGACAGTCCTTCGATGTTCGCTGCGGTAAGCTTGGCTTGGGCGTCCGATTCGTCTTCATCGTCGGAGAACATGCGACGTGGCGCTTCATCCGGGTCAGAGTCAAAGACGGAGTCGTCCGAGGGTTCTCCGTCAAGATCTGCTTCGTCCAGCTCATCATCTTCACCGTCTAAGTCCGACAGCGACGCATCCTTCAAGGGAACCCCAACAGCACCTGCCTCACTCTCTTGGCCTTCATCCTCTTCATCACCGTACTCTCCGTCAACGGGTTCGGCAGCAGAGGGAAAGGAAGGAGGGACTGTTATTTGAGCATCGTTGTTTACGATCTTCTTCTTTCCTTTTACTTTCTTCGCGAAAACGGCAGTCTCGTCTCGCAGGGTGCGATCAAGATTGACCAGTTTCTTTGGGGCATTTTCCTTTTGTTTCTCGTCCGACTTCCTTCGTTTTCTTGCAGGCTGTTTTGGCTCATCAGCGCCAGCCTTCCGCTTCAGTTTGATCCCTAATTCCTCGAGTGAAGCCGGAGGGCCTTGTTTACTACGCATGCGACGCCCGACACCCATTGTGAGTATTGGGGTTGGTGGTCGGGTCGGTGCGGTGACAACGCTGCTGGCGCAGAGAAATTTTGGCCCAAAACGTCGGGGAGCATGCGGCTAGAATTTTGCAGGCTAACCAGCCCAGTGAACGCCCAATGAGGGCCCAGTGAAAGCGTGGTGCCGTCCGTACCCCGCTCTCGGAGGTCGAATACCGCAGCGGGTCCCACGCGACGGCCTGGGGCCATGATTGGCCCTTACGAGGGCTTATCCGTCTATTAGCACGCGCCGGCCAACACCGCCCATCGTCGTTTGACCATCCGGTTGGATCTTTGGCGCAGGTTCACTTCCCACATCCGTCAACCATCACGATCATCGGCCTTCGTCCCCTGAGCCGACCGTGATGGTTGGCCCTCGAGGCTCTTGGAGTGGTTGCGAGTGCATGGAGAGCACAAAGTCCGTCCCGTCGCTTCTGCACAGGACATATGCTCGAAACCTAATTAATCTGAAGCGCGCAATTGGAATTCCTTCAAGTTCCCATCTGTGTCCTCTCAGCCGAAAGTCGCACGGTACCACCTTATCTCCCAAATATGGCACCGTCACCCAGTCCCCCAGCGTCGGGAGCTGCAGAATCTGTGGCTGCTCGGCCTATCTCAGAGACTCCCCCAGCAGAAAGAAAGTATACTTCGCACGCTTGCGAGGCCTGTCGCTCCAGACGGTCGAAGGTAAGTCAACCATCACCTTCATCGCAAAGATCTCGACGTGCTCATCGCTCTCCCTCTAGTGCAACGGCCAACGTCCTATGTGCTCAGCATGCTCTCGCCTAGAAACGACTTGCATATACTCTGCAATTGACCGTCGGAAAGGTAAGCTTACTACGAATCAGACCGACGAGCTGCAGAAGAAGGTCAAGAACCTTGAACACATCATCACGGTCCTGAGCCTGGGCTCTGATGACGATGCCCTCGAGCTTCTGAAGACCATACGGGATAATGCTCCCTCTCCGGCTTCAGGCCACAGCCTGAACGTTGCAGATGTGCTCGGGGAATGGCACAAATCTCGGGAGACCGACGTCGAGTACAATGCCGAGGTAAGCTCGCGAGGCGCGTCCCTAAGGAGGCGAGTACCGTGAGCTCTACAGGAACCACGAGATGAGAAGGACCAAGGGGAGGATCACAGTGGACTGACCTAGGATAGAATACGCGGCTCTACACAACCAATGATTTGCCACCAGAGCGACTGATCCAATATGGGGTTACGGCCTACTTCAATTGCAGCTATACGCTTTTCTACATCTATGAGAAGCACGAGATGACGGATATCATTCATCGGGTATACCGACCTCGAGAACCCATCGACAAGGCGACACTCTGTGAACTTTGTGCTTTGACGGCCATCGGAAGCCACTACGACGCGGCCAACTTTGACGTGTCTGTCATGGAAAACCTGTATCACACAGCTGCAGTCTACCTCAGCGATTGCATCGAGGCACACTTCCTGCGCGGCATGAGAGTCATATTGTGCCTGAGCATGTACTCGTTCATGACAAAGAGGATAAGCGCACGCTATTCGCTCGGTACGTGTCCGCCGATTCATGTTGCAATGCGGCTGACGTCTTCACAGCAATGGGCCTTAGTATAGCTCGTCAGGCTCGCCTAAATGGGCGAATGCCAACAGACCTATGGGTACCGTACCGGAAGGTCTATCGCTCGTTTGTGTTCATGGAATGGTAGGAGCAGCCCGAACGCGGTGCATTGGCCGTGGATGCTGACCTCAGCAGCTGGCTTTCCTCGAGCCTTGGTTACCAACCCGGTATAACAGACGAGGAAATCACAGTGAGCACAATACAATGGATGTGCATGGGGTACAACAGAGTCGCTCGCTGACGTTCCGCAGTTCACCAGCCAACCCATTACCGAACCGCAGCCAACCATCGAGAATGACATTCAAGCGCAACTCAGTGCTGTCGGCCTCATGATGGCCAAAATACTCCAAGATGTCTACAACTCGCGGCCCATGGGTATTTTCTCCCTGGCCCGACGCCACTCCCAGACCCTGCAAGCCTGGCAAGACAGCCTGCCACCCACGATGAAACTCGCCGAGCTGAAGAAAGAAGAAGGCAACATCTTCATCGAACCGCACCGCCGGTCGCTCATTCTCGTGCATGTCATGTACTTCGGCGCCCAAATGCTGCTTCAGCGACGCCTCCTCGTCACGATGGCTCAGGAGCGCATGAACAGGCGGTGGACCCTAGACGGCAGCTACGAGGACGGCAGAATCATCGAGCAGCAATGCATCGCCGCGGCCGAAGAGTGCGTCTACCTGCTCGATGTCCTCGGCTACACCCGACATATGTTCCGCCGTTGTTGGCTATGCATGTAAGTAGGCAGGATTACCCTTCTCTATCTACCGCCCTCAGAGTTCCTTACTGACGTGCCTTCCCACCTTTTCTAAAGTGGCCACGCATTTAGCGCGTGCAGCGTGCTTCTCTTCGACGTAGCCCTGCGCCTCCTCTACAACCAGACAGCCGGCGTAGACGAACAACTCGCCCGCTCGCAGGAATGCATCAACATGCTCGAAGGGTGTGGCGAGGCCGACCGCGTCGCAAAGGCCATGCTGCAGATTGTCCTTCCTCTACATCGGGACTTGCGGCGCCTGGCGAGCGATCAGCCGGTCACGCGCAGTGGCATCCATAGCTTGCTGGAGAACCCGCTGTCTGGGACGACTTCGACGACTACGCCCGAACCACAGATCCGAGCGGCTGTCATTCCTGCCATGCAGACGGCGATTGAAGTCCTGGGGAATCCCTTTGGACATGTCAGGAGGAATAACATCGATTCATTCGCGGCTGGCGACCCGAGTGTGCCTAGCTGGTGGAATTGAGGTTTTGCACCGACCGCGTCGGAGAAAGGATGCCGCAAGTACACAGTTCACTGTGCACTGCAAGGCGATCCATTGCGACGGACGTTCTTGCAGATTGGAATGCGGGATCCCTGGAGGATGACACGGTGTTAGTGCTCGGGACGTTGAATGATAGGACGACATCTCCGGCATACGATGTGCGTGGGGAAAAAGGATGTAATTACCGGGCAGTTACGATGTAGATAGAGGCCGATGACAAGCCAGCAGTGTGGACAACCTTGAATGCACTGACTGCTTTCGTCCGTCATCTGGACAAACACGCTTCCATGTACAGATGCAAAAAAAAAGATTCAGGGTTCATATTTTGATATGCACTTCACCCATCCGTCATTCTTGCGACCCACAACTTCCTGTCCTCGCAGCAGCAACATACTTTCGGATCTGGACCGCTTCTCCCATCGCTTTTTCATTCTACCGATCATCGCGTACCTATCCAACACCACCATCCCCCTTGCAAAGCTTCTTCAAGCTCCAGCTAGGCCGTTGATCGGCCCAAGCAGGGGCGCGGGTGAATTGGGTCCCGATCCCTTCTTCTTCAACGTAAGCGGGAAGGGGTAGTCGTCGGGCTCTTCCTCCTCACTGTGGCATACAAATGTCAGCATTTTGTCAACAAACAAGCTTGGGAATGTTCAACGTTCAACGTACGGTAGTCTCCAAGCGATATAGTCCTCGGTGCTCAACCCCTCCTTGCCTTCCTGCAGCGACGCGAAGTCACCGGGCGTCATCATCCCCGATCGATCTCGAGGCGATCCCGGCACGGACAGCGGTCTGGAGATCTTCTGTTCGGTACCTCCAATAAAGTCGTCGAAGTCCTCGGCATCGGTGAACGAGCCCGGGTAAGCTCGTCGCAGAGCAAGTTGTCGCGCCTTGACGTACTCCATACCCATGCGTTTCCAGTCCAGAAGGTCGCTCAGTCGCTCTGTACGATTGCGCTGGTTGATACGCTGTCTCCGGCTCTTGTTGGCAAATTCGTACATGTAGTCCGTTAACTGGTTGACGGATTCGTCGACGCCCTTGGTGCGTCGGTCCACGATATAGATACCATAATCGGACGAATTCTCAATTAGTTCTTCCATGTAGCACCCAAAGCCGGAAAGGTTGGTGGTTATGGAAGGAACGCCCATGACGGTACACTCTGCCGGGGTGTAACCCCATGGCTCGTAGTAAGAGGCGAAGACACCGAGGTGCGTACCCCGGACGAAGTCATCGTAATCCAATGACAGGACAGGATTGGCCGAATTCAAAAATTCGGGGTGGAAGATAACTTTTACTCGGTCGTGGGAGTTGTTGAACAATTGAACGCGACGAAGCTGATTGAGCACCGGGTCTTCCGAGTCACTTACCATGTTGTGCGTAACGATCGGTGGAAGGCCATGTCGTTTCATGGCAAATATCCTACGTCGAAGTATGACCCGGTCGCTAGGGGTGATGAGTTCTTTGTCATCTGGCATGGGGTCGCCTTCCTTCCAATGAACAGCCCTTTCGAACAATCTGCGGCCGATGCCTCGCTCGATGTTGGAGACCGTGTCGGCCAGCGACTTGGTGACTGCTTGGCCCTTGAGTGATTCAACTGAGAGAGAAGTCGTTTGCGCAGGCATGATCAGGAACGCGACGATGGTTGTCTTGGTACCCGAGTTCTGCAAGCGGTAGTTCAACCTGGCCAGTGACTCGATGAACATATCCACGCCTTTGTTTCGATACTCATATCTTCCTGCGGTGAAGTAGTAGAGTGTGTTCTCCAGGTCAAAATCCAGTTGGCCATAGAAGTGTCCACGCACAAACTCATGAATCTTCTCTTTCTGCACCGAGTGGAGGTTCTGAAACTCGTGCACTGCGGAGAATTTCTTAACATTGAGGCCGTTGGGCAAGACCCCATCAGGTTTTCGTTTGAGCAGGTGCTCACTCTCGAACGCGGTGATATGGGAGACGGTCGTGAAAACGTCGGCGGAATGGGCAGATGCGCGCTCTATGCAGTATCTGTGATAAATTCCACGTTTTCCCGCCTCGGCATCGACGTCGAAGTATTGCAGATTATTGTAAAAGTCGACTGAGCCCGCGCAGAGGTATCGTCCGAGAAGGGTGGCATGGGTAGTAAAGATCGTCGTGAGATCCATCTGGCGCTTCTTGGTTAACGGAAGGGCGACTCCAGCGAGCCATTCGTGGAAGTGAGCGATGACTGCGCGGTCCGTTTCGCGTGAGATGAACTGCAAAGTGTCAGAGTCAACAGCCTAGTGTCTCACGGCAAGCTCGTACCTCGCCCAAGAACCAGGCCACCAGATAGCCGAACACAATAGCTTCATTTGTTTCGTTATCCGAGGCAGGCGAAGGGATTCCAGCTGCGGACCACAGGTCGCCCTTCCACTCGTCCAACCATCGATACCCTGTTCCGGTGTTGATGAGGAGGACCCGTGGTGCACCTTCGATCAGCCATCGACCGTACATGAGCTCAATACCACGTTCTTGCATCGATTCGATGGTTTGCCGAAGAGGGCCGGCCGGGGCTTCTAGGGTCTCGACTTCGACGGCGGCCTGCGAAAGTCAATTTGAAACTCGATGCAAGGACAAATCAGCTTACCGAGTTCTTATTGAGAGGACCAATGAGTGTATATCTGTCGCCATATTCTGCTGTGGTGACAGGTGCTTTGGACTTGAGCACTGAGTAGATACCACCCACTGTTCGGAATCAGCACATGCCACCCTGTACAGTGAGAGAATGCCGGCCATACCTCGATTTGCGACCTCGGTTGCAACTTCAAAGAGCAGGTGGTTCTTTATGTCTCTCTTCTTCTCCATGTCGCCGTTCATCTTGTCGCCTCCCAAGTGCTTTTGGGCGAGAAAGTCGGCGTTTGTTGACGAGGGAAGCTGGAGATGAATGCCTACCCCACAGGAGTGCAGAAGCTTCCAGACGGGTTCGAGAGCTATAGAGCGCTGTGCTGCAAGGTCGAGGACCAGATGAGGAGTCGCGCAGCTATTAGATGGCCTCGGTCAAATGATCTCCTGAGGTAAGAGAAAAACCAGGAGATGTTAAATGAAGAAGAGATGCTGGCAGAGACAATGTCCAAAGCGGACCTGAGAAATTGTGGCAGGGTTTGCCGATGGTAGCGATCTGCTGGAGTGGAGGCAAGCAACAAAAGCTCCACTGCAGGAGTCGAGCTTGTGAATTTGTTGACTCGGGTGTCTCAGCAACGAAAATGCAGAGCGGCAAAATCTCAGATGCAGGCGACAACTATGAAGATGTTCCGACGGCGCAGCTGCTCACAGGAGCGTTGAGCACGGTTGAATTATTATTTGTCGTCGTACTCCGTACCACCGAGCTCCTACTGACGGCATGGTGCCCTCGGTGTAAAGTCATGCCACGGGTAATTAAAGCTCTCCCAGACAACTGCAGCTCTGCTGAGAGCCCAGCATGCGCAATGCACAATGACGGCAGGCACGTCATTCGGTTTCTGCCTCCCAAATCGAGCTTAGACGGGGCGCATCTCGGTGGGCTGTCCCCCATTTCTTGTCCACTGCCTCGCCTATGATTGAAGGAATCTCACCCCCAAGCATGCACTCCAAGCTGGTGCCCCCCGCATTCTCAAGCCCATTCTCACAAGGAAATTTCAGATGCTGGTTGCCATGCTGACTATCGCCGTTTTCCAATCACATCGCAGTTCCCGCTGCCAACCAGCCTGCAACACCCGTGAACACCCCCCCAGCTCGGCGTCGCTCGTCTCATTCGGCGACATTCGAGACCAAATCGCAGTTCCTCCATCTAGGGGTATAAGATCAGACTATTGAAAGTGTATTAGTGTGTCAGTGGTGAGCACTTGCTCAGGGCACTGCCGCAATTCCCGCGCCTCTGAAGCTGCAATGGTAAATCTATCTGTTGGCGACTGACGCTCACCATGTGATCACCGCAATACTGACGGACCTGTTACTCCACGTTACAGACATGGGAGCCGGGTTCTGGCACGCGATGGAGATTTGCCGTGATCTCGTTGCTATGTTGTCTTGTTGCTGAAGTGTGCGGTCAGACACAGGAGATTCTCAATGGCTCCAACAAAAGACCGAACATCGTCTTTATCTTGACGGATGATCAGGATTTGCACATGGACTCCCTCTCATACATGCCTTTCCTGAAGCAGCATGTAGCTGATCGTGGTACATCCTTCCGGCGACATTACTGTACTGTCGCCCTATGTTGTCCATCCAGGGTAAGCATGTGGACGGGCAAGGCTGCACATAACACCAATGTGACAGATCTGCATCCTCCATGGGGTGGATACCCAAAGTTTGTGAGTCAAGGCTTCAACGACGCCTACCTGCCCATATGGCTACAAGATGCTGGTTACAACACATACTACGTCGGCAAGCTGTTCAACGCTCAGAGCACGTCCAACTACGACAAGCCTCACGCAGCAGGGTGGACGGGCTCAGACTTTCTGCTCGATCCGTATACGTACGAGTACTACAACGCGACCTTTCAGCGAGATCACAATCCTCCAGTCAATTATCAAGGCGTGTATTCTACAGATTTGGTGGCGGAGAAAGCGCTTGGGTATCTAGACGAGGCACTCAAAGAGGACGATCCGTTCTTTCTGACCATTGCACCCACAGCGCCCCACAGCAACGTACACATCGCAGATGGTGTAGCAGAACAGTCGATGCCACGGCCGGCCAGCCGCCACAAGCATCTCTTCAAGGACGTCAAAGTACCTCGGAGAGCCAACTTCAACCCGGACAAACCCAGTGGTGCTTCGTGGCTTCTAAACTTGCCTTTGCAGAATCATACCAATATGAACTACAACGACGAATGGTATCGCAACCGACTCCGCACACTACAGGCCGTCGACGAGATGGTTGACCAACTGGTAGGCCAACTGTACGAAGCAGGCGCCCTGGAGAACACGTACATCTTATACTCCACCGACAATGGATACAGCATCGGGCATCATAGAAGGCAGCCCGGGAAGCAGTGCGCCTTCGAAGAAGACATCAATATCCCTCTTCTGGTTCGAGGTCCTGGCGTCCCACAGGGTCATCGAACAACAATCGTGACATCGCACGTGGACCTTGCACCCACTTTCCTCAGCTTAGCAGGTGTCTCGCATGGGAAAATGGCAAAGTACGAATTCGATGGCACTCCGGTCCCATTGCAGCTGGAGGACTTGATTCTTTCAGAAGAATCTTGGCCACAGGAACATGTCAACGTCGAGATGTGGGGCATCATCCAATCCGAAGGTAAACATGGGTTCGTCCTCTACCCGAATCATACGTACAAAGCTCTTCGACTCCACGGGGATGGTTACGACCTGCTGTATACGGTCTGGTGTAGTAACGAGCACGAGCTATACGACATGACCAAGGACCCGTGGCAGATGGACAATGTCTACAGCGATGTATCAAGAATGTATACCATCGGTATACCCACCGCGAGTCTCAGAGATGAGATCTCACCATCGGTAGGTGTCTTTTCCAACTGCAACATCACCACGACGATCTCCCATCTCATCTCCCGTCTCGACGCGCTGCTGTTGGTGCTTAAGACCTGCAAAATGGACGAATGTCGGTCTCCCTGGTCGTCACTGCATCCCACAGGAGAGGTGCGGAACCTTCGAGACGCCCTTGACGCGCGCTTCAATGAGTACTATCACGAGCATCCGAAAGTGCGGTATGAGCGGTGCGAGAGGGGTTACATCCCGGAGAGTGAAGGTCCAATGTGGGATGGCGGCATGTCCTTTGGGGCCATGGAGCATGAAGTTTGGGCTGGGGCCTGACTCGGTAGCATCGAACCGCTCCGCAGAGTGTCCATGCCCCAATGCCAATGTCTAAGGTGGTATTCCTCCTGGAAGGACACCTCAGACGCCGTACCTATTTACTCCTTTTGTAAATCTTTGCGAGGAATGTCTCAAACACCCCCTTTTTGAGACCTTCACTTTCGTCCACTGCCGCCATCGACTGCCTCAGCTCCCCAACTCGCTTCTCTTCATACTCCTGGTATCTCTTCTCCAGCTGAAGTTCATTGTACAACTCCTTCACCTTGGCCTCTTTCCCATCGTCCTTCTGCCCGTAATTCTCGTCCAGCAGCTTTCGCTGCTCGGGAGTGACTATCTGCAATGCCTGATTAATCAACCATCCACACTTGTTGTCCTTGATGTCGGTGCCGATCTTGCCAATCACAGCCGGATCACCAAACGCGTCGAGGTAGTCGTCTTGAATCTGGAAATACTCGCCCAGCGGGATGAGGATGTCTTCAGACTGTTTCAGGTTCTTGGGTGTTGCCAGTCGCAGATAGTGCAGCGCCAGTGCCACGGGAAGGTAAAACGAATAATACGCGGTCTTGTAGATGACAATGAAGGTATACTTTGCCATGCTGAAGTTGCCAAGGTCGACATTGTCTTCGGGCGCCGTGATCAGATCGCACAGCTGGCCCAGTTCGGTCTGCCAGGTAACATCGTGGAAGAGCTCAACCAGATCGAGGTAGGCGGGGTGGCCACGGAACCGTTTCTTCAGGATGAGATAGATAGACGACTCCAGCATGAAGGCATCGTTGATGGCGATCATGCCCACACCCGGCTGGCGGTACCAGCAGGGCTCTCCGCGTCGGGTGATGCTCGAGTCCATGATGTCGTCGCTCACGAGAAAGAATGCTTGGAGCAGTTCGGTGAGCCAGCCCAAGGTTGCAAGGTCTTTGAATTCTTCGGCGGAAAGAGGGCGCCCGAGCAGTTGAGAGGCCGTGTCCGGCACAGACATGCCTCTGTTGAGCTTGCCCGTCGGCGTGTTCGCATTGAGAGACTGTCAGCAGGGTTAGCTGGGCGGGCTTGTGCATGGCTTGCGGTGAGAAGCAATTACTTTCTCGAACCATTGTAGCGCATTGTCGGGCAGATTGTACTTTCGACACTCTCCCAGCAGGTCCTCGACCAGCGAGGGGAAGACGTCTGTGAAGTCTGTTCGAGTTGTCTTTGTCGCCATGGCTACCTATGATACCCAAGTGAAAGCTTCCTTGACCGACAATCTTTCAACGGATGAGGGGGAGCAGAAAACATTTTGGAGATGCGCGTCGGTTCCTGGCGGGCACGGCGGGGTCGGAGTCTGCTTCACCGAGTGGCGCCGACAACTTGTGGCTGAGCGTGGCTGGCACGCTGGGCAGGAGTTGCATGGCGCCAGGCACGTGCCAGAAGAGGCTAGCCGCTTGCGCCACTGGCCTTTGCCATGCCTCGTCAACCCGTCGTTGACGGTTGCTGTCCCCTTCTACCTCTTTCTTACTGTCGGTACAAAGATGCCTTCGCGACCCTCGACGCCTCCTCCCCAGGCTACGGCCCAGGCTCAGTCACCGCTGACCCCAGAGCAAGTGAGGAGGATCGAGATCAATCGTCTCAAAGCCAAGGCACTTCGGGAACAAAGAGATGCAGAAGTCGCAGCTACAGCAAGCCTACGGAGAACTGACTCCTCGGCCGCGGGTCAGAAGCGTTCGTACGCTACCTACTCTGAGGCTCCAGCGCCGGCGACTAACCGCGATGCCCGAAACGATATAACTCGGCCGCTCGAGGCTATTCAGCCGGCGCGCAACTTTGCAAAGTATGTCGACTATGATTTCAGCAAGATGGCGGATACAAAGGGTGGGTTCTTGACTCAAGAAGATGACCCCTACAATAAGGCCTTACATGCGGATGAAAAGGACCAGAAGCCGTCCCATCTGACCGAGAAGGAATGGGAAAGGCAGCAACTGCTGAGGTCGCTGCGAAATCGTCAAGCCGGTCCCTTCGAGCCCGGAATCACGGTCATGACAGACCAGAAAACCAAGTCGTGCCGAGAGTGTGGGACTTTGGAAGTTGACTGGAAATGGCTCGATGTGTTTAGCCTGGCCGTGTGCAACACGTGCAAAGACAAGTTCCCCGAGAAATACAGCCTGCTCACCAAGACAGAAGCAAAGGAGGATTACCTTTTGACCGATCCCGAATTGAAAGACGAAAATCTGCTGCCGCATCTCGAAAGACCCAACCCACACAAATCAACGTGGCACAACATGTTCTTGTATCTGAGATGTCAAGTCGAAGAGTATGCATTCTCGGACAAGAAATGGGGATCAGCAGAGGCGCTAGATGAGGAATTCCAGAACCGCGAGACCGAGAAAAAGAAGCGAAAGGAGAATAAGTTCAAGTCGAAGCTGGCGGACCTGAAGAAGAGGACTAGGGTGGAAGCATACCAGCGGAGCAAGAAAGGCGGCGCACCTGGAAACTTCGGAGACGATATGAGCGGGGGCAAACATGTCCATGAATTTGGCCAGCCCATCGACAATCCTGAGACTGGGTTTCCTGTCAAGACATGTACGATATGTGGGCTGGAAGTGGAAGAACTGGAACTGTAGTGTTAGCGGACTCAGGTGACGACGATACCCGAATGGATGATGAGTTATACCCAAATGTATAATAGGTCTATACCGTGATCAATACGCCGTGACGCGATTTGCGCATCTGGATCTACTCCTTGCACCGTCGGACATTGTAAACAGTACGGAGTAGTGGTTGATGAGAGGTGGACGTGAGAAAGTGGCCACTACCTTGTCGCTTAGCCGCAGTCAAGCCGCCGGGCTGGCGCTAATTGACTTCCAAGTTTGGTCGCGGCAGCTCGGCCTGCGGAGCGAAAGTTGTAGCTGCGCTCGCGCTTCGACCAGGAGACCACCTTTCGACTTGAAATCATTCAGCAGCGTGGCTGTCCACGCGACCGACCTGAGTGTTTCCTCCGTCCCTGATGACACATTGGTAGTCGTCACTGCCATTCTACAGTCTTTTATTGCCTCTCGACACCGACTTCGACCACTCCGCATCGGTGACATCTCCTCGGTTAATGACAGCGTGACCACTTTCCAGCCCTCATAGTCCACCAACATGGCTAGATGAAAGCAGCACAAGCACAGCAGCGCCAGAAAGCGCATCATGGCGTGGCAGTCCGGGCCTGGAGGAGGCGCCGTGGGAGGAATGGCTGCCGGAGAAGCGAACGGAGTGCAAGCATACACATTACAAGGTGGGAGAACCCTCCACATACGGGCTGTTATAGTACTGACGACTGCGGACAGGGGTCATGCGGTTCTTGCAGACAGAATGGCACCGACATGAAAGAGACAGGAATGCGTGGGAAATCGAGCGCGAAGAGATGAGAAATAGGATAGCCATCCTCGAAGGAGAGACGAGGACAAGCAAAGGCATGCGCGTCTCCCTGGAACGGCACGTCAAACTCTTGGAGACGGCGCTCAAAAAAGAACGAGAGAGGGCTCGAAATGCCGGTAAAGGCGAAACCGTGGACAGCCACAAGGACGCCAAAGAACTGGCGCGGGAAGAGCTGAAGGCTGCGGCTAAAGGTATGGTTTCTCACGCACGCAGTCGTCGCAGTTATTCACACACAAGATAGATATACATGCCAATGCCATCAGCCATTTCGACGCCGAAATCGATCCCGACCACCACCTAGCGCAGGGAATCCGACAAGAAAAGGAGCGCGACAAGTCCAAAGGCTTCCTTACAAAATGCTCTTCCGAAATCACGTATCACGTCTTACCGACAACCCATGTACCACCAGAAACCAACGAACTTCTCCCGTCTACCAACGGATCCCATGCCTTTCAAGGGCGACAGCCCACTCAACAAGAGCTCCAAGAGGCCTATCTACAACTGCAACAGGTCAAACAACAGCAGCATCGTAATGTCGCAATGGTAAGAGAGAATGCCGTTCAACAGCCGACGCAGTACGGAGAGCCGATCCCTATTACTCGAACGACCACCGCGATCAATAATTCAGAAATCCAGCCTGGTGTGGGAGACCGGCGAATACCCGACCAAGTCGTCCAGTCTATCCCTGTTGTGGACCCTCGAAAGAATTTCTTCAATGAATCGATGCCCGTGGTTGAAGACCCAGTGGAATCCATATCCCACAGCTTTGATGCCTATGGACAGGAAATCCCCTTGACAGATCAAACCGAGATAAGAACGAGTGACGAGCCCAAACAGGAAGTTTCTGACGGATGGGATTTTGATGATGGCCCACCAGTTTTGGAAAAGCCTGTCGAGGGGCCGCCACAAAGACCTGATACCGAACTATTCCCCAGCGCGAACCTGATACCGTCCAAATCTCCGCCTCGAGCACCAGGCTCATATCGTCGGAAGAGCATGGGTGGAAGGCGGCGCAGCGAAGGTAGCAATGACGCGAAGGAACTGGGAGTCAAGTCGGATGCATCACAGTTCAAAGTCAGGTTCGCCATGAGAGGGCACTTAGACGTCGTTCGCGCCGTCGTTTTCACTGGTGGCGGCAGTCCATCGGAGCCCGAATTTTGCACAGCAAGCGACGACGGTGGCGTCAAGCGGTGGCATATCCCGGCAACCTACACTCACAACGTTGCGCTGGGGGATGATCTGGACCGGATAGCTCATTTTACTCATCGTGGACACCTTGGAGCAGTCTGCTCATTAGCTGCATGCCCTGCATCTTTGAGCTTTTCGAGCGGCGGCCGTGCTGCCGGCGATGGATGGATCTTCTCCGGCGGCGAAGATGCTACAGTCAAGGTATGGGAGCGTGGTCGTGTCGACGCCAAAGCAACGCTCGAAGGACACAAGGATGCTGTCTGGGCTCTGTGCTGCTTACCGGGCTCAACGGGCACCATTCTTGGGGATCGTTGTTCGCAATTTGGAGGCCCCGACCGGGTTCTTCTTGTCGCTGGCGGTGCCGACGGGACGATACTTATCTGGGCTGTCAGTACACCGCCCCAGCTTACGTCGCCGCATGCTGGAAGTCGATCAGCAAGGGGCAGTCGTAGAGCCAACTCAATATCTGCGGGCTCCAATTTCCCCAGCTCGCCACAACCAAGTATAGCCAGTGCGACACCGTTCAACTACGGCTTGGTGCACCGGATAGAGCGGGCAGACAAACCAGCGCCAACATCCATTTCACCACTGGGCAATCACGGCGAGAGCTTCGTTGTTGGATACACCGACGCAAGTGTCCTCGTATTCGACACACGGACGGGCGAAGAAATCGTGGGCATGGCCAGTCAGGAAACGTACGACGGCACGCCAACCACGGGGATCAACGCCGTCGTTGCTAGCAGCACAGGCTTTGACACCAGAGACTCAGTCGCGCCCGGCCGACGCGGATCGATGGGCGAAGACGACGTCGTCCACGGTGCAACCGGGTCTGAAGGCGGAGTCGAAGGAGTGGTCATTGCGGGATACGAGGATCGATACATTCGTTTCTTTGACGCAAATAGCGGTATGGTTTCCCCCTCCCGTTCTTTTCGTCTCGACCGAGGAAACACTGATACTGACGCTCACTCCAACCAGGCCAATGCACATACACCATGCTTGCACATCCATCAGCGATTTCTTCCCTGTCATTATCACCAGACGGCAAAGAATTGGTTTCGGGCGGCCACGACGCGAGTTTACGGTTCTGGTCGCTCGAGAAGCGAAGTTGTACACAAGAGATCTCCAGCCATCGCATCATGAGGGGCGAAGGGGTCTGCGGTGTGGTCTGGAGTCCGGATGGGCGGTGGGTCATCAGCTGCGGCGGCGACGGTGCCGTCAAGGTCTTCTCCCGGACGTGATGCAGACTTGATGTTTGGCATGCATGGTTCCCCGACGGACATCACGCCCAGATGTGAGAGATACTGTATCGGTGTGTATCGATTTTTGAAGGATAATGCCATCGCCCATGACTTGAACAAATTTCTACTCTATACTGTCTTTCAAGGGTTGTCGTTTGGCTTCCCGCCCCTAATTCAGCCTCGCTCCTATTAGCCATCACATCGTGCGTAGTTACAGGAAATGTGCTCTGGCATCGGTGCCAGATCGACTAGTCCGACAGCCCACTGCGCATAGATATCTATTTAGTAAGTCCATATCAGCCGGAACTGCAGCAGAAGCAGAAGCACAAGGCAGCAGGCCCCCGCGTAGTGCCTTTGTATAAATATGTAATTAGCGTACCCCCTGAAGAATGATTCCATGAGATTACAGTCCACTCGCCACCCCTAGAGTAGTTAGTTGGTGCCTAGATGATACCGCGTCCGCTTTCTTTCCCAATCGACCGTCTAATTACATCACCGCGAGACGTTGCCTTGCCTCCAATAGAGGCGTAATGCGAAGTAGTATAGATAACATGACCAGTCCCCAGCTTCCTACACACATCTTCACGCCTCTGGGAATCAGTCCACTTAAGGGTTTCGAACATGCACGAACGGCCCGTCTTGCTAACATGTATGTTTGCCGGGTCTATGGGAGTCCACTTGGGAAGTTCAAACATCACGAACGGGCTCATCTTGCTGCATGGTTCCTCATGTATGTATGTTGCAGTGCCTAAATTATGGCTTTGGGGGCGTGATGTCGTTGATTGGGAAGGGGAGGGGGGGCGCGTCGTCCGTCAGCGCGCCCCTGCTTCAGAAGACCTATTACTGTACCCGTGGCATACCGTGCTGGAATGGATGTCTGGGCTCGAATGGATCTTGAGCGGTGGAGGGTCTGGGGGAGGGTCCGGGGGAGAGTCTGTGCTATCTTTTTCTGCTTGAGGTTGGAGAGTGAGACTGTAGTGGATCTCAATTGTGTCTGTACCCCTCTCTGTATCTCTCTCTGAATCTCTCTCTGTATCTCTCTGTGTACCTCTGCGCATGGAAACGTATCGCGTATATTTTGATTGTGCTGGATTACTCATGTTCTCACAGTACATAGGTAAGTCTGCAATCATTATGCTTCATGAATATAGATTCTTCCCGTCACTATCTTCGGGAGTCTATACGTTCTCCCTTATTACGTCTAACAATCCTTGCTCCAATACAACCGTGCCATTCTCGGCAAGGTGTCGAAACTGGAAAAGTTCCCATCGGCATTGACCCAATCACTCGTGTTCCCAGTCAGGTATTTGCCCGCCGCGGGGGTGAAGAAGCTTGTGCCGTAGACATCTACAAGCGTATCATCAGTAATGTTGGACACACTGACGTTTGCTTGGACATAATGCGGCGAGGCCGCGTAGCCCTGGTTGGTGTGAGCGATGTTATCGCCATCGTTGCCCAAGTCATCCTTGGTGACGTAGCCAGGGGTCACTACTAGTGTCGTAGCGTTCACGGGAGGAGTCGCGGCTCGTTTGTACACTCTGTCCGTCTGCATGTTCGCGAGCAAGTTCTTGGCCGAAGACCACGGCGCCGTCATGCGCAGCCAATAATTGGTGTACGGATTCGTCTGGTATGCGTTGTCTATCGTGAATGGGCCTTTGAGTAGATCGTAGCGGAAGCCTCCTGTGTTGGTCAGGATGATGCGAGGCATGTCGGTGCGATTCGGATCGACCACAACGCTCGGAAAGACGACGTTGGTCAAGTAGTGGAACAGACTCTGGTTCGAGCTAATGGGGACGCGGTCGAGGTAATAGTCTGCCGGGCTGCAGCCGAGCTTCTCAGTAAGTTCAGGGAGGCTGTTGACCGAGGCCGTGATGTTCCTGCTGATGGTCACACCCAGAGTGCTGTTGAAGGTCTGCTCATTGGTGCCCGTGTGGAACTCGAAGCTATACCGGTTAAAGTCGAGATATTGTCGCGAATAAGACAGCGTGGAGTTGAGGTACGGCTTCACACCAGGCACAGCGGATGGCTTCTGGGTGATCTTGGTGGCACTGCCCATGGGCGATTGAGCTTTTGTCACATTTTTGGGGAGGCCATCGACCGATACCCATCCTACAGTCTCGCAGTATCTGCCAGAGGCAATCCCAAGGGCAGACGAATCGAAGACTACGGCATCGCGAACGTGTCGATGGCCTCCGAAGATCTGGATAGGGGTTCTGGGATGAAATTGGCGAATGGCAGCGTATATCAGTCCCCACTCGGTCGAGTTGCGGAGGGTAATGTGTCCGGCCACCAAAAACATGTCGATGTCTGTTCTCTTGACCTGTTGCTGGAACCAAGATTGTTTGACAGCATTGCCAACAGGCGTGACAACCGTGGCATTGCTGTTACCGGTAAAGTTGAAGATAAAGGCAAACGCCATGATTCGGATGCCCTGCTTCGACTTCCAGTATGCATATCTGTTCGAGAACGGCACGGGTGTCCCTGTGAGGTTGAAGTCGACATTGGACGTAACATATCGGCCACCCCATCGTGGCGCGAAGTTGTGATACGTGTTGTTTGCGATCTCGGTCGTGTAGAGTTCATGGTTTCCAATCGACAGCAGATCATAAGGGAGTTTCTGAAAAATTGGGAGAGTGAGCTGGCCGTTGGGTGTGGTGGCGTCCCCAAAGCCAGTTCCATCGTGCAAATCACCCGAATCAACAAGCAGGAGGTCCACACCATAAACATCAGCCTTGGCCTTCATCTTCTGGACGAAATCGGCAAAGTCGCCATAGTCGGCGCTGTAGTTGTCGTCGAGCAGATGGCCCGCGAGCCAGCCATGAGTGTCTGTCGTATGGAGGAAATTGAGCTGGCCCCAGTGCAAGTCTTTGATCTTCTGCGGCGGTGTTGGGAGAGCAGCTGGCTGGATTCGTTTGCTCAGGTCGTGTCTTCTCATCAAGCCATGGTCTACGTAGCCTCCAAGAAACGGGGAGGTCCAGTCATGGTCGTCACAGGAGAATGAGGGCTGAAAGAAGGCTGCGAGAGTGAGGAGAGATGTGAGCAGCATGATTGCCCACTGGAAAGAGTGAACAGCACGGCGCCGAGTGGGTGACAAGTTACAACGACAGGTGACAAAACTTGGCCTCGAGCTACGACGGGCGCAGCTAAGTCTTTATCAGATCCTCATCGTAGCTCTTGAACCGAAGGAGCAGTTGGAGCTTCCTTCTGGAAAAAGCTGGTCGCACGCAAAGCTGCAAGCTACAAGCTACGGACATGCTACAGGCACGTGGGGCGTAAGCTCGTGCGTGTCGGTAGCATCATCCTGCCAAATACGGCTTGGATGGAGTCGGGGTGGTACCAAAGGTAGGCGGAGATGGAGGGAAGAAGTGGACTTGATGAGCGCAATGGGAAGCTGCGTGCATTGCAGCATCACCTTGACTGGCGCCCGATAAGCAATCCAAGATGTGCATAAGGTTGACTTGGTCCTGGGGCAGAGAGCTGACACCAATACCTCCTAGAGGGATGCGAATGGAGAGAGCGGAGGGAAGCGTTGTCGCTAGTGGCTCGGCCCACGACATGCAACGGAGCATCTCAGGCACCCACACAAGGCACGAGGTGTTGGAGGGGCAATCAATTGGACTTCTGCCGAAGCTTTATTGCCGTGCCTTGAGCCGCCAAGAGCGGACACAAAAACATACTACATTAAATCAACTATGTATGATTCAGAGCACAAGGCAGACCTTCTGGTACAAATTACGCTGCCTTACACGGATGCCACGGCCGTTTGTCGTCAGCACAGAGGACTTCGACCTCGATTGCCGAGTTGGCTAGAATCGCCCTTGAGATTCTTGTTCTTTCTCTTTAATCCGTTTCAGCAAGGACTTTGATCCGGCAGGGCACATTCATGAGCACTGGTTGGTGACCGTTAACATTGTCTCACAGTCGTATGGAACACGGCGGCGTTGCAGATTCGTAATTTCTTGACGTCCTGGATGCCGCCGAGAGAGAGCAGTATGAAGAGTATGCACCGCTTGGAATCTTTACGGGAAAGGTCGAGTATTGCCAATCTCGGCGCAGAATGGCTGATCTCGCAATGCTCCAAACCCTTCCCAATCGCACAATCTGACGAGGCAGTGTCAGATGAGGAGACTGTTTTGAATAAACGGTAGTAACCAAGGTGGTCTGGTCAATGCCACGTCTTGCATAACTTCTGTGCATATCCTTGACAGGACCAGCGACACGATCGCGGGAGTCTTAGTTGAACAAGTAGGTAATTAATGATTCTGGTTCTGAACTCGGCCAGGCTCGTGATTGGCCCTCACTCCCAAGAACGGGAATAATCGATCATTTGGCTCGGACCGTACTCCGTCGGTACTTTTATGAGTATAATCTTCAGTGGATGAGTAACTAGCCACCTAATTCACTGAAGAATATGAAATTTGACAGTCATTGACACATGCATAAATCTTGCTTGCATAAAGGTACGGCCTTGTCGTGTCTATCTTCTGTGCAGGTTGTCATACATGAAACCGCCAGGGCTGACTCGTATTGCTTGCCGGCGCAAATATCCTAAATCAGCAGATGATTGGGTTTGTCGCAAATGAGCCCTGTAGGGTCTGTGTCAGTGTTGGAGGCTTCGAGAAGGGCGACGAAGACTCGTTGGAGCTCACCTGGTTCTGCATGGCGAGTTCGCCCAACCTTGCCTCCAAACTCTCGTCATCTCCATCGATAAGCCTGTCAATCTCCTTGACATCTTCAATGGTCCAGAAATGTCGGAACGCGGCAACGATGTTGTCACTGTGCTTCTTGATCACATCGTCGTCCACCGCGGCAAAACACAGTCGATAGTACTGCCAGCCCTTCTCTTTGGCAATCTCGGGCGTAGGGGAAAACATCTGCCCGGGAGCCACGAGAACCAGATACGGCTCAGTTGTGAGAAGAATCCACAGTGCCCGGTATAGTCGTTCGTGGTCAATCTCGTTGAAGAGAGGATGTGTCTCAAACCTGGCATGCAACCAAAGAAACATGCCGGCCATAGGATGAACAAAGTCGTACATTTGTGTCTTGTGCACGACCTCATATTCGACGTCGTCCGGTGCAAATGCATTCGACTTGGGCTTCGAGTCCTGGATGAGGTGTTTTCCTTCCTCGAGAGTCGATGCCATCAGCTGCATGCGCCTCTCATAATTGCCTCTCAGCCCCTCAAGCCATCGAATCCAGCCATCAGCTTTCCACCCACTTCCGTCCTTGCTGCCTCCCTTACCTGCGTCGCCCTTTGCTGATGGGCCCATAAGAAGCTCTGCGATCATGCTTTGTACAAATCCACTAGGCTGTTGAGTACTCGTCTCGGTGATGCGCAGGATCCTCTCCACCACTGCAGGTTGAGCTGTGACCCACCCCAATCGGCAGCCTGGCGCGACAGTCTTGCTGAAAGTGTCCAAGCGCACTACTCTGCCATCCACGTCGACGGCGAGGTAAGAAGGGACAAGGCTATCCAAGAAGGGAAACCCGCTTGATTTACCTCCTGAATGTGTGTTGTAGTTGTGCGGGCCGATCGGGAAATTCTCCGAGATCACTTTTCCTCTGGCCTCCAACGAGAGCTCGTTTGCTGACGGATATTGCAGGTACCAGTAGGGGTCATCCTCTACAATGATAATGTCGTACTTTTGGCACAAGCCGTAGATTTCCTTTCGCCTCTGTAAAGAGAGCAGGCCAGAGGTCGGATTCTGACCCATCGTCACGGTGTACATCAAGTGCGGTCTCTTACCCTGATTCTTATCCCACTTGACCAAGACGTCCTGGAGCCCTCCCTTGCCATACGCCATCATCCCTTCGTCGTCAATAGCCACCGGCACGACATTGAGTCCTCGAGGTCGAGCTGCCTGGATGGCGTTCATGTAGGCAAATTCTTCGCATAAGATCCCCTCTCTTTCTCGGATCCAATCTCTCTCCTCATCCCAGACGTTGCTGAAGCATTCAATGGTCTTGGCGAAGCCGTCTGTGGAGCCGCAGGTAAGGATGACCTCCGGACCTCCTTTGTACGGAACATTGGGATGTAAGTTTGTCTGTGTGAAAGAGCGGATGAAAGTGTAGAGGGGGGGATATCCCTGCGCGGTGCCATACTGCAAGGCGGTCGTCAGATCAATCTTGCGCAAGATGTTTGTTTCGGCAGAATCGTGAGGCACAAGCACTCGCGAAGCCGTTGGAGGTTCCCAAGATGCGGGCGGGTCGATAGGCTTATTGGGAGTTGGCTTGAATCGATCAGGTACCGCGGTTTGTGCTTCAAGAGTATCGTAAGGGAAGTACGAGGGGTTCGGAAGACCTTGAATCTGTCAACAACAGATACATTCCTGGCATGTTCAAAGCAACATACCTCCAGCAAGATTACCAATGCCCGGAATGGCGAAGTACTTGTAAAACTGCTTCATCTGGCTTGCGGCGCGGCGATTGGTGACGCGTGAATAGTGGTGGGACATGTCCCTCGGCGCGGGCTTCTCCATGACGGTGGCCATTGTTGTCACGGCGTGCTCTCGGGCTGTCAATCTAGATGAAGATACGGAGTATGGCAGACTATATCGAGGGAGGTATGAGCGAAGGCTTTGTCGCCAGCGAAGGGCGCAGACGCGGCTACATAGACCCCATTGATGATGACTATTTGACAATCAACACGGCTGGAATACGGCCGACTGCCGGTCCGATAAGTTAGCGATAAGCAAGTGCACGCGGAAGCCACGTTCCGCTGCCGTGGGCGTGGGCGAAGCACCGTTCGGGCGTCGATGTCCCTGCACCGGTTTGGCACTCGGAAACCTACTTGAATCAGCACTGAATCTGACATGTCCGCACCTCTCAGAACGCTGGATCTGCCGGCTGTCGTCATGACTTGCCGTCGTCGTGCTTAAAGCTAGCGTACACTGTATACTAAACCCCAACGTTATGTGAACCAGCAAAAGAGAAACACGTTGATGAGGACGTAAAGAGGTTTGGAAGGCTGTGATTTCGTATCTCCCGGCTTTCGGCCGCAGGCAAGTATGTGCGCTGTCCTTTCCATCAACTCCCTAATGTACCATCATTAGAATCATTAGCATAAGCCACGGCCATCCTGTACCGGCCTATTTTGTCCTTCCAGACGAGCTTTGGTTCCTACTGCGCAGGATCGGAGACCATTACTCAAAGTGGCGGTTCTCTCTTGGTGACTCTCAACCACATGTCGCTTACGATGAAGACACCTGCACTAAAGGATTTCCATGGTTGCTGAGGATTGACAATGGTGAATTCAAACTTCCGGAGTAGCTGCCAAATCGTACAATGTCAGCTATAGCACCGGCTTGGAGACAGACTGTGCTCCACTTACCTGAACAAACACCTTGTTTAGTTCAATCACGGCAACGCTTTTTCCGAGGCACGACGATCTGCCGTAGCCGAAGATGCCCTCGATGTCGATTTCCTTGCGTCTGATCTCATCTGGTGTACCTTCCAGAAACCGCTCGGGCCGAAACACTCTCGAATCAGGACCCCACAAGCCTGGATCGAGGAAAACTCCCCAAGCAGAGGATCCAATCTTCGTACCAGCTGGCACATAGTACCCATTGAGCGTGTCACCCCCAGGAGGGACCTCCTTGGACTGGAGACCTGTCACCGGTGGGTGGATGCGCAGACCTTCCTTGATCACGGCCTGGAGATATGGCAGCTTGCGGGCTTCCGAATCTTGGATTGGATCAGAAACGCCTGCATTTTGAATCTCAGCCAGCAGTTTTGCAAGGACAGGTGGGTTTGTGAGGAGGTGGAGCATCGTTGCACGGATGGAGCCAGCCGTGGTGTCGCTGCCGGCTAGGATCTGCACCATGACCTCCGTCTCAGCATCTTCTTTACTGAGGTTATGGCGAAGGAACGACCCTAGCATGTCCATCCGGTCCTTTGCATCTGGTTGGAGTCTCTCATGGACCACCTCTCTTGCCGTTCCCATAATCCTACCCAGCCCATACACGTCAGTATCCTTTGGCATCAGGAACTTCAGCAGTGGTGATTGAAACAGAATCGACAGCCACGGAAAGGCCGCACAGAGGATCATGGCCGGGATTGTCTTTTCAGTCGTCTCGATGTACTTGAACACGTCCTCATCCTTCTCCAAGAAACCAAACGGCCCACCGAATGCGACGGCGGCAATGACATCCAGGGTCAGGTACTGAGCTTTGCGCGCAAAGTCGAGGGGCTTGAATTCTTCCACAGTGGAGACATATTTCCGTTCGATAAGGTCTACTAGTTTCGCAATGCAATCGTCTATACCCTGTTCAAGCGTGGGATTTTCCTTGCCTGCATACTGGGAACGAGATCAGCATGATGCGTCGAGAGTTGGGATGGGGTCAATTACTCCAGCTGCCATCTTGTTGCGGAGCATGGCATGTCTCTCCTCGTTTCTCTCGGACAGGATATTCTCACGGTCGACGCGAAGCGCATTGTACCACTCGGACCTACGGTACGGAGACCTGGGCGCACCCATTCGCTTCAAGATGTCGGGATCGTTCGTAATCAGGTCATTGGGTCCAATACGGACCAGTGAGCCTAGGAGCTGCAGGTCAGCCTGGCAACTCTTTAGAAAAGGACAACCTGAGGTTGCACATACCGTGCTTGAAGCATTGTTCAGCCGACTCGAGATACAGGGTCCCATTCCAGGTATGCTTGAAGAGCCACCATTTTGAGAAGCCAGCGCTGAAGGGACCAGGGACATGTCGCAAGCGGTACCAGCTATAAATGGTGTCGATGGTCAAGTAAGCCAACCCCAGGGCGAGTATGATCCCGAGATAGGCGAGGATGAACATGTTTGCTTGTGGGAGTACAAGAAATAAAAGTTGATGACTCTTGTGTTCACCGCCGGGGAGTTTCAGATCTGATCTCGCATGGTACGTATTCTTTCTCTTCAGCGCTCACTGAGGGCAGAACAAGATAAGAAAGAATGACAGCCCGATCTGGGGCAAGTTACACAGCAGGTGCCAAACGCAGCTCTCGAACGGGCGTGGTGCAGCAGGCTTGTCTGTGGGGTGATGGACAAGTGAAATGGCATTGGCTGCGGCACGTGGGAATCTTCAGCAGCTGTCCGCGATTCTTCAGGATCACCGCGACGGAGTGACAGGGGGCGGTGGGCGTTCACTGCGTCCGACAAGGACTAATGCGTGGATCGTGATCCGATCCTTGAGCCCCGCTTGTCATCCGCTGGGCTTCACTGGGAAAATCTTCACTGCCGCTGCCACCCGCCTGCCACTGCCGGCACTAAGCTGCTAGCTTATCGGGGAAACGGGGCTGGTGAGCAATCGCCCCTCCTCGCTTGCAGCTGGCGTGAACTGATAACACAAAGTCTACGAGCAAAGGGGAAATGATGAAAGTCACCACCGATTCACAGCAGGATTGGAGCTAGGCCTATGGAGTATCACGCCTATGCATCTGCATTTTATGCAAGACCAGGCTTCTTCCCACAAATGCTGTATCTGTTGTCTCACTCGTCAGTTGCGCAACCTCACAAAACTGAGACCTTCTGACATGCTCACATTGGCCAATATGCATGATAAGCTGTGTTCTTCATGTCTCTCCGAACGTCGACCAGAAATACTTCAAGTTCGTCCGGAGACCAGGACAAGCCTCGTGTGAAGAGGGCAAGGCTGATGCCTGACAGAGAAGCGGTAAAGTCATGGAAAGTCCAAACTCCTGTGGGTCTCGAGTGAGCATTCTCCACGGGAGATCTCCGAGAGTTCCTTACCAATCTTCTTCAACCTCGGATCCCTTGGCCACTGGTTCATTGGCCAACAGAAGGCTCTCTTCTCGACGTCGACGAACCCTGTGTCAATCATGAGCTCCCTCACCGAGTCAACGCTGTCGAGCGGGCATCCCAGGTTGATACTCGCTTCAAGCATGTATTCGGCCCATCTGCGGAATGCAGAATCTTCTGGGAGAGAGCCATCGTCGCAGCGAAGACGGAAAGATATGTCTTGTACTTCGAGTGCCCCACCCGGGGTCAAATTACTGTTCCCCCGGTGAGCACGATCGCATTCCAGCCAAGAGGAAAGGCCTCACTCAAAACATTCTTGGAGGTACTGTCGCCAGTTTGCAATTGCCCCGGTCATGAATCGGCTGAATATGAAGTCGAATTGAGAAGCAAACAACCAGGGCTGCCCCACGTCCATAACTTCGAATCTCACATTCGGAGGGACACTGCAAGCTTGATCAACAGAAGCCTGCGAGCAGTCTCGATGAGACTCACAAAGCCGGTTGCACAGGACTGACATCCACTCCAAGCACCTTTCAAGAGTCAGCTGTTATACCTCGGCGAGCCTGGGACAGGAGTGCCTCACTATTGACTCCGGATGAGCATCACCTAGGCAGAACGTCAGTGGCTTTCGAGCCTCGTTCTTCCGAGTTGGTCCTACACATCACTTACCATATTCTATTGCCCAGATTCCTGTTCCGGTACCTATGTCTAGCACGTTGTGGACGTCTTTACTCTGCTCGGGCTCGTAAGTTGTCAGCCTGTCCCCGAAGGTCATCTTGAGCAAATGGTGCTGCAGATCTGACAGTCCAGGTCTGTCAGCCCCTGGTGCAGACACCGACCAAACACGTCCTTACCCAGACGATCTAGTTCCATCTGCGGCCGAGCGAAGTTAGTCCATCAGTCCAGAGCTGCTTGGGGTGATCATTGCTCTCATGTCATACCTCGTCGTTCGGAAGTACATAGGCTAACGAGCATGGCTAGTCAGTTCCCTGACAAGGCTGGAACATCTTGAAAGCGACCTACTTCGCTCGCCATAGCCATTGTACCTTCTTCCGTGTTCTTGGATGTAGTCGAACACGCTCGATGCCAATGACGACGTTGACAGCAGATCATCTCCCTGTACGCCGGTGTGCGATTAGTCGTGTGGACAATGCTTCGGTTGAGAACCGCTCACATCTCCAAGCGCCGAGTCGATATCATCATCTGCTGGTCCGGGATCGACCTGGACAGAATGTCACATATCAGTGCCTAAATGTGCAAGTCTTAATGGAACTCACAGGCTGAGGCTCTGGATCCGGGGGAGCTTGTTGATTTTCCGCAGCTTCAGACATGAAATATAGAACTAAAAGACCTCGACTCTCCCGAGTTCACGAACAATTGATTCACAAGCTATTGTGCAGGGAACTCCATGGATATCATGATTCGTTGGATCCCGGATATGCTCCGGAAAGGGCGAGCATTGAAATACGAGGCTTCGTAGATGGTGGTGCAGAGGCGGCGCATTCACACGCCACTAGCCTACCAGCAGCAGCTTTGCGTCCCCTGTGATACATGAGGTGCTTGGTTGCCAATATGTCCAAGTTTGGCTGCGTGCGTTGTGTCCCCCAACCCCACTCCCACGGTATTGCACTGCATTGCCAGCTCCCATTCGATGGTTCACACGAGCACCACGTTCAAACATGCCTAGTACACTAGATCGGCAATGTTACTAGGCGCAAAGGGCTGAGAGACATTCGCGTAGGTAGGATTTACCGCGATCATCGACAACACGACATTCTGATTGAGTTTGGGACCCAAACTGCCGGTGACACAAAAATCCTTCCGCTGCGCATCGGACCGATTTAGAGCGAAGTCTGTTACACCACGCTGACCTTATCATCTAGTCAGTCCCCATAACCTGCTCAATGAGACCAGGGGATACGAATACCATTCCATAAATTGCCTTCTTGGGAGTGACCCTATATACACTCCACGTCGAAATGGGGAGCCCTTTTCAATCCACACCTGGTGAGAGCTGTGGTGCTTGGCACAACACTCCGGGCTGCAGCTGCAACCCTGTCTGGGCCACAGGAGCTTCGCGGCAAGGATAGGCGAGCGGATCTGGAGTGCCGTGGATTAAAATCTGGCCTTAGGAAGCTTTAGTCGACCGGACACAACACACCGCACTGCGGCCGGCTTTCGAACCTTCCCTACTTCAAGCTCACGAGTGCCATTCCCACGCAGATCCTTTCAGACACGATGTGCAAGCTCCGAAGCGGGGACTGTCTTGGTGCCACAACCCGTCTGATTGCAGGCCTTCAATAGCAGTGGATCGCAGAGAGGTCACCGGACATCTCCAGGGAGCACAGGTGCTGCCTGATCTGCTGTGTCCGGCACGTGGCTCGTGTGACGAGGGGCTGTGGAACAGAACCCGCTAAGCAGCCGCCGCAACGCGTGAGAGCAGCTTCAACAAGAAAATGTAGGGAGTACTGAGCAAACAGATGTGCAGTATCCAGCTGATACCTTCGTCGACCTCATCCACCTACAGTAAGCTGCACGATTGACCTTCGCACCGAGTCCCTCTTCGACGAGCCATTGCTTAAGAATTTTCGTCAACTTAGTTCCGTTACCACTCCTCTCCCACTTCATTCTCATGTCTCTCGCCCTTCAGCAACCTCGTTGCCGATGCATGGCTTCCTTCCGTCCTTCACAAGGACTGCGGAAGTCCGACAGTCTCTTCGATGTCCAGTCAGATACGTGGCACCGCCATCAAACTCACACTATTATAGAATGAAACTCTTTCCTGGTTCCACCTCATAGGTCTTCTCGCCGGATTTCTCAAATGTTGCACCTGTGCCAAACTATTGACCTAAATCAGCTCATGGAAGCGATATCACCCCACGAGACACTCACAGTATCTTCCATAAAGAGCATATACACCACCTGTCCATGTTCGACCTTGCAGTGAATACTAAAGGGCGAGGTGTAGACCTTGTTCAACGCTCGAGAACGATAGGTGAACCGACCGAAGGCGGCGACATCAGGGCCCTCGCCGAAGAGCGCTTCGATCTTGAATTCCTCATTCGCCCAGATCTTGTCGACGTTGGCGAATGTTGAGATGACTGCTCCAGGCCCTTCCTTTGCATGCACGCCGGCATGGGCCATTATCTCGTGCAGAGGAGGGTTGGAGTAGCTTAGTGAAATGTATGTAGCATCTACAGCGACGAGCTCTCTGATGACAGACTCGTTCGAAGTGTTTGCGAGAAGACGGCTGACGACGTCTTTTGGCTGCGAAGACATTGCGTTCACTGCAGGCCAACGGTATTCAAACTGCAAGCTGGCACAGGGCTGGATCGGGGTTGGGTAAGGGTGGGAGCGTGATGGCGCAGCGCCTTTACTTATGGTCATAGGGTATCAAGGCGGGTACAGTAGCAGACCCTGACCCGAGGGTGCGCTCAATGCAAGTCTCATCACAAACTACCGCTGAACCCTATCTCAGCCGGAGCCGGCTCGTTAGGGTAAGCTTCCATGGACCGCAGTAACGCGTGCTCTGCCATGTGGACTGATCGGAGGGTGCTGATCAAGCACTTTACAAAGTCCTCACCCATACGAGCCTCTACTCGAGGTTCCACCGGAGAAAGCTAACAGATGGCTACCAATGTCCGAGTTCGCTAGCCGCCACGTCTATACCTCCTACTTGTGGTACTCAGCACTGTCCCGATAAGTCCCTGACTATGAGCGCCTGAAGGGAGAGCGATCTTTTGACTCTGCTATCACCGGGTGTCAGCCCCTTCGAAGTAGGAATGTCGTCGCTCGAGCCCTACTCGATTCTTCCGGAACCTCCGGCGCCGCCTTTGGGCTCCAAGCCTCGGTCGCACTTTCAGCCAGCACAAGGAAACCGCCCGCCATGGCCATGTTCTTCAGAAACATGATTAATTGTATCTGGTCCTGGAGGTCTTTGTGGAAAATCGCCGCAGTGAGGAGACACCATCCGGAGAGAATGACGGATACTGGAGTCGTGAAGGTGCCGGTCAGCACCATGGTCCCACCGGTGATTTCGAGGGTCGCGGCAGGCCAGATCAGAATCCCGGGGACATCATATGCTTCCATGTATTGCTGCGTTTGTGCCACCGAGGTGAGCTTGGAGACGCCGGAGAGGATGAAGAGCAGTGACATCAAGAAGCGTGCTGGCGCACGGAAGAGATGCTTGGGGAGGTTCATTCTAGTGATTGATGTCCCACAGACTCTAAGGTATGACAGTGCGGATGGTGGTTTATAAACCATTATCCGTGAGTTAGACCGGTGAGTCTTCGCTGAAGCCGCCGGAATGACACCGCATCAATGAGGTCACCTCACACTAGCCATGCGATCGCCTTGTCAAGCCCAAAACTCGACATGCTGCTGCATCTGTGTCGCAGATTTAGGCCACCGGCGTGACCAAGCCTCGCATGATTAGTGCGATCGAGCGAGGACAGTGGCGGCAATGGAGAGTTTGTCGTCAAGGTGCTTGCTACCGTCGGTTGCACCGATTGCAGAAGCTTCCTCCGTGCCGCATGCAAGATGGAAGGCAAAAGGTCCAAGGCTCGGGTTCGGAAGTGGTCAGCCAGTCCCGACAAGGCTGCCCCTGTGCACGCTTCCGTATCTGGCAGGTTGAAGGTGCAGAGGCTGCTCGTTACCAAATGGATCGACAGCTGTGCTGGTGGTGAATAAGCAAAGAAGCAGTTCTTACCGTCAACTCTATGCCGAAAGCCCGCCCAAAGAGCCCTCATTGCAGACCACGCCAGGCCAGTCCATGCATCCAGAGCAGAAGGACAGCTGACCAACAGTTTTGGGCCTGAAGGCTTCCCGCCGTACGCATTTTGGTCGCTAAAAGAAGCAGGAAGACTTGTGGGATACTCCTGTAACCAGCCAGTCAACATATATATATACCCCTTAGAAACTTGGTGGCGGATCTGGTCGATCAGTTGACTGTCTTTCACTCAACCTCTCCCCTCTCCCAATCAAGCACCACGAGCGAAAGACCTATTGTTCGTAAGCGTCTTCGGCCTCTTGCCAACATGTCATCCACACAAGGTAGGCCCGCCCAACTTAGCAAGCAATGCCAATACATGCTTGTCAACAGCGAGCGAGCTGATTCTGGTGCAAATGCAGACACCAGCTCCCAGGAGATAGCGGACCTCCTCCAGTCATACCGCAACGCGCTCGTCAACTCCTCCGCCAGCGACGTCATCAAGCTCTACGCGCCAGATGCCTTGCTCATGGCGCAAGGTTTTCCCATAGTCGGCTCGGCCGAGGACATCCTCAGCTGGTACGAGAACTGTTTCAAAGTCATCACGCTGGACGTCGTCTTTGAGATCAAGGAGATCGTGGTCGTATCAGACGAGTATGCGTTCGCCACCACGACCAGTGCCGGGACTCAGAAAGACAACGCCTCGGGCAAAGTGACGAATGAGGGAAATCATGAGCTGTTTGTTCTTCACAAGGTGGACGGGTCCTGGAAGATTGGCCGATATTGCTTTTCGACCACGAAGAGCTAGGGGAGAGCACATGGATTTTGGAGCAAGGTATGGATGGTCATTACCTCCTTTCCCCATATGCTCAGTAATCGTCCTCGCATCAGTTCATGAAACTGGACTTGAACCCATCCTACAGAAATGATGGATCTCAATGGTCAAGGAAGCTAGCTTGTCAGTTGGAGATGACTGGGATATGGCTGGCCTGTCTGCGTAGAGATGAAGCTGCCTAGTCCTTTCAGTGTACTGGCCTCGACGTCGACGTGGAAATTTCATACCTCAGATTGACAAGCAGCATTTTCCCGTCGTGTCTGTAGCCCTTGGAGACGAGACGTTATGGCTCCTATTCCACGGGGGCCGCCGTATCACCAGGTAGAGGTATTGACAAGCTTACCGAGCTCAGTGCATCTTGAGTCTTCGAGCTTGCATCTCGCGCAGACGATGTGATTTCTTTCGAGCTGCTAAAGCTTGGGATGAGTGAATCAATGATGGGCGTTGACGCGATTTCGTGCCGCTCGCGTGTCGGATGAGACGAAGCTGACAGTGGCCTGGTTGGTGCAGCCCAGCTTCAACTGCCCAGCACGAATGCAACGCAAGCTCCGGCACGCCGGCTGCGCCTCTGACCTCGTTCAGACTCGTTTCACTTCCCTGTCATGTCCTCACAACCCATTGACTGCCTTGCGCGTTTACACGTTTCTGTTTGCTCTGGTTAGAATCGCCTCCTCGCTTTTGATGTCGCACTTTGGGTATTAGCATTGCGTTTGGTCTGTATCGGCTACCCCGCAACATCCTGGTGGGAGTGACTGTGCTTGTGCTCTTCCACCTCCACCATGGTTCGATATCGCGACGATGAGGAGGACCCCGCAGCAGAGATTCCCGAAGCCGAAGACGACCCAGACAACGTGCCTGGAAGCCCCGAGTTACACATTCGGTCCACGCCGGACTCTCCTACCACCGGTACGCTTCCAATACCCATATGGCTCCGGGAATCCGCAAGTTCATTCAGATACAAATGGGTACCTCTACCCGTCAGAAAAGCAGGAAGAGCGATTGCGACCTGGGTCAAAGGTCCCAAGCCCCCTCGAGTCCTCAAGATCGAACCTATTTTCCCGAAAATCCAACAGGCGCCGATCAGACTGCTGGATAGATATGCGCCGAAGAAGAAGCAGCGTGTCATCTTGCTGATGGCCCTCTACGTGTGCTGGTTCCTGACGTGGTCACTGATGGTCAAACAGCACTCTACATCGGGTTTTATCAAAGGATATGGCCGGCCGACCAACTTGTGGTGCGGAGCCAGTTTCTGGAACGAGGGCAATGGTTGTGGTCTTAATGGGAACAACTGTCGGCCGTTTTCGTCGGCGCATCTGACATTTCGATGTCCCGCAAACTGCGCGGGCACACATCTTTTGGAAGAACACATGGTTGGAAACATATCATTGAGATATCAAGGGTTGGTGGTCGGTGGACCAGATCCTCAAGACCCCAGCTCAATGCCCGTCTATCGAGCCGACAGCTTCATCTGCCAGGCTGCAATCCATGCGGGCATCACCACCGACGCCAACGGAGGCTGTGGCGTCGCGACTCTTGTCGGATCTCATACAAACTTCCCCTCGAGCAAGGCCAATGGCATCGAAAGCACGAGCTTCCCCGGGACATTCCCTCGATCGTTCACCTTTCAGCACCTCTCCTCTACGCAGGCGCAATGCCCAAAAGATTCGCGGTGGCCTATTTTTGTCGTCACCGCCGTTGCACTCGTGATCCTGTCAATCTTCACCACCTCGCCGGCCGTCTTCTTCTTCAGCACATTCGTCATTATGTTTTTCCACGTGGGCCTCGTCTCCGACCCACCGAACACGGCCAATGTCTACGAAGCGATCAGCAAGCTAGTCGAGCGATTTCTCCCCGCGATCTTCATCGCCATCATCCTGTACCATGTTGCGGCTGTGCCGCTCCTAACAGGGGTAACCGCCCAAATCGAAAAGACAATCCTGTACCTCGGCTTCTGCTTCATCGGCGCCCTGAACAATTACACCTTCGCCCCACTGATCCCCATCGAACGTCTGACGCCGCACGATCTAGCTCAACCGGGGGCCCCTTTCGCCCTCGCCATCATCGTGACCGTCATCCTCGCCATCGTAATCTCCCAAGTCCACTTTATTCGGGTATCAGGCAACATGCCGAAATACCTGGCCATCTACGGCGCGATGGTCCTCGCACTGGTCATCTTGCTCGCACTGCCGAACCTCCGCCTCCGCATCCACCACTACATCCTCGCCATGCTGTTCATGCCGGGCACCTTCACGCAGATCCGGCCGTGTCTCGCATACCAGGGCCTGCTGCTGGGGCTGTTCATCAACGGCGTCGCGCGCTGGGGGTTCGCGTCCATCGTCCAGACGCCCGCCGCGCTAGGCGAGGCCAACGGCGGCGGAAGCAACGGCTCGCCCGGCTCTTGGTGGGGTGCCAAATCCCCCAACGTGACGGCCGTGGTCGCTGCGGATATCTCCAACATCACATTCAACTGGGGTCCATTGCCGCGCGAGTCGGGCGTCGACGGCGTTAGTATCCTGATCAACGACGTGGAGAGGTGGAGAGGATACACGGACGAAGAGCTATACTGGGACTCCGAGGGCGTGACGTTGAAGAGGAGGCACGAACGCGGCGATAGCGCCGAGGGGCTCGAGCCCGAATTCTTTCGGTTTGCCTGGATGAGTGGGAGCCAGACGGGGCTGTACTCCAAGGTCGGCCTGTGGGATGAGCATGGGCTGTGGCGGTCGCCTGAGGAGGGGACGACGTCGACACTGGGCTCGAGCGAACAGAATGAGGTGAAGAATTGGAATGGTGAGTTTGATGGCGTCGGGAAGGATGAGGATGAGGAGGAGAGGGAGAAGGAGCCCGATGCAAGGGTCATTGAGTTGTAGATCCCCCAGCCCTAGCTTGACTAGTTGGCCATGTGTCCATGTATTATGATGGGTGGTTTGATGTAGGGGTAGTGAGCGTTACGGAGTACGTGGGTTGGATGGTGCAAATATACTTGTGTACATACGCTTAGCTTGGCCTGCACGCTTGTGCGCCTCATGAAGCAGAAAAGAACGACATGCCTTAGGTCTGTAGATTGCATGACCCCATTGACGCAAGATAAAGCACTGCATTTCCATAGGAGTCGACACCTACTCCAGCGGACTCTATATGTCTATGCGTTCATCCGTGGGGTACATCGAGATAACACAGAGTTAGACGCATGTACACGGTGTGGGCGACGAGGATAACAGGTGTTGAGACGTCGAGATGTCGAGATGTCGAGATGCTCAAATGTTCGAACCCCTCTAGCTTTGCTATATACCGGCCATTGACATAGAGAGACAGATACGCAAGTCGTCGAAGTAGGAAAGCGCGAGCCCATGCAAGAGAAAAGTGCATGCCGTTTACCATCTCTGCCGCAGTGTTGGAGTGCTACCGCGCCCATTATTAAGGGCCACAAACGGTCCAGACCACGCTTGGTGACCATCAACGGAAGTACATAAGTATGTACTCATGTCTTGCGAAAACGAGATGCCCCTACCTGAGACTCCAAGTACGCACTCAATGGGGACTCGTGTAAAGAGATGGTCATGAACAAGATGATTACTACAGTACCTAAGGGAACCGTGCGGTCAATTACCCATTCGCTCCCGCGCTTCACTCAATCCGTCCCGTCCCAGATGCAACGATATCCGCATGCAAATACCTCGCTCGTATCCTACGCCGATCTCCTATGATAACGATGTCTCGGGGGTGCAGTGAAGGCCGGAAGATCGGCCGATGCTCCCGATGTTGTTGAAGTCGGAGCAGAATAGGGAGGCACAGTCGGATCCGTGGTCGTGGTCGTGCTAGATGGCTCCGCTGCCGAAGGTGTTGTCAATGTGTGCGACGGTGCCAGCGCAGCAGCATCGGTGGTGCTTGTAGTTGCTAGAGCTGGTGGAGAAGACCTGGTCGTAAGGCCGCCGTACGGACTGCTCGAGTTGGATGGAGGCGGATCGAAGGTCACGTTCGTGCCAGGGGCGTTCCCCCAAGTCGGAAGACCAGTGCTGTTGGAATATCCTCCAGTGGTCCCATTCCCACCACCTGTCCAGCTGCCGCTGCTGGGACCCAACCTGATATTGTCAATATCCAGGAGTGGAGACGTTGTATCCACCCCATCGCAGCTGAAGACGAAGGAGAAGGTGCTTGCAGAAGACGTGATCTGGAATTCTAGTCCGGTCATGGTCCAAGCACTGGCGGTCGACAAAGAGCCAATCGTCGCTAGGGTTCCCTCATCATTGGAGACGGTCAAGCTGCACTCATCGGGAGCGTCTCCTGAAACGGGAACTCTGTACGCGAAAGAGTACCAATAAGATCCCTTCGTGGCTGGAGTGTCGAGTGTTTGCGCCAGAGTAGCGGTCACGTCTTCGAAAGTGGGTCGGAACCGTGCGAATCCTTTACCTTCGTAGGCTTCATCTGGCGACGAAATGTCGCGTCTGCGTTCAGGCGTGGGCGAAGAGTCGGAAACACCTCCCCATACAATGTCCACTTCATCCAGTGTCCAACCAGTCTCGCTACATTCGAAGCTCGGATTCCGAAGAATCTGCGATGGCGCGGCGGCATCACAGGAGGACGTGTTATGAGCAGGGTATGTCGAGTTGCTGGCCCAATCTCCTGCCGTCCCGTTGTGATTAGAAGACGCTGTTTGTGTTGGCCATGGTCTAGAAAACGCGACTGTTGTAGTTACGCTGGTGGTGGTCGTGGGGAGCACGTATAGAACTGACGTTGTCGTGGTCAAGCTCGACGGCGTCGTGACATCCCACTGCGCCGTACCGTTCCAGTCCGTCCAATTCACAGAGGGATAAGACCCGTTGTAGGCAGGAATAGTAGGGTGGGCTTTTAGAGAGCTTCTCGTGGATGGAGATGAAGTCAACGAAGTAGTGCTTGTCAGCGCGTTCCCAACAGAGAGGGTGGACGTCGTGCTGACGGTGCTGGAGACCACTGAGCTGCTCGTAGTCGTCCAGTCTAACCAGATCGAGTTCGAATCGTTGAAGTGTGTCCAGTTGCCTGTTCCGCTAAAGGCAGGGACTGTCGAGTGTCCTGCCTGCGAGCTGGATGTGGTTGAAACAGTCGAACTGCTGGTAGTTGTCCCTATGAATATCCGTTAGTACTTACGAATGCCGTTGAGTCGACAGCAAGATGTGCCCCGTCACTACGGTCTTCCGAGAGGGTCACTCACAGTCTAGCCAGATCGAATTAGAGTCATTGTAGTTCGACCAATTTCCTGATCCAGAGTGTGGCGGGGTCGTGGGGAAGGCGGAGGCCGAAGTGCTTTTCGACGAGGACGACCGGGTCGTGGTGGCATCAAATGGTGTGTTTTGTGTCCTGCTGGTTGTTGTGGTTGGCGACGAGGTCGATGTGACATACAAGGTGCTCGTACTGGTGGTGGTTCGAGTCCAATCCAACCACACGGAGTTCGTGTCATTATAGTTAGTCCAGTTGCCACTTGTGGGATGCGGGAATGCAGAGCTCGTAGTTGATGTGCTTACAACGCCGACCGGCAAAGGTGAAGTAGTCGTGCTCGAGGAGGTCAAGCTCCAATCCAGCCAGACTGAATTTGAGTCATTAAAGTTTGTCCAGTTGCCCTTTGCCCAGTCTCCGCCAGGAGGATGTGCGGACGTTGAGCTCGTGGTGGCGTGGTGGCTCGTACTGGTGGTCATGGCATCCACCGGCAACGCTGAAGTGGTGAGGCTCGTCGTTGTAGAGGTCAAGCTCCAGTCCAGCCAGACAGAGTTTGAGTCATTGAAGTTCGACCAATTGCCACTCGAAGGGTGAGCGAAGTGGGAGGTTGAGCTCAAATACGCACTGGTGCTAGTAGTGATAGCGTCAACTGGGATAGGAGAGGTCGTGGTGCTTGAAGAAGCTCTTGACGTAGACGTCCAATCCAACCAAGGCGTCCCATTGCCATTCCAATCGCTCCAGTTGGCGCCCGTTGGGTAGCTCGAATGAGGGGACAGGACACTTGTGGTGGACGTAGTCTTTGGCGTGGTTGTCGTGGTTGTCGACGAGGTTTCTGCCAATAAGTTAGCTATGTCGGATCCATCTTTCGCGACGACCACCTACCACTAGCAACAGGGGTGATATCAAGGACAGTTGCAAAGCAACCACTTGGTCCCGAGCTTCCGAAGACGATGAAGACAGTGCCTGATTGATCGACGCAGGTGGAGGCACTGTGCGACTGAAGCGAAAGGATCCCATCGGCGTCGATAGCCCATTTAGAGAGGTTACCACTCTTGGTCGTAATTAAGTGGAAGATAAGATACGGTTCACTGGCATCTGAATCCACATAAGACGAACCTACTCGCAAGTAGCCCTCAGTGTCCAAGAAAAACTGCGCTGCCGAAGACCGTCCGCTAACCAAGGCACCGAGTCCATTAGCCCACCCCAAGTACTTAAGGTCCCGCTTGGTCAGCTGGACGCTTTTGGAAGTAATGTAGAATAGCTCTGTAGCGGGAGGTGCAGGGGTGCTTGGGGTGCTTGTGGTGGCCAATATGCTGCTAGAGGTGGTCGATGCTTCAACACTCAGTGTGGATATTGTGATGGACGTCGTTGTCTCCCAATCTTCCCAGCTGAAATTGCCCGAGTGCGTCCAGTTGGCTGGAACCGTCGGAACTGCAAACGCAGAGCTTGTAGAGGTGGAAGAGACACTTCGAGTCCAATCCAACCAAGCACTGCCATTTTCTGATGGCCAAGTAGGATACCCAGCTACTGATCTTGGGAAGGAGGTCGTGGGAAGCGCACTGCTTGTGGTTGCGGCATCAACTGACGCAAGGGTTGACCTGGAAGTAGAAGAAACTGTCCAGTCCAACCACGCGCTTCCATTTTCTGACGGCCAAGGCCAATAACCAATGCCTGAGCTTGTTGTGGATGTGCTGGTAGTCGTAGCATCAGCCGTAAGAGCGGTCGATGTGGACGAAACAGTCCTTGTCCAGTCCAGCCAGGCGCTTCCACTTTCTGAGGGCCAATGCCAGTAGGAAATCCCGGAGCTTGTGGTGGTGGTTGTAGTAGCAGAAGAGGAGCTTGTAGTCGCAGAATCGATCGGAAGCACACTCGATGAAGATGAAACCGTCCTCGTCCAGTCCAACCAAGCACTACCACTCTCCAGACTTGGGCTTGTAGTGGCTGCATCAGCCGGAACAACACTCGAAGTGGTTGAGGTTGCAGAAGTTGTCCTGGTCCAGTCCACCCACGCACTTCCATTTTCTGAGGGCCACGACCAATAACCTGGCGTCGAGCTCGCTGGAGAGCTAACTGCGCTCAGAGATGAAGTTGTCGTAGCAACACTCACCGAGAGAATGCTTGATGTGGTCGAGGTGGATGAAAGGGACCAGTCTAGCCAAGCACTACCTTTCTCTGACGGCCATGGCCAACTGTAAGCTGCCGATGAAGTGCTCGAAATGCTGGATGTCGTTGTGATCGCATTCACGTACAAAGAGCTCGAGGTTGAAGTGGTGGTCGTCTGAGTCCAGTCTAACCATGCGCTCCCACTTTCCGAGGGCCACGCCCACGCAGATCCGGTGGGCCTATGGCCTGTCGAGGAAGAGGTGCTGGACACGCGGGACGCAGTGGAAGAGAGCCCCACGTACGGAGAGCTCGACGTCGAAGACGTCATTGTTTGGGTCCAGTCTAGCCAGGCGCTCCCATTCTCGGAAGGCCATGGCCACGATCCAGTTGGTCTGTAGCCTGTTGGCGAAGTGCTCGCAATACTTGACGTGATTGAAGTAGCATCGACGTGCAAGGAGCTTGAACTCGACGAGGAGGTTGAAGATGGAGCCCTTGTCCAGTCCAGCCAAGCGCTGCCATTCTCCGAAGGCCAGGCAGAGCTAGTCGGTCTGTGGGTTACTGAAGTTGTGCTCGGGCTTGTCACGGCCGTTGTCGTAGGGTCGACGAGTAAGCTAGACGCTGATGCTGAGGTTGATGATGATACTCGAGTCCAGTCCAACCAGGCGCTGCCGCTCTCCGATGGCCATGCAAAGCTGGTAGGTCGAATGCCTAGTGAAGTGGTCGAGCTTGTTGAGCTCGTAATTGCCGGCTTCGAGTCTAGTAAGCTTGATACCGTTGAAGAGGTCGAGGATGCTTCTCGGGTCCAATCGAGCCAAGCGCTGCCATTCTCAGAGGGCCAGGCAAAGCTGGTGGGTCTGTACACAATGGAGGAAGTCGAGGTCGCTGCAACAGAAGAGGTCGTTGTAATATCGTGTATCAAGACAGAGCTAGTGGTCGATGATGAAGTCAAACTCCAGTCCAACCACGCACTGCCGTTCTCCGACGGCCAAACAGACCAAGCAAATTTCGTGGTCCGTGAGGAGGTGGGCAGAGACGTAGACGTGGTCAGTGCATCGTCTGGCACAGAATTCAAAGTTGAAGATGTTGTCGTTGCTACATTAACAGGCCTGGAGGGATAGCCCTTCGTGTGGGAGGCGGCGTTTGTTGATGATTCCCAGTCGTTCCAATCCTCCCACTCCATCGAAAACGTTGGCCGACCGCCCCCGGGTCGTCCAGGTCGAGTAAATGGTATTGGAGTGGTCTTCGTTGACGGAGTAACCCGTGTACTCGTCATATGGGAGTGTCGCACAGGCTCGGTAGTCGCGCCAACAACACTATTAGAGCTGGTCGTACTGGAAGACGTCTGAGTCGAAATCATTGAAGTGGTCTCGTCTTCCCAGTCCAACCAATTGCCAGATTGAGGACTGCCCGTGGGCCTGCCGGGTCGGATTTGTGGGCTCGTAGCTAAGTTCAAAGTTGAAGTATCAGCAGGAGTAGTTGAACCTCCCAGACCGTTCCCTGGCTTTTCTGTTGTAGATGGCTTCGTTGTCGTACTATAAGACGGAACGCCTGGACCGGCTCCAGAATGACCATGCCTGCTCGTTGGTGAGCCCGATGATCCTGGGGATCCCGGATTGCTTTCTCCAGGAGTAGGTTTCCCTGTACCGCGCGATGATGTATGAGTTGGGTCGACGGGGACTGTGTGACCTCCATCTCTGCCAGCGGAAGAGCCAGAAGTGGTGGATCCCTTTGAGCTGGTGGAGCTCCCACTATCACCGCTGCCAGGCCCGTCTGTGGGAGGGCTGCTTCCGTGCCATGGATGATGATCTTCCCAAGAAGCGTCTTTGCTACCACCGCCAACAGGGATAGTCGCAGAGGCGCCATCAGACCCAGTGTTGGTTCGGTCCTCACCACGTTTATCCCCTGCCCAGCCACAAGTGAAACTGTGTGAGATGGAATAGGTTGTCTCCCCGTCTGAGCTACCAGTCTCTGTCGCGTATTCTGGTCCGTATGGTTGAGAGTACAAATCGCAATATTGGCCTTGGTTTACACCATTTTTAGAGACGACATAGGTGTTGAAAAACTTGCAGTCAACCGCACTACATGCACTCGCGCAGTTCGCGGTATCGAAAGAGCCATAGAAGATTTCGGAGCCAATGAATGAGCCAGACTCTGGTGGTGGATGAATAGCGGAGTCTGCTAGGAAGGTTGGGACATCGAATCCTTCAGGGGTAGTAAGTGTACTATTTGTGTAGCCGTTGTTTCCCGCAATCACAGCGTTGGCACCGTTCGTGTGGCTGACCGTAATGGATCCAGCGGAGAAAGAACACTTGATAGAAGGAGCGACTCCGCCGACTTGCTTCTCGAAGTAGATCTGGAAAGAGGAGCACTCATCCATGCTGTCACAAATCGCGGCGCATATGCTGCTATCATACTCGTCAAGTGTCGTATGGCCGAGAAATCCATCTCCTGAGTTCCATGTTTGTCCATTGCTGAATGCCTCGTAATAACCGATCGGGGTCGCAGCGGAGGAGGCAGCGTCAGAGAAGACTTTGTTTGACGCCCACTCAGCGGCAAGAGGGTCGTTACACGAGCAGGTCGGCTCAACGTCGCGTTCCCAGAAGTTCTTCTTCCACGGCAGATAACCCTCCCATCTTCCCAACGAACCTAACGCGACATTAGAGAACAAGAAGAAATAAAAGAATGGCAGCATGTTGCATTGAGCAACAGCTCAAGAAATGAGCGACTAATGTGAAGAACGAACGGACGCGTGCCAATCGACGACGCAACAACTGTTTACCAAACGAGAAGGGAAAGGAAGACAAGACTGCGCAGTCTTGGGTAGAGAGCAACAGCATGTTAGCGGGCTCCCGCTCTCCGCAGGCTGAGCGGCGTGGTGAACGCAACCAATGCACCCCATCGTCCATCGAGCGCCTCAAATCCTGGCTTTACATCGATCGTCAAATGGGAGCGGTTGCCGAGAGTCGCTTGTCTTGATGGGATCAGCGCCACATGGTCGGAGATGCACGAGACTCGCTTGATAGTCTCCTGCCCGTAACTTTCGTCAAAGAACCTTACCGTTCGAGACAGGGCCGTTTCTCCCTTTGGCTGGGGATTCTCGGCACACTCGGTTCGGCTGTCTCAAAGAGGGCTGGTTCGGACGACGGCTGAGAGTCTCGCAGTCATGGAGTCATTGTTGTGGGTCTTGGGGATTCTAATATTGAGTCTCCGTGGTCTAGCGACAAAGCTCGGATGAGTGTTGTTGCAGATTCTGAGGTGAGGTTGAGGAAAAGGAGAAAAGTATACGCCCAAAAACGGGTTAGCGTGGGTCACCGTCATTGCTTGGCAGCTCGTGGCTTGCATCAGGAGATTAAAACCCATGCTTTTCTGAGTTTGCGATCGTGTTCAGCTTACGAGTTTACCTTTCTCCCGAGCTTCATGACTGAGACTGGAATAAACAGACGTGAGATCTGGGGAGGATCAGTGCCTCTGGGGTTCGTCATTCTGGTGCAAAAGAGCTGAGACTGATCATGTCGGAGAGACGAAGATGGCGGAGGACGAGTTTGACATAACGCGTTCATTTCCAGCAGAACTCAGTACATCTACTATGCTGCTGCCATGATCCAGATCCAATACAAGCACCTGTCAACATCAGTAATTTGTTTTGAGTTGACTTTCCAAACGGGCTGAGACAAACGGGCGGTCTTCCGAGGCGGTTGTCCATTCTCTTGGCGGTCCTAGCATTCCTCAATTACAGTACATGAGGCATATGTAGGCATTACTTCACCGGTCGATGGACAGGTAGCCAAGGATCTCCTCATCCACAATCTTTGTGTGCCTTTTACAGCAGTCACATTGCCGATTCTCAGATGCATGCGACTCCTAACGTTACTTTAGTAAAGTGCAAAAGGCCATGGAGTGGAAGGTCGACATTGAGACTGGCCAGGGTTAGCAGGCACCCGGACCTCTGGATCGGCCGCCCGGGCACCTCCGCGATCCAAACTTGGGGAACGCGTGTGAAGAGCATGCAGGGCACGCCACGCGCCTACCACGTCAAGCACGTGCAGGTATGCAACCACTGACTAAGGCTCCTCGGCCTGCTCAGAGTAGCGGTCGTCAGCGGCTCAGTTCACCGCAGCATTGCGGTGGAGTATTAGACCCAGATGGGCGAACTGAACCGAGGTGTGTCGGGCCGAGGACAAAAGTCTGGGGGCTTCCCCAGATTGACCTCGTTTGACTCCGCATCGAGAGACCGAGAGGTCGGGTCAGCAGCGGGTCAAATAGAGGTATGTACCTAGCGTAGGGGAATGGGCATGGCATAGATATCTGAGTATTGTTGTACTGTACTTGTTCCTGCTCTTTGTCGTCTATTTGTCCCATTCAACCTTTTCTTCGTAACCATGAACTTCGAGCTTCCGGACGACGTGCAGAACTACCTCTCCCGCGTGGACGCTTTTATCAAGGAGAAGATCCTCCCCCTTCAACACAAAGACGACAACAACCGCTTCTTTGACCACCGCCGTGAAGCTTCGCGGACGCAATGGGACAACCAAGGTCTCCCTACTCATGAGTGGGAAGACCTGCTTCGTCAAGCACGCAAGCTCGCCGACGAAGCGGGCTTTTACCGGTTCGGCTTCCCCAAGGAATATGGTGGTGCCGGCAGCGACCAGCAGAATCTGTACATGTGCGCGATACGATACCATCTCGCGTCTCACCCCGTCTACGGCGGCGGTGTAAGCCTGGCCAATGATCTCCAGAACGAGCACAGCGTGGTTGGCAACAACCCCATCATCATCATGCTGCAGCATTACGGCACCAAGGAACAACAGCAGAAGTTCATCCCCGCGAGTATCAAGGGCGAGTTTCGAGCCACATTTGGCTTGACCGAGATTCACCACGGTTCCGATGCCACGCACATGGACACCACCGCCAAACCCATTACCCTTGCCAACGGAGAAGCGGGCTACGAGATCAACGGCAACAAGAAATGGCAGACAGGCATGCACTCGGCGACACACTGCCTCATCTTTGCACGCACGTCCGGGCAAGCAGGCTCACCGAAGGGCATTACGGCCTTCATCGTCCCCCGAGAGACACCGGGCGTGAAAGTCGCGTCGTACGAGTGGACGCTCAACATGCCGACGGATCACGCAACCATTCTTTTCGACAAGGTGCAAGTCCCGGCTTCGACTATCCTCGGGCCACTTGACAATGGCCTAGCCATCGCCCAGACATTCACACATGAGAATCGCATTCGACAGGCCGCTTCGAGCTGCGGGGCAGCTCGGTACTGTATTGACCGAAGCGTCGAGTACGCGAAGAAGAGAACCGTGTTCGGCAAACCGCTGTCGTCGAACCAAGCTATACAGTGGCCACTCGTGGAGTTGTCCACCCAGGCTGAAATGCTGAGGTTGCTCATTCTCCGTACGGCTGTGGAAATGGACCAAGTCACGGCTGCTGCGAAGAAGAGCGGCAACGCACCTTGGGTGGCCATTGAGAAGCAACTGGGCCACAAGATAGGCATGTGCAACTACTATGCCAACCGGTTGTGCTGCGACTCGGCCGACAGGGCGATTCAGATCCATGGCGGAGTCGGCTATTCGAGGCATTATCCCTTTGAGCACATCTGGCGGCATTTCAGGAGGTATAGAATCACCGAAGGCAGTGAAGAAGTGCAGATCAGGAAGGTCGCCGCGTATCTGTTCGGCTACAAAACTACAGGTGAAAGCACGGAGCAGCAGCTGAAGAAGAGTGAGGCAAAGTTGTGAATCGCCAGATCGACTCCGTAGGTCGGTAAGTCGGTAGCACTTGTTTCTGTGGATAATAAAGGATCTATGCCTGCGGTTCCTATGTTTCCACACACACATATGCCCAAAGTCTTACCGGGCATTCAACAAACGTCTTCAATCACCAGCTTCTCACCACTGTGCTCGCCCAGATCAATCTTCAACCTACGTTCAAACACCTCCAACAGGATCTCAAAGCACATCTTCGTCACGGCCGGGTCATACCGTCCTTTACTCAGCTCGTCTCTGATGAAAGCGTGCTGGGCGCCAAGGATCTCGAAGAACGAAAACTGGACGCCCGTCTCGTGCAGCGTTTTACGGATCAAGTCCCTCCCTTCGGGGGGCACATGGTTGTCACTCTTCCCAAAGATCATGACCAACTCGCCCTTGATATCGCCCGCTCTTTTCAGACTGTCGTCGTTCTTCCCTTCTCCCAAACTGTGGCTATGTATATCAGTCGCGAAGTAGCAGACCGCAGCGGTGACCCTCTGATCCAAGGCGCATCGGTAGGCCAAGTGTCCACCTAAGCACATCCCCGTCGCGCCGATCTTGCCACTGCAGGTCTTGAGGCCAAGCAGCACTGAGACAGACAGTTCGGCGTCTTCATCGTATGCTGCGACTTTCTTCTTGATCTTCCACTCGTTTCCCGCATCAGTGCCTGGGACATCGTACGCCAATGGTTCTGGGCCCGTGAATTCGTGGTACGACGAAGGAGCTGCGACGATGTATCCTTGGCCGGCGATTTGGCGAGCAAAGCGGGAGACCGGTCCAGTTACTGCAACACGGTGAGCTACTCTTTGTCCATGCTCGGCCAGAGAAGTATAAGTAGAAGGTATTAATGCTACGACGAAGGCTGTGCATACCTTGGTAGATCTCCGAGAAGACGACGACGCCTGGAAACTTTGCATGCGGATAACCTGGAACGGTGGGATGGAAAATGAAGATGCCTTTTCAGTCCTCGCTCAGCCTGTGTTCGCGTTCTGAGCTGGACATGAGAGGCATACGCATTGAGCCTTCTCCGGCTGCCTTGGTCGGCACATCCTTGTAGGACTCCTGGACCAACATTCCGGCGGCCCTGAAGTCAGAAATATGCAGTGTGCAACTGAGTCCGGTGGTGTGAAGGTCGCGTCTCAGGATGCACTGTGAAGCAGCCTGTCTGCCAGTCTGTCTCGACCAAAGAATTTGAAAAAGAGGGGCAACGTCTGTCGCGCACAGATGTGGGGCGCCGCGAGATTCAATCGAAGCTTAAATCGAGCTCCAGGCCTGATTCCGAGTTCTTGACATCTGAGAAGCCAAACTGTTCCTTTCAAGTATTCATTCACCAAGTCAGTAGGTATTCCTCTGGACTGAGTGGCTGCATGTGTCCTGTATCGTCTTGTCAGTTCTTATGGCTAGTATCGACAGCATCTCTGCAACTGGGATGTCCTCTACGGAAGCTCGCGCCCTGACCATGGAACATGAAAGTTGCCTCAGTCCACCTTGTCCCCATATCTCGACGTTGAGAAATGTAAGAGGGCTCGACCATTAGTCCAGGCAGTAGTCTTGATGCAGTCCTCCCTGAAATGACTGTAGGTGCCTACCACTGTCCTCTTCTGACATTCCAGGCTATCAAGGACCTTAACCAATATGTTCCCCGTGCATCACCTATGCATTGTGTATATTCCATGTCGACCAACAATGGTATTGGTTCCAGTCAATTGGCATAGAGCAAAGTTGCGTCGGCAGCAATAGATCTGCACGCTGCAGACAGACAGTCTCAGAGCTTATGGCGAGTTATCTGCAACGAGGTTCGAGGCAGGGTGCGCTCCCACGCAGATGACCAACTTTTGCTCGCAGCTCCTCGGCATTGAGGTTCCTCGACAACTGGACTGGCAACGACATGTCGCCTGAAAGTGATGGATATAGGGAGACTCACGGATGGGGGAACAATTCGTTGGCTGACGGCAGGGAAGCAAAGTCTGTCTGTACAATGGTGAAAGCGAAGCAGGCGGGTAGTGTCGTCGTCGAAGACTCCATGGGGCAGCGCAGCAGATGTCACTTCACTGCCGCTCTCGCAAGGCGGTCACGTTTTCCAGCCTCACGCGACGCCGGTGAGGTCTGATTAAATGCGCATCCGCGACGATATTTCAGCCGCGCTTTTTCGGTCACTTCTGTTCCTCCAGCCGTGAACCTCAACTGAACACAAGCCACGCACTTGTATCGCCCTCGGCAACACAACAATAATGGAGAACGACTTTGTGGAGCCAGACTTCATGGACGGCTACTTTGGTATGTCTGTCCATGCAGGCGCTGAACGATATTGACAAAGATAGACCTTCCACCAGGTGATGGACCCTACGGGCCAACTTCATCTGCGGTGGAAACCCAAGATCGGTTCTCTTTCACCAACGGTATTGATCTTGATCCGCTATACGGAGAGGTGCACAATGGTAAGTCTCACAGTCCATCCCTAGTGCCGAATGATACTGATTTAAGACAGGTATCCCACCCGGGTACGAACCCTATGGGCCGACCGACTCTGCGATGACATCTCAAGATCAGTTCGCCTTCTCCGGCAGCGCGCAGCTTGATCCGACATCCGGAGAAGTGGACAATGGTCAGTCTTACAGCCTATATACTGAACGATATTAATTCGTTACAGGTATTCCACCCGAACCATATGGGCCAATTGCGTCTGCGGTGACATCTCAAGACCAGGTCACCTTCACCGACAACCTCGAGATCATCTTCAACGACAATGTCCTGTTCACCTCCACGGACAATGTCCAGTCCACCTTCAGCGACAATGTCCAGTCCACCTTCAGCGACAATGTCCAGTCCACCTTCAGCGACAATGTCCAGTTTGCCTCCACGGACAATGTCCAGTTCACCTTCAGCGACAATGCCCAGTTTATCCCCATCGACAACAGCCAGTTCACTTTCACTGAGAATATCCAGCTTGATCTGACAGACGACGAGGTGTTCAACGGTACGTCTCCCACTACATATCGCGGATGGCATTAATTCGATTCAGGCATTCCACCCATTGATGAACCATCTGGGCCAAACCCCTTGGCATTCTACGATCCATTCCTCGATCTGTTCACTGCAGACACAAGTATCCCGGTTGACCCACAGATCCAAGAGATGGATAACGGTATGTCTGTCGGTACAAATTGAGAATAATATTAAATCAAATAGGTGTCCTACGCGAAATCGTTCACACCGAACCACAGGGATCCACAGACTCATCCGTGAACCCATCCACTGTGCCCGACACCGTCCAGCTTGATCCAGATAACAACGATGACGACGGCCGTAAGTCTAATCTTGCGCACCCAGGATTAGGTTAACAAAGACCAGGTGCGGTCGCTAGAAGTGAACTCGAGGCTACTACCACCGTCATCCACAGTGACCAGGTTGATCCAAATGGCGACGATGACGACTGCAGTAAGTCTCCTTTTGCACAATCGGAACGAAAATTAACCACAAGACAAAAGGTATCATCAGTCGAGGCGAATTCGAGGCCACCACTGCCGTCATGGACACCGCCCAGGCTGATCCAGGTGACGGGGATGATGAGATCCGTAAGTTGACTCGTGCAGAGTCGGACCGACATTGACACCAAAAGGCATTATCACGCGAGACGAATTCGAGGCTACCCCTGCCGTAATCGCCGCGCAGAGAGAAGCACTTGAACTGCTCCGTTCTAAGAGATATGATGAATACGTTCTGAGACATCTCCCAGGTATGCCTTTCCTTGCGTGCCGAGAACGAGGTTAACAAAGCAGGCCTCCTGAATGGGGCGCAGCTCAACCTCGATTGGCTCTACGCGGGGGAATCGGAAGACGGCTATGAAGGCGAACCCGAAGACACACCCGGTACAGAGTGGGCTCTTCGAGATGATCTGTCGTACAATGGTATGCCCGTCCACCTATCCTCACCTGCACCATTCGATGTTGACAACAAAAGACCATCTAGATGAGAGAGAACTCAACGCCCTCGATCTCCCCGAAGAGCCGGATCAAGATGCGGCGAATGCAAATGGCACAGTCTTGATCAATCGTGAAGAGGAGGAAATGTCCTCTGGTATGCTCATCTTCTTGTGGGCTGGAAAACATTGACAATATCATAGGTGTTCGTGCCAGAATTGACAACTCCAGCAACCCCTCAGCCGAAACGATGGTTCAAGACCCATTGACACGCAACTCAGACGTCGAGCTTGATGATGCCTTGTTGAACGACGGCCAGGCTCTTGATTCCCACTTGTTCCGCTTGCAAGGAATCTCAATGAACCTTCTTCGTATTGAGGAAGTCATTCGCGAGGACGAAGCAAAGAACAAAGCACGGCTCGAGGCACTTTGGATCGACAACACCGATGTCCGCAGACGTGGGCTCCGAGGTGGCACAGCGCGCAAGAACAGACAGGACCACGGCAACTACGTCAAGTTCGGGGAGACTGCGGCGCTTAGTGCAGAGTTCCACCAACACCGTCTGGACGTTGAAAAGCAGGACTATGAAGGACGCAACCGTCAGGCTGGCTTCTCTGCACTCGGAGAACTGCTCGAACAGGCGCACAGTTGGATCCGGGAGCAATTGGGGATATGTGAGGACATGATCCGCTGCATGAACACCGGGGACATCGGGTTGCCATCAGTCAGTGCCAAGATCTCAAACATGAATGCCATTGTGTTTGGAGAGCCCGAAGAGAACCGCGCTGGGAAGATTGCGGATATTGAAGAGATGCTCCAGGCGTTCGCAGACGAGTACCATTTCAAGCTGGACTAATCTTCAGGGACTGCGTCCGACAGAGCGCGAAGGGCGAAGGGCGAAGGCTCAAAGCGCATGGGAGCGGTCATGGTGTCATGTCCACACACACTTCAGATATCTTGCTGATTGATATTGGCATGGAGTTGGCATGGAATTGGCATAGAGCCGGTATGGTTTCATGGCATAGGATATTCAGCTTGACCAAGCGGGATGCACAATTGGACTGAACCAGTCAGTCAGTCATTGAAAGGTTCCAATGAGATGGCCCTAAGGGTATGCCAACGACACCAAATAGCAAGAAAGACAATCAATGAATGACTTGTCTTCAAATCTCGGTCTTTCCCTCCTTTGAGCAGCACGTAGCTCTTTTCTTTCGCAGCAGGCTAGCACATTACTATTGTTTTGGATTGTTTTGGCTCTCTGACGCGCTTGACTCTTCTTGCACCCACCCTTGATATTACCCTCCAATCTCCCCGGTTCTCATCCTATCTTCATTGAATTGTGTTCATCTACGGATTGAGTCCCGCAATATAAACAGTGCCAAACCGCACTCTGAGATCCAATACTCTTTTCAAGTCCCTGCGACCTTCACGTCTTCGGCGTTATATGTGCATATTGGCTCAGTGAATAACGTGCTCGACAGCCAAGAGGAGGAGAGGTGCATTTGAAGAGACGGAGAGGTGACAGACACCGCAAGATTGAGATTGGCGACCTAATCGATACCACTCGAATGAAGACAGCTAAATCGAGGAAGGCCAGGACATAACGCCGCACTGAAGGAGTATTTCAACATCAACAAGAGGCACGGCGTGCTAAACATGCCTTGGCATCTCGGGCTAATCGACGTACAGGCAAAGATCTACCATCAGGATGTTACACCTCACATCAGCGGTACTTATGTGTCTCCTACGGTCTGTGGGCTTCAATTTGACCTACCACTAGTGCCACAACAATCAGCAAAAGGCTCGTTATCTCCACCCTCCACTCAGCCAGCTCCTGCACGGATCTTCCCCTCCCTCATTGTACGCCCACGACCTAGAAAATGGCCGTTGCGTTGACATGACTGCTCACTCCACCAGGCATGTTCGCCGGCGCACTGGTGAAGAAGAAGGTCCACCTCTTGTGCTTCTTGCACAACCGACTCAACTTCTCCAAGTCGACCATCTCACCCAGCGGCATCCCCCACAAGGCGATGATGAACTCATGGAGGTAGTAGCTCTCGGGCGTGGGCCAGCGTTCAAACGCAGGCGCGTCTCCGCCCACGGCCGCGAAGTAACTGTCATGCAACCAATCCTTCATGGCTTCTTCCTGCTTGACGCCCACCCACTGCGCTTCACCGCCGTGGCTCTCGGTCCCGCGCAGAGCAAGCCGCTCGCTCTCCTCCGGCGTGCGCTTGTAGTAGTCCTCGACCCAACCGCTACGAATAAGTAGGATATCCCCGATCTTGATATCGCCGCCCTGAGCTGCTGGGCGGATGTCAATGCCTTGGTGCTTTCCGCAGGCGACAAGATCGTCATAGCTGATCGCATGAGACGTGGCAGTGTCGTACTTGATGCCCACGCTGTCCGCGTACGAGCGATAATCAAGCAGGACCCCCCGCCCGGAGAAGCCGTGCTCCGACCAGTGGTGCACGCTACACTTGTGGTTTGCGGCGGGGCCGACAATGTCCTCCTTGTGGGTGTTGTTGTAGAAGGTCTGGGTGGCCATGTGGGCGAAGTGGCGGAACCCATCCCACTGCGTGCCGGACTGGGTGTTCATGTGGTATACGTCGTCGTAGCAGACGCCGTCGAAGAGCGTGAGGATCTTGTGCTCGAACTTCTGCCGCCCGAACGCTGGCTGGGCGGGGACATTGAGCGGGAGGTCCAGGCGGGCCATTTCCCCGGTGCGGATTTCCTGCTGGGCCGCGGCCTTGACGCGCGCCGGCGTGAGCAGGTTCAAGCGGCCGACAAAGTCGTCCTTGCCCCATACCCAGGCTGCTTCGTCGGGAGCGCCGACGAGCTTAGGCAGGTTCTTGCGCGTGGGAAAAACCGTGCTGTCCGGGTCGAAGGGGATGGTCGTGGCGGTCTTGCCCATGATGGTGTCCTTGATCTGGGAGAGGCGTTTTCCTGCCGAAGACAACGTGTCTGCCATTGTGTTGAGCCCGGTAGTCGGGTGGTTCTTGTGCTTCTTATGTGTCGAGCGAGCCCACTTATGTGACCGGCGTGAGAAGGAGCTTTGTGGAAACGGTCTTTCTAGCCTCTTCCGAAGACTGTGGTGGTCGTCAATTCCGAGGTACTGGCCGGCCCATTGCCGCTTCTGACCCTTTTGAGGGGCAAAGCCGGCATGGGAGCTTGACGGGTCTCCCCCGCAATATCGCACCCGTCGGCAGTCGTGTCATGTCGAGACCTGTCATAAGGGACGCATCATGACGACGGGCGGGAAGCCCTCCCAAGCGAGTAGCGGGCCTTGAGCCTAGACCCTGACAAGCGGAAACTCCGTTCCATCTGGCTCCTCTCAGAACGAGCGCCGGCACTGTCATATGGGAGAGGGTATCAAGGTTGCGCAATAGGAGGGCTGAATCGTAGTGTTGGTAAGTTCTATAGAGCGTAGCAAAGCGTAGGAAGGTTTTTCTCAGACCTATGAAACAAGAAGTCCTGTCGCCATTCTCGTCTGTCCGAATCTGAAGCGTGGCCGAAGCCGCCGACTTTGTGACTGAAACGGCTTGCCGACATTGCTCTCTGCTCCGCACCACACAATCACCAAACAACTCGAATTTTCGTTATCGCGGACGCTTAAAATGATTTCTCCATGGCCGCACCTAGAAGAACCACAAGGACGCGCCGGTCGTGGTGGACTACAAGGCGTAAGCAATTGCAAGTCATAATACTGGATCCCGTGTTGCCGGCTTCGGCGACGACGTGAAATATGGTCTCAAGCGGAGATACACTGAGCAATGGCGTCGACAAGTCATTGCACACGCGAGTGCCAAAGCGGCTATATTCACTTTCACAACCACCCTCAGTTACGGCCTTCCAGAAGCTCTGCTCTCAATCAATCGAGCCGGGAACCTATCCCAAGGCGTCGACCGTCATATCCGACATCCCCATCTACGACCTCCGCCGGAACAGTTCAGCCGCAGAAGGCATAGACGAGCTTCAAGACGAATGGCATCACATTTTCCACTCCGGGCCCGGTGTCTTCGTCCTCCGCAACTTCATGCCCGACACGAGCCTCGTCAACCAAGTCAACACGGTGTTCGACGACATCGTCCGCGACGAAGCCACCGCCTCGACAACCAAGGGCGACCACTTCGCCTCTTCCGGCAGCAACGCGCGCATATGGAATTCCTTCCAGAAGCACGCCGAACGGCATCCCGCATCTTTTGTCCAATACTACTCCAACCGATACCTCGCGGCGGTGTGCGAAGCCTGGCTCGGCCCAGCCTATCAAATCACCACGCAGGTCAACATCGTGCGGCCGAGGGGGAAACCGCAAGTCAGCCACAGAGACTACCACTTGGGATTTCAGACAGCCGAGTCGTGTTCGCGGTATCCCCGTGCCACGCAGACAGCGACTCAGTTTCTCACTTTACAAGGGGCGGTGGCCCATTCGGACATGCCACTCGCGAGCGGGCCGACGCGCTTCCTGCCGTTCTCGCAGCGGTTTGAAGAGGGATATATGGCCTATCGACTCCCGGAGTTCCAGGCATACTTCGACCAGAACTGGGTGAGTTGCGAATTGAAAATGGGGGATGCCGTATTCTTTAACCCTGCATTGTTCCACGCCGCGGGGGAGAACTGTACCCATGATGTCCACCGATCTGCGAACCTGCTTCAGATTAGCAGTCCTTTCGGCAAGACAATGGAGACGATCGATACACTGCCAATCATTGAAAAGTGCTGGGATGAGGTGCGCAGATTGTACAAGCAGGAGGGGATGAGCGAGAAAATCTCCGCCATCCTAAATGCCATGAGCAACGGGTATCCTTTTCCTACGAACCTCGACCGCCGACCGCCAGCGCCCGGCGGCATGGCGCCAGAGAGTGAACTCGATCTCTTGCGCAAAGGATTGTCCGCAGGATGGGACACGCAGGAGGTGGTCGCGGCAATCACGGCCATTCGTCGAGAATCAGCGTCAACGGCATAAAGTCATGAACTTTGGAAGTGAGAAACCTGGCATTTGTTCCCTACCCATCTATCTACCACACAAGCACCGGCTTGATCGTCGTTCCATCCTCCATCTGACGGATCGCCCGCACCGCCTCCTTGGCCGGGAAGTACTCGACAATTTTCTCGACAGGGAACTTGCCCTCCCTCCACCACTTGATCATGACGGGAACCCAAGCCTGGCCCGTCGTATTCCCCAAATATTGGCACTCAAAGGACTTGTTCTCGGTGAAGAACTGCTGCAGCGGGAGCGTGATCTCGGTGCCATACCCCGGCGCGCCCAGCTGGATGAACTTGCCATGCTTACCCAGGGACTTGAGCGACTCATTGATGACCGGCACCGCGGCCGTGGTCTCCACAACAACGGAGATGCGCTGCCCGCCCACCAGTTTCTGGATCTCCTCCGCGAAATTTTGCTGGGTGGTCGTCGTATCCAGCACCCTCGTGGCGCCCAGCTCTTTGGCCGTCTCCAGCCGATGCGCCACGCGGTCCAGCGCGATGATCTCCCTGCACCCTGCGATCTTGGCCGCCATGATAGCGCCCATCCCCACGGCACCAAGACCCGTGACGAGGACGATATCGTGCGGCTTGACGCCCGCGCCGTTGATAACGGCCCCGGACCCGGTCATCAGCCCGCACCCCAAGGGCGCGAGGAGCTTCAACTCGTCCTCATCCTCCGAGCTGACCAGACCTTTGAGATTGACCACGCTTTTCTCACTCACGATGCTCGTCCCCGCGAACGAGCTCTGCCCGAAGAATTTCCCCGGCGCGTCCTCGCCATCGGCTTGTGTCTCAAAGTGGCCTTTCTCGCCCACGATGTTCAGCAGTGCCCAGTTCAGGCAGTACGGCTGCTGGTCGACCTTGCACAGGTCACACTCGCTGCAGTGGCTGTACGACAGGATGACCGGGTCGCCCACCTGCGCGGCCGTGACGCCCGGGCCGACCGCCTCGACGATCCCCGCCCCCTCGTGGCCCAGCACCTTCGGGAACGTCAACCCGCGGTCCGGCTGGTTGGGGATCGACGCGACCACGATGTCCGAGTGGCAGATCCCGGTGGCGACCATCCGAATCTTCAGCTCGTGCTCCTTGGGTGATCGTAGGAGTTTGACACTCCCGAACCGCCAGTCTGGCTTGAATGTGGTGCTGTCAACGGGGTAGGACACCAGTGCGTGGGTTTCGGTCGCCATGGTGGGCACCGCTACGCTTGTCAATTATGCGATGGCAGTACTTGGCAGGCGCGTGGAGCTCTAGATGTGAGGACTAGGTGGGCGCAAAGTGTGTAAGTATGTAAGTATGTATATATGTATGCGTACGATAATTATGCGACCAGACCAAGGCAAGTCAAGTCGAGTCGAGAAGGCTTACTCGATGCAATGTATGTACAATATTACCTTGATGGAGATGTCCCGTGATTATCTACCCGGCCCCCCTCCTAGCTGATGGTCGTCTAAGTCAGCCTCGGGTCGGGGTGCCTGACGTGCCGACTCGATTCACTTACTCGATTCGCTTCCGTGAATACGAGGTGGCAGTTGAAGGATGGCTGGCCCCCTTGGCATGCGCTCCCCGAAACAATTATGATCCCCAACCAGACCGACGAGTGATTGATGACTTGGTCAGTGTCCTGTCTCGGTGGATCAGGCAGCCCTCCCTCATGCCGTCACGTCCGCTTACTGCTTGGAATTCTCAAGGCCTCTCGCGCGTTTCCCGAGTCAGAGTCATGAACCTTTTGGAATGAATGTGCTGGTGCGGGAGAACGAAAGCAAGGAAGCCGGATGCCTTGCATGTAACTACTGTACTCGGTAGGTAACCACCGTTTGTACTCAATATACTCTAGGAAAGTGGAACACCTGGTCATAACTACTGGTGATACTTCTATAGTAGTTATGTAATCATTCAGGCCTTCCTTCCCTCACCCCTCCCTCTTTCTCCTGCCTCTCTCCCATGCCGCCGAGCACAGGCTCACGGGGTACAGTGCGGTGTAGTGCTGTGAAGGTGCGCCATAAGCCTGCAAGACACCTCACCGCCAAGATAGAGGGCCGTCTGCCGCCGTCTCGTTCCATCTGCGTCGAGGGGGTGCCATCGAGCTCGTCTCTGGGCATTGTCTCCGCTTGTCAGCAGGGTATCTAATGTGCAAGATGGGTGCTGACCAAAGCAGAACGACTTCTAACCATTCTCAACCAATTCGCAACAACTAGCGCGGGTATTACTACAACGTCGCTGATGCCATGACTCGGGGATATCCGACACCCCCAGAGGCGGTCAGGCAAAGCCTCCTCGTCTTCATTCCTCTATCACTGCTGTCCGAGGAGCGAGTTTACGGTGGGTGACACTACAGGCAAGAGGGAGTGAGTGAGGCTTCCGAAACCAAGAGTGCACGACTCGCCCGCCAGCCGACTGTCATGCGATTCGGCACGGACGTCCCGCTACAGCTCCAACGACTCCCCGGTTTTGAAAAGCACTGGCGTTGCGGCCTCCAGCACGCACTTACGCATGACCGACCAGCCCGAAAGGAGGCGATGTACGCCCTCGTTGAGTCACGGCACGTCTTTGATGGTATGCATGAATATATGTATGTTCCCGCTGGGTGGCCCCGAACCCACGACTTTTTGCACGACCACATTTCTTCTCCAAGGCTCGGAGCATGCCTCTTACACGACAACATCTCTTCTCTCTTCTCCAAAGCTCTGCACAAGGCAAAGAAATCCATGATGAAAAGAAAAGAAAACGATCCACAGCTGTTCATGGAAGGATGAACGTGTCAAAAGCCAAAAATTGAGCTCGTGGGAAGTGCCGAAGCGAATTTCAGACCAAAGTTATCAAGACGCGCTGTGCAATGGCATGTGATGACCGATCAACAACTCGGATGCGTGAGCGCGGGTGGTTCGAACTAGGTAAGTATGAAGAGAAGGGGGAAAAGAGAAAGCAGAAAGGGGGAGAAAGAGTGGAAGGAGCAAGAGAGATATTTGGAGGCCGGGAGAGACGAGTGGCTTGGCGGCGTGATCGGATCCGCATCGGCAAGGTCAAGTGAAGAAAGAAGACGTTGAGTGAAGTGATGGAGTGATCTGGATCAAGACGACGCGATCTTGACCGAGGTGGGAAGCGAATGATTGGCTGCTGTGCTCCGCGAGGTGACGGTGTCAGGAAACGGTGAGGCAGCGTGGCTGTACGTGGATGGGCATGCAGAGAGTGATTGAGTAGGAGATGAAGATAGCACAAGATACCGATGGTGATGGAAGAGAGGAACGCCACTTGAGTTTCAAGTCTACACAACGCAACAAGCCCTTGAATGTATCATGAGATAGGCAGATACGGATCTGACGAGGTGTCGACGCACAAAGTACACAGTCCTCCACACTGGTATTGAAAGGGTGTGCAGGAGGACGAGATTAGCGACATGGGTCGAACACCCTTGGATCGGTCTGGAAGGGCGCCACCACCATCACGAAGGACGGTGAACAAGATAAGACCAGCAAACACGTCAAGCGGTGCTCACTCTGTGATTTGGGATGCTACAGTATCTGATTCTTACTCCCACTGTCAATCCCAGGTCAGCGACGACCGACTGCCGTTCAACCCTGATGAACTCTGCCTTCGATGATTAGCACTTTCTTCAATCACGAGAACACCCGGTTGTCTCCTCGAAACTTTATAGCAGGCCGCGTTGACTGTTTCCCTTCTTTCCCCACGTCCTCATATGTGTTTGGACGTCCGAAGCTGGTTGAGGCTACTCCGCGATAGCCGCTGTTCCTGTTTCACTCCCTGTGAGGGCCCCCGGGAAATAGCAAGGAACAATCTGACTCGACCGCGTAAGCATAGTAACGCGACTGCTCCCCGGCCGTGTGGACACCGACCTGGGTCGGGAGTCATCCATCATACAACCCTATGTGATCGTTGGCACGGGTGTGAATATCCGGATAGTGCAGGGCGTTGGCACAGGTAGCGGATGTGAACGATTGATGACAACGAGTTCGAGATGCTGCCAATCGGTCTGGTGTGCCGGCATCCTTGCTCAGGGACACGATGCCCATGTTCAGGTCATGCGGGGCTCAAGCAACTACCTTGATCACGTATCGGAATGACCGTAGGTAGGAAATCAAGGTTAAAGAGATGACTGAACCGCTTGCGAGGAGCGACCTCAATCGGTTAAATTGAACTCTCATATGGTATCGATATCAACTCGTCCCACCGAAAACTCTTTCCGGGTCGTATCCCTCAGAATCAAACCCAGCCGCTAGAACCACCTTGGACTCTGAACCGAAGGATGTGCGATGCCGTGCCGCTGATTTATGCCAACGCCACTATGCCTTGACTTCCTCCTTTTTCTGCTCGTCTCCGGTCTCTGCAGTTGCTTTGGGTTCGCTGGGTTCTGTCTTCCCTTCTGGTGCTTTTATGTGGCTTGGTGCTTCAGTTGAAGGTTGCGGCGGCGCAACAGTGCTCAAAATTGTCTTCGCTTGAATAACCTTGACGATCTGCTCTCCGAGGTCTCCTGAGCCGTCGATTTTGCTGATTCGGGAATTGAAGTATTCGGCGTCTGCGAGTAACCTGGAAGGATCTCATGTCAGCTCTCACCTCGCTCGAATAATGCTGCTGGCGTATTCTTACCTAGCCTTTGCTGCAGCAGACTTTATCGTCACATCTTTGTACGCGTCCGTCCACTGCTCTCGGTAACTTGAAAACACAGGTATCATGATTCCTGCCACGACCGGCTCGGGAAGGTGCTTGGCTAGCACTTTCTGCAATGTGCCCGTCTCCTTCGTCAACGTCTCCATGTACGGCGACACAGGCACTGATATATTCTTGGCCGCTTCTTCCCAGTCGATGTTCTTCATCGCTTTCACATGCATCGAGGCTCGCCCGGACATGATATCCACAAGTTTCTCATGGATGCCATTTTGATGTTCTTGGAACAGTCGCTTGACCTTGTCAAAGTCGGTCATGACTTGTTGAGCCGTTGACGAGGGCAAATGCCTTCGGAAGAACTCCCTCACATATGGTATCAGCGCAACAATGAAGCTCAATGCTTGGGACGAAAGCGCCAGGTGCTTCGTAGTGATGTTCTTCAACCCTGCACTCCTAGTGGCGCCAGCACCCAGGATCAACTGAGAGCTTCGAGAATTGAACAACTTCAGGCTTTCCAACAACGAGGTCGCAATGTCGTGACTCATGCTGGGGATACCAGCTGCCAGGTGTTGAAACATTTCCATTGACTGAAGCATGGCGATAGCCGATTCCGGAAGAATATACTTTTGCTCATCGATCATGGCACTTCGGACTTTAGCTGTAGCAGCAGCATTGCCACTTGTCGCAGTCCCGTTACTCGTCTCCGCGCAGTCACCGGGTTTCAGCCATATCATCACACTCTCAATCCACGAAGGAGCATCCATGGTACCACCTTCAATCACGCGGTTGAGAATGACATTCTCACGCTCACCGAAATCCTTGGCATCCCATTTGTCAGCATCCATGACTCGAACAACATTATGTTTCTGTGAGTCTGCAAAGCGTGCTACGAAGTCTTTGATCTGCGCATCCAGAACAGTTTTCAAACCTGTGCCACTTCGGCCGGATATAGCTTCGCACTCGTCCGCGAACAGCCTGTTGAGAGTGAAGTATCTCAGGAAATCAGGTAGCGGTAATTCCGAGTTCTGTTGCGAGCGTACCTTCACCACTTTTGTGATCTGTGCTTGAGCAAGATCAACACCCTCATCCAGCAAGCTCGAAAGGTCCAGAACCTGCTGCATTTCTGCTTGTACAGAACTGGTAGCCCTAGGGCGGCCGGGTTGAGGACTCGTGACGTTGTCGATGCTTGCCGGATCTGGCGTTCTAGGAGGGGATTTGAGCATGGAATCAGGCAAATTGCTCGTAATGTCAAGTAAAATCTTGACTTGTACACTCAGCCGGCGCAGGCTTTCGCTGATATTGGTATAAATTGTGGCCAGCATGTGATACCAATCGTCTGAATCCAGGGCTCTGAGGTTCCTTGCCAGAATAGAGGACTTCTCCTGTTGACTCATGCTCCTGCCACCTGTCGTAGACGCTGAGACAGTCGATACCGCGTCGTCGTCGTTGGAGCTAGGCAATCGCTTTCGGATCATGCTCTTCATCTCGCGTAGGACGACAGCTCTGAAGCTCGTGGCTGCAGGAGTGGTATATCTCGCTCTCGATAGGCCCTTCATTTCTGCTTCAAGTTCAGCTCGTAATTCTTTCGCGATGTTCATGTAACCGTGGAAAGACGAAGGGGCTCTCCGCTGTCCCGGCCTTGTCCTCGTATATGCCACGCCCCACCGCTGTAGTGTCACGCCGGTCTCTGTTTGCTCGACATGCCGTCGAATATCGGTGAGGAGGCTAGTGTGAAAGCGTGCCTCGTAACCTCGACCAGCCGTATGGCGCAGCTGTCGCAAGTCATCGAAAGCTCCCTCCAACGCCCTGATTCGGCGCAGATCGCGCCGCTGATATCGAGCGGGGCCTTCGTTGCTATTGATCCTGCTCTCCTTGCCAGTCATGAGTAGTTCAACCTCGTCAAGACCATCCAAAGCCTCCTCAATTTCGCCTTTTTCGACATTTGCTTCACAAGTTTGTACTGACTTCACAATGTCTTCCAATTGCATAATTGCCTGGGCCAGTTGACGGACGTTGTCACGACGTTGCTTCAAATTGACCACCTTGAGCCCATCTATTGCCATTTCCTTGTCAAGCCTGGCCAGCTCTTTTCGTAGCTTTTGAATACGGTCGACCGAGTCCGCAGCCTCGTTATGAAGTTCTCGTAGAGATCCTAAGGCGGAAAAGAAAGATTTCGACGCGGTGGAAATCGAGTTGATCAAGTGTACCTCGACTGTGTCCATATACCACGACAGCTTTTCTTGCAGAATTGCATTTGTGGCCAGAGACTTCCTCCCACTAGGTGCTCCGCTAGGGTCACGAACGATTTCCGAGTTCTCGGAGACAATGTCGAACGTCCTTGGGTTCTCGAGGTGGAAATCTTCTTCAGTATAGACGGATGGTATTGTCGACAATGGCGTGACAGCTTGCCTTCGTTGGCCACTCTGTCTCCTCTTCGGCTGGTGAGAATCAATCGGCGTTGATGCTGTTGAGCTCATCGACCCTGCCCGAGAATGACCGGGACGTTGTAGCCGTTTGGCCAGGATGGCTTCCCATTCTTCATTTTTGGTGTCCTTCTTGTCTCGGTGAAAGAGTGACGTCTCCCCTTCTCCTTCATTTTTGGCTCTTTGAAAAGCTTCGTAGAGTGACCCAACCTGAGAGAGATACGGATGGAAGGCTTTGGCTTCGATGTGGGGGATGTTTGTTAGGGCTACAGGAGGTATTTCTCGAGGGCCAGGCGCTTTGTAGCCGGAGCTTGGCGGGGGGTTCGCCCGCAGTCCAGTGTGGACAATTGGGTGCTGCAGGAGGGTTGAGATAGCATTCTGCCCGATCTCTGTGATTGCATTCTCCTTTCCCGATGCAGAATCAAGAGTGCCACCGATGCTTGTGACTGAGCTCGACGTCGAAATGCGTCGCAGATCGTTCCTAGGACCACCAAGTCTTCTCTGTGGCGTGGTCGGAAAGGGGTATTCGGTCGCAGGAGAAGTGGCTACTGGCGAGCCAAATGTACCCTGGGATGAGCCAGGCCGTATGGGAGACGCCATCTCACCTTATGCAGTCGCTCTTGCATACCGACGCTTTGTAGGCGGAGCGCAGGTGGATTCTACTTCAGACGGCGACCAGAATAGCGAGCGATGTTACAAAAATTGCGAGCACATGCAGTATACCATGCCATCAGGCACCGTGTCAAGCGTGTCAAGCGTGTCAAGAAGCCTCATCATGTTCGGAGGACCAGCACGTCTACTTTCTCCGAACGCAGGATCGACCCACTTTCGCTGACATAAGTCTCGGACATTCTTCACTTCGGCTTCATTCTCGCCTTTCACAGGATGCTTACTGAACGCCCTTCGGATCGAATTGCCCTACTCGGGGTATAATTGTATCGTTGCAACTCTTTGGCGGTAAGGTCCTCACCTCTCGGTCAATACAGCTGACCTACGAGGACTGATGCGGTTGAAATTCTACGTAGAGGACTGTTCGAAAGTCAGGCGGTACATATCTGGGTGCATACAGAGTATGGGATTCGCAATTCTGAAAGTTCACAATACTCCTAGCCCTTGTTGCTGTTCTCGCCGTCTTGCGCAGGCCGCCCACTCTTCAGTATCGCCATAGCTCACCTTTCTAATTCGTGCCCTTGATGGCGTCTAGTTTAGGTATAGAATTGGTACAGACCAAAACAGTTTCATTCAGCACTCTGAGTCAACTGATGTGAAGGTTCTCAGCACATCCCTGGACAGCGAATCCCGCAATCCCATCATGATCACTGCATGAAGAAGAGATCTCATTCTTGACCAACGCTGGCGCTCTAACCAGGCTGCGAAATGCCGCTCGCCGGACTCGGCTTGTCTTACTCGCGCATCCTTGGACTCCTCCCTATCCTCAGCACCTCCAGCAGCCTTACTCACTCTCCTGTCGGTAGCAGATTCACAGAATACACCGAAGGCCATCATCGGGCCTTTGCGGTCGCTTGCGACAGCAATACGCTTGCACCCTCTGCGGGGCCAGGTTACGACAACGTCTATCACAGCAGACTTACATCCTGGGACCGCCCCTCAAGGGTAAGGGACGTGGCCGGATGTGTCTCGCGTGGCGTGGATTCGGCATTCCAGCCTCGTGTTCCGTGCCATGACCACGGGTCGCCCAGAGACCGGCGTAAGGTTGCTACACTTGGAGCTTAGCCGATGTCGTCAAAATTGGTTGTCTGCACAATGGACAAAGTGCGTGGCCTCTGCGCCACCAGCCGTCGATGCAAGCTCTGTGGAAGACGTGGAAACAACCCAGTTCTCGTATCCGGTGTTTAGGCCTGATACGGTCGAGGCAAATAGCACTTCCGAAGTCAGCACGAGTATACAATTGGGAGAAGAGTGATACGGACCATGTGAGTTTGTCGCACAGACTGGCAGGCGTGGCGATGCGTGAAGCTGTTCTCACCTGCTTCCAAGTCTCAGCTTTCAGTAAGGGTGAAGTCTCGTTGAACGCACGGATCGTGTATTCCGGATACAGAATTAACGACTCCACGGTAATCCTCGACGAGCCGTTCCCTGCAGGTTGTCTTCTGTGCCGACCTGTCACGCTGAAACGAACTTAGCAATCAGACGCGACTTTGTACCCGTCTGCTAACGAAAGACATACGTTACCATGAATGTCACGAAGACACAGAAGCCGATCAGGGGCAGCGCCCGTTTCCACCCGCCAGTGAAATGGCAATCCCAGTCCATATCCTCCTGCGGATAGGTCTGGTTCCAGCTTTGAGCATCAAGCGATCTGTTGAGAAGGAGGGTCGGCATCTTTTTGCACCTGTCCTACGTCTCTGATCTACAGAACCCATTCGCGAACTCATATATTGAAGTGGGTGATCCTTGGACATAGTGTTGTGAAGCGAGGTACGCTCAACTAAGGCGATCAGTCGAGATACATATACTTCTCTGGTCACCTTGTGCAGGGGTGGCAAGTTCCTGCCGCCCAGCATTGGCGCTGCGGCCGGTCATGCCATTCCAAGACATTGGGCCAAGATTTTATACATGAATCTTCGGGTGCACAAGCGCTACGAGCCACCTGATGCCGCAAAATCAACTGCAGTAGTCATACCGAGTTCGCAGAAAACGGACAAAAACTTCTATTGGCACACTGGGGAGACATCTTACGTAAGTCGCCGCATAAAAACGTCTTGAATTGTGAGCAGGCGAGAAACACTGGGTGCGCATCTCCGTAAGGACTCTTGGCTAGGTGGCTGCCTGTTCAAATTCAAGTTGGCATTTGTCTTTCTCGATCAGTGTCGCAACAATGCCTCCGAGTCGTCCAATGGGACGAGGGAGTCCCTGACTAGAGCCCGGAAGCCCAGGAAATGGAAGGCGCGAGTGATCAAGAGATGTCCCGTATGAGGATGGGGTGCTCGTTCGCTGATGGGGCTGGTGGTGCAATCCTTGACCTTTAGTGAGAATTGGCAGGGTTGGAAAAAAGTACGCCTAGGCCTTTGATGGTAGGCCATTGTGGGCTGCTCGACTAACACCAATTGGTCTTGCCGAGAGCGCAGCAGATGTCCCCATCACCCAAGGAAGGCTGAAGCGACACCCAGCTGACACAAGACGAGCTAAATCGACAGAGTATGATCCCGTGTGTGCAGCGTGCTGGGAGAGGAGATGAGAGCAGCCCTTAAGTGACATGTTATGAGGGGGGTGTATCATACGTGCCCCGTGCGTACGAGTACATTCCTTTACTTCTAGGTTGATCGTGGGCGAGAAGATCATTACAATTCTTGCATTCCTTTTCTATAGCATAACGCACTCACGTGCTAGTCTCATACTTCGTCTTCGACCGTAACAGCTCGCCATGCCGCCAGAAGACCCACGGCATGGGCGCCATGATCAACGTGCCGAACGCCAGAATACTCGTCGCCCACCCGACGCCCAGCGCCTTGTAAAACTTGAGTGCAAACAGCGGGAACGCGGCCGACAGACCGTACCTCGACAGCATCGCCGCTCCTGCAGCAGAGGCTCCATACAGTGGCCCGTACGCGTCCACCATGAACAGGTTCATCGACGAGTAAACCATGACGGTAGCCGTGAATGCCAGGCCCTGAAACGCGATTGGGACCGCCCAGTGCACTTGGGCGTGGGCGGTCCAGGCGAACCCCAAGAGACACGCCGGGATGACGAACGAGGCCGTCATGCTAGGGTAAAGTCGATGTTCGGGAGGGAATGGTTCCTCAGTGTGCGGGTGGTGGACGCGGAACCGCTTCAGTCTCGGCTGGTATACATATGCGTCGATGAGGATGAGGGGCACGGGAGCGGACGCGGTGCCGACCATCAGCCCGATGAAGGACAGCGATTGCCCAGTGAGCCCGAAGCCGTAGTAGTGTTGGAACACCCACGGCGAGGCCACCACGAAGGTGTACATCAGGCCGAAGAGGAAGCCGTTGTACAGACACACGATCGTGACGATCACCTCCGTGACCAGCATGTGCACGGGTCGCAGGAAGATCGTGGTGAGGAAGTGCTTGATCGTTGTGGAGAGGGAGCGGCGTGGCTGCGGCGGCGGGCCTTGGATGTTCAGCCTCCTGGCCCGTCGCTCCAGGATCGTCCGCTTGTATGACTCCCGCGTGAACAAGATGGGGATGTAGAAGGTCAGGATAAAGAAGAGGGTGACCCACTGCGTCCAGCGCCAGCCTCTCGTCTGGACGAGGAAGCCGCCGAGGAGAGGTCTGTGTCATATCAACGTAAGGTCAGGCCCGTGGTCTCGGGCGAATCACGGTCACTTACGCGAAGACTGCCCCGAAGAAGGGGATGGAGTAGTAGAACGCCAACAGCACGGCCCGATACCTCCCCGCCGTATAGTCCACGATGGTCGCCGATGCATTACTGAGCGCCGGCGAGGCGAACACCCCAGCGAAGAACCTGCACACGATCAACGACGCCGGGTTCTGCGAAAAGCCAGCCCCAAGCGTAAAGAGGGCGAAAATCGGCGATGTCGTCAAGAAGACCGCTTTCCTCCCAAACGTCTCGCTCAATGGCGCTCCAACGAGCGGTCCAAACGCCATTCCAAAATTGTATAGCGACAATGGTAGGATGGCGACCTCCTCTGAAACGCCGAAACGCTGCGAAACCGCTTCATGGGCAGGACTGTATAGTGAGCCCGCCAGCGTGCTTACGAACGCGAGGAACGTGACTGCAAATGTTGATGCCACGCGACGCCGGAAGGTGAAGTTTCGAGGATTGTCAGGGTCATTCGGTCCATCCCAGTCTGTTGGGGTTTGAAATAGCTGCAGGACGCCTATGCCCCGGCCCATATTTTCAGACCCTTCGGGGGGTCCTATGCCCGTGCCCATATCCCATCTGCCTTGCAACCAGGAGGGCCGCACACATAGCATGCCGGCAATGCTTGGAGGTTCTATGATCTAAACGCTGCTCATGAAAGAGAGTGGTCATGTATAGCACGGAGATCTCCCCGAGCTCCCACGCTCCCAAGATTTCCATCTTGGACTGAATCGTGCCGTTCCCCCGCCGATCGACCGGATGATCGGCAACATCGAGCTGGCTGCAATATTTGCGTCTGCGCCTGGTTCAGTTGACATCTTAAGCAACGTCGCGTGAGTCCACAGCGGCTTGCGGTGCCGTACATGATGATGTTAGTTTTGCGCAGAAGGGACACTGGCAAGGAAGAGCCACGGGCTGAAACGCATATTTACAGCAGTTAGACATGTCAGGGGGCTTTTACTGCTAAATATCGCTTTTATGGTTCTACAGAATGCGGTGCTTTAGGCGCTGGAGTTGAGACCGGTCGGTCAGGATTTGTCGATTCTTTGATACGGAATAAACAAATGTCGACGCTGCTCCATTTGCTCGACGAAGAAGTAGTAGCAGAAGGATGCACGTCACCACGTGCCCGCCGCTTCGATCGCCACTCTTTAATTGAATTACGGTGGGCGACAAACTCGAAACGCGACAAGGACGCGTTGAATCGCGCAAGGAACGCGTTGTCCTCAGCAGCCCTGCCCGATATTCGTCCCTTTCTACTGAGATATTTCGAACTCCCCTATCCCACACCAGCACCCCGTCTTGCCATTCACACCTCTTATCGACCGCAATAATGGCCCTCGATACTCGCTCCGCTTATTCCCTCTCCGTCCTCCCGGCCTTCAACGACCCAACCACCGAACCGCGCACCGAGTTGACCCAGAAACTTCGAGACTTCATCCTCGCCTTTCAGCTCGACGGGCTGTACATCTACCGCGACCAGCTGCGCAGCAACGCGCTTTCGAGACAATATTTCTGCGACGTGGACCTCGCGCACCTGATCAGTTACAATGAAGAGCTGGCACACAAGTTGACCAGCGAACCCGCGGAGGTGATCCCCCTGTTTGAGCAGGCGCTGAAGCAATGCACCCAGAGAATAGTGTACCCGCACGAACGGGACGTGACGCTGCCTCAGCATCAATTACTGCTACATTCGAGCGTCGCGCATATCTCGATACGAGACCTCACGGCGGAGAACGTCAGTCATCTGGTGCGCATTCCGGGGATCGTTATCGGAGCGAGCACGCTGTCGAGCAAAGCCACGTTGGTGACGATCCAGTGTCGCAATTGCGAGCACACGCAGCAACTTCCCGTCGAGGGCGGCTTCAGCGGGATTACCCTGCCCCGGCAGTGCGGGCGGGTGAAGATCCCCGAGCAGGAGTCTGGCGAGGCGTGTCCCTTGGATCCGTACTTTGTGGTGCACGAGGCGTCGCAGTTCATCGACCAGCAAATCATAAAGTTGCAGGAAGCGCCGGATCAGGTACCCGTGGGGGAATTGCCCAGACACATCGCAGTCAGCGCGGATCGGTACCTCACAAACCGTGTCGTTCCGGGCTCGAGGTGTACGGTCATGGGCGTGTTTTCAATCTACCAGCAGAATAAGGGCAATAAGAAGGACAGCGCAGTCGCGTTGAGACAGCCCTATCTCCGAGCGGTGGGCATTCAGACGGATGTGGACCACTCCGCGGTAGGCGCCTCGTTCACAGACGAGGAGATTCAAGAGTTTGAAGAGATGTCCAGGTTGCCAGATCTGTATGAGCGGTTTGCACGATGCATCGCACCATCGATCTACGGCAATGCGGACATCAAAAAGGCCGTAGCATGTCTACTGATGGGCGGCTCCAAAAAGGTTCTTCCCGATGGCATGAAATTGCGAGGCGACATCAATGTCCTTCTCCTGGGTGACCCCGGCACAGCAAAATCTCAACTGCTGAAATTTGTCGAGAAAGTCTCGCCCATAGCCATCTACACATCCGGCAAAGGCTCTTCGGCAGCGGGTTTGACTGCCTCAGTCCAACGAGACACTCAAACACGCGAGTTCTACCTTGAAGGAGGTGCGATGGTCCTTGCAGACGGCGGTGTCGTCTGTATAGATGAGTTCGACAAGATGCGCGATGAAGACCGAGTAGCCATCCACGAAGCAATGGAACAACAAACCATCTCAATCGCAAAAGCCGGTATCACCACGATCCTCAATGCTCGAACGTCCGTGCTTGCTGCGGCGAATCCCATCTTTGGGCGGTACGATGACCTCAAATCTCCTGGTGAAAACATTGATTTTCAGACAACCATATTGTCGCGTTTCGACATGATCTTTATTGTGAGGGACGATCACGACAGAAATCGCGATGAAACAATCGCGAAGCACGTCATGGGCATTCACATGGGTAACCAAGGTGTGGAAGAACAAGCCGAGGTGGAAATCCCCGTTGAGAAGATGAAGCGATATATCAGTTTCTGCAAGTCGTAAGTGCAGCCGTGTTCACGAATCCAATGACCAAGCTGACAACTCGCTCGCAGACGGTGTGCTCCTAGACTCTCACCTGGCGCCGCAGAAAAGCTATCATCACATTTCGTCTCGATCCGTAACCGCGTTCATCAAGCCGAGATGAACAGTAACGTCCGGTCGTCCATTCCAATCACGGTCCGTCAACTCGAAGCCATAATCCGTATTACTGAAGCGCTCGCCAAACTCACTTTGTCTACCACGGCGGAGGAGCATCATGTTGACGAAGCCATTCGTCTCTTCTTGGCCAGCACCATGGATGCTGTCTCCCAGGGTGAAGGCGCTGGCGGACTTGGCGGCAACAGAGATTTGATGGAGGAAGTGAGCAAGGTTGAAGAAGAACTGAGAAGGAGGCTGCCGATTGGCTGGAGCACAAGTCTGGGGACCCTGAAACGAGAGTTCGTCCAGGGTAGAGGGTACAGCGAGGCGGCGCTGGCCAGAGCCCTGCATGTCTTACAGCGAAGAGAGACTGTGCGGCTGAGAAACGGCGGCAGCCAGGTATACAGAAGTGGTGTTTGATGTCGCACATGAAGGCTGCCCTAGTACTGGGTATGAATAATGAGTTCACCGATGCTTGTGGCTTTGTGCAAGAAGTCTGTTGTCCGTAGACCTGCACCTCTGACTTGAGCACGACTGGGCATGACTGGCCCGACTTGACTTTTGATCCTGTATAAGACAAGCCTCGCTAATCTGCGACCCGCCCGCTGTAATGTCTGCACTTTACATCCCAGTCTCGCTTGACTTCACGTAGGCACTGCTTCTCACGTATGCAATCCATTCCGTGTGTGCCTGCTCGCTTAAATACCTCGCGTGCAGGGGATAATGGCTCTGGTGCCGGATTGCATACTGACCAATCTCTTTTAGCGACGACCACAGCTGGCTAGGGAATGTGACGGGTCCAGCAACAGCATCCGTAATGGGATTCGATTTCCGAAGAAGAGGCTGCCAAGCTACTCGTATGTGCAATGAGAGAGGATTCGGAACCGTGCCTGCGAGAGCGAAAGTTTAATTCCGACTGTGGAAACTGTTTCCGACGGGAGACGACCAATGTGGGTTGAGGCGGCCATCATCCCTTTGATGTACTGGGTAAGTGCTTGATAAAAAAGGGTCGAGCTTCTCGTGCAAGCATGTCATGCAGCAAGAGAAAGCCACATCCATACGAGACCTTGGCGAAATGACTTCTCAAAGTTTACACCGACGACATGCTGAATTCGGGTAGATCCGATGTTCGAGTCGACACGGTGCGGTCATGTGTGGCATGGGAGGATGTACGTAAATCCACCAGCCAGGAAGTGTCAAGTCCACTTTGGATCGACCGCGGCGCGCCTCAAGCATGTCCCTTGAGATACAAGTACACAAAAATCGCGATGCCGGAGTCTGGATTGCTGATTGGCGTTTGACAGGTCATAAATGGTTTGAGGAGTACTAAAAATCGTCGCTGCAGAGGGGCAGCCATGGCGGACAATGTGGTCCTGGATCTTTTGTAGCTCTGCCCAATCGAGAACCAGAGTGAAGTCCATCCCTTCATTACACACCGCTGAGATGATGAAAGAACATCTCCTCGCTCTCAGTTGCGGACACTTGGTGGAGAAGAATTAGTCCCCTAGCACCACTAGCATAATTGCTTGAGCGCGAGCTGGGACCAAGCTGATATCGCAGGTTATATCGATCATACAGAATGTGACTTAGGACTGGAAAAAGCCCCAATAGGTCATTCACGAAGATTTGGAATACTGCAGCCCCATAGAACCCAGCACTGAGATTCCATGGGTGTAGCTGGTGTCTCGATTGACATGACGGCCATCGATCAGATATTGCCCGAACCAAATACACAACTGGCATCTGCTCGTAGTGTGGAACAGTTTTTCTCGTACTTGCACCTGACTTGTGAGTCTAAAATTGCTGACGCAGGCTCACCTAATTAGGTGAGGCTCGTGGTTGAACTTCGGGAGGGATCAAGGTCCCCTGCAGGGTAACTCGTGCCAGATGCAGGCGGGGGCCGTAAAGGTGAGGTGACACAGGTGAAGTCGATACACCAACGGACCCACGCGAGGAGCTATCGCTGGCCAGAAATAGTAAAAGTCCTATTGATTCCCGCAGTAAGGGTGTCGCTGGCAGGGGCCACCCTATGTGAGACGGAATTGTGCGAGGAAGCGGAGAAAGAGCGTGATAGAGAAGCCAGAGGAGAGCGATCTAGCCAGTGTAGATTGGGGACTGTAGGTGGACTAATGGAGACTCAAAGGATCCGAGTCTCGCACAATCGAGGGAGCATCCACGCCGTATCGAGGGTGCCGCACTGACATGTCGATATGACAACTTGTCTTGTGGATGCGAGGATGAGTCTAGCCGGACTGCGATTGCCATCCCTGGTCGTCAACGTCAACCGAGCAAGCCCTGCAGCAGCAGGGGCTAACGGCACAGGAGACTGAAGCAGAGGCGGGATTGAGATGTTAGGTACATAGTCTTTCGGAAGAAGAGACGCAAAGGTGGCCGCCCTTCCAAGTTTCGAGGATGACCTGGGGTTACAGTAAAGCCTGCGCATGCCATAGCAGCTCCCGGTAAGGCAGATAAAACTAGCTGCAGCGGCTGACAGTTCCGTCCGATTCGCGCCCACTTTGAGTCGGATTTTCCAAACTCACTTCTGACTCACTTCCGACTCACCTCCATCTCATTCGCATCGATCGAGTGGCAGCAATACGGTTTATTGGCCCCGGCCCTTGCTCTCAAGAAATGTGGCCATCTGCACTACCCTGGCGCCGACTTGAACGACGTGGGTAACACCGCAGCTCGATCATGAGCCGTTACACACGCTCCGCTTTGAATTTCGGCTTCTGCCACGGACTGCTGTGGATAACCATAATTCGACATCTGCATTCACTACAGCCTTATGCCAGCATGCTGCGGCAAGCGTATCTCTTGCCGAAGCCCGGTCCACGCCGTGCTGCCTGTAGTATCTTCTCAAACAGGAGTGCTGAATCAACTGTGGCGCTCACGCGGTTCCGCTGGAGAGCGACTACCCTCTCTCTTGGCCATCTCATACTATTTGTGTTTGATGCGGAATCATGCTCCTGATGCGTGCAGAGTCGACACCCGACTCGCTGAAGCTCCCTCAGTCTTTGTGCACATCCCGTTGTGAGGCTGATCCTCGACCTTCTACGACCTGAAATTTTGAATCGAACTGCCTAGCGAACCATGCCTACCGCAAACCGTTTTTCCACCAAAGGTCATGTTCAGGCATTGTTGGAACCTTTCGACTCAGGATCGGCCGCCCCGTGGCAGGTTGCACCAGATCTCTGAACCCCTACATAATCCCTGCTTGTGTAATTGGTCGATCCGTCAACGTCCTTGCTCCCTTTTCGCTCGGGTTCCAGGGTCTTGGGTCGTCATCGCTTGACTCGAATGTGCCAGATGTGGCTGACGCGGCAGCCATCACCTGCAAATTGAAGCCAGAAGGCTCTTGGGAGATGAGGAACCACTTGCCAATGCGTTGATTGACCCTAGCATCTTATTCTTCAACTCGGACTTAGCAGGGCATCGATGATATGACAGCGTCGATCGAAATGCGGTCGGCTTTTCCGCTGCACCTGTCCACCATGGCAAGTGACTGATCCTCGTGCTTCTTCGACTGGGTGGAGTCTGTGCATCCGGCTCGCAGTCACGATCTCTCGCCCGGTAAGCGGAGATTCGAACGCGGCAAAGTTTACCGACGGCTCTACAAGACGACAGTCGGCTACTGATCACTGCCACCCACAAAATGCACAAATGCACAGTACACGATTGATAAATGGTGGTGTCTCGTCTATCATGCTCCACTGCCACTCCCTCATATCCTTTCGGGGACCTGCCCTGGCAAAACGTGATGGTCGGCGGAACAACCAGGAGTCCGATGACTGCAAAACTGCACAAGCCGCCAAGGTCTATAACTCTTTTTGAGTAAGTCTCCGTTCCCCCCGTCCCTCTATGCATAGTGAAGTGACCTCCCTCGCCAGCGGAAGATCGATAGGTCACACTTCTAATGGGTCAAGAATTCGTAATATGCGACATCGTGTTCTGGACCTTGGCCTTATGGCGCTTCCTGCAGCAACTGAGAGTCTTGGGACATTTGGTCAAAGCTGAAGAAGTGGATATCATGTTCCGTCAAGCTTCTACAGGACTATCCGTAAAGATCGGATACAGGGAAGGATTTCATTCATCGATCTCAGCACTACACCACTACATCTACATCACATTGCTTATTGCAGTATTAAGATGTCTCCGGCTTTGACTCCGCGTCGAGTATACAAAAGTGCGGAATACCTTTGGAAAACAACAAGCTCTTCTGGTCAGATCACTATCCTGCCTGCTGAGAAATGCGAACAACTGAGATCGACTTGAAAGACGCTAGAGAAAACGCGTCGTCTTGTTCGGTAACAGTGAAAGATTCTTTAGAGGTAGCCAGCCGGCACTTGTCACTGCCTGGAGGACCGAGACTGATTTCCTGCCGTCTTCACGGCCTTGATTAGTACGAACCTTTTCGGCACATCTAGCAACAGACTTCACTTTCCAATTGTGCTGGTCGAAAATATGATGGAACTCGCCGTTGCACCTCCATCTCGAGTTGCGGTCGGCGTACGTCTACAAAATCCGCTTGTGGTGACCTTCAAAGGATCTTCCACGGCAAGGGATCACAGACAAGAAAACGCGAAAGAGTGTACGCTGCCCGACCTCAGTGGAATCTGGGTTTACCTGTCGCTTACCACGGCCGACATGGAGAAGAGCTTGGCTCCTCCACGGGATAACCTATTCTGTGGGAAGCGAGCCGACTCAGTCCACCCAGTCTACCACGAACAAGAAGTCGATAGACCTACGACTGCGTATGCTATCTTCCCTGATCTGGTCATCAAAGAACCGGGTAGCTACCGTGTCAAAGTCAGCATTATCGATATGAATGGGTACGCGTCAGCGAGACAGCCTATATGGGGAACGATGCTGATATATGTCAGAGCCATTAGCGGCGTTACGGCAGAGGTACATTCCAAAGTTTTTGATGTGGTTGAGGAAACCAACCACAGTGGCTCCGGTAAGTTGCGGTCCAGATGTCAACGCTCATAGCTAATTTTACCAGAGCCAAAAGTTGACGAGACCATTGGCCGATTGAGGTCGATCGGTATCAACTGTTGAGCGGTATTTCCCTCGCCGTCAGATGCAGACGTGCGAGGTTTCTTCGTAATGAGAAACAGGACCACAGAACAGGCACGCGGATTATTTCAGAGGGCTGCGACCAGTTTTCAGGAGATAGGAAGGGTTGGGGACCAAATTTTCCCCTGAGGTTATGCTCATATCTATGCTTCTGTCGGAACGCTTCTTCACAGGATATGGAAATGGCGCTATTGTTGATCTCTATCAAGTAACACTGTTCCTACCTCTGGGCCAATCCGATCCAAAATGCGCACCTTGCAAGGCGTGCGTCGAGAAGCTAGATCTGCAACTAATCGCTTGTGCTTTCATCCCCAGGTACCACCCCGCTAGTGACGATCGATCTTGTCACGATCTTGTGGGAACGGAGACAGGTCAGGGTGTCCGAAGGCTGACAAGTCAAGATCTCCGAAACCGAGTCAAGCAGCCTGGACGGGAAAGACCAGCATGATTCGCCAATCACGTGATCGGCTACCAGCATCTGATTGGCTGCTCGGAGCTCGTTCCACCTGCCTCCTGCCCCTTTCGGTGTTTCTGCCCCTCGACGCGATGCGAATCTTGTTTCGTGGCTGGGAAGGTGGCACGCCCTGACTTCATTCGCTCACTGCAACCGATGCAGGGCCTCGACGGTGCCTGTGCCTGGTTGTCTTACAGATGCGCCCCCGACGTCGCTGACAGTGTTTCGAAAAGCAACGCACCAGGAACCGAAGAGTATGCTCACCTTTCGAGGTCCTCTTCTCAAAGTCAACTTCTACAACCACGGACTCCGAACGCGACATGATAACTAAGACCCTCTTTCGTCACTGAACCTCATGCTCGGGCTAGTGAGGCTGTACGACCTCCGGTCACGCTCCAAGAAGCCATCATGACAAACTCCCAGGCAGCTCCCTCGACGTCCAGCCGTGACCCGAATTTGCGGCTTCAAGAACAAGGACAAGATGGATCTGCTACGAAGCGGCATTTCCCTTCCTTTGGATTCCCCGAGCGACCCGACGAGCGCATCCTCCTAACACCCCCACTTCCTATGTCTGGAGTCAATCCTCTGGAGGAAGCGTTGTATAAAAACTACAATCAGCAGGCGTTCGCGCAGAATGCGCAACTCAACGTCTCCCAGCGGGACTCGCTGCGGATACACCAAGACGCAGCGCATTTGATCAGTGGGCTACACATACGAACGGACATGCAGGCGCCGCGACGGACCAATTCGAGCCAGTCCCTGGAGTCGGAGTCGAGGCTGCGATCGAGTACTTCTGCCGCGAGTCTTCCACGTCGAGTACCCAGCGTTCGAGCAAATCTACACTCGGTGGCCGGCTCTGTCTCTCCCGGTAGCTACATCTCTTCACCACAAATCGCGGCTATGCTCGATATCACCCCTCTACCGTCGCCGACCATGGCAGCCTTCGAATCATGGAGGGCGCTCAGTCTCGCCAGGTCAAGATCTCGTGGCTCGTCTCTGGGCTCTATAAAAGGCGACGCATTACCACCGGGCGTCTTATCCTCTCCTACGTCTCCAAGACGCAAAGGCTATCCTGGCCTGCAACAGTCTCGCTCATCCTCCAGATCAGGAACTACAGAGAACCATGGTCTATCCGCCGATCACACACGTACTAGGAGTATCAGTGATTACGTACCAGAGCCCCTGGCTGTGCCGAGGCCACGCCACATAACCGTGTCCAGCTCGGGTTCGCCACTGGAGACCACCGAATCGCCAACGGCCTTGCACCGTGAAGAGTACCTGGGTGCACAAAGACGAGGAAGCAAATCAGGTGCCCGTCCGGTCACACCACCGCAACCTGCACCAGTAATCGAACGGACGCATGAGGATGAACCAGCTGCTAAGCGACCAAAATTGGAAGTCTTCAAGGCACGAAGTATCTCGAAGGGTGAACTTCGATGCTATGAGGCGATCCGGGAGCTTGGCCAGGGCACGTTCAGCAGAGTCTATCTCGCTGTGCGACAAGTAGACAACCATCAGAAAGATAACTTCGACTACCTGCAGGACAGCGTCAACATGGCCGGCGTTCGAGCACGTCTGAGAAGACTAGTCGCGGTCAAAGTTGTAGAACACGGCCCTGCTGGGGGCGCTGATGCCGAGAGGATTGAAGTCTCCCTGAAAAGGGAAGTCGATTTGCTGAAAGTGATCCAACACCCCTCCCTCGTGCATTTGAAGGCATTCGGGAACGACGATGCAAATCGTGCGCTGCTGGTCATGAACTACTGTCCCGGGGGGGATTTATTCGAAGTCGCAACGAAATATCGTGACATATTGACCCCGACACTCGTGCGAAGGATATTTTCTGAGCTCGTCTCCGCTGTTCGGTACCTCCATCAGAAATACATTGTCCATAGAGACATCAAACTCGAGAGTAGGTCGTCGCTTTGGGCAAATCATCTCCATCAGGGCCGAACTAATTTATCGCAGACGTATTGCTCAACATCCCCGTCCGCGTCCACCCTGATGTCTCCAACTGGCAAACACTCGACCGTGCAGTGGTGACTCTCACCGACCTCGGCCTCTCTCGGCGCATTCCCGAGCCGCCCGAGTCGCCACTCCTCACCACCCGCTGCGGAAGCGAGGATTATGCTGCCCCGGAGATCCTTATGGGACAGCCGTACGACGGACGGCAGACTGATGCCTGGGCGTTAGGTGTGCTACTGTATGCTCTCATGGAGGGACGACTGCCATTCGACCCGCTACCTGGCGCGCGAGGGGATCCAGCGATCTTGAGAGCGCGGACACCGCATCGCATCGCACGGTGTGAGTGGGCCTGGGTCAAGTTTGGGGATGAAGACGGAGAGTGGGATCATGTCAAAGGAGCGGAGTTTGAAGGTGCAAATGTCTGTGTAGACGGACTTCTGAAGCGCAATACACGGAGGAAACCGCTTCAGGAGGTAAGAGAACATCCCTGGGTGAAGGACGGCATACAGGTGGACGGCGGCCTTAGGTGGGTTGAGGAGGAGTTGTAACAACATTACGTTAGAATCTGACCGGCCGGTCATTGCTGCCACGAGGCGGCCACGTAGCACCTGGATTGGTGTCTTGTAGGATAGAAAGCGATACGAGGCGAGCAGAGAGCGGCGAATAGAGTGTTCAGTTCAGTCCAAGCTGTGGTCATGACATCCACGGCGATGCATCTCAGTGGCCGCTTGTGAGCTGCACATTGTGACCTAGCGATAGACTCAACTGATGATAGGCAAATGTCTTGCTTCTCACGCATAAGACTTGAATCCTACTGTAATGCACGCCATTCTTCGACATCTGTGCAAGTCCAAGGGATAATTATTCCAGATTGACGTCTTGGAAGGCTGCAACTCGTCTCCGGAGGCGTGTTAGGCTCCCCGGTGCTGCTTGATTCACTCGTACTCCGATTGGCTCCGGTTGCGGTGTTGAATGGTCTGGGGAAAATCTTCAAGCAGCTTATTAGGTCTTGCGTGACTGTCGCGTCACTCTGCTGGTGCTGACCTTGTGGTCTGTAGCGTTTGCAGAAGGGGGTCGGTCGTCTGTGAAATAAAGTATTCATCGATGCGTCTCAGCGCGGACTGAGCTCTGACAACGCCCAACTGCGTGCGGACTGGAGTTACAGCTCACCATGAAGACTTCGGCGGCGCTCAGAGGCCTGCGCCTCAGGCAGGCCAGGTTTGCGGCCAGGACTCAGGCAAGGTACGACGCACAGCAACTACAGGAACGAGAATGCCGCGCTGACAGATCGTGACAGCCGTCCATTCTCCTCATCACCCCTCCACAGTGCAGACTCTTCGTCCGAGCTCGAAGGCCTCAACAAGGTCTCGCGACATGTCACGCAGCCGAAATCCCAGGGCGCTTCGCAAGCAATGCTCTACGCCACGGGCATGAGCGAGACGGACATGAACAAACCGCAGGTCGGCATCTCGTCGGTCTGGTACAGCGGCAATCCGTGCAACATGCACCTGTTGGACCTGTCGAACGTGGTGAAGAAAGGCGTGGCAGACGCAGGGCTACAGCCCATGCAGTTCAACACGGTCGGCGTGTCGGATGCAATATCCATGGGCACGACGGGGATGCGGTACAGTCTGCAGTCACGAGAGATCATTGCCGACTCGATAGAAACGGTCATGCAGGGCCAGTGGTACGACGCAAACATCTCAATCCCGGGCTGCGACAAGAACATGCCGGGCGTGGTGATGGCGATGGGAAGAGTCAACAGGCCGTCCATCATGGTCTACGGGGGCTCCATAGCGCCCGGGTGCGCCAGGACGCAGAACAACGCCGACATCGACGTGGTGTCGGCCTTCCAGGCCTATGGGCAGTTTATCGCCGGCGAAATCAACGAGGAGCAGCGGTTCGACATCATCCGGAACGCGATCCCCGCGTGCGGCGCCTGTGGCGGCATGTACACTGCCAACACGATGGCGTCGGCCATTGAAACCTTGGGGATGACACTGCCGGGCAGTGCGTCCAACCCCGCCGTGTCCCGGGAGAAGGAACTCGAGTGTCTGGCCGCTGGGGGGGCCATCAAGAATGCCCTCAAGCTGGACCTTCGGCCGCGAGACATCATGACCCGCCAGGCATTCGAAGATGCCATGACCGTGATCATGATCACGGGCGGCTCGACCAACGCAGTCCTCCACTTGATCGCCATGGCCGACGCGGTGGGCATCAAGCTCACCATCGACGACTTCCAGGCCGTCAGCGACAGAACGCCCTTCCTCTCGGACCTGAAGCCCAGCGGCAAATACGTGTTCAACGACCTGCACCGCATCGGCGGCATCCCCACCTTACTCAAATTCCTCATCAAAGAAGGTGTCGTCAAGGGCACACACACCACCATAACGGGGCAGACGTTGGCCAAGAATGTCGAATCCGCACCCGACTTCCCTTCCGACCAGACCATCATCAAACCGTTCTCCAACCCCATCAAGGAGACGGGCCACATCCAGATCCTGCGCGGCAGCCTCGCGCCCGGCGGGAGTGTCGGCAAAATCACGGGCAAAGAAGGCCTGCGCTTCCGAGGCAAAGCCAAAGTCTACGACGCAGAGGACCTGTTCATCCAAGCCCTGGAGCGCGGGGACATCAAAAAGGGCGAGAAAACGGTCGTCGTGATTCGGTACGAAGGCCCCAAAGGCGGTCCGGGGATGCCTGAGATGCTGAAACCCAGCTCGGCGATCATGGGCGCCGGATTGGGCAAAGATGTGGCGCTCATCACGGACGGGCGGTTCAGCGGCGGCTCGCACGGCTTCTTGATCGGGCATATCGTCCCCGAGGCCATGGAGGGGGGTCCCGTAGGTCTGGTGCGCGACGGCGACGAAATCATCATCGATGCCGAGAAGCGCGTGCTGGACTTGAATGTCAATGAAGACACGTTGGCCAAGAGGCGAGAAGAGTGGAATGCCAATAAGCCCGCGCCGCGATACACGAGGGGCGTGCTGGCAAAGTATGCCAAGTTGGTGAGTGATGCCAGTCACGGATGTATCACGGACAAGGAGGACGTGCTGGATCTGCATGCGTAGACTTACCGTAGACCATATGTAATCTGGGGCAAGGCAGCACGCGCACAATCAAGATCGGAATCAAAATACTCGATACAGTGTACAGGGGCATATGCGTTTTCACTTTATCAAATGCATGCATGGTTCGGGGCTTCTTGCTGCCTGAATCACACGAATCAGGACGTGGGACTGTATGATATGGAAGGAAGAGCTTGAGGGCACTCTGCTGTACTTCCGCACGGCACATCGGTATATCGGACGATTGGCAAGGGAATATACGGAGCATTTGTGGTGGGATGTGGGCATGCGGTTTTGGAAGCCCTGTCCACGTCGGACATACCAGGTAGATACAATACATGTGTAGTGTATAGGTAGGTAGCTAAAAGGGTCTCGGGTGGTGGTGCGCAGTTGGATCACGAACGATGTGTGCCCGAGATGGGCTCTAGGTCCTCGACATGATGACACCATTTGTCGTGATTCATGCTGTGGAGGCAAGGTCGGTGGAAAAAAAAAGTGTTGATTCTTTGCACGTTTGGCTCATGTGCCTTTCCGTGCGCTTGCTATATCCACATTTCATTTGATTTTGAGGGTACAAGGACGGTAGTTACACCGGACTGATCCCGCATGCACCGGTATCATCGTACATGACGGGGTTCTGTGACACGGCGACTTGTCGCGCACTTCTCATGCCCTGGCTACTGAATGGCTGGCGCGTCCACCCCGAACCAATTCCAGCCTTGATCTAGGTCGACGCCCGACTGTCCAAAGGGGAAGCTCCCAAAAGGAAACCCGGATGAAGCAAGTCCAGCCAGCCCTCCGCTCGCCACAGAGGCGTTCATATCATGATGCTGATTAGGCGTGCCTGAAGAGGGATTGTACGGACTGCCTTGGATTGGCTGAGGCGTGAACCCACTCCCGCTGGACGATATGCTTACGCCGCCTGCCGTGGGGACATCGGTGGGCGGCTGTGGTGGGAACGCCATGAAGCTGTCGAATGTGATGAAGGGGTCGTCTGAGATCGAGTCTGTGGCGTCCGGCCATTGATCGAGGCCTGGCGCGACGTAGTTCGTTGATGCGTACGACGAGGCACCAACAGCCTGCGCGTATGGTTGAGGATGGGAGGAATGCTGGTCGAGGGTCGTGGAGAGAGGGGAAGGCTGTGTACTGTTCGAAGAAACGGACGGTGGTGTGGGCAGTCCTGTGTTTGTCATGGTGCCGCCGGCTCTAGTGGTCGTGTTGACGGCTGCGCCGCCCGAGGTCCGCTGCACGTACGTCCCGGGCTTGATAGGCACGAAATGCTTCCCTGTGCCGATGGAAATGGTGCCAAAGTAGGGAATTGACACTTGACATGTCTCGCCTCGGCATTCGGCTTTGCCATCGTCATCGCACCCTTCCCGTACGCGAGCTAGCATTTCCATCGCCTGGGCGCTTTGCGCGGCCACGACGCCGCCTGGCTCCTTGGCAGCGTCTTTCAGCAAGACGATCGTTTTGTCGATAAGGTCCGAGTCCTTCTGATCTTGCTCGAGGTCGGTTTGCTGGGCGGTGCTCCCACGGTGGCGTTGCGAGTAGCCGCATAAATTCAGGAGCAGGAGCATGGCGCCAGTGAATGCTTGAAAGTCAATCAACTTGCAGATGAATGGTCCAACGGCCTGGTTTGTCCGAAGAGCCTCGTAGACACGAATCATTTCCCTGGCGGCGTCTAGTGCTGCACTATGGGAATATTGGTATCTCTTATCTGTCGAGGAGCGAAGCATGAAGGGCATATGGAGGAGAAGTTTGGCTTGGTGATGGTAGAAATGCGCGGATAACCGATCGAAATGGTCTTCGGCGCGAGCCCCGGGGATGAGTTCTAGGCTCCACCAGGATGGATCTTGAGCATTGTGCAACTCTTCCAGTTCCTGGTCCAGTCGTAGCGTTGCCGAGTACCCCATGGGCACGACACTCTGGTTACGGTCGATCATTTTAGTTATGATGGGTACCATCTTGCCCGCGTAGTACTCTCCATCGTTGACTGAGTTGGGTGGAGATGCAGCTGCCGAAATGTACGGGGTTACGAAGCTCTCGCTGACCGAATATGGCAGGCCCAGGAGAAGCGACAGATACCTGTCACCGATGACCAGATGGCACCAGATGTTAAGTGACCGTTGGTAATCCAGAGAGGTCCTGTCCGCTTGTGCCGCCAACCTGTGGATCCCCAGTAGTTGAGCAAATGCGAGTGCTCGATGGAATAATAGCCAGGCACGACGCGGTCGGCCCATATTGACGTGGTACTTGGCCTCCAGCATCATGCATTCAATGCCGTCCAAGGTCGCGGCGATTTCATCGTCCGAAGTGATCAGCTTGTCGACAGTCGCAATGTAGCGCTCCATCAGATCTGCCGGCTCCTCCTTGATGTGTAACCTCGACCAGTCGAAATGGTTGGGCAGCTGATGAATGCTGATGGCTATGCAGAGCATAATCTTCGCCAGCTCCGCCGGTTTCTCCGACCGTAGAGAATGTGAGACTGATTCTTTAATGGTTTCGCACCGACTGTCTGTGATTTCGGGGAACATCTTCTTCCATATTGTCCACCATTCGTGCGACTGTTCGAGGATAACCTCCAAGTCACTCGCAGATGGTAGCAACTTATTCAGGGCGGCCAAAAGGGTTTTGGTCTTGTTGTATTGCGCGCGTGAGACAACAGGTTGGCTCTCCTTCCGTTCAATGACGGCGTTGTCAAACAAAGTCAGAGCGGGCGCATCGTCGCGAAGGCCGCCCGGTAAGAGGATGGACTCTTCGATGCTGGCGTCCGTCTGCCGCAACGAACTCTTAAGGCTTTTCAGGACCTCGGCGGCCTGAGCGTCTACGTGGCTCTTGTCTGACTCTGTCCCCGAAGGCACGCCGTCCCCATCGGCCTCAGCACTGGTACCGGCGCCTCTCTCGGGCAACCGATGCAATACCTGTTTGACTAGATCTTCGAGCTGGGAGACCCGTTCCCTTAGGCTGTACGATGATTGCTCGGAGGCTGCCTGAGTATATGTCTGAATATCACCGTGCTCTTGGTCAATGCAGGTTGAGCCGCGGGCGTAGCACTCGTTGCATACGGCAGGTCTCCCAGGCTCAAATGTACATTTGATCTTCCTCCGCCGGCATTCTAAGCAACTCTTTGTTCCCTTGCGCATCTTCTTTCTCGGTGGACCTTGGTCATGGCTGAAGAGGGCGCCCGACGTATCCGGGTTGTATGGGGACGTGGAGCTACTTCCAGCGTGAGACATGGTGGTGTTTCGAGGAGCGACTCAGCGTCTCCTGATGAGCAGTGTAGATACTGGTAGGCAGCAGGCAGAGGACAGTCAAAATGCGCAGACTGCGACTGACCCCTCTGCTTACTCAGGTATGGAGAGTCCGCGCGGGAGTCCAGATGCAGACTGCTGACGGGCTAGTGGGTGCACGTCGTGGGAGATGCTACCACCGGCGAGCCTTGAATCCTTTCACTCCAGCCATATGGCGCTCACCTATGAGTCAGTTCTCTTCCGGAACATCCAAACCGACAGGTGAACCCTTCAGCTGGCGTAGAGAACAATCGTCAGATGGTGGCAGTAGACCGCAGGCGCATTGGTACACTTCTGCGAAAACGACGGTCTTTACCGTGTTAGTCAGCATGGCACGTGATCCACGTGAGGGATGCCGATCAGGTTCCAGAAAACAAAGAGATCGCAGTGAAGACGCAGTGAGCCAGCTTAGAAATGCCCTCGACGCGTCAGCCAACCACCGCACCGTTCACTTCCCCACTGCTCACTCGAGACTCACATTTTCGTCCGTCTGGCGCACCGTCGCTTCGGCCGAAGTCGAGTCTGGACAGGCCAGGCAGCGGCAATCGAACGCATCTCCACAGCCAATCTCCCCGACACGGGAACCGCGATAACAAACTGTGACTCTTGCATGCAGCAGGGTTTATTCGCAGACAGGATATCGTTATGGTCATGACGCACTGTCAATGGCTTACGGTACGTTCATATCCCGACCCTCCTCGTAAGGCCAGAAGCTTAGGTAACTCCGATTATACGCATCAATCACGGCGTCTATTGCTGTTCGGATGTCCGTGAAGAATACTTTCCGACGTATTCGTGACAGCCTGAAGAAACAGGCCCGACTTGTGGCTTTGACCATGTTTGTGTAGCGCGTGTCACGATTCGACATGGTTCAAGATGGCGTTCGCTTGCATCGCTCCCCTTGCGCGGGTGGTTGCGGTTGCCCCCTTTCCTTCACACAAATGACTGGGCCGACTCCCTTTGCGGTTGCAACCCCAAGGTTCAAAGCCAGATATCGCCACCTGCTGCTGCCTGATTTCCCGAAGTCTACCTAGAATAGTGGGTTCTCCGGCGGTTTGTTTGCGCCGGAAGACGGATAACGACTCCATCCGAACACTCGGTGACCTCTCGAGCTTCTAGGACCGTGCAGCCTCGTCTCGGATCTACACGTGGTATCGTCTCCGTGCCAAACGCGCTCAACAAACGCGGGCCAACCTTGCAGGGGAATGCTCAATGCGATATTGATACCCACAATGATTCATCCACCCCTTTCAGCGAACCCACAGTGTCGCCCAGTCTCCTTCCACATGTCGTATATGGCAGGTATGCTTTGTTCAGCACTCGAGGTTGAGACACGGACGAATTCGATCTCCTCCGTCGCTTTGTATGCGACTCAGCAGTTGCTATCATTGTTGGCAGTCTGTCTCCGGAATTGACGTTATTTCCATCCGGGACGGTAACGTGAAGGTAAGTACATATATATCCAGGTCGCTCTTGCCTTTGCTTTGGTTGGTTGCATTGAATAGAACAAGCCCATTGCTCTTGCTTGAATCGTTGCGTGTGCTTTGACTTGTCATTATTCTGGGCCATCTGGACAGCCTTCACACAAGCCTGAAAGAAACACTCTCTGTGCCAATCTCCTCAGATCGCGCCTCGCGGTGAACGCAATGGCGACCACTCTGTCGTCAAACCCTTCTGCCTCAACCTCCAGTTCTGAACTCTCGAAACCACCTCTGCCGGAAGATGCATACGAGAAGCAGCAATCCGGAGTTCACGCCTCATCTCGACAGAACTCCGGCTCCGGACAATCGGTCCACGCCGAGAAAGACGTCCTCGACGCAGGCCAAGATGTCCATGTCGACGGCGCCGAACTGGGTCGCGAAATATCTCGCATCGACACCTCCGACTATCCCAGCGCTTTCCCCCTTGCCATGATTGTGGTTGCCCTGGCGTGTAGCATTTTCCTTGTTGCCCTGGACATGACCATCGTTGCGACCGCCATTCCTCGGATCACGGATCAGTTTCACTCGCTAGATCAAGTGGGCTGGTATGGTTCTGGGTTTTTCTTGACCATTGGCTCTTTCCAGGCGACGTGAGTATTGTTCACCGCCTACTCCGGCTAAATGCTCACAACCAAGCAGATGGGGAAAGCTGTACAAGTACTTCCCACTCAAGATCTCTTTCTTGACCAGCATCTTCATCTTCGAGTTGGGTAGTCTGATCTGTGCCGTTGCCAACAACTCGACCACGTTGATTGTGGGCCGCGCCATTGCCGGCATGGGAGGAGCGGGCATCGCTTCGGGGTCATACACCATTATCGCCTTCTCGGCTCCTCCAGCACGACGTCCTGCGTTTACCGGAATCATGGGCGCGACCTTTGGCGTTGCCTCTGTCATAGGGCCTCTCTTGGGAGGTAAGCGTGCCTGTCCATATCCTGATAGAAGATCCATCTGGGCGCTGACAAAAAAAAATAGGTGTATTCACCGATCATCTTTCCTGGCGATGGTGCTTCTATATTAATCTCCCTATCGGCGGTGTTGCTGGGGCAATCATCTTCCTATGCTTCCGTACACCAAAAGCGGCCAAACCCCAGCAGGCTTCAATGCGAGAAAAGCTCCTACAGATGGACTTCCCCGGCACTTTTACCCTCATGGCGGCCATTGTCTGCTACCTATTGGCAATGCAATGGGGCGGCGCCACGAAACCCTGGTCCGACGGCAGCGTCATCGCTGTCCTAGTCCTCTTCGGTGTTCTTATCCTTGTCTTCATCGCCATTGAATTCGTTTCCGGAGACCGCGCACTACTCCAGCCTCGACTACTGAAGGATCGGACGATTGGCGCCATGTCAGCATACATCTTCACCGTGGCTGGCGCATTTTTCATCCTACTGTACTACCTGCCCATCTACTTCCAGGTCACCAAGGATATCTCTGCCTCGAAATCAGGCATCGACAACCTGCCGCTTGTCCTTGGCGCCAGCATCTTCACAGTCGCTAGTGGTGGCTTGTTGACAGTATGGGGACAATACGTCCCTCTGATGGCGTTCGGGTCGATCCTGGCCTCCGTCGGTGCTGGGCTTATCTACACCCTGGAAATCGACTCGGGCTCCGACAAATGGATCGGCTATCAAGCCCTGGTCGGCATCGGTCTGGGCCTCATCTTCCAAATCCCCGTCATCGTCAGCCAAGCGATCGTCAAACCATCCGATCTCAGCTCCGTCTCTGCCATCATCCTCTTCTTCCAGACCATCGGCGGCGCCGTCTTCATCAGCGCCGCACAAGCCGGCTTCGCGAACAAGCTCCTCCATCAACTCCCCAGCAAAGCCCCGACAGTAGATGCTGGCAAGGTGCTGGCGACTGGCGCCACTGACCTGAGAACGGTGTTCACACCGGCTCAAATCCCCGGCATCCTCGACGCCTACATGGAAGGTCTAAGAGTACCGTTCATCATCGCTATCGCCTGCGCGTGTCTTACCTTCCTCATCGCCTTTGCGCCTCGGTGGGAGAGCATCAAGGGGAAAGTGAAGTTGGACGCCGGTGCTTGAGGGCGGCTTGTCGCGAGTTGATGTGAAGTAATGTAATGAGTGTGTTGAGCTGAGCGATCATTCATGTCCACTCTATGCACCTCAGTATGACGAGCTGCATGGTTAAGTGGTTGGGTGGTAACTGGATGATCAGTGCAGGTTTGTACGGCGCGTTTGTTGCACTATCAAGGTTTCAATATCATCCTCATATACAGCCTACGCAGTCCATACGCGTAGAACTGAAAGCTACCCGGACTTCCATGCAGTCTTCAAGTTCAAGTCCGCCCCAACCTAATGCAAAGTATGGGCGGCGCCCTTCCTTTCCTCGCTTGCCAGGAAGGCTGCTAACCCGGCAGAACCATGCTCTTCATGATTCAGAGCATCCCCTATGCATAGCTGTATTTGGCTGTGTAGAGCGGCGGGGGACTACGAAGCGTGTTTCGTCAGACGACTTTAAGGATAGACTGTAATACACGCTTAGAGGTCTTCAGGTAGGCAAGTACCGGGAGCAGACCTATACAAGACAAGTCAACCATGCAATCCGTCGATCTGTCAGACGGTACTCTCTTTGGGAACAGTACTGTACTGATATCATGTTTGTGCCATTGACATCGTGCTATCCATTTTCCATGCCGTTGGGATCTATCTGTCTAGTAATCCAGAAGCTCATCCCCTCTATTTCGGTCGTGCTGTTCGTTCCTGTAACTTGTCCTCCTGGACGATGTCATGCAATGCGTATAGTATATCAATGATGAATCCAGCGCCCGATTCCAACTCCTTTCCTTTCCCGTCCTGTTCTGCTCTGTCCTGTAGTCATTATTCCAATATGCCCCTGTTATGCCCCCAAATATGATGCCAGATATTATGCCACGTCCCCTTATGCCCTGTAACGCCCTGTTGCGCCGTGCCGTACCATGCCATGCAGTGTATCGAGTCGATCGTTATACATGAAATCCACATCCAAATCCACATCTAAATCCAAATCCGTGGGTCGTCCTGCCTCTCCGAGATGCTGTGCTGTGCCGTGCTATGCTGTGCCGTCCGGCCTTTCCTTCTCCGTGTCATATAATGCTGTGTCGTGTTCTGCTGTGCTGTATTTTGCTGTATGTGCTGTGCTGTCGTTCCATTGCTATGCTATGTCGTCAAAGTCGTGAGGTTGTCATGTAGTGAGTATCTTCATTGTGCTTTCGTTTTCGTCGCTTCGGGGGATCGAGTCGTATATTGAGCTTGTCAATTTGATGGAGTCATTTCATCGTCCCCGGCCGCCGGCACCGCCACGACCTCCGAATCGACCGCCGTTGCCGTTGCCGTTGCCGTTACCGCCTGCCCAGTTCTCCCAGGACCCATTGTCAAACGAAGCAGTCGTCCACGGACCTGAGGATGATGACCAGGTAGATGTCTGGGCTGCAGCGGCGGTGATTACGGTGGGATCAGCCGCAGATGGCGGCGTGTTGATGGCCGTGACGGTAACGAACCTGGTCGCTGAGGGTGTTTGGATCGGTGTGGAGGTCGCGGCCGCCTCGGTCTCAATTTCGGTGGTGGACGAGCTGGGCGAGGAACCGAGAGTGACAAAGGTAGTCGCTGTAGTGGTGGCAGGGAATCCGGCCACAGAAATGGGTGTCGTCGCTTGAGAAGTCGTGATAGAGGTAGTTGCTACTCCGGCCAGAGTCGTTGGTGTCATGGTCTGGGCTGACGCAGCACCATTATCGGTGTATACCTTCAACCCGTTGATGAGCCAGTACGTGTCCTGGAACGCGGACGGGTTGTTCTGCACATAGGCCTGGCAAGTGGAGCCCAGGGGAGAACACGTCGAGTCCGTGGACCAGACTGATCCGGCCCAGTCACCGCAAAAGGTCACATCGAAGACCAGTTGTTGGTCCTTGACATGCTCGTCGATATCGCAGCCGCCGGTGAATTGACCCTTGGGAAGACCCCAGTTCGATGGATCAGGTTGGCCGTTGGCGATGTCGGATGGGATGCTGTTTCTGGGGAAGAACCACATGCTGATTGCCTCGCTTGTCCATTCCGTCGCGTACACGCCACCACCGTTGGCGTTGAATCCGCTGCCAAAGGACAGATTGTCTTGGGTGTCGATAGAACAGCCGGCGTTGGCAGCTTGGTCGGGAGCGTTGACGTCGCAGTTGTCGGTCACCATGCTGCCTGAGAAAGCTCCTGTGTTGGTGATTGAACATCCCGCATTGGTGTGCAAAGTCATGGTATTGGCCGATTGACTGTTGACGCCTTCGATGATGTCTATTTCTCCGTTGGTCGGCCAGTTGGGGCCAAGCATCCAAAAGGCCGGCCAAGACCCGCAGGCACCGGCAGGCATGTGTGCGAGATCCAGTATGACGAGACCGTGGTTGTAGACCTTCTTCGTGCTGATCCGGACGCTGTCTCGGCCACGACCCGTGGCAACGTTGGTAGCATCGACGCCCATGTAGACCGAGCCGTTGTCAGCCTTGTACAGGCCGGCGCTTGTGGCTTGATCGTAGGAAATGTAGTTGACGTAGCCATTGGTAGGGTCATTGCCCTAGAAGATTGTCAGTACGGTTTGTGCCTTGTGGAAATGCTAAGCATACTGTGAAGAAGTCAAACATGTCGGCAAATACATCTGAAGAATAGTCGTCCTCCAGGACGTAGGAAGCAGAGGCAGAAGCTGCCAGAATGGAAAGAGTGATCAGAGAGGTGCGCATTTTGGAAGGTCTGTCTCGGGCGTTGAAAGGACTGTTGAAAAGTCAACTGTTGGAGGAATGTTGTGTCGAAAGCCATTCTGTGTATGAGATGCGCCGTTATATAACCGTCGTCTCTCAGATCTGTGACGATCAGCAAAAGAAGCGAGGTTGGTGAAGGCAGCGAGACCAGCGCAGGCGGCGTGCTGGGTGAAGCATAGTTGAGGGTGGGCTGGGCCTAATCGGGCGTATACCAGAATATGGCGAGACTGGCAAGGCAACAGTCGCCATGCGATGGTATAGAAGTGGAGAAATGGGCTGCACAGCAACCGGTCCATTCGTGGCTTTGACATTGGGTTGAAAGTCAATTGTGTCGCCAACGAAGGCTGGAAGCCGGATGCGGCGTATACCATCGGATAACCGAGAGGCGGGAGGATCGACGTTAGAGTGACGAGGCGAACCATGACGCTGCGAACACGCAACTTGACGGCGCTAGCAATAACCTGTGGCTTGCAGGAGTATGGCAGACAGCCGTAGAACGCCCTGATGGCTGTAGAGTCGCGCTTGAAGCAGGGCAGGGAGTCTCCAATTGGACTGACGAACGGTCAGCGGCGAGCTGGTGTTTGTTGACATGGTTCGCGACTGACGCAATGCTCCACGTGGCCGGCGAGACCAGGAAGCTTAAGGCAGAAGATGGCTCAGCTCCCAGACCACCTCGATGTAGAGGACTCCAGCCATCCTCGAGTGTTCAGCGAAGGCTTGCACACAGACCGGTTCCTACCGTAGAGGGCCGAGACGCGTCGCATCCGCCTAGGGAAGGGCGCCCATGACCAGACCAGCTTCTCCCGTCCGCATTGCGGCAGCGGTGGGCGCAGCGTAGCGAGTAAAGGTTATGTTGTTGTCGGCGAGGCAATTGTTCGGAGAATAAAGCATATCGACGTGGATAGAGTTCGAGGGAGATTGCGCCCTAACTACAAGGAGAGGGCTGGAGACAGGTCACTGGTCTTGTTCTCGCAACGAGCCTCTGCAGATAATCAAAGGGCGTCCATCTCCCACGTTGTATGGCATCATCGGCGTAAGCTGTTGGGATTCGTTGACATGTGATTGTTCCCGTAGAAAACGATGAAGATGAGGCGTAAAGTGTAAAGTATGAGTGAACAATGTGACGCGATTTTGCGGTGCGCTCAGAGCCAAGCCCCCGCGTGACTGGGAAGGTTATCCGAAGCATCTCTAAAGACGCGTCTTCAACACGCTGTAACGCACCCATATTGTTGATAGAACCCTCCGTAACTACATTAGGCGTCTTTCTAGGACGCCCCTGAATTCATCATGTGCTCCAAAGTGAGTTACATCCACGGCGAGAAGCGACCTACTGTGAACAGTCATAAATTCGTCTTCTTTCGTCAACTCTGGACTACCTAGAAATACATGGCTGGAAGAACATTTCTCTGGCTGTTGTCTGCTTTTTTCGCCTGCCACTATCTGACATGTTGCTCTGTGGAACTGCCACAGTTCGTACCGTCCTGCTTTTCACACGTTGATCTGGTGTGTGTGCGTCATACAATCGATACCGAGTTCACAAATCGCCTCCGGTGTGAGGCTTCTACACCTTTGATGTCTGCTGTGGAACGTACGTGTTGGACCACGTCGACCTGTTGGGTTTCAGGAACCTCATCAAACCGACCACAGGTGTGTTGATGGGTGATTCGCCGGTGAATAGGAACATGTCATAGAGCCATCCACCAAACGTGCATCCGAAGAAAGGCGCCACCATGGGGATCTATGAGGTTTGTAAGTGCACGGCGCCTGCGTTCGGGACAGATACAAACTCACCCAGAAGTAATGCCCGCCCGCAGTCCATACATGGGGGCCGTATCCCAGCATGTACGACATTAATCTCGGTCCGAAGTCTCGCGCAAGATTGATCGCATAGCCAGTTTCCCAGCCGCTGGTAGAGGGGGGCCAGTTAGCGGATACCTCAGCGAACGTGGCCCTCAGAGAACTTACAAGCAAGCACCAATTCCAAAAATAACGAAGAACAATCCCAGGGGCGTAAGATTACCAGCACCAAGGTTCCCGTCGTCCTTGAGCGCATAGATCAAGAACATCAGAAGAGCGCTGGCAATGAATTCGGAAAAGAACTGGCCCGTCCTGGTCATGAACGGCGCGGGATATGTGCAAAAGATGCCTGCGGTGGCAGTATCTGAATAGCCCGGCACTGTCCGAATGTTGGCTCCGCCTTCGAACACGTCGATGGCGGACTTGTAGTTGGCATAAACGACACCGGAGGCACACAATGCTCCCAGGACCTGAGCAACCATGTAAGTAGGGAATTTCCGCCACGGGAATTTCCGGAATACGCAGTTGGCAAAGGTGACGGCGGGGTTGAGATGTGCTCCTGATATGCCAGCCGTATAGACGCCCAGCATGACACCAAGCCTAGCCGCGTCAGTAGAGGCGGAAGCCGACGAGCGTAGTTTGACTCACCCCCAGCCCCAGGAGATAGATTGATAGTCACCCTTTGTGCCGCCACTCAAGACAACCTGAGCCACTACACCATCACCAAACATGATCAGGATGAAGACACCCATGAACTCCGAGAATGGCTCCCGCATGAAATGTCGGATCCGGCTCCAGGCGAGATCGGGTTCCGACTCGACGGCATCTTCTTGAGGGACTTTGTGGTCGACGAGCGGGCCATGCTCGGCGTATGCCGCCACACCGTCCACCGTGGTATGTCGGTATTCGTGTGGGGTGTGGAATATACCATGCTCGTTGTGGGTAGCAGGGGGCGTGGATGAGGGGGAGTCTTTCTCGAGGGCCATTATGCTAGGGTCCTTGGATTTGGGTGAAACCGCAGGAAGAGGGAAAGAAACAGAGGTAGGTCCCGTCTGGTCGCCAGCAATCCTTTTGTGTCAGCAAACCAAGACGGAGGCAAGCCAGACTCTTATGCCTTTGCCTGGGGTGCAGCACAAGTTCAGAACTAGTGCGTGATGTGCCATTGCATGGGCCAGCTCCAGGTCCGGAGGCGGGCGGATACGAGCCACTCATCTCGAAGTAATATTGGAGGCCGTTGACAACCAGTGGCGGAGGTGCATGCTTGGTGGAGAGTACCACGTACTATACATGCATCACGGCACGAATGGAAAGGCTGACGAGCAGCGTATGCCGATCGATTTCGGTCCACTCAGGCCGAAGGCAAGAGCGCGGAGAGGTCACCAATTGTGCCATCCGGAGTGTCTGGGGAGCCTTGTGACTAGTGACTGTGGCGAGTACCAGCCCAGGGTAGTGGTGACGCACTTGGCCAGCTGGGCACCCAGGAGAAGGAAGCACGGAGGAGGTACCTCGTTGCGACCTCCCTCAACACAGTAGGTCCTTGCCTCCCGTCCCTTGGGTAAGCCATAAACTGGCTAACGAGGGACTCGGGGCGAGTCAGACCGAGGCTGATATTCTCAGCTATCTCGACGTCTTTCTCCATTGAGGAACTTCATGCCCACTCCGGGCGTCGATAGCGTCGTATGGGATTAATCATCGCGACCCCTTCGCACAACCACAGGACACCTTTCACCACATATCGAGCCCAGATCTAGTATCACGCTGCTGGGAAGGTATAGAAATCCGAGCTGTGGTGAAATTTCGAAAAGGAGATCCAGGGCTCTAGTTTCGGCAGATCTACTATCGCCGAACGCTAATGTCCCCAGGTGCACGGGGATGTGCCTGGATACATACGTACGCAGCGCTCCAGTGTCTGAAACAGCACCTCATATCAGTGACCCAGGAGACTTCCCGGTCCTCGAAGGAGCGTGCCAATACGAGAACAAGGCATCGGCTATTGTCGACGTGAGTTCCAAAGGAGGGAGAAGAAGGAGCCAAGCTGCAGTGCCTCTCCGATGCTTCTTGGGAGGCAGCGATGACTGGGTACCCCGCCTAACGGGAAGGAACCTTGGAAGGGTCGACGAGGGTGCTGTATGTTCTTACACGCCACTCACACCTTCTCGGAAAAATATCCAGTACTCTTTGATGGACTCTCATCCGCCTCTGAACGTTTTCAGCTCAGCCTCCGCAATGTTGCCGTGAAAAGCCGCCGTCAATGGAGATTCGAACACGAGGTAGAGTTTGGCACTGAGCTGTCTCGCCGTGACTGGCTTTGCTGATGTTGCATTGGCCATGCCAGGACCCCCCCTTTGAGCGGCACGGGTCACAAATGGCTGGCCTGATGGGCATTAGTGTGCGGCAGTGGCACATCCATGCATGCATGACTGATGCGTGCTAATGCATCCGTCGTTCTTGTCGCCCGTTTTCCCCAGACCATGCTACAGTAGCTCATATTTCGCGCGTCTCGAATCCTGATCGGCATATAGTTGATTGCACAATGCAGGAGATATAGAGCTGTCTACTATCTTGGCTCTCTGGAGATTTGACTCGAAGGAGAACATCCACTTGGCTATTACCAGCTTATTCACGTGGGCTGCCACAGGGTCTCCGGACCCCCGGATTCCCACAGTCAGTGACTGTCACTGCGACTCGGGGGATGACATCCGAGCACAACTTCGATCGCTTCCGTAGGCATCGAATCCGGGGGCGAGAACTCTCTCGAGTCGCTTCCGAGCTTGTTGCACAATACCAGATGTTGCCGGAGCCCTTTACGTGGTCATGAAGGATGTTCGTTATCGGACCAGACACGGGCGGCACTGGCGGCGGCTGAGCAAGGAACTAGTATCATGATGTCGAGCGGAACAATGGTCGCTTCTAAGTAGCCGTGCACACGGGTGGCCAGATTCGATGAGAATCGTAAGCGATCACATCCCACCAAGTCGATTTTGACAGGTTTCCCGTTATAGGAGCAAGCCATACGGAGTAAGTGCGCTGGAGTCCTATAGCAGAAGACCATCCGAAGTTGCGTCTTACTTAGTCTGCTCTCATCGGAACCATGAAGCGATCGCGCGAGATCATCCCGTCCCTACGAGACCAGCACAGTGAAGGCCACGCAAGTGTAAGCATGAACGGGAGAGCAACGGTAAGGCATCCTTCTAGCCACTCACTCGAATTCCTACGCCTTACCTAGTCAATCATCCAGAGTTGCCGTTGGCATTTTCCGCAGACCTGGCTGTCTGGGAGGCGGGACTGGCAAGCCTTCGTAAAGCGCAATAGCTTGATCCGACACTCGTACACGGGCTCTCCTCCGTAAGCTCAAAACGGTGCTTGGATCAGGTCAAGTTAGGACATGTCTCTGGCCAATTACTCCAAGTGTAGGCAAGTTTTGATGGTTCTCATAGGGGAGCCCGAGGTAAAGTAGCTTGCGGCAAGGCTTTCACACTTTGGACATTCGAAGCTTGGCTTCCATATGCTCATGGACAAACCGGAACCAGGTTTGACGTCTACATGGGTCAATGCTTCAGTGCTGTGTTAATGAATCTGGAATAGCTTGATTGCGAGGAGACGCTCATCGGTTACTCCCGGCTAGGCGCCTATAAGGCCCATCTCCCCAGGATTATCGGGAGCCGCACAGAGCATCTGCAGCTGAGCATGTTGCAAAGCACCTAAACCACCCAGTAAATCAACAAGTGATGGAGCCGCTTCATTGGCTGTGCATAGGAGACACTCCGAGATGAGCCAAAAATACCTACATATCGGCCAAAAGCCGGTCTCTCCCACAGTCGGCTTACTCGGCAATGTCCCGTACGATTTGGAAGGGAAGAGAAAGGCGAAGGTGAACGTATGAGGGCAGCACAGCTCTTGGCATATCCAGCATGGGATTTTTGGTTGATAATTGCGCATGTGTGGGTTCGCACAGCAAGATTGGTCAGTTTGGCTGCGTACTGCAAAGGACAACATCCGCACTGCCTTCGTCACCGCCTTCACCATGTTGGATTGATGAGGCCCGGGAGCATCGGGGACATTTCCCTCCAGAATATCCATACTGACTTCTATTCGCATAAACAGCGCACAGCTATTCTTGAAGCCAGACACTGCGCACGGAACAATCAGAGCAACTGGCTCAGGCAGGTATGCCAGGCCAATGGCTTCTGTGTGTGCCATCGAGTTCAGTCACGTTGACCAAGGGGTTGGGAATTGCACTGCTCCTTGCGATGACGAGATCGACTTCACCTTAAGCACAAGCGGACTCAATCTAGATGCTTGTGCAACAACCGCAAATGCCATACCGAAGCTCTCGCCGTGGTTGCTGCGGCTGGCGCCCGATGCTGTTCCAGAAGTTGGCTTTAGGCACAGCTTGATTGTTAGCTGTTGCTCTGCTTCCTGCTTGGACATCCCTAGCCTGGATATGCTGTGTCGTTCACCGTGTTAGTCGGCCACCTGTCGAACGACGAAGGTGTGAGCATTGTGCCTCTGATGAAATGGGAGGGATTCGAAGTGACAGATGTCATGCCGGAGCTGAGGGTGCTTGGTGCCTAAAGGCATGCGCTCACCGGGCAAGACGACACTGCGCTCATGCATATGAACTCATGGATCTCGCAGTGGCTTCTCGCTATTGGACGTGGCGTTGCTCTTCCAGCTATTAAAGATCCAAAAGAGCAAACACAGCATCGGTGAGAAGCGCCGGAGAAGTGCCAAGCCCGGTGTTGTTTGCGATTTGTCTTTTGTCATTACAGCCCAGAATACCGGGGTTCGTCCATCTCTCAGCAGAATTTTGATAGTGTTTGGACCAGCGACGTCCCGGACAATACCCTGCATTACACCCCTTTTCAAGCCGGCCGAACCCCAAATTGAACGGTGATCGGGTGTTCGGCACTGATAGAGAGGTAAATTACCCCAAGAAACCAGACCGCCATAGCAGATACTGACGATGTTCCATGCAGGCGGGCTTTGGAGATGCAGTGTAATGCAAAACACGTGTATCGCCTTCTGCTCTGGTGATAGTCCGACACCCTTTTGAGTCGACAGTCATAAGACAGGCCATTGCCACTCGCGCCCTGGGCTCGTCACAAATGCTTTCGAAAGCAAGAATCCGCAATGTCGAGTCAAGATGCATCAGATTGCGAGAAGGACGTCATAGAAGACCAATTTGTCGCTGAACGCCGTCTCGGGGATCATGCACTGACCAAGAAGATCACGCACCCAGAACTTCATCGAGCCACAAGCACTTTGAGCCGCATCGCGTCACGTATAAGCACGCGAGAAGATATTGATCCCGGACCGCCACCGGATGGGGGTCTCAGAGCGTGGACTCAAGTTGCCATTGGCTTTACCGCCTGCTTCTGCACCTGGTAAGTATATCACATGGCGAGAGGTTAGCCTTATTATCCAGAGAAACTTACACTTCGCAGGGGATTCATCAATGCAAGCCTTCCCCACCTTCCGACGATTGTTCTCGTTGTCTTTCAGTCGATACTGGCGAGGCTAACAAATGTCCACAGTCTTTCGGGGTATTCCAGACCTACTATACCAGCGCACTGGGTGAACCACAGTCCACTATCTCCTGGGTAGGATCTGTGCAGTTATGGGTCGTCTTCTTCATGAGCGCATTCTCTGGTCGAGCACTCGACGCAGGCCTCCTCATTCCCACATTTGCTGTCGGATGTACGATCCAGCTCTTCGGGATCTTCATGACAAGTCTTTGTAAGGTGTTCTGGCAGCTCGTTCTCGCGCAAGGGATATGCACAGGGCTTGGAGCAGGTATATTCTTCACCCCAACAATGGGGCTTGTTACCACGTACTTCAAGAAAAGACGAGGGCTCGCTGTTGCCATCGTGTCTTCCGGTAACTCGGTGGGTAAGTCGTTCTGGTGTTCAAAATCGAAGAGTTCGTGCGTGAAGAGCACTTTTCGGACATTTCCCCTGCTTACTCTCACCCCACTTCCCGTCAATATGAGTTGCGTCCCTGACTTGTCCATAGGCGGCGCAGTATACCCCACTATCGTCCGGCAACTTTTGCCAAAGATCGGATTCGCGTGGACTATCCGGGTAGTGGGCTTCGTGAATCTGGTCCTTCTCGGGCTATGCCTGGCGTTCTTGCGACCGAGACTACCTCCTCGAAAGGCTGGTCCGCTCGTCGAATGGAAACCGTTCACCGAAGCGCCGTATGTCTGTGTTCTTGTGGGCATGTCATTCGTATTTGGGGGACTCTTCTTTTCCTACTATTATCTCGCCAGCTTCGGGCGCGACATCTTGCACATGAGCTATTCCGACTCGCTGACTTTGCTCATCATCTTCAATGGCGCAGGAGTCCCTGTCCGACTAGCGACAGGTTACATTGCCGATCGGTTCCTCGGGCCGCTGAACGCAGTGGTGCCACTCCTGTTCATCAACGCACTCTTTGCTCTCTGCTGGATTGCAGTGAAATCGCAAGCGGGCATGTATGTATTTGCGACATTTTACGGCTTCTCGGCGGGAGCTTTTCAGTGCTTAATGCCGACCGTGGTTACCAGTTTGAACAACGACCTGCAGCGGAATGGCATACGGATGGGCATGGCCTTTTCACTGTTCAGTTTTGCAGGGCTCGCTGGACCGCCCATAGGAGGCGCACTGCTCACAACCAATGGCGGGGGAAGGGGAGGATACCTGGTCGCGCAGCTGTGTCTCGGGATTTTGACGGCGGTAGGGGCTTCATTGATGTGCGCTGCCCGTGTGTACAAGGCAGGATGGAGTTTGAAAGTCAAGTGCTAGCGGCGTGCCGAACATGCTCTGACATTCCGTTCACTTCACCCTCACGAGCAACACGCGGCACCAACGCGTCAGACGAGGCGCGTAGATGACGTAATCTCTTGGCGGCTGCAATGCCAAACTCACCCACGCTGGAGAGTGTGTTGTCTCGCTATGAGATTTCCACACACATGACCATTTTCTCTTCATCGTCTGTAGGGCACGATTGTCCCTTGTCTCCAATATGGTCACTGGGTCTCCCTGACAAACTTACAGCCCAACGGATGTTCTCTTCATTCTAAGTGGAAAACATCCACAGAGATCCTCCCTGAAATGCCACACTATAGCCTGTCGTTGTAGACCGCGAGGTCGATCCCTTCTCCTTCGAAAAGACCATGCCCTCAGAGCGGGAAAAAGCAGACAACGTGAACGTGGTATCGCTAGGTCATTTGCGAATTTCCTTCTTCTAGTTCCACAGCTAGTTGGCACTCAGTCGCCTTTCGTTTCACCACGTGCTAGCTAGCTCAAACGGAGTCCTGCGCAATAGTATTGACGGACCTCGGAGCGTGAGGCTGGATCTGGCAGGTCGATGGGCAATGTAACTGAGTCTACTATGGAGAGCAATGTATATCAGCACTCTCTTCCACGCGGATATGCTTCGGACCCTGGGACTCTTCGTGCGTGGCGAGCTCCCATCTTCGTCTGCATCATGTCACTACCGTTGACAACACTACTGGTATTGTTGGCCTGGAGGTAAGAGACTGCCTTCTACCCCGTCAATTCACTATACTCACCAAACAGCGGCATCTCGGCAGGAAGCTCGCCCGCCCAAGGTCCGGAACCTTGCGACTCCATCTGGGTAGGATATCAATGTCAACCCCAGATCTCTCACTCTTGGGGCCAATATTCGCCCTACTTCAGGGTGCCTTCCGAGATTTCAGCCAAGATCCCGCATAATTGTGAAATTACGTCCGCGCAAATTCTCTCCCGTCATGGCGCCCGAGACCCGACCGCGTCAAAGACAAAAGTGTATAATGCCACGATCTCACAGATCAGAGCAAACGCGACGGCCTTCGTTGGCCCATCTGCTTTTCTCGTCAATTACTCGTACACCCTGGGCGCGGACCAGCTGACCACCTTCGGACAAGATCAAATGGTCAAGTCGGGCATCAAATTCTATACGCGGTACGCGTCACTGGCAAGGACAGTCGAGCCCTTCGTTCGCTCGTCCAGCGAGGACCGAGTTGTCGAATCAGCCACGAACTGGACGGAAGGATTTCACGCCGCTAAACTGGCAGACAAGTCTGCCGCCGACGGGGACCGATACCCCTATCCGATCGTTTTGCAGTACGAAGGAGATGGCTTCAACAATACCCTGAACCACGCCCTCTGCACCGAGTTCGAGAACGGCACATACAGCGACATTGGTGACGACGCTCAAGCCGCCTGGGCCAAGATCTTCATCCCGCCAATCCAAGCACGTCTCAATGCCGATTTGCCAGGCGCAAACCTCAGCATTGACCAGACCATCTATATGATGGATCTCTGCCCTTTCAACACGGTAGCGAACGAGAACGGCGATATTTCTCCCTTCTGCGCGCTCTTCACCGACCTCGAATGGGACCAATACTCCTACTACGAAACACTGGGCAAGTACTACGGCTATTCATACGGCAACCCCCTGGGCCCGACACAGGGCGTCGGGTTCGTCAACGAGCTCATCGCAAGGCTAACAAACACGCCCGTCCAAGACCACACGTCGACAAACCACACTCTGGACGACAGTCCCGCGACGTTTCCCCTCGGCCGAAAATTGTACGCTGATTTCAGCCACGACAACGACATGACCGCCATCTTCTCCGCGTTGGGGTTCTACAACGAAACCATGCCATTACCAAATTCCACGGTCGTCGAGCCTGAAGCTGCCTCCGGATACAGCGCATCGTGGACCGTCCCCTTCGCTGCCAGAGCGTATGTGGAAAAGATGCAATGCAAGGGCCAGCCAGAGGAGCTGGTGCGTGTGATCGTGAACGACCGTGTCCAGCCATTGACACAGTGCGGAGGCGATGAGCTGGGTCGGTGCTCACTGAGCGACTTCGTGTCAAGTCTGGGGTTCGCGAAGACGGGAGGAGATTGGGCTCAGTGTTTCGTCTGAGTGAAGTCGCTCTGGCGGACAGTCTCGTCGAGTCTCGACCACAATCGACAGTTTAGTTCACCTCATCCACCTAGTCCTTACTCCGTCTAGTGTAGTCTGTATCCCACGTCTTCAGAAGGGCGCATCAGCAAGCACTTCCGCTCACTTCACAGCATACACAGTACATACATACGCAGGCGGCATGTCTGGATCATCCCTGAATCAGTCTTGTCGGTGATACGACGTAAACAGAGTCTGTAGGGACCATGAGTCCGGGCACCTCGTGAACCATAGGTCCAGGGAGGCTGATACGTAGCTACTGTAGCTGCCAGGCCCACGCCAGGGAAAGCTTTCGAACCGGTAAGAGCGTAGCGTTTCCATCTCAGACACAATGCTGGTGGTCCCGCTGTTACACTGTTTGCTGAGGTCGAAAAGGGGGTGGAGAATGTATCTCTCTACGACCGTACCAGGTCCACGTGGTTCTGGGCTTCCCATTCCTTCATATCGCGCTTCTTCGATGATGGGTACCAACCAGAGCATCATCTCACACCTCGAGCCGGATGATATCGATAAAGGGCATTGTCTCAAGTACCTAGGTAGAGAGTCCAGTTTCCTCCTCTCGGACTCCTCCTACATGACCGGCAAGCTGTCTAACGCCCTAAGCACCGCCAAAGACCAAAAGGCTTTGGATATTGATTCCCCCAAATCCACGCTGACGTAGCATTTCTCGACCCCGATGCACGGGAAACTCAGCCACGGCCATGACGCTGATATGCCCGGCACTGACGCCCGCTTTAAGTAATAGCTGTAGCACCGCACAAAGCGTCTCGCCCGTGGCAAGCACATCGTCCACCACCACGACTGAGGCGCCCTTGGGGACGATATCCCGCTCCATCTCGATCCGCTTCTCTTTCCACTTTGTCGATGCCGAAGAGGAGATTTGGGATCGCTTCTCTTCCGACTGTGTAGATGCCAAAGACGAGATATGCGATCGGGGTTTGACGACGGACACCGTGGGAGGAGGCAGCTTGCCGGCTTCGCGGATGAGCACCAACGGCACATCGACCCGCGAGGCCAGCACCGACGCATAGACAAGCCCACCGGCCTCACAACATGCCACTGCGTCGACTTTGGCCCAATCGCCTGTGAAGTGGGTTTGCAGAAGAGACGCGCACAGCGCCAGGCCATCGGGCTGCTGGGAGATGTCGAGCACGTGGCGGAACTCGATGCCTCGGCGGGGGAAGTCGGGTATCGAGCGCACCATCTGGGCCAGTCGCTCCAGGTCTTCGTGGACGAAGGGAAGCAAGTAATCTTCGGCGAACGCCTTTGCCGCCTCGTCTCCAGCCGTGTCATTGTCGAAGGAGAAACTCGGGCGGGCGTCCGAGGAAGGCAAATTTGATCCACCACTATTGCTGTCATTGTTCTCTCTACTGTTCTGGTTGTTGTTGTCGCCATCGTACTTGCCGCCGTGACACCCTTGGCGAGCACGCCGCATTTGATCGCTAGCCTGGACGCGAACCTCCAGCAGTCTGCTGTCTGGCACCAAATGTGACAATGCTGCAACTGGGGCCTCGTCTCTCATTCCAGTGATCAGCAGCACGTCGACGTCCTCGGCGCCGTGTACCACTTCCAGAAAGTGTTTTTTGGGCAGCTGAGGATTTTGACGCACCCGTTCTTGGAAATATGTCGTCAACGCTGGCCGATGTTGTTCCTTGTAAGCACGGTCCCCAAGGAGGAAGTCCAGGTCGGCTCCGGTAGCCACGGCGTATTCTAGCTTGAGCGCGTCGCTGATGCTGACAGTCCGTGCTGTAAGGGTTTTGTTGGTACAGCTCGTGAACACGGAGACCCAGACATCGGCATAATAGTCCTTGCCGGCGCAGCTCTTGCCGGTGACAAGGATGATGAGCTTCGGTCCCGCCGGCGCTTTTGGGAGCGGGCAAGCATAAGCCAGCACATTGCGTGGGTCCAAGCTCCGTTTGAGCCGGGCCAGGCGCGCCCGGTTCGGTCCGAACGCGTGACCTGCCAGCGTTGCGTCTCTGGGATCTGGCCCAAGGTCGGCACCATAGACTCCAGTACTGAAGGACAACAAGTCCTCTGCGACATTGTAAACCCATTGCATAGCAGATCGTGCGGTTTCAGTGCCGTCTTTGTCGCGAGGCCAAACACCGGTTATCACACAGGCGAAGTCCCAGTCTCGACAGCCGAAGGCCGTGGCATCGGCCTCAACATCGTTGACTTCTCTGCCGCCCTGCAGCAGATGGAGATAGCACAGTGGCGATGGAGAAGTCTCGACGGCTGCCACCAAGCGCTCGGCGATCTTCATTCCTCCGATGCATTTTAAGAACAAACATCGCTTGAACGAGGAAGTCTTGCCTCTACCGTGACCACCGTGCATTCCAGACATGTACATCTCGGTCTCGAACAAACCGACGCTGTCCACAATTTTGGAGTCGACTTCCGGCCCCCACAAGTCACTTAGAGCCATATGCGTGCCTGTCACAAAGTTGTTCGTAGTCCTGGAAGATTCGTACGTGGTCATTCCAAGTTGCAGCTGATCAGCGTCCCAGAAAAGATAAGCGTCGGCAGAGCAAGTCCGGGGGAGTTCGCTAGCGACTAGTTTGTCAAAATCGCCGAGTCTCAGTTGAGCTTCGAATTTGTCGCTAAGCGGGACAACCCAGTTTCGAGTCATGTAGGTCGGAGCCGGGTAAGCCTTGAAGGTTACGCTGACCACGACGCCAAAGTTTGTCCCGGCGCCTTTCAATGCCCATAATAGGTCAGCTTCGTTTTCTCGGCGAACGGCACCTGCCGGCTGGTGCTGGCTTGGGACATGGCCGACGCTGAGGACCTCGCCAGAATCGACGCTGACCACAACAGCACCAACGATGGAGTCACACGCGAGCCCATGCAACCTAGCCAGATGCCCAATGCCGCCTTGTAGCCAGAGCCCGGCACCTACGGTTGGGCGGGCCCCCAGGGGCACTATCAGGCCAGCCTTCATGGTCTCGTGGACGATATCTCCTGTCTTGCAGCCGGCCTCGGCAACAACCAAAGAAATGGAGTCGAGATCGGAACCTCCTCTATCATCCCCCACCGCAAGAATGTGTACTTTGTCAAAAGCGCCCATGTCGACCGAGACAACGTTGGGCCAAAGACAGTGACCGCTATGACCCCCACCGATGACGGTCAGACTCACTCCGTGCTTCAGAGCCCATCGGACGCAGTGCTGGACATGTTGGATCTCCGTAGGTCTAACAACCGAGGCGGGGCGGTGGAGGCGAGCCTCTCGATTCTTAACTGTCTTATCGCCCTCAACCAGTGGCACCTGCGCCATCAGCTCCGGCAACGTGGTCGCATGTTTGGTAAAGGACACCATGAGGTCGGGAGCACTGAACACGAGGTGGTCTGGGCAAGCTTCCTCGCGGCGACCCAAGGTGCGGCACAGCTCACGCCACTTGACTCGGATAGGCTTGTCTGCGTCCACCTCCTGCATGACATATCCCGCGATGAAAGAAGCGAAAAGGTCCAGAACCTCGTCGTCATCCGCCACGCGGACGACGCCTGTGGGAAAAGAAACCGTCCGATGGTATACCAAACCGTCCAGGTGCAGGTCTCCGTCGCGGTGGAAAACTGTCACCATTCCACCCTCGGGGTCCTCCACAAGCATTTCCACCGCCCGTTCGACGTATCTGCGTTTGGGTTTCATGCCGTACATACTATGGCAGAATAGGATGACATCGTATTGTTCATCGTCGTCACTTGTCCCGCTATCTGTGCCGCCTTCATCTCCCAGGGTAAATGGAATCCGACGGATGTCGGGCAGGCTTTCTAGGCAGGGAAACGGGGACCCCGTCTCGGAGCCAGAGCAAAGCCATTCTTCCAATCCTGTGGCAAACAAGCCGTTAGGTTCGAATGCAGTGTATTTCTTGATCTTCCGTCTCAGATGGCCGGGCAGAGACCCCAGTACGCTCTTTGGGCCAGGTCCGATTTCTAGTGCCGAGATATGGGCACGCGAGTTGAAAAGCGGAGTGAGCAGAACTGAGAGTTGAGGGATGACGAAGTCTTGGTACGAGAGCCACCCGGAGCCCCGCACTAAAATGTCGAAGCCGGCGCTATACTGCTTGTCGGACAACGGCTGCTTGGCAGTTGCCGTGGCATTCTGCCTCAGGGCCCACTTTAGGGAGTCGAGCGTGGCCATTTCGTTTCGGCATGAAGAATGTGAGTCTGTACATTGCAAATGAAAGAGCTCAGCTAGATTTGTTTGTAGAAGTACCCGAAATCGCCCAAATACCGCGCAGGTTACACAGTCCTGGGCATTTTGCATTAGCGCGACCGTAGTGAGGCTCGGGGGGTGAAGCCACTGGCGCCTACCCTAAGCTCTTTCTAGACTAGCCTACTCAAATCTTGGCGGCAGCGCGAACATATCTATCTGCAGCTCCCTTTGCAAACCCGTCTTCCTTCTTTATTCTAGTGAGTGCACTCCAACGCGACCCCTACCTTTGGCGCCTTTGCTAATAATGATGACTAGGTGCACGGGCATTATCTGCGCGCGTGAGGCTACAGCCGATGCCAGATTTTTGCTAGGTATGTCCCCCCTTCACGTTGATCTGCTCTTGAAAGATGCTGACAGGTGCAGTTGAAAACTATACAACTGACCGCTCCTTGTGGACTTCGGTTCGCTTGGGAATCTTTGGAAAACACACCTTACCTTTTCATCAATATCGGCGCCTTGAGCGAAGATTTGGAGAAGAGATCATGGACACAACATCACATTGAGTTGAAAGACCCAGTTGTGGTGTGTGAAGTTGCTGTAGACAGGATGAAGAGAGAGGTAGTTAGACGAGACAACTACTCCCATCAAATGAAGGAAATATAGGCGAATGTACCTGATACTTTTCTCAGTAATGTTTGAACAGAGGCTTTACCAGAGAGACAATGCAGAGTTAGAGAGGCTCGAAGGACGCGTTCGATAAGAGAATGTCATTAAGCCCAATAACAGATAGTGCGTAGATGGAAACTTCGAACCGAATCTGTCAGTCAACATTCAGACCTCGCTCATAGGGCCGTCCGAGTAGGTGTTGTGTATTCGAGCTTGCTGGGAGCGACCATGAGGATAAATCATTCCAAACTTGTCTCCAAGCCAAACCACAACTTTTTGACTGCAACTCTCATCTACTGACACCTCAACATGCCATCCGCGCTCATCACAGGCGCTTCAGGCTTTCTGGGCCGGCAAGTCCTCAAGACCTTCTCAGACTCTGGCTGGGAAGCCACAGGCACAGGCTTCAGCCGCGCCTCAGGACCGATCCGCAAGGTCGACATCCAAGATGCCGAAGCCGTGACCCAACTCTTCGGTCAGGTCAAGTATGTACTCTACAGAGTCACTCCGTAGGAGGCTTAGAGCTTCGAGGCCTGCCTCCGCACCAAATCCAGGACTAACGACAGCTCAGACCTCAAGTCGTCGTCCACTGTACTGTAGAGCCCGCTTTGCTTTCACGTCTAACTCGCAGAAGACTCTGCGCTCCTCTGCGCAAACCTAGAAGTTTACAGCTAACCCGCAATGACCGAGCACAGGCGCCGCGGACAGACAACCCGACTCATGCACCAAGAACCCCGAAGCAGCACGTAAGCTCAACGTGACCGCGACGGAACTCCTCGCCGCCCGCGCGGCCGCCCAGGGCGCCTTCCTCATCTACATCTCGACCGACTACGTCTTCCCCGGCGTGCCGGGCCAAGCCCCCTACAAGACCTCGGACAAACCAGACCCGCCCAACGTCTACGGCCAGACTAAACTGGACGGCGAGACCGCTGTGCTCAAACATGAAAGCGGCACCACTGTCGTCCTCCGCGTGCCTGTCCTCTACGGGCCCACGGAGCCCAAAGAAAACAACGCAGAATCCGCGGTCAACATCTTGATGGATAGCCTGTGGAAGTCGCAGAAGGAGAAGGTGAAGATGGACGACTGGGCGATCCGGTATCCTACCAACATCGAGGACGTGGCTCGCATGTGCTTGGATATCGCGAAGCTGTATACCTCGTCCACGCACCCAGAGCGGTTGCCTCGGGTGCTGCAGTTTTCGAGCGAAGACCGCATGACGAAGTACGAGATCGTGCAGAAGTTCGCGGAGATCATGGGACTGCCTGTCGACGGCGTCGTGGCGGACAAAGATGGAGGCAAGCCCGGCCCGGACGGGACGATGAGGCCATATGATTGTCACCTTGATACGAATGAGTTGCAGGCGCTGGGGATCGATATTGGAACCGTGGATTTTGTGGCTTGGTGGAGGAGGTGGGTTGGTGCCTTTCGGCATTGAAGGAGATGCGCGGGAAGAGAAGATGGGAGCAGACAGACAGCAGAGAGGTGGCCGAACCTGCGGAAAGCTGTATTTGAAAATCTAACATACTGTTCTAGTCAAACACTACTGAGGAACAGGTCGATGATATGGGACGTGACTCGGGAGACAGAGCAAGCGGAGTGAGTGTCTCAGAGCAAAGCAAATTCGAGTTCAAAGCGGCCTGCCATCCTTCTTTCCGTCACTCTATCATCCACGATGATGCCTGTGCCTTGATTGTGGCGAGGAGTGTGTTTGTTTTTCCCTCAGCATGGCCTCCATGTCGTCTCGTCCGAGATACCGTGAGTTTTCGAGACAGGCTTTCATGACCTCCTCCAATTTATCAGGGTTCCGCTATCGAAGGAAAGCAAAATGGATTCACCCAAGTGAGAAATCCAGAAATCCAGCACAGGTAACGGGGTCATCAGGGACTAACCTGAACGGTAGCAGTTACTGGGCAGCCCAGACAGCGAGCGCCAGGACAGCAAAGTCAGCACCGGTGTCTTTGCTAACCGACCTAGACGAACCTAGTAGGTGGATAGTGAGGCCGTGGTCTAATTAGGGATCTCATGGATAGGAAAGTAGGAGGTTGAGTAGAAGCAAGTTTCAAATACTGATTACAACTGCTTGACCGCGTGGGTCGTTGGCTATTTCCTGAGCAACCATCCACAGCAGCACGGTGACGCAGTGGCTAGCAGGCAATCGCTCCGACAACACGTAGTGACTTGGATGTTGTTCATGTTGCCGAATGAAGTTGATGTTCGAGACAAATTTTACAACATCTTATCGATAGGGTGAACACTTGATGGGATGGACTTCCAAGAGGTCATTGGAGGCTTCTGGCCGAAGCGTCAAATCACGAGTCACTGTACACTCTGGATTGAGCTGGGAAGTAGCTAGATTCACCATAGTAGGGCCTATACGGTAATGCTCGCTTCACATCCCCTATCTGCAGGACCGATCATACAAAGGCCCGCTTGATGGCCCTGTCCAGATTACTTCTCTCGCTGTCAAGAGTGTTGTGTCGTTCCACGTGCAAGCACTGCCACTTTAGCCCGCTCCAAGCAAGAATAAGATTGAACACGCGGTCTCTGTCCGCAGGGTGTAATAGTATTGTGAGATCTGTGTCATCTAGGAACTTGAACTGCAACACCTCCGCATATCGGGAATGTAGGTGGCTGAGATTCTTTAGCGTCGAAGTGGACTGGACATCGATGGGATCGAGCTTGCGGATTTCGACAAAGGAGAAGAATGGCCAATTGCGCTCGGATCCGTCCTTTGTAGAGATGGTGAGGCATTTCCTGCCAACTGTGAGTTGACATTTCCCTTGGACACTGTCGTAGACTTTGAACGAATACGTCGATTTCAACTCCTTTGGTCGCATGCCTCGCTGGTCGTCATCCTTGTACTCAAATTCCTCGAAGCTCGCCTCCTTTGAGGCTGCCTTCTCCTGTAAGGTTAAGACAGCTAACTCTGCATGTGTTGGGATGTTCCAAAACACCCATCTCCAGTGCGACAGCAACAACCTATACTTCGGGAAGTTCGTAGCGAGTGGATATGTCAAAAAGAACGCACCGCCTGCAATGAACCAAACCAGTTTCATGCAGAACTCCATATCCGCGCACAATGAGATAAGCAGACAGCAGGAGAAGAAGAAGAGGGTCGCAAGGGTCAGGCTCGCTCGTTCCCAACGGTGGAAATTGACAAGAATCTCGAGAAGGTCGGCCAAGTCGCCTAGTTGCAGTTGGATAATGGGTCCGATCTCGTTGAGAAACTGTTCCAGCCAGTCATGCTGTCCGTGTCTTTGAATGAGTTCACCCCATGCCTGGACTCGCGCTTTGCGATCGATCGCTCTTCCAACACTCTCTCGTACCGTCCGTATAGAGGTTTCACGGAATCTGTTGCGTAAGGTAGAATAGATGACGTAGAAGTAGAAGTAAGCCACGATATACTGGGTGTACCACAAGACCAGATATAACGCAAGCCATTTCGCCGTTCGCCTTGGGTCTTTCCACATGTAGACGTGACGCACTTTGACGAGAAATGATTGCCATGGTGCGGAAGTGATCGCAATGCGCTCAATGATGCGGGCAAGGTCTTCCAGGTCGAGTGGTGGAGATGAGAAGTCATCAATGTACCCTGATGTGAAGTTGCGGGTATAGTAGAGGGCCATATAGCCAAGATACCTCTCCCACTCGAAGCGATCTCCCTTTTTGAATTGTGATTTGACTGGACGAGATACTGGACGCACAACTTTGACACGGGAGACGTGACGACTCAAGATCCAAGCTGTTTGTAGACTCTCCCTCTGCTCCTCGACTTTCTGTACGCGACCGTGCGCTTCGTCCAGTTCGGAGATCACATTTTCAATGTCCGAGGTATCGGACGCATTACTCGACACTGCTTGCGAGAAAGCATCATGGGCTTCAAGCAGGTCCTGGTCTTGGTCAAGCGTCAACAATGGGTGTTGCCTGCCGAGTTTCTCAGACGCCACATGTGTAGCTTTGCTTCTCATTATCCTCCTAGGATGGATGACGAGATACTTGGCGCTCTTGAGGTCATCTCGAATTGCTTCTCCAGTTGACCTCTGCCGCTTTTCCGATGCTTGTTTCAGGGCTTGCGCTGAGTCGAAAGCTGCATCGGCAAAGATGTCTTCTTCGTCGTCGGCAACGGCTCGAGGTTGAGCCGGAGAGAGCAATTGCTTAGTTTTCACTTTGGCCTTGTCTTTGGCGTGTTTGGCACTCTCGAATAGGTTGCCGATGTGATGCTCGGTCTCAGTCTGGCTATCGCGGTGACTGGAGGTCATTGCGAGCGACGTGTGGAGAAGGGACCTGGAATGGTCAGTGTAGAAAATCAAAGAGGTCGCGCCTTAAACTGAGAAGATGCATCATGGAGGCCATAGTGAGAGGGGAGCTGAATAACAAAGCTTCAACGGCGCCATCCTGCTTGGCTACTGTCTTTCAGGTTTTGTGAAAGCTAGAATGGACGTCAAGGGTAGTTCTGGAACAAATGATTGGCACGGTCTAAGAAGATGGAATCGGAAAGCGAGATCTCGTCAAGAACTAGGCAGATCGATGTGCGCACTCGCAGCCACTGACGACGATTAGCGAGAAAATCGGAATGTGCAAGCGAGGACAGCCACAAACACTTCGCCGTATTGCAGCGGTCATGCACTAAGCCAGCTGCGCAGGTTCCTCCACTTCCATTCGCGATCAATCAACATTCAATGCTCACTCCCACCACAGTTCAGCATCATCAGTAGCTAGAGTGGCTCCTGATCAGTAAGCGACTTGCACGCAGCCTCTGGTGCGTAGGATGCTTCCCAGGCCTTGTAGCTCTGGATTTCTTTTGCGGTAGGTTGGCTGCGGGGAGTAAATCCCATCTCTTCGTGAGGCTGTAATCACAACCATTTCTGCCGGACCTGGATGGGGAAAATTGTTCGGTCTTCACTGCTTGACATTGTGCGCTCATGAGAAGTTGATTATTTTTCGTCTCTGCCGTTCCGCTTGACACCTTTCTAGCTTCCCTTCACTTTGTCAAATCTGAAAGTTTTTGACCAGCCCATCCTTGAATCTTTGATGCTTGGACGAGCACCCGCCCTACCCTCAAGATGAGCGACAATCCCCCTCCAAAGAAGAAGTCCCGCTTCTTCGCGAATGGCATGAGCGTGGTTGATAACCTTCTGCGTCCACTTAAGAAACAGACTCGCAAAAACGGCGAAGGTGATCCAGGCTCCGCTGAGGCAGATGTCAACGGCCCTCCACGAGATGGTAATCCCTCATCCGACCAAGGTTCCCCTTTACTGTCCAACATTCGACCTGCTGCTCCCACGATCTTACCAGCACAAACGACAATAGCAAATGAGACTTCAGCGACTGGCAGTGCTCCTGGCCCACCAAGCGCGTTGCCACCTCGAGAACACCACGCACGCGGACAGAGCCCTTCACCACAGCGACACGCCCCAGATAGCGAAGCCGAGACCGAGGCTGAGTCAATCGCATCTCGTCGAGAAGATGAAGAAGATTGTGATGTGAGTGATGAAGAGAACACGAAGCCGAACCTTCACGTTCAGACACAACGACACCAGCGAAGACAAGCCATCTACGGCGCCGAGGCTCTTCTGCCACACGGCTCAAACGCTGGTGGACAACATAGTCTTCAGCCTTCAAGCTCCATCTACACTCCTCTTAGTGTCCCAGCACAAGGCCTCAATCCAGCCGGTCCTTCTGCCCTACCACCTCCTGGCAACAGCTACACATTTAGCGGCGTCCCTACAAACCCCAATGCCACCACAGCTGGAGGCCAGTTTCCCTTTAACTTCAGACTGACGCAAAATCTACGAATTCCTTCCACAATCCAGCAGGCGACCTACAACCCGTACCAACACCCCATTGGTTCCGGCTTGGCACGCATCGCTCTCCAAGCCGTCCACACTAATACCAGACCTCTGAATCACGCGCAACAAAGTCCGACAACAGCCAAACGTCCCATCCAGACAAATCTACCTAACGCACCTTATGTCGACATGGACCGCGATGAACACGGCCGACGGCTTCGAGAGTACCTGCCCCGGCCCACAGCCCACCACGGCATCGGCCACCCCTCTAAGAGCGTGGCTCCTCGCATTCGCAGGACAGACCCCGACTCCCTTATTCCCGAACACATGTACACGACGCCCAATCGCGTGGAGCGCGCCCAACAAGTCGCACGCATCAACCTCAAGCGCAAGCGTCCTGACACAATCCTCCCGCCAGCCAGCTACGTGTACCAGCGCACCGGGTCTCCGGACTTCAACATCTTCCACGGCCTGCTGCTCTACCCGGAACTGTGCTTCGCGCTGGCCGCCCACCTCCCAGTCAAGGACCTGATCTCTCTGTACGCCATCTCCAAGGACTTCCACGTGATTCTAGACACGCGCTTCACAACGGTGATCCTGAGGCAGGCGGTCTCCAAAGCCCCCGACTCGGCGCGCACGTTCATGTTCCGCAGCTACGCCCACCTCTGCCGCTCCGACCCAGCGGCCCGCATTGCGCACCCCAACGCGCAGCTCGCTGAGCAGGGTACGCCGCGCAAGATCCCCTCCTTCCGCTGGCTCAAGATGGTGCTCCACCGCGAGAAGGTGATCCACGAGCTGATGACCGTTTTTGCCGAGGACGGGGTCCCGCTGCCCGCCCGCTGCGCGCTCGCCCTGAAGAGACTGTGGTTCATGCTCGACATCCCGGACAACGCGCGCCGCATTGGCTTTGTGCACAACAAAACCCTCATGACGGATCTGGACCTTTACTTCTGCGCCTGCTTCATCACGAAGCTGGACATGCGCCTCAACGACCCGATCAGCGGCGAGAAGCGCGACGGGATGCGCAAGCTCTTGCTCGCGCAGCGCAGTTTCACGCGCATCCTCGGCGTCCTGAAGCGCGAGATTTGGACGACCCGATTCGACGTCCTGCGCGAGTGGGTGAGGATGAAGCACGTCGTCGTCGAGCCCGACGAGGCGGGTCTCGACATGTTCGGCGTGCCGGCCCGCGAAATCGGGCGCGGCAGGCTGGAATACTGGGGCCTGAAAACCGAGGAGGACGTCGGGCGCAAACTGCACGGCCTGTTGCGGCCCGATCAGCTGATCGTACGCGAGGCGATCAAGCGGGGCATGCGCTTCGAGAAGCACTACCTTCGGTTCTTGCTGTACGGGTACGTGGGGCCGGACACGCTAGAGGACTATGCGCCCAGAACGTACGGCCGGCGGATCAGAGAGATCCAGGACGATGAGTACGGCGTGGATGATCTCGTGGGTGGAGTGGCTGCGCTGGGGATGGGCGACGAGGGCTTCGATCCGTTGCTTGACCTGGGCCAGCCGAGGCAGACGAGTCCGTACACCATTGTCAAGGAGGCGACGAGTAGCGCGGAGGTGGCGATCCGGGCGCGCGAGGACGAGTTTCTCGACAAGTGCATCAGCTGGTGGGAGGAGGAGCGACGCGCGGTGCAGCTATCGAAGAAGCATGCAGGGTGAAAAATAACCGTCAGGGTGGTGAGACCGCACACCGCAATGACACCACGGTACCAAGATCTCCGAAAGCAAGGCGAAGCGAGCCATGGCGAGGCATGGAGATGGGATCAGACACTTGACGTATTGGTGAGACACCGAAACTTCATCTCTCTAATTGGGGAACACGCGTCATGCGGCACGAAGCGTTGCTTGCTGGGATCGGGGTCACAACGTTGAGTCTGGCCACGTTGGGACCAAGCCTAGAGCGAGGCGCAGAGAAATTTATTGTCGTTGGTATGTAGGTACTGGTACCCCGTAGTGGTGGTAGTATTGGTGGAGGTATTGGGACTACTAGGAACGATATCAAGTACTGTGTTCCGCACTCCATACTGTGGTAGTAATACACATGGGTTGGTCCCGAGTCATAAGTCCTGATTCTTGGATCCTGATTACTACGGAGGATTCTTCCCCCGCCCGCTCTGATAAACGCCTAGACGTCTACTCCGTACCTAGGTGGCAGATGGATTTCCAAATCTAATATACTCGCACAGTGCGCGGGCTGGACTGTCCGAATCTCACTCCATGCAGTTTTTCTGTAACGACCTCTTGCCACGAGATGACTTCCCAGGACGAGTTGAGGTCCAAACACAGGGCGGTGGGAGGAACCTAGGTTGTTGGAGTGTCACATTGCCACGGGGACGATGATAGAGACATTACTCTCCTTACGCAGACTGTCGGTGTTATGGTATGAGTTCCTCTCCTGCTTTGATATGCCGGATTTCCCCTTCACGGCCATCGAGCAGGCGGTCCGCAATGATGTTGACTGACTAGCGGATGACCGAGGGATATCAGATAGGATCTGGTACATTGGTGTGCTTGCCCTTTGTGCTGTTCGTTGTTGTCCAGGCGCGGCTTCGTGTGAATAAGTGAATAGCCGTAGCAAGGATTGTGCTGTTTGATGCTTGACCTTGTCATCAAGATCGCCTTGTGTTCGGCGGGTTCAGTTCTGGGAGAGACCTCATCTGACCATCTCGTGGTTGTCAGTTATCGGACTTGGCTCGTTCAGTAGTCTACCCTGGGAGCTCAAGGGCGGCCGCTGCACTCCGTACCGCTGGTCCTTAGCGTCCGGCCGTGCTGAAATGGTTGAGTCAGCTTCGCTATGAGGCATGATCGAATTGGTGTTCCAGCTGATACAAGTATGGACATAGTGAGCAAGGCTTCCTGTGTAGGGTGGTAGCGGATCTGTCGATCTCATGTCGCTTCCTCCGATGAATCCTACACCAGGGCACTGCGTACTTCGGACTGACCTCCAAATTAGGATGAAAACTTCGAGATGCCCTCCTTCCGCTCAGTCGAAGCTCGTCATGCTCGAGCTATGCCGCCGCTACGGCTGTGATACACCGCCAACCTCGGAATCCAGGTTGCCTTGCCCTCCAACCACTGTCGTACCCTCCGAGGACACGACTGTTTTGGAATCAATCGGCCGAGGTGAAACTTGAGACCCTTCAATTGGGGTCGGTATCCAGTCGCCTGGCAATTCTTGTCGAGGACCCCAACGTTCGTCTCCTGGAGCTTCCACTGGCGTCATCACCGAGGAGGCGATCTCTTGAGGAATGGCTGCGTGCATCTCCATAGCCGGTTTCTTTTCGTTCTGTGGTAGCTCGGAGTAGGGCGGTGCAGGAGGCTGAGATTTATTTTCCAGAGCTCTTTTGGCTTCCGTGTCTGCTCTCTTCCTTCGATTGCCTCGAATGACCAAGAATACCAACAGGGCAATAAGTCCTAGGCCCGCTACGGCTGCAGCCACGGCGATACCGGCTTTGGCTCCTCCAGATAGACCTGTATTATTACTGCTGGCATCGGTGTCCGCGGTTGAGCCAGTAGGATTTGGTGCTCCATTTGCAACGACAGAAGGCACCGCGGAAGTGGCGACTGCTAGGTCCTGACAATCGACAGAGAATTGACTGACGTTCGTCGCTGTCATACAGTCGGAGAAAGGAGCAATAAATAGGGTGGTAGAACTGCAGAAGGCCACATCGCTGCCGTAAACCGTAACTGTGGGTATATTAATAGGGCTGGCTCTTTATCTCTGCCCGCTCCCACTTACCTGCACAAGTTTGGTCAAGACTTGTGACCATGTAGCTGAGAAATCCCTGTACGTTTGTCGGGAACGGTGTACATGTTCCATCGTCGGGACCTGTCTTCCAGCCCTGGAATTTCTGGCATGCATTGTCCGAGTAGAAGGTGATATTCGACAAGGCAGTGACCCGGCGGAGGTCGAATGCACACCACGCGACAGCGCCAGCAAGGCTGAGGAGCTTCATACTTTCTAGCAACGACACAGTCCTTAAGACATACGAGACTCGAAGAGCAAACAAAGAGAGTATTCCGTAAGTATCTCAAATGTATTGTTGCTCGCGGATCAGTCGAAGAAATGTAAACCAACCGGCGGTGTGGGTGGGACAGAGGGACTTTTGGGTCTCTGGCAAACCCCGAGAACGGCGAGGCTAGAGAGCTCTGCAACGACGCAATTGCCCATGGGATGTCAGACGGAGGAGTGAAAGATAGCGCCCAAGCACTGAGGCTGATGTCGTGAGCGGAGCGCGACACGAGTCAAGGGAGATTTGAGATCAGCTAGGGCTGATCCTCCGTCTTCGTGTCATGTTTCCGCTCAGAACCCAAAGGGCTAGACGTGCGCTGCGACGCCGACGTGGCTCGGCTTGCTGTGGGAGCAGCTGTCGAATTTCCATAGTGTAACAAGCAATCGGCCAATGCCATCAGCGGCTAGCAATGGTTGCCAACCGGGGCCGAGGCCATTACTCGTTCTCTACGGAGTAGTGGTTTCATGAAGACCGGCGCACGGTGAAGGTGAAAATCAATTGACAAGTTGAATATTCCGCACGACCGACAAAGACGACGGAACAACGAAGCCGCCGCCGCTGGGTCGTACAGTACTTGCCTCGTTTAGTAGTCGGTTGCTACCAGCACCGCCAGCATGGATGCGTTGCGTCAGCTTGACTGGTCAGAAACATCAGGAGGCATCGTTGATGAACACAGGGCAATTTCGCTAGCACGGCTAGCTACTTAAGCATTTCAGGTAGCTCGGCACAGGGGCGTGACTTCCATCCATGATCAGCCCTACCACTGCAGCGTCTCCATATGTATGTGCAAAATGGAAAAGAGTCATATGGATCAGGACTGGTCCTGGCGATCGGAGACCGAGCTGATAATTTCAAGCAGCAACCTGAAGCTCCGAAGCTGCCACGAACCTAGAAAAACTCAGTCGGGACGTCAAACTCTGGGTCCCGGTTGGAAAGGCATAGGGGCACCCAGATGCGGCTGATGTTTCGTGTCCTCTTGGGTCTGACCTGGCCAGCCTCATTAGCTGTCCGCCTCCCTGCTTAATGATTACAACATGGTGGTCTTACGGATCCAGTGATCTGGCGAGCTTGGCAGGAGCAGGGCAGGGCAGGGGCCTCATCTTCGGCCGTAGCAAACGAATCACTCCAGGAAAGCACAGGGGTGGCCAGCTTCGGCGCGTCGCTTTTCAGCCTCATTGTTTCCGGGGTTGATGAAGGATCCATCCTTCCAAGGTCCTCCAAAGCATGTCGGTGAACGCACTTTGCCCCACGCCGCGTGCAACCAGTAAGCCAGGTGGAATATGGAGCCAGACTTCGTCTACGACCTGATGGGCACCCTTTTTTGAACCCATTCTCGAAACGCCCAAGATGCAGACAATCGTCGGGTATCAAGATCGTGACCCTTTCCCTTCCCGAGAACAAAAGACCTAACGCCACGCTTGATGCTTCGAACCCATGCCCCGACGGATTTATAACGCCGCGGAATTCCCCTCGAGCACGGCTTTGGCAAACGGTGTGTTGCCAGAGTCCGCTATTCTTCCACCAATCACTTCGCCAAGGCTTTCAACGAGTTTGGCTCGCATGTTGGCAGCAGAGGCCTCTGAATGTCCATTCATCATCGGGATATCATCGTCCACCAGTGTCCGCAGAGCAATCAGAATTGCGGTAACCACTTTTTCTGCTTCGGCCTTCTTCACGCTACCTTCTTGAATATCATCTTCCAGGAGCTGACCGTAGACTTTGATATTCGGCAGAATGAGCTGGCGGACCACTTCCGCGCCGCCCACGGCTTTCAATCCGAGGATGGCGCCGTAGTGGCTTCCGTACGGTTTCTTGGGGTCGAGGAAGGTCTTCAGACACGACCGTGCTAGCCGAGGTTTGAGATTATGTGAGTATTTGGCGTATCTGTTGCAGAGATGGCCCAGCAGAGCCGCAGCTAGATCCCGCAGGTCGTAGTGATCGAGTGCACCTATGCCTGTGCCCAATGTTCGTCCGATCAAGCAGGTCAATACGGGAGGCACCATCGATGCCACCTGTTCGTCTGTCAGTTATATATGACGTTGCCCTTCCTCGAATACATACGTATGGTGTCAGGTTGAGCTTCTCATTCCTTGTCAACGCGTCCGTGACCAGCATCATCTGAGTCAACACAAACAGATCTTTCAAGTTATGCGTGACCTTTTCTGCGACGAATTGTACAAAGTATGGCACCAGCTGGTGTAGGCCTGGATCTTCTTTCAGGCTGGCCAGCCCCGCCGTGCGATATTCCAGTTGCGTCTCATCCAGGACCGACGAGCAGACCTTCTCAAAGTACAACTGTAGTTCTTTGGAGAGGATATGTTTGACCTGAGGTTTTGTGGTAGTATTATCTGCGCCACTCATGGCAGCCAGCGCGTGATTCGCGTTCGGTCCTTTCGGTACGAGTTCGAGATTTCGCGCTTCAGTCGACGTCGGGTTTTGAGGTATTGAGGGTTGGACGCCTTCGACGGCAAGCCAGTGCGCTGTGGTCCGGGTCAGATTGGGCTCACCACAACGATAAAGAGCAATCTCTCACCTGTGAATGTCATTTCCCTGGGTACTTTCGGTAGCGGCGCGTTGATAAGCTTCTCGAAGTCCATCTCCTCATCCTCGACGTAGTACAGCGGTTGCCCGGGACCCAGTGACGCCTGGCCATACTTCAGCGGCCTGGTAGATTCGTAGCCGTAGAGCGGTTCGATGTCCAGCACGCGAAGGGCTTGCGATATATCTTGCGACCAGAGAATCGTGCGGCGGGCATGTTTCATGAACTTGAGGGCTTCTTGGAGGACTTGCGAGATGCGGTACTCCACATCGCGGCAGAGCGACGTGTTGACTTCCTTGTTGAAGTTGTAAATTCCGACAGATTCGGCGACATCTTTGACGGTGTCTTGACCCCAGAGAGTCATTGCTGCACCGATTCAGAGGAGTGAGCGGCGGTCGCGCTGAGACAGGCTTGCTGGGAATAATCCCTGTGATCAATCGCTTGCCCGCAACGTGAACGTCACATGAGATTGCGAGTAGGGAGACAGAAGCCGGCTTTTAGTGAGCTAATGTTGTGGATATATATACTTCCATATGCACATCTTCTTGCGCAATCGACCATAGAATGTGGAAAACAGGGCTTCCCGTTCGCTCGGTACTTAAGCCACGTGCCGGTCATTTAGTACTAAGGTGGGTGACCACTTGGGAATCCTGGCTGTTGATTGTTTTTGTCTCTTTGCACCTTTCTAGGGTGTAGTTTTTGGTTTACTTGAGATCACCTATATTATAATGAATACACATCACGATGGGCGTACTACTCTAATCATGTTAGATTCTCTTGAGACGGCGGAACGAAAGCATGCCAGTGCAGAACTTCATGTGGCAGAGGTGCCTTATAGTGTCTGGCGCAACACAGGTAAATTCGAACTGGGACCTCAATCGATAATTATCAATTCCTCCCAAAGATCAGGCTGAGCTCACTGGCGGCATATCGCCCTCGTAACTGGATTGTCGCGGCTTGATCCGTCTCGCCTTCTTTTTGATTCCGCCTAGAATGGAAGGACAAACCTCATATCAACCCCCCTGAAAAATAACAATACGGCGCTCGAATCTCGAGAACACCATTGTTGCCCAGTCGTTTTGTGCACACGCTCAAGCGCAATAGTCTTCTGGGCCAGCGACGGACCAGACTGCCGCAACGGGTATCATACTGCTACATACTCGATTCTTAACTGAAAACAGTGACAGCGACGAGAAGACAGCGGACAACGCTAGCTAATGGCTGGCTGTCCAGACCCCGGAGAGTAAAGTTCGACACGAGCCAGAAAACCGACTCGGTTACGAGGCTCACGGTGACTCACCGCTGGGTTCTGTCGACAAAGTAATTAAAAGACGTGTGGAATGCTGGGAGTGTGTAAAAATATAGCATCCGCTCATTTTATCCAGTTCGTTCAACCTACCAAGGTTCTCCCCCCACTGCAATACCCTCACGCCTCATCTCTATCACTGTCCGCAACCCTCCACACCACTCTCTTCCCACTGACCTTTTTCTCTCTCAACATCCCCAAGGCCTTCTCCGCCCTCTCGAGCATCGTGGCACCCTCGACGATCACCTGCTCATTCGGCTCTACAATGCCCCCTTCCAGCACCGCCGGCATGATCTCGCTCTGCAGCTTGTTCCTGAGAAATGCATTGTCTAGGTAGAAATGCGTCCTCACCCCCGTCGCCTCGACGCCCACAGGCCAGTCGGCCACGTTGAGCACATCCATCTCGTAGATCGGCCTAACACCGGGGCTGGGTTCCACGACGATGATGGGGAGGAGGATCGCGACTTTGACTCTGGCGCACCGCGGGGTCGTCCTCACGATGCGTGACACGATCCGCGAAATGGGGAGGACACTGCCTTCGAGGCTGCCGATGCAGTCGAGGATGTATATGTTCGCGGTATCATCGCTATTGTCTGTGGTGGTGGCATCAGTTGCGGTTGTGGGCTCCGACCCCATAGAGGAGATGATGTTCTCCTCGGCGTTTGGGTCTCGGTAGTCGAAACACTTTGCCGCGCCGTATCGCCGTAATTTCTCATGGTGCGCCTTGCTAGCAGTGGTGATGACGCGCGTATACCCGTAGTACTTGAGGATTTGGAGCGCGAACTGTCCGACGCTGGAACTTCCGCCCCAGATCAAGATCCATGCGTCTGCGTCGCGTGCTTGGGCCAAGGGCACGTATCCCTCAGGTCTCGGCCAGGGGAGGTCGAACCCAAACTCCTTGGTTAAGGTATGCCATACTGTGACAAAGTTGTTGGGCAGCGTCACGGCTTGCTGCATGGTGATTCCATTGCTTGGCAGCTTGCCGAATAAGAATTCGGGGGCGACGACGTACTCTTGGTGCGCTTTCTCGCGCTGACTGCGCCAGGTGAAGCCAAATACAAGATCTCCTGGATTGTACTTTGTCGCGTGAGGCCCCACTTCGACTACTCGACCCGCAACGCTGTCGCCTAGCAGTTGGGGATGTTGGACCAGGAGGCCGCCATCTGCTTGGTGGAGGTCGAGGGGGGTGCTTGCCGTCCAGAGTGCTCGTACGCGGATCTCGTTGCCTGTCGGCGTTGGTGTTGGGACTTGGAGGATCTCGAGGGGAAGGCCTGGCCCGACTGTGACGACGGCGGGATGGGTTGCCATGGGTGTTGGGGCTGTTCAAAGTCGAGACTGTCTTCCGTGGTGTGACTTGACGAAGTATTGAGAGGACTTTGTTTCGTGATGAGTTGCCTGGTGTTCGACTTCAATACTCATGGCAAGGGGCCTCTTATATACGAGGAGTGTCTGTAGATGACTGAGCACGTTGTCTCGCATTTCGCGACCGCTTTGCTCATCCTTTCTGCCTCCTTCGTACGGTATCTGAACGCATAGGCCAGCCTCATTACTAAGATCGTCGTCATACGGTGGATCATAGACGCCTGAAATTCGTCCGTATCTGGGTATTGATTCGACGAGTTTACGGGAGGACGAGGTGCGAAGCCCAGGATTCGCAGTTTCGCGCAAGATACCCTCGTCGATTGTCTCAAGACCCCACTCGGCAGGCTCAGCATGCCCTCTGATAATAGCGTGAGCAATTTTTGGCCATGAAGGCGACCAACCCGTCCAACCCACACATAGGGTGGAAGACATTCGCAAATAAGTCCTTCTACCTCTTGAACGCAGGAACGTTCAAGCAAATTCTTCCAGTCTTGCTGCATCTGGATGCTGCGTATCTGGCTCCTGCAGGCTGTGTTCGGGTTCGAAGGTCGGTATATCTGCAGCCATCTTCATATGCGTGTCACCTATTTGAGTGAGTTTGCGGACGACCCAATCCCTCTCTTGCCCTGGCTCAAACACCATCAAGCATAGCCTCAAGGCGAAAATGACAAAGAAAGGCCCCAGAAATGACGACGTCAGCATGAATGGAGTGGTCCGACAGATGTCCCGGCACATCTCTCGGTTTTCCATCAGGTACAGCGAGTTCTTCTCGGGCGCAAATTCCTTTTCATTATCCTTGAGGATGAGATTCAGGATCAGCATGATCGTCCAATGGCCTATGTATTGCGATGCGACGAATACGTTCGCGAAAACGTATTGTTTGGGAAAGACGGGGTCCATGGTGTCCATTGAGGATGTCTCGAGTCCATTTCTCATGAGCGCCGCTCGGAACCTCAGATTGATAGATTTCAGATTTGCCCTATGCAGTCGTGCTCGCGCCAGCACCAATTCAGTGTGGGCTGCGTACTGGTCAGGTGTCATCTTCCGTTTAGACTCCTCCAGATGCCTGGCATCCCTGAGCGTCGTGGGGATTTGTACATGTTCGAGGTAGAATTCTTCGGCAAGCTCAAAGATTTCGAGCCGCTCGTCAGCGATGCCAGAGGCTCGCAGGTCGTTGTGAATCCTCTCAGCCATCTCGAGCCACTGTGGCTCGGCCAGAAAGCACGGCTCATCTCTCATAAATGCATCGATGATGATGGTATGTCGATAAGCGAGATAGACATCCCGATCCAAGCCGCTTAGATGTCGAGTTGGTCCGCGGAGCCGCATCAGCAATCCGGCGCCGCCGGAGTGACGCACCCATGAGTCATTCGAGTCAGAAGCAAACATCTCGTAGAATGAGAGCAGGATGGTCGCGGACAGTGTCTCAGTCGACATGCCGTCTGTGTCAGTAGTGAGGGCTTTGTTGAGCAGGCGAAGAGCGTTGCCGTAGAATCGTCTCGATTCTTGCACAAAGACCTCTGACTGCTGAACCCGGCCTAAGTGGACCAGAGATACAGCTCGGATAGTGGTGTCGAGGAGTTTCGAACCGAACATGCGCGGTAATTGAGAGAGCCAGTTTTGGTGGCTCCGCATCTGAGGAGGAAGGAGAAGTGGACCGTGACCACTCAAGGAGGATGAGAAGGTGCTGAGAAGTTGTTCTTGCGCCAGATACGGAGAGTAGACACTGCCATTGAGAGCCATAAAGAATGTCATGTCAAGATTGATGGATCCGCCATTCAGGAGGCCAGGGAAGCCTGCGAATGATACCTGACTGGACGAGGTGTCGGCTTCAGGGAACACCTGATTCGGCATCAAGTCAGCGAAGGTGCTGCCGGCCTCTGGCCACTGGCCGTGCTGATAAAGTTGCTCTTCCAAGTCGGGAGTCTTGGAACGAGCAATCAACTCTAGCACTTCTTCTGGAGACGATTCTGCGGACCGACTGTGGTGACTCGTCGATGTTGCGGGCGACTCGCTATCAAAGCCGAGTTGAGACCCGGTCGCATCCTTCTGAGCGAAACGCTTCCTGAGCCTGGAGCCTTCATCGTGGATTCTGAGATCAGAATCGTATCCTGGGCAGGGACGATTGCCCTTCTTGCAATTGTTGCAGATCGGGCGTGTCAGATCGCACCTCACCCGACGCTGAACACATATCCGGCACCCCTTGCTTCGTGGGATCCCGACCATGCCTAAGAAAATGCTGGAGGCATTGAGAGGCCAGCCCTCGTCGAAGACGATCCGAACTTGTAGGGCGTAAATTAGCAAATACTGTAAAGATGCAGACAGGGTCACCGGAGACAATGCCGAGCACCGAGAACCTGGAATGGCTGATGCCTGGAAATCTAACGAATGCGCTGTGCATCTCCGAGCCTCTTTAGGCCAAGTTGGGCTTGAACCACAGCTCCAACAGCGACTCTCCACTCAATTAGACGGGGCCGCCAAATCATAGACCCTGCACCACTCAAACGCTGTTGATGATGACGACGGATTGTGGCGGCAGTCTACTTTCATGCAGGTCCATGCTACGAGTACCGAGAGTGTGATAGAGGCTCAGCCCTAGCGAACTAACCCAGGCGAGATAAGCCTCCTTTGCGCAGCCTCCATCTCCGCGCTTCTTGTTCATCCTGGACCACTGACCTAACCTTTGCATTGTAGGGTGGCCGCAGCGTCACGCCCAGAGACTGTCGTGCCTACCAGCCGTGAAAAATCAAGTCATCAAACAATGTTCTAATGCATCGCATCTCTCAGACCTTCACCTAGGCGCAAAGGTACCCAGATAACTACTCGTATACAACCTGCCAATAGAGCCCCTGCTCGTCGGAAGACGAACGGGAGACACGAGGCTTTGGAGATAAAGGTCCCTAACCTTCGAGCTCATTCATAGGCACATCCTCATCATCAGGACCAACAATGGCGTCGGCGACCTTCCACACCTGGATCAGATTGTCATCCGCGGCACTGCACACCACCCAGGGACTGTTCTTGTTCCAGGCAAAGTCGCTGATGCGATTAGTGTGACCTCCGTGCATGAATAGCAACTCAGGGGGACCGTCTTCGCTGTCTTCAGGCGCTTGCTCTTCTCCGACTTTGGCGAGATCCCAGAACATGATTCGTCGATCATAGCTGCTGGACGCGAGCACCGATTCCTCGAAAGGATGCCATTCCAGGGTTGTCACGCTGTCATTGTGCCCCTCTAGTACGTGCAGCTTGTCTTTGAGGTTCCGCAGATCCCAGATGGCAATGGTTTTGTCTGCGCTTCCTGTGGCCACCACCGTTTCCACTGCCCCATTGAATGCAATAGCATTGATCGCGTCGCGATGCTGGTTTTCGCCCTTGGCCGAGGCCCTCGTCGTGTCAGGCTGCCGCAGATCCAGAAGCTGCATAGTCAGGTCGTCTGAGACGGTTCCCAGGAGATGTGGTAGTATGGGGTGGAATTGGACGTCGTTGACAATACCGCCGTGGTGGGTGTATCGCCGCGATTCGTTGAGCAACTTGTTCGATTTCGAGGCTTGTGAGATGTCCCACAGTCGAACTGTGAAGTCTTCGCTGGCTGTTGCTAACCGCCCACCTTGATGCGCATCCCAGCTAAGTCCATATCCTTCTTTCGTATGACCGCCGAGTTCCAGCGTTGGCTTGGGCGTTCCCGTAGGTATGGAAGAAAATTTTGTCTTGTCCCAGATCAGAATACGTCCGTCTGTGACCATGGTCGCAATAATGTTGGGGTTTTGTGGTTGGTATCGAGCTTTATTGACCTCGCCGGGATGGTCGATCTTTTGAGTAATGGTGAACTTGACTTCGAACTGGTTCTTGCCCGACGGACCTCCGCCATACCCGCCAATTTCCCCCGTTTCTTCATTGTAGTCCTTGACGTCTGGCTTCTTTGGTTTGGGTAACTGGACGTCGGCGATCTCGAGGTAATTGGGTTGCCCTTCGGCGGTATGTGTACCGATCAGCAGCCGGTGTTTGGAGTAGTTTGCGTCGGGTGCGCTGAGACATGTTAGCAAAGAGGTAGACGGCTAACTAGGCCGAATATGACTGACTCTGTGATGTCTGGAAACCACTGGGTGGTCAACGTGGGCCAGTCCAAGGCGGTGCTGAGGATCATGTCATAGAGAAACGGCGCATTTTTCTTCCATGTCTTGTATTCTTCATTGATGATTTTCTGCTCAGACTCGGCATCTTCCTGGTTGAGCTCCTGTTCGCTCACTGCGTGTTGAGGACCTGGTTAGCGAGTGAATGCAGGAATGCGCCTGCGCCTTACTATTCTCATCCTCATCTGCCATGGTGGCGGAAGAAGGAACGTGGGCAGAAGTTCCAGAGCGCAAAGAGTTAAGCGGCGACGGGCGTGACAGTATGAACAGCCAAAGGTGTGCTTGATGTTGTTGCACGGTTCATGGAGACTTTGCGTGTGAATTCATAATGGATGGAACGCGGCGTGGGTGCGGCGCGGTCGCGTAAATCTATACGGCGGAGTGATGCGCCGTGGACGACGTCCGAAAAAGGAAAAGGTGCCGAGCCCAAATTCCCCAGATCTGCCTTTCGCCGTCGAGTCGACGGCTCATCATCGAACCAACAAGCAATTAGCTACTATCTGTCACAAATATCTAGGCAGGATTATTTTCATCTGTCTCGCGCGTCTGGTACTTGCGCATCCTGTATGTGAAGTTCAGGTACCGTCACTTCATCATTCGCTCTCTCTCTACCGACATCAACGCCTCTCGTGTGGTTCTGCGCCCACCGCCACCATGGGTGTCCCCAAGTTCTTCAGATGGATGAGCGAGCGGTATCCGGCCATCTCGCAGCTCATCGCCGAAAACCGTATTCCCGAGTTCGACTGTCTCTATCTCGACATGAACGGGATCATCCACAATTGTACTCACAAAGACTCCGACTCTCCTTCTTTCCGGATGACTGAGGACAAAATGTTCATTGCCATCTTCAACTACATTGAGCACCTTTTCGGCAAAATCAAACCCAAGAAGCTGTTCTTCATGGCAATTGATGGTGTCGCACCCCGTGCCAAGATGAATCAGCAGCGCTCTCGCCGCTTCCGAACAGCCCTCGACGCGGAAAAGGCTAGGGATAAGGCGATCAAGGAGGGCCTGGAGCTCCCCAAAGAAGAGCCCTTTGACAGCAACTGTATCACTCCTGGTACCGAGTTCATGGCTAAACTCACCAAGCAACTCAAATATTTCATCAGCAAGAAAGTCTCCGAGGATGTGGAGTGGCAGGGTGTCGAAGTCGTTTTATCTGGCCACGAGGTACCTGGTGAGGGTGAACACAAGATTATGGAATACATCCGCCAAGCCAAAGCACAGCCTGGGTACGATCCCAACGTCCGTCACTGCCTCTACGGTCTTGATGCAGATTTGATCATGTTGGGTCTTCTCAGTCATGATCCTCATTTCTGCTTGCTTCGAGAAGAGGTCACCTTTGGTAGGTCATCACAGAAGAAGTCGAAAGAACTAGAACACCAGAACTTCTACCTCATGCATCTCTGCGTTGTACGAGAATATCTTGAACTGGAATTTCAAGATCTTCAACAGGAAGGCGCCCTCGATTTTGAGTACGATATGGAACGGATTATTGATGACTTCATTCTCATGGCTTTCTTTGTCGGAAACGATTTCTTGCCGAACCTTCCGAACTTGCACATCAACGAAGGTGCATTGGCGCTTATGTTCCAGAAGTACAAGCAGATTCTTCCTACACTGGGCGGATACATCAACGAGCAGGGCGTTATCAACCTGCAAAGAATGGAAGTGCTTCTGGATGAGTTGTCTGAAGTGGAGCATCGCTTCTTTGAAGCGGAGTACGCCGATTCCAAATGGATCGACGCAAAGCGCAATGGTCAAGCTGCAGAGAAGCCGCTGATAGCGTCACGTGGGCCCGTCAGGATTTCTCCTGAACAGAAGAAGATCTTCAATAATGTCAAGAAGTTCTTCATTTCGCCTGTCAATAAAGACCCTGCCACCAGACAGCCCTTCAATCTTCCTCCTACACTTCCTGCGAGAGACCGCAAGTTTGTGCAGCAGCTGGCGACTGATTTAAACCTGCAATGGTCTACCAAGGAAGATGAAGAAGGTAACCGCTTTCTTCAGCTCGAGTTTCCGCCTGCGCCACAGGCCGAAGACTCGGACGATGAAGATGAAGAATCTCAGCTGGCTACTATGCGAGTCCTAAAGCGTTACGAACATGCCAAAGTCGAACAGGCTACCGATGAGCAGGCCCAAAAGGACATGGAGCAGAAGTACGACCAGAAATTTCGTGACTGGAAGGACACATATTATAAGGAGAAGTTTGGCTGGGGTCTTGAGAACGAAGGAGGCTTGCGGCATCTAACCGAGAACTACGTGCAGGGTCTGCAATGGGTTCTTTTCTACTATTATCGTGGAGTTGCGTCTTGGCCCTGGTTTTATCAATATCACTACTCACCCATGATCTCCGACGTCAAGAAGGGTCTCGGGGCTGATATGAATTTCCAGCTTGGGCAGCCATTTCGACCGTTCCAGCAACTCATGGGAGTGCTTCCGGATCGAAGCAAGAAGATTGTTCCCACCGTCTACCATGACTTGATGACCTCAAAGGACTCGCCTATCATCGACTTCTATCCGCGAGACTTTGAACTTGACATGAACGGCAAGAAACAGGAATGGGAGGCTGTTGTCAAAATCCCGTTTATCGAGGAACAGCGACTGCTCAGTGCTATGGCGCCAAAAGATGCTTTGCTCTCGGAAGAAGAGCGCTTGCGAAACGATTTTGGCGTCAGCCTCAAATTTGTTTACTCTCCAGAGGTCGACTACATCTATCCATCCTCGCTTGTTGGTATCTTTCCTGATCTTCCGCACTGTCGCTGCATCCAGAACGAATTCGAATTGCCGACCATGGACGGACTGGAGCCGTATGTCGGCTTAGTCGAGGGTGTCAAGCTCGGAGTTGCAGCTTTGGCTGGCTTTCCGAGTCTGAAGACCCTGCCTTTCACCGCTTCTTTGGGTTTCCATGGCGTCAGTGTCTTCCAGCAAGACAGTCGAAATGAGAGCATGGTGGTCACAGTGTCAGATACCGAGACGCGGGCCAAGGTGGAGTTTGCCAAAGTGCTGCTCAATAAGCGTGTACATGTCGGCTACCCATTCTTGCAGGAAGCGAAAGTTGTGAAGGTTTCCGACGAGCTTTTCGACTATGTCCAGATCACCACCGACGGAGATGCTCCCCATCAAGTCAAGGCGATTGAACATTCCGGAAAAGAAATCGACGACTTCCACAGGAAGGCGGAACGAATCGAGAAATACTACAGCAAGAGACTCGGGATGTTGATCGGCGATGTCGAGTCCCTTGTCCATGTGGAAATGCTCAAAGGCCTTAAAAAACTGGATGACGGTTCGACGGTCAAGGAGTTTGCAGAGATGCCAGGCCTAGAAACGATCCATGCCACACAGGTTGTTGTCGAGAACGTGATTAGCGAGGATGTTCGCTTCATCGAACAAGCCGCTCTGCCTATTGAGGAAGAGTTTCCCGAAGGAACTAACGCTTTCTTCTTAGGTGACTATGCCTACGGACGCCCGTTGAGTGTTGTTGGCCACGAGAATGGGAAGGCGAAATGCTTGATTGCATTGTCAAAAGGCAGTCAAGTCGAATTCGGACGCGACATCGCTAGGCAGGCCGAACGACTGTCACCATATGTGCCCTCATATCAAATCGCGCAGAGTCTGAGTCTCAACGCGTTGGCATTGGCGAAGATCACCTCGTCCTTCTCCGTTCGCGTTGATGATCAAAGAGTCAATCTCGGTCTCAATCTGAAGTTCGAGGCGAAGAAGCTGAAAGTCTTGGGCTACTCGCGCAAGCGTGGCAGCGGTTGGGAATTCAGCCAGGCAGCAATTCAACTGATCCAGCAATACATGATCAGATTTCCACAGTTTATTGCTGGCATCCACAACAACCCTCAGGGCGATATGTTACCGGCTACTGCGTATTTCCCAGGCAGCTCACCTGAAGAAGCCAAGGCCAAGATCAAGGAAATCCAAACGTGGCTCAAGGAGATCGAGTCAAAGAGCTTTGAGAGAGTGCCACTGGAAGCAGAGCAGCTCGATTCAGAGATCGTGAAGCTCATAGAGCAAGCAGCAGACGAGGCACTCCGCACTGAACCACCTCCGGAGAACAAGACGCTCGGTGGTGTCCCAAGGAATGGCCTCCTGAAGCCATCAGATGCGCAGTGGCGTCTAGGCAACCAGAACTTCGGTCTTGGAGATCGCGTCATCTATGTGGCTGACTCGGGCAAGGTGCCAATCGCTTCCAAGGGAACCATCGTGGGCCTCACCCTGACGACAAGAGAGACGTGGCTCGATGTCGTTTTTGATGTTTCTTTTATGAGTGGAACATCATTGGGTGACAGATGCTCTCCGTTCAGAGGTTCAACTGTTCCGACATGGTCGGTTCTGAATCTCAGCAATCGTCAAGTTGTTGCATCGTCTCAAGCGAGTGCAACTCGACAAACAAATAGAGCAGCGACACCGCTGACTGTTCCGGGCTATGGCTTACCTGGGATCAATGGCCAGGGTCAACTGCGCCCAGCTCAGGCACCCCCGGCATTGAGAGGGTCATGGCGAGGAGCCGTATCAGGACAGGGCCCGGGCCGTGGAAACGTGAACGGCACTGCGGGTCGTGGCCAGCAGAATGGAAGAGCCATGCCTTTTCGAAACGGCCCGCCTACCAATGGAAGCCGTGGCAATGTAACAAACGGCCAGTATCCTTCCGGCGGACGTGGAGGCATGGGACATGTCAGTCGCGCCGGCTACACGGTCGTTGATCGCGGCGACCCTCAAGCTGGTGTTGTGCAACACAACCCGAACTTTCGGCTCAAGGCGCAAAACCACGTTCCTCCGCCGTCTAGCCTGGATCAACCTTCTACCCCACGGGGTCGTGGACGAGGAAGAGGTGGTGCATCTCGAGGAGGACGAGGTGCAACGCCGCGGGGAACTTCATGAATTTGAGCTCCTCGCTAGTGACAGATTTGTTGGGCAGCGGAAACACTCAGGTTCAGAGCGCCGGTTGTGCATGTTGATGGCATTGAGCTGAGAGTGATTGATGGTGAGTAAGGGTTTTCAGTCACGCAGAAGCGACCCTGTTATCGCTCCAGTCGAATGCTGCTGCCAGATGGAGCCTCGAATGATTGGACCTTCAGCGAGGCTAGCAATCCTGACACCCGTTTCTGCACGCACGGAGGCACTTAGCCCCCGCAGTCTGAGCACGGCGCTCGTTTCCACACTATCCAGCAACCACCACATGCTCGAGAACATGTGGGAATGCCACCTCGTTACACCGTCGCGCCATGAGAGAAGGCGAAGTCAGTAGAGAGCAGGACTGCATTTTCGACACTGCGACATCCAGATTATGGATCACTCGGCCGGTTTACTTCCGCTGCCGTTTCCACTGTCTCCTGATGCTCACGAATCGACGCTTGCGCAACGCAGAATGCACGTCATTACAACCTTGATTGGTCTGAGGTCGTCGCTGGTTCCCCGGTGTTCGCACTTACGCACTGCCCCGCTAGCTTTTCCGACGGGCGCCCGTTTTTGTCGAAGGGTTCACATTCACCCGAGCGCTTCCACCCCCTGGCCACATGTTCCACTCGCCCACCCCTCTTCCTGTCTGATGCTGATTCGACGACCCTGCGGTGTTCCTGCCTTTCTCCACGCCACACTCACTCACGTCAGATCCGCTCAACAGCTGAGGGTTGGGTGCGCCCCCACGCTACCGAGCGTAAGACACGTTCGCTGTGATGCAACTTCATGTCGAATGATCGAACGCGGGCTTCCCCACATCGTCAACCCACGTCGAGGACCACGCACTCAGCGTGCTCACTTCGTACCAACATGCACATGACCCGAGTGTCGATAGGTCCGCAGGAATTCTCATTGTTGCGAAATACGTGATTCGCAGCCTGGGAAGCTGTCGGATTGGCCGTCTCTTGCTCGCTCAGGATACACGACTGCACCGTCCGATACCGCAGACGCCGGGGAACTCGACGAGCGCAGACGCAAAATCCGATCAAATGCCATGATACTCTCCCACCAAATTGCTCCTTTACATGTTGTTCTTCCCACGTTTCTTATCTTGTAAAAGGTAAGCGTGACTAGCTTTCTGGATCATGGACTTGCCAATCACGTTCATGCAGCGGTCCGACCCACGATCTCACGTTCCTGCTGGTTTCCATTTTCATTCTCTTTCCTTCGCTGTTCCCTTTCATCAAAAGTCCTTTCCACCCGGCCAGTTTCCCTAGAATAGCCATATGACCAGAATGTGGACCTCGATCTTGACTTTTTACAGACCACCGTCAACTATCAAGTGAAGTGGTGCTCTCGATCAACTCCGGACAGCTGAGCTCGGGATCGCGACGACATCTTCGGGCGCCCATCACGGGATTCTCAACTTTTGAGGTGATAGGAAGAAGATTCCACCAGTAGCGGAAGAACCGGGAACCGTGTCATCAGCCAAGGACCACGACGGCGACATGACCGACTCGATGAATCTTATTTCGGCGCAGATATCGTTCCTGGTGAGTTTGCCGAGCTCCGCCCTGGCTTGCCTGTCTCATCAAGGCGGTTTTACCCCCTTGGCCGATGGATCAAAGTGTTCTCACGACCGGCTGAGCTGGGCAGCTGAACTAACGTGGCCCTCGAGACACAGGAACCACACCTTGCTCTCATTCACATTCCCATCGAGCTGTACGCACTTTGTTTACAGCCGATCTTGCGCCTATTATTTGGCGAAGATCACGATGACGACGCAGCAAAGATCTCGTGGACAAATCGGCACGACTTCCTTAACATTTCAATCACTCCTATCGAGTGTTCCATCATTTGCTCGAGATATCTTGCGGACCGCTATGTGCGGCCCCTTGCTGATCTCCTGAACAATCTGTACGCGAGCGGAAAGGGAAAAGGCAAGACGGAAATTCAGATCACCTCCGAAGACTATATTGTCGTCCAAGTAGACGGCCAAGGACTCGATGCTGGCCAAAGGGTATTAGAGCTCACTTCTCCGCTTGCAATGGCTGGAATGTAAGTACTCATTCCCAACTTGTTGGTGCTGCCTGACGAGAGGAACAGAAGCATTTTCTTCATCACGACCTATTTCTCCGATTACATTCTCGTCCCATTTCGATCACAACGGACCGTTACCAAAGCTCTCCAACAACGAGGCTTCGTCTTCTCCAAGACTGTCGATGCATTTGTGTCACAGCTTTCGCCGTCGTCGCCGACATTACCACATAGGCCTGCTACATCTCCGACTTGCCACGAGAGCTCGGTTCCTACTACACCGCCGGCCAAGGACATTCCTGAACTTCAAATCCGGACCTTCACGAAGCTGAAGCGGAACAATGTGAGCCCAGCGGTGGACGGCAACATCCTGCTAGCAAACTGTGCTGGAAGCAGGGAGTATAACCAAGCGACCGAGGAACGGTTAAAGAACGATCTTCTTCAAGTCTTACTCGCCACGGCGGCGCCAGGGAGCGGCGCAGCAGCGAGGTCAGGCGTCGGACTTGGGGTGCCTCCTCCGACACCGGAACTGGATTTTGGCGCAAAGTTTCTGTCTCTTACCATTACCTCGGGCGAGCCGATAGCCGTGCTTCTCGAACATCGGTTAATTGATCGCCTCGGCGGTTCCTTGTTAGGTGCGAAGTCAGAAGACGATGCGCTGCTGCCGATAACGCTTGACCTGCGCGAGCTTCCTCTCGAGGCTACCGGCATTGTTTGTGGGGTGGCGGGCCGGCTGGCACAAGGCGATACGGATCCTACAGAGCTGAGCCCGAGTCCTGGGTCTACAGGCTCGGGAGATCCCATTGAGATTTCATTCTTGAGCACGGCGAGGGCAGGGACGGTCATTGTGAGAGCCAATCAGCTGGAGAAGGCGCTCGCGGCGTTGGAATACGGAATGAAGCGAGTCGGTGACGCAGAGACGTGAATCTGGGAGATGGGTGGGCATTGCATTGGATTGTTGGCGGAGGGGCACAAAAATCCATGGCACGCCCAGGTCCAAAAAAGTTGGGTCCTCCTGGCTCTTGACCCGAGATTCGTTTTCATCCCTCAGCATATATCTTGACCGTACCATCGGCACCGCCTCCAGCCCATAGACTTTGTCTTCCCTGCGCCTGACTTCCTTCTCGCCATTTGACCACACTGATGACCTTGCCCGTCGGACTGAGTTGCACGCTCCCGACGTTATTTCCGCCGAGAACGTCCCAAGCCCTGACACTCCCATCACTCTCACTCCCACTGAGCACCAGCCCGCCATTCATGCCAAAACAACTCTTCAGCCTCAAACTCTCATTTTTATACCCTCCCGCCTCATCGTCATCTTCCGGAGGGAACGCCCTCAGACAAGTCCCATCACTGCGATCCATCATTCTGATCCGCCCGTCCAGACATCCCACCAGTAACGTCTTTCCGTCTGCACTAATATCCAGGCTGGTGACGGCCCCTGGGAACACATCCGCCGTGACCTTCCCCGTGCGGACATCGTAAGCGCGCACCCGTCCATCAATACTGCCCGCGACAATCTCATGCCCGGGGCCAGCGTCCGGGACAACCAGTGCTGAAATCCCATCCTTGGCCTCCTCCAGGACCATCAGCGGCCGGCCGTCGCGCGACTTGACATCCCACAGCCGCACGCTCGTGTCGTCGCTCCCGCTGACCAGCACGGAATCCCCGCCCCCCGCAAACGACACGCAGGTGATCCGACTGGTGTGGCCCTGCGACGTATTACTCCCGAACCGCCGACTTGTACCCTCGTTGTTCTGCACGTCCCATAGAAACACACTTCGATCGCCGCCGACGCTCGCGAACGTCTGGTTGTCCGCGGAGACCGCGATGTCCAGGATCGGGTACCCGTGCGCGGCGTATTTCTGGATGGGGCGCGACGGCTGATGAGTAGCTGAGGGTTCTGTCCGCGAGAGGTGCACTTGGCGGTCGGAACTGCCTGTCAGGATGTAGGTGCCGCCGAGGGAGGAGAAGGTCAGGGCGTTGATGGGGCCGGTGTGCGAGGTGAGGGTGTTGATCAGGGAGGATGGGAGCGTGGGTCGTCGGGTCATGCCTGCGACGTACGTATTGCGTGGGGATCTGTCTGTAGATGTAGATGATCATGGGCTCGAGGATGTCTTGAAACATAATAGGTAGTAGGCATGACGGTGAGGTATCCAACGGGGCATGGTGAGTTCGACCTACCGTTGTGAGGCACACGTCAACCGTCAATAGAGTCGTGCTTGGGTTGCGTAGCTTGACAGCATCAATACTAGTAGTTTGACGAACAAGCAGTCTAATAGGACGACTCGTACACTGACGTCGTTCTGCTTTTTCTCTACGCTTGTTGATGGCGGGCCTGATCGCTCCTATGTATGAACCTCAGTTTTCGTGTGGGTTTGTGGGCTTTACACTGCCGAGGTTCGCCTGCGAGGCTACGAGGCTGGCAAGGCTGCAGAGCTGGCCCGCCACCAAAACACAACGAACCCCGCCAAGCCAGACGCATTTCTCCCCAGGCCTTTTTTTTTACCACAGTAGGAAAAGAACCGGCTCTCTTTGCCTCTAATTAGGCGTACGTACTTACCGAGGTGTCCTTTCCATTCAATCATGAAACTTCCACTAACAACCACACCAGTAAATCAAGTGTTCGTGCTGCCCTCCAGTCACCCGCCTCTATCTATGGACTGCCACTGACTGACAGCGTACGGAGTACAGAGGTAGGATCTGTTCTTATGAGTTTGAATCTGTGATATGAGACCACGGTGTTCGACTTTGAAGATTATCTTTTTATTTGGGACTTCGCTTGAGACACCCTCTGCCTTGCCTGGGTGTCTTTGCACCGTGTTCGAGGTCCTCTGTTGCCGCCTTGTAAGGCGAAAGACTCGTCCGTCTTATCGTACCTTCTGCTTTGTGTAGGGTCTGACGAAGAGGTAGGTACTGTGAAGAGAGCTGCAAGTTGCTGCTCCCTTGCTTCATTTGCTGTTCCATCTGAAGCGTGCGCAGCGCTTCGGCCAACAGGCAGTCAGCCTGCGGTGCCTTCTCCTTTCCCGCGGACTATCATTGCCAGATCAGAAGTGTGTGGACGTTATGAGACCTGACTCCTACATTGCCCCACACGGTAATCCGTCGTTCAAGTCGACAGACACATGGCTGGCTGCAGGTAGCCATCCGCCAATGTCGGGCATTGCCTCGGCGCAGGCAGCAACACTTGATCGCAGGTGTCGGCGCGCCGCAGCAGGCAGCAGCGTGCGTCTCGCTATTTTCTCCCTTTGGAGCCTACTTTGAACAGATATAAATATCTCCTATGCCCAACTCACTTCTTCCTTTCCTCCAACACTCTTTGCCTCTCCGGCTCAGATCAAGTGTAGTACCTGTTCTTCCTCAGCTTGACCGCTAGGATTCCCCTTACGAGGGGTCGATACGCTCAAGATATTCTTTGAACTGTGGCGGAAGGCCTGCCCCGCCTTGCGCAGAGAGGCCTCTTGCCGTTGTGTCCGAGGCCTTCCACTATCGCCTTGTGATGCGAAACGCACTTTTCATCATTGACTTTGCCTGGAGCAGAGGTTTGGAGAAGAGGTGCAGCGCTTTATCTCGCTGGAAGCCGGCCCAGCTGCATTTACAGGACACGGTCAGTCGGTCACAAGCAGCGACATACCTGGCTGGTACCCTCGAATACTAACTATGAGATTCATGAGAGCGTAGCCGACAGTCAATACGTGCTTTAGATTTTCCGCCTGAGGGCACGAGAAGCTACATACGGGATTGATAACGGCTGTTCATTCGCTGATTTGCAGCCCGGGCTCTTCTGGCTACATCTACCCGTTTGCCGTTCTAAATCATAGCTTGTTGAATGGGAGCTCTGTGCGCGGATCCCCCTGCACACTGATGACATCCTATTCTGCTGAAGTCGGTGACATTTCGCAACGGTCACACGGTGCTGTTGCTCGTGAGTTGGCCATGCCCAGGCACTCGAGCCGGCCGATACGACGTCGCTATCGGAAGCTTGAATCCCCCGCCTCTTCCAAGACTTCAATCTTGGGAAAACCAGCGTTCCTCGCCAATCAGCCACGCAGTCACCATGCGTGCCAATGTTCGCCAAGATCCGATCGACCAAGCTATGCTCAGGATTAATGGTAGCTACCTTCCTCAATCTATCTTCTCCGGATGGTCAGCCTATCCCGCCTGCCTCAAGTGTCCAAGCTCAACGACCGCCAAGGTCTTATGCACGCTTCAACACCTGCCCTTTCTACAAGATCGCCCTGTCTTCTTTTCGCACGACTTCCGAAACAGTCATGTCAAGTGGGTTTGTTCAAGCATTAAGTTGCACAGGTGGTCCAGATGGCCGCACACGCCAGGCCATGCAAGTCTGTGCATGGCCCCGATCCCAGCTCAAGCTCGCGTGATCGCAACGTACGTCAAGGTAATAAAAGCAGGATGAACCGCCTCTGAAGCACTCATGAACTTTGCCCGCCTTCACTCGTTTGACCATGCGCTCCTCAACTCTTCCCGTCCTCGCTGCGCTCGCAGCATCATGCGCAGCGACTGAGACCGAGTTGCCGCCCGTCACTAGTGAAGCATTACAGGCGCTCATATCGCTCGACGGGCTCACCAGCGGAGCACAACAGTTGCAGGTGATCGCCGATGCTGCAGGCGGGAACAGAGTCTTTGGTTCCAAAGGCCACAACGACACCGTTTACTTTCTCTACGACACCTTGCTTGCCACAGGCTACTACGATGTCTACCTCCAAGACTTCGTCGAGCTGTTCTCCGGCGGAACCTCCTCGTTGACCGTCAACGGCGAGGCTATGGAAGCCGACCTGTTCACCTATGACAGTAGCGGCTCGGCGAGCGCGGACCTTGTGGCAGTGAGCAACCTGGGGTGTGAACTAGCGGATTATCCTCCGGAATCGGCCAACGCGGTTGTGCTCATCTCGCGCGGCGAATGTCCTTTCGCACAGAAGGCATCGAATGCCGCCGCTGCGGGCGCTTTGGGCGCGCTGATTTACAACAATGTCCCCGGCGCCATCTCCGGGGGGACGTTGTCAGAGCCAGGCGACTATGCGCCATCACTGAGCATCTCGCAAGAGGATGGCCTGGCACTCCTTGCGCAAGTCGAAGCCGGAACGCCTGTGGCAGTCGAGCTCGAGGTCAACGCCATCCTTGAAAACCGCACCACCTACAACGTGATTGCCGAGACGAAAGGCGGAGACCACGACAACGTGATCGCCCTCGGAGCTCACACAGACTCGGTAGAAGCAGGCCCAGGTATCAACGACAACGGCTCCGGCACCATCGGCATCCTTAATGTGGCACTTGCGCTAACCAGGTTCACTATCACGAACGCCGTGCGATTTGGCTTCTGGAGCGCCGAGGTAAGTCCTTATTTCACCCACATGACCCCAGTCAGTCAAATGCTAACTTCTGCGTGTCCAGGAATTCGGCCTCAAAGGCAGTACATACTACGTCTCAACCCTCAACCAAACTGCCGGCGAAACAGCCAAGGTCCGCGCGTACCTCAACTTCGACATGATCGCCTCACCGAACTACGCCTACATGATCTACGACGGCGACGGGTCCTCCTTCAACTTGACCGGCCCGCCGGGTTCCGCGGAGATCGAGGCCGACTTCGAGGCCTTCTTCACGTCCGCCGGCCAGAACTTCACCGCCACGGCCTTCGACGGGCGCTCCGACTATGGACCTTTCCTCGAGAACAACATCCCCGCGGGAGGTCTGTTCACCGGTGCCGAAGACCCAAAGACCCCCGAGGAGGTGGCCATGTTCGGAGGCACCGCCGACGTGGCTTACGACGCCAACTACCACCAACCAGGCGATACGATCGACAATATCGCCTGGGATGCGTTCCTGCTGAACACCAAGGCCATTGCCAATTCTATCGCCCTGTATGCTACCGATCTGAGCAAGATTCCGCCGGTCAGTGCAACAGCCCTGCCAAAGCGCGCTCGCAGCGTTGATGTGAGGGGTGCTGTTCGCAGTACGCCCAGACAGAAGAGGGCCTCGGGCATTAAGAGCCACGCGTGTACCAGAAGGGGGCACGTGCTGAATATCTAGATGCGTAGGTATCTATGTAGATAGCTCAGCTGCCGGAATACGTATCGGCCTATCTACGCTGATATTAGTACTTAGTATCTGGATTGTGAGTGCGAGAGCTCGGACGATACAATACACTGCCCCGCCAAATAGACAGCGATAGCGATAGCGACCGTGTGTACTCCATACGGCGGAAAATGTGCAGATGATATCACCAGTACAAGACAGATTCAGACACCGACTACCCGACCGACCTAACGAGGGAAGTCCATGCTGGCTCGAACATACTCCAGACAGATGTGAATATTTCACAAACTCTTCAGCACACGGAGCGTGCACGTAGCCATTCGATATCATGGTCCATTGTAATGTCCCTGTCCCACTGCACACATAGCGTCGCAATCAATGAATGTCGATCCTGGAGCAGCTGCGTCTAGTATCGTAATTACAGTATCGTACTCAGACAATCTCACCACCGAGGACCTACAGCGAGTGACCAGATCAGGCTGCATGTACTGCTGTACTGTTTTTGCCACTGAATCTCAAAATGCATGAGCAGCTACATGACTCGAGCAGTTGTCTCACTAGAGAAATCGCCCACCCTTCCTTCTCCGTCCTTCGTGGGTTGTGTGCTCAGGCCAACCGGCCCGCTAGCGATGCTATAGCGATTCTGCACCCGGTATTGTAGTATATCTATACCATTGCTAATAGATATACTCTATACCACCATTGCTAATAGATATACGGTATGTGGCCAGCGTTGTAGTGTAGGAGGTAGAATGATAACCTAGAATGTACACTAACAGCTGAATATGTACTTTGCATGTTATTTTATCTTCCTACCTGAACCTGACTGCCTGCCTACTTCTATACCTGCGTGCTTCTCTACTGGAGAACTATGTTCACGATTGGCACTTAAACGCCGTGGCCCACCCAACCATGCAGACAGACAGGGTACGCAGGACAGTTCAGCCGAGCAGAGCCAAAGCCAGAGCCAGAGCCAGAGCCACAGTCAGCATCAGTGCCCCTGTCCTAATACGTCCCGGGCGTCCCGATCCCCAAGATCCCGAATACAACACATCAAGTCGTAGCATGTGCGTCCAGAGACCACGCTGTCCCGATGATAGTCCTCGTGGGTCTGCACGAACCGTCGCATCCAGGTGGCCGGCGTGGGTGTTTTTCCTGAGGCCCTGTCACGGATCACGTCGAGGTATCCCAGCAGATGATGGACCCCATGGCCTTGGTCGTCTCTGTGTGTTGATTCCTGCTTTGGTTGATGATCTTCTCCGTGTTGGTGATCATGTTCACCATTGTGTGTGTCTCCGGATCCTCTTCCGTAGACTTCACGGACGTATCGCTCGACCAGCGGGATGAGTCCTTCAAAAGGAGAAGAAGTGCCGCACTGCGAGCTGTCCGAGCGTATACCTCGCGACCCATTCATGATCTCGTCAACGGTCGTCAACGTATATTCCGTTTCGATGGACGGAGGGGCTGCCGAGGACGACGGTGACGACCACACGCCCCGCCGAAAGAAAAACTTCTCCTCCACGACCGCATTGCGCGTGTGCGCTCTCGTCATATTCTCAGCCACCTTCTCGATCGGGATGTAGAAGTTGAGATTGAAATGCAGGATCGTGCGAGCCAAGAGCGCCACGAAAATGACAAAGGCCGCGTTGTCGAAATCCGTGAGCTGGACCTCGAGAGGACGAAACTCGACTCTCCAGCCTGCACGCCCTTCGTTCTTGGATGGGAGTTTGAAATCCACGTGCGGCCAGACGGCCGAGTGGAGGATCTCGAAGAGGTCGGTATCGCCACCGCCGTCGTCATGCGCATAAGCTTCGAGGTCCTTTTCCGTCATGGCGATCGGGTCATGGACTAGAATATTGGCGTAGTGCGACGCGAGAAGGGTGTCCATGCCTTTGCTTTGGAGTTTCTCCGTGATGGTACGGTTCGGGTCGGGGTCAATGCTTGGATTGTTATACTCGGGTCGAAGCCGTGCGTCGTCGGCGATATACATTGCTGTGGGGGCCCAGCGGGGTTGCATCGGAGCATTTCCTGTCTGTGTGGCCGGTGTATTAGTCGAGGCAAACCGATAGGTTGGTGTTACTCAGCCGTGGTAGACCACAATACCTTTGAAGACAGCTCGTTCGCGGTCCTGTCGTCCACCGCCGCGGCGGCGAGGTTCCACCTCACGTCCGTGTCCGTGAGAAAGCCGCGGAAAAAGGGCGTCCCGGCCGTGAGGGCCATCAGGATCGGTCCAACAGGACAAAGTTGGTCGTGGAGGTAGCGTGCTTCTCGAAGGTTGCGAGCCTGCAGCGTGACTTGGAGGCCGCAGAAGGTAGGCCCGAATGACATACTGTCACCGTAGATGAAGTTCTCTGCATCGTGTCCATGAGTTCTAGCGTCGTGCTCTTGCGCTCCATTCACCAGGTCAAAATGCTTCGATTCTCTCCAGGGCCAGGGCGTCTTCTCGTCTCTAAGTAAAGGCACCTTGACCTTGAAGGCACGTCCTTCCCGGCGCGTGTAGAGGTTGTCATGAATCACGCCATATCGCTCATACGTGCTCACAAGGCCGTCCGGGAGAAATTGGCTCCGCAGTAATAGCCCTCCAGGTGGCAGGCCCGGCTGGGTGAAGGATCCGGGAGCGCCTAGGCGTGGAAATCCGGGTATCGTAACGACCGCCTCGTTCTCGCCTAGCCGTTCCTGGATCATTCGTCTCCTGAACGTTGTTGTCAGGGTACAGACGGATGCTAGTAGGTTGCGTGAAAAGAATACGTCGCCTTACCGCCTGGCCATGTTGCCGTGGACGCTCAACATGCTCGTGAGACTGTCATCATATGGCGCACCGGGCGTAGCTTCGACCATGAAGCTCCCGAATTCGGGTTGGAAAATGGGGTTCCGCTTCTCACTGCGAGGTGTGAGAAAGGGCGAGTCTCACCACGGTCTGCCGTCGTACTCTACCTGGCGAGAATGTGCGTGGTCTGCTTCTTGACTTCCATCCCGTCCATGCGGCGAATGACCGCAGACTGCCTCTTGACTTTCATCCCGTCGACGGAGCCTGTCGAGCACATTACCTTGCTCGAGCAGCAGTCTTACGGTCTTGCTGGATTCGTCAAAGGACAAGAGCTGATATTCAATCTGGAGATAGTTAGCAACAGTATATTCAAGCCTGATTACAGGCCGAATATGGATATACTCACCTCATCTCCCCACAACGGCGGGTAATTGTCTATGTCTTTATACCGCAAGAAGACGTCCACAAGTTGCTGTCCGGGCGGGAGAATAGGTCAGATGAGTCACCCTCGTCGAACAAGGCTGTAACCGTCGTAGATGTACCTGCATGGCCCGGTCGCGAATCCGGGCCGAAAGAGACTGGATTTCATCCCAGCGAGGATTCGTCCTGCTGGGTGTCAGCGAGAGTGCGTGGAGTTTCAATCTAGGGCTCACCTACTTGTGTTCCATTGTGGGACGTGAGTTGACCTCGCACCATGTGCTGCGCGCTGCCTGCGCACTCAGAGACGCTGAGAACAGAGAAGCGAGGTTGAGCATCCATCATCTATCGAAGCAGGGATTGAAGAAACGGAAGTGATCATCCATTAGCTCTCAAGCCACAGATTGCCGAGCTTCGAAGCGAGTGGAATCTCTGGAATCTGCCCTCGGGCGCAGTGGGCGAGAGTGGGCCACCTCGGGTGCGTCGAGCACGGAATACCAACAGATGACGTCATCTGCATGATAGGGATTTCCATTGTGGGTGAATTTGAACCTATCACAGTAATTACAGCACAACGCGGGTTGCAGGGAAATTTCCCGCCGAATTTGGCAGTCAGTGCCGCCGCTATTGGAGGGGTTCTTCCCCCGGTGCCAAGATTTCTCGCCTGGTCCCTTCCCACAGCAGACATCAGGAGCCATCCTGCTCGGCCGTCCTCGTCTCTGTCAGTCACCATGTACCCCACTGGGGACCAGAAACAGTCACCCTTCGGAAACAGTAAGGGATCCGTCCAATTCCTCGGAAACAATGGTTGCCTTTGACTGCGCTACCCCGACCATGGCGCCTCGAGGTTCTGGAGGGGACGGTCGCTCTGCATTTCTTCACCGTCACAGAGAGGCCGTTGTTCGACCTTTACAAAATCGACTCGAACCGCGTCCCTTCTCCCATCTCGTCTCCTACATTACAGCGGCTCTACCCAACTTTGATGTCTAGACTAGATGGCGGGCTAGCGCTGGAGACTTTGGCCGGCGCCTATCTGCGGCGGCTGATCTGTCTTTGGGCGTTGCGACCTTTCCCGGGGTCCTTCATCATTAAACATGTCCCATTCCGCTAAAGTCCAATCCATTATCAAATTCATGGATCTCGCTTCTCTCCCGGGAAAGCCCTACAAAGGCTTTGCGGCAATCTCAATTGTTTAAGGTGGCATCCTCCCGCCCCCCTAGGCCAGCCGCGCGGGTACTGGAACGTCAGGGCCTTGTTAGCCCGATGGTAACTTAGTGCCTTTTGGACACATTGAAATACTGCTTCGCTGACCTGACCGCAATGTGCGTTTCAGCTTCCAGGAGGATACAGTATCTTCACTGTTGCTGCTGATCCAATTCGGAAGTAACATTTACGACTTTAGGTGATGTTACCGCTGCCCACATGGTTTCGTCGAGCCCTCCATCACTGCCGGGCCCTGGATGGATCATCTTCATCCTGGTTACTCTTATGAGTTGCGTTCACGCCACAGTTGTTTGTGATGATTGCCGTCCGCTTAGTCTCCAAGAAGCCCCAGGTATGTGCTGTGGAGGCCCGTGCCCTTTTGGGTGATAGAGGGGGACACTGAGGTGCTTTTTCTCAGGTGTTGGCTTGTCTTTAGCACCTAGTTATGGGTACGCACCGCCGTCAGACAAAACAAGTGCAAAAGAAAATCTTTCTGATCCGGTTTCAGCTCCACAAGCATTCAATTTGCCAATGGTACGATCTTCGACGTTGCTTTGATACACGGAACCGAAGCATATATTCGAGCCATGAAGCTATGAGACCATCTTGATCTTGAACCCCCTCTTCTGGACCTCGAGAATAAGTAAGTACATGCACCTGCACCTGGTCGAGGTGTCTGCGCCAAATGCTTGATATACCAAGTTCTGAGACGAACATTGGCCCTCCGTTCCTACAACGGCTACGATCGTGGTATCAGACGCGGCTACAGCACCACGCCGGAACCTTGCCTCAGGCCACCTACGAGGAACTCATCCCAATCGCGGAGATGATGAGCACACTGTTCTCCGAAGCGAATACATCGGTGCCACTATCGAACAACTTGGTGTTCCTGGCGATCCCAGACTTTGAAAATAGCACCAGTGATACCTCCACGCGGCCGATTCGACAACTTGTCCAATGGGCTGGACTCGACCGCCTCAGCTTCCAAAGACAGAGCCAGCTCTCACTTTTACACATCTATAACCTGGACAACTGTTTTGGAATCTGGCTGGATCCGGTAACCGAGGTTCCGGACGAAGAGTGCGAAAAATACAAAGGCAGACACATACAGTCGGTACTCTCCGTCCATCTCGATCGATCCTCTGTAAATCTGCGGTCAATGATACGCGACGACGGTATATTCCCTCACAAGCCGGGCTCCGTCAAATTCCTCTGGGCGGATGAAGAAGATGCCAGAGCGAACGCCACGGATTGGGACTGGGACTGGGTGGACCATGCACTCGAACGCTTCTTGCACGACCACGATCTCATGTTTGATCTCCTGCTCCTCTCCGGCGCCCATGTCACGGCCTCCGATTTCCAACGAATAATCCGAGATAGGTTCAAAGATAACGAGAAAATCGTGGCTCAGGACTACTTGCGAGGGTCGAAGGATCACCTGTTCGCCGCGGCGAGGGGAGCTGCGCAGCTTGCGAGAGTCCGCTTGTGTATGGGTGATGATGCATGCATGCCCAACTCGTGGTGCCCGATCAGCGAGCATTGTAAGAAATGGGCATGGTACATGGATTCGGATGACCATGCTGTCAGGAAGACAGAACTCTAGGGGAATCTTCGCGTGGCATGTGAGACTCGGAACAGTGTGACGCAGAAGATTGGGTTTGGGTTTGACAGTAGAGAATACTAAGGAGCAGGGAAACCGGTGCCATTCAAATAGACGTCCAGCACTACTATGTACCCAACGCTCTCGGGTGCTTTCGCTTGCCTCACAGGGCGCGCAGTCCCAAGTCGTTCCACAACTGCCGAATTCGACCCTAGGCCTGCCAAAGATCTGTCTCTCTCTCTCTCTCTCTCTCTGTCTCCTCTCTCTCTGTCTCCTCTCTCTCTGTCTCTCTGTCCCTCTGTCTCTCTGTCTCTCTGTCTCTCTGTGTCTTGGTTTTTCCAGGCCGCGTGAAGCGGGGTGGGGGGAGGGCAGCCATCACAGCAACCAAGCAGAGCAGGTCATGACTCACACCACGAAACATCATGAGCAGACAAGGGCCTGCAGTTATCCTGACGCACGACAGGAAAGGGTGCATCAGAGCGAACAGAAGAACACATACATAGGCAGGTTGGAAGAAAGAGCGAGAGAGCGAGAGAGGGGAGGGAGATGGGAGGCGGTGTTCTCACGTACAGTAATTATAGCCCGTCAAAAGTGGCGAGACCATAATTGATTACCCGAAGGCGGCAACACCGCCTACAGGTAATTGGAAGTCGGATTTCCCATTTCCTGGCAACGACTTTTACAGAGTAACATGAAGTTCGGGATGATTGATTTGCAGCTGACTTGGAGGTGGTTCGATAATTAGACACTGACACTGACACTGACCTTGAACTGAAAACTGACGCCGACACTGACTGACGCGTCGACACCTCGGCTGCTTTGACACGGTAGAGTACTTAATTAGTATATACGTAGCATGAAAGCTCATCTACTGACTTGCAGTTTGCTGATGCTTGAGTTCTTTCATCCACCGTATGAGTATGGAAAGCCCACGGATCAGCGACGTCTGCGGGCAGCGTGAGACCATCTCGCGCCCGCAAGGGCAAGGAACGCGCTGGAAGCAGTATTTCTACAAGGACATTCGACTACAGTCTTCTAAGAAGGTCTTAGACAACGGGTACAGCACGCAATCTCCTTTCTACCTTACTCACTTATGTTATAATTACCTCACTACCTTACCACCTACGCGTTCGCCCTATCCAGCACCCCTCGCAAATCTACCGCCGGGTCATCATTGTCAACCACACCAAGCACGCTGGTCGGTTTCTTGTACCCTAGCAGGGAGAGCATTTTTTCACTCATTCCAAGGGCCACACTTCGGGGAACGGCAAGGAACTGGTTCTCCTCCGTGCGTAGATTGCCGCGGGTGAAGAACAGGCCGTGTACTCGTCGGACCTCGTCCCGCGTCGAGTTATCGCCGCCACCATGGTAGCAGGAGGCCAGGAAGATGAGCGCGGAGCCCGGGTCCATCTCTGCCGATGTGGTCACGTCAGCGAGAGGTCCTCGGAGCGAAGCGATGTTGGCATACGCATGCACACATGTACTGTGCGCTTGGTGTCGGGTCCGGTACCCCGACGTGGTTCAGTATGAAGACACTAGGTAGGCAAGACTCACCAGCAAAGCAGACTTCCTCGGGCTTCGGCACCCGCTTGTCGTCCCATCGATGCGACCCCGGGATGAACATGGTGGCGCCATTCTGCCGAGTCGTCCTTGACCCGGCAATCAGACAGCCAAACTGGCTGGCCCTTTTCAAATCAAACGCCCCTCCATCGTGTCTGATTCCATGCACGTTGTCGTCTCTGTGCAGTCTCTGCCGGGGCGCGCCAGGCCCGATATAAAAGGTGATGCTGATACTGAGCAGCGGGTCGATCGTGTGCTCCTCGACAATGTCTTCGCGAATGACGCTGAATTTCTCCTGAAGGATTGACGTGCGGAGTTGTTCCAGAACCGGGGACTCGCATATCCGCGTCATTGTCGGCGATTTGCCCACGAGACCCGGCACCGCGAGCGTTTCTTTGGGGATGAGTTTCAGTGCGCCTTGTTCTGTCGATCGCGTTTGCGTCCGTTGAGCCTCCACGTCGCGGTCGATAGCAGCAAGGTCTTCCGGGGTCGCGAAATCGGTTAAAATCACACCTCCGTCTCTTTCAATTATGGCGAGTATGTCGTCGATCGGAGAGCTCGCTGGGATGCGCGCTATAGATGTGGATGGTTGATAGGACGAATCAATAGGGGTCGGGAGGTCGAACATTGACAACCCCATGGTTGCTGCACGATGTCAATGCGGTCTCGTTTGTTGGCCATCGTAAGTAGCGACTTGCTGGAGAGGTCTATTTATTGCGGCTCCGTCTTCGACTCGATAATGGTTTGCCCATGACATAGCCTTGAAGGAAACGGCAGTCAAGTCCACATTCCTCGTCCACCATCCGCGCGATGGCGCTCAAGTCCGAGATCCGATTGACGCCCATTGAGCCTTGCTGAACTGCCCAATCGGATGGTCGAGGCCGGCTTGGACTCGATTTCCTGTTTGGTCTCGGTTCTAAATGGTCTGGACTTCGGTGAAGCGGAATAGTCAAGACCACCAGCACAATGGCGGTCCGATATCCGAACCGGTCGGTTAATCCATACGAGATGGCTATCACATGCTTATCAGCACCATCTGATGAAGTGATGAGCTGGCATTGTTCAAGTACTGTATATTTCAGAGACGATTTCTCACCTGGGCGTCGGTGTCGACTACGCACACGGAAAGCACTCAACGGACACATCGACAGCACTGTGATACTCGACGATGGCGGAAGTTGACTCAAGACCAGCTGCCCACAAGTTCGACATCAAGCCCATCATCAAGGAGAAGCTGAGCAGCGCCAGTACAAGGTCACGCCCAGCTTTTCAGCCTGACACCCACCTGGCTTACCGCGAAGCTCCCAAAGTGCTGGGGATGAAGGACATCGGGCTCCCGGAGGATGTGGGTATCTCGCCAATAGCCATCTCGGAGCCGTTCCCGTTGTTTACCGAGGAAGCCGTTAACATCATGAGGGGTGAGATCTTCACAAATGAAGTGTGGGAGAACTGTATGCACAGCACCGAGTTTGCTGGGTGTCAGCTGAGGGGACATTGTCCAAAGTAGGTCGACGAGTCTACTGAGACGCTGCAGTGCCTGAGCTGACTCCTGGTGAAGATATGCCCCCTTCATGTACGATGCCTGGACAAACCCGAAGACGCTCGCCATCGTCTCGAAAATCGCCGGAATTGACTTGATACCCATGATCGACATTGATATTGGCAACATCAATGTTTCCGTGCAAGAGCCACTCAAGAACCCCGGGAAGTTGGTGAACCAATCCAACGATGACATTCCCGTGACCAAGTGGCATGTCGACAGCTACCCCTTTGTGTGCGTAGTAATGATGAGCGATGCTTCACAGATGATTGGAGGCGAGACAGCGGTCAAGACCGGCTCCGGCGAGATCATCAAAGTCCGTGGACCACAAATGGTAGGCTTCCCGATCGTTCGGCTGTGCAGTCACTTACTGATTTATTCCGTAGGGATCTGCCGTGGTCCTTCAAGGCAGGCACATCACCCACCAGGCACTGGCCGCCGTGGGAGGTGCTGAGCGCATCACCATGATCACATCGTTCCGTCCACGTGATCCGCTTGTTCCAGACTCCTCGGTCCTGACCAGCATTCGACCGATCTCCGACCACTCGGAGCTGTACTTTCAATGGACAGAGTACAGAGTTGAAGTATTGCAGGGACGCTTGCAAATCATGCTAGACATGCTGCGAGAGCACCATCGGGCCGGCAACCCAACGGATGTGGCGAAGATCAAGGAGTTCCTGAAACAGCAGGAGGAGTGGCTCAGCTGTACCAACAAGGAGATTGTCCCAGTTTGACGTTGTTGCGTTCCGTTTGACATAGCGAGGGAGCTCTCAGAATGGACGGCGTCGCATCCATGCAAATTAGGGTTTAGTTGATTGTGTAATGACAAGCAAGACGTGTCCGATGTAGTTTACGCAGAAGCGGTCCTATCGATCGGCGTCGAGGAGCTCTCGCGATCGCAGCAACCGTGACTGATTGTGTATAATGTTTGGTGACGTTGAACATTCCGCCAGTGTAACTCTGGACAAGTAAATGTTTACCCGTTGAGTCACTATGGGCTGGAATCTCCGGTACACACTGGAAGATTATCAACTCCAACAATGGCCCGGAGAGTGTCATCAACCGCTCAGGCACGAGGGAGATAAAGTCAAGATTGCCTTCGAATCCTCTTCAGACGCCAATGAGAATGTGATACCAGCGTCGGACTTTGCTTCCTGTTCAGGCAATGTTAGATATGGTGCGGCAACGGAAACAAGGCCATTGGCCGAAGCGCATCCGAAGCGACCTTACCATCCCGCGACTTCGCCTCCGCACACTTCGACCACGTAGCAGGGCTGGACCGCAGTTGTTGCAGCGCGTAGGACTCAGATATATTGGCGATGTCGATGACGAGGAGGTGTCACCCACAAGACAAGGGTTTGTTCTCAACGCAGCACTGCCTTTGCCTTCTGGTCCAAGCCGAAGCCGGGTCCTTGACCGTGGGTGTCCAAAAGAAGTCCGATTAAGCAGGCCGTTGCAGAGTTGAATTATCTGGCTTCCCTCAGACCAGAACGCACAGAGGATGGCATCGTGCGGGCGATGTCGACATTGCGATGGTCGCACAGATTATCTAGCCCAAATGCGGCCAAATGGATGAGAGACCTGTTCAGCCCAGAAACACTATGTTGCGCCATTAGCATTAGCAAATGTGCCTACGTGGCCTCAGCGCGAAGAGTAGACAGGCAGCTTACCATGCCAATCCCAATCCTTCATGACGCCGAAGCAGTGCAGATGGCCTTTCACAGTGTAGTGTAAGTGACCAGCTCTCGTCACTGGATCTATGCCCTTCTTGAAGGCAGCACTGTCCGGGAAATCCAGGTGTTCCGCGGAAGGTAATGCGTCTGGGTCGGAACACTTTGCTTCTTGCAACGCAGGCTCCTGGGCACTAATGTCGGGCGTCTGACCAGCCCTGGAAGGGTTGCGTTCTCCTGTTGATGGTGAATTGTAGTGAGACCTGGAACGCAGTCCATGGCGTATTTCATATTCGTCCCGCCTACGCCAGACCTCGGTCGTGATCTCTTTGCATCGGTCAACAATCCCAGCAATCATGCATCTGGACATAAGACTCCAGCGCTCACGTACCCAGTCTCTATCATCGTCCCCGGTAGCCTCGCATCCAGCCAACAGCAGAGGGAAAGTCTGTACAATCGTAGTGCGTGACGAAAGTGGAATTGTAGCAAGGAAGACTAGACTTTTCGATGCCAGCTCCCAGAACGAATGTGCCCACGGAAGCTCAGGTACCGCTTGCCGCAGAAGAAGAAGGGACGCCCATCGATATGCTTCAGCCGTTTGTATCGAATCCGCAAGACTGGTGTTGACTCCGACCGGCCCCTGCGAGGTTATCAGCGGGACCCATCCTTCTATCGCCATTCTCAACTCGATGGCTTTCGATATGATGGTCGGAGAATTGCGCCTCTCGGTTCGCTTTCGAACGCGTCCAACAAGTTCTGCTAAGCGGCCGATTAGAGGAAATAGTGTTATTGCGCAACCCATGAGTGGGTCAAGCTGTTGTTTGCTTGGGATTGAGCTGCTTAGCATACTGCAAGCTGCCATAAACTCGGAATCGTGCGAGCTCTGGGGATCGACGCACGTCAGACGAGCGATGACATCCATATATAGGCATGTGTTGGCAAAAAAGCTTAGACGGCTCAATCCGGTGGGAAGCAGCTCTGATATCCGTTCCTTGTCGCTCGCTTGTCGGATCAGTATTCTTGCTGCATTGGTATGGTCGATGACGGTTGACGACTTCTCATGATCCCATGAGGCGGCGAGCGCCAACGCCAACCTGGTGGCGACAATTTTCTCCAGTGGCATGTTGCTGTTGTCATTCAATGATTTCATGCTGTGCTCAAAATGCTGTAATCCTGGGAGCCGGAACTGGGGCTGGAGCTTGCATGTGTGAAGACAAGCCATTGCAGCAAGCGCGTGGTAGAGTGCAGTACAGTGAGTAGCCAGTGGCCAGACCAATGTCCGCCATGGGTTCCTCGTCTGGTCTTCTTTGATGGAGAGAATACCGCAAGTTCGATTTTCGAACAGCTGCTGTATCGTTTCTCGGGTGATAGTCGCAGCCTGTGTCTCCTGGGTGGGTAGTTGTATACCATTCCCGCGAACGCCGTCGGACAGCGCCGTTAGCGATGCACGAGCTGTATCGTTGCTGAGCTCGAACTCGTGCTGCTCCAGAGTCACAAGGCCAGTACCGGGCTCCCACGCTACATCTGTCCCTCGAAACAGACCTTCAAGCCCATACGTATTCCAATCGCTGTCATCGAACTGCAGACTTCCGCCGTCTCCCTGAAGCGCGAAAATATTGAAGGGTGACGATTGGTATGGACTATCATCCGTACCCGGAGTTGACAGAAGACGACCGGCCTCGACGAGAGATGGCAAACTCAGCAGCTGTTGAACCTTTGGCAACCCTACGCTGCCTCCGCCGCTTATACTGGGATCGTCGTCATCGCAATCGACATCTGGAATCGGTTCCCTCCGCTCGATAACGGCAGTCTTGTTGAATGATAGCTGCGTTCCCGTAGTTTCGTCAGTAGAAGACCTGATGATCTTTCTAGACCTCTGTTCGGATTGCTGATGTGATGGTGCAGATCGGATGTTATGCAAAGTCGAAATATCACTCTCCACGGGTTGAATGGTAATTTGGCCCTCCGCCGGTATCATGTGGACCTGCGGCAGTTGAGGTAGGCCATCGTCTTTGCTTGGGCCGACTGACTTCCACCTGAGGTACTTCGGATAGCCACCACAGGGGACTCCACGGCGGTTGCATTGCTGACATGTCGGCTTCGACTCATCGCATTTCATGCGCCTTGCCTTGCAGGTGATACAGCCATTGCGACTCTTGGGCTGCTTGCGCTTGGAGACTTCCTCGATGTTCCTGGGCGCAGTGCGTGAAGCGAGAGGTGGCAGCGGTTGTGACATGTGGTCGGCGCGGTAAGATGAGCATCCTGGAGTGGCTCGAATTGCAAAGGATGAAGTCGAATGCCGTCAGCAGGAAGGGCAATCCGCGGCAGATAAGTTACTTATCAGCCAGGTAGTGTATCACTGGTGTGATAAGCTGATTCCTGATCAGGACCTGGCGGCTCGTGCAAGGCAAAGGCTACGGAAGACGAGAGCATAACACCATGGTCAATACCGCAAGCCAAGACGTTGGTCGAGGTCACGCACTGAGAAGTACAATAGGATTATCGAGGTGTCGATGAGGACAACTTGAAACTTGTCTGAGAGCATCAGCATCCCGGATGGAAGGGGCGGCCAATTATGTACAAGTCCCGATGATTGGTTTCCAACGCGGGAAACTGCGACCGCAAAAGGCATAGTGCCTAACACGGCTGAGACAGCTCGATCAAAGTAACTCGATGGCCATGACTGGATACAGAAACGAATGGTAGATGCGGCTGCTAATGGAGAGGGAGGCATAGGTAAGTACACAACTCGCATCCCGAATCGGTACGAGTTCTGTAACAATGCGTTCGCATCGAAGACGACGGTAAGACCGCCAGGCAGGGGCAACCGTTTCAAGACTAGTAAGCTCCCACACCCCAGTACCCGAGATTCGATATTCAATCAAAGGACATGGTCAAGGCGGCCGCAAATAACTCCTCTCCACGTCCGCCTCACGTCGCCGCAGTCCAAACCTCACCCTCCCGATGCGGGACATCTTCTCCAGCACCACAGTCTCCATGCGCAGCACCGTCTCTCGCCAGAGACATTGATTCGTCCAGTCATACGAGCACAGCACTGCTCGCTGCATCCCGCCCTCAGAGCCGCAGAGGAGGGCGATCGTGGGGGGCCGGGCTGCGCGGAAGGTTGTTACTGTCCTGATTTTGCCAGGTCAGCTCTCGTAATGCACAATGAAGCTGTATAAGCAGGTAGGTGATACAGGACAACATACATAGTATTCGTATCGATAAGTGTGAATAGCCTCAGCTTTGCTCCCGACCGCGAGACAATCACCTCGGGCTCACTGTCGCCCGCAAGCAATGGATCCGTCCCTTCGCACTCGTCGGCCAGAAACTCGGTGTTAACTCGGTGGTGAGACATATTACTCGCGTAGGGGGCCCATGAAAGACGTTCCGAGGGAAACCCGAAGATCTTCATCTCAATCTTCCGCAGGGTCATGTGTCCTTCGAAGCCGAAGAGCCAGGGCTGCGTGTTCCAGACTTTCCCGCCGTAGATATGCAAGATGAGCATTGGGGAGAGGAGGACGGTGAGAAGTGCAACGACGAGGAACAATGCTCCAACGCCCTTGGTGGTGGAACTGCCAGCCGCGAACGCGAGAGTCAACACGCCGGTGAAGAACCACGCCGGCGTGCCTCGCACGAAATATCGAGCCAGGGTCCGGGACCAAGTTTCGCGAGTCGTGATGGCTACGCGTCGGAATCGATCCCAATGGATGGTCGCGGCGTGGGCGCCGTCTAGTATGACAGTATCATCGTGGCCTATCCCGGCGACTTGGCAGGTGGGTTCAATGTCCCACAGTTTGGCGCCCCAGTAGTCGTTCATGTTGGCCCAGTAATGTCTCTCGCGGCTGTCTCGAGTGCCATCCGAGTCCATGTGGCTGGTAGGTCGGTCGGGATGCGCATCGAGCTGAGAGTCGGCAAGCTGCTCAACAGGAAGAAGACATATCATTCTCTCAAGCAGCTGGTCGCTATCATTGGCAAGGGAGAGCCGTGAGAAAGCTTGGAAAGCAGAGTCCGTAGGGTCCACTTTGGGTCGCTGTCTCAGCAGTCCCATCAGGGCGTAGGAGAGGTCGCCGTCGAGATACTTGGTCGTCCCTTTCTCGACTCGGGCTTTGAGACATTCAAGTGCCAGGATGACAAGCTCGAGCCGACTCAAAGTCAGAGTACCCTCGTAGTTGTCGATCAGCTGCCTCGCGACTTCGCCGTCATCCCACACTTGGGTGGGGAACTCCATCTTTGAGATCTCAAGCGGCGCATTCATATCGCCTCCGCGTGTGTAAACCTGGATCTTTTCGCCCGCCGGGCCAAGCAGAACTTCTGGCCAAGTCCACATCCTGGTGCCCCATTCTCTAAGAAGGTCAAGGGCGGTAACTCCGGGAGGAAGATGGTTCCGCCCGGAACGGCCTACGACCACGACGATCTTCGCTGCTCCGCGGGTCACATCGCTGATTCGATATACGTCATCCTGCAATTCGTTCTTGTCACTGGACATGCAGCATTGATCCGTCCAGTATGCCGCAACCCCGGCGTTGCGGGCAGCCTGATAGGCAATCGCGTGGAGGGCTTCTGCATCGGCGGCGGAGTAGCGGCATGCGTCACAGGCACAGCTGGAGGATCCAGTTTCTTGGATGTCCCTCCTTGCCTCACGACAGCGCCGTTCAAATTGTTTCTCAGCAGTGTAAGATACGAAAATGTAGGTGGGTTCGACACCGCCGCCATGGGCGTCGATCCACCTCTGTGGATCAAGCAGTCCTCTGGGATTATCGTCTGTTTGCACATCCAAGAAACAGAGCAGTCGAGGTCTGAGGCATCGATCAGATAGTCTGAAGTCCTTGGTTGAGCTTATGAAACGGGAATTCGGCTTCTCGCCCAGATTCTCACGGAAATTGCGAGCCGTAACTGGATAGGACCAGTATCGATAAGGCACAGGGTCGTAATTACCGTGGTTCCGGACCTGACCCTCAATATCGGTGGGGTAGCTCATGAGGACGAGCAGGCCGAAGCAAGCGGGGAGCCACCTTACACCAACGTGAACCCATTGTTCTTGCTTCCACGCACGGATGCCGGAGGGTGACGTTTTGCGAACTGCATAATCCAAGGAGTATGGTCGCCTTGGATCAGGCATATGAGAATATGGCCAATAGGCCAGGCGAATAATCCATGGACTGACATTGTCGATATACGTCCTCCGCCAAGTGGTAGCGTTGTCGGTGTCGTAGAGCTCACTGATAGTCTGGACAAATAGTTTCTCTACCCTCCCATCAAGTGGGTTAAGATAGCGGTCCTCATTGAGGCCGGCGAACTTCCGCCGGAATACATCACGATGCTTCCAGACGTCGATCGGCTTGTCGCTTGCGGATTTGTAGTAGTGTCCTGGTAGCTGATAAGAACGCGGAATGCCCCAGCCAAACCACGCCCGCTCGTGGAAGAATCTCGGGTCAACCCAGTGAAAAGCAGACTTGATGCGCAATTTGCTTGCAGCCCGGTTGAGAAAGGTATCGGCGTCGTAGCTGTAAGGATTGTCGTTGGCCACCTCGTGGACCTCGTAATGGCGTGAGGTCAGTTTCAAAGGAGTGTCAGGAGCGTTGTATGCGGAGAGGCCGTCATTGACTGACTGTAGATATTTAAAGGCTTGTCGCAGCACCCCAGACCCACCAAGGAATACTCACCACATTGTTAGTGGAAGGTGCAAGACTGCCAGCATAATGATCAACAGAAGCACGAGAGTGACCTGTATTATCATACTACTATGGTCAGCTCCATCAGTCACGCAGATGAAGAGAAGGGCTACATACATTAAGTGGCGGCGGCGTCAGGTCGTTGAGAGAAGGCAGCATATATCCTGTATATTGGGCGGACAGAGGCTCGTATGGCGACTCCTGCTGCCGTCCACCAGCAGTTGGTCTTCGCGGTATCCTCCCATAGCTTGGTCGAACTCGCGCTGGTTGTACTGGTTGAGCGTAGTAGTGAGGGTTGTACTCGGTCGATTCATCGGTCCCCGTTCTCTGCGCGCGGGGCCTTTCCGAAGCTAGGGGGTAGCTTGACGATCTCAGCAATCCATTCTTCTGGGGGTGCTGGTGCCTGTTCTACCTTTCCTCATTACGCTCAACATTCCACCATCCTTGTTCCTGGCTTCCCTGTCATGACTAGTCTCAGGAGAATTGCCAATCAGTCCTGTTACAAATCTTGCTTACCATATCTATGTTAGATCCAATCCATGTCCCTTGAAGACTGACGAATTGGGGAGGATTGAGACCGAGAGGATAAAAGGAAAGCTCAGAGAGAGGAAGAGGCAACACAGGATCAGGCGAGGTATATCAGGCGTCGCCCTAAAATTCTGAGCACACTTTTGTCCATTACCAAGTCTTGATAACTGCCTGATGGATGCATGAGAAACCGTAAAGCTGGAAAAGATACGAAGACAAGCAACGACCCAGACGCAGCATTTCGAGCAAAGAGTGTGTGTGATTGGCTCCAGCCTCGCCTAAAGGTCGCTGGCCCGGGGGCGCAGGGCAGACACTTCGTGTCCGCCACTGAATCACAATGCATGATTTCTAGGTGGTAGAGCGCGAGGCAGGTATGACTGTCCTGATTCAGCACGAGTCATACCATAGGTAGGTCCATCGATGGTCACCAATCTGAAGCATCTTCCTAGCAGAAAGTGATCTTCTTCTCTGAAATCTTTCATACAGCTTGGCGACGGGTGGGTAGGCTCGTGGTCCAGATTCGGCTGGAAGTCTGGATACGAGGAGGCGTCTGCAAGTCTTCGTGATGGACAAATCACATCTGTGAGAAGATTCCTCAGCCTCGTAAAGACAGCGAATACCAAGCTCTGTGCCCCAAAGTCCTTCTTTGAGTTTTGGAGGTCTGCTAACGTCTCGAATCACAAGCCAGTGATAATAGGAAGGAGAACGCAGCATTCGGATGTTGCAGTTCGAGCCACGGGATGTCAAATGACGCACGCCAATTCAAATGACTGTCTTGGCGCGCTAGCCTGATTCGATGAGTTCAACAGCTGGGTTGTACGAGACAGAGGCTCAATATGCCTCCTGTTTGTCCTTGCACTTGACCTCGTTGCTTATTACAATAGGATAAAGAGATGCAAGAGCTGCGCTCAGAAAGGTCGATCGACAGATACAAGCTTACCTATATGTTCTTGCCCCGTCTGCCGCGATATATTTCGGTCTTTTTTATCCTATGGAAGTGAGTCACGCCTCCGCGTCAACTCGTCTGGCATTCGGCTTCACTGAGCTTGCCCCTCAGCGCGTTCCAGACTAAAGGAGTAACCGGGCTAAGTGTACGGTCTTGCAGTATGTCTGATTTCGTGTAACTGCCAAGCGTGCTGAGGGAGTTGGGACTTGAGGCTAGGATAGCTTTCGTCGTTCCAAGGTGGCGGTCTCGAGTCACCAGGAGGTTGCTATCGCAATGTTTAGCAGCACAGTGCGGAGCGGCACATGCGAATCATGAGAGGGACGTCGGTGTAGGCCTCTTGTAAAGAACAGGATGATCCAAGATACTCCTTACAGGATTCGAAGTACAGTGCAAATACGTTGTAGGCGATAGCTGAAGGACGCCTGAACGCATGGCGCAGCTTGTGGGCCTACATCCGAAGGCAACGTTTACGCTCACTTTGTTCTTACCTGGACTTATGCTGCAATATTTGACGTGAGCGCTGTAGTCGCCTGTCAAGCTCTGCTCTGAGAACTCCCGAGCCTGGACGACAAGTGGTACGTCCGTCGACCCTGATGGCGCATCATGACTGGCTGGCACTCGGTGCGGCAATCAATGGCTCAGTGGGGTTCCTTAATGGGGGGCAGCGGGAAGTTGTATCTCCGAGTGGCTTTGTACAGGCATGCTGATCATCGTCGAAGAGCACAGACGGAGGGGAGGGTAGATAGGGAAGGTGAATGCTAGGGTAGGGTGAGATATCGCGGAAGTAAGCCACACGAATCCCAGTAATGATGACAGTCCTGTCACCTGGAGAAGGCAGCGTCTTTCTGAGATCTGTATAAAATCGATCTGTCAAAGATAACGTCGTACTATCACTCAAGAATATAATCAGCATATCCACTTGGAGCAAAGAGGTCCCGTAGGGGAAGCGCAATGAGATGAGGCTGGGCTCTTCCCATTTCCTCACCATGTGCTTCGGCCTTACCAAGACCGACGTGACATATGCGTTTTCTTGACCTACCCAGTAGGCCTCGAACGTTGAGGGTCCGGAGACTGCGGCCATAGTTACCTGAGCCGGGGTTTTCCCCGACGAAGATCCCTGTGCAAGGCTCCAGCGTAGCGACTCAGCGGATCTCGCGCCAGATCAGCCTAGGCCTGTTAGACGGCACACCATCCCTGTCACCATTCTCGCAGGCAAGCGGCCGAGTGCCATCAGCCGAAGTTCACTTTGTCTGGGGACCTGGAATGGTGTTGTCGGAAATTCCGACAGGAACGGACTTCCACATTCACTCGTGAATGTGACTGGCGTCTCAGGCTGAGGATCGCCTGGAGCATGCACCAGACACCGCGGCTGCAATGATTGCAACCCAGGCGACCTTGCCGCCTTCTTGATCTTTGACCCAGACGGCTCAAACTCTTCGTGGTAGCAAACGTTCGGTGGCTGGCTGTAAACAGCGATTGGTAGAGGGGCTCGTAAGGCTTACCGTAAACAGTCATGCATGGACCTGGCGTCGGCCCAGCACACCCCCGTTTCACTCCTAGGGTCCTTGGGCTGGTTGAAGTGAGCATTATCATCGACGTGCGAGCGTCAAGAGATCTTCGCGTACGGGCACTCCAGCCGTTGCCCTCAGCCATCCAGAGGCAGGTTCCCTATGCAGCAGCCGAGGCAGCTTGTCTCGTAAACATCGTCGACCACACCTCCACCGATCGTAGGTTTTCGAAGAAGGGGACCATACTGGGCGTGATGGCGCAGCTCATGGTTTCTAGGCAAGCATGGTGAACCCTATTATGACGCAATGAAGGTCCGCAGCCATCTCGCCAAGTGTGTAGTCTTGAGAACAGATGAGTTGTCTTGGACCGGGTCCACAGAGAAAGTGAACTGAACGGCTACAGTCGGCGCCGTTCCGGTGCAGCTCGGTGAGATTTTGGTGAGCCTTCAGTGTGGAGGGTTGAGAAAGATCGAAACCGCGGGGCTTCTCCAGGTCTAGGCTGAAACTATGAAGCTGCCCCGGTGGAGGTGGAGGTGGAAGTGGAGGTGGAGGAAGGATCGTGTCTTTCGCGGGGAACGAGGAGGAGGCTAAGGAGATTGCGTTCTGATCCGGTCCGGTAGTGTGCGTGCGACACGAAGAGCGATCGAAGGTGGTGAGAAAATACGAGGTACTCCGTAGCTGCAAATTCTGATGCAACGAGCATACGTCCGTCGGTCATACGCCGCTTCTTCACTGCGTGGGGATTGTACAAAACTTAAGCGGACAATACCGATTGGCATGTGCAGTTAGTGGTGGCGACGTTGTGATGCGATAGTGCACGGCAAATCTCACTTCGGCCGCAAAACAGATCCGGATCCGGGCGTGGCATTGTTGCGGGTTCATCACAATCTGTATAGCATGGGTGCATGCACTAAAAAAACCCTTCAGAATCACAATGGCGAGAGAGGAACAGGCAGCACGTGCAAGAAAGTCCTGGCCGCGTCAAGAGGGCGGGACTTTATACTTTCAAGGGCAATTGATATTGCTTCTATACGAGTACGTGAACTCTCAATCAGAGTCTCTCGTTGAATATGCGGCTTCAACCAAAGTCTGGAAAATAGCCGAGGCGATAACCTTGCAGTTGCCAGCCCGTCTCAAATCGTCACACTTAATAGGTGTAATAGAATCCCTCGAGGCCCTCGATGGGCTTGCCACCAGCCCTAGCCCGCTTGTTTGCACGCCAGAACTTGAAATCCATGGCCAGGGTGATGAGGATGATCAAGGCACTGGACAGCATGCAGGTGAGGATACCTGGATGGTACCCAGGGGCGTCTTGGGAGCGGAAGACGGTGCCTCCAATGATGCCTCCAATACCTCCGAAACCGACCAGGGTGGCTGAACAGAGGGCTCTCTTCCACTGGCCTCGGATGTTATTGGCCTGCCACGTCAAGACCGCGGGCACATTCGCGTTACAGGCGGAAACGGCGACGAAGACGCCGAAGTAGCGGACACCGACGTTGTCCAGGTATCCGAGAAGAGGAAGGCCTGTGCAGCAATCAGTATTGAAGCAAGACATTATCGCTTTCAGTGAACTTACCGATTAGGAGTAGGACTCCGTTGATAAGGACAAAGGGGGACCGGAGATGCCATCTATCTCCCAAGACTGCGACGCCGTACATGAGAATTGCGGCTAGCACGTAGGGTGGTGCAATGAGACACTGGGAAGCCGCCACACCGAAACCCATGCCCTCGTTGAGAATTTGAGGCAGGAAATAGGCGATGGCGTAGGTGTTGGTGGTTGTCAGACCGAACAAGCACGCAAACCCCCAGACTTTCAGGTCAAGGCCGCCCTTGAGGTACTTCCAGATATTGAACTCTTCCGGAATTGCGTCGTGTCGGTCTTTTTCAATACGGGCAACCACAAAGTCGACCTCCTTCTGGTTCAAAAACTTCAGGCCAAACGTGCGGGTGGCTTTTTCCGGGAAGTCCACGATGAAAACATAGCCACCAAGACCCACAATGACAGTGACGACGCCTTGGAGGATGAAGATCCATCGCCAACCGGCAATGCCAGGAAGAATACCTGGTGCAAGATCCGGGTTTGCCTCTGTAGGGCCGTAGTGCTGTCCCCACCACCTTGGTCCGGATCCGTGGTTTTTCAGTTGGGAGAAGCCATAGGCGAGAATTCCGGCAAAAGCAGATGCCATCGAACCGATCAGGTAGAAGACCGCGTTTCGCTTCTGGAGGTCGTAGCGGGGATACCAACAAGAGAGCAGGTAAGCACAGCCCGGGAAAAAGCCCGCCTCGAAGACACCCAGAATCAGTCGAATAGCGATCATGTCGGTCCATGTCTTGATAAAGCCACCGCACATCATAGTAATGCCTTTTTCTGAGTTAGTAAGGAAGCTCCGACGACACATCACGGGTAAGACCTACCCCATAGTACAGTGATGGTTGGCAGGAATTTGCGAGGACCGAGTTTGCGGAGGACGACCGTCGCTGGAGGTTGGAGCAAGACGTAGGTAATGAAGAAGAGGAGTACAATAATGGAGTAACGATCTCCGATAAGACGGAGATCAACAGCCATACCGGCAATGACGGCGATACCGGTATTGGTTCGATCCATCAGAGAGACACAATACATAAAGCCCAAGGTGAGCACCAGTCGCCTGTCAATGCGGTGAACGATCTTCTTCTGCTCCTCAGGTGTGAATGCGTCAATGGCAGCATTGTTGGCCTTCTCAGTATCAGATGTCAGCGTAGTATCGGCACGCTCAAGCTCGTTGATGTCGGCATTCTTCTCGGGAATGACGGCCGCCATATTGACGATCGACGCACGAGATGGATGAGAATGGGAGAAGGAGAAGTGGTGAGATTGAGAAAGAAGATTGGGAGAGAGGGAAATCGTTCGACGGGGTATCGCCTGATCCTATATGCGTGCTACAGTTGATCAACGTGGAATCAAGCGAAGAACATGGCGCGTGGCTGACAAGACACTAAAAGCTGTCTGCAAGCCCGATCCAGCAATGGAGCGCAGTCCAGGGCTCGAGAATGCAATGTGGACTCAACCAAGGAGCAGGGGTTATCCATACCGCGGAAGGTGAACACCTGCCCAGCGACAGGCTAGAAACGGAGCCGACCATGCGGATCCATGGACTTGGAAAAGGTACCAACCAGAAGAGTGCCGAAGGGTTGAAATAACCCCAGGTCTGGGGCCCTCCGGTGGAGTCCGGGGTATTTTGCCCGAAGCACAATAGAACGTGCTTTAGCGGCTGTCACCGGCCGGTCCAGCCAAACCGAACCGTAAATCTGCTGGACATTGAGATGAATGTGAATATTGTGGCTTGTTGAAAGCGCCGTCTGGGTTGACAATCGTCATGCAAGCAACCTTTGACCTAGAAGGAAACGAGCGCGGGCAGCAAAGACCATCAAAGCACTCGCAAGCTTCGATGCTTGAGTTGCAGTGTGCACCTCCCAAACCCAGCTAGGCCCCCTGGCGAGCGCCAAAGTCTTGGTGACAGCTTGGAAACCCACCCCCAAGAAAAAGATTGGAGCCGGTGCTGCAAACTGCGCCCGGCGCTGTTGTTCATCCGAATCCATTTCGCTTGCAGCTTTTGCGGCAGGGAGAGTGTCCTGTTCTGTTCGGAAGCGAAGGTTCGCCATCAGCCCACCCTTTCTGGAGAAACGAGGCTCACTCGACCGATCCAAGATGGCAATGGAACGTGGTGGCAACATGGGCGCTACTGCAAGAGGAGTTATGCACATTGGATTGCTGATGGTGCATGATTAGCTTTTCTTGGCTTGCCTGTTTCCTCTTAATCCTGAGGCTGGGAGGCTCTCGATTGGGTCTCGAAAGCCGTTGTAGCATTCCAAAGTTTTGGTGGCAAGCGGGGCCTCCGATGATGTTGACCTTTTGCTCGGGCTTGTTGGGGCTCCCTTGTAGCCAAGACGTCGATTCGGTCGTAATCGGTCACTGATCCGTGTTTTGAGCATCATCAAGTACTCGTATCGCGGATGGCCAGTAGAAAGAGTGCGGGGTAGCGACAATAACCGCGGGCCGAATCTCTGGGGAGCTCAGTCACCGAGGTGGCCTCGGCAGCAAAGGAACAAGCATGGTGACAGAGATATTGGCCTGAGTGAGGACGTCGGCTGCTGGTCACGGAGCCTGGCAATCTGGCAGCCTATGGAGAACACTGATTGGGAAAGATCTCAGCCTGCACGTATGCCGAAGCGATGCCCGCTTGGCAGATGTTGCATATTCCATCTCGCGTAGTCCGTCGAGAATTATTCGGGATGAGCTGGCCGTGAATGGGTGCAAAGCAGCTGGGCAAAATGCTGAGGACTCCGAGGTTGATATAAAGTACAGATCTGGAGGGCGGAGGTGGGCTTTAATATTGGGCAACACGAGTGTCGAGTCCGTGCTCGTACGATTAATCAACTTTTCCTCTCGTTATGCTTGCTAAGAGCCGTCCTAACCGAAGGATTGGCAGGCCGAACGAAAGCCGAACAACCGCAGAGCCGGACGAGTTACTCTGGGGAAACACTGGTGCTGCAAAGAGAGGCTGCGGGTTTGAGCCAATCATGCGTCTGAACGACAACCAACGGCAGCCTTGCGCGCAGCCTTGTGTCCCAGCCTCGTCCTCAGTCTCGGCCTTGTCGATCTGAGCTAGTCCTAAGTAGGTTTGTTTACTTTCTCGCTCCATCTGGCTTAGCAACCACTCCCACCATTGCGCAACAGAGTTTGTAGACGTTGTCGTTGTAGAAGCCCATTGTCTCTGAGCGGGGCACCGTCACACATCCGCTAAGATTGCCACTCTCTTCTACTTGCTTTATTGTGAGCTCACTGTCGTCCACCACCTTCAGTCCCTCCACTTCGCAGTCAGAACGCACCTCCCTCGGCCGACGCACAGCCCAATGCTTCTATCGCACCAAGCGATGCGCCGCGCACCCACCTGAAGAGACGAGTGACATACATTTTGGAGCGCGTTGGCTATGGCGGCGCCCTTGCTACCCACAAAATTCCCTTGCTGGTGCCGCGCAGTGTATTCATGGGGCGGTGAGACAGATCGAGATCTGGGATTCATCGAAGGCGATCTGATAGAATGCCTTAACGCCGGGGATGGCTCGTGGTGGATGGGGAGACTGCACAGAGACAAGAGAATGATGGGCCTCTTTCCCTCCAATTTTGTCACTGTTCTCGGGGACGATTTCGTACCCATGCGCCGTTCGGTCAGTCCCATGCCGGACCTGCAAAAAAGCGACAGCACGAGCAAGAGTTCTTCAGCCCAACAACGAGAAAAGAAGGAGAAAGCAAAATCGCGGAGACCATTCAGTGGATATAAGAGCGCCAAAGGCCCTACAGCCCCTGCAACAGCAGTGCCCAAGCAGGCTGCTCCCTATGACCCAAGAAATCCTCCATCGACAGTGCTGTGGCAGCAGAGGCCCCCGTCCAGGGCTCCTTCGAGGTCTCCGTCACCCATGCCACATCACGAAATCGGATCTTCTCCTCCACCACCTCCACCACCACATCGCATCATAGGTGGTCGGGCTGCGTCCCCCGCCCCACAACCTTTCGACATGAACGACCGCTACCAAACATTTTCGCGCACTCCATCTCCAGCACCGCCATCTGACAGCGGACACACGCCGCCCATGATCCGACATGCCATGGACGATGTAATATCCTCCCTTGATGATATGACTCTTGTACGTCACGATTCAATACAGAAGGAAGCTCCGCAAGAATTCAATCCGTGGTCGCCGGAAGCTTTTGATGACTTTCGTCGTCCCGAAGACCGTCCAGGTCCTAGACCGCTCACCAGCCTCGGACTAGGTGCCGGAGGAAGCACCTTTTCGGAAGCACGGATCAACTACAGCAGTCGCCATAATAGCCCTGACCGCTTCCAAGACGGCCCACCCCGCCTTGAAAACTATGTGCAAAGGATGGAAAGCCGACTTCGTCGTATGCAGCAAGCGCGCGAAGCCCAAGGATCAGATCCACTAGACAGTGATCCGCCAGAACCTCCGCCTAAGAACTCACCGTGGGCATCAAGGCCAAACTCATCGATGGCAGCTCCACAGCTGTCGGCGCGAAAGAGAAAATCTGCTCTGGATCTCGAGGAAGACGGTCTGTCGAGAGCAATGACGCAGAAGACGAATTCGACCAATTCAAGCAACGGCACAAACTTCTCACGCAGCACAGCCATGACAAGTCAGAGCATCATGAGTGGTTATTCCGCGGGTGCGTTCAGCGCGACAAGCGCAGGCAGCCTGGCCAGAAAAAGAATGGGCAGCATTCGAGAACGCATGACCCGGCCAATGACGAGCTCGGGGATGAGACACGGGCAATGGTCTGAAGCAGATATCAGGCCGAAGACTCCAACCAGCAACACCTCCTTCCACCCAAGCCACGACTCGAGACAAGGAGCAAAGTCCGCGATTGGCTGGGAAGATGCGAACCGTGGTCCGACAGGCGGACTGGGAGGATTTACCACGCCCAAGGCCAAGAAAGCAGGCTTCTTCAAGAAACTCATCGACACTGCAAAGACCGGCGCCGCGAGTGCCAGGAGTACCATTTCAGCAAGCCAGGCCGGCAGCAATCCGGGGTCGCCCACGAAGTTGACAGGCATAGCTGGCGGTATGGCTTTCAACGCGCCCGTCGCAAGTTCCAAAGCTAACAACTCCTTCGGGAGAGATGCTGCGAGAGAGATGGGCTTGCTGAGCGGTGCTTCAGCAGACTATATTCTCACCCGCCGTGATATAAACCGGTCCAATACTCCTGGCCCCTCTGAACGACAGGAACGAGCAGATCGGTGCCATATGCTTGACCAGCCCGTCATATGTCCTGTCGAGGAACTGTACGAGAACTTGCAGGGCGACGAAGATGCCGATAGTCGACCCGCTTATGAGCCATTCCAGCTCAGCAACCCCAGTTTCAGCCAGGTCGACAAAGCAGCTCGCTTTATCACGAGCGTACCCAGCAGCGTCACAGCGGCGACCCTCGCGACAAGCTTCATATGCAGGCCCTACCGAAGTGGCGTCCAGCGCCTCCGTGCCATCTTCATCTGGTGCGCTGAGAGGATAAGCTGGGAAGACGACCATGAGTTCGACAGCTACCAATACAACCAACCGGTTGATACCCGCAAAGTGATCCATACGAAGAGAGGGAGTAGTCAAGAAGTCGCAACAGTGGTGCTTGAAATGTGCACCGCCATTGGGATCCATGCGGAGATAGTGCAGGGGTATTTGAAGACACCAGGCGAAGACCCCGACTTGGACGCAATCTCTCGACCGAACCATTTCTGGAACGCTGTGCTGGTTGACAATGAATGGCGTATGATGGATGCAAGTCTTGCCAGCCCGACAAACCCCAAACGATCACTTTACTCCAGCGTCAGCACCAGCATCGCGGAAGCATGGTACTTCCTCACTCGGCCCAGCGAGTTCTGTTGGACGCATGTTCCCGTCGACGACTCCCAGCAACATATGATCCCAAACATCAGCCCGGACGTCCTCCTCGCCTTGCCTGGCACATGTGCGCCATTCTTCCGACTCGGCTTATCGATGCATGCCTACGACACGAGTATCGTCCGTATGGAGGGCCTCGAAATGTGCACATTCAGCGTCAATGTGCCCGCTGACGTGGAAATCGTGGCGGAAGTCGAAGCGCGACGATACCTACGTGATCAAGATGGTGACGTCTACGAGGATGCTGAAAACATCACCAAGAAACGCGCCCTCACGCAGGCAAGTTGGTATAGAACCGTGCCAAACACCGAGATTGCGCAGAAACGGTATGTGGTCAAAGCCGTGTTGCCGGGCGATGAGGGCGTCGCAACACTCAAAGTCTACGCAGGCAAAAAGGGGCTCATGCTCAGTTCGCGCGACATCGTCCACCCACTGGCACTGGCACTGCCGCTATACCACAGCGGTGAGAACCCGACCTATGATTTTGTCATGAGGCATCCTACTCCCCACGCGACGAGGCAGGACCTGTACGTCGTGCAACCTCAGTGCTATCGGCTGGGCGCGGGAGAGACATACGTCTTTTGTGTCAGACAGCATGCCGCCTCCATGGCGTCCACGCCCGCGACGGAGACGAACGGCTTCGATGGCAGGCCCGTCAGTCCCAATCCGATGATTCGGCCGGCCAGCGCGATGAGCATGACATCCTCCGCTGCAGGATCGAATCCAAGCGAGCCTTCGTCCGTCAACAACGCCGCTGCCGGTGTGAAGGTCAAAGACAAACCGGCCAAACTGGCGATACAGTCTCCAAGTGGCAAAATCATCCGGCTGAACCGTAAACACGAAGGCTTACCGCAGGCTAGTGGGCTGAAGGAGGTGGATGGCGAGGTGTTGGGGAGTGTGTGGGAGACGGTTGTGAAGGTTGGAGAAAAGGGGATTTGGCGCGGCTTGGTGCTCGCCGATCGGAGTGCAAGATGGTGTGTTTGGGGCGAATGGGAGTGTGTTTAATATGCTGTACACTGAGGACACGCGTGAGAAGTGTCTTGTCTTGCGTTTTCCGGGTTTGAGGATTCGGGGCGTCGAGTAACATAAAAGTTCTGGAAGGTCTGAATATGCGGGTTGGCTAGGGATGTTGCTATGTTACGATGGAAACGCGACAGTATCTGGCAGGGAGGGATGCCACAGAGGGCAAAGCATGTGTTGGCATATCTGGTGTCGGTTGGGTACCTTGGTGTCATGGCTTATGGCTCGGTCGGATACGCAGCGAACAGGATACATGCTCCGGCGCTACAAAGCGCAGCCGACCCAACTTAAACGAGTGCGTGGAAGTCACAGGTACATGTACAGACACAGTTCTGCTCTATTCTAGGAGTTTTGACGACTTGAATGATCATACTGTAACTTCTGTCACGGGACAGTGGCCTGAAGCTGAGTACACAGTATTTGAACCCGACTTCTTGGCATCCTGCCTGTCCTCATGGCATCGCCATGGAGTGGAAGTGACTGTACTCTACTTAGTGAATGAAACTCGCGATAAGGCCAGGTCATGTTTTCCCTTCCATTCATGCTCTGCACGTCTTACTCTGTACTCCAAAGTAGCAATTGTGCTCATCGACCCCAGGACAGAGACACCGTGGGGATATCGGACAAGGCTGTTAAATCCGACGTGACTCGAGCTACATACAGTATTCCGTTCGAACTACCCAGCAACAACGGTCCAAGTCCAGAGTGCCTGTCATCCTGCCACGGATACTCCCCGGTAAGTCTGCCTCAGCTGGCTTTGCCTGACCGCCTGATCCCATAGCTCGTTCCACCTCAGCTCAGACATCGTCACGTGTTATCGACCGAGTGAGTGTTCAGTAATCGGGGCACTCAGCACCGCAGGCCTGACTCCTGTGGCTTGAAGCTTGGACTGGCGGCCTTTCTCCGCCCGGCCGCTGTGGACAGCCAGGCTACAGCGACTAAGTCAGAGCAAGAGCATATGAAGTACTACGTATACAACACTACTCTGAACGTGCAGACAGGTAGCACGACGACCTCAGAGCTGAAAGTTACATACATACATACATGCCTACAGCCGGCCAATCCAAGCACCGGAGCCTTCCGTCAATAAGTGCAATAACCGCTACGCTACGCTCGGCAGGACGATGTCAAGCACAACGGCAGCAGACGAGAGTCGCGGCTCCGCGGTCCACGGTGCCGCGCACTTCGACCAACTCTCGGACGTGTACGACGAGCTCGTCGGCGTCCTTACAGGCGACATCGGACGCTATGCAATTGACCATCTCATCCCATTCCCGACCTCGGAGACCAGCATCCACGACAACGCCTGCGGCACGGGCCTCATGACGGCGCACCTCCAGCAGGTGGCGTCTGCCCCCAAGAAGATCCACGCGACAGACTACGTCCCCTCCGTAACGCGGGTGATGCAGCAAAAAGCCGTGCGCAATGGTTGGACGAACGTCGAAATCTCAGTCATGGACAGCCAGGAACTCACGTTCCCGGACGGCTACTTTGATCTCTCCATCACGAATTTTGGGATCTTCTTCCTCCCCGATCCGCAGAGGGGAGCTCACCAAATCTATCGCACGCTGAAACAGGGTGGCGTGGCCGTAGTCACCACTTGGAAGGAGCGGCGGATCATGGACACGATCGTTGCAGCGCAGAAGAGTATCAGGCCGGATCTGGAGACTTTGAGCGCTCCGTGGGCGGAGCTGTGGGCCAAGGAGAAGACGCTGCGTGATGTCCTTGTAAATGCAGGGTTCAGGGCGGAGAATGTCCAGATCGTGGAGAAAAAAACGGATGCGATTGTCGAACCATTTCTTCGGGATCCGAATATGGTGGCTAGAGGGTACCCTGCGGCCACGAAGGGGTGGAGTGACGAAGAAAGAGGCAGGCTAGGGAGTGAGATGTTGCGAATCGCACAGGAACAAGACCCTCAGGGTAGAGGGGCTAGGGATTTGTTTTCGACGGCATATATTGCGATCGCGAAGAAGTAGGTTGCCGCGCGCAAGTTTTATCGAGTGTCGGATGTTGGGGATTCAACTTGGTGGGCTTGGTCGACATGAATTCAACGTCTGTGGAGTCGTCCGAAAGGGGATGATCATTCTGCTAGGGGAGCATCATGCTGAAGCAGGATAACCGCTCTGGTAGGGAGGCTCACCGCCTGGTGCGGATCGCAAAGATAATGTCATTACCCGGTCGACGAGGTATCTACCTACCCACCTAGAGGTATCCTTGAAGTCGTCAAACGAGGTTTAGCGCTCACTAATGCGAGGCATGAGCGGCGATCCTGCTTCTTAGCTTCGAGGAGGTTGCTAACCTGGTTAAACTGCCACAGTATTACTGTCGAGAAGGTCGTCCGGCGCGCCTCGTGTGGCTTTTCTGTGCCACAATGCCAATGCATAAGCAATACGGAGTACGCTCTGTGCTATCACGAAGCTGGCTTGCTTAACCCCGACTTGTATCCGTGGCGTGCTGATTGATCCCCGACTAATCATTAATGTGGTAATCAAGATTGAGCCTCAAACCTGGGAATGACTGTGTATGGCTCGTGAGGCCCACAGGACTATGCAAGTTCGGGCTCTTATCGTCAGCGTTGCAGTATACAAGATCGACGCAATCTGCTACGCTACTTCTTTTTCAGGAAACCTCTAGCTTGGCGTACCCTCGACCCAGTGGGTACTGACGTCGTCAACCATCTTATTATGTGACCTCAAAGCGGGCAATGCGTTCATCAGATTGAAGCCCTAGAGGGTCGCTTGATCGCTCTGCTTCAGGAACAAATCCATCAGCAGCTGAGATTGGGAGTCAGTACCAGCAGGTGTGTGAGATTGAGTTTGGCTTCACCGTCCTTGCTGCCTTAGGGAGCCGAAACTCTCGGTTTCGATAGCCAATCATGCATCGTACATAATGTCCCGTCCATGGATGCCGAAATGTGGGGGTCGAATCAGAGCACGAATGTAGATGTACCAAGGAATGCTTGGTGTTCTGGCCTGAGGTAGCGTTGCCTTTATCCATTGATATATAACCTCGGTGGACTGCAGTCTTGGAAGACCCCCGTTTGTTGCTCGGATTTGGCATTCTGCATCCTCCGAATTAAATTGCCCGAACAAAGGGGAGCAACTCGCCTAACCACAGCAACATGTCGAGCAAACCTGTTATTGTCTTCGTGCCAGGGGCATGGCACGACCCCAACGGCTTCCACCTCGTCACAGCCGAGCTCCAAGCTGCAGGATACGAGACTAGAGGCGTGGACCTCGCATCGGTGGGCGCTCAAACACCCCTCAAGGACTTCTGGCCCGACGTCGAAGCTATTCGACAAGTGCTCAAGCCGCTTGCAGACGGCGGAAAAGACGTAGTAGTCGTGGTCCACTCGTATGGCGGGGTGATTGGGTGCGAAGCAGTCCAGGGCTTCGTCAAGTCTGAGCGAGAGAAGGAGGGCAAAAAGGGTGGCGTGTCGCACATCTACTTCTGCTGCGCTTTCGCCCTACCCGAGGGTGTATCGTTGATGGACGCCCTCAACAATCAACCCCTGCCATGGTTTCGACTCAATGAGGCTCAGGATAGCGTCACACCGGCAACGCCCATCGAGACCTTCTACAACGATGTCAAGGAGCCGGAGAAGTATGTCAACATGCTGAAACCGCACAGTTATCTCACCTTCGCTTCGAAGGTCACTTATGCTGGTTGGAAACATGTTTCATGCACGTACCTGCTGTGCGAGAAGGATGAGGCGATCCCAATTCATGCACAGAAGGGCATGGTAGAGGCTGCGCAACAGGCAGGTGCAGATATGAAGGTTGAAACTATTGATGCCAGCCACTCGCCATTTCTGAGCATGCCCGCAGAGATGGCACGGTCTATTAGGAGAGCTGCAGGCGAGTCAGTTTGAAGGAACTTGAAATGAGTCTCCCAATGGCCGATACACATGACTGAACAGAGTGTGATTCATGGGTGACCAGGAAGTGAGCTGGAAGTGAAGAAGACTACTTAATTAGTCGACTTAATCCTCCGCAGGCGCAATGTTCTGATTGGCCAGCGCTGACTGTGCTGCAAGGGCCGAGAAAATGTTTCCGACTTCCTCCCCGACTTTTTCTCATGGCACAAACAGTTGATTCCCTTCACCAGAAGCAGAGAAGAAACCCAGCAGAAACGGTAATACCTTTTACCTTTCATGTGACCACAGATTAGCTTTTCACAATATATGACTGTCCCCTTTTTTCTTCAAAGATATCTGTAACCTCAAATTATGTTCGCGCAATAGTCCAGACAACAGCCCCGCTATGGATCAGACCAGCTCTTCTCCTAAGCCTCCATCCCCAGATGGCAGCGACGTCGCATCCCCTGCTCTTGCCCCCCCTCCTCCTCCTCTCAAGCCCAAACCTCGTTCTGCCGTGCCGTCTTACCTTCTGAATGGCTCATCCCCCCTAAAGAGCTCGCAGCCCACCAAGACTCGTGCCCAAGAGCGCGAAAACCTCCACACCTCCATACAGTCGACCTACGGGCGCCGGAAGACGGTAGATCTGACCGCGGAGGCACAGACCACACAACAAGGCACCATGCCAGCGGGCACATCATGGTTGGGGCTGGAGAACATGACGAAACAGCAGGACCGAGAACAACAAGACTCGAAGCGTCCGTCACAATCGCATACCCCTGCTCGGGACGAAAGGGACGAAGCCCCGCCCACGCCGCCGGCCTCGACACTCTCCCGCCCAGCCAGCCCCTACACCCAGAACCCGGCCATCGACTTTGACGGCTTGTCCTGGCCATGCATCGGCACACGACAACGCCTCGAACAAAGCCCGGAGGAAGCTCAGGTCCGATTAGACAAATTAGCCGACGCGGTGCGGACCATATTCGAGTGTATCGGAGAAGATCCCGACCGTGAGGGGCTGAGGGACACACCGCAGCGATATGCCAAAGCGCTGATGTACTTCACCAAGGGTTACGAGGAGAATGTGCGAGATCTAGTGAACGGTGCTGTATTTCATGAGGACCACGACGAATTGGTTATCGTCAAGGACATCGAGGTATTCAGTCTCTGTGAACATCACATGGTTCCTTTCATCGGGAAAATGCACATAGGGTATATCCCTAACCGACGCGTGCTGGGACTGTCCAAACTGGCGAGGCTGGCCGAGATGTTCTCAAGGCGGCTTCAAGTGCAGGAGCGTCTGACCAAGCAAGTTGCCCTGGCTATCGCAGAGGTCCTGAAACCGCAAGGTGTTGCTGTGGTGATGGAATCCAGCCATCTGTGTATGGTCATGCGAGGCGTCCAGAAAACGTCCAGCAGCACGACCACCAGCTGTATGCTTGGCGCGATGAGGAGCTCCGCAAAGACACGGGAGGAGTTCTTGAGCTTGTTGAATCGAGGCAAGTAGTGGACGGAATCCTATGAAGCGAGACATGACAGAATAGCACAGTGCAATGACTGCAGCAATGGGCGGAGTTCCGGCGATATTTCAACATGACAAAACAACAGGGTGGCGCCTCAACAGCAGCTGTTGTTCGTATACCCGAGATTGGAAGCGTTTCTGGCGAGTTGGACGCTGGGTTGGGATAGGAATTCACAGTACTGTGTGTGGCACATCACATTTCGGTCTTCAACGTATCAAAGTGAGATATTAGTGGACGTTCAACTCTTCTTACATTTTCGTCCACTCCCCATCATTGTGACACGCCTTATGCTGAGTCTCCATGAGCCGGAAAAAGGTGCCACACAGGCAGAAATGGAAGATGGCGATAAGCGTCGAGGAACGAACGACGCCGCCAACAGCGTCGTTTATCAATCGTTAATCGTCTAGACACGCTTTAGTTATCATTAACTATGAATAGTTGCCTGCGTGGTCGTTGAGATACACCTCTGACGGCATCTTGTCCTCCGACCTCAGTCATGGAAGCAAAGCACGGAGGACAGTGGCGCAAAGTACCCTTCCGTCGCGTCTCGATCTCCATACAGGAACCGATACGCAATCCGACAGTTGGTGACAAGCCCGGCGTCGCTCAAAGGCGAACCATCCGGATTGGTCACGTAGCCGGCAGCCGCCATTTCCAGCACCACGAACTCTCCAGTCAGCCCTCGTCCGAATAGCGTTCTCGATGCTGTCATTTGTCCATGAATACAGATCGAAGTACCACAGGGGCGAGGTAATCTGCGAAGCACACAGGTCAGCACCTATGTCACCAGCAGTACAGATCAGAGCAACAATGGAAAAGCACCAATCAGCAAAACGCGGCACGGCACGGCATACCATAAGCGACGGTCGGAATCGCCTCAAGCGTGTTCAAAGGATTTCCCTCCCCGAGAACAGCGCTGTTCAACCCCTGTCGTCATGGATGGTGCGTCTCGTTGTTGGGCGCCTCAGGAGGGAGATCCCGGTTCGTGTATCCGTTCGTGCAGACGAAGAAGCGCTCGGTGCTGCTGAAGAGAGAGTCGTCGCCGCCTGTGCGGATGGCTCGCAAGCACGGGCCCCAAGTGCCTCCGTCCAATGTGGCGGATAAGGGATCCGACACGTCAAAGACCAAGTAGAGCACCGATTTGGAAAAGGAGAAGCCGCGGACTGTGGCGACCGTGACGACTTGGTCGCGAGGGCAGATCGAGAGCACTTGATCGTGCACTTTGCTGCGGAAGTCGTCTAGCATGTCATTCGGGATGCCGTTACAGAACTAGACGCACGCGGTGATTAGTATCGAATAAAAGACGAGTTTTTATATACCTGCAGTTGGTCGAGGCGCACCTGGTTCAGATAATCTTCGGCCACGTCACCCCCGATGATCTGTTGCGAGCTGGGTGTTAGCAGGATGTTTCAAGGACAAAAAAGAAGGGGTTCGAGTTAATCTCACCGGAGCGTTATACACCTCGTAACCAGCATTCGTGAGTTGGATCAGCGGCGTATGATATTGATCGCCCGCACTACCGGGCTGGACTGACTTGGGCGGAAAGGCCGATGCGTCACCCGGGACGATATTCCGCATGGGCGAGAAGTCGACCATTCCTTCCCTCCAAAGACCGTGTTGTTGACAACTTCCAGCTGTTCAGCAGCCTTGAGACCATCGCTGGTCAAACCCTGGGCTGCGGAACGGAGCTTCGGCGCAAAGTTGAGCCCCAGCTGCTTGGCGTTGCCCTCGTCCGACGAGTCGACGATGACCCACCAGTAGGTGGTATTTGCTGCTGAAGTCCCCTGGTACAAGGGCATTGTGAAGTTCGGGTTGATTCCAAAGTTCACTTGTCCTTTGCGCAGCAGGTCGACGGGTCCGACGAGCTCGTGCTCCTCATACGATGCAAAGGGACCTTGATACCCAGTTGCTATTGCAGTGGCGAAGGACGGGTCCGCGATGTCGACGGTAGGATCGTCGTACCCGGAATCGGGACCTGGCTGGAACTCCGAGGGAAGGTCTTGTCAACGGTTCCATGCTGCAGAAGACTAGCAGAAGTCGAGTGCGCGGCCGTGAGAAGGAGTGCAGTGGCGGTGGCTCTCATCCTGGAGATCAACCTGGAGAGAAATTGCGATGCTTGCCACTGGTCAAGAAGACATTAGACCCTGGGCTAATGCGCTTCTTATCTATCTTCATGGCAGCTGTCGTTTCTTGGTCAAATCCCCCCTGCTATGGCAAGTGAGATGCGGGTAAAGCACCTCGAATCCCTGTGCGACAGTAGAGTCTGTAGGCCGTGCAAGATGAATGATCACAGTGGACGGGATACACCCTGTTGTCCCGCCGCTGAAGATGAATTATCAATTGTTACGCTTTCGGGTCAACTGAGCGCCACTAGACATGGAATCGGGATTTGTTATTCCCTCCCAAGCTTGGCCCGATGCCGTTGGCGTCGACAAAGCGGCTATTCATGGCTAGGATAACGGTTGACGAAGATCCTACTGTGATCGATCCTCTATCCTCGTCAAGGCATGTCCGTGGAAATTCGTTAGTAGTGGTAAATGACTTTTGTCAATAATTCCTCCGCTTACCGTGAGGGCATCTAGATGATTACGGATCAAGTTACTCGGTACTGTGAGGCAATTCGCCTACGCTGTGGAGGAGCCGCGTGCGAAGATCTAGCATTTGGCTGACTAGCTTCTGTATTTATTAGCGTCCTTGCGGAGGTGCGTAGGGGGTGATAGGACGTCCGTCCCGACCTGGAGATTGTGGCAAGTAGCCCCCATTCTTGTATCACTTGAGTTGCGGAGACTACCCTCGAACGAACCGATGGACGGAACGTGCGCTAGCGTCCTGAAAAGCCTGCGGCCGTCGCCTGGAGTTTGTCCGCTCATTGGATCGATGGAGCATGGCTGCTGCCGAGTTTGCATTCCAACATAGTAGTGTTGGGTGGGGATCCATAACATTTTCGAGGACACTTTGTCTGGTAGGGCCAGCGGAGCTGTAGGCAGCGCGGAAAGATCCTGTCAAGGAGCATTGCCATGAGGTGACGATTTTAAGATGTCCAATCAACACCCCATACTGACTTCGTCCCGACCTTCAGCAGTGTCGACACCTGGAGTGACAGGTTCAGTGGCGGGAGGATGATCAACAACTTCCGCAATCTGGGATATTTGGCAACTTCCGGGTATCTTTATTGCGGACCCTAGTTTCCTCCCTTGTCCGGCACGAACAGACCGCAACTGTCTTCTTCTGGTACTGTAACAGAATATCCCGTCCACACCAGGCCGGCCGTAATATGAGGATCAGCCGGTAGCTCGGTCGTATCCTGATGTCGATGGAGACCTATCTAGGCACCTGAGGCTCGACGGGTCGGACGGCGCCGTACAAATTCACAACGCGAAGAATCCGTCTTCCAATACCTATTCGAACAAGCTATAGAAACAACTTTCGGTAAACCCCTTTATGATCCGGCCTCGCTGTGAAACGGTGCATGAATGTCGACTTCGGTGGGAGTGTCCGGACGCGGGTGTACCAACATCGTTCCTTGCCAGATAGAGGCAACGTCAACCGTGCAGGTGCTGCGGGTATGCAGAGGGCGTGGTTTGCTTTGCGTTTCAGAGGGTTCGTTGCCAAAAATCGTGCTGACATCGCCCCGACTGGTTGGCAAGCATGAACTCCGACGGCTCAGCAACCATGAAATCAAGGTGACGGGTTTCAGCAGTTCCTCATCCTGTAGGGCCACTCACCTGAGTAAGAATTTCTATCCCAACAGTATATGAACCCCAGGAGGTCTGTCCTCCAGATTCTCTGCTCAAGGGACGGCAATGTTGCAGATAAGAGGACGCAGTGCTCGAATGCCACGTTTCAACACGTATCCGACGCATTTAACCAGTGCAGTGCGACATGGCTTTTCGCTCCTCCCGGCTTGGAGTCTGATGGCATGACTTGAGTCTGAGGTTTAACCACAAGCTGACCGTCCGGGTGGCGTAGAAGGCCAGGATATAGCGTTAGGGCTACATAAGCAATAGATACTCCGTACACAGTGCTTACTTAGCTTAAGCAGGTACGGAGTAGGTACTGTGTACCGATGTTCTACGAATCGCGGTACGCATGTAGGACGCACTTGGCGGAGTCATGACGATCCGGGGTAGCTTTCCAATTTTGTTCCCAGCCCGTGTGGAGTCACAATTTGTCATTTGAAGACGGCCGGCCGAGCCCGCGCTTTGCTGTCTCGGTCTGACTGAGTCTGGTCCCCCCCCCCGCACGCGGCAAAGAGCAAGCGGGGTCTTCCGCTCACGTGTCCGCTCCATAACTCGTATCGCGCTCGCTACAAAGTTCCTACTCTCATGCTGCTTCTACGAACAAGCGAATGGGCTGTCCGTGGCTGTCTTGCTGGCACGTCGGGGACCACGTGGGACGCTATGCCTCCATCGCTCGCACATCACATGCAAGGCACCGGGCTGTGTTGTCCCAGGCCGGTTTGACGACTACAGAGCCTGTGTTCAGCCTGATGACCGTTTTCTCAACATGTCATTGTACCATCACTGGGACAGTCGGGGCCGTCATCTAGAGCTGAGTGTCTACGGAGGCGTTCAATCGCTAGCTTATCATCGTTCTGTGTTTACTACATACCCTCTCCCATCAAAAGTCACCGTTCTCTCACCAAGAAACCGCTGCCCCTGCCTCTCCACGCCCGTTCACCTATCCAGGGGCCATCACGCAGGCTGTTGCGATGAGCAATCGGCCGCTCTTAAGTGAAACCATCTAGTCTGGCTTCATCTACTGAGCGATTGTTCCCTTGCTGCGGTCCACGGACGAAGCCAACACGATGCGCCTTTTAAAGATTGACGGTGCGGGTGGACTCAGCCTGACCGAAGACCTCCAAGACAACCTTCCCGCCTACGCCATCCTCTCTCACACCTGGGGAGACGATAAAGACGAGGTCAATTTTGACGACCTCAGAAGTGAATCATGGAAGAAAAAGGCTGGGGCCGCTAAGATCCGGTTCTGTGGCGAACAAGCGAAAAAGGATAATATGGCACACTTCTGGGTGGATACATGCTGCATTAATAAAGCCAATTCCACTGAATACTCCGAGGCTATCAACTCGATGTTTCGCTGGTATCGCAATGCGGATAAATGCTACGTCTTTCTACTAGACGTCTCGATTTACAGCCGAGACGCGAACTCTCGCCAGACGTGGGAGCAAGCCTTCCGCGATAGCAGGTGGTTTACACGCGGCTGGACCCTACAAGAGCTTCTGGCGCCCGCGTCGGTCGAGTTCTTCTCGCGAGAAGAACAGCGCCTGGGTGATAAGAAGGCGCTCGAACAGCTAATCCACGAGATTACGGATATTCCGACCGCTGCTCTCCGCGGTGCAGCCTTGTCTCAATTTAGTGTGGACGACCGTTTGCGTTGGGCAGAAAAACGGAACACCAAGAAGCAGGAGGACAAGGCATATTGTCTACTGGGGATCTTCGGTGTGTTTATGCCTCTGATCTACGGTGAAGGGGAGTACGCGTTCACCCGCCTCAAGGGGGAAATTGATAAATCTCTGAGAGGTACGTCTTTTGCTTCTTACCTATTTATAGCATGCCGGTTGCTGATCTAGCCAGGCACGGGCTCACCAAGTGGCAACGTACATTGGGCAGTGCCTCGCTCACCTAACACGTTATTCACAGGGAGAAAGGACATACTTGATAAGCTGGAAAGGATTGTCCGCTCCACGGTACGGCACGCCCCGGGTAGCAATCAATGTCGCGTGGTCATCGCGGGCCTAGGTGGACAGGGTAAGAGCGAGATCAGCTTACAACTTGCGCAGCGCGTCCGGCCGCTGTAGGTTATAACTGTCTTTTCACGTTGCCATGCTGGGTGACGTAACTAACTCGTGCCAGATTCTGGGGTGTTTTCTGGGTTGATGTCAGCACGTCATCTTTGGCGGAGAACGGATTTCTCGATATCACTAGGCGACTTCAAATCCCAGTATCCACATGGGAGGATAGCCGGCAGGCTCTCGCCAACATTACGCGGCGATGGATGTTGGTGCTGGACAATGCAGATGACCCTAACGTCGACTATCAAGCCTACTTTCCCCCTGGGTCGTCCGGTGTGGTGGTGCTGACGTCGAGGAATGCAGAATGTGAGCAATATGCCACCGCTGAATACGTGGCTTTGGAAGGACTTCCGACAGACGACGCAACGGAACTGTTACTGAAAGCAGCCGGTGTCCCCAGCAGCCAGCGTCTGCTCGAGGACGACGCGCGAGAAGTGGCGATCTTGCTCCAGTCACATGCTCTCGCCTTAATCCAGGCCGGCGCGTATATACAACGAGGTCACTGCACTCTGGCGGACTATCCCCGGGCGTTTGAGCGTCAACGAAAGCGACTTCTCGAGTTTCGGCCATCTCAAGCTCAGTCTCGGTATCGGGACGTGTACGCAACCTTTGAAGCGGCGGTCGAGATCTTACAGGCGAGCCAGGCACAATCGGCGCGGGATGCATTGGAAGTGTTGCCCCTCTTGGCGGTGTGCGGGCCGAGCCAGCTACCATTGTCCGTGTTTGAGGCGGCATGGAAAGGAGCGCAGCGCATACAAACTCGCCAAGCGGCAGATGAGGACGATTTTCCGCTAATGGCGTGGCATGTGTCTCGACTGCCTTCGCTCATGCAAGTTAGTGATGACGTCTGGGATTCGTTCCGGCTGGTAGAGGCTGTCAATGCGCTGCGAACATTCGCGCTGGTGTCGACCACTGTTGAACATGGGCAGATGAGCGTATCGATGCATCCCTTGGTGCACGCGTGGGCGCGAGACCGTCAAGATGAGCCGCAACAGCACGAATCCTGGATCTGCATGGGATGTGTGGTGGCGGTGTCGGCTAGCGAGAAAGAGATGTGGCGAATATACGCACGGCAACTCCAACCCCACCTTCAAGCGATCACCTCTTGGGAGATGAGGTGCGCCTTTCAATCCGAGCCTCAGGTAATGGTAGCTTCTATTTTGGTGGAATGTGGATGGCAGCTGCAGAAGATGAGGGATGACAAGACAGTTTTCATGCTGCTTGATCGGCTGTGTTCTCATCTGAAACTTGATAGATTCAGTGTCGATGAAGGCTGGGTCGGGCTATATCACATTATTGGTCGAAACTTGTTGTTTTCTGGCAAAATCCGAGATGCAGTTAAGCTGCTGGAAGAGGTAGCTCGGGTGCAGCAGCAGACATTGGGGAAGCATCATCAAGCTCGACTAGCTTCGCAGCTCAACTTAGCACGGGTATATATGGCCGATGGACAGGTTAAGGTTGCGATACCACTGCTGGAGGAGGTAGTGCGGATTGACCAAACACTGCCGGAGGATCATCCAGATCGACTAGCGTCGCAGCATGACTTGGGACAAGCGTATACGGAGAATGGACAGGTTAAGGAGGCAGTTGAACTACTGGAGGGGGTAGTGCGGATTCAGGAGACAATGGCGGAGGATCATCCAAATCGACTGGCTTCACAGCATGCGTTGGCACTGGCGTATGAGGCTGATGGACAGATTGAGGAGGGAGTTAAGCTGCTGGAGGAGGTAGTGCGGGTTGAGCAAACAGTGTCGAAGGATCATCCAGCTCGACTGGCGTCGCAGCTTGAGTTGGCTCAAGCATATGTAGTCAGTGGCAAGGTCAAGGATGCGAAGCGGCTGCTGGAAGAGGTAGTGCGGATTCAGGAGACAATGGCGGAGGATCATCCAGAACGACTGCTGTCGCAGAACAATCTGGCTATTTGCTTATGGAAACTCGGCCAGCACTTTCCGGCCCTGGAGATGATGCGGCACGTCGTGGAGACCTGCAAACGGGTATTTGACCCTGATCATCCTCATCGCATACGATCGGAGGAGGCGTTGGAATACTGGGAAGAGGAATGCGCTGAGTGTGGGGGAGTTACATGAACCACGCCGGGCAATATAGTTCGCGGCAGCTTATTCTGGTCGTGGTCGGCCATGACATTCCATTTTGACATCAACCTGGATTTTCACATCGGCAGGGAGCTGCCACCTGTGCAGCTAAGAGGCGGTGAAGCCTCTACAAGGAGAATCAAATCCATGAAAGGCGACGTGTTCCTTCCTGAGGCGGAATAGGGCTCCTAACATACTGCGATTTTGCAGGATTCCATCTGCATCGCTCTCGAGATCTTTGTGGACCGTAGTGAAGGAGTCTGACCATAAAGTCGAGCCCTCTTACTTGGGAGCTGTCGAGACCTGTGAGGGGCACCGCGGCCTGCGCTTCATCTTCAACACGGCCCTACCTCGTTAGGGCAACCTTGCGTTACACAAAGCGGATACGCCTTCATGCACGAAAGAATGAGTCCGGCATTCGGCATTCAACCGAGATATGGCATTGGAGTCCGAGTCGACTCTTGAGCACACCCCCGTTCTGTGAAGACCGATCGGCTTGGTCACAACAGTGGCATACTGTGTATAACAAGGAGCATCCGTATTAGCTGAAGACGGTCCGGGAGGATGGTCCCAACCACTTCATGTGCTCTTCGCGAATCTATTCGTGTCAAACCCAAAGAGCCTAGTCGACGGAATAATCCAGGTCGAAGACACTGCAAAGTCGGCAGCAACTTGGCGTTTGGGATCAATAGTACATCAATGGACGTTGGTGTTGTGATAGACACCGCGGAGATTCCTTGGGCGGTCTATAGCGTTCCCAAGTGGTTGTTAGAGGAAGCGAGGGAAGCAACTTGAACAGGCGGATGAAAAGGAGGTCTCGCCAAGTCCACGTGACCTTAGACCCAGTGGTGAGGTATCAGGTGGAGCGGAAGAACATCCGCGACCGACGTTGGTGCGGGGTAGAGAAGCCACTATCGTGCCCTCACCTCCCTTCCAGGTCACTTCCGATAACGCAATGGATTTTGACGACTTTGCACTCCCGAGGCACAGAATTCCAGGGCTGCCATCATGTAATCGAGGGGTTGTGATTGAAGCACGGAGAAGCACACAATCTGAACCAGGTACATCGTCCCGACAGGACTCCACACGTACACGTACGGCTTTTTGGGCGGTTTGGATTTCTCATCCTCCCAGTCGTATCAGGACTCTTGTTCCAGAGTTGATGATCAAAACCGCTGTAAGGACACATTCTAGACTTCTTTCACGTTGCTTCGCATATAGACTTGCCCACTCAGCTGTCCGCGCTCCACACATCATCAACGAAATCACCAAGATGCCTGCCCCTCCGCAGCCAGAGCTGCCGCATCCCGCGCATCTGGACCAAGATTCTGCGCTGGGTCGAAAGTTCGGTAAAGAGGTGACGAATTACTTTGGAGGTGCGTGCAAAGGTCACAATAATTCGAGCTCAGAAGCATTGACCGGACCAGGCTCACCCATCAACCGAGTGTCCTTCCTGCGCGACGACAATACCTTTCTCGCTGGCGCATTCTCCCATCCCTCTGCGAGGTTCCTCGTCTTCAAGACGCTTTCACCGCTGATAAAATCGCCCACGGAGATCCACTACGCCACATTAGATGACCTCAAATCGCTTCTCCCTACGAATCCGTTTGACAGGACCGAGAAGGAAACAGTAGACGACTTTGACTCGCGGATAGATTATCCCCAATTGGTGTTTCTGGGCTTAGACGAAAAGGTCAAGGATGGATACTCGTACAAGAATTTCACGGGGGCGCCGCATTGGGCCGTGGACATCACGCCCAAAAAGACGTTCGAGAAGGAGGCCAATGAACTGAGCGACACGTTCGTGGCGTCCGGGTTGAAATTCAGCGAAGGCATGAGAGCCATGAGTTTCCCCGCTGATGTCGGTGAGTTTGGCATATAATTATCTTACAGACAGATCATTCGAGACTGACTCGCATCTAGCCGCCGAGTACGCACAAGGCCGGCACTACCTGGACTGGAACTTCCGCAACACCTTCTGCGGCACGTGCGGGCACAAGACCTTCTCCGTCCACGGCGGTGCCAAACGAGTCTGTCCGCCCAAAGACAAGGCCGAGACACCGCCAGAGCGAGAACCGTGCTCGACACGAACCACCCTGTCAAATCTTACATTCCCGCGAACCGACCCTACCATTATCGTGGCCGTGCTCAGCCACGACAGCAAGCGTCTCCTCTTAGGTCGCCAGAAACGGTGGCCGCCTTACTGGTTCTCCACGCTCGCGGGATTCATTGAACCAGCCGAGTCTGTCGAAGACGCCGTCCGGCGCGAGGTCTGGGAAGAATCTGGCGTCAAACTGTCGCGCGTGCTGGTCCATTCCACACAGCCCTGGCCATATCCGGCGAACCTGATGATCGGGGCAATCGCCCAGGTCGCCTCACCTAAGGACGAGGAGATCAGACTGGAATTCGATCCGGAGTTGGAAATCGCCAAGTGGTTCACACTGGAGGAAATCCAGGAGGCATTGACGCATGGGACCAGCGGGTTGGGTGACCCAGCGCCGGAGGGGTACAAGGAAGGGAATCTAAGGTTGCCTCCTCCGACGGCAATTGCCAATCAGCTGATCTCGGCGGTCGTGAAGGGCGGGTTCTTGGAAGGTGTGACACCGATCACGAAGTTGTGAGGGATTGCGAGGGCTTTGGTGTGGCTCGGACTTCCTTGCCGAGAAGCAGGGGAGGAGTCAAAATATGAGTCGGAGACTTCTGCGTTGCTGAGGTATCGCATCTTGGGTGAAGACCGCCGTCACCCGCATGTCGACACTTAATCTCTCCTACATCTCATGCCGGGGTACAGGCTTGGAAGAAGCATATCCTGGGAGATCGTCTCAAGAGAAGGGCACAAATAGACTATAGTTTCATGCGATTCTAGACACCGCCAGTCAGCCAGTCAGCCAGTTGCATAGGAAGAGCCCCTTTTGCATATACATAACAGACGCACGCACGAGCGGTGTCCACGATAGTACAGTACCCATGGCATAGTCTGATCTAGACAGGCTACCGAGCTTCACGCCAACCTCCCAAGTTTTGTCTTTATTCCTCCCGCTCTCTACTTAACTCCCACCACGACAAAATTGCGCGGACTCAAAGTATAATCAAACACGACATCGACCCACGCATCCCTCACACCCTCCTGCTCCCTAAGAAACAACCACCGGTCCGTGACAATGATACTCTCCACCACCCCCGCGCTAAACGCCATGAGACTCCAAATCACCGCGAGATTCTTCCTCGCGTACGCAAAGCGGGCCTCGTACGCGTCGACCATCTCATCACTCAGACCCTGCGTCAGCCGCGTGACCATATCCCCGTCAGTGGGGTCGGCGCGCAATTTCGCCAACGCGCCGCGCACGTACGCGCGGAACGTCACGAAGCAGGCCTTCGGAAGGGACCCCACGATCAGCGGCGTCCCCTGGTCGTCGCGGCCGGTGATGCTCCCTCCCGCGGGGACCTGAGCCGGGTCCGGGCACTGTTTGACGACGCCCAGATCTAACAAGATCTTCTGCAGGAGCGTGCGGTAGAAGTGCCGGCGGAAGAACAGTTCGCTGTCGAGCGGGCCCCAGTTGAAGGGCGCTTGGACGGCCATCATGCGGGCTGTGATGTTGAGGCGGACGCCAGTGACAGCCTGGGGATCTGTATCGCGATCGGGGCCTGCCTGTGAGGGCGGCACGAAATCCTCGAGCGTCTTGGACATGGGGAAGCCGTGCGGGTCGTATGCTCCGCCCGTGGCGGCCAAGCGCGGGTGGTTTGGGCGCAGTTGGGGCAGTTTGTACGTTACGGGACCGAGGCGTTCTGTCAGCAGGTTGTAGCAGCAGCCGATGACAGCGCAGGCGCGGATGGAGGGTGTGAGCACGAGGGAGCGTAGCGCGTGGTGCGTGAGGTTGCCGCATGAGTGTAGCGAGATGACTATCGAGGGCGGGTGTGCTGCGGGAGGCGGTGGGATGGGTAGCGTCCTGCGGTCTGAGGATTCTTGGTCGTTGTCTGCCGGACAACACTCGGCCTGTCCTTGTGCTTGGTCTTGGTCTTGTGGTGCTCGCCGCTTGGGAGTTGCGGGATAGATGACATGCTCCAGGTATCCGTCTTGAATGTCATGCTCGACGTACGTCATGCTGCCTTTGCCTTCTCCGAGTTCAATGCCTACAATGTTCGGCTCTGTCGTGTGAGAGTCTAGCCTTGTAGTAGTCGACACATCCTCCGAGGGAGACTTCGAGGGCGTGTTCTCAACCGATAGGGTCGTCGGCGGCGGCGGCTTCCCAGCCACATTCTGACTCCCGTTGCTAAGCCCAAGCTGGCGTTTCCACTCCTTTTTATTCCGCATGACTTTCTCCTTCTTGGCCAGTTTCGCATGCACGTCCATGCTCTTCGCGCCCGTGATATTGTGGTGCCTCTTCTCAATCGCAACGACCTGCTTATTGTACGGCGGTGAAGCTAGCGTTCGGCCCAGATAATTCTGGCCGGAGCCGAAATCAACCACAGTCAGAGGTTCCTGGTCCGGATGTTGTGACGAGAACTCATCGCACAGCTGGCCCACGTACGCAGCAATGTTAGTCACTTCGTGCACTTTCTTGGTCTTCATCCCCACGGCGACATGGGGCGGTAGTTCTGAGATGTCGTCTGAGGGTGGTGTGAATGTCCGTTTGAGGCTATGTTTTCTGATTGTGGAGATATAGTCGACCAGACTTGCTGGAGGACGTGGCGTCGTGGTGTCTGAGTTTTGGGACTCTTGGTCCGCATCCACGTACCTGGCTAGATCATCGCGCATGAGTAGGTCGAGGACTCGATCAATGTCGACCTGCTCGAACCAGTCGCGCCATTCTGGTGGCAGGACGGTGGTGTAGAGATCAGGTTCTCGCGTGAGGAAGTCCAGAATATGTACTCCGCCACAGAGATTGCGGAATAGATCTGAGGTTGTTGCGAAGGTGAGAACCGACTGGACGTACTCGTCTTCCGACTTCCACGCTGGATCGAGGGGAAGGCGGAGGCGGCCTGGTCGGTGCCTTGAAAAATGTGTCATGGTCGCTTTAGCCAACGTTGGTGCTGTCGTACGAGTTTGCAGTAACAGGACTTTTTGCGGACGTCAAGTCTCCATAGCTACGACTCTCCGAGTCGTATTCAGTATCTATAATACGTTGAAGCACCGATACTCTGCACCGCTCAAGGAAGGAAAAGGTCTGATGCCAAGGCACTAGCGCGATGTCGGGTCCGTGAGCGAAAAGGGGCAACAGCCTCGACAGAGAGCCAGAAGCTTGAAGGGTTCGGCCTCGGTCCTTACACAAGGTGGCCTGTCGAATTAAACAATCTCGTTGCAGAAGATAGCCAGTCTCTGCGCTTGCCTGTTCAAAGGGTATGGAAATCGGCCATGGGGTGGTGCAATCACGGATTCTCTCTCTTCAGCTTCTTCCAGTCGGTATCCTCGGCGCTTCAATGACTACGCTGAGATGGTGCTATACGATATGAACTTTCTTAGCACTATTCGTTTCGATGTTCGGCCCCTGCTTAGTGGATATATCAAGGCGTTACTCGCCTGACATGCTTCTGCAGAGACATCCTTGTGGTTCAAGTGGGGATTACAAAACTGACAAGCGGAAATTGAAAACAAAAAGTCACCAGAGGAATAAGTGGCTGTGCACCTTCTGACTCGACTGCGATCAGATGCGACAGGGGAGGCACCATGTGAGCACAGGGTTGGGCACGGAATACTGAGGACTCATGCTGATGGTTGATCTCTAGTAGGTGGGCTCTAGAGCACATGTATGGCGCCTTACTACTTCGTATGTCTTGACGACGCAGCACGCTTGTCTCGGTACTGTCAACTGTATGGAGTAGTTTTTCTGCAAAGTTACAACTTCGCCTTCGTGAGCATACGCAGCCACAATCGTTAGTCGGACGCGCTATTCATAACGTCGGGTATTCTTTCGAAGTTCAACCCCTGCTCTACTATCGATCCTGTGCTAGTTGAATGTAGCAGAAGCTCGCCACCCGCGTTGCAGCACGCTGATTGTGCATGCGTACCCTGGCGGTCATTCCGTTTCTTGAGGATACCGATCCCCTGCAGCCATGTTTCGGTTGCTAGCTCTTTGCCAACCTGACATTGCGGGTTCTTGTGCTCGCTAGCAGGTACTATGCATATGGTGGTGCAAGAGGTGCACGCACTCAATAAGGGAGAGGTGTCCCGAAGTGTCGGTCCTTGCCGTTGTGCCTGCGCATCTCAAGTCAGCACTGTCACACTGACACGGGCTTTATCCCGTTAGGGTTGTGCAAGGCATACTTGTAATGGAGGACACTCGTTCATCAAGGCTGCAAGAGCCTGTCAGCATAGTCCAAGCCGGTCGGCACAGAATGATCTGCGTCTTTCCAAGCACAATTCTCGAGGTGTCTCGTCATGTTGTCCTTGTAATCGCTCCAGCCGCACCACTGGCAGTAATCGATGAGCCCATGAGGGCGGGGATTTCTTGGCTTTTGAGTTCCAGGCGCTCGCTGCTTGTTGATCGGAGGCACCGGAAGCCCTGGCGTCCCATTTCATGTCAAGACTTGTGGCGACTTCTGACACTGCTTGCTGGATGTTGCACTCTGAGAAGTGACTTGATTCCGTCATGGTTTCAAGAACGTAGTGCGGACAGGAGGGATGTGTGCCACTGGGTAGTGAGGACAACGAGGTACACTCGGAGCGTTGAGGGATGGTTTGATCGCTCAGACGTTGAAGTGATTTGACGTGTGAAGTGAAGGTCAAGTACAGGTGAGGTACCTTTCACCCTGAGACACCCAGGCAGTAGAGTTCCCACCTACCGTCACTGCAAATCGACAGTGCCAGGTTTGTTTAGCCTCAGCCCAGTCCAATCCATTCCTGTTCGCCACCATCACCATTCGTGACGCCATTGGTCTTTGGATGGTCACCTTGGCCCAACGGATAGGGAGCAAGATCAACTTGCCCATCCGAGGCATGACAGAGGAACTCAATCTCAAAAGCGTTCCGCTCACTGAGACTTCGCACTGTCCTGCCTATACCGTCCACGCCTCGAAGAACGCCACGAAGCTCGGCTGCAAAGTCGCCGTGTTTCTCTTTGACGTATCGACCATGGACGCTCAGTATTTCCCCGAGCCAGCGAAGCGCAAATTCCAAGTGAGGACTATTCTCCATTTGCTGCGCGACGAGCATCAACATCCGGCCAAGGTATACCCTTGGCAATTCGCGCACAACTAGGGGGATGGTCTCAAACGGCACTGACTCATAGGTATGTCTCAGCAAGGGCTTGTCGTTCAGCCTGAATGCCATGACCAGAGCCTTGAGAACCTCCGGCTCGGGTTGTGCAAGAAGAGCTCGAATATTCTGAGGCGTGACCTCGATGTCAAGATCGAACGGATCAAAGTCGTCGGTCCCAACGTCGTCCAAGCTATAGATCAACAGCCCTTCCGTACTGGCTGCACAGAAGCTCCTCCCAGTAGGTGCAAATTCAACATCAGTCACCCTCACCTCTGTTCTCAGAGTCCTGGACGTTGCATCTCTGCCACGTTTTACTCCTGGCAGACTGCGATCAATTCGATCGTCAAGATCGCTGGCTTCTCCTTCTGTGTCGATCATACCGTTTGGCAAGCCATTTGACATTATGGCTGCGGAATTGAGGAACTCTTGTGTCCCATCCAGGCTCATGTTCACCGAGACGGTGAATTTCTTGATCAAAGTCAGAGTGCTGACGGAGTACAGGCAGATGTACTTGCTGTTTCCGGCAGCGAGAAGACAGCTGCCATCTGCAGAATAGGTGATTGAGTTGAACGACTTTGTTCCGGGGGTCGATGCTGCCGTTCGGCGAGAAGTCAAGGTACGTCCTCCGCTGACGTCGCGACGACCGTCGACGCCGGATTCTTGGATGGAGGTGTTGAGGTTCCAGAACGTGATAGAGCCGTCCAGAGTAGAGGCGGCAATTTGTGCCGAGTCTGGTCGGATAGCTATGCACAGCAGGTCGGACATGAGTTGTAATGATTCAGATGTCTGCGATCGGTCGAAGACGGACCATATCCGAATAGTGTGATCCCATGAGCCGGAGACGAGGTACCGTCCATCAGGAGTAAAAGCCAGTGTTGAGATTGGTCCTTCGTGTCCGGCGAGTTGATCGAGGAGAGCTCCCGTCTGCACCGACCACAGATGAATGTCGAAAGAATCATGAGATGCAGCGCACAACACCTCTGCGGATGAGTCAACTGCGAGACATGAGAAGGACAGCCTCTGAGGAGCGGTGAAAGTCCTGAAGTTACGGTACCTGAGCATGTCCCATGCTCGCACGGATCCATCCAGAGACGAAGTGAAGAGAATGTTGCCTCTCTTGGAGTAAGCAGACGCTGTTACAGCAGAGCTGTGTTCTGTGAATGTTGCTATATGGAAGCCGGAAGAGACATCCCAGATTTTGATGAGACCATCGTCGGCTCCAGTGATGATGCGAGTAGAGTCTGGGGAATAGGTGAGAGTCGTCATGGCATCGAGATGTGAGGATTGCTTGAGGATGTTGGATTCGGAGGCGTGCTCCCACACAAGTAGCTGGCCGGTTTGGGAGGAGCCCAAAGCCAACCATTCCCCTGTTTGGTTGACAGCTGCTGCCGAGATGCGCGAGGACGCCATCGAGAGACTGTGAATGTTGGAGAAAGACGGAATCTCGTACAGAGAGAATAGGCCATTATCAAAACATACTGTCAGTAGGTTGGATGAGGGATGGTAGCAAGCGCATCTTAGTTTGGCGTTCTGCATGAAATATTCCCGCTGCACAATCCGCCACCTCTCATCGGAAGGGTCGGTCGAACCTTGGTCAACCTCTGGTTGACTTGATTGATATCCCCAGCGAAATAAAGCCCCGTCTTCGCTCACCGTGTATATTGATTCCTGGTCGGCGGAAAACCAGACATTTCTGACCTGCTGTCGGTGTCCGGAAAGCACGGTAGGCTCGAAGCCTTCTTCTGGATCCAGACTCCATATTCGAGCCGTCAAGTCCTTGGAAGCGCTGAGAAAGAAACGAGAATCGCCTGACCAGCTCAGATGTCTGACTTCGTCGAAATGACCACCATACTCTCGGTGCAGGATGAAAGGCGCGAAGTCAAGATCACCGTCTGTGCCCAGCCCCGGTGTGGTAGGGGTCCTCCATGCTTGTATCTTGCGCCCTGTTCCAACGACAAAGTGACGACCGTCCGGTGAGAAGGCTAACGAGGCGACGGGAGACTTGAATGAGAAGTGGTAGATTGCAAGTCGTCTCGGGAAGACGGACAGGATTGCTCGGCCACTCTCGTCGATGGTCAGAAGAAGGCTGCCATCGGGCGTAAGGTCTAGATGGGTGATATTTCGACGATGAGCAAAGGGTAGAGTGTAGCTGGTATTCTTGGTGAGGTTGAAAACCGTCACCCGATTACCTACTGGCGAGAGGAGCGAGTTGCCATCTGGTGTGAAGACAAGATTTCCTCGGCCATAGACTGTGCCCAGGAGGTTGGAGAACTGTCTAATCTATTAGATGGCTACGCGTCGGTGTGCAGAGCGTCCTACATACCTTGAATTCCGTCTTCATCCTGCCATGGTCGTATGATCCAGGTTGGCGCAGATTGGACGCAATATTCAACTGCGGCATGGAAAAAAGTTGTCGGGGCGATCTTTCTTTTCTCCGACACTAGTGCATTTGTGGCAAGGCGGTCTTTTAAAGTTGTGGGGAAGGCACCAAGGGACGTTGGTTTTCAGGGGCGCGACTTCTGCACTTTTTGTGGTGTTGAATCATTTGAGGAAACCCCTAACCACGCTGTCACTCACTCACCGACCTGCACCTTATTCTTGTCGCTTATTCAAACTCTCTTCCACTTCGCCTCTTGTGCTCGTAGCAACTGTCTTGTAATCGCTTTCGAGTTTTGTCGTCAAGATGGCTCCTCCAGCAGCAGAGTCACCGTCGCCAATTGGCATTGCCAATCTCCCCAACCAGCGACACAAGATTGTCGCAAAGAGAGGAGCCGCCTTCACCATCATGGTAAGATTCATGAACCCTTGGGGCGCATCGTGATCATTCATTTTTATTGTGCCAGGTCGCTGGCGAATCGGGCCTGGGCAAGACTACCTTCATCAATACCCTCTTTTCCACAACCATCAAGAACTACCAAGACCACAAGAGACGACATGCAAAGCAGGTTGACAAGACGGTCGAGATCGAAATCACCAAAGCTGAATTGGAAGAGAAATTTTTCAAAGGTACATATCACCAACACAATTGTTGGACCATCGCTCACATGTTGCAGTCCGTCTCACAGTCATCGATACCCCCGGCTTCGGCGACTATGTCAACAACCGCGACTCATGGATGCCCATCATCGAATTCCTTGACGACCAGCACGAATCATACATGTTGCAAGAACAGCAACCCAAGCGAAATGACAAGATTGATCTTCGTGTTCATGCCTGCCTCTACTTCATCCGTCCTACCGGCCACACCTTGAAGCCTCTTGACATTGAGGTCATGAAGCGGTTGTGCACACGTGTCAACCTGATCCCAGTTGTTGCCAAGGCTGATACCCTGTCCCCTGCTGATCTGGCTCGATTCAAGCACCGCATTCGAAATGTCATCGAAGCTCAGGGCATCAAGATCTACCAGCCACCTATCGAGGACGACGATGAGGCGGCTGCACAACACGCCCGCGCGCTTATGGCAGCCATGCCATTTGCCGTGATTGGCAGTGAAAAGGATGTCAAGACCTCGGACGGCCGCATCGTCAAGGGCAGACAATATGCTTGGGGTGTCGCGGAGGTGGAGAATGAGGAACACTGCGACTTCAAGAAGCTGCGATCCATCCTCATCCGCACTCACATGCTCGATCTCATCCACACCACCGAGGAGAATCACTACGAAGCCTACCGTGCTCAGCAGATGGAGACGAGAAAATTCGGTGAGGCCAGACCAAGAAAATTGGACAATCCCAAGTTCAAGGAAGAGGAAGAGGCTCTCCGAAAGAGGTTCACTGAGCAGGTCAAGGTGGAGGAGCAGCGCTTTAGAGCCTGGGAGCAGAAGTTGATTGGCGAAAGAGATCGTCTCAACAAAGATCTAGAGGCTACTCATGCTGCCATCAAGCAACTCGAGCAAGAACTGGAGCAAATGCAAGGCAGCGCGGTGAGGAGCCATGGTCGCCGCTAGACATTTCATTCTTCACTCGGAGGACGGTGCGTTCCGAGGGATGAGGCAAGGGTGCCGGCAATTCTTGCTTCGGGTGCTTTGCTCGTGGATTGGTGTGTATAGCGTGCTTTCTTGACAGCTTAGCATGGGCTACGAAAATACTTGTCTAATGTCAATTTTTCTTTCTATTCTTCACCGCAAGGTCTCGTCCTCCAGCTGCCGTGTGATATGGCCATTTGTCCCTCTGCCACCCATCGGATCGTGGCGCTTCTTCGTGGTGCCATTCCGCTCTGCCCCTTCCTCTCGCAGATCAGCCTCATCCCAAGCACTGGCTGCAGCATCCACGTCGGCGAAGCCCTCGTCCACCTCCACACTGTTATCCTCTTCAATTCCCATCCACGCACGCATCTTGTCTCGCTTGAACGCCGCAAAGTCCCACTCGTTGGGGTCCAACGTCTCTTCAACGTCCTCAAGCCAGACATATGTGTGTGCTTCGACTTCGTCTGCCACATCAGGCTCCTTCTCTTCGTCTTCCGGAGCAGCTTGATCCAACGCCACGTCCTTCAGGACTTGTACTTTTACCACGTCTCTCTTATACATCGATCCCTCAAAGATGTCCAAGCGACGAAGATCCTGCTCGTTCAGCCCCGTGACTAGACTCCCCCTCACTCGCGAGCCTTTGTGGGGTATGATGGCAGGATAATCTGCATGCCGGACTTTATGCCGACGGTAGTGCTGCAGCATTGCGGGCCGCACGGTGATGAGGTCTTGCTGCCATTTTTCAGGGGTGTGTGTGCCGTGGATGACACGGTGGAGGACCCCGGGGGCCATGAGTGTTCCTATCGTCATCTTGTCAGTCCGCATCAAGTCTACATGACCATGGAGGCCTACCATAGAAGAAGGCAGTGTATTCACCCATGCTCAATTTCTCCCTGTGCGCGCTCTCTATGACTGCGGCTGCAGCTGTAAAGGATCGAGCCCGGCAGATATCTACAGTGCGCTTGCGGCTCCCTTGTGCTGTCGAAGCGTTCAGGAAAGAGTGACGGAGCTGTAGGATACAAGCGCATAAGTCTGTTCCGATGCTTGCTATTTCCTCAGATGTGCCCACGGCTTCAGTATATTCTTCCTAGCCGCGCCGACGTATATGGATACTGTCGAATCTCGTCAATCATGGATATCATCAAACTGCCAACTTCTGCGGACAGGTAGAGAAGCTCATCGAGAAGGGCGCAACAACACTGCCAACCATTTCTCTGCTATCGGACTTTGTACAGAGGACGCCCATCTCCGTCCGTGGCTGGCCTTCAGCCTCGTGGCTGCCACCTTTCAGCCTTGTGGCCGCCATCCCTCCGTGCCGTCCCTTGGCTTCCTTCCCTTGGCTTCCTACTCAGAGGGCACCGGACTTTCTTTTACGGTAGAAACCCAGCAAACGACATCCTTCAGCCCTCGCTTCCTCTTACCGACCCTCAGGAAGACCCTCTCCGAGCTCGTCTGTGCTGTGTACTTTTGCCGCGCATCTGGCCTCTGGTCAAGCTCCTCCGACCGCTTCATTCGCTGGCGCCTGAGGTGGCTTGCATGAAGGGTGCCCTAATCGGGCAGCTCGCAGTGTTCGTCCACCCACAACGGTTCAGCTGTGCGCCTCGTGTAATCGACTTTAACGAGTGGCCACGGTCTCTCGTCAAGCAGAGACTTGGCTCAGCCAGCCACCCAGCTGATCTTCACCTGGCCTCATTCGAAGACAATGGCTGAATGTTTCTTGTGTTTCTTGGAAGAACGTCAACACTGGCCGCCACGACGCAACATGGGCAGATGCGAGTTCTGGACCAGGCGGCGACGAAGGAACAATGGTCTATCTGGTGGCAAGTCCGCCAGGTACTTGCAGCGCGGCCAGCCAGTCACGCTGTTGCAGGCTCTCCCAGACGCTTCTGAACGTTGGCATAAAGCCTGCCATGATTTCGAGGTCCCTAAAGCCTCTACTCGGGCGTCCATTCTTGTGTCCTGTGGCAAGCTACTCTAACTTCGTGCCTCGATCTCTGGATCTATTGTCGATATGGGTGCAGATGAAGCTGTTATCATAACCTCTCAGCCTACCGGTGATCATGACCTACAAGAACAGAAACCAACCCTTTCCGACCGTATACTCAATGGCACGCGCGTTTGGGCTTCAAGATTCTTCCCTTGGTCCGCAGAAAACGGCGAGGTCCACTTACAAGATGTCGCCAAGGCACGATATGTCCCGTGGCTGGGTCTCAGCGCCATGATGCTTTCTGGAATGACAATCCTGTTTTCCTGGATTGTGCTCCAGGTCGTCGACGGCCACCTGCAGAAGGAGGAATCATACTTGAAGCCTGCATCATGGCTGTCCGCCATTCTCTCTGCCAACAGCGTTTTCCTCCACATTGCACTTACAGAGGGGGTAACCATGGCTTGGTGGTTCATGGCGTCTCGCAAGAGTGCAACTGTTCGGGATATTCACGATACATGGACCATGGGCCAGAGCCTCTCCGCCGTTCTACTTGCAGGGAAAAGATTCAACTACGTTGCGCTAGCGACTCTTTTTGTGGCATCCATTCCCCTCAACGGTGTGACTCGTCGAGCGGCAAAGAAGTAATTCTCGCTGACAGACATGTAGGCTTTTTGCTGCAGAACGCCATTACCATCGTACCTAGTTTTCGCAACACCACTCACATACCAATCAATGTCGGCATAGTGAACGAATGGCCAGCCGGATTCTCCGCGTACCTATCAGACGGGTCTTTCAGCCGCTATAATGATGTGTTTGGTGATGCGATGCAGCTGATTGATGGTGACACGGGCACTTACTGGGACGACACATATTTGAACAAGGCGAAAGATCCCGACTCGGGGCTGTGCGGAGTCTTGGATGCTTCCGGCACCTGTACTGGCAGGGTCGTCGCCCCTGGCTTCTGGCCCAACTGCACGACTTCATATGTGCCGTACAACATGGACCCGAAAGACTATCCCAACCAGACCCTCACCCGTAGGATCTTCTCCACTAGCATCGATTGGGATGTCGAGACACCCAATGTCTTCACTTTCTCCAGCGTCCTCAAATATCTCCCTGATTGTGACGGCCAGTATCTTGTGCGCAACTGCACTTTTCAGGCAGCACGGATTTCGTATCCGTTCGCACTATTTCCTACCGATCGGCTGGGAGACCATTCCATCCTCAAAAAGACCAAAAACGAAAGTGTTGACGGCTTGAACGTCATCAGCCTCAATGTCGACACCACGTACGACAATGACACGTTTGTATCCTATCTGGACTCAGCGCGTGACATTGACTCCGGGTCTAGCACATTCGGCGGTGTGGCGCATTACCTACAGAGCGTGTTCAACGCCGAAATGGAGTGGACCTGGAACGGAAGCATCTGGAGTATCAATGCGACTGGAAGGCAAGCTGAGACCGCCGTACTGAACACGGCCACGGGCATGGACGACCCAAACATCGGCGACTACGGCCCTACTTCGCTTTCGGACCCCAACTTCTGCTACAACACCCTCTACTACTCGTACATACAGGACAACAATCACACTGTCATCGAGGACGAAATGCGCGACCGGCTCAGGAATCTCATGTTCATGGCTAGCGTCCTTCAGTACGAATACGAGTGGCTCCAGACTCCGATTGACGTCTGGCCCCCCTATCAGACAGTGCTTGGTCAACGCACCGCGCCGGTGCTGCGGTACAAGGTGCTTTATCGTTGGTGGGCAGGCTCATTGGCAGTAACTACTGTCATCATCCTGATGATCACGCCCACATTCTGGGGCTTCTGGCGTCTGAGGGGCAAAGTGACGTTGAATCCTGTCGACACGGCGGCAGCTCTTGACGCCCCCTTGGTTCATACGGACAAGGACGTGGTCGACCCACGATCACGGCTGAAGGAGATTGGTGCGAGGCCACTCTACTCTGCCGGTCGAAGTGGGTCGGGAAGTACCAGTTTGGCGACATTCTATTGATGGATTACGAGGAACATGTGCAACTTAGTGTGGCTTTCATTCAGTGTTGGATAGGGGAATACCTTTACGACGGTTCTGCACTATGTATATCTCGTCCCTGCGTATTAGGCGAATTTATGATACCATGACTACCAGCGGAAGGAAACACAGTACGTAGAAACTGAGAATAAAAAAGGCCAAGATAACTTGGCGGGAACCGATCCGAAGTATATAATGTATGCGAAGCACCGTCCTTTCATGATACGACTGGGCATTCGGTCAATCAGGAACAACGAACCATTGAATGCACACTCACTCACTCACTTCCCCTCCAACCATCCGCTCGATTTCCTGGTCGCTGCTGCGTCTCTCACTCATCAAAACTTCCCTCCTCCCCAGTCGTATACCTACACGCGACGCACGCCGCCAGCGCACTCAGCATGACCTCCTCCGAGTCCGTATTCGTACTCCCACTGCCCACCACATCACCCGTACAAGCCACCACCCCATTCTCATCCGCGCTACTACTACTGGTATAAAAATCGCAAGTCGCCTCAGAGAACGCACCCCCCGATGACTGCGACATGTCGCCTGCCATCAAACTAGCGGCACTGATGGGCGTGGAGAGGACGAGGGTGCCGCTCCCGGAGAGCGGGCCTGAGGGATTGAGATCCGCAACGTAGGGAAGCGTTAGGGACACGCTGGTGCCGGAAGCTGTGCTGCCCTCGCCGACTGTGATGGAGGTCAGGCCCTGTGGGAGGGTTTGCGAGTTGATTAGTTACCGTACTGAGGCAAGAAATTCGATCAATTCAAGGCAAGGAAGAAACCACGGAACAGAGTCGGAGAATGGATGTTCATACCCCGTGTGCAACCGCCTCGGCAGATGAGAGGTCGCATGCTTCACCCAGTGGTTCTCCTTCTGGCAGATTGCAGGCGTCCTGAAGAGGTGTGGACTGAAGCGAAAGGGAGTCAGCTGTACGGTTCCAGCATCATAGAGGGTCAACGCCGCGGATTGTGAGTACGAGTGTTTGTATGAGTAGGGTGTGGGACGTACACGTACACGTACACGAACACGCAAAGACGTGGCGGAGACGTCGAGCGTCCAGAGCGCCATGATGGCAGTGGTGATGATCGGGAAATGCATCTCCTCAAGTTCAATCTGTTGCCCCTGGGGTTCTCGCTGCTGCACTTGTGGTCTGGTGTGGTATGCTGGCACTGCTATTTTAAGTACAGAACCTGGAGTCTGTAAATCAGCTTGTTCTTTAGCAAAGTGAAATCCTTCTCGCGCCGCTCGGTGCACTGATGCCCCCTTCTTGAACCTTTATACTCACGCCCGCACATGGCTGACTGGCCATCATCCAGCTTAGGCAAGAGCCAAAGTCGTTGGAATGGACGTTCATCGAGCCCACAAGAACAGAACGGTCAGAAGAATGTAATCCCCGCTTCTCGTTACCGTGACGGTCTAGTCAGCTTCGTGTTCTGGCATAGGGCCGATGATAATGGTATGGGTCGAATGGAAAACGGTATGGAAATCGTCAGACGCAAGGCGCGAATCACGACGGCCCCGAGTTAACCAGTCCTTCAGAGCACGGCCGTGTGGACTTCTGGAACATGTTGGGCGGAAGATGGAGTCAGACACGAGAATGGCTGTCTGCCACCAGTCGCGGCCATTTTGGCGGCGGATGACTGAATCACAACTAATTACACTTGTCAACCAAATCTGACGAGCCTGACCAAGAATCCTCTTAAGTCTCTGAATGCACGTAATACGCATTGGTGCCGTTCCGCCAATGACGTGGCAGCAATAGCGGACAGGGCTGAACCCCTGCCATTAAAATGAATCTCCAACTTGGGATGTTGGTAGGAGACAAGGAAATCTTATGCCACGTCGGTCGACATTTGAAATCGAACATCGATCGGAGTCATGGCGTACAAGATATTCAGGCAACTCAGGTAACATGAAGGTATTAAGCTTCTGGACATGGCCATCTTCCCATTCACACCCTAGAACTTTGTATACCGTCACGCAGGTGGAATCCTGGAGACCAATGCTGCCAGATTCTTGTACATGTCTCTCAGATTCTTGCCCCTGTAGAGAGAATTAGCCTTGCTGCGCCTATGCAGCTGGCTTAGATGTAGCATCACAAACTTACCGTGTCTGCATCGACCCAGACTCCAATCTCGTCCGCATGGTCAAGATAGCCAGTAGCACCGAAGTGCCAATACTTCCCTCACACAATTGTGCTGTCCTCAGCACGTCCTACCTCGGCCAGCGGAAATGGGTTGACCCCGGTATATCGTGAATGATATCCTCGTTCCGATCGCCCGCGCATGGAAATGGTGTTCACAATGCCGTCGTTGAGAAGCCACTTTTCCGAGTTGTTGCGCAGTATTTTCCGCCTTGAGGCTGATTGTGTGGGGTTCGCCAAGGGATCGTAGCCCCCCGTTGCGTAGACAGTCGGTAGCATCGGTGGGAAAACGTCTTTGCGTGGAACATAGCTGCCCGGCCCCGTGAGCTTCAGCTTGAAGTCGAGATCTTCCAACAGCCTAGTAGCTCCAAGAGCAGTCGCTCACTTGAGGAAATCATCGAAAGTCACAAGTGTTTGAAAGAAGGGCCAAAATATGACCCTGGTCAAACCCTGACGTATGCTGTCAATAGCAAACAAAGCTATATCGCCGTCTGGGAGTGGTCGAAGAAGCGCCCGAATGAATATCGTAGATCGATATGGGGAATGATGAGAGCGCGGCTGGGACCCACGATGGACAGTATGGGAACGGATTTGTGCAATGAAAGGAGAACGTCAAGTAGCAGACATGCTTCGACGGGTCCTTGGCTCCGTGATGGAGAGTCTCGACAGCTGCGATGCTGTTGTCGTAGAAAGCATTGCGTTGGGAAACAAGCCACTTCTCGACCGGACCGCCCCTCTTCTCGAGCCGTGCACGCATGTCTGGGAAAGATTCCCCAGCTTCACGGCAAATGCCCCAATGGTCAAGCAGCAAGTCATATGCTCGTTCTACAGGTCTGCGGAAAGGCAACGTTGCGAACAGCCTGCCTAGAAGCCTTACGGTGTCATTTCCCGATTTCTGTCAGATCATTTTGGTTGGCCTCTCGAAACAATACGAACTCGGCAACGACCCACCGATAGAAGGTCTTGTATGACATCTGTGATTGTAGTTCCTTGGTACGGCGTCCCCAATGTTGACACTGAGATCGCCCACTCGTCTCTACCTTTTTTTGTCTTCTGGAAAGTATCCAGGATGGACATCATTAGCTCCATCTTTGAGGAGAGCGATCATTTGCCGGACTGTGTTGCCGCCCTGAGAGTGGCAAATGAAACGGGCTTTGTTCTGATCCCCCATTTCCAACGCAAGTTCTTCCATGAAGCCGCAGGAAGGAGGAAGGGCCCGGCGGCGTCCACCTGTCTGCGAAACCACCGCAGCGGTGGTGGGGTCGTTGCTGAAGTATCGGCCGTAATCGACATCGAGGTCAAATGGCTCGACAAGTTCGCCGGTATCGGGATCGACTGTGCTGAGACCGGCAATCCTTTCAGCTTGGCATCTAACATAGCGATTCAGTGAAGCAGGTCCTACCGGCCCGCGACGAGCTGTGCATACGACTCACAGGCTCTCTCCCAATTCGACGATAGAGGGGCAATGGTCGCAACGACCACGGTGTAACCCTCCGTGCTTGCCTGCAGAAGCCGGTGTTCAAGCCACGCCAAACAACTCACTGCTTGGCAGGTCATGTGCATTCACATCCGTCGCCCTTGCCCCCATGAATGCATACTTCAAGAGCTGCGAGTACGATGGGTCCCAGAAGACGGCATGAGGTGTGGTTGAGCAGATCGAGAATAATTAGTAACCTTGAACAGAGAAAAGGCAGAAGGAACATCAAAGGCAGGCCGAACGCTTAGTTGCGGTCATTTAAAGCTAACGCCAAATGACACCAGTATCTCGTGCATCATCAATTGTCATTTGAAGCCCGATTTTACAGTTGAGCCACGAGAACTGGTCTCTGCATCAGAATCATGTACGGCTCAAACCATGTTACCTCTGCTGACCAGCTCTCATCATGACTGAGCTACCTGACAGCGTCACACGATGTCTCAACTTTATGTTTGCCTAGTCCAAGGCGGCCTGGAGCCTACCACGGGCGAAATCCCGTCCGACATAAGTACCTAGGTCGACCAGGCGTTCACGAACACAACTCTGAACTTCAAACAAGCAGCCGGAAATGGATGGGAACAAGTCTTCCCCAACACTAGCTATCATGTTTTCTTACACCAGAGGTAATAGAAGGATGATAGGGACTGCGGCGGGGTGGATGCTATACCACAAGCCGGTTTAGACTTTCCTTCGAGTTGCGAGGCTGGGGGAGAAGACAGTCATGGTGGAGATTGATGTTATGGCGCACGTCTGTGAGGATGGGGAAATGAGATTGTTTTGAAACGCTTAAGAACGGAGAGATGGTGAAGCATTCCCACGCGAGGTGGAAAGAAGGCGGAGGAGGAACCGAATGTCTGTAGGATTTGTAATACTGGCACGCCGTGCTACGAGGATATCCATGAAGTCTGAACTGCCATAAGTCATAATCTCGTCCCCACCCGATCAGGATACCTGCAATCGTTCCCGCAACCAAGTCTTGAGGAAGCTTAGAACATCAATCCACCCAACAGCATACCGCCGAGCAACCCACCAGCAATGGGTAATCCATACCCGCCGCCCGGATAGGCACCGTATGGACGGTTATAAGGATAGCCAGGTCGGATGAAGCGAGCGTTAGGATCGGCGTAGGCTCCACTGGCATACGGATTGATACCATATCCTTGTGGTCCATACCCGCCATATCCGTAGCCTGGACCCCCAGGCGGCTCGATATAAATGTTCCTGCCGTCCCGATCCCTGGCAAAGAATTGTGGCTGGCCAGTTATCTGTGCTTGTTGCATTGCCCGTCTGAGTTTCATGTGCGCCTCGTAGTATTGTCTTTCTTCCTCGGCTCTTCGAGCGCGGTCACGGACACGTTCATCATGTGTCGAGCCAGTGATCTTGTCCTTGAATTTCTCACCGAAACTCTTCTTCTGCCCCGTGTGTTCCTTTGAGCCCGTCGGCCTTGTCGGCAACTCTGGTGGGAAGTGCTCATCTTCCGAGTGCTCCGCTGAATGCGCTGCGGAATGGTCTGAGTGCCTCCTCAGCTTGTCCTCCTCGGCCTGTAATCTTTCGCGTTCTTCACTGCTAAGGGCATTGACTACCTCGGGGATATCGAGAGGATGCTCCCAGTAGGATTTTGGCGGGTCCGCTTTTGTGTTGACAAAGAACTGGTGATTTTCCTTAGGATCGTATTGTCTTATCCATCCTTCAGGAAGCGGTCTGTGCATGTCCTCCATCGACCTACGTGCTTGCGCTGGTATTCCATTCTTCGATGAGGGGACTTCCAGATGTGACGATGCTTGCGGTTTAGATGATGTTGAAGAGCCAGTGGCCTGGTCGTACGAAGGCGGGGCTTCTTGAGGCGCGGACATGGTGATTTAGGTGGTGTGAAGGAACGGTGAGGAAATGATGGATTGCGAGGAGAAGTAGATAAAGCCTCCGACCTTTTGATACTTGCAGAAACTCAGCGACAGGTTGAGAAACAAGTGAGCAAGGCGTGGCGGAAACGTGAATGATGTGAGGCTGTGATAGCCAGTGACGCAATGCACCCTTTGCGGAAGAATCGGCAGCGGCTAAGCCACAACCTATCAGCCAATGACCACTGTAGAAAGAAGAGCTCTAGCGAGCTCACCTGCCCCACTAAGCCCACTTGAGCTTCAACACGTGAGTTCAATCCCGGCATCGAGTTGCTCGTCTCCTTCGCATCAAAACTAATTCTCCCGCGCCTCTTCGATGAAATGAACCATCTGAGGTCTCTGCAACTGCTCCAGTAACGTTCAGATATACTCCTGGTACTGTGGAAGCGCTTTACGCAACCTGCGTGCCACCGCGCAAAACCGGTCAGTCTCACACGAGCAAGATCACATAGAGTGTTGATAAGGCATGGATTATCTTTTCCACGCCCGCCTTCGGTCAGTGACGAAGAAGAGCATGGAAGTCATGAGGGACTGTTCACGAGGACATTGGAAGCCAGCAGGATGGCACTTGGGTCACACTGGCAGAGGTAATGCTCCCTCGGTTGAAGAGAAAGCAATCGGGACTCCTTAAAACACAACACATGAATTATCCGATTTCATACTTGATGTTCCGTTGCTTGGCAGTATTACATGTTCATACCAGAAGAGTTCTTACCACAGATGTGACTCTAGATGCGTATCACACGAACTGCGGGACTCGCATGCAGCTGCAACGCACTGGGTGACTATGGCGACTTATCGATTTTGCGTCGAAGCCAGCCCCCTAGGATCCCAGGTAGGAACATGCTGGACCTGCTAGTGTGGTACCCAAACCAAACAGAATGAGAACAAGAAAAAGAAGTGGATAGGAGAAAGGGTGACTCGAAGGATCATGGGGAGGTCGCAGCGTATAAGACAGTTCTTTCTGCCTCACCTGTTGGCCAACGAACATGAAGTGATGTTCATTCACTTTGGACTGCCTTTATTACTCCGCCAAGCCGACAACACACATCCTTCTTGTTGCCCGCAAATATCTTCATGGTTGTTCTTCGCGACCACAACTCTACTGCCACCTTACTGTTTCCTTACCACCCGCTCATCAGGCCGACCTCGTTCTCCTTCTCAACTACAAGTCAACACTAGTGTCAAGGCTTCGTTGTCCCTGGGCTGCCGGAGCAAGCAGCGATCAGCTGCTCTGCTTCTGTGGCGTCGACCGCCAGCATGAAGAAAGAAGCTGCCAACTTCATCTTGGAACATGTTTTCCTGCCACCGAAAGTCTCGCAATCTTACCATGATGAGGCGGGCGCCGATGAGCTTCTCAAGAAGATCTCACAAGCTGCTCATGAATTCGCCGACAGCTTCTCTCGAGATAGCAGCGAGCGGAGAATCTGGGCGCAGTTACGGCGATCGATTTCAAAATGGATCGATTTGTACGACAACGGGGAACCTTGTATTTCCAAGATCATCAATAGCCTCGATACCATGCTCAAAGATGGTAGGTGCTGGTAGCTGTGGTGGTACTTGATTACTAACGAAAATTGCAGACGTCCTCCTGTTCTACATCAAACCTCAGAACGCGGCAATCATTGTCAGAAACAAATCAAGAGGCGCTATCTTCGAATGTTTCGAGGTGCTTGCGAGGACCGATGCGGTCTTGAAGGCGACGGACGCTTTGATACGCCGTTTTCCTGCTCGAGCAGTGTTCTTGCCTGAGGAGAAACTCAGAAACACTGCTTTCACCAGGGAACTAGGCGGTGCAATCCATAAGCTCTCAGTCGAGAAGCTGAAGATCGCCATCGAAACAACCAGAAAAGCCAATAATACTGTGGTTGAGGAGCGCCAGTCTGCACACCCTCGAGCTGTTACAGAATGGCTATTCGGTGTCTTGGGAAGTTGTGGTAACGCAGTTCCAAGTCATATCCTTTGCAAGCGTGTGCATGATGACGTTCTCTGGAAGAACACGAATCTGCCCTGGCGCCGTTCAGGGGTCTGGCTCTCTGCTCGAGTCGCGCTGCAGATCGCACTTGTCAATGCCGAGCTCGAAGGCGAAGGACATGGACACTACAAAAACTTCATATTGTTCCTCTTGTCGCGGCTTGCAACTACTCTACCTACTACGATCCTAGTACCAGACGTTCTTCACGTCCTACGAGTGAAGCTGGCTCGACCAACGCAAAACTTGGGTCGTCCACGTTTGGCTTCGTTCAGACAGCTACTGATGAAGCTCTCAGCAGCATCGACAACGACATGCAACGACAGTGGACTGAGGTCGTTCTGAGGGAAAAGGTCAACGTGCAGCCAGTCGCCCATGATTTGCTCTCGACCGAACTGCTCTTGACGAAAAGCAGTCCAATCCTGCGACATATCTGGGAGCGCGCTCACAAGGGCTTCGCTCATGTAGTCGAGTCCTACAGCCCACCTACAACCACGGAAGTCACACTGCCGATAGGGTCTCTTCCTACACCTGCAATATTTGAGCGCCCTGGGGATCTCCTATCCTGTCTTGTGGGCTTCGAGTTCTGGATTGAGGAGAACCTAGGCAGTTGGTCAGTGGCCAACACCGGGAATCCTTCTGCATGTCGAGCGTTGCTTGAGTTGCTGCCAAAATATCACGCTTTGGCCAAACGAAAGTACGAGTCACATCCGGAGAGACTGTCGATCATGCTTTTGGTCATGTTCGAGCTCTGGATTGCCCTGGATACCATTGCGACCACCGCACATCCTCTCCTCTTGGACTATCCTCCCGAGATCCCCTCAATCCTTTTTGGACCACTTCTTCTAAGCAAGAGAGCCGACTTGGAAAGACTTTCGAGGATAGAGCTCCACATCAAATCAAGGGAGTCATGATTCACGGCCAGCAATCCTTCGCTATTCAATGATCCGGCCGCTAATTGCTTTGCGGTCAAATTCTACGACGCATCTGCCAGCCTTCGAGAATTGCGCCTCAAAGTGGAGCAAGAAACGCAAAAAGCGCGAGATGACAAGTTGGTCGAGTGGGAAAGCAAGAAACAGAAATACGACAAGCTCATGGGCGAGGTCGAAGCCATGGAGTGCGGCATCTGGATCCCCCGAGGCATTGATCGGTGGGGCAAACCGTATGTCGGCAAGCCGAGACATGACAGACGTTGTCAGAAGTGCGCCAAGGAGAAGGAAGCGAAGGCCATGGAGATTTCGAAGCACGAGTGGGCCCTTCCAGATAATGAAACACTCTGCAAAGCTGTGGTTTTTGAGCTAGGTGCTCCTCCAGCTCTCGTATCGTGGAGAGATGCCACCTTCTATCTGGTTCAAGATGTCGGCAGAAGCCAAGCGATCGAAGGGCCATCGAGGCAGCAAAATCTGCTTACTTACCCTCCACTCAAGAGACACACGCAGCACGCACAGGATCGGCGCGTCACATTGGGATCAGCAGTCAAGTCGATGCTCAAGAGTCATTATATCAGGTCGTCCTTGAATGTTGACCCCGTCATTGTTAACAATGGCTTGGTACCGAAAATGTGTGACACCTCGAAGTCGAACCTGTGGACTGCGGAACAGACCGGAAAGCTGTCATTGCAGCGGTACTGTTACGTTAAATTGTCAGAGCCGTGGAACGAGCACCTTGGCCGCTATGTCAACTTTACTTTACACACAACGAATTCAGTCATCGCTCGACAATCCGTGTGTCCGCCAGAGATGGGTCCACATGAAGCTGTCTATTTCGGGTCTCTGCGATCTGGGGAGAGACTGCAAATCCTCAACATTCTCGGGGCTCTCATGTCTCTTGAAGTCGACCTAAACTCGCCGGCCATAGCTGTGTTATTTCGTTACGCTATCTGCCAGGTCGGGACACCGCGCACCAAGTTACCGCTGTATCTGCGTGAGTCTCAAACCGCACTCGAAGACGAACATATCAGTCAATCTCTTCTCAACGCACTCGAGGTTTCCTTTTCCAAGATCGAACCTAATTTTAAAGAGGTTTCAACTGCCGCGGTGTTGCTTGGGGTGTGTCTTAATATCTTATCGCTAACACCAGTTCCTAAAATCGCGACGCGTTGCGCAAACCTTAACTTCAAAATTCGCCAGGCTGCCCTCGCTTGGATTCGCCAGATGACGAAACTCCGTACCGATCAGAAGAACGCTCGCGCAGACACTGGTGCCTTAAAGGATCTATCACGTCAGATCCTGATCGCTTGCCTCCTTTGCCGACGTACGTTCGCTCTCGATAACGATACCCAGTAATCGATGTTCAACAGTGAGGGTGCTGTAGCAGATTATATCGAAGCTTCTATTCACCTTTACACTCATCGAAGCTTAGAGTCTAACTTAACCACCCTCGAGATAGAGACCGAGATACTAAGCGACGCATATCTTGCCCGACAAATCAATGGTCTTAGTCGGGTTCAGCTTCTCCGTGATGACTCGACTATTTCGGCAGGTATCAAGAGGTTCTAGAGTACAGCTGCATTAACTGGCCGATGGCGGTTCGTGCATAAAGACGATCACACCTGGATTGAGAATTAGGCATCATTAAAGGTTATACATTATAACCTCGTAACGGGCAGCCTCCTGGTTGCAGGGAGGGCGATCTCTCACCTTCCAGCTCAGTACATGGCGGACCCTGACTATCGCTCCGTCTTCGGTGACCTCGAACTTGACGTCTTTACCGCCGATGTCGAGGATATGGAGTATATGTTAAAGGACGAAATTCATGGGCATCGAATATATTTCGCCATGCGAGGAAAAGCTCTTCTTATTCGTTCAAGCAGTGGGAGCCAGAGATTCGAAGCCGTGCAGCGCGACCGGTTCCTTAAGGATATTCCACGAGCAATTATAGAGAGCTCCACCCCTTGGATGTCATTGCAGGACACGACAGTGGCTTTTCGCTCTCGACACCGTCCTTTTTACTCCGACTCAGCCGACTGGACCCTCTATCCGGGATTTAACTCCGGGTCTAAGAGTTTCATGTCGACGGGTCAAAAGAAACTGATCGACGTAAACAGCCAGTATGGAGCCTCGATTCGCAACATATTACTGCCAATCGAGAACTCGGAGAACATGATTATCACGGTCACTAAGGATTCGAGTGTAGCGGTTGAACTTCCTCGGTATCATCTACATTTTGACCTCGATTCTAAAGGAAGACTGGTCTGCAGAGAGCTCTCCGCGTTTGTCGATTTTGGTCAGCAGCTGGGGACCTTCCATGGCTTGCAGTCACGTCTGATTTTACAGGCTAAGACCGAGGTCGCTGGTTCGAGAATGCGAACAGTGCTCGTTCCGAATGGCGAGGTGAAAATAGCATCCGCGAATCCTCACCTTCGTGTTGAGGTCCAACTGGATGACAGTGACTCTTTGAGCCTCTCACAGTTCCGAATCGACGAGAGACTCGGCCAGCTTGTCAGTCAGGATCTGGACGCACACCTCTACAAGGCGTACCTTCATGCAATTACCACGTTCCCCGAAGCCGATGGCCTAACGAGGAGAACCGGGACTGAAGAAAGCCTATTCGCCCTGTCGGACCCTATCTGCTGCACTTGCCTACCTCTCAGCGCTCGTGCACAACACATCTTGCGGTTGGTCTCACGGCTCACCCCGGTGAGGCGGTTTTATCCTGTTCATCTGAAGACCATGCAGACCACAACTTTCCTCGAATGCCTCCCAGTGTTGGCTCAACGAGATATCTTCTTCGGCACAGCTAATGACATATTGACACACAATATGACGGCTTGCTCCTTGTTCGACGCTCAAGCGACTCCTTTACATTACGATGGACAGTTTGATCTCTTGAGGCGATCTCATCATCGAACGCGCAAGCTCTTCCCTAGCGAGTCGGTTGCTTCAGCCCCCGACTCTATCGCTGATGACGAATATTCTTCACGAGACCAGGACTCAAACGACCATCTACATGCATCATCGACCATGGCTGGGCTTGTAGAGTTATGGCCATCTGCGTTGGATGTTACTCCATCTCTGAAAGACTTGGTGCTCAATTGGCGGAAGATCCGCGGGTTCTACGAAGAATTTAACACCGATTCCTTCTCGAGCCTGTTGGGCCAACGCATGAAAGACTTGTTGCCTCGCCTGATAGCCCTTTGCCAATCACCGTCGACATCTAGAGAACATCTCGCCTTCATACTCTCCCTCATCGTCTTTGGTGGACCTCCTGATCAGAAGCAGCTTCTTGAGCTTGGGAGGCAGCTAAGGTCCGCCCTAGCATTCGCGACCTCACCCACCCTGAGAGCTCTTCCAACTCCGGGCCACGATGAGTACGACTTAACTCAGGGCTGCTCAATCGACCACGGAGAGATCAGGACGCTTGTTTCTCGCTGCGAGAGAGAATTTGTGCCCAGCGAAGCTGCCACTAGTAGCGAAGATAAGGATAACGACGTTATCTCGGCCGAAAAGATGAAGTTCGAGCAAGAGCTTGGAGAACAGCGTCACTTGATCCTAGAAGCTGTAAAGTCTTCTTGGCCTGGCGATCAAGTAATGTTCACTTCGGTTTCCGGGAAACTAAGCCATTGCAACCTTGCTGATCTGAAAGCTCTGCTCAACGGCAGATTTGTAGCGTGGCACAAGAACTACGTCTTTCTACTTCAACTCGAAGCATACGACAAGGTGCTTGCGTCTGTCAAGAGCTCGTGCGTCGGGCCAGCAATGCTGGATCTGGTTCAAGACTTTGGATCAACCTGCCCTCAGACCTCACCAGGCACGCACTTTTCGCTCCTTGACCGCATGCAGGGGACGGCAGTGACCACCGGAGACTACAATGAAAGCAAACCCACCTGTTTGGATCAAGACTTATCGCAGTCTCTGTCCCGAAAGCAAGCTCTGCGACTCCTTACTTCAAATCAAGCTAGTCGAAGCCTGGAAGAGCTGGAGGATATCGTCACGGATCTTATGCAGGACCCGGCAGAGTCGGTTCGCTGCTATGGAACATTAATTCGCGACAGCATCGAAGCCAGCAGGCAGAGACAGGGGCAAGAGCAAACCAAGATGGAGGTGCCTGCTGAAACAGTACTAGGCGCCAAACTCGTGGAGTCCAAGCGCCAGATCACGTACATTCTATCCAAGACTCGGGACCTCATTCGGCCTCTTCGACCTTCGCAGCAAGGGCTGGTCACGGCCAGACTGTGGCCTCAGGTGTCTGAATTGTCCTTGCTTCAACTCCTTTGGGCCGAGCACCGCCGGCTCGTTCCCTTCCCTTGGTTGCCGATCTTACTTCAGCTAGCGAAAGAGATCACAGCTGCCCAGCGGATTGAGCGACTGCAGAAGTTTCTTGCCACAGGAGACACATTCGCTCTGAACAACGAGCTGGCCAATCCCGCGCATTCTGCATGGTCTCCAGAGAGTCGGCCCGACTGGTTGCTGCTCGAGTGTCAGAACAATATGCTGATCCGCCCTGTGCAGATCCGTGTTGCCAACGAATTGCTGAAGCCGCAGAACGGGGTAGTGCTTTTAGGTATGGGCGAAGGCAAGACTAGCGTCATCCTTCCTATGGTGGCCACAGCCCTGGCTGACGGTATGAGTCTGGTGCGGGTTGTAGTTCTCAAGCCCCTCGCGCAGGAAATGCTCCGGACAATGTCACTATCTCTTGCCGGGCTCGTCGGACGGGCGCTCTACTATTTGCCCTTCTCCAGGCAGACGGCTTTGACCTCGGATACACCGCGCCTCTTGAAGAGTCTGTACGACGAATGCCGCCAGAAGAAAGGTATCCTGTTAACATTACCTGAGTATCTTAACTCCTTTCGCCTCGTTGGCCTCGACAAACTGGCCTCGGACACCCGTGCACTTGCTACCGAGCTCGTACGCGTTCAAACTTGGCTTGACATCCACTCCAGAGACATCCTCGATGAATCAGACGAGCTTGCAAGACCCTCCTATGAGCTTGTGTACACGAATGGTGAGGCAAATCTTCTTTCAGGGGCCCCTGAACGATGGAATGTAGCATTGGAAATCCTGGACGTGGTGCGAAAGAATGCGGAAGGCTTACGGGGCAGATTTCCTACCGCTTTTGAAGTGGAATCCCGTGGTCAAGGGTGCTTTCCTCATATCAGAGTCCTGGATGACAGCGGTGCGACACCCTTGGCCTCAGTGGTGACCCAAGCCATTGTCGATGGATATGTTCCAACCCTGAGCCTTGGTCATTGCAATCCACACATTCTCGAGGCCGTCAGCGCATTTATCCTCGACATCGACGTCGAAGATTCACAGTTTCAGTTGCTAAGAGAGCACTTCCAAGATGCTGGTAGATTCGACCTTCTCTATGTCGCAAGAGGACTAGTTTCTCGTGGCATCCTGAGTCACACCCTCGGTAAGCGCTGGCTAGTGAACTACGGACTGGACCGTTCTCGTACACTGAGTGCAGTTCTTTATCGCGCGAAAGGCTTTTCTTCTCCCAGTGCCGAATTTGCACAGCCAGAGGCGGCGATACTGTTGACGGCACTCTCATTCTATTACACAGGTCTTCTCCGTGCGGATTTGAGGCGCTGCCTGCTCATACTGATAAGGCTCCCTGATCCTGCCGATGCATATGCGAAATGGGTGAGGCAATCCACGCTCCCAAAAAAGTATCACAGAGCTGCTTCCATCAACTTGGATGACGCATATTGTATCGACGGGTTGTACACGCACCTCAAACACAACAGCGAACTGATAAACTTCTTCCTGCGGCACGTCGTTTATCCTTCAGAAGCCAAAGAGTTTCGATACAAGCTATCCACGTCGGCATGGGATCTGTGTCGGAGCGGTAAGGTTCTGACCGGCGGATTTTCCGGCACATGCGATAGTCGGATTCCAATCAAACAGAAGGATCTCCCTGATCTGCGACACATTCCCGCGACTACCTTGACCACGCTTTTGCGGTGGGAGAATCGTCAGTACTTCTCTGCTGCGTCGCAATCTGGTGGCCGCCTTACCACCAAGGATTTGTTACAGCGCATCATCGCAGACGGACCCGTTGATGTCTGCATAGATGTTGGTGCTCAAATGCTCGAAGGGAACCTTGAAATCGCTCATCTGTGGTTGCAGCTCAGCCCGAAGGAGAAGCTTGCAGCAATCTACTTCTCGGATAGCGATCAAAAGATGGTTTTGAATCGCGGTGGCTCAACGGAACCTTTAGTATCCTCAATTTTTAAAGACGAGCTTGGAAGCTGCTTGATCTTCCTTAACGAATTCCATACGAGAGGCACGGACTTTCAACTCCCCTACAATTTCACGGCAGCGGTCCTGTTGGGGCCTGACATCCTGAAGGACAGCTTGGCACAAGCCTGTATCCGGATGAGGAAGCTGGCGGTCTCACAGTCGGTCAGGTTCTACGCACCACCCGAGGTTGACCAGGCGATTCGAAGCGTCATGAAAGATCCATCCGAGGAGGTCACCAGCTTGCACGTCGTCTTTTGGGCAATCAAGCAGTCCTGTCTTACCCTGAAGAAGCAGGGCCCGCTCTACGCGACCCGAGGTCTGTTGCACTCGCGGCGACGACTTGCGGCAGAGCGCCATGTGTCGCCAGAAGGCAACATTATCAACCCCGAACGCTACCTTGACACTGTTCGCGAGCGTGAATGTCGCCCTGTGTCTGAGCTCTACCGGGTGGGTCCATGCTCTCGCGCCGAGATGCCCTTTGAACCCACAGTCGAAGAGAGTCACGATGCCGTCATGAAAGAATTGGTTGTCGAATTCGACCGCAACGACAGCTCCGGCTGTCAAGCTGGCGGCATTACCCAAGAGCAGGAGCGTGAGATCCTGCACGAAGTTGAAGAGGAGCGCGAGCTACAGCGTCCGAGAGAAGTGCAACCTGCCCTGCCTCAGCACTGCCGGAGTCTGATAGATCATGTTCGGGATGGGACGCCATTCACTGCCACTTCGGAGCTTCGTCCGTGCTTTGAAGTCCTCCGACAGACACGACTTGAGTATCTCTACAAGCCAGAGGAATTCCCCACGCATGTCTTGGTGACGCCATATTTCCTGCGAACCATCAAACCTGTCGGCAATTCTCCGCAAGACGACTTCCTCCGACCAGTCCAGTGGGTCCTCAAGAGTTGGGATCTCGCGCAACCCGTACTCATCAGCTCGCACGAAGCTCAGATGTTCCTGCCGGTGATCCGCGCGTCAAAACGCACTACCCTGTACATGTACCAGGCTCGAACCTCCCGAGATATGGTCCCTTTCGATGGTCTTGACATTTGCAGAATCCCCGCCAATAATCGGTCTGGCGAGGTCAAGCCCCTGGCGATTGCTCTTCTCAATCTCTTCGCCGGGCAGCTTTACTTCAGCTCTTTCGAGCATTACAATGAGATGTGCACCGTGATTGGCCTTTTCGATGGAGAGCGACCCTTGCCTCACAAGCGGAACGTCGCCGACGACAACTTCGTCTCGCCTACTTGTCGTCTGGCGAATGACTGGACGGAGTGCACCTTCAACACAAGTCCGGTGGGTTGGATCAAGTCGTTCATCACCATGCGGCGTTTGGGAATCGAGTGGTCACATACGCATATGGGCCGGGTCTTGAACGGCCAGATCTTGCGCAGAGAGGATTTCGAGGAAGGAGACGACTTGGAGCACGCAAAGGATCTGGTGGAGGATATGGCGGGTCTGGCTGTTGATGAGAAGGTTGGCGTGGACGATGGCGAGGCTCCTCATGCCGCATGATTTGGACATCACATGAGAAAGGTGGCATGACCGCAAGTGAGACTCCAACGCTGAATGAGGTTTGGGTATCACATGAGAAGGGTGGCTTGGACGACGGCGAGACTCCCAAGTGCTGGCTGAATGCCAGTTGGATATTCAGCCATAGGGAATGTTTGCAGCCACCGAGCCCGGCACGCATGAGTGCTTCAAGTTACCCGGAGATAATTACGGCATGCCAGTTGGACAAGGTCAAGGTCTCCGTGATCAGGCACCGAAGGGTACTTTTGAATCCTCTTGTGACTACCTGGTAATCCAAGAATCAGAATATTCAATAAAGATGGCATGCTTGAGAGTAGACTAATTAGCGCCCATAAAATCAGACGCATGAATGCACGTGTCGGTGGAAATGATGCACAAGACATGCCGACTCATCCACGACATTGGATGATGCATAATATCTCGCATAGCCCTCCATGATTCCTGGTATGTAGGAGGTCCATCCACAGCTGGGCACAGTCCGGCCAATGGGTCGTCTTCCAGACTGCTTCGCCATTCGTGTTATCCAATCTTGGTCGTCAGCTTTGGACTTGGTCGTACGTGGGCCGACGGTTGCACGAGGAAATCCCTACGCCCCCTGTGCATGAGAAAGTAGAATGTGTGATCTTGCGCCAAAATAGATGGTGGTGCACCATTCCCACCAGTTCACTTGACTGTGCACAGACCGTTACACACCACCAGACGACCTAGGTAGCTACAGTAATTACCCCGCTCCGGATTCGTAGCATTCACCTAGGTATCTACCTCTATCAATTGTGGTTCTCTCCATCCTCACCAAGCAGGATCTTCCACAACCGTCCTCCCTGCCCTTCATGCCCGCCTCGGAACTCCTGCCCCACGATATTCACCAGCACGACATCCCCCCTGGCTCGATCGAGGAAGGCCGCCTCCTCGGAACCCCGTGGGAAGCAGCGTTTCCATTCACTCCAAATGGCGTAGGCCTCCTGCGCCCACGCGCGGAACGACTCGGCCTCGATGATGGTGGGCGTGAGGATCTCGCGGCTGGGAAAGACGCCCCACGTCACGGCATTCACGGTGTCCATTTCTGACGACGCGCCGGCCCTGGCATTGATATCCATCGTGGAGATCGGATTCGTGGCTTTGGTCGCGCCATTCGTTGGCAGGGCTGCATGCTGCGCGTGCTGTGCGCTCTCAAACGCGCCCTTCACGTCCGTCTTCATCCAGCTGAGGACCTCGCTGCCGTAGGTCTGAAGTCGGTTTTTCAGTCGTGATTCCCACTCGTCGCGGCTGCAGAAGAACTCGACAAAGGCCTTCTGAAACACGAACCCTTCGCCCGGTGGTCCCCAGCCGAATATCGGATGAGATGAATGAGCGCCGTCGACGGCCGGTTGAGACGCCAGGGTCCAGTAGTTTTGCTTTGATATCAGGGAGAGCAATGCCGACCTGATGACGTCGGTTTCTGCTCTCAGCGCGCCCGCGGTCATGTCCTTGCTCGATGATGTTATGCCGTCGTTACCGCTGGGATCGATGTCGTCGCTCCATGGCACGCCCGCCAATTCACCAGATACGTGCTGTCTGAATATCTCGGTCACGTCCTTTGGTGATTTGGGATGGCCCCATAATTTCCTGGCCACCAGAGGGCTGACTTTCAGGCTGGGTCCGTAGCCGTCAATCTCGCCGAAAGCAGGCGAGTGGCTAGGACCGAATCGACCGTTGGGGTAGTCGTCCCATGTGGCTTCCCTGCCCAAGGAGCCCTGGCCCTCGGATATGAGGAGATTATGCCGTCTTGTAGGTGACGACGCAGGGATGCCCGTGCCACGATCTCTCGCCGAGTGTTGCGCCGTGAGACTTGAGCTTCGACCGTTAGGCGGGTCAGTGTCGCCATCTGGCCGAGCTTGCGCGGGTGAGCGGGACGACCGATCCAAGATTACGCGGTTATGAGGTTGTGCGTTGACCGAACTCCTCCGCCGCTTGGAGAAGGCAGACACCGGCGCCTGGTGTGCATCTTGATCCGCTTGCCTGTTCGTAAAAGTGACGGCACCGTTCGGCTTGTCGTCATCGACAACTGCGTCCGGATCTGAAGATGAATCTCCGTCTCTATCTTCCGTGCTTCCCTCCGAACTCACAGGTGGGATCAAGCCTGTCCTCTCGAGGATAAAGGCCACGCTCTTTTCCAGGTTCAAGGTATAGAAATGGAAGCCCCTAGGCACACCGTTCGGCTGCGGCAGGGTCTTCATCTGCTCCACCAGCTCGCCGAGGACTTCCACGCCAACCTTCTTGACTGCCTCATCGTCCGACTTGACTGCCTCGATCCGTCTCGAGATATCCTCCGGTAGTTTCGCATGGCTGAGTTTCGTGATCCGCTTGATGATCTGGTAGGACTGGATCGGCATGAGGCCTGGAATGATTGGGATCTTGTCAAACACCCTCCTGCCCTCCTGATCTGCATAGTTTCTCAGACGGTCCTCGTATCTGCGATACGCCTCGATGTCGTACGTCAACTGCGTCATGATGAAATCCGCCCCCGCGGAGACCTTGTCTACCAGATACGGTAGATCGTGCTCGACGCTCTGTTTCCCTTGTTCCGGGTGGCTCTCGTCCGCGTGACCCTCTGGATATCCAGCGACACCCACGGCAAAGTAATCACCGTGCTTTCGCCGAATATACCGAACCAAGTCAATCGCCCACGTGAATTCTTCGTTGCTCCCTGTGCCGGCACCACCGCTTCCACCTTCAGTTTCTCCCGTGGATGTTGCGTCCCTGTATTCTTCCCTGGGCGGATCGCCTCTCAATGCCAGGATGTTCCGGATCCCAATCTCCTTGGCGGCTTCCAGCGCCTCGTCCACCATATCTTTCTTCATGTTAGTGCAAGTCAAATGTAGGACAGTTGTCAACCCCAGCTGTCTCTGACACAGCTCTGCCAGCTCTAGGGATTTCGTGGCAGTCGAACCGCCAGCACCCCAAGTTACCGTGACGAATAGGGGACGTAGGGCAGTTGCCATCCGAGCCAGACGCGATTGGAGGTTCGAGAAGCCCGAGGACGTCTTGGGCGGGAAGAATTCGAGGGAGAAGTAGTATGACGACGGGTCGAGGGAGGAGAAGAGGGTGGGAAGCCGGTCATCGTGCGCGGATGCCATGGTGTGGAGGGAGACGATATGGATGTTTCGTCGAGGGAAAGCTTGAAACCCCAATCCGAACTCACGAGCCGGATGCCTCGTCGACGGAAAGCAGGTCGGCTGTCGTGTACCCCTTCACTGGTGTCACTCCCAGCTGCAGTACGAAAAATGAGCCGGCCTCGTCAAGTGAACCAAAATGGGCCGTCGTGTCCTGTCGTGTGCCACTCACTCACTTCACTGCCGTCAATCTCAGACACTCAGCTGCAGTGCAAGTACCAAGGCGGAAAAGACCTCATTGCCGACTTCTTCGAAAGTAATTATCAACAACAGCAACAACAAGGACAGGCTGTCATTCCCCTACCTAGGTATACTGGAGAACTAGGTACCGCTGTCGCATTTCCACTCCCAGAACAGTCAAAATTACCCCGCGAGAACTTCTTAGCAGCACGCAGCAGCCTCCAACTGCTTGATGACGCCAACACGCCGGGATCAGTGCACTAACCTGATATGGTAAGGCAGCGACGCGATCAAGCAACTGCCGAGTTGCTGAATACCCGACCGTAGCTTCGAATATCACGTGATTTTGCCAAAGTCGCACGACACCCTCTGTATTGTAGCAGGTCGAGTACATACCATGCACGATCACTCCTCTTTTCCAGCTTAGCATACCTGACTACATAATCCCTAGGTCACAGCGGGTCAACTTGAACTAGTAGAGAAGGATAGTTTGTAGCCATTCCCACTACCTGTCCCAGATCATCCACAAGCCTGCCAATGCAGACTCCGCGATATTCTAGCTACTGTACCATGCGTCTTGATCCGAAGAATAAGCCTCCATCCACATACAGATATCTGTTTTATGCCGCCATGAGGAGTTAAATTCATAAAGAACCCATCCCGGAAAACAGAGCTCCCCTTGAGCATCATCGCTTCGCGTTGTGACATGTCAATGCCGCCAACGCCTTTCCGTGACGGTCAGAGGATAGTTCCAGCACAAAGGGTATCGATATTTCAACAAAACGCCAGACCAGTTCCGAGAGCCCACTAAGTCTGCTCATCCCCGTTGATAAAGTCGTCAAAGTGTTTGGATACGTTGTCCCCATCCTCCAGCTCCGCATTGTCGTTGGCCGAATCATGGCTAGCACTCCGAATCATGTCCAACGCCTCACTCGCGTGACTAGTTTCCTGCTCGAGACTGGGCACAGCATCGTTAGCCGTGTCTACGTCTGCGTTGGCCATGTCGAGGAACATGTTGTCGGACTCGAAAACCGGCGGAGATGCGTCCCGGGTAGAGCCAGGTACACTTTCGGATGCGTTGGCGAGTCCATTTCGGAGATCGTCCTCGGCGTCAAGACCTAGTCCAGCATTCGGTCGAAACTGAGGAAAGGACGGGTCATGGTTCCGCCCCCCTGCACTGTCGCCCCCAAAACTGGGCATCATCGGATCCCTCAGCCCATCTTGCGGTTGGTCGCGAGTCGGACTGAACAATGAGGGCGAGTTGGGCGAGAATGGAGAAGGTCGGTGGTCTGCGTAAGGTGTCTCGGACATGAAGCCAGCTTCGTAGGTCCGACTAGGTCCTGCATTGTCATTTGATTCCTGTCTCTGCATCGCAGACGGACCTTCAGTGTTGCCATTCTGTCCAGGACTGGTAGCAGAGCCGGGTGCCGATGGTGACTGTGTTGATGGCTTGGGCAGGAGAGGTCCGGTGACAAAGGATTCTTGTGTTTTTCTGCGCACATATGTCTTGGTCCTAAGGTGAGGAGGCAGGTCTTCAGGCTTTTCCACGCCCAGCTCCTTCATCAATTTTTGCTGCTTTGTGGGGCGCGGCTTTCTTGTCGACAAGCTCTGATCCAGAATCGGTGGTGGCTCGGGAGCAATAGGTTGCCACTTGTGCAGCTCCTGCCTGAAAACGTTGGTCTCATAGGCGAGCAGGACTTCGGCTCCCTCAATCTTTCGCAGGTAGAAGAGCATTTCCGGCATCTCCTCAATGGTCCTGCACAGTTGATTGCCGCTCGTATACTGCATCAGAAAGTCACGGAAGGCCTGTGCCTTGTCAATAATTCGTTTCAAGAGCTCCTCCTCCTCGGGTTGGAATGGAAGATCTTGGATTTCATCTTGCCAGGATTGGAGGTCTTCCAGCTTTGGCCGGGCTGCATCACGCGGTATCTTGACCCGCCAGTCACAGATAGGGCAGGTGAACATCTCGCACTCCTTCACTTTGCCCCTCGCGAGCTTCAAGCATTTGGCATGGTACCTGAGACATATCAGTAAAGAGCCTGGCGTATCGAGCAATCGCACTCACCAGTCGTGACAAATCTCGCATTCGATCATGAGACCGGCCTCCGGCTGTCGACAGATGCAGAAGACAGGTTTCTCCTCGTCGCCCAGAGTGCCCTTCTCTTGTCCGTCAGTCGGTGTAGCCTCTCGCGATGCAGGCTCAACCGGGGGTCTGAAGGTGTCGTTGAGATCGAAGCAGAAGCCGTTCTTCTCCTCCACAAACTTCATGTGCTGTTCGAGAATGTGAAGTGGTGCGTTAGCCTTGCCAAACAGCTTTTTACCCTTTCTCATCCAGTCTTCGTGGCGTCTCAATTCTTTCTCTAGGTCGGCCGCGCCATGAGGTTTGCCGTTGAGGTCTTCCAAGCTCTTGACCACATCTCGAACATGAGCGTACATGGGACGCTTGCGGAAATCCGGATCGTGGCTCCGTTCAACCAAGGTAATGATCTGGCGCTTCGCTTCACGGTTCTTGGCAAGGATGGCATCCATCTGCTCCAGTGTATCCTTGTTGACAGGAAAGGCTTGGTTCTGGGTCTGGGCGTGTAGCGATTCCAGCTGAGGGTAGTGGACGTCCTCGGCACCCATGACTTCCCTGGCCTTGATCTCCCAGAATTCGCCTTGCCTGACCACTTCGGTGAGGAAGAGGACTTCTGGCATCTGCGGTGCCGTTTCGAGTTCGCTGGCACGCTTCAGAAGCTCTTTGCACTCGTCGAGAGTCTTGGACTGCACCTCCTTCTGGAGTTGACGGACCTCTTCGAGCCAATGTGTTCGTGCGTGGACCTGTTCCAGGCTGGTCAGCTCAGGCATGGCAGCCATGAAGCCACGACCTTCGTCGAGTATGGTCTCCAGCTCCTCAGCCGTGGGATTATTCAAGCCGCTCAAGATGCGCTTTACGTTGGCTCGCCACTCGTCGATCATGGTCACTTTCTCTTTGAGATTCTCAAGCTGCGGTGCACTAAAGCCGAGTTGCTCTCCATCCTCGATCAGCTCCTTCATACGCTCCAAAGTCAGTTGTGGCTCAGTCTCTTTCTCATCTGCTTTGCCCGTTCGGAGCGAGGAACGTCGCCAGGCCTTCTCATTCTTGCGCCGGTTCTGCTGCTTTCGCGTGAGGTACAGGTTCGCTTCATCAACCCATTGATCGCACTTCTTGACAAAGTCGGCAAGGTCATCCAGGCCCTTTAGAGGATAGGGGATCTTCTCACCTTCACTCAGGAAGGTGTGCATCACTTTGAGCGCAGGACGGGCATCGTCGGCTAAGAGAGCATCGAATTTGGTTTCCCACGCCTCGGGCACATTGGCTTTGTCGACAACCTTCTGGACAATGCTGCTCAGCTCGTGGTTGGTATACCGCAATAGCAGGCTGTGATTTGACCCTTTGAGACGCTCCTCTGGGCTGTCTGCGCAGCAATCGGCGACTTCGGGATGAAGCAAGCACGTAACTTTGCCGCTGCGGTGACACCGGAACTGCGAGAGGTATGAGAATGCCTTGCAATAACAGCACTGGTACTCTTCCTCCTCAAGCTCGCTATTCTCGATTTTGATGATCAGACCGCAAGCCTCAGGAGGTTGTTCAGCCAGGGTGTCGAACGTGCAGTCGTCATGCGGGGAGTGCCGCTTGTGCATCGCCACGAAGTTCTCACGTTCAGCCAACTCGCGATTTCGGGTTCGCTCCAGAGCTGGACCTAACCACTTGGCGGTCTTGATTGTGGTATCTGACCCTGCTGCCGTGAAGAGCAATTCGTCGTGCGAAAAGCATGGTTGACGGCGGAACTCTTGTAGCCGCTGGACGCCTGCCTCGCCAAACGGCTCCCAGTCCGCTGGAGCAAAGTTGACCGCTTCATTGAAGTTGAAGCCATGATTGAAGCCGGCATGGTATGCTTGCGGAAAGGTGATAACGAATTGACCCGCGCGCTGATCCAGCGCGTAAACCTCAACTCCAGCCTTTCTCAGTTGATTGGGTGGAAGAATTGTAACCAGTTGAAACAGCAAGTCAGGCTGCGTCTCAAACAATTCTGGGACCGCTTTCCGCATGGCGTCCTCGAAGCGATAAGCATCCTTGCCAGGAATGCCATACCAGGTCTTGGTAGCGCCAAAATGCTGATAATTTGCCGAGTAGGCATAATGATCCTCATTGTGCCAACAAAAGGTTGAAAAGCACATGCCGACATACAGCCAAGGAACCGTCATGCCCGAGATATCACCTTTAATGTGTCTGAACAGTGACTCTTCCAAGAAGGGCATTACATTCAGATTCCAGAGGTCCTTCGAGTAGGGGTTGAGCGGGTTCTTTTCGACTGTCGGAAAGCCACTACCGTGCGTGGTCGAGTGAATATCTGCACCGTACTCGACTTCGACTGATTCTGTGATGTCCTCGACCAGCCTCCAGAACTCGCGTTCGATGTCGTCCTCGGTCGGCTTGCGTTGCGTGTTGGTGACAGGGTCGAACTGCATCCGAGCGGAAAAATAATGCTCCTTGAAGTTGTTGGCCTTTTCTTGGAACTGCTTCAGAGAGTAGATACTACCTTCCTCAAATCCGTAGTCGTTGGTGCCGACGAGACACTTGGGGCAATGCCAGTCGTACTCTGGAAGTGAGGTCACGGGCGGGTCGACACAATTCCTATGGTAGCCCAAGTCGCAACTGTCGCACACCAGGATGTTCTCTTTGTTGTCCGACTTGCTGCACTTTTCGCACTTCTCCCCGTGCCTCCGCTGTACAAGCTTCGAACGAACTTGAGGCGTGGTTGGACGCATTGCAGGAATATGGTTACCCGGGATTGTTGGCACCACATCTTTCTTCGGTCTCTTGCTTCTCCTGCCGTCAAGGCCATCCGCATCGCCATCGACACCCTCCGAGCCGGACTCGCCATTGAGACTATCATGGCTCAGAGTCCGTTTCAATGGGTTAGAAGTCCCGTTCGGCATTGGACTTGCCGTGTTACGTATTGTTGTAATTGTCGGTCCATTGATAGCTGGAAAAGACGGCGCTGGGCTTTGGTTTGATGGTGGCACACCGTTGACCTCCTTCTTGATGACGGGCGGCGGAAGGGTGTTGACGGCAGTGAACCCCGAGGGTCCATTCACCGCGGTAAAACCACTGTTGACAGCAGTGAAGCCAGATGATGACACAGGTCGCGGCTGGGGAACCGGGAGTGGTATCGAGGGCATGGGTGACGGCTGTTGAGACGGGCCAGGAACATGTTGCATCTGTGCGGGGAGAGACATCGCCGGTTGCAGGTTCGGTGAGTTCATTCCCACGGCCGGCGGAGCAGACTGCGAAGGGGGCATGTGATTGAGCATGGGGTGAGGGGGCATGACCGAGGGCGAATAAATTCCCCCCTGCTCGTTCTGTAGTTGTTCCTGGACCCCGGGTTTGGCATATTTCAGCCACTCCTCGTAAGGATGCAGCCATCGCTGGTAGGAGTTTTTGAGGGAGGTCGAGAGCGACGACATGATCTTGCCGCTATATCCCAAGTCTCGACCAATTTCGGCCCACTTCTTGTCCTTGCACACCCGCTCAAAACCGCCACGAACTTCGACGGCTTTCTTAAGCTTGTATAAATCGAGCGGACGCTTGTCGACGGATGGGAAGCGGTTCAGATGAGCGCCATATTGTTTGTGAAACTTGGCTAGTTGGTCCAGATAGTTGAGGTTGGTCCGGTTGCCTGCAAAGATGGTTAGGTTCTCAGATCACGCTCGTCTGATTCCATCAACATTTCTCACCTCCTTCGACCAGATTGATCTCCTGGCGTCGCGTCCGAAAATGGAAGCGCTGTAGACATATCAGCCTGGCTCCGACACTTTTTAGCCGTCACTCGTACCTCGGTATCAATAGCGAAGTCTGGGTTCCAGCCCTCTGGCGGGATGATCTTGCAAATGCCAAACTTGCTGGCTTTGTCAGAAATACTGCGAATGTATTCCATGGGGTCTCGAAATTCGGCTTCGGTCGGCCTGAAGGTAGGCGCCTCAAGTAGATCGTGAGGTCGTCTCCTCGTTGGCGGATCGCGACTCGAAGGATGACCCTTGCGCTCGACGGTTCGCATGTCAAGTGGCTGTGCTCGACGAGCACTGTAGGGAAAAAGAGGAGTAGCCATGCTGGCAGGACCTGCGCCTGCCATCCTCGATGCTGGCCCCGGCGTCGCTGATGATGTCTGCTTTGCGGTCGCAGCCTGTGGTGCGACACCACCAGTTGAAGGTGGAGCGACCATGACTGCGACAGTCCTGGGATCTGATAAAACCGCGGGAGATGCTTATTTTGATGTTGCCCGAGTTCAACAGTGACAATTCGTCAGACGCTCGAAGTAAGTCGATGGAGGATGGATACTAAAGAGAAAGGCTCGAATGTCGATACAGATATGGTGGGCGGAAGAACGAGTGGCAGGCGGGTGCCAGTGAACTGGTAGCGGGCAGCCTCGTACAGAGCGCAGGCTCAGTTAGGTGCAAAGGCAAGACTCGCTCGAAAGTAGTATGAGAAGTGCTTGCAGAGCACTTCTGAGCGCGGCGGCTCACATGCGGCACTGAACAGATGGGCCCAGGCACGGTCGTGTGGAGGAGGAGAGCATCAGGTAGTCAGAGAAGCAGAAGGATACGCCGGGCAAGAACGAGAGACGAGAGAGGAGAGACTTGAGGCGAGAGGCTCCTACAGTACCAGAAGCACAAAGCAGCGCAGGTCCGAGCCGAGACACGATTGGCTGTTCCTGCAGTGGCGTGTGCTCACGTTCCGGCGGAGCAAAACCATCCAGTGGTGCAGATGGATTCCCCGCCGCGTTTCAGGCCCAGATGCTGCTCCGTGCGGGTACAGATGGAAGTCACGTGAATGTGTCTGCAGAACGTGTCAACAATCTCTCGTTAACCGCGATATTACGGCCGTGCACAGGGGATCGCTACTCGAAGACACAAACCAACAGCATCCAGACAACACGAGCCCGACATGAGGCTCATTTGAACATTTGACAGACCGTGCAAGCCGTGGGATGTGTCGCGCCCAACTCCCGCAGTCAAGCCAATCACCAACCGGCAGGTAACGTCGCCTTACAACGCGCGTCAGTCTCAAATCAAACACAATCAGGGCAATGCAATAGAGGCATATCGTCTCAGTGATCCAACAGCCAAGTCTCGTCCACAGCACGAGATGGAAATCAAACCTATTCCTGCTTTCTACTGCTGTTACCTCCTTCGTTCCACAGTTCGCCACGCGAGCACCTATATCGGATCGACACCGGATCCGGCGCGCCGCCTGGGCCAGCACAATGGCAAAGTCAAGGGCGGTGCTGTTCGTACATCCCGTGCAAGTCTGCGACCCTGGGAGATGGGTTGCATCGTTGCTGGCTTCCCGTCGAACATTGCCGCCTTGCAATTCGAATGGGCCTGGACCAATGCTCACCTGACCCGGCACATCTCTGGCGAGCAACGCATTTCATTTGCGACAACGCGCACAAAGACCTCGAAGTCGGGCAAGGTAACCCACAGACCGGGTAGACCAAGGAGTTCGTTGATCGATAGGTTGTCCAATCTCCATCTTTTGTTGCGTGTGCCCTATTTCTCCAAATGGCCACTTGAGGTTCGCTTCTTCAGCGAGGATATGTACCGGTGCTGGACGACCTGGTGTGGCCGTGTAGACACGCATATTCGGCCTGGCGTAAAGGTCATCTTGGATCCAGCACAGCCTGTGGAGCAGGAAGAAGACGACTTCTCTTCTGCTCAGCCCCAGGCGAGCCAGAGAAGGAAGAGGAAGGCGGAGCTGATCGGAACGGGCGGACCCGAGGGCGTCGATCCGACATATGCCCGACTGAGGAGTGTTTTGGAGAAGAGCCAATTTATACTCGACGACGGCGACGATCAGAAATGCTCTCTGTGCGCCGCGAATATCGACCTTCACAGGAGCCTTTTCGCTATCTGCCACGTGGAGCATTGTCAGAGCATTGCTCATGTCACATGCTTGGCCGATGCATCACTGCACAGGGAGCAGTCAGCCTCAGCCGTCGTCCCAGACACAGCAGTTTGCCCTTCATGTGCAAGAGAAACCCCTTGGGTGGAGGTGATGCAACAAGTCACCTTACGAAACAGAGGGTTGAAAGAGGTCAAGAAACTCTTAGGCAGAAAGGGGAAGAAGTCCACAGCAGCAGTCGCGGCGGAAATCATGGAGACATGTAGCGAGGCTAGCGATTCGGAAGGAGAGGAAGAAGCACTGACCGCAGAACATGTGGTCGACGAAGGATTTCAATTCAGTTCTGGTGAAGATGATAGATTATCCGTTGCATCTGCAGATTCCTTCGTTAGTGGGACTTCGGACCGCGGAGTTGGAGACAAGACAAGATCTAGCACTGCCGCGGGAGAGCGCACAAAACCATTGCTAGAGATGGTCATAGAAGATAGCGAAGAAGAGAGATGACAAACCTGCAATTCCCAGCGTCGTTCAATCCTCTTCCGTTCCCTTACGGAGACACGGTGTCAAGTAAAGGTCCGAGCTTCTCAAGGTCGCTCGAACCCAACTGAGGATTCTGCATCGCCGTATGGACAACCGCTTGGATGTCGACAGCAACCTGGTCAATTGTCCTTCCAGCATCGACTTGATAGACTGTGATATCTAGTCTAGCAAACAAGTCCTTGAATAGAGTTCGGACGCGGGTCTGCATTCCTTCCATCTCGTATCTCTCGGCTCCATAACCATCCCGTTTGGCTGCATCTGTAGACGAGATGTCTAGGAAAAAGAGTAAGTCAGGCTTGAGGAGTCCGATTTCTGGATTCCAAGCCCAAGGCAGCGGAAGATCCGGGTTGTCTTTGGCGGCTGAATAGACAGCTCCGGAGAAGGAGTACCGGTCGACGATGACGTTCATCCCACGGATTAGGTCTGATCTAATGGAATTGATAGCCTCCCATCTGTTGGCACTGAAGAGTAAATGAATGGAGTGGTCGTCTTGCTGAGCTTGGCCAGTCAAATAGCTGTCGATCATCTTCCCTGTGGGCGTCGTCCGATCTGTCAAAGTTAGCAATTGCGGGTCACCAGCAAGCCTGCAAACATACCTGGGAACTTGGCATAACGAATCCGCTGACCTTGCAGTCTGAAGAAGTCGAACAGCCGTTGGCACTGACTGGATTTCCCTGAGCGATCAAGGCCTTCAATAACTATGAGCAGGCCCCTTTTTGAAGCAGCGGAATCGGGAAACGCCATGTCGACCTCTCTCGAGCGCCCCTCAGGTCAATCCGAGCAATGTTTATAGCAGCAAGAGATAGCACACTCGTCACCTGCCGTTTGAGCTGGTGATGTGGCCAATGTCAATTTCCGAGGCAGTTGTGATGTACTGTAGACAAGCGGTAACTTTTTCCGGGCGATCAGTCGATCACCGCGTGTGAATAATTGTCCAACCCCTCGAAGTGGGACCAACCAGGACTACGACGTCGCGATATGCGGCCCAAAAACAGCTTACGCCATGTTCTTACCACGGCCTGGCTGTAGTTCCTGTAGCAGAAGGGCACGTAATGGTGTCACAAATCAACGCTCGCTTGGTGCACTGCTTCATAGCATAGTAGGTCGACTTGTGCAATTTGCTAATGCCTACTATGGTACAACTGTATCTCCATGTAACTCGCCTGAGTTCTGCTTAGCCGCCGTCCGAGACGAGCTCACGCAGGCCACAGAGAGCCCGTAGGCATTGGAGGACGCTTCCGCACCGGCTTGGTGGGCATGCCAATACTAGGTATCAATACAGCTGTACGGACACCATAATTTCGTTTGTTTTGTTCCTTAATGGCTTGGAGCACCGATTGCGAAAGTCTGGTTTTTGCCTTAGCTGTCAAGCAGAACCCACCTCTTCTCACCCTCCTGTGCACTCCTTCTCTCTGCGATTCCCTCGACGGTATGCTTGATTGCATCTTTGGTGCATTTTGGAAATTGTGTCTTCAGGACCTCGAGCAATCCCACTTTCGTCAAAGTGCTCCCCGATACCGCTGCTCTGAATGCCGGCATGAGCTCTGGTGGCACCAGCTTCACCGGTTTTCCAGCTGCGTTCGCCATGGCTTTGACAGCGAGAATGTTGTTCTCTGATTGACCAACAAGTGGTGCATAGTTGGGGAATGGTGATAGAGATACCGTGTTCCCACTATTCGGATCAACGGCCATAAGAGGCAGACGAGGTGGCTGCATCGCAGCACATTGTTGTGATTTCTCCTCTCGCTTCACCGGGCTCTTCTTCCCGATATCTGTCCAGTGCGCCGTCGAGTACGGGTTGATGGGAAATATAGTCGATTCGTGCAGGACGTCCATGCGATAAAGCGACAGGTTGAATCCGTTGTTCTGCCCGCGCACTGTTCCGTCTTCCCAGCACAGACCACTGCACTTCGGTTCCATGTTCCCAACGACCATCTGTCGCTTTGCCACATCCCCTTCATCGTCGAGAAAGTCCTCCATCTCCTCGTCGCCATCCCCGTCCTCGGACTTCTCATCATCGTCCAAGATCTCTTCATCACCTTCTTCCGGTTCCTGCCACTCGGCTTCGCTATCGTAATCGTAGTTCGTGTCTGGGAGTCCCCGAAATGATGGCTTGAGAGCGAGTTTCCGTGCCGTGCGTGGTGACACGCACCGAGTATAGGTACCTTGGTAAGCAGGCCGAACATCCTCACGGTAAAACAGATACTTGTATGGAACGTTCCCAAGGGAGCTTGCTGGGTTCGTCATGTCAATAGGTGCATTCTCCGATCCATTCATCTCGCTCAGAATCTTCTTGACGGGTCTGACTTGACGTGTCCGCCGACGCTTATGAAAACGGACGTCAATCTTCTCCGGAACACCATCCTGGTTAAGTGGAAGTTTGTCCGGCAGAGATGATCTGTTCGACAGGAATCGATTAGAGGGCGCAAGTTGCATGTGCTCTTTGATGAAAAATGGCATGATGAAAGGGCGCGCATCAGATTTGGCATGTTTGGTGGGCGATATCTTGGTATCCACCATTGCGAGTTCCATATCGACGGAGGCGATCGAGCTTCTTCGGGATGGAGTGGTGCCGCGAGAAATATCCTCACAGTCACTAACCGCTGATGCAAGGGACGTAGCTTGGGGTTTTCCAAAGAAGGCACCCAGCCGCATTTGGGCCTGCATACATGTTAGCATTGGGAGGGACATGGAGAATAGGAGATCATTCTACCCTCTCTTTTTTGAGAGCTTCGGCCTCCTTTTTCTGCCTCTCTGCCTCTTTGGCCTGTTTCTCTGTATCCTTCTCACGCTTCTTTTCTTCTTTCACCTTTCGTAGAGCTTCTTTCTCTTCTTCTTTGCGTTTTCGCTCTTCATCTTTCTTCGCCTTTTCGTCTGCTTTCTTCGCTTTGGCTTCTGCCTTTAACCTCTCCTTTTCCTCCTTTTCTGCTTGTTTGATGGCCTTCTCGGCCTGCTTCTCTGCAAAGCTTTGCTTTGGCTTCCTGCCAGGTGCAGGTGCCATGTCGGCCTCCTTGACTGGGCTAGCGGTAGGCGTAGCGCCTAAATCAGTCAACGGCGACGGCTGGTCACTTAAGCCTTGCGGAGTGGTGGGTGACGGGAAGGGAGTGAGAGGACTACTCTCAGGCTGGGCTGTAGAAGAGGAAGAACCGTGGTTGACCAGCTCTCCTTCGTGGTTGCGTTTCTTGGAGGGGGTTAGTTGCGCAGTTGGAAGAGAGGATGCTGCTTGCGGGGCAGGAGCGAGACTGGTGGCCATATTGAACTGGAGAGCGGGAATGATAGTATAGAAATGCAAATGATCGTACAGAAGGACTCAAAGCATTGAGACAATGGCTACTACTGCCTGACTGCGAGCGACACAGTGTCGTTGACCGTTTCACTGAAAGCGTTGGACTAACGACAGGGAAGGTATTAAAACGCGGTGACGCGAACGCGCCACGCCACGCCAAGCAACCACAAGGCTTCGACGCAGCCTCGTTCGCGTACCATAGGCACTACTGTGTACTCCCGATTCCCCAGAATACCTCGTACACTGCACCTCAGTTATCAGCGAGACTGTTCTTGCCACTTTCGATGACGCCGGGTTTCGCAGGGAGATTAGAATAGGCATTATATTCGACTTCGGAGGATCATGCATATAACATCCCTCGACTCGGACTTCGCACGTACTCCCGTGGTGCAAGAGCAAGATACGAAACCCGCTCATTCGCTCCGGGATTCACATCATTCACAAAGCCATTACGAAATTGGTCATTCGTGGTTGCTCGCTGGTCAACCACTTCGCCTAGCTTCACCTCCACATTTTGCAGCATCCTGGCGCGTACGACGCCATCCAGCGTACTGCCACCCTTCGCGAATTCGAAGAATTTGGAATCCCTTGTGAGGGAAGAGCAGTATGATAGAACATCGGGAATCGTGGTGCGGAAAGCGCACCAGATGGTGCAGCACGCCGCCAGCACCATGACCCCTATCGCCGCGCAGTACGCGCCAACCCAGCCCCAGGAGACGACATAAATGTCAAACCCGTCGGTATAGAACGCTGTGGTGTTCTGATGGTCCAGAGGATATTCCATGGTGTCGGCACACGTTTGACTTGCCAGAACCCAAGTATTGAGTAACTGGCCGAGCCTCTGTGAGAATTGTTGTGCAGTCACATTGGAATAGTCGGCGTATTCGCGGCCGTTACCACTTAAAATGAAGGCAGAAGTCGTATTCTGGAGGTAATACTCGCTCAGCGAGGAGTAGCCCGAGCTTAGCAAGGGATCAGTTGCCAGGATCCATTCCTTGGTGAGGTAGGTGAACGTGGAAGGAAAACTGAGCGTCGTAACTGTTGACGGCGCATGTTTTTTAGGCGACCTCCTTTGTGCCTGCACTGAGCAGAAAGGCTGATGAGAATCAGTCACTGGCTGACAAGACACATTTGATTCGACATAGATCTGGTGAATGGCGCACCGAGCCACCCAGGGACCCCGAGTCTGAAAGAGAAAGGTGCCTTGCGGAATACTGGCATCCGAGACATTGACCAGCTGCTCAGGGTAGCCGTAGAAGTAATCATCCGACACGAACTGGTTCATGGCTACCTGCCAAGATGGATAGATGGCGAAGGCGGCCGCATCGACGGTGGTGTTGGGTCCAGAGAAGGTGCCGTTGACTATAGTCGTTAAGTTGACGTTGATGTTGATCTCCGTCTCATTTCTTGGCTTGTTGCAGTCTAGATTCATGTACGTCGTCTCTATCACGAAGCTGGAGTTTCGGTTGGCGAGCAAAGCAATAGGCACTCCAACGAGCGAGGAAAACGAGCTCTCGGTTAAATTCGACTGCGAAAGGGCCACCCAGCCATTGGCATCGTTCTCCGGACGTTCCACCAGCCATGGGATCTTAACGTTGCCAAACAGGTCCATCGTCCCATTCTTCATCGTGGTAGGACCCAAGACTGAGCTTATATAACTCGGTTTTAGGGCCGTCAGCAATGAATCAACGCCAGAAACGGAAGCAAAGACTTGATTGGTAACGGTGTTGACGTAGCTGACCAAGTGAGAATCTGCGGTAAAATCTCTGCCTACCGACACCAATCGCAGCGATGCCTGGGAGCCCAGGGGAGAAAAGACCCAGCTTGTTAGTAAGACCAAGGCCATGAGATTGAATGCCCGGAATGACAACTGAGTGGTCAGAGCAGTAAAGAAAGTGCGACTCTGCATGATTTGCTCGAGAAGACCGAGCTTTATGCCGTTCTCTAATCGCCACGTCGCAAAGCGTTTGAGTGTCGAGCCCAGCACCGCTGCAAAGAGGATGGTGAAGAGGGTCGATGCCTGTATGCGTCAGTATAGCACGTATCGCGTCTCCAAGTACCTAGCGCCTACCGTGCTCGTTGCCTGTTTAATAAAATTCGTATCCGACTCGGTGACCTTCCGACCGTCGTACTTTACCATCGTTACAGCCAACCACAGGAATGGCGCTGCCACCGTTAAAGTGAACGTACAGAGGCAAACCTCAATGAGCAAGTCCGTCCCGAATTTGCCCAGTCTTCTCGAGCCGAGCGTTGTCGGTGGCTGCAGTTGTGGCTCATTCTGAGATTGAGATGTTCCGCTGTTATACTCTTCTTGGGGATCTAGGATAGGATTATATTGTGCAGAAGCAGCCTTTCGATGAAGTGAGCCGAATCCTCTGATATGTGGCCTGCTGCCGGATCCATACGGACTGGACAGCTCGATGAAGTCGACCATTTACCAGCCGATCAGGCAACGCAAGCGTCCAACTTTTGGCGTCTGATCAACGACGGCAAGGACTGGGCAAGGATAGCGTTTTTGAGCGTTGTAAGGAGCTAAAGTTCAAAACAAGGAGTCGCGTGGTGATCGGCGGAGTACCCGAACGCAACGGAACGATCTTCGGAAGACTGGAGTCAAACGGGGATGCCTTTACTGTGTTCTGCCGTGTTAGCGAACTGAAACAGTCCATGTGGTGCAACATGGCAAGATTTTGACGCAGGGACTGGCGAGGCAGTCCATAATAGGCCCCCACCCGTGTTGCAAGAGTTAGGGGTCCGATGAGAGAGGGCCAAGAGAGGATCGAGACCGCCAAGCTGATCGAAAGGCCGTACTCAGTACAAGCAAATCAGTGGGCGGAAGAAGATGGGCAATGGGCATGTCGTCGGACTGACTCGCTAAAATACCGTGGAATGTCGCTGATAGATCCAATCGTGATCTTCGGAGTGATTACTGGTATGCATCTGTGGCTGACACGGTGAGCGAGATCTTGCGCCACCGAGACCATTAATAGACTATGGAAGCGGACTGGAAATAAATTATAGCAACCAGGCACCGTCAAAAGTCCTACTGACCTACGGCAAATGGAGTGAGGGCCGTTTTTAAGCTGCGCACCCGGGGGTCCTTGACGGGCTCCTCAGGCCTTAGGTAGGACCCCCAGGACCTAACACCTAAAACACCCCTTCCGTGGCCTCGGGGATCTACTTCCATCGATGTGCTCACCCTGCAGACTGGCGATTCGTGGGCATTGTTGGTCATTGAAGATGATAGTACATACAGAGCGTTAGTGTACGACTTCTTTCTCTTTACTGTGCTTGGAAGTAGGGGGACATAGAAATCGGCCCAGGGAGAGTTCAATTCGTGTATCGTCGATTCAATGCGGTGCCGTGGGCTATCCAGCACACATCTTCTAGTTCGAACATCGAGACGCCGAGCAAACCCATACGACTCTGGATTTCCGCACACCCATCGACGGCCACAAGCTGCTGCCGCTCACTCCAACTTCGTCATCATTGGGTCTCAAACCAAGTCCTGCCCTCGGTATCGTCGACAGCCGTTAACTAACTTCTTTAGGCTGGCATATTTTCTCAAGCCGGTTCCGTATGGACAGAGGGGTCGGCTGGAGTACTCTTTGATCTCGCTTTGGGCTGGGGCACTCCAGCAGTATCTGGTGCATACGTGGCTTTGGTTCGCATCCCCTAAATCGTCCCATAACCCGGTGCGCCACCTGACTGGACTCTGTCGCTGTACACGCCTGGTGCTTGGTGGCCGGTCAACTGCCCGTGCCTTGCTCTCTCCCTCCTGTCGAAGTAGATGTATTCGACGTAGAACGCGTGGATGTGGCCGGGGATATAGCCGAGCAGGGTCAGGCAGACGTTGATGAAGAAATCGGCACCGCAGCCGGCAACCATGAAGACGCCAATGGGAGGTACTACGAGAGCAGAATGTTAGCTGGCCGACTCGACAATCGCCAGGCTTCCTGGATGAAGAGGGGCGATAAGGGATCAAAAAGCACCACACTTACTGAGAATGGTGATGAGAACGATAAGCAGAGCTGGAATGGTGTCGGACATCTTGAACGCGATTCTGTTGCGATTGCCTTCGACTTTGGTGTTCGCTGAGACTGTGTGTTGGGAGACCGGCCGCAATATGGCTTCAATGCGCTGGACGTGGTGTACTGGAAACTTCTTCACATGTACAATACCACAGTAGGCAGAAGAAAGCTGAGCCTCTTATTGACATGCAGACGTCACAAACATGTGACACTGGTGACACAGCCAGGGCTTCCAAACAGCCACAGCTAGCCCAATCAAATCTAGGCGGCCTTGTTTCATGCAGGAACGTGACGAAGGCCACTGTGGCTGCGTAGAGTCTCCTGTGGCGGCGCATCCTCATCTCATAGCCGAAGTCATGCACGTGGCCTAACACTTAATATGGTTAGCCTGGCAGCTCAGCGAATGTCTTTTCAGTCCTTGGTCCCGCCTGCCTACACAGTACATAAACATGGCTCTTAAACGCGTTCTTGTCGAGGTCTTGAATGTGCCAGCTCGCGTACCAGTTCCTCCTCATCACACTGACTCTCACAGCATGCGACATTGTACTCCGTACTGCTTGTCCCGCCCCTTCACGTCCTTGAAACCCGTCCGCGATTTATCAATCCCATGACTGCACCTTAGTAAGCATTCACCTTGGGACGGCACATTGCGAGGTGCTACTAAATATTGCACACAGATGGGCCAGAGCAATTCCTGTACGATATAACATATCAGAATAGCGCGCCCAGGCTTTGCGTGACTCTTCCGCTCCTATATCAGTTCTCCGTTGGGTCCTGACGATGCGTCGATCGCGCAGCTGCCAAGAATTCAAGACTGACCAAGCTCGTATTAGTTCAGCTTGTCTCGTTCCCGCGGCCTTGGTCGACCAAAGAATGGAGTACATGCACGCTACGCGGCCTTGGGCAGGAGGACTTCCTGGGTCACAGGAGGATGGGTGATCGTGACACGCTCCTTCCACCTCCTCAGCTGCGAGTTGACCTGCGTCTTGTACGAGGTCCGACATGTTGCTGGGCGCTTCAGCCCTACGCCATGCTGCACTTTTGCAGGAGAGAGTGGTGAGGTCCAGGTATGGTCGTGGGACTACGCATAATGCCAACAGGATGAGAGCTGAGACTCTCCTTCGATTGGGTACCGCTCTTCTCGTGGAAGACGGCCCGCCTTCGCATATCCTATTTACTTACCTATAACTGTTGCTTGGTTTTCTGATCGACACCTTTCTTCACCTTCTCACTTGCTTCTGCATCGAAGTGCCACCCCTGTCCAAGTGTAGACGACGCTTGCTGTGTTGGACAGATATCCGGAAACTCTAAGTCGAGAACTCTGACACATCAGAAGGGTTCTTTTTCTGCACAGGTCAAAGCGGTGATCTTTCTGTCTCCTTCATCACTGAAACCGCGACTTCGTAAAAGAAGAGGCTTTTCCACAATGGCACCAGCCAACTCGACCCTTGTTGTCACCAACAGTTCGAGTCTGACCATAGAGCAGAAGAAGATGGTTTTGCGGTACAGGATAATTGCTGCAAGCATCGGCCTTGGGCTCACAGCCCTTGCTTTTGCAATCTTCTTGTACGGTCGCATCCGCCGGGCCCGCGAAAGACGAAGGAACGCCGGCATTGGCCTTGCCGAACAGGCCCCGCCCGAGGACCCTTCTGCCATCGAAGCTCCTCTTATCCAGCCAGAGAAACCGAAAGGAACCGACTACCATGGAGATGGTGGTGACGAAGCGGGCCCGGACCCAAAGCAGGGTCTTTTGGGGAACCCAGAACACATTGCGAACGGGGACTGGGACGAGGTCCAGCGACCTGTGAGCATCGCGAGCTTCACCACTCCGCAAATCCGGTACGAAGAGTATCAGTCACAGACCGATGGTCCTCTCGGTACAGATGTGGTCAAGGCTTGATACATGCCTGGAACCAGGAGAGTGGGGATTCGTCAGCCAGCGATGGGAGGGTACGAGCATGAGGTGTAATCAAAAAGATGATCACAGAAACGCATACTCCAGCAAGTCAGCTATATGGAAAGGTACAAAGGATTTCCAGTTCGAGATGATGTATCAACCTCCAGGGACACTCAGGGATGGAATGTGGTGGGCAGCACGCGAGCCGACAGTGAGCAAGTGACAATTGTTCGTTTGCGTCAGCCGTGAATTGTGGCGGATGTTTGCATGTCCTTGATACGTTCTTCGCGTACTATATAACATGTCGGACATCCGTATGTTTTCCAAAAGAGGTCTTCGGTCACGCATTCCTATCCCATGACATTCGCTGTTGGCATACCACAGCTTCAGGTTTTGTACATTCTCTCGCTCGCCACTATCATAGATAAGTACCTAGGTATTATTTCGCCAGCACGATCAGACAGTGCATGCTCCACAAGCACAAATCGCTTCAACGACTAACGTGGGAAATCCCGTTTATACACCTCTCCTACACCCAAGTACCCCAGCTTCATCTGCTCTCTGCTGTTCATACGATACTACCACCATGACTGATCCGCCTCTACCCTGCAAACCCCCCGTGTTCTGCATTTGCCATGTCTGGAAGAAGGGGCTCATCCCATCACTTAATTACCCATCTGCCATTCATCAGCTTTAGGTACGTTCACGATCGGTCAGTCGGCCAACGAGGTGGGGGAGTGGGAGTGGACTGGGCCGGAGTCCGCTTGTTCGGTCGTGGTCGTGGGAGACCATCGAGTTCGTGAGATTAGATTGCTTGCCCATGCGACTGTGTCGAGAGAGGGCGCAGCGAGGGCCATGTTGGGTTCGCCGACGGGCGCTGGATCGCGCGGACGGCGATTGGAGGCCCCTCAAGGCTGAGATCTGGACGAGTAGGACATATCAAGGATCTAGGCGGGTTAGTATATTGGTGACTATTTGGTCGGTGAAAGACGAAATCGGAGGAGCAAGTGACTGCAGTCGATTGTGTGCCTCAATTCGCTTATGAAGACGGCAGGCATAACCCTGTTCTTGCCTCAAGAATAGTTTGATAATCATTTACCAAAAGGGATATCTGGTGTCGAATCATCGACTAACCCCCCTTACCTGATCTTCCTCCCGTGGGGTATCATTGACTCCTGTTCCAATATCTGCATATCCGAAGAACATCGCCGCATACTGATCCGTCAAAGAACCTAGCACATGTCAAGCCAGCAACTCGCTGATTCCCCTCCTAGGAGTCTGATCCAACAACATCAACAACTCAGCATCGTCTTCCTCGACGGCATAATCTCGCACAGTCGTGTTTGCCCTGTGATCTTTGAGCGTCGGGTCCGCGCCCGCTTCGAGCAAGATTTGCACCGTCTTGCACCGGCCCTTGATGCGTCTCCTCTTCTCGACAGGATCAGCTACGTCGGACTTGACAACGGCGTGCATCAGCGCGGTCTTGCCGAATCGATCACGCCCGTCAATGTCCGTGTAATGTTCCAAGAGCATCTCGACCAAGGTGGGATCACACCTCCGCGAAGCATCATGAAGGAGGGTATTGCCGTGCCAGGTTTGCGGAAACGCCGTGGGCCGAGGAAACACCAACAGCTGCTTGACGATGGCGTGGTGGCCCTTTCGGCACGCGACCATGATCGGCGTGTATCCCTCCGGGTCCTTTGTGTCGGTCTTGATGCCCTCAACCGCTAACAGGAGACTCGTGATGGTGGAAAACCCCCGCTCGACGGCCTGCTGCAAGGCTGTGAACGGATCCTTGGGGTTCGACTGGGTATACCCGGCTTGGAAGGCGACCGCGTTGACGTCCACGCCCTGCTTGATGAGCAGGTTGACTTCCTCGGCGTGCTCCTCTCGGAGCTCGCAGAAGAAATGAAGCGGTGAATAGCCTCGGCCCGTTCGTGCCAGTCCGTGGCCGTGTCCATGCTTGATGTTCTCCTTGAGCTCTGACTTTCGGATGACCATGTAGCTCGAGGGGTATGTTTCCAGGAACTGGATCGCGACTTTCACAGCTCGATCGAGCTTCCTTTCGTTGCAGAGGTCGGCTATAGCTTGGAAGGTCGGTTCGAGGGTTCGGCTCGATGACGAGCGGGACAGTCGTCCCGTGGACGGCGTTGCAATCGATTCATCATCGCCGCTCATTGAAACGGCTCTGTCGTGCGTCGATGCTTCGGAGGGAGAGCTGATACCTCGGGCACCGAGCAGGGCAGTGACATCTGGGTCTTGAGGATCGTTCAGAATGGGCGATCTTGAGATGGACAGTCTCTGCAGATTGGGTGAGGGAGGTGATTGTGCTGGGCCAGAGTGAGACGAGCGGCCGAGATGCTTGAAGCGGCGCACAAAATTCGACCGCGGCCCGTTTTGTAGGTATTCTTGTTGAGAAGATCCTGGAGCTATGAGCGTAGGTACTGAGCGTGGTATATCCTTTGGTGTCGGCAGTAGCTTGTCCGTCGATGTCGTAGGCGTCTGCTTCTCCGGCGTCGACAAAAATACTTCGTAGCCTTCGGCCTCCTCCTCGTCTCCCTCCTCCCCACGTGTCTTGTATATCTCAATGACGAGGCGCACCGACTCGAGCGTCTTCTCGTCCTGCGGGCCCAATTCTTTCCTGCGCTCCACAAATGCCCTTAGACCTTGTTTTTCCGCGCTGTCAAAATCCCCCTTCAGGACGAAAACCCGACCCAACATATGGCTCGCCGCGAGGGCCTGAAGTTTGTCGGGACCTCGACCAGGGGAGGAGTGTTTTCTGTCGGAATGTGCGTCTTCTGCTGAGGTGCTTGGAAAGATGTCAGCGCGCCTGGCAGCAACAGGCTCCAACAGGGTGACCGCTTCGTCAAGTTTATCTTGTTTCAGGCAACACTCGGCCAGCATGAGGACTACCTCTGCTGGCTGAAACGATATTCTCCCATCAAAGTCGTGGTCCTGCATAAGAACCAATGCTCGCCGAAAGTGTCTTTCTGCTTTGGCATGCTCGCTTTGTTCGAAGCTGTCCTGTCCTAACTTGAGGTGTTGTTTTGTCCTCAGGAATTCCACTTCGTTGTCGTCTTCCATATCCCCTGCAGGGTAGCCGAGGCTCGGCCGACCGTGTCCGCCGGTTTGCGGGCCTTGAGGAATCGTGCCTGCGGAAGGAGGCTGGATCCATCCCTCCACATGGCTTCTGTGGTCGCCTGGCGATGGCAACTCGTTCACTGAGTGCTTGCGTCCGTCGAGAACGTCGGGCTCAACGGCCGGAGACATGGTGCTCAGCGAGGATCTCGTGCTGGCGGCAGCGGATGCAGTAGTCAAAAACTTCTTGGCGAAAGCAATATAGGTCTTCATCCCGTCATCCTCGTCCAGCTTCATGTTGTCCGCGGCAGCGATAGTGGTACCACCGAGGGTTTGCGAGCGAGAAGGGAAGCTGAGCCTTCGGACAAGTTCCCTAATATTCTGTTCAAGTGATACCAGTTTGAGATCCAGGGCGTTGTGGTGGTCTGCTGTCATCCCTCTTTGCTCCAGTTGGAGCATCACACAGACCATCTGGATGGGTAGTGATAGAGCAGCATTGAAGAATTGGATGCGCTGTCGTAGTCGTGAGAGCTCGCCAGTATGCAAACTCTCCGTCAGGTGGGCCTTGACTTTCCGGGCGAATCCCGATGCTTTTGTGATCTGAATGAGTATTTCGTTGACCCTTCTCATCGTCTTCGTGGAGTCATCGAGCGCATCCCTGATCTGTTTCCAGAGATGAGACCCATCGGACGTTCGACTGGCAACTCGTGCAGCCTCCAACAGGAGAGGCGAAGACAAGCTCTTCTCGAGGCCGTCGTAGGTCGCCCGAAGCGCACCGACTTCATCACAAAAGGAGCTGACCCGAGCATCAACAGACTTGATGTCGCCGCAAATCTTAATGATCGTGACCGTACATTGCGCGCAAGCCGAAGCTATCTGGAGTGCGCCTGCCGTTAACGAAAAGGGATCCATGACTGCGCCTTCTTGGGCGCGAAGATTCAGCTGTATATGGCGTGGCCCCGACGAAGTGAGCCATGCGTGCAGCCGGGCAAAAGCATCCAGCAGAGGTGAATGGATTAGCTGGCATGTAGGACAGAACTGGTCTTCATTAAGGGTGGGAGTCACCATCTGAGCCTCCCGAAGCCTCACTTTGTCGTGGGGCAGTGCATGCATACCGCCATGTGATGCACTGCTGCCTTGTCGGCTCGAAAACCAGGGGACATCGCCTCTAACCGACCAAACCCCTGCTGGCACAGGTACCGCATTTCCAGGCGGTATTTCGGCCCCATGTGCTGTGCCTGCGAGGCGATCACACAGGCGACGGATGTTGCTTGGGATCGACTATGCGGGGACATTCGGAACTCGGCCCCTGCCCATTCACACACCCTGTTCATGGTTCTTAGCTCCCTGCCGGGCTCCCTCTCAGACCGGTTTCATGAGGGGTGACCGTCACAAGAGCACACAAGGGGCCTTGGTCATTGCTCGCCGTGACAGCGAATGATTCGTGACATGGCCATTGTTAAATGAAAACGATACGATGCGAGGTACTTCCCGCATTAGGTGAGATTCGCGGAAACCGTTAGCCGTGGCCTGCGAGTAAGACTGATGGAAGCATCATCGAACATTCCATAAGGCTGCAGATCGTAGCCTTCGGAATGTAACGATATCCACCTGTTCAGACACATACCACGTCCTCATTGTAGTAATCAGTGGTCTGGAAAAGCCAGGCGCAATGATCGGAGTCGTAGTCAGGTGATGAGCCACTTGGTCGGGCCAGGGAAAGCCAGTTTCGTGGATGATCGATCCCCTTGGAAGGACCACTCCCCCCATATGGCAGGGACAGAGCCTGTTGCATTTCTCGCAAGCCCATTGCTAACTGCAGAAGAAGGGTCACGCGTCGTGCATATCAAGCTGCTGGACCATCGAATCCGCTTCCTAAACCCAAAGTCGACAGTCTCCGAGAGAGTCAGATGTTGTCACTCGCGTCTGCCGCCGGTGTTCAGCGAGCAGTCGGCCTACCAATGTCCATGTGCAACAATCGCCTATCAGTAGAGCTGCATACCTGTCGACGCATGCTGCCCTCGACTCTATGATGACAGTCAAAGGCTACCGGCCGCCATTCTTCCAAGACCCGTCCACGGCCGCAAACAATAATACGCCCTCATTTTAGGGCTCATATTCACTATGGCTCGATTGACACTGACGGCGACAGGCCCTGCTGGTATGTCCAGGCTAGTCGCTTCCAAAACAGCCCCGTTGCAGCGAAAGTTGAATTCCGCCTTGATTTCTAAGAAATTGAGAACTGAAGGGCATCGATAGGTACGGAATCCGACACCGCTGCAACGGCGCCAGTGACCATAGAGATTCGTCATAATAGACCTTTCCTTGCCAACTCGACTTTGCGAGCCGCCTCGCCAGCCTTGAAACCCCCTTTACTAGCACAGATAGCTATACCGTCGCCTAACTCGACTTTATCCTCCACGTCGGGATGAGGACAAGGACAGTGATGAGGAAAGTGGACACAAGCAAGAGTGTCGGGACATAGATATTTGTCGCATGTGGCTACACGGGAGACAGTCGAGTCAGTAGATGCTGCTTGCAGCGGCCGAGATAATCAAGGAGGCCAACCAGGTCTTGATCCGGACAGTCAAGGCGAGAAAACTTACCACCCTCCCAGTTTGAACGATACCAGCTCGAATCACTGGCCACATTCTGCTTTTCCTGAGGAGCCTGCTGCTGCTGGTGGCTGCCGTGGAAGAACTGGTCGAAAAATTGGAATTGCGCCGAGGCCAGGCCCATGAGCAGCAGAACCACGCTGAGCGCTGTCTTCATCTTGGATATACCGGGATTATACTCCGCCGAATATAGCAATGGAGACGAGACGGAGAAACGTGAGAATCACTGAAAATGCGTGTAGAATACTGTGTCTCTTCTCCCTGTATGCATCGCCCAATGAGGTTAGCGCGACAGAACATTCCGAACTGCAGCTTCATCTTGATCCTCATCTCCATCCTCAAATGTCCATGCGTTGATTGCATTGCTGGCGCTCCAGTCGTTTCTATTGACCCTTTGCCCATACCATGCTACAACCTCGAATACACAGGCCCCTCGCGGCCTCGGACGCCTCCCTTGCCGCCCTGGCATCGTCGTTGAACGCCCTGGCCCTCTGCTCCAAGCACGCCCACACACACCTCAACCCGCGAACATCGACGATATTCGTCCGCCACGCCTCGCACGCCCAGCAGGGCCGCGCAAACGGTCCCTCCGACTCGGCAGGCAGAAGACTAGGCGCCAAAAAGGGCTCCTCGGAATGGGTCCACCCGGGCAACATCATCTTCAAGCAAAGAGGTAGGTTGCACCCCTGTGTCCCACACGCCGTATTTTGGCGGACGCTGAAATTGACGATCACAGGCACGAAGTGGTTCCCCGGCGAAAACGTCGGCATCGGCAAAGACCACACGCTCTTCGCCCTCGAGTACGGCTACGTGCGATACTACCGCGACCCGCTGAAACATCCGAAACGACGCTTCATCGGCGTGGCATTGGCCAAGGAGGGGCCTGGATCCCAATTACCGACTCCGCGAAACGCACCCTCGCGGAGGAGATTGGGCATGTATGCTTCGCCGATGAAACCGCCGGCGGAGGCGCAGAAGAGCGTGGATGCGTCGTTCCTGGAAATGCATTTGAGCGCGAATAGCAGCGGCAGCAGGACACTAGGTCAAGTGGCGTTCAGATCGGGCGGTGTCGTGCCCACGCCCGCACCACCCGCGCCGTTCAACAGGCAGGGAACGTTCCGCGAGGCGAACGCCTCGATTGGTCGTGCGGCGGAGAGGAAAGGCGTGAAGGTCAGGGAATACGATCGCAGTGATCGATGGCTGGCGTGGAGGAAACGGGCGTTGCGCGTGAAGAGAGGCATGGCAGCCAAGGCGGCGCGTGGCACAAAGAAGACGAAAGGCAAGAAATCGAACAAGGGACCCAAGACGGCGCAGAGGAAGAAGTAAGGAGCGCGAAGAACTGTAAACTATCTCATGCTGGGTTCAGCAAAACCCCTTGTGTGTAAACGTTCCGCTTGCACATCAGACACTTCTATCAGCTTTCAGCTTTACCGCTGTCTGACACGCCAGATACTGCGCCAGCCCGGGCAGAGGAAAACAATGCCTCGGTTCTTGCATTTAGCGTAGGTCGGGTCGGGTCATGCTTGCGACGTTTATAGATTGTTCTGCGCCTTGAACTTGTCCCACGCTTCGTTCAGCGTACTGAACACGGCGCCCGCAATCATTCTCTGCTCGGTAGTAGCATCCGTGGGAATCTGTCACGGTTCAATCATCAGCTTGTGTGCATGCACCTCCAAAATCAAGCTTCTCTCCTGTCACCATCAATTGGAGCTGCAACCTCTTGAAACGTACCTTGTCAGGATGCACCCGCCCGATCCCCTTCATGTACTGAATCTTGACCTTGCCCGGGAGCACCAGGTCGGCCATACTGATCTTCTTCCACCCGCTCCCTTCCCACAACACTTGATCTAGACTGCCGAGTAGCGCCCGTAGATTATCCTGCTTGCCTCCCTTCCAGGAGTTGATGCGCGCGTCAATTGCATCCGATAGGCGAAACTTCTCATCGTCCTGCCGTTCAGCCAGGGCGTTCGCGGCGCGCAGACGAGACACCGCTGCTGCTGGCTTCACTGACGGTGCTGCTGCCGCGTTCCTCCGAGACGCTGGCGGCGGCGCGGACGCCGTCTTTCGTGCTACCGAAGGCGCTGGCTTCGGTCTTGACGCCTGCGGATTCGCAGCCTTCTCGGCCCTCATTCGTCCCTGGATACTAGTCGCGCCCCCGTGGCCACCTTCCACAGCCTCACGCCATACGAGTGCCGCATCTGCCCACTTTTCCATTTGTTCCAGCGCTTCGGCTTTGCGCATGAGGGCTTTACCGTAATACTCGCGCATGGGTTTTGTCGTATCATCTCCTGTGGCGAGAGTCTCGTTTTCACCTTTACTTGGGCCGATGATGCCGATCGCCTTGTCTGCGTCGATGATCGCGGATTTGGGTTCGCCGGTCTTGAGGGCTGTCAAGGCGCGATTTGTGAGGAGGACTATCGTCAGGGGATGAGAATCTGGCAGGTGAGAAAGCGAGGTGGCATAGGCTTGATGGGCGGAGGCATAGTCGCCGCGTTTGAAGTGATCGTTGCCTTTTTCTCGAGCTGTGTGGCTTGCTCTCAGGGCGATAGCCGAGACGGACGGGACTGGGCGGGTCGGAGGTGGTGGCCGGACTTTTATGGGTGGTGTTGAGGCCGGCATTGTGGGTTGAGTCCGGGGACGAGGAGGTTGAGGTCTCTGTGCTATTGATGGTGCTGCTTGGCGTGAAGGCTCGCGGGTGGAATCTTTGAAGCTGCCTTCAAGTAGGTCTGACTGTGCAGTGGACGCGAGTGGGGGCGAAGCAGGAGATTGAGATTGAGGCTTCCGTCTTCGAGCGGAGCTGACATATGCTTGAGCTGCTTGCTCCTCCGCGGCTTCTCTACTCAGACTCGCTTTTAAGCCAGCGGCGGGCGACTGATTCTGCTGCCGCAAAAATGCCGGCTGAGTTTGCAGGAGTGATTCCCGAAGTCGAGAAGGCATGGCGGGAGAACGGTCGCGAGAGCTGTCGCCACCAGGAATGAAGCTTCTATCTGGTCGTTGTGAAGGAACTGACGGCTTCGAGGGCGGCGTCGGTCGACTCCCTTCCAGCATCATCGCCTCATTCGTCAAGTCTGATTTAGCCTGAGCTTCCAGGCTTCTTCTCCGGCGAGCAGGAATTGTCTCAACCTCCTGTTGGCGTGGCTGATGCTCCCTCTGGGCAGGTCTTTCTGCAGTCTCCCGCATCCACTTGGGCTGAGTGCCGGCAGCCTCGGTGTCCGAGTTGAACTCCTGCACTGCTTTCTGTATCTGTTTTGTCCCTTGCTTCCACAAAGAGTTGGCGGTTTTGAGGAAATTGGACCCAAATTCAGTTGCCAATTTTTCAATGTCCTTGTCTTGCGCACGAGTGGCGTCCTGCAGTCGGTTTCGTCTGGCCTCGGAATCATCCCGGCGTGCTGTTGCTCGCGAGTGTTGTCCTTCCGCCCATTCATCTACTCCTTGCCGCTGTGCATTTCTGGACTGTGTCTTCTGCCGTGCTTCCGCATGTGCCTGGTTGAGAAGGATGCCTACAGCAGCCTGAACGTCAAGCCCAGACTCTGTAGCTTCTAGGGCGAGTTTGGCCTTCTCTGGAGGGAACCCCATATCGACAAGTTCGGCCACAACCCGGTCCTGTGGGTGGAGATCTGTAGGGTCATTCCTGGCGACTAGAGGTGGAGATTCATGCCTTTGCTGAGCAGATACCGGTTTCCCCAGTAGGCCCAGCACATCGTCGTCGTCTACCATAGTTGTTGTAGCCGCAGTGTCAGCTCGTCGTGGCCCAGCCTCCGCCAGGCCGAACGGGTCGTCATCGTCGTTATTCGTAGCATCCCTACTCACCGAAGCAGGATTACTCTGATTTTTGACTGGAGAAGGTTTATTGAAAGCAGCAAACAGGTCGTCATCATCGTCATCCAATGCGTTATTTCGTGTGCTCGTGGTCTGCGTTTTCGTATTACTGATGGCGGGTGAACCCCTTCCGCTGCCCAAATTATTCCAGAATTGCTCGTCTCCTGCAGCGAAATTCTGACTCTGAGCCCTTTGCTGATGTAGTTTTGCTTCTGTCTGCCTCTTTTGCTGTTCTAGTAATGAGAGGTTCTTGTTCGATGCGGACCCGAAGGAGACGAGGTTCGCGAAACTGTCGTTGGCAGGGGTTGACGGTTTCGAGGGGGCTTGGCTGGAAGCTGGATTGAGCGGAGACGCCCGTCCGGAAGCAGGAGGAGTGGGTTTTAACGTGCTAAAGGCAGCGTAGTTTGAGGTCGAGGTCGAGGTCAACGTTGCTGGTTTCCGTCCGTTGACTGGGGTCGAGTTCCAGTCCAACCCCGCGATGTCGTCCATGGGTGCAGCGAGAGCAGGACGGAGCCATTAACACGGGTTCATTACGTCCCAGGGAGTAGCGCTAGACCGGTTGCTGCTAAGAGGCAAGACAAACGAGTGTGAGAGCATGGGAAGAGAGTACAATCCGATCACTGTTGATGTTGCGCATTGGGTGAGCCGCGTGCGCCACAGATATCAAAAGCCACAATAACAGCCACAGCATATGTGGGACGAGACCAGGTTTCTATTTTGGGCCATACCAATCAGGGCATAGGGAGCTTACGAAGGGTTGGAGCCGCAACTTTACCTTGGGATCAGCAGAGTTGAGAAACAAACCCATCATGTCTTCTTATCTTACGGGCCATATCTTCAAGCTTATACAGATTAGTGGCCTCGACTCATCCAAGTGGTGACACCGGACAGACATACGGGTGAGAAAGGAGTCAAAAGACAAGAAATGTGATTGCCTCGTGCTCCGTATGGTTAGGTTCGTACTGAGGGCTGGAAACGTCGACCGACGTAGGGAGTACCTCGTATACCTTCCACCAATATCATCATGAGCTCGGTGGAAAGTTACTGGACGTGGAACAGCCACTATGTTCCGGCAGCCATGCCCATTACCCAACTTAGAAGCGGTCAAGTCTCCGCGACCTGATACCATCGCGTGGCTTTTAGGTCTTTGCTGGCCTCGCCCATGATATCAACGCGATGATACCACATCCGTTTACAGCGGATAGGTCATCCAATCAATCGACCGAATTGCTCACTGGCTTGGCCTGCCACACCATTGTGACAACGTAGTACTGGCGTTTGGGTAGGTCGTCCCGAACAGGCTGCTCCTTCAGAAAGTGATAATCATCTTTGAGATCTCGTACACCTTCCCACCGAGACACATCGAGCTGTCCACTCCATTCGAGAACAAGATCTTCCCAAGCCAATGGGAACTTCCAACCCTTGGCTCTTTCGACGACCGCTTCAAGTTGTGATTTCTTTCTCTCGTCAGTCTCGAACTCCAGCACAAGCTTTCGTAGGTTAAGAATTTGGCAGATCGATCCTCCCCAAGTCCCCTCGACCATTCGCTCCTTGATGTAAGCCAGGTCTGGTTGGATCGGCTCAGCGAGCATTGCCTGGCAAGAGGTACGATGACGTCTCCATGGACAGATACCGAGGCGGTCGCTTGACGCCGGTGGTGATTCCCATGACCACCAGTCGGAGTGACGAAAGGTCAAATGGAGACTATGCGTTTTGAATGGGAATCTCCTGGCGTCAGTGGTAATGAGGTTCTCCAGATAGTACTGTTGGTTGAAAATATGGACTTTCTGGATTGCCGGTTTCTGTGCTTCATTCAAGCTGAAATACCAGGAGTCCCAGCGCGCAGTGTTGCGGTTGTTCTGGTTAAATTGTTTCCACGGGCCATTAAACAACCAGAACACATGTTCATTGGCCGAAATAGGTAGCAAACGAGTGTCGCCATAGATCTGTTTGCACGTGAAAAGAAGCGAGAAGTCGATCTTCTGATGGTATTGATATTGTGGTCTGTAGTACTTCCGATCGGCCCGATATGGTCTGGAGAGGTCGTGATCCGCAGTCAACACAAGTGTAAAGATCTGGATCCTGATCTCGGTGGGGAGTGAACACAAGAGACTCTGCCTCTGGTCGTTTTGCACAGTAGCCTCCATCTTTTCGGACATACGTTGTAAAGCAAGCCTTTTCCGCTTCCGCCGCAGGGTCGAAGTAAGTGTGAAATTTCCGATGAGAAGCCGTGCCTATTGTCCTTGGATGTTAAGAAATGCTAGGTGTTTCAGATCTCGACGATGGAGTGCTAACGTTGTACACCGATCAGAGCTTACTCTTAGCTTGCACCTCGGTCGGGATAGCTCTGGATCGAGAGAAGACTGGCCACAGACAGTGGCAGAAGAAATGGTGCTAGCACAGTGGTGAGGTCGACCCTTCTTCAAATGATACCTAGGCGGGTGGCCTGACCCGTCGGTATTGTTAGTAGCTTACAGGTTGGTGAACACTGCTGCCTTCTGTCAAGAACTTGCGAAGTGACGCGCTTACAATCTGACTGCCTCCGACACAGAGTTACGTGGCGGCCACGCGCGACAGGCTCCAACGACGAAAGGAATATTTTGGGGCGGCACTAAACTGTGAAGGTCGGTTTGGCGCGCTAGCATGGACGGCAGTCCTAGCCTAAGCTAGCCTAAACCGAGCTGGGGCCGAAGAGGCGAGCACCGGCGGCACCTGGAAGACCACCCCTGCTTTGACTCACCAGGAGCCACGTTGGTGCCCGCCAACCAGCCAACATGTTGGGGGCGCCATGGTCTTGCGCTATGCTCCCGCGTGGTTGTGGCTCGAGACGACAAGTAATCGCTCGCCTACCAGACATCCCCTCCAGTTCTCCTGAACGCTGCATATCATCGAGCCCTCAATCTAACGCGGTCCCTGAGGTATCTGTGGGAAAAGCAGCAAAGAGGAATTGTTGTTAATAGAAACCAAAGCGCTTTCGATTCAAGAGACGCACTTTAATCATTGCTGCCCAGTAGGCTTCGTCCAGCAATCACTCACACCTCACTTCTGTTTCTTTCATTTGACGCTTCTTGTGCTCAAATCAAGAAAGCCAGCACATTCTTTTCACTATCTCCATTCATTTCTCGTATTGCGTCCGGCTGTCCAGTCATAGGTCACTCTTTACAACTCTCGCTCCAGTCTCTTTGTGGGACGGTTGGTGCAACCTCGACACGTTGTTTTATCCAAAGTCTTTAGACATTGTTTGAGTTCGACTTGCCTTATACAATTATCAAGGCCTGAGATCGTATCGCATTGCGCAGTCACCCAGAAGTAACGCATGGCCCAAACCTCCATATTGACTATCCCTTGCCGTTGGAGTTGCGACACTTGCATTCCGGCTGCCTGTCGGCTACCTGCATTCGAGGTCCGCCGTGATAGGTCATAACGTGGTGGATAGGCCTTCTCCGCCATGAAGGGACTTTTCAAAAGGAAAGACACAAAACTCCCTTCAGACGGCAATAAATCGCTTCTGAGGCCTGCCGTCACTGTTGAGCGTATCTCAAATTACTCCCATCAGTCGCCAACACTCGTAAGCTCGACCTCATCATCGCCATCCTTCGGAGGAGCCATGCCTGAAATCACCATACCCGGGCCCCCAGACCCACGGACAAAGCCAGCAGCTTACCTCCGAAGCATTCATGCCGTTCGAGAAAGGTCACGGCTGGTCCTCGATGAGGCTAAGGTCAACGCCCTTAACCATTTCGATGTCGATATGACTAAGTTCAAGGACACCGCTGACTACGTTGTTTCCATCATCAAGGTATGTTAGCGACCTTGCCAGCGTTGACACACGAAACACGGCCTAACACCTTTCAGCGGGACTTTGAAGGTGACTACGCTTCAATACCGCCACACGGTCGTTGGCAGCATTTTGAGGTCGGCGGAAGGCCTAGAGTGACTCAGCTGCTGCAGACGTGGCCGACATCCATCGATAATCAGGAGAGGGCGCGGCGCTTGATCGACTTGTTCCTGGTATCAGTACTACTCGATGCGGGGGCCGGGACGAAATGGTCCTACAAGTCTAAGGAGTCCGGCAAGGTGTACGCGAGGAGTGAAGGCTTGGCTGTGGCGAGTCTGGAGATGTTCAAGGCTGGTGCATTTAGCAGTGACGCGACACAACCTCATCAAGTTGATGCAACAGGTCTGAAGAAAGTGACGGCAGAGACTTTGGTGAAGGGGATGCAAGTGTCAGAGTCGAATCCGATGTCGGGGCTCGAAGGCCGCACTGGTCTGCTGATCAGGCTCGCTTCCGCCCTCCAGAACGAGGAGATCTTTGGGGTTGACGGTCGCCCCGGAAACATGATTGGTAAGTGTTGACCATATCAGTGAGGCTAGACGTCTACTAAGCGCTCCAGACTATTTGATCTCGCATCCAACCACCCAAGCAGCCTCCGTCCCTGTCGTACTACTACCAACACTGTGGAGTGTACTTATGGATGGTTTGTCGACCATATGGCCGACAACACGGACCAGCATCCAAGGTGTTCCTCTTGGAGATGCCTGGCCTTGTGAAGCCATGCCTCGGTCTCCACCTGCTCAGCCTTGGGAGACCATTGTTCCTTTCCACAAACTTACACAGTGGCTTTGCTATTCTCTGATGGTTCCAATGACCAAGTTACTCAATGTTCGTTTCGCGGGTGCTGACTTGATGACTGGTCTTCCTGAGTATCGAAATGGCGGCCTGTTGGTTGATACAGGTCTGCTCACTCTTAAAGAGGCTGACAGACAGCGTGGCCTCAAGATCTATCATGAAACAGTGGGCGATGGCAATGCAGTTGAGGTGGTGCCGACCTTCGAACCCAGCGACGATGTCATAGTAGAGTGGAGAGCTGTTACCGTTGGTTTCCTAGACGAGCTGCTCAGCGCTGTCAATGCGGGACTGGGTCTCCAGGGCCCTCAACAGCTGAATTTGGCACAGATGCTTGAGGCGGGCACCTGGAAGGCAAGTCCTTCAAGAGACTTACAAAATGACTCAAGCTAACGAATGTCATAGGGAGGTCGTGAAATTGCGCAGGTGTCCCGTCCAATCACCAAAGGCCCACCTATCGGTATCATTTCAGACGGCACCGTCTTCTAAGACGACATCTGTTTGTGTGCTTGGACGATGATGTGTATGATGAGCTCCTGCGGGCTGGACAACAGTGATTATGAGACAACGCATGCGACTATGATGGCTTAGAGTATTCACTTCTTGGAGGAGATATTAAACGGCGAAATACTGGCATGCAAGTCAGTCCTGCATTGCTGGGGAGCTGGGCTCCGATTGCGGCTAGGGTTAGGAGGTATGAAGGTCGGAGGAAAGCGAACGGGAGCATTGCATCTGTTGCTTGCGGTCCCCTTGGGGAGAAGGTGAAAGGGAAGACCCAAGAACAGAAAGAAGGTAACCACTTTGGAAGAATTCTCTATGGGCGCTTCTTGAGCGAAACCTGCGTTTGGCATGCACCGCCAATCATCAATGACTTTTAAAAGCTCCAATTCAGTCACTCGTGGTGGCTATCCTGCAGTATCGAAGTGAATCCAAAACGAGGCTCTCTCTGCTTTGATTTCTTCGTGCTTCATACGTCCTGACGCTGCACACACTTTACAACTTGCCGTTTCCTCGGAGATCCAGTGCTCGCTGACCAGGCCTGGGTCCTCCGCAACCCGGTCATGAGAGAACATGGCATACTCGCAAAGACCTTCAAGTACCTCTCAGTACTTCCCAAGAAGATCTGGCCACAAATACTTCAAGTATCAGGCATGTTGCTCGCACTTGATATCCGCAGTTTCGGGACTTGTGCACTCGATGGCTGTGCAATCCTCCGCAGCGCAGTTGTATCTTCCCCAGCTTTTCTCCCCACCTCCGTCACGTTCTTTTTCCACATTGCAGCTCAGCTGCACAAGATCAAGGCCGTTCTGCGCTGAGGGTGCGACCAGGCACCATGGACACGAGGAAGAGGAAAAAGAAGGTGCTGTTGATGGGTAAGAGTGGCTCAGGAAAATCATCTATGCGCTCTATCATCTTTAGCAATTATGTCGCAAAGGATGTCCGACGGCTTGGAGCCACGATCGATGTGGAACACAGCCATGCTAAGTTCATGGGCAACCTCACCCTGAACCTATGGGACTGCGGAGGGTACGAGACCCTTTGTGCGTTCAGGTCATGCAAGTCTACTAATTTCCTCCACGCAGACAGGATGCGTTCATGGACTCGTACCTCAACGCTCAACGCGAGAATGTCTTCTCCGACGCCGAAGTCCTCATCTACGTCTTTGATATCGAGTCCCGCGCCGTCGAACAAGATCTTGAGACGTACAGTCAAGTTGTCAAGGCACTGAAAGAGTATAGCCCGAATGCCCACGTGTTCTGCTTGGTACACAAGATGGACCTGGTCCAGCACGAGCTCCGTGAGAAGATATACGAGGAACGATGCCAGATGATCGCCGCACGGTCGGAGGGGCTGAGTCTCGAGACATTCGCAAGCAGTATATGGGATCAGACGCTATACAAGGCCTGGGCCGGAATCGTACACAAGATGATTCCGAATCTGGTCATCATTGAGCGCTTTTTGGAAGCATTCGCCAAGCAACTCAAGGCCGAAGAGATTGTCTTATTCGAGAGGTCAACTTTCCTGACTGTCACGAACGTGGTTACACAATCCGGCGAGGACAATGACAACGTTGACCGACACGAGCGTATATCAAATATCATGAAGAGCTACAAGCATACAGCGGCGAGAAATACCAGGACCACGGCGGCAAGTGCGGGTTTCCTCTTATACAAGGTCCAGACGCCACGTTTCAATTGCTTCCTAGCCAGGTTCACAGAGAACACGTATATCTACGTGGTTGTCCCTCCAGGAGAAGCAGCGTTCAACTGCGCGGTGCTGAATACCATGATGGCGAGAGATGCGTTCAGCAAGAAGACTGGGGTCGAAGGATGAACTCTTGGAGTAGCTCACCCTTTCGCCCCAGTTTCACAAGTCCGACTTATCTCCAGCAATGTTCATTTCGTCCCGGGAGGAGGGACACCGGGACAGATCCCCTACGGCTCACAGCCATATCGCTGGTCCTTAAGAAGATCATGCCACAGAGGTATATCGGTTCTCCTCTTCTAGCATCAGGCATTACAGCACCGCCGTGGGACTATGCTGGTTGTCTGAACAACCATGGCGGAAAGCGATCGGGTGACTTTGTCGAGGAAGACTCGTCAGAGCTAGCAGATTACCTAGGTAACAAGCGCAATCACCTGTGACTTCCTCCTCGCACCCAGTGGCCTCGGCTCCTTGCTGCGATTATAGAGGTGCTACATCAACCCCAGCTCGGTACCAAACCCTACCGAAAGAAGTGACGCTGCTATTCAAGGGAGCGCTCGCAAAGGCAGCGAATTCGATCCCGAAGGTCCGACATCAGCACCTTGTTTTCGAGGCGTCAGAGCCTTGAGGGACCAAGCCGAGTCTCATCAAACCCACGAGCCGATGAAAGAGAGCTATCCTCAGATATGGCTCAATTTCACCTGCTCGATTGTGGAGAAGGAAAAAAGGTGGGAATGTCCGAGATATTGGCGTAGGATATCCATATCAAGAACGGTGGGCTCCTCAGTCGTAAGGCACGTTGGTTTTTGAGGCCGTTGCATATACAAGGTTGCTCGCGACAAGTTGGCCACGGTGAAGGCTACTTTGTGTTGGAACTGAGATGTTCGCCAGAACACGTTGATCCAGGATGCTATTCTTTGTCGGACTGAGGAGGGTGATGGAAGAGATAAGCGTGGTGTTATGGTAGCTAGCGATGGCGGCGGTACTTGAGCGACACACTCGCGAGCATATGCCGAATTTCTCACATAGTCTCACAGTTGCCTTATCCATTCCTCACTTGTACCTCGTGAGGCACTGGTGACCGTTGTGCAATACATGACACGTGACCGTCGCTTCTGCCAAGGTGCCTCGGCCGGATTTGCCGGATTTTCCGAGCTCGCTCTCTTCTTTTGCACCTCAGCTTCATTTTCCCGCCTCCACCTTCGTACTTCCGTACGAGCTGTGGACATCCTCATCCATCCGTTTGCGTACGACTTTGAGCGATCGTGGATCACCCGAAGATAGTACGAAAGATTATGTGTTGGTTACTCGGCAATAGCCATGCCCAAAGAACGTCAAACATGCACCGAGTGCTCTATGCGCCGGCAGAAATGTGATCGAAACTTACCTTGCGGTCGCTGCGTCAAGCGGGGCGATGCCGATAAGTGCACCCGGGAATGGCCAGAAGGTGGCTATGATCCCAGGAAACATCGAATATACCCTCGGTCATCCACAGCAGCGGAGGCCAGTCCTGCCTCCACCGCACCGTCACCAAGAAATACGCAGGTCCATGTCCCAGAATCCGCCGTTCATCCGTCTTTGAGGACGCCCAAGTCTGTAAACTCTGGACCCAGCCCTCGTGAACTGCCAGCAGTTCATCCAATCGTGTTCAACCCACAGCCGACTAATGCTGCGGACCCGGCTGCCGATAATACTGCCCCTGTGCTAGAGTTCCTTACCTGGGGTCGGAACAAGTTGTCCGACTATGATCTAAAAGCGCTGGAGCTTCTCAAGGAGCCTCACCAGACGGGCAACGCTGGGCTTCCCAAGGACAGTGGTTCCGACTGGGATATATCAAACGGCTTCGGTGGCACTGGTGCCGCTCAAGTCTCCTTTTTGCAGTTGCTACTTCCGAATCGCAAGCAGGTCTTTCAGCTGGTCGAGTACCATGTCAGCTCGATCTTGTGGTACCATGGCTGCTTCTATGGCCCGACTTTCTATGATGAGCTGAAAGAAGTATACAAGGGCCCTAGTGGAATGCAAGTCAGAAATATGGACCTTCGCTGGACCGGCTTGCTCTTCGCTGTGATGGCTGGGAGCATGACTTGTGCGAGCGAGCAATTGGCCCAATCTTGGGGCTTTAAGAAGCACGAAAGAGCAAAACTCACGCGGCAGTGGTACAAGGCTACAGTGACGTGCCTTAACCTCGCAGACTACATGTGGCGGCATCATATTTACTCTGTACAAGCCATCACAACTTTGACCATGTCAGCTCATATCCTCGGGTTCAGCAACACTCAAAGTACCTTGTTGGGTGCAGCTGTCAAGATTGCTCAGGGGCTTGGTTTGCAACGGCTCGGACACGAAGACGAGACAACCAATGCCACCGGTACATTGACTCCGTCCGCACCGGCTCAGCGGGATAGGGTTATCAGGCGAGAAACGGGTAGGAGGATCTGGCAGCAACTGTGCATCCAGGACTGGTTCTCAATCCCCTTCTCCGAGATGTACTCCATCCAGAAGCTTCATTTCACCACACTCAAACCCATCCATTGCGATGACGACACGATGGAACTCTTACCGGAAGATGTTCCGAGCATGACGAGCTTCCCGACGTTCCTGTGCCACATTGCCGGCTTGATGCCTCAGATGCACGATGCAATTATCTCCTCGAATACCCTCTACACAAAATATGAGCAGGTGCTAGACTACGATGCACAGATGCGCTCCCTTGCCACCGAAGGGCTCCCACGATTCTTCAACACCAGGGAAGCAATCCAACCGGAATGGCCTGTCTGGGTCCCATGGGCCAGACGGAGCTTGACTATCTGTTTTGCTCACAAGATCATCATGATTCACAGGGCATTTCTGGGAAGGAGTTTTACCGAACATACTTTCGATTTTACTAGGCGGACGTGCATGGCTGCCGCAAAGACGATCCTCAAGGAAGCCAGGCAGGCGTATGATGAAGAAGGGCCAACGTTGTGGATCGACCAGGCTTTCATGGTCGCGGCAGGAATAACCCTCGCCTTGGACATTTTCCATCGAAAGCCGAATGAGCCCGAATTTGAAGAACACCGAAAGCTGGTCGAAAACACCATTGTCTTGCTGGGCAAGTTTGAGAACAGCATGATTGCACTGCGTGGCATCCGGCTGCTTTCTTCTCTGCTCGCGGAGCAGGCTCGCTTGACAGCTGACCAGACACTGGAGAACTATCGAAAGCGTACGCATGACAGTATGAGCGGAGATCGGGGTCAACCCAAGCGGCAGAAATTCAATGTCCCCAAGTTTGTCGAGAATTTCGTCGGGAACGACTCGTTCACGCATTCCCTGCGGACCGCCAGTAGAGGCGTGGAGCCTTCTCTCGACCTTTACGAACCGACCGATTCGAGATCGAGGACGCCTGGGTCACAAGACCCCATCACCAACTCAGACCTGGGTTACGAGACGTTCGAGCAACTCTTCCCTCCTCATACCGGGATCAGCAACAACTTCCTCTTTGAAGATCTGCTGAATTTCGACATACAGGAAGCGCTGTGAGCGGGGGAAGAAAAGCACAAGGCTGTGCGGAACACTGGCTGCACCGATCCTATCATTAACGTACGATTATTGACGATGTTTGATAGGCGGGACAAGGGTGGGGGCGGCGTTGGACAGCCTTATCGGGTTGTACATTGATGACCACTATCAGTGGTCAAGAGATTCCGGACCTGAGATGCCCGCTTGATATTGGTTGGGGAAACACAAAAGCAAAGGATCTCGTCTCCTCCACCCTCCTTGATGAGCTTCATCAATCTGCGTCTATCTCTGTTCTAATCCTGCAACGATAGACGCATAGTGGGCTATTCTACAGCTCTCTACACCCATTCGGTTGATAGAGCTGAGCTATTGCAAACCCAAGGGCAGTGGCACAATGGCTCCAGAGCAGCGCAGATGTGGCGACCGCTCCATCCCCACCATATCGCTCGCCGACTATGAAACCCGGATCGACCAGATCGCCTCCGAGCTAGTTTCCGCGGCCCGAAAACGTCGGCTTCTTTAACATCGTTGACCACGGCATCACCGCAGGAAACATTGTAAGACATGTTCTCGCAGTCAGCACGCTTCTTGTCCCTTCGCGCCGAACCTCAAAGCTAAAGTCGCCTGTGTTGGCATGGCAGAAAAATGCACAAGTCCCACTCTCGAATGGCGCCGCTGATCGCAAGGAACCATACCAAATGCAGTTCGGCGAGAAACTTGGAAGGGAAGTGGCTCGACGAGGAAGCCAACACCAAGTGCCTCACATCTCCGCTCTCCTGGCCTACCCATGTAGTTTGCTGCAGCAACGACCAGACTATAAATCTGCAAAATTGGAAGCACTTCTCACTTCTGATCAAAGGATAGCCCAGAATAGTAACTTGGGCCAATGATTGACTGAAACTGCCTTCGCGCAGGGTGCTGTCCCTACGGATTGTCTTGCTTGGTCGCTGTCCAGATGCCTCGTTGCTTCGGATGAGGAACATCTCGACATTCTGTTTGCGTTTGAAGGCAAGCGTTTGTCCAAAATACGCCGTCATAGCTCTCTGTCCGCGACGAGTAGCTCCCGGAACTCCCGCTTATCTTTTCATCGAAAACAACATGTTGGGATCCAGTGGCCGTTAATATACAAGCAAATTGCCGGAAGACGACGTACGACCCCCGAGGTTCTCCCCAGTATCCGAGAGCTGAAGAACCAGATCTGTTCTAGAGCCAATATGTCCAACCCGGGAAGGACAACACTTGTCTTGGAGGGTAATCAGACAGCATGCGCTTCCCAAGTCTTGACGTGGACGCCCTTGAAACCGGATGCTTCATCGCTGCCCTTGGTTCGCGTGCTCCCTGGCCCATCGGCAAAGTTGGTAAGTTGGACCTCGTCGTCACTTTGAACACGGTTCCAAGATCGTTGCATGTTCTGGGTCCCCTTGCTGTCCGGCCCTGACGCCTTGCCACCTGAGAAGCCCGAGGTACCCTTTGATCTTGACGAGGTGTGGGCTTGTTTCCAAATCCGCCGGAAGAGGGGCGCGTAGCAGGGGATACAAGCGCAGACAATGCCAATGAACGGCTCGCAGCAGGACCAGATGAAGACGCTCGACATGGCCCAGGTCAGGTCGGGACTGTTGATCAGCTGGTGGATCGTGATGATCCGGACGATGGAGGCAATGCAAACACTGTCTCGGCGTCAGTATGCAATTGTGTCCGATAGTAGTCAGTCAACGAAGCTTACAAGGCGCCGAGTCCAAGGACTGCTAAGATCATGATCTTCATGTTTCTCGACATGTGCAATTTGTAAACTGCGGACATTATGAGCATATGTAGCGACAGCGAGCGGGTCGGCGGGACTCACTTGGTCGGATTGGAGTGATCAAGATGCAGACATCGACCAGCATGGCCCAGATGCCGTTTGCGAAGAAGAACAACGACACATTGATGCAATGGCCTGTTGCCCCCGGGGTCGTGTACTGAGTCTGGTTTCGAAGGGTCAGCCGTCTGACTATCTGGGGCATATAGAAGGAGCACTTACCCAAAAGTATTCCAACGGCTGGCAACCGGTATTGATCACAACGACGATGACCACGAAGTAGCTCCACACCAAGAAGAGACAGATGTAGGTTGTCCACTTTTGGTGGAAGAGACGCCAGTAGAACATGACAATGGACGCCTTGGTGAAGCTGACAGCGCCGGCATAGATCATCACGTAGGCGAAAAGAATCTGTCGTACAAGGTCAGCAGATGATTATTCGCTGCAGTGGGCTCAACATACCTGCCAAATGGTCGTAAAGTCCTGTGCCGACAAGACCCATAGGTGTTTTCCACCTCCATATGGAAGACCTGAACCCAGTCAGTCTCGAGAAGATCGTACCGCTTGGGACTTCGGAGAGACTCACTGACTAAAGAACAGATTGCTGTGCCATGCGCCAAAATCTGATATTATGAATTAGAATGGAGCTTCCTAAAAGGTATCACATCATAGCTGCTTACCAGCGCCGGGATGATCAAGTAGTCATCCCACGACAAAAACTTTCTCCCATCGCGCAGGAACTGGCTGATAAAGCGCAAAACCACAGCAATGGTGCCAATCACCATCAAACTGACGACTGCTTGGACGACCGCTGCATTGTGTGTCTTGGACAGGTCAACGCCTGGTGGCGTGGGACCGAAAACTCCGCTGTTGGACATGTTCTGTGCGCTTCAAGCACAACTAAGAATACAGGAAGGGATGGTAAAACACAGAGTTGCAGCTAAGGAAAGTGAAAGCGGAAGAATGGGAATGAGACAAACTTGGCTCCGATGAATGCCGTGCAGTGGCGTTCGCAAACCTTATATGTTCCATCAAGGATTCAAACCGGCAATATACCAGAAGTGCTATAATAGCTTCCTATGCTCTTTTGGGACTCAAGACCGTTCGGGTGTCATGATCTCAAAGGTGGATGGGGATGCAATATCCGCTGGACTAGGGCTCGGGGAGCCTTGACCCCAGGGATACAAACCCTAGACGTCGGGCTCCGCAACGCTTACTACTGTACGCAGGATTTCCTAGGAATCGTTGTTAATGAAATGCAGGGGGCTGAAGTCGATCAACTTGTCAAGACTCAAGCTATCAACCAGATGCTCTGTTAGCATTAACACCAAGCGTATTACTCATCCTCAACGCAAGAATTGACGGCGACAAGACATCATCAAGGCGCTGAGCGACTCCAAGGCTTGGTGACCAAGATTCCTCGTGAACGGTTCTCGTGAGATGGATGATGTTTCCTCGTACGAGGTACCCTGTTTGTTTCATTGGCGTCCTGTTGCGTACCTACAGTAGCTGGATGATCTGCAATGCATTAGGTACATGCTAATGGAATTGTTACGGGCGCTGATCCCGTCGTGAACCAGCCGAAATGATTTTGCGTGATTCTGGTACTCGTCCCTCGTACCCGACCGTTAGAGAGGTCCACCTTCACTCTCGCTCATGGGTGGTGGCTGGCCCCGAGAAAGGGTACTCCGTACTCGTCCCGACTTTGGCACCAAGGGGCTTTCTTGGCACAGGCACGGCAGAAGTCCATCTTTGGATCATCGGAGAGTCATAGCCCAGGTGCATAGCTTTTCCTGTCGTTTGTTGATGAGCTCAGTCAAACTTTGGCAGTGCTCTGATGGGTGGATCTCAGCCGTTGGCAGGATGGAGAGCTACCTCAGACAATACGTTCGTACTAGGAAGGAGCGGTCAAGAGAGCCGTGTCGTTGGCATTGCCGGAGATTTCTGCGGGAGACGCTACTGTGGGACTGTCTCATTAGTGCCCATCCGCCCAACGGTCCGGAGGATCATCCGCGGCGGCGCCACAGTCTGGAATCTTATTGCAGCCACTTTTAAGTTCCGCCACCGAATCATGGACACATCAGCTCCTCGCCTCGTCCGGGGAAACGTTTCAACTAACCTCAAGTGGCACGACCAGCCCCGACCTCGAAACCGGGAACGCAGGCTACTGTATGCTCGTGGAGAAGGATGGTTGCAAGCTATCTTCCCGAGCCGAATCGGTGCTGACGCGATTTGTAGCTCGACTCTAACGGCGTCCTGATACGAGCTACCACCTGCCGATCCAGAACGAGACCCTCAGATTGCCCACTAACACAGGTACACAGTACAGAAACAGAATGGTGGAACTTACTCGTGAGCTGCTAACACTTGATGCAGCCTTGCGAGTGCCGATCCGCTCCCTTGGTTTCGCGGCACTGCATGTGTTTGTCCCTCTTTCCCCATCCCCTGGCGCAATCAGAGAAGAAACTGGAACCCATCCCTGCTGCTACCCGCGTTAATGTGCGGGCTTCCATGGAGCCAGAACCTGCTCAGCCTGCGCCCCAAGAGCAGGACCCTACTAGTTCCGCCCTCGTTATCTCCTCCTCAGTGGTAGCCTTGATTAATCCGACAAGCCGTTCACGGTCCGCTGCATACCATAAGTACGCTATTTGCGATACCCCTATCCTGCCCTATCAAGCAGCTCAATGTTCGTTTCAACTACTTTTTGCCTTCCAGACAACTGGACGGCGTGCTCCACCGTCGTCCTCAAAGATGAAGCGGTTCCGAGACTGCCCAGATGCCGCCACGCCAGAATTTTCATGAGCTCTCTCACCGCCCCGTAGGGAGCTTTCGTATTTATCACACTCAAAGGCTGCTAAGACTGTGATATCTCGGTCGTCAACAATAAAGCAGGGAGGACCGACTGAGAAAATGGGATCTATTCAGGAGCCAGCGTCGACAAACGGCAGTCAGGAAGCGAACGGGGTCTCGCTATCGGCTCCGATCCTCACGAGGAGAAAATTGAAGATCGTCTGCATCGGTGCTGGGTTTTCTGGTCTTACGCTTGCCCACAAGATCCAGCATGAGTGCAAGCTGGAAGATGTGATCGATTTACAGATTTACGAGAAGAACGCTGACATTGGAGGGACCTGGTACGAGAATACATACCCTGGTGCCGCATGGTAAGCATATTCCGTATTCTTGGGCCTGGACGTCAAAGCTGACCCCGGGAAATAGTGACGTTCCAGCTCGTGAGAAAGCCGTCATCCGGTCTTTCTGAATCCATCGCTGACCTGACACGCAAATAGATGCGTACACGTTTCTGTTCGAGCCGAACCCAAACTGGTCCAAGTTCTATGCCGACCAACCCGAGATCCACGCCTACATCAAAGCCACTGTTGCAAAATACAACCTGGACAAATATGTGACCCTCAAGTCAAAAGTCTTGGAGACTGTCTGGGACGACGACGCCGGAAAATGGAAGATAAAGGTCGAGGTCAACGGAGGCCTGCAGGAGGATACTGCAGATATTCTTATCAATGGCTCTGGGTTTCTCAAGTCAGTCCCCACATGCGCTGCTACTTGGTCCATATGGGGTGGTATTAACAACCGACAGCAAGTGGAAATGGCCCCAGATTACTGGGTTGCATGACTTCAAGGGGAAGCTCGTCCACAGCGCAAAATGGTAAGCCCGGCAAGGTGCAATTCGGGTTCCTCCGTACTGAGACGTTCACAGGGACAATAACTACTCCTGGGAGGGCAAGAAAGTCGCCGTCATCGGCAATGGTTCCTCGGGCATCCAAATCGTGGCGGCCATGCAGCCGAAAGTCGAGAAACTGGTCACCTACATCCGAAATCCCACCTGGATTTCGATCAACTTCTGCGCCGACAAGACCACGGACGGCAAGAACTTTACTTACACGGAGGAGCAACGAAAAACGTTCAGAGAAAATCCCCAAGCTCACTTTGAAATGCGCAAGGACTTGGAGTCTTCGTAAGTCAATATTCCCCAACAAGAACAGGAATATAGGCTGACCCATTGTCCCTTGCCCAACAGCATCAACGGTTTCTTCTTTGGCATGAAGACCGGACACCCCTTCCAGCAAGGGCTGGAAGCCGCGTGCAAAGCGCAGATGGGTGCAATCCTGAAAGAGGATCCCGAGCTTGCCGCGAAGATGATCCCGCAGTTCCACCCTGGCTGCCGACGCCTGACGGTGAGTTCCTGCTTTGTTCGCCGTTCTCAAGTCCTCCCTCACTGACACTCGAAAGCCTGGGGACGGATACCTCGAAGCTCTTCAACAACCGAACGCCAAAGTCTGCTGGTCTCCCATCACGGAGGTCACCGAGAAAGGCATCAGAACGGCAGAAGGAGAAGAAGAGTTCGACATGATCGTCTGCGCCACGGGCTTCGACACCAGCTTCGTCCCCTCGTGGAAACTCGTCGGTCTCAACGGCGCAACCTTGGACCAGAGATGGAAGACCGACCCGGACGCCTTCTTCGCCGTCCAGGTCGACAGCATGCCCAACTACTACATGTTCAATGGACCCAACTGTCCCATTTCGCATGGCTCGGTCCTGACCGAGATTTCCTGGACGTGTGATTACATCCTTCGGTGGGCCGAGAAGGTTGCCACTCAAAACATCAAGTACGTTTCTCACTCCCCGCGTCCCCTGCCACTGGGCAAAAAGAGACTGACTGTCATGAACCAGATCAATCACCCCAAAGCCCGAAGCGGTGGCCGACTTCAACGCGTACTCGCAGGAATTCCTCAAGGACACCGTGTGGGCGGACGACTGTCGGTCTTGGTACAAGAACGGCAAAGAGAAGGGCACCGTCACCGGCACGTATGCCGGCTCCATCCTCCATTTCAAGGACGGTCTGGAGAACATTGGCGCCGAGCACTTTGACATCACGTGGCGGAGCAAGAACCGGTTTGCCTGGCTGGGCAACGGCCAGAGTCTCCATGATAAAGACGGCATGGGTGATATGGCGTACTACATGAAGAATCTCGAGATCTAGACGATCTGAACGGAAGCGACTCCTCGGGACAGTACCTTCTGTGCAGGGTGCTCCCAATGGATGGGTCTGCCTCATCGTCACCTTGTAGTACACAGTATATATGCAACCATGTGATTCATCGACCAGACTCGACCGTAACAGCATGCATCCTATCAATTCTTTGTCTTCTGAGCGGTAATGGACTTCACTTCCTCTCTGGACAACGGCTCCTCAGCACAGTATGTACCTTGTTCGATCCCACCCCTGAAATCCACCCATGTGTCCATGTCCACGTCCATGTCCATGGCTCCAGACCGCACCCGGACGGTGCCATTTGTTCTTCCTCGCCTGCCACCATTCAAAGTCACATCTCGGACTCGGTATGTCATGGTAGAATAAATGGCACGCCGTGGCACCCGTACCTACGCCGAAATACATCCCGAGCCCCGCGGCGCGGTCGATAAACTCAGTCCACGAAATACCTACCTACTGCGTCAACCTATCATGCCGACTGACCTCCCGCCTCCTCAACTTCGCTACAGCACTAGTACTTCCCGAACCTCTTCTCCCTGGTCGTGGACTTCCCCATCTAACTTACCGCGCCGCCTTGATGTGCTCTTCGTCCTCCAGATGCGCCGTGGGCGTCATCTCAAAGGCCCGCCCCGTCGCCGGGTTCTCGATGGGCACGCTCGGCACCAGCACGAAAAGCATGCGGCAGCTCTCGGTGCTGACGTTCTTCCAGGCCTGGTTATATAGGGGGTCAGCGGTGATGAGACCTTGTATGGTGCGGTTGCACGTGCTGTATCCGACGAGGCGGCAGAGTGTGGCAGTCAGGCGATCAGTCAGTAGAGCACGTACATGGTCAGTTCCCCTCTGCACGCAGACGTCACCCTCCCGGAAAACGGTCTCGCTCCCGTCGTCCAAGACCATGGTGATGGTGCCGCTGAGGACGATGCCAAAGTCGACGCTCTGCGTGCGGTGGGTGATGTTCACTTCGTCGGGCACGGTGCCTACCGCTGGGACTGCGGGCCCGGCACGTGGAATCTGGTCAGCAAGGATAGGTACGTATGAATCCGTGTGATGGGGTCCCGTTCTGTTTGCGCACTTACAGTCGACGATCCGCGCAACCACACCCGTCTGGTCGACTAGGCCGATCTTCTTGCCATGCACGTCGTACCATGGCCCTTGGACGTTCGTGGCGGGGACGCCTGTTGTTTTGAACAGGTTGGTGAACCCCGGGATGATGCCCTCGGGCGGCGAGCCGGCGGGGTCGAGCGGGTTGGCAGGCGTGAGGCTCGTGTCGGAGATGATGACGGATTTGCCGGATTGATCGTGGCCTGGAGCGACGGATGTAAGAAAGGGAGGGTGATTGAATAGGCATGCGCGGGCAGGAGTTTAGACAGACCGGTCACGACGCGACGTGTTGTGGGGAGAGGCATCTCAGGTGGGGACTGTGCAGAGATTCTTTGAGGGAAAGGAAGGAACCTAGAAGAGAAGTCGGCGAGCCCACTATGGAGGCACTGGTGGTGGAGGTGGGAGTGGACGATATTGGTGGTGGAGGTGGAAGTGGACGATATTGGTAGTGGCTGTGATTTAAATGCGCCGGTGGGTTGACCTCTATATATCTGTACTTGTATCAAGTCGATAGGAAGAGGCTGTGCCGAGTTGGTAGGTAACTAGGTAACTAAGTCGGGGGGCGAGTGCAAGATCCACCGTCTGACCGTCTGCATCAGTTAACCTCGAAACTATTACCTCGTGGTTGAGAGAAAGGAAGCTTGCTTGGTGTTGATGGACAATCCGATTTGGCGACCAAAGGGGAATGACACCGAGGTCCCCACTCAAGAGGTTGTTGGCTCGTCGTGTTGGGGACACAAGCATTTTGTCTTCTCCACTGATTTTCAGCTCGCTGGTCGACAAGAGTCGGCTGAGCGTATTTCGTGTGGAGGTGCAATGTCCCAATGTCGCTGCCTACCCTCGGTGACTTCCAGAATCAGGTGCGGTGATAGACGTAATCTTCCACAAAGGGTCAAATACTAGATGTAACGTCACGACCTGGCCGAGTCCAGCGAGACTTCACGTATGCCGCCGTCGCAACAATGCTGCGGAATAACAGGGGTCACAACGGAGGACTTTGGCGCTGCTCGCTGCCATGTAATCAGTTAACCGGGAATACAGTAAAGCAGGCGATCAGCAGCGCGATGACAATAGTTCGAGTGTTGTACGACCCAACAGCACCTTATGGTGTACTTGGAAGATATATCAGCCTGATGCCGACAGATGAGAGCAGTTCATGGGCGCAAAGCTTCGTTCCTGTCAGTTGAGGCTGGCTGTTATGCTTGGTCAGAGTTGCCGACACTCAGAAACAGGGGCTAGACTCGCAAGTGCCCCGAATCATGCTTAGTAGAGCTGCAGCGTTTGTGTCAGTTGAAACAGAGACTACCGTTGTCCATCCTCTTCCACTTCCTCCGTAAGCATAAATAACCCGAGGCGGTTGACTTCGGAGGCACGTCACGATCGGATTGGGTCAGCTACATCAAACGACAGACTGAATGGTCGGGACGTCACGACGAGATAGAGCTCGAAGCCATGGTCGGGAGATTTGATGCTGGACGAAATGCTGCTTGATTGATGCCCCGTCATACTATGCGTACCGAGGCCATCGGACAGCATGAAGCTGTGCATGTCTGACTGCCTCCACGTTAGGTTGTCCTCCCCCAGTCGGTGCTGATGACCGCTTGATTTCAACCACTCAGCGCCTTTGCTCTTGCTGAAACAAAACTCGAACTATGATAAACTGACGTATGCTGCCACCGAATCTGGCGCAATACTTCCCCTTCAAGCCCAATGACAATAAGCTTGCTTCGTAGTGGAAGTCCTGCGGGGTATCCTCGTATTGCCTTGTCCGCCCAAGCGCCGTTCCAGCAACTGTCCAACCAAAGCCATGGTTTTCATTCTTCAGTGAGTGCCATCTCGCTTACAAAAAGGCAGCCAGACCCAACAAAGCAGCGCCAGCCACGCCGAAGCCGGTCGGCACAACAGCAGCAGCGTTGGTGGTGGACGAGCTAGTTGCAGAGGCAGCGGTCGCAGTCGCCGAGCTCAGAGCTGAAGATGCGCGAGATGCGACCGAACCTGCCTGGCTTGTCGCTGCACTCAAGGCGGAGGCGGCTTCAGTAGTGATGCTTCCCAGAATGTTGTCGGCATTCGACGTTAAGGAGGCGAGACTGGCGACCGCTCCGGTGTTGCCGGTGGCGGCTTCCGAGCTTAGGCTGGAAAGGGTTGCTGAGAAGGCTGATTTGGCAGAGCTAAAGCTTTTGGCAATGGATTGTTCGGCATTCTCGGCTGAGTTGGAGGCAGAGGCGGCAACATTCGATACGGAATTTGAGACCGAGGCAAGTGATGCAGCGATCTCTGATGAGACGGACGACAAGGAGCTCATAACCACCGAGGGTGTCAATGGCAATGAGCTGGTTGTGGCACTTGGCTCATTGCCTTGAGCCAAAGCCGGCACGGCGAGGAGGGCGGAGATGATGATGGTGGAAATCTGCATGGTGCCAACCGGTGGAGAAGTGAAGTCTATCGAAGAGTACTTGAATTGGCTCAAGAGATGTGTCGGGGTCAGAGGAATCGAGAGGATGTGTTCAGTCCACAAAGGGAAGATGTCTGATTGATATACTGAGAGATAAATGTCAAGGCAAGCGCTTTGAAGGAGTAATGAACGCTCAAGAGGCAGCTGCGTCATGGCACCAGAAAGAGAAAGAAACCAAGACACAAGTGGCTTGTGCGGCCAAACGGGCAGTTCCTCACCTCGATCGGGGTTTGCTATTCGCTGCGAGCGCCACAGTCGTAGAGGCTTCAGGCACGGTCACTCGACCTTCGTTACATGTGATAGGCTTCCGACCGCATTGTGAAGCCTACTGTGTAGTGGGCGTGACTACAACGAGGTGGACGGCGGCGACTTTCATTCTTGACCTGGAATTAACTGGCGAGCCGTGTTGTGGTTGGTTGGGATCGGAAGCAAACCAGCTTGGATCGCCATGTCGTCATCAAAGCCACCAGATCCGACCACCGCCAAGCCAACTTTAGTCCCGTTCCAACGGTTTGCCTCGGCAGACTTGAGGCATCTTTCAGGTCACGTGGTATGATCTCGCTTGACAACGTTTTGCAAGTACGGTGGATTTCTCGTCACAACTCAATCACCTCGATCAATCCCAGTTCTTGACCTTTGGATGGCCAACACACAGGATCAGCCACCTCGAGTGCCACAAGGCAGTATGGACCACGGGTTGTGGTGAAACAGTGCCCATAGGCTTACTGTACGCAGTCAAAGTTCTCCAAGCGGCGCCTGCCCACGACCGCACACTGCGCCGTCGCACTCGAGCTTACTTGTTGGTAACCACGTACAAGTCGTCCTTGTTACAGAGGTAGCGCAGCCGGTAGTCCATCGACGAATAGGGAACATCAACACAGAAGGAAGCTCGCTTCCACAACCAATGCCACATCATTATGAGCCTCCCTTTCCAAGAGAGCGTCGCAGGCAGTCTATCAAGGACATTTCTTGCGTGCTTGGGATATTCAATGTACACAGTAGTCCGTACATAGGAGAAAAGGCAGAGGCACGTGTGAAGGTGAGCACTGCAATTGGATAGATAGCTACTTGTATGCAGGAACGAAGGCCTGCGGTTGGACGTTGATCCAGCTAAGAAAGCCTCCGACCGGCCCGCTTTGCTCCTATTGGCTGGTGGCCCTTCACGTTCTCAGATGAGAATTGAACTTCTGCTGTTGACCTCATTGCACGAGAACGCATGGAACCGAAGACGAGGTATTGACCATATATTGCGACGTCAAACCCTTCTTGATCCTCTGCTTTTGAGTTCGTCTTTTTCAACCGTTCCTCGGCAGCTTGTCGGTGATCTCACTCATCGTTCAACATGGTCTTCTCCGTTTTGCTCCTCGCAGTTCCCTTTGCGCTGCAAGCGAACGCGGCTTCAATACCAGCTTCAGCACAAGCTATCGGTCTGGACATCAGTGCTACTCTCCAAAATATATTGGCGAATACACAGCAAAGCGATGCCTACACATATCCTACCGATTTGACGAGAGGCATTGTTGTGGTAAGTCCGCCGACACTGGAATGGCTTATGCCAGAGTGACGTTGGATGCATTCGCACACGTCGCAGAGAGCGCTTACACCTTCCTGACCACCTTCTTTTCGTCTTCACGTTCATCCACCTCGTGTTGCTGCTCGCTGCTCTATCTGGCCCTGCCTCTGACATCTCTCCCAGAAACCAATTCACTCACACAACGATTACTGGCGCGACGTTCCATTCTACTCAGCACTATCGGTGGGCTGTGCATCGATCGAAGCCGACGTCTGGCTTTACAACAACACCCTCTACGTAGGTCATGAGACCTCGGCCCTCACACCGGCTCGCACGCTCGACTCGCTCTACATCCAGCCCCTGCTGGACACGCTGAAGCGACAGAACCCCTCCTCACCATTCGTCACGGCACCGACCAAGAACGGCGTCTACGACACCTCCTCGGGCCAGACTCTGCTCCTGTTTATTGACCTTAAAACCAATGGGACGACAACCTGGCCCGCCGTTGTCACTGCTCTCCAACCTCTACGGTCAGCGGGTTACTTAACCACCTTTAATGGTACGGGGGTCACCGTTGGACCTGTGACGGTTATTGGCACGGGCAACACGCCACTCAACCAGATCCAACCAGTCCAGCAGAGAGACTACTTTTTCGACGCGTCGTTACACTTGCTGAGCTCGACGCAATCAAACATCACGGCGGCCGTGTCTCCTGTGGCATCGACGGCTTTCAGTGCCCAAATCGGCGCCATCAACGGTACTACGTTTAACTCCACGCAACTCGCGACGTTGAGAAGTCAGATCGCGGTGGCCAAATCCAAGGGAATCCTCCCGAGATACTGGGACACTCCGGGGTGGCCTATCAGCACCAGGAACGCAGTCTGGGGAACCTTGCTCGAAGAAGGTGTAGGATTGTTGAACGCTGATGACTTACCTGCAGCGGCGGGCTTCGGAGCGTATTACGGACTATGGTGATGTCAAAGACGGCCTTGCAGCCCGGGTAGCGCGTGCCTTTGTTGCCTGTACAGATCACGATTCTCACGACAAGAATCTCCTAGATTAAGATATACCAGGGTCGATAAGTATACGGACCATCATATGCGGAGCAAGTATATATAATCAATCGTGCTTTACATTCCACATACGCACAGGTTATAGTCTGCCCTTTTCTCTCTTCTCGAAGGCTCCCTTCGCCGAGACGTCGTAGTCCTTGCCCTTTCTCCAGCCCATCCATTCCCGCAGCGTCTCTTCACCACCCTCGCCCGGCGCCAATGCCCTGCCCTCCCACGGCATATCGATCTTTCTGGCGGGCGATCCCGTGAGTCCGACGATCGGCCTATGCTCATATCCCGCGGCCTCCATCTCGGCGTGTTCGAGCACCGGCGCACAACAGGCGTCCGTGCCGTCAAAGATGGCCTCCCACTCCTTGCGCGTCTTGGACCTGAACCGCTGCGTGAACACCTCGCGCATGTACGGCCACGAGCGCTTATCCAGCCGGTCGAGCTTCCCCGGCACGACGTCCTGCTCGGTCAACTGCAGCCCTCGCAGCAATTCTGTCCAGAATTGCGGCTCCAACGCGCCCACAGACATGTACTTGCCGGCGTCCTTGCACTCATAGCAGCCGTAGTACGGCGCGCCGCCGTCCAGGGTGTTCGTCCCGCGCTCGCCACTCCACATGGGCGCTTTGGTCAACAGTCTGGGAAAAGTGCCCAGGTAGCTCACCCCATCGACCATGTTGGCCTCGACGACCTGGCCCTTGCCGCTTGTCGACCTGTGGATCAGAGCGAGCAGCACGCCCGTGAACGCTGCGTGGCCCCCACCCGCAAAGTCCGCGAGGATATTGCCCGGGGGCAACGGCGGCTGGCCCCGCGCGCCCAGCATGCCCAACACGCCCGACACGGCGAGGTAATTGATGTCGTGGCCCGCCATGGCCGAGTATTTCCCGTCGCGGCGGAATCCCGTCAACCGCACGACGATGAGCCGCGGGTTCTTCTTCAGCAGCACGGTGTTGGGGTCGAGGCCCAGCTTCTCCAGCACGCCCGGCCGGAACGGGTCGATGAGCACGTCGGCGTTGGGGATCAGCGAGAGGAAGAGAGCCACGGAGGCTTCACTCTTCAGGTCCAGCGCGATGGACGACTTGTGGCTCGTCAGGAGGTCGTTGCTCGCCCCCGCGGGGCCGGGCCGGTCGATGCGCAGCACGCTGGCGCCCCAGTTCGCGAGGAGGACGCCGCAGAAGGGACCTGTGGACGTGCGGTTAGAGCAGTTGCTATGAAGCCTATGACATCCCAGTGCAGTACATACCTGGAGCTAGGCCGCCGAGCTCGAGTACTCTGAGCCCCGTCAGTGGTGGTTGGCTGGTGGTGGCCATGTTTGCCGGCTTGTTCTGTTCTGCTGAGAGTAAGACCTGGATTTTGCGAAGCAGTTATTCTGTCTCAGGAGTCTCTCTACTCAGATGGATTGCAGGAGATTCGCCCCATCTCATGCATGCATATATGGCTTGGACCTCACCTGCGCGCCCAAGTCTTGCATTATATTTCCTCAAGGGCATTCGTATGTGTCGCGCGGCACTAGGAGATGGACAGCCGAAACCGAAGCGGCCGAGGTTCTCAATATTGGGGATGGGGAACCGGTCTAGCCTTCTTCGCGCTAGGGCCATGCTGCGAGCCCGATCCCTTGCCTTGCCCTGCGCTTCGTCCAGTGTCGTGTCCTCAGTGTATACGAGACCTTTATACGGGCAGGAAGTTCGGAAAAAGTAGGCACTCGCTGGTGTTGGGCAAAGGCTCTGAGGAGGGGTTGTGCCCACCCAGACTCTCATCTCATAAGGCCTGTATCCCTTCCGATCTTCGGGCCTCCTCAGGAAGAGAGCCAGAATAGAGTGACCGAGGACTTCTATCCTGTAACCAGACACCGCGACGTACGTTTTCCATCTACATATAGCTGATCCAGCCGGAAAGGGACCACAGGCGATAGATACGAAGGCGTTCACAGTCTGCATGTGAGCAGATGGGTTGTAAGAAGTCAATGTTCCCCTAGTGTTTATGAACATTGTCGGATTGCGAAGTCGTCGGCACCCGCACAGAATGTTGCGTGTATATTCTCAGACTGAAGTGCATAATGTGAAGGACTAACGCTATGCGTGACACCGAACCCCAATACAAGCAATGTCGTCTTGCCCTTCACGCCTTTGGTCTCTGCGAGCTGGTTTCTGTTTTGGGACCAGCTATTGCAGAACGATGCTGATTGAGGACCGCACAACGACAGGTGCTCTTCAGAGCCGCTTACCTCGAAAAGGAGCTGGGCTTATCAGGCTGGGGCGATGGGCAAGAGCAATGCCGCACAAGAGCTCGACGATCCGAATAGCAACAATCGGAAACCTGCGGCTGAAATGGAGCTGGCGCATCTCCGACTAGAAGTCGCACGCTGTTACTGTAAGCCCAACCCACCGGTCTCAAATGTTCACTAGAAGCTCGCTCGCAGCGCCAAAGGGCTTGCTCCGTAACTCCGCATGGATTGCTAATACTTCGAACCTGGAAGTGCGCGTATTCACATTGACCGTTGCAGCGCGTTGCAGCGCATTGCATGTGCGTGAATGCACAATCTAAATAGTGCTCCTCTACTAGCCCGGAAAAGACAGCAGAAGAGGCGGTCAAGGTCAAGTCGAATGATATTCTGGGCCTTGCTGAAGATGAAGTGGGAACATACCTAGGCACGGGAAAGCATGCGTCCGTCTTATCGAAATTGAACGGACGTGCAATTCACGCACCCCACGCCCACGTGCGTGGGTTGTGCAGTGAGATGAAACTTAGTGGCGGGCCTCGAGACGGTAGAACCACGGATAGTACGGATTTACCGGGTAATTAGACGAAGCAGACAGCGCTCGAGTCGCGTTGTCCGGTCGTTGCAGCGTGTGCTCGCTCAAACAAGGGAATACAGGACAGCCACGCAGACAGCGATGAGATGAGACTTGGATGAAACCAGCTCGAGTGAAGTGGAAATGAACAATAAGGCTGACTGACGTCTGCACATCACATTTGATCTGAGTTTCTGCCAACCGACAGCTCGAGCCCCCCGGCCACGAGTCTAGGCGAGCCCTCATACGAATTGGTTAAGGGCTACGAGTACCTGGTGTGACAAAAACCGGTTAGGAACATGGGCCCTGATCTGCCGCCTCTGATGCCCTGATCGACGACTAAACAATCTTGGAATCCTTGTCTCTTAGTGCTGCAACCACTGGCAACCTGGCAGCTGCCGTTATGGTGTAGCTACAACCAGTACGGAGTACACACGGTGCCTAGTCTGATCGTAATCCGGGGAGCTGTCGTCACCTGAATGGGTTCAAGTACTACGAGTACTCCGTACTCGTACGAGGTACGTAGTGGTGGCATCTCCCCTCCAGGACTACCTACCCAAAAACCTGGCCTGAGCAACGCCATGAAACTGTTGCGGCAATATAACGAGACATCCTATGCTCCCAACGGCCGTGCGCAGCGTCAGCCAATGCTGCGCCCATGCCGTTCTGGGCTGACATGTCCTGGTAGACGGCCGGTAAGGGCACTTCAAAGTGCCTTTGCGTGTGTAGCTTACTCAGTGGCGCGATGGCGGAATGGAACCCCTTTGATCTCCTATGATACTGGGCCTGGTCTTGGCTGGTGAGATCAAGGTGACTTCAAATCTTCAACGCATCTCTCATTGACATGGGCGCTACCTAACCTCGTCGTTCGGGTTTCGACCACATTACCGTAGACATAGTGCCTGCACTCCCATCATGAAAAGGCTGCCCCTTTGCTTCATTGTAAGTTGCTCATTCCTTGCCGTGACCAAATCCTCCATGCCGCTGAACAATTGCATGTGCGTGGCTAAAAAACAAACCACAATCATGCCGCGCATTCAAGAACCCCATAGAAGCTGGAAGCCAAACATAAATGGTGGCGCAATCCTAGTCATCGTCGAGGTCGGGGTTTGCAACGAATAACCGAACTCCTGACTGACCCATGCTCATTGTCCGTTCGTCCACACTTCCTCTCCTCCGTAAATCTTCTGCCTTCTTTGCCTGTTCAAGAGCACGCTGCACGGCACTGGGCCCCGAAAGATCCTTGAACTCGCCGAATGAGTCTTCACTTTCTTCCCCGCCCGGTGTTGATTTATCTTCGAAGTAGTCGCGCTTGTTTGAGTCTTCTGGCGTTTCTGAGGCTTCGGGAATGCCCTGGCCCGGTGACCCTTCACTCGGTGGTGTACTCGTGCTGCTGAATCGACCTGCGTCAGGTCGAGGGTAGCCGCTGCGATACTTGGCACTGTTGGTACTACTCCTTCCACTCCCTGACCGGCCGTGTACCATGCTATTGCTTCGTGTTTCCTCTTCTTCCTCGTCGCCTAACGCCTCGTTTGCGCTTAATCGCGGGGGCACAGAAGCCCCTGTGAGGTTGGCGGGTACGTAGCCAGGAGCTTTGGGCACACCACCGTGGCGAATCTTACCTACCACGCCCCCTGAGGATATTGTGCTTGTCCGAGCCCCATGAGTGGCACCTTGGACCTCAAGCGCGGCACGGTGGCGGGCGGCTTTTTGTGCGGCCGCGAGCCGTGGATCGATGTTCTGTGCTCGGTCACACCAGACAGTTGCCTTCTGCCTTCGCATCAATGCAACGTACGATGTGGGGCTGTTTGTTGCTGTTGAGCGACCCGATGTTGAACGCCGGGGGAGGCTTGTGGCAGAAGCGGTGGTCCCTTGTCTGTGCATGCTCATAATATTTTTGTTCGAGGCCGAGGAATTGCGTGAATGGGAGGAGGCGGAGCGGGAATGGCCTGCGCTGGATGTGCTAGTGGCCGTGGTTCGCTGAGAAGCTGAAGGATAACTGAGCGTATTGGAAGAGACAGTCCTCGTGTGTTGGTGACTGCTAATCATTCGCGCCGGCGCTATTTGAGTAGTGGTCGCTGTGATGTAGGATTTTCGGTCCGGGCGAGTAAAGGCACCGTCAGCCAGCGATGGCGCGGGATGAGGGGGCAAAGACAAAGAGGAAACCGGCTGTGAGTAATTGTACGATAGCGTGGGGGCTGGGATCGTCCCAGTCACTGTCAACACGCTCATCGAGTCAAAAGCACGTCAAAAACTGAGCATCTAAAGTGAAGTAGATTGCCCAGAGACAGAAGTACGAGTTCGGTAGCGGTGCTGTGCAGGTGTCGGTAGTGGAGAAGCCTCTGCCTTGCTGCAAAGTAGTTTTCGTCGGTAGGATTGCTGCAGTCTTGTATTGGTCGACGTGGCAAGCCTGATGAAAAGAGCGAGGCAGTCGTGACAGGTTGTTCGACAGTGTCAAGTGCTCTGCAAGAACAGTGACAGTGCTATAAGGCTGGTATATGAGGCTCGAGCCGTCGTGAAGGAAGCTCGAGCGCGGAAGAGTGACGAAAGTGACGGGGAAGAGGGAGATTTGAATCAAGGTCTGGTTAGCCGAAGGCTACTGTAGATGGAGCAGGATAGAGTGAAGTCGTGTTTCGCCCTTGTCCTCAGACTTGATCCTGGCTTCTCGTATCGGTAACTCCGCCTAGCGGACAAGTGCTAAAGCATTCTACAAATTTAGTCCTCGCGAAACTCAGGTCACAATGGCGGGCCAATGGTGAGGACGGATAGAGCATCCGACGGAGAGGGCGTCAGCGTTCGTGTGCAGAGAAGTCCGGGCGTGAGTCGATTGGAATGCGCTTTCGGATGGAGGGCAGCAGCCTTACAGGAGAAAATGAGAGTAGAGTCAAATGGATGGACCCCTCTGCAAGGCAGTCTCGGAGCTCTTGAAGGCTTATTTATTGCAGCAGCGTAAAGATTCGTCAATTGAACCAGACGCAAGGATTCAGGCTAACACCTTGTTTCTCAGAACGGTAGAGTGATGACTCTCTGTCCAGGATTGTCGCCATGAACAGGCCCACGGCGGATGTTACGGACAAAGCACCAGGCCTCTCATCATCTCGTCTGTGATCGAGCGCCCGCTGTCTATTCTGCCGACCAGGGACACGTGGGGCGAGAAGAGAAACCTGGGAGTGCTTGACTTCCAGCCTGAGCTCCGGCGTGCACATGCTGTTTCGTCCCAATCTTGCGAGATGCAGAACAAATGCAACTTGCTCACGGACACTCATCCTAAGCGTGCAGCTTTTCTCCGCTCGAGGCTTTTTCCCTTGGGATGTCGTGTCTGGCGCTCATGGATCTAATTTGGTCCTTAATTCACCCCAGTTTCGGAGTCGCTCAAACCCAGCTGAGGCGCGCTCCAAGCGCCATCCAATGCCACCCAAGAAGCCCGTCTACCTCCTATACAGGCCTATCAGTGACGTCTTGGGGCAGCAACCCAGCTGTCATGGCGACTTATGTAGGAGTGATACGGAGTACGCAGGTTGTAATTGCTTGATTGGGACAGTTGTTCAAAGGAACGAACTCCCCACCCTAAATACCACCCCGCCAACTGCGAAGGTTTCGTTTGTTCAGTCAACTTGATAATGTTCATTCCAATCTCCTTTCAACCTGAACTCGACAGCCGTATACCGATGAGCTCTGTGGCATGGTGTGCGCCACGACGGTGACGGCTTTTTAGACCTTGCTCACGTGTGAGACGACCGACTCGTGCAATGCAATGTAATGGTAAACCTCGCATATCCCCTGATGACGCTGGTGGTTAGAGCTCTGCTCGAGCCATACAAGTGCTCGTATCAGGGTGTTGAATTGCCAACTTTTCAGTCCTTTGAATGCGGAGAATGAAGCCCAACTCCTGTAACAAGTCGATGATCTTCCACTACAAGGAAATGGTTTGTTGAACACGCACAGCATCGGTGGAGCATCAAACGATCTGTTCGAAGACGATCAAACATCAAGCCTGTGGTCAGCCTGCTCTTTCAATTGTCGACTCAACAATACCTCGTACGTCATCACATCCCCGTTGCTCTTCCCACTTGGCCCTGCTATTCCAACATTTCTAACCGCCTGGAGCCGCCTGGAGCCACCACAGGCACAAAAGTCCACAAATCCACCCGCGCTACAAGTGCCCCGTTTATTCATCAGTGGACGTCATCTAACCTGAGCCTCTCAGCAGCCACTTACAGAAGAATAAGTATCCTCACTTACGCGCTGGCTCGGCTGGACGGAGGCATGAGTCCAACAAACATACCACGATAAACTTCAGGTTCCTGATCATCCTGCTGCTCATCAGGGGTAAAAAATTCCGAACAGTATTGTTCCCTCGCTATTCCGTGGACTGTGCTACGACTCTCGCGCACCCACCTTTTTTAGCCCCTCGCTAAGGACGTGACGTGCCTCGCCACAGATCGAGATTACCCATTGTGGCAGTCTCGCAGTCAACGGTGTGCACCGTCATCTCGGTACGAATCCCCCCCGGGAGTTGGAATATCAGGCAACGCCGCATCTTGACCCGTCAACGGAGTACTTGGAATAGATCGAGACTACGACTTGCTTGTTCTCGCCTTCGGCCATGACTCTGACCAGCAACACTGATCAAACCCAGCAGTTCTAGGCTTGCGATTTCCCCTACCCTCGATAGGTATCCTTGTATAGGCGACTTTCAGGTCTGTGGGTAAACTTCCGACCTGTCACCACGTGTTTCGCCAACGACCGCCCTCTTTACCCATCACTGGCGCTAAACTGTGACTTAGATGGTCACTTTGTTATGGGAAATTCTAGTCATCTGTTGACCACCAGAGAAACTTGTCTCGCAGGGGTGTATCTTATGGCAGTTGCACTCTTTGTTGATTGACTTTGGGCTTACCACGGTGATCTGACAGGCTCTGAAAAAGCTCGCCCATAATCGACCATCATGCCATCCTCCAAGGTTCACTCTGCCATGTATCCTTCGGTATCACGACTCTCGCATGTCTAACACATGCATGACTCGCATTTCGTTTGACAGAATTGCGAAGAGTTGCCCTCGAGAATGGGTTGGCAAGGGATAGAAAAGATATTGTTATGCTCACGAAAATGTGACACCAATGCCTGCCTAATCACTCTATACTGACATGTCGATGAAGTGCCTTTCTACTAGACAGTTCAGACCAGATGTTTTGGTGTGTCACCATGCATTGACATGCGTGGTACTAACCATCTTGTCCTCCACCTTTTCCGTTGAGAGGTGCCAGGTAGATCGCATCGCAAGGGCAACCATAGCGAGCACCTGACAGTGCGAAACGACCAAGTCTCGGACCTTTCGCAAGGGTGGATTTCGAGTCACAACTATGAAGGGTTGCCAGCACAATCTTATGGTATACACCTTCCCTTGTCATTCGTTATCTCACTTTGTCACCGCAACTTTCATAGTCTACAACGAATGACCCAACAGGATTCACCAGGTGAACAGGCCAAAGTCCCTGCGCCAGAGTCATCAGTCGGCTCAGCGTATTAGTTCAGCTAAGTCAGGGGGCATAATGCGTTTTAAATCTTCAACGGTGAAGAAAGCGCTCACCGAATGGTCTTCACTTCGCCTTCAGCTGAAGTGACAAGCACAAACGACATCCAGATTCCGGTGGCAAGGACTCGGTGTCGGAGATCGGTACCTGTAACATGGACGAAAACGTTTCCAATAAGAAACACTCCCAGCTGAGTTGGGCGAATAGTACAGTTTTTGAGACGTAGCATGCAGTGCCAGCGCATCATCCGAGGGGCGTGGGGCTGGCGCAGGGGGTGAACACAAGTGGAACGGTCGGTGAGTCTCCAAGGCGAACACATGGCGGCATGATCTTCGGGTTCGAGATCGTCTAATATCTTGAAAGCTCGTCTGTGGTCCAGTAAGCTTCATCCCAAGGCTCGACGTGGCGACCTCTGAGAGCTCCGGGGGAGGACAGGCGAAGGGTCATGTTCTGCAGCATGTCCGTAGCACCACTCACATGCTGGGAAAGGTATCCATTGCGCCATATGATAGGTATCCCGGACATTTTCTGCTGGCATTGTCAGGGGTTCTTGTTCCTTCAACTGACTCCAACACCGGTGTACTACTGTTGCGTCGACCGTGGCGCGCCGATGCATAGGTGACATTCGCCGCCTTTTCAGCCACTGCTGAAGTACCGATTAGAGGCTGAAAACCGATCAGTCAGGCTGGAAAACCGCTGTCGTACCATGTCATTCGCTGTTCTCCTGTACCAGTCAAGAACGGCTGTTGATGCGTCGCCACATCGCCTGGAAATCCGGGGACGAAGCCGTGGCCTAGTTGGCCTCTTGCGCAACCACCGGTGTATCGAGCGAGTCTAAGGACAGCCGGGCCGGCGCGCATCTTTGAGCACTTAGAAGCATGTTTGAGGGGCAGCGAGTGGCTCTCCGGGTCGCTGGAGCTCACGTCAAGGAGCCTCTTTAGCCTCGACTAATGCATGCATTCGCTGGCAATGTCGCTGGGGCTGCAAGACATCCATCATACTGCTGCGCTGTGTTGTACCGTGCGAATTGGTGTGCGTTGTTCTTTGGTTCTTCTAGTCCTGTCGCTGGGCTCCGATCAGAAAGACCCCCAAATTCTGTCTGGTCCATATACGCGCCGTGATGAAAATGCGTTGCGGCTTTGATAGCCTTGCGGATCTCTGTGTGCCAGATGACAGTCGCAGGTGACTGAGAATTCGAGTTTCATAGTGCCCACATTGGGCATTGTACGCTTCCACAAGCGAGAGGAACCACCCCCGCATTACCGGCCTGCAGCAGTGACTATCGACCTTGACCTTGGTTGTGCTTGTACAAGGGAAACTCGGAGGCAGAGTCTTCAACTCATGTCCATTCGGAAATCCGAGAGCAGCGACTCAGAACTCGAGTCTTGGTCTGCGGCGACGCCCTGACTGCGGAAGCTAAAGTCACATCACATCACACGCTCAGTTGCGAGTCACAAGTTGATCCTCGAGTCAGTCCCCGAGCGAGGACGTACCGCGCCCACTCGCCCCGACGCCTCACTCGCCTCGCATCGCGAAGATCCCTCACTTTGCCGCGCCCTGGTCTCGCCACAGTTTGAGCTCCTCTGCTGCTCCTGCTACCTTTAGCTTGAGCCGTCTGCGGTAATGGAATCGGGCAGCGTATGACAGGACTACCTGGGGTTTCCGGTGCTGAGGAAGGTCAAGCTCAAGATCAGGGTCAAGGTCGGTCCACAAGTCCCTCCTGCCCTGTCCCAACCATGCGTCTCCTTTCTAACAGTGGTAACGACAGATTCCTTTGCTGTGCTATCACGGCCGGCCGATGACAATGCTCAAGACCATGCCGAACCTATGTCGAGACCCGAAATTCCAGAACCCAGATCCACGGGTTCTCCTCCGCTCAGGAGCTCCGCACGGGAAGCTTCTGCCCATTATGCCTCGCGAGCGAGTCATTCCGAGGAGCATTACAAGGACATACCGATGTTGAAGGTGACAGCGAGGGCCCCTCGCGGATTCCGACAGGAAGAGGGCCGGGACTCAGATAAGGAAGAGCCTACTTTTGGTGCTTCCAGCCGCGAGCTCCCTTTTGCACACATGCGCATTCACTTCGAGGACTTCGCGAGACAGCTTCGCTTGCACCGACATCATGAACACCGGAAACGTATGCTCTACTATCAAAGGGATCGGCTTAGGAATGCGATAGCTCTGTCTGCTCGCTTGCAGCGCGTGGGATCATGGGTACACGATGGCCTTGTTCAAATCTCTCAGCAGTCTGATCCCAGCGGTTTCACAAGGGTACATCAGCACATGCAAGACTTGGTCACTATGTGTCAGGCCCAATGGCATCATGAGGTCCACGCCCTCGACGCGAACTTCACTTCCAAAACCCCAAGCAAAGAGCCATTTTTTGCTAAACTCTCCACCCCATCTCGAGAGGACTGTCTCGAATTACTCCATACTCTGCGGTGCAACCCCCGCTTTTTGGTCGACAGATTTAAGGCAATGAACCCAGACCAGGTCAAGGGCCTTTCTACCTCTCCCAAGTTCAAAAACCTGCCCGAATCGGTTCTGGTATCCTTGTCAGAGAATCGCAGTCGAGAGTCGCAGCGCAGGCGCCCTAGATCCTTCCTTAGGGACTACGAAGACGACGCGCAACTAACTAGAAGTAAAGCCTATTCCAAGGAGCTCGAAGACTACGCTTCATCGTTCGAGAGATCAAATCCCTTGTCATTCCTTATCCACAACATCTACGCATGTTCGAGTGACATTGAAAGCCACGAGAGCCAACTGCGATTGTCTACCTGGTCTACGATATGCGCAAGCTTGTTTACAGAGTCCATGCCGGCCTTCGAAGCCATAATTGGCGACGTTTTGTCTGCATTTGCACATTTGCATGGTTGGCAGATCAAAGAGCGTCTACACATGTTCTTGATGGGCAGCCTGCAACGCGGTGCATTTCTGTACAACTCTGTCGAACCCCCGATCAGCAAAGGCCGAACTGATTTGAGCATCTTCGACTCTTTCTATAGTACACCTCAGGCGCAAGCTTTCTTCGACACAGAGGGCAAGGAGCTCTTCCAGATACTGGGCTCAGGCGATGGAGGCATCCCAGAAGGAGCTCTACGCCTCGGTCGTGCGATTGTTGGCAAGTTGCCCACCTCGCAGAGCCAGAGCGACTTTCGTGGCCACTTCTTTTTCCGGTGGTTTTTACAGGATTTTCTACGCATCGCGATGTCATTTCCGGAAGTAGGTATCCATGTAATCTTGTCTAATTCAGCTAACAGTGGCCAGGACGAAAACATGCTCCTTCAATTTCACATCAGCACACGGGCTAGATTCCACCTCCTTCATAAATTGTGGGAGCACGCCAATGCTCGGGCCACTGACAGCGTCAGCTCCATGTAACCTCTTCCCCAACCACGCTCTTTCTTCTCGCTAATTTTTGTCCCAGACCTACACAGCGAGTCGACGAAGACGTACGGAATTCTGTTAACTACAATATCGGCAAGCTGTCTGCAGACCAGTGTATCAATCCCTACCAGCCTGGCAACTCCACGCCCACCTCGGTCGGGGGTTTCCAGTCGCCATACATCTCGATCTGCGCAGCCGATATTGCCCACCTCCTCGAAAAGTTGAGATCACAGACTATACACACCTCCAGCCCATTTGACCAGTTTCTGAGCTCCTCCCAGGCAACATTCAATTTCCAATACTCACGAGCTATTCCGAAGTTCGACAGGCTTTGTAGGCGCATTCTCGATTTTATTGAGCCCGGCCACTCTTCTAAAAATGTTCACCCTTGTCAAGAGAGTTGGGCTTTACTACTAATATCACGGGAGGGGAATCTATCCGTTGCAACGCCGGCTCCGCCTGGCGACATACCGAGAGCTGGGGAAGGCTTGGGTGATCTTGACCCAGTCCAGACCGCCGTGCTCCGTCTAGCGGACAGCTCATTGTCTCGGACCACCCCACCCAGCGCGCAGCGAATGTCAGAGGGGAAAGCAAAGGGTCTTGGTCTCTCCGAAATGTTTGCCGAAGAGTCCAGGACCTCCCATATTCAAACGGACAGTCTCACGGCTATGTACTGGCATAATGCGCTGAACTACTTGCGCGGTCATTATCCATTGACAGTGCTGACGGGTGACGATACTAAGGTACTGAGCCCAATTCTCCAGAAACTCAATGAACACCAAGTTCTGCTCGCAAATGAATGCCTACAGTTGCAACAAGAAGTGGCTGATCTCGAAGCGTCTTATGCCTCTGCGAGAAAGACGCTAGCTACAGCCTCTGACTGGCTTGATAAGCTCCGGGTCAAACTTTGGTACGCAATGTCTGTCATAAGCTCGGATGTCTACGACAACGCTCGCAACATCACTGTCGCGCTGAACAATATGGCAATAATTGCCAGGCCAGGAGCTATATCTGGACAGGAATATGGACTTTCTCAGGAGCCATCTCGACCAGGGAGTTCTATGACCTCAGTATCATCTATGTTTGACCAACCGAGGGTCGACACTGAGACGATCATGAAAGCGCCGGTGGAGTATGGCGGTCCTAGGAAGCTCTCAGATGCGCAGATTGAGAAGACGAAGAAATGGCTCGAACGCAACCACGTGGAGAACTTCTGTCGAGGAGAGGAAAGAATTCATCGGTTCTGTATGGAGGTCAAGCTTCTGACCCGGAAGCTCGTCGGAGATACCATTGCTGCCAGCCCTGTACTGTGGTCGGGCGAACTTTTCGCGCGGGAAAGGGGCCTGTACGACATCCATGCAGGACTGTATGGTGGTCCGAGCACCAGACCGCCGAGTGTGATGAGTGAGCCACTTTCGTCCTCTTCCTTTCCCCTGCGTCCGGCATTTGCAGGCTCAAGATCGTCGATATTCGGAGGCTCGAGCAGGCTTGGAAGGGACGGCCTGGGTAGCGATATTTCCTCCTACATCAGTTCGCCAGGCCGTGCTACCACGTCCACAACCCTGGAAAGTGCCAGCATCTGGTCACGGACGCAGTCCAATTCACGGTCTGTCACCTCGGTGTCACAACAGTCCAGACCTGCGTCAACGTTCGAAGGGAATAACCTGAATCGATCACTCGATCGCAGCCAAGAGAAAGCCAGTTTCTTGGAAACCCTACGACACGATTTGAGCTCTCTCCTGCTCTCTGACTTGGCGTGCCCCGTGTGGAGCTGTGGAAGCGAAAGCGACGCTTGGATGGATGCGATCTGCCAAACATCAAGCGTCATGGAGCGGCTGCATCAGCGCACTGCATTGGCTCATTTATTGCCGCCAGCAACCACATTAGCATCCTCAGGATCGAGCTCGAAAGCCTCAAGCAAACACAAACAGCGAAGTCAAAGTACTGCACCGCACCGATCTTCCTCGGGCAAACATGATTGCGACGCCGGGCTTGATCCTGTGGAAAAGGTGCTGTTCGGTGACGGCGGACAGGCCCAAGTTGACGACTTCCCATACCCCAGCGCGTTCAACGACATTCTCTGTCGCGTGAGAGATCATACGGACCCCGTTCTGAAGCTCAAAGCTATCCGCGATTTCAAGCTCCTGTGGCAGGATATCGAACAAAATCGAAGGAGTGGGCTAGCGCCGTTCCCTGCTGAACCACAGGGGGCTGCTGGCGTTCAAGAGGGCACGCGACGACGTAGCCTCGACCCAAGTATCTTGTCAGCCAATCTACGACGGAAAAAGTGCCACTCGCGGTCCCAGGTGTCAGTTTCCGCGCCCGTGGAGAGTGAGGAGAGTTTAGTGGTTCAGTCACTCAAGGATCTCCTCCATGCTTTGCGGCCCAAGACCATTTTTCGGGACTTGCAATACATTGCGGCATTCGCATCATCAGACAAGCTGGATGACCCGGAGCTAGGACAAGCATTCCTCCACATGGGGCTGGCAGCATTGGCGTGGAAGGATGAAGTCTGTCGGAGCATGGTGGATGTCGCCGATCGAATCGTTGCCCGAGACTTGATCAAGAGAAATATCTCAGGCTCCAAGACGAAAAGAGAGCCATCAGTGCTCAAGGCCATGGAGTATTGGATTGTCGGGGCTCGAGAAGGCAATGCTATCGCGCAACGAGAGCTTGCGAGTCTCTACCTGACCCATCCCGATGTTCCGCCAATCGTCAGTCTGCCACTGACCTTATCTTCGGATATCTTCAAAAGTGAAATGATGTGGGAAGGGGAAGGAGAATTTCGGCGCAATAGTCCAGCACTTTGTCTTGCGCTGCACTGGATGCAAGAAGCCGCAAAGAATGGAGACCGGGTGGCACAGCTGAAACTGAAGGAGCGAGAGGCCGGCCGTTCAATTCGATGAAGAGCACTGTTATTACTATCACGATTCTCCATGGACGGTAAGTAAGGGACGTATCCGTCTGGTTTTGGGTGGCGTGCCTGTCTTTGGTGGATCGTGGCTGCTTTGACAGGATTGCCTGCCGCCACGGGAGTTTTGGTTCAATTTCGGGCATTGGTTTTCATGGGTGTGCGACCTGAAGTGATATTCATGATACACGTGTACTTGTGCAACGGGTGGCAGACTGCTATTTGACGATGATACCTCTCTTGAAGGAATGTGGATTGGTACGAACCAGAGGCAGGGGGTTTGGATCAGATCAGTGCCGGCGAAGCAATGGGGCATCTGTTACAGCTCTGACACGTTATCGTTTTCGATGAACGAACAGATTGATTGACAGGACTGGCTGCCATGTGTGAGGAATTTACTCGTTGGTTGCTGCATCCGCGTGTTGGGTAGAAAAACACTTTATCTCCAGATACAGACGGCGGAGGATGCTAGTCGCGCACTTCTAATGTACCTCCGAACTCTGTGGGGTGGTGATAGGCCCATTACATGCATGTATGAGCCGTCGAGCTGTGCAGTCCTTTGCACTCTGCCAATTAAATCCACCCCAGGCACGCCAATGTCTGCAAGACGTCTCGCAGTTCAGCGTTTTGGACTGCAGAAGATCAGGTGTCACTGCATGTCCTCGTGGACCAATCACCAGGGCTCCATGGGAAGCACAGAGATTGGAGCAAAGAGGTCAGCAGTATCAGGCACAGTGTAGCGACGAGGGGGCTTGGACATCAGCGGTCACACAGCATGAAGAATCATTTACACTAATGAAGAGCGGCAATTATACACGATGCGACCTCGACCGACAGCGCTGTACTGCATGGGCTGCCACGGCGCTTGCTCGCAGCTGACCAGGAGCCTAGCGGCGATATCAAGACGCTACAGGTAGCTCGCACGCCTCCGCTGGGATGCGATTGAAAGTGTTGCTTTGTCGCACTAGAATGCAGGATGCAGTTCGGTCGGGCTGCTGAGGGAGTTCGTCACTGTCTGCTAAGAGGCTGGCAGGTCGGCAACAGGAAAAGGAACGAACCGCATGGTCACTTTCAGGGTACTTGTAGGGCGAAAAGAAAACCCTGAGTGCAGAATTTTTCCGGCTGAGGTGCAGCACTGGCGCAATCAAGGCTGGGAGATGCGCTCATTGGTGGTGTTGGCATGGATCACCGGAGGATTGTGAGGAGAGGCAGAAGAGGTTCGTGGAGGTTAAGGTGACGGCGAGAGGAGCTGAATACAAGAGCATAACCGAACGAAGCGCACGGCCGCGAGATGCATGATGATTCAGTTATGACGTTGCTTTCTACTGGGAGGACGAAGGTAATCATCAGCGTGACCCGTTGAATGACAGCTCCTTCCACGTGCTTCTCGCTGTGTTGGCTGTCAGGCCCGTGTCATTCAACGTCCCTTTTTGCCACGAATGCTCGCTCGCCGGTAACTGCTGGGTGACTGCAGCAGCCCTCATCATCTGCTCACATGTCCCTCGCACATGCTCACAGTTTTCATCCACCCAGCACTTGACCTCGCTCCATTGCAACAACGAACATTGGCGTCGTATATACATGATCTTTGCCCTGTCGTCCCATCGCACATCTTGCACACAGCCCGTGTGTTACGTCCGACTCGGAGTCCTTCTCCAATTCTACCAATTGGTATCTGTCAAAACCCAAACACCTCATTGACCAGACAACGTCCAATCTCCAGTTTAATTGTACCCACAGCTGCGACTTATCAGCCGCAAGAGGAAACACTTTTGTGTATATCTCACGGTGTCGAGGTTGATTGTATTTTACTCCCCTGTCTGTTGTCCACCTGACTCGGTGCCGACCCCGACTCAATCTTGGAACTCCTTCTGATCCCATCCTGGCTTCGCAACTACACCCTACAACACCTACTACCACCACCCACTGTCCCGCGACCGAAGCAAATTCCAATTTCCATCGCGACCTGATCTGTCATCAAGTTTGACACGAAACACATCAAAATGCCTGCCGGAGTCCGACAATCACCGCCCCCTTTGCACCACCCGAGCTCAGGCAACATCCGGCCGAAGGGTAATTTCCGCAACAATTAGCCTGACATCAACCTTGTGCTGACCAGACCACGCCAGGTATTTTGAAGAACCCTTCTTTCTCAGCGGCAAGTGGCAGGCCTGGGTCTCCGGAGAAAGACCACTTCCAAATCCCACCCGCAACCCCGCTCGACCCAAAGGAAGAAAGAGAACTCGTCCTGCAGAACACAATTCAAAATGCCGGACACCGCCGTTCGTCCTCCGCCGCGAGAAGAGCGTCAGCGTCTCGTCGACATTCGTCAGCGGTGGCCGCAAACCAAGGAGAAGACGACCCAGAAAAGATGCGGTTGAAGTGGGACGAAGCGAACCTCTACCTTGCCGAGCAGGAATCAGGCGGACGCATGAAGATTACCGAGCCCAAAACTCCCTATCAGTACGGTGATACCATGATGGAAGACGACGACGAAGAGGATGTGGCTATCGACCCGCGCTTTGTCAATGTCGATGAGGTTGAAATGGCCAAGGCAGCCAAAACAAACAAGAAACATCGCGAGTCGGAGATCCCAGGTTTGGAGCTGGGTGAACCGGAGGAGGAGCTGTCGCCTGGCAGTTTCGCTCAGGATGACAGGATTACTCGTGCTTTAAGCAACAATCTGTCCAGAGAGTCGAGTAAAGAGAAGCATGTTAGTGTCAGCGATGGAAGTGACCCCGATGGGATCAAGGTGCCAGACGGTATGACTTCGAACGAGGAGCAAGAGGCGCATCGCCAGTTTGAGGAGAGGAGAAAGCGGCATTATGAGATGAAGGACATCAAAAATTTGCTTGGGTGAGTATTCAGTCCTACCTCTCTTGGTCCCCGTCTCTAGCATTGCTGATGTTTCGAATCTGCAGACACCCTGAAGAGCTCGAAATGGAAGACGACGATGAGACACCCGTTCCTGCTGCAATCCCGAAAGATTTACCCGAGCGATCAATCAATGGTGGTCGTTGAGGGTACGTTCCTGCTACTGTGCTCGCATGCTGCTCTCAGCCGCTTGCGTACTGGGCTCCACGGTCATATCAGTCCCTCGCTAAACTTAACGAAGCTACACGACTGCACCACTTTAGATCCTCTGGATCAAAGCATAGAAACGGGGAGTCAACATACTCCGACACAAGCAAGGACACAGGTATCGGTCTAAACCGACAGAGAAGGAAGTGTTCAGCTGATGTGGTGTGGATCCACCAAACAACATGGGGGACCATCTTGTCATATGATTTCTGACGGACACCAGCACTCATGAAGGCTCAAACAAGGGTCTTGATCGAATGCTGAATAGTACGGATAGGGATCTCATTTCCTTTGTCCCTTTGACGCATGGATGATTCATGAAAGCATCGCATTAGCATTACACTCAGCATCTGTCCTGTCGACTGACAAACGGCAGCCTGAGCACGGCCACATGGCATCTAAAAAATTGAGATCAGGTCAACCCAGATCTTCTCTGTTTCTATCCCGGCAAGGTCTCAAGGGTCTTCCGGCATTCCTACTTACCATTCACATTGTGATCTTTGATCCTTGTCCCTCGTGGCGGCAAAGCTGGGTTGTCCACAACTTCCACCAGATCATTATTCCGTCCAAGCCGCACCGCGAAATGGGGAGAGAGTGTCCTCTCGGCCACACCATTGTACTAACAACGTCAGCTCTCGGTCTGGGCGATAGATCCGGATTCGATCCTCTTCATAATCGAATAGCATGATTGGACCATCCTCATGTTCATATCAATGGAGCAGCCGTAGCTGTCTACATGCTGCTCACTCATTGCACCAGCTATACAAAGTCTGCTACCCAGCCCGAGGAACTCTATCCAACCAACGGTACGTTACAGTCCAAGCTAGTGCTGAGCATCATAGTCCATCGCCCGCCTGCTGTCAACGCTTCCTTCACCAGCGCTGACTGACATCCATGGCAAATTATATCAAGCCTCACGATTAAAATCACGGGTACATTATTGTCTCATGTCTTCCCTATCCACAATTTCCCCAGAATCAGACTCTGGATAATATCCGCCTTGCAGATGATCTGTGGTCTTTCCCCAACACCATCCAGCTCCTGCTTCGCGGCAGTGTCAAGATGACCTGGGACTCGTCCTTTCTTCGGTCTGCCCTTTTTGTGACCTTTCTCTTCCTTTCGAGGGGTGGTCGCTTCCGATGAGAACAGTTTTTTCGCAGCCCGAGTTTCACTATCACCAACCACCACGTAGTCGATCGGCTCTTTACTTTGCTCCGCAGACTGAACGATCTCCTTCGCGCCGCTGATATGTGTTTCGGTAATGACCTGGCTTGGCCCGAGCGCTCTGATCAGGAAAAGAGTCGGCTTGCGATCCTCTCTTGTTTTGCCCTTGCCCATGACGAACACGACTCGTGAGTTGTGGAGGATTTTGGCTCTCAGGTCGAGCATGTCTCTCAACTCCAGGCCTTGAATGCTCGATGGGAGCTGTAGAAGCCGTGACTTTACAGCTCCGTCAAGTTCGGTGCTCTCGCCAGCAGCAAGGAGGTACGAACTCCAATCGGCTAGTCTGCCCGTCTGCACACTTGCCTCGATCCATCTACCACTTAGACAAGGCAGGCCAAGTGCCAGTGCTTGGGAGTACTTCACATTGCGCATATGGCGATCTGTTAGAAGCGCGGTGAAGCCCACGTCGGCGTAGTGATCCTTGAGTTGAATGGAGTCAACCTCGAAGAGATCTGTGAAAGATTCTTCGAGGATGCTACCACCATTCTCTTGGACTAGAGCGACAAGTCTTGCCTTCGTTGGATTGTCGTAGTGAGAGACTGCGAACGCCATATTGCTAAACAAGCCGTTGGGGCGGACAATAGTCGATGAGATAGGTGGAACGGGAACTGCAACTCCTCGTCTGCTGCGTGATGGCGGAGGGCTTGGACGGGAAGAAGAGGATATTTGAGGCACCGGGGTCGACCTGGCCATGGATCTGGCTTCATAGAGAGAAGACTTGCCCTCGTAGACTCGGTCCTTCATTTGTCCCCACATGATCGTGTCTAGGTATATCGCGGATACAGGCACCTTTTTCACGCCCTCGGTCGAAATCTCAACCGGTAGACTTTTGCGTTGCTTTGGTGCCACGAGGAGAGTCTGGTAGCCGTGGATATCAGTCACGACAAACTGACCAGAATCGACATTACCTCGTGAAATCTTATCTTTAAACCCTCTGATGACATGTGAGACTTTCGGAAAGCCTTCCATGTCTATCTTGACCTGGTCGCCTACTCGCAGATCTAGGCTACGCACGCCGTATTCGTCGACCTCGTCGGGAGCGTAGCCTTCCCATTGTATTGTAAAACGACCGGAGTCAGTGGCAGGTCGACCGAGGCAAAGAGCAGGGTAGTATGTTCGACTTTTGCCATTAAAGGCGGCAAACACCATATTTGGTGCGACCAGGTCTTCGTCCACACCATCGGCAACATCGTTGTCGCCCTCCAGTTGATGTGAATCATGTACACGGTTTTGGTTATCCAAGGCCGGATGGTCTGGTATGTCGTCTTGTGGCTGCGCAGGGTTGCTCGGCAGGGAAACATCTGGTGCAGAATTGCTCTTTGTCAACTTGAGTCGCTTGTTGGCATCAGGCGCACGATCTGATGGATTGTCCGTGCTTTGGATCTTTCGCTTGAGCTTCGCTGTGCGTTTGCTGGCAGAGTTGACCCGGCGTTCTGAGGACTCGGGAAGGTCGTACTGGGAACTTCTCCGCCGAGGACCTGCACGGCTGGTCTCGAAGCTGCGAGCCCTCAGACCCTTGGCTGTAGACCGTCTATCTCGCTCGGGAAACGTTGCGACTGGTGACAAAGGCTGCACGTACTGTTTCTGGAGACCATGTTGTTCTTGTGCTTCAACACCGGTCTTAGCTTCATCTTGGATCTCAGGAGATTCAGGAGCTCCGTGGAGCACATCTCCTCTCGCGGAAACTCCGTTTCGAGCACCTTCCGAAGCAAGGTCTGGTAGTTTTGTCTTAATTGCTGCTGTTACTGATGTGCGCATGGGTGTAGGACTTCCATGTATTTCCAACCGCAGGTGTGCAGTTGCGTCGAAGCTGGACTGCGATTTCTGTGGAGATGGGTCCCCTTGAATGTCTAAAAGGCGTTGTCGTCTCCTGCCTGGCGGAGTGGTGGAAATTGGCGGGCTACTCAGTTCGACTGCCGTAGGTTGATGAACCACTGTGGAGGAGGGGGGCTGGACGTGAGTTCCGGCTGTTTCGAACTCGGGCCGACTCTCAGCATCGCAAGTCCTCGGCGTGTCCTCGGACGCTTTCCCACTCTGATCTCGAGGTTCATTAGAACTAGTCTCCGGGATCGTGCTGCTTAGCGGCTGACGTGCTTGCGGGCTCGACACAGGAGCGACGGGATCGACAACAGCATCACTTTGCTGCTCGGCTGTTGATCCCGTGGTCAGAGTAGGTAAAGTGGTTGAAGGATGATTTCGACTTATTGGAGCAGTCGGCTGCGGCGTAGTGTCTGGGGACTGGGGAACAAAATCGGGGCCGTCATCAGCAACGGATGATCGAGTAACCTGGGCAACTGCCTGTGGTGGTTTGATTGATCGCTGTGGCTGAGAATCAGCAACGGCAAAGACTTGTGAGCTGTTTAAAGCCACAGATAAGCCCCCTTCGTCGAATGTCAGCCCGCGTCGCAGAAGGGGACTTTCTTGCACCTGAGAAGGCGGACCCTGTGTAAGTCGGTGCAGGTCGATGGTGGTCGCGGGTATCTGGATAGCCCTATCCGAGACATTCTCCTTGTCTTCTTCATCAACAGGCGCCGACGACTGGCTCGACGCCGTTGGTTCAATATCTTTATTGTCCTCCTGTTCCGTCTCCTCTTCGCTTTCTGTCACTTGAGACCGGGGATCGGGTCTTGGTGGGCTTGATTCACGATTGCGCCTGGGCTGCTTCGAGGCTCGCATCCTGATCGGAGATGATCGTCTGGCTGGAGGTCGGAGGGGCGATGATTTCGATATGGAGACACCTCGTGTGGAAGGCACGGGAGGCGAGGAGGACGTCAGCTGTGCCTGTATCCTCCGGCTTCTCTCGCGCTCTCTTCTGTCTCTAGCATACCAGCTATCCTCCTGGAGTTCCAAGTCATCCTCACCAGGGCTCCCATCTTCGGCGTACATATCCTCGAGCTGTTTACGACGGGCATCCTCCCGGCGAGCTTGCGACTCCTTGGACGATATATAGTGATCAAGCGGTTCAGTTCCGGCTCTATCGGGTCTCTTGATAGTGGACAGAGGCCGCAGGGGTGATGAAGAAGTGGCCGTCATAGGACGTTGCTGCAGATGGATATCTGGTGAGGGTCGGTCTGAGTCAATCCGTCCATTCCCAAGTTCTCCAACGAACGGAGAGGTATTAGCTTGGGTTGCTCCAAATGCCTGACTGAGACCCATGGGGATAGCGTTGTCCTCGCCTCCTCGCAGTAGCGGCCGAATGTTGCGTGGTAGATCCGGACTCTCAACGATCTCTCCATTGTACCTTCTCTTCTTGCCGGCCGTCACCGGTGTCTTGAACCGTTGGGATTCAGGGAACTGGGAAAGTGCGGCGTGTGATTGTGTTGGCTGTGTGGGAGAGAAGTCAACCTCAATAGGTTCAGAGTCCTCCTGCTCATGCTCTGGCTCCTTGTCGTCGGAGTCGGTCCCACGCTGGCGCTGATCTTGATCTGAAGTTTGCTCGACGGCAGCCTCTGGTTCCTGGTCATGCTTCTCATTCTCAAAAGAGGACATTAGGTCGATGAACCCTGTGTCACCTTCGTGCTGAGTGCCTCCAGCGTCATCGCCTCTTTCAAAGTCCTTTTGCCAGACCGGATGTAAGGCCCGATTTTGTTCCTGCTCTTGAAGCTGACCTTCAATCCGACTCTTGCTCAAGATCAGGTCATAGTGTGATTGAGACAACTCTTGCGTCGCATCACTACTCGATTGAGTTGTCATCTTCTGCCGTGTCGCATTGGGCTTGTGAGAAGCGGGCGCAGGTGGAAGGTAGATCCATTGACTTTCGAGGTTGGAGTGGAATTGTGAATCAGGGACTGTGCTAGGTAGCTGTGATTCCAGCGCAACTGCTTGTGAATGTGATTTCTTGTTTGCCACCGCAGTGATGTCGACGCGGTCCAAGTCGTGTTCTGAACAAGGCTGCTGATCCTGCGACTATGGCGCGATTAGCGGCTGCCGACAGCATGGAGACGCGACGACCAGGGTATGTACCAGTACCATTTTTTCTCCGAGAAGATCTCCCTGAAGGGGCCTTATGTCGATGTTTAGTAGACTCTCGGTCGCCATTGATGCTGATGAGATCCATAGATTGGTTTATCCAAGAATGACCCCTACAAGACGGACAATGAGAGTTCAGCAGTCCATGGCAAAGACGTACTCCGTACATGGTCAAAGAAATCGCAGGCGCGAGCGCGTGCCACTTAACGATACGCGAATGCGGGGCAGCGGCGAAGAATCACTTCCAGGCACTGCTTGACTAGTCACTTAGGGTCTAGCCTTACCTGCCGCTTTAATTAAGCTTCATTGCTTCACACTCTCACCCTTTGCATTCACCTTCGAAGCACCTCACAACAGCCCCGAGCTCTCAACTCCATATGTGACATTCATGTCTTCTTCTACGGTTTATGTTGCTCGGAGCATGTCTTCAGTGCTTCGTCCGACCGTCCCTCCCGTGCCAGAATATTCAACCTGCGATGTTGAGGCATCGCCGTACCATCTGCTGTATGAGATTGATTGACTCTACCTCGTACGCACCAGTTACGCTGGTCGATCAGTTCGCGGAGATACTGGAGCACAAGCAGAATTGAGCGACGAGGTCCGCAGGGGTAGGCAGGGGTAGTGACGGCGAAAATAGCGTGAGGCCGTTTCCGAGGGCGAGGAATAGCGGACCTATCTACTCCGTACTAGTACCTACTATCCGATATGCTGTGTACTCTTTCCTGGTGCGAATTTATCAGCACCAATGTTAGCCCGGCCACAAGCGGCCTTCCATCTTCCCAGCCCTCCAAGCCAGATCTTGAGCGTCATCTCCTCTCGCATTGGCGAATTGTCACCACCTGGAATCATCAGCGTCAGCGGACACCGAGCTACAGGCATGCCAATGACTTACCCGAATGTTTCTTCAATATATTCGACGCCCCTCTGGCCCTGCTTCAGAGTTGTGTGCACCGCGGCTCTTGCCTCGTCGGCCATGCCCCCTGGTCCACACGTTAGAATTGCGATCCTGCCCCCAGCGGCACCTGCATCATGCACCTCGTTGACGAGTTCCAAGATCGTCTGACGGATATCGGGCCGGCCATACGAGATGGCAATTTCGTCGTTGGTGCTAGTCGTGGCGGTCGTGGTCTTGAGGTCCAAATCAGCGATGGCGAGATCTTTGCGGATGACTCCGGAGCTGCTGTGTATTTCGGTTGGAGAAGTCGCGTGCAGGTGGACGTGAATATCCCGGTGACCCAGTATTGGTTTCAACTCTTGTGACGCGATGTTGCGGATCATGGCGGACTGCTTGGCGGACCAGACCAGCGTGATGTCTCGAGTAGGGGTGACGAGAGCTCTTTCACCACTTGACTTCTTCGCATGCCCGATTGCCATCCTAACGTGTTCAAGAATGTAAGGCAGTGCACCGGCAATACCAGTTCCACCGACGATGAAGACGACGTGTTCGAATGCAACCAGTGGGCTGCGCTCGCCGTAGGGCCCTTCGATGAACACATTCGGAGTGATAGTTCCGTTGGGGGACTTCAGACATTCCTCACGGAGACGCCTAGTCCAGCTGCTGAACGGGCGGATGAAGAAAGTGAGTTTCCGCTGGCCAATCGCGCCTTGAAACGTCGAGACTTCGTGTTGTGACGGCGTGGGAGTCACATCTGAAGAAGTGCTCGAGGACGGGCTTGTGGCCGTGACTTGTATTTTCTTGTCCCTGAGTGCTTGCTCATTTACCTTATACTCATTTTGAGATCTGGCTGTGCCAAGTGCGTCGGAGTCCCCAATCGTTTCGTAAGCTGCCAATGTGAAGGGGTGGTTTTCCCAGCCTTTCAATCTTAGCGGTTGGTAAAGGTAGTAGTGTTGGCCAGGCCCGGGCTTAACCATGCGGGAACCTGGGACAACTTCGAGTCTGATGAAGTCGGCGTCTTTGTTGTAGCTCGCGAATGCCTTCGTGCCACCAATAGAGCTCGACCGCTTGACATGGATGTTGCAATACGCCCACCGCACCAGACGTACGGCTCGATCGAAGCACCAGATTGCGACTGGCGGCCACAGGTAGCCATCATACTCGCCTTCAAATATACGAGTGTGGCTATTGGCACAGATCAGCCACGTCGGTGGGAGCAAGGCGGCAATGTACCTACTAGAACAACCCGACCAGTGTTACCACCGAAAGAGCAATGTGTATGAGGAGGAAGAGCTCATAAGATCTAACTCGAAACCACATGAAAGAGAAGAGTACTATCAAACTCATCGCAATTGTCGCCTCTCCGAATGTTAACAAAGGGTTCTTCGCGTGAGTTGGTAGAACAGCTTACCATTGCTCCCATGTACCAATACTGTTCGGTCCATGAGTCAGCAAAGTAGCCAACTAGGGGGGATAAGTCAGCATCAACGCCATAACGGGAAAGCATTATCATGGGCTCACGGTTGGCCTCTAACACCGACCATCCAATTGAATGAATAATTGCAAGGACTGTAGCACACCGAGCGATATGACGGTGGAAGATGTTGAATGTTGCGAAGCTCCAACCAGTAAGCCAGAGAAAAATGTTGTTCCTGCCAGAGAACATCCACAGCCAGGGCAAGGTGGCGTAGCATATAATGCCAGTGCGGTCCGATATGTAGCGCCAGGCCTGCTGGGGCTCGGTATAGCTACATGCGGATTAGCTGTGGCCCAAACTTGGTTTCAAAATGCGACGGGAGCCTACTAAAGGTTCGGCCAGGAGATGTAGTAGCTGACACAGCACAAAATGAAGGTCATGACCCAGAAAGACACCAGAATGATGGTCTCCATCCGTGTCGGAATGGTAGACCAAAGCAAAGGGCGAGTAGAGTGTGAGCCGAATGCCGCCGGAATGATTACATGTGCCCGGAGCCAATGATGAATTGCACTGGCGAAGGTGGTGGGCCCGGAGCGGCCTCTTTGGGGCATAGAGGAGTGGCTACCTTCGACGTCTGTCCTAAGTCTCAGGCGGCGAGAGTGGAAGAAATGCGTGGCGATGCGGTTGATAATGCCTATCAGCATGAGCCCGCCCCAAAACCCATAGACTGCCCAGCTGTGAGTAGTTAGCGTACAGTCCGAGAGGATGGCGGATTAGCCAAGGAGTACGAATTACCCGTATCTTTCGTGTAAGACATATTCAACGTCGAATAGCACCTTTCCCTCGTCAGCAAGACCCACAGGTATGAGTACAATCAGGAGCACTTACATAAGTGTCTTTGGCTGTGTTGTACAGGAACCTGGAAATCAAGACCGGCGTGCTGAAGAGTGTAAAGTTTTCCACGTCGCTGTATTCGGCAACCGGAAGTGATCTGATATAGCTGTTGGTGAGGATGGGAAGGACCTCAGAATAAGGCACCAGTTTGACACCGCCGTATTCCGTGCAGTAACCATCGAACAGTTCTGAGCCGGCGGCTATCTCTTCCGCGGTGCAGTAGACCTTTGCAGCTGCCCACATCGAGTACACCAGGAGTTCGTTGGTGCATCCATTACCGTAGTAATCGGTGGCATCAGTGACATTGAAATTGAGGTATGAGATGGCAGTCTGGATGCCACCCAAGCAACCAGTGTACATATCCACGGATCCTAACGTCAGTGCCGGAAGGGCAAGCAAGATCGTCAACCTTCTCATCGTGGACAACCAGAAATCCAAGAACACTCCTCAAAAGATGGAAACGCGAGAATGACGGGAAAGGACAGTGTAAAGCACATATGCTAGGGATATAAGTCCGGCGAGTGCCCTCCTTTGCGGTGCGCGTTCGGCACATGCGGAAGATACTTTGGGAACGTTCCAGAGTGCTTCCAATGTGGATTAAGAGCATGAAACCTGATCTAGAGCATTTTCAGCATAGCAATGCAGGTACCTAGAGAGGCACAAGCGGACATCCAAGCATTCGTCTGTGATTGCCAGGCGTGAGAGGACATCTTCCTACCGATACCCACCACGCAAAGCCGCCTGTGAGCGCAGGGAGGAGAAGTATTTGATCGTCGTATCCGACAAAATACCGTATCACAGCTTGGCATCAAATGAAGCTAGAGAATCCCACTGGTCATTTGCTTCGCTTTTTGCACCTAGCAGTTGTATATCAGTGTAAGATTTGTCCGAGAATCAACTTTCGTATCACTTTGTATGGATCGCGTGACCTTTTAAGCTTTGCCAAGCGAGCTTCTGCAGTCTTGAATATGACCATGCATAAGGGATCAGACCTTGGTCGACCGTTCGTCCAGCTTGACCGATACCGGCTGCAGTTGAGTCGGCAAGCGCTAGCCCAGAGCATATGGAGCAATATGGAGCACAGGGTAGTCCACACAGTAGTATTCTAGAGCACGATACCGGAAATCTCCGCTCATGATGGATGGCTTCTGCAGGAAGAAGCCAGGAGAGAAAGAAGAAGTCCAAGAGAGAAAGGAGCCAAGAGGAGAGGGAAGAAGCTTCACGAGACAGAAGTGACTCTGAGACGGAGGGCATTAATCCCCCTGTTAGCGGACAGCTGAACATGATCCATGTAGTCCGTAAACTGGTCTAAGGACAGCTCCGCGTCAAGGCGCAACTCAAGAGAATGAAGTTGAGGAGAGGGAGTGGATTACAAGCCGAACGAAATGCGGAAAGGCTTGGCATGTGAATCCGCGATAATTTCTAATCTTATCAGATAATGATTATCAGATAAGATCCGCTTGTAAGTCCCCCGAGCCCCTTTGTCTTTTCCTACCAGCCAGTCTGGTCGGGTCTATGTGCAGCTTCGTATCTCAAGCTCGCCGGTGTCGGCCAGAAAAAGCTTGCTCTCTCAAGCTCTCTTGACACTGGAATTACCAAGTTTGGCTCGAGAAGTCAAATTCCAAGCAGAGACTCTCATGATCCACGGAAGGCTCGACAAAGTTCAGAATGACACCATCTAGCAATTTCAAGGCCGAGGAGGTCGTTGGTGGGGTTTGATCGAAGTCTCGCATACTTCCTCCTGAGTCCACTGGCTGCGTTTGCCTAATGGTCTTTGTTTTTGCGAGCTAATTCAGAGCTACTTCGGGCTCAGTCGACCAGTCAGCAAGTCTAACAGCGGGAATGCTTTATGCTTGTACCGTCATAATTACCTGCCCTCGCGGAAGCTCGAACTCGCTTTCCAATCCTAAAGTCTCTCCGGGGGCTGACAATCCGATACACTACTTTCCCCTTCCAAGCCAATAGCGCCAAAGGACTGTTTCTTGCTGCCATGGGTGCTACCGCCCTGGCTCAAGCACCCGCACACCTCGGAATGGGCGCTGGACTTCACCAATGGAACTTCCACCATCAGCGACGGAGGTCGTGTCTGAGGTGCCAGGCTTTCTTGAAGTCCTCGCAGGAAAGACGAACATCACCTTCCTCGCTTCCGACGACACTGCCATCGCGCCATTGTTGGACTCGTCGTGTTGGAGACGCCCCTAAGGCTACCGGCGAGGACTACCTGCTCAACCTGCTCCGTACCACGTCCTAGACGGTGGATAGGACAACATAACAGACTACATACCAGTTTGTTCCAACACTCTGGACCTGTGGAAACTACGCCAACATGACAGGCGGAGAGTGTGTGGCTTTTACTACATTGAGGACGAGAACGTGGACGACTTCTACAGTGGCCTGGATTACACCCCTGAAACCTGAAGGGCCAGTAGCACCGATCCCCTTCCCTGAACGGATGGATCTACCCCATCGACGGCGTTGCGCAAGATCTGCCCAGCGTCTCGGAAACAGTGACGGCCTAGCGACTTCATTGGCAGCTCCTTCGTGGCCGCGCTCGATCAGCCCGGCCTGACTGAGCAGATCGACCTCCTCCATGAGGCAACATGTGCCATTCCCATCAATGATGGTTTCGCCGTTGTCGAGGACGCTCTCTCGGCCCTGGGCACCGACCTGATAGCCGACCTGCTCAAATACCACGTCGTGGCTGGCCAGGGCGATGTCTGGCACTTTGATGACTGAAGTCGGAACCCAGTTAGCGACATTGCAAGGCCAGAATACCTTTGAGCGTCTCAATCACCCCTGCTGGAGAATACTTCTCTAACAACGCTGAAGTCAACTACGTCCACTTAGCGGTCTCAGAGGGTGTTGTCATCTTCATAGACAATGTGTGGAACCCAAATGCGTCGTGGAGTCCCACCCGTGAATGGCACTGAAGACGGCATGCCCCACGTGGCCGATCTCGAATGTCTCCACCACTGACCAGGATGTAAGCAGTTCGAGTACAGCTTCGGCGCCCAGCACGGCAGGCTATTGCGACCTTCGTTGGCATGGCCGCTGCCATGAGGTCCGGGACGGTTGGTGCAGCCTCGCTGTTCGGTCGACTTGCGCCTGCCCTTATTCTCTACCTGTAAGTAAGTAGGGGACGTGGCCCAGCGGCTGCAACAACGGGGTGTATCCCCCGGCAGGAGATTAAGACAACACAACCGGAGTACAACGTGATTGGAGAAATTGTCAAGGGAGTATGTATGTCGTACAAGTCATGACTTCATCCCAAGCCAATCATGACATTCTGGCAATGTAAGGTCCGGGCAACGCTGCAGCAAGCTCGTATTTATGCACGTTGCCGTGGCCAGGCGTGCCAGTCTGGATCTAGATCTCGGCCCTGTCAAGCATTGCACGCCCTCAGCCGCACTCAAATAGGCAAGGCAATAATGACAGACCAATATCTCTCGACCAGACTCCGTTGATTCTGAAAAGTTATGTCCTCACCCATTCCTCGGTGTCACTACGCAGTATTACACAGGCAGTGGTGGCTCCGTCCAGTCACATTATAGCAAGACGACAACCACCTCCCCTGACTCCGTCAAGATGATCGCTCTACAGCTCACCATCCGAGCGTTAACGCTCCTCATCTCCGCCACAACACTCTACATTATCATCAGGATCGTATACAACATCTACTTCCACCCTCTCCGCGAGTATCCCGGCCCTCTTGCATGGCGGGCCACCCGCCTCACCTGGGTCTTGGCCCTCCAACGCGGCTACCTCCACCGCGACCTGCTGGCCCTGCACGAAAAGTACGGACCCATTGTGCGGGTCGCACCCGACGAAGTCTCGTACGTGGAACCCCGCGCCTGGAAGGACATCTACATTGGTAAACTTAGTGGGTCTGCGCGGCTCGGCCACACACGCGCCCCCATAGAGCGCAACGGGATCTGGTTCCGCAAACAACGCGCGGATGATCCCGAGGCGATCATGTCGAGCAATGAGGAAGCGCACGCGCGGTTCCGTCGCGCGTTCATGGGTGCGTTCAACGAGAAGGCAGTGCGGGACCAAGCGCCGTTGATTGAGAAGTATGTTGCGTTGATGGTGCGGAAGTTCCGCGCCATGGCCGATGATGAATCCAGGGGCAATGGCGTCGCGGTCGTGGACATCGTGTCGTGGTTGAATTTTGTGACGTTCGATATCTCGGCGGACTTGTCATTCGGAGAGTCCTTCGGGAGTACGGAGGAGGGTAGACCGCATCCTTGGGTGGAGATTGCCTGTCGGTTCGGCCAGGGGATTGCATTGGTGGCGAGTCTGAATTACTTCGCGCCGCTGCAGAAGGTACTGCGGTATACGATGCCGAGGGCTGTCCGAGAGAAGATGGTCTACCATCGCGAGTTGAGCACGCGGAAGGTGAGACAGCGGTTACAGCTGGAGGGCGAGAGGGCGGATTTCGTCCAGGCTGTCCTGAACTATAACGCTGATCGGGAGAAGAGTGAGGACGAGAAGGTGACGCCGCAGGAGCTGGAGCTGAACATGAGTATTTTTGTGTTTGCGGGGAGCGAGACGAGCAGCACGGCCATGGCGTCGGTGTTGTTTGGACTGCTGAACTCGCCCCGGGCAATGGCGCGGGTGACGGCCGACATCCGATCTGCGTTCCAGCACGAGGAGGACATTGATGTCGCCAGCGTGGGTGGGCTGGAGTATCTGACTGCTGTGATTAATGAAGGTTTGCGTCTGGGACCACCCAGTGCTATCACTGTCCCTCGAATTGTGCCGGCATCTGGGGAGGAGATCTGTGGTCGATGGGTGCCAGGAGGAGTAAGACTCGATCTATCATGCTTCATATTTCATCCATCGGCCCCGTTGCTGCGTGTATGCTAACCGCTCCTGCAGACATTGGTCACGGTCAATCAGTACCCTGCGTTCCGCTCCGCCGCGAATTTCAGCAACCCCAACGAATATATTCCGGAGCGCTTCCTCCCTGCAGAAACCCCTAGTCCCACTGATAATTTGGCTGCCTTCAATCCCTTCCTTGTTGGGCGACATATGTGCATAGGGCAGAAGTTCGCCTGGGCAGAGATGCGGCTAATATTGGCGAGATTGTTGTACGCATTTGACATAACCTGGGAGGTTGCGCCGAGGATCAAGGACTGGGGTGAACAGCAGACCTTCATCTTCTGGCAAAAGGATCCGCTGTTGATTCGTCTGAAGCCCCGGTGAGGTTGCCATGAAGCGGACAGTTACCATGGTAATGACGAAGCTCAGGGACTAAGCGAGAGTTATGAGCTGATGAAGGCGGATGAGGTAACCCCTCGATAGATCAAAATCGGACGCTGTTGAATAACTTCAAAATCTCAACTCATTGGCAACGTTGACTTGAAGCGTTCAGTGGCAAGCATTGTACCGTCAAACCCGCTGTAAAAGCTGTCAAAAGCTGTCAAAAGCTGCCAAAAGCTGCCAAAAGCCGAAGTACAGCAGTAAGTGCCGGTCGAGGAGAGGCATTTCAGCAAAACCGCAAGGGGTCATCCTCTACAATGCTAGCCATTTGTATCAGCCTGTCTAGGTCCTTTCTGCAACATTTTTGCCGCATCGCTCACCATGCCGCCTCCATTGGGGACTGGCGATCGCGATACTCCAAGCTTTGGGATACAGTGAGTATCTTTGAAGCTCCGTGGTGATGAGTTTCCCTGGAGCTGGCGACAATACTTTGAGGATGAGCGATCATGGGCAAGAAGCCGAAGGGCAGTAGAGGCGCGCTTATATAAGCCGGCGATAAGATAACAAATGACTTTGACCAACGCTACAATTTTCGGCGGGGGAATTTTAACATGTGCGAACACAGACGGCGACAACATCACAGCACTCCCTTCCACCGACGCAGGGGATTCTCTGACAATGGCCGACCCCGCGCACCCCCCTTCCGAGGCTGAGAAGAAGCCCATCCATACGATTATACTTGATGCATCTCCTTTCCTGCTCAACAGCCCCTCCATCTCCACCCTTCTAGCTAATGGACACATCCTCTTGACGACCCCGTCTGTTCTTTCCGAGATTAGAGGCGAAGAGGCACGAAATAGAGTGGAGACACTCTACAAGCCGTTCCTTACTGTCCGCACACCGCGAACCGAGAGCATCGAAGTTGTGAAGGGGTTTGCTAGACGCACAGGCGATGGAGCTGTGCTAAGTGCGACGGATTTCGAAGTTCTTGGACTGGCGTATGAGGTTGAGTGTGAGAGGAATGGAGGAGATTGGCGATTACGAAGCGTTCCAGGGCAGAAGAGAGTCAATGGGAAGCCGCCGCAGAAGGAGGAAGACACTGGTGAACGACAGATGGAGGGCACTGCTGTGGATGAAGATGCCGGTCATAATGAAGTGGAGACACAGGTTGACGGCATCGTGAAGCAAGCAGAGACGCTTATTGTGGATGATGCACAAGTGACGGAGCAGCAGGCAGGGGAAGTAACTGAGGACACCACAGATGCAACCGCACCACAGACGGACGAACCCTCAGAAGGACTGACGATCGAAGCGCCAGATCAAGCCTCAGACTCAGATGAAGGCTGGATAACTCCCTCGAACATCAAACGTCGACAAGCGCAAGATGAATCTGCTTCCAGCAAATCCTCCCAAGCACCCCCCAAGACTCTCCAGGTTGCGACCCTGACCGGCGATTTTGCAATGCAGAACGTCTTGCTTCAGATGAACCTGAATCTTCTTTCCTCAAAGACCTGCCAGCGAATCTCTCAGATCAAGCAATTCGTCCTGCGATGTCACGCGTGTTTCTTTACCACCAAACAAATGGATAAACAGTTCTGCCCACGATGCGGAAAACCCACGCTCACACGAGTGAGTTGCACGACGAATGACAAGGGTGAGGTTAAGCTCCACCTTAAGAAGAATATGCAATGGAACAACAAAGGGAACATCTACTCCGTCCCTAAACCCACAAGCGGAACAGCGAACCAGAAATGGCAAGGGCCTCGGCACGGCGGAGGTGGGAAAGGCGGCTGGGGCAATGACTTGATTCTGGCAGAGGACCAGAAGGAGTATGTTAGGGATGTAAAGAGCAAGGAGAGAGAGGCCAGGCGAATAAAAGACTTGATGGACGAAGACTTTCTGCCGGGGATCCTTTCCGGTGAAAGGGTGGGAGGAGGAGGAGGTAGGGTGCGAGTTGGAGCAGGACGGGCGGTCAATTCGAGGAAGCGATAAACCAGAAGTTCGCATGAGATGATCATTGTATCATGCATGAATTGATATCCCGCTGAAGAAGCCATCCTCGAGTATCTCTGGGTATCCTGTTCCTTGATCTGCAATCACCGTGCCCTTTACGCCTTATGAGCTCGCAAGTAAAAATTTCTCATTTCTTCTCGTCTTCTGGTAGGTGCGTGTCAGTCGCGTGCGAGGTGGCTCATGTGAAGGAGCGGAGCATACTCTGCTGGGTGAGAAGGAGGCCATAGCGCTTCTTCAGGGTCACTCGATGCCTGCGGGCGATGTCAGATCTGGCCGGATCGCTTCAGACTGTGTGCTTCTCACCTCGAATATTTGTCGTCTGGAGAAAATCTCGCAGGATGTGCAGACTTTGTGACGGTCCCATCGAGGACTTTTTTCAGTGTGTATATTCTCCCGCCCGTCGCCGGGTCTTCTGTGTACATCAGATGCATCTTGACGCCCGATCGTCTCCGTCGAAATCTTCGCTGCGAAGTATGCTATGGGTTGTTGTGTTCAGTCGGCTCTTGATCCCAAATCGCTCTGCCGTGGTTGGAGAGTGCAAAATCGGCAAGAAAGCGCGATCCAAAAATTTCCCTTGTCGGTGAAAATTGCGGGGAGCAGAAGCTGAGGTCAAACCTATTGCAGTTTCGGGTCACTTCTCTGCCTGTGCACACTCACTCATCAATCCGACAACGACACCGAGCCTATTTGACTGCAAGACTTCCTTTCCTGACCCGCAGGATCTCGCCCGCTACTGTGCGCACTGCTCTTCAGGCTGCCACCACGCTCAGATGGCCGCTCCCACCTCATTTTGAGACCGGCCTGACTCCTCTCTAACTCGGCGGCGATCCGGATGTAATGTGAGTATGCGGCCCAACCAGGTGAATCGTGCAAGACAACGCCCCCTTCTGTCCGGTGATGACCATTTTCATGCCTAGAAGGTAGCACTTTGATTTCAGCTACTCTTCAGTGTGGGCTACCTGTATTAGACTACAACGGTATCTGAGTGACGGACTCTCACGACTCTTATCTTTTTGACTCGCGGTCGAAGCATGTGAAAATTCTACGAGGCTGACCACGACCGCAGACATCCAGCATGGCCTCAGCTTCCGAGCAGCCTGCACCTCCTGAAGTTCCAACATCCAAGCCAGTGATTACCAAGCCTCAACGACGGCCAAAGAGACCTAATTATAACCATATCCATCGACATCTTCTCCCTCTCGAAGTATATCCTTTGCCCGTCCTCATCCCTCACAATCCGCTTTCACTAGTCGCAATCGCCCTCTCGTACCTAGCTCAAGCTATTGCCCCGCCACGTCGACCAACCTACGATGGTTACTTTTCCTCAGCAACATCATCCATACACGTAACCGACCCAGACACAATCTGCAAGCTTTGGGAAATGGGCTTCTTCGGCAGAGGGAGTCTCAGTCGGAGTGAGCCAAATTGGTTGGAGAACAGAAAAATGAAGGGTAAGACGGCTGAGGAGAACACTGCAGCGAGGCGAGAGCAGCGCAGGCAGTTAAAGCATGAACGAGCGAGAAAAGAACAGGAAGAGATTGACCATAAGCTTTCCGAGGAATCGCAGCAGGGGCATAATGCCCGTGGCCAGGTAGACGGTACCAACGGACATGTATCACCGAACAAGCCTGAGCAGAATGGCCGTCTGAACGAGCACTCAAATCGGATACCGGACGAGCAAATGACTATAAGTGAACGTCCACAACCCGCTGAGATCAACGAACACATCAACAGTATTTCCAGGTTCAACGTTCTCAAGAACAATGTGCAGAATATAAGCAACATCGATGGCGTGCTTGAGTCGGCTAGCGGCACCGCGACGCCCACGCCCGACGATGACAAATTAAATGGGTCAATAGAAGGGTTCGAAGAGTGGAGAAAAGCAGTCGAGACGAATGGGCTGCCAACCCCTCCACCAACCTCGACGTGTTCGGAGACCAGTCAAGTTGACGCCCGACCCTCGGAACGCTTACGACGGACCAAGACAGTTCACTTCTCGCCAACTGTTGAGGCTAGAGAATTCGATCTGACCTCTCCAGTAATCTCACCCATCAAGTCCCCGGGTACCTCGCCCCTGGAAGATGCAAAGCCGGTACCAGAAGCTCCCGTCGAGCAAGAAAATCAAGAACACCTGAGCATATCCCTAGAAGAAGCATTTTTTCTGTCCTACGGCTTAGGCGTGCTCAACGTATATTGTGATGACAGCACCACCACCCTGCCGCCGACGTCGCTTCTTTCACTGTTCCGGAGACACTCATATCATCCCCCACGATCACTCTCCCTGCCCGCGGAGCCAGACGATCCTTTCATGATTTCATACGCTGTCTACCACCACTACCGCTCTCTGGGTTGGGTTGTGCGCTCCGGGGTGAAATTCTCTACAGATTACCTCTTATACAACCGCGGGCCTGCGTTTTATCACGCCGAGTTTGCAGTCGTCATTGTTCCTTCATATACACATCGATATTGGACCGAATCGACAACCCCGGAAGAAAGAAAAGCGATCGAACGGAAGATGACCAAGAAAAACTGGTGGTGGCTGCATGGAGTAAATCGGGTACAAGCTCAGGTTCATAAACAGCTGGTGCTGTGTTATGTGGATATTCCGCCCCCGCTAAAAGGTGAGGCTAACCACATAGCCAAGGTCAAGGATGTTGATATCGGCGTGTTACTCTCGAAGTACAAAATAAGGGATGTCAATGTCCGGAGGTGGACTCCGAACCGGAGCAGGGATTGACATGAGCCTGTCTCGTCCCAGTGATGAACATGCTTGATGAATGGACGTGTGACATTTAGCCGGAGCACATATGATGTTTAATAGATACCCCATGTTCAGGCCTACAAGGTGAGGGCAACACTCGGTTTTTTGACTTGCCGACGAAGAGTTGCCCCAAGTCGACCATCGTATCAATGCTTCCTGGATGCGTCGGACAACTACACAGTGGGCAAGGACGCTGAGTGTTCCGAGGTACTCAAGAGGTGCTGTCACATGACGGCACTAGTCGCGAATGGGACTGGTGGCACTTGCCATTCTTCGAGTCCTTATGGCCCTCTAACCCCCCTTCCTTCTCTCTTTCAGTTTCCTTTAGACATCTACTAAAAATGAAATGAAGGCATTGCAAGTCCTCTTAGCTGTCGCTGTGACGCTTGCTCTCCACCTTCGCTAGCTGGCCATTACAGGTGCTCAGAAGTTGGACCGGGACAACCTCCGACCTCCACTGCTGGAACTCAGTCTTGGAAGCGAGGAATGCCCACGGTCTGTCTCACCTGCCCTCTCCTTACTTTGTGTAGATCGAGATGGTTTCGCTAGGAGGCAGCTAGCATGATACCTTTCCACGACGTCGTATAGCGCCCACTGTGCTAGCCCGTGGTTGGTTTCCAGATCATCGCTTCAGCTCGCTGATGGCCTCCTCCCCTGGACTGACCCGATCTCGGATCGCCCGCCGCCGAATAACTCAGTCGATGGCGCAGCCTCCGGGGTGTTTTCCGAGACACTCAATGCGCGCTGCACCTGCTAGAGTTTGCCTGGCCTCTTGGCGTTGGTGTTATCGATTCGAGGTGCGCATCCAGCTCGTCTGGCTGGGGTCAAAAGTCATGTCAAGGAGCAAGAGGAGTCCCCGTGGGGTACAGGATATCGATCGTCAGCGTCGTGCTCCTTTGATACTGCTTGGGTGGGACAGGGATTCCGATGGCTGCGATGGGTCAGTTCATCAGCACTGCTGCTGCAACGATCCACGGCCGCTAGGCGATCGTATCTTCGGTGATCGCCTCGGGTGGCACGTCGGAACGACTGCGAGATTATCGTTGATGCCATCTTACGGGCCGAGTATGGAGCACACGTATGGAGTACACGGTAAGGGGTAAGTTGGAGGTGATGAAAGGGGCATGGTTCGCATGGAATTGCAGCCTCGTTCGTCTGCCCAGCCTTCCACCCATTGGTTTAAGTCGCGTGTCTTGGTCTTTTACCAATATCCTGGTCCCAACTTTGATAAACTGATCTCTCAGAACACAACCTCAACACCACATTCCGAACACGTAACACGGTCTGATAAGCGCCTACGAGAAATTGACACGTCACTTGTCATGAAACCCCATCCGATGGCATCTTCACGTCCACCACGACGAGACGCAACACAACCACACGCAATACTCTGTATCACCATCGTTGATCTCGCAAGAACGCCGGCGTACGAGCGGTCTGTCTTATCCCATAATGTCTATCTGGGCCAAATTAGGCTTGAACCCCCGGGAGATGCGCAAGGCCCGGCAGGAGGCGGGCAAGTTTCTAGGTCCAGATCCACCAATTTGGGACGATATGGGCACCGATATCCAGGAACGTAAAGTCGAGAGTTACATCCAATACCTCCGCAATAACCAGAACAATACTATTGCAGACAAGCTCAGCGTCGACAAGGAGGCTGTCTTTGAGCTGTTGAGGACGCGTACTAAAACCCTTCGTCGTAAGTAATGTGAGTCGTGCCGCATTCAGGTAATGCTGACTTGACTATCCTGCGATAGACTCTGGAAAGGGTAAACCTCTTGCTGTGGACCTTTGATGCCGTGCTGAAAAGCCGGCTCGGTAAATTCCGTGAATACCGAGTGGGGGATCGAGGCTGGAAGATGATATTTGTCTGCATGTCGGCGGATGAGGCTGGTTGGGGGTCGTTTTATTGTCTTTGCACCTTCTCGCGACTGCTGGAGAATTATCTTCGAAGGCGGCAATTCGTCTCGTTTGAGCTCTTTCGTCCTTGTTTGAATAGTTTTTCGAAAACGACCAAAATCCATGAAGCCGAAAAGAAAAAGAAAAGGGGTGGGGACGGACCAAAACAACAGAAGCAGTCCAGCTGCCTCGGTCTCTACCGTTGTTTCCATGCCGAGGAGAGGATTTTGGCCAGATGCCCAATATCCCCGCGAGCGGTTCCGCCGGGAACATGTCAATCGACAGTCATCAAACCATCAGTCACCAGTCAGCACTGGGCATATGTCGATAATCTCCTGGGCTCCTTGCTCGGGGTGTGCCGTGCAGAAGATTGCCGTGTTCTCGAGACCTGTATCAAGCGAGTCGCTCGAGACCTCGCAAAAGCCAAAACAGTGAGAAGATCCCGAGACAAGAGCTCGACACGAATATTTGTCGTCCAGATGAAATCTCCACGAATCGACCATTGCACGCAGAAGACCAACCTTGTCATCGCTTTCAGCAGATCGCCTCGCATGCTGCCAACCGACAGGCTCCTCGACCCCGCCTCACAAGTCAAAGCAGCGAAAGACGGCCGGGTCTCTCGATAAAACCAAGAGGTTGTCGTTCCTACGTCTCGAGGTTGAAAGACAGAAGTGCAAACTCTGCGCCCAGAACCAAGACAAGACCCTGATTCCGCATCGTTCCGCTAGCAGGAGATTGCACCGCCCTGCGACTTCCGATCCACACGTCACTACGCGAGCCAAAGTTTAAGTTCGGGTTTCACGATCTCCATCGCCTCCTACAGTACGTATGTCCTCGTCTGTGTGTAGGTCGCGGTATACGAGCTGAATTTCCCTTCCCCATGGGGAAAGACGTCAAGCTGGACCGACAGTGGAGATGTCGACCCTTTGTTACGAGAGAAATACCACGACGAGAGCCCGAACCCGAAATTCAAACGTAATCTAGAGCCGCCGCCAGAAGAGGACTCGCCTGTCTTTCTGCATATCTGAGCAACCGAACAGCGGCGAGTCAAGGATGCTGGGACCTTATGGCCATACAACGGCACGTACAGACAGCACCATAAGAAATTGGGTTGTGAGTTTTATTGTTTTGGGCCAACAGCAGCGAACGGCTGGAGTCGGAAATCGGCGGCGGCGGCACCTCGTCCTCTTCCCTTTCTCCCCCACCGGCGCATGTTCTGCGGTTGGTTCTCCCAGTCCATCTCAGTCGCAGCTTCTAACGAGTCCACGAAATTTTCCCATACTTTGATGTATTTATGTAGCAGGCAATCGATTCACGCGTCGGCATTGCACTGCGTCATTGTGGACTATGTGCTGTATCGTCGTAGGCATTTCCTACAGTAAAGCGGACAAGTACGAGCACGAGTCCAGTCTGAGATCTACTGCATACTGGGTCTGTGTTGTAGCATTACGCACGATAACCATGCCGCAAGTGCTCCCCACGACGAGGGCGAACATGGATGTGTGTGTGCGTGTACGCGTACGTGTGTGCGTGAAAAGGCGCAAAAGTCCAGCTATACAGCGTTTGTGGCAGGGCGTGACGCCCGGAAGGCATGTCTATTGCAGTACGGAGTACCCCGGAGGGCGTGGGCCTCGGACGGGTGGGCGTCGTGCTGTACGGTATGGACTTGCACGAATGGCGCGCCACTGCAGCAGGCACTGGTACCCCTAATACGAGTTATCTCGTCAATTGTGGCATTTCGCAGGGCGTACAAAGTACATGTGAGATGGAGGGGGGAGAGTTTTGCTCCTTGTTTTTTTGCCGCCCTTGGTCGTCCGCAACGCTTATCTCGTCCCGCCGGCGCTGCTGGTGCCTGGGTGCGTAGATGATAAATGACAAATGCAACGTTGGCCTGCCTGGGGATTTTTGGACATTGCAGTCGAGTCTAGTTCGGTCCGGGTCTCCGATATACCCATAGATTTGCTATAGGCGGTTTCTGCCCCTCGATTTGTCAACCCAGTCTAGCGAGGAAGTGTAAGCTCGAGTTCGTTAGAGGTCGGAGACACTGTCTTGCGACAGTACAGACACGCACGCCTTGAAAAGAAGATTTATCGCACGACATACAGGCACGCCTTGAGGAGAAGAGTTTCATTACGCTCCACACACGAGCCGTACACATTTACAGCATACCGGCTATCTGAATCGAGTTGCGCGGAAGAATTGTGCAGAAGGAATCAAAGACTGTCGGACAGACCTGTGATGATGCTCGTCCAACAACACCCACTACCACTGCCATCACCGCTCCCGGAGCCGGCGCGTGATTACTCCTACGACTCGCAGCTACCTCCGCCGTCTAGGTTCCAGATACGAGTCGACGTTGCCAACTCACGGACAATTCGGCCTGATGGTCCAGCGGTCACAAGCCCGTCCTATACAATCCGACCGGCAACACTGGAGGACGCGCCCGCAATCGCACACCTCGGCGCGACGGTGTTTTCTGCAACCTTTGCCTTCTCGATCCCTGCGCATGATCTCAAGGCGTTCCTGAACGAGGCATACACTGTGGAAGCCATTGAGAAGGATATCAGTTGTCCGAGGAAGCATGTCCTTATAGCTTGCGCGAGCGCGAAGTCGAATGACTCACGGGGAGAATCCGCCAGTTCGAACGACGGGAAGGTTAGTGGGGACAGTGGCGACGACGCTAACGTCGAAGTCGGAGAAGCCAACGACTCAGTAATCGGCTTTGCACAACTCACTGAAGGGACCACCGAGCCATGTCTCTCACATCTCCGTTCCAGCGTTGAGCTTCAGCGCTTATACGTCTCGACAGCGCACCACGGTCATGGGGTAGGAAAAGCGCTGGCGCGTGAGATCGAATTGCTCGCCCGGAGCTTAGGGTACAGGTCCTTGTGGTTGGGTGTTTGGGAAGGAAATTTCAAGGCCCAAAGGGTCTATGAAGGGTTGGGGTTCACAAAGGTCGGGGACCATGAGTTCAAGATGGGGAACTGTATCCAGATGGATTGGATCATGTGTAAGGGGTTGTGAAGGTGGCCGTACATCACAGGGGATTGGAGGTTTTGTATCATTGTCGAATAGAACAAAAGCAAGCTGAAGGGTTGCGAGCAGGACTTCTGGAAGACGTGTGAGAGACCGCGGCATTGTGCTCGCCCAGGATCGAGACCTTTCCCGAGTGGCTTCTGCCTTTACCTCATGTTTGTGTCTTCTGAGTTCATGATGAAATGTAACCTTGATATGAAGCCCCCGGAGCCATTGGGACGGCCCGCGCGGGTGATTAACGACAGGTGAAGGGTCCTTCTGGGACTCCGTCATCAAGCAAAGATGCTGAGACCACTTCACTAGCAATAGTCATGTGCCGTGAATGTGAGCTGCCAAGCTGGAGTCCATGGTAGAAAGAAGAAAAGGTTTGGTAAGGCAGCTTGGAAGAAATTTGAAGACCCGACAAAAATGGCAGGGCACAATTATTGCTCTGCAGTAGCGGAATACGGTGGACCAGAAAGCGGCTGATGCGTCACAGACGCTCAGACCAGCGGCCAGGTTGGCGAAGCGGCAAGGTCCGCAGGCTGAGCACTACTGTACATATGATAAAAGGTAATTACCATCGAAGTGAACGTAGAGAGGAAATGATCAACTGGTATTGTCTTCTAGTACACCTTGTTCTCCGTATGAGATCCTTCGTTTAATAGAAGTCTGTCTCTACCAAACCAGCTCTAGTGGACGTGCCGTGTGAGTATCGTATGTCGTGGCCTCGTAAGCAGATCGTCAGTTAGAGCCCTCCAACCACGCCGGCGTGATCATATCCTGGCAGTTCCTCCCATCTGAAGCACGTCTTGTGGGAGCTCAATTCGAATATTTCTTGCAGAACACCTGGTCAGTTCCTTCCATTGAAGCACATGCTGTGGTAGCTCAGTTTGGACATTTCTCGGAGAACCACCCGGCGTGATCATATCTTGGCCAGTTCCTCCTATTAAAACACATCCTGTGGCAGCTCAAGTTATACATTTCTTGCACAACCACCTGTATCGTCCATCCACTCGTGGCACATCGTACAGTATCTCTGCAAGTAACATGTCTGTGATCACTCAGTTCTTCCTGTTGAAGCAAATCCTGTGGTAGCTCAAGTTGGACACTTCCTGCAGAACCACCAGTATCGTCCAACCGCTCCTGGCACATCGTACAGGATCTCGTCAAGCAACATGTCCGTGATGACTCCTTGCAATGTCTGCTTTTCCTCCTCGTATGTATGGCCGGCCTCACGGGTCCTGAACAAGCACACCTCATTCACGTCCACAGTTCGGCTTGGCACTCCCCCTGGACCCCAAGTGGTATGCTCTGACTCTTCAACAAGACACAGTCCCTGGAATGGCGACCCCTTCTGCAGTGCCTTGAACGCCACTTTCGCAGCTGCGTCCTTTACAACCTGGGCCTTCTTGTACATTGCTCGGACATCAGCCGTCACACCGTGGCGGTTGAGGTACATCTGCAGAGTGAACAGGTTCAAGTGGACTGGTCGGTTGACCTCGAAGCGGAGGGTAACAGAACGAAGGCCGAGGAAAGCAGGCGATTGGAGGACCATGCTGTGCAAGGACGAAGCCAGGGCGTGGCTGGTGATGTCGCATTCATTCGCCGTGCCTATCCTGACGATTGCGATGTGTTTGATTCTTCGTGCAGTGGCTGGTCGGAGGCCTTGGATGCCAGTGGGCAAGAAAAAATCTGTCGCACTCCGGGCCACAAAGGTGCTCTCGCCATAGAGGATCGGTCTGCATTCATTGTAGATGAAAGGGTGCGTGAAGAGGATATTGGTTTGCAATTCGGGATTCAACTCGCTGAAAGTGTCGCCGCCCTGTTGACTGGGAAAGGTGATTGATCTGGAGGAGGGTACGAGGAGGTAGCGGTAGATGAGCTTGCGAGCTTCAAGAGGCGCCCGAAGGAAGTCAATCTTGAGAAGAGGACCGCTTTGACTGCTCGTAGAGGCATGTGGATGTCGGTCAAGGAGGCTTCCATCGTCGAGAAGTTGCTGTGCTTGTTCCTTGATCAGACACAATCCAACATTGAAGCGCTCTTCTGCGTCCGTCTGCGGGCTAACGCGACGGATTACTTGTGGCTTGTCAGCGACTGCCAGTCCAAGGCTCAATTGAGGTCCATGATCCTGCTCTTCTTTCTCATAGACGTCTCTCTTCCTCTTGTTTGTCAGCGGAGTAGAGGCGGTCTCCGTGCGAGACAATGTCTTGCTTTTGTCATCGTAGTATCCATGATAAGGACAGAGCGAGTCGCCGATCTTGACAGTAGTTTTGTAGGTGCACAGGCATTTCTTGCCGGGGTTGTAGCGGAGGGTCATACACGGGTCGGCGAGTGTGTTAAACTCATACGTAACAAGACCTGGGAGCGTAGGACGTGGGTTCTTGCGAGGTCGCCCCCGTGGTCTTCTTGGAGCAACTGGGGCAGACATGAGGTAGATTCTCTTGCTTAGACAACGACAATATGCGGGTCGAAGGACGGTGTTGAGGGTGTGCAGGTTGCAACGAGCACGACTTGGAGAGACATCAACAACTTGTTGGTGTCGCAGGGCGATAAGGCGATAACGGTGTCTGCGGTGAAGACATCGCCCGCCTGCAAGACTGTGCATGCCCCCAGGCCGGGAAAAGTCACGAGGACTTCGGCATCAAGACCTCCGATGCGACCATTGCTCCGGTCAAGCATCAAGACGGCCCTTGGATCTCCGGCAGGGGCCATAGCAAGGCGCTCTGCTTCGAGCCTGCCCTTGTCCTCCACAAAACAGGCATATCGAAGACGACATGCTAAGGCGTAGCTTTATAGTCGTCCGGCAGCACTGGAAGTCCATAGAATATCGCATATCATGGTAGAGCGAATTAACCTGTCAGGCGTGGTGCACATACTTACCAATGAATTGCCTCATCCTGGAAGGGTTCATTTTGGCAGGAGTGAATACTTACAGTTTTCTCTTGGGCAGTCTCGTGAGCAGCTGCGTCGCTGTCACAGGTCATGTCGGCTCATTTTCGCGTTAGTAGACATGGAGACGTTTCGGAAATCATAGGACAAGGCTCCTCTCAGCAGGACAAAATGGTGTCAGGCCCTCTTGAGTTATCAACGGCACCAACACGACCGGTATTGGCACCGGTACCGGCATTTTGGTTCGTTGTTCTTCTTCCTTTTCTTCTTCACGCGGTAAACACTGGCAGTAATTGGGTGAGCAAGCTGTGGATTTGGTTCTCAGCCAGAGATTTCTTCATTGTTGTGAGAAGCAGAACACGCGCTGCAAATTACCTGATGTCCAGATATGCTTTTGCGGGTCGCCGTGCCTTCGCTTTGTCATCGACCGTGATGCTGCGCCGGCAAGGCCTCCTGATGGATCTGCTCCAGTGTCCGATCCTCTGTCATAAGAAATGTGATGAAACTGTCTTTCTGGCGTTGCTAGCAACTTATTGTCTCACACCCGCAAAGTCCCAACCCTAGATGACATGGAGTCTCCTCGCCGATACTGGAGGCGTGCCTATCGATCATGCTCATAATGCATGCACATACCATATAGTCCGTAGATATGCAGTATATATAATATGGGGTATCTGGCTTCGGGATAAATAATACATGTACAAGGTCAAAATTTAGTTTCACTCCGGGTGCTGAAAAGCAGCTCGCCTAGCAAACTCCCAGCAAATCAAAACGGGGCCAAAGATAATCAACACTCACGTGACTGCCAAGCACTCCATCCCGCGGCTCCCCATGCTCCGATCCGAACCTCTCGACATCATGAGCCCGTGAAGCTCAAGCGACAAAGCTCACCTGCCACCTCGACAACGACTCCTCGCAGCAGCCATGTCGGCCAACATGTTCTCGCGCAGAGCGCTGCAGCTGACCCAACGGCGACGTAAGTCCCCCAACGAACCTGGAACAGGATGCAAGCCCGAGAAACTAACAGTCGACGAAGTCCTCGCAGCAAACCCCTCCACATTGGGCAAGACACCTCTGTCGAGATTATCGGCCCCAGCAGCCATTGCGACCGCTCACAACGTACAGATCAGGTCAGTCCTCGCACCCCTGCGACCTGGTTGTGTCCGAGAGAAAGCCTGTTGAAAAGGGAAGAAGAATCGAAGGAGATGCAGGGAAGCAATAGATGTTACATCTGCACCGGGCTGGGTGTTGTGGAGAAGAAAAAAGAAGAAGACCAGGAAAATGAGATTGCCTGATGTCTTCAGGGCGAACCGTCGTCTCGTCTTCCGAACACTCCTCACATCCCCCGTCACTACCTCATCAGGCCTTTACCATGCTAACGCATCTCTGTCCGTCCTCCAGACCAGCAACAACATCCACAGTCTCGCAATCCAGCGGCCAAGAGATCCTCGCAAACCAACGCCTCCACCGTCCGGTGAGTCTTCACAGCCCTTATCAACTCATCCAAGTCTAACAGTGTTAGATCTCTCCCCACCTCTCCATCTACCGCCCCCAAATAACATGGTACGGCTCGGCTCTGAACCGCATCACGGGCGCCACGCTGTCCAGCGGCATCTATCTCTTCGGCGCGGCGTACCTCGTCGCCCCGCTCTTCGGGTGGCATCTCGAGAGCGCGTCCCTGGCCGCGAGTTTCGCCGCCTGGCCGATCGTGGCCAAGGTGTTGTTCAAAGGCGCGGTCGCCTTCCCGTTCACGTATCATGGGTTGAATGGGATTAGGCATCTAGTCTGGGACACGGGCGCGAGCTTGACGAACAAGCAGGTTATTTATACGGGGTGGACGGTCGTCGGGCTGAGTGTGGTGAGTGCGTTGGGGTTGACGTTTTTGTGAGACGAGCCGAAGGCGAGCATGGCTTGAGAAGAAGATTGTACATGAACAGACCAGCTGAAGCACGCGACGATTGAGGCAGAATTGAATCAGTGAAACAAATGCAATGCGTCCATGCCTATGCCTGGATATCATGCATTACGTGTTTGTGTGCTTTCTAACACTAGGGCTCGTCTCGAGCTTATCGACGTCGCCGACATTGGCGAAGCCCCCCGACCTATGACTGTGACACAGTGATGCTGTTAATCAACATAAGTAACACCATCCCTCAGTTCATGCACGACACTTCCGCTTTTCCTTCGATCATCGTCGACGTACTTGGTCCCATCACGCAATTCGTGCACCAAACTAGGCGACTTCCTATGTTTTTGTCTAGTGCTTCGTCGTGGAGTCAAGCTTCTGCCGGGCTCTGATGCCGCTATGGACACGGTGGATCGCCTGCGCTGGTTGGTTGCGTCTATCAGAGGTGCGCTCTTCTCGCGATCCTGCCCTATCATGCTCACGTCTTCGTCGTCTTCATTGCCCATGTGATCAGTCCTGTTGGCCTTGCGCCTGCTCGTCCGCTGAGCAGGCCGAACGTTGATCTCGGCTTCTTCGACAGTGTCGTCAATCATCTTCATTTCATCTCCATCGGCGCGAGTTTCAAGAACAGCATGTGCAGTTTCCCCGTCAGCAGTGTCCTCTCTCACGCCACCGTCATCTCCGTTCGCAAAAGACGCATAGAAATTCTCCACCGCATCCTCGTTGCCGAATTCGCTAGTCATGTTGGCGGTCCGACGGTCGCTGACATGTTGGTCCCTCACGGGAGGTTGCCCATCGTTCTCGCGTCTGGGAGAACTGCTCCGCGGTTCGCTGGAATCGACTCCAGTGAGCTCATGGTCATTTGTTGAAGTGCTCGGAGAAAATAGTTGCTTGCTACCTGAATTCCACCAGCTGAAGAGAAGCTTGACTCGACTGGTTTCGGCGGGACCATACTCAATGGGAGGACCAGATACAATAACATCCGACCAACTCATAGTTGAGCCGGGTTTGGCCTGGAACACAGCCCACGAAGATGTCTCCGTGCTCAATAGCATGAAGTTTCTCATAGAAGTCTGGACCTTGAAGTTCCGAAGGATAACGACGTCTCCGCTAGTGGTTATAGGAACCGCGTTGATGGCATGCCGGAAAATCTGGGCAGATACTGCTGTATGCTGGTCAGGGAGTAGTGAAGGATCAGCTAAGCGTAAGGTAGTATAGTAGTCTTTTGGCCCGGATTTCGATCTCTGCGGCGACGCCGAGGGTTCTGTGCATACGGCAATGATGTCTAGAATCTGGCCGAATTGCTCATGCAAAGAACTCAGGTGCGCATAATATGCGAGAGGAGTTGTGATGCCTATGTGCCTGTGGGACGTTGGTCTCTTCGCCTGCAAATTGGGTGAGATAGGCGTGATGTCAATGCCGTTCGGCTTTGTCTCTTGGAACAAGGTAAATGCAACGGGTGTCTTCCTGCTCTCTTGCACAGGGGATGATCGCAACTCGCTCCGATCTGGCGACGCTGGGTGGAGATTTTCTTTGCGGTTTGGTGAGGATGAGGGCGCCGGAGCTGGTTTACGAGGCGTAAAATACGGACTAGAAATGTTGCTAGCCATAGTGGACTTTCTTGCCGAAAGGCGTTGGGAGGCTCGACGAGGGACGACCGAGTCAGGGTGCAGATAGGGGGTCGTGGGAGCCATAGCAGGAGTTGCGCTTGCCGAAAGCGCTTCACCAGGCTCCTCCTTCTCCTGATCCTCGAAAATAACCGGCGTCTTCCCTCGGGCGTCTTGAGCAGGAGCCTCCTGGAAAGAGTCTGTTGATATCTCTTCTTGGGTCTGCGCTTCCAGCTCTGCGATGACCTGTGCAGATACCTCCTCTTGTTGCGTCGAAGAAATCTCTCGGGGGTCCTGCGCAGCTTCCTCGTAGTTGTCTTGCGTAGCCGCTTGCTCTATGACTTCCTCCTCTGCAGCCTCTTCCTGCGTCTGTTGAGGTGTAGGTAGAGCAATGACGGTAACTTCTTTCACGTCTTCGGTCTGCTCGAGACGAGTATTGCGTTCAGGCGAGGGTGGATACAGTTGCGACTGATCCCGTGTTGGCAGTTGCACTTGAGCTTCGGGACTGCGCAAAGACACTGACTGATTGATTATATGCTCCTCTCGGTCGTCTAACTTGACGGTCTGCGTCGCAGAGTGTGGATCCGTTCCTTCGGACGTGTCAATGTTTGCAATCTCGTAGGCTTGTGGTGTGACCTCTGCCGCACCCCCGGAGGACTCAACACTGCCCAGCTCTTGGGCTGAAAGGCCGGCTGGTGGCACGTCGAGTCCTGGATCCGCATCTCTCTGGGACGCGCCGTATGCGGCTGCGGCGTCCCCTGCAGGCGGCTGCACGCTTCCTGCGGTGGCGGCGATTTGAGCAAGCTGATTTATGTAGTCTGCAAAAGGTTCGTTGGGCTCAAGGGTGCCATCTAGGGACCGAAGTCGCGTGCGATAATCAGACGAGCGACGACTAGAGGTACCAGAGCCTGTTTGCTGAGCTCGGTTCTGCCTGAATGGGGATTGTGACTCGGGATAGGCAACCGATCTGGGCTTCTCGGAAGCAGGGATCGATGTCTTCTCTTGCCGACCGTCCGCGGCTGCACTCTCCTCCATACTTTCATGCAAAGGCGTAATCGGAATGTTCGAGACATTGCCTACATCAATTTGTTCGAAGGCATTCGAGGGTCGTGTAGGTGCAACTGGAGACATCTGCAAGAACTGTTCGAGGACATCCAGCGGGCTCTTCGGCGGCTCGAATGATGATGGACTGATCACAAACCCGTTTGTTTGTGACATATCAGCAGGTGCCCCGTACATATCGTCATCCTCGTCCTCAACCGCCTTACGTGGGTCAGGAAGTTGAGGAGCTATCTCTGAAGACGCCTCGTCATGGGATCGAAGGCGCTCTTCATCGATCTTTGACTCCAGGACTGACAGCCATTGGGGTACTTGGTACCCAGCGCTGCTCGTACCAACCGCATTTCCCGTTTCTATCACGACTCCATCAAGAGTCTTCGTGTGCTCTAAGCGTCCAACAGGCTCAGCCTCGATATCTGCCGACCGCTTTTGGAGAACAGACACTTCTTCTACAATCATCAGTGAGCCCTCAGAACCCGGTAATGATGCGGCATTCAGCTCGCTCTCAGGCCTGGCCTCTTCCGTTGCAACGGCTGCTGGCGTATCACCGGAAGCTTCTAATTGAGATGCAGCCCCATGAAATACTGAGAAGTATCCCACTTCCACTCCCGACCTCTGGACTAGAGGAGAGACCAATGGCAACCCTGGCGATGCGAGAGGTAGCAGCCGTGGCGTAGTTGCAGCGTCATGCTCAGAGCTGATTTGAGACACGTCGATCTCTCCTGGTGGCAGATGCAATTGCGTGGCTTTGTGCGGTGTTGAAGGCGGACCCATGACCACTGGTTGGGGTATGGAAGTTGACTCCTCTGAATTGCTACGCGGAGGTCCGCTCGCGCTCTCAACAACATCCACGTCAGGAGTCTGCAGGATGTTGGCAGGCAGGTTTTCTGTCCGCTCATGCTCGATGTCTTCGGATGCCATCGGGTGCTGCTCTGTATGCTCCGAGGTTTCCACCGTCAAGTTGGTCTCTTCAGTTGGCATATGATCCTGTTCTGTATGGTCAGAGGGCTCCGCCGTCGGATTGATTTCTTCGTGTGTCAGGCCTTGTTGCTGCTCGACATGGCCGGCGTTGACCTGTGACTGCGAAATATCTTCTGACTCCTCGTCCGAGTCCACGAGGCTCCATGCTCCGCTCTTCCTCGCGAACTTGGTTCGCTTCCGTCCTTGGCCAGGGACGTATCCGTCATCTTCAACAAGAGAGTGCAGAGCGGCATCGATAAATGTACCTGCGGAGACCCTTCGACCTGGCTTTTGTGGTGTTAAGTACGGGACATGGATCGTACTCGGCTGCCGATGCAGAACTCCGTTCACGGAGGGACGAGTGTTGTATGCGCCATTGACCAGCGCAATGGGGCTATCTGCGGAGGAAGTATCGGATTCATTCGCTCTATAGTCGACTGTAGAATGGAGGTCACCGTCCCGGTGCACTTGCAAGATCACCTGTTTCCAGTATTCTAGGTCCCAATCTATCTTCTTACCCGGAGTGGAAACCAGGCCGCCCGTCTCTGTCCATTTGCATCCGTCTAACACGAGCTTGACTGTATCACCAATGCCGACTTTTGTCCTTGCCACTTCTCGCGCACACCCATGGCGGAAGACGACTTTAACCTGACCTTTGGATTTGCGCCGTCGGACATCAGTATCTGCCAGAAGCAGGGCAAGCGTGCCAGTCGAGCTAGAGTAGGGCCAGACCAGCACAACTTGAGCTAGAATGTAGGACGAAGACGAAGCATGGTCAGAAGCCGGAGCGAGGTCGGCAATGGGGATCTGCTTGAGGGTCTCGAAAGTGAGCGCCACTGTGGTCATGATCGTGGCCGGAGGGAGGGATGACAGGCGGCAGCCATATCTCTGTCAAATGGACCACAGCCACAGCGTACAAGTAGATGGGTGATGTGGTATGGGGTTTCAGGTGCGGAATGTTTGATACGGCTTGAAGGTGGGCGCGAAGCAACGCAGGCCACACGATTTTGCCGCGGGCGGCGGACGCGATGCGGCCTGGAAACGGCGACGATTGCCGAAACGCGTTTCATGAGATCAACTTCACACGTGGATGGATTTGTCCCTCTTGGGTGCCTCTCTTGTTTCAGTCAACTCAATGTATTTTAATAGCGACTGGACCATCTGCAGAATGTCCTGAAACTGCGAGATTCCTTCTTTGCCATATCCACCTACCGTAGACTGTCCGTGGTGTCGTGGTGAGCACGGAAGACCGGGTGGCCGTGGATACCTCCAGGTCTGGCAGATTCCAGCTTCACCACAATGAATACCATCGGATTCCTCTCACATTCTCATCAATGGCGCCCGCCAAGGTAGGTACCGGCAGAAAAAATGTGTGAGACTCCCCAGTCCCTCCAGCTGCGCCTCTTCTAAACTTGTCGCTGCGGAAACATTCATTCACATTCCCTGTTGTCTATTGAGACATCTTCATTGCGCTCCAACTCGGCTGGCCTTTGCCCACGAGCCTCATTTATTGCAAACACTCCTTCTTCAGCACATTCCTTACACCTGATATCTGCCCTGAGCTTGTCGATTGAATCACGGCTTGCGCTTTCCCTGTCCCAAACGCGGTACCGCTAGGTCGGCAATCAGAGCACCTTCATTCAATCCGTATCACTTTCTTTGCAGGTCAAAGCAACCACCATCACCATGGTTCCGACCACTCTCCTTCTGCTGCTGGTCAGCACGTTCTTCCAAGTCGTGTTTGCTGCCTACCAGATAGTTCAAGACTACTCTGGCGACGCCTTCTGGCAAGGCTTCGATTTCTTTACCGACCCTGATCCGACGGATGGACTCGTGCAATTCCAGTCGCTCGAGGCCGCAAATTCAAGCGGAATAGCAGGGTTCATCGACGGCGGCAATGCCTCGTTTGCAATCTACATGGGCGTCGACACAGAAAAGGTGGCTCCTGAAGGTCGTGCGGCTGTGCGGGTCACATCCTCAGAGTCCTTCCAACACGGGCTGGTCATTGCAGATATTGTTCACATGCCTGGGGGTGTCTGCGGCACATGGCCAGCATTCTGGATGGTGGGAACTGACTGGCCGAAGAATGGGGAGATCGACATCGTCGAGGGCGTCAATGACCAACCCACGAACAGCATGACCTTACATACCAGCGAAGGACCTGTCATCACCAACGGCACCGATTTCTCTGGCCAAGTGATAACCTCGAACTGCGACATCAACGCCCCTGATCAGCCAACGAATGCCGGATGTTCGATTGGTGACATTTCCAACTTGACTTTCGGTCCTGAATTCAATGAAGCAGGCGGCGGGGTGTTTGCGACCGAGTGGACGTCTGACTTCATCAAGATATGGTTCTTCCCGAGAGGATCATTCCCCAGCGACATCGTCAGCAGCAGTCCCAACCCATCGGCAAATTGGGGAGCTCCCAACTCTCTCTTCCAAGGCCAATTCAACATCGACGATCACTTCAAGAATCTTCAAATCGTCTTCGATACCACCTTTTGCGGACAGGTAAGCGTTTCTTCTCCCTCTGCTATTACATGTATGCTGATTCCGTCGTTCTTCAGTGGGCTGGCGCAGTATGGAACACTTCCAGCTGCGCGGCTTTGGCGCCCACCTGCGAGGAATACGTCGCCAACAACCCAGCCGACTTCGCCGATGCTTTCTGGGCGATCAATACCTTACAGGTCTTCCAAGATGATGGTGCAGGCAGCGTCAACCCGAACGCGAGTCCGGGGAAGGCAAAACGCGGAGTATCCGGAACGCAAATCTTGGCAGGGAAGGGGTCCCACTCGAGATCTACAAAAAGCATTTTGCCGATCTACATGTGAAAGAATTCGTCTACATGAGCGTTGTCAGCAAGGCGTTGGTGGTCACCTGGCATAGGGCCGGTTTCTTGATACATGAGTGATGACTCGGTTGGCGCGAAGGGAAAGAGGGACACCGTTGGGAATGAGACAGGACAGAAGGCGAAATCCGCGTAAGGATCTCAAAGCTTGGAGATTTTCCGTGATGTCGAGCTCGGAGAATGACCTGCAGAGGACGGCCTTACTAGTCAGTCAATTGTCATGGTTGCTCGTGCGCTGGAATGTAGTGTGCGCTTCAATATTCACAACGTCCGCCAGCAACGTGATTTCCACGTACGAGTAACTCTGCAATGAAGAGCCTTCACATTACCACAGCTTGTCGCCAGCACCAATTAAATGATCCACACAACAACAGGCCCCTCCGTTTACTCAGTAGTACCCAGCAGCCCAAGGTTGATTGGCGATATCTCGAGATCTGCGTGACAAGGCTTACTCATAATGCAATGCTGGGCATGGAACGGTCGAAAATTCAACTAGCCTCGTGGCCCTACAAAGTACTTGTGTGAAAACTGTGTACGATGGGGGGAAGCAACAGATGATAGCCACTTTCCGAGCACACGACAGCTTGTTTCGAGATCAAGATCTGTACTTTTAGCGTCTGCATATCTCCTTGGCCTGAAAATTCCCTCATCGGCAACCAATTAGGCAACGACATGGCAACGACATGGCAACGACGTCATGGCGATGGTGATTCAACCACTCTTGCCTCGGCAGGTGCAGGCCCACAAGTGCAAGTGCGATTCCTCGTGAAAGTCAATCTCGGGTGAGTTACGGTCATGGAAGATCACCCGAAGATCAAGCTTCAAGCCACAGATTCCAGAGAGCATCAAGCTCATGCCATGGCGCAGCCTTCTGCCTGCCCACCCACCATGTTCACCAGCCTGATCGCCGAAGACAGAGGCACCTCAGGACTTTTTCAAAGATAATGGAATCAATCTCGGCGGTCAAACCGGCAAGTGCAGAGGCTCGCTTGCCCCTCAATTCTACCCGCTTCTCCATTGCGCCTGACCCCGGATGTTTTCTGGAAGCTGCAGGTGAGCATGATCGGGCCTGCTGCTGACGTCGTTGTGCAGCGAACACGGAGTACAGTACCGATACTCTTCATTCGAAGTCGCCCTCCTGCGACTCCACTAGATGGATACGCTGATATCATAACGCATTCTATGTTTGTGGCACAGCCATTCAATGCGTCTTGGTTGACCGAGCCCTGTCTACTAGCCACCTTCATTTGCGCCGGACAGCCCTTATCTTGTATCTCTTCTGCTCCTTCATATTCTCCACCACGAGTTTTGGCAGTGGCTCCAGAATCTACACCTCGTTCTCGTTGCACTTTTGATCAGGAGCATTCCTTCTAGGTCTCCCTTTCGCTATGGCGTCGGCACCCGGCCGCCATCCACAATTTAATATCCCCTTCAACGAGCCCGAGACATCATCGGCCGAGCGCAAAGACACCCACGGAGAATGGGATAAGGCTTCAACCGTGAAACCCGATGAGGACGCTCAACTACAGCAAGCAGAGCATGTGGGCAGGAGCTTGCCAGACGAGAAGGTCGGCGAGAAGGGCACTGAGCCTGAACCCGAAACCTTTGACAAAATTGAGATCACCGAGGAAGACTGCTACAGCGAGTTGGGCTATTCATTTCCCGAGTGGAAGAAATGGACCATCCTCACTGTGATCTTTCTGGTACAACTATCGATGAATTTCAATACCAGTCTTTATTCAAATGGCCTCGGGGGCATCTCGGAAGAATACAATGTCAGCATGCAAGCCGCACGATGCGGTGCTATGATATTTTTGGTTCTCTATGCCTTTGGCTGCGAGCTCTGGGCGCCCTGGAGCGAAGAATTAGGTCGATGGCCTATCCTTCAGGCCTCCTTGACTCTGGTGAATATCTGGCAACTCCCTGTCGCGTTAGCGCCCAACTTCGCAACCATTATGGTGGGTAGAGCTTTGGGTGGTCTCAGTTCTGCTGGAGGTTCTGTAACGCTGGGGATGATCGGTAAGTGCCAACCGTAATGTTCTATACCTTTTGACTAAACTCTTATTAGCCGACATGTGGGATGCGGACAGTCAACAATACGCCGTGGCTTATGTTGTCTTCTCGTCTGTGTTCGGCTCTGTTCTCGGACCCATCGTCGGCGGGTTCGTGGAAGAATATGTCAGCGATTGGAGATGGACAATCTGGATCCAACTGATATTCGGTGGCTTCGTTCAAGCCTGTCACTTTTTCTTCGTCCCGGAAACCCGTTCCACCATCATGATGGATCGGATCGCCAAAAGAAGACGCAAGGCCACTGGTGAGAATATCTGGGGTCCTAACGAGCTGGAGCCTTTCAGCGACCGTTTCAGCGCCAAAGAGATTCTCATCACCTGGATCCGGCCATTCAAGATGTTCCTGACAGAACCGATCGTCCTTACGCTTTCGCTACTGAGCGGCTTCAGCGATGCCCTCATCTTCATGTTCATCCAGTCCTTCTCCCTTGTCTACAAGCAGTGGAACTTTGCGATTTTTGCGGTCGGCCTGGCCTTCCTGCCCTTAGGGGTTGGATATATCATTGCGTGGCTCTCCTTCATCCCGGCCATCAGGCGCAACATCAACGAAAGAAAGTCGAAGCCCGGCGATGAAAGAGCGCAATACGAGTCGCGCTTGTGGTGGCTTCTTTACACTGCCCCATGTCTGCCTATTGGCCTGTTCGGATTTGCCTGGACCATCCAAGGACCACCTATCCACTGGATCGGTTCCATGATTTTTGCTGCTCTTGTCGGTATCGCCAACTATGCGATCTACATGGCTACGATTGACTATATGATATGCGCCTATGGGCCATATTCCGCTTCTGCTACGGGTGGTAATGGCTGGTCTAGAGATTTCCTTGCTGGTGTGCTTACTGTCCCTGCCACACCATTCTTTGAGAGTGAGCTTGCCCCGGTTCCCACGCTTTCAAGCTACTGAGGCTAACGTAATTGATTCACAGATATTGGAGGACGCCGTCATCTCAATTACGCCTGCACCATCCTCGCCTGTATCGCCACACTCCTCGTTGTGGCCGTCTATGTTATCTATATCTATGGCCCAGTGTTGCGCAAGCGATCGCCATTCGCCCAGTCGCTTGCTAACGCGCGTGCCGACAACGAGGGCCGCCGTCTCTCTTACCTGCCTTCTGCATCTGGAACATCGGAGTCTAGACGACTTTCGAGAACGAATACCAATGCGAGCAGGGAGGCGAATTCAAGGAGGCAGAGTCAAGCTGAGTTTGTCAGACGACAGAGTATGCCCCGGCTAGGGAGTGGAATGGTTCGATAGGGATCGAGCCAGCAGAGGTTGGTACGAGCTACATGGGATGAATGAATAAACCTGGTTTTGCAAGGTTGCCAGTGTGTCCATTAAATTTGATGAGGCCTCGGGCTGGTGATTTCGGCCCGAAAATGGAAGTCTATCACTCGGAATTGCGAATCTGCTTGGATCGTCGGTGCTCCATGATTCTTGTGGGCACAAAGGGGCTGTCATGGTTGCGAAGCGAAGGAAAGCCAAGAAGGAAATATACCCTGGACAGTAAATCGTGGACAAAGACGACTAATGATCCGAAAGTGAAGAAGCTAGATAGTCTAGCCCAGTGTGCAAGTGTTGTCTACGGACAATCTATCATCCATGAATGAATGAATCTTGATGGAATGGCTTTCCATATCTTCTCGAGCGACTGGCTCCGCCCACAGTCGCCCACAATCATGGAAGTTCTATGGCAGACGACTCGGACATCTTACATCAATCCCTGTACTCCGTAAGTTCTCCGTATGCTTCGCGCAAGTCCCGGACCCAGGCTCTATGAATCGGCAACCAACAATCAGGCCCGCAAACACTCAGATCCGCCTTGCAGGCTAAATAGTCCTCACACTCGCTGTCCGACTCTTCCCCTTCCCCTCCATCGGAACGCAACTGACTAGATAATTCGAGGCTTTGGTCCTGGAGAAGGGAGAGGGTGAGTGCGAGGTCTGCGATCGCTACACCTTTACTCCCTTGTTCGCCGCTCGATCACTCGCTGTGCAATGATTCGCGGGCTAAAAAAAGAATAACTGTGTATGCTTATAGTCTCGCACCAAGCTGTGTATATTTGTACCCTCTCGCGGGAAGGCGTCCTTCGCACGACTCTGATCTCAATGCCTAGGTTCTGGCCACGGATGCGCGCGCTAGCGATCGTCTCGGTCTCGGTATTCGTATACGTATATTCGGGACTCGAACCTGAGGCTCCCCGACTTGGTCGATGTCAAGGAACAGCGTGGCGGGCATCGCTTGAGGAACCCGCTATGGCTTGATGTGTTAGCAGCATGGTCATCGTCGTGATTGCGACGGGGTTTCGTGGTCAAGTCCATTCTTCTTCATATTCATATCCTCGTTTCACTGGCGCTGGTAGGACGACGGCCTTAGACTAGCCCTGGGATATCTTGTCTTGGGATCCAACTCTCCGGTCGCAGGGCGGTGGTCTGCTGACGCCCTTCTTTACTCCGGCGACGATGTATACTCCTTCGCGACCTCTGCCCTTCTCTGCTCCGACGGTGATCGATACTCCCTTGCGACCTCGGATCTCGAGCGCTGCTTCCTCACAGATTTAGACGAGCCTAAACCTGAACCTGAACCTAAACCTGCACCTGCACCTGAACCTGAACCGATGGTGATGGTTCTTCGAGTTGTCAAGTTGCGAGCTCCAGATTCACCGATTGATGGCTTCACTGGCCATGGATTTTGCGAACGAGTCCGCGGGACCTCCAAGTTCAGATATGGTATCTGCTGCCGATGCTGCTGCTGTTGCGGGCCACTCAAGAACGGCACGGGGCTGTTTCGCGAAGGTGGGTCGAAGAAGACGCGAAGATTCAGCGTCGTATCAGCTGAAGGGAGTGCGTTCTGCGCTGCAGAGCCGTGAGGATGATACTGTCGCTTTTGCCGCTGGTCTCCCTGCTGAGCTGTCTGTTGTTGCGCCGGGGCGCCTTGCTGCTTCCGCTCCTGCTGCTGCTGTTGTTGTTGTTGTTGACCACCCCCGCTCGCAGCCGAATACTCCGGCTCCGACGTCGAGTACGCATTTCCGGGAAGCCAGACGAAATCGTCAAAACTGCTCGCAATGTCCGCGAAATTGAACCCCTTGCCCCTGACGTGCGGTTCAAACACCTGGCCGATCTCCTCGTCGAGGTCCAAAGTCCCACCCTTGAACGGCTGGTACTGATGCAAGTTGGTGACCACAGAAGGGTACGTCGTGCCCATCCGGCCCGTGACCTTCGGGTGGACGTCGACTTCCAGCCTCACATCGCCGCTCTCCTCGAGGGGCCCCGTCCTCTTGGTCAGGAGCATGACGAACGTAAATTCCCTCGGCAATCCCGACTTCTGCAGCCGATTCTCCTCGAGCGTCCAGACCAGCTCGCCGTCCTCGATGTCGTAGTCATTTCCGCCACGCAGCGTCCGGACAGACCCTTGGATCTTCATCATTTCGTAAACCTTGTAGCTGGACTTGACGCCGTAGGAGGGTTTCAGGCTCGCGCTCGCGGGACCCTGCGACACGCCTAGCGACCCGGCGAGGTTGAAGTTCCAGTTCAGCGTCTCCGGGCTGATGGACCCGTAGAGCAGATGGGGTGCATGCCTCAAGAACCGCGGTCGAGAAGGCTTGCAGCCGTGGCCATGACCACAATCTTTACTTCTCACAAGTGCGTCATGAGTGGTGTCAACCGTCTGCGTGGCATGGTCATGACTATGACTGTTTGTTCTCAGCGGCAGCGGCACCAGGTCCGTAACTATCAGTGATGGCGACAGGTCGTCCTCTCCCGTATGGCGCAGCGCTATCCTAATCTCGGCCGATTTGAAGCGGAACGTCGTCCGGCTCGGGTGGAACACGAAGTTGATCGCCACGAAGCGCACGTGGTCAATGCAGTCTTCGTGGATGCTGGGACTGTCGTAGTAGCCTGATTGCAGGCGCTGGACGTGGGCGGTGATGTAGCTCCCGCCCGGCAGACGGCGCTCGTAGATGCATTTCTGGTTCACTTGGTAGCGGTAGTCCGGCGCGTTGCGGTCCTTGGGCTTGGGAGTGGGAGCTGGTCGCGGTGTGGCAGGTGTTTGAAGCCATGAGGCGTCTAGGCTGGTTGGCATTGCCGGGGCGGGATACGGCTCGGAGCGTATCGGTATGTGACCTAGCCAGGTACTCATGGCGCGCTGGCCGCTGCTACACGGGTATTATCCAAGATCTATGGTGATTCACTGTGGAAGATCTATGTTGTTTAGTAGGTACGAAGTATGTGAGCCTCCCATAATGATACATGTTAGAGACGAGGAGTCAGCAGAACCCTTGTGGCTACAGGAGCAGGGGACTTACTGTACAAGCCCGCGAGGCCCCTAAGTCGGCAGCCTGATCGGCGTCACGCGCTGATCGTGCCCCTTCTGATTGGCCCACACTCAGCAGCATCGCGTGGCCTGCGGTCGAGGCGCAGATCAGGCCAGGAAGTGACCACAGCGCCAGGCGATGCATGAATGGAGACAATACTCGTATGCGGTCACCCGCCATGACCAGCTGTTGTCAAAGACGCGCTTTCGATACCAGCAGTGGTGAATCCATACATCCTACTCATCGATCTCAACACAAAAGATATCCTCCATCACAGGTGATTTCCTGGCCCGTCATGAACTTGTTCTCCATCACGGAAATGTAGCAGTGCGCCAGATCATCCGGTGTCCCAATGCTGCCGGTCAATGTCTTGGCCGTGTACATGTCAAGCACCTCCTGCAGCTTGCCTCCAGTAAAGGCGTCGAACATTTCGGTCCTCACAGCGCCGGGGCACACACAATTGACTCTAATGGGCTTCATATCGTGGGCGAGCGCATGCGTCAGTCCACGCACGGCCGCACCCACAGGCGCCATGACGGTCCACCCGACCGTGGGCTTTGCATCGCTCACGCCACCCGTCAAGGTAAACGAGGAAGCGGCGCTGACGTCGAGATACCGCATCGCAATCTTCGCAAGCATGGTGCAGCCCACCAGTCTGACTTTGTACGGATCCACGACGGCCTGGGGTGTGACATCCGCAAGGGGCACCGTTCCGAAGCCCTCGCCAGCGGTCACGACGATGTGGTCCAGTTTCCGCTTGCCGGCCTCGGTCGCAAAGTCGTAGAGGGCGTCGATCTGTTCTTCGACACTGTCCGAGCTCAAGTCGACGGTCTTGCCCCGGATCCGACCGGCCGCGTCTGGATATGCTTGTTGGATCCTGTCGACCGCGCGGCTGACCTTTTCTTGCTTGGAACTGGCCACCACCACTGTCGCACCATGCTCCACGGCTGCTTCAGCGGTGCCAAACCCGATGCCGCTAGTACCCCCGACAACGACAACAAGCTTATCTTGGAGCTTGTTGGTATATTTGAGCGACATCACAGTGAAGAAATGGAGGATACAATGGATTGAAGATGCCGTGTAAATGATTGTGGTTCTGTCTCCTTCAACGGCCCCTGGGAGGGAAACTGGCTTTGCATTGCTTAAATACTAGATGAGGCCTCCAATACAGTTGATGTGTTTAGCCTTAAGAACATGCCGCACGAACACGGCGGAATATTGATGGGCGTGCGGTTCTTCCAAGTTACACAAGACCACAAGAATCTTGTATGATTGGCCAGCTCCGGAAGAGGCACAAACTAAGTTCGTATGGGGAAACTCTGCTGATCGGGCACCACGGCTCAACACGGAAGTGTAATCGCCAAAGGCTTGCTTGGCTTCTGATGTTGGCTGTCTCTTTCCACCAGAGCGGACGACACCTGAGCCTTCCGGCCGTGATCTTCCGTGCTAGGGTCCAGTCTCGCGCCTCAACAAGAGTACCGGCACGCGAGCATGCTCCAGAGATATACTAATCTCAGTCGCAGCTTCTGCAGTACGGACGACGGCAGCATTTCCACTTCCTTTGGCGGCGGGCTATCTTTCTAGTCATTCCCATGGTTGCAGGATGACGTGGTAGATCTCTTAGAGTCTGAGCAAGCATCGGATTGAATGCTATATTGAGCATAGAGCAACAGCGAATATGAGAGGCTTCGAGGTGGCGCCATTGTGCGGGAGACATCAGTCCCAGGATCTTTCGTCGAGGGAACAACGGCACCCCAGGGCGACTTGCCATCAAGGAAAGCAGGCATCTGTGACTGGATTTTCGTCAGAAACCGAGATTTCGAGGTGTCGTTCTCATGCATTCATATCTCGACGACTGGAGTTGCTGAGCCCGTTTTGGGAGTCTTTGGTCCTTCTTTGTCCTTGACAGCATCTGTCCTCGAGCCCTTCAAGGGAGGAAACTCGAAAGCCTCGCTTCTCCCAACGCTGCCAGCCTCCCACTTGCCCACTCTGCTGCCCAAATACCCCTTGTCCCAAATCAGAGCCCCAACCCAAGGCTGCACGTTCCAGCTAACCTGCAAGGTGGCATTTCCTCGCTCGCTGATGACACCACTGGGATCAGTGATTTGATATTTCGGTTTCTGGTTCTTCAATGAGATGACACCTGGCTTCACGATGTCTGTCGTCTTTGATTTGGGGTTTGACTCTCTCCTGCTCTTTGTCTTCGACCTCAAGCTCTTCTTGTCCGGAAAGTATTGCTGCTTTAGATTCTGCCATGAGTAGGGAGTCGACGTTGCAGGAATGATAGTGTCCCAGATCACAGCTTCGGAGAGGCCTCCGTTGCCATCGTTGCCACTTGGATAGTTCGCCGTCACATACACAAACAACTGCTTGGTGTTCCACGTGAATAGATTTGAGAGGTCGGCGTCAAGATCGAACCGGATCTGCGCATATTCTTCGCGCTTCTGAGAGTAATAGTGAGGACGACCCTTGACGACTTGTACATTTCGGACCGATATCGAGGCGCGCGGCGAGCCTGTGGGAGCAGGAACAGGGATGATTGAAAGAAGGGCAATGATGCAGGCCAGCGTAAAGGCACAGCTGGTGAAATACCCGAAGGTGGTCTGGAGACGGTTGAGAGCACTATGCATTGTAGCAAAGGAGGGCTGGTGCCCTACAGGTATCGGGAGTGCTCAAGTCGAGAAAAGAAGATTTATCATTGTCCACGCGAATTGCACTGCTATTGTCCTGACACGTTGGAGACAGATTGACAAGTCGACAAGGCTGCTGTGGGGCGTCTCGCACGCGGCATCCTCTCGGAAAACTTTCCGAGCTTGAAATACCCTTGAACTGGCGATTGGATCGTTGAGCGGATCATTGCCCCGCAGCTTCAAGCGCTCGCCGCATGACATCAGCCACAGGCTCAGCCATGCCCGTCTCTCCACTCCAAAAGACAACGGACCTGCTCCTACTCACCTCGTGCGCATCCTACGGTAAGTCGGTGAGAGTTTCGCTTCTGTATATCTCTGTTGCTCTGTGATATTGCCGCACCAGGCAAGATGGGCCTCCCGTACTCGAAGGAAATCCATGCGGCATTCGATCAGGTCACTCCACTTGTGGCTGCAGGCTTCGAAGTCCTCCAAACCACCAAAGACATCGCCATCTTGCTGGCGGTCATTCAGGTCGTGACGGCCCTGTCGCTCATCCTGATCCTGCTGGCTCTGATCGCTCTATTATTTACCGTTAATCCGGACCTCGAAAAAGAGAGGGTCCAGCTGGTGACACCTTTTATGCGATGGCTTGCGAGCTGGGTCTACAAATATGGCAGACTCGCAAGTCACGTCCTCAGAATCTTGTTTACGGTGGGAATCATTGTATTTGCGTGGTCTATCTGGCATGGCTTAGCAACAGGGCATAAGGACCCGACGTCAGAGGAAGATGAGACCGATGGGAAGGAGAATGAAGATGAAGATAGTTCGAAAGAAACAGAAAAGGACGGAAAAGGGACAAAGGAGTCAACGAACGGGAAGGATGGGGAAAAGGAGAAGTGAATCCGTTGCCATGTTGTCAGTGCGTACCACTTTTTCATGTGTTCATGAGCCTTCCCTGCATACTCTAGCATGCATGAGGTTGACCTTTCGATAGATTGGTTTGCACGATTGCCTCACGACCACGAGACTCGGCTCAATAACGGCGAGACGTTCTTCTAAGATATGCGAGTTTATGGTGCAGCTTTTATCTTGATTAATCGGTGCTCTGCCCTTCACACCAAGTCGAAGCCTTCGAAAGAGGCGTCCAGCTAGTCGTACTTCTCCTGGATTCTCGTGTTTATTCACTGCGTCTTGGCTCGAAATAAGTCTCTAGTCGGTCAATCGGACTGCTGGACCGAAAAATGGTCTTTTGTGCACCGCTTAGATTTCGTTCTGCGCAAGAAGTACCTAAGTACAGAAGTGCTAAGCATCCAGGAGCGATACACACGGCGATCCTCGTTACAACATGGCTCTGACTGGAGAAAGTCACAAGCATTTCATTACATCCCAGTGGAACATCACTATGTCGCCCAGAGCACCTCACGCCGCGTAGATGCAGACGCGCTCAAGAATCCAACTATCTCATACGCTCTGTCCGGAAATATACACTTACATACGTCTGGTACGTAGTTCAACTGACAACCACGACAGTGTCCTAGGCAGCCTGGATGGCGTGACCGCTGGTAATACCTAGGCAGGCGACATGCTCATGGGCGCACCACCCTCACCCTCCGACTCTCCCTCATCGTTGTCGTCACCCTTCGACCGATCATTTGCGGGTTCATTGCCTCTGAGCGCCGTTGCTGAGGAGTCATCTCCGCCAGCAGGCGGTGGAGGAGGCATGGTCTCCTTCCCAGCCGGTTCATCAAGTCTTGCCTTTTTGATATCCGGCTCCGGCAACGCCGACTCTCTTGCTTTTCTCTTCTCCCGCTCCCGCTGGTATTCTTCCCTCCGCTTCTCTTTCTCACGCTTATCATTCTCTCGTCTGTGCGCCTTGCTCTCGAATTCGTGCCAATCACCCTCGACTTGCACGAGTTCCACGGGCTGTTCAGGCGCCGGCTGCTCCGTCGTGAAATATTCGTGATTTAGAACTTCTTCCGCCGTGGGCCGCTTCTTGGGGTCATATTTGAACATCTTCTGCACAATGTCGAGGCAGGAAGGCGTGAAGATGTCTTTGTACATGGCTTCAAAGGCTCGTTTTCGCCGGTCGGTGGGTTGCATGAGTTCAAACCAAGGCAGATCCACGATTCCAGGCCACTCAGATCGAGTTGGCGTGCCAAGGATGTTGTATGTCTTGTCAAGTTGGCTGAGTTCGCCCCCTTCTCCGGGGAAGATTGCTTTCTTCGTGAACATCTCGACAAAGACGCAGGCGGCCGACCAGATGTCCACTTCGGGCCCGTATTGTGTTTCGCCGAGCAGGAGCTCCGGTGGACGATACCAAATCGTGATGACGCGGTTGGTATAGTCAAGTGCTCGAGATTTGGTGTAGAAGCGCGCAAGGCCGAAATCGGCATATTTCAGCTGGCCTGTGTTGGAGACGAGAATGTTGGCGGCCTTGATGTCCCGGTGTAGGACGCCTCTGCGGTGGAGATAGTCCAACCCTTCGAACATCTGCTTGCCCAAGTCCTTCCGATGCGCGGGGCTGAGTTTGAATGTCGGATGGTTAATGAGACCTGTCAGGTCGTGCGACAGGTACTCAAAGACCATAAAGCATTCATTCTTTTCGACCATGACTTCTTGTAACGCAACCACATGTTTGTGCCGGAGGTGTTGCAGCAACCTGATCTCGCGCACAGCAGTTATGGGGAAGCCATCTCGTTCACCTTCCATTCGGATCTTCTTGAGAGCGACCTTGTCCTTTGTGTAGATATGAATGGCTTTGAACACTTTCCCGTAAGTGCCTGCGCCCACTACCGACTCATTGCCGGGTTTTCGGTAGTAGACCGACTCAGATTGTGCAAATTCAGGAGACAATGTCGGTCGCGGAGGTTTGACCTCTTTCTTTGCCCTCTTATGAGGCGGAGAACGCGACCGGTCAGGTCTACGGTCATCTTGTGGCAGCCGTGAAGCTTCGTTGGGATGTCGGCGATCTTGTGCAGGAAGGAATTTCCGATCTTGCGGAGGTCTGTTGGCTTGTCTCTCAGCGTCGCGCCGCTCGAAATGCTTGCCCTGGTTTCTAGGTCCTGACGGTGGCTGAACTGATGGTCGGTTCTCTGGAGGCTGGAACGGTCCCTTCGGTTTATTGAAATCTGCGGCAGGTTTAGCTGGAGCCTGTGGAGGAGCTTTGGACTTGAAGGCGAAGCTGAACTTTGAAGCAGCCGGTCCGGAAGGTGGTTGATCATTACCCTGTGTTTTTTGAGCAGTTTTGTTGACTCTATTGTGCCCTTGGTCCTCCACTTGTAGTTCCTTAAATGGTCTGGAAGGGTTTTCCTCCTCCATTGCAGCATTTTCACGGCCATCATGAGAGGTCGTCTGCGAGTGAGCCGGCGAGTTTTGTGACTGGCTTGTATGGTTACCCTGTGCGGTTTCAGTTTGAGGTACAACCTCTTTCGAGTCCGGGGGTGTCCATTGCAAGTTGTTGAAATGACCCCCTCTGCCGCGTCCACGGGGACCATTAGGACCATTGAATCGCTGATCTTGCTGGAAGTGTCCGCCACGAGGTCCGTGACCACGACCACGGTACGATTGTTGGTAACTGTTTTGATTACCTCGATAGGGACCTTGCTGATTTTGGTAGTAAGGATTCGGATTGTTCATGCCGCCTGGTCCAGAGAAACTATTCTGCCGGTAGGGGGGAGAGGAATTGTGCATCGGCCTGTAGTTTTAGTTAGCAATAGATTAACAGGATTGGGTGGGCAAACTAACCCATGACCGCCCCATCCGCCACGTTGGCTGTGGTATGGTGAATTTGCTTGCGGTGAGCCATGGTAGGAGCTGTTGGATGAATATGGTGGCGAGCCACCATATCCCTGATGCCTGGCATCTATATACGGTCGTTGTCCTCGATGCATGCCATAGTTGCCACGATGAGGAGGGTATTGGCCGTCCATGGAGCGGTCGTCGGCGTCGTCGGCGACAGATGATGGCTTAGAGGAATGATTGTCCTTCTTCTCGGGAGGCTGTCCTCTGCCGGGCAATATGCGGGACTTGACTGGAATCGAATTCACTGATGATATGGGTGTCTCGATTGACGAGTGCTTGGATTGGGGTCTCCGAGATGGAGATGATCTCGAAAAGGGGCGCGGAGAGATTGATGGCTTATCGAGGTTGCGAGACTGTGAAGGTGCTCTTTGAGCGGCGGGGCGGTGCTTACCGCCGTCAGAGACGTGAGACCCAGCAGCTGGCGAAGCAGGGCGAGATGAACGCGGATGGAATTTTCGAAACGGAGAACGGGACCGATCAATAAGCGGGCGTCTTTGATCGATATCAGGAGCTCCTCGACTGCGACCCCGTCTCTGACTTTCTGAGCCAAATCTGGCGGTGCTGGCAGGAGAGGGACTCTGCGTACGCCTCCGTTTTGCCGATCGAGTCGGTGAATAGTCAAGTCGTCGGCCGGAGCGGTCCTCGAGCGGTCTTCGAAGTGGTGAGTGATGACGCTTTGGCTGCAGAGAACGGGGAGGCGAAATGGACAAATTTCTACCGTGTGGTTTCCTGGCCGCTCGTTCCCTCGAAAATTGCCGCTTCCTATACGGTGGACGGAATTCGCGATAATTTCCTTCTCGATGGAGTGCAGACACCTCGCCCCCTCTATATTCTTGATGCGGTGAATGCGGACGTCGGCCTTCGCGGTCCCAGTCTCTGTCTCTATCCCGCGGATGGTGTGATGGATGTCTCTCACGGAGATCCTCTTCAGCTCGCCAACGGTGCCTCATTGATGGGCTCCTTCGAGACCTCGCCATGTAATGCGGGGAACCATTTGCGAAAGCGTCGGGAGGATGGAAAGAAGGGTTGGTGGGGGTGTTGTGTTCGTGACTTGGGTGTTCGTGAGGAAGCAGATGCGGATGTGGATTTGGCTGCTGGGCGAGTCCTGCGCAGTTTGGACTTCAGCGGCCAAAGCGAAAGCGAACTAGCCCCAAGTTGCCCCAGCTCGAGTCAAGCCGCCAGTCGGAGTTTAGGGGAGAGACTCACCTGTTGCTGCTGCTTCAGGCTGCCACTCCCGCCGCATTTGTCGGCCTCTGTCCAGCGTCGCCAGCTCCACAATCTCGTCGTGCTGGTGGTGCCCATCCCGCTGTTGTGTCGGTCGATTCTTCGCTCGTCTTTTACCTTTCTTTTTGGCCATCGTCACTCGATGCCTCCGGTGACACTAATGGCCGTGATTTACCGTTCAATCTACAATCGTGCTGCTCGTGGCTGTCGCAGGATTTGCAACAAGCGAAGTCTTCAGACGGTTGTGCCTTGTTGAGCGGCAGTTCAACGTGCGCGAGACCAAGAAGTCGAGTGTTGTTCTGCACTTTTGAAGGTGACAGCAACAGCAAGACGCGACAATCTATCTATGTATGGGACCTCTCCGCGGCGGCCGCTACGAAGAACAATAACAAAGAAGTCATCGCTTTTCGTGTGGCTGCACCCCAAGCAGCTGCCTGTAGTGAAGCCTCTGCCCGCCACGACCCGTACTTCACCTCAATCTGTGCTTTATGCCTTTGTGCATCAGATGGCGCCACTAATCAGTGCAACATCTGTTCACGCGGCAGTGTGCTCCAACGAACCTGTGGTCAGTCATGGTTTGCACGTGAAACAAATAGTGGCGGCTGTCATTAATATAGTATCCGAATAGCGATACTTGGCCTGCGAGTATGAATATCATCTGATGCTGCTTCTTCGGAGCAAGCCTGTCTCTGCCTCTGTGAGCCGTGAAAGGCCGGATGGTTCATACTTAGTAGAAATGCCGAAAAGGTGGAAGGCGGTAGGAGACGTGCATCTGCTCGGCAGCCTGGTAGGGAGTCGAAGTTGTGTGATCTCGAGTCCGAACAACCATTGTTGTCGTAGGTTCGACCTTGCGTAGTCGGACGGACATGTGCACGAGGATGAACTGAAAGACCAGAACACCGACAACAAAACTACATATTCCACGAAACCGTTCGTTGTCAAATTCCATTGAATGCACGATCACTGATCACTCGGGTGTTTCGAGAGACCAACGAGGCGGATGCCTGGAGTTTGTTGTGGGTTGGCCCTGTTGACTGCCTAATTTGACGTCCAACCAGGCCTGCGTGAGTCGTGTTTCACCCTCGGCGTCGCGCTGTGGTGGAAGAGTACGAGTAGCCATCGAATGAGAGTCATTCTAAGATGGAATATCTGAAAGCGCAAATAAGGATTGAACAATCCCTTCCGCAACGTCGCAATGCACAGAGTCAACGGTTGAAAGGTGTTTGGGAGTTTGAAGGAGGAATCAGAACCTGCCCCGAAGCTTCACTCTCTTTGGGTTGCGGGTGATGCCGCTCTATGTTCGCATCTCGCCTGGAACCATTACCGGTAAAGCGGCAAGGAAACTGGCTACATGCCAGAACTCCAGCACACGATTATCTCCCACAGCACGGATCGGAAGGGATGGACAACAGAGCTTCTGACTTGCGTTGACTATCACATAGCCACTACTGGGCGTCTTCAATGGTATCTTGAGCAAGGGCTAGCTACTTTCATAATTGCCTCGAGAAGGCTGGGTGAAGACAGGTAGACGTATTCCATGTTTGATGCAACTGTTATGCGAAGGTGTCGGCTCTCCGAAGTTCTTCGTCTCCGTCGGCCTGGAGGAGTAACTCCATGTGAGCCGACCAGCGCCCTGTCGCAGTAGCTCCATGTGTTGCTGGAGGTACAGCCAGTATGGGCCGGATATAATAGCCACGAGTGTCTCCGTTTTAGGGACAATCAGGATGGGAGAATGGCATAGGGCTCACTATGCTGTTTCATCCACTGGTAGATAAACCCCAGCAAATCGATCCACAATCACTCTGATCTTGTCTGACTGCTGCATCTTGTGCAGCCGTAGAGACGCACTCGGTCGCATTGAGCAACAGCAACGCTTTTGTCTTCCAGGCGTCATCAACCGAATACTCCTTGGGATGTTCTCAAACCCAATCTTCGGCGCTTTACTGGCCCTCGAGCAGCACAAAACGTGTTTCGAGAAGGTGAGCTGCTGGGGCGGGTTCTCATATCATGATCATTTGCGTCTTCAAGGCTGGACTCTTCATCCGTCGACACTCATCCTTTCACCGACCCCCTTCTCGCCCATGAGTTCGCATCCTGTCCTTACGACACCAATCATCCCGCCGGTTTGCACACCTTCACTTCCACCACCCGCTAGTCGGAACTCAATCTCTGCCAGGCCCTGTAACCACGTCACTCTAGTAGGAGCGCTGACCTCAAGGGTCTGCAGTTCTTCAGCCAGAGCTGTGAGGATATCGGCCAGCGCAAGCCCACGACTACTCTTCAGAGCAGTGATCGTCCGCAGGCACTCCGTCAGGTCGGGTGTGCTCAGCATTGTCGTCATAATCAACCGGATATCCTCCGGATGGGGCGCCGCAATACAATTATAAACCGTGTCGTTCGTGATCAGTTCGTACTTGATTTCGGACTCCTTTACTGGAGGCTGACCTCGCATGGGCAGTGGTCTCGATCCAGCATGGCATGCTTGCAGGACATTCAACGCTCGCCGCATATCCCCTTTCGATAACTTGACCAGTGAATCCACAGCGTCGGCCGTGATGTTGACGTGCTCCTGCGAGATCACGAGGTCGACCAGCCGCCGAATGTCCGCCTCTTTGAGCGGTGAGAATCGAAACCTCGTACACCGCGAGAGTAACGCTGGCGAGAGCTTGTGTGTGTAGTTTGCAATGATGCAGAACCGTGTGTTGGCAGTATATTTCTCCATGATTCTGCGAAGAGCCATTTGCGCCGCTGAAGTCATGGCGTCTGCTTCGTCGAGTATGATCAACTTGAAGGCACCGAGTCCAAGCTTCGGTCCACCTGCATTTTGTTGTGTTGACGAGCTGAAGATCTGCTTTGTGGATGCGAAGGTCTTGATTTGTTCCCGCACAACGTCAATACCACGGTCGTCTGAGGCGTTGAGTTCAAGAACCATCTGTCGCATGTTCCTGGCACCATATATCTGTCTTGCCAGCGCCAGTATCGTAGAAGTCTTGCCAGTGCCAGGCGGGCCGTAGAGGAGGAGATGAGGCAGTCGGTTATGTTCCACGAATCGGTTGATTGTTGCGAGGATGTCTTGGTGACCGGAGACGTCGTCCAGGGTGTTTGGCCGGTACTTCTCAACCCTGCCAACAAGGTCAGTATCTCCTCATGAGCGTTAACTCAAAGCAGCGGCATGCGCACCATGGTAGATTGTCCTCAGCCTCTACAGGCAGATCAGCGACTATGCGCTTCTGTTTACCAGCATTGCCATCTGCACTGAATTGTATCTCTTTATTCTTGACGGGCGCGACGTCCACGTCCATATCATCTTCATAGTCGGACATGCTGGGACTGAAGTGACTTGCTGTGCTCGTATGTTGGGATTGTGGTGCAATGGGGTTTGTCTGGCAACAATCAACATCCTGCTCATGACGCGCCTGCGCCGACGCGTAAATTGAACTGCGCTTGAACGCATATATGGTTGACCGTCCAATCGCTACGTCATACCACAGCGTCCTGGGTTGCAATTGCGGACACGATTCGATTGGCGGGCGCCGACTGTCCTTCTCAACTCTCAGTGCTCTGTGCATGCTTCAATAATCAGTCCCAATTGCAGCAGAGGTCATGGCTCAGTAAAGAGAAAGAGACCTCTAAGTGCCACGTTATCCCCTCACATCTATCCGACAACGGCTCAAGATGCCGGTAAGTCAGGGACATTTCCTGCGAGTACTTCTTCCTCCGCTGACATCCCGCACACAGGCATACCACTCCATCTTCCTGGGCGACCAGGGCGTGCAGTTAATAGGTATAGTATACCTCCTCCTGGCCTGGCAAATGGCACTGTCCCTCTAACATGGGCCTTAACCAGGCAACTTCCCCCTTCTCCCCTTGCGCACCAAAACCCGCGGCCCAGCGTACACTCTCCCTGCGCTCCCACCCGGTACCAACCCGCTCGATGTCGACCCCGACTCGGAATCCTACGACTGTCTAGATGAAATCCTCTCCCTCTTCCGCGCCAATACTTTCTTCCGCAACTTTGAGATCAAAGGCCCCGCAGACCGCATGCTCATCTACGGCATATTATTCCTCAGTGACTGCCTGACGAAAGTCAAACCGAACATGGACAGTAGAGCGGCGGAGAAGGCGCTTATCAACGGGGCGTTGGAGCAGTTCAGTATCCCTGGGGAACCGGGGTTTCCTCTCAATCAGGCATATGAGCCGCCGAGGGACCGGAATGAGGCGGAGCAAATGAGGAGCTATTTGAGCCAGGTGAGGCAGGAGTTGGCGATTCGGTTGCAGCAACGGCTGTATGCGGATGGCGGGAATGTGCCGAGCAAGTGGTGGTTGAGTTTCACGAAGAGGAAATTCATGGGGAAGAGTTTATAGGTCGCGCCAAAGAGGGAAGGAGATCATAGACCCTGGCCAGTCGATGAGCGGACATGCTAATCAGCGAATTATGAGCGTGCTCTTTCCGTCAACAGGTGTGAGGAATGTCATGAAAGATGGTGGTGATGGCGATTGCACCTCGTGATGTTGAAGTGGTGGCCCGCCATGTTAAGTCTCAATGCTCATCTGGACATCATCCTTCTCATCCATTTCTTTCTTCAAAGCCTCCGTTGCCGGGCCGAGCACAGGCATCTCATCCTCTTCCGCTTCTTGTACGACAAGCTCCGCAGCCTTCTCTTCCTCGAGAGGCGATTCTCCGCTCTCGTCTCGGGTACTATCGATGAATTCGCGCTCAGCTGCCTGTTGTGCCTCCAGTTCATTGTTCTCTTCGTCCACTTGCCTCTCAAATCGCACTGGCACGCCATCGGTTGTCGTGGAGCCAGTCTGCTCTTCGACCTTCTGTCTCTTGGCAGGCGACTGCATGGTCACATCTTCCACAGAATCAATCAACTCTTGCTCAACAGTCTTCTGGCTCGCAACCCCAGTACTTTCTTCAGCCTTCGCCTTCTTCCCTCGAGGCGGCCGTCCTCTCGCCTCTACCTTTCCCTCCGCAGGGATAACCCGTGTTCCAGAAAAGATATACCCTTCCGCTCCACCTCGTCCAGTCATCAATGGGTGCGTCCGCCCTGGCAATACCTGCCACCTCCTCACTCTGGCTGTCTGTATCATCGCCCCCAAAAGCAATGTCGGATCAACGGGGAAATCCCTCGAAGGTATGCTTCGCTCTTCTGCCAGAGTGTTGATAAACGCGGTCCTTCTTGCGGTGGAATAGCAGTCCGCCAATTCCACCAGGGGTTCGACGTTGGCAGAATAAACTACGACCTGGCTTCCTCCAGCGAGGAGAGGCACAAGATGTCGTAGTATTGAAGTCGGATCTGTGAAACTTGCGACGACAAGGCCGTCAAATCCGCCGGCCCGAGTCTCATCAACGACAGATTTAACCCGTTCCCATCGTCTTCGCTTCCGATAATATGCGCTCCTGCGGTTTGATTTCATCGTTGCCAGCTCTTTGTCGGGAATGGCATCCGGTTCTTTGTACGCGATATCTGTCTCCGGGTCCAGCAATTGCAGCCACGACAGGGTCTTCAGATGTGTGTACAACGGGTGCGAAGCGTTGGGATTGTTCGAGTCGAAGTTGAGGTACTGCAGAAGGCCGAGGTTGGGCTGTTGGTTTGCATGAACGAGGGTTATTGTGTTCGACTGGGCGCTCATCGCTGTAAGGTGTTGTTTGCGATTGGGTCTTGAGGGCTGGTTGGTGGTAGGCGGGTCCTGGTCATCAGGATCGGAGGCCACTTCATCAGCGCTGACTATGGATTCCGCTTCCAGGGTGGTTTGATGCAGGATACCCATTCTCTCGGCCATGGCGGCGACAACTAGTCCTCCCGTATCGTCCACAAGCAGGTATCGAGAAGAGGGCCTAGAGTTGGCGAGTAGTGCCTCGTCCACGCCAGCAGCATGAACATTCGCCCAGCACCCAACCAACCCGACAGCCTCATTCCTCATCTCCATGACCTTACCGAATTCGCGATCTGCAAACATCCAATCGACCAGAGTGGCTACATCGAGGGGTAGAACCGTGAACCGCTTCAGGAACTTTTTGTGTTTGCGTAAAGTGTATTTCGCGAGTGAAAAGGCGGTCTTCTGGTCGAGCGTGGTGTGAGACTGCATGAGCTTCTCGATCAGCTCGCGGCCACTACCTGTGCTGTTCTGCTTGGGTGCTTCGATTTCGGCCATCGTTAGCTTTTGATTCGTCGGGTCGTCGTGCGTATTCACGTTAGTCTTCGGGGGCTGCTGTGGTGTTGCTGCTCCCCCTTCCGTCTCATTGAAGGGAGTCGAAGCCTCATCAGTCTCGGCTTGTTCCACCAGTGCGGCGGCATGTAACTCAGCGGCAGGGACAACTCTGAGCTCACGTCCATCCTTGACCTCGTCGCGATCGAGAATTTCGAATGTAAGATGGTAAGGACGGCCGATGATCTGATTTGTGCGGAACGATCCATATTTTCCCAGTGATATCAGACTTGTCACAGAGTCAGCGACAGCTCTTCAAGGGCCGTTCAGCTGATATCTGTTTTGGGCCTGATAGTGTTGAAGACCTACGTATTTGGGACCGTTTGTTCGACTTGGATTTGGTCTGAGGGCAGTCGGATGGCGACATATTGGTAAGGTTGAATGGCAGAGAATGCCATTTCAACGTCCAAATGAACTGATCCTGCTGCTTTTTATGGTCTACTCAGGTCTGTATGAGCATTCTTCATTACGCTGAATCTGCTTGCAAGTTCGAGTTTTTCTAAAAGTCTATACCTATTGCATATCCCGTACTTTCACTCTACCGAAAGCCCTACGGCGGTCTGGGCGCATCTGGGAAGCATTTTGAGTGTCTTGTCTGCGACTCTGCGTGTCCACTTCCCCGGAACTCAATAAACGTTCTTTTGCCTCTAAATCTCCGTCCGCTTGATTGTACCTCGTACTCGTAGAATCCAACACTGTCGACCGAACCTACTCTCGCTCCACTCCGCCACATGATCGGCCCTGCCTCGTGACCATGAGCGAGTCCAAGCGGGGGTTGAGCCACAAAACAGGAGACAATGCCTGTCAACCCCCCTGACGTCACAGGGCAAACAATGGCAAAGGTACTTCTCTCTAGGGGACTCTGAGGGTGGTCAAAGACGCGCCGCATTCAGTCTGTGTTCGTCCAAGTACGTACACGGCATTCCAAGAACGAAAGGTGAGCAGGAACTGTGACGCAGTTTGTGATAAGGCCCCAGGCACCAAACAAGCATATACTCGTATCATATCCCTCTTGGTCTCGTCTCTCTTTCCACTCCCTACTAGTATTCCACGCTGTACAAAGAATCCTCACATTCGAGAATACTTCAAATACAATCGCATATCAAGATGTCGGACATTGCAAAGGGCGTCGGCAACCTGATCACCTCCATCGTCGAGATCATCAAGGGCATCTTCGGCACATTCATCAATCTCGTCGAAGGAGCCTTCCTCACCGTGTTCAATGTCTTCCAGGGCGCGTTGAATGCGGTCATCGGCCTTGTCAGGAACACCTTTAACCTGGCTGAGGGCGCGGTTGGCTTCATCATAGGTATGACAGTGCAGGCTTCGCTGCCGGGTATGAAAGGCTCGCTGACACACTCGCGATAGGAAACTTCTTCATTCTTGGCACTCTGGCCGCCATCTACTTTGGATATCAACTGCTTCAACAACGCCAGGGCAACCGGCCTGCTCCGATTTCGAAAGCCGTGACTGGGAAGACGCATTGATCTCAAGAAGACTGAGCGTGGTCGCCTGAACACGGGCCAGCGGGCCTTGAGAAAGGATGAGCGGTTGGCGGCTGAATGGTGTGAGAGTAATCGCTATTACAACACGTGATACCCAAGTTACGAGATCAATGAGCAAGAGCGTTGGTATATTATCGGAAGCGAAGTGGATCAGCACGAAGGACCGACCGAAGCAAGCGTGGATGGCACCACTCTCTTGAGTCTCGCTTGAGCTGGGACAGTGAGGATCCTGCGCCATTTCGACGGGCGCGCAATGTGTAACTGATAGTTGAGGCTTTTGCTGGAAACAGGCACGTGATGGATGCCATAGTACATGTAGTTTTAGCATTCTCCACAACATTCCTCGCTGTTGTACTACCACTTGTTGAATGTTCAACCCGTTGAATGCCACGTTCTGTACAGCCGGATGCCTGTGAATCGAACGTAACCTAGCTGCTGAATCTCAAGAGGCTTCCAATGCCCGGTTTGCAAGTATGTCCCATGCGAGTAGAAGACGGCACTCGGGACGCGTGGTTGAGGTCTGCGCAGATCTCCACATATCCACGGCATGGGTTTGCATTTTCACTGCGATGAGCCTTCTGTAAAAGATGGATTTGGTGTTGCAGACGTATATTTTATCTATCTCGTACTCCAGCACATACACAGGCTGGTCTCTGACGGAAAGTAAAAGGCGTGAGATAGTTGACTGTAAGTCACGAAGGGGTAGTCTCCCTCTCAAAAACATGTGAACATAATGGGATCTTCCTCCAAATATCATCGCAATGCAGAAGTTGAGGTTGTCGACAGGTATTTGGCCGCGTACTTCTGTGTGCTTCGTATTGTGAATCAACGGGGCAGGGTTTCAGAATTTATTCGCGTCGCTGGTGATGACCCCTTTTGGCCAGAAGACTGCCCTGTGCTTCTCAGCACGCGTCCACGGGTCCCGGCGGAGTGATATTTCGATTTATGCTTTGATGGCATTTGCCTTCCTCCTTGCGGCGACGGTCCAGTCGTACAAGACATCCTTGAATGCAAAGAGGAAAGCGGCCGTCAAAACGCTCTGGCTGACTTTGGGCACGATACCTGCAAGCAACGGGTTAGCGAACGCGAGGAGGGGAAGCACGAGCGGAGCTCACCTTTGTACAGCCCACTATAACCCTCGTCCTTGACGATCTTGTTCAAGCTCTTCCACATTCCCTCATGTGGGTCATCTTTTGTGGCGACATGAGCTCTCGACTTGACAGTGATATACGGGTATGTGATGGTGGTGGCCAGCAGCTTGCCGATTGCTCCAAGGTAAAAAGCATCCCTTGGACCCACCTTCCTCCGCTTTTCGATAATATTTCTGAGCTGCTCGTAGATAGTATATTGTAAGATGGGGTTGATCACGAGGACCAGAGCCGGGAGGACCCCAGCGAAGAGGGAGGACGGACCCTCGTCTCGTACAAGGCTCATCAAGGTTCCGATTGTGCTCTGCTTCTTGCTGGACCTCTTTTCACCACCTGGCAGCTGGTCCTCGCTAGAGTCACTCTTTCGAGCAGTCATTCTTGTATTGACAACCCATATGGGATTGGTCAGCAAGACCGTGGCCGAGCCGGCGATGGCACCGGCGATCATGCTCTCGACGGTCGTGAGCTTCTTGCTTGCGCGGCCGGCCGTGATGGCGGCTTTCTCGAAGAATGCTCGAGTCCATTCGTACCAGTAGTAGTAGACGAAGTTGGTGACAGAGATGCCGAACAGAGCGCTGTCGAGCCCCGCGTACAGACCACCTAGCCCCTCGCGATTGATGATATGCTTGATCGCTGCCAATGTAGAAGTGTCTGCTCTCTTGGACTCGACCTGAGCACGGGTTGACAGGGTGATCAAGGGGTAGGTCAAGGTCATGGCAAGCAGGCCCCCACCTGCGCCGGCCAAGGCATGGGCAATGTTGTCGCTCTGTTGAGCAGCCGACGTTGCTGGGGTAGGATCGCGGGAAGGAACCGCGTTGACAGGACCCGACGTTTGCGAGGACTGTTGGTCGAGGTCGCCCTCAGTTGGCGTTGGCGCGACGTTCTTCGTGTCAGACATGATGACTATGGGTTGTAGCAGTCTGCTGGTTGTGAGAATGGTAGAGAGGGGTCAGGGACTGGTTAACACGAAGAGGTAGGGATGTGGAGTGAACAGTCGTCAATAGGTGCCCGCCTTTTGTAGCTCACAGACTCTGACGCATGCTTCTAATCGGGAGTTGGAGATGTTATGGGAGAATTCGGAACATTCAATGATGATGGTGAGGAGCCGTGGGAGCTTGTTCGGCGATCAATGGTCATTGAGTCTCATGCCAATTCAAGTGTTTAGCCTCGGCAAATATGGCGCGGCAAGCGGCTCGGCTGGGGAATACTATTCTCCGTCTCGCTGAAACAGGGGGAATGAACACTTGAGACTCGTTGCTTCCTTGAGACCGTCTGTGGGCGGCCTCCAGCATCGCTAAATAGACAGGCTACTCGGCTTGCGCGAACTTTGTTCTCCCCTATTCCTTCATAGGTACAGTATTCCTGCTGGTGGATGGCGCAGGCCCTACCGAGGTTCTGCATTATCACCTGCCCAAACTTAATCGTGCCCACAAGGGAGAAAAAGTAGGTGTCTATCACCTCATTATGTGCAATATGCCTGTTATTCCGCATCCCAAACTCCTCTGGTCTGCATCAAAAAACCAAATCTTCATATCCGGGCTTCCCAGTGCAATCACAGTCAAACGCAGGCACCAAAGTACAGTCCAAGACTCATCACTCCTTCAAATCGCCAGGCGTCGGTTCAGTGCTGACCGCACCGAGAACATTCGCATCCGTACTCTTCCCTTCACCCATCTTCAGAACCTCAGGAAGCTGTGTGGTTGATGGCCACTTCGTCTCGCCTCTCAAAATCTGCGCAGCTGTGATATTCAGCCCATAAGCTTCTGCATTGACACCTGATCGCTCCTTGATAATGGTGCCGTCCACTGTTAAGCCGCCATAGATGCCCCGTGATTTCGTGTATGTCCAGACCGGCTTAACTTCTTTGGTGTTGATGTGGGGCCTGCCTCCGATAGGCCCAGCAGCCATGGTACCGCCAGCTCCGAGCGTCGTCTCGCCCGTCGTGTAAGCATCGATCGCTTCTTGTATATTGAGCACGCACACGCAGTCGTACACATCAAGACCGTATGCGACGCCAAAACCGCCCGATGTGACTGAGAAGGCAGATGGAGGAGACCAGGATCCGTCGGCGAGACGTGCAACGACGACACCAGAGCCGCCGGCGCCAGCTAGGTACATTGCGGCCCGGAAGCCCGAGAATATGGCTAGACCCTTTGCGTTCGCGATGACTTCAACCGGTATTCTACCTTTCTCTGCCACTGCGTTAGCCTAGAACACCTTGCGGTCCGGCTTTCGTTGAGATGATGCACACCAATGAAGCCCTTGAGAATATGTGCTGCCTTGTCGCACTCCTTTTGGAGACTCGGCATCTCGAAGAAGCGTCTCTTCAAATTGATTGATCGTACCGTAAATTGAGACCGCCAGAAAGGGTAACGGCGAAGTAAGGGGAGAGTGATGCACAATGGCTCAATGGATCAGGAGCAAGCGGATTTCCGAGCCTTTATATTGTTTGAGACGTCTCTTGAAGAAGGCTGAGCTGCCGTGGCGGCCAGACTGGAGAGCCTGATACCTTACCATGATCATGAGTCCATGTATGGAAGTGGAAGGTCGTGCACGCTCTGACTCGGCTCATCACGGCTTCTGAAGTCACCATTTTACTGCGTAAATAGACCAGAATCAATGGGGGCAGGAATGAAGGGATTTCTTATTCTGCTCAAGTCTATACGCCTATGGTGCATTCATGGCGGAGGAGATTCGAGGGTGACTTGAGTGCTGAGCCAGAAACGTGTGAGGACGGAAAACTGGTGGCAGTTTATGCGTATGCGTATGCGTAAAAGAAGACGTATTCGGCCGACTTTCCGGGCGGAGATAATGTGTGCTAGCCCAGCCTTCCTTTCTAAGGTTGGATGAAGGACGGAGTACTTAGCGAGCCTCGCGCTTTTAAAGGGCCAGAACCTCACAGACCAATATGTACAGGTACTAAAGTTTACGTGGTGCACCCATACAGTTGCAAGTACTCCACTCACGGGTTGCCGAGGCCGGCATCATGAAAAGGTCTCATGACAACCCGATAACCGCCGTGAGGTCGGACGCGGTCTTCACCGCTTGGATCTTTGACTCACTGACCGTGTTCCCAATCATCTCAACGGTAGGAGAATTGTGGACGTGACTCTGTCGATCGATCAACCTCATATCCAAGCCTACACCGCGGTGGCCTCTCTGTGCCACGGAGCTCCCATCCACTGTGTTTCTCTCTTGTTAAGCAATATTTACATGGTGGTATGTATCGAACCTGCGAAAACCCTGTGCTACCTCTGAAATGCGATCATGCTGATGGGATGTGGTGGCAGCATGAACAACGCCGAGATACAGCCTGATCTCCAACCAAGCAAGCGACGATGATATTCACACGTGGAGTGTCCCTGACCAATTTCGTTATTGCCTCTTCAGCGTTGGGCTTCCAGGTTTTTGTCCTCTACCCATGGCACAAACGGTTGGACGAGGACTTTGAGCGACTGAAAGAGGAGCATATCCAGATCCTACATCAAGACAAGGAGATCCGACTTAGCGAATTGAGGGGGATTAATGAGCAACTCAAGAGGCTCGGCAAGATTGATGACCAGAGTGAGAGTATTCGCGGCCGAATATAAGATGATCGAGGTCGCTGTTTGATTGTTCCAAGTTCCGGAGCACATTGCTATAGACGGCGCCAGGTTCAGGATTCTGCATGAGACAGCACCTAGATTAGATCGCGGCGCTTGTAGTACTATGGTGAGACAAAGAATACTTGGGCTTCAAGCAGAGTTTGAAATGGGCGGATTCCATTCATGACGCTTATACAGCCAAAGGCTTCTGATCATGCGGACGTCCTATGCAAGTTGCCAATGCTGCATGCTGAAGACAGGCTATGTCGGCGGCTTGTAGACGACATGCCTCTGGGCGAATGATTGAGTCGATGCCAACAAATGGTGCTGAGAGCAAACTGCTTGAAAGCGGCCTTCCATGATACCACAGTGCGTTGGAGTGCCTGGTCATCCCTCAAGACAGGTTGTCTTTTCGCGGCGTAAGTTTGAACCTTAGGTTGAGGGTGGACGTTGGACAAACTGGGTCGGCACATACTGTCAATCACAGGATGCTACTCACAAAGGGCGTCACTCTGGATACATCAGTCACAAACAGTGATAGTAAACGACAAATACTAGTGACATTCTCCAATGTGAATAGAAACACTCATTTACTGTCAACGTCCTTACTCGTCACTTCTCTGCCAAGGCTTCTCACCTTGTCACTGCCAAGACCGGCTTTTCACGGCTATTTAGGCGTGCAACTTCCGGCAAGGAAAAACCTAAACCCGAACTATCTCCGCCACTTCCATCAGCGCCACACACGAGCCACCTTCAGCCACCTTCAGACATGGAGAACCTTCCACTTCCCCTTTCGCCTCTGTCTTCCGTCCTTACTCCAAGAAGCGATATCAGGCCAATCATCGACAGATATTTGACCGATCATCCCCTTTCTGTGAGACTCACTCTTGATCATTCCCAGTATGTGGCTTCATTAATCTGACTTCTCAACAGGACATCAATCCAACCGATCCCGTTGTCACAAGTCTCAACGAGGTGCTCCGCCATGGAGGAAGCCTCGACGAAGGCGATTGGACGGCGAGGTCACTATGGCTAACTTCGATATCGCTCCCGGAGCTTGGCGCCTTCGACGGACACAAGGCCTACCTTTTGGCTGGTGGAACATATCAAGGGCCGTTGACGGAGGACCTGAAGGAAACCCTCGACGACGCCAAGGCTGAAGCCATCTTCGCCATCTCCCGCGCCCTTTTGCACGCCGGCTGCTATGCTGAGGCCTACCTGATGATCTCCCTGAGAACTCATTCCTTCGTGTTGGACAATGATCAGGAGCACAAGCTGATCGATCTGAAGCTAGCCGCATCGGATGCCTTCCAGCAAACCATCAAGCAGCATACAGAACAGGATGCGCAAGTGACCGATCCGGACATACGCCAACGCCTCGCGCCTCACGATGAGTTGCCTAACTTCATGCTTGTGCCCGTCATTCGCGATGGCAGAGTTCGTGTCACCAAGTATCCTATGATACCAGAGGAGCTCTACGGTCTTCAAGCATCTGTATTTGAGAAACACAACTTCAATCTCATGATTGAGTGCAAAGTCCCTGCGACCTGTATCATTCAGAAGAAGACCGTCCCTTCCAATGAAGGCAGCTCGACCGAAGAACCTGGCTCCAGAGCACGCTATGGCATCCATGTCAACAGAAACATCCGACGAGGCGTAATTCTCTTCAGCGAAAGCACCAGACTCTTCTCGCACACGCATCCATATGATCTGACACCAGGGCCATGCAAGAACTGCCTTCTGGATGTCCCCGAGAACCGCCAGGCAGACGGCGCGTTCGAGTACACGACGGCATTCTGCAGCAACCGCTGTGCAAGGGAGTTTGCACGGTCTGTCCACGTCCCGGAGGCGCTCTTTCGTCACGTTCTCGAAGACACCGTCCAATGGGTCAACCAGAAACCGGGCCGGCACCCGCTGAGTGCACCTGACATAGCTAATCTCGATGCGGACTACGGTGGTGCGATGTACGTCTCCTACGATCGACACATCGCCGCTGCCATTGACGTGCTCGAGCGCCAAGGTGTCAACGTTTTCTCTGGCGGTCCCTGGGATGGTTGTGTGGTGATGGACATCCTGGCGCGTGTCCAGAACAGTTCACGAGCCTTTGTTGAGGATGAAGAGAACTCTTTCGTTGCGCTAACCCGCTTCTTCTCACTTATCAACTATGGGGAGGCGAACGTCGCATTCACCTGGAAAATACATGGCATAACTGCGACGGTGGAAGTCACGGCCAGCCGTGATCTGAGGAAGGGAGAGGAGTTGTTTGTCGGTCCTGTCTAGGCGGGCGTCAGTGGTGGTACTTGCTACCTTAGATTGGATAGGACGGCCTAAGATAGCGATGTGATCGGTAGATTCACAATTTTAATGCATGCCACAAAGATGTTAACGACAACGTCGCAAGTAACATCGGCTCTTCCAAAAGCTGCTATCGTCCTGCATATCGATGCTGTACGTTCGCGGTGGCAGACGCAGCCAGCACAAGTTTTGTTCATGAAGGCACCATCCATAGAGGTTGTAGTTTGTATAAATTCGGTGGCGCGGCTGTCCGTCAGAGTCAACGTGCATTCCGTTGGCCTCCTTTTCGCACCGATGGCCCCGGATTTCATCCCCTGCATCCCATGGGTCGCTCAGTAACTCCACTGGCCCTCATTGTTCAGCCCTCTACTTGGACAAGCGTACCCCAGCACCTTTGCGTTCACCTCCACGCTCAACTTTCCAACCCCTGGAGGGCGGCAGAATCGGGTGCTGTCCCTTGACGAAATCATACTGTCCCATCCCGTAGCTCAGCGCGATGTCCTCCGGCGCATTGGCTTCCTTGGGCTTATTCCTCGAGTGAAATCATTGGGAAACCCACGTCGAAAGGGTAAGCCGAGTCGATGACCTCGCTCTCCTTGGATGTAAGTCGGATGGTCAGCGCCTCGACGTTCTGCCGCAGATGCGAGATCTTCCTGCACCTGATGACAGACGTCACACAAGCGGTCCTGTGCATCACGTACCGTACGTCAACGTCACGGACGTCAAGGCCGCAGTCGACGAGCGCGAATCAGTCACCTTCTCCAGCGCGAGCGACACTTCGGCCTCCTTGCCTGTCTTTGCGGCTGGCATATTGCAGCCTCGCTACTACGTTCGCTGAGATGTGCATTGTGCGAGATATGTGGAGTCAGAAAGGTTCCGGAATATTGTAGTTACTTACACCCGTGCTCTTGAATTATCCACTTCCCAGCGCAGCCCAGCGTGGGGATCGCCATCCCCTCGTCCCTGCACATCGGGACGATCCCGCTCGAGATCGCGCTTCAGCCTCCACGATGGACCATCTACCCTGGTGAATCGGTGAAGGGCCACAGCCCGTGGTGGGGCGCGTACGCGTTGGCATTGACGACGATCCAGAGCCGGTGTGTCGCTGACGCCGAGGTAGAGCACCTTGCGCTGCCTGCTGCACGAGGTAGCTTAGACTCTGCATCGGATCCTCCATCCCTTTGTTGAAGTCTTAGTAGTGCACGTACAGGAGGTCGAGGTACGGGATGTGCCTCTTGACGAGCGACGCCTCGAAGGACAGACGTCGGAACTTTGGGCTATTGCCGCCGAAGTTGCTTTTTTTGGAGCCCAGGCTCGCCGGAGACTTTGTACGCTGACGCGAACTTGGTGGTGATGACTATTTCGCCGCGTCGGTGCGGGCCGCACGATGCCGTCTACTTGCTGATGTCGTTCTCGGATTGTTCGGCTCGGTAGTCGTTCGCGCTGCGGGCGGTTAGATCAGCATTGAAGCGTATGCAAGGGCGCGGGTATGGACAGTCCTGGTTAAAGAGAACCAGCTCGAGAGCTGCTAGAGCTTATTGCTTAATCGGATCGTACTACCCGGGTGACGTAACTTCAGCACCTCGGTAAAGCCGCGTGCTTTGAAAGTGAAAGGGGAAAGCGATGAAGTTAAGATATGCCGCCTACTTATAAGCTGTTTGTTTCCCTATAGACCTAAGTGCGGAGACAAGGTAAGGGGGTTTCAGCCTCGCGATACCTGGCGGAACGAGCGCTGTGTAGGTCTACGAGGCTGTACGGCTCCGTGTGTAGCAACAGACCCAACATAGAGGGAGAGAAGGAACAAAAACAAAACAATACTACAGCCTCTACTCGTGTAGTAGAGGTCTGATATTGTTTGTTTCTGATGGGCTATACCGGTGGTGGCAAGCCACCGGTCTACCCCCATCTCGCGGATCCACCGCCGATTTGACTTGTCAAGTATGCAACCATTGTGTTATTTCTCTGCCTCTGGATCCTTCACTTTTTTCGTATGTCAGCCGGAGAGGAGGAAGAGGGAGGATGTTGGAGCCGAGCAATGTTGTTGTTTTCTGGCGACAGCGGGAATCGAACTAGGGAGGATGTTGTCGCACAATTCGTCTCGAACACGCCTTCTAGCCCGGTGCTAGTTTGACCTGTGCCCGGGAGGATATTGTGACTGACTTTACATCCGAAAAATATATATGGTTGACACTTGGTGCCGAGGGAAATAATTTGATGATGCTGGGGAAGCGCTTCACAGGGAACGGGTCCTGTTAGGCGTTGGTGCCTACCACAGTCTGCCCGTTAGATTAAGGACCTCGCGAATTCTCGACCGTGGCGAGCAGAAAATTTGAACGTTCCTCTGGGATCTACGCTGTGCATGTATGTGGCCGCGCACAACGTCGACGACGGAGAACTTAGGAATGGAATGTGTGTGATTCCTGTTCCTTGGTAATCATCCATGCTGACGTCTGCCATGCACAGCTGCTTCGAGAAGCGCGAAGCTGTTTGCGAACCAGTCCACGCTCCAGCTGCTGGGCTACCCTCTAGCCGCCCCCAATGTCCGCTTGGAGTCTCCAGAGAGAAGAGCATTGTCATGGCTGGGTTGTGGTGGGCTCCAGCATTTCATGATAGTTTGACGGCTCAGGAACCCAGTGGAGAGGTCGAAAGGGCGCCATAGCCAAGAAGCATCGTCTCCGAATCTCGTTCAGTGATTAGCAGCTCACGACGCACCGCAACATAACACTGTCATTCATTCGGCCTCGTACACGGAGCAGTGTGGCAGCTTGTATTCAGCCCGGATGCCGCGACGTCGATGACTTCCGCACCAATTGTCATCCCCCTCTCCCCGCATCCCGCATCCCCGCTCACACGGTTGTCGGTTGTTTCCCTCCATAGAGGCATGAACCGAGTCGTGCCGAGTCTATGCTATCCGTCCTGGGTTGAAGACTCCGCTGGATTGGTAATATCCTCGCTCTACCATGTTAATCCTAGTATATTGGCTTGAAGAGTTCTGTCTTCGCCAACGCTCTCCTTACTACCACCCGCTTATAAGACCCTTGTCTATCTTCGCTGGGGCGGTACCAGACCATTCTCCCAGCCCATTCCGAATATACGATCCTCGACCAAGGCTCTTGAAGCCTCTCAGCAAGGCAACCCCCAAGATGCCTGAAACCACCCAACAGATCTATTCCCGTGGGATCTACCACGCTCTACCCACCTTCCCACCCGATGTGAAGGACCTGACCGCCATCATCACCGGCGCAAACGGCATCTCCGGCGCGTACATGCTGCGCGTGCTCGCCCAGTCGCCCACGCGCTGGAAGAGAATTATCTGCCTGTCCCGCCGCCCACCGCTCGTGCAAGGGGGCCTGCCCAACAACGCCGAACACATCGCCGTCGACTTCCTCACCTCGCCGGAGGATATCGCGCAGGTGCTCAAGCAGAACAACGTCACCACGGTAGACTACGTCTTCTTCTACAGCTACGTGCAGACGGCCCCGAAGCCAGGCGAGGGCCTCTGGAGCGACGCCGCAGAGATGGCTCGCGTGAACACGCTGCTGCTCACGAATTTTTTATCGGCCTTCCCGCTGGCCACCCTTAGCCCCAAGAGGATCATGCTCCAGACGGGCGCGAAGAACTACGGCGTGCACCTCGGCCCGACAAAGTTGCCGCAAGAGGAATCCGACCCGCGCGTCGACCAGTTCGAGCCGAACTTCTACTATCCCCAGGAGGACGCGCTGTTCAGGTACTGCGACTCCCAGACCGCGGGGTGGAACATCTGCATGCCGGGCCCGATCCTCGGCGCCGTGCCGGATGCGGCAATGAACCTCGCGTTCCCGCTGGCCGTGTACGCCGCCATCACCGCACATATGAAAGGGCAGCTGGAATTCCCGGGCGACATCGCCTCGTGGCAGAGCTACACCTCCATGTCGAGCAGCATGTTGAACGCCTACCAGGAGGAGTGGGCCGTGTTGACGCCCGCGGCGGAGAACCAGAAGTTCAACACATGGGATGATTCCGCCTTCACGTGGGAAGGGTTCTGGCCAAGGCTCGCGGGTTGGTACGGCGTGGCATGGAAGGGTCCGGACGAGGGCGCGAAATACGTGGAGCGAGTAACGCGGTTCAATCCGCGAGGCTACGGCGGCAAGGGCGTGAGTCGGCGGAGGTTCACGTTTGTCGAGTGGGCGGGGCGCAAGGACGTGGCGGATGCGTGGAGGGAGATGGCGCAGAGGGACGGGCTGGTGCAGAAGGACTTGAAGGACATGGATGTCGAACGCGTGTTTTCATTCCTGGATGGCACGGTGTGCAGGGCCGCGCCGCTTATCTTTTCGTAAGTTCCCCTTTGCCACCACTGTCGTGCTGTAGGGATCCCAAACTGACCAACTGCAATAGAAGTGATAAAGCACGGAAACTGGGATGGCATGGTTTCGTCGACACCTCAGAGTCACTGCTAGAAGTCTTCGACGATTTGGCCAAGTTGAGGATGATTCCTCCGGTGCCCAAGGTGGAGGTGAAATTTAATTAGAGACGTCCTGCTGCAAAGGGATAGGCCAGTCTCACAAGCCTCCCAGCTAAGAACTCGAGGAACTCAAGGGACAGTCTAAGCACGCTATGCCCGACCAGCAGCCCTCTCGGCCTCCTCTCTCTCCTTCTTCCGCTTCTTAGCTGCAAGCTCCCTCCGTCTCGATTCCTTCTTGAACCACTCGCTCTCGGGGCCCTTTTTGTTGCCTCTGCGGTCCTGCTCACGGTACATCGGAGCAGAGACACCACCGCCGCTGACATCCGCCAGCAAGCCAGCTTGTCTGCGCACTTGTGGTTTCTTTGACCGGGCCTTGGCTCCGCCACTGGCTGCGCTGAGGTGACTCCACATGTTGTCTTCAACCTTCTCAATGTCGGCGGCCGTTTCGTTTTGGAGCAAAACGTCGGCAAGCAATTCATTTCTCTCCCGAGAGGTGGAGTATCTCAGGTCTTCCTTGTCCATCCCAGCCAGGTGTGTGATTGTTTTGAACGCATACCCCTGGTCAACCAGGAAAGCTTGTCGCTTCGCACTGTAGGCCATCTCGGTGGTGTCCTTGGAGACCAGGGAGTAAAAGAATGCATTAAACCCTTCGTCATTACGCCGCTTGGCTCGCAAGATCCGCCCCAGTCGTTGCGCTTCCTGACGTCTTGACCCATAGTGCGAGGAGATCTGAATCAAGCATGTCGCCTCGGGCAAGTCAAGTGAAGTATCTCCAATCTTCGAAAGGAAGATGGTGCTGGTTTCACGGCGTTCATCGTTCTGAAATTTCTGCAAGACCTCAATTCGCTCGTTGTTGCTGGTCTCGCCACAAATGTAATATCTGCCAATAGTCCTTGCATAGTGCTGGAGCGCATATAGATTGTCGCTGAATACAATGATCTTGTCGCCTCTTTTTTCATGGTAGTTGATAAGATACTGGCAGACCCGGAACTTCTCGGGGTTCATGATGTAGAATAGTGGTTGCTTCCGCGGGCTCGCATTCTGATATTCTTGATAGAACTCAATCGACATTGGGCACCAGACTTCTGCGCATTGTACTTTTGCAATATGGCCTTGGTCGGCCAGTTCCATCCAGTTGGCCTCGTACAGTTTTGGGCCGATGAGGAAGTTGAGATCGGTGATTTTGTCGTCTTCACGAAGTAAGGTGGCGGTAAGACCAAGCTTGCAGTGAGCCCGAATGGTTTCGCCGACCCTTCTGAACATCTTAGCGGGAACCACATGCACTTCGTCAAGAAGCATGAGACCCCATTCTTTGCTCTGAATCCACTCCATCATCTGCTGAGTGTCATGGGCACGCTTTCCACCAGCTGTTATCATCGAGTAGGTTGTGACCAGAACTCCTGCTTCTCCTTTGAATCTATACTTGTCGGTTGCGGAAAAGACAGCAATGTCGTCCTTCTGGATGTCCGACCATTTTTTGAATTCGTTAGACCATTGGTAACTTGACATGGCACTGGTGCAGAGGACGACAATACTCTTTTTTATATGACAGCCTGCTGTGATGCCAACCAGTGTCTTGCCTGCGCCACAAGGGAGGACAATGATGCCGCTTTTACCACGGCCATTACCGAACATCTTGCTCAGGGCTTTCTCTTGATATGGTCGGATCTGGGTTGAAGGTTTTAAGTCGATCGCAAGGGAGGCATTCTCAAAGTCATTGGCAAAATCGTACTCGGAGATGGCAGGATATCCAATATCTAGACAGCGCTTGGCCACCTCATCACGTTTGTTCGGGGCAACCTCGAAATTGGTGGCTTCTTTATATGTGTCTTCTTCATCCTCTTCGTCTCTGAGTGCAGCAATCATTGCCTCATTCTCATTTGGAGGATTGTCGCGCGGCATCTCCACATTGTTTTGTCCAGCTTGTGTCATGCCCTTGGCATTGCTGGTGCCTTGGATGACAGTCGCCTTGGTCTGGATGACGCCGGTCTGAACATCAGTGCCGACGGCTTTACAAGGTCCGATGATGGGGTCTCTCAACAGCATATCAACGATACTGCGCTCATCCGATTCAACGTAGAACTTGTTGTTCCGTAACACTAGGCGGACTTTGCCATAAGTTTTGGTATGCCTGTTGATAAATTCGATCACGCTTTCAGGCACGTGGGTCTTCGACAGCTTCTCTAGCGCACGTATGATATCTTCACCGCGGAGACCTACCGATAGGGCTGCATACAGACTATGCTCTGTGAAACGGTATTCGTGAAGATATGTTGGTCTCGACTGAGGCTCAGCAATTGTGGTAAGTAAGTCTGTGGCTTGCGAAGCCAGCGGGGAGAAACTCTCGAGCGTGATTTTGGGGCCTTTCTTCGATCCTGCGGAGACGTTTGGGTCGATCCACAGTGGCCGGTTGTCATGATCTGCTTTCAGTGACAGCCACGAGAAGTCCTTTTCACCAAAGATAGATGGCCTATATTTCTGCTTTGTGCCTTGGAAGGAGCTGAAGTCTAGTCTTGCCCTTGCCTTCCGAATGTGCTCTTTTTCGCTATCGCTCGCGTCATCCTGTGACCGCCCATCGGAGCCTTCGAAGTACTCATCGTCACTGTCGAGGCTAACGGGTGTAGAGGCAGCAGGCGTGGAGCGCTTCGAGGACCGACCGCTGGCGACGTCTCCCAGCGCTTTCCGCTTGAGTGACATACCGCAGAGGTGCGGCGGCAGAGACTCCGTCAAAAGTGCAGGATTACAAGCCTGTGATAATATCGCAGCGCTGAATGAGAGACAGATGAGTTAGCTATGAAGAGGCGGTAACAAGAAAAAAGGACTTTCTGGAATTTGCAACCCAAGGTTCAAGAAGATTCACTGCTTGGGTCTGCCTGCGCGGAATAAAGTAATGGCGTTCCGTAGAGCGTCACAGCGGCGCGTTTGCTCAGTGGCACAAAACGTCACTCCGCACCAAAAGTTGCTTTCTCGAACTGATCTCCAAGCCCACCCAGCATTCTCTACCCGCGTCACCTGCTTCCTGCTTCTTGACCTGCGTGACCGCAGCGTTGTGTTGTAACGGCAGACTTTCCGTTAACAGGAGAATATCACAAGCAGGTTCTGCGATAGTCCAATTCTGTGCAGAAAGTTAATCGAAGCTACCGAAGATGAATACTGTAAGCTCTTGTCTGGTGCACTGAGGGACGTGAACGGCTAAAGTTGTGGTGCAGATTAGATCGACTTGGTGAGGACCCTTGGTCGCATCCACTGTCCTTTCTTTAACGATTGCTTCATCTCACGACCGGTACGAGTCGGACCTTTAGCTAACGGCCGTTGTGAGCAGGATCGGCTGGGGTGTTCTGTGCGTCGCTGGTGGAGGCGCATACTACTTTGCAAAGAGATCTATCAATGCGGACCGAGCTGCTCGGTTTGAAGCGGAACAGCAGAAAAAGTACCGACAGCAACGCTATGAAGACAAACAGTACTCGTTCAACAATGCCCCTGCTACCTCCAAATCGAAAGTAAGAACGAAAGATCAGGCAGACCCGTTCACTGGCACGCACAGTACGAAAGGGCTGGATCATGCAGGCAGTCCGAGCAGCGAGATAAGTGAGGATGCGGCACCGGTCGGTCATGCGCCAGTAGATGGCGAGCAGAGGGTGCGCGAGAAGAGCAAATACGAAGCTGCAGAACCGTTCAGGAGCAAGAAAGGTGACCGCTTAAGCTGAGCAAAGGAAACAGAACAGGACGACGAGTTCTTCATGCCTGATACATCGCGTATCGGCTGTTGTTGGTGCGATCATTTGCTGTGTACAAATACCCCTGGTGCTAGGCTCGAATGCGTTGCCTGGCTCATTCTCTAAAAAGCTCCTGTTGTACTGGAATTTACGACTCCAAGACTACGGGTATTTCGCTGATGACTCCCCCTTCAAGATGATCCACTGCAGGACGAACATCCCCAGTCCTTTAACGCCGACACCATGCTGATTGACCCTTCATTATTCGGTATGCCCATTTTGGTCATGCGTGGCAGCAAAGTGGTGCATAGTGCTTCCGGGAAGCATTAGGGTGCCCGGATTGACGCTCTCTTTTCGACTCGATAGCAGGAGGGACGAATGGAAGGACGACTGCCGATGTTATTATTGCGCCGGCAGCGGCTGATTGCAGTTTGGTCGCTGGCTTCGGTGCTTGTGCAGAGAAATGGCGGACCGCAGTCTGGGTAAGAGTACTCGTGATTGCACCGGTGAGACTCATGGCTGTAGAATGATTGTTCTGTGTCGCAAAGAGTTGAGTTGCCACGGGAGTTTCAAGTCGTCTAGTGGCCGGCTCTTGTGCACTAAGGCTGCTGTGGGGCGCGGGGAAAATACTGCTTGTGAGGATGTAGAGAGAGCCTTGACAGTCGTCAACGCGCCGAAGGGAAGCAGGGAGAGCAGGACGGAGGGCGGAACGAAGTAAAGAGTAGTCTGTTGTCGCACGATATGGGATTCAAAGGCGACAGGAGTTAGAGAAAGCGCCCTGCTGTTGGGACTTTGACTCGGGTCAGGCACAAACAGGCGCAGTGGGATTTGGAGATGCCGACGATTGCGTGCTGAGAAATGGATATGATGTGGGTGGATGGCTACTATGAATGTCAAGTACGAACCGCGAGAGCGGCTCACAAGTTGGCCAGCTGGTGGTACAGTAACACTTGACAAGTGCCTAGTGGCATGAGAGTCGTAGACGGCAAACACTCGATTTGCCCAAGGTTGGTACGAGTAATATGGAAGTGGGCACTCATAAAACTAGAATTGCGCGATTCCCCCGAAACATCAGCGGCCAACACCCGGAAACAATCCATCGTTGGGGAGGTCCGATTTATACGCGGAATTCGTGCCGGGGTGACTCACCTGACATACCATGCGACGAGCACTCGTACGGTTAGAATTACACCGGGCAAAAGCGAGTCTTCATTTGCAGTCCCACAAAATGAAAGAAGTGGTGGGAGCATGTGCGAAGCTCGGCCGTGCCGATGACCCGAGAAGAGCCTTGGCGAGCGGGGTGCGTCTGAGCTCCCAACTGTACCTCCGTATTTTGTACTGTGCGTGACTGCGGCACACAGTACTCCGTAGCTAGCTGTGGCACCGTGTGGCTTCCTTGGCTTTGTGGCTGAGTCCCCCGGCCTCGCCAGCCTGCGACCTTCCTCCGTATGTCACAATTGCATCTCCAGTGGGCGAAACAAATTCATGTTCTCGGAGACTGAGATATTGGCAAGAAATAATGTCATAAATACTCGCACCCGTTTCATGTCTATCAGCAATGGCTGCGCACATCTCGATTGCCAAAGCCGCTTTCAGCGCATCGCTTCTGCGGCCGGACGTGACGAAAGTGTCCCGCGACAACCTCCTCGTCTTCCACGATGCCTTCGAGACCATGCTCACCAAATGCTCGGATCACAATGTACAGGTCTGAGAATACAAAGCCACCGCATATTTCGGAGGCGGATTGACTGAAGTACTATAGACGTGCAAACAATGGCTGCTGGAAAATGTCGTCGTCTCAACAGTGAGAACAACAGCGCTCGGGAAGTACCTAGTCACGCTATCCAGGCATCTTGCCAGCCAAGAAGATGAAAGTACCCGGGTGAAGCCATTCCGCCGGCAACGGCTTCATATTCTCTACCTTGTCAATGACCTCCTTCATCACGGCAAATACCACGCGCACGATCAAAGCGTGCAAAGCACTTTAACACAGTCTCTACAGCCCTTCGTGGTTGAGCTCGTCAGACTCAGTGCATGCGAGGCACGATCTCGCGTTGCGAGACATCTATCGGATGTGGTCGACATCTGGGGAGAAGATCGATATTTTGCGCAGGGAATCATCACGCAGTTACAAAGTGCATTGACTGGCACAACCGAAGAAACAGGGCCTGCTGCAGAACCCACAACGCAAGCAAAGGATCCACCCTATCTTCTTCCATCAACACATGGAGATCCGGCTTCGCCCTATTTCGATCTCCCTGCGGGCAATCTCATGCGTCACATTGTCCCAAACAGCTCCCAGCCAATGAGGATTGACGAGATACGAGCTTTGCAACTCTCAGCTGGTCCGGCGGACGATAGCTTGGTGAATGCGCTAAAGGACTTCCTCAAGGACGTTGACGGCATTGAGCGGTCCTTTTCGAGACTGGAAGAGGCAGGCCTCTCCCCCGAACTGGACGAATTAGGCCAAATCTCGTACCATGACGAGGCCGGTGACTTGGTCGGCGACACGTACTATGGATGGTCGAGGGCATTTTGTGAAAAGATGAAGAAGCGTGGCAGACGTGGCTCCGCCGGGTCTTCTCAGCGCTCAAGAACAAGAAGCACAAGTCGCAGCCGAAGCATCACCTCTCGGAAGCGTAGACGTCGCAGTAATTCCAGTCGCGGGCGGTCTCGATCCTCGGGCTCTTACAGCAGGTCTCCGTCGAGACCTAGATATGGTGGACAACAGAAGAGAGGAAGTCGGAGCGCAAGCCATGGTCGCTCAAGAAGTGGGTCGTATTCACCGGAGTACACCCCAGAGCTGGTGCCCCCCATGAGAAGTGAGCCGGCGAGGACAAATGTCAGTACAGGCCTTCCACCAGTCGTCTCACCTCCAAACCTTCCGCCGCCTACAGCAGCACCTCCAGCATCAATCGGCATGCCATTCCCAATACTACCTTTCACACCTTCAGGCGTATCAGTGCCACCGCCACAACCACCTCACTGGATCGGGCCTTGGCCTCCCCCTCCTCCGCCTCAATTTTCTCCGGGGCATGCAGGCTACCTCAACCTGCCGTTACCACCTCCGCCACCGCCCCATGTCCCCTACCCGCCTGCAGGCTGGCCCGCCTACCCCAACGTGCCCCCTGGACAGAATCCTCATTATGCTGGGGGCCGGCAGTAAGACGCCGGATACCGGCACCAGCCAGTTTGATCAATGGCTATCGAGGTCGAAACTTTGGTGACGCTCGTTTGGGCTGGCGCGGAGGACCTACTGTGTACAATTCGACCAACACATACCGATCGTCCTCAAAACATGAGATGCTCAAAGGAATCTATCATCTGGCGCAATGTGAGTCTACGAGTAGGCTGCGATTTGCGCTGCAGGCATGTCCCAGCCACCGGCCCCGCACGAGTATGATGATCCAAATCAGCTCCCGCGCCTCAAACAAAGCTTGGGCCACCACGATGCCAATCCAGTGATTAGGAGTACTGTGTAGCTCGTAATCATACAACTAGCATCTACACAGTACCTCTTATCCTGCTGATCACCTGGGCTCGTCGATTCCGGAATCCCTGGATCGAGAACATCTCGAATTGAAACATGATTTGCCGCTTGTCAGGCATACCCGTGCTCGTGCAATGATAATGTAAGGGTGTTTTATGGTGTGGCGAACTCGATTCCACCTCGAGTAAAGTTCTGGCCCTCATCGCCTGGGTAGAGAGGATAACAACATCAGCACTGGCAGATGAAAAAGCCCTCACCGACTACGTTCAAGAGGAAGTTTTTGAGCTCAGACCCTACTGTGATATGTCATCCACGCCATTCCAAAGAAGTGGGACGTCCACCTGTCTGCCGCATCATGTTTCCACTCACGCATGCGCATTTGCTGGACAACCGAGCAGTGAAGCGCTGTGGAATGCTCCCTCGAATCCCATGGCCCCCTGGTCCTCCTCTACGGACTGCCGTGCGATCCCCCATGGTGGACTGGACGAGCTTGTACGAGTTCCATGCGGTGAACTTCCAGCATGGCCAGAACCACAATTATAATATTAGTCGACGCTCTTGCTAATTCAGGGTCCTGCCGTGCCCTCGACTTTAAGGTGCGGGTGGCTTGGCTTGGCATACGCAAGGCTACACTTGCTCCGCCTTGAGCCCCGATCGACGTCATAGCTGCGCCCCGGTCCAACCATGGTGCTTTGGCAGCGCTGCCTATTCGATGCACCCTTCCTGCCAATGTACCCCATAACACATCTGACTTTCCAGAGACAACCACCACCATTTCACGTCACGACAGCCTCGTCAGAGATGGAGGAAATCGATGTCCCCTGGGAGAGCTGACTGCTTCCTGAGATGGCTTGCACGATCTCGACGGACTGCCTGGTGCTTGACCGGACCCTACGCTTGCCGCTTCCAGCGCTTGCCAGGGCTACTCGACCCCACTGCCGATCGGTTGCAACACGGCTCCCATGCTTATCTACAAGCGTCTGAGCATGAGAATCCCATGTTTGTCCAGCAGAAAACCGTTGCCTCTAGAGCCTCTTCTCTATCCACATTTGAACTGGCGACCTATCAAGCGGGAGATGCGATCATGCTGCATGCCTCGAACTACCAGACCCTGAGGGTCCCAACACGCCTCAAGTGATCGGCAGGGTCGTGCTCCACCACTTGACGGCCTCATAACGGTTTGCCATTCGCTCAATCCCCACGTTGGCCTCGACGATCTGTAATTTGTATGGTGATCGAAGGCTCACTTTTGCCGTCCGATCGTCGCTTCTCTAACATCTGGTTCGCTAGATGGCCATTCGACGTCGGCTGACTGACGGCAACATGCATGACCTTTCCTGGAGTCTCACAGCTGTTACTGGTCTGGCTACGCCATTTCGTCGCCTCCAGGCATTGGGACTAACCACTCCCGTAGCTTGCGCTCACACTTGCTGCCGTTGCCCCCATAGTCCTAAGGATTTCAGCCTGGTAATGCAGGATCATCGAGGACAGGTATATAACCACGGCGTCCATTTCTCGCCGTTAAAATCGCTCCCCAACCCTTCAACAGCAACATTCGTGGACACAACCTGAGCAACTCCAATCAACGCAGATTCTATTCTTGAGCAAAAGGATTAATACATTTTCATCCTCCAACCAACAAATTTCATCAGTCTCAAATATGCCTGCTGCCGTCGAATATCTCACTTCTCCTCAACATGAGACCCTCGACTACGAGTCAGATCCCATTGCGGCCATGACTTCATATTCTCGCATGATGCATAGCCATACCAAGTTACAAATGGATGCCGCTACGCGGTCAGCACGCCGACGAAGCAGTTCATCATCCACTGGTGTCAACGCACACGCCAACACCGGACTTTCAAAACAGAGCACACACAGCAGCAGCTCATCCCGATCATCGTTTTAGACGCGATCATCCCAGCATCCTCTGAGCGTTAGATTTGTGAAATCTCAATCGACATTTCGACAGTTCATGCCACTCGAAAGTACTCTACCAACGGGCAGAAACGGGTTTTCAAGCGACTTTTAGTCACGAGTCTCAGTAAAAAGTTCTGTTCGTACGCTACGGGCAGTGCCCGGGTTTGCGCTATGATCTACTTTTGCCGGGCATGGTTCTATGTACTTTGCCCACAGTCTTAGCCCCTGAGCAATGTACTTCGGGGTTGGCAACTTTGGCTTTTACTGTAGGCCAGGAGCGTTAAGCATTTAGATGGCGCGTGTACTTGTATTGGAGTCTGGCGGAGCGGGCGAGCTTATCATGGTAGTCAATGATGAATCAATTCCAACGTGTCCCATCATGGACACATGTCGTGTCAAGACCTATCCTTTCAATTTAATATCCGTTCCCCTGAAATACAATTACATTCTCATCTACCTCAGAACCATTTCTTTAATGGAGAAGTTCAGAAAGTAGGGCAGCCAGTCCACAGGCGGGAGAGTTGCAATGGCCACACAGGGTCTATCGGCAATACCAACAAAGTACTCGTACCAGCAGGACTGAGTAAGATTACTCGTACCTCGAAGTGCTTAGCCAATATCTCCGAGGTTAAACAATCGGCTGGGCTTTTTCTCGGGAATGAACAAAGGTCGTGGTTGGGGCAACAGCCTCGCCGATCGCTTGCATCATGCCTCCTTCCTTCAGCGCAGTAGGAGCACGTCATACCTGATGGCCACGGGAGGAAAGTGATTTGCCACTGTCTCCCAGACGTTCCCCACATGCTCATCGTCAATTTCGATTGTGTGTGATGGATCTCGGTGTTGGCATCGCAGCTCGCCTGGCTTGCCTCATGGAACGTCATCATGGGAAAGTGAAACCAGGACATGGGACATTGTGATTGTCCGATGGAGGATCCTCAAGTCTCAGCTCTGACGAGCCTTCTGGACGCATCGACGATGCCTGGAACCAGCAACTCTCCCTTGTGCTCACTTTGTTGACGATACCCACTGTACCTAGCACGGTATGACGTTGCGGGCCGTGAGATCTCGAGGGGGGGGACGGGCACCACAGGCACTGAGGCCACGCCTGGCATATGATGTATGACGGCCATCGTTTGCCTTTCTGAAGCAGCCGCCCGAGAGGGGCTGCTGCACATCACCTCCCGCATCGCTCATTCGCGATGATGCCAAATTCGAATAAATTCTTCGACCCAAGGTGCACCAGGTAATAGGTAACCTGGCCTCGTTCCACCAGCACCAGCACCAGCACCGGCACCGGCACCAGGTATGGCAAGCTCCTTGTCGAAGAGACTCCCAAGGTGTGAGATACCTACTCGCACACAGAACACACACTAGTAACGCGCGCAAGCATCATGCTTCGACCACAGGCGTTGATAAACCAAGATTCGATGCTAATCCTCCAGCATCCCCACCCACGCGCGATTCTCGTATGGCCGGGATCGAGATCATGCTCGATGATCGCCACTATGACCCCTCAACAACACTGGCCCCCCTCCGCCCTAGGAGCGCATGAAGCAGAACAACCAGGGACAAAGAAGCCGGCAACTGTTGTCATGTCAAGGGGTCTTCGCAGCATCAGAGTCGTCACACTTTCTGTGCAATCTCCACCTTCTGTCAAGAGGAGTAGTTGATCACTGACTGGGACCCCATGGCCACCCACAGCTGTGCTCGGGCAATCATCTCAAACCGTTGAAGTGAATGGTTCAAGCTTCCCAACACTTCCTGTGTACTGTGTACCCCGTACGAGTATCCATCGATTCATCTTGAGCAGCGCACCTACCTTGAAATGAACAGTAGGAATACCCTGGCGACGAAACTTCCGTGATATGCTCGATAACAATTTCAGTGGGCTTGTGACGAAGCTTTCACCGGAAGTCATCGTCAGCCATCCCGTTAGCTTGCTGGTGTTGGTGGTGCGGTAGTGAGAGAGGCTTGCTCACACCGGAGTGAATCTGCTAATTCGAAGCCAGAGGCCGCCATCGGTTCTGGAGAGGTGGTCAGGCCTCGCCGTGGTGCTCGACCATCGTGGACATCGAGATTTGTAACCTTGAACCAGATTGGCCGAGCATTTGCCGCCATGATCTATGTCTTCGTAACGCTTTATCCTGGACTCTTCACTAAAAAGCATCAGCATTGCCGTTGACAACTTCCATCACGAACATGTCCTGATAACTCCCTGGGCAATGTCATTCACTGCAGCAGAAGCGACATGGGGACATACAGTTCGACCTCTTGGACTCTTGATCTTTGAAGGGATTACCGTTTCTTGTCACACACCCACCTCGCTAACAAAAGCTTCTTCAGACGCTGAACGTTCCCGGTTGATCAATGGTGTCCTCTCACTTACGTCTGGCGCTTTCCCTGTCCCGCACCGTCTTGAACTCCCTTCAGATCGACGGGTCGAGATCTGATTCAATGTCCATAGCATCAAACTGTTGCCTGTCGATGGGATAAACCGAATGACTGTTTTCCAATGACCGACCAGCCGAGGAGCGTTTCTAGGCGGCTGGTATTCTGCAGCAACCAAACAGCAACTGCCTGCCGATTGTGTGGTCGAGAACAGTCTCTGTCATGGTCACTTCATTGCGACGAGATGCTTCTGCTTGAGAGTGATGAGTATTTGGTGGGTCCTGGTAACAGCAACCGTCACTTTGATAAGCCTTATAACATGTTCACTGGGTGTTGCGCTCACTGCTGTTCTGGTATAGCAAGGGTGCGGCGCATGGTGTGAGCTTCGCGTGTCGCATAGACATCTGCGGGACTGTAGCTTGGCTTGGTGCTTGCGGCTGCCGTCCCCCCACCGCCGACCTCTTGGGTGTCGGCGGCGACCATGACGGTTATCTTCTGCCTATGCCCACAGCTGCCACGAGAGTCTCTCAAAGAGCCTGAGCCTGAACAGCTTTGGCGTTGTTTATGTGTAGACGTCAAAATAGAATAAGCCCGAAAGCAACGGGGACGGAGATTTAAGCCGCCATACATCCAGGTGGCACCTCTGCGCCAATCCATCTTCGGCTCTTTACCAGACATGGGCCGGCGTTCAAGTCTCCGAGATTGGCGGGCGCCGCCGGGCCTCAATCGCCCACAAGCTTCTTCGACAGCATTGCTCCTGGCGCCTCGGGTCCGAGTAGCAGCCTGGGGTAGCCGCGACCGCGAATTTCTCTTGTGGAGCAACTCTACGGAGTACGACTTGGACCTTTCGGTTGCACATCTCCTACAATGGGTCAACAACATTCCCACGAGCAGTTCACCCGCAGCTTGTCTCGTCAACTAACTGCTTGCACCGCACGAGATGGTCTTCGACTTGCCTCTGCGGCCTCCATGTTTAGACCACGCTCAAAGCAGCAATGCTTCCCTGTAATCGTACCAAGCACTTGCAATCCTGCCCAGCCTCGACCGATCTGTTGTTTCAGCCTTGTCGCGTCTGGCTTATCGACGCGCTAAACGATGGTCAACGATGCTCACGCTTTGACTCTGACTTTCTGTGTGCCTTTACTCCGTGCTCCTCTTCATTGGTCCTCACGTCTTAGCTGACACCTTTTCGTTGCTGAGGGTCCCGTCAAATGAAGCATGCCCCCACACGGGCCCATCAGTCTTGCGGGCATCGATCCTGTCTCTACGGACGGGCGTGCGAGAGCGCGGCATGCCGGATCACCATCGTTACAGCAGCTCAAGGATGAGATCTTCGACGTGCTCTCTATCGCACAAGGCCCAAGCGCGTTCGCTTGTGGTGGTGGCCTGGAAAGCGCCCAGAATCCGGGACTCTATCTAGAGGACCACGGCATCATCGGATTGCCACTGTCTCAACATGATGCGCAGACCATCATCTCGAAGTCCCAGCAAAGCCCCTTCGGCAAGGGTTCGCAAACCATTGTCGACACCTCGATCCGAAAGTCATGGCAGCTCGACCCGTCTCAATTCACCATTCGTAACCCCAAATGGCAGCAAGCAGTCGACAATGTCGCTAGAAAGATCCATGGCGCACTCGTACTTGACATCGAGCCAGACCGGTTTTCTGCAGAGCTGTACAAGCTGCTCTTGTACGAGCCGGGTGCCTTCTTCAAGCCTCACAAAGACAGTGAAAAGGCTCCTGGCATGTTCGGGACCTTGGTCATCTGCCTGCCCTCTGCTCACGAAGGTGGCGAGCTTATCCTTTCTTTCAATGGAGAAACCAAATCAATCGAGACGGCACCAAATTCGGAATTCGCCATGTCTTACGCCGCTTGGTACGCCGATGTCCTCCACGAGGTCAAGCCTGTGACCTCCGGATATCGACTGGTCCTCACGTACAATTTGATACGCCACGGCGCCACCAAAGAAGGGCAAGTGACGCCCGCTAAAACGTTCGAGCACAAGTATAACTTGGTCGCTGCGTTGACCAGATACAACGAGTACCTCCAGCGATTTGATGACTTGCCCAACTTTCTGGTATACCGGTTGCAACATGAGTACACTCAAGCAAGCCTTCGGGCCGATCTCTTGAAAGGTGCAGATCTTGGCCAGTTACAATGCTTGAAGCAGGTGGCAGACGAGCTCGGCTTCGAACTGTACCTTGCTAATATGGAGAAAGAAATCACAAAGACTGATGATGGTTACGACAATCGTCACTATGGTTACTATGACGAAGAGGAGGACGAGGACGAGGAGGAAGGAGAGGAGGAGCAGGAGCAGGAGGAGGAAGAACTTAGTCGCTCGATCACTTTGACTTACATAGCCGACTTGGCCGGCTCACGAATGTACCACCCCGTCAACTTTGCACAGTCGGGAATCGCAGTGGAAGAGGAAAACTTTGTGGACCCTATCGATGAAGACGACGAGGAACCTGACGAAGAAGATCACTCGGGGTACACCGGCAATGAAGGGTGTACTGCCACTTTTCGGTATCACAATACCGTAAGTGATACGCTAGCGAACCTTTGTGACAATTGCTAATGGTTTCCAATCTCAGGTCATCCTCATCGTGCCGCCAGCCAGAAAAGTCGAATTTTTGTATGAATGTGACAGGCGCAATCTTCGAGTGATTGCGTTATTGACGGACCTCCGTCAAAAAGCCGACAATGACCCCACGGCCAAGGAAGATCTAATGAAAGTCTGTGAACTCGTACTGGCCAACAAGAACCAAAACCGCTACTGGCGGCAAGATCAAGAGAACGCCCAGATTCTCATACAGGAAGCTATCGCGTCGGCATTACAGTGCGAGCGTTTTGACCTTTACGACGGATTAGTCCAAGGCATTAGTGAGTCACAATCACGAGAAGCATTTCGGCTGCTCGGCCGCCATATGGGCTGCGAGGTCCGTCCTGAGATTGCGCAAAGGTATGAAATGGAACCCGCGAACACAATTTTGCGACTAACCTGAGCACAGGATCGAGGCTGCATTGAGCTTGACAAGCACTCTGATTCAGAAACATGAATACCTGATGATCGTTGAGAAAGGTGTACGGTCAACTTTGCACCCCGACGAGATGCTCCCCAAACAGTACAGACTCTGGGCTCAGCAGATGTTGGTCAAGCAGCTTGTGGCAGCTGAAGTTGCCCAGACCCTGTCGAAAGCAGATGGCGCAGCGCTCGTCCACGTCATTGGGGAGTGGACTGTGAAGGACGTCCAAGAGCAGTACGTCTGCCGATTTTTGGCTACCAATGTCAATGCGGACTAACTCGTGCGCAGCATCCTTCCAGCCATTGCCAAATGCGGTACTGCATTCAAAGTTGCTTTCGCAAACTGCCTCGCCGCGCGGGTGGACCAAGTTGACATAACGACCGAGTTGAACGAAGGATGCCAGCTAACTTTCAGTCCTCAGGCCTGCGTAAACGTCAGCAAGGCTGTGTACGCAAATATTTGGACGTCTTTCGAGTTGGAGTCTCTTCCTGTAAAACCAATGGCAAACACCAGGCTTCTGAGAAGTGTGTTAGACACATTTAGCCCTCCTCCCCGACCCACCCCAGCCCCGAGGCCTGAAGAACATCTCCTCGACGGAAGCGAGCTTGCTAGCTTGTTGAGTCATACTTCATCCCTAGGCGTGCTCGCCGAGTCGGAGATGAAGTCGCGTCTCCAGTCAGCCGTCGAAGCAGCGGACCGCGAGGCCTGCATTCACACGCTGCTTCCTTTCGTGAAGATGGTGTTCGAGCAAAAGGTCGAGGCTCTGAAGCTAGATCCGCACAGCAACCGAGCCTCCGACGCGGACAAGCATCTGGTGACCGCCATGCTCGTACGCCTTGTCGTGGCCGGCGTTGGCCGCGAGCCCGCCCGCCCAGGGACTTGGAGCCAACGCAAGGGCGGGTGCAAGTCATCTTCCTGCAAGGACTGTCCCTCGGTCAACGCGTTCCTTGCCGCACCGGATCGCATAGTCGGCAAATTTCCCGCCAGCAAGCCTCGACGTCACCACCTGCATACCTATTTCACTGATAAAGCAGGCGCCAATTACTCGGTCACGACTCTCCGGAACTCGAATCCCAATGTCTGGCAGATAACCAAGAATCCGAGCAAAGCCCAGGCCGACCACGACACATGGAAGACGAGAAAAGCCGAAGCCAAAAAGAAGATAAAGGAGCTCGTCAAGACTGGCCGCTTCAACATGTATGTTCCGCAGGGTACTGCTCTTGCGATCATCGATGCCGATGTCACCAAGTTACATGGCGAGCAAACTCCAGCCGGGGTATTACCTCTCCAGGCATCCAGCGCCAACGCCCCTCCCGCTACTCTTTCAAAGAGGCCGGCTGCAGAAGATCGAGAGTCAGAGAAACTGTCCAAGAAAGCGAAGTCCACGACGAGCAGGGCAGATCCAGTCAGACCAAGGCATGGGCTCGTCGAGGTCATTGACTTGACCTGAGATCGTCTGACGAACCATCAGGGGCGAGGTCCGTGGCTCCTTTACAGCATTTCCTGCGCCATAGACATCGCCCTTGATACATACCGTGGACGCTTTCTATTCAACACCGAAAAGCATATTTACATTACTTGTACGAATACGGGGAATCCATGTCTTGGAGATAAAGGGGTTGCTGTGTGGGTGGGCCACTTAATTAACCCTTCAAAAATCGTAACCGGAGCATAGGGATAGTTATAGGTGTCGACCCGCCCCACGCTGAAATGGAAAGCTTGACATTATACGGAGTAGTCCTGAAGCCCACTCGTACTGGATTATATATCAAAGATAGCACATCATTCGATGGCTCGTCCACCCGCATCCAACAGCACAGCACAGCACAGTACAGCCAGTTCGAGCACTCCGGACTTCCAAAGACCACTGGCCGGCTCGTTTGATTGGATTTTAGTCACCATTTTGTGCGTCTGTGCCTCTGTGTAAGCGGAGAGTAGGTTGCCGCCTTGCCTTTCCAGAGCGGCCCTAGTGTTGTTGAGTGACGGGGTCTAGATGTACTATATGTATGAAAGTATCAGAGTCTCCCGGCTTAGGGCCCTTTGAACGTCACGTACGACTCGTAGCATGGTAGCATGGTACATCGTGGCGGTCTAGTCATGTTGAATCACCATATTGCAGACGATATGGACGTGAAAAACGGTGCACACTTTGGCGCCATCTTACAGGAAGACCAAGTAATTCATTTGATATCGCTACGCTTGCTAGGTTACACGCTAAAAAAAAAAATCACTTCGTACTCCGTTAATGCCGTGTTCACTTGCCAACAAAGCTCCCATTACCGCTGTTCTGGTAGAACGTCACTTGGTCTGTGGAATTCTTGTACTCGGACCCGGTATTGCACGCGGCGGAATACCCTCCAAACATGGCGGCACGCTCGGCCAACCAGTCCGTCAGGCCGGTTGAGCCGCAGCTCTCGTCCGGTCCGTCGTAGCAGCCCGGCAGTGTCTGGGGAGAATCGTTGACCAGGACGCGGTAGTAGGTCGAGTCGCCATCTACCAGATCTCCGTACGTGTTGGCCCGGGCGGAGCAATTCATCCGCTCGATCGCGATGTTTGTGAGGAAAGGTAAGATGTACGAGGAGACCCACGCGCGGTTGTAGTTGATGCGGTCCAGAGGCATGCTGGCGTTGGCATTGCCGCCAATGAAGTCGCTGTTATTGAAGAGACCCATTGCGACGAGTACTGTGGGAGGGAACTCTCGATGGGTGAAGCTTACGTAGATGTCCTGCGAGGTGGGACCGTCGTCATCCGACTGTAGGAGGTCCATTGTGGCATTCACCCATGGGAGGGCGATGGCTCCGGCCACTGGATTCCCGTAGCCAGTATTGTAGAAGTACATGATGTCGTTTGTGTATTCGAAGCTCAACCACGCGTCCCGGGGGAAAAGGTCGAGAGAGCAAAAGGGCGAGGAGCCCCGGATGACGGTTTCGTAGCCGCACAGCTCCATCATGCCCACAATGTCGTTTTTGGTGAAATTGAAGCTCGAGAACACGTGGTTCAGACGGTTCACGTATGGGTTTGACCATCTGGATAAGTACTGCTGGGACTGTTCGCTGCCCGCCGAGGACGAATACGCCGGACAACTGTCGTAGGGAGTGAGGGTGTTGGCGCCACCTTCTTCGCTTTCGTAGATCTGCACCAGTGTGATGTTGTTGTCAGACGCCTCGTAGCCACGGATGAACGACTCGGCGGACATGACGGTGCGTTCCGCGGTCGACGCCCATACTTTTTGTGGAGGTCGGAAGTTGGGGTATCGGAACGAAACCTCGACGCCGAGCTGAGCTGCTTCGAGCTTGCCAACCCTTGTCAGGCGCTCCTGCTCGGCAAACGATGGAGGGATCCAGGTCTGAAGGAAGGCAAGAGAGGGCAGATTTCCCCAGTTGATGTTGGTATGGTTCTTCAGCTTCGAGAGGAAAGGCTCGATATACGTCTCGTAGTCAAAGTCGTTCCTGCATGGAGTGAGTATAGACGAGCGTTGTTCTCTAGCGAAGGGTAAACTCACGCGTTAATTGCAGCATGTCGAACTAGGTACGCGGCTTTCGTGACGGTGCAGCCATCCGGAGGATTTGGGTCTCGCGGAGGATCGTTCGGCTCAAAGTAGGGCGCGATCCCTGCTAGATGTTGAAGTGGGTTGAAGCTGTAGGTATCGTAGAGTTGTGAGGTGAGCCCGCATGCCAGCGAGGGCAAGATTGCGGCTGACAGGAGCAGACGGGTCAGTTCCATGCTTGTGTGTAGAGGTGGTTCAGTTCAGTACGCCACAGACATACCTGTAAGCTTATTCTGCAGTCGAGCTTATAAGACAGGACGGCCAGTGTGTACAATGTCATCATACCTGAATAACCAAGTTTTGAAAAGAGGCTCACTCTCGGATGATCGTCGGAGCTTGCTCCATCAAGCATTAGCCAAGCTGGAAAGGTGGGATAGCTTTCCCCTAATGCAGGCTGCTAGGCCTAGACTGGCATTAACCGAGAATCAATCCAGGCACCGTCCGGCTTTCCCTCCTCTAAGCCTCAACGCGGTCGTTAAGCGAGGCTGTGGTTACCCACCAGTGCCCCACCAGGATTGGAGCAGATGACGACATGTCTCGGAGTTACGATACCGCAATGCTACAGAGGAGCAATGTGCCGAAGTACTGCGTACTACGAAATCGGAACTATGCGCACTCAGCGGATACATCTTTCGACCTTGCACGCGTACAAGTTACGGTATATCGCAAGCCTGCAGCAGGATGTGCCAGTTGCAGTCCAGATAGAGCGGTTTAGAATGGACGACAGTCTGTCGACTCGGCAATAAGGTAGATTCACAAGCTGTCTGGTTCAAACGCATATCCCTCCGACCGAGTCTGAAAACAATGCAAGGACTATTTCTTACTCATCAGCGACAAATCTTGTACTTCTTCGATGCCCCCGAGTTTAGCCACGAACTTCTTCCATGTCCAGCCTGTGCGTCCTGGGACTCGGGTACTTCCGCTTCAGCCTCGTCGTAGAACCCACCGGATTCACATCGCGGCAGATCTTGAGCAGTCTCCGGTGCCTCTACTTTCCCTGAAGCGCGCTTGCGTTTCTTCGATCCCGGGGTTTGTCTAGCGGGCAAGACTCTCCGTTCACCAACGATCTCTGGTTCCGAGCTCGAGCTTGGGCTCGAGCTTGAGCTCATGTTCTCCGGTGTCGCCCGTCTTGCGTTCTCCTCCCTGGTCGTGGCTAGTCCTGGACTGGCTGAGATTTGTGCGGCAAACGACTCGATCCCGGGTAGCCAAGATTTTTCTCCAGAGAGGAGCTCATCCGTCAGGCGGCTTGGCGACCTAGATGCGCGTGTCTTCTCAGGACTCTTTTTCTTTTGAGTCACCTGACGTCGTCTGTGCCGATTGTGTTCAGCTCTTCCCTCGCGCAAATGCTCGGCCAGCTCGGCTGGATTTGAATGAGTACGGCCTTTCTGCATAGGATGTGCATGTGTAGATGAGGGAGATGCTTTGGCTTGTGCAGCGGGGGCGGAAGGCGAGCTTTGTTTCACTCGTGGTTCGCGAAAAGGTGGTGATGTCGGGACATGTTCAGTCTTGACTCGGAGTACCTCGTCGCTGATGATGATATCATCTTCATCATTCTCAACATAGCGGTCTTGAGAGTCGGGGACAGCATGAAGAGCATCGATACTGTCTCGAGCGGCCGCTAGAGGATTTGGCTGCACGGCGCATCCTTCACGAGGGTTGGGCGGCTGGCCTCGAGCACCCACAAGCGCCTCAAACCTCTCTTGCGCCTCTTCAATATCTTGCTTTGTGGGCGGCTTCTCGTGGTTTGGTGGCGGCGTTAGGGACGGCGTTTCCCTTTCGATTAAGATATTACCAATGATCGGCTCGTCCTGCTTGGTTGATTCCTTCTCCTGCCTCCGATGCATTTCCAAGATCAGCTCCCGCAGCCTCGACCTCAAATCCTCACTGTGGATTTCTCGTGGCCACTGCTGTCCACTCTCGTCACGCTGCAGAATTCGTCGGACGAAGTTGTAGGGGTCTGCAACGAACTGCTCAAGATAGACGCAGACGAAAAGCCCACAGTCGCTGAAATTGCCTTGAGTAGGGATCTCCTTTGCAGTCATCCCTCGGAGTTCAGCAGGGTCGATCTCTAGATTTCGCTTGTCCTTGGCCTCTAATGCCACATAATTTCTGAGGTGTGAACATGTGGCCGAGCGACTATGGCCAAGTGAGTCGAGTGTGATGATAACTGGCTTGTTGATGGGGTATTTTGGAAGCGATCTTCGGGGTACTTTTCGACGTCCAGGTCGCTTTCTCTTTGCGGGAATTTGACCGTCCTTTTCGCCGTCACTAATAGAGAGGTCGGCCAGAGAATTTTGTGTCGCTGCTGTCTTTGCATCGGCTTCCTCTTCACTCTCGTCTTCCCCCCCTTCATTAGGACGCTCGATCCCAATCGTGCTCCCCGGCCACCCACTGTCGCCTTTGTCACCTAGAAAATAGGGGAGATTGCAAATGATAGCAACGTACCAATGCAGATTCTCGTTGACGGGTACGACCACGAAATCTCGACTGAAGAGATTGATGTTCTTTGTCCATCGACTGACAGCCTCGTAGTTGAGGTTCTTTTTTGCTTTCGGGTTTTTAGTGAGAGCTTCGTAGAAGTAGGTGTTGAAGAAATGCATTCGCTTGTACACTTCTGGGTTATTTTTCTCCATGTGGGTTTCGAGATATCGCATGAAGAACAGAATCAGGTTGTCATTCAAGAAGCCATCATGGTCGAGCCTTGCCAAGTCGTCGAAGTGCACTATTGCAGCCCTGCGACCCGGCTGCGGATAGACGAGATCCTTGCTCCATGGTGGGCCAAGAGCTCGATTTCGGCTCTCGCTTTGTGATCGTCCTTGGATACGTACCAATTCGTCTTGCGATCGGGTCATCCTCCGTGTCAAGACGTTCAGGTGACCGGCTTCAGGTGATGTGGAGTCTCGGGAAGAATGCCGTCTGTCCTTTTCCCGGGCCACTTCTGCATGTTCAGACGCTGCTTTGTGATCCGCTCCGGAGATGACTGTATGCTGTCTTGAGGCAGGTGATGGAGCATCGAGCTTGTCGATAAGACGGGCACGCTTCTCTCCTGTGATCGGATGTCCTGATGGCGAATCTTGCATTCTAGCGGGCAGTATGTTTTCCGCTCGAATATTATTTATTTGAGCTCTTCTGGGGCTGCTACTACGCGTGGCCTTGAATCTGTTGAATGCACCTTCCATCCAATCACTGTGTCCTGTTAGCAAGATGCGGCGTGCTTAAGAGGAGTCACCTACCCATGTCTACCAGTCATTTTCAGACCGGGCACCGCTTCTGCAAGCAGCATGATGAAGTCGCATGCGGATTTGTCGGAGTCGAATCTGAGAAACATATAGTCTTGCCCTATACCACTGAATTGCAACCGAACGAGGGCAGATCCATCGGCTCCGTAAAAAATTCCCGCTATTTGGCGGATTGCACGAGGATGGGTGAGAGGCTCATCAGGGAAGATGGGACTATCCGTATGAAGCGATATCTCTTTCGTTGAAACGTCAACCTTAATCGTGTAGATCGATGCGTCCGCGAAGTTATGATAGAGAAGGTCATTAAGCTTGAACGAACTCTTTTCGCTAGCGGTGTTCTTCGCACGCGGATCTGATAGTTTGGCTTTGGTCGAATTGAAACCCTGCCCAATACTCGAGCCACGGAGGCTGCTTCTCGACCGCGACTCGTTGGCTGTACCAGCTACTGGTGACGCTCTTCTTTGAGGGTTGGTTTCGCCGCCTTGAATGGCATCAGGACTCTCTGGGGTGGGGTCCTTCTGCCGAACCTGTTTTAGGGCATGTGTTCCTCCTTGAACAGCATGCACACTCTGGCGAAAATATGGCGAGGTGCGTTGTGGCACTGACGGCTTTGAAGCAGCAGGAGAGCTCCCCAGCATCTTATCTTTATCAGCCCTCCTTTGTCGTGCAGCGTCTTTAGTGAAATCGCCCTCATCCACGGGTGAATAATCACGATCCTGACGCTGAGTCTGGTTTGAACTGGCGGCATTCCGACTCCTGAGTATCGAGATAGGTGATTGCCGCGATCCGCTGGAGGCTAGAGGTTCTTGTACTGGGCCTTTTCGTATTTGGCTTGGGGGCTTGGAACTACTGAGCGCGAGTTCATCCTCGGAATCATTGAGCATCTGACTGTCATCAAGACTGATGGCAGAGGCGGATGAGTCTCCGGCTTCTCGTAGGTCAACAGTCTTGCGTTTCTTGTTAGGCGTGGTATGATCATTCGAATGGACCTTATTCTTGGTGGACAATGTGCTGGGTGGATAGATTTGAACGCGTCGACCGTTAGTCTTTTCTTGAATGTATCCCGATCTTGTTCCAGGCACAGCAGCAAGCGTATCGACTGGTCTCAAGACGGAGGGAGCCTACAGAATTGTCAGTCACGAGATGATAGACGGAGAGGGGGACATACTTTGAACGGCGTCCTCCTACGCATATTTGTTGGGTCTTCGTGAGGATCCCTCCTGCTACACAGACCGTGAGCCAGCCTGTGCCTATGCCACATTTATAAGACGTACATCAAACTGCCATCAAGCCTTGGCCCCTCTTCCGGATCGCTTTGTTGAGTTCGCCTTGTCGGAGTGCCACTTGTCCTAGAGCCTGTGTCTTAGAAGGAGACGTTTTTGTCTTTAGGGAACAAGAAAGTACTCATGAGTTTGGCCTCTTGCCCCTCCGCTAGGTTTTGGTCTCTTTCTTCCGTGTTTGGTCTCGTCATCACTTTCGAGCTGCAAAGACACATTCCCGTCAGTCTGTCCCCAGCACACGAGAGACCCTGCTCACATCAATTTGAACACGGCGTTTCAATTCTGGTGCGGAATTGCCTAGATCGTTGAGGAAACTGGGTAGTGTCTTGGTGAGATAGCGGTGAGAGTTCGCGGGCATCTGGGCCCGGTATGGGTTCTCTGAAAAGGCATTTGAGCGTGTGAAGGACACCGAAGGCGCAGCGAGGGGTGTGGCAATGGATTTGTCTTCTGGACCGTCTTCAAGTGAATTTGATACGAGGTACGATTTGAGGCCGTTTCGTGCGATATTGTTAAGGGATCCGTGTAGTTTTTCAAACCAAGGGACACTCATTTGTTTAATCTGCCAACATGCTTTACAGATGTGCACTGGTGGAGAGCATGTCTGTCCTTGAGGTGAAAGATGTTGAACATGTGGTTGCGGGCACGAGCGCAAGTTGGGAAGACTGCGAACAATTTCCCCGCAGCCGTGATGCGCGCGGTCTATGCGACATGCACGGAGTATACGTCCATACGTGGAATTGATGTAACACCGTGAAATCTCAAAGGCGAATTTGAATACCGCTTGCTCAGTAAAGCAGGCTTTGATCAAGATTCCGCTATGGGAAGAACCCTATCCAGGAATCAAATACATGCAAATCAGTGCTAGTGCTACAGAGGGATTGGCACCTCCCATCTTCACGGAGATCATTGTGTCCCCTTTTCTTTACTCCTCTCCGGTTCGTCACGTAAAGTTGAACGTCGCTGAACACCAGGATGGCCTGGGGTGCCACTGACCTTCTGCTGCCTGGCCTCGTCCAGCGCTGACCGTTGCGCGATGCTGTCGTCGTGGCTCTTCCACACGATGTTGGTGTCAGGGGGGAAGGCGAGTACTCGTTTGATAGTCTCTCTGCGGAATGATCAGTTTCTTGTTCAGTTCTGAGATTGAGCAAGCGGCTTTCTATACCTGATCTTGATGTTTCGACCACCATCGTTCTTAGTCCACACACTCAAAACATCTTCGCCACTTCTGACGCTGAGTACAGCCCCGCAAACTTCCTCTCCAGCCTCCATAAACTGGTCACCAATGATCGCTAGGAGTAGATCCTCCCAGTAGCGGTCAGCCACACCCTTTTTGAGCCTCACGATCCACTTCCCGCCCTTCTTGTTGGCCTCATCTTCCCATACCGGACGGATGCCGTCCTTGAAGATATGGTAATCCGAGACGGTGGGGAGCAGAGACGGGCGCTTAAGATGAGAGTATATTGTCCAGAAGCTCTCTACCGAGCTAATTGACGCTAACCTCTGCGTAGATTTCTCGTAGTCAGAGAACTTGTTGGCAGGGGGCCGGTAGAAGAGGTTCCAAGTACTCCGAAGTGGATGTTCTGAAGAAGTCTTGCTCGATGAAGAAGAATCCTGTGAGGGCTCTGCCTCTGACGTCTCTGCTGGGATGTCTGAATCCTTCTCTTTTTTCTCAATCTTCTCACGCAATGAAAAGTCAAAGGCGGGACCGGTTCCAGGAGTCTTGGGGGTCTTCGCTGAGCCAAAAGAAGCAAACGCGCCGCTTCCCAGACCAAAGGCCGAAGAGGCGCCTGCTGAGGGGGATTTCGTGGCCGCGGGAGAAAGAGCGTTGAAAGGGTTCGTCTTGCCGTGAGACGAAGTGTCTCCAAAGCGTCGACTGGAGTAGGATCGTGGAGACTCTATCTTGCCACCATCCTTGCCGTCCTGATCTCTCATAGACAGTGACAACTTGCCAGTACTTCGGACGCGGTTAGAGTACTCCGGCGCCAAAGATAGATAATGGTCAGACTCACTTGGATCGTCTGGTCCACAAATTTGCGTTTTCCATGAGCAGATCAGAGACAGCAATGGGAAATCCAGCAGTACAATGTCACCTCCGCCAGTCTCGCTTTGGACGGCGGGTGGACAAGAGCGTCACTGCGGGAGCGGTGACTTTGGAATGAGATTGTGGGACGGAGAAGAGATCGGGCCTGCGCCAGGAGCGGCGCGGTGACGGGAAATGTGGCGCAATGTACTGTCTGTCAACTCGTGGATAGAATATGTCCAGTATTCAGAGGGTAAATCGGCGTATTAGAAGCTTGTGAAGGTGTACAAGTCAGTGTCTAGTGAATTTGAGTTGTAGCAACAAGGAGCAGCAAATACCGACTCACTCTGGTTGGACTTCCTGACATTCTTGCATGCCTTGAGCCCGCCAATCGGCGAACCGTTTGCGCTATTTCCCCAGAGTCGCCGCTAACCGCTTTAGCATTAGCGTTCCGGCTCAACTTCATTAGAACTTTTCTTCAGCGACAGGTTTGCTTTTGCTCTTTCTTCTCTCAAGACACTTAACTCAAATCAACGTCAGCTATGTCCTCGACGCCATGAAGCTGACTGTTTCCGATAACTGTGTCGAGAGTGATTGTCAAAAGCAATACCGCATCTTAAAACCATCATCACGAGGGCCCCTAGGGCTGCCATGATGCGGTGATGACCTGGAATAGCGGACAATTTGAACAGAAGATAAAGGAACGCGCAATAGCGAGAAGTTGGACAAAGGATAAAGTGTGCGTTATATTGTTTGATCTCTCTGCTCTTGCAAACCCTTGTGACGAACCAATCAACTCTGGTAAGCCGACAAGCTCAGCCGCAGTAGAGATACATGTCTTTGCAGTTCGCGGGCAGAGCATGTGGTTAATAGGCGAAGACTGATTCAAGGAAACACTTCACTTTATGCTTGTTTTATCATGCTATCTGCTATGACTGATCTTTTCGTTACTCAGGCTGAATCAACTCGTGTCATTCACTCTTAGGTACTGCTTCCTTCGAATGTTTTGAGGTCCTGCTCTGACTCACAACGGAGACCTGACTATAAGACTGGATAATTGCCGTCTTCTGGACAAGTGACGTACAAGCTGCTGCTGCTGCGACCGGCTATCGTTTGCGATAATCTGGCCTTTGTCTGGTCGTGATCTAGGCCTCGCACTTGTGCCCTGTCACGCTTTAGATGCCACCTCTCTCTGTGGACTCATTCTAGGTTGACATCTTCTCCTCCGTGGTTCAGTACTGAGTTTACACGGCTCCGATCTTGAAGGTCTTCGCCTTCTTTCGAATGGGGTTCGAGGGCTCGTTAAAATGCATTTGGGGCTTCCCTTTCTCGTGGCAGGGTAAGCAGATACTGCAACTGGCTGTTTGTGGAGGTGACCAATGCATCTCAGCATCGTTGCCGCTATTAGACCGCGTCAATACTTGCTCGGGAAGTGAGCTGTTCGTTTTGATTTCCCAATTTCGAGATTTGCAGGAAAGCATCCACACCATAGCCTTCCAGGCTGTGGAGTTCGAGCCCTCCAGCCCAATACTCAGCGTATACTCTGCTCATAGGTAAACCCATGCCAAGCCTCAGGTTTGGGGGCCTTGTGGCCAGCGTAGTGAGCGAGGAATCCCTCGTTTTCCCACTTGGCTTATCGTTCGCAGAGACTCGGACTTCCTGCATTGTGGCTGCAAGGGTGGGTACGTCCTTGAAATTCTGCAGCCGTGCGGCACTTCTTGGTCCTTTATTGAAAGACCACAAGTAGGGTGTGATATCTCGAGGTATGCCCCCGCCTTGGTCAGAGATTCGGATGACCACGTTCTGCGGTGCCTCGCAGATCAGCACATCGATGGGCGGAGGAGTTTCTGGAGTATCTTTGTACTTCTCCATAACTGCCTGCACCGAGTTCCGTAAGAGCTCTCCGACCACGTACTCCAGATGGCTCAGCACGTAGGGAAAGGTAGCGCTTGTATGGCCTTGAACTCGAATCTCAGGCACTGGTGGGTCAGCGCCACTGGTTGACTTGCAAATTTGTTGAGTGAAATGGCCGACTCGCTCAATAACCTCCTTTGCATTGCACCGGAGGAGGACCTCGCCGACAAATTCATTCTCAGAACTAGGTTGGGGCACATGCCATGGTGAATTGAAGGTTTCTGTCAAAGCAAGATGTTGCTCAGCAATGACCCGTCTCGAAATGCGAGCTCGCAGCATGGCCTGAACGAAATGGTCCATGGTATCAGGGGAGACCAAGTCTTGACACTCGAGCACTCCCATGACCAAATTGGGGATGACCGCCAGATGCTCTTTCAGACTGTCACTGATGACTTTGCAAAATTCATCATTCTCCTTGACCGTTCGGATGACGGGAACACGCCGAAAGCTCTCGAAGGACTTGTAATATAGCTCGTACACGAGGGACAAATGTGGGTTGGTCACCACGACATAGGGCAAACGCTGCATGTCTCGCAGTCTATGCGCAAGCCTGCAACTAGGTGAGCGACCTCCCACTGTTTCGAAGCCCAACGAACCTAGTAGGCAATTCCATGCGCACATAGTTGGCGGAGCTCAGCAAACGACTTTCTGTCAAGGTACGGCCGAAGAAGAACAGCTGGCGCAGGCTGATGGGACGAATGGGACGGTCGACCCAACTAGCAGACACGTCAGTGACATAGCTGGAACTACTCGAAGAGCAAAAGCATACTCGTCAAGGGTAGAAGCTGGCCGCCATGGCGGAGGTTGCCCCTCAGCTTGAGAAGACGTCCATCTGTACGACTGGGTGTTCAACCCGCCGAGTCTGTTCAGGCCCGAGGCGCGGGGCCTTGAAAAGCAACGGATCCGCTGCATCTCATCACAAACAACAGAGCGAACGATGCATAGTAACGGCCGACGAGCATCTCGTCGCTACTGTCTGAGTAAGCTCATGCGCAGAGTAAAGTGGTTGGAGAGATGATGTTGAAGCTCCGGCCATTGAGCTCCAACAGGCTGTCACGGTGCGCCAACAGCATTGGCACCCTAAGGAGAGGAGCAGTGACGAAAATGCGGGCAGGATTGGCTCTAATTAACCAGACCGTCTCTAAATCGCACACATTCGGAAACGGAGCGCAGGTGACGAGCTGCTTATTCGGTGGTCATGATGGCCCTCCGCCATCACCTGAAAGCGGGCGTTTCTCGTTTGTCATTCGTCATTCAAATTCCTCGCGGCGGCGACACCTTGACCTCAGTTCTCCTAGGCTGCATATCCAACGGAGTACCCAGCATAATCAGTATTAGACCTTCACAACTAGATCTGGCCCTTCAGTCGACATAGCTACCTTTGATGAATCCCTTGGCCAACAGTCGCTCCATCGACACTGCTCGTATCCACAATCTAGATCCGACTCAGGTCTCAAGTTTGAAGCGTCGTTGCTGACGGAGTCGCCTGCATTATTTCGACCGCAGTTTTCCACAATATCCAGCGCGCGGAAAGCTGAGGAAAGAGCTCCGCGCCTCATCCTCGCCTTCCTCTCCGCTCAAATCTAATTCACTTGAGTATGGACAATGTATGCTTGACCCATTGCTCGTGTTCAGTCCCTTTTTGATCGACCTTACCTATCCGCAAGCATGGACACTGACCTATCCGCCCGCTTGGATGAGCTGCAGATGGCAGGCCCAGACATGCTCATTGACAGTTACGAGCAGTACAATCACCAAGAGAGCGAAGTGGTCAACATCTCCCCCGACGATGGCTCCGAGGAGCAAACGGAAGCCCTGCCCCGGGCCGATGACTGTACGTGCTCATTCCCCTGTCGATACCCCTCCTCTTGACCCGTGTCCCAATTTAACCTCATCAACAGTCGAGGCGATGAAGCGCCATGTCCTCGTTGACCTCCCCGACACCGAGCCCGAAGCAGAGACATATCATACTTGGCACATAGAAAAATGGCGAACACTGTCAAGGAGAGAACACGGGCCTGTGTTTGAATGCGGCGGTCATCCCTGGAGGGTACTGTTCTTCCCATACGGCAACCAGGTTGATTGTGCGTCCTTTTACCTGGAACATGGCTTCGAGAATGATCCGCCACCGGACTGGTATGCCTGTGTGCAGTTCGCTCTCGTCCTGTGGAACCCGAACGATCCCACACTTTACCGAACCCATACGGCCACTCATCGATTCAACGCGAAAGAAGGCGACTGGGGCTTCACGAGGTTTGTTGAGCTGAGGAAGGCCTTCCATCAACCTTGGGAGGAAGGGTCAAGACTTCTGGTCGAGAACGATGAAGCGAAACTGACCGCTTACGTTCGAATCATCAAAGACCCCACAGGAGTATTATGGCACAACTTCGAAGGGTATGATTCCAAGAAAGAGACGGGCATGGTCGGCCTGAAGAACCAAGGCGCGACGTGCTACCTGAATTCGCTGCTTCAGTCTTTATACTTTACCAATTTATTTCGCAAAGCCGTCTACCAAATCCCGACAGAGCAGGAAGCCACCCGGAGCAACAGCGCCTGGACTCTTCAGCGGTTATTCTACAGGTTGCAGAAGGACAAATTTGCGGTCTCGACGAACGAGCTAACAGCGTCATTTGGGTGGGACACTCGCCAGATCTTCGAGCAGCAAGATGTTCAGGAGTTGTCCCGGATATTGATGGAAGTCCTGGAGAAGAAGATGAAGGGCACACCGGCAGAAAGGACATTGCCGGAGTTGTTTGTTGGTAAGACCAAAACATACATCTCTTGCATAAATGTCGACTTTGAGTCCTCGAGAATAGAGGAATTCTGGGATATCCAACTGAACGTTCGAGGAAATAAGAACCTTCACGAGAGTTTCATGGATTACATCCAGGTGGAGACATTGGAGGGCGAGAACAAGTACGACGCTGGTCAGCCATACGGCCTTCAAGACGCCCGCAAAGGTGTTATTTTTGAGTCGTTCCCGCCTGTATTACACCTTCAGCTGAAGCGGTTCGAATACGACATTAACCGAGACGCCATGATGAAGGTGAACGACAGACACGAATTTCCTGAAGAGTTTGATGCATCGCTTTACCTGTCTGACGAAGCCAGAGCTGCATCGACCGAACCGTGGGATTACCAATTACATGGTGTGCTAGTGCATAGCGGCGATTTCAATGCCGGCCATTACTACGCATTCCTTAAGCCCGCCAAAGACGGGTTCTTCTACAAGTTTGACGATGACCGGGTGACGCGGTCAACCATGAAGGAAGTGCTGGAAGAAAACTTCGGTGGAGAATATGCCAATGTTGCAAATGGTGGGCTCGGCCAACGGCAGCCCTACATGCGCGGTTACTCCACCAAGCGTTCCATGAACGCCTACATGCTGGTCTACATCCGGAAAAGCAGGCTAGATCAGGTGCTCCTCGATGTTACCGAGTCCGACATTCCTTCCCATATTGAAGCAAGAATTTCTGAAGAGCAGGCAGAACTTGCGCGGAAAAAGAAAGAGCGAGAAGAGGCTCATCTCTATATGAATATTGGGCTGATTACAGAACGAACTTTCCAAGCTCACCATGGTTTCGACCTGACGAGCTACGACCTTGAACAAACAGACCCAGCCAGCGCCCAGATCCATCGACTATTGCGTACCACCAAGGTTGGTGAGTTTGCCAACACCGTTGCTAAGGAGCTTGGGCTCGGCCCGGATCAGCTCAGGTTCTGGGTCATGGTTGGCCGACAGAACAAGACAAACCGCCCCGATCAACCGATCCGCGAAGCCGACATTACTATGGAGGAAGCCATGAACAAGTACGGCTCAAGGGGCCGGCCGTTCTATCTGTGGGCTGAAAATGGCACGAAAGGTGACGACGGCAAAGTTTCATGGCCCGATGCTACACCAGCTGCAGGTGGTAATGTCCCTATCCTGGTGTTCCTCAAGTATTTCGACGTCAAGGCCCAGTCACTGTCTGGCATCGGTCATGTGTATGTCAAGAAATTCGACAAGGTACAAGAGATTGCGCCTCAAATTAACAAATTGATGCATTGGGATCCAAACACGCCAATCCTCTTGTTCGAAGAGATCAAATTCTCAATGATCGAGGCTATGAAGCCCAAGCAGACGTTTCAGCAATCGGAAATCCAAGACGGCGACATCATCTGTTTTCAACAAAACATTCCTGACCTAGACGCATCCACAATCACTTACACCGATGCCCGACAGTACTACGACTACCTGCTCAACAGGATACCAGTCAGCTTTTATCCAAAACCTGGCACTGAAGGAGAATCCTTTGTATTACCTCTCAGCAAGAAGATGACTTACGACCAATTCTCTCAGAAGGTGGGAGAGTACCTCAAAGTCGACCCCACTCACATACGATTTGCCACCATCAGCGCTACTAACAATAAGATAAAGATGTGGCTCAAGCGTGGCATGAATTACAATCTGCAGCAGATCCTACAGTCTCAGTTCAGCTCCTACGGTGGCTATGCCACGCACCGCGGCGACGCACTGTATTTTGAGGTCCTTGAAACAAGTCTTGCCGACTACGAGACAAAGAAGATCATGAAAGTGATTTGGCTCAGTGACGGCATCAGCAAAGAGGTACGTGCTTGGCGTATTCTACCTCAAGTACTACTACTGACAGCCGCAGGAACCTCTGGAAATACTCGTTGCCAAGAACGGCCTCATCAGTGACCTGATCGGCGGCATTGCCAAGAAGCTGAGTTTGGACGAGCAGACAGCCCGGAATGTGCGCGTGCTTGAAGTCCACGGCGGCAAGATCCACAAGGAACTGATGGAGGATTTCAACGTCGTCGGGGTCAACGAATTTACCACACTGTACGCCGAGAAAATCCCCGATGAAGAATTGAATGCCTCGGAGGACGATCGGTTCATTTACTGTTACCACTTCGACAAGGAAGCCAACAAACCCCATGGCGTTCCGTTCAAGTTTCTGCTGAAGACCGGCGAGCCGCTCAGAGAAACAAAGGAACGAATCAGCAAGCGGACCGGTATCAAGGGCAAACTTCTACAACAGATCAAGTTCGCTTTGGTATCAAGAGCGCCCTATGGCAAGCCGAGATATATCGAAGATGACGATGTGCTCTCTGATCTCATTCAGGATGGCGACGACATGCTCGGACTGGATCACGTCAACAAGGCACGCAACTTTTGGGGACGTGCGGAAGGGATGTTCATTCGGTAGATCCGGCAAATGCGAACACTGACATCTCCGTCGACCTATTCTTACAACTGTTGCCACCTTGAGCAAGAGTCAGAACAGGCTTCACGAATTGTTCAGGCTCATGATTCGTCACACAGTCTGGCGGGCAGTCTCCAAGCGATTCCAGCCGGACGTCTCGCCAGTAGTGGACGGGCGCAACGGATGCAGAGAGGGTTTTCGAGCGGACAAGCTCTTTCATGTTCATATCGATAGTCGGTGTGATCATAGTCGCCGCTGTTACCGAGGCTGAAAAACGCATTTGGGTGGACGCTTGAGCTGGAGAGGCTTCGAGTGTCAGGTAGGATGGGCTTGTTGAAGCAAGGCAGGGAAGTTGGTCCTTGCGAAAATTCGGCGGACAGGTATGCCGTGCACGTTGCCTTCCGCCTGTACATCATGCAACCATAACAGAGACACGTAGAGACGAGACGAGACTATGCATTATGGCATCATGAGAAACTACAGCATTGTAGGCACGATTGCATGAAACTGTCGAGGCCCGTCATTGATTCGAAGGGCTTCTCCCTCTGTTTTCTTGCCATTGCCAGAAAGCTATATATATCTCGAAGGCATGGACACAGTACCGATGCTCGAGAACACAGTCTCATCAACAAGACCACTGCCTCCCGTCACTACCAGCTCTTAGCTCATAGCAGCACACTAAAGCCCATATGCTCTCCTTGACCCAATTCCACAATCTGAGGACAAAAGGCTTAGTCCTAACGGCATATTGAAGTTCAGACACTCTCCTTGACCCAGTTCCACAGCTTGATGACATACTCCTCGGTGACCACGCCTTCCCAATCACGCAGGGACGGCATCCGCGTATAGGTACTTGCCATCTCATACCCTATCATCGCTGTCTCCGTCTCCTGCGTGGGAGGGACCACGCCGTTCATCGTCCCTGTCTCTACCACTGCCTTACGGTCTTCTTCCATTTGATCCTCTCGCGCCGCTGATGACGGCGCGTCCGTGTCCGACTTATCGTCTCCGTCTCCATCGCGTTGACCCCTTCGTGACGATGACGCATACGCCCCCTTCCAGAAGGGCAGGAGTTTCAAGCTAGGGTGCGTGCGCTTCCCTTCGTCGGGACTGTCGGATAGGGCTTCGAGCGCGTGGAGCCACGACTCGACGCCGACTGTTTGGAATTTCTCGTGCGGGGAGAGCCAGTGTAGGAGGTGAGTCCATGTGATGGCGTGGGAGGGGTTGAGGACGTGGTGGACCGGCAATGGCGTTGCTGTCGAATTGGCGGAGTTATCGCTTTTGTTCGTCGTTTGGTCCAGGTCCTGGTTTCGGTCCTGTACGGCATCATCGTCGACCTCATCTCCCACGATATCGTCGACAAACGCCCTCGCGGCAACGTCGACGGGCAGCCACGCGAGCACCTCCCCCTCTCGCACGCCCTGCGCCCTTCTTGCGCTATCGAGATCAGGGAGCACGCCTGTCGCGGCCGCGCTGGCCAGCATAAGCGGGTATGCTTCACTAGCAGACCAGACGCCGGTATCCGTCGCGCCGCTTAGTTGGCCGACGCGCGCGACGGAGATGCGGCCTCGCAGTCGCGTCGTGGCGTGCGCGTGCCAGCACATCCGCTCGGCCACCCACTTGGAGTGGGCGTAGCCTGTCGGACCGGCCACTGAGGCGTCGTCGTCTGCCACAAGGACTCGTTCCGGCACGGGCTTTGTGCTGGGAGATTGTGATTGTGGCGCGTAGTTCGACACGGCTGCGACGCTGGAGCAGAAGATCATCCTTGGCGGGTTGGCGTGGTGGTGTTGTCGGTTTGAAGAACTCGCAAGCGGTGACGATAGAGCGAAATTGATCAGATTCCTCAGCCCCGCTAGGTGCGTGGATGCGAATGATCGGAGTGGCTGAAGGAAGTTCACGCTCCATGCTAGATGGACGATCACGTCGACCGAGGCCGCCAGGGCGGTATACTCTTCGTTTGAGAGTCCGAGGTGCGGATCCGAGAGTTTACAGTTGTGGATCGTGACTTTGGAGTCGAAGTCCCCTGGGATAGGGAGACGGCGGGAAGAGAAGGCTTTCAACACGCGCTCGCGCCTTGCCAATGGTGTGGCGGCCCGGACGAGGAGGTGGATTTTGGATATGCGCGGATCGGAAACGAGCTGCCAGAGGATGTGAGCTCCAAGGGACCCGGTCGGCCCAGTCAGCAGGACTCGTACAACCTTGGTGTCTTGATGAGGTGCCCGTCGAGATGGCATTATTGAAGAAGCAGGCTTGGGATGAGGATCGCTGAAGACGCTATACTCTCTTGCCAGATCGAGCATTATGCTGGTTTGTTCCCTTTCATCTTGCTCTTTGGTGCTGAGGCTGGCTTCTCCACTAGTTCGAAGACGGAGCACCAGATCAGCGAGCCGGGATACTGTCCCAGCGTCTTGGACGATCGTCAATGGTAAAGTCGCAGTCTTTGGGATCAGTGCCATCAGTGCATGGCGGATCCGTATGGCTGCGACAGAGTCGATCCCGTAGCTAAACAGGTCCGTCTCGTCTGCCAGCTCGGTAGCTTGGTCGTCACGATTCCTGTTTTCGCCTGCAACTCTCATGACAATGTCGCGGATTGTTCTCGAGACGTCAGCGTCAGGTATATCAGTGCTGCAAGAAACCCCTCCAGGCAATACGTCCCCATAGGCAGCATCGATCGCCTCGCTGAATCGCTCTTCAGCTTTCCGCCGCAAGACGGTGCCTTTGCTGCTCTTCTCGAGCCCGTTTTCCAGACGAGGCATCGCGATGAGCATGTTCCGCGGTATTCGGGCGTGGGATTGACTATTTCGATTCAGCTTCTCGACCAGCGGTGCGATCTTGTCAATGAGCTCATTATTGCTCGTGGACGCCGCATCTCGTGACGGGAAGAGTAACACCCCGGGATATGGTTTTCCGGTCCCGATTATCAAGACGTCGTCGAGCACCGAAGAAGCCGACGCTCGAATCGAATCCTCCAGCGGTGCTGGGTCGAATTTCTTGCCCGTAATGAGCGTCAATTGTGAATCCGCGCGGGAATGGTACCGCCACGCATGCGGAATCGCAGGATTAGGAGCGAAGAGGTCGGCAGTGGCGAAGGAGCCGTCGTCTCGATTGCGCTTCGCCATGTGAGGCCAGCCATGCTGGATCACCAGCTCGGAGAGGCCGTCTTCTTGGGGCTCGAAGCGAAGATGTTCATCTCCCGGAGAGCATCTGAGGTACTGCCATTCCTTGTCCTTTGCGTACTCTCGGTGCGACGACATGAGGAAGCCGCACTCCGCGCTACCGAAGCGGGAGATGAGGTTCACGTTGTCCATCACCAGTTTGTCGCCAACTTCTGCGGGCAACGCTGCGCCTCCAACGCCGACGATGTCCATACGTTGCAGATGCCCGAGGCCGTCCTTATCCTCGGCCATCATCTGCAACACGTACGGGACGGAGGAGAAGTAGCTGACCTCCGGCCCACCGTCTGCCGAAGTTGCCGCAACCTCCAGACACTTGCAGACATGGGCGGCTGTGATGGGCAGCTCTTTCCCGGGGAAGAGCCATATCAGAGCGTCGCTTGTCCATGCGCGAAACAGGTCGGCGACCCCGCCGTGGTAAAGGGGTGTTGTCGTGAAGCAGGCCTTGCTTCTCCCGTTTAACGTGGGGAGCACTCCTATTGCTGCTCTGTGCGATTGCGGGACTGGCTTCGGCACGCCAGTCGACGTGCCTGATGTGTGATGCAGATATGCGATATCGGTTTCCTGCACCGTGGCTGGCGGTGCGATTACACTGACAGGCGTACCCTTGATCGCCTCGAAGATGCTCTCGCTTGCAAAAGGCAAAACAAGCGCATTCAAAGAGCCACCTCCCAGCTTTGAGGCTTCCGTCGCAAGATCTCCGTATATCTCATCGTAGACAAGATCTTTCACACCACATGCATTGCAAAGTTCCGTGATCGCAGAGGGTGAGCATTGAGGCGCGATCAGAAGCGCCGGGTGGCCCAGCCAGATAAGTGCCAGCCACGTGAAGAGGAAATCTGCCGAGCTCGGACACAGCAAAGCTACTGTCTGGCCCTTGTCCGTGGTGAGGCTCTTCGACAACCGGTCCGCCACGATGACCGTCCCTCGGTGGACATCGTCGAATGTGAAGACATGGGGTTTCCACTGCTGTGAGGCTCTCTCACTGGCCTCGACCTCGTAGAAACCAACAACGGGGGTATCCGGAGCAGAGCGAGCTTTATGCTCGAGGAATTCGTTAATGGTGTTGTAGGATTTGCCGCTCTGTTGGTGGACAGCCTGGCCCAATGTGCACGTGAAATAGGTGGTCTCCATGGTGAGGTGTGGCAGAGAAGAAGGCTGAAGCCCCGTGGTCTCGGTCTCGCCTATTCAGCGAGCATCCGGGTATGAGAATCGCCGTGGACGTAGTGTCCCGTATGCCACGCCGGACGCAGAATTCTCCCTGGAAGCCATGGCTGAGCACCTTGTTCGGCCGTTATTTGAAGGCGCTTGCTCTGACATCACGACTGGCTCCACCGCCTGGCACCTGCGTTTCGCCATGCAAGCCGCATATTGCGGTGACAAGTGGTTGATCCGGACATGGCGAAAGCAATCATTACGAACTAGCCCCCGGTCATACGAGAAAACCGCTGCATGTGTTATGCTCTGATCGGGCTGGCTCAAGGGTCAGAGTATTTGTCTCGCTCGTGGGGATGAAGATGGTGAGAATGCAATCGAATGACGACTTGGAGAAAGAGCTTCGCTACGGACGGGGTGACTAGTGGGGGGGTCGTCATGTCCCTAACCTGAATGTGGAATGCGCTACACCGCGGCAAGGCTCCGGTAGTCAGGGAGAAGAACTTGTGTCTCACATGTTACCACGCGCATATAGCACCAAGTATGTACCGTAGCGAACCTTGGGCAGAGTCCGAGAATGGATATCTAACGGCACAAGTGGCGCTGCGATAGCCAGTCTCAAAGACCATTGGGCTACGAATCCACCAGCAGCAACGGAGTATGCATTATTGGCTAGAAGTGGCCGTATATCAAGTGTAATGAGAAAGTGCCGAGGATGTCATCCTGATTGAAGTGATAATTCGTGAACCAATCTACCTGTATATTGCTAGTATGGTCGATTTATGCTTTTAGCCGGTACAAGAGGAGGGACCGGAGTACCAAACATCCGCAATCCTCAAACACCATCACACCGAAGTTCGCATCCACTATCCCTGGACTTTGATCCCGTTGCGGTGTCCATTTATCCCATTGGCAACACCATCGGCGAGACCATTTGATGTGTCATCCGTCGTCCCATTGCCCAAGCCGTTCACACCTTCGGGTCCTGATGCATGCTTTACAGCGGCTGACACACCGTTGGTGTGCTTGCCATCAGCGTCACTATGGCCGTTCGTTTGTGACCCGCTCTTGTGGGTATCGTCGTTCAACACGTTGAGCTTCTTGAGCCCATTGGAGACGCCATTGGTCTCGGCTTCGACCGGCTTGTTGTTGACGGTGTAACCCGTGTCGCTAGCATCGACGAAAGCCTCAAGACCTTCGCCGTTGCGTGGATAGTTCTGCATGATGGACTTGTGATGCTTCAGAGCCGCAAACATTTCGTCCATCGAAACGTCATTTAGGAAGACACATTTCCCAAGCGGGGCTGGTACAGCAGCTCGGAGCTTGCCATCGCGAGTTCTCAGAATCGCCTTTGTAGCTTTGTCGAGAATTTCTTCATCGAATTGGTGGTGATCCATGGACAATCCTGCTCGGGAGAACAAGTTCAGCAGTCGCTTGTGGTCCTCGTCAGGCAGAATGCCTCGCATGTTGGCCAAGGTGGCGGAGTATGCCATGTCAATGCTGATAGCATGACCATGACGGAGTGGAACCTCCGGAACAAGCTCATGAAGGGGTGACCATCTGGAATTCGTTAGTAGGGTATTTCTCGCGGAATATCGCAACATACGTATGGCCGTATGCAATGACCCTGTCAAGCCCGATCTCGTGCAGATTCGGTGTCTCCAGCTTCAACATCTCATGGATGCCCGCCCGGTTGATGGCGTCGGCAGCATCACGAACCTCCTTCGGCGCACCATCGGCTCGGCCAAAACCGGTTCCGATCAACTGTTCGCAATACTTGTCGAGCAACTCAAACGTCGGAAGATGAGCACAAGTGGAGATCTTGATTAGCTCAGCGAATCCATTGCGGATTTGCGCTTCCGGGAGAGTGCGGAGGAACGTGAAGTCGAGGAAGGTGTGCATCGGGGCGTGATAGGCACCAAGCCGGTTCTTGTAGTTTCCGTAGTTGACAGCAACCTTAATGGAAACCGACGCGTCAATCAGGCCAATGACCGTTGTAGGGATGCGGATGTAGTTCGTGTTCCGCCTATACGCCGCACATGCGAAACTATTGGACAGAGGTTAGCACAAGCCCCTCGACAGACATACAGCCAAGGAGATATATGGGCCAGAGTGCCTTGAAGTCATCTTTGGCAGGTGGTATGTTTTTACCCGGCAACGTCTGTAACAAGTCCACCGCCAATGACGAGTACGGGTTCCTAGGGAGACGGTCAGCTTGCTGGCAGACTACAAGTGACTTCCGTCCCACCTTTCGAAAGATCCCAAACTTATTCATGGAGTCGACAATGCTCAAGAAAGTGTCGATGGACTTGGCCTTTTCACCAATCATGGTCTTGTGCACATCAAGGTCAATCTTGTATTGGTCGAAGTACTTCTGCATTTGCTCGCCGTAGACGTTGAAGATGTTGTAGTCCATGACAGCAAGGCAGCGGCCCCATCGTCGATAACAATCGGCGAGCTCGCTTCTTGAGGTGTCAAAGACCCCGTCGATGAAAGTGAAGTCATATTCGATCTTCTCGTAGCCTTCCACGTGGAAGCCAGCCGCTGTCTCAGCGACGGATGCTTTGAGGTCGGACATTTTTGCAAGCTTTACAAGGGTTTGTGTAGATGGCAGGTGCTCGAGAACGCGGTTGAGAGGGTAGAAGATTCACGAGGAAGACGTTTCGAACTTAATATAACAGCACTTCACAATACGGAGGCCACCGCTATCGGCAAACGCGGAGTACCGTGTAGAAACGACGCGTACTGGTTGTGATCAGACCTCGACCACACAGCTTGACTCCCGTCTTGCAGGATAGACCAGTCGATGAGGTGGACGATGAGTACGTGCTCAGCCATAACCAGGTATTCTCGCAGAACGAGTCCACATGCGGGTCTGGCATTGGCACACAAAACACGGTGTGTGAAGAGATCCTCTTGGAACCGGCATTTGCGACATGTCAAACCATAATTGGCGCCGTTTAAGATTCAGGCCAGGGCTCAGTGATGATGCAGGAATGAAATGTTAATGAGGTAAGACACCACCAGGAACATTTGTCCACGGCGTCAAGGATCGTGGTTTAGCCGTAGGCAGGCACACACGCTCCCGTCAATCTGTTCATTGCCAGGCACCCGCATCGCTGCCAGATCTACCCGGTCGGGATCTGGAAGAGCCTAATGGCCTGGAACTCGGCGGCAGCAGTTGGACCTGCCAGGCCAGGGTGCTTCAGTGGACTTCGATCTGAGGATCGGACTCCCGGCTAGCGGCTTCGGCAAATGTCGCTAGCGGGTCGATCAGGTTTCGTCGACATCTGAGATCATTTTGCTTCTCGTTCAAGACCCCAGATGGAGCGAATGATGACGACTCAGCACTGTACGTACTTTCCAAGACAGCAGCATCTGAAAATGTTGAATTGAAAGCTCGATGCAGGACATAAGAAGCTAGAGAGAAACAGGACTAGTGCATGTGCTCGCCATTGGCTGCTCGAATATCATCGAATCATCAAGCCCCGCGTGTCTCTGCGTCTCTCCCGCCACGGCCCCCGGACACCTTCACCCACTGGTCATCCACTGGTCAACTTCACCTGTCGGCATCATACCGACATGTGTAACGGACGATCGATCTCGTACCGCATCTCCCTGATCTGCCCTCGCTACCCCACGGCAGCCAGATCTGACCACACTTTATCGTTCGACCTACCTAGTACGCTCTCGTCGTGTTCCTGCATTAAGTCAGTGGCGCACACTCAGCTTTGACTGGCTGCAATCACTTCCGAGCCTGAAATGATGGTCACTCGAAGACACCGTGCACCAGCGTGCTGCGGTGACAGGTAATCTGCATTGTTTCTTGCCGTCCCGCTCTCACCGTTCAGAAGGGAGGGTCTGCTCGAAGTTCTCTAGAAGCACGATCGTGTGCCCACCATAGTTCTCCTCCTGATTCTCTCTCAAAATTTCCGAGACACAATGGCTGAATTTGACCCTCAGAAGAAATACCAGGAACAAGAGGAGACATTTGTACGGGCAATTGAACGTCAATATGCGGACGCTACTAATCATCTCCAGTTTGACGATGGCCGCGAGATCGAGCTTCTGCATTTCATCTACAACAGACCTGACATCGAGGACATTCGAGATTCCCCTCCCAAGGTGCTTGCTGCCATTGACGAGTTCGCCCGAACGAAGAAGTACCTGATGAACGTTGGGGAGGACAAAGGCCGAATCGTGGCGGATCTCATAGCCGAGGTCAAGCCTCAGGTCATGGTCGAGCTTGGCGGTTACGTTGGATATTCGTGCATTCTCTTCGGAGATGTCATGCGTCATGCCGGTGGCAAACGATACTTCAGCCTCGAACGGAACCCGGAATTCGCCGCTGTCATTTCTTCCCTCGTGGATCTCGCTGGATTGGGCGACATTGTCAAAGTCGTTGTAGGGTCCAGCGATGTTTCGATCAAGCGGCTACATGCACGAGGAGCCCTGCAGCACATTGACTTGATGTTCCTCGACCATTACAAGCCGGCGTACACGACGGACCTGAAGCTCTGTGAGGAGCTCAAGCTGGTTACTCCTGGGACTGTGCTTGCCGCCGACAACGTCATCAAGCCTGGCAATCCACCCTACCTCGAATATGTCCGCAGCACCGTTGAGCAGAAGAAGCAGGCTAGCAAGTCGGGCGCGACCGTCAACGGTGTCGACAGTCGTTTTGCTGACCGGACGGCAAAACAGTACTTCCAGAGAGAAGGAGAGGCCAAGCTAGACGAATCTGCTACGGGGAATCCGTTACTGATATACGAAAGTAAGTTGGTGCATAGCTACGAACCTTCTGGCGTACCGGTGAGTGTCATCTGCCTCAAGCCTCCGGTCAGCGTTAATCACTATCTAGGATGCCCTCGAAATCACCAGATGTGTAGGCCTGGCGGAGGCATAAATGCGCCAAAGGCGACAAGGTGGATTGGTCCGTCGTTGGGCAAGATAGACACAGGTATACATCTATATTCCAATTCAGAGCCCCAGCTCGTGATAGTCGTGGTGAGATCTCGTTGGGAATGGGTGAATGACGGGGCTTGACGGTCATTCAATGTAATCTTGACCGCGAGCATGCGCAATTCCTAATCTGGGTCTTCTTCCACATCACACTGTTTGCAGTTCAGTGGCTTTCGCAGAATACTCTTCACAATGTCCTTCTCTTGACCGCCCATTCTCGCTCGCGCATTAGCCTGATAAGATGACGGGTAGCCTTTGAGATCGAGCTCCACACGCGCTTTCGTGACGTCGACATTCCTTTGAACACCATGCATGTGAAAGTCTCCCACCGTCCTGCCATCCACTTACCCCTTCTGTCCTCCGTTGCAATCCTCCTTGGCATCTGGCAGGTAGGAGCTCGACCCGAGTCGCGAAGATGCTCGACGGTACCTCCAGCCTGCTCGCGCACCGGCTGCGAAACGCTGGTCTTCTGTTCCTCAGCCTTGCCTTTCTGCCTCTCGATACACTCATCCTCTTTATATCCTTTCTTTTCCGCACCATCCTTCCGAACGAAGTAGAGCACCGCCGCAGAGAAGCGCGGCAGGACCATGGCTTCCATCCGCGCACAATCTTGGTCACCGGGATAGGGATGACCAAGGGTCTCGTGTTGGCCCGACTATTCTACGAAGCCGGCCACGACGTCGTGGGAGCAGACTTTGAACCCGACGGCGCGCTCGCGTGCGGGAGGGTCTCGAGGGCGCTGAGGAAGTTCTACCGTCTTCAGACGCCCGGCATCTCCTCTGCAAGTTCGCCGGACATGTATATCCAGAATCTGCTGGACATTGTGACCCGCGAAAAGGTCGACCTGTGGGTCAGTTGTTCCGGGGTCGCCTCGGCCGTCGAGGACGGGATGGCCAAGGAAGTCGTGGAGAAGCGGACGAAGTGCAAGGCGATCCAGTTCGACGTGCACACGACGCAGATCTTGCACGAGAAGCATTCCTTCATCCAACACACGCGGGACATTGGACTAAATGTCCCCGAGACGCACGAAATCACGAGCCGCGCCGAAGTGGAGCGGATCTTGCGCGAGACACCGTCCGGAAGGAAGTATATCATGAAGACCATCGGCGTGGACGACAGCGTCCGCGCAGACATGACGCTTCTTCCCAAGAGCTCCGGGGTCGAAACGTCCAAGCATCTCGCGCGGCTCAAGATTTCTGCGCAATGCCCCTGGATTCTGCAGCAGTATATCCGTGGTAAGGAGTACTGTACGCACTCGCTCGTCGTGAATGGGGAGGTCAAAGCTTTCGTGGCGTGTCCGTCGGCCGAACTGCTCATGCATTACGAGGCATTACCGGCTGAGTCTCCACTCAGTCAGGCGATGCTGGACTTTACCAAGCGGTATGCCGCTAATGGCGGTCGGGGGTTCACAGGCCACCTCTCCTTTGACTTTATGGTCGAGGAGGGGGACGAGAAGGCAGAGGACATCACGCTCTATCCTATCGAATGTAACCCACGCGCACACACGGCTGTCGCGTTGTTCAATGGCACGACGGCAGTGGTTGATGCCTACCTCTCTGCTCTGGACGGGGCCGAGAACAGAAATGGTGCCAGCGATGATAACGGTAACGGTACCCCCGCCACGACACAAGACCCAACAACCCCCGTGATCCATCCCGCCCATCACGACAAATACTTCTGGATAGGCCACGACCTGGTGACCCTTGTCATCCTCCCCACGTCGTCACTCCTCTTTCCACTCCTCCCCTCTGGGCGCTCATCCTCCTCGGCATCTTCTACCTCTGTGCGGACAACTCTCCAAGACCACGCCGTCTTCATCCGCCATGTCGCTTCACCCACCTGGAAAGACGGTACATTCCAGCCTTGGGACCCCTTACCCTGGTGGTGGCTGTACCATTTCTATTGGCCGCTTCGGTTCTGGGACTGTCTCGTGCGAGGGAGGAAGTGGAGCCGCGTGAACGTCAGCACGACCAAGATGTTTGAGTGTTAGGCAGTGGTCAGTGGGCGCTTGTCAGGGTCAAGTCTTGTCCTCACGGCACACATACGTGCATGTAGGCTGCTCGGTTGGATCGAGCAAGGACTGAACAATGGGGTTTCATGAGATGATATCGACAGGGATAAATGGTGCAGAATCAATCATATGGGCACCCAACCTGGGAAGATATTCAGGCGGTTGTTCTCCCACACTCAGTGTAGGAGAGAATCCCATGCGGATACGAGTAGGTGCATGGTGGGTGGGTGGAGAAAGTGCTGTTACCGATCTGGATGGCTCTTTGTAACGAGTGAACACGAGATAATAGCTGCTACATACCTACTGCAACGATTGATGATGTGTCAAACACCATAACCCCAAGCCCGTCAGCAGCTAGGACATCTCATACTCAAGGTCTGTCTCTCGTGAGAATCGCCAGATTCGTCCTTTGGAGCAGATCCATGTCAACAATTTCCGTCCAACTCGTCGCTACCGAGGCTTGGAGGACTACTCGTCCAGACTCCCCAACGAGCCCACTTCAACGTCGCGAGGCGTCCACGGTCGCTGGCGACCCCACTTCTCGCTTTCGTATTCGGTCACGCGCCCAGCTCCTTCGGTGGCTCGGCGTCTCGCAGCAACGAGCATGCGGGCCCGAACTTCTGCGCTGTCATCGACATCGTCGCTTTGTTTCATAATACCCTCGAGTGCGGTTTGCAGTAGCCGTGTCAAGGTAGAATCAAACTGGCCAACCGTTTCTTTGGTGCATGACAGCAACCAGTGGTCCACCAGAAGAGCGAAGACGTCGGTGTGTGCCGCCTTTATCGCTTCAAATATGTATTGCTCTCCTCTGTCGCTATTCAGAAAGGTTGGAAGACGTTTTAATAACGTGAGGCTGATGTCTGAGGGGATCTTTCCATTCTCAGAGCACGCAGTGGACTCCCACTCATTGACCGGGCCCGTGAGAAACCCTTGATTAGCCGCATCCACCTGCACAGCGAAGTAGAGCAGATATCTGAGGAATCGCACATCCCCGACAGGAATCGCATCCAATATCGCTTGATGTAAGAGGTTCACGTCTTCCTCGTGGTCCCGCTGCTCGACCATTTCGGTGACGAAACTTCGTACGGCAAGTTCCTGCACGAGGTATATGAGCATCTCACGCTTTCGAGTGGCAAACGGAGCCCGGAGCAGGGAGCGCGGTGGAAGATAGTAGTCCTTCTCGTTTTGAGTAGGAACAAGGTGACCGTCGTCTTCTGCATCCAGGGCTCTCCAATCAAAGTAGCGCTGTCGTGAATCCAGGAAGCTGAGCGCATACTGCGAGAACGATAGAAAGATGGGCAATGAAGTGATGGTGAAGAGGTTAGTCATGGAGCTGGGACCCATGTTGGATCGAAGCCTGAGGGTCACCGGCGACAGCCTGGACCAGTTCCTGACTTCCGGCAGAGTGTTGCAAGAATGAGGACTCTGTCTCCAATTCCTCCAGAGTTTGTCTGTTACTCGAACATGTCTCTTGAATCTACAATCATCCACAGGGCTCAAGATGACGTGAGTATCTTGGACACGATCTCTGAGAGCGAGCAGATATCGCCGGTAGATGAACAAATGCAGGGCGTATAAGCGGCCAACGCACCACTAGCCGCTGGACAGGACATTATGCTGTAATTGGGCACGTTGAGCAATGCTCAGGCGTGTCGGAAGCCTCTCGTGCCACGGCGCGGGGAGTTGATATCGATCGAGGAATTCTCCTGTAATCGGTCCCGTGAATAATTCCACGTCGCCTGCACCGGCGGAGGTTGATCCACTTCGCAAAAGGCCAGAATCGCAAAAGATCGTGCAAGACTAGAGAAAGATGGCAATTGTTTCCGAAACTTGCGGCAAACCTTGACGAGGGATAGTTCTCGTGAGTGCCAGAAGATCTGCTCGAGGATCTCAGCAGGCAGGTCATCAAGAGATGGGCCCGGTGACTGTGAAATTGAGGCCGCCATGTCGGAATGAGGGTTACGTCAAGCGAGGGCTGTCAGCTGCTGAGGGAAGATTTGGCCAAACATGAAATAGTGGTGAAATAAATTCTGGTGATATGAATTAAATGTGGAAATGGGGTCCAAGAATGAAAGCTGACGTGAGAGGTGAAAGATCGAAGAATAAGAGAATAAAGGAAATAAAGGCAGGCTGCATTCTCAGTCGAGCGGCAGGTGTGGTAGGTTCAAGCTGCACCGTGGAAGGCGGAAAGCGAGAGGTAGAGCAAGGACGGTCGCTTAAAGACCATGGTACAGGCCGTGTTTGCACCACATAAATGCCGATTCCGTGCAGCATAGCGCGTGTCATCTATACATAGCCTGTAGACAGGTAAATTAGCCACAGCACAACTTCCAATACACCCTATTCTCACACTCACCTTTTCTAGACCCCGTGAAGAAGAAGCGGACAACCGCAACCTGCAACCCCGCCATAGCAACCATCATAAGCACCTCAATCAAACTGAAGTTGAATATCCTCTGCTCCGTACTCCTGACCGTGCTGAAGTTGCGGTTCTCGCGCGTACGGAAGTACTTTTGCATGCGACTGACTGTACTCAGTTGTCCGCTAATCTTAAATACCAGATCCTCGAGCGCAGAGTGTTGCTCGGGCGACGAGCCGGCTTTCTGTGGCAGGAGAGCGGATTTGGATTCGTCTTCGACCTGCATTCGCCCGATGATCAGATTATGTGTCTTCATGAAAAGCCACCGCGGGAGGAACGTACAGCGACCTCGAAATCGACCATCTTGTCCGCAAACGTCGACATCTCATTGTTGAAGCACACGCGGTACTCGCCGGGCGTCTGTGCTGTGAAGACAAAGTCTCCCTGCCTCTCTTTCTCTCCCGCCATGATCTTCTTGTCATTCGGTCCGACAACCTCGTAGTCGATGTCGAAGGAGCCGCCAGATTGGACCTGTGGTACTTCGTATCAACATCTGAATTGAGCCCTCAACGCCATACATACAGCGAAATAAAACGCGACCTTGGCCCCTTGTCGTTGAACATCCGTGAAGAAGCAGGCTTTCTCGTTCGCGGCCAGTTTATATGTCAACGCCGTGCCGTGGACGCTCGAGACGGCCAGAGCCAGCAAGCCGAGCAGGAGTGAGGACGGCGTCATTGTGGGAGATGCTGGCAGGTACGAAAACAGCAGGCAGCGAAGTCTTCAAGAATTCACTGGGCACGCGAGTTGAAAAGGGGCCACATGTTCAGTCGATATTCCGCAGTCGCGGAGAGAACTTGGCGCGTGACAGTCCGCCAATCAGAATCCTGGACTTTGCGGAACATCTCCTTCTCATTCTTTCTTCACTTTGGCTTCACTTCAGGCACTCATCAATCAAGTCGTTGTTGGCATATCTACGGAGAATCTCGTACCAGTCTTACTCTCCAGATCTCTTCTCCTCCGCCTGTGCTCGCACTCCACCTGGCGACACGAGATGATAGCGACGAGGGGCCTGGGCCTCGTGATACCTGGTGTGACTGCACTCTGTCTTCCCATGGTAGAAATGTGACGAACAAGCATGGCGCCGTCCGTCGCTTCCTTGGTTGCATTTTTTGGGGCGTAACTGCAAGATCCTGAAATCCGCCCATGCGGCGGGATACAACATCGAAGAAATGAATGATTTAGCGAAGAATAGTCCGAACAATGGGGGGCGCTTCACCAGGGCTGTTCCACATAATATATACTGTGTAGGTGTCTCCTTCAACCGACGGAGCCATGCGTGAGCAATTCATCGTCGGCATTCCGGTACATTCATTCTCCTACCTCTGTTTGTAACCAGCCCACCAACACGTAAGGCCCTCATCCACATTATGCCCGAATACAAACATACAGGTCCTGTCGCGTGTGACATTGCTACCGACACCAGCAGAATGAAGGACAAAACCGCCATCGTCACCGGTGGCGCAAACGGCATCGGCGAGGCATACGTTCGCGCCCTTGTCTCCGCCGGAGTCAAGGTGGTCGTTGGAGATCTCGACTCGGCCAACGGCCAGAAACTTGAGTCCGAACTATCAGGACTAAAGTTCGTCCCATGCGACACCACGAACTGGGACGATCAAGTCCGACTTTTCAAGGCGGCTGCGGCGTTTTCTCCTACGGGTAAGGTCTCATACGTGGTCGCGAACGCGGGCATCATCCGCCCGGACGAGGTATTCACCCAGGACACAAGTGACGAGCCCAAGGAGCCGAACCTGAAGACAATCGACGTGAACATCAAGGGCACGCTTTTCTCGGCCAAGCTCGCAGCCCACTACTTCATGAAACAGAACGGGACAACGCCGTCCTCAGACCAGGAGGACACCTGTCTGGTGTTGATCGGGTCGGGCGCCGCGTTCCTGGATTGTCTTCGCATTCCGCAATACAGTGCGACGAAATGGGCGATGAGAGGCATAATGCATGCGTTGCGAAGGACGGCATTCTACTACAGCAGTCGGGTGAACGTCATTATGCCATGGTATGTGAAGACTGACATCCTGAGTCAAAAGGATTGGGATGCCGTGTCGGCTGTGGGCGTCGAGTTTGCGCAGGTCGAAGACGCGGGAAAATGTCTCTTGCGGATCTTGTCCGACCCCGAAGTCAACGGACATTCTTTCTTCCTTGCGGCGAGAAAGTGGGCAGCTTGTGGATTTATGGACTTGGATCTGGATGACTACAAGGATCCCCTGCTGCAGGAGATTCAAGAGGATCAGATCAAGGCCAGCCCTGTCTCAGCAGGGTTGTTTGCTTAAGGGCTAGATACTCAGCATCCTCTGTTTCGGCCCTCAAAAATCACAATCTGCGGCGATACTCTGCCCCTGATCAGTCATTTCTGTGCTTCTTCAACTCGCTTTCTTACTCAGGCCATTGACCCTTTCCGCGACGGCAGATTGAGCATAGGCGCAGTGCATGAAGAGTTTCGCACTGCGTTGACACTCGCCTCGGCTGCCTTCCGCGGCTCATAAGCCGCTGTGCCGTCCGACGCTGCGATGAGATGCCATGACAGCTCTGTGATCGTGCCCTTGTACGCGTCCGGCAGAAAGGGCATCTTCAAGTCCTTGGGACCAATGAACGCAGTGTTGATTCCACCAGGTTGCACGGTTACATCGCGGACATCGAAAATGGTGAATGTTCCTGACATGCCCTCAAGGGCGAATTTTGAAGCGGCACAGATTGCGGCTCCTTGCGGGAGATTCCAGTATATGGAAGTCATACGATATGTACTGCATGATGAACTCCGCTTCAAAATGAGATCGAGATGATTATTACAAGATGCCTACGATCGGATTGATGTAGCGAGACGCATTACTCGTGCGAGTACAAAGTACTCGCCTCGCTCCATAGCGAGTGATTGAATCTCGGCGGGCAATAAGATGACGTCACGCCAGTTGGACGAGGCTGAGGATTTCAGACCTGGAAACCAAGTGAAGCACAGAGAGACTACAGGAAAAGGCATGCGAGGTGAGCTGATGGCTATTCAGGGCATTTTTCCACCATATGACAGTCGGTGACTGAATATACCCCGTCCGCCCGGCTGGCTCACGGCCCCAATGTCTCAAGATCGCCCGGCTGAGAGCGGACCAGACGAGGACGATAGCATGCCGCTCCTAAGGACGTACCTATCGCGGATCAGGAGCCGTGTACTCTCAAAAGATGCCAGCTCCGCGAGTGCCGTCAATGGCATGTCCAAGTCCGTTCTAGTCATGGGCAACCCGTCCGCAGACCTGGACAGTTTCATCTCAGCCGTTACCACATCCTACTTCTACAACCTGCAGAGCAACTCTAAACACGCCAACGGGAGGACATACATCCCCATCCTAAATCTCCCATCAGTAAAATCAGTCGAGTTATTGAGACTACGGCCCGAATTCGGCGTCGCCCTCCGCCTGGCACTGGGCGAGTCAGCCGACGCCGTCAACCAAGCAGAGGCGGGCGAGCAAGGAAAGACCTCCGTGCTGGAAGATCTGATCACCATCGCGGACCTCAAATCTAACGCAAACTCATCCCTCCGCCGGCTTTTCACGGAATCATCGGATGCCGGATCTTCATCTCAATCTACCAAGGATCCCTCGGAGAAACAACACCTCTTCCTCGTCGACCACAACGCCCCGTCAATCCCCGGGCTTTCTGACGAGCTCATCTCCTCGCGCTTCACGGTGACGAGTTGCATCGACCACCACGTGGATGAGGGCTACGTGCCTCAAGACGCGGCCCCACGGATCATCACCACCGGCATAGGAAGCTGCACAAGCCTGGTGATCAAGCACCTCCGCGACGAAGGTCTCTGGCCGCGTGGCCTACCCGAGACACCATCTTCAGAGACTCAAGCACTGCAGGAGATGTCCAAACTCGCGCTCGCCCCGATCCTGATCGACACGGCGAACCTCAAAGCGACGGGGGACAAATGCTCCGACACAGACCGCGAGGCCGTGACGTTCCTCGAATCAGAATCAGCCATCACGGGTCCTCAGGTCGAGGGCGTACAAGCGGCATCCACGCACAGTGGCAAATGGCACCGCGACGCCTTCCACTCGGCGATTGCCACTGCGAAATCCAATTCCCTGGATTTGTTATCCATGCAGGAGATCTTCGACCGCGACTATAAAGTCTGGACGGAACGTACTTCCAGTAACAAGGAAGTGAATATCGGCATCTCGAGCCTCGTCCGACCGCTGTCCTGGCTAGCCAAGCACGCGGGCGGCGTTGATGAGCTTCTTGCCGAGATTGAGACATTCGCGACGCATCCGGACAGGAAGTTGGGCGTGTTCGGCGTGCTGACCCGGACGGGCGAAGGGCATAAAGAGGTGGTGGTCCTCGCGTTCGACGAGGCCGTTAGCGGCTTGCCAGAAAGGTTCGAGCACCAAGGGCAGAGTGCTGAGCTGCGGCTCCAACCTTGGGAAGGGGACGAGTCGCTCAAGGAGGCACTCGGGCAGAAGTTCGAACACGGACAGTACCAATTCTGGTACATGGGCGATACGAGCAAGAGTCGGAAACAGGTCGGGCCGCTATTGAGGGAGGCGGTGCGTGGGATGTGAGCGGTCTTGTCATAGACGGAACGATGTATGTTGGGGACTGTCTATGCTTTGCCTCTTCACATCGCTGAGATAAATGCCGTGCCGTAGCGTACCTCGGCTACTGTAGGTTCTAATCTTACAACCTTTCAACCTTCTCGGCCAAGCCGTGTTCTATAATATCTTCGGCCTTGCCCTCCGGCGTCGCAACACCACTCTCGCTCTCGCGAAGCTTCTCCATCTGATCGTCCAATCGGCCGTAGGCTTTGGGATTCTTCTTCGGCTCGCCACCACCTATGCTCTTCATTTGGTAGCCCCTGACTCTGGGTCCCTGGCCCGTTGGCGCGGGCATCTCGGACTCATACGACCGGCTGAATGTATCGACATCTGCCGAGAACGTTCCGCGCTCGATGGTCGCCCGGATGGAGGCGAAGAACGTGTCAATCACACTAAAGTTGTGGATTTGGAGGAGAGTCCACGCGAGCATCTCGTTGGCTTGGAGGAGGTGATGGACGTAGGCGCGGTGGTGCCGCGTGCAGGTGTAGCAGGTACAATTATGGCTTAGTGGCGAAAGATCCGTGGCATGGCTTGTGGACCACAGATCGATGCCCAGAGGCATGTGCGTGTACGTGGGTGTGTCGGTGTTGGGTCGTTCCGGCACGCCAGGAAACGCAAACGAGAAGGCGATGCCGTGTTCGGAATACTGTGTCACGAATGGCACTGTGAGCATATCGACTCCCGCGTGGATGGCCGCAAGAACGGCTTGCGGCGTTTGTGGATTGGCAAGGCATAATGTCGGGATGTCGCGCAGGGCGTCTGGCAGGCCCAACACGGTCGACGGCGCGCAGACGCACAGGCCTGAGATTTGGGATCTGTACTCATCGCTCAGGTCGGAGAGATACAGCGACATCAGCTCGGGCTCGACAGGAGGGATCGAAGCGAAGAATGGTCCTTGGTGGTCTTTTGCCGCATCATCCTCTACGAAATCTCGCAGCCAGGCATGTGTCCTGTCGGCGCTCTTCTCCAGCCTCTTGACACTCGCCTTCTCTGTGCTGATCAGGTCTGCGATGCTTATCGAGACATCGGGCCGCAGGACGTTGATCGCCTCATGATACTTTTCCACGTCCAAGAATCTAAAGCCCACGGAGGTCGAAATGGCTATCGACGAGTTCGTGTTGTGCGCCGGACAAGGGATGTAGGGCACTCGCCTTGGGCCTAGGACCGACAGGCATGTTTCTGGCAGGCCGATATACCGTCGGAGACGCGACTCTTTGCCCGTACAGGGCGTGTTGTAGACGGGCGCATTCGATTTCTCGATAACTGTTCATCCACCAACTGTGAGCCGCGTAAGTCAGCAGGCCAGCAGGACGCTGTGGGGCAAGACATACAGTCTTCCAGAGGCACGTAGACGGCCGAGATCTTGGTGTGTTTCTGCACGTTGTCATGCGACAGGTGAGGTATTACTCCTCTCGAAGTTGGGACGACATATTGTGGTGTTGCGGTGGTGGCTCGGCCACGCAAGGTCAACCGCCCTAGCCTGGCTGCACATTCCGAGCCCGGAATGTGCTCGAGGACGAATCTCAGCATCTCGTCCGGGAGGTGGACAGATGATGCATCGTTCCCTGAATCCATAGTGCCATGCTGTTGGTGCTATGTGCAATGTTCGTGGGCTAGGTGCCTGTGCGTGCCGTGTAGCGATGGAAGCGCCATTAGAAAGACACTCCACCGTACAACGTCGCTACCGAAAAGAAGCAACAATTCAGACTTTTCAGTGAGATCCAGGGATGGGATTGGATGTAATGAAACAAGTGACAACTCGACTCCCCTTCCCGACACCGAGACGGGATGGGTGATCTAGTTTTGCCGCAACATGATATTCCATGGCACACACATACTTATGCTAGTCACCCTGTCTTCCAGCTTAGACGCAGAATGAGTTGACAGTATTCCAGGCTGGAAATACTCCTAACACAGGCTTCTCGCTAACTATTGGCCGCTCGAGCTGATTGCCGGCAGGCTCTATTGTTCTCCTAAGTCTGTTGATTAGGTGAGTTGAAGCCTGCTGAATCAGTGAACACAGCAGGCTGTGAAATTCCTGTATGGGTGCGGCGGTGGTGCCATCACATTCACTTCACTGCCACCACCTGAAAATGTTTTACCTTCGCATCTCAGCAGCTTCAACTTTTCTTCTTCCCCGTAAACCTTTGAAGCCGACGGCGTGCTTCTCGTCTCACAGCCAGAAGGGCAAATGTATCCCTTCCATAAGAGGAGCACAATGGACCCTGTCTCCAGCACGCAACTTGCTATCCGCCTGCGATCAGAGACCGTCAAATCGAGGTCAGGACAAGTCCAACACCAGAATAGGAGCGTGGCTTTTGTCCCCAGCACGCGAATTGCTGTCCGCCTGCGATCAGGGACAGTCAAATCGAGGTCAGGACAAGTCGAACACAAGAAGAGGAGCACAATGGATCCTGTCCCCGGCACACAACTTGCTATGCGTCCGCGATCAGAGAACGTCCGTTCGGGGTCAGGACCAGTCGAACACGAGAAGAAGACCGTCGAGGATACAACCAAGACTCCGAAACCTTCATTGATTCGTGTCAGAGTTGTCGGTGAAAGTTTCTGGGGACCTCGACGTGTCTTGATCGCATTAGACTGTGGAGCCACCTTCATCAAGGCAGGCGCATGGGCTGGCAACCAGTACAATGGCGAAACCCGACCTGCCTCAATCGACCATCTTGAAACGATCCAATGGCCTTATGGGCACTCTATCGCCAGAGCACAGGCTGCTATCAAGCGAGTCGACGACATGCTAATCTTCAGAAACGACGTTGAGCTGGCACTGCAGAATGGCGAGATAACGGCAGCGGATAGAATGTTCTTTGACAGATTTGACATGGAGGATCAGCTGTCTGCGTGTGGCGAGTCAGTGTCGGCTAGAAACATCCCGTGGTTCGATTTGTACTCCGGACTCCTTGCATGGCAATGGCGAGCAGCCGCCAAGTACGTCTCAGAACGCTACTGGGATCTCAAATGGCGCAGCTTTACGAAATTCACACAGGAAGAGAATTTCCCACCAGATGGTCATGAAGTGAAAGTTGCACTGTTGATTCCTTCCAGGTCGTTGTCCAATGTCCGACATCGGCAATTCATGGTCGCAGCTGCAAATGCAGCGGGCATTCCCAACTTGAGGCTCGTGTCCGAAGCAGCCGCGAGGCTGGCCCATCACATCACCAAATGTCTTCAAACAGTGCGCCCTGAAGACTTGGTCGGCAAGACGTTGATGCTGTTGGATTGCGGCGCAGACTCTGTTGACATAGAAGTGTGGACTGTTTTAAACGTGGACCGCTGAAGGTACGTGCAGAGATCGCGCCTGTCACGGAAGGAATTGGAGCCAGACAGGCAAATATTCACGCAAAGGATCTGGTCATGGATGGAATCTACGATCTCGATGCATTGTTGGCGGATCTTCGCCTATTTTGCGGTCGGGAAATAACTAAGGCCGGATGAAGTCGCTGCTGCGTTTGAAATGTGGAAACGCTGGCCCAGAGGAGCGGAAGAGCGCCGCCTGATATTGCATGCCCTGCCCAAAAACAGACACTCAAGGCTTCACGGCGATGACGGCATTCTTCTACCGGCGGGCGACATGGCAGACATCTACGACAAGTTTCTCACACCCATTATCAGCCTAGTTTGCCAAACTATTGAGAAGGTTGCACAAGTCAAGGTTCTCACAAAGGACCATGGCAACATCGCTGATGGCATTATCGTCACTGGTGAAGGTATGGTCAACCTTTATGTCCAGGAGAGCTTCGAAAAGCGAATGGATACGTTGACGCGTCCCTCATTAGGACACAAAGTTCCAATGCACTTCCCCTCCCCAACCGATAGGGATCCTTACCTTATCTGCAACGGACAGACTCGGCCCGCATTGGGCGGTGTGTTACTTCTAGGAGATGCCGCCCTGGTAGCTGAGGAAGTCGTTGACAGATCCTACTTCTCGGCTGCATTCATACCAGACGAAACAAATATGACGTTCTGGGTTCGTCCGCAATACTTCGCTCGCAAGGGGGATGTATTGCCGACCAACACTCGCACCCCGAAGGCGCCGTATGAAGTGGAGTTGCTGAACGATGGAAGGGACGTCTTCGACCTCAAAGTCGACGTGTTGTGTTCAGACACCATCGCCAAAGACGTCGTCGAACTCGATGAATGGGAAACCCGACAATTGTTGTCAGATACGCTCCCATGGGTCTGCACTGTCACCAAAGAAGACCTCGCAGGCGTCCCTCTGACTCAAGCCAGCGCACCGGACGACACCATGACATGCTGGCACATCGAATACACGGTGGAAATGACGTTTGACGGCCGCAACCTTTGCTTCATTGCCACCATTCCCCGATCAGGAAGACTCGGCCAGGCCTGCACACTAGAGACGACCCGATCGAGCGATTCTGCGAGATTGATTTCGAGGGTGGACTGCGTCCTATTGGAGCTTGAGAAACAGAGACCCGAGAATGCGACTTGTTCCGCCAGAGTTTTCCTGTAGTGGCAGATGAATGTTGGAGTATCTGGACAGACAGATGACATTCTCATGTACCTTGGATATGGGATTAGCACGCCTGAGAGAGGTGTGAACAGTGAGCCATGCCACAGCGATGGTGAAACGTGTTTGCGACGACTAGAACAATGACTCAATCAGATTCGTCGAAAAGTACCCGTCCGCTCCTCTTCTTCCTCGCGTTTCTTGCGCTCCTCCAGCTTATCCACAGTCTGTATCGGACGTTCATTACCCAATCTTCCCCCTTCGCCGTAGTTCGCACTTTCTACCATATACAATGCTGAAGCATAGTGCTCCAATACGCCCGCCCACCCAGACGCCAAGTCGGCCCTGACCGTGAGCCTCCAACAGGCGAAACACGCGGTTATCAGCCACGCTCAACCAGCCAGCTCAGTTGCAGCCTACCGATCAACCAATGCGAGTCGTCCTCGGTCCTTCCGCCGTCCCGCTAGCCAGACGACGCTCGATCACCCAGTTCGATGCAAGCTTTCTGCTTCCCGAACTCTACACTGGAAGAGGACCAATGGAAGGGGCGTAAAGCGCGCTCGAAGGCCAACTGTTGTCTGGCTTCGGTCTAAACATACACCATAGAAGCGCCAAACATATAAAGGGATATACACACCGTACCTAGTAGACACGTACTCCTCCCGCGTCCTTAGTCTCACCGCGACAGCCTCTCCATCCTCTCGCGACTGATCAGATACTCCCTTGGCACATCGACGTCCAATTCCAATCCCGACTCTATATTCCTTCTTCTTCCATCCCCTGGCGCCAGTCCGGGGGGCTCACTTCCTCGCTGGGAACGTAGGTCCTGGAGAGCAACTCGCGCAATGTACCTCCCGCAGAGAGGTGCGCTGGTCATCCCGTGCCCTGTGTATCCGCCACATAAGTATATGCCTGGTCGGTCTGGGACGGGGCCGACCCAGGGGCGTCCGTCGGCGGAGTGGCCTATGATTCCGGTCCATGAGGCCGCAATGTCTAGACTGGGAGCGGGGGGATGAGAGGTCGGGTTTGGGTTTGGATTGTTGTTGTCGCGGTCGTGTTCACTGCGAGTGTCAATGTCATCGGTATCGTCAAACGCCAGACTCAATCGTTCAGGCAGACCGCGTAGATAGTTCTCTACATTCTTGTCGACAAAGTCGTCGTCCCAGCACCCTTCGCCATGGTTGAATGCTAGGTGTCGCCCGCCGCCGAACATGAGGTGGCCTCCATGACCTTGTCCGTCTCCGATGTCTTGGGAGGCGGATGCCGTGTTTGTCTGGTGCTGTTGCTCTGAGGCTGCCGTGGCCATAAATGGGTTCTGGACCAGATAGTCGGACATGACGCGGTCCATGGTGCCGACGCCTTCGAAGCCGTAGCTCATCGGGATGAGCACCGGCCTTCTTTCTTGGTTACGCTTACGAGATGGCGGAGGGATCAGCGCAGACATCTGCGCCTGGACGGGCCGGATCAGCGGCGCGAATTCGGGGAGGAGGTGTGATGTGTACGCGTTCGTGGCGAGGATGATGGACTTGACATGCACGAAGCCACGAGGGGTGTTTAATTTCCATCTGTATCCTTCACCGCCCAGAGTGTCCACCATGTCGAGTGAGGTGACGGGCGTGGTCGTTTGGAGGTTGAGAGTCACGGCCCGGTCTTTGCCGATGCCTTCAGACGTTCCATCTCCGCCGCTTTGGTTCCTCGTCGTTTCGAAGCTGCTCAGCAATTTCTGCCACACGCCCACGCAGAGCTTGTAAGGGCTCAAGCTCGCGGCGACGCTCTGTACAATAGCCCCCTTGACACCGCCTTGCAATCCCAACTTCCGTAGCTGCTCTGTGTCTTCCACGACGCTGACCAAGTCAGCGTGCCTTGCGCGCGCCAGAATAAGATCCCTCTTCGCTTCCTCGAAGTACGTCCTGTTCCAGAATGCGAGACAGCCCGAGAGACGGCGGAAGTCGCATTGGATGTTACCGGAGCGGACGAGACCGGAAACGTGGTCAAAGTTCGCCATCTCAAAGTCGAGGATGCTGGCCGGCGCGGCGTGCACGACCGGTTGGAGGTGTCCCCCATTTCGACCCGTCGCGGCTGAGCACAGGGTCCTTGCTTCGAGCACCAAGATAGTCACGGGCGACGACGCTACGTGTGTGGAGTCATCTGACTGCAGTTCGCCCAGTAGCTCATCCACCACAAATGTCCCGGAGATGCCGGTTCCGATGACCACGAGGTCTGCACGGACAGGTAGATCCGGTGTAGACCGGTGGTGGCTAACAGAGTTAGGATGGGACGTTTGCCAGAACGAGGGAGTCGGGTGAACAGAAGGTAGACCCGCCTGGACTGGTGGGGGATCCGGTCGAGGCGCTGCAGCAGGCGTGGATGCGTCGCCCATGTTGTCCAAATTGACGTGAGCAGGGCTGATCCGGTCGAGGTTCCAAATGTCTTGGATTGGACCGCCTGTCGACAGAAGATAGGAAGAGGAGAGAAATACCACGTTTAGGGGTAAGAAGAGATGTTTACAATAATTAGTCCTCGACAACCAACTCCCCACGATCACTGTGTATGAATCATCTCAAGCATGCCCCACGATCACTGTGTTTGAACTACAAGTATTCCAAGCCCGCCATCGACTTTTCCTTCGCCATTCAAATCGTCCCTTTGACAAGCCCATATCTATCTTGACGGGCTCAGGGTCCTATGGACAAAAAGAGATAAAACGGAAGAGCGAGAAGTGGCGTTTCCTGATGCGCCGGAGAATGCATCAGCCACATCAGCACATCAACACATGAAGCCACGAACAGTGGTCATCCTGTACACAGTACTCCGTATGCCACGCAGAACAGGAGAGAGCCCAGCACCACCCTCAACCTTCTCCCCCACCTCGAGCTTGCTAGCGAGTGAGTTGCGCGAAGGATTGTTGGACACTCTCGTTCGTTCTGGGGTCCACGCAGAATACGTCGCAGTACCTGGATGATTTACCTAGGTACGTATCTGGTCAGCCATGGTCAATTACTGTATAATAGATGATGCAACAAATGTAATTCACCGTAGGTACCCTCTCGCGGATCTTTACATATATGTTTTGATAGATCCGAGTCTTACCCGATCCCCCAACCCAGAGCGTACAAATCGTCCTTGATGCTGGCGAGGCACAGGCGTTCCCGCCACTAGTGATGTGGTGACACGCTGGGGGGCTTTGCATACCACGTCCTGTAACACCGGGCTCAACAGGTACTGTAAAGAACTTTAAAATGGGTCTTGTGGGAAACTGAAAACATTATTTGATTTATAATTACCAAATCTCTATTCTCGTATCATTCCGTGAGACATACCTGGCCGCTCGCTCGTAAGGCGTTGTGGATTCTTCACTTCCGCCCCGCGCATCCCATCAATCCGTGAATAATGTGTCGGCCACCTCGGCCTCGTCGACCCACTCCCTGGTTGTGCCGTCGGCCTGCTTCTGCGTCTTCTTTTTGAACCGGATCGCGGCGGCATACACCAGCTTGTCATCGCCCCGAGCGTCCAGCGTCTGTTTCTTGATCTCTTCGTTGACGCCGACCTTGTAGGTGCCGAAAAGCTGCCTTTTCTTGCCGTCGCCACGCAGATACACGGTGACGTCGCGGCTAAAGTCAACCATGGCCTCGGACAACAGGAACCCCAATTCGGCCGGAGCGTCTGTGCGGTTGAGGAAGAAGGAGTTGCTCGCGGCGTCGAAGGTCGCCTCGAAGGTGGTCGACCAGTCGGTGTCCTTGTGCAGGTACAGCCAGTAGAAGAGGCGCTTGCTCGGCCAGTTGGCGTCGACTTCCGTGTCGCGCGCAGGCCGGGTCCGGAGATTCCACACCACCTTGCGCGGTAGCGGGTTGCGGACGTGTTGACTGACCCAGTCGATCGCGTTGGTATTCATCGTCCGTTGAGACAGCTGGCCTCTTTCCGGGTCGAGGCGCCAGGTGTGCAGGTCTGTCAGGATGGGGCCCCGAGTGAGGCCCGACTCGACCGCACTCCAGCTGTTGTGTGCCCGCTCGTTGGCTTTTGGTGTGGTAACGTGCACGTAGCAATCGTGGGCATAGTAGCCAGAGTGGCGCAACGCGAGAGCGTCAAGCGTGAAGGCCGAATCCACCGTGTACGTGTTGCGATCGTACTCGGAGTCTTCATCGCCAACCTGCAAACAAATAGGCGTGTTGGCAAGATTGTCGAATTGGACGTCCCCAGGGTGGCCAGCGGACATGTGGGCCGCGGCGAATCGGTCAGCCAGGTTGGTGGACAGACGGTAGACGGCATCGCCGCCAGCCGAGAATCCCAAAAGGTAGATCTGGTTCGAGTCGACAAACGAGGTCGCCTTGGAGCTTGGAGTGTATGAAGGGTTCTTGGAAGCGTCCTCCGAGGTGAAAGGAGTCTTCAGGAGCATGCGCATGACGAGCTTCTCCATCAGGACTTGAGCGGGTGGCGTAAAGTGCGTGTCCCAGGTGTTGCCGTCGTATTTCCCCGTGCCGGTTTTGTTGGCGAAACGCAGAGCCACGTAGACGGCGCCGAGCTGGACGGAATTCTTCACCTCGTTGTCGTTCATCTCAGGCTTCCTTTCCACTCGAGACTGAATGCTGGACGCGTGGTAGGTGCTCCAGTAGTGCCAGTCATCGTTGTTTTCATAGTCTTTGGCCTGGCCTCCTCCGTGCAGGCCAATGTACAAGGCGAAGCCTGCGTCGGGCTGAGAGCCAAAGACGCTCAGGGTGAACTTGAGAATGTAGTCCTTGTACTCCAGCTCGTACCAAGTCATTGCTCGAACAATATTCTGGCCCGCTTCATTCCTATCGATTATGACTTCGTCGCTGTGTTTCCATGTGGGGGCGTCCTTGTCCACGTTGAGAAACGCTCTGGAGTCAATGGGCGCCATTGCTACGGACTCGGGGGAGGTTTTTGGAGGCAACAGTCCTCGGAATGAAGACGCAGACCTATGGACGGTATTAGAAGATGACAACTATCGTGGGCAAGAGCGAGAGCTTCACTTGATTAGAGCTGTTTATATATGCATTCGCATTCCCCTCCATCGCATTTTCCTTCAGCCACAGTCCACGAGAAAAGGCCATCTCAGGCAGCCACTCATGATATTGTAGACTTCAGCCTTCAGCATCGGACGCCACGAGCGCTTGCACAGTCCATTCTCCCTGTGCAGGAGTGTGAACCATGACTTTCAATCTTGGATGCAATTGGCTGGTGTGAGTAGCTGTGGTTAAGGGCTGAAGTCCAGACGCTCAAGGCCACAGCGTACATGCATGAAGCAGCCACATCCGTGCAGCGAGCTCAGCTGCGTCCATTCTCCTCCAGAGAAAGAGACCGGAGTCCGTTTAAGGATCCTCCCGTTGAAGGTTCTGGGCACTTAACACGGTAGACCAAGAAGTCCTGTGGGTGGGAATCTGGAGGAGGGGGAGGGGCTGCCTGAGTAGGCTGAGTAGCTCACGCTAAGGCAGAGCCGAAGTTGGGCCAGGTCACATGATGCTTTCGTAAAGCGGCAGGCCGTGGTCCCGAACTGGTGCCAAGACCAGGTGTATTGTCGCCGCTGAATACCGGTACGTTCGCTACTGGCCTGTGCTGTTAGAGAGGATAATACCAGGACGGAGTGATCTCAGTCCGGAGACTGCAATATCAATCCTCCAATCACATACCCAGCGAAGTAGTGTTTAGAGGCTAGTTGTGCCCGGCTGAAAGTAGGGTTGGGAACGATGCACTTCTTGTTCTGCGGTGCCGTGCAGATCCGAGAAGCATTTGCCATCGCAACTTGGGCCCAGGTGTCCGTGGCGGTGACGTGTGTCCGACCAGGGGCTGCTGGTGTACGAAAGATGACGAGCTCAGTCAACCGATTCCCAAACAACGAAGCATGCAGGCAAGACCACAGGCAAACAAGCAAGCATGCTAAGTAGACTGATACAGCTGTCCAAGCACACACACGCGACTTCGTCCAGCGCTATATTTCCCGTAAAGAGAGGCGATTCCACCCCTGGTGGCATGGTTGCCATCGGCGCGCATTCGTTGTGCGGTGCTGCTTCACGCGAATACTATTGCCCTTCGCTCCATTCATCACCACAGCATCAGTGCGTGCATGAAGGAAGTTCAGAAGCGATCCCACATCGTGCCGACCCCTCCCTCTCCCCAGAGAGGTGCCTGAACGTACTCGGCCGCCCGATCAGCTATATTGCCGAAATTCCAATCTCCGCTAGACGACCCAGTACTATCTGGAGTGATGGGCCCGAGACTCCCGGTGCCGCTGCTCATGCCGCCTAGGAGGCCGTTCGTGCTACTCGTGGCGAGAGAGGGCGAGTATGCCTCCTGCTTGATCGCACTCACGCTTGGAACACCGCCGGCGCCCAGAGGCGGATATCGCGGTTGCGTCGTTGGAGAGGTTGCTGCCGGAAGACCCGAGCCCGCAGTCATAAATAAGTTGGAGGAGGGTTGTGGTGGATATGTGCCTGTGCTGTATTTCGAGGGCGCCGTGGGTCTTGGCCCGGCAAGCGCGGCGTTCAATTTCCCCAGCGCGTTCAGCGACTTTGACATGCTCCTTGCCCAGTGGGGACTTTCGGCCAAAGGCGGTCCTTGCCCCTCCATAGCCTCGTTGCTGAACCGCCTCTTCGCCGAAGGACTCGCGTCAGGTGGGAGGTCGAATGTCGGGTCTTCATGCGTGCGCTGGCTTATGACTTGTTCGAGTTCACGGAGGAGCGCAAGACGGCGCGGATCGCGGGACGTTTCGGGTAACGTGCCCAGCAAGAAGGCGGCGGAGATAGATCGTTGGATGCCGATCCAGCTGCGCGAGGCGAACTTTGAGAGCGAGTGTAGTTCCACGTAGGCTTCAACCGCGCCTTCGAGATTTTGTATGCACATGGTGCGAAAGTGGGAGAGCGTGGAGGGGTCAGGGTTCGATGTGCTGGGAGATTGTCCCGTTGTTCCTGACGTTTTTCGTCGACTGGACCCCGGAGGCGACTGAACTGGGGTCAGATTCTCTACGTTGGAGGATGAAGGCGCTTCCTTGAGAGCAGGTCGGCAGAGTTCAGAGGTGATGTAGCAGCTGTGCAGCTTCAAGGCGAGGCGTTCGAGGTGCTGCGTCATCTTATAGCAGAGGTCGCGATTTCGTAGATAGCTTGCCCCTTGGGAGACATGGAAGGTGATTTCTTCAGTGTACTTCTGGATTCGGTCCCACGACATATACGATCGTGTATGGAGGAGTCTTTCACGGACGATTTCTTGCGTGAGTCGGATGATGGCAAACATTGTTTCCGCATAGCTTCGGTCACCTGGAGAGCTGAATTTCCCGTAAGGGATGTCAGGGATACACAGCACACTGGAAGTAGGTCGATCGTAGCTAACAGCGAAGTGGGAATCTTGCCATGCGAGTGCCCACCAGATGCGGCGACGGGTCCATTTCTCGGCGTCAGTAAATTGTTGCGAGTTTATCTGGAGACCAATTGAGAAGGCCATCCGGAGGGTCATGCCAAGGAAAATGTATGCCACGCCGGGGTTCATGTTGTAAGAGAGGACGTTGCCAATAATCAAGGAAGCTTCAATAGTTTCCAGGCAAGGATGGGTAAGAAAGTTGGACATGCGGAGGGCTTGGTAGGAACAGCATACTGTTCAACGGTCAGCAAAGGAGCTAAGTGCCTAGCCTTTACACTTACTGTAGACTTGCGAGGTAAGCTCTCGTTCTTTGGCTGGTCGATCGGAAGATTGGGAGCCAGAAGCAAAGACGGCAAATACCAGAGCTAGCCATGGCAAAGTAACGCCGTAGGGTTTGTTGGGATCCAACTCGAGGTTGTCGCGAATGTGCCGGGAGCGATTAGAAAGCATGAAATGCAAGGTATCCTCGAAGCCCGACACGTCCGGAACGACAGGATAGATGGTACAGGCAATATCCCGGTATGCGACAAAAAATCTGGGTTGGGTGAGTCAACAGCACTGGATAACTTCGTGACTAACTTACTCATTGCACAGCTCATCATCCGGAATTGCTTTGCACAGCCCATCGACATCTTGCATACTGGACTCGGTGCTCCACAGATCGACGAAAGGGTAAGTTGCACTCTCGTTGTCCAGACCCAACTTTGGGAGAATATTCTCCTCCAGTAGAGATTTGGCGGTGTCTTGCGCGGTCTTTGTCCTGCCCAGGCCCATCATATAGGCCAGCACGGATCTTGAGCCCAGATGCATTGTCCCCATCTGTGTGCTCGGTGCATGAATTCCTTCTCGTTCGGCTTCGTCTCCCCGACTATGTGTGCCTGTGGGATTTACATCCTCTTCTGAATGCGCAGCGCCGGGGGAGATTCGTTCGGCTTTGACTGATTCGCGCAGTAGCTGCAATTCTCTGTTGAGACGCTCCCACTGTTCGCGAGGCACGGTGATGTTGGGCCCAGTCTGCTGATTTGGACTTTCGGAAGCAGCCCCATCGGCTGGGTTCAATGCGCCCGACAGCGCAATGCGGCGCTTCTTCGTAGGTCGCTCATATGAGCAGAGCTCGGGGTGGTCCCTCTTGACGCAAGAATCGCAGGGCAGGTTGCGGTCACACTTCACTTTTCGACGGTGGCAGGCGTAACACGCCTTGGGATCTCTGACCTTTCGTTTATTGCGAATAATGGCGTCTATCTCTTCCTGGGCCATTTCAACCCTGCCATCTGCCATAGTATCCATTTTCAAGTCGTCAGGATAGTCACCACCAGGGCTGTGCGCGGCAGAGTCGCGCTGCTGGTGGTCCATGTTTGGCACGGCAGCGTGGGCAGTAGAGACATGCAGTTGTGGTGGGCGAGCGGAACGGTTGCAACTGGGGTTATGCCGGAATCGACATACTGAAGAGCGAGACAAAAGACTACGGAGGAATGCTGCTATCGCCCACAGGGAGAGGATATTTGCTCCACAGGCTGAGCGCGAACTGAGAGTGAATTGAGTTGAGCTGAGGCTGGTATGGCTATGGCGGTGGTGGGAGAGTCCGACGTTGGCCCCGCTTCGCGTCGGGTTCTCGTTCGATGGCATTGGTCAGCTGCCCACGCCGACTCCATTCGCCAGGATTTATTTGTCTTTTCTCTTCAGCCCAGTGACCGATTGCTTGGCGCTCAGCCTTGTCGATTTCGGCACAGTCCAGGACCGATTCTACCTAGGTACTTTGGTTCCATAATGACCTATCCCGGTGGCTGCTGATTGTACGACATACATACACTCAAAAGAGCATGCTACGTAGGTGCGGGTTGAGGTATTAGATAAAAGGGGAGAAATACTGCCCGCGCCGTTCCAATATGCAACTTGACCTATTCGAGCCAAGATCCAAGGTTCGGCCTTCTCTCCTGATGCCGTCCATCGAGGCCGTATTTCGGAACGATTTGCATCGTTCGCAAAGCACAAGACCGAGAAAAAAGAGTCATCTGTTTTACAAAGGTTTGCTTTCTAAATATTGCTTTTGCCCATTCACGACGCCGTCGCCAACATAACCACAAGCACAGGTGGCCTTGGGGGACCATTGCGTGCTTTCGTTTCAAAAGCGCATTAGTTGTGACAAGGAAAGGCCAACCTCAATGTTCATCATGCTGCCAGTGTCTCACCCATCTTGGCATCTGAGATCCTCCATCGGTCGAACCACCTAAGGTATGCATATTGCCGATTGCTGCCTTGCATCCCGAATACTACCGGGCTGAACAGCACAAATAACCCAATAACCACGGCGTACAGGATGAAGTACACTCCCCAGCGGACGTTCCTGTGAAGGCGTTGTGTCGTCCAGTCAAGGCAGAAACCTGCTGCCAGAATAGCGAAGTAGAGAGCTGGATAGTAGTGGTGAACATAGGTAACTCGCCCCATGATCAGGAAGGGGAAGTAATGGAAGAACCAGCCAATTGCAGGGTAGATGCCGGAGTAATGGATTTGGTCAATGTCCACTTGGCTGAGTTCCCTGTAGCCCCGTTGCCAGCGGATCAGGTACCAGGCGACAATAAGACCAGCGATGCTGAGCGATGCTGTGGAGCCCCAGTAAACGATGGGGTTGCCCAGCAAGAAATACTTTGTGATTTGGTCATCCCATGAACACATGCGAAGGCCGACGTGGAGAATAGGCCATTGCCAAAATTTGGATGCAAGGTCATCCTGCTTGTCTGGGTCGGGGACGAGGGCGTTGTTGGAAGTCATCATGGCAACATTGAGATGAACAAAATCCTTCAGGAAAGGTGACCTGTACTGTGCAGCATTGCCAGGTGGCACTGTTCGAAAAGTTAATGAGGCCCAATACAGTACTGGTAGCTTGGTACTTACATTTATCGTTGACATGAGACTCAATATTCCAGTGTGTGTACACGTCTCGGGGACTCGCCTTTTTGACACAAGTGGTCTCAATCTGCTTGAAGCCCCATTGCGGGAGGTTAACGGTCCCCGCTCGGAGGTAGCAACCCAGCTCCACGTGCTTCAGTCTGAAGGCTGTCGTCAGAGTCCGAATCCGTGAGCGATCTGAGGACGCGGCATCGCTGACGACCTCGATCCGCCAATGGTCCTTTTCGTCGCCGACAGTCGTGTTGCCGTAGCAAGACACTTCCCAATCGGCCTTGGTGACTGGGGCGGCAACTTGGTGAGAGTGGAGATTTCGGCCGGTCTGAGCGTGGAGGAGCCGAATGACCTGTTTGTCGGCAACGAAACTGAGGGGTGCTTCTGGGTCAAACTCTGGTTGACTTCGGTTGGGCCAGAAGAACCAGTCATTGTTGGCGTCCTTGTGGTGGTAGCAGGTAACCTGCTGTTGGCCACTGCCTTCGGGGTACGTCTGGACATGAGAATGAAGGAGACCACCACCATAGCCCATGTTCTTGATGGTTACTTTGGATCCCATGGCAATCTCTAGGGGTGAGTCCTTGCCGACTTCGGTTCCACGGAGGTTCGCTTGGAAAAGGGAGGACATCTGAGCATCGCCGGGGCCAGAGTTCTCGAGAATCAGGAAGTGAAGGTAGAAAGAGAACATGTAGACCAGTATGGGAACGACGATCAGCCCTATGACGCGAGCCACAACGTGTTGCGCGAGCTCAACCTTTGGCATCTTCAGGTCGCCAAATTTGTTCCATAAATCTTCCGCAGTGTAGAGGCCAACCAGTGCCGTAGCGAAAAGACCGACCCATTTGACGCTACAAACACATCCGATGCTCAGTCCTGTCAGGAACAACCACAGGAACCATTCAACGGAGAAACTCTTGTGTTGCAGGCGGTGGAATCTGGCCCAACAGAGGACGGTCGTAAAGGTGAAGCAAAGAAGCATGGAGTCTAGAAGGATGAACCTGGAGATGGTAGCGTACGAGTTCTCGCAAAGAACCATGAGAGTAACAAGCCACACGGCCGGTCGTTGGAAGTTGAGCTCGCGAGCGGTGTAGTATGCGAGGGGAATCGTCGCTACACCGAACATGGCGTTGAAAATGCGCATGAAGGTGTAGTTGACCTCTTCCGGATATGTCTCGCCGGACTTGAACTCGAAGGATCCATTGTATCCAGCTAGATAGCCCGACAGGCCAACAAGCATCTTTCCGAGAGGAGGATGGACATCGAAGTAGAACTCTCGCTTGAGGTAGTGCGATCCAAACTTGCCGAAGCTGGAGTAAGTGTCAGCGCTGAACAACCTCAGACCGTGGGGCACATCTTACTGAGCTTCGTCCCAGGTGACGATGGGAGATAGTCCTATCCGCCATAGTCTCGTGAAGAGAGCAAATGCTGTGAAGATGATGGGGGCAATCAAGAACTCCCACTCATCGAGAAACTGGATGAAGCCGGCCTGGGGCTAGAGATGTGCTGTTAGACTACGCTTATTCGACGTGGATGTATGGAACCAACCTTCTGTAACTTCTTTGTATCTTCAGCCTCAACTTTGTACACGTGCTGACCATTGGCCTTCTCATAGCTGGCAACATTTCTTCGGCGCACCTCAGCCTCATCCATCCCTGCACCAGTGGTGTAGCCGGCCTTCGAGGTAGCCATGATCGAAGACGATATCGAAGACACTAAAGCCGTAGAGGATAGCTCGGAGAAAGGGGTCGAGGTTTGTCAAATTTTCGCGCAAGCCGTGTAACTTCCACGGTGGACAAAAAGAAGTTGGGGCCGGACGGATTCGAAGGGAGGGGACCCTGCGAGCAAACGCGTGTCCGTAAGAATCGTACCCGATAGATACCAACAAACAGGGAAGAATAAATAAAGGAGAAAGCAAGAAGAAACACTCCTGCGACCAAGTGGCCTTTACGGAGGAATTAAATCCACTTCAGGGTGAGGAACAGATCTGGAAGTGTGAACGGATTGCGAGCTGGCTGAATGCGCCTGGAGGGAGAGACGTGAATCAATTGAACGGGCCACTTGGCGTATTCGAGAAAAAGGGGATTCGCTTCTCCACCGTCGCCTTCGACACGTGAAGAAGATGCCATTTATAGATCGCATACAGACTACGTCCAGGATACATTAACGTCCATACCTAGGTATGCTCAATGCATTCTTTCCTTCGACTCGGCTTCACTTCTACTAATCGAGTGCTAGTCAAGTGTCTGGCAGCATCCAGCTGCTGTAGTGGTTGTGTTAAGCTAGGCTGACACGGCCGCCGGTGTAATCATCGTCGCGGAACAGATTTCCCGCCTCCCTACAATACCGCACCTCTCCTGTGCCGGTGCTGCCAACTTCACTGCCCCAGCATACCACCACCGCATCCACGATACATGCCAACACGCCCTCCATTGCTCCAAGTATGCCCCAGCCGATGGCTCCGGCAACTAGTCCTACAATGTAAGCGTAAACACTTCCTCGCACCCCTGCACCCTCGAGTCTCAATGTCCGTGCTGTTGTAACCCATCCACCGAACCCCAATGCTAGGCACATCATGAACCGTGTTGCGTGTAGGACGAGCTTAGCTAGTCGATAAGGAAGAAGAGGGGTCGAATCATTTGACCATCCATCGTCTCTTACCCTCCGATTAAACGTATTCAGATACAGGGTCGTCGTGGCGTCGTTTGGCGCGAGGAAGTGCATCTGCAAAAGTCCTCTGGAACTGACAGCAAGTGGTTGGGAGTGTATTGCGGCATAGGTTAGTGTGAGAGGATTGATCAGCACCGCAACCGGACTAGGGATTAGCGAGTACATCGCCACGCCAATCAGCATAGTCATCCGCCGAGGCAGGACAATCAACGGGAGCCGGACCATAAGGCTCAAGCCCGTGAATAGAGCGATGGTGCCGAAAAGAGTCGTCCCCGAGTGTTGTAGCGCTGCTTTGACAATGGCTTGAGGTGTTGGAGCTGGTACTGCCAATCGGTGGAAGTACCACTGTGACACAGTGGCCGACGTGATGGTTCGCTGCATGCCAAACGCAATAGCAATCGTCCAGAGATACACCAGGATGAAGTACACTCCCAGCCACCACGTAGAGGTGTCAATAACGAATTTGCTGATCGCTGAGCGAGTCGATGGATGCCCGCCAAGGAAGACTCTCGTGAACATGGACAGCCATACCCAGGTAAAGCTGATGATAAATCCCAGAACGGCGAACCCGACGAGCACCAGCGTCGGGTTTGCCGCTAGGATCCTTGTCGCAAATTCCAGTATAGAGATAGCCTTCTGCATCACCAGCCGCCCTCGGAAGACAGCCAAAATCCAGAGTGTGGCTAGAGCAGCAGGCACCAATGAGCTCCACCTCATCACGGTATCCTGGATACTGGAGCCATGCCAAGAGCCCTTGAAGCTGGAGATGAGCGGATAAAGTGAGAAGGAGTAGAGGATGACGGGAACTGCCACCAGGATGCTGTAGACTAAGTATCGAACGTATGATCGTAGGGCAGCCAGCCAGAACAAGGAAATAAAAGTCGCTACAAGGGTATATGTCGCTAGAAGATAGAAAGAGCCGTGCAACGTTGTGTAAACTGTGTCACCAAGGGGTTGTTTCGTGCCCGGCGACTGAGTATGAAGCATAACGAGAAACCATGTCGCACACATGGCGGCAAGCAAGAGGAAGTAAAGCTGTCCAAAGAAGGCGTCATGCCGTGGTTGTTGGATCTGTGGTGGTGGAATGCCATCTGGTACAGAGTCGTGGTCACCTGAATGATTTCGCGAATAGCCCAGCAGTTGTCTCTGGGTGCTCGTTTGATTTGACGCATCGGAGTCGTAGTCGTCATCTACTTTCGGTGGCTGTTTGCGTAGTTGTTGTACGGAGGGAGGATTTTCCATAAGGTCTTCGGGCGGATCATCGTCAAATCCGCTTCTCAAGGTGTCTTCCAAGCCCACGTCGACCATCAGATTTCGCTCTGATTCAGGACTGGGATTGTCGAGCTGTGACTCTGTTGATTCTGCTAGATTTTCAAGGTCGGTTCCTTTTCGTCGTGGATTCGGTACACCCCCATGCCAGGAACTCCTGATGCCACCAGGTCTACCCGGCCCTCGGTCACGCGACTCGTCACCATGACTGCTCGCACCGACCACACTCGAACCACTGCCTCCGTCAATCTCCGAGGAAGCTCGGAGATCGCTTGCCCCTAGCTGTCGCCTGGACCGCTGAAGAGCATAGTAATCTGCTATTTCTCGTTCGTGCTCCTCCTCGTCATTTTCTTCCCGGAACTCGTCTGTCGCGCTATAAAATAAAGGCGCCTGTTGCGGATTCAGACGTGAAGCGAAGGGAAAGCTAGATATCTGGGACGAGGTAGGTTGGTAAGGGTTCGCGGCACGCGGATTCAGCGTCCTGGAAGCGGTAGTTGATCTCCACGTCTGGTTTGGTCGTCTCCCAGACTGACGGTCGTCTGCTGGTGCGGGAGCAAATGTGAGGCGTGATTGAGACTGTGCAAGAAATCGAGAGGCATCTGCCATTGTGTTAGCCCCGGGCGCCTAGTCTGAGACAGAAGAGCACCTGTCTTACACTCGGAAAACATACTGCCCGCAGGCAGGAAGCACGAGATGTATCAGTCGGTGAGTAGTGGTTGTGATAAGCACAGATTGATGACTATTCTGGAAGTTGATAATGGTTTATTGATGAATCCAAGCGACGGAAATGAGGTAGGCGCTGCTATGTGCAGATGATGGCTGTCTGGCTCGGATACGTTGGTCAAGACGACGTGTAGGTTGGTGAGTCGGCGATCTGCTTGGAGACGATGAGTTCGTGACTCTCCTCTGACCTTGATACGGAAGCGGACATCTGCCTGTGACTGCATGACTAGCCAAATTCGGCGCAGTGGATGGTCCGGGCTGAAAGTTCCAGGCAGCGGGTCAAACCACAGGCACGGCGATTTTAGGCTTTGGTTGGCAGTCGCCGCCTGGAAATCTGGGCCAGGCACGACAGCTCCCGAGGCACGCGCTCCGCACTCACACGAGCGTGTCATCGTCATTGTTCACGCATTGCTTTCAGTCTGGCCATATCTTGACCGCGGACTCGTGTCCATTCACGCATTGTTTTAACCTCGTTCAGATATTCAATTCGTCCTGTGTTCAAAAGGGCTTCGGGCGACCAACGGACTTGACATTACAGTTTTCCCCTACTCGTCGTCCCTAATCTAATGCCCAACATAACGCCAGCCCCAACGCTACCTTGGAACTATATTGCAAAGCTCGTCTGTATAGGCGACTCAGGTATGTCCGCTATCCCGCCGCCTGTATCCCATCATCTGATCAGCACAAGGTACTGGCAAGTCCAGCTTGACGGTTCGGCTTTGTGAAGGCCGATTTTCCGCCTCTCACGATGTCACTATTGGCGTCGAGTTTGGAAGCAGAATAGTTCCTGTTGGCCCTCCCGCAAACGCATCTTTAGACCTCGGTGCTCCCAACGGCCGCGAGGGTCATGGCGGCAAACAAGAGCAGAAGAAGATGAAGTTGTCATTATGGGACACCGCTGGACAAGAAACATATAAAAGCATCACAAGAAGTTACTTTCGAGGTGCCTCTGGCGCCCTCTTAGTTTTCGATATCACCAGAAGGAGTAGCTTCGAGTCCGTCACTCAATGGCTCAACGACTTGCGCCAGATCGCCGAAGAAGGGATTGTCGTTATCCTGGTGGGGAACAAATTGGATTTGGCTGAACAAACCACCGACGTCCAAGGAGGCACCAAGCGAGCTGTGAGCAAAGAAGAGGCGGAGGACTGGTGTCGGAGAGAAAACATCGTCAAATACGTTGAAACCAGTGCAAAAAGCGGCGAAGGGGTTGAAAAGGCTTTCCTCGAGGTTGCAGAAAGAATATACCAGAACATCGAAGCGGGTAAATATGATCTGAACGACAGAAGAAGCGGAGTCAAAGGTTACGGCATGGGCGGAGGTCGCGACGAGGCCAAAGCCCCCAAAACAGTCAACCTGACCATGAATGATACCATCAGGAGCGGCCAAGGAAGAGGGTGTTGCTGATGCTGGTCAACATCACTGATTTGTTTTGTGTGTCCTAAAGGGAGGTGCCGCTGCCTGGTAACCACCTTAGGCTACCACATACCTTCATCACCAGATGCTCTGATGCGCAGGCAGCATGGCTCTTGTCGGCGGGATTCATCTAACGCGGCCGTTTTGCCGGTGGTGGCACCATCGGGCAACCTCCGGGTTACAAGCATCGAGGTGTCGATTAAGATGCGGTCTTCCTTGCATGTGAATCTGCTTATGTTGCGAGTGCCTTCACAATCTGCCAGTGTCGCTGCTGAGTGAGGACAGGGTGATCCTTCTGCCAGCATTTGCTGACGCTGCTAACGAAGAAGAAAACACCCACCGCCCTTGGGTGGCTCGTCCAGAGAAGTGCTGGCACATCACTGAAGCTGAGCCGAGTTGTTTATGGGCGGGGATTTCCTTCAGCTGGGCTCCACAAGCCGAAACCGGCACAGGTGTGATTTATCGCCCAGTGCACGTGCTACTTGCAGGACGACCTGGCGGGGTCGAATACTGACGTACCCCGAAGCAGGAGTGAGGTGGGATACGCGCAAGCCTCGACCTCGCTCGAGTTGAAATGCAAGTAAAATTCTCGCAAAATACCATTCCAGCTTTCGCATGCTCTTCTTGTGATTACATGACTCGTCTCCCGACACTGTTGGCTTGCGCATTTCGCTCCAAGCAACAACTAGCAACTGTTCGACCTTTTATCACCTCCTGCACACGACCAAACAAGCCTTCTCACACACGCCTGATCTCCGCTATGGCCAAGTTGGACCTTAAAATTCCCGACCTGACCCTGCCTGACGGCGACAAGATACCATTTGTAAGTTCACAACCTTCTTGCATGTCCTAACAGGTGTTGCTAACCTAGACGCTGATCAGATCGGCTATGGTCTCGGCACCGCTTGGTAGGTCCTTTTGTCACTGGCCCGCAAAGTGTCTGAGACAGCTTGCAAACCTCCAAATGCATTGTTTCTTGGCCAATGCTGACTGTGGGGTTCACACAGGTACAAGTCAGATCCAAACTCACCTAAAGATCAGGCAACAATTGATGCAACCAAAACGGCTATCAAGGTCGGCTACAGACACCTAGACGGAGCCGAAGTATACAACACCGAGGAAGAACAAGGTATAGCTATTAAGCAGAGCGGAGTGCCTCGAGATGAACTGTACATTACAACCGTGAGTTATTTCTCCTCAGCCTACGAAGCCCTGCGTTCTTGTGTGCACGCCACAGATGCTGATACCTTGATAGAAAGTCATTACACATATCGATGACATTCCAGGTGCCATTGACCGAAGTCTAAAGAAGCTTGGCCTTGACTACGTCGACCTGTACCTGATCCACGCCCCGTTTTTCGCCAAAGGCGACAATAGATTACTTCAGCAGAGATGGGCGCAAATGGAAGACGTCTTGGCCTCTGGGAAAGCCAAGAGCATCGGTGTCAGCAATTTCCTCAAGCCTCACCTCGACGCCATTCTTGAGACAGCCAAAGTGCGACCAGCGATTAACCAGATCGAATTCCACCCGTATCTTCAACACGGAGATCTGCTAGCTTACCACAAGAACAAAGATATCCGCGTGGCGGCATATGCTCCACTGACACCGATCACCAAGGCCAAAGGAGGTCCTGTTGATGCCTTGCTGGAGTCGCTGGCAAAGAAGTATGCTGTCAATCCGAGCGAGATACTGATAAGATGGGTTATTGACCAGGACGTCCTGCCAATTACCACAAGCTCCAAGGAGCAGCGCTTGAGCGACGTGCTGCGGGTTTTCACATTCAAGCTCACGCCAAAAGAGGTTGAAGAGATTTGCACAGAAGGCAACAAGAAGCATTACAGAGCGTTCTGGGGCCATGTCTTTGACGCGAATGACAAGTCATGAGAAGACTTGGAGGCGTGACGTGCCACGGCGTTGCGTCGATCGTCTTTTTGTTCTCAGAAGCAAACCCGCCGCTTCAAGCTTCTGAAACTAGATATTCGAGGCGGTGGACCGGTCAAGACAGACCTTGAGTGACATTCTACAGCAATAAAACCTTTCTGAACTTTGGATTTTCAGTAGAGTAAGTCTGAGTACGGAGTCGTTGTCTGTGCCTCTGGTCGCTGGGGGCGTTCGACCGAGAACGCCTCGAACGATGCGAAAAGCTATTCTCGGTGTGCTACGTCGCCTGGACCGCCACACTTTGTACCCCGTACTCGTACGAGATAATTCTGAGTACGGAGTATGTCAAAAGCAGATCGATGGCCTGCAGTAGTCAGAGTCTACCCCACAGTGCCCACAATCTCAAATCCTCCAGGATCCCGATCTCGACATGCTCGACTGTTCGTAGTGGAGCTCCGTCGTCATATCAACCACACCTTTTGTCGATCAATGTGCAGCTTGCCCCTGGAGAAAGCCATCGATGGCAGTACGAGTAAAATCATACTCTTCATCAGCACTGGGCCTCGTGTGCACAGTTCTCACACAAAGCTCGAATCAAGAAGAGGTGGATTTGACTGAGTGACATGTCTCTTGCGTGCAGCAGAACTTCAGGCAGCACATGCAGACACGGTCTGCCGCTACGAAGAGTTGCGTTAATCATGTCTTGATTGGCAGATTCCGACTCGTCACGCTGCTGACAGCCGACACTGCCTTGCACAAGCACGGGACCCTTAGAAGGTAGCTGACACCTGATTGGCTGGAAACATCAGCTATACCTGAGAGGATGCGCCTTTTGCTCGCTTGACCTCGTCGCCACCGCTAAAATTCTATCCACATCCCATGCTACCTATCCGGTTTGCCGTCGACTTGCCTCACGTTACCTTTTGTCTGATGGCACCGCAACGGCTGGACTGGCCCTCCACATGATTGACCCTGTGGCTCTTCAAGTCAGGCACAGCTGAATAAAGTGCTAGGATCTTCTATTGACCTTAAAATATCCTCCGTCGTCTTCAGGCACCGGCCGATTGAGCTCCAACACCCATCCAAAGACATCACTTACCGACTAAAGCTTCGTTATTGCAATTAAACCACCTTTGTGAGCCAGGTCACACACTCAACTCGGCAAACCGAACATCATGCATTTCACCACTATCCTCACGGCGTCTCTGTTGTCTCTCTTGTCCCTCACTACTGCATCACCACTCGACACGAGACAGACACAAACGATTACACCACCAGCCTTGTACTACCTCCGAACAAAAGTGGTCAATGGCGCACACAAAGACAGCGGGTCTAACAAGACCAACCTGTATGTCTACTCATACCATACTGGTGCCGGTCTAGGTGATGCTGCATTGTCCTCAAACAAGTCCATTGCCTGGCAGGGCTACTTGAATGGGACTCAACAGCTCATGACCTATCCGAATAACACGATCGGACCATGGCCTTTGTCGGTCCAGGATGCTCCATATCAGGGTCTGTTGCCATTCGCATTGTCGTAGGAGTATCAATACTTACCACTGCTGTTAGAATGGAACCAAGTCACCATCAGTATCTCCGCCTTACCGACCTACAATGCTGGATTCTTCTTCAACTCTTCTGGGCTTCAGTACAATGGCAGTACCGGTGGCTGGCTGGGTAAGTGCTTCTTCACCGTGTAGACAACGTGGATTGTACTGACAACAATTCAGCCTGCGATTGGTGGCATGGTGTCCCTCAGCTCTTCCAAGTCAACGGGTACCTCAACAACGGCTTCGGTGTGACTGGTTTGCAGACCCCGAGCTCCTGTTCCCGCGTTCAGCTCCAACCAGTGGCGGTCTGACAGTATTTCTCGGATCCAGCCTTACCATGACGGGGGAAAATTAGATACTACGGCATCATGATCAGCGGCGTTCAAACATTGCGTTGCTTGCACAAGCATTAATCTAGGGTCCGCATCCGGCGAGCGATGCTGCATCGTCATCTGTAACAAAAATCAATCATAGATTAATTTCTAGGATGTCCTCGTTTTCTTTTCGTTTTTCAATCTTTACTTCAACTTCTCGTCGAAATTCCGGCTTTACATTGATGTACGGAGTATATTCTGCATAATATTGGTCCGAGAAATGCTAAGTGGGTGAGCTGCCATTGGCAGCAGCCACTCAGCAGCTCGTCATTCTCGTACTGTGGTACTCTGTACACAGCCTTGTGCGGGGTTCGCGGGGCATCGGACCGAGCTCGCTCAGGCTCGCCGACAGACTGGCTCGACTGGTTAGAGGATTAGGTGACTGCGCATTGACCAAATATGACGACAAGAGTTCTCCTGATTACACTTGCTACGGACACACAATAGTCGTGATATTGTCACTATGTTATGTGATCATGCACTCCAAATGCTTAGATATGCCAAGCACGGTTCAGACCAAATAAGGCTTGAGCATCCATACATCCATCCTTTTCTTACTCGTATATCCAGCTCTAAGGTCGGATTTAAGCGACCTGATCCAACCTCACCTGGTTCACACAGTTCCATGCTCCTCGTTTTGTTCGTGTTTTTCTCTTTTCAGTCTTCCGGCTCTTACCACAGTCCAGAGCAAACAATCCACCGGAGAGTCTGATGCGCCGCCTCTTGCAGACAAAAGCTCACCTCTCATCAGCGCCCAGAGTACGAAGTAGTGCCAGCAACTTCAGTTTCGGTCTCGGCCTCAGTGGCAGTCAAGCGAGGGCTAAATCGACCGCAACAAAGATGGACTCGAGCCTCCAGCCCCTCCAAGGCCTGTATCGCCCCAACAACCTCAAAGGTCTATACTACGGTCCCAATGTCGTGAAGAACCACCTGCTCGCAGCCCTCCCGACCGAAAACTCCAAAGCGTTCATCATCACGGGTTCCTCCCTCGCGACCAAGACCCCGCTGATCAAATCGCTCGAGGAGCTCCTCACGCCGACCCACCACGCCGGCACGTTCAGCAACATCCGCGAACACGCGCCCATCGCGCAACTTGACCAGGCAACCGAGATCGTCAAGCAAGACGAAACGATCGACACGATCATCTCCGTGGGAGGCGGTTCACCCATCGACTCGGCCAAGGCGATCGCGTACCGCGTCAACGAAACGAGCCCGGACCACAAGAAGTGGCTCCTCCACATCGCCATCCCCACCACGCTCAGCGCCGCCGAATGCACAGCCGCAGCGGGCTACACGCGGGCCGACGGCGTCAAGACCGGCATCGCTCACCCCAATACGTACCCTCAATACATATTCTATGACGCCACATTTGGGTTACATACGCCTCCTAGCCTGTTCCTGTCCACGGGGTTCAGGGCCCTCGACCACGCGGCCGAGGCCCAGTATCATCCGACCGCGACGTGGGTTCCGTGCCGGCTCCTCGCGCTCAACGCCGTCGGGGAATTGTTCCGCTTGTTGCCGAAATACAAGGCCGATCCCTCGGACCAGGACACCATCACGGGTCTGTTCCTCGCCGCGTATGCGAGCTTGGCGTTCTTTGGGCTCAATGTCAGGGGCCCCTTGGGGCTGAGTCACCAGCTGGGATACGCGCTGGGGAGTCCATACGGGATCCCCCATGGAATCACGTCGTGTTTGACGCTGGGGCACGTCGTCAAGCTTAAGGCGCGACAGAGTGCCGAAAATGCAGAAAACGTCGCTGCTATCCTGCCCTACACCGGGGCCGGGCAGAGGAGCGGTGATAATCTCAGGGACAGTGATGCTGTGGGGGATAAGATTCTAAGCCTTGTGGAAGAGATGGGGTTGAAGACGAATTTGACGGAGAGGGGCGTGGGCAGGGAGCAGTTGGACGTCATCTGCGCGAGGGCGACGGGTGGGTTGACGCCGGAGAAGGAGAAAACGCCACAGGACGAGGAGACGTTGAAGGCCGTCAGAGCTTTGGTGGAGAAGTTGTGGTGATGCCCTGCATGGCTCATAGGAAGGACCCGGAATGCTGGTCATGATGGATATTCGTGGTTATGGTGATACAGTGCATGTAGATGATCCCCACTGTGCACGCCGCGTTTGTGGTTGGTTCATAGTCGAGGTCCGTTACAGTAGGTCCTCACTGGTCGCCACGCCGTTGAAAAGCAGGCAAAGTACAGTGTAAAAACCCAGAGTTAAATTTTGGAACAAACCCCACGCCAACTATCTTACAAGGACGCCTTGAGTTGCTCTTCCGCAGGCTTCACTTCAACCAACAACTTGCCTAGAATGCGTGAGCAGTGAGTGATATTGTCATCGTACGCTTGGGGCTCGACTCACCAGTGTTGACGCCATTGTACAAATCCCGGAGCGCATTCTCCGCTTGATCCAAGCCGCCCTTGATAATGGTTTCTTTCCTCTTAATCTTGCCCTCGGAAAGCCATTGCGCCAGATCCTTGAGAGCGCGGGGGTATTCCTTCGCGTAGTCGAAGACGATGAAGCCTTCCATGCTGCGATAACCTTAGCGGTTGGACTTAGAGTGCGCCAGAGTGCGCAAAACTTACCGTATCCGCATGGATACAATCATCAGGTAGTTCTGCACACGCGCTTGTTAGACTTAATTCTCAAGAGAGTGCTGGTGCCAACCAACCTTTGGTCCTTGCGGGTTTGAGGTGTTATACTGGCTGATACCTCCACACATAACGAAGCGGGCATGTGGTTTCGCTCGGCTTAACGCCATATCCAGGATTTCTCCGCCGACTAGGACCACAGTGAGATACTAACGGCGAAGCAGCAGGGTTGTCACTAACCGTTGTCAAAGTACACGTCAATCAGATGCTGTTTGGGGGTCAGGTCAGCGTGCGAGGTGGTCTCCAGCTTGGTCAATATTCACCTTGGTCGCGGCTCTGAACTTCTTGGCAAAGTCCTTGTCTTTGTAATTTAGGGCATCATCGAATCCCAGCTCTTCCTTCAACCACCGGACTTTGTCGCTACTACCAGCAATCCCCAGCACAGTGGCACCCTTGAGCTTCGCGATCTGGCCGACAACGCTACCGGTAGCGCCCGCAGCTCCGGACACGACAACAAAGTCGCCAGCCTTGACTTTGCCGACGTCGATGATGCCAAAATATGCAGTAAGACCAGTCATTCCTAGCACAAACGAGTTAGCGTCAAGCGTGTGGCTCTCAACCACACGAAGCATGGAATACTGTACCCAAAACACTCAACCCATCGGTTAACCTCCCGCCTTTCGGTACCACCACTCTCTGCAGCTCGGTGTCCTTGAGAATCTTATATTCGGTCCATCCCGCCGTAGCTGTCGCATAGCTGCCAACCGGGAATTTGGACGACTTGCTGGCCTTGACCGTCCCGATGGCTCCGCTACGCATGATCTCTCCGATCTTTACGGGCGGAATATACGATCTCGTATCATTGAGCCAGCCACGCATGGCAGGGTCGATGCTCAAGTAGTTGGTCTCGAAGAGGACTTCTCCATCCTTTAAATCACTGGCCGATGGGGTTGGGTTGTCGGAGACAAGTTTGAACGTCTCGCCTGGGATGATGTTGTCTTTGGGCCGTTTGGCGAGAATGACCGATTTGTGGGTGCGTGTCATGGTTGGACTGGCTGACTTGCTGCCTCTTGAGCACAGGAGTTGTTGGTTTCCAAGCTTGGTCTTTTCTCACACGAGATCGAGGGCAACAACCGTCCAAGACTGGTTTGAAAATTGGCCTTATGGTTCGAGCGAGCGTGGTGAAGAATGAACTCAAAGCTCCTGTCAGAATTACCCCACTGAATAAGGCGTGTAAACAAATCCTTGTGATGTAGCATTGGTCATTTGGTGATTGACTGGGATGCGTTGGAATTGCCTCGGCTTGGATCAAGTGTGGATGATGCGCCTGGCGGGCCTACGTCGGAGCGAGTGTGACCGCTCGCAGAATACGGTGGAGCAGTGGCTTGTCTCTGCGGCGAGGCTCACGATGTCTGCGTGCTCAATGGAAAGAACGCGTCGAGGCGCCGGTCCTTCATGCCTCTGGTGCTTCCCATTGACAGCTTCCCAAGTGCCGTCGCCATGATGGTTGTGCAGACCCAGGTGATCGGGCCCCCAGTGGCCTTCCTCAATCCGGGGCGGACAGTCAGAGCCAAAGCACAAGAACACTGGAATGTTAATTAGGTAGGACGCGGTGCGAAGAGGTGTGGTCCCGGATGAAATGCGCGTCGGTGATGACGGCAGCAGCGTCTGATTTCGATTCGCAAAGCCGTCTTACAACTAAAACCCGTGCAAAAAAACTCAGAAGCCATGAAGCTCGAATTCTGCAGCTACACTGCGATGAAGGCTCAGCCACGTGCTGTGGCCAACCTACCTTCTAATTGATGGACGGAGACCACAACCCAGACCGCTGATGTTGGTGATGATACACGATAAGCTCACCTATTACTCTTGCAGTGGTCAATCACAGCGGAGTGAGCGCAAGACAGAAAGAAATATGTGCTTTTGCCGTGCTTCAACCCTTGGCGGCGTGAACAGCGGCTTTGGCCGACGTCGGACATTGACGCCGACGGTCAAGACGCGGAGTCGGCAAAGCATCGTTTAGGGTCTGTTCCTGCATCCCCGACGTTGAATCCATTTTCTCCAGGCTTCTTCAATTTCAATATCAAGGCAGCTTATGGTAGACCAATGCCAGGTCTTTGATGTCGCAATGGCAGAAAACGCGGCTCAAGCGAACGGGAGGGCCCAAGTGGTAGACGACCGAGGCATTCCAACATATACCATTATTCAAGCCGATGGTCTCTATCCTGTACTCTCACGCTCACACTCCACTCGCCCTCCTCTCCAGCTTGAATGCTCCGTTCGACTAATTCTCTAGAACTTAGGACGACATACTGGAAACCAAAATCTTCACCGAGAATCCACCCCACGCCTACAAGGTGAAATACCTCCAAACCGGCCTTTTCCCCACCGGGACGCCGCTGCCGAAACCATGGTCGACCATCCCGCAAGTACTACGAGAGCAGGTCGACGGCATCATGGTGCTGAAAATGGGCTTCACAGCCGCCGATGTGGCGCTGTTCCCTAGGTTAAAAGTGTAAGTCGATGTCGTTTCGCAGGTGTCGAGGCCGAACAACTACTATGTACCATCCCTCGTCTAAGTACCTGCGGAGTACAACCTCAGAGGAACAACCCAGCTGAAACTCTGGCCACACAGCATCGTCCGCATGGGCGTCGGCTACGACCGCCTCGACCGCGTCGCGCTGGCAAAACACGGCGTCACAGTCTGCAACGTGCCCGACTACGGCACGGCCGAGATCGCGGACCACGCACTCTCGCTCGCGCTCTCGCTGAGGCGCGGCGTCCTCTTACACCACGACCGCCAGCGCCAACCGCACCTCTACCCGTGGATGGTTCTCGAGACGCCCCTCGTCAGCCGCATCCAGGGCGCTACCTTTGGCATTTTGGGCCTCGGGCGCATAGGCACCGCGGCGTGCCTCCGCGCCAAGGCCTTCGGGTGGAACGTACTCTTCTACGACCCCTACCTGCCCAACGGCGTGGACAAGGCCCTCGGCATCGACCGCACCAAGGACATCAAGGACCTCTTCCGCCGGAGCACGACGCTGAGCCTCCACTGCGCGTGCACGCGCGAGACGCGCGACATGGTGGGCTGGGACCTCTTGAGCCTCATGCCGAGGGGATCCATCTTGGTGAACACGTCGCGTGGCGAGGTGTTGCAGCTCGATGCCGTGGAAAGGGCACTGCGTGAGGGCATCCTTGCTGGCGCGGGACTCGATGTGCTTCCCGAGGAGCCGATCCCGGAGGACAACGTGCATTCGTTGATCAGGGCGTACAGGGACAGGGAGGAGTGGTTGGTCGGGAGGTTGGCCTTGACTTGCCATACGGCGTTTTATAGTCCGCAGAGCTTTGTGGATATACGGGTCAAGAGTGCCCAGACGATGCGTGAGGTGCTGATTGATGGGCTGCAGAGTAATGTGATTACGCCGGATATGTTGTAGCGCAGACACGGCGCGGAGCGGAGCGGAGCGTCGCCTGGCATAGCACAGCACAACGTAGCATATGGTGGCGTAAGTGGTATAGCACTCTTCGTACTGAATGGCAGTGAGAGTGGATAACCTTGACACGGTTGAACCAAGAAACCAGTACAGGACACTCTTTTGGGTTTTCCGTTACTTCTCGTCCCTTCTGCATTCGAATATTCCATGCTTACGAACAACGGCCCGAGTTCAGCGACACATACGCTTTTGCGTACATATCTCAGACACTTCACGCTCACTTATGTACTTACATATTTCGTGCGACTCGATTACACTGTTCTATGTACATACAGTAATTGTCCGCGATCTGCCCACTCTGGTGAGCCTACCTAGTGGTAAACACACAGTTTCCAGTGTCACTCACTATCGAGCCTTGCCGTCCGACATCCGACAATCCTAGCTGCCCGCACTCCCGCTGAACAACGTCCCATCGAAGTCCGTCCCATTATTCGGGTACTCCACGCTATAATTCCCAAAACAGACATACTGGTAATTACTCAACCCGAGCGCCCCCTCCTGGCTCGAGACGAACGCATTCAGCGGACACAGCCCGTCGGTGCGGTTACCGCAGTACCCGCCTCGAATCGTCGACAACGGCAAAATGCCATTGTTCAACCGCATCCGCACAAACTTGTACGTCGCGTTGGCGGGGGTATACCCGTACTGCGTAGCATAATACTGAGTCTGAGACGCATTGTTGGGCGCTGGACTCGCGCTCCCACAGCCAATCACCTCGGTGACCAGCCTGGCGGAGAAGGGCGTGAGATGCGAGAGGATGAAGCGCCGATTCGGGTCCGGCGGGAATTGAGTGAGTGAGGGCGGGTCCCGGATGTAGTCGAGCGACGCGGCCGTGAGGGCCGAGATGATGATGTCGTCGTGCGAGAAGTCGGCGTACAGTTTCTGGCCCAGCGGGAAGGTGCGCGAGTTGTTGGTTAAACTACTGTTCACGCTTGTCGTCGAAGAGGTGATGTATTGGTTTTGAAGCCGCGCCAGGAGTTCCTGTACGTAGCCGATCCCCTGGGCCCGGGCCGTAGGGTTCCCGAACGAGTAGTCGTAGTAGTACTCGATGTCGAGCGCGTTCTCGAAGCCAGCCCACTCGTCTTCGGTAAAGAGCGTGCAGAAGTCCGAGCGGCCAATGTAGTTGGTCTCGTAGGCGCAGAGGGTTCTGTTTCAGGTCAGCAGGAAGGGAAGCCGAAATGACAATATGGATGTAGAGCTAGGGGCGTCGGCTGGTCGCTGGACTTACTGCAACGCAAACGTATCGTTCATGGTGAGGTTGAAGTCGCCGGGCACGTATTGTGACAGTCGACTCTGCGCGCCAGGAAGGTACACTGATAGGTAGCTGAGAAGATCGAGGTCGCCGATGTATCCTGGCACATCGTTGTTGTCGTTGAAACAAGAGTCATACGACGCCAGCGTGTTGTTCTCGGTCCCTCCTTCCGGGATCACCACCACGTTGAACGGGCTCGTCCAGTTGCCCAATGTCGGGTTGGGCGTAGGCTGGAAGCTGGGCCCGAAGAAGCCCAACGTCCAGCTGATCTGGGTGTTTTCGATCCGGGACTGGCTGGTGGTCCGCAGCGTCAGCTTGGGCCTACTGGTCCCGTTGGCGAATGTCGCATTGTACGCAAGCTGTCCTTGTGTCGCGTTGTACAGGATGCGACCGTATCGGTTCCAGAATGTGACGCCAGACTGGAAGGACTGGGCAGCACCGATTCCAGTAAGATAGGCGCTTCCAAGATTGTATCGGTAAGAGTTCAGGAAGCTCAGATTCCCGGTGAATTGCGAGGACGAGTTGGTGTGAGTCCGAGTCCAGTTGGCGACCTTTTCCGCGAAGTTTTCCATGTTGGGTCCGTCGTCGAATGCGCTCCCAGGAAACCGAGATCCATGTCGCTGGAGCAGGTGAGCTTGCTCGACCTGACATCCATTGGGTAGGCCGACGTCGGCCACACCGAAGTAGTCCTCGGTGTTGTCGGCATACGGTGTGATCTGGCCCCAGTATTGCTGGATGGCATTAATATCCGTCAGAAGCTCGGCGGAGGAATCTGTGCCTGTTTGCCTGCGGACTCGAGGGGCTGGAGAGGCAATTGCCAGTACAAACAACCCTGCAATCACGGCCGAGTGGGAATGCATCACGGAGAGGTCTTAGAGACAGCCTTGCAGACAGAATCAGGCAGATAGGGGGAACAAACATGGTGGCAGCTTGGAGGAGCTGCTTGAGCTCTTGTACTAGCCTGGATGTATTTCTCTCCCCCCGATGCCCGGAGCTGCGGATCGCCTGGAGATACTACCACGACGAAAAAGAACTACGTAGGTAGCAACTCGCGGAAAGCTTATCACGCTTGTCGGGTGAGTTTGCCTCGAAAGGCAGGTTAAGCTGGGGGAATGTTTCCAATGAGGGGCACGCGACAGGACGACTCCCCTCAGTAACCCCCCTCCGCGTCATGATAAGTGGTGAGCCGAGTCTGTCCTAGTACTCCGTATCTTGACAAGCTTTCGAAGCTCACGTCCACCGGAGCTTGTCACTCATACCAATGCATGGCCTGAGAAATAGGGCATGAGAAGCCCACCGGGCTATTTGACGGTCTCTTATGTTGGACCCTGATAAAAGATCGTGCCCGGGCGTCGGCGTCGAGACAGCGGAGATTGCCTTTTTACCATGGAAACGCCGCCAAGGTGTGCGAGGTCCGTCCCATTCCTGACTCTCCGCCTGACTACCCTGGCCTGTCCTTGACGTTCATTTCCCGACGCTGGCGAAGTTGCCCTGAACACCATGGCCGTAGAGCTTGTCGTTGTAACGACCGAGAGCTTACCATAAGGTCGATTTCGCTGAGGCTTTCTTTCTAATCCCTTGATGTATTGATGGAATTCGGCCTCTGGAGACGGACACGGTGGTAGAAACGAGATGGGTTGCTCTCATACATACAATCGAAAGGTGCGCCTGGTCAGCATGCTGCAGAACTTCATCGTCGGGCATGGATTGGACAAAGCTCCTTCTCATCGTTGGACGGACGAGACATCGACCGACTGTCACTGTTGGTTTGTCGGCCTGAAAGCAACAGTGGCTGCTCTGTTCAGACCAAATCGTCATCCTTGGGAATGTGGGCGTCGGCTTGAGGACGGAGTGATCTGGCTGACACCGAACTTAGGAGATTAGCTTCGGAAGCTTGCCGATCATGCGGCTGCCAGCTATGCCATGATGAGAGCTCCTTCGTGGGCTGGTGAAAGGCGGAATGGGGTCGGTCCTAGGCCATGAACACGACCTCGGGAGGAGAAGCATCATTGACTGGGTATGAGGCTGACTTGGGCGCGGTTGATCCCTTGCTTCACCCTGTCTTCGCCATTGCGATTGTCGAATCACCCGTCTGTGCCTTCTCATTCCCGTTTGCGCCATCGTTGCTTGATGAGGACTCCTTCGATTCGGCCGCTTTCCTCTTCTTGTGGTCTTGCTTGATCGCATCGAATTGCGCCTGCTCATGGTCCCGGATGCCACCTGGAAAGAACGTCGCTACCATGTTGAAGCCAACCTTCTCATACCTACGTTCGACTTCATAGAGTGTATCAATCACCTTCGGGCTGCCATATACGCCAACATAGTCGAGCGGCACACCCAGCGCCTCTGGTTCTCTGTTCCAGCCAGCAACGAACATGTTTTGCAGGATGCCGATGCCGCCCACGGCAATCAAGAACCAGGCATCATCGATCAGGGCTGAGCTTGTGATGAGGAGTAAAACCCACAAGACCCCGAGCAGTGCATAGATCAGACGTGATGACATAGTGATATGCGGCGCATCGACATTGGAAAAGCCGGTTGCGAGGTCCTCCAGATCCAGCCCACGTCCTTTGCTGTCGATGACGATTGCGTGCTGCGCGCCGTTTCCTCTTGTCAGAACAAAGATCTTCTCTTTGCCATCAAGATGGCGACACGCCCACTTCTCAACCCTCCACTGTGTCAGCGAGCCGGTAATAAAACAGAGGGCTATCGCAGCGGCCGTGATCAGCAACACGCCCCAGTCCCCGTAAAGCCCGCAAGGTATCGCGGCAATGCCTAGTTGGACAATGGAGACGCAGATGCCCGACCAGTAGAGGATGTCCTTCCCTGGCTTTCCAGCGATTTTCATGGAACTGGCTTCCCAGAAGCTGACAACTAAGCCCGCTTGGACGCGTTCGGCCACAGGCCTTCGGAGGTGAGGAGGTTTCTTCTTCTCGGCTTCGAGGTCGTACTGGTGAGCAGACTTGAGGACCTTTTTCGTCTCGACCTTGATCTCATCACTCATCCACCAGTGGTAGTCTCGCATGATTCGGCCTAACACCCAAGACCCATTGCCACGGACGAAGCCGTTCTTGCCGTTGATAAGAGAGCAACCCGTGTCAGCATCGGGCATCAACTTATGCTCTCCGATGGCTGAGTTGACTGCCGAAGTCGCATAAGAAACCCATCCTGACGAATGTGAGCATCACCGCAACAATGGCGCGACGACGGTTGTTGCCAGAGGCCCTAGAATTAGGGACGTACCGAAGGAAAACGCGACGGGAGTCAGTCTACCGCCGGCAAGCTGGGCCAATGCCTTAGCAACCACATCGCCGCCCAGGAGAAGAAGGATCGTGAATGCGTAATTGCTCGGGCTCTTCCATTCGTCGCGGAACCAAGTTGCAGGAATGCCGGCGTCAAACGGGCGGCCTGGTACGGGGCTCATCTTATCGGGCTGTTCTGTTGATTACCAACAGGGCTGAAACATATCTCGACAGACTTGTAAGGCGAGAAAGCCGACACAGAGGAGGCTGATTATATCTGAAAACAGCCCATATGTACAGTCCGCTGGGGAAGGAACGATAACACGCAATGCCCAGGCCGCCAAGTCAGGGCTGGGAGCGTCCAAGTTAGGCGCCCCCAAGCCAGCCCCTCGAGCCCATTTTGGCATAGGCTAGCGCTCACCCAACGCTGCTCTGTCCGGCAACATCCCTTGGCCCAATTCCAGCTTGATTTCACTCTCCTCTGGCGAGCACAGCTCTGTCTGCATTCATTGCTACAGCAGCTGCAGTTTCGGCCACACCGCATGCGGAAACCGAGAGGATGTGCAAAATTCTCCTACACTGGAAAGAACAGCGCTTCGTTCGAAGCTCTGAGCCAACGGGTAAGATGCATGTTTATTGCGTCTTGACCAAAGTTTGACAAGTTTGACAGTGCCTGACTGAAACTCGCTTGGGGCACAGCTCGGGCGAAGTCGTGTTCGGTGAAGCCGCGCCCTGCTTGCGCCAATGGTGAATAGTTCCGTTTCTGTTCCGGGCTTCAATCCAGATTCCTCAGGTCGAGGACGACTTATGTCCTCCTCCCTCCACATCCTGCCTCGAGCTGTGAATGTCATGTTGCGCGACGATCGACTTTTTGCGGCGTGTCCAGCATCTATTGGCTGGTGAAGGAGCAACACGCACATGTGTTTCAGCAATGTCAAGGAGGAAACTTCTTTTCAGATGGATTTGCGAACGACAATTGTTAAGTGGACGCCATCGAGTACGCCATCAACCTGTCCGGGACGCTGGCGTAAAAACGAGGTGTCACACAACGGTTATCACGGCTGACTCGCGACGCTGTTGCGAATGTTCTGATAAAGTCCAGCGGGCTTCATGTCGTGCATGTCGCGCATCAACCACATACGTTCGAGAGCTGGAGGACGGACAAGGATGGCGGTGTGGTTGCATGGAGCTGAAGCGTGTCCACATGCGATATTAACCAAATGCAGCTTGAGTTGTGTGTACTTCAGCAACGATGCAGGTATAGGCCGTGATTGCGAGGTCTTAAAGATTCGAACAAAGCCAAAGTCGATCGTGCCTCTCGTCAATCCTCTCCGCCTCTGAATATTGCAAGTAGACATCCGCTGCGACAGTCACCGCTTTGATATGGATCACTTCGTCCTGCCGGAGGGAGTGAAACCCTGGATCGAGATAGCCTACGAAGGCTAGGAGGATACATACTACGACAAAGACCGCAGAAGTCTCTTTGACTTCTACAAAACAAGAGGATGGACTCCGGAGGATGTGTAATTCCAGCCGAAAACCTCCGAAAACCTCTTTGGGGGAGTTGTCGAGGGCGAAGAGGAAAAGCCTCGCTCAGCAGCAGAGGGTTAACCCCTTCTTCCAGACCTGGCTCTTCTTTGGGCTGATCGTAGAGGTGTTCGCATCGAACGATATCGCGGCGACAATCCAAGAGTTTCTGGTTATCAGAAGAGTCCCCTTTCGCTCAGACATGCGGTGAAGGATGTTTTGGGTCCAAGGCATCTTCCTGTTCTCAAATGGGACTATGAATAACGTGGACTTGCCACCTACCGACACGAAAGATTCACCTACTGCGGAGAAGGGAAAACGCCACCCTACGTCGCCATTTTCTCATGTGTAAGCTGCTCGTTGATCCACTGTAGCTGTAAGACTTGCTGACTACTGGAATAGCTCGGCCGATGGCATGGGAAACCCCTTCCATAACTCGCTGTTATACTGCCAGTTCGAAAGGATCCAACAGCTGGTTGGCGAGCTTTGCTCTGAACACCTGTCCGAGAAAAAGCGCCATGCAAGCCCGGGGTTCTGGATGGACACATCTACTGTATAGTCGGCCTTGACAGTGAAAGCAAGAGATAGAAGAGCAAGAACATCACGTCAATGCGCGAGATCTACCACGACTGCGTTGCGGTATTGATCATTGAACCATGGCTTGCGGGAATACCTACCACAGCACCATTTGCCGACAAAGCCCACCTAATCTACTCTTCTGGATGGTCAAGAAGGCTTTGGACCCACCAGGAGGGTTTTCTAGGTAGGGACATCTACTATCAGTTCATGACAAGCCACTCAGCTTTGCCGAGGTGACTGAAGCAGCAAGGGAGTACGAGCGTAGGATGGCAGCGAACGGGTATCCTATCATGTTCCCCTCGCTGCGGCGAGCAAAGCAAGCTTCTATTACACTGGCATCAAGAACATCATTGAGAACATCCGAGAAGGCGCTTTCGAAGGACGACCGGTGGATCATCTACCGGCACCTTGCTGTGTAGCTTTGGCACCGGTCCACAACCAACGTCGACGACGAACTTCTTTGTGTGGCGTCTGGCATTGGCCTTGACGTTGGAGACAATATCAAGCACAAAGACTCCGAGGACAACCGGGAGCGCACGGCGGAGGTACTACGAATGCAAGCCTTTCTGGAAGAGCTCGCCCGCTTCCCTCAAGGGATCATCTTCAGCAATTGTCGCCGCCTCACTACACCGGGCTTCCGATGGGCCCGAGTCTTGCTTCTGGAACATCGGGCCTCCGGCCTGGGAGATATTGACGGTTCGACGGATTCCAAGGTTGAAGATTACAGCACTCTGCCCACGGACGACAAGCACGTTGAGCTTGAATCCGGGGGATTGAAGGTCAAGATCAACCTCACTAAGCACTTGACGAAAACTCTTGGACTCAACAAGCGGTTCGTGTCTATCGTCCTGAATGACAAGACTGTCAAGCTGCCCACCGTAGGCCTTCCGGTCGACTACCCAGGCTACACCATCAAGTTCCCCTAGGCTCGGCCTCACGATCGATATGGCCGAACGCAGGTTTGTTATCAAGTACTCTCCCATCCCAAATCCTATGCCGGCCGTCACAACAACACCACCGCTCCCCAAGGCACCTTCGTTCGGGAAGGTGCCCGACGTCAAAGGAAGTCGTAGCTTTGGCAAAGCATGGGAGCATGTCAACCAGCAAGCCGAGAAGGCTCAAGTGTCCGCCAACAACCTTGCTGAGACTGTGACATATCAGTATGTCGTCTACATCGCAGAACCCGACGTGAAGTTTGAACATGACCGGGCCTATGCAATCATTCTCTAGCGACCGTTCGGTGACTCGGCCAACCAGGAGTGTCCGCTATGATAGGCCTCAATTCATTCGGGCTTGGGCCGCGGACCTTTGTGCAGTCCCTCTGTTCGGCGATTGTGCGTCTCGTGGGCAGATACGATTCGTACAAAGTCACTGCTGGACTGGACGTTGTCGAAGTCGGGAAGCCAAAGGCGAACTGGGTGGTCACGTAGGTGGCCGGGTAGGTATCATCCATTGCTTGATGCCACTTCCTCTACTCGGCTCTGAAGGACTCGTACGTACCAGTAATAGCACATAATGCTTAGGGTTTCCCACCTTCTTGGGCTGCAGCGACAATGAGCAGGATGAGGAGGACGCTATCATGAGCGAGCATATAAATATATTGAGGATGATTCCCGCACAGACAAGCATTTGCTGTTGCACCGTGACCTGCGCCTTATGCTTGTCTGGGCAAATGACACCCGGCCACGCAGCTCCGTCCAAGATGCCTTCAAAGACGCTTCACTCTCGCTGGACCTCGCCGACGGGTCCGCCAATCCATCCCGATGCGATACACCTTATGCAGGTTACTTCCATGCTCACGGGCGGACTGTAGGCTCGTCGTTGGCTCGATTCTAATATTTGCATGACTGCGCTCCCTTACCGTTGGGTCGCAAGCCGGCTGCGACACGCAGTCATCAGCAATCGATTTCCGGCGCAGTCCTCCCCCCTTGCCCCCATCTGCCAGCTTGGTTTCTTGACGCATTGATGCTGATGATGAGGTTGGTGATGTGTTGTTTGTCTTGAACCTTCAGCCATGGATACCCGAGTCGACACGCTGTCGGGCCGCTTTGGCGGGCAATGGGCCTTTCTCTCCTCGCCGCCCACCGCTGGATCACGGTCTGTGCCACACTCGTCCAGCTATTTACGAAGCGACCGCAGCAATATCTCCCCGCTGCCCACGGCGCTGCACTTCCACCAGCTCAATGCTTCTCGTTCCAGCCTCCCGCGGCACGCCCACGCCGCGTCGGTCGGTGATCGCAGCTCAACTACCACGATACCCACTCACCCGGTCCTCGTTCGAGTCCACTCCGCCGATCCCATCTTGCAAGTTCGACCCACGAGACGGCCAGCGAGACCCCGTCGGAGGCCTGGAAACGGAAGCATGGATCTGCCTGCCGAGGAAGAGTTCAGCATACGAGGGATCTTGGCGGCCATCGCAGAGGACATCGAAGACGACGTCGATGCGATAGCGGAGATACTCGGGCGGAGTCGGCTGGTGCTGGCAGATCAACATGAGAGCCACATGCCTCCACAGGGCGAGATCAGAGCTATAAGCAGTTCCTTGCAAGCCGTGGCAGAGGCGAGCGCGAGCAATGAGAGGCTGGCCGCCGCCTCCGATGACGTTCTCATCCTACAAGAAGACGCCAGCCTCGTCGAAGGGAGCCATACCGGCTCTGCTGCGTATGGTCTGCTCGAGAGGCTACAGATCGTGCCGGCCTCGAGACGGATGAGGAGTGAAATTCCCAGAACGGCGGGCTCGAGACCCGCCACAGCGTCTGTCCGACACTATTCGGCACCTCCAACACTGCCTGTCGTGCCGGCGGCTGCTGAGGATATGGGCGTGTCTACAAATACTTCGCTGCCACAGTCTTCGCGACGGCTGCTCCAAAGTCACATGGAGGGGGACAAACTGCAAGACGCCCAGCCAAGGACAACAGATGCCGTGGTAGCGGAAACATACTTGTCCGCTGCAGCAAACGCAGTCACTGTATCTGATCCACCGGTCGTGTCTGAGGCTGGTCGACATTACCCCCTGTACAGCTACGACTACAGTGAGCTGTTTGAGGGACCGATAAATTCTCCTCCACCAGTCCGAATGACCTTGCGTGAAAGACTGCAGTCGTTTATCCCGCACATCGATCTGCCAAATCTTGTGTCATGGGTCCACGGACACGATACACAGGTTATCAGCGCGGAATCACAGCTTCGAGAGATTCTACACAGACAGCGACCCGTGAGGGGTCCGAGCAGCAACCAGGGAGAGACTGTGGAGAGTCCGGAGATGTACGAATGAGGCCCTCAGCTACAAGCAGGCGCAGGCATCTGCTCGACTTATTTACAGACAAGCCGACCAAGTGGTCTCGCAGCTGTAACGACATTAGGATACGCCCATGGGCTGTCTTAAGCTCGCGCGAGCTGGCATCACTGCGAGTTGAGTGCTACGGAAGATGACCGATTCTCGCCCAGCAGAATGGATGGCCGAGGCTATTATCAAGAACCAATCCATGTCTAGGCAGTTGCGGAACCTTAAAAGGCAGACGAGGCTGCATCGTGGGTGCAGTAAGAGTCAACCTCAAGCCCGGGACTGGGGGCCAGGTATCCTTGTGAGATCCGCGCCGTCAAGCACGGGTAGCGGATATCAGATATAGTTTCCGAGCATGGCTCATGCTCCGTCCTTGGCACCACGTCCCGATACACAGGGATGCCAATGACACGGGGAGGATCTGCTGCTCAAGACCCTTGAAGAAGAGCAAAGCAGTGTTCCCACCACTGGAGCCCCTGCTAAGCCCATCAGCGGATTTGCTGCTCTCGCATGGTGCCTTAATCCTCCCTCGAGTATAGCCAGCTGGCACCAAGTGGCTACGGAGGTTCACTGCAGGCTGAGAAGGTGACTTTGTCGAGCAACGCTAAGTTTCTGTGCTCTGGATGTGTCTCCTGCTCATCCCGGAAAATAGTGACATTTGAAGCTGTGTTCCGGTACGTGTTAACAGTACAGAACAATATCAGCATTTCTATCGTTGCCGTTTGAAAAGCTCGGACAGTTCTACATGTTTCGCCGCTCAACCACGGATCCCGAACCTAACAAGATCATACCAAACCAGTCGACATCACGACTTGATCTTGATCAAGACCGTCTTCGTCTCCAAGAAGTTGTTGAGAGAATGTCCAAACCCTTCTCGGCCCACACCACTGCTCTTGTACCCACCAAATGGCATGTCCCGTGCAGTCATGGGACTCGTGCAGTTGACAGCCACGGTACCTGCTTCCAGCGCCTTAGCGAACCGTAACGCTCGGTCGATGTTCTTGGTATACACGGAGGCATACAGGCCGAACTCGCTATCGTTTGCCTTTGCGATGACCTCGTCCTCGGTCTTGAACGTGTTGATGTTGACCACGGGTCCGAAGATCTCCTCCTTCATCACCACGGCCTCCTCGGGCGAGTGGAGGAAGACCGTCGGCGGCACGAAATACCCTTGCTCACTGGCCCCGGAGAGGCCGCTGACTTCCTTGGTCCCACCCATGGCGAGCGTGCTGCTGGCCTTCCCGGCCTCAATGTACCTCTGCACCGTGTTATACTGGACCTCGTCGGCCTGAGGGCCATGGGTGGTCTTCGCGTCCAGCGGATCCCCTGCGGCAACCTGGGCAAACTTCTCCTTGAACGCCTCGACAAACTTGTCGGCGATCGTGTCCTGGACGTAGATCCGGCTGTTGGCCATGCACACCTGCCCGCTGTTGAACTGGATGCTATGCTGCGTCTCCTGGACCGCGGCGTCGAGATCGCAGTCCTCAAACACAATGGCGGGAGATTTCCCGCCCAGCTCGAGCACCACGTGCTTGAGATTCGATTTGGCGGCCGCCGCCTGGATGAGCCGCCCCGTGCGACACGAGCCCGTGAAACTTAGGGCACGCACGTCCATGTGCGACGAAAGGATCGCGCCGGAAGTTTGCCCATGCCCCGAAATGATGTTGAGGACCCCCGCGGGAAACCCTACGCGCTCGACCAATGTGGCCACTTTGGCCGACGTGAGTGGGGCCTTCTCGCTGCTCTTCAGCACGACCGTGTTGCCCGCAGCCAGGGCGGGCGCGACTTTATTCGCGAAGAACACGAGCGGCACGTTCCAGGGGATGATGGCCGCGACGACGCCGTAGGGCTGCTTGAAGGTCATGTTCACAAACCCGGGCGTGTTGAGGCTGCTGGCGCCCTGGGCATCGTAGCCCGCTTCGGCGTAGTGTTCGAAGGTGCTGGCCGCGGCGTGGGCGTCAAAGTATGTCGAGACAGGCCGGCCCATCGAGAGGGCTTCGAGGCGGGACAGCTCGTCGCTGGCCTCATGAAGCAGGGCGGCCAACTTTTTGAGATACACGCCCCGGTCGCCCGGTGAAAGGGCCGACCACGCTGGGAAGGCGGCTTTGGCGGCCGCGACGGCGGAGTCGGTGTCGGATTCACTGGCTTCGAAGACTGTGGGGTCGATACTTTAGTATGCCATACCGTCAAATGCCATGCCATGCTACACGATACTGCCTGCAGAGTTCACTGTGCGGTACCATGCAGCCGTTTCTAGTTGAATGAGCAGGGAAGGATGTCCGCGCACTTACCATCCGCAACCACCTCCCTCGTCGCCGGCGACTTTATCTGAAATGTCTTGCCGTCCGAGGACTCGGTGAACTGGGGAAGCGTCAGTAGGTTGGCTTTGTCGCGGCTCGTCTCCGATTGCCTTGTTGAGACCGAGCGGCCAGACAGATAGGAAGCACGTTACCTTGCCATTGATGAAGAGCCGCGTCTCGGGCTTGTCTACTCCTGCTGAGCCCATCTTGGCGGGCCGAGCAATCGATACTGGGGATTTAGATTTGTCGAACTATGGATTGAGAAAGGGTCGACTGGTGAAACGAGCGTATCCTCGAACTCTCAACCGTACGGAAAGAGAACACCACAAGTCAAAAGCGTGGTAGAGTTTCTTCTAGTTCTTTAAAAGGTCTGCAGTAATTACTACAAGTGAGTTAAAGTACAAATCTAGATGCCGGCCGGAGCAAATCGACTTGTGGCACCGGCGTTAAAGTTGAGCACAGCAAGATCGATGGAGGGGCTGAGGAGGCGATCTCGGAATGCCCAAGCAAGTCAGTCGCACCCTGTGCGATATGGACGGGTGTCTCATGAATGCTGGCACTGTACGCGCTTACTTGGGCAGTATCGGATGAGGCACCCGACGTACCCGCGGGGCAGTTGTGTTTCCGACTACCACAGTACTCTCAGTACTCGTACGAAGGCCACGCAGTACGAGTACTACAGATCCACGGGGACACTCCGTACGGGGGTTATTCTCGACCGCAGCGTACGTGGGGCTTGCAGTTGTGTGTGCATGGGCGTCGTATCTGGGGGTCTGTCCCACATACAGCACGGGGACACACTGTTCACCACACGCATTAGGGTTGGTTGCTTTCCATTTGATTCACCTCGTCAGGTCCCTCGATCCCTTAATCCCCGGGATGAAAGTGAATAGATACATAGTAGACGTGGATAATGCGTATCGCGATGGGAATTACTGCTCGCTTCAAGTCAGTGAGGACATTGCTATCGTGCACCGCTGTCTCTCATTTATGGAGGCGTGCCTGGGCGGAGCGGGACGACTTCGCAAGGCGTAGTCGCGTTTACTGCCCTCTCAGATACCAAATATCTCCCGGTCCGCGATATACCATTTCATAGTTATCCAACAGTGATTTCAGTGACTACCGATACCATTCACTCCATTGGACGCCGCGCCGTTAACCCCGTTCTGCCCATTCTGCCGTTGTTTCTCAATCTGCCAGGGCAAAAGCTCCTTGGCAGGCTGGGCAGGCCCGATGTCACCGGACTCGGATCTCCTCTTCTGCCAGTCGACGATATCGCGTTCGTCGACAAAGTTGCCGTGTAAGCCCAACCTCAACTTGAAGGGGAGGTGAATCACAGCCACGGGTCCCTTCGCCACATTGAGGGCATCTAGAATGACGACGTCGTTCCGCAGTACGTCAAGGTGGTTCAGAAGAGCAACGATATAGCCTTCGCCTTCACCGCCGCCGTCTTTGGGGATAAAGCTCGGTTCCTGGAACGTCGCTGTGGGGCCTGCAAAGTAGACGTCCTCTTTCCTATCGTCCCAGCTGTAGTGGCCGATGCAGTTGAACAACCCGCCAGCCGGTGAACCGCATTTCGCAAAATCGTACGGCTTGGTCGGGTCGACCTTCGCCTGCCAGAAATGATTGTACTTCTTCGTTACCCATCGGTCGTCGATGCGCGAGAACTCGCCGTTCGTCATCCACGTCTCGGCGGGAGTGACTCTCGTATATGACTCAGCCTTGGGATCGAATATCCACCGCGTGGTCGGGCTTTGTAGCTGATTGCGTTTGGCAAGTGGTCCTTCCTTTTCTTCGAGCGGCGGGAAGAAGAAGAATACGTTCCCATCGGCAACTGTGAGGTCGAACACGATGTGGCCGTCAGAGTTCTCGTAGCAGCCGGCGATGTGGCCGTGGAAGGCTGGGAATATCGTCAGCTGAATTGAGTCTTGCGTAGGGAAGAGGAACTCACCATTGTCTGCCCGGAACCACCTGATATCCTCCGGCTTGCCGCCCCGTCTCGGCACGACGCCGTACCACTGGTCCTCATCAGGATCCCAGGCCCAATGATTCTTGCCGCTTTTCACCGAATCCATTCCCGTCCATTTGATTGGCGTCAATGGCAGAACCATGTAATTGTCACTGACACCACAGTCGTGGATCATCCCGCAGAATGGCGCCTTGTACCAGCATTCCTCGGTCTTCTTGCCATCCTTGTCGATCGTCCATACCACGACATCGTTACTCCCATCGTGGCCATCCCCGCCTGCCTCGTACGCAAAGCAAAGCATCTCACCCGTCTTGGGGTCGAACTTGGGATGTGCAGTAAATGTCGGCGTGAGGATCTGTCCTTCAAAATCATACCGTCCGATCGTCTCCAGCGTCACCGGGTCCATGATATATGGCGGACCATCCTCCTTACTCGCCAGCAACACGCCTCGCCAGAATGTAATGTTGGTGTTCGCTGCCGTCCTTACGACGCCTTTCACGGTCTCGTTATCTGTGAATGGGTTCCTGTACCGGCCGAATAGTGCCCGTTTGGCGGAGGTTTCGTGCTTATACCGATCGGTTTGCACGTATCGTTGCTTGAAATCCGCATGTCCATCTTTTATACGGATTGCTGTCACGCTGCCGTCGCCGTTGAAATGAATGTCATCTTCAAAGATGGGTGGAAAGCGGTGGTCCGGCTGAACACGGTAGAATGTGCCATTGATTTCGGGCGGGATTGTGCCGCTGTATTCAAGGTCGAAGACGTCGCCTTCAATGCGCGAGGGTTTGTTGAAGCCCTGGAAGACAGGCGTGTCAGGGAACTTGACGGGGAGTGGATTGCTCTTGACGCCTGATCTGTACGACTCCACGAGTTGAGGCGCAAGGTCGTAGATGTGCGCCATCGTGATTGTCTTCCCGAGCGTATGGAATGAAGTGTGTGAAGCGCCGCAATGAGCTTCTGGCTTGTCGACGTGTACTATGTGCGGACTAGGCACCTATGCATCTCATCTCTTCTCATCGAACATTATATCCACCGGATGACACTGCAATGCACCAGTAGCCGCAAAGCAGGTCAGACAACATTTTCCCAGCCCGGTCGCTTAAAGCGTCCATGCTCGTCATGTCAGCCTACCTCGCGTATTGGCGTGGAGTACGGAGGAAGCATCGAGACAAGACTGAAGTCGGTTGCTCCATGTTCCGAATGCCCGGCATGTGATGTTGCGAGAACTGCCGGCTAGAAATGTGCCAGCTGGTCTGGACTTTCAGGAATCCATTATCAGATTCGGGAATGGATGTTCAGGAACGCGTCTTTCTCCAACTCTTCCCTGCATGCTTGATTGATCTGAATCTGGGCTGTGGGGTACAGTAAGAGGATCCCATTGCTCTCTGTAGGATCACCGAAGTTGATGCTTGATTGGTCCCGCAGGCGGGAATCTAGGCTGCGGAGACATCCGGAGGATAAAGTGGTAATTGGTTCTAGAGGTCGGACTTACACAAGAGGGTCAAAAGAAGAAGATAGAGAAGGTGCATAGAGGATGGTACCTAGCGCCGCCACAGTCATGCGCCCTCATACCTATCTTGCTTTAGTGTTCTGCCGTAGCTCTCCCAGAACGACCCTGAGGTCCGCCGTACTCAATTTCCCTGAACAACCACATGAATCGTCCTCTCATCTACGGAGTAAAAGTTTGTAATTGTCGCCCATGCTTGACCTATGATCCTGACCACCATGAAATCGTCGTCACACGAAAGACCTCAATGCGACCAGCATGAGCTGGGCTCTCTGTAATCCGCGCGCTCGATCCGACCAGGTATCCGTACTGGCCAGGCTGTGGAAAGGTCGTCGATCGCGAGGAGGTCATCATCAACCCAAACTCAAGCAGCCTTGCCGCATTTACGGAGTTGCGACAACACAAGTTCTCTCACGGGACTCGGATGACTCCCGATGCCTATGCAATTGGTGAAAGAGCAGTCGAAAAGAGCTAGGATAAAACACGCTCGCAACTCATACTTTCTCTGTACAGACTCGTCTAACTCAAGCAACCGCTGTGCTATCCGCAATGACCCCGTTCTTCTCAACCACCTTCTCAGTCTCCCCCTTCTCCTTCTCTAGCTTCTCCAACTGATCTTTCGGCAACGCAATACTCAAGGGCGGCAAACTGGTACTGACATCCTCGCCATACTTCGGCGCCCTCAAGTCATCGTCTTTGACAAACTGCCCAGTCACAGGGTGTGGGTAGTGGAACGGAATGCACCGCGTATCCGGCCACAACATCTTCTGTTCAATCAATTCATCCGGCCCACTCGGATCCTCCGGGTACGTCTGCGTCGGCCAAGGGATATAATTCTTCTTGGTGTGTGCCCATCCGCGCTCGAAATCTGCATGCCAAAAGGGAAAGTACCGATATCGAAACGGTTTCCACACACCGTCTTCCTTGATGTATTCGTTCTCGTACAGGCCGCCTTCCCACCATTGAGCGTGGCCCCGAGGGTGTTCTTCCTGGATGGACTGATGCGTGCCAGCGGACATGAGGGCGCGGATTCTTGCCCAGGCACGAGTCCCAGACGGGTCGACGTCCACGATGTCTTGCATCATAGGGTGGTCGAGCAGAAAGCCGTACACGGGCCCATTGCGTCCTTTGACGAAGAAATTCTGGAATCGCCCAATGTACAGTCGACGGATTCCTTCTTTCCCACGGTACCGTGAGCCCAGAAACTCGACGTACGCGTCCGGGTGGTTGGAGAACATGTCAACGACCTGCGCGTCCCGTGAGCGTGCGTGCCACCATTTTGGAAGTGCGACCGACTGACCTCCTGGTACAGACACTTGTCGAGATAGTAGCCATATTTGAAATGGACTTTCCTGATCTCTGCCTCGTCTACAACCAACTGACTTAGCCCGCTGGATATCGACAGTGACTAGACCACGGTCTCACCTTCGACCTTCTGCAACTTAGTGTGCAGCCTCTTCACCTCCGCCTTCAACTCAGCGAGTTCGTCGCCCATCATTGCAGTCTATCTACTGTGACGTAGATGTCGAGGAAGGTAAGTGCGCAGGAAACCTCGTGAATACCCGCGACAGGCTCGCACAGACACTGACCATGCTGTATGTTGTCCCGGGCGTACCGTTGCACTTTTATCATATGCGCGCGTATCCTCGACATCCAGGTTCTCCGCACTGCTTTCCTGAGTTGCAGCGCGCGTTCTCCGAAAGAAGCGAATGCCCCATCTAAGAAGTTCGCAACCCAGATGACGGTCCGGGGGTCCCGCAGCGCTAGTTTGTGACCTACATCTGCAGGGTACGGCTGGAACTGTGGTAGAGTTTCGAGAAAAGGTACACTTATGAAGCTACAGTATGCCATGCCGTGTACGAGGAGGGTCGGCTGACTGGCCACCTTGCTGACCAAACCCGAGAGCTTAGAGGTTGGAGCTCGGCACTCGCACCAACTTGAGCTTGCTTGAGGTGATCTCCAAGCTTGACCCTTGCTTCCATGGTTTGTGGCAAGCCCCCGCGTTTTCGGAAAGACATCAAAACACCACACACCGACACGACACAGTACACCAAGGTTAGGAGGCATGTGTTCCACACAATACTTTCCACATCAGCTTCTCGACTTTACTGTCAAGCATGTATCCTCTCTGATCAAAGGGCCACCTCTGTCTGACTTCATCCCCTCTACTTACAATTGTCCATGGTCCACAGCACCCGGTTCTGACACTCAAATGTTGTCACGTAAACTTTCGGACGGAGTGGATTCACATCCCGTCCGTTTCGGCCCCGAAGCAGCATTCAGATTGCATGGTAGCACTTCGGCAGGTATGTACTGTGGCCTCATCCCTCGAGTGTCTGGGAACTGCCGAAGTGGTACAGAGTACAGCTGTGGCTGCATAGAGCCGACCTTGGGTGCGATGCGCCTGCTTGATTCAGGGGCATTGCTTTACCCCGCAACCCCACAGTGCCCGCTGCAAGCATAAATGTCAAAGAGGCAAGCGATCGTGGGGTAAGTCCGTACAAGTTTGGCTGTGTGCAGCCGTCCAGCCAGCGAACTCCTATAGCGAGAGCACACATTGTAGCCCGCGCCAGCGTGCTCTACTGGAACTTATCATGCTTCTCGACTGGTGCAGATAGACTATATCGGAGGTCACAACCTCTGTGACCGATTGGTGCGACCATCGCACAACCGGATGATGACCCGTTCTCCCTTTCGTCCTCACCCTCACCCACTTGTGCATGTGACTCAGTCGTCCACTCATACATCGCATCTATGGCGACTCCCCTTTTGGCTCTACGCACGAAGTACACGGCCCAATCAGAAACAAGCAAGGGAGGAAGTGAAAGGTTCAATATCGATATTGAGGTAGCCCGAAATATTCAACACGAGTCACTCCTGATCTGTATAGGTACCAAAAGAATGTACTCGTGCACTAGTTTGTTTTGTCCGTCAGGCACAGGAGTACTAGTACCCATCGCACCGACGGACAAGGGCAACTCAGGCCTCCCATGACAGTATATACAGTCTACTGGGATTGTCAGTAGAGAAATAACCAGAGTGGCAATCTATCTCTCAAAATCAAATATCGACGACCATTTCTTTCGAAAGAGTGGAAGCGGCGGTAAGGCCATCAACACGAACAACAGGTTGTGTCCCAAGAGGAACGGTGCAGATCGTCGCAAACCTCTCACTTCTCCACAAATTACATGTGCCTCCACTGCCATCACACCGTCCTCACATGCCACTTTCACCAATGCGTGGCGCACCACCTTTCCAGTCATGGCGCTCGTAGTATCGAAAAACCAAGTCATAGCCATCCAAATCGTGAACAATCCTATCGACGCGACGGTACCCTTTGATAGAATCCATTTTGGTGTTGCGACGAGCGGCTTGTCGCTCTAAGAACCTGATTTGTGCGAGCTCATCATGATCAGCACAAAGCTTCTCCTCGTAGCTTGATGTGGCCTCGAACAAAGTGACGGAGAAGCGGCCTGGCTTAAAGATGTCCACCACATTCTGGATGATATCGGTGGTCTCACGGCCCTTCTGGCCACAGGGCACATTCGTCTCGAAGGAAGCATAAGAGCAAATTGGTTCCGGCGTCACATGGACGGTGAAGTAGTGTGTCCCTCTTCCACCATCGGGTGCTGGGATGACGCCATTGGCCGAAAATCCGCAGGGAGTAAAGAGGTAGGCATCGACTCTTGCATCGGGGTATTTGTCCGCTGGGTAGACGTTGGAAAGGCCGCATGAGTCAGACACAACAGTGCCAAGAGCATGGCCTTCGGTGGTGAGTTCGGATGGGTAAGCCTCCTCCTTGATGGAAATATCGGTGTCGTCATCAGAAGCGTTGCTGAATACATCGACGTGATCATCTCTTCCTCTCTGGGATCCTCTCCACTGATCTTCTGCGACCGCACTCGCATGGTCGAGGTAGAATTGCTGGGCATTCTCCTCGTCCAAATCAGTCATGAGAATCTCCAGAGTTTCGTCCTCACCTTCGCAAACCTTTGATCCACGGTCGACCACAAAGGATGTTGGTAGATCCAGAATTTTCGTCTCTGTACCAGGGCTATCCATGCTTCTGGGACTTGCAGGCGGTGTCAACATCGTGTATGGTTCGGTCAAATAGAGGTACCAATGCTCGCCGTTCATCTTGCCGATCATGTAAGCACTTCCTCCAACGAAGAGTTTGTCCAGAGTCTGTACTTCATTCCGCCAGCTGCGGTGTGGTCCATGTTGGCGGTCAGGGAACAAGTAATTTTTCCGGCTGTAGAAAACGCGGTATGGCGCAGCTGCAACACTAATGCCGTTGGAAGGTGGTGCAGTGGCCTGGGCAAATCCTCCAAAGAGAACCGCGATCTCGAGGATGCGTGGAAGACCACATAGCAGAGTGGTTGTGCCGCATGTCTTCAAGATGAGCTTATGGGGAAAGACGAACATGCTCGACTCGGAGAGGAGATAAGCATCAACATCTTCGGACTCGATGATGGACAAGACTTTGCAATTGACCAGATCAAGCATTGTCTTCCACACCTCGGCGGGCACGGCCTTGAGTCCCATTGGCTCGGAGCAGCCCTGGAGGGCATCGGGTGAGGGACTGAACCATACTTCTAAAAGTTTCTCCGGGCCTAAACAGCGTTAGATACAAGCCGACTGTACGGATGGAAGGACTGCTTACCTTCGAATGCATTGCTAGAATCGAGATCTAGTGCAACTTCATGATTGATAGTCAACGATGGCGTATGACTAAAACTCGATGGCGAAGTTGTATAATTCTTGGGGATCCCAATGTTTACCATATCCTTGTCGAGAGCGTGGACGAAGTCCTTGTTTGGAGAAAGTCGAGGTGGTTTGACAGAAGGTGAAGGACCACTGATCTGACGAGTCAGTGAAGCACTATCTGCCACTCAGACGAACAATGCGGTGTCCGCCTGAGAAGAGAAGGCCCACTATGCGGTGGGAGGATAGGAGGCTGGCTTTTGCCAGCAGCAGTGTCCTAGTGATGTGGAATTCCCTTCTGAGGGTCGTTATGGAGGCCTGGTAGAGGAGAGGAGGAAGAAGATTTCCTGCACGAACGGAATTGTGGGCAGTATTTTTAAAACTTTTCCAGTCGACTTTCGATACCCGTCAGGATATCGATGGAAGTATTGTGCTTGTTCAGGGATAGCCTTCCTGGAAGAGAGTCTGATGTGAAGTCGATGTACTTTGGTTCTCGCAAGTAGCTGGTGTTATCGAGGCCTTGGTTGAGGTTAGCGGCGACGTTGTGATTCTAGAGGGAAACATACTTTGCTGGCTTTGATAGAAATCGTAGTAGATCTTTGCGGCTCATAGAGATGCTACTAGAGTTCACTGGAGAGAAGGGCGGCTGCCACAGTCTTCAACGCGGTCGAGTCGTGGACTCGTGAATTTCGCCAGAACTGCGATGACTGTCGTGGTGAAGTTTGTGGGTTGGCCGAAAAATGCCTCAGCAAAATTTCGAACTCCAAGGCCACTCAATTGCAAGTAAGTGAACAGGCTTGAGTGGAGGTGGACCTGAAAGGTGAGACGAGAGCAGCGACGGATAAATAACTTCGTGCACTTATAAGGAGATCGAACTAGAAAGTGCGCGGTCGAGGTTTTGAAGGCAAATTTGTGTGGCTTCACTGTTGATGCTGCACCAGAAAGAGCAGCTGGCATTTTTGTGTGACGCCGTTGGGACGTGGGCACTCAGTGGCACTGGAACACCGCCTGTTCGAATTTTTGGGCGCGGGACTGAAAAAGTACCCAGTCAGATGCCTGCAAACACCCCCGACTCGCGCCGATGACATGCATTCCGACGATATTGCGGGCCCTTCTAGAGAAGACTCGACTAGCGCGGACAGGGCTACGCTGCGTCATCCTTCAATTGAATCCTGAGGAACCGACGTGATATCTACTACGTACACGAGATAAGTGTACACCTCGACATGGCGACATGGTGAGTGAAGGTCAACAGCATCGTTAGCCTTGTCCCATCAGTCGACTGTCCGTCTGTGTATACTGCCAGGCAGACCACAGATGCCATTTCCTGAAAAAGTCCCAACTGCGAGGAGCACGTGCTCTTTCTTCTTGGCCATCTCAACTGCACATGCTCTGGAGGGACCCCTCCACGCACATAGGCAGGAGGGTGATATTCGACAGAACGAATACCACAAGGCTCGTCGAAGCCCAATTCCTGGGACCCTCTATTAGTGCTGCGGCAAGAAGTTGTGTGACCTATACTTAATCTTGCAACACCACAGAACGAACGCGGAGAGTACGGAGTAGATAGCATCCAAAGCATTATTGGCCCGTCGCGGGGTTCAAGCCCGCCCATGCTCTTTTTCCCGGTGCCTGGATGTTCGACGCCACACCCCGCAGCTCGACCTTACAGAGCCGAGGGATTCTCAAGAACTGAACGAGGCTAAGCCACACGCTACAGGGCCACCAATCGCACCTTTCAAGGCTGAGCTGCGAATTATTGGCCGCCACCGTAAATGACGCCAAAGCCGTCGATCCCCACCTGCTTAACAATTCTTTGTCGGCGAGGCGTGTTACAAATGTCCTTATCTGCGGTATTGCCCCATCCACGTCAGTTTGCTCACACTGTTCCGTATGTACTAGGTCTGGCACTCAACACTTTCTCACTATGGGCCTTGAGAACGTCAAGCACGTCGTCCTTGTGCTATCGGGCAAGGGCGGCGTAGGCAAATCGAGTGTCACACTTCAACTCGCCCTCTCACTTTCTCAGCAGGGTCACAATGTCGGCATCCTGGATATCGACCTTACAGGCCCAAGCATACCTCGCCTCTTGAATCTGGAAGACAAGAAAGTTACTCAAGCTCCCGGTGGCTGGCTACCTGTGAAGGTGCATGACGCGAGAGATGCAAGTGACGAAAACACACCCAGACGGGGTGCCCTCCACGCGTTATCACTGGCCTTCCTTCTACCGTCCCGTTCCTCGGCTGTCATATGGCGCGGGCCAAAGAAGACCGCAATGATTAGGCAATTTGTCTCAGATGTTTTGTGGCCGCCGAATACAGACTATCTCCTCATTGACACCCCTCCCGGCACAAGTGATGAACATATTGCCATCGTGGAAGAGTTACACAAGCTAGCGGCAGATGTTCAACCTGCGGCAGTGGAAAATGGCAACGGTCTTCACCTCGAGATTGACCATAGACCAAAGTTGTCAGGTGCGGTGGTTGTCACTACTCCGCAGGCCATCGCAACCGCCGATGTGCGCAAAGAGCTCAATTTCTGCGTTAAGACACAAGTTCCAGTGCTAGGAGTGATCGAGAACATGGCCGGGTACATGTGCCCATGCTGTGGTGAAATCAGCAACGTCTTCAGCAAAGGAGGTGGCCAGATTATGGCTAATGAGGCCAACATTCCTTTTCTAGGCTCCGTTCCTATCGATACTGGATTTGGCGCCTTGGTTGAGGGCGTTCAAGGCGATACGGACGCCGCAAGTACAAATACGCCAACGAACGGAGACAGCTCACCATCTCATCAGACTGAACTTGTTGAGCGATACAAATCATGTGGCCTCTTTCCTATATTCTCAGAATTCGGGTCCAGCATACACCAGAAGATACAAGAAGTTTCAGGCTCCTAATTCCAACCTCGCCAAAGCTTTCTTCGCAGCTGACTCCCTCCTGAGACTCAACACCCAGTTTTCGACCGGTTGTCTTTGTGTTACTCCCTTCTGCCGTTGTCCGCTTCTCGAACACACTGGCTGCAAAAGTCCTCCACTTAGATCTCGGGCCAAAATGTTGGGAGAAATGCAAAAGCCGAGCGCCGATCGGCCCTCCTGACAATTTCACGTTCACAATTTCTGTGCTGCCAGAAAGTCGCAAATCTCCGCGACATACAATCTCCATGGCTCTGTCCTCGATGTTCAGCCTTCTCCAACGCCCTTCGGCGTCTTTCCGGGACTGGGTCCAAGTCAGGCCTAGGATCTACTCTCTGATTACTGGATGAGACCAGCTAATTCTACGAAGCGTGCTGTGCAGAATACTCTTGGCTTGATGTGGGTCTTGTCCTGGGAATCGAAATCCGTGGATTTCGCGTGCGGCTACGGAGTACACACTAACGTGCCGTGTCTTCCACCTCCCCCAAAGCGGCCCCGGATTAGAAGATGACTATATGGGGTCCCCATAAAGGTATGACTTGCCAAAACAGCAAGATCCAGTACGTGAGTACGATCACGTCTCTTTCTATTTACTGGTCGCCAGCGGATTGCGCCGTCATCACGATGTTCCAAGATTTGCGTGGATCAGCGTTGGTTTGGGCCATCACTCTCTCTTCGGGTTCCTGCTATGTTCTCTTTGGCTATGATCAAGGGGTCTTAGGAGGACTCGTTGCTCAGCCATCCTTCCTCGATGCTATCGGCAACCCCAGCGCCAGTTATCTCGGGACAATTGTAAGCCTCTGCGCACTCCAGTGACTCGTTGCCTTCGCTTCCTTATTCTAGCTCCACCGATGTGCAATCACGCTGACGGAGGTTCTCAGGTTGCATTGTACAACATCGGCTGCCTTGCTGGCTGTATGGTTGCTGCGGTGTGGGGCAATGTGTTCGGGAGACGGAAAACAGTTCTCATTGGATGTTCCATCATGGTAGTCGGTGCCATTATACAAACGGCTACCTATGGCGCTGGTCAGCTCATTGCTGGAAGACTTATCTCCGGCCTGGGAAACGGAATGAATACGTCCACAATACCTGTCTACGTCTCTGAGACGGCCCGGAGTCACCGACGAGGACAGATGGTGGCCGTGCAGCTCTCGATCGTGATTGCTGGCATTGTGCTCGCTTACTGGATTGGTGAGTCTATTTTTCGAATGATTGCTGCTGTTTTGAGGGAGCTTTGGTCGACTCCCCGTGAGCAAGGTTGGATACTGACGGATGTCCGCAGACTACGCGACAATCCGCACACTCACGGGAGAGGTTGTGTGGCGCTTTCCCATTGCATTTCAAAATGTCTTTGCTTTGATCACCATGGCGACCATGCCGTTCCTCCCTGAAACTCCCCGATGGTTGTACTCTCACGGTCGAAAAACAGATGCGGTTACAGTACTGGCAAGGCTCATGGATACCACCGAGGACGATGAGCAGGTTCAGTTCATCAAGAACGAAATGGAGGAGGCTCTGGAGCTTGAGAAACAACAACCGAGCTTCAGTATGAAGCAACTGGGCGAGAAGAGCGATCTCAAGCCACTACGGCGGCTGGTCCTGTGCTTCATGGTGCAGTTCTTCCAACAGTTCACGGGCATTAATATCATCGTCTTCTACGTCACAATTGTCCTGGAGCAAAACATGGGGCTATCCAGCGAAACCAGCAGCCTCGTCGCTGGTTTCATCCAGATTGCCTTTTGGGTTGGAACTCTACCTCCGATTTATTACCTGGACAAGTATGGTCGCCGGCCCACCCTCTTGATTGGCTCCGTTATCCTGCTTATCTCGCTTGTACTGTTCACGGCCGGCATCGCAGTCAACACCGACTCCTCCAACAACCTGGCGTTGGCGATGCTCATCCTCTTTCAGATAACCTTCGGCATGTCTTGGAATGCTACGCCCTGGATATATGCGCCTGAAATCACCCCACTCCAGCTCCGTCACGTAGGTTCAGCTGTGGGACCCTTTTCTGAGTGGCTCTGCACATTTGTAAGTTCACCCCGCTTTCATGATCGCCGTGCTGACGGTCCCCAAGATAATTGTGCAAATGACACCGACAGCAGTCGAGCACACCGGCTGGAAGATATATCTTTTGTTCGTTATCCTGACTGCTCTGAGCATTCCTTTTGTCTACTTCTTCCTACCGGAGGTAGGGAAGATCCATCAAGCTACTCGTTTATTGAAACTCCTGCTGACTCCCACCAGACCACCAAGATGACGCTGGAAGAGATTGACTATATTTTCGTCAAGGACGAAGCTCGAGAACGCCTCCATGACAGAGTTCAAGAGATGGGAAGACGAAACTCGCGTCCCGGGAAGTCAGAGAAGAATGCAGGAGTTACAGACAACTGAGTACGTAGATACGGGGCGGCTGTGCTGAGGGTCCATTCGGCGTAAATGTCCTATATGCGGCGATTCATCTTCCACATGGACACTAACGGCTTCCCCTTCCGGCCGCTGACGAGGGATATGATCAAACTGGCGCTGACGAGTATCATCCCTCGGTTGCCTTCTTTTGGAGGGGACGCGAGAGCGCAGAAGCCTGTGTCACTGTAAAGCCGAGCAACCACACCCCGTTGGCTTCTGCTCACCCTGGCGCAAAACGATACTGAATGGAAGGGCTGTGCGCTATCAAGCTGCAGACCCGGCGGTGGTCAATGATGCATCCTATTATGTCGGCATCCAGCATCCATAGCTGAGCCAACACATGCGAGGTTTCAGGGCGACCGCGGCCGAGAATGGGGATATGAGGCTGCATATGCCCCAACAGGCGAGAGAGGGCAGACATTTGTGGGTAGGGTGGAAGTTAAATGCATCGCGAAGTCGAGGCATCCGGCAAGTTATACGAGTACCCGATTGAGTGCCTGATTGAATGCCTGAATTCCTCGTCTACCAGTATCTCGTTCAAGTATAGATCAAAGTTACTTAAACGCTGTTCTTCCAGACGGAGGAATTGGAGTTATGTAGCCTCGAGCTTGCTCCATCCGGCATTTGTCTCATTCTCGCTTGAACTCCCAATCTCAGATTGACCTCACCTCAATGTCACATCGGCCTTTCACCAAATTATCTATCTCGTCTCTGCTCTGGAGGCTTGTTCTCCTCGCACGATAACTCAGCGTAGCTGTGACCCAGTGCAGGCTGGACTATGACGACGCTTGTTACATTCTTCCACAGATTGTGAAGCGCGTGTCCATCATCCGCACTCTAGCTCTAGGCAGCTCAGATGTCGCGTCAGTCCAATGGGCCGTTTGCTTACTATGGCACACTCATACATTCTATCAGCCCTTCTAAGCTTGAGATCCTTCAAGATGCAGTTGTCGTCGTGGATGGAAATGGTAGGATAAGTCTAATCAGTCCGCATTTTTCAGTCGAAGGTGGCCAAGGCCTTCAGGAGATGATTCCAAAATTACTCAAGCAACCCGACGCTCGCGTCCGTGTCACGACCCTGAAACCTCATCAATTCATCGTGCCAGGATTCATAGACACCCATGTCCACGCACCTCAATTCTCAATGCGGGGCCTCGGTCAAGGCTTGCACATCCTTGACTGGCTTGACCAAGTTACCTTCCCACACGAATCGAGGTTCAACAACAACGACTATGCCACAGAAGTCTTCACAAGATGCGTACAAATGGGCCTCCGCCAAGGCATCACGACTGCGTGCTACTTCGCCAGTCTCCACACCGAGGCGACGAAGATTCTAGCGGACGTGTGTCTGCAGGAGGGGCAGCGGGCATTTGTTGGCAAGACGTGTATGGACCATCCAGAAACGAACCCAAAGTATTACAGGGAAGAAACCGCCGAAGCGGAAGCGGGGACGGAAGAGTTGATTCAGCACTGTCGAGCCGTCGACGAAAGTGGGACCTTTGTCCGGCCCGTCTTGACTCCAAGGTTCGCGATAAGTTGCACACCAGAATTACTGACTAGGCTGGGAAAGTTGGGGAGAGAGCACGAGCATGCTTATGGTCTAGGCGAGGGCGTGCCGAACCAGACACACTTCTGTGAAGCACAACAAGAGATCGATGCCACCCTGAAGCAATACGGAAAGTTCAGCTGCGAGGCAGATCTCTACGAGCACTATGGTCTGCTCAACAGCATGTCCGTTCTTGCTCACTGTACGCTGCTTAGCCACGACGACCTGGTGAAAATCAAACAGCGAGAATGTGGCATAGCGCACTGTCCAATTTCAAACGTCACCGTCGGAGGTGGTTTCATGGCTGCGCCGGTTCGAAGATTCTTTTCCGAGGGTATCACGAAGGTCGGACTTGGAACCGACTCCGGGGGCGGGTTCTCATGTAGTCTCATGGATGTGATGCGGCAAGCACTGATTGTCGCCAACGCACGCGAGATGCTATCGGAAGGTAAGGAAAGACGTCTAGGTCTGGAAGAAGTGTTCTATATGGCGACCCTCGGTGGCCCGAGAATCCTGGGAATGCAGGACAGAGTCGGCTCGTTCGAAGTTGGCAAACGATTCGATGCGATCTTGGTGGACATGCAGGACCCTTACAGTGGCCCGCACGACGACTTCGATGCCGTACACACAACTACCCTCGACGAGTTCGGCGACAATAGTATGAAGGCCATCACCAACGTTTGGCAGAAATGGATCATGTCAGGAGATGATCGAAATCTGAGAAGAGTTTGGGTTGGTGGTCAGATGAAAAAAGACACTTACCGAGCTGGTTATTGGTAACCGATGATCCGGAACGAAATACTGCGGATAAAGAGACATCGCCAATTTGCACCAAGTCCCAAAATTATGTCTGTCCGGTCAATTGCTGTCTGGTCTGGTCTGACCGGCTGACCGGTTCGCACCAGAGGCCGCTTCAGTCGAAAGAGCCGATGCAGGCCTTGTCGGCCAACAATACTTCAGGGGTTATTATCGAAGGGGAGATCGAGATCTCGCCATTGGTATTCTGTCCTCGTGCTCGAGATGATGCAGCCGTACATGTGGCGGGCCAAGCTTTTCCCACGGTTATGCGACACCCTACTACATGATTACGATTTCTGCTTCGAGTAAACACCATCAACAGCTACAATTTGTCACACATCCTTGTCGCAACAAAGACTAAAGCCAAGGAATACCGTGGATCACAAATCGTGGCGACGCAGAAATCCATGTTCGCCGTTACAGTTCTCCTCCTCCCCTCCATTCCGTAATCTCCCTCTTGGGCACCGATGCAGCTCTGCGTTTCTTTTGCCTCTGTGCTTTGGAAGCTCAGACTGCTTGCGACTGAATGGGAGCGCAGGGTCCAGGAACATTGCAAACGAATCGAAGCCCCGGATGGCGTCATCTTGAGTCCAGACAGATTTCTTGCTAATGTTTTTTGGCACCGAGGATCTTTCACTGTCCAGATTGGTTCACCAAGCTGCTTTCCCGGCATTTCTCTGCGCCAGGACTACCTCCCAGAGGACATACGCGAGTCAATCACTGATACTGTCGCCATGCCTTCGTTTGGACGCCCCTCATCTAACCATTGTGATTGGGGTTCCCGCAGGCTCCTGTATTCCTGCACCACGATTGCAAGCGAGACGCCTATGCTTGGCTTTGCAGAATCCTAAATCTTGCAAGTCTAGACCTGGGAGCAACTTAATATCGCGAAATCATCCCACAAGATGTCGTGCCGCACGGAGGTACAGCGAGCGGCATTGCAAGTTGTGAGGCTGGAATGTCGCGATATGGCCAAGATCAGCTTCCCTTTGCAAGTTCCCGACTCGGATCTCAGTATAGAGGTAGCTTTCACTTGTTCAAATACCCTCGTGCCTGGCGATATCAGACTTGTCCAGCACAGCATTTAGAAGCTGAATCCGGAAACAATGGCTACTGTTCTGACTCGAGCCTTTAGGACTGAGGGGGACGACTTAGTCGTCAAAAGTGACGGCTTGAACAGCAGTCCCTCTGATTCTAAGGAAGGCATTCTCCTGAACAGTACAGTTGTCGAGAACCTCGGCCTTGGTGTCCCTGCCGACGAAAAAAAGTTCTGGTGGCAGCGGGGAAGAGGATATGACCCCGATGCCGTCGCAACACTCCCTTCTGTCTTCGATGACCCGGAAACAGCCAAACATTATCAGCCACGCGCTGACTGGGAGAACCTGCATCGTTTCGATCCTTCCGCAAGATGGACGTGGCGCGAAGAGTATGCGGTCATTCGCAAGATTGATTGGCGGATCATGGTCTTTGCCTGTATCATGTTCATGTCTTTGGAGTTGGACCGATCCAACCTAACCCAGGCCGTGACGGATAACTTTCTTGAAGATCTTGGGATGAACACCAACGGTACGTGACTATACCTCAACAGACATTTGACATATTGATGGATCTAGACTATAATTGGGGAAACACTGTTTTCAAGCTTAGTTTCCTTTGCGCCGAGCTGCCCTCTCAGCTGATCTCCAAATGGATGGGTCCTGATCGCTGGATTCCCACTCAAATGGTTTTGTGGTCTATAGTGGCAGGTGCACAGTTTTGGCTCTCTGGGCGCAGCAGCTTTCTTGCTTGTAGAGCGTTGCTTGCACTGTTACAAGGTGGCTTCATTCCTGACGTATGTCACTCGGCCATTTTTGCAAGCACGAACTGACCTTCGTCCAGATGATCCTCTATCTATCTTACTTCTACAAACACGGTGAGCTCTCGCTCAGGCTGGGCTTCTGGTGGACGGCAATGTCGATTGCCGATATCATCGCGAGCTTCTTGGGAGCTGGCCTGCTTGATCTCCGAGGACACCTTGGCTACGCTGGATGGCGGTGAGTCTTCCCCAAAAGTCTCTGTGATGAACCCAATACACTTCTTCGATGCTAATAGGAGATAGTTGGCTGTTCCTTATCGAGGTGAGAATTCGTCGCCCATGTTTCTCGGACTCCAACTGACTCGCTCAGGGGCTTTTGACTCTGGTACTGGGGCTCATAGCGTTTGCCTTGATGCCCCCTAGTCCTACGCAAACTGCCAACTGGGCACGAGGCAAGAAGGGATGGTTCACCGAGCGGTAAGGCTCGAAGAACAAGCACCGTGATACGTTTTGGCTCACGGTATCCCAGCGAAGAGATCATCATGGTCAACCGAGTTATCAGGGAAGATCCAAGCAAGAGCACTATGCACAACAGGCAGCCGATCACTCCAAAGCTGCTCTGGCAGAGCTTGACGGATTATGATCTATGGCCATTATACTTGATCGGACTGACGTTCCAAATCCCGATGAGTGAGTTCTGAACGCCACTGTGTCCCACGTTGTACTGACCAACTAGCCACACCCGCTCAGTACTTGACCCTTACTTTGAAAGGGCTGGGTTTCGGTACAATCAAGACAAACTTGTTGGTCATTCCGTCAACTGTCGGCCACATCATCACAATGTTGGCCGTCACCTACCTCTCCGAGGTGTCTGGGCAGCTCTGGATCTGGGGTTTGATCGCGCAGCTATGGGGTCTGCCGTTCCTGTCTTACATCTACGCCGTCAACATCAATTCCATCCCGAAATGGTTGGCCTTTGGCATTATGACTGTGCTTCTTGCGTATCCCAGCACACACGCAGTCCAAGTGGGATGGAACTCAAGAAACTCGAACTCAGTACGTAGCCGGACTGTGAGTGCTGCCATGTACAACATGTGTTGTCAGGCGGGTGGTATTATTGCAAGTAACATATACCGTCAAGGCAAGTCAACTAACCTGGTGACCTCCTTGCTGTGACGACTGACCATGTCTATTTAGATGATCGACCACGCTATCGCCGTGGAAATCGTGTACTTGTTTCCATCTGCGCCCTTAACGTCGGCATCTACGTCTTTGCCAAGGTCTACTACGTCGTTCGAAACCTACGCAGAGACCGAGTGTGGAACGCCATGACAGAAGCTCAGCGTGCTGAATATCTCACAACGACAACCGACAAGGGGAACAAGCGCCTCGACTTCCGCTTTGCCAGCTAAGCAAGATGTTACCCGAAGCTATACTCACAGGTAACACAAGGCACAAGAATACGGACTGAAGTACGAGGACACATGAGGAGAGAGCTTCAATTCTCGGCGAGCACCGTTACACGATAACAGCAGCGAGGCAGATGAGGTCTTGTTACATAGAACACTGATAAAGCGGATATCAATGGATGTGGTTCAAATACAATCCAAGCGAGCGCCGTAGAAGCAACTGGGACAAGATAAACTCCAAGAGCATTATCGTCCCTAGTGGCTTTGTCCTTGGTCTTGACTTCACTGGGTGGCACAACAGTTCATCACGCAATCTGCATTCGCCGAACCAACGACATGTGCAAGCCAATAATCCTTGAGCAAGATCTGTAAAGCCTTCCAGCCGTCTTTGATTCGGCGCCTCCCAACGACAACCCAGCATCTCCTCTTCCGTCCTTCCACCTTTTCGGCGTTCCTTATCAGCCGACACTGAATGTCTGTCTGGTTGTCCATCTCATGCACATGTCTCGAGCACGACCATCTTCACGGCCGGCCAATGCCCGCTAAACACAGCAGCACGACAGCATTGCACCATCTTGCGCCTTGATTCTGCCTTCGCCGACGAGGGTGGTGCAATATTCAGGTCTTCTGACGAGATGCTCAGCCAGTAGGCCTATCTTTTCGGCCTGGCTCTTGGATCCGCAATGTCGATGATATGGCGCCATGCAATCTTAGATGGTGTAACCAGCTCCTCCAAGAACTATAGTTTGCGTGGCATGGCCAGCTCAACGGTGGGCCTCTTAACCCCTGTCCAGTGCGCATGTACAATCGAGCATTGGCGACAAACCAAGCCATGATAACAGCAATCCCGCATATCACCACACAGCACATTACTCATCCCATCAGCCATTCTACTGCTCTTCCCGGTTGGGAGGGCTTGCGTGAGAAGCAATGACTGGGGCAAGTCGGATACCGGCACTGAAGGTCAGAGTCGAGAGCGAGACGACGGAAGGCACGTCGCAGTCTGGATTCTGTCTTGCTGGAGGCTCACGTATATATCAATCAGGGGAGCCGTGTGGATTTGACCAGTCTTCCTTTCCTTTCTTGCACCTACCTAACCGTGCTCTCATCGTCAGCATCCAACACATCCAACAAAGAGCCACAGCCGTTACGTCAAGGCCATTGAACCTTGACAATCTATCAATCCAAGCATCATGGCACCACCGGCAGCGGACGTCGACCTCGTGTCCCACACGAGTACTGGGCCTATTCACGTCAAGAAGGTGGTCGCTCAAAGCGCGCTCAAAGAGCCGCTCACGTACTCGGGCTCCCTGGACGAGTACAAGTCCTTCGACGTGACAAAGGTGATTGGAAGGGAGTTCCCGGAATCGCAGCTCAGCGACATCTTGCATGACGACCGCAAGATCCGCGATCTGGCGATCACGGGTACGTATGGTTGTGGCGCTGCATTGGGACCGGATTTGATTGCTTGTCCTCCAAGGGATGGATGTGTGCTGATGTCCAATGCACTGGCAGTGTCTCAACGTGGCGTCGTCTTCTTCCGCAACCAGGACTTGAGCATCGAAGATCAGAAGATCTTGGGCTCCAAGCTCGGCGAACTCACCGGAAAGCCGGAGACCTCCAAGGTACGGTGAAAATGTCCCTTCCCATTCTCCGCGCCATCACACTCACACAATGCAATCACGGTGGCGACCAGGGACTCTGGCTGACATCGCACCTGCCGTATGACAGCTCCATCGCCACGCTCTAAGCAACAGCAAGCGTGGCCTCGCGGTCGACGAGAACGGCAAGCTCGACGATGAAGTCTCCATCATTTCTTCCGAGGTACGTTCCCACTGCAATACCACGGTACAGGATCAGCATGCGTCTAAGTCGTGTCACTAAATGGACGTCCTCGACCAGCAAAACCGCAAGTTTTACAAAGACCGGTTCTCGGCCCAATCGAAGCTTCTGGCCAGTCAAGGCTGGCATGCTGAGTAAGTAGGTATCCTTTCGTCTATCCTTCGACGAACTAACCGACTTGCGTCCCAGCATCACCTTTGAACGCATCCCCTCGGACTACGCCATCCTCAAACTCATCAAGAAGCCCGAAGACGCCGGTGGCGACACACTCTGGGCCTCGGGCTACGAGCTCTACGACCGGCTGTCGCCCTCGTTCCAGAAGCTGGCCGAAAGCCTCACGGCCACGCACCACCAACCCAACTTTGTCAAGGTCGCGCGCGAGTTTGGCGAGGAACTCATCGAGCAGGATCGCGGCGCGCCCGAGAACACAGGCATCGACTTTACGGCATCGCAGTAAGTTGGGCCCTTTCCCAGTGAATTTAAAACAGTAGAAAGGAGCGAAAGCGATGATTAAATTTCACGCTCACCATCTTTTGTCTCCCCCGTCCCCGTCCCCGCTAATGTAACGCTCACTCCAGCCCCGTCGTGCGCACCAACCCCGTCACGGGCTGGAAATCGCTCTTTGGAGCAGGCCACCAGATCGAACACGGCTGGATCGACGGCGTGACGCCGCGCGAATCGGACATCCTGAAGGCGTATTTCCTGCAGCTGATCACGGACAATCACGACCTACAGGTGCGGTTTCGGTGGAATGAAAACGACCTGGCGGTCTGGGATAATCGGTCAGTCTTCCACACGGCGACGAATGACTATGATGGCAAGAGGCAGGGCAATCGGGTCGTGAGCTTGGGTGAACGGCCGTATTTTGATCCCAAGTCCGTGTCGAGGAGAGAGGCTCTGGCGGTTGCGAGCTAGACGGACAAATGTAAATAGACATGACGTGGGTGGAGAGAGGCAGCCAAGCAGGCAGGCAGGCAGGCGGGTAGCGCGGGAAGTGCTGTAGGTAGGCAAGCTGATTCTACAGGTACATTAGGTTGGTAGGCTCTACAGATCACATGCCGCTATCTCTGTGGCCGCGGGTACTGTATCCCGGTCACGCTGAGCGGAGGACTATATCCTACCTAGGTAGATATCGTCAAAGACACCGCCCAGAGGCCTCCTAAGATATAGCTACCTGTTCCTCCGGCCGGGGATAGATTTGTATCTTTCTGTATCCGACAGGAATGAATCCTCGCTCCATCCCGGCATGCCATGCCATGCCCGGTTGTTCAATGTAGGAGCACAATAATTTGATGGGTCCGGCACTTTTACTGTCTTATAGAATGATGTTGAGTCACGCACCTAATGATGAGGGACGGATACTACTCGTACTTCAGATGACTGACAATGAGTTTGAGAAACCGAAAGGTGCAGTGGCCAGCCTTGCGAAATTGGCGAGGCTGAAGTTCGGTCCAACCTGCCAAATTCGGCGTCGCTGTCACCACTGACCTTCCTTTCGCGCCTTCATCTTGCACCATCAAGGCTGGGTACAGGCACAAGTTGGGGCGTAATCGCCTTTCGCATCTACCGGGCTCTCCTAGTCGATAGACCTCCGCACAGTCGCTCGCCCAGCCCACATTTCTACGTCTCACGTCAACAACTCGGACTTCGCAAAACCTCACGACCATGGCGAGCTCTCCTCCAGCTCCATTCCCTACAAGCCTGCCAAATCCCAAGAAGCGCGCCTCTATGAGCTCACAGACCTCGGCGCAAGGCGCGGCCAAGAGACCCAAACTGCACCCACTCCGTCAAACATCATTCCCCGCGCAAGATTCGAGCGGACGCTATGGGTCCGCAGTCACAAGTGCTCGCTCTGAGACTGGTAGTGTCGCCAACAGCCTTCTTTCCGGACTGAGCGGCAAAGTGAAAGGCCGTGGGAGGGGAAGGCCCAGGAAGTCGGCTCAACTTGATCAAGACGAAGCACGCTCTTCCCACCAGATTCCCGGCGATACGACAAGCCAGATTGACGGCAATGAAAGGGGAGCACATCGAGGGACGAAATCCGTGGTCAGCGCCCGGTCAGGCGCAGCTGAACAGGAAGAGGACGATGAGGGTGACATTGATGAATTGGTTGAGAACATGGACGAGCAGGAAAGGCGGCAAGCCGAAGAAGAAGAAATTCGTCAAGAGCAGCGTCGAGAACGGCTTGCCGACACTCTCGACTCAGATCAGTACGCAAGGTACAACCAGTGGCGGGCGCTCTCACTCAATAACTCCACCGTTAAACGACTTGTCAACTCGATCGTATCGCAGTCCGTGACTACGGCCCCTCTACAAGCGATCAGGATCTACGGAAAGTGGTTCGTCGGCGAGATTGTGGAGAGAGCACGTGAAGTCCAGATTGAGTGGGCGAGGGCATATGAGGATACGAGAAGGGAGGAGCGAGAACGACGAGAAAAGGAGTTGCTGGCTTTAGGAGAGAGGCAAAAGGAAGGCAACGGCGCCGACCCTCAGTCGCGATCGATCGCCCGGGACATCGAGCGACTGAAACGGGAGGTCAAGGAATACATCCCTAACCCCCACAAGGGGGGACTATTACCGGATCACCTCCGAGAAGCTTTACGCAGGTACAAGCATGACGGTGAAGGCGGAGGTGTAGGGTTTCAGGGCCTGAGCCATGGTTTACTGGGAGTCACCGGGCCTGCTGCTTGGAGAGTCGGAGATGGTGCTTCTGGGAGGCGGCTGTTCAGATGAACAACGTGGGCATTCCAGAGACAATGTGACTGCTGTGCAGACCGCAGTGGCCATGGGCAAAATCCTGCTTGATCGGACAGGGGAAGGATTTCTTTGGCAACAAGTGCTGAGGCGGCATGCATTTGTGGGTGCACTCATTAACTGACTCAGCCAGTCAATGCCAATCCCTCGTCCATCTCTATACCCATCGGACCGAGTTTCGACTCCGAGAGATTACGGATCAGGCTGGAGCTACTCTCGCTTTGTTCTATCCACTTCCAACCACACCTTGTGGAACAGCGGCCGGTTCCCAGACGAGGTGCAGAAGCTGAGAAATCCAGCAGTGGCTTGTCATATTTCGGCCCAGAAGGTAAGCATCTCGGGGCTGATCGTGGATCCTGGGACGCCGTGAAGGCTTTGCACCAGCTGGGATGCAACCAGTTTTTCCACAGCCTTCTTCCCAATGGACCAAAGCTGCGTCGAATCCAAAGCAAGGTTACTCTTTTGCTGCATCATCGCCGATTTTTGTGTCTGAAACCGTCCTTCTCGCTTTACTTTTCTCATTTCTCATCCAGTCTTCTCGCCCACCAGAGCTTACCATGGCAGATGTCTCCACTGCGACGACATTGTGCAGCACCACAAGATTTACTGTCCTATTGAAGGTTCTGCTTTTTTCGATAACAACCCCGTATACTCCCGAGATTGTCCATGCGGATGCCTTAGGGCGGAAACTTGTGGCTCCTTTAAGCCACGAAAGACAAACCCGGGCAGACATTCAGCGAAAGTCGAGGAGAAAAGTGAGGTCATGGACGCCAGTATCTTGACTATCTCTTGGACCACAGAAATACTCCCCGTCCGGTGTTGTCTATTGCTGCAACATTCTTGGAACTCTCCCATCTGTCATCCCTGGTTTGCACCTATTACACACTGCCAGCCGATCCCGTCACCAGGGCAAAACCGCCCCGACTCGCTGATATCTACGCGACTTTCCCATTCGTCAGCTGTATTGGGTCGCCAAAGCTACCAATTGATCAGGGCTTGAGCCTTTCGCATTATCGTCCTTGGCATCATATCAACTGCGAGCGCCTTATCATTCTGTCAAGATGAGCTTCTTACTTGGCTGGCAGACGCGGAGAGCGGGACTGCTCAGCAGCGTCAAGAGGAGCTGGATTGAGCATTTGGGTGGTCTTTTGCAGCAGCAATTTCTGACAGGCATCTCCAGCTGACTGTCAGGTAACCGCAATCCAAAGCGATTACGGTGTTCTACGTCAAGATGAGCGGTATGCTTGTTGATCACTATGATTGCTCGAGATACCCTGCACTTCGACAGGCTGGTCTGGTCAAGGTGCTGATGTGTCGGGGACTCATTACACTAGTATTGGCTTCCCGTGAGTTTGTCTCGGCTTCTGGACGCCTCGGTTGAGGATGGTCAATTATTGAGGTCGTGCCGCAACGCAGAAGGATCTGGTGAGGGCTATGATCCTGAGACCACAGGGAACTGATGTGCAGTGCAGCTCTTCCACCTTGGAAGTCAGGTACAATAGGGAGTCGGGACAAACAGGGAGATGGCAGCTCCCACAGCAAGCATTGCACAGCAGCCTCGACGAGATAGTGCATCCATGAACGCGTTGGCGGCTGTGACGATGGTCCTTCTTCCAGGGATATCCGTATCACGATGTCTTCACGCATCAATGGTTGTCCATGCGTGACATGCTTGCTCTATTGCGGACGTTTTGCCGAGTCGCCACTGAGCACCGTCAGATTCAACTGCGACGAGAACCAAATCAGCGTATCTCGTGGGTAGTGGACAGCGAACGTTGCGGCGAATCTCTCACGGTATTAGTGCTGGTCGTCTGGTCAATGTGGCTGCGACTGAGGCGTTGAAGGACCATGAGGTTGTTGTGGATCAAGCCGGCGACGAAGGGCTCTAAATGTGTCATATTCCTCGAGTCTGCTGGGAGAAGGAGTTGACACTAATTTTACTCATCGAAGGGCCTTATCTCAGTTGAACATCATGAATTGTCTCCTCAGAAGCCTCCGGTCTGTACGGACTACGATGAAGCTAGATCGAAACTTGCGAGAAAGTAGAGTGAAACTTGAGTCAAGGTAAGGTGAAGTCGCACGGATCCGCGGTAGAAGCGGCCGCGCGCCAATACTTGTCCGTACGCGTCCAACGCGTTCGCGACCCGACCAACATGCTTCGATTTCCTAGCTGAGCGGACTTGAGACAGTGTGTCCGCGACAATATCAGAAACCCAAGAGCTGCAACAACGAGCCAACAGTATGACACGTTCTTCGAGAAGGCACCGAGATGGCAACAATAACCGCCAATCGGCGAACACAACCATTGACGTCACCCAGTGATCTTCGTAGTGCTGGAGATGCTCGATCCACCACAGTCGACATTGCCGAACTTTTCTCGCCATGAGGAGACAACGACGGATGCCGGCAAAGTCAATGATTCGAGGCCCTGTCTCGGCGAAACACAACATACGAGTTAAGTATCCCCAGGTGAGATGACATGGACGGTTCACGGCTTCCCCAGTCGGATTCAAGATCCGGTCCGAGTCCGATCTTTCTTCCTGCTTGTTGAATCCCGAACCTCTTTTAAACATTTAGCAAGGCCGGCGGCTAGGTTTATCATCGCTCAGGTACAGTTCCAGCTGGACGCGTAGATACCTTCACAGCACTAGATCACGACGCTCACCATGTCTGCTTTTTCGGAGAACCTGCGATTCAGTAGGGAGGACCTCGATTTCGGTTGGTCGATCCGTTCCCTGCTTCAACCACAGTCCTTAACATTGGCGGTAGAATTTCCAGATGACCTTCCCGAGAAGCTGGGGGAGGAACTCCGCCGGCTCGAGCAGTTGTTCACGGTCGACACGGCAATGCTGAAGAAGATTACCGACAGATTCGGCGAAGAACTACAGGCAGGTAAGTGCTCACTTTGCAGACTTGCATATACCATCGCCCTTACTCTTCGCTTAGCTAACGCCCGATTTCCCAGGTATGGAGGGCAAGGGCGATATTGTCCGTCTCCCATACCCTTGGCAAGCAACGAGTGAGAATATGAAACTAACCATCCCTCTATACGCATCTAGCCTATGAACATCACCTGGGTGACTTCCTCTCCGACGGGCCATGAAACAGGCACGTACCTTACCATCGACCTCGGTGGGACGAATCTGCGGGTCTGCCTGATCACTCTGACCGATGAAATGGGCGGACACAGCACGACACAGGAAAAGTACACGCTACCCAAGGACATCAAGACCGGCACGGCGGACCAGCTGTTTGACCATATTGCCGACCATCTCAGCGAGTTCCTGACAGAGCACGTCAAGGGTAACGAAGGCGCATGCGACGACGGGAAGATCCCGCTAGGCTTCACATTCAGCTATCCCGCCACGCAGGAGAGAATCGACCACGGAATCCTCCAGACGTGGACGAAAGGCTGGGACGTAAAGGACGTGGAGGGACACGACGTGACGGAGATGTTGAACAGAGCCATGGAGAAAAGGGTACGGATCAAATGCCACCGGAGCTCTCTTGAAGTCTCAACACTAGTACTGACCCTTCTACCCGGCAGAACCTCCCCGTCAAGCTGATCGCCCTGATCAACGACACGACAGGCGCCCTCATCGCATCGGCATACAACGACCCCGACACCGTCATCGGCGCCATCTTCGGCACAGGCTGCAACGCCGCATACATGGACCGCGTGTCGCAGATTCCCAAAATGGCGTCCCAAAAAACAGACCCCAAAACTTCCCCAAACGAGGACTCCCTCATGGCCATCAACTGCGAGTACGGCGCCTTTGACAACTCGCACACCGTCCTCCCACGGACGCGCTACGACGAACTCATCGACGAGCAGAGCCCGCGACCAGGCGAACAGACGTTTGAAAAGATGTCAGCAGGGCTCTATCTGGGTGAACTCTTCCGACAAATCCTCCTCGAATTGCTCGCCAAGGGGGTCATCTTTCAAGATTGGTCAAAATCGGATTCATCAGACTCGGACGCAAACAAGCAGAACCAGACCGGAACGCAGAGTCAAAAAGACGCCCTCTCAACGCCCTACGCCATCGACACGGAATTCCTCTCGACGGTCGAGAATGACGCGACGCCATCCCTCGAGGAGGCCAAATCGGCCTTCCAGCGCGTCTTGGCCGGTCTTTCGCCCTCGGATGCCGAGCTGCGGTTCTTCCGGGCCGTGGCGAAACTTATCGCCATCCGGGGCGCGAGGCTGTGCGCGTGTGGCGCGTCGGCGATATGTCGTCGCATTGGCAGGCGCAAGGGGCACGTTGCCGCGGATGGGAGCGTGGCTGTTAAGCATCCCCGGTTCAAGGAGCGGTGGGAGTGCGCGGTGCGCGAGATTCTTGATATGAAGATGGGAGGGTTCGGCAGGGAAGGCGAGGGGATCGAGTTGACGAGTGCAGAGGATGGGAGCGGTGTCGGGGCCGCTGTCATCTGTGCTTTGGCGATGGGTAGGACGCGGGAGGAGACAGGGACGGCCGAAAAGTAATGCTGTAGTTATAGAGTCTTGGTCCAGCAGACGGAGGAGCGGGCAGGGAAAAGAGAAGCATGGCCATCCACACTCCAGTCATGTTATTCATAGCGCAGCATGTGTGAAAATGTGGGATACATGTCGATTCTTACTGCTTAGGCAAGACAACGCCGTCCCATAGGATCTAGGCTGTGTATTACCCGGATACATTTTGTGATGAGGATCCTGTCATACCTTGTTAGGGGCATTCTCGATCGCAGCTGCGGCTTCTCATCTCACGTGGCTGAGACCGAGATCAAGGACACAGGACCGTGTGAATGGTGACTGTTACATGACTGTGTATGACTGGACGTATGGATTTCGCGGCATGACCGAGCCGGAGAACGAAGCAAAGGAAGAGATAAGTGGCCGACCGCGAGCATCGTCCTCGTCACGGTTTTTTTTTCTGTCCGCCGCCGTTCCTTATATCGCCGTGCTTTGCCGCCATATGTGCATCCGGATCTGTATGTACGCATATAATTATAGCCCAGCCTTGCCTGACACGGCGCTATATATCGCCTGGGTTCGCCAGGACCACGGCGCTGTGTGACGTCGTGCTAGAACGAGGTGAATCAGGCCCGGGCGTCGCCATAACCACACTTCAGTCACACTTCAGTCATTCACTGCTAATGCGGGCGACAGTGCGGAAGATTGCCTTGTAACTACATGCCGGGACCGTGATGCGTATTGATAGACCCCAACGGCTAACGTACTCGATGGATCACCGCTATGCATCTCTGTAGTCAGACTGCCTTCGCCGTGGGGTAAGTAGTCTAGCACGTCCTCCATTGAGTCACAGCGTACTTTGTATCTCGCCCTGAGATTACGAGACCACGAGTCAAGTGTTGAGATAAAAAGCCAGATCGACCGTCTCGCCGTTCTTCTCCTTCTCCTCGGCCTCCGTTTCCAACTGCGTGAACCCGTTGCCCAGGAGCCCCTTCCACCGATTCCCGGTCCAGTATCGGATGTCAAAGTCCTCGCCCTGGAACCATCTATTAGCAACTAGACACGGCTTCCAGGTTGTAGCCATTCAACCAGCAAACGAGGGCAGGATGATGGTGGGGTCGGAGAACGGAAACTCGGAGTCTGCAAGCCCCAAGGCGAAAAAAGCCTTGGGCACACGTACCCTGATTTCCCGGAGTATGACCTCGCGGTAAAGCAACGCACTACCGGGCCAGGTTGCCGTGACCCGTCCGTCGACCCGATGGTTCTTGTACCAGCTCTTACATCCGCCTAGAGTATTCGTTAGCAGATGTTCCAATTCGCAAAGAAATCAGAGCACAACAAGAAGACAGGTACAGAAAAAGGAGCGGGTACAGAAACAGGTTCTGAAACCACGAGGCAGGCTGAAAGAGGGGGGGGATGCGGAGAAGCAAGCACAACAGCCATGCGGCTCGGAAGATGTGCTCCCCAGTGCCGCAGGAAGTCTCCTTGGTCAAGTAGTCGAGGAGTCAAAGTCGGACTCACCAGTCCACGTCAGCGTAGCATGGATCTCATCCCCATACCTCACGAACTCATCCGTCGCGTCCTGTGTGGGAGCCACACTCTTGATCCCCTCTCCTGCAATCTTATGCAACCACCGACAAATGTACTCGGCCGTCCACGTCATGCTGGTCAACAGCGTGCCGTGGCCAACCGTGGCGTTCGGCCCTGTGAAGATGAAGTAGTTCGGCATATCCGGACACGCGACGCTGAGGTATGATTCCGGCTCCGAGGCCCACTTCTGCGCAAGAGTCACCCCACCGCGGCCGGTGACGGGGTAATGAGGGACATGTGAGACGTCGAAGCCCGTGGCGCACACGATGACATCCAGGTCATGATGGTTTCCGTGGGCAGTCTCGATGCCCGTGCTCGTGATGCGCTTGATTGGAGACTTCTCGAGCGTCACGTTCGGCAGGAGGAAGGATTCGAGGTATCCTTCGCCAGGGGTGAGGCGGCGGCAGCCGAGTGTCCAATTGGGAATCAGCTGTTCACAGAGGGCAGGGTCGTTGTTTAGGGCCGCACGCATGCGTGAGATGGTGACTTCGGTGGATTTTGTGTTTTGGGGCGAGTCTTTGCGGAACTGGAACGTTGGGGAGCCAGCGAGTCAGTCAATCTTCCGACGGAGAAAGAACCACATGCGAAGCACATACCAGGCGGAACCCCTTATTCATACCGTGTTGGAGCATCTTCCTGTATGCCTTGTGCTTGTCTGGGTTGCGGAACCGAGCCTTGTCCCGGCTCGTATATCGGGGGTTGAAGTTACTGCCCACTTCTTCGTCACTGGCGTCCACGTCCGCCATATCGACGCCAACATCGCCGTTGACCATTTCTTGGTCGCCGTTTTCTTGGGGATCGCCTTGGTCACCCACGCCGAGTGCCTGACCTAGACTCTGCGTGATCCAAGTGGCTTCGCGTTGGAAACTGATGATCTGCGTGCCTGGGAGTTTGGCCATTTGAGGTAAGATCTGGATGGCTGAAGAGCCGTTGCCAATGATGCCGATACGTTTGTGCGAGTAATCGTACGAGTGGTCCCAGGCGGCAGAGTGGACTTTGTGGCCTTTGAAGTCGTGGACGCCAGGGATATCAGGCCATTTCCACTGGCTTGGGGGATGAGAGAGGTCAGCTACAGTGGCGATGACGGCTTTCCGATACCCAACAGCTTGTTCGACCAGAGACTTGCATCCTTTCACGGCATCAGGGAGACTCACCTCAAGAACCCCTGAGCCGAAACAAGCACATCGGCGAATTCGTCTTGCTCCTCCTGTCCGTTCTTCCGTACACGAATCTTCCATTTCCCCTCTTCCTCTAACCACTCAAGGCCAACTACTTTGGTGTTGAATTGGACATCCCGTCTCAGGTTCCACTTCGTGGCCACTTTCTCGACGTATGCAAGAATTTCATCACCATCTGCGTAGAACTTCGACCAATTCGGATTCGGGTCGAAGGGAAATGCCTTAACACGCAAGTCAGCCTGTCCATGATGCCACATCCTGTGCGATACCCGAAACGGCAGAGAGGCTAACATATATATGCGCAGGCACATCGCACTGCACTCCCGGGTAGGTATTCACACGCCACGTTCCGCCGACGTCGTCGTTGGCTTCGAAGATGACATGATCAATGAAATCTTGCAACTCGGGCTGTTCGTGCTGGATCTTGTGGGCTAGTATCAACCCCGAGAAGCCAGCGCCGATTGTAGCGACTCTGAGTTTGCGCTTCTTGTATGCGTGTTCACTGGAGAGCGGGACGCATATTTCTTTCAGCCTTTCCGAGGAGACCATGGTTGGTGGAACGTGCGAGGCGACGAGATACAGACGCGAGGAGATTCTTGACGAGAAGCTTTTCCTAGGCTTAACAGACATGCATAGAAAACAAGACGGCAATGCGTCAACAAATGATAGTGATGTAGTCGATGCTTGTACGGTCTCCTCACGCGAGTGCTTCATGTCCGAATTGGAGACATCCGTACGACAGCCTCGGGGAATCACTGGGTGTGGTCAGTCCAGGTGAATCTGTCAGATCTTCCCCGCACCGGATTCGCTACACCATCTGCTGAACAGCAGTAAAGAGGTGTGCGCAAACCTGGGCCCGAGTTTCGGATACTCAATTGTGATGAGATCAGATGCAGATGTCTGTAGGACGGGATAAGCAGTGTGGTGGTATATCCCCCAGCCTCTCGCCTAGGGGACAACGCCAGGGTTATATATATTTGTACGGGTTCATAATCCCATTGGGATCATAAAGGTCCTTTATCTGCTTCATGAGCTTCAGCATAGTGTCGCTTCGCTGATATCCAATGTATTTCTTCTTCGCGATGCCGAGGCCGTGTTCGGCACTGATACTGCCTCTCCGTTTTTGGATCCACTCATAGACCCATGGTTCTATTGCATCTTCGACCTCTTGGGTGTATTTCCTGACGGGAACGTTGAGATGTAGGTTGCCGTCACCCATATGTCCGTAGCCGACCACTGCAATCGCTGGGTACGAGTCGTCATCACCTACCAGTCCTTTGGAGTCCAGTCGTTCCCGGGTTTCTTCGACCAGGCTGTACAATTCTTTGATGGGAATGGACAGGTCGTATTTATATGTGCCGCCAAAGTGTCCGATGGCTTCGGTGATGCCCTCTCGCCAGCCCCACAGCTGCCGGGCTTGTGTCTCATCTTGAGCTAGTACGCCGTCCGAGACGATTTCCTCGCCCATGACGTATTCCAAGAAACTCTCGAGCTTCTCGCTATCATGCTCTGTGTTTGAACCGCTAGTTTCAATCAAGCAGTAAAACGGGTGGTCACCGTCAAGTGGCCTTTTGTTGCCCGTCACCTGGTGTACAAATCCCTGACTGCGAGCATCCATGAGCTCGAAAGCCGACAAGATCTCGCCAAGGTGAATTTTTGCCTCTTTGTAGGCTCTTTGGACGTGCTCGAACGAGGGAAGACCGAAGTAAGCCACATTTACCGCCTTTGACCTTTGAGCGCAATGGATTGAGACGCCCGTGATGATGCCGATGGTCCCTTCTCCACCGATGAACAGCTGTTTCAAGTCGTAGCCGGTATTGTTCTTCCGCAACGTGGAGAGATCATCAAAGATAGTGCCATCGGGCAACACACCTTCGATTCCGAGGACATTTCCGTGGAGCGAACCATAACGCAACAGTCTCAGACCTCCGGCATTGGTAGCGACGTTACCGCCTATTTGAGCTGAACCTTTCGCACCGAGATCGAGAGGATAGAGATGATTGCGCTCGGCCAGATAATTGTCGGCAACTTCCATAATGACACCTCCATCGACGACCAGAATGCCGCTGATCTCGTCGAAGCTTCGAATCTTGTTCATGCGCGTCAACGCAATCACGATCTCGTCAAAGACCGGTACACTACCACCAACCAGGCCCGAGTTACCTCCCTGGGGAACCACAGCAAGCTTATTTTCATTGCAATATTTCAAGATTTTGCTCACTTCTTCCGTGCTCTTGGGCTTCAGAACCAGCTTGGCACGGCCTCTGTACTTCTTCATCCAGTCCCTATTGAAGGGTTCGAGATCATCCGACGCGTCTTTCGTGACGCCGTCAATGACAGCAGCATCATCGCCCAGCGTAGACTTGAAGAACTGGATATGTTCGTCCGTGAGCTCTGCAAACCGCGGGTCCCGTTTCAGGGAAGGGTACATATCCGTGGTATATCGGACATCGTGGTGAGGTTCGCTGGGGTCGCTCCGTCGTCGGTACGTCACTGAAAAGCTTCGCACGGGCTCAAACGAAGCTCGTATTGACTGGCACTGTGTGAGTTGAGGCCGAGGGATTGAAGACCTCCTCGTCTGGCGCAGCAGACGTGCAAGACTCTTTGAAGCTGAGCCAGACATCTTGGTGAGCGCCGTCAGGACCGTAGGAAAGGTTGGACGTTAGGGGCAAGTGGACTGCGTCTCGAGAAATGACATGATCATTGCACTCGAGGCTCGATAGTGACGACAAGCTGCAAACGGCTTTCGAGCCGAAAATCGGCGCCGCACTTTTTCCGTGCCATCCACGTTAAAGCAGCGCTACTAACGATAAGCTCGAGACCCGCCGAGTTGCGGGGAAGCTGCCCTGGCTAAGGTAGCACAGTGGGCCCTTGAGTTACTGTAGTTGCGCTTACCTAGCCCACTTCAGGGGCACCAGCCAGAGCTTCGAGCACCAGAGACCAAGATCGGGAGTCTACTGCGAGTACTGTTTCAACGTAGACAGAGTCTCTTCTGCCATGCACGAGCATGTCGGAGCACCCCTGGACCATTGATCTTCTCTCTGAGTGAGCGTCCCGGAACAATATCGCTCGAATTGCTGACCTATTGCCGAGCCCTTGGGAAGCATATTGAAGGTTCAGCTTGCGTAAAGAGCGGCTGACATCTCAATCTCACTGCCAAGTTCACCACAATCGTACTCCTTCCTGTGTACACAAGACTGAAATCCAGACTCGACGGCAACCATGGATACACTCACCACGAGGCTCTCGACTCAATACCGCAGGCTTCTCGATACCATCAACGCCCGCCCACGTCAGGCAGCCTCTGCAGCCACAGCCGTAGCGCTGACCGTCTCTCTCGCCTGGGTCCTCAATGACTTCTACGCCTGGAAAACCTTCGGCACAGGAGGCACACCCCCCACATGGGCGGGATACTGGCGCATGACCAAGATCCGGATCAATCGCATGCTCTTGTTCGGCAAGGACGATCTCTCGGACTCTTCACCACTCTCATCGGCCGGACCTAAGTATCTTGATACTCTTCCAATCCGCGAAGGACCCAAACCATCAATCATGTCCCGGACAATGCCTCAGCGTCAAGTTCCCTACAAACGCGACGTGGTCGAGCCGGGTTTGGAAGAGCGCGTGAAATCCATGATGGCCACCTTTGCCGCGAAACACCCCTCAATACTTGATCTACGGCCCAGCAAGACCGAGGGGGGAAGCACGGATGCCATTTATGCGAAACCCGCACTGGAGACGCTCAACGACCGAGCGAGAAACAACAAGATGCTCGGCACGGAGATCGCGCACGCTCATCCGTCGGATGGGAGCCTGCACGTGTGGTTGTCCGAGGCCGACGCAAAGACCGTGGTCGACAAGGGATGGGGCATGAGATTTCCCCTGAAGTTCATTGATAAGGGCTGGGCGATGGTGTATGCACCGCGAACAATGGCCGAGGCGGATGTCGTGGAGAAGATCGTGAAGGCAGGAATTGCTTGGATCGCTGGTGTTGAGGTCTAGTGGGCCCCGAGATCATGTGGGTCTTTGCTTCTGCTCGTGCCGTCGTCTCATTGCAAAACTGTCTTGATATACCCAATTTCAATTGATTCGGCGGGACAGGGAATGGAGTCGCGGGGATACGCTCTCTTCTTTTTCGCAATGTACACTGGACGCTGATGGGAATACAATAGCACTTGTTCTGTCGGTCTTCTAGATCCGCTTCTTTGTCTCACATCTCACGTCTGATGTTCTTGCTTTGAAACGCGTCACTTGGCTACTTTCTGCCTCACGCGCGATTGCTACTCTCACTCAACTGGTTCTCATACAACGGCAACCTCTCCACCTCCCGTACCCACAACCTCCAAGGCTTATCATGAAAAGCCTCATTCATAGCCGAACAGCCGACGGCCTGCTCCGGCGTGAGCGCCTGGAACCCCTCCCCTTGGGCTTCTTCACCGTCACCCATCCCACTCCGCGCAATACTCATGGCCTTGGTCTGCGCCTCGGCATTAATCCGCGTATATATCCCACGATACACGGCTGTCACAATATCCCTCCCGACAACGGTGAACCCGTGGCGTCTCATCAACACGACCGTCTCCTCTGGCTGTTCCGCTCCGAACTTCTCTGCCAACGCGGCCCCGAACCGCGAATTGTTGACGAGCATATCCTGCTGCTCGCCCTGGCGGTATAGCGGGGCGATATCGAATACTTTCACCCCCTTACTCCCCAGGAAGCCACTCATATGGTACACGGCCTTGAGCGGGACGCCCATGCTGACCACGTACGGCAACACCTCCTCGGCATGCGAGTGGATCACGCAGTTGACGCTGCCGAACCGCTTGAAGAGCTCCCCGTGGATGAACCGTTCCGAGTAGCCTTTCGGGGCGTGAGGGTCTATGGGCGACGAGTCGGAGACGTGGTAGTGGATCAGGTCCGTCGGCGAGGAAACCATCGCGGGAGCCATCTGCGTGTGTTAGCCACTCCCTGTGTGGCCCTTCTAGCCATTCCGCTGCGTGGGCATCACGGTGGCGACGGATTTAGTAACTTACGTATCCGCACATGATATACATTGTGGGGTCGAGCGGGTGGCGGATGGAGACGTGTCCGTAGGCGTCGACCACGCCGTGGTGGTGAAGGATGTGGTTCGCCGAGATGAGATCGCGGAGGGCGTTCGTGAGAATTTGGTCGTCCGAGGATGAGGTGGTGGTGGCCATGCTGTGCTGTGCTGCTCTGTTTGGTGGTCGTGCCGCGCTGCTGTACTGCGTTGTGATTTTGGTGGTTCGTATCTATCCTTGTATCAGTGGTGATGTGCTGTTTCGGACTAACTTGGGTGTGTCCATACTGGAATGCGACCACGTTACACCAAGGTGAAGACTTCGGTCAATACAAATACCTACTATTATCCTGGTCAGTTTCTCCTCTTCTCTTTGTCTTCTACTCGTAGTGTTCAGAAATGACTCCGCCTTGAATAGCTTCCGCGCCTTCAATTCTAGGATAGTCGGCTTGCGCGAACAACTCGGTCTTCTCTAATTGGAGCCATACATTGACTTGTCCGTTGTCAGAGGCTGGTCTGATTTGTAGCCGCCAGCACCCGGGTTCATGTGAAGGCCCAATGGGGAAGTGGGGCGCAACAAGGTCATCGGACCGGCGCCTAAAATGGCGAAAAGCGGGGGCCTCTGGGCGGGGAACCAGTTGCCGTAAGATCCAGTAGAGGAGCAAGGAGCCTAGCTCAGGGATTTTCCAGCGAACTGCTTGATCTTGCTGCTCGCATCAAGATTCATCGCAATATGTACGAGTACTCCTTATATCACCCAAAGTTGGATTGACGTGGGCGTGAGTCGACGCCGTCGCAAGATATCATCGTCATTTCTTCGGCGAACTCATCCACAGCTCACGCACTCTCATCAAGTCAACGCCGCCTTCGTCACGAAGAAGAAATTCAGATCCGTCGGCACGGCTCGAAACCCCTTGACATGCTCAATCGTGTTGACCATTGCCTGCGTCGCCTCCTCCTGGTTCTCCCATCCCGAGAAATTCACCCTCACGTCCTGTTCATGCTTGTCCTTGCGGATATTCCACCCCGAGATGGCCCCGTATCTCGCTCCGCCGATATGCGCCGTCTGGGATGCAAACTGCTGATCGAAGTCCGTGCGGTTGACACTGTCCTTCGCAAACGACTCTTTTATTATGGCCAGGACTGGTGCGTCGAGGGGTATGCGCGACTGCTCCACGTCGATGTAGTGCATCCAATCTATGCCCATCTGATCCTTGATCAGCTCGAGGATTTCGCCTTGTTGCGGAGAGCCGTCAAACCCATGTTGGTGGTGGTCCTTGGTCTCCCACGCGCCGATCACAAACATGATTGTCGGGTCATCAAGTTGTCTGTAGAAGATGGTTTCTAGTTTGCTGTACTCTTCAATTACTCTCTTCACTTCTCTGAGGTTTTTCTTTAGCTGCGGGTCGTCTGCCGTGAGGCCGTCCTTGAGGCTGACGTGCGCGAGTTCGATTATCGCCATTGTTGCTCTCACGACATTTGTGCAAGGTGCTAGATTTCAACTTGGCTCCCTCGAAGCAGTTCCGCCTGGTGCGTGGTGCGGCAATTTGTAGGTGTCAGCGATAAATGATGTCTAGCTAGACACCGTCTGGGTCCGAAAAAAGATCATCCGCTTTGGGCGACTAGCAGATCTCTGATATGCTCCGCGCATGCGATGCGATGTGCTGAAAGAGGCGGGGCTCAGGCACAGGCTTGTCCATATGGGGAGGACTCGCATCGCTACGGAGTACGCAGTAAACACGTGGCTGACCGCCTTGGGCTGTTGAAAAGATTTGCTTCAGCTGGGAGTCCTGATGTCGTGGGGTGAGATTTAGTCCCGGCGTGACAGGTGACAGGCGGCCTGGGCAATTACTGGAGATTTGATGGACAACCCTGATGGAACGCTCCTGTCTGCTATAACGTGGTGTAACGAGCTCGATCAGCGACTTCTCTCTACAGGGTCAGGGCTGCCTCTATCCAAGCATTGCGACTGACTGACGAGAAGGAGGTACAGTACCATTTTACTAGTCAGAGACGGACGAATCGTGCTCCTTCCGGGGCCTGTCAGTTCATGTGCTGCCTGACAAGTGGTCTAGTCTCTATTCTCGGCCTTTTCCTTCTCAAATATCCACGTCTGAGAGCAGGATATTCAGTGCGCAGATGGCTCAGCCGCTTAAGGTCATCGTCGTAGGAGCAGGTAACCTCTCTACCCCTGGCTGCTGTAGTACGATAGCTCTGACCCAGTCTCCTGAACAGGGCTCTCCGGCTTGGCTCTGGCACATGGGCTCAAGAAGGTGGGTATTGAGAATGCACGAGGGCCACGCACCTGTCGTGCTGACATCGAATGCAGAATGGGATAGATTATGTTGTGGTAGAGAAGGAAAGCTCCCCAAGAGATCGCAATTGGGGAGTCACCATCGCCTGGAGCCACCCGTTGCTTGCCAAGTTACTGCCCGAAGATCTGTACAAGCGACTGCCAGAGTGCCAGCCGGACCCGGGTCTTGATACAAAGGCAGCCGGGTGCGAGAGTGTGATCATTCGTGATGGGCAGACAGGCGCTACGATTGTGGAACCGCGTTTTCCGGGTGTCAGGAGGCTCAATATCCAGAAGACGAGGACTATCTGGGCAGAAGGGCTCAATGTCAAGGTCAGTGAGCTTGGCGGATCTGATGCCCTGTTCTCTGCTCATCCAGCATAGTTTGGCAAGACGGTCACAGATATCCAACTTACTTCAGATGGAGTGGAAGCACGCTTCCACGACGGTACCTCGGAGTCAGGCTCGGTGCTCGTCGGCAGTGACGGCGGTGGCTCATGGGTTCGCCGCTGGATGTTGGGCGACCTTGCATCTCCACGGGTGCTGCCTTACACATTCCTGAATTTCCCGTTCCGCTACACACCAGAGCGAGCAATCAAGATGGACAAGATGATGAACCCCTTCGTCGATGTCGGAGCTCATCCGAAGTCGATGTACGTCGGCATATTCTTGCTAGACAAGCCTGATTTGCAGAAGCCCGAAACCTGGGTCTTCTATATCCTCGCAACCTGGGCAAAGCAGGATTCGGACTACGTTGAAGGGAAGAACATGGTCGACGAGCTGCGACGGAGAATGGACGACTGGGCAGACCCTTACAAGTCGGCCGTGGAGTGGATACCAGAGGATACACGTGCGAAAGCCGTGCCGCTCAGGGTCTGGGGTCCTCCCGAGACCGGCTGGGACAATCGAGATGGCAGAATCACTCTGGCGGGAGACGCCGCTCACAGCATGACGTTCCGTAAGTGTTCTTGTCTCCCGGTCGGACAAATATCAGCTGACGCGGAAACCCCTAGACCGTGGCCAGGGCGCGAACAACGCAATTTGCGACAGTGAGAAATTCGTTTCAGCCATGATTCAAGTTCAAAACGGGGAGAAGTCCCTGCCGGAGGCGGTCAACGAGTATGACGCGGACGTAACAAGCCGAGGGAGAACAGAAGTCGAAGTATCCACGGTCCAGACCGATGCTTTTCATGACCACGCAAAATTTCTCGATAGTCCGGTCGTAAAGCATGGGATCAAGCCGATGAGTAATGTCGTGAAGTAAATACTTGATGCAGAAATCGAGGGCCGTAAGTTAGGGCGATGACGAGGACAACAGCGCACCGAAGAGCAGCGGCAGCACTGCTGGATCAAAGACTTCCGTGATTAGCCACTCCGTACTACCATCACCTTCTGTCTTTTCCTTTGCCTTTCTCCCTGTCTTTTCGCTTCTCAGCTTTCAATTCCCGTTCTTTCTCCCGCGGATCGATAACTACCAATTCCTCTTCATTCTTCCTTTTCCACGTTAGGTCTTTCCCCAGACGGTCCTTGGCGAACGAGAGTGAGTGGCTCAGCCATTTCTTTCCATCCTCATCGGGAGATTCTTCTGCTTCCCCATTGGTTGGATCGTCCCATTTCGAGCAGGACTGGCAGTTGGCTATGAAGTGTAGATCACAGAGGGTGGCTTCTTCATCGTCATTGGCTTCAGCGTCCTTTGACATTCCTATTTTGGAGGTGCTGTGAGAGATGTCTCGGTCTCTAAAACCATTGGTTGATGACTTGGGTTTTGGGGGTGCATCGGCGGATTCAAGGCGTGCTCTGAATGCATTGAGCATTTTCAATGCGGTAGCCTCGTCTTTAGCGTTGCTTTCGCCTGGGCGAGGACGTTTCCGGCCTCGCGTACTTGTTGCTGGGATCATCGCCTCTAATGCTGATTTCTTGGGCTTCGAAGAATCGGTGGTATCAATGTTGCGACGCATAGAAGCTTTCAGGGCGGCGATTTCCGCTTGCAAGGCGGATGTTTTGGATGCAGGAACTGAGGGCTGATCATCAGGAGTGGGTGAGCGGGAGGGCGATTCGGGGTCTTTAAGAGGGAGCTGCGTTGTTGAATCGTGAAAGGAGGGTTTGCGATGATGTGTTGGAGAAGGTGACTTTCGCTGTGACGTCGGGCTTGGTTTCCGCTTTGCAGGGATTATCGATGAGGGTGATGGCCGTGTTTCCGCATTTCGAGGTCTATCGGCTATACCGTTCGTTTTCGGCTTCGACTTTGGGATATCTTCTGCATCGATCAGGGCAGGATTGAACTTGGCCTTCTTGGGCCGTACGGCAACTTGGCCCGCATCCTCATCGCCCTCCTCTCCCCCGAAGCTCAGAAGAGTCTTTCCACCCTTCTTCTTAGGCGCTTTCTTTTTTGCAGGAGCCTCGACAAAGCGATCAGCGACTTTTTGCCTCTTCCGCATTTTCTGCCATGCGTCGCCCTTGGGCATTTCAAGAACTTCGGCCTTGAGAATCTTCTCGGGATACATCGGCCTCTCGCTGCCCTCCAAGAGCTCGCCTTCTGCAATCTTGACCACGTTGTAGATTCCATCTCCCTCGACACGACCGAACATCGTGCACTTTCCGTCGAGTTGAGCTCTGCAATCTCCCAAAGTAATGAAGAACTGTGTGCCATATCCCGCCCCAGGGCCGGTCCCCTTCGCCATACCCACCAAGCCTCTGCGGTTGAACTTCAATCGACTGTGAATCTCATCTGCGAACACGATCTTTTCGTCTTTCTCCCGACCCAGCAGTCTCGCCCAGTCCTCATCGTATCGTTCAAATTCGCGGTCCTCATATATGTTTTGTCCACCTTCGCCCGTTCCTGATGGGTCGCCTGTTTGGATAACGAAGCCTGGGGAGACGCGATGAAACAAATTGTTGTTGTAATCTTCGTCGAGGACATGCTGCAGAAAGTTCCTGCATGTTAAAGGCGTCTGGGCGGCGAACAGAGAGATGGTGAGAGGGCCGGCTGTTGTATGAAGCAGGACCGACGCCGTAGGAGGTGGTTCCGTGGTGTAATGGGAGGACATGATGGCTGTTCAAAGCATTTAGATCCGTTGCTATTTGCTGAAACTCGCCATTTCCACTGATGACTGCGCCGCAAATTCAGTTTGTCTTCATCGCTTTCATCATCTCGACTGCAGGCGTTGAACCTTCGCGAGCGAGGCGAGGCATTGCATCGGCGAGGGGAGATTCTTTTATCCGAGCGCCTTCTTGGCAATTTTGCACCGTTTTGCCCGTCGTCGTCCTATTTCAACATTGTCTTTCGTTCTGGCTCGTGAATGTCGAGGCCGAATAGCGGTTCGTCCTTCCCTTAACCATTGGCTGATCGCGTACTACAACGGAGAGACTATGCATCCAGCTTCAGGAGAAGAGTTCACGCACCACATCTGCGTTAGTATCTGCGGCTTCATGCTGCAGCCGATCGAGGCTCTTGATACATCCGGGGCGTTGATGGCACTGGGTGTCGATTCGTTCCTCACCATTGAAAATCAAGTACGGGTTGAAGAGACGGCTCGACGTAGGAGTCAGCACGCCGGAGATCTTGAACGGCAGCGCGATTAACACTCTCGGCCACCTTGATTGCCAGGTCGAGCAACAAGTACGGAAGACACAGCTGCAGGCGGATAGAAGGAGGCCAAGAACACGACAATCATGGTATCCCATTTTCGCCCTTCCCAGGGCACCCACCAGGGTAAGGCAGATAGTGTAGATAGCCCAGATAGACATACATGCTATACACGCAGTGTACGGAGTCCACAATCAATCATCGGCAATCGTACTGGACCCCCCACCCTCAATCTCACTCAACACCCTCGTCCCCAGCACATTGCCCTCAGCGTCCAGGTAAATGGCCGCCGTGGAAATCAAGCCCGCAAACGGCATGTACGAGTACTGCACCTCGCGCGCATTCACGCCGTCGAACAGCACCGTGCTCTCCCGGCCCGTGGGCGTCATGTCATGCCAATACGACCCGACAATCTCCGAGGAATAGACGTCCCCGTCATTACGAAGCTTCTCGTCCACGATATTGCCCGCCTGGTCGAGCACGCGGTTCGTATGCACGTTGCCTGAGTAGTCATTGACGGAATAGAGGATGCCCTGTTCGAGCAGGGCGCTCCGGGCGGACAAATCACTGTCGGCGCCACTGGTACTTGTGCCCGTGCCTGTCCCCGACCCTGATCCGGACCCTGTAAGCCCACCGACTGTGCTGTCCAGCAGGTCTCCCACATCATTCCCCAACGTCGCAATAATGGGGTTCAAATCAATCGAGCTGAGCGTATCGTTGATCATGGCCACCAGGTTCTCGAGCCGTGCTTCGAGCTCCACTTTCGCGGTCACGTTCTGGATGAGCAGCTCGACCCGGTTGATGCTGAGATCGACGCCCGCATTGAAGGTCAGTAGCGAGAGGACCTGCGCCGCGATGTTGATCTGCGCGGTCAGATTGCGCACTGCGAGGTCGATTTCGCCGACCGAGACACTCGCGTTGAGGTAGACGTCCGGCGGGGAGGCGTTGGGCGCGGACGAGCCGCCTGAGGTGTCGGTGTTTGTGTTTTCCGTCTCGTACACGACGTCATCGGTGTTGTTGGCCGTGTCGCGGACTGTTAGGGTGTAGCCTGTATAGCCTCCATCGTCTGCGGAGGAGATGGTTTGCGAAGACGTGAGGGTGAGGAGGGCGGCGAGGAGAAGCAAGACCCGGAGTAGGGGGGGTGGGAGCCGGGACATCGTGGAAGGACTTTACTTCTCTTGCGTGCCGACGAGAATCTCTGATGAAGGACTAGAACTGGGATTGCATAGTGTATGTAGGTGAAGACTCCTACTCAAAGGGAAAAGAAGCCTCGGGCAGCTGCGCACTTACTTACACAGTGCGACTACGAGTACCCGTCCGGGTAATGCATCACTCCCCGGCAGATCATGGTGTTCTCGCGAACCGCATCTCCACCACGGCACGTATGCATGATCTTCTGTGCGCTTGTTCAGGGGCACCTCCACTGCGTCCACCCACAATCTCGGCAGCGCTCAGCCCTAAACCGTTGTCAGCCGTTGAAACGTGGGGCGTTGACAGGCGCCGTCCACGAAACCGGTTTCGCGTCTCAGCCTCGCAGGAGATCGACACACATCCCCCCACCAGACGAGAACCATCGTGTGCGTGGGAAATTTCCCTGTAAGCGACGCGGCCGAGAGAGATTGCCATTACCCAAACACATGGCACCGAGGAGAGGTGCTTTCCCGGCCTCGAACACGGCACGCATGGACATGATATACGCAGGCTCCGTGCTTTCGCTCTACTTTCTCGCGTGATCTGTATCGTTGACTCCTTCGCTCTCGAGGCAACGCATCCACACACTCCGCACCACATCGCATCTGTTGTTGTTGACAACGCCGTGGTGGCCAGTACATGATGTCTTCCTCAATATGCAGACTCGTCCTGACGGTATTCTCGTTCCTGCTGCTCATTTCACCAATCTCAGCACAGTCGTCCACAACGACACCCTCGTCAAGCTCGAATCCCAGCACCACGCCGTCATCCAATCCTCCAACCCTGACACCCACGGCTGCGTCCTCGACAGCTCCCGACGTGTACCTGAACGTGCCTACCCTCTCAGTCGGACGCATTGAGCTAGACGTGGACGACTTGCGCGCAGACATCAACCTCAACGCCCAGGTCGCCAACCTAGTCACGTTGAACGCCGGTGTCGCCGTCTCCATCCAAGAAGTCAACCTCACGATCTCAGACGTCGATGCCAACCTAGAATTGATCGTCCGGCTGGGTCACCTTGTCGACATTGTCAACCGAGTGTTCGAATCCCTCGACCTCAACCCCCTCCTCATCTCCGCCATCAACAATGTCACCTCTCTGCTTGAACCGATCGTCGGCGCGATAGACGGCCTCCTCGGCTCAATCACGCAGGGTGGGACAACTCTGAACTTCCTGATCGACAATCTGGGAAATATCGTCCAAGAGGTCGGCGGCGTGAGCAGCATTGTTGGAAACTACCTGACAAACATGACGGACACGGGCGTTAGCCAGACGCTGTCCGGCGGACTCGTCCAGAAGACGTTCTCTTACACCCCGCTGAATGCGCTCGTGGATATTGTCTTCAACACTGCAGGGCAGGTCGTGCAGGCGTCGGTACAGAAATCTGGTGGCGGAGGAGGCGGCGGAGGAGGCGGCGGTGGGGGTTCTACGAGTACAACTAGTGCGACTAGCACGACTACCTCGTCGAAGCCCGCGTCGACTTCGACAGCTGCGCGACTTGCGAACCCATCGAGGGGGTAGCGACCGAGAAAAATGGGAAAATCAGTGACATTGGAGTAGAGACGACGCGGCCACGGGCTCCGACTTGGACCTCGATCGAGGTCGAGGCCGGGAAAGCGTTTTGGGCACTGACGATACTTGGCGCAGCGCGACAGAGGAAAACCTAGCATAGCGTAACATTAAAGGGAGAAAGGATGGGTATCTTAGCAGCGTCCAATCCCAAGTTAACCTTTCCAAGTTCAAGCTCAAAGCCCCTACCTTTCTAGCTGAGTTTGCTTCGCAATCCTGCCTTCTAAATCACTCTTCCGCGTCGCGTCTGCTGAGAGACGCGCCTGCCAGCGACATCATTGCCTGCTTAATGTTTCGTGTTCGCGGGACAAAGGGGAAGCTCGAGTCCGTGTGTTCCTCGAGCCGCGCTGGTCCGCGTCATCTTTTTCGTAGTCCTGCCCTAATAATATACCCCATCCGGGGTCTCACATACAAAAGCCCATCATTTGGTTCCTCCGATACGCCAATCGTTGCAGTGATCACTCATACAGACTGAGTTTTGAGAACCCCACCTCGTCCGTACTTCGCCTCGATAGGAACCTTCCTCCGAGACCCTGGAAGAGGGACGGGAAGTCCAAGCGAGAATAACAAGGTGAAGACGGACGGGCTGCAGCGCTTTGGAGGCTTCAGAAGATGGAAAACGACCAAAGACCCAGGAGAGGGGTTCATGAACGAATGATTTATTGGCAGGTCTCGCTTCCCTCCGACTGACGGAAACTTGTCGGCCCGTTCAAGTGGCCGGCAAACAAGGCTGAGAGTCAAGGGGCTCGAGGGGTAATTGCGCCCCACGCTGCACTAGAGTGCTCTAGACTCCTTTTCTCCCTCTCTATCCTTCCATTCCTTGTGTCACTCTCCAATTGTAGCACCTCTCTGCCTCATCGGAATCGAAGCCACTGACTAAGAAAGCATTTACGATCGACCGAGCTCATGTCGGTATTCGGCATCGTACGGCATTTCCCAGACTTTCAAGCACATTTTCCCCCTGCAGCATGACGACTCTTATCACCCGTGTATGTGTCACGATTTTTGACTCTCCATTGACATGGTGTCACGTATGTTTTACTCTGTTGACTATCTGCTTGTTTGGCTTCTCTCATCGGCATCCACGACTCCGGTCATTCCTCCCCAGAACGTGATACAAAGTAATTGCTGGTAGCATTTGTTTCAGCAGACTCCGCACAATCTTCCACACCCACACCCTCAGATCTCATTACAGTCCTCAGCACCTTTGCTGTCTCTGCTCCCAGGACTACTCCGTGTCATTGCCCCCTGGCCGTTTGTATGTCATTGCAGCTCACCACCACAGAACGCTCGATTCCCTGCCTCTCGGCTAAGACGGCCTAACCTCTCCCTACGGCCAGAAATCTCCGTACCGCGGTATGTTAGGAAGGCTCCTGCTCATACGGTCGTCCGGATACAAAGAACTCGAAATGTTGCGATTCGGGATCGAAGCCCATTTTCGACTCTCTCTCTCGTTGAGACGGGGGAAGGGCGATGGCCCATATCTACTCCGGGACGCCGCAACGTCTTCATATCGACAGAAACTGGAATACATCCGCGGTATGTGTGGGTGTCTCTCGCTCATATTTCTACCCGGGTGCAGAGATCTCGAAAAGGTCCGGTTTGGCATCGAATCCCAGATTTCGGCTATCTCGTTTGAAGTACTGGTCTCTGGACCATCGGTCTCGGATACCGGGATTGGAGAGCAGCCAGGTGTCGGGATCACCTAGTGGCCGGTAGAACGGCATTTTGTTGGTCTTAGACGAAGGTATATCAATGGATATATACCCCGAAACCCTGTCGTCCGACGGAATAGGTTGGCTGTGTGGATATGTATCTAGGTAAGTTGGACCGTTTATTTTTATTTCTTTTTTTTTGAATGTGGATCTGTGGGTTCGTTCGTGTCTGGAGAGTCAAGAATTGAGAGTATATGCAGGAAGGAAAGGAAGAGGATATGCACACGAAGTAAGAGATTTATACTCTCTTGCTTGAGGGCGTTTGAATAAACAGCGCTGGGGGATGTATCACTTCCCTTCTCTCAGTTTGCTTGTGAGACGACTCCAGATGGTGCTTCAACAATCACGGCCACCTCTAGGATCACCTTCGAGGTGATTCCTCTCGTCGAAGCTCCCGATCACCGCATGTGTATCACAAAGAGATGCCCAGATTACCATTGACACCATATCACAAGGCTCTAATCGTCGAGTTGTTGACACTGGTGATCAGCTCTGCATGGAAGGGAAAGACTGGGCGGGAGGGACATATACTTGATTCCGACTCATGCATCACCTATCCATTTGTCCCTCGCTAGGGATGGGGAATTGCTCCCAGATTCGCGGTGATGTTTCTCAGTAACGGTGAACCATCACGTACGGCTCTCAGCGGTAGACTTTTCAGCGGCAAGGTCTAACGGAGTCTCAGTATGCACAAGTAAAGAGCTGCGATGTTTGAAGAATCTAAGGAGGAGATTCCAAGACAAGTGATTCAAGATTGCCGGAGCTCATTCGTGACTGGTAGCTATGGAAGCACTATGTTCTCCCATACTCCATGCAGATATCGTCGCTTAACATACTAACACAACTTGCCGTGCTGTAGGCAGTTAACGTCATTTGCTTTCCAGACCAGCTATGCCGATACAACTTAATCAACCGCTGCAACTCTCTCCGTCGTTCCAGTCCTTCGGCAGCTATCTGAAACGACAGTGCAGAAGGATGTCAGTCTAGGCGCGGATATATAGACTCGAGCTTCGGCATCCCTGTTAGGGCCGTTTGCCGCCACAGTGTACTGCATTGCCACTCGCTACGATTCACCACACCCAAAGTCTCAGTGTCAAGGCATCACTCTTCCCTCTTGCTAAATTGCACATGGGGCAGCATGCAAGCCACGAGGGTCATTCAATCCTGTGCTCTCTTGCGTCCCTCGGTAGAGCATTCCGTCGTCCAAGGACACGGGTGCAAATATAACAGAAGCACGTTAGTCTCCCTGCTGTGGACTACGTATATCCTGAAAATGGGCAGCATCAACAATCCCATCACGTGCCAGCCCGGCCCCCAATCGAAACTCCAAGAGTGTCACATGACAGCACTAGTCCCTGACTGGGACTGGTAGCACTTGCCATTCTACGAGTCCTTATGGCTCTTACCCCTCTTCCTCCTCTCTTTAGTTTCCATCAGACATGTACACAACAATGAAGTGAATGCATTGCAGCCCTCTTAGCTGTCGTTGTAGCGCTTGCTCTTCCCATACGCTTGCGCTGACCATGACAAAAAGGACAATCGTAGGCGCTGTCAGTTTTTTTTGACAGTGAACAGATGTTCCGTTCATTCTTCAGCGACTTGCCAAATCCCAATCTTGAATCAGGAGCTACTTCTGCCTCACTGCTCTTCCACTTGTCGCGCGGCGTTCTCGGTCCTGGCACTGTCCTCTATATCGCGTGTTACCTTTTCGCCCCTCGCCTCAACCCCAAAAGAGCGCTTTTGCCAACGGGATTGATAATGATATTGTCGGGAATCATGGCCAACCCGGAATCAGCTCAATCTCCGCACTATGATGTCTTTTGGGTAGAGTCCGCCGGAATGCCTCAAACACGTGGCGATCTTCGTGGAGACACATGAACTTGGGCCGGGTACAGGACACATATTTCAAGTCTCTGGCAATATCCAGCAGGGAATGTACCATGATCATCGACCTGGGAAGAAGCCCGAAGAGGACGAGCAGTCCGCCTTCGTCAGCGAAAGATTTATCGGGAGAGTATCAAGAGCGGTGTACGATGACGGAAACTTTCGACGAGTGTGCGATCTAGTGGAAGCCCCGCCCGAGCAATTTAATGGCCCTGAAAGACTGTTCCAGGGGCAAAAGCTGATAAGGTGCGGTGAATGGGCAGAGGACGCCATAAAGAAGTTGAGGATGGATGACGTTTTAGCCTGACTTGAATGGTATGATGAGAAGCGAGGTTCACATGAGCCAAAGCCAATATAAGCACATCGAAGCAGGAATTGGCTTTCGTGTACGACATGGAAGAGATTGATTCGCTGGTTGAGGCCCAAATATTCTGCGTTGTGGTATCTGACTTTCTTTCTTTCTTCAACTCAGCTCGCCTACAAGGTATGGCACGATACCCAGCGGCGACTCTCGACTTCTCAAAAGTCGGTCTCCGTTTCGAAACCCGAGTATCTCGCCTTTTGGCCTGAATATGACCAAAGCACGAAGCCACAGGTTCTCGGGTTTTTCACCCAGCCTCACAGAGTCGGACGACTGACGTTCTGGTCTTTGTCTCGGTTGTTATTCCCAGAAGGGCCTTCAGGCCGCCTTTCTGGCCATGCTCAGTGCTGGCACCACTGCCACTGCTACCTACTCACTAGAGTGCGGAGCGTTTGATGAGCTTGGCATGTTTGGCTTCCCCAGCAAAAACCTACCTAGGTAGGTAACGATATCCGTCGTTGGAGACGCGTATTGCACATTGTATTACCAAGCAACAAGAAGCTTATATTAGCTTGCTCTTGCTCTCCCCATTCTTGTCCGCTGGACGACAGTCTCACGGATAGACAGCACCTTGTCGCCATGGCCGACACCACCGATCATGAGCTCGCTGCCGTGAACAGAGGTGCCGATATCGACGACGACACAAGTCTTGTAGACTTGCAGAGTCTTCCACCAGCCGACCGCGGCAAGGGTGCCTGGTTCACACTTGCGGCATGTTTCTTCCTTGAAGCCACTGTCTGGGGGTACGCAGGAGTCCCTTGTCGCATGGCTTGATTGCTGATTCAAATCCAGGTTCATACATTCCTACGGTGTTATGGAGGTCTACTACCGCCAGCACGAGCCTTTCAGGAGCCAGCACGAGGGTCTTGCCGCCGTAGCCACCACCGCCATGGCAATCATGCTCATCGGCTCACCATTTATCTCCCTCATTCATCAACGGTTTCCAAGCCTCAGGCGCATTGGGGGCTGTGTTGGGCTGGCCATCATGTTTTCCGGGCTGCTTATCGCGGCTTCGACCGACTCCCCAATGGTCCTACTGTGGACTCAGGGCGTCATGTATGGCGTCGGCGCTTTGTTGGTGTACTTTCCGGCGATGTTCTTAATCGATGAATGGTTTGTGGAGCGCAAAGGCTTTGCGTTTGGGATCTCTTGGGCAGGCACGGGCATCGGTGGTGCAACTACGCCGTTCCTGTTACAGTGGCTGCTGCATACTCAGGGTCACAGGACCACGCTGAGGATCTGTGCGGGAATCATCGTACGTTCCTCGTCCCTTCTGTCCACCGACTTTTCAAGGTAGAGTTCTTAACTTTATCAGGCCGGCGTTGCGCTGCCTTGCGTCCTCTTCATGAAGCCCCGGCTTCCGGTTCGAGGGCCACGACGATTCCGACCCATGGACCTGGGCTTCATCAAAAAGCGGACGTTCTGGATGTATCAATGCCCTAGTATCATTCAGTCCTCTGTTGCGCCACTGCCCAGTCTATGGCTGCCCTCCTTCGCATCATCTATGGGCATGTCGCCAGCTACGGGTCCGCTGTCTGTCGCTTTACTTAATCTTGCCTCATGCTGCGGATATCTGCTTCAAGGTCGACTTGTCGATCGCTACCACGTCAGCTGGGCGATCCTGGTGTCCACCCTCGGCTCGACCATCGCCGTGTTCGGCTTCTGGGGCTGCGGCACCCACAAGGCGACGCTGTACATATTCGCCATCCTCTTCGGACTTTTCGGAGCTGGATACCCTGGCCATTGGACCGGCTGTGCGGGTGACATGAGAAGGACTTTCCCGAATGTCAACACAGGTTTAGTGATCTCCCTCATGTGTGCTGGAAAAGGCGCGGGCAACATTTTGGCCGGTCCGGTCAGCGAAAAGTTGTTGTCGATGAAGCCGTGGCAACACAGTAGCTTCGCGTATGGGTCATCGTATGGCTCGATCATCATTTTCACGGGTGTATGTATGTTTCTGGGAGGTGCAGGTGCCATTCCGCGCCTTGGGCACAGTCTAAGCACGGCGCTCCGGAATGCTCCTCTGCCTCGGATGAACTTTGCGAGAGCGTTGAGGACGTCGACATCTGACTGAGACGCTTAATCGGCGGTGGCGGACCGCAACACTGTCCAGGGTGCCCTCAAGCTCGCAACGGGTTCCGAGTGTATGGTGTATGTTTTACTCTGCAGAGAAGGGGATCTGACTTCAGTACACGCCCTGAGGCTGCGGAGGTTTGAGAAACTTTTCAGGATGAACAATAAAAATAGTTTCTGACCTGTTTTCTCTTCTTACAGATAAGGGTCGAGAGATATTCGGTACGGATGACCTGCGAAGTCGTGGTTGATTACCAACTGACCAGCCATTTGGGCCAAAATTCTCTCACTACATGAGTCATTTGGTAAAGCTCAGAGATGAATACTTTACCTATGTATTTCCTCCCCACCCTTCTTCTTCTTCTTCTTCTTCTTCTTCTTCTTCTTCTTCTTCTTCTTCTTCTTCTTCTTCTTCTTCTTCTTCCCTTCCCCGTCCACGCGCTGTTCCTAATAAGTAGTGGCACAGTCGTATATCGTAACAGGTGGAAAACAAAGAATGATGATGACTTCTCGAGAACCAAAAGCGCTGTACAAGGTACTTGGTTTACCGAGTGCAAGCACACTGCGCAGAGAAAAGAAATCTGACTTTGACGATGCAACATGCCGTTTACTAGATTTTCTTGCACAACTACCGCGTTTCAACGATCAGAATGATACCGAGGCGAGGCATCAGTGGGAGGTGAGACCTGGTTTGCTGAACCTCCCAAGACTCCTGCGGCCATCGACGTTCCCTTCAAAGAGCATCTCTCAGCGAACACTGACACATGCATTTCCGGCTTTCAAATCCTTATGGACCCTTGTCCTGTTTCTGCTTTAGAACTCGTCGCCAGCTTCAAACCCCGGCGTTCACGGTCCGTGAAGAAACAGCCTACTGTCGGCCAGGGTCGCAGCCGAGTCAAGGCATTTGTCCCGATCAGCGTCATGTCCTTTCTGCAAGCAAAGGAACAGCAGGCATCATACATACACAGCAAGGACTCGGCAAGTGAAGAAAGCCAGGAAACCATTGTTCTCGGCGATCGCTGCGCTCCAAACAGAAGCCAAACAGGCCGTCGCGGAAGCGAGCACGAAGCTCAACATTGTGCTGGGAATAGACGTAACTTTCAGGTTGCGTGTCAACTGAGCTCGTGACCTGATTCAGTATTGCTGTCTGCAATTTTTCGAAACTTTGCCGACACAATGCGAGTTCCCGCGATGTCAGAGATTGGTGGTGTTGAGCTTGTCAGCTTGAGCGTTGTCTCACCTGCAAAACTGCCCTCTTGAAGTAACCCGGAACGTAAAACTGCACACAGCCGTTCAAACGAGCAGAGATCGATCAACGTCCATTGGTAGGAATCGAGGTGCGCAAAGGGATCATCTAGGCATTTCGTGTAGCATGACACGATACGGAGTAATTAACCGTGACGGCGAAAAGCATGCTTGCTCAGATCGTGGGCATATTGCGCCGCGATCCCTGAGCTCTGCAAGAGTTGAAAATCAACAGTGATGGTTCTCATGTTGCCGGTACGGGCGACAACGAGGGTATGCAAGAAGACGAGGAGTGTTAGTGAGATGATGTACTACTTGTCGCTGCCCCAACTCCGCTGTCGAACTCCACGACCTTCCGACTGCATTACGGACATCAGCGACCTCGAACAAGCTGCTCCGACCGCCTTTTGCGATTCAATCCCTCGTCATACGTATTGCATATCGGCCACGATGCCAAAATGCAGTCGGCTTCAAGCCGCTTCCCCGACGTGCATGCGGCGTCATTTCCTGATCAGAATAAATCCGCCAAAACTCCACGCAGGTGACAAGAATCGAAAATTGTTGACACAGGTTTCTGTCGCATTCGCGTTGCTACAGTACTTTGCATGACTACCCGATGCTCCTAATGCAGTCACACATGTTCAACGCCATTTCCTACTCGCCTCAGCCATCGCTACCCACTCCGTACTCCATCTCTGAGGGATCCTTCACTAATTATTAGGTGCTCCCTCACCATGACCAAGACACAGACTATGACGTTGTCGCCCGTCCAAGAAATTCAACCGCCCGGCCCATCGCCTCGGGAGACATTCGAGCTGAGCCTAAAAGCGCCGGGAAAATCACTTCGAGAATTATCACGACGAGTAGTCCACGGGGCGCCATCCGCTCCGTCGTCTGGACGTGCCTCCTCATCGGACGAAGAGGACACCATTCGCGAGGAAATCGAACCACCCACAGATTCTCACGCCGTGGTCCAGGTTCAGCGATGGAACGAACCAAAAGGAAATATCGCGAGGCTCGGGTTTTCGTTCTTCTCGTTCATTGTCACTGGATTGAATGATGGGGCTGTTGGCGTACGAAGAAACCTCCGTCATTCCGGAAGCATACTTATGCTAATGCTAACATGGTTCTTCTTCATAGGCGCTGATTCCATACGTACGTGGCTTTGTTCATTGTCAGCCAGGGATATGGAGGCGCTCACACCATAACAGCTCGAGACATACTATCACCTCTCCTACACCACCGTGTCGTTAATCTTCCTCACGCCCTTTGCAGGCTACTCGCTCGCGGCCTTCACGAATGCCTCGATCCACAGCCGCCTCGGCCAACGGGGGATCGTCATCCTAGCTCCCCTATGCCATATCATCACGTACGCGATCTTATCTGCACATCCGCCGTTCCCTGTACTCGTCATTAGCAATACAATCTCGGGCTTCGGCAACGGACTGACAGACGCGTGCTTTTGCGCGTGGATCGGCGTCATGGATAAAGCCAACGCCGTGCAAGGGTGTCTGCATTCTTGCTACTCGCTGGGCGCATTGTTCGCGCCGCTGATCGCCACGAGTATGGTCGTGCATGCGAAGCTGCCTTGGTATACCTTTTACTACTTCATGGTATGTGCTGTGCTCCTCACGCGGTCGTCAAGGCCACGCGAACCGCGACGAGAAGTTCCAAGCTAAGTGACGTAGGCGGGTGCCTCGGTCCTCGAACTCGTCGGTCTGACCGTGACCTTCTGGCGCAAGACAGGCGCGGTATACCGTCTCGAGCACCCCAGGGAAACCACGACCGAAGCAAAAGGCGGCCGCACGCGCGAAGCACTCAAGTCCAAAATCACCTGGATCTGCTCGCTCTTCTTTTTCACGTACATGGGCGTTGAAGGCGAGTACTGCCCAGCATTTCATTTCATTTCATTCCTGACACTCCAGTCTTTTGAGTCGTTCTGACACATTCTGGATAGTTGGCCTCGGCGGCTGGATCGTGACATTCATGCTCCGCGTCCGTTCCGCCTCCCCTTCCGCGTCAGGCTACTCCGGCACCGGCTTCTGGGCAGGCATGGCCCTCGGCCGCGCGACGCTGGGGTTCGTGACCGAACGCTTCGGCGAAAGGACGTGCATCTCGATCTACCTGGCCCTGTGTCTCGCGCTGCAACTCGTGTTCTGGCTCGTGCCGAAATTCATCGTCTCCGCGGTCGCGGTCGCGTTGCTGGGATTCTTCCTCGGCCCCATGTTCCCTGGCTGCGTGATGATGGCGGCCAAGTTGCTCCCCAAGCATATCCACGTCAGTGCTATTGGGTTTGCAATGGCTATTGGTGGGACGGGTGGCACAGTGTTCCCGTTTGCCATTGGGGCGATTGCGAGCAGTAAGGGCGTTAAAGTGCTGCAGCCGATTGTCCTGGCGTTGTTGGTGGTGCTGCTCGGGTTGTGGTTGAGTTTCCCGAGGCTGAAGAAGAGGGAGTAGGCACCGTGGATTGTGGGAGCCTTGAGATGATACAGGGGCGGTAAAGCTAGATCTCGTCGTGGAGCAATCGACGTCGGATGGTTAATGAGCACGCATCCAGCACGTCGCCGTCATCGAACTGGATGCTAGTACGGGAACGCTGGCAGCGACAGCTCAAGCGTTCCTTAAAACTGCTTCCGTCCTTTAGCAGCACGTGTGTGCACATATCCAACAACACATATGCCGCCTGATGCTCAGATGATCACTCCAGGCAAGACGATGAGGTCCAAGGATGGATCCGGGCGACAGATCGAGATACGTACAGCAGTATTACAGGGAGTCCCGAGATCTCAAAGTGGACTTTTTCATTTCGCACACTGGCGCACATGAGCACACAGGCAGGCATACACTGTGGCGGCGCGGCGCGGCGGAATTTCTGACTGGGTATCTAGGGGTATTTCCTCTCGTTTCATTTCACGTCAATTGCAAACCCATAAACTCCCCATCCTGGCTGTGGCTCGCGCGCCAGGCACAATCGATCTCGACGTCAACCCACATATTCAAGCATGGGGAACACGAGGCCAATCATCTCGGGGTATTCCTCTTGCGAGCCCTCGAACGACATGCTCGTTAGATCAAGGTCCCTGCCCTGCAGAGCACATCGGCCTCATTACCTCCACTTTGGACAGACGGAGCTACGCCTCTCGCAGCACTTTCATCGTGCCCCTCGGGCCTTTTGACCAACACGAGACGAGACGAGACGAGGTGGTCAAGCCTTGGCTCTCTTCCTCTCGGTGGCGTCCTCGTTGTTGCTCAACTTGCGACCCTTGGCTCTATTGGCCGCGGCGGTGTTAGCCCCAATGCTCGCTCCGGAACTACTCTTCCTATCTTCGCTCTTGGGCGTCGTGACTTCGCTACTTGGCACGCTCTCGACGCGTCCCCCACCGTCGTGCTCGTCAAACCCACCGATGCCTTCGATTTTTGTGCCCCTAGGGTTTCCTGCGTATTGGCCTTGTGAGACGTCATCGGTGCCGTCGAACCCGAACCCTGCAGCCGAATCGTTGTTGTCCAAGTTCGCAAACAACTCATCGTCGTCCTTGTAGTCCGCAAAGTTGAAGCCGTCACCACCCTGCTGGTTACCGCCCAGGCCTGTGTTCCCGAAATCGTAGTTGCCACTTCCCTCGCTTGGAAATTCACCAAAGTATTCGATCTGATTGAGGAAGTCATCGACATCCACCGGTGGTGGCGGTAGTTGCTGACTGTCATGAATTCCGGGGATGCTGCCCGTCGGAGAGAGTGGCTGCAATAGGTTGGTGAGGTTCTGCACGCTCTTGTCCTGCTGCTCCTGGAGTTTCGCCAACTGGTCGAGGTCTGCCTGCGTAGACGCGAGGCGGCGATGGAAATTTGCTGGACCGGGTGGTGGGGTGGCGTTGATGAGCGCGTTGTCTGAGCCTGGTGCGGTGCCAGAGGAGTTGTTGATCAAACGGAGCACGTCGGCGCGCTGGGTCTTGGTAAGTGGAGCCGTGCTAGAGGAGTTTTGCAGTGAGTTGAGGACCGAGGAGAAGTCTTGGGCCGGGGTCGTGGGCGAGGTGGCCGAGGTGGTGTTCCGAGCGTTGGCGGACTGGATCATGGACATCATATCTCTAGAGGGCAAGTCGGATACACTTGGGCGAGACTGGGTGCTTGCAGATGAGGGGATGTTGTCGTTGGAGCTGTTTACGCCGGGATCGAAGACTTCTTCCACTTGCGGAGACAGGACGGAGGGCTGCTTTGCCGAGCGGACGGGTTGAGCGCGAGGTGGGTAGGGAGAAGTCGCCGTCGTGCGTGGCGACAGAGTACTTGCGCGACCACCTTGCTGGGACCCGGCACCAGCTCCGTTGGTCAGGAGCAGAGGCTGTCGCTTAAACGGCTTCCCTGAGCTGCCATCGATGTTGATGTCGTTGAAGGTGTAGTCGCCAACATCTACCACTGATCCTGACGTGGAGGTGTCAACTGGCATTGCGTTCTGAAACAGATTTGTGATGCCCTGGATGTTGTCGTGACTTTGCAGTGACCGGTTGTAGACGGTGGCGAGGAAGGTTAGGATGGCATTGATGGAGTTCTCGTGGCGGTTGTGCTGATCCTGGAAGGTGGCGGCTTGTCCGTAGAGTTGTTCGTGCTCGCGCCTCAATTGCTGCATCATGCGGGAGATATGGCTTTGCTGATGCCTAATGGCAGCCAGTTCGCGTTGCACGCTCTTGAATTGTTCCTGAGTAAGGGCCACCTCGGCGCCGCCAATGGCTAACGGTCCCGGTCGGGTGCGGACGCGATTGTCGGGCACCGTCGCATCCTCGACATAGTCGTCGAGCTCATCATCGATTTGCTCGTTTTCGTTCTTCCCTTTGCGCTTCGAAGCCGGGCCGCTGGCGTTCTTGGGCTTCTGAATCAGCCACAGGAGGTCAGGATGGCCTCGTCGGAAGTACGGGTTCGAGTATTCACTTGGACTCTTGTTCTTCTTCTCGCTTGCTCTCATCGAGTTGTCTGACAGCCCGACCTTCTTATGAAAGCCATACATGTTAAGCTGACGCACGAACGAGGCATAGTTGTTGTGCTTGAATAACTCGGGGATGAGCTTTTTGGCAAACTCATCTTCGTCTAGGACAATGAAGGAGTTGCCATCGTCTGACCAGCGGATGAGGTCGGTGTTTCTACCATCTTCCAAGAAACTGGCATACTCGTTAGCGTGGATCTTGTCTCGGGGGGACCGTGTCGACTCACCTGTTGAGCTTCTGCACAAAAGGCGGGATTTGTTTTCTCTTTGCTTGTGCCTCCCTCTTCGCGATCTGTGCTCTTGCTTCTAATTCGGCTAGGTCATCTCCCCAAGCGCCATCTGTAGGATTGACTCCGCTATCTGAAGTGTCCATCCAACCCTTTGCATCTTGACTCGGCTGTGGTACCCGGGAGCTAAGTTGTGCCGCGGGTCTCCGGGTAAGTTGGTTCGACGGCTGAGGGACGTTCTGAGGGTTGGTTTGAGGATTGTTCTGAGGGAACAGACTCGCGTTCACGGCGTAACTGTTGTCGTTGTAGGATGGCACCGTGGCAGGCTGGCCAGTTTGACCCCATTGAAGGAACTGATCGTTAGAGAGCTGCTGTCCCAGGCCGTCGTTAAATGCTGGTGCGGGATTCTGCACTTGCGCAGGATACGGCATGGGGTCAGCGCCGGGAGCAGGGCGCTTCCTCGAGAAGCCCTGAGGTGCCATGGTACTGAAGGCAGATGCGGAGGTACAGCAAGTCAGAAGTTTGGGTTCGAAATTGCGATCGTGGGCTTGTCTTGAAGCCGCAGCGGCTCGGCTAACAGAGGGACGTGGTCAGACAGTCACAGTCGTGCGGCTCGGGCGCCTTCTGCGGCTGGGCGGCTGATGCAAATGTGCCGGTGCTGTTGCCGCTTAGTCGTCGACGGTGATTCTACGTATGTTGGTATTGGTATATTGCGGCTGCACTGCACACTGGTGCAGAATCACAGATTCGGCGCAAGGTGGGCTGCAATGTTGGGGAAAGATTGATCTCCGATGATATCCGAAAATTGAATAGACAGGTTTCAAGTGTCGCCAACTTGTCCTTTTGATGGCATCCGAAAGTCTTTGCTCTCAGATATTATGTACATGTGGCGTGACATACACAAGATACTCTAATCGGAAGTGGTCAATTAAATCATGGTGGATGGAGTGCCGAATCTGGCCTGCATGTTGCGCTGTGCAGCCGATGACATACGCAGCACAGGCATCGCAGATGTACGTCGGGTGGCTTCCGTGGTTCACGCAACACCAGGACTTGCTCCGCCGTTGCCTCTCGGCTGCTGCGGCGGGCTACAATCACCACTGTGGCAAGTGCACGATTCTTCCAGTCAAAGACACAGGCAAACGGGCACACGCATACCGAATGGATAGCGGACATCTCTCTTTTTGACGATACATTTGGTTCTCAGGACCTCAAGGCTTGGGCTGTCCGATCAGTCGCCTGAAGCTTGCGACAGCTGCGTCCCATCGCTCGGGATGTGACTGGGCAAACTCCTTCACGGTTTTCACAGCATTCCAGTCTTCCTGCATGTGCTGAACACTCTTTGTGCCGTTAAGGACAGTGACATTGCCCAATCCAAGGACCAGACAATATAGGGCTGATTGTGGACTGATGCCCACCTGATTTGCTAGTGACCTGGTCTCATTTGACCCCACCAGACCCGGGTTAGCAGATAGAGTCCAGAAGCTCTGATACACGATATTTTTCTCCTTACAAAACTGTCGTACTCCAATATCAAACTTCGTACTGGGGTAGAAACGGTTCTGCACTACCGTCGGCTTGATCCGAGCGCGCTCATAGAGGTCCATCAGAGTAAAGAGGTTACAGTTCGAGATCCCAAGATTTCTGATCTCGCTGGGCACGAACTGCTCCAGTGTTTCCCAGACTTCCAATGTCTCGTTGAGCGTGGGCATGGGAGAATGGAGGACAAGTGTGTCAATATATTGAGCTTCTCCTTCGGCAACAACGTCTGCAAAGTTGAAGTTCTGAAGAGACGATATGACCGATGCTTTCACTTGATCTGCAAGCGGGCTTTTGGGATCGAACGGCATGTTGTCTGGGTCTTGACCTCCAACACTGGTGAACTTAGTTTGAATGTACACCTCGGACCGCTTGATCTTGCCATCTTTGATCGCCCGGTGGATGCCGGCGGCAACGAGGTCCTCTCGATAATGTTTTGGTTGTGCAGCGGTATCAATTGCTGTAAAACCATTGGATAGGGCTTCATAGACAAGATCGGATGTCGCTCCTTTCTTCCACGCTGTGCCATAGATAAAAGCTGGCAAAGCGGGTATCGCATGCCTGCCAGACAAATGAGGCGCGTGTAGTGCGAGCTTCTCGAACAACGCTGAGCGTGTCATGTCTTCCTCAACCTCGGGGGCACCAATCCAGCTTTGGGAAATACTGTGTGTTTGTGTACCGTGTAAGATCGTGGCTTACTACAGTAGAAGGGTGTCATGGACGCATTAGCCTCGAAGCGAAATCAGACCCTTGCTCCGGGTTGAATTGTTCGCGTTGTCCCGATGGTGCCTGTGGTCATTGACGTGGATGAAATAACGCCTGGTTTACGTGCGATCGAATGAAATAGCTCATCCGATGGTGAAGCAAATCATTGGGAGACGCAGGCTTACCCCTGGCTTGTCGAGTTCCCAGTTAGGTGCCTGCGGGCTTTGGGAGGGAAACTTTACCCAGTCCAGTCCGCCTACGCTTGCCTGGAACTGAAGCGAAGCCTCTCCTGGGTGGCCTCTGGAATTGGTCACTCGATGTTCGATAACTTCACGACCATCAGCACCTCGTTTTATTGGCCACCACGCCACGTACGTTCGGGAGTCTCTGCTATGTGAACAAGCGTGGCCAACTCATCTCCCTACTGCGACTCCCTCTCACCCTCGCCAGCCACATGAACTCCTGTTCTCTCGCTTGGCGCAAGTGATTGCCGTGAGAGGGCATCCATTCCTGATGGGGCGCATAACAGCTTGTGTCCAGCGATCTGTTACTGAGCCCACTTCCGCGTATGGTCAACAAGAGACGGTGGCTCGCAAGTGAGGCAAGCCAATAGCTCTAGTATTGATAGCTTGCTTGAAAAGCAAACCAGCGTAGCACATCATTTGACCTGATAGGAGAAGTTGATCACCACAAGGAGAGAGTAAGCCCAAAGAGGACAGATAAAGGGGTTGTGCGGAGCCCGCAGCAGAGATATACACAGTAGCATCAGGGGTACCGACGCAAGGCTCTGACGGCTCGCTCGGATCCAAACAAGTGGATGGAACGATATGAAACCGAGATTTCATGGTGGCAAGCAGAGTCTTGAACCACAGCGTTAACAGCATAGCTAAACACTTTAGGAAAGATGTCAGGATTTGCGAGAAACAGGGGTGGCAGAGTCAGATGGTGGAGGAGTTTGATTGCGATCCGCCGCGAGAGGGAAAATTGGCGGTGCAATGGAGAGGAGAGGTCAGGTTGGCGTGGGCCACGAGTTCAGAGACAGCTTCTGCACGTCGATGTTTCATGCGCAACAAGGTGCTCCCCTTTGTAAGGGGGATCATGACGAGATACATACACAGACTGGTCAATGCGAGCGCAGACAGAATCAGATGCTGAATGTGTTGCGGAAAGTTGGCTATGGCCTTCCTACCGTTACTGGCTGGCGCTGCTAATTGGGTCGTGGTGCCATAGACCCTCCAGGCTCTCGAGGTTTAAAGTTCCTTCCGGGGCTGTTGACGCAGCTTAATCACGGTCAAATCTGAGATTCAGCAAACCGTCGTGTCTGGTTGGCCACCGGCAGCCAGTAGCCTCCCAGGGAGCCACTGGAGAGGCCTGGGGCTCACCCTTGCTGCTCCGGGCCAGGGCCGCAGGCTCACGGGCACACCAGGCTCGGAACCCTAGCGTCAAGTCAAGTCGCTGAGTCGTCGTCTGCCCTTTCTCCTAAATTAATTTCTTTGTCCCAAAACAACACCTGAAGAAATCTGTATCTCTTCGACTCTCCTTCACGTCGACGTAGACAATCCGCATCTGCACCTTGCTCTGGCGCGGTCTTACATGCTGGACTAGCCACCTGTCTATCTTTAATATGTCCTGCTGATCGAGCTAGACATCTGTTGTCACGACTTCACCTCGAGAAATTCCCGACTCGGCATCACGACCCCCGAAATTTGACAGTTTTCTGCGCTCGCCCTTGATTGCACAACAATCCTCACACGTCCCTCCCACGATACTTCAACGATTGAGGAGATTACGCCCTGACGATATCAGATACCCTCGACATTCCAATTGCGAACCTTGAGTCATCGTGCTCTTCATCATAGCCTGTTTCGACCTGCGCAGATAACTGGACCTCGACTCGTTTAGTTTTCTCCGGTCGCGCGTTCTCTGTCTGCTACCCAGACCGAGACGAGTCACTGATCTGCCCGTCTTGTTACCACAGAAGCCCAATCCTGTGAACATTTGGGTTTCCTAGCGGCTTTTTTAAAAGCACCACAGGTGGCGCAAACAATAGTCAGTCAAAAGAAGGGATATCAGTCCTCGAAATGGCGGCTTTCTCGAACGCCTCCGACGCATTTTACGACGAACGAACCTCACCACGAGCATACCGCAACCCACACCTGAATCGCCAGGCGAGTGGCGGTGATCCTTACAGCAGCATGAATCCCCCTATGTTTGGGGCCGAGGCTCCTCTGCAAAACATGCGGTTTGACAACATGAGAGATGGTTTCGGCGCACCCATGCAGAATGCTGCAGCTGGAAACATCCACTTCCCCTACGATGCAAGCGCCGCTCAAACCTGGAGTGCAGGGGGGGCTTCTTTGGCTCCTTTTGGGAATGGCATGGGCAACATTCCGCAAAACAACAACTTCGGTCCCTCGCGCAGTATTAAGCCAAGTCGAGGTCGTGTCGGCCTTCAGCAGGTAAGTCGCCACAAGTCTGCGCGTTGTGTTCAGGAGTCGACTGACCACGTCCAGCTATGGTATGATCAACCTCAGCAGCAACATCCTGCGCTTGTGGGACACCGACCGGGTCCACAAGGACGCAACGACTCGCAGGACGACGATGACGAGCTTATTCCCACTGCCATTGTGATAAAGAATATCCCCTTCGCGGTCAAGAAGGAACAGCTTGTCCAGCTGATGGTTGATATGAACCTCCCTCTCCCATATGCTTTCAACTACCATTTCGATAATGGTGTCTTTCGCGGTCTTGCCTTTGCCAACTTCACCTCGCCCCAGGAGACTGAACAAGTCATCCAGGCCCTCAATCATATGGACCTTAGCGGGCGCAAGCTGCGGGTCGAGTACAAGAAGATGCTTCCTTTGGCTGAGCGAGAGCGTATCGAGAGGGAGAAGCGCGAGCGACGTGGTCAGCTAGAAGAGCAACACCGTCCAATGCCGCAGTCACAGCTTCACAATCAAATCTCCTTGTCGTCAATGTCCCGAAACACCCCGTCGCCACTCTCACAGCGCGCTGGCATGCCTGGTAAGTCGAGCTCGATTCCCCATGCGCGGGTTGTGTTAACAAATGTTGCAGAGGTGGACATGAATGACCCAAAGACGCTCGAGTTCTACACTGATATGACGCTGTTCAGACGCGATCCCAGTCGTGAAGTTCTCATCTTCCCTCCAACTTTGGAACCCAACCACCGCCGCGTTGTCCACACCCTTGCTCACCACATGGGCTTGACGCATGTCTCACGTGGCACAGGAGATCAACGACAAGTCCACATCCATCGACCGGCAGCGGGGACGAACGTCAGCCCACCTACTCTGCCTGGAGCGTTTGGATCCAATGAAGGCTTACGTCAGACCCTTGGCAGGTCTTCCACGGCCGATTTCAATGATGGCAGACCATTTGAAGGCCCTGGTTTCAACACTCTGCGCGGCCAGTCGTCCGTCGGCCTTCTGGACGTCATGGACCCCAACGCTTATGGCAGATCTGCCGACAGCAATCTGCGCAATGCCAAGTCATTTGCTGACCTGCGCTCGTGGAGCCCGTCGCCAGTGCCCTCCACGGCAAGCTTTCCAGCGGCACTGCAAACCAACGGTGCCCGTCTCCAGGCTCTGAACGATCCTGCTGGAACCAACACACCTACTTTGACCCCAACTGCCTCTAACCCAGGCGCCGGTGTCAACCGAGATGAACCATTCCTCATCTCCAGCTTCTCAAACCTGTCAATGTCTAATAACAACGGTGCCCAGACGAGCCCCCGCCGTCAACGAAGCTTCTTCGGAAACGGGTCCGAGTGGAATGAGGGACAGAACTATCAAGCCACTGCCCCCATCGGCAGTAAGCGAACTGTTAGCATTGGACCAGAGAGCACCACTCAACCAACGAACCCTTTGCGCCAAGCGCGCGGTCCCAGTTCCAGCAGCGGCTTGGGCTTCACTCGCCGTCAGAATGGACGTGGCAGTGACGAATTGAGGACGGCCGCATCTGCGATCGCCGAATGAACGATACTTACATATACCCCCTGCTTTGATGACGCTCGGATGCCGAGCAATCACGAGTCAATGATCCACGAAACGACATGACCCTCTCCAGAACATCTCCAAAAGTTAGACGCATACTAGGGCAGCCTACACGACTGCACGATTGGACTACAGAAAAGATTGTTGTAACGAAATGACACAGGACTTGACGGGTGTGGCATACAGCATTTTGTTACGAGACTCCCGAAGAAAGAATGACTGATCCTGGCTTGTACACTTTATTCTTGGTCTGCGTTCTTGGGAGCACGCTGCATGATGGGATTGGGCATCAAAGTGCTGTGCGAAGATTATGCCGAGTTGTGCTGATTGCGCGCTGGATTTACCATGGATTTCGCAGCCAGTCTCCGCATTGTGATTTGTGACTGAGTTGGGAGGGAAACGGCTATGGAACGGATACACTCGTTTTAATCAGGGCGTGAGCTTCGCACGAGACTGCTAGTAATATCAATCTTGTTTTGTTCGTGAGTGACAATCTACCAAACTCTTGAGTCAGCGTCGCGTAATAGAGGTCCGACGATCAATGTGAGGTCAAATACGGAGTACGTGGTTGAGTTGTGTCTCAGCCTCGCTGGGTGCTCGAATGCCCAGGTGTGCCTTGTTACTTGATGACATAATCGCTGCCAAGCCAGATCCCCTCTCACCTCTGTCTTTCTTCACTCAACTGACTTCACAACCTCTCGGGACATCTCATATACGAGTATTGACACATGCATCCTAAGTCCTGGCACTATACAGATCCCCCTAAGGATCCGGCACTGTTGTCGCTGTATACACTACTTTGGGGCATATCCTGGACTGCTAATGTTCTGATGAGTTAAGTTCCATGGCTAACAGTGACGAACCGGAGCTGCTCATCAACATCCTTTCGCCCACGAGGCGGCGCCAGCACTCCCTTGGCAGCAGATCATCTTGATCGGTGGTAAGTCACTACGTCCATCCTCACGACGGTAAAGATTCGCCTCCAGTACAGTGCCGCAGCATTTGTCACTTCTTGTTATCGACAGGCTGGCTTCACCCGCAGTTGAGGGTCAAAAATAAGCCAAGCTCGCGTGCCCCACCAACGGGAGCCTAGCGCCAAATCCACATGTTTTCTCACTGGGACGAACCAAACACGCCGCTTGTCTTCCCTGCCACTCACTTTGTCACTCATCTTCGCCTTAGTCTTCCATCATATCCGTCCTCCGCCATCAACAACTCGACGCGTCGACAACAAATCTATCGGTCGCATCCACCAAACATCTGTCGCGTCATCACAACAACTTCATACCTTTCTTCATCGACACCTGATACTATGGCCGGAGGGAAGGGCAAGAGCATTGGAGGCAAGGCGACTGGCGCGAAGGATTCCACCACCAAGCCTCAGAAGTCGCACAGCGCGAAGGCCGGCTTGCAAGTGAGTTAACCCTTGATCCAGATTCGCATGAGACAGACTGTGTATGCGCGACACGACATCAATGCCACGATGCGCGCACACGTTAAGGCCGCAGTTGGCGTGAGAACCATATCCGCCTTTCTGCCACGAGCGCGATCATCAGCGATATTGCAGTAATCGCCGACACAGAGCTGACCCCTTTCTACCAGTTCCCCTGCGGTCGCGTCAAGCGTTTCCTGAAGAACAACACCCAGAACAAGATGCGAGTGGGTGCCAAAGGTATTGTTCAAAGCCAGGCCCCAGGCATTCAGCAAGTGCACTGACAATCTATCTTACAGCCGCCGTCTATGTTACCGCCGTCCTCGAGTATCTGACCGCCGAAGTCCTCGAACTAGCAGGCAACGCCGCCAAGGATCTCAAGGTCAAGCGCATCACTCCTCGACATCTGCAACTTGCCATCCGTGGTGATGAAGAGCTGGATACTTTGATCAGAGCGACAATCGCCTTCGGTGGTGTCCTTCCCCATATCAACAGAGCGCTTCTCTTGAAGGTGGAGCAGAAGAAGAAGAGCAAGGCAGACGCGTAAATGGTCTCAAGCTGGATCAAAACTCTTCCCAGCAGTGTCTGCTAGGCGTTATCTATTTCTGTCGATGGACTGGACCATGGCCGTGTCTAGTCCTGGATACGAGTGAATGAGGAGAAGACTATTGCCGCAACAATAAGCAAGAACAGTACGGGTTTCAGGAGGCCATTATCGAGCTCTTCATGGGTGTGTCAACAGTGATTATTTTGAACTGAGGAGCAGGTCGCCCTCTTTGAGTTTACTTCAATTGGATTTGTGGTGAAGTGACAATACCCTTTCTTTTCCTTGACTTACACACTTCGTCGGACCGTCATACTTTCTGACTGAGAACACCTACCTAGGTAGGCATGTGGCTTGCACCCGCTGCCTAAAGTGCTGCCTGCCGGCTTGTTGACAGACGCGCCTGTTTAGTCCTACGCTCTTCCTTTGTGTGACTTCCTCGTCCTCCGACACTTGACTCCATGACTCGCACCAAAGGCGAGCATCACTCGGTAGCTCGATCTTGTTTGTCCCATCCTTGCTCGACATTTGCTCAGCCATCTTCCTTACGCTACCCGTGGCACTCTGCTGTGGTCAAGATTGGGAATGGTTGTAAAGCAACGTCCCGACGAGAGAACTTCTTTGGTTGATTTGCGTGTGACGGAACTTGAGCATTGTTTGCTCTTCTGCACGATCAACAAGGCCCCGCATCATTGCACGACGCTCTTCGTTCTTTAAACACCACGATTGGACAGGGCCGCGTAAGTCGCCTCGAAACATAGGTAGCACTTCAACATCTGTTGGCTTGCCGGGAGTATATTGCTTCTTCTTTTCTGCCACACCGCTACCCGTCTACACTACGGATTCGTCATGATATGACCTGTTTGACAGAGTGCCTGGTCCGGAACATGCCTCGCATATCTGCCTTGCAGCTGCATGTCAGCGCACCTCAATCCGGCCGTACCCTCTCTTCCCCCACATACCTCACAGCGCTATGCCGATGCTCTATGAGATCTCGGCTTCGGTTTCCTCACGCCTTATTAGAGCCATTTTCGGTGATGGACGCATCAAAGGTCCAACCACGTCACACCACCAAAGTCCTCAGCATCGACGGACTTGTGGCTTTGCTGGGTTTCGGGATGTTGTGCAACTTGTCTTCTCTCGCCTTGAACGCGTCATGGTTTCAGTAGCGATTTGGCGGATTTTGGAGCCTGTGCCAGGCTAAAAATGGATCGTTGAGCTTCGGCAATGCCAGCAACGTCCTACCGCCTACAGGTCACACAGGAAACAGTGTAACAAGGCGATGAGTCTACCAAATAACCTGCTGTGTCTCCCAACCTAGAGCCTCTCGAATACTTAGGTTCCTCCTCAACACCTGGTTTAACAGTGCATAGGCTCTCAGCAAGCCAGCACAAATCCCTTGAGATGCGATACCCGGTCTTGGGCTCTCAAGAAAACCACAGAGCCTTCCCACCGGGGCGCTATATTATAGACCATCCCAGAGCCTCGTGTCAAGGTAGCATATGTCCATCTCCCTCTCCAAGCCTCGAGACCTTTCACAGGAGACTATCCACGAATCATTGCTAACACAGCCGTACTCAAGATCGGGAACAATCCACATCGCAGCACTATCCACACAGGGGCTTGGGTCCAGAGAAACGAATCCTCGCCACCTGTAGTGCCGAAGGCCAGCTCTTTACCAAGACATCAACAACACACCTTCACAGCAGCGCGTGAGGCAGCATGCCACGAAGATCTCTCCGTTACTGGACTGACTCCCACGGCAACATCCATTGGTATGACTCCAACGCGGATTGGAGACCAGATTTTGATTTCGAAGGTAAAACAGCACCAAGGACACCCCCAACTCAAACGGACACCGGGTAAGGTTCTCAGGCTCGACCCGCGGCGAAAGCTACAGCCCAAGTCCACGTCGTGGCCGCGGTCGAAGTCGGGGCAGAAGCGGGTAAGCCTACCACCCAATTGACAGTTATTCTTCTTCTCTTCTGCTCTTTTCGGGTCGCACTGGGCGCGAAGATAACGGTCAGCAATATAATGCGCTTGGTTGATTGCTGACTTTCTTTTCCCTTCCCTTTCGCGCAGCCTGCGCGACCCACTGCTGTCCCACGCCATGTCCGCTGTCTTTTCTGGCATTGACAGTCCTCCTCGTCACAGTGATCGACGGGGCCGTCCCAATCCGAACCCCCACCCGAACATCCACCATATATACAACGAGCTCACGGGGGACTACGATCCCTATGAATTCCTTCCCACAGGTGGTGCAAGGAGACTGCCCTATTGCCGTCACGGCCTGACAAGGCTAGAGTGCGAGCGGTGCGGCACTGACCATGGAAATGGGGACATGCCCCGATCTCCGAGCCGAAGACGAGGCCGTAGTCGGCGCTGGAGAGAAAGAGATCTTTGGGATGACTTTGACGACGACTTTGGTTTTGGGCCCGGTCGACGCAGATGCAGGGTTCTGTACACGGATGGATATGGTGTATATGATGAAGAAGTCCATTTGCCAAGCGGCTGGCACGGGTGCGGAACCTTTTACGGCCACGACAACGAGGGGCGTGAGATGCCCCTTACGTATTATGATGAGCAGACCGGGCGGTTGATGAGACGCGGCAGGAGGGGCAGGAGGAGGAGGACAAGAAGAGGATCCCACCGCAGGCTGCCAGAAGAAGATATCTGGCGCGAGGTCGATAGGGTGGAGAGGAGGGCTGAAGAAGCGGAGCGCTGGCTTTGGAGAGAGTATGGCGCTTGAGGTTGTATTCCTTTGCGCTGTGTCCGTGAGGATGGTTATATTCGAAGAACAGCGCCTGATGTTTGGAGTCGGGGATATTTCGAACAAGTACATGGTGGAAGTGGTTAGATTGAGCGAGGAATGATAGACATACATACTGCATACGGCATGTTGCAAACTGTATCAACACTCAGTCTGTGCAAACGAAGGGAAAGGTAAAGACAAGAACAGGCCTGGACAAGGATACTAGCCGTGCACAAGGAGACGCACGATACATCCTGTAAAGCAACGTTCTCCGGGCTTCAGAACATCAGGCACATGTACCTAGGTAGGCACCTAGGTAGCTATACTGTCTGTGTACACAATCCGTCCGGCTACATGAATGGGTGATAAGCCCATTCAATAGTCCGTTCTTGTTCGTGCAACGCGGCCCACTGTGCCCAGAGCCTGGGGCACGACTGAGTGCCAAGACAAGAAATACGCCAAGACTTCCGCCCTCGAGTTCCAAGTTCCACTCCAAGGCCAACTTACCCCCTGTATGTTTGGTCAATGCAGAACATGACCAACAGACCATGTACGGGAGCACAATCTACACAGAGATGCAGCCTCAGAACACAGATGATGATTTTCTCGCGCTGCGGATCAGGGCGATAGGGAATGAATACGCGGGCGATGAGCTTCTCAGCGGAATGCTCTAGCGGAGGGGGGGTCAATCCCATTGATTTGAGGCGACGCAGAAATCATACAACGAGCTTTGATGCTCATGTTTCGGCGGATGCAACACCCTCTGATGCTCATGATAGGCGGAGGGTCATCGATATACTTGAGTAAATCAAGACAGTCTTCAAGACTCGTCGAGCCGGATTCGTCGGAAGGCACGAAGATCAGCTGGATGGCCTTCCCCGTAGGACTTGTATTCGCATTTCATAGAGCGAGCGCTAAGTGATACTTCATCGCGGTGACTGGGCGTGCTTTGTCCATGGGCGCCTGCAGTACAGCGCTGCGTGCCTGGACTCATGCATTGCGTGGTCGAAGGGCAGGTGTAATTTCACGTAGACGTTGAATCCAGCGAGAAGGCGGAGGTCAAGACAAAGCGGGACCTTTCGCGGGTTTCAGGAGGTGTTTCCGATTCGAAACCCGAGAGCAAGCCATCACTGTTCATGCCCTCCTGCTCGAGATCTCCTTTCATCTCAGCGGCGGCTTCAGCTCGTCTCGCATCGGTGTCCAGCAGAACGGTCAGATCGTCTTTCTGGCTTTCTTCCTCTTCTTGTAGCTTCCCTGGTCTCTCCCCTTCCTCTTATTCCCCTGCTTAGACTTCGGGTACTCCATAGCTGTGCCTCGCATGTTCCGGTGCTTTTGCTCGATCGCCTGGCGGACATGATGCATTTCTTCGTCAGAGTTGATGTCCCTCGTCGGATGCGACCGACCTTTGCCATGACCTGTGGGGGTTTGGTGCCGGCGCGCACTGTGACGGTCCGAAGAGTTATCTGATCCGGACTCATCATCAGAACCAGAATGTTCGTCAGCGTCCGAGGCAGAGCTCAGATCTTCGTCACCATCCGCGTGAATCTGATCTGTCTGGGCAGTGGCTGTACTCCTCGATATCGACTTCCGAAACGTGCCGAAAGTCTGCCGCCCGCTGGTTTGGGCGACGTTCCAAATATCGTCTTCAGATGAGGTGGCCTCCCCTTCTTCATGTTGGTCGCCCAATGGGTTGAACCGGCTGAGGGTGGTATTGCCATTGTAATTGTGATTGGTCTTGCTGGCGGAACTTAGTCTCTTAGATTGTGTTGCCTGGACTTTCACATCAAGGACCCAATCTGTATCTGCCTGCTCGCGCCTGAATGTACTGACTCCACCTCGTGCCATAGTTGGAGTCGCAAGTCCATTGGGCAATTCGTTCATGGGCGTCCCCTGAACAGAGGTTACCGGAGAGGAAGCAGTGCTTTCAATTCGACGTCGTTTAGATGACGGTTCGGTGGCCGGAGTGTGAGCGGTAGAGGATCCTGCTGCAGACGCTGTAGGAGATGCAGCAGCGGCTCTTTGCATGAACTATAGGTTGCGCGGCGGCTTGTTTAGAATACCTATACTGGGAGGTTTCAAGTATCGTAACTCGACGCCTGAAGCCAATGCGGAGAGGATGAGCTTACCTTCATGTTCAGCAGTCGCGACGACATCTGCTTCGCGTGCTGCGACGATGGCGTCCTCGCGAGTTCAGGTGTACTGAGGCCGACCATTCTGTCGGTAAGAAGCGATACAGGACAGGCTTTACACAGGAAGCGAGGCGCACGAGACAAGGTCCTGAGATGGGACCAGAAGAGCGCTTGCGGAGTAAAGTTGTCACTGTGAAGCGCGATGGTCAATCCCAGGTTGAGAAGGCGCGACAATTCGAAGCGGTGCAACCATTAAGATAGTGGTCTCCTTGACGAAGGTGCCCCGACCAATGCGCTCACAGCTGACGCGGTAGAAATGGGCGACTCCAGCAGACAACAAGAATCAACGTTGGTACTCCATGCTTCGAAAAATGCTGAAGTGACGATGGCCAGCCTTGCCGACTCGGAAAATCAGTTTCGCCGAGCGGATTTCACCAGCAAGGCTGCGCTTCCGTCCAATGCTGAAAGAATGAAGCGGCACGCACATGACAATGAAGATATACCTAATAGAACTGGGCCTACGTGGCATGGAGCTAGAGTGTTGAGTTACGGGGAATCGTCCTTGCAAGGAGAACAACTGCAAATTATTTACAACCTCTACTTTTACGCAGGGCTGAACAGGGGAGAAGCTAATTAAACACCAAAAAGAGGACCGTGAAATATCTCAGTATCATACCGTCCAGCTGTGGTATTGTACATTTTCGAGGTCCTTGAATTGTGAGGTGGACCTGACGTCTGGTACGCAGTGAGCATACACTTGCTCTCCCTGTCCCCGTGGGATGGATCAAACATGCTCTCAATCGAAGTGCGGTCAATGTTCGTGTACGCGAAGCTCTGGTTCAGTTTTCTCAGCCAGTCAATCCTTTCACCGCTGCATCGAGAAGGCGAATGAGGTACTGACTTTGTCGGAGCGTTTTAACTTGGTACTTGTTGACGGGAAGGCGGCTGAGATGAAAATGGTCTCCTTGTCTTCATGCTGACTAGACACAGAATCCGCCATCAGAAACCAAGGGACGTATTAACCAGTTCAGATGGTCCCGAAGTATCTCAGAGGCCAGCCAATGAGGCAAGTTTGGATCTCCTATTTGGTCGAGTCCGAAGACTGCATGACCTGCGCATCTGGCCAAGGGTCCTCTAGGTCGAGGGAATTCTGATCATCTTTTCTCCCCCTGTATCGTTGCGACTACTTTTCTTGAATGCTTTGATGCCCGGAACTCCAAATACCAGATGCCTTGCCAGGTGCCAGTGTTCAGGCTCCCATCTGTGATGGGTATTGTCACGCTTGCACCGACCAACGCAGATTTTATGTGTGCCTAGCCGGTAAATCAGTGATACAATCCGCTGCAACCATCAACATATACCTACCGGCATATCGTCCAATCCTTCTGCGGAATGTCTGTATAGGTTGCCCTTCCTATCTTCCGGAGCTATTCTGTCCAGGGCATCGCTCATGTCGTCCCTCACATCACTGTCCCAATTCTCATTCAAAGATAGTGCGCACGACGTATGTTGGATGAAGAGATTGAGCAGCCCGACTTTGTAGTCCTTAATCTCCGGTACGGACGACACCACATGATCGGTGACTAGATACGAGCCGCGCGACTTTGAGGGCAGTGTGAAGGTCTTCTGAAACCACGATGTAGACATGTCGTCGTAGCTATTGCGCGGAACGCACCCTGCGGGACAATGGACAACGACAGGTGGGGTGTCAGTATTCCTGAACGGTAAAGTGAGCAGATGGAAGGGTAGGCCTAGAAGGTATTGTGGTACGCCTGGGAAGAGCGCAAGGACTAGGATCAGCACAGCGACGAAAGTAAAGTGCCTATGTTGTGTGACGTCCAGATCAGGCATATCATTGTACGAGTTAGTAAAGAATAGATGATGGTGGAGCGTGTGTCAAAGACCCGATGCTTCGACGTCATAAGTGTCTTCATTCCGATGAGTTTCTCCGGCTCCGAAATGCTCACTCTCTGCTCACTTCTCCCTTTTCACTGTTACTCCCCAGTGCCACCAGCAAGTCGGACATGTCAATTCGACAGGAGAATGAAACTCCTCGAAGTCGCGTGCTTCAATGTGCAATCAGCCATCGTCGCAAGTGAGGCCGGTGCCGATCGGATCGAGCTGTGTGACAACGCTGACCTTGGGGGAACAACCCCTCCATTGAAGTGGCTGGCCGAAATCCATGGCATAGTCAAAATCCCCATCAATGTCATGATTCGACCTCGAGGCGGTGGTTTTGTCTATACGGATGCAGAGTTCCAGAGCATGAAGGATGCCATAAATGCGTTCATTTCGACTGGAATGGTCAGCGGATATGTCTTCGGCGTCCTCAAGCATGATCGAACCGTTGACGTCGAAAGGACTGTCGAGCTGGTCCGTCTGGCTGACCCGCTGCCCTGCACATTTCATCGTGCCTTTGATGAGACTACTGACCTAGAGCAAGCTCTTGAGGATGTCCTCGGTTGCGCAATACATTCGATTCTGACCTCGGGTGGAGCGTCGAAGGCGGTTGACGCACGTGAGACGCTGGCACGGCTCGTAAAGAAGGCTGCCGGCAGGGTCGTCATAATGCCAGGCGGGGGTGTCAGATCGACGAACATTGGTGCGCTGAAGGAATCGACCAATGCCTCAGCCTATCATTCTTCGGCGCTGCTAGGCTCAGACACGGTGGCCAACGCCATGGAAATTGAGCAGATGAAAATGGGAGTCCGATAGCGACCTTGGCTGCAGCAATGCTTATCAATACTCTACACAGTTGACACCATCAATTTCTCCCTCGGGTCGACACAGTTCTCGGTCACTTTCAGTGAATGGTTGTGACACTGGCAACGCGGACAACTGGACTTCTGCATCCAAATGCTTCCGTGCCGCAACCCTCTTCTCGAACAGGGACATTCAGCTCTGCAATTCGTCCTATGCTTAGGCTCAGGCACGTAGAAATAGGTGACCATAAGATCAAATATGGAAGAACATGGCCCAGAAAAAGCCTGGTCGAGCACCGCACACCAGCAGCGGACGGTTTGATTGACAGGGCTTAACCACGTCGGCAACACTTTTCATGCAGGGGAAGGAAAATGAGCAATGGCAACTGGCTTGCTGCACAGGAGCGAGGATGGCATCTGGGACACAAGGGTATGACACTGTATCCGTGATGACGCCGAGACCAACACGCCTAACAGCAGGATGCCGCCGCTCGTTCATAGCAGCGCCGACGAGAACGAATTTGACAGAGCAATTTCCAGCTTGAAAGTTGTGCGAGAGAGGGCGCCCACAGATGTGAAACCCTAGAAAGGAGCATCCGTCGACCGAGACGGAGGGGAGGCGAACCACTGCAGCACAGACACGCCGAAGCTAGACATGTTTTGAGAGGACGCCCACCAGTCACATGCTGCCACTATCACTCCGAACAGCTCCAGTGCATATGCGACAATGGACGGATCGAAAGCTTGATCGACCGATGATCCCGCCTGTTGTAAGAAACAAGTCGAGTACCTGCGTGAGTACGCCCTGGAGATTGAGCCGCTCAGAATTTACACAACACAAGACCCCATGGATATGATGGTGCTGCGGAGATTTCTTCCTCTCGAACATTCAATACAAGAAGTTTCAGCGTTGGTTTCGCGCTCGAGTTTCGTGGTGACGTTCAATGGGGCAATGATCTTATTCATGTGGAGTACAACGCCTGGTAATCGAAAGTGCCCGGACGGCAGTTTACATCAGGACCGGAGGGCGGTGTCAACATCATACGACAACGGGCACGTATTAGTGCCGGGGCTCAAGACAGGCCCAGTTCAACCTATTCCGCTCTAAGCAGCAGATCAGTTGAAAGGAGGTATGGTGTCTCAACAGCTTTGTGCGAAGATGTTGAGGTAAACCCGGTCTAGCATGCAAGGAAATGGCAATACGGATCAGCGTATCCAGCTTGGCGGCTCTAATGGCTACGTGGCATACTTCACGACGTTGTACTGTATCGAGCATCATGAGAACAAAGACCCCCTGATAGAAGTGATTTCCGGGAATTGACGGTAGGAATGCTTTGAGTGAGGAAAGAGTTTCTGACTTCTGTTGTGGTCTGTTCAGAGGTCTGAGTGCTACAGAAGAGGACCTCCAATCGGAAGAACACCTACCTTTGAAGTCAGCGGCGCCGCTCGAATATGCGAGCGCGGAAATCGACACTGCCGAGAACACGTTCGTCTCCCATCGTCTGTCATTCCGCCCACACGATTGGCCACCCGGAAAGCGGGCGGCCTGGAGCCTCATGCACCGAGATAGACAGATAAAGTGAGCGTGAAGCCGGTAGACAACCGAGCGAGCCAAGAATACGGACTAGGAGCGAATAAACCTTATCTCGTCTTCCCTATGTAGCACTCCCAGCTAGCTATCCAGTAGCCAGGCATATATCTCCATTCTACATCCAGCCAACACGCCCTCCTTAGTCCGCAATGCCGCTCATCAAGCTCGCCACGATCGCTCCAAACGGGACCTGCAAAACGCTAGTTAGCCAGCTCAGCCCAGCAGGGTCGGACCAACCCGACTGGCAACGGGTACCTATAAGGCGGAAGGAATTGTGAAGAGCACAGCACAACATAGCACAACATAGCACACGGCATGCACTTACAAATCCCCAGTGATTCCACTCCCCGCCTCCAATCTGGCGCTTGCTCACAAACCCGTCCATCAGGGCGACGAACGTCGCGCTCCACACCAGGGCCGTACACGCCCTGTGACTGCCCCAGAAACTCGTGGACAAGAGGCCCGCCCCCAGCGCGAGCGTCCTCGAGCCGTACAGCATCATGAGCGACTCGGCGAGGCGACCTTCGGGGGTGTCGATGATTTTTGTAATTTCGACGTTAGTAAGTGGTGGTTGTTGCGAGTCCAGATCGTCCGTGGAGGAGGCGACGGCTCCCGGGTGTGGGAATCCCCACATTGCGAGCGCGCCGCGAGGATTTAGCAGGGCGTTGATGCCCAAGCCGGCGGCGAAGAGACCGGACGCGCGGGCGATGTAGTATAAGTAGGGGGAGCGGGAGGTGGGCATCGTTGTTGTGCGGGTCGCGGTAAGTATATTTGGACTGAGACTACGGGAGAACGTTCGACGTGGTTCGTGGATGAACGCCAACGGCCTGGAGTTGTGTTGTGCTAGTTTTTGTTCTGTTGCGGAGGTGTGGCCCTGTGGTAGTCTGCCAGGTGGGGGCAATGGAGGAGATGCCGGCGGGAATTGAGCGTCGAGAGATGATAACATGAGGTGTCGAGAATTCGTACACAGTTGGAGTACGTACAGGCAGCCTGGCGGGTTGCCTTAAGCTTCGTGCTGCGTACCTAATGCTTGACCGGAGCCGGCTACTGTAGGTCAGGCTAGCCTTATACACCTGTGCGCGTGCGGACTATCAGGCAAGGACCTGATAGGATCTGGAATATTGTATAAGGTACGCAGGACAAACCAAGTACAGAACGGTGTTCTTCATTGTGACGTTCTAGGACTGTGGCTCTGTGCTCCTATCGGCTGCTTGTTTGTCACAGAGACGGACCGGATCGGACTTCTCCTTACGACGTGGTCTGGGGATGGTGCTCACCACAACTGCGACATGCTGGGACACTGAGTTTCGGTCAGTCAAGGGACGGTAGCGAGCGTCCGTTTACCAGTGATTTTCGTCCTAGCTAGTACATTCGAGGTGGGAACAAAAAGACTCAAGTTCTGACCCTCCTAGTACTAGATGGATAGGTCAATGAGTAACTTCGACATTGGCCAGGATTGGCCCGTTGTCGCGTACGATGTATATTCTTGTTCGGGGGTGTCGTTAACATGTATGCACGTATCCTATAGAGGCGCCGAAACGGTCATGCAGGCAGCGTCCCATGTGGGACTTAGCTGGATTTATATTGGAGTGGGCTTGAGCTGTCGTGCAACTCACACTCAAGCCTGGTCGGGTTATCAAGAGCTCGCAGCAGCGCCTGGGTTACCTGGCAATGCTACCTCATTCCCAGATGGGCCAAAGGCAGCGCGAAAGAGTTGTCCGGATCCTTCGTTTTCTGGAGAGCCCCTTGATCAATGAACTCCGCAGAGGTGGTAACTGAACCATGCCGAGGCTTCGCCTCGTCAGATACAGCGTCACTACCTGCAAAGCCATGAGGTCTCACGAATGCGACAAGATGGACTATGGTGTTGTTGCAGAATGTGTCCGGGGCAGCTCCTGGTCAAGCGGCAACAGAGACATTCCACGCGACCCCTTTGTACTTTTAACCGCCTCAGCAAGTAACTCGTACTTGTAGCTCAGAGATATCTCGATAGTGCATGGTCAAAATCAGAGGCTCAGCGCGGGGCCCCAGCTTGCTCGCGGAAAAGGTCTCCATGATTCATTCCGTGCTCAGCCTTTACTGCAAGACACTGCATACGCATGTTGGCAGCTTAGAGGCTTCCGGATGGCCAGCTACAGTATAAGATTAGCGAACCCTCCTCTCATGCAACCTGCACCCAAACTGCCGCGCCTCATTTCTGATCACATCGCGGCACGTTCACCTCTTGAGTGCTTGGGCAAGAAGAGTTTAACGAAGCTTCGCGACAAATTTTTGGCCCGTCTTGTGATGGAGACCGACGTCGAGCAAGCGCTGTTCAAGTCTCAGAGCAATCTTCCCATCTCGTATGGCATGGCCTTTAATTAGAAAAAGATGTCTGAGCGAGTTGACGGGCGCCTTAGCCAGGCACTTGTGCCTACCCGGCTTCGCGGGAAGAAATTAGTGTTCCGAGGTAAGAGTTCTGGAGATTAGCGTTGGTTAGGCTGCCTCTAACTCCTTCGCGCCCACAAGATTCGCCTAGGCCCTGGACTGTTACCTCATAGCCTTGATTGTGGATATCGAGCGTGCAGTCCTGTCAGGGGAAAGACGCCCCGCAACGCTAGGCGAACACAGCCGAGCTTCCACGTTCGCGGTCGTCTTTGTTGTTCACTTTCCGCTCATCAGCAACACGCCTCTACACGATCCGGCTTCCATTTGGACGTGCATGCATTGGACTATGGCAGCAAAGTCAACGCCAACGGCTGCCATGCGACATCTATCAGATGGTCTTTGACATATTCGGCTTCCGAATCCGAGATATGACGCGCTGAGTCTGTCCCTGTCACCCCTGTCTCAGCTTCTCTTGGCTGCGGCTATGTGGCTATTGACAAGTCCACCGTTGTATTAATCTCCTGCTAGGTCTTCTTAACCACGACTCACCCTCCACCTGCCAAGAACGTGGTCGGATCCATCGTCAAATGGTTGTGCATGATACCTCCTTTTCCCTGCGCTTTCCAATCTCCTTTTGCCGAGAATCGAGCACATGGCGCCCCAGCGCGGCCACCATCTTGGCTCCACCAACTGAAAGAATACGGTTGAGCCATTGCTCAACACACATCCGCCGCGTGCCCCTGTCGGTTTGCAACGCGAAACACAGTCAAGGTGGGTACGATCTTCTGTGTTGGGCGTGCAAAGACGCCGGGAGGATTCGTTCCAGGCGGCGGAGGCGCGTCTGACAGTTATGAGATGATGACGGTCAAGCACTGATGGCTTGTATCAAGCGACGCCCCGGAATTATGGCCAAGCCGACGATGAGCCGCCTTATTTGTACATGTTGTAGGCGACCTCCATCTTATTACTCTCCCTCCTCTACATTCCTTCTCACACACCAACCCGTGGTTTTGAAAGCAGTTGCTTTCGTCCTTTCGTTTTTATTTTGTCACTCCTTTCCTAATGAAGTCACTCCTTTACACTGCGGCCTTGCTGCCGCTGGCTTCCCTCGCTTTGGCAGAGAAGCACCACGAAGTAGACGAGGTCGTCGTGGTGACGACAACACGAACCGTCACCGTCTGCCCGATCACAGATTATTGGACCTGCGCGCCTGATGGGCCAACAGGAACAGGGTCGTGGGATGACTGGGGTTCAAGCTCTCCTACGGGAGTCGTGACCACGACAACGAAGACTGGTGGTCCAGCTACAACCACCGGGAACGGAAGCGGAGGCGACGATGATGGTCATGGTGGACATGGCGGCCACGGAAGTGGCTCTTCCACCAGCCCTGTTGGTCCTGGGACCACATCCTCTAGGACTGACGGCGGTCACGGCGGACACGGAGGCGGTTCTGGTTCCTGGACTTCATCCGCCACTTCATCCTCGAACGACAACGGCCACGGTGGGCACGGCGGCGGTGACTCTACCACAAGCTCTCCCGTTGCCCCAACTCTGCCAACGTACACTACCTCTGCAGGGACTACAAGCCACGGTGGCCCAGGCAAAGACAGCAGCACCAGTTCGTCCCCCGCAGGCACCAGCTCTGGCACCACGAGCTCTTCTCCTGCAGGCACCCACTCGACCAGCATCACCACCTCGGCATCGGGAACAAGCTCCAGCACCACTAAGACGTCTACGACATCTACTTCTTGCGTCCCCTCTCAGACCGTCCCGGCTCTTCCCGAGACTGGCTGCAGTGACAACACCGCAAACGACCGTAGCAAGTGGTGCGGCAAGTCCGTTGGCGATGATACACATGTCCATTATGAGTCTGGCAAACTCAAGAAGTTCGACCTCGTGATCACTTCCGGCCAGGCTGACTTCGACGGCACTTCTCGTCCTTCCTTCTTGATCAACGGCGGAACTCCTGGTCCTCTGATTGAAGTCAACTACGGTGACTGGGTTGAGGTTACAGTTACCAACTTGTTGACCGACAATGCCACCACTATTCACTGGCACGGTGTTCGACAGATCGACACCAACGACCAGGACGGTGTCCCGGGTGTTACTGAGTGTGCTATCCCGCCTCTTAGTGTGCGCACCTACAAGTGGCATGCTTCGACCTACGGAACTGGCTGGTACCACTCTCACGCCCTTTCTCAGTACGGTGGTGGTATCCGAGGCCCCGTCATCATCCACGGACCTTCCACCGCCAACTACGACTACGATATGGGCACCGTCATGGTTGATGAGATCTTCTCCCAGACCATCTTCCAGATGGCGTGGAACATCGCCCGTCTCCGAGGTCCCCTCCCTGCGGCAGTCAACTATATGCTCAACGGCAAGAACAAGGCAGTTGATGGTACCAAGGGCAAGTCTGCGGAATGGACCGTTCACCCTGGCAAGAAGCATCTCTTCCGCATCATCAACTCTTCTGCGCAGGCTTCTTACGTTATCCACTTTGACAACCACAAGATGACGGTCATCAGCGCTGACTATACCCCGATTGTGCCCTACACGACCGACACCCTGTATATCAACCCTGGTCAACGGTATAACGTCATCGTCGAGATGAACCAGGTGAGTCGCTCCTCGTTGATACTTTTAGGGCCATCCACTGACAATACTGCAGACTCCTGGCGCTTACTTCCTCCGAGCCATCACGCAAACCGGTTGCGGTACCCAGAATCTGAACAATGGTCTCGGCTCCCTGGCCAACGGTATCTTCACCTACAAGGGCAGCTGCGGCACCCCGGTTACCGACACCTTGACCCCTACAATTGGCGCGACCATGCAATCCGACTGCAAGGACGAGCCCCTTGCCAGCCTGGTTCCATTTGTTCAGAAGAACGGTGGGTCTTCAGCCAAATTCACCTCCAATGCTCAACTCCTCCCTGGAGGCAATGCCGCCCAGCAGGCCTTTGACGGCTACGGCCCCATCACCAGATGGTACTTCGGCCCGATGGGCTCCGTCGGGTCCAATACCGCCGGCACCCTGGGCAGTAGCACCGTCACCGTTGACTATGACAACCCGACGCTCAAGAACATGGCCACGCTCCCATCCATTGGCTTCAATAGCTCCATCTACTCCAACGCGGTGGTCCTCGACGGCACGCCGGGCGACTGGGTCTACTTCGTCATCCAGAACAACTTCCAGACCTCGCATCCTATCCATCTGCACGGTCACGATTTCTCCGTCTTGGGCCAAGGCAAGGGCACCTTCAGCTCCGCGCAGGCCTCCACTCTCAACTTCGCCAACCCCATCCGCCGAGACACGGCCCTCCTCTTCGGTATTCCCGGCGCAGGTGGCGCGCCACAAGGAGGCTGGACCGTCATTGGCTTCCAAACCGACAACCCGGGCGCCTGGGTCATGCATTGCCACATCATCTGGCACGCGGATGGTGGTATGGCTCTGCAGTACATCGAGCAGCCGGACAAAATCCCCGCGACGGACTACTACACGAGCGAGAGCTTCCAAAGCGAATGCGCCGCTTACGATACCTACGTTGCTGCTGGTGGCGAGAAACCTGCCCCCTATGAGTCTGGCATGAAGAGAGATCTGCTGCGACACCGCTTCGGAGAGAAGCGATTTGGACGACACGGCATGCATTAGGCAAGGAAGCCAGTCAGAGCAGCATCGGAGGGAGGATGGAGGATGTAGATAATTGATCGTGAAGTACAGCACACGATCAAGGCGGCTGGACATTTGGGATGTTGGAGGTACGCATCACCTTGAAATAAAGGTAACATGTCTTTCCAGTTTGGCCTGTCTGTCTGTATGGAGTGGATAGGATATCTGGCACGCAGCGGTACATAATACGACGACGTCCTGGTTATATTTTCCTTCGTCCTCTTGGATGGCTATGTTACTCGACTTGTTCAACATGTGAGGTAGTCATTCAGATTCATCAACGCTTTTTTGAATAGGAAATCTAGCTTGGACGACGTGTAGCTGCCTGCTTGTGCCTGCTTTCTTCCCGCGAGGTGCTCCTTGTTACGTTCTTGAGAGTGAAAGCTTCCTGCTGTGGGAAGGGCCGTACCTTAGCGAACTCTTGCAGGTACTCCAGGCTCCGTACGGAGTACAGAGGAAGCTGTTGCGGAGAATGGATTCTCCAGTACCAGGTACCCCCTGTTCCACCCTCCTGTTTCCGCCTGCCAAGACCCCAATTCAAGGTCAGGGGTTGCGTCCTTCCTTTAAGCGAACGATGCAAGACGTTTCTGGAGAATACGAGCTTCTCCAGTAGCATTAATCACCAGAAACACCTTGGCAGTATCAAAGCGCGTGACGGGACCGCCACCTCAATGAAGGGGCCCGTACGGAGTACTCATTTTATATCTCCTTTCTCCGGAACTGGTGGGCGAACGCCCTCGTGGGTACGCGCACGGCGAGCACTGCCACTGATCGTGCGGACCTACGATGCTCAGTCGCAAAGTACACGACAAGTAAACGCCCTATCAGACAATAAATGGAGCGACTCTATGGGGACAGAACGAACCATTCTGCACATGCAGCGGTAAGCCCGTCCACCCACCCAGACGGACTCAGACTCTCTGAGAGTCCAGATCACCCCTGTGTCACGAATTCAGCTGCCAAGGACCCCAAACGTCCAGACCACAACGTCGGCACCGACGGTGGCGCCCATACAATATCAGTCCTATACGGATACCAAGGCTGGCTTCAAGCCTCGCCGTCCAAAACAAGCAATACTTCACCCCTGAGCTTGCTTTGACGCCGGCAGAAAGACTTTTCGCCAAAGGTCCCTCCCTTCCTCGTCGGCGTACCATGGACTCCCTCGAACCGAACATGTATGTCAAGGGCGTGTGGACGCTCTGTCCCATCCACAGGCCAGTACATAAGGTGTTGGTACACTCTCGTTTGAAGCCGAAACACCGCAAATCCCACACACGCTCCTTCTCTCACACTCACGCTCGTTGATCCTCCGCGAATCTACCCAGTCCTTTTGCCCTATTGCCTAAAATGAAGACCTTCACTCTCGCTGTCACTTGCGTTCCATATCTCTTCCTCGCCGTCGCAGCCACCGCGCGCCTGGCCAACGCGCAATCCTACTGCGATGCCTCGATCGGCTACGTGATCTCCGACAGCACGTCGGACTCAGGCACCGACACGTCAGGCTACACCCCCGACAGCGGCGACTGTGACGCCGAATGCCAACTGTATTACTCGCAACAGCAGACGCTCTACTCGGACTACTTCAACGACGCAGTCACCGCGGGGGGCAACTCGTTCCTCAGCGCCGCGGGCGGTAAACGCAAACGCAACATCGTCACAGGATTGTCGACCCGCCAAGGTGGTAGTGACGGCACTCTCTACCTGACCTGCACGGCGGATCAGACGTGCTTCGTGTACGAGAACATCCCACTGTGCATTGATATGGTCACCGGCGACTTCATCGATCCCACGGGCGGGTCTGGCAACGTCCTGACGGGGACTTATACTGCTGCCGTGGACACGGGGTCAGGGTCAAGTGGGACGACGGGGAGTGACGACGCGGTCGATGACTCCGGCTCGGGGTCTGACTCCACCGACATAACAACGGCGAGTAGTAGCTCGAGTTCGTCGCCGAATGGTGCCTCGTCGAGCATCCGTGTGGGAGGGATCACGTTGGGTGCTGTTCTTGCAGCTGTACTTGCGTTGGTTGCGCTTTGAATTAAGCCTAAGCCTGTGGCAAGGAGTGGGGATGGTTGTGCCAGGCGACATTTCAGGGAGGGATACCGAGTATGAGTACATGAGCACACAAATGGGAGACGCGTCAGGCGTCTATGCCCATGTCCCGGGTCCATGTATGTACGATATGAGACGGCAGCAATGAGGGTTCTTTGCAACGTGATCACCGACGCTTTAGTGTGCATTGCCTTTGACTCTCTGGACTTTGGATGGGGACGGTCAGATCGTCGTTCATGACGATGCCCACCGCTGCATCAGCATAGCCTGCTATATGTACCTTCGAGGCCCCCTGCTGAATACGTCCGCCGCATGCCGTGGGGTACATAATACCCTCCGATCACCTCCACTATCCACATCATCGCCTGTACGGAGAATCCTCAATCGCGAGGGAGAGAACATCAAGGACGGCGTTCGAGGTACACATACGAGTACTCCGCATGTATGTACTCCGTTCTTCTAGCGCTATGGTCTCCACGCCATCGCCTGCTCTCCACAGTATCCGCAGAGGAACGTCAAATTGCTTTTCGAGTCACATGTATGTATCCATACCACTCGCGCTCTGTTCTAGAGGCTACAGGCGTCTTCCTTGGGGCCTTGGTAGTCCAGGTGGCGAGGCATGTAGGTCCGTACTGATTCAGGAAGCGCGGTCCCCGTCCCCGTCCCGGTCTCTGTCCCAGTGCGACTCCCACTCCCAGTCCAGATGCGAGTAATATAGGCCAACGATCTTGATATCCAGTCTGCATGGGGGCACCATGACCTTCAGTGAACAGGTCCGGGGAAATTGATCGGATAAAGGTGCCATACGGAGTAGGGTATATACCTTGTCTATGCATGTCTTCGTGGCCGAGCGTAGTGCAATGCGGTGCAATGCGGTGCTTGGTTTCGGTACAAGTAGGTTAGGGTGCATGGAGCGGGCCTTTGGAACAGTGCATGCATGATGTGGTACCATACCGAATGGGTTTTTCGGATACACGTACCTCATCGACTTCGCCTTCAACTTCGACTTTGCCTGAAACCCTCGAAGGGTGGTGTACCGTGTGGGGGCTTTTTGAGGCTGATTCTCTAGGATCCAGGTTCGGCAATGGAACAGAGCAGGATCACCGCGTGAAGTCCATGGTCCTGGTGTTGGATGTCCAGACGAGGGCTAGAGGCGATGATCTGACCGGCATGCTCGAGATTCGAGCATCGTGATTCCGTGAGGGATCCCTGCGGAGATTGAGGATATATTTTGAAGCTGGTGAATCGCCGTGTCGCCGTGGTGGTGTGCTGTTCTTCCAGCAGATCCTTCAGGGGCACGCCAGATCGCCCCACGGTACGCAGTAGGACGTTGAGCACTCGTGCACAATCTGAACTACGTTCGCGATGGGCAGAAATAGGGTACGGGCGACAGTGAGACATGACGCCGAGCGGGAACTATCACGAAAGGGAAAGAGAATCAAGTCACGACAGGTACAGGTTATTACAGCCTTGGTCTCCACAATCACCTTGAGGACAGACACAGGAGCAGCGTGTCAGTGGTGTCTGTAGTCGAGGAACTCTCGCTGCCCGCAGGCGTCGTCGCTTAGAGTAATTATGAGCCCTTGCGCATATAGTTGGCGAGGATGTAGTATCAGCCTCATTGGCCAGTGGAGAGGGATCGGTCGCCTGGCGATGGTATCGTGACCCCAGGCGGGATCGGAAGGAGATGATATACGCAGTACTCCGTGGGGTTTGGATGGCGTCCCGTCGATCCCCTGACACATGGGATGGACGGAGGCCGGTCTTCGACCATGGCGCACCAAAGTTGTCCTCTGTTTGTCCCATGGTCCTATACTCTGTAGGTGCAGGGGTGCCTGTTCAAATATACCTTGAGGCGTCCCCACGGGATGATGTCCAGATCGGCATGAGACGTAGCCGCCCGAGTCCCCTCCCGGAAGTAATTAGGTGAGGAGCGTGTCGAGGACAGCTCAGACATAGACTTGGAATTTTCACCTGGAAAAAGGTGTCCCATCCTATCATGAGGAGGCCGGATTGCCGGGTTTTTGCATTTACCGATTCCTTGAGGTTCTGGTATAACTGTGGCCAAGGAGAAACGAGGAAAGCAGCAAAGGGATCGGACATAGAAATTAGTGCATCATACCATTGTGTATGACGGTCTTGAAGACCAGGCTGTATCTTACCACTGTATATAATAGTCTTTCAAGCATGGCTGCATCCTATCATCGCGCATGAGCTTCAGAGTCATGGCTGCAGGGAGGAGATGAGCGCTCTGTATCTCAGCTCTTGACCTGGCCGTGTGTCGTTCTATCCTCAGCCGCAGCTCAAGGAGCTGCCCTTGAGCTCCTCCAAGCTCGTTCAAAAACTGTCCTTAACTTCGCGGCCTCGTCAGAACTCCGTATCCTCTGCTCCAGGAATCCCTGGAGATCGGTCCAGAATTCACTCATCTCCAATACATCCTCGCCACTGATTTCTCCCGGCTGAACCGGTTCCTTCGTGCTCTCGATGCCTTCCATCGGCGTCGGTTCACCACCTGCCGTCTTGTCTGTAGCCGGGGCCGCATTCGTCGTGACAGTACCTTTACCGGCCTCCTGTGCCGGAGGTTGTGCTTGGGGAGGCGGATCAGGCGCCCCACCCATGACCATCACTCCGATCTCTACCTCGCCGCCTTTCGCAACGAGATCGCTCCCATCAAGTGCTTCCCGTATGGTCCCCTTGCTCGCCGGGATGGGTTTCTTGTTCCATAGTAGTTTGATCTTTTCTATGGCTACAACGCTGGGTCCACCGAGATAGGACTGGATCTGTTCTTTGATCGCCTGCAAGGTTGTGCTCGTCGGTTCTATTGAAGGAAGCGTGAGTGTCATGTTAGGATTTCGTGCGGACTTGAGGACCAGGGTGACCGTCGGTGTGGCAGGTTCGGCACCAGGTGCGGGACCGGTGGTGGCCGTTGATCTGGGTGGCGGCGGGTGTGGTGGTGTTGAGAGTTTGGGGAGGACATACTGCGCGTGCACTGTTAGCATGCATTTCATCCACGTCACTGGTCGTGCCAGCGCATCGGGTTCGTCCTCTGGCATGCATGCACCCTTCCATGAGGGTACGGCGAGAGACACGGCCGCATGAGGAATATCACGACATGCCACAAGACTTACAGGTACTCTCATTTGAAAGGTCTTTGGGTCGAAGACATGGTCGGGCTGGTATTTCGACGGTTTGTTGTCCAGCGATGTGAGGAACTGTTTTGCGAATTGTAGGTCGCCCATGTTGGCGGCTGCTTGGGCTCGTCGCTCAGCCTCCAGGCGGCCGAGGGTTTGTGCGAGGACGTAGGCGGCCAGGTCGGGCGACGTGTGCTATTAGTTGGCTGAGGATGATGTGATGGGCAGGGGAGCGTGCTATGCAGGTACAGTGAGGGTTGCGAATGGTCGAGGTGGTTCTACAGCCAAATCGTTGTATGGTGGTGGAGGATGTGAAGTTGGAGTGAGGTGAAACTGACATCACCGGTCAAGGCTGCACCACCAGCCCCTGGTTAATGCTCGACTACACATGACTGACTGCTGTGATTAAGTGTCTTTGTGCAAGAATGGCATGCTTTTCAAACCATGGAAAACCGAATACTACATTAATTTTCGTATCAACAATCAATCAAGCTTCCAATGGTATCATGTGAAAACCTCCCAAGACAAATCATAATCCCGCAAATCGTGAAACTGATGATCCAACGTTAAACTTTCCATGATTCGACCCTTAGAAAGCAGGAATGATATTCTCGTTGTTACCATCCGACCCTTCTACGTACCAAGCATGGTGAACCGTCTTCAAGCTACCAAGCCTCTTCAAGCTGGTAGACCGGCTGACACCACTGCCCATCCTTTGAACACCCACTCTCAAGCTCTTGAATCGAGTGATTGGTGGCCGACTCACATCATCCACTGCCAAGCGCTGAGGGCCCGTCGATCTGGGCCGGGGAGCGACATCGATATGGTCCTGGGGGATACCAGCGTACATGTCGCTGTCCGAGTGCGTGACACTGATTTGTGGCGCAATGGGTTCTTTGGACCAGCTGTCATGGCTTGAGACTGAAGCACGGTCGCCGCGGATGTTAACCATTTCAAAGCCATCGGCCTCGTCTTTCCCGCCAACGAAAGAGAAAGGCGTCTCGGGGCGGTCGACAGCCAGTTTCGAGTACTGGCCGTCCCGCTCGTGCACGGGCCCTTGCATCGCATTGCTGATCATGTTGATCAGGTTACCAGCAGACTGCTCGCCACTTTGTCGTGCAAGTTGCTGGCTGGGGAGAGGTGCTGGAGCGGCAACATTCTTGTCCTTTTTGCTCAGTCGGCGGGACAAGGAGCGTACGAGCGACGAGTTGCGGAAGAGTCGAAACTCTGCTTTCTTGGCCTGGCCAACAAGAGGCGAGTCGTCCCCGTAAACTGAGAAAGGCGAATTGACAGCTCTCGACGTGGCTGCGGACGGTGGGATCACGTCGATCTTCGGGTAAACCGCGTTGTTGGCAGGCGCATTTGGCTGGATGGTGAGGCTGGGTCTCATCGCTGGATGGGCTGCCATTGGAACTGGAGCCCTGGCAGGGCCGCTTCCATTGGGACGGCCCTGGTCGAATGGATTGGCTTCGGAACTTGGCCGCTTGTATCGTCCACACTTTGTGCAACATCTTGTATGGGTCGAGGAGGTGGGTGAGCTTGAAGGACCTGCTGTGCTTTGCTCTGACATGCGGGATGAGCTGTGAGAAGTCTGTGATTCAGAAAACGCCCGGGCGTGTGTTGAAGGTGCGTGCACCGGGGCAGGAGCCGTAGTGGAAGTAGTGGATGCCCGTCCCGTGGTCCTGCGCTTATCGCAGTGGTTGCAGCTGTGACCAGTCCCATGAGTGCCGGCTTTCTTCCCACACTTGGCACATGTCTGCGCCTCTGCTGCAGATGTCGTGCCTCCAGTAGAAATGATCGCATCTGTCGCCTGAGGTTTGTACACCGGTGGAAGCGCACCGTCATGCATATCCTTCGCTACCTTGACTGTCTTTGGTTTCTCCTTCTCTGGACCTCCCTGTGCACTTTCATATGGCGTTCCATCGAGCCGTCGCAGATTGACAGACTTTCTCAGCTCAGCAGGTCTCTGCGGCTTGGGTGCCTGGACTGGCGCTTCTGATAGCCGTCTTAGAGGCGGTGATCCAGCGACAAGCGAAACTGGGGAGAGAGGAGGGACTTGTGCATTGTTGGAAATTGAGTCGGGTCTGAAATTTGGGGAGAAAGGGTTTGTGTCAGGCAACGGATCGTTGTATGAACTGGGTAGCACAGCTGTTGTGACTGGCACGGGTGGCTGCGCCTGTTGTCGCAGACTCTCATATGGCACAGCGGTCGCAAGGGAGCCCGGAGTATTCGATTTGGCCGGATAGGCTGGCGGGGGTGCCTTTGTCAACTTTGTCATCTTGTTGTTTGGCGCTGTCAAGTCTCCAACCTAGTCTGGAAGTCCTAAGTGTCCGTTGAACAGATGGAAGTACCGAGTAGACCGAAATGTCTGAGAAAGGAGGGAGGCTGGTGCTGTATCGAAGTGGATGAGGGTGAAGACCTAGTAACTCCAAAGCGCACAGAATAGGTCGACACCGATGTACGTCTTCCCGAGAAGAGACGGGCACTGAGAGAACGAAAGTAAAGTAAAAATGAAACGCAGACTGAAGATGCAGACTGCTAGAGCTGCAGCAACAGGCCGGTGAAGAGGTAAACTCGTGTTAACAGACGGTGAATGAAGTGATGATGACAAGGGAGAAGATGGGGAAGATATGAAGCATGTGGGCTCTGCTGGTTGGCTGAATCGCGCAGTTGGAAAGCCTCTTGTTTGGGTCCACGGCTAGCTAAACCATGGGCACGGCGCAGGTAGCAGTCAGGGTTTGGGTTCAGGATACAGTAGTGAACGAGTAGCACTTCGGCACCGCACCTGTTTGGCTAGAGGGTTTGGTACAGTGGCCAAAAGACTCCCAAGGCATCGTGGCATTAAGGCTCTTCGGATTCTAAAACCGGCTCAACCCTACCAAGAGTGCTACTGTAGATGAGACCGTGGCGGATGGCACAAAGCCCAAAACCACCATGCCCAACACCACCAATGAGAGCACCGGCGAAATGTGCTGCTGTCTGGATGGGGATTTGTGACGACGTGTGGTTTCTACACGGCCTGCTACGAGGACGAAGGAGTCAGAAGCTTGCAGCTGGGATTATTCATGCTATGCTGCGAGGCGCTGGTGAGTAGTATGTTGGTACATGCATCTGGCCGCTTTCATCAGCAAATATTAGGTACCTGCACCACCCGGCCCGCAACCTGCGCTCAGATCGGACCAAAAGGAGACACTAAGCCACCCCAGCCCACCGCTTGACGGCGACCTTGTGGGGGTCTGCGCCTCGCCGAGGTGCCAAAAAAGGGGGTAGTAAAACGTCCCATGCGGCTTAGCCCAACCATGTGGCTCTTCCGTTGCTATCTTCGGCACGCTACAGGGTGAATCAGGATAGCTGGCCTCGGCTAAATGGGCATAGTCTTTGTTCCAACTTCCAACTCGCTGTTGACCGACCAAGGCTCATGCAATACTTTGTGCTTAGCGAGCTGTGACGCAAGGAGAAGAGTAGGCAATCCATATGTTTGAGCCCCAATGTCTCGACATGATATATAGTGAAACAGAGAGTGTGTGACAGAGTGAGAGGAGTAGCCGACAGGAGAGAGGAGTACCAACATGCACTGTCGTGGTCGTCGAGAAGGAAATCCGGGTTAATCATCTGTACACACTTTGAACTCACGAGGCGATCAGAGCAGGGAGTCTCTCTACAGTAGTCTCTCTACAGTAGAGGATATGAACACCAGAGTTGGGCCGCTACCGATGACAAGCAATCCGTGGATATCCCTGGCGAGTGCTGCATTTCGGCCAGCAGGCGTGAGCTTGAGCCTGGTCGAAATCCTCATGCTTGGCTCGTTAAATTCCTGCTGACGAAGATCCTACGCCGCCCTTCGCGAGTACGCTCTCTATACGGAGTACAAGACGCGGCAATCGGCCGCTGATTACACTAATTGGCTGCTTGATTTACTACCCAATGGATGCAACGTACCTATATCGTAGCAGGATCGAAAAGCCACATGTTAAGAACCAGAGATGGTGATCGCCACATAAATTGAGAGATCTCACCCCGCTTCTGCGGAGATGCCGCTCAAGCACGGCACCTACGTTTTCGGTCGAATGGTATCAAGGAACCGGATTAATCGCACTAAGCCGCGATAACAGGATTTCGGCAGATATACTGCCTTTCACGCTGGTCTGATCGGCCGCGAGATCGTATCCTTCTTTTTGTCGTTCCACACATTCTCAAGGGCCGCCCTCGGAAGCAAGTTTGGGACTGTATAAATAGCACGATCTTTGATGTTACGGGGTGGATCCGTCTGGGGATGCCTTGACAGAGGTCATGCTTGACGTGCGGCTGGGTTCACAATGATTCCATCTTTCGAGAAGCATTCAAGCAGGAAGACAGCCTTGCTAACAGGGTATCAGCCCGCTGCTCGGCGCTAAACGCAGAGTAGCACAGCGCCAGTTCTCGCTCGATATCGAGACCCTGCTGAGTAGTCTGATAGGCCGGTGCAACTTCCTCACCCAGAGAGACTCTTGTCCGGTCAGTTGAGCTTGTGCGACAGTAGCAGCTGTGCCTGTTACCGTTTCGTTGGAATCCTCGGTATGGCGAGATGCATGGGCATGTGCTATATCATTTGGAGTGCCAATCAGACGACTGCTATGCAAGAGACCGAGACCGCCTTCGTGAGGAGCTTCAGCTGTTGTATCCCAACGATGCCCAATAGGATTGTATAGTAACACGGCTGCGACGTCCGGCCACTAGATGGGCCTGAAGCGGGATGTGCCGTGCTGGTGGTTATCCTGAAAGATGCCGTCCAGACCGGACTGTGACCAAGTGGTCAAATCTTAGTTGCACAAGCCACATATTCATTCTCGGCAAAGGTGCAGGTCCTCCGTCGATACGCTCATGATGGATCGGAATCGTCCAATATTGGCTCAGCTGCAAGTCCGTTGCTCAACAGGCCACCCGCAAGATGGGATCAGCAAGGGCGGTTGTTCTCTGATGGGAACCGCAAAATTCCCGGTTTTCAGACTCCATGGACCGAGTCGACCAGCTGCAAGCGAAAGGGTCCAGTGCGGTGTATGGTACTCTAAAACACGAAGACGCTGATATGCCAGTACTGGCGCCTGGGTATTGTCAGCAATCACACCAGGTATGTAGACAACTTGCGGTTCTTTGACCCATGAGAAAGCAAGGAATGGCTCCGTTTTATCTTCCTGCGGACAGGCAACCGCGGCGCATTGAGCTTCGATATGAGCCGGTCCGAAGCTTGGCATCTTAGGATAGTCAGGAGCACTCCTCCGCAGACGCTTTTTTGCCTCACCTTATGTGAGGCGACTGTGCTAAGAATTATGGCCGTTGAAGAGCTTGTCAACGGAGTGGTCGGAGCGAAGCCGAGGTGCAAACAGATCAACGAGGCGCCAAACAATCGTGGTGCAGGTGAACTGACTAATCGTTCCATACGGACTTTGACAGTGCTATTCCTCCTGGGATGTCCGCTCTCGCTGTGGATGATACTTTAAATAGAAAGGAGAGCTGTGGAAGTGTCGTTGTCTGCGACAGCAGGAATCTCATTACCCAGGAGACGCAGACTCCAACAGGAATCGAGGCAAATCTACGCAGTGAGGGTGAGCTGCCATCCTTCAAATAGAGACAACGGTGACTTGTCCGAAACTGCCGTCTGGTGGGCAGTCCTCATGCGAGGTTGGACTGCGTTCAAATCAATATCAGCAAATAGGTGATGATGTGAGAACCCGCTCTCATCACCATCGTCATGATATGCTAACATGGAAAATAAGACTAGATACTGTGGATAGTCCGCTTAAGCACGGCGTATTGTGCCATGCTGCAGTAGACCCAGTAGGTAAGTTCGAGTACGTAGGCGGGCTACTGGGCACGACTATTTACTCATGTCGTTCAAGCATGCAGGGGGTCTGGCCTATATCGAGACGCTCGAGCAAAGGGGGAACCGAGGAAGATATACTAGAGGCACGTAGTGGCCGATAATAGTGCTATCCTATCGATTAGGAGAAGTGATAATGCACACTATTGTAGGATGGCGCTGGGTGGCTTCTCGGAAGGCGTGCGAAACTCGTGGTGATTGTTCGCTCCACAAGGTGGCCTTGTCACGTCGCTTCGACTCCAAGGCTGAAGACGTCTGGAGACCTAGCACTGTGTTTGGGAAGATATGGAGTCTCCAATTTTTTAAGACACGATCTGTGCGCCGAGCCCTTTATCATCCCCTGAACCTCCTGAAGCGTTGGAAAGCATATCGTCGATAGCCTCTCCTTTCGGAAGCCGCATCCCGAAGACAGTATCCCTTAGTACGTACTCCATACGTACGTACAGGCGAGTTGTGTTACCGAATACTCCGTACGGATGAGAGACAAGCTGCTTAGATGCACCTCTCGTCTTTTTTCCTGCGAGACTTGGAGGGAAAAGTTTAGAGCACGCGCATGTGTATTGTTATCGCGAGGTACATAGGTACATCAAAGGCCTGCCCGGATAAGACGTGGAATAGCCAAGATTCATGGCTCGATGGTTTCCAGTCCCCAGCTCTGCATGCGATGACAACGTGATCGGTCCAACAGCTGAGGTCGCGTGTCATCTGGACGGCAGCCATGATCTGTACCCTGGCTGTCTTGCGTCAAAGGTCGTGCGCATCAAGATTTGATACTCTAGGTTGAGCTTGGTAATCGAGATGCCACCAGAGCCACAGATAACGCGGTCGAGCATGGGCTTTGTGTAGCGTATGGAAGGCGGTATAGAAATTCTTTCGCCAGACGGCTGGTGTCACAGCCCTGCGGGTGAAAGTGGAGAGCGCCCTGATTGCCGGGCACGACCCTCCTTCATCGACCCCACACTTCTGGCGGCTTGGGAATAGCTTGACGCACAAGAGGAATAGCGCAAGGCCCAGAGCCCAAATATAGCACCTCCAGGAAAGGTTGTCTAGGCCCCGAAGGGTGTGGCGTTGCGCTAAATCGGAAGTTACGCAGTGCATGGACGTGACTTGAGGCGTGTTTGACCCATCCTGGTTCATCCCTGGATCGTATGGCCCACGCCCTCGGCATTCCACCCCCTATCAAGCCCATCTGAACAGAATCCTCCCACCGCTGATTTGTCCCAAACTCCGCCATCAAAGCTCAACCCGTCCGGCGAAATTAACTGGGATCGCTTGTGTGAGGATTAGCGTGGTCTGGGTTAGACAGCCAGACAAACCACAGCCAACAGGGAACCGAGTCGATCCGGTTGCGGCGGCATGGCCGCGCGCAGGATACGTAGCAGGCTGCCAGCCCTAAGGGTACTGTCCACAAAAGGGGGTACACTGGCTGAGGTCTCAGACATCGGATACCGCGTGCGGATGTCCTGCTCTCATACCTCATACTTCCGCTTGGCCTGTTCGGACATTCAGCACTACGGTCAGGCCACAGACCAAAAATGTGCTATCTGTGTAACCATGACAGCGACAATCCAAGGCTCCTAATGAGTGAAAGCTATGGTCAATATGGCTCGTCAACGTCATGCAGTCATCTTTTGGGCCAGAGCGGACCCTATTCTGCGTGTGATGTTTCTCCTCCAATCTCTTTGCCGCCACCATGGGAACTTTCTCAGCCTCAGCGGGGTGAAAGCGAGCAAGCTAGTGTACAGCCGCCGCTTTGAGTATTCGTCTTTACAAATCAAGCGGTTGTCAAAAGGCCCTTTTGATACGGCCGTTGACACAGCAGGCGCATCGTGGCGATGGAAGCGCTCGTGAGACTCAACCATTCTATACTCGACCAGCACAACGTTGCAATTGCCCTCAGGGATAGTATACGAATGGCGAGAAATCACTGCACTTCGTTTCTGCAGTGCTCTGCTTCAGCTCTGACTTGGCCAATTTCTTGGGTGTTCGCTTAGGCAGGGCAGTTTCCAGGCAAGTCCGAGCAGCAGCAGTTGAGCTGGAGGCCGAACCAATACGAATTCGATCAAGACCGAAAGAAAAGCTCGATTTAGCTAGGCGTGTCCTCGCGCGAACCCCAGCCAAGAGATTCAAACCAATGGCAGATGTCCATCTCACTGCGACTCCTCGTATGCGCATATCTAAGTTCATCCCAGCCCTCTACCACACAAATCCGCTGTACCGCTGTCACTTTCCCTGGGGAACATTTGAAAACTCTGCAGCAAGTGGTGCGGCTGAAGACGCATAGATGAAGTTATGCGCTATTGAGCATTGATTACTGCGCTCCCGTCCGTTCCATGCAAGCGAAGGTAAGGCCGACAGTCCTTACTCGCACCTTGAATTGAGCATTGGAGGCCTGGTGTGGCTAGAACTGGCGATACTCAGTTCGCGAAGCGGCGAGGGTATCGAGGTGTAAGATTACCGCCCCGAACCATGGGTCGCTGGCATCCAGCCACTTTTAGTTGCCAAATTCGGGCGCCGAAAAACAAGCACAAGGAGACTAGCTCGCTTAGACCCAGACTAGCGAGCCCGTTGATACACATGGTGGGTCTCGCTGTACCAATTCCCAATTGCCAACCTTCATGACCGCTACGACTCGAAATGAAAGAACAGCCTCTCCAGATTTGGACTCACCTGCCATGCACTTGATTTCCAGCGCGCAGATCTAATGCATGCCTTCCTGCCCTAGTATGACCCTCTTTTCCTGACCCACTAGGGGGCGCGGTTGTCAATTCAACTTTCGCTCCCTTACTCACTGTGCATTGGCTACCCGGGCTCTTTTTACTCGTGCCTCCCCTTTATATGATAGCTTGCCCTTCCCGCATTCCCTTGACCCTTTTCCTTCCAAGTAACGCTCGTTGAAGCCAACACCTATTACCCGGACATCATGGAGGAGGTATACGTCTTCGGCGATCAGACCGCTGACTGCCGGGCGTTCTTCGCCAAGGTCTTCTCCAGGAAGGACGACGTCCTGCTACAGGCGTTCCTGGAAAGAGCTGGCGACGCCGTCAGATTCGAAAACAAATACCGATCCCATCCTTCAAAAGCAGTACCTAATTTCTCAACAATTCAAGAGTTAGTCGATCGTTACTACAGGGGCGAGGCAAAGGACGCCGCCGTGGAAAGCGCCCTCGTTTGTATTTCACAGTTCGCTCATTTCTTTGGGTAAGCGTCCAACTGAGCCCGAGCTGACGCTCTGACCACACGGGACTGACAATGGAACAGTGCTTTCGAGGAGCGGACGCCTTCATACATTCCACCTAATACAGATGCACGATTAGTCGGTCTTTGCACCGGTTTAATAGCCGCTACTGCGGTCGCCTCCTCAGATTCTCTTACAGCCCTTCTACCTCTTGCAGTCGAATCTGTTCGGCTTGCCTTTAGAGCCGGTGCACACGTCGGCAAGGTCGCAGAGCAGATTGAGACCGACACCAAAGCCCAGTCATGGTCGACCATCGTGGCTGCGGACGAGAAGTCAGCGCAGGCTGCTCTCGACGCGTTTCATAAAGAGAAGGGCACCGCACCCACGAGCAAGCTGTGGATCAGTGCGTCTTCGGCGACGTCAATCACCATCTCCGGCCCCCCCGCCACAAAGGCTGCTCTTTTCGAGCACTCTGAGTTCTTCCAGTCTCACAAGAATGCTTCAGTCTCGATATACGCCCCTTACCACGCAGCACACCTACATTCCCAAGCCGACATCGAAAAGATCCTCCGACCACAGACGAAGGATATCTTCAGCAATGCCACGGTCAGGTACCCTGTCTGCTCCAGCGTGACTGGGAAACCAATCTCGGCGAAGAATGGCTATGAATTGCTTCAAGAAGCACTCAAGGAGATCATCATCGAGCCTCTACGATGGGACAAGGTCTTGAAATACTGTGCGTCTGGCAAAGCCGAGCAAGCCAAGGTCTTCGCTGTTGGCCCGACGAATCTCGCTAGCAGCGTCGTTTCAGCCCTCAAGGCCAACACATCCAAAGTGACACTGGAAGATCAATCGCATTGGTCGACCGTTGCGCCAGCCGGCACGCAGCATTCGAAGAGAGAAGCAGACATTGCCATTGTCGGCTTCTCTGGCCGCTTCCCAGATGCCGCTGATAACGAGCTCTTTTGGCAGTTGCTGGAAAAGGGTCTGGATGTCCACCGACCAGTTCCCCCGGACAGGTTCCCGGTCGATTCACACACTGATCCCACATCCAAGAAGAAGAATACTTCTCACACGCCCTTCGGCAACTTCATTGAAAGGCCTGGTCTTTTCGACGCCAGATTCTTCAACATGTCGCCGCGAGAGGCAGCACAAACTGACCCCATGCAGAGACTGGTGTTGGCCACCAGCTACGAAGCCATGGAAATGGGTGGTATCGTACCCGGCAGAACACCCTCCACCAAGCACGACAGAATTGGCACATTCTACGGCCAGACGTCTGACGACTGGCGTGAGGTCAATGCCGCCCAGGACATCGACACGTACTTCATTTCCGGTGGCGTGCGTGCATTTGGACCGGGTCGTATTAACTACTTTTTCAAATTCTCCGGCCCGAGTTTCTCAGTGGATACGGCTTGCTCATCCAGCTTTGCTGCCATGAACGTCGCCATCACCTCTCTCCGAGCGAATGAGTGCGACACTGCTTTCACTGGTGGCGCCAACGTTCTCACAAACTCCGACATTTTCTCCGGCCTTAGCAGAGGTCACTTTTTGTCAAGGACCGGATCATGCAAGACGTGGGACAACGATGCCGATGGCTACTGCAGAGGTGATGGTGTCTGCACTGTCATCATGAAGCGCCTGGACGATGCTCTCGCCGATCGTGATCCGATCTTGGGCGTTATTCGAGGCATTGGTACCAACCACTCCGCGGAGGCCGTCTCCATCACTCACCCGTGCGCGGAGAACCAGTCTTTCTTGTTCGACAAGGTCCTCAAAGAGTGCAACGTACCCTGCAACGATGTCAACTACGTCGAAATGCACGGAACTGGCACTCAAGCTGGTGATGGTATCGAGATGGAGTCAGTGTCTTCAGTGTTTGCACCCCGCCAAAACCGCAGACGTGCTGACCAGCCACTGTACGTCGGTGCCGTCAAGTCCAACATTGGTCATGGTGAGGCAGTGTCCGGCGTTTCTGCCCTCATCAAGGTGCTATTGATGCTCCAAAAGAGCAAGATCCCTCCACACACGGGTATCAAGAACCAGATCAACAAAAATTTCGCACCAGACTTGAAGGAACGCAATGTCAACATCGCCTTCCAGACCACACCGTTCCCCAGACCAGCCGGTGGCAAGAGGACTGTGTTCATCAACAACTTTAGTGCAGCTGGTGGTAACACAGCAATGCTCTTGCAGGATGGGCCCGAGGTACCAAAGGAGCCGACTGCGGATCCTCGGTCGACGCAGGTGGTGACGGTGTCGGCCAAGTCGTTGGCAGCATTCAAGAGGACGCTCACGCGGTATGAGGAGTACCTCAACAAGAACCCAAATGTTGGCCTCCCTGACCTCGCCTACACCTTGACGGCTCGCCGAGCCCATTACAACTACCGTGCGGCCTTCCCTGTGCAGTCCGTCTCTCAGTTGCAGGCAGCGTTGAAAGCCATCCAGGATCAGACACACAATCCCATTCCCCTGGCTTCCCCCCAGATCGCAATGGCATTCACAGGGCAAGGTTCTCAATACACCGGCATGGGTCAGAAGTTGTTCGAAACTTCTCGACAATTCCGTGGTGATATTGAGGAATTCAATGAGATCGCTTTGCGACAGGGACTACCGTCCATCATGCCTCTGATCGACGGTTCCACCGAGGTCCAGCACTTGCCTCCTACCGTTGTTCAGCTTGGTATGTGCTGCATTCAAATGGCTTTGACTCGCCTCTGGGCGACTTGGGGTATCACGCCCAGCGTCGTCATCGGCCACTCCCTAGGCGAGTACGCTGCTCTCCAAGCAGCGGGTGTTTTGTCTATTGCTGATACGATCTACTTGGTCGGCAAGCGCGCACAGCTTCTCGAGCAGAAGTGTACTGCTGGGACTCACGCCATGCTTGCTGTCAGATCTCCAGTCGCTGGTCTCCAAGATGTGGTTGCTAACAGCGAAGGCAAGATTGAGATTGCCTGCATCAATGGTGTCTCGGACACTGTCCTCTCGGGCACAATGGGCGATATCGATACGGTGGCGCAGAAACTCGCCGACGCCGGTCAAAAATGCACCAAGCTCAAGTTGCCTTTCGCTTTCCACTCTTCCCAGGTTGATCCCATCCTTGCCGACTTCGAGAAGCTGGCCTCTTCCGTCAAGTACAACCCTCCACGGGTTCCTGTCATTTCGCCTCTCCTCAGCGACATTGTCAGCGTTGGTGGTGTCTTCGATGCTTTCTATCTCAGCCGACACTGCCGTAAGACTGTCGACTTCGTGGGTGGTCTGTCTGCGGGCATGTCTACCGCCACCATCAGCGACACCTCCCTCTGGTTGGAAGTGGGTGGTCATCCTCTGTGCGCCAGCATGATCAAGTCGTGCTTGTCTGCGCCCACTCTCCCAACAATGCGTCGGGATGAAGATCCGTGGAAGATAATATCGACGTCGATGGCTGGCCTCTACACGGCTGGTAAGACTCTGAACTGGGACGCCTTCCACAAGGAGAACGAGTCTCTTCGCGTTCTGAACGACATGCCGTTCTACGGCTACGACGAGAAGAACTACTGGCTTCAATACACCGGCGACTGGCTATTGTACAAGGGCGATTACCCCAAGGCCATCGCTCCTGCTGCTGCCGCACCCTCAGCCCCTGCTGGACCCGCAAAGGCCAGGAAATACCTGTCGACAGCCGTTCAAGGAATCGTTTCTGAAGAGGTGAAAGGCAAGGTCGCCACAATCATCGCGGAGTCTGATTTCGCCCATCCCAAGCTGTTCCCCGTTGTCGCCGGCCACTTGGTGAATGGCAGCGGTCTCTGCCCGTCGACCTTGTACGCTGACATGGCCTACACCCTGTGCAACTATGGCGTCAACTTGATCAAGCCTGGCGAGAAAGTCGACATCAACATTGGAACAATGGATAACCCGGCTCCTCTCCTCCTGAAGAACATCAACCATCCAGAGAGCCAGATTGTTCGAATGACCATGAAAGTTGATCTTGACGGTCGCAAGGCAGACTTCACCGTCACGACCAACAACGGCAGGAAGGACGTTGTTCACGCCAAGTGTGTCCTTCGATTCGAAGATGCGGCTGCGTGGAAGGCAGAATGGAACAAGGTGTCCTACCTCGTACAATCGCGAATCGACATGCTGAAGCACAAGATGGAGAATGGTGAAGCCGACAAGGTCAGCCGATCGATGGCATACAAGCTCTTTGGCGCCCTGGTCGACTACTCCGATATCTTCCAAGGCATGCAGAGTGTCGTTTTCGACGGACCAGAATTCGAGGCTACCAGCAACATCAAGTTCCGTGCGGGTCCCAACGACGGCGACTTCTACTTCAGCCCTTACCACATCGACGGCGCGTGCCACTTGTCGGGTTTCACTGTAAATGCCACCGTCAACCCCATGGATGAGTGCTTCATCTCGCACGGATGGGGTAGCTTGAAATTCCTTGCACCTCTTGAGCACGATAAGCAGTACTTTGCCTACGTCAAGATGCAGCCTGTCGCTGGCAGCAAGATGCGTGTTGGCGATGTCTACGTGTTCAACTCCCAGAAAGAGGTTGTCGGCGTTTGTGGCGCTGTGCGCTTCCAGTGCATTCCTCGCAAGCTGATGGACGTCATGATGCCAAAGCCCAAGGTCGCTGCTGGGGCTAAAGCGGCTGCTTCAGTCCCAACGCCTGCTCCCGTCAAAGCTTCAACTCCTGTCCAGGCCGCTCCCCAGATCGAAGTGCCTGCTCCCAAGGTCAAGGCCAAGAAGCCGGTCAAGGCACCCAAGATGAAGGCTCCTGCAGCCCCCAAAGCTGCTCCTTCATCCGGCAGTCTTGTTGTCCGTGCGTTCGATATTATCGCCAAGGAGATTGACGTCGACCAGTCTGAACTCAACGACGACATCCAGTGGGCCGATATGGGCGTCGACAGCTTGATGTCTCTGACCATCTCTGGCAAATTCCGCGAGGATCTTGATCTCGAGGTGGAAAGCACACTCTTCACCGACTACTCCTCGGTTGGTGCTCTTCGCAAGCACCTCGGTGGTATGTCCGCTCCAGAGCCAGTCTCCGCTGGCGACGCCAGCTCCGTCGAATCAACCGACTCGGGCTCGGAAAGTGACGACGAAACCGTCGAGTCTGGGATCACCACACCCGACACGGAGGACTTCCCGGCCAAGACCCAGGGCCCGACGAAATCTGCTGCCGTGGAAGCTGTCGCCCAAGCCCCTTCTGCTGCCGCAGGAGGTGACATGATCGAGACCATTCGCCAGGTCATTGCACAGGAGATGGAGATGGACCTTGAGGAAATCACCGAGACTACTGATCTCAGCAACCTCGGCATGGATTCTCTCATGGCCCTTACTGTCCTGGGGAAGCTTCGTGAAGACCATGAGATCGACTTGGACCCAACGATCTTGGCCGACAATCCGTCGCTCGGCCACCTTCGGAAAGCTCTTGGCTTAGACAAGCCGAAGCCGGCACCTCCCACCGCTCAGAAGCACGAAGTCGTCACCAACGTCGTCGTTGCCCCGGCTGCCCCTCCTGTTGAAGTTGTCGTCCAAATGCCCCCGGCCACCTCTGTCCTGTTACAGGGCAACCCGAAGACGGCCACCAAGAACCTCTTCCTGTTCCCTGATGGCTCCGGATCAGCCACTTCTTACGTCTCCATCCCCGCCATTGACAGCAAGAACCTCGCGGTCTACGGCCTCAACTGTCCTTTCATGAAGGACCCCACGAGCTACACGTGCGGCATTGAAGGTGTGTCAAAGCTGTATCTCGAGGAGGTCATGCGCCGACAACCTGTTGGCCCCTACATCCTTGGCGGTTGGTCCGCTGGTGGTGTCGTTGCCTACGAAGTCACCAGGCAGCTTGCAGACCTTCAGAAGCAGCACCCTGACCGGAACTACTCGGTCGAGAAATTGATCCTCATCGACTCGCCGTGTCCGATCAGACTCGAGCCCCTGCCTGCTCGTCTCCACCATTTCTTTGACGAAATAGGTCTGTTGGGTACCGGCACCGGCAAGACCCCCAACTGGCTGTTGCCCCACTTCGAGTACAGCATCAAAGCACTGACTGCCTACCGTCCCGAGCTGAAAACCACGCACGACTTCAAGGCGCCTCCGACTCTGCTCATCTGGGCAACCGAAGGTGTCTGCGGCAAGCCCGGCGACCCAAGACCACCACCACAGGCAGACGATCCCAAGAGCATGAAGTGGCTCCTGGAGAACCGAAACGACTTCGGGCCCAATGGATGGGACAAGCTCTTGGGCGAAGAAGTTTGTAAGATGGTGACAGTGGTCGGCAACCACTTCACGATGATGAAGCCCCCAGTGGTAAGTGACTCTCCGCCTATTGATCTTGAGTCTGCGCTAACATTTCCACAGGCTAAGGGCGTTGGCTCCTTCATCCGCGAAGCTCTCTTGTCTTAGGGAGACATCAGATGCGTCCACTGTGGACTTCAACGACATGACCAGAAATTCTCGCTGAGCAGTTTGTCACGCTACCAAAAGATACCTGATAGAGATGGGGAGTGGGACCTTGTTGAACACTGATAGACTTTGCTTTCCTTCACGCGCGGGCTCTGTTACCCTTGTGCAAAATACATACATACTGGGAGGGTCTCGAACGCTGCATTCGGCTTTGCTGGGCATTCACGCGAGTTGGGGATTGCTTCATTGTTTCTTGCTTGCGGGGGACTGCACTGGATCAGCGGTGCGGTTGGACATCACCGGGCGTTCATGTGGAATATGGGATACGGCAAGAGCAGGGACGATTGTGTGCTTGACAGGACTGTTTTGATGTTTTCTAGCTCTAGTCACTCATGGGCTTTCCTCGCCCATGCAAATGTCATTCATAGTTTATTCTTCAACCACCTGTCTGTGGTTTCTCGTGAAGGGTCTGCTCTTATCTCGCTATGTTGGGAGTTGGCAGCACAAATGTGTAGTCCGAACACATTGCTTCCTGACCAACTGTGGCCCCAACACATGGTTGCACACGACTGTCATTCAGTCCATTTTCTGGGATCGCTCACGAGGTGTTGCCTCATCAATTCAACCGTACCGGCTCGATCAAGGATCGCCGCCAATCAGCTGATCACCGCCAACAGTGGAGCTAGTCCGCTGAGTGATCCGATCTGATTCAATCTCTCGGCTTCCTTCGATGGCGGGGGAGCCCAGAACGCCCGGCCTTGCTGTTCCAATCTTGTCTGACACGTTCCAATATTACCAGACACTTCACACTATAGCTGGCACGGCACGCACGCACGATATGCATGCTGGCTGGCGTTCATGCATGTCTCAGGTCGGGAAGCGTCATCGAGCGTCCCAGTCCAGGCAGCCACCGAGGATATTTCGGACGCACCAGCACGACCATTACATCCCGCCCATCGTCCCCGGTAAATCACAATTAGGGTATGAGGATGGAGTATGAGCTGCCTAGCGCGACAGTTGGTCGATTGATCGATCGGTCGTTAAATCATGAATGCTGTCATCATGCAGCATGCATCATCCATCATGCACTTTCGGGTGTACGAGTACTCGCCTCCCTGGAATGTAGCATCCGCAACAAGCACATGCGCATCTACAACATCCTCGTATTGATATTGCACCCCTCCGATGCAAGTGCATTGCGGGTGGCTGCTATTTTTGCTTCGAGTTGGCTACGGTGGCCTCTGCCAGCACCCGCAATATGCTTGATCCACGCTATACTGTGTACGGAGTACGTACCGTGTACTTCCCGCCCCGCCATCTCCACCCCATCCGAGATGCGGGTACGAGCTTCTGCGTACATGCCGCTACCTTGGTTGACGAATCCACGACACAGTATACCCTACGACCACTAATACATAGTACATGCCTGCGGAACCATGTTTGAAATCGGGCCCCAGCACGAACGAGTAAAGGCTAATCGGATCGCAACGCCATTGCAGATACCTCCGGGAGGATTGCTATCCACTCCTATCTATCTCTGCCTGCGTCATGACTCATGACCCAGCTTCCAGTGGTGCCAGGAGTCAATGATGCAGACGACGAGCCGGTCGAGATAAACATCCATACAGCCATACATGCCGTCGACGCGGGACGCTGTGCTGTGCTGCATCTGCACTGCATTGGGGAATGTCCGTCCACTCGCCGGGCACGGACAAGGGCTGAACGGATCCTGGCAATCCAAGGCAAGTTTCTTCGTAGGCCGGTCTCATCTCGCAATGCGGTTATTCGATCATCGTGCACTGAACGAGGATCCACAGGTCGCGCACGGCAAAGGACCAGGTTCGGACATTTTGGAAAAGTCAGCACCAGCTCGGATCTCGGGGGACGAGGGGACGAGCGGAAGATCTGTCCATTCCTGAGTTGGCGTCGGCGGCCAGTGATGGGATCATGATTTGATGTGATGCGATGCGATGCGTTTGCACAGAAATACCACGCTACATGGCTACAGCGCAGTACTACCCCGTATACAGACAGGCACGGGATTGCATTAACAGGTGTGTTCCGCCGTTTGCGTTCGTGTTCTCGCTCGCGCTTGCCTGAAGTGTCAATCACGAAAGTGTCCACTGCCTCGCGTGACTTGACATGACATGACCTTCAGTCTCGCAATCTGCGGTAGGGTGCCTCGGATTCGGATTTGGGATTTTGGCAGCTGTCAACTTTGCGCAGACGCAGGTACACACTCTCATGATGTGTGTTTGGACCTTCAGTTCTTTTCATTTGACGCGCAATTACAGTACAGTACCTATGTATGTACGTCGTACGTGTTGGTACTTGTACTGGTACGGATAGAGGCAGTGGCACTGGTAGTGGGACTGGTTGTCTCCCCAGTACATAGTAGCTGGGCTAATTATGAACACCTTCCACAAGGCTTTCGGATGTGGTGGGTGGTTTTAACCGGTCGAACTAACCTGGTCGACTTTTCGAGAGCCCCTGCTTAGGTCCACGACGTACAACAAGCTTCCCTTTCTCTTCTTCCTGCTCTCGGCAGTAGGCATGATCGCCCGGCTGGGGAATGAATCTTCTTGCATCCTTCAGTATCCACGTCGCGAGGTGGTGCGGGGGTCGCTCTCGCATTCATTGTAGTGCTGATATGTGCACTGGAGTAGGCTCCACTGTTTCTGGCGAAACTGGCAGACTCGTGCCTGATGTCGCTGGCGGCAGAGGACTCTCGATATCGGCTAACGGATGGCCCTTCGTGGCGGTAGGTTCGAGCGCATTCCCTCAGATGGTAAACGAGCCATTCCGCTTGTTGGCATGCCTCATGTGAATCTCTCGATGGTTATCGTGCCGAAAGTCGTAATGGAGAGTATGGAGGGGAGGTATGTGTCACTGCGTCGCCTGCAAGCGGCGCGAGAAGTGCGGCGGATAGAGCGGGTGATCGTCTCGCCAGATCTGGTGCTCTCACCTCTTCGGGCCTTGATGCTGCTTTGCCATAATCTCTCCCAACAATCGAAGGCGATCGTCATACCAGTATCGGGACTTGACGGTCAGATGGGACTTGCTTGTCAACGTCATCCGAAAAGAAATCCATGGCCTGCACTCGGTAAGAACACCTCCGTCCAAGGCACCTGCATGCCCCTGCATCCGTCTTCAGCTCCGTCGGCAAACTCGACATCGTTCCTCGTCCAGACAGTCCGCAAAAACTCCAAGCCGGAGTCAAATATCCAAATCCCGGTCTTCTGCTTCCAGCGCTCTGAAAACTCAATAGCAACTTTGCGGTACGCTGTATCTGTTGCCGACATTTCACAGCCGGCGAGGATGATTGGCATCAGACACTGTTTCTGGAAATTGCTGTCCGCCGGGATTGTAGACACTAGGTCGAGAATCTGGGTGGCCAGCGCATGGGCCTCCAGCTGCGTGTCTGTAGAATCATCCAATACCGAGCCCGTATCTAAGCCTTCTTCATCTTTGATCGCCTGGAGCGCTTCAGACGAAGGCGTTGATGTCCGTGAGAAGACTCGAGTACAGTACAACACAAGGCCCAGTCTCCAAACCTGGGACATCAGAATTTGGCACTTTCCTGCGCCTTCCTTGATCTGCGCCTTTAGGAACTTCGCCCGAAGAGCCTCGACAGTACATGAGTCGAGGTTGTCCAGCTGTGACGCCGCAACGGCGACGTCGTACATGTCGAGGAACAGGCCGTCTGGGAGACCATTCAGAGCAAGGATACTCCATTCGTCGTCGGCTTGCCACGCCATCAGTGCATTAAGGTAAGTTCGGGGAAATACGGGTCCACAACGTGAGATGAGTGCCGCGTTCACGTCGTACCAGATGAGCATGGCGATCTGGACCCTGAGGTTCGGCCGGGACTCAGCCAAGCGAATGCCGCCGTGGCTTTCAAGGATATGGCACGCGCCTCGAAGGTGAACCGTCCAATTCGACACACCGGTCTCAGCGTAGTCGAGAGCTATAAGAAGGAGAGCGGTGCTCAGGCCACATTCAAAGGAGAGATGATTTAGATTCGACGCGAAGAGCGACAACGCCTTCGCTTTCAAGTTCAGGATGGAGACTCCCTCGGGCTTACCGCTGAAATGTGCTTGCTGGCGCTGAGCAAGAGCGACTGCAGCGTAACGGACACACGGCAAGTCTTCGTGAATCGAGGGCAGACAGGCCCGCCATGGGTTGACATTGACATCAAAGGTAAGTGTGGTGTATGCGAAGCATGAGTGGAAAAATGCCAGCGCGTATCCGACGTCACCCGGCTGATGGCCGATTCGAGCACAGAGAACAGGCTCGATCTCCTGGCTGTCGACACTAAGTCGGGGTGAGCTCGGCATCGATACCGACCAGTTCGAGCACGGGGAGGTGGATAGGATGGAAGCGTCTTCATGGGCGGACTCGGTCGCCACAATGTCCGCCGGGCTGGAACCCGAAAAGTTCGAGTGGCTGGACTTTGCAGTCGTTCTTGATCTCCTCCTCGGTCGCTTCTGTGATTCACTTGGGTCGACAAAGGTGAAAGTTGCAGGCGTGGGAAGCGGAGCTGTCTTGGTGGTAGCAGATTCTGTGCTCCCCAGGTATGACTTCGCTCGCTTTTTGCTAATCCGCACGGCGCCTCTCTCCCAATTGAGTTCCTGCACGTAACCCTTGCATACCGCCCCCTCGGCCAGACAAGGACTGCATCGTGGTCGTCGGCGATCACAATACCGGTTGTGGGAGGCGCACGTGTGGCAGTCGCTCTTCGCCCATCCCAGCGAATTCGTCCTCCTCCCAGTCAATTGACTTACGCGCATAGCTGGGCTGCCCTGTGCAGGTGGTTATGGTCATGATGAGGGTTCCACGTCGTTGCCAGAAATCATACGGAATCAAGGGACATCGATAACAAAAGACCGGAGGATGATAAGAGTGGCGCGGGGATTCTAGGCCCGTCCAGTAGCCAATGAAAAGGCGCGGATATCGTGCCGGGAATAGCCAGCGACCTGTCCACAGTTTATTCCGTACCCAGTTAGTGCTGGTCTCAGTCACGTGCAGAAAGTCACGTGGAATGGACTTCACCTCGCCAAGCCCTCTTCATCTACACGGATGATTCGTAACGACTGCACAACACGAACCCATGTTGTTCGTTCAACATTTCAATCCCGAATAACCGTAAATTCAGCCTTACTTCTGACACAGCAGATCTGACCCGCGGCCTTACAGTCCTACTCCCTCTTATGTAGGCATTGCTACATTTCGTGTCAGGGCCCGTGGGAGATTCCGGACATCAGCGAAGTCAAGAATCCATGGCCAAAACTATAGATTCTTAGCCGCGAGCCGGTCTCAACCGGCGGCTGATGCCTGCCACTACGACGCGAGATGAGCTGGGAGCACATCGTTGCACCGACCTCCTGTTTCGCTTTTCCAGATCTTCCTGCGTTCGGTTTGCAGGCTATCTCAACTCATGACATGGGTGAAGTCATGCCAATTCGCGGCATCAGGAGGAGCCGTATGTCCTGAGTCAGGCCCATAGAGAGCTACTCTGGACAGCGTTGAAAACTTCTTTCAACGTCGGCGGGCCCGATGCGCCGAGAGGATGGCTTCAATCCTCCTTCCTTTCCATCTTCATTTTAGTTCTTCGCTGCTCCGCGATCCACCGACCTCTGTCATTCCTTGTAGAGCTTTCAAGCTCAGTCCGCTCATTGTTTGACGAGGTGCACATCCATCCTTGGATGTGTGCTTTCGCAGCCCTTTTTGGAATCGTTGCCGGCGAGCTCGAACGTCCAGATGACCCTTTTTGCGACCTTTTCATGACAGGGAGCTATGGTGCACCTGGCTGGATTCCTACTGCTACATTGTTTGATGACCCAAGTACCCCGGTCGGATTGGACTACTAGTTCACCTCCTGTATCGACCACAACGGTCCCTACTCGAGACGAAACTCCGGTTTTCGCCCAGGTCGAATAGGTCCCGATGATGATGCGTGGTCAAGCGGAGAGCGCCGGACTTCCAAGACAGCAACTTCGTCAGTTGCGGTGTATCATACTTGTCCCGTCGATATCAGTGTCATCCAGACAACAATGTTGCCCTGACCCACGCTAAGGAGATCAACTGTTCCCTCATGCTCAAAGTGGGCGTTTGATTAGCGCGATCGAGGGACTTGTGGTTTTACAATGACTTCTTTCCGCTCACCAGCGGCGGTAGACTCTTTCTTGATTCCTGAGCAGCATCGTGTTAGTTTCGAGAGATCGGTTCTGGCACTCACTCTGCTGCATTCAGGGTTCGTTGAAAACCAAGGAGCCGGATGGAAGCCAGCCCTGTTCGAACGAAACAGGATTGAATCGAATCGCTTGCATTCCTTGAAATGTCTCCTGCGTGGCGAGGATGACGTTTAAGCTTGTCATCCCCTATCTATTGACCTTCTTGCTTGATGTGCAGCTACAGGGTGAATAGATTAATCTATCCGGTGCCGTCGCTCTCGAATCTACACGACAACCCGCTTCTCCAATACCTCCCCTTTGGTCTTCTCATCCACGACAGCCCCCCTCTGCGCGAGCATCTCCTTCTGATGTTCCCTCTCGATCTGCTCGTCGGCGACGAGTCCCTCGATCCGCGCACGCTCCTCCCACCGATGCGGCACAATGACGTTCTCCTCCCGGAAGTAGTTCGTGTCCGTGACGCAGAACCAGATGATGCCCAGCAAGAACACGAGCCCCACGGCGTAGAGCGTGAACTGCACGATCAGCTGGTCGATGTAGGAGACGTTCTTGCTGTCGAGGACGAACGAGATGCACATGCCCAGCGCGGTGGTGCCCTTGAACAGACCCGCCAGGCGCGAGCATTGCACTGGGTCGTTGGAGAGGGCGCCCAGCGTCCACTGCACGACGATTTGGTATGTCGCGTAGATGATGCCTGGGGTCAATGTCAACGTGCGTTAGATGTGCGCAGAGAGACGGTTCTGAACTTACCAGAGAGGAGGTACAGGACGAACCCGGCGCCAAAGGCACTGTCACTCCAGTCAACCCCCGGAGGCGTGTTCTTCTGGCGGTTGACGTCGTTCCTTGTGATCCAGGCGGCTAGGCCAGCGTTGGTGCCTAGGCAGATGGTGCCCATGATGAGGGCGCCGATCATGCCTCGAACGCGCCGCGATTTGATGTACTTTGTGTCCATGATGTAGGCGAGGAGTAAGGGGCAGGGCATCATGATGAACTGGAAGAGCACGTTGTTCAGCGAGCGGGTGCGCAGGTTGAAGTAGTAGGCGTTGATGCTGGATAGGAGGGCCTAGGGGTATCAGCTAGGCTTGCGTGGAGAGGTGCTCTCGAACTTACGAGGTTCATCTCGGCGACGAAGATGCCCGGGATGAGCGCGAGGATCTTGTAGTCCGTAAACCAGATGACCAGGCCTTTGATCTCCTCCATGACTCTGGGCTGCGTGAAGATGGCGATGTGGGTGCCGTCGTCCCGGACGACCTTCTTCGGGGAGATGATGAAAAGGAGAGCTATCACGATGGCCAGGCACATTATGACGATGCTAAGCTGCAGGTTAGTAGGGAGTCTGGTTTTGACAAGCATAACTCACAAGACGGTGTAGACGGCGTCGGAAACGCCCGTCGACTCGGTCTGATGGTAGTTGACTCCAAATGCGATGAGGCTCCCAATTGTGCCACCGAACGACGTGAATACCCATTGCCAGGTGATGAACAGGGCCTTCTGGTCTTCTTCAGCGTAGGCGAACTGCACGAACCCGGCAGCCGTCCACAAGCATCCAGCAGTCACGCCCAGCGTCGCTCCCGCGAAGTAAGGAAACCAAGCATGCCCCTGTCGGTCGAAGTACCAGAGCCCGCCGACGTAGAGAGGGTATCCGAGGGCCCCGAACGCCATGGTCAGCTTTGGCCCAATCAGGTTGAGAATGGCACCTCCGATCCAGCCGAACAGGCAGAATAAGCCATAGAGGACGGCGTTGGTAGTGGACGCGACGGTCTGAGAAGACGGACGTCCACCTCCGGCTCCAAGCCCTGTCAATGCAAGGTAGATACCCGGAAGACAGAACAAGATCCTGACACCGGTCAGCATGCTCGCGATAGATAGAGTACTAAATCTCACCCGCCGACAACGAAGTTCTGGTTGATGGGTCGGTTGAGTCGGAGCTTGCCCTTCCCGAAGGAAGGCTCGTACAAGAAACTCATGGCTTAGGTGTAACGAGAGCAGTCGAGAAGACGAGCTAGAAGAGCGATACTGTCACCAGCTCGGAGTAAAGATGCCTGAAGCCAGGCGAGCGAGCAGCCGGTCACCCCATCTTATATGCCGCCGACTTTTCTCATGCTCAAGGGCCAAGCGACAGCAGAGGTACTGTGCCTTGTACCACCATCATAGCCGAAAGGCTTCGAGGCAGGGGTATCAGGCTGCATTATCTCCATCACAGCCAATAGCGATAGCTGGAACGCGCTGTCCTCCTTATCGACCTCATCTGTACGGTTCTGTCTATCTTGCTGCATTTCCAGACCGTGTGCCGTCGCTGATGTGGGCCTAGAGGGGTGTGATACCGTCCTTGCCGCCAACCCTGGAGGGTAGATACGGGCTGCAAGTCGGGCGATTGTCGCTATGCACAAAGAAGAATGAGGTACAGATCAGAGCCTCGGAAGCATAGAAGTGTGATAGCACCCGCAGCACCGGCACGGTAGAGCGCCGCGTCAATGCCACAAGATTGTGGTGCAAGCTTGGCCTCGGGGGTCCAAACAACATCTCTTCGTTCCCTCCGCTCTCTATCTCTCTTTCCTATCCCGGTTGTTGCGTCTACGAAGCAGTTGCGATCGACATCGGAGTAACCATCCCCCCGTCCTGGAGATATGCCTACCCTTCTTCGAGCACTACGTCCGCATGTGCTGATAGGACACTCGAGTTATCAAGGCGGGAATCATCCGGCCGCCCTACTCCGTGTCTTGTCTATCTCGACCTCGGGGCAGATATGCACGAGCCGTCTGTGGATCGGTCTACGCAACATCTGAGACGCGCAAGAGCACGTCTCATAAAGTCTAACAACAATGGGGCCACATGCGTGCGTGCGTGCGTAGAGGACCACACCCTCCACTTCTGGGACAGTTCAGAGTTGGAAAGATAGAATAGGTGGGCCCGCAGAGTATTGCGCCTGCTCCTTCTTCACTCTGCGATAAATTTGCTCGCTGCTCTTTCTAGATACAATCGAACTGCTCGTCTCTCGCCGCTTGCTCAGCAGCAACAATGATCTCTAAAGAGACCTGGGTCGAAAAGGCCAAGAGCGCACGAGATTATCGCGATGAGACGCTGAAGAAAGTTGATCCGCCCTTCGAATCTCTGCCTGATCCTTTGCCCCTTTCCTCTCAGGACTTGCCAAAGAAGTATCTCACCCCCCGTGAGTACGAGCTTACGCAGAACTATGATGCCATCGAGCTCCTAGAGATGCTGCGGACGAAGAAGGTCAGCTCGGAAGAGTTGACGCGGGCTTTCTTGCGGAGAGCTGCTCTGGCTCAGTATGCGGTAAGCCCGGCCCAGCCCAGCCAGATCTGCTCAATTCCCGGATACTGAACGTGGTTCCGCGTGCAGGTCAACTGCGTGACCGAGTTGATGTGGGACGAAGCAATTGAACGGGCGAGGTATCTCGACTCGCTGCCAGAGCCAGTCGGCCCGCTGCACGGGCTACCCATCTCGGTATGTATCTCGGCCAGTTCGAGCAGGTGGTAAATCTGACGTGCGGGTGCAGGTCAAAGAGCACCATAACATGGATGGAAAGACTACCCATGCTTCTTACGTGGCGTGGATTGGCATGCCTGCTGATCCTAACCCGATAAACGATCACCTATGGAACGCGGGCTGCGTCTATTATGTCCGCACGACAGGCCCTCAAACGCTTATGGCGCTGGAATGCGACAACAATATCTACGGGAGGACCGTCAATCCGTGGAACCGCAATTTGACGTGCGGTGGAAGTAGTGGCGGAGAGGGCGCACTCGTAGCATTTCGCGGCAGTGTCTGGGTAAGTCCATATCTGTACCCCTGGAAATCAGCCATAGAATGTTGCTGATAGCGAGCAGGGCCTCGGTGGCGACATCGGCGGCAGCGTCAGAGCCCCGGCAAGCAATTGCGGCGTTTATGGCTTCAAGCCTACCTGCAAACGCATCCCTCTCAAAGGCATGCGGCACACCATGGACGGCAAAGACTCTGTCCTTGCTACGTTCGGTCCGCTGACACAAAGCCGCGAGACCATCAACCTGTTCATGAAGATCATCCTGGACACGGAGCCCTGGCGCTGGGACCCGTCACTCACCGTCAAGCCATGGACGCCGGAGAAGTTCACAAGGCCCTTGAAAGTGGCCATTGAGTGGTCAGACGGCGTGGTCAAGCCACATCCGCCCATGATCCGAGCCTTGAGCATCGTCGCCGAAGCGTGCAGAGCAGCCGGCATGGAAGTCGTCGACTGGGAGCCCTACAAGCACGACAAAGCCTGGGACATTGTTTCTGGCCTGTATTTCCCCGACGGCGGGGAGATGATCCTCGCTCCTCTCATAGAAATTGGGGAACCCATCCTCCCGTTGACCAAGTTCATTACCGAGGAGCAACCCAACGTCAAGAACCGCACGATGCACGAGTACTGGGAATTATGCGTGGAAAGGGACACCTACCGCGAAGAATACGCAGCGCACTGGAGCAAGACCGCCGACTCGGGACGGGAGGTCGATGTGATCATCTGTCCTGCCACGCCTGGTGCGGCGCCCTTGCACGACACGGCAAGATACTGGCCATATACCAGCCAGTGGAACCTACTCGATTACCCGGCTGCAGTGTTCCCAGTCACATTTGTGGACGTGGAGAAGGACAAGAAGGAGGAAGGCTATGTGCCGAGGAATGCGCAAGATAAGTATAACTATGATCTGTACGAGCCAGAGAAGTGGGTCGGTGCTCCTGTGAGCTGTTGCATCGTCGGGAGGAGGTATATGGACGAGAAGGTCATGGCTGCCTTGGAGGCGGTCGAGAAGGCAATGGGAAGAAAGTAGAGTGGATTCAGCAGAGTAGCTTGTGACCTACCTTACGCACGCTCGTCCAGCTATGAGCGGCAAGCGAATTGAGGACAGTCCGTCCTGAGATTCACCTATGCAAACAGGCCCAGCATCGCATTGTGTGTGGCGTGTCCTTGCCAAATGCATCTCCGCGATGTTCGGCCGAGGGACACATCCACTAAACAAGCTCGAAAGTCTCTCTTTCCTCTTTGAGCCGACTCGCAAGGCAAGCACTCCAAAGACTATCACTTGGCTCGTGACATGCCCCCGCATCCATGCCGAACAATGTAGGGCACTGATAAGAGCTCTCTTTCCTAGTTGAGAGACCCATTCGAAGTATACGCTGTGTGTGATGCATCCAACAAGTGCTGAGATCTCCGCCGGGACGTGGCACATCAGAATGCAGGCAGGGAGCTCGTCTACCGATACGTTGCACGTATTAGGTAGGAGAGATGGAAGCGCCCGTCAGTCGCACTGGCTAGGCCGCCTGCTTACTTTTGTTGTTGTAGTCCCCGATCTCCTTCGTTGCATTGATGTATATGTATTTGAGTGCGTGACTAGAGCACGAGCACAACCATATCACCAGGCAGAGGTAGTGCCGATCTTGATTCATATTTCAGGCTCTTGATCGTCGCTTGTCTTTCGTCGTCGGTCGTTGACATGGCGCCCTCCGCGGTCGAAATCCCGGTGATCATTCCAAAGTCCTTCTCCACGGTGACAAACACCAATGGACCGACTCATGCTGGAGATCTGAAAGGTCCATCCTCGCCATTGCCCGAGGTGAAGACCTTCGATGGAGCAAACTGCTCGGTTGAGGAACTGGTTGCCGCCATTCGTGTGGCTGGTGGTGTGGTGATCCGCGGATTGTTGAATGCCGACGAAATTGCCAGTCTCGAAAAAGACACGAGGCCTTGGTTGGAGAAAGACGAGGCCTGGGGCGAAGGTGGTGGCGAGGGTAAGCGCGGACTGCTCTTGACTTCTTGGAACGGGTGCCCCTAGCGGCCGGCGGCCAGCACTCGAACTCTCTTCCCCGGTCAGCCTTGAAAGAGCATGGCTAATAATCTACTCTCCGCGTATAGGCGAATTCTTCCCCAAAGAGACTCGTCGAGCTTTCGGGATGGTGACCAAGTCCAAGACATTTGCGGAACGTATCGTGGGACATCCCCTCTGGAAAGGAGTCACAGATGCTCTGCTGAGCAGTCATCTGCATTGGAACTGGGTGAGCATGGCAGACTGCATGCCCGTTTGAGGGCTGGCCTGCGCCTCTTACCGGCACAGCTGACACTTTCTTAGATCGGCGAGAAGAACGAACCTTCCGTCTCCCGTCCGCAGTTGAACAACACGATCGTATTCAGCATAGGGCCCGGCGCTCGCGACCAAGCCTTACACAGAGACGACGCGATTCACCATGTCTATCACCCGGCGGTCGCAACGCATGAGATTGGCCGTGACGCAGGTGTAGGCTTTTTCGTCGCTGGCAAGAAGACCACCCGGCGCAATGGTGCGACCCGGTTCATCCCAGGCTCGCACCTGTGGGACTATGCGGCCGGTCCGCCTCGCGAGGAACAAACCTTCTACGCCGAGTTGGAGCCAGGTGATGGCTTCATGGTGCTGTCTGGCTGTTTTCATGGAGGAAGTGCAAATAAGACCAATGAACCCGGTGAGGATGGTGTCGTCAGAGAAGAGGAAAGACTGGTGTACAGTACGTTCATGACGAGAGGGTACTTGAGACAGGAGGAGAACCAGTATCTTGTGAATCCGGTCGATAAGGTCAGGGAACTGCCCGAGAATCTGCAGGAATTGGTGGGATACGGACTGAGCAAGCCCTTTTTGGGGTGGGTGGATCTTAAGGACCCCATGCTGTGGTTGCATCCAGAGAGGCCAAAGAAGTCGGGGGATCTATTCTAGGTCGGTGGTGTAGAGCAGTTACCGCCCACTTCACTCGAGAATCCACATCTCGCCGATGAGCGACTTGTGACATACCACAACTGTACGGAAAGATTGTCCTGAACGCCTAGTTTCAGACAATACAATATTTAGGCAAAATCACGTACCATAGGCTCTCCTCGAAATCATGTCATAAGGTGCACCTTGAGTACGACCAGGTGTCGCTGCGAGAGTGGTTGGCGCGAGTAAGTCAGACCATTCAGATTTCTGCTTCGTCGGGAGGGGATCGACAATTTCGTAGAGCGATACGCCAAGGTGAAGCACATCTATCATGCTCATCATTAATGAGATGAGTAAATCAACACAGTAAATACAAACTATGGCGAAGCGCGTGTGAATGGAAAAGCAGGAAGCGCGAACCTTTGCGAGTCATCCAAGGCCCGCACATCTCGATAAATGACTCGCCGCGACGCGACTTTTCTACACAGTACAGGCGGCCACGGACAAGGATATTGAACAGAACCCCTTTCGTGGTCGAACCTCAGCCCAAGTAGCGACTGAATCTTTGGACGCTTAGGCATCATCTTTAGGGAAGACTCTGTCAGTTTGGCTGCTTGTCAATTGCAAAGATGTGGTAGGCATTTACGAGACCTCCTTGCACATTTCTCACTCGTGGCTGACGCCGAAGGAAGCAAACATATCCTAAACGCGCAAGTATCGATTCGATCGCCATGCTGTAGGCCTGCCACATCTTGACGATGGGTATGCTTCGCTTTAAAACTAACGTGTCTTTCAGGTCGAAAATGGTTCGACTGCGCAGAATGCCACGCCGAACAAGAAACCCATCCGCTTATGCAGAGTTTTGACATGGTATGGCATCACACGTACACACTGACACCTAGTCATTGAGAAATAAGGCTGACACTTGATCAGACTTTTATATGCAAGAAGTGTAGGAAGGCGTTTCGGAAGAATACGAAGGATTGGGACGAGAGGTAGGTCTTGTGCCGCTACGGTCCCCCAGCCCTGACTTGTGTTCGCGTCGAGTTGAACAATGACTACCTAGTGACGAATACTGCCCCAATTGCGACAATCACTTTGTCATTGATGCGCTTACCCCCAAGGCCGCCCTGAAGGTTGAAGGCGAGGACGCAAGGGTGGATTCAAGGTGAGTGCTGCGGGAGCCTGTGGCGGGAGGTCGGCTGACAACAGGACCAGAATGATCAAAGACGATCGGATTAAGCAGGACGATCAGCAAACGATATTCGACATCAAGGGCGGGACGGAGAGGCTGGTTTGATTTAAACCGCGGCCGATCATGGACCAATCAAGACGCTTCATAGAGGAGGATGATCTGGCTGGCCCAGATATTGTCTTTTGACGCCTTTTATTCTGATGTGACCTATTGCCAGAACTCCCATCGCTCATGCACATGATGGTATAAGGCCGATCCCTACTGCTCACTCGTCGGCTCCGCCTTCGCCTTCGGGCCCAGGCCTCGTGGGAAGAGAGGATGTGGCAGAGGCCGCGGCGCCTCGGGCACCCGGCTTCTTCTTTGCTTGCTCTTCCTGCTTTTCCGCCTCGATCGTCTTGACGTACTGTTCAATCTGATCCGAGGGAAGCATCTCGATGGTTTTCCCAGGTGCCATGATGGCTATCTCAATGTTCTTTGCACCCGTCTGGACCACTTCGAGCAGTGACTTGATGGTCAATGAGATGGTTGCTTCTCGGTCCATGTCGTCCTTGTGGTTTCGCTCGAGAAATTCACGGACGGTTTTGCTGGATCTTCCAATCGCGTTTGCTTTCCTGCGTCTGATCAGTAGCCATTCCGCCACTAGGGGGTTCACACAAACCAAGCGGAGTAAATGCCTGAGGGCTCGGTCTGGTATAGCTTTGGTTCCTTGTCGCCCTTGTCAAAGCCGATGATGAGAGTACTGATACCAAAGGGTCTGACACCACCACTCTGTGTAAATCGCTGTTGGACACCGGCCACATATTTCGTGATGTATTCGATTGTGACAGGGTCCTCGACTGTCAATCGGTGTGACTGCGCCTCGACTCTCGCCTTGTCGATCAATATCCGAGCGTCGGCGTTGAGACCGGCGAAGGCGAGGCAGACGTGAGAGTCAATAAGACCGATCTTTGATGGTGTAATTCTGGTGTCTTGCAGCTTCATGGCTGACCTCTTCTCGCAGCCCAGCACCACGATATCTTTGCCTTTTACGCCCACGGCGCATGTGCCTCGCTTGACTGCTTCGAGAGCATATTCGACCTGAAAGACGTGGCCGTCGGGGCTGTTTCAATTAGCCGCATTCGAGTGCGCGAGTAGGCGTATTACCTGAAGACTGACTCTGTTAGCAGCGAGCATTCATACAAATAGAACTGACTTACCGGAAAGAGCACGGTCGTAGCCTGACGCCATGGTGAAAGCTTATGTATGGTTTTGAAATTGATCACAGGCGTTCAAGCTGCTCTGATCGTGGTGAGCTTGTCCTTGGGCAGTCGACAGTCAAAGAAGTCCAGTGGTGTTTGGAGGTGCTTGTCAAATTGGCGACCGCATCTACACGCAACGCGGTGGTGCCTGACCAGAGGGCTCTGTGCTCCGCCGTGTCAAATCTACGGGTGAGCTTCTGCACTTGCGGAGCAGTAAGCTCTCCGATTGGCCGACGATTGAGCTTCAACCACCTCTCCTTCGACATCAAACACATCTCGATAGGCATGCACGTCGGCTGCGCGACAATGGCTTCCCTCATTCCCGCCTTGAGAACGCGGGTAACCCATGCCGCCCGAATAGGCACACGACAGATCAGCACATCAACGTCTCGGCTGCGACAAGGACCCGGCACCGGCGAGAACTTCGAACAAGCGAATGACCCTACCCCACGAAAGGAAACTCCGAATGTGTCCAAGACAAATGAACTAGAAGTCAGCGTGGGCGGCGCCCGGGATGCGCCACTGCAAGAGTTCCCAGATGTTGCAGAGAGGGCTAGAGTGCTGCAAGCGCCCAACAGAGCGAAGGTCTGGTCACGGAATCAAATGCCCAGGGAGGTCGCCATGTCTGGACCCAGATTTGAACAGACCATCATTGAGGCTCAGGTACGGACAATCGGACTTTGCCTTTGCAAGGTTCCCTGCTGAAAGTTTTCTCTCCAGCCTCGACCATATGCTGCAATCGAGCTAATCCACAAACAACCTGTTCGGTGGGTCAACGAAAAGATTGTGGCCTGCGACGGCGGCGGTGGACCATTGGGACACCCGAGAATCTTCATCAATACGGACAGACCTCAAATCTGCTGGTGCACATACTGCGGTCTTCCATATGTGAGTATATATCAGATCAGCACGAGCCCACATCTCAGAGTGCATGGGGACGCAGTGCATGGGGACGCAGCGTTAACGATTGTCTCGATAGGCACATACAAAGAACAAAGCGCATCTCGAGTCGTTGCCCTCGACTTCGTACCCTCTTGCACCAACGGGCGACCCAGATGAGATTCCGGTGCCAAGCAGTCCGAGTCAGAAGGGAGAGGTACAAGGCCAATATCCGATCCTTAAAGGCGAGCATGAGGCGGAAAGTGTTAGCAAAGAAGCATTCGAACAGAGATGATGGTTACAATATCTCGAGGGCCCAAACAACACAATTGTACATATCCTACGACAATGAAAATGCTCGTAGGAAACTCGCTTGAAGCATTCTATGAGTGGACTGCACCCCTTCAGGGTCTTACTCATTGGACATGAACACTCGTCAGCAATCGCCAAGTGTTATAACCAAGCCCAATTCATATTCCGCCTTCTCTCGCTACCTAGGTACGTAGGAGGGGATGGTTGGCTACCAGAATCCCACTCTTCAATGCGGTGACTTAAGCTTGACTGTTGCGAGAAACGTCTCAGGGTGCAAGTATCACCTCTGAGCACCGTCGGAAATGCTCCCATTGCGATGCACTCTGATATCAACGCCATTTGAAGTCCCGAGTCTTTCGTCGTCGCCACAATGGTGTTTGGGTCGGCGCTTTTCATAAATGAACAATGGACGACTAGACACCCAGTCGGAGACAAAAGCCTGCTTGCGGAGACAGACCTAGGTGTTGCTTTGAGATTGATTTTATCAGAGTGCGGTGCCAGTCTGGTGCAGATGCTGATGAGTTTGACGCCATGGAGCTTGCTCGGAGGCCACATGCTGAGTCTGGCTGTCGACAAGTGGTGGCCGTCGAGTGCCAGTAGCCGGCGGGAGGCCGCTACGGAGGGTCACCACGAACAGGTCTACAGGCGAGAGGAGAAGACACCAACTTGAAGCATGGAGTAAGATACGGAGTACTCGGTCTGGTATCCAAAACCGCCGCGAAGCCCTGAACCCCAAGCAGCGAACGACCACGTTTGTTGCTTGCAAGAGGCGATAGATTCTGGAAATGCTGACAGAGGTTGGAGGTCGACCCAATCAGCACGAAACCGGAGACCTGTACCTTGTACCTCGCACCTCGTATGCTCAGTCCACATCCAGATCATTTCTTGACCGTCCGACATATGGAGTTGGCAGTACTCCGTGCATTGTTGGCATGCTTTCTTCTTGGAAGCACACCACCTGTTTGGAGGCCATGAGAGGAATACTCGCACTGTGTACTCCGTATTCCGTAGACCCACGGACGCGGTCACGCCCAAAGAAGGCTTGGTGGCTGTTGACCTTTCCGGCGACTGCGCCTCATTCGGTGATCCGAGCAGACAGATGCCTCTCACCCAGGGCGGGTCTCCTGACGATTCAAGGAAGCCGCGATATGGAGCTGAAGGAGAGGCTGGAAGAAAAGCATAGCACAGATTCTCAGGGGCTGATCCGTGGTCAGGTCAATTGCTGCCAACTGTTAGCCGCGTACCGAGCATCGCCCTAAACCACGCCTAGTGCCAGAGGCGGTTAGTCTTCCCGGTGCAGATCCGATCTGTTGCTTTGACTGGTCAAGAATACACTATGCGCAGGCATCATGAAACACCACCACGGTCACTCCTAGGCACACTTCGCTAGCAGCCATTCGATCGCCACTGCAGAGCTCTGTTCTGGGACGAAGAAAGGGGAGCTCCGTGCGCGTCGCCCTCGCCACAATCAGATCCTGACTTGAGCCCAACCCCCCTGCGTCACTGGTGGACAGACCGAGTCAAGCTTTCCTCGTATCCGCTAGCAGCCACGCCCCGATCTGCATTGGACCAATCCTCTTGCTTTCAGCTTGTGCTTGACAGCTCCTCCCTGAGGCCCCGTGTCTGTCAAGAATCTAGTCCTCCAGATCCAGCTCTCAGCTCTTGTCAAATCATGTCTGATTACAGAGCTCTGTCTCGGAAAACCCTCCAGCAGCTCCAGAGACTCTGACTGTGAGTGAGGCCAAGTTGATAATCGGGGCCGAGAATTCTGTGTAGCGAACTCCGAATCTGGATATATCACCTGGACCCGGCTGTCAAGCGCGGACCATGGAATGGATATCTGCCAATTGAATCCAGTGTTTCAGACACCCCTTGCTCGCCACTAGGCCAGCATGCATACCCGGGGTATAGCTTGACGACAAGGAGGCCAGTCGACCTCGATTGTTCAAAATCTATATAGATGGCTTTCCGACTTCCACCTCTCATCATGTCCATCGCGAAGCTTCACCTCTTCTCGTTCATTTTCCGTCTCAATCGTGGCAGGTCACGAGTAGTCCTAACATTCCTTTGTTAACCCTACGCTCTTTCTTCTGCCAGGTGCAGGTCATACATTCTCTTACAAGGACAACCGTGTCAGCGACCACTCCTTTGTCAGTGACAACAGGTATGCACTTGATCTTTCCCAAGTCATTCATCATATGTCTTCTCTTTGACTTTACCTGCCTCCATTGTGGTTCATTGAAACCACGTGGCGGAAAACGTCACAATGGGCCTATTGTTTAGCACCCCAGCCTTGTGGTTGGATTGTCTGCAGCACAACAATGTTTCTTGTCACTACCTCTCGTGTTCATGTGGTCAAAAAGCATGCACCTGCCTCATTTGTTGGCTCACAGCTGTATCACTGCTTTGTGCAGAATCCCCTCTACTATTTAAGGGATCCTTCAATTTCTCATTGACCCATCCACCTCTCATACACAACCTCTGGGCTTCCTGCGAAACCCACAAATTGCCAAACTCAACCGCAAGCCCTGCTGACAAGGTGTTTCAGTGCGATCCGGTATTGCTCTGCCAAACACACTCATTTTACACACCCTACAACCTCGCCCAGCTTCTCACTGCCCTGAGAAAATCACTCATCAGACACAATGACGGTGTTTTCGAAATCTGCGGCGTTTGCCATCACGGCCTTTTTGGCCGTGGCGGCGGATGCACACATGATCATGCAATCCCCTGTGCCATACGGCAAATCGACCCTCAACAACTCCCCACTGGATGGTAGTGGTTCCGACTTTCCCTGCAAGCAGCGCCCTGGTGTCTATGACGCCGAGGGTGCTAGCAATGTCGCAGCCATTGGCGAACCTCAGACTCTCAGCTTCATTGGTGGTGCCACTCATGGCGGTGGTTCTTGTCAAGTCGCTCTGACTACTGATCTGCAACCTACCAAGCAATCGAAATGGATGGTCATCAAGAGCATCGTTGGTGGATGTCCTGATGCCTTTAATGGCAATCTGAATGGTGACGCTAGCAGCACTGCCTCCACGAAATTCCAATACACCATCCCCGATGGCATCGCCCCCGGCGAGTACACCATCGCCTGGACTTGGTTCAATCATATAGGAAACCGGGAAATGTACATGAATTGTGGGCCTATGACCGTTACCGGTGCGAAGAAGAAGCGATATGCACCTCCTCCCAAGGTCTCCAAGCGACAAACCAGCTTCCCCGATATCTACGTGGCGAATATCGACAACAAACAGTGCCAGACACCTGACAGCGTGGACCTGATTTTCCCGAATCCGGGCGCCGACGTCCAGACTGCTGGGAGCGGCCCCTATGCTACCGCCACCTGTGATATCGGTAACGGCGGCAGCAACAATGCTGGACAACCAACTGCATCCGCCCCTGCCGCTTCTGGAGTCGCTACCAGTGCCGCGGCACCAACCGACGCCCCTGCTTCCGCACCAGCATCCGCCCCTGCTTTCGCCTATGGCAGTTCCGGTCAACAGCCGGCGGCGACTGGTGGTGCCAATGACGGACAATACACCGCTGGTAGCCCTACCGCCGGTAGCTTCGCAACTGGCGCAGTCTCGGTACCTACTCCTGCTCCTGCTCCATCTTCCTCTTCTGACGCCCTTCAGGTCATTCCCACCTCAGCTGCGGCTGGTCTAGCCCTCACCCCTGCTACTCCGGTTAGTCCCTCACAGACCTTGAGTGCACCACGATACACTAACTCCTCTGTCCCTCAGATCGCTCCGGGCAACGTTGCGGCACCGACTGGAACCGCCTCAGGCTCCACCGGTAGCTCTTCAGGCGCCTCCGTAGGGGCTGCAGGCCAGCTCACTGGTCCCTGCTCAAATGAGGGTGATTGGAACTGCATTGATGGCTCAAGTTTCCAGAGATGCGCGTCTGGCTCGTGGAGCGCGACCATCCCCCTGAGCGGCATGAAATGCACTCCCGGCGAGACCGGCAACAACAACTTCGCCATGACTCCTGTCAAGGCCAAGCGGTTCGAGGCTTGAGCTTTATCAACAACTTCATCATCTATGGAGTCCAATTGGCCACCAGTCCACACGCGATATGCCCGGTCGATCAGCAGGTCTACGACGATACGGCCCGAACACGATGTGATGACGGATCCGTGGCACGCAGTTCACTAAACGAGAGGGGGACCATCCAACTTGTCCTGCTCCGGGCCGTGCAAACAGCACGCTCAGCCCAGCTTCGATGATCTCACGAAATCTACCATTTCAATTCTACGAACCGAACGATCTAACGAAAAAGACAGAGATCTTGCACGCATCAGCAACAGGCGTTTCGGCTTCCACCACACTTGAAAAATGGGTTCTTGCGGCGTCTTGAACCGGCATCAAGCTAGAAAATCTCTAGCTCTTTGGGAAAGGCTGTGTCAACACGCGCGTGAAAGGTCGTACAGTCACTGGCGCACTTGAACTTGCTGGAGCATTTTGTTCAGTCCGGCCCAAAAAAACGCGGGTACCAAGGAACGAGCTGAGGCAGGGTCAGATGTACCTGAACATGTACCTGTTCGAAATTGCTCGAAACAACGATAGAGATTAGCAAATGAATGAGGAAATGGTTGCAAAGCCAGAAACTGTTAGTATTGTATTGCACTTGAACGTGAGGTGAATTCCATCGTGAGGGTCTAAGCCCGCCAGCTCGTGGAAAGACATCACTTCGGAGGTATTCAGTAGGAACGCCTAGCCTACGGAATAGGAATCACAGGGCTCTACTCCGTACGGAGGATAAACAAGAGATACGTAGCCGAGCCATACATGTATCTTTCCACGCGAGAATCTGGACGTGGACTGATTGTCCGGGCTTCTGATGGTATGATTAATCGTCGGCCGGCTGGTCAAAGGAGGGCTCCTCACCGCGGCCATTGCCTTGCGCCTACGGGTTCAGCGTGTAGGGAAGGATCCAGAATTTAACATGGCACTAAATGAGTGTGAAGCTAGCGAGAGTAAATTCTGCTCAGGGCTTCGGCCGCGGTCAACGAGAATGGCCGACCTCTACGTTCCACTACTGAAGACTATGCTTTCGCAAACTCCTCCATCAATTGCTTGTCCAAGTCCAGCCAGTTCTCTGCCATCTGCAGTCCTCGGAGCCGCTCCTTCTCGATACGATACCAGTCCCAGTCACCGTCCATTGTACCGGGCGCAGTTGCTCCCGAAGCGGGCTCTTCTCCTGCTGCGCTCTCCAGCTCCTCCACGAGTCCGTCCGTCGTGGGAGCCAGGGAAGTTGGAATGGTCGAAACCAAACCTTCCTGGGGCGTAGGAGCAATCGATGGCTCCTCTGAAGATATGCCCGTTGAAGACGGCCGTGCCGGTAACCATCCTGAGGTCGTGAAACACCTCTCCGGGGCCACCGTAAATTTTCCCTTCTTGACCACGTATTTACTCAAGGCGCTCGCCAATAATGTCTCTGGCTTCCCCCTCCTGCCGGGCCGGACGAACCAATTTCCAATTATTATCCATTTCTTGTCCCAACCCAGGATCTTACTTTTCACTTCATAACTTTCATACGGCTTGATCTCGCGGTGGAAACTGGTGTGGACGCTCCCTAAGATCACATTCAGTGGACCCCGGTGCCCTTCCTTTTCAAGGTTGATGTTTCCCTGTTTTAGACCCGGGATGAGGAGTTTCGTGACTAATGCAGTCCGCGACTCGTCCAGGTCGGCAAAGTATGTGCTGTTGGACTTGTGGAGATTATAGTCGATTTCGAGGAGCGGCGAATGCGACTTTATGGAGACTGGCTCGAAGAGGGGATGTGTAGATCTTGAGGTGAGCCGCGACTGAAAAGAGCGCCGAACACGGTCACGAGAGTACCAGTTCTCGAACATGCGGTAGAAGAGCCGGACGTGCCATGCGAGCGGTAGCGCTTTGAGATTCAGAAGCGCGAAGACGAGGGCGAGGGTGCGCCATGACGCGAGGGAGGATACGCTGGGTAGAGAGGAAAGGGCTGTAGAAAGGGCAGGTCTCATCGAGGATATCCGGGGCATAATTGAAATGCTTGATCTGAGCAAAGAACGCGAAAGATCAGAGTAACGTCAGAGCGGAATTGGTTGAATCTCGAGGTAGTGGGGGCATTTGGATAGAGAGCGATCGATCTATGGAGTCCTCAAGAAACAATACAATCGTCTACCTTTCCATTATCGTGCCTCGTGTATGGTTGTCAGAATCCGCGCAAGATTAAAGAGATGAGACGAGATTCAGAGCGCCTGAATCGTCACGTAAGCATGCAAGACGAGAATGGCTTCGGGACCGGATGAAATCTGCTCCGGAGGATTCGACATGTCCTGCACCGTCGCGATACGACGAAAATCTGGCGAAGCGGTCAAGGAAGTAACTTCAGGTTGTCCTGTAGCTCGAGGGCCCGTTGCCTTTTGTGTGTAATCAGGCTGGTGAAGTGGTTGTTTCTTCGTTGTCTACGCCAAGACATCATACTATATGCACGACTACGAATTCGCTGGCCTGCCTCAACAACTCGATAGCGTAAAAAGGTATGACTGCACCTCAATTGATTGCCATATCCAACGCAGTCTTGTGCGTCAATGCAAAATTGGACAGACACCTGTACGCCAGCGAGAGGCTTGCGTAATCCGTCAGAAAGGAGAGGTTCAGGTGGTTCGGGGTAGTGGAAGCTATGGATGATCTTGTGATCGTTTCTTCAGAGATCCGCTGTCGACTTAGTTCGTGGTAATGTACAAAGAGGCGGCGCTTGTGCTGAAATCAATGACATTGGCCGCTGCGGTGCGTCACAGGGAATAGGTGGGAAGTCAAGGGTCCAGAGAAGCCTTGTCGGTCTTGAAAGTTGGCGTTGGCTGAGTTTCCCAAGGACGGATTTAGGTCACTTCTCCTTCTCCTTCTCCTCACCTTCGTGCTGCTTGCTGTTCTTGCCATTCCTCTCGCTCTTCTCGCTCTTTTCGTTCTTCTCGCTCTTCTCGTTCTTCTCGTTCTTATCATTCTTATGTTTCTTGTGGTGTTCCTGCTCGTATTGCTTGTGACGCTCCTCCCTGGCCTTCAATCGCTGTTCCTCGTCTTCAACCATCTGCTTCCACATATCGTCGGATTGGTTGTTTGAACCTTGGCTGGGAGCATCTTTCTCAATCTGCTTCTCAATCATGCGTTTATGCTCCGGATCTTTCGGGTCAACATATCTGACGGTCTCGTATCTTCCCTCTCCTTTTCTTTGGTCCGCAATTTCGAATGCCGCAGTAGCGATCAAGACGCCCACTGTCAGGAATTGGGCGTACACTCTTGCTTGCACAATCTTCTGTGCGCCAGTAAGGTATTTGTTCCGGTTGACGAGGACCCAGGAGGCCGCTATCGAGGCCACCCAACTGCCGCCGACAATCTTGTATCGTTCTCGTCGACCGAACTCCATGGCCCGCTCGGTAAATGTCTTGCCCTCGGCATCCTTCACGGCCTGTTCGGATTGGCGTTTTCGAAACTCGACTTCTTTAGGGTTCTGTGAGGCTTCGTAGGCGCGGGAGTAGTGATCTGCGCCAACGATGCCGGCAAACGTCCCGCTCGAGGTGACGAGAAAAGCTTTGAGAGCAGGAGTCAGGCTGCGGATAAAGGGATAGCGACGGTGTGCGGCGACAACGCCAACCAGGCCAACTGCCAACCCAGCTCCACCGTATAAGGCGCCGCCGATAAGGGTTTGGCGGTAGTGTTCTTCTTCTTGTTCCTTGGTGAGAAGCTTCATGGTTGCGGTTGTTCAACTGTCGAGCTTCTTGTACGAATAAGGCTGATCGTGGTGGGGTTTGGCAGATGGGTGCGTTGTATGCTCAAGAGAGCTTGTGGGAGTAGAGCGAATCTGGTCTCCGGTGATGTGAGGGAGGATATATACACCCGCGTGCTCGATGGCTTGCTAGAGCTAGAAAAGCTGGGAGCAGATTGCAGACGGAAAAGAAATGCCGATTTGTTGCTGCTGCTACCTCGTATTGACTTCTGGTGAATGAATAAGCTGGCTGCTGGTGGGGAAATTGTCCAGTCAGCCTGCGTTGCGTCAATTGTATTTCTGGAAAAAAGTGACCGATGCTTCCGCTGATGCTGCACGACCGTTGGAATTGACCTCGGGGTCTTCCCTGGCCTCGACAAGAAGCTTTCAAGGGACTTGCTTCTCGTTGATGATGTGCTGGAAGGAGGGAGGTGCCAGGACAAGACCACGAAATCAAACTGCTTTCGAGAGCTGTGACGAGCTACACCACACTATGACATCAGGAGGTAAATAGCAAAGGGATTGGCTTCCGTACGTTTTCCGTTTATCGTGTCGTCCTCCAATCAGTGAACAACCAACACCGGAAGCGATCTCGACCTCCCTTTTGGGCTCTACTGTGTACGAATCAGTACACAAAGAATTCCTTACCTAATAAGCCTCTGCTGTTTCGTGTGAATAATCACGCGGGCTCAAAGTGGTCACAACGAGCGAGCCAGCAGAGGGTGACAGGCGGATGTCCGGACACCGCCGATGGATTGGAAAATAGTTAAATTGCTGGCGACTGCGCTGTTTAGCTTTCTCCACGGCGCCGCCCGGAAAACGATCGGAGGCTCAAAGGCCTCTCGACGCCATCGCCTCTGTGTTCCTTCCCTCCAAGTACGATATCGTGGCCTGACCTATTCAGAAGCGACACATTTGAGCAAATTCTATCACAGTAGAGACGTCGTTTCATGGTTCGGGGAATGTCGGCGCCCGAGTAGGACATTTCGGACAGCATGATACCTGAAAGGGAAAATGGCCGCGACAATGACATGGGAGTCGCGCTGTTCTTGATCACATTTTCTCCGTTTGTTTCCACCGACCTTTAGCTGTTTGCCGTGGCCAGACAGGAGCAGCATCCGAGGCCAACGACCGTAATATAGTGTTGACCATGACGTCCTCCAGCCATTTATCAGGACCGTGGAGCCGGTCGCAATGCGAGCCCTGCGGCATAGATATAGTATTTCCTGGCTCCTCTTCAGGTCTTCTGCTCCGCTGCCAAAAGCTTTTTCTTCCTGCTTCCGGCTCCCTCTTGAGGCACACTGGATCTTCTTGACTACTAGCATCGCCCTTCGATCTGGACAGGACGGTGAAATACAAGGAACGGGCCTGGCGCATCACAATGGTATGCACTGACGGAGAAGGGTGGGGAACTTTGCACAGCGAGAGCGCGGTCCGGTGTTACTGAGCCAGTGCTGATGGTACGATCATTGAAGGCTCGCTGTCTGGCATTGATGCGAAAATAAAAACTATGGCTCGAAAATCGAATCGCTCGATTCGAACCACGGGTGATGCCGTCGGACATCGCTTGACGAGGCTAAAGGCCGAGTCGTCACTGGTACTTGTGTCGAAGTAGGACGTTGTTCAGCGGCTTCTATCTCAGGCTGCGTGGATGGGCTTCCAGGAATGTTTGTCGTTTGCCAGTTCGCGAGGCGGATCAGTTTCCAGCTAGTAATGGACGGCCTCTATTAACCGGATGAGACTACGATATTCCGGGTTTGTAAGTAACGGATTCCGCTTTTGAAGGGACGAGACTGAGGTATGCCGCGGTTGTGACCTTTGTGAACTCATTTACAAGCAGAGGCGGCATGCGAGGAGAGAAACCGAGCCCGAAGACCCATCATAGTGAAAGGCTTGCGGGCCACTGAAGACCGATGTTGGCTTGCACTCCGTAATCTTTCGTTCCTCACTTTCTTGTGAACCGCTCAGTACACAATGCAGGGGACCAGCGTTGAGACTACAGCGGGAGCAATGTCTGTTGTTGAAGCTGGTGTGAATGTGCGATGGGTCTAGGCGAGAAAATGAAGATCATGTATCTCATCGAAAATTCAGTAGCCCTTAACAACGATGTTTTCGTGCAAAGAACCTGGCTCTCGCATAGAGTTGATGACAATCACACCTGGGCAAGAGGAAGCAAAAGTAAAAGACATGTGGAGGTAACACGGCTGAGGTCCGGAATGTACTCTCAGCTGTGTGAACCCGGCAATGCTCAGGGTCATCCTCATGCCTGCCACCGCAAGTCTGAGGCATGCCGATACTAATGCAAGATGGAGATGTGGTCTTTGCCACATCCATTCAGGTGACCCCCGAAAGCTCAATACCATGCCACTGAAGGCACCTTCGATCAAACAGTCGAGTGCATCATGGCGCCCGTGCTGCACGCTTGCTGTGCTTCGATAGCTTCCTCCCAACCCCCTAAGATGGGCCGGAGCGATGAGCAATGACATGCGATTTCGGTGCAATAGTGTAAGTTGTCGGGACGTGATTGATTCTGGCCCTGTTGCTCTCTCTCTCACCAGGCGCCCTATTGATCTTGGCCTTCGGAACAGCCAGAGGTCGCTGAGACGCAACATCATGCACCCTGTTAGGGTCGTACTGTGCTGTAGCGACATACTTCTTGGTATGATCGTCGGTTTTGCCCAGGATGGGCCTTGACCACTCTTCCATGAGTTTCGTGGCTTGTCGTTTGATGGCCGGTTCGGCTTTCTTGGATTTTCGGTAGAAGAGGATGACTTTGCCGATGCCAGACGAGATCAGAGCGTCCTTGTTCATGGGTAATTTTGCCAACGCTGCGAACAGTTCGCGCTGGATGTTGTATGCCGGAAGACTGCCGTCGGTAAGAGGCTCCAAGAAGAACCGCACTGCCTCCAGAAGATTCATTTCGGGGTCAAGGATAGATTGGACATAAGTGTTTCGGTTGAGCAGGCTGACCACTTCGGGAAGCATCTTCAGCTTTTGCGCCGCAGGTTGGCCTTGTCGAACGAGTTCTCCATCAGTTTCGGCTGCTGTGATCATGCGATTTCGCAAATCCTCGATCTCTGCATCTGCTGCCTGCTCCAGATCCTGCATCGTGTTAGCCTCTTCTTCTTCTGGCGATTTGTATATGCAAACTCACAATGCCATCACCCTTTCTCATCCTCTTCGCCTGGGTCCTCTTGACTGCAGCATCCATTGCTCTGTCCAGGGCTCGTCTTCTTCTCTCCTCAGGAGACAGGTCGTCTTCGTTGATCTCGACACGTTGCCGGGGTTCCCCTGTAGCCCTCGACTTCCTCGACTTCTTGCCATCAACGCCATCAGCACCAGACAAGGCTTCACTATCCGCTCTTCGACTGGGCCGTTTCCGTTCCTTGTCCTTCCTCTTCTTCTTGGCTGCCGGTTCTTCACCTTCAGCTCGCTTCCGCTTGTTAACCTTGATGGACTTGAGCGCGTCGAAGTCAGGTGCAATGTCAACGGCTCCCGGGTCGAAATCTGCGAACTGGGCTTCATCGACTTCTGAAAGAAGTGATTCATCATCGGAGTCGTTTGCGAGGTCATTCTCAGGCCCGTTGGGACGTGTCTCGGGCTCGCGCTCTCTATCTGGATCGTCGAATTCATCGTTCAAGTCGTCGAGCTTATCTTCGTGTTCGTCTGGTCTGTCAAGACCTTCGGTATCGGGCGGTGGGCCTTCCTCGGGATATCCATCAGAATCAAGAGTTGGCGCAGGAGCTCTTTGGAATTCGTCGTCTGCCATAATTTCTAGGAACGCTGGTAGTAGACGAGGAACTCAAGTCAGGTAAGGGAGAGGAAGAGCTGAGTAACACGAAATAGAGGAATGAGACCAAAGGGAGTGGCAGTCGCAGTCGCCAAGTGCCAACATTCATGAAGTTCAGTCAAGTTCACGTCTACGGAGTACCACGAGTAAGATACAACTAACACGTGACGAGACTTGAATCATGTGCGAATGTAAGCCCTCGAGATCCTGCTATCTCAGCTCTATTAAGCACACTACTCCGTACATCTGTATGCTTCCTCCTAAATTCTGAATCGCCATTTACCACACTCTTCGTCCCATTTTGTTCATTGGGTGACGCTTTATCTCAGGCTGAGTCGGCTGTTGCCCGGTTCATACCTACAGATTAAGCCTCCACCCCAAGACGGGGTTCTGAGTCGGTCCTGAGCCGGTTCTGAGGAAGATCTTTACCGGTCCTGAGGAAGACCTCTACCGGTTCCAGACGCGTCCTGAACAAACCTCGAGCACCAGATGAATTCAACCGTCCCAATGTTTGCGCCAGATAAAGCTAGCCGCTAAGTACCTGCGGTTTCCAACTTCCAGCTTCTGTAGCTGGCTCGGGAGTCCCTGGCCAGCACGCAGACCGTGAATCTGGACTCTGGTGCCCTAGGACTTGTACAGGATGATAACGGACAAACCAACAATCCTTACCTGGTAGCTCAAGAAAGCAAGTCTGCTTCTGTTGCTGAGTACCTCCCCCAATATGGATCTCAGCGAGCAATAGATTTCTCGTGATGAAAAGGTCATCGAGCTGGTTCCCACCAAGGCTGACAGATCAGGAACGCACGCCCGAGCTGAAGACAGAACCACGGCGTTCGTTCGATTTTCACACAACGACCCCCAGCGGCCTTGGACCCCGCTGGCTTGATCGCCGACGTACTCTTACCATATGCTGCGGGAGGTGCCCAGCGTGTTCTTTCGTGACCTTTTAGAAGTCCAATGATCTCAAGCTGGGATTTCCAGAGCTGGGAGTGTGAGCCTTGCATTTCAAAAGAATCTGCAGGACGTGCGCGAGCAACAGGGTATTGTACTCAGTCCTCCGTAGAGTCGATGTGTAATGGCCGTGGTGAGTTGGGGGCACTAACTGTAGCTCTGGGGAGCCATCGGTGTCCAGCACATCAGATCACATGGGAACGGCTCCACCCCTGAGGCCGGGGCCGCTAACAATTGGTGTTTCACGTCCAGGAGACTGCGGTATTTTGCGCACCTTGTCGCTTGTTGAAGTTGCACAGGGCACGTCTGAGAGCGTCATCTCTCGCTCCAAGAGCCTGTGCCGTACTCCGTAGATGTCATCAGATGTAGGAACAATACTCCGTACAGAGTACTCCGGATGGCAGCCTGATAGGCGGTCGAACTACTGTCCGAGAGTGTGCTTGGACGCCATATGAGCTTGGGTAAGGCGAGCCTATGGCAATTTCGGGCCCCCCCGTACGTACACAGCCGAATCCGACGGAACCAATCGCTATACACACCCGCCCGATGCCGAGACGCTACTCAGGGGCTCATTTCGACCGGCGGCCCCCATTTTTTCGAGGCGCTTAGATGTTCAGGTCTGGGCCGCCTTTCACACAGCTCTGGACAACATGTGTGAGGGCCAGGAGGGCCAACACGCACTCATCGATGGCTCGCAGGGAGGCCTGAAAGCTTGACCATGTACTCATCGAAGGGGCCCGATCCATCGTAGCCTATTGAACAGGGTCTATGGAAAAGTCACGGCTCTAGCCACTTTCCGCGACCGTTGTCAGTCCTGCATTTCGGCCCTGCAACGGTGAGTGCATTGCATGAAACGCGCCGCACATGGGGAACTCAAATCGAGCCTTCGAAGGCACATGGACAATCTTCTCCTCCGTTCATGTAGTTCAGCGGTCCTTTTGACGTGGGTGGACAATATTGTGCACCTCGTCGGTCGTCGATCTGTTCAACAATTCTCGCGACTGACTGACAGACCTCACTCACGTTTGGTGCAACTGGTCCGGCTGCGGTCCACGATGTCCAACAACAGCGCCACATCGCCTGTGCATTCTCCCGATCCAATCCGTGAATCGATGGCCACCTCGAGCGCAACCACAGAGAAATACCCAGCTTCCTCTACGACGGCATACCAGAGCTATCCAGAGGTCGCGCCTAGCATGACGCAGCCTCCGCTTCAGCCCTTCCAGCAGCCGCACAACGGCAACGGCTACACGCACCCTCAACAGTGTCAGGACCAGAGTGCCTACCCATCGGAAGCAGGCCACTCACTACCGCCCACGCAAAAACGCAACCCCTGGGGCTTGTCGCCTCTAGCATTCGGCCTCTTGGTAGCGGCGGTCACCGCCGTGATAGTAGGCGCGGCAGTGGGCGGAGGCGTCGCGGGCGCCATGTCAGGCAACGACTCAAGTTCGTCGAGGAGGTGAGTTGAGTTTGCAAGAAATCCACCGCACATTGATCCGATCCGATCTACGTACCATGTTACAATGCCCATCGGCATGACAATGTCACTGATACTCTGAAAGCAACGGGGCCGCCACAGTAACCATCACAGCCACACCGACCTCGACCTCGACCACCGCCACCGAGATCTCCACCCCCTCCCTCTCCGCCTCCCCCGAGCCCTCGTCGCTGGAGAACTACGTCGTCAGCGAACCCTACTACGTCTCGACGCTCTTCAACCCGGGGTGCCCGGACTCCAACTCGCGCATCGACGTGCAGTACGACACGTCGTTCGACCTCTTCTGCGGCGTCGACATGCAGAACCACGTCGCCGACGAGGCGAACCCAGACTTGCAGATCGCCGACGTGGCCGGTCTTTTTGCGTACAGCATTACGGATTGTCTCTACGCCTGTGCGAACGCGATATACTTCAACGAGCTGTGGGGGGAGGAGTTCGGGGGCTGCAAGGGCGTGACCTGGCAGTATCAGATGGCGCAGAGCAATTCCTCGAATTTTTCCAATTGCTGGCTCAAAAATGGCACGACAAGTGGGTTTCAGTGTAATACGTGTATATCGGCGAAGCTGGTCACGTGATCCGGGTCGGTGGGGACCGGGGACAGTGTTGCACGGCATACAGGGGACTGGGGAAAGTTGCTGCTCCGACGGCACACAGGCGATTGGGTAGATGGAAGAGCCAGCAGTCGACAGCATGCACTGTAAAGCGTACACCTTCTGAAAGCACGCTGCAGCGATTTCTGCAATTCTTTGGACCTTGCTAGGCGTCTTTGACATGACGGGGACGGTAGGGGGAAATCCGGTCGGAATCGGGCGTTCAACGGGTACAACACGAGGAGTACCAGGTAAGGCGCAGGTCTATCCTACGCTGCAATTTCAAATTTCTTGGCGTTCGCGCCTTCTCTCGAACACAAAAAAGGGCAGACGCCCCCAATCGGCCCCGTGTGTACCACATAAACCATGTTGCCAAGGAGCGCAACTGTGCTCACAGAAATCGCATGGCTCAAGTGACATATCTGGATGTACTTACCACCGCCCGCGTCTGGTCGTTATCAGATCGCCCTGGCGCTTGCGCCTCTACACTACTAGCGTTGCCCTCCAGGTCAAGCTTCTTGTTCGCGCGTCGTAAAGTTTCCCGCATGAAGATTGCCAGGAGGACTGCTGCGAGTGCTCATGCTGTGTTCAGCGACATCGACTGAATGTACCTTGGTGCCCAGCGCTTGGGGTAAAGCTCAGAGGTGGCGATCTATTGAGGATGCACGTCAGCAAAGATTCCTCTAGGGCAGCACAACGCCGGGCACACGAGTAGTAGGGTCCCCATTCCTCGCTCACCTGCGCTATAGTTCCGGAGGTATTGACGATAGCAATGGCGGTCGCCCGCATCTCTCTCGGCTGCGGCACCGTCTTCTGTGTCCAACCAAGGACCATCGGATTGGCAGCATGCGCCCCGGCTATCATCAGGAATGTCGATGCATAGCGAGCCCAGACGTCTCCACGATCTGTTGACTGCTCGAGCAAAAACAGCAAGTAGCCAACAATTGCCAACGCTGTGGTTCCAATGATGTGAAAGGAAGCATTCCGATGTCGGTCAGCGGACAAAGCCGTGGAGATGGCGACAACCACGGCAAACAGGTATGGCGGAGCCGTCATCCACAAGGTCGTGGTTCTCGAAAAGTCCAGAGTCTGCACAACCGAAGGGAAAAAGTTGTGCAGAGACGTGCCGATCGCCAATAGGAAGTACATGCCTGCAAACATCCATACCTGCCAGCTATTGAGTGCCATCTTGAGGCCGACAATCCTGCTCACATCATATTCGGAAGCGCCTCGGTCAGCAATCAATCGTAACTGAGCAAGGGCGCGTTCTTCCTCATAAAGCCATCGAGTGTTGTGCGGATAGTCTGGCAGGGTGAAGAACGCGATGCAGGCTATGATGATTGTCACGGCACCACCAACAATGAACAACCACCTCCAGCCTTCGAGACCACATGCCCCATCGATGGAGTCGTGTATACCGAAAGCGATGACACCAGCGAACGCGTTTGCCATCATAGGTGCTGATAAGAGTATTGCACTCCGCAAACCCAACTCAGTCCGGGTGTACCAGGACGAGATTAAGAAGAGGCATCCCACGCAGAACGGTGCCTCCAGAAGACCCAGGAGTGATCGAACGGCGTATAGTGCTCCGGGCGTTTTGACGAAGGCGGTTGTAGTGCAAACGCAGCCCCATAGAAGCATTGCAGTTGGTAGGTATACTGAAGGTCGTCCTTTGGCCAGATAGAGGTTTGAGGGCACCTGAGCCAAAACGTATGCAATGAACAGGAGCATCATCGCAAGGCCATACTCATTGGAGTTCATGCTTAGGTCAGAACGGAGGCCCATGAGTTCCGAGAGGGTGAGACAGCTCTGCTCCCGCGTCAGCGGCCGACTCCGTCCATCTTGGAAATGAGCCTTGGTCGACGTACCCGGTCGAAATAGTTGCAAGCGAACATAGTCCAAGCCATCGCAATGAGACAACAGTCCAGGAGCCTCTTGATGGCCCGGATGCCCTTGGCGAGCTCCTCCTGATCAAAGCCTGCCAGCTCGTTCCGAAGCTGCTCACTAACTCTGTCCGGGGCATCGAGAACGGCCAAGAGCCCTTCAGAAGAGGCAGACTTCTCGACAGGCCCTCTTACCATCCGCCTTCCACGAATGGCTCTCCTAGGGCCAGTTGTGACGACAGAGTATAACTTCTGGAGCATGGTGAATATGGGAAGGGCGTCAAGGGCGAAGAACAGTAAGCAGAGACTGAGGGAAGGGACCGGCAGTAGGACGGGGGAACGCCTCTTGTAGATGGAGTTGACAAGCCATAATACAAGATAACCATTGTTCTCAATCAAGCCACCGGGAGACGTCCGGCAGGGGATGTCGCCCTCCATGAGCTCAAGAAAGAGCTGGACACGGTTATTGCACGAAGCACATGGCACGGCTCAGTATGAACTGTCATCATTGGACATCCAAATGACCAACCTTCAGGTAGTTGTGATATTAAGCCGCTAGGTGCGGAGGATCATGTCTTGATCTGGGGAGCTGCGGTCCGTGCAGAATAAACCTTCGCACGGTCGTGTCGACAAACACCCACTTCTGGCATCGTTGCGACCGAGAGCCGTGTATATGACACACGTTGAATACCTGTTAATTGGCCGACGCAGGGCACATGTAGAAGTAGGACTCCTCGTCGTCTGGATATTGACCTTTGGAAAGACCTCAGGCATAAGATCGCCTGCATTAAAAGACGTGGCTCGCAAGCAGCTTGGAACAGGCTCGGACTCGTCATCGTGTAAATACCGGAGGATTGTATTCAAGTCATGTCAAACACACCTCGCACACAGAGCATGGGCCATTTTGCGAAGAGAACGGAGCACACCGGCTTATCCACTGGGGGGACGCATTGACCATTGAGCATTATTCCAGCCATTGTCTCAACGAGATAAAAGCACACCTGCCTCAATCCGTGATAAGATGCTTCTCCCCGAAAAACCGGCCTCAGAAAGGAAGGACCGTGCTCTCGAGGCAAGGAAGCAACAACTGGAAGTGAGATCGCACTGGTTGCACAATCGGTCAGGTAGTTAGTTACATTCATTGCTCAGAGTTTCCGCGTCGGCGTTGTTTCGCCGAAGATCAAGCGAACATGCCGATGAACTACCTCGTAGAATTTGGAAATACCATGCAACCACGTCCTTCATCTGTCTGATTAACGAGCAGCTGGTACTAGTCGCAATATATCCTCTCGAAGCTTCGCAGCCACACTATTACGCATTACAAAGACTTATTTGACACTCGGCCCGCGACGGTAGATTCGCCTCGAACCCAGCACCCTCACGACCCTTTCACATCACCATCACCACGATGTTCGGCGGACGTAGGTCAACCTTTCAACTTTCAACCTCTCCCGCCAGGAAATCTGCACAATGCTGGTCAATGGCTAACATCTGCGTGCTCGCATACTGTAGCAAGCGAACAGCTCTCCGAAAAGGAACTCCGCGACGGCGAAGCACAAGCCACCGTGCAGGTGCAGATCTTCACGGTAGCATGCGTCGCGCTGTGGTTCTGTACGTCTTAATTTCCCCTTAACCTTTGGCGATGGATTGGATTTGGCGATTGCGAAGAAAGATCGGGCAGATATGCTGGAGGGAAAAGATTGGCTGGGCTGACACGAATATGCGAACATTTAGCACCACATGTGGTTGACTGGGCGAGCAAGCTTTTTTGAGCTGCCTCTGCCCTGTCGGCATACTACGAGGACGTACAGAGTACTCACACCATTTTGGTGGACGAGGACAGTTGCCAACCCGGAATCGATCGTTGGGAGCGGAAGGGATGTTATCTCAGAGGCGAGGTTGAATCGGCAACTGGGACGATTTGAAGAGAATACAACTCTTTATTGTACATTATCCTGTACATAACACAGCGGGCGATCCTGGAGGCCGACCACGCCTGTTTGGCAAGCGGCGCCACTGAAATCATAGACCAAATACATCTTCTCCAGTCCATGACACCAAGATCGTTACCACCCGGTCGCTATGCAAAATTTTGTGTTTTCCGGGTATTGCTCCCACACAAATGCAGTGGTTCGCGCGGAACCGACAGAACGTAGTCATTCTACCTTCATCCGCTTTCAGCAATCTGGCATTGGCCAAGCCATCTGTATGCACGTTTCACCTGCGACGAGGAAGGTCAATTTCTCTGTCTTTGGAGATCTTCTCCCACTCTTCAAACTCCTGCTGCACCAGGTCCAGTTCCTTCTGCAAGTGGCGTAACTGGATCTCGTACGCTTCTAGTGTCTGAAAAATGAGAGTCAGCTCTGAAGACGAGTGGAAAGAGGCTTGTGTGATAGGGCCGAGTCTGTTCAGAACCCCACGTTGATGTTGCACTCACCTTCTTCGCAGCTCTGATCGTCTCCTCGTCCAAACCGGAGTCTTCTCCGTTGGCATTAGCCGTGGGCGCAATCTTGTCCATCTCCATCTTCAATCTTTTTGCGCGCTCTCGGATCCCGAGCATCCTCGCCCAAATTTCCTGCTCTCGGGCATTCAAGCTAGGATCAAAGACTTCTCGTTGTAGATTTTCCAGCTTAGCTTTCAGCTCTTCTTCGGCATTGTCCATGACATAGCCCCGATTACGCAGGATCTGCACTTTTACTGCCAGCGCCAGTGTCCGTTGAGCTGCTGCGGCTTGCCTCCTCTTGCATTCTTCGAGACGGGTGGCCACGTTCTGACGGTGCCTATCTAGTTGCACTTCGAGGGAGGTGTTGATTTCTTGGAGCATCATGTTGCATCTCTGAATGCCTTCCATTTGTATCTGAGCCTTGCGGCCGAGCTGGTAAAAGCCCTGCACAAGCAAGGGAACCCAGTCTGGCCCGGGTCGGTTTGAGACTGCCTCTTCCCATTTGTCCTCGTCTTCTCCGGGGCCTGGTCGGTATTTCAATGCGTCTGTCTCGCTTTCGACATGTTGGTAAAGGTACGTCCGCAATGGGGATGACAAGCTTGTTGGATCCCACTTATTTTTGACAATGTTCATCTGGACGGGTATTGACCGGAAGGTGTTCATACCACGGCCTTCCTCCCATAGTGATTGTGCGCCGGGTTGTCCCTGTCGTGACTGGCCGAATTGCAACGTTTGATCAAAGGAAGGCTGCGCTGGTTGTTGCGCTTGCTGCAACCCTTGCCCGAACGTGCTGCTTCCTGTTTGGGGCTGTGTTGAAGCGCCGAACAAGCCACCAGGTTGCTGCTGATTTTGCGAAGCACCGAAGAGCCCTCCGGTCTGTTGAGGGTTCTGCGATGTGCCAAAGAGACCCTGCGCTTGCTGTTGACCTTGTCCAAAAGCGCCGCCTACTGGCTGTGGTTGGGTCGATGTACCAAACAGCCCTCCAGATTGTTGCGCCTGGCTCTTGGGTGCGCTGAAGCTAAAGCTCGGGAGACTACTCTGTTGCTGTGGCTGCTGTGTCTGCTGTGGCGCGCCAAATAATGACGGAGTGGCTGTTGACTGCGCGGTGGTGGGCTTGTTGAAAGAAAAGAGGCCGCCAGTCTGTGCTGGCTGCGAAGAGCCGAAGAGACTCATGGTGATGAGGACCTTGTCGAAGGGAGAGATGTTGTGGAAGTACGAAGAGGAGGAAGGGAGGTAACCACGTGCAAGGCGATTTAGGTCATTGTGGTCCAGGAAAGGACATAAACATTCCCGACAATGCTACAAGGTTGAAATGGCAGTCAGTGTCTCAAGAGCAATCCGCTGTGGTGTTTTCAACCTGGGGAAAGTTCAGTTGACGCGCAGGTAACGCGAACGTCGATCGGCAATATATTATTCCGTCCCGCTGTAGATACCTTCTTGGCGCTTGGCTGCATTTACCCCATACACAGAACCGATTTTCCAAAGCAGTTCGTTCTTTCGCAAGAGGCAGCGTAGATACAATGGAATGTTATTTACAGTAGCAACCACATTGTGGTGCGGTACAGCCCCGTGGCTGCGACTATGAGAGTACATGACTGTTGAATCCAGGATGAACCTCAATTCGCGAGACAAAAGTTGTACTATGTGGTCGCATAAGTAAATGGGCTCACTGGGTCGATGAGGGACTCGCATTCCGACACGCATTTCTTTCTCGCCAAAGAGCCATTGTGAACCTCTGTGGTGTCTCTTGGGAGTATTCGACCATTTGCTCTTGTTGTCCGTCGAATTGTGTGTCCTTGTCAAGAAACATGGACCAACCATGAGCAAAAGTCGTGATGCGAGTTATATTCAAGTCTTGCCCCAAGACAACTTCGTTGACAGCCTCAATAGCTGCCATGCACAAGAACATCACAAGGGTTTCTTTCCATGACTAGCTCTTCTCGGGTGGGCTCCATCGTCGGCGAAGTGAACTAGGATGGTGCTCCCCGTAATATTGGAGAATAAACAACAACGCTGCCCATTTCGATGCGCATACGCTGGGTGAGATTGAGAGAAAGTAGGAGCAGGGAGGAAAAAGTGCCCCGTCGGAACGAGAATCTCGGTTTCGTCAACACATAGAATGCTCTCGATCTCACCGCCTGAAGCAGGATTGCATCGGTCAGTCCTTGAACGGATGATAGAACCCACACTGAGCAATGAGCTTCGCATGCCGCATAGTAGTCAAAGAGCGACAAACCGCAAAATATGGTCCGATGGACGGAGGCCGGCTTTGCATTAAAGACGGCATGATCAAGCACGAAACCTCGACCCGAGGATATTCCAGGCAAGATATGTAGCTTTTCCCAGGGTAGTCTCAGTGGCAACTGTTCCCGGCATGCAGCAAGTTAGTGGGGGGGTCGTGTTCCACAAAAGAAGCCAGTATCCAGGGTCCGATAGTTCTATTCGAGAGAACAGCCAATGGAGTTAGCTGGATTTGAATGCGGCTCGAAGGTATTGCGTCTTGATGCATTATTCCACTAGCATGCAGGGCTTAGTTAGGACCAGGGGTCATTGATGACACCAAAGATTGAGTGCCACCCTGTCCGAAGTCGGAAGGGCCATATTAGTGCTGCTGCGTGCGGGAAAGGCGAATGCTCGAATCAAACGTTCGGCCTGTGGCGCTGTCTCTGATCATTGGCTCGCGGCCAAATAAAGTCATGGTTCGATGCTGTCGTGGTGAGCTGGGCAACCAGATGGACTGCTAGATCACTGGCTTACGATGCTGCCGACCATGCTGTCCGTTGGGATTACTGGAAAATTGCACATGGCACTGGATTGCTTAGAATGGACGTGTACCATGCGACGTTACCCTAGCTGGCACAGGGCGAACCCTTCTCATGGCTTTGTTACGCGGTTGCTACCATCTGGCAGCAGCCCCGGCGTGGGGTACATATGTACATGCTGAGGCGCTTTCGTCGGTTTTAAATCTGTGGTCGCGCCACCACACGACAGCAGTACTCCATACTTGCGACAGGGACACATTTTCGTGACAACTTTGGAAGTTTCGGAACGTACATGACTGATGATGAAGCATGTGCGAATGCGCGATATCTCTACCCCCATTGCCGGCCGTCCTGGTGTCAGCAAGGACTTAGCACTCCCACAAAGTACCTAGGTAGTTTTCTGTACAACCGACGAAAGCAATAGAAAAATTTTGCCTCCAGAGTCCAGACGGCCGGGCGAAACCGGAAGACGCTTTGCTGGTCAGGTGTGTAAAGAGTGGCTCCTCAAGAGTGGACGGAGTCATTGGAGTGACTCGCGGTCAAGGCCGACGGGGAGCCTTGCGCAGTTCACTCCTTCAGCTTGACTGTTCGCACGAGGTAGTGTAAGCACAAGCAAATGGATCTCGGTAATTGCGCATCTAGACTCTACAAGTGGAGTGCAGCTATGACACACAGGAACTGGACGGATGAGGGCACAAATACACCCGGGAGAGGCAGAGTCGCACGCCGGTAGCGGGCTCAAATTCGCTGCTCAGATTTCGAAAGGTAATCTAGTAGTAAAGGCGACATGGTGATTGGATGAAGCTGTCCGTTATCAGCAACTCTCGCATATGCAGACTCTATGCACGATGATGGAGAGCTGGAGTTTACTGTGCTGGATAAGAGCCAACGCGCCAATGACGAGATGTAGAGAGAGCTGCCCATGGAGAAGGTGCAGAGGCCATCCGAGGCGTGCCCCCACCATTACAGTCTACCCACCTTGTGGTGCGAGAAGCACTGTTCCGCGAGTGTTTGCAACGATGGGACGAAATTTTTTGTTTGCGCTCGGGACAAGTGAAGCATCAAGTGCATCTTGGCTTCAGTGCCTCTAGCAGCGGGAGGTCCAATTACCGACGCTGGATCGGCTTCCCGCGAAGGCCGCCATTGTGTGGAATTCCAGTGGCCCGTTCAGACAGTGACGAGCGCAGAAAGTTCTGCGCTTTGCTTGAAAATCGAACCCCACACTTGGTGCTTGCTGCTCGTTTCGCCTTCGGGAGTCCAAGCATCTTTCTTTTCTTCCACTTGCCCACCCTCAGCCCTTCCACGTCCTTGTCTCTCAGTCCTGCTCGCAGTCTCTTGTATCCACCTGGTCCCCTTCGAGCACTCCTTCAGCTGCAGGAGCTCGATTCACAGAGAGACAGCCTCCTTGCTGCCAGGAAACTAGAGCATCTTGTCGCTGTCAACCAGCAGTGTACAGCGACTCGTCGACTCGGTCGATCTGAAGTCAGAGTAGCTATACGCACGACCCCTTGCCACCTGCCTTCACGTCTTCGATCGTCAGCTCAAAGCTCTGTCGCTCGTCGACCCTAGGATGGGCTCAGTCGCCGAGGAAAGAAGACAACAAGAGATCGCAACTGAAGAGGTCCAGGAAGAGTACACTCCATATCAGCCCGAAAAGGGCTATGGCTGGGGTGAGGCTTTGCCGCAGAAGCAAGGCCTGTACGACCCTAGCCTCGAGAAAGATGCCTGTGGTGTAGGCTTTGCTGCCAATATCAAAGGCAAAGCGAGCCACAAAATCATCAGCGATGGTAAGATTCGCTCCAAAACCCGGCACTGGTTCGTCTCTGACAGCTTTCAGCACGCAATCTCCTCTGTAACATGACCCACAGGGGTGCTGTGGGTTCAGACGCTCGAGATGGCGACGGCGCAGGTGTCATGACATCCATCCCTCACAAATTCTTCGTGAAGAACTTTGCCCGCGAGGTTGGCGTGGAATTGCCTCCGCTGGGTCAATATGCCGCCGGCAACCTCTTCTTCAAGCCCGACACTGAGATGCTGAAACATGCCACCCTCAGCTTCGAGGACGCTGCTCAATCGCTGGGCCTGCGCACCCTAGGGTGGCGAGAGGTCCCTCGAGACTCGACTTTGCTTGGACCTGCTGCCCTATCCCGCGAGCCCATTATACTGCAACCTTTCGTCGTCCTCGCCTCCGCATATGGCACTGGCAATACGCCCGAGAACACCGACCCCGAACAGTTTGACGATGCAGAGTTTGAGCGAAGGCTGTACATCCTGAGGAAGACAGTCTCACACGATGCACGGTGGAAACCGTGGTTCTATGTCTGCTCTTTGAGCAACAGGAACATTGTCTATAAAGGACAATTAGCCCCCGTTCAGGTGTACCAGTACTTTCATGATCTGGTCTCAGTAGACTACGAGGGCCACTTTGCCCTGGTTCACTCTCGCTTCTCAACCAATACATTTCCCTCCTGGGATCGGTCACAGCCTCTTCGATGGCTCGCACACAATGGTGAGATCAACACCTTGAGAGGCAACAAGAACTGGATGAGAGCTCGTGAAGGTGTCTTGAAGTCCGACTTGTTCGGCGAGGAAATCGAGAAGCTCTTCCCCATCGTCGAAGATGGAGGCTCTGACTCTGCTGCATTTGACAACGTTTTGGAGCTCTTGATGATGAATAGGGTCCTTTCCCTGCCTGAGGCCGTAATGATGATGGTTCCCGAGGCTTGGCAGGGTAACTCCGCCATAGATCCAGCCAAAGCAGCGTTCTATGAGTGGGCTGCTTGCTTGATGGAGCCATGGGATGGTCCTGCGCTGTTCACTTTTGCCGATGGCCGCTACTGCGGTGCCAACCTTGACCGAAACGGTCTCAGACCATGCCGTTACTATGTGACCGACGACGACAGAATCATCTGCGCCTCTGAAGTTGGTACGATCGCTATCGAACCTGAACGAGTAATCATCAAAGGTCGGTTGCAGCCAGGGAAGATGCTTTTGGTCGACACACAGGCTGGCCGTATCATCGACGATGCCGAACTCAAAGCCACAGTTGCAAACAGGCAGCCCTTCCAACAGTGGCTGAACAAGCTCTTGATGAAGATGCCTGACGTTGTGGACGCCGTCTCGAAAGAGGTCGACTTAGGCTACAAACTCTCCGATGAGAGCATTCAAGAGGATGCTAGACTAAAGGCTTTCGCCTATTCCTTCGAGCAGGTCAGTCTCCTACTCGGTCCTATGGCTGCCGACTCCAAGGAAGCGCTCGGATCCATGGGCAACGACGCACCTCTTGCGGCCCTTGCCCAGCAACCAAGACTCCTTTATGAATACTTCAGACAGCTCTTCGCCCAGGTCACCAATCCTCCCATTGACCCAATCCGAGAAGCAATTGTCATGTCCCTCGAATGTTACGTCGGACCTCAAGGTAACCTACTGGAGATGGATGAATCCCAATGTGGCCGACTTTTGCTTCCATCGCCAATCCTCGAGATCGAGACGCTGAACGCAATCAAGAATATTGAGAAATTCAACCCAGATTGGTCTGTAAGGACGATTGATATCACATTTGACAAGGAGGAAGGCATTGATGGCTACATGAAGGCCCTCGACGACATCTGCGATGAAGCCACAGCTGCAATCGATCAAGGCGACAAGGTCATTATACTGTCTGATCGGGCCATGTCGGCGGATAGAGTGCCTGTGTCTTCTCTCCTTGCCACAGGTTTGGTTCATCACCACCTGATCCGCAACAAGTGGAGGTCCAGAGTGGCCTTGCTTGTTGAAACTGCAGAAGCAAGAGAAGTGCACCATATGTGTGTACTAGTGGGTTATGGTGCTGATGGTATTAACCCATATCTTGCTATCGAATGTATCTTGAAGATGAACCGCCAGGGGCTCATCAAGAAGAAGCTAACTGATCAGCAAATTATTGCCAACTACAAGGCCTCCTGCGATGGCGGTATCTTGAAGGTCATGAGCAAGATGGGCATCTCCACTCTACAGTCCTACAAGGGCGCACAGATCTTCGAGGCTCTCGGTATCGATGATACGGTCGTTGACCGTTGTTTCGCTGGCACAGCTACTCGAGTCCGCGGCATGACGTTCGAGCTCATTGCCCAGGATGCCTTTGCCTTGCACGAGAAGGGTTATCCCTCTCGACACATCAGATCCATCCCTGGTTTGGCCGAGTCTGGCGAATATCATTGGCGTGACGGCGGCGAGCCGCACATCAACGATCCTGTCAGCATTGCAAATATTCAGGATGCAGTCAGGACAAAGAACGACAAGTCATATGAGGCTTACTCCCTATCCGAGTATGAGCAAATCAAGCATTGTACGCTTCGTGGTATGCTCGACTTCGACTTTGATCAACGTGCACCTATTCCGATCGACCAAGTGGAGCCTTGGACGGAAATTGTTAGACGGTTCGTCACAGGTGCCATGTCGTACGGTTCGATCTCTATGGAAGCACACTCAACTCTTGCTGTGGCTATGAATCGGCTGGGCGGAAAGTCCAACACTGGTGAAGGTGGTGAGGATCCGGAGCGCAGCCTTAAGATGGAGAACGGCGACTCTATGCGTTCCGCCATCAAGCAGATCGCCTCTGGTCGTTTCGGTGTGACGTCGAACTACCTTGCCGACTCTGACGAACTCCAAATTAAGATGGCCCAGGGAGCCAAGCCTGGTGAGGGCGGTGAGCTTCCGGGCCACAAGGTGTCACAGTCAATTGCGCGTACTCGACATTCAACACCTGGTGTCGGTCTCATCTCCCCCCCTCCCCATCACGACATCTACTCTATTGAAGATCTCAAGCAGTTGATTTACGATCTCAAGTGCTCCAATCCAAGAGCGAGAGTCTCTGTCAAATTGGTTTCTGAAGTGGGAGTCGGAATCGTTGCTGCCGGTGTAGCAAAGGCCAAATCTGACCACATTTTGATATCTGGCCATGACGGTGGCACCGGTGCTTCGAGGTGGACTGGTATCAAATATGCCGGCCTCCCTTGGGAGCTTGGTCTTGCCGAGACCCACCAGACTCTCGTGCTGAATGATCTCCGAGGTCGTGTCATCGTGCAAACCGATGGCCAGATTCGAACAGGCCGCGATGTTGCAATTGCCTGCTTACTCGGCGCTGAAGAATGGGGCTTCGCGACGACGCCTTTGATAGCCATGGGCTGCATTATGATGCGCAAGTGCCAGTACGCATGGTCCCCACGCTCCCTTTTGCTCTGATTGTACTTACTAACACATGTTCGCAGTCTGAACACCTGCCCAGTTGGCATCGCTACTCAAGATCCTGTGCTCAGAGAGAAATTCGGAGGCACTCCCGAGCATGTCATCAACTTCTTCTACTATGTTGCAAATGAACTCCGCGCCATTATGGCTCAGCTCGGTTTGAGAACAGTGAACGAAATGGTGGGTCGAGCCGAACTCCTAAAAGTCCGCGAAGACCTTCGCACAGGCAAGACACAAAACATCGACCTGTCCCTCATATTGACACCTGCCCACTCTATCCGTCCCGGTGTAGCGACCTACAACGTCCGAAAGCAAGACCACAAATTGCACACCCGGCTGGACAATAAACTCATCTCTGAATCAGAGCTTGCCTTGGAGAAGGGGTTGCCATGTCGAATTGAGACTGACATTGTCAACACCGACCGTGCACTGGGTGCGACCCTGTCCTACCAGATCAGTAAGCGATACGGCGAGGCCGGTCTCCCGCAGGACACTATCCACGTCAATATCAGAGGTTCTGCTGGCCAATCGTTCGGCGCATACCTTGCGCCCGGCGTCACTCTGGAGCTGGAAGGTGATTCGAATGACTACGTCGGCAAAGGACTGTCGGGTGGACGCTTGATTATCTACCCTCCCCGCAGTGCTGTGTTCAAGGCCGAGGAGAATATCCTAATCGGCAACGTCTGTCTTTACGGTGCAACAAGTGGCACCTGCTACTTCAGAGGGGTCGCTGCCGAACGGTTCGCTGTCCGCAATTCAGGTGCCAACGCAGTCGTTGAAGGTGTTGGCGATCACGGCTGCGAATACATGACAGGTGGCAGAGTTGTTGTGCTGGGAAGTACGGGTCGCAACTTCGCTGCAGGTATGTCGGGTGGTATTGCCTACGTCCTCGACATGAACCAAGACTTCCACTCAAAGATCAACATGGAAATGGTAGAGGTGTCCGGCGTTGAGACACCTGAAGAGATTGCATTCTTGCGAGGAATGATTGAAGACCATCATCACTACACTGGTTCCGAGCTGGCGGCTCGCATCCTGCTCGAATTTAACAGAGCCCTTCCGCGCTTCGTCAAGGTCTTACCTACCGACTACAAGAGGGTGTTGGCAGAGCAAGCAAAACAGGCTGAAGAGGCTAAGAAAGCAGAATATCCTTTGCCCATCCTGCCAGGTAATCCTGTTCGCAATCTCCACCAGGAACAGCGCGAAATCCGTCATGACAAAGAAGCCAAGCAGCAGAAGGCGAACATGTTGGACATCGAGGAAGGTGTCAACGGAGATGCTGACCAGGCCAAGCACAAGGCCGCTCTCGTGCTCGACAAGACGCGGGGCTTCATGAAATATGCTCGCCGCGCCGAGAAGTACCGCAATCCGAAGACCCGGGTCAAGGACTGGGCTGAGCTTAATTCCCGCCTCAACGAGGATGAGTTGAAGTACCAGTCAGCCAGATGCATGGACTGTGGTGTCCCTTTCTGTCAGTCTGATACCGGTTGCCCAATCTCCAATATCATTCCCAAGTGGAATGAATTGGTCTTCCAGGTAAGTGCTCACTTCCCGTTCGTATTGAGCAGTATTCTTGATATTAACAGCAACTCCAGGATCAATGGAAGGATGCTCTCAACCGTTTGTTGATGACCAACAACTTCCCCGAGTTCACCGGTCGTGTCTGCCCCGCTCCCTGCGAAGGTGCTTGCGTACTGGGGATCACCGATGATCCAGTTGGCATCAAGTCCATCGAATGCGCCATCATCGACAAAGGGTTTGAGATGGGCTGGATGGTGCCCGACCCACCGCAGGAGCGTACTGGCAAGACGATCGCTGTTATTGGCTCTGGTCCAGCAGGCCTTGCTGCCGCCGATCAGCTCAATCGCGTCGGACATACCGTCACCGTCTACGAGAAATCTGATCGTGTTGGTGGTCTGCTCATGTACGGTATTCCCAACATGAAGCTCGACAAGAGAATTGTGCAGCGGAGAGTTGATTTCATGGCAGCCGAGGGTGTCCAGTTCAAGACGGGTGTCATGGTCGGTCCGGATGAGGAGGTCAGTCTCGAGTCCCTCCGACGGGAACACGACGCAGTGGTCATCTCTACTGGGGCTCAAGTTCCCCGCGACCTGAAAATCAAGAATCGGGAAGCCGAGGGTATTCACTTTGCCATGGAGTTTTTGCACGCCAATACCAAGTCGCTTCTCGACTCTGAGCTGGGCGACGGCCACTACATTTCCGCCAAGGACAAGCATGTCATTGTTATTGGAGGTGGTGATACCGGCAACGACTGCATCGGTACTTCTCTGCGACACGGAGCCAAGTCCATCACCAACTTCGAGCTCCTCCCTCAGCCACCGCCAGGGCGTGCTCGCGACAACCCCTGGCCTCAGTGGCCGAGAATTTACCGTGTCGACTACGGCCACACCGAAGTTAAGCAACACTACGGCAAAGATCCCCGCGAATATTGCGTCATGACGAAGGACTTTGATGTCAAGGACGGACGCATTGTCGGCATCAACACAAACCGGGTGGACTGGACCAAGAGCGCCACTGGTGGGTGGGACATGAAGCCCCGAGAGGGTAGCGAGGAATATTTCCCGGCAGATCTCGTCCTGCTGTCCATGGGTTTCTTGGGTCCTGATGACCGTCTCTTTGAAGGCCAAGTTGAGCTCGACCCGCGAAAGAACATCAAAACACCAAAGAACATGTTCAACACCAACCTTCCAGGCGTTTTTGCTGCGGGTGACTGTCGCCGTGGTCAGTCCCTTATCGTTTGGGGTATCAACGAAGGTCGCCAATGTGCTCGGCAGGTGGACAGCTTCTTGATGGGCGAAGGCTCTATTCTCCCAGTGACGGGAGGCATCATTCAGCGTGCTCAACATGATGCTGTACCAACGCCCAAGGAATCGAAGGCGCACAAGGGTCATGACATGGCGCACTCGGCCGAGGACTTTAAACGTGGCACTGAGATTAAGGTCGGTGCTTGAGTAACTGGACGATTAATGCTTGCATGGAAAAGCGAAACGCAACCCAAAAAGTACTGTGGTGGCTTTCCATGAATCTTTTGTTTCACGGTTTTGGCATGATGGGCGCATCAGTCTGTGTCAACGATACCCTGACGAGCGCATTATGAATGTCGACGAGCGAGATTAATGTACATGGGACCTGCCACGAACGACGATTTTTCGACACCTACGATCGTTTCATGAGCACGGATATTTGTTTCAGCATGGGTTTTCTCGAAAGGGTCACAGTCTGGTGTCATTCATTTGCGTTATTGGAAAGACGCTGCTATGGAGACGATCGCAACCGAAAAGAATCAAACCAAGGAGCGCTGCACACTGCCAATGAAACTGTATCAATATACGTCAGCGGTAGATAGCAGGTTAAATGATATTATTCAAATTGTTCTATTGTGGGTTTCAATGTCGCAGATGGATGCGTACTTCGTAGGCTTGACCCCGACGCGATTGCGGGTTTCCAAGAGGTCGCCTTGAAAAGGTCAAAAATAGACTCCACCGTGAACCTCAAGCATTTCCGAGCAGGAGAGCGCGTCTATCAAGCCATCGCCACGTTCTCCCAAGGTGGACAATACCTCGGCAGCAGGGTTCGAGAATATGTTGCGTGATGTGTGAGCTACTCGAGTTCAGATACACCGGTGAGAACAACTTTTAGGTGGTGGGTTCTGGTCCATGGGGTGAGAGATTGGGACCAGATATCAATTTAAAACAGATAATGATCAGAGATGGAGTGTACTTCCTACGGCTGACACCGTTGTTGGTTGTCGTTACTTTTGTGTCGATGTCGATATCGATGTTGATCTTGATATTGAAATGATGTTGGTGTGGATGTTGATGTTTTCCCTTTCCGGGTTCTTGGCAGCGCTCGACGTCGTCGTTCCCTGCACACACACGTCAGGTCACAATCGCATGGTTTATCAGCCTAACACAAGTGGTACGCCCCAACTCTCTGTCATGGGAAGTCTAGAAGGCTCTTGGTGGTTTCACGTTCTGATTGAGAGATTGAACTGATCGTTTCGTACACTGTACTCGACCGCTGTTGGGCCGTCGAGTCGCGTTCTCATCTTCGCAATACCACAGAACCCTGTCCAAGCAAACAGATCGCTGTGCCGTAAGGGTCGGATGTGAGACGTTGTCAACTCTTCAACCATCCCGACTGGCTTCTGCACATTCACTGTCTGAGACATTGCATGTTCTGGCTCGGCTTCAAACCGCTCCTGCCACCCTGAAGTGTCGTCGGGGTTTGATTCCCCAACACAATAATATCATCGCCTGGAGCGACCACATCTGCGACAGCGAACTCGGCATATCAATTGCTTGCTCCATTCAGTGATCGAGACAGCCAGAGAAGCTTTGAGACCTTGAGATTTGGAACAACAGCCTACACCAGCCACAGCCCGATCACCATGATGCTCCTCTCAACATCTCTTCCCCTTCTGCCCCCACCACCGTCATCTCTTTTCCCCCCAATAACTGCCCCGTCGCCTGATGCACCTACATCCACTCCTGCCGCACATCACCACCACCACCACCACCGGCGCCAAAAACACAATGCCGCTCACAACGCCCGCAACAACACGCTCCTCGCGCTCTCGACAGACGAACGCACTGTCTCGCAGCGCAAGATGGCCATCGCCATGTACGGTTACAGCTGGCTAAAGCCCGCTGGATGTGCGAAGACGATGCTCGGTCGTCGCGAGGAGGAAGTAGAACGCGAGGAGGTTGAACGACAGCTCCGCGAGGTGGAGTTGCAGGAGCGGCTAGCGCTGGAGACTGAGGAGCAAGAAAGGATGGCGAGGGCGCAGGAGCTGGGCGAAGGGGAAGAAGGAAGGGACCTGGATGAGGACATCCCGGACGCAGATGACCCTGATGGTGACGCCGACGACTATGAGAGTGATGAAGAGGATGGGGCGGCAGAGGAGGGCGAAGATGAGGATGGCATGGAGATGGGCATGGCGGCAGATCTGGACGACGAGATCCCCGACGCAGACGATCAGGACGCTGAAGACGATGACGATGAGCCTCTTTCTCCCGCGGGCGCGGATGGAGGTTGGGTCTACGATACGCGAAGAGAGCCGGATACCGACGATGAGGACCAACTTCCTCATCCATTGCCGCCCCCACCGAGACACCCTGACCGCGGAAATCCAAGACACGCGACCGTTGCGGGGGTGCGAGTCCCCTTGTCGGGAAGCGAATACGACTACGACGAGCACGAAGCAGAAGATCTCGCCAACTCCATGCTTGACGGAGATGAAATATACGAAGCCGACGTCCATGGTCCTGAGCGTAGTATGCTGTCTGGAGACCGTGATCTCGACGACGATGTGCCCGATGCAGATGATGACCAAGCATGGGAACATACGGACACGGAACTGGAGGAGAGCGAGATGGACATCTCCATTTTACCCCCACCAGGCCAGTCAGGGCACGGTCGCCTTAGAGGAGGAGGAGGAGGAGGAGGAGGAGGAGGAGGAGGAGGAGGAGAAGCAGCCCCTCACTTCCCGCCTCGGAGCTCAGCTCGTACGGCGGCGGCGCCACGCTCTTCGGGACCATGGATCACAGGCCCCTCGCCGGACGACAGGCTTCACCAGGCGCCGGCACAACCTCAGACCATGCCCCGTCAAAGAGGCTCTCAGGCAACACCAGAAGTGGCCATCCCAAGCAATGCACGGTTCACCCCGGCGGCACAACGCTCCGTATCGACGCGGGCCGCTCGAATCGTCTCGGGAAACAGACAACGACCTTACCGTCCCGATCTGGCTCGTCCGACCACACGCCACCAATTACAGCAGACCCATACCCCAGAGCTGTTGGATACTCCTCCCCTCGCGGCTGCGGCTGGGATTGATATTGACGTCGACCTCGATGCGGATGTGGATGTGGATGATGAGGAAGTCGATACCGATATCGAAGGCGAAGATGCGGGCGCCACACCAGACCCATTTGTCGCGCCCGAGCATGCCCGTGCCCGCGCCCCTGCGCAGGCGGAAACCATAGATCAAGGAAGACGGATCCGTGCGCCCCCGGCTAGAGGAATACCTCGTGCGCAAGCACAGGCGGTTAGAGGCAGAGGCGGTGCGACTGGCGCCGGCAATACAAGTCCAAGCCGCACGGCTGCAGCTCGGAACTGGCTCGACGGCGCGGCTGCTACTCTAGGCGTCGGTGGCTCCAGGGATGGGGGTGCGGGTGCGGGTGCGAGTGCGAATACGAGTGCAGGCGCGAGTGTTGGCGCCAGGAGGACATTATTCCAGCGCGCTACTCGTCGACGCAATCCTGGTGCCGGTGCCGCTGCCGATATTGTAGTCGAGGCGCAGACAGGGGGACAAGCGACGTCCGCCTCCAGTGGTGGCTTGTTTTCTTCGCCAAACGTAGCCTCCAATGGCGGCGACGGAGGAAGCGGGAGCGGAGGTGGAGGTGGAGTGGGTGGAGGGGAATGGGACACGCCTGAAGGCGCGAGCACGAGCGCACCTCAAGGACAGGGACAGAGTCAAGACCAAGGAGGAAGGAGGATCGGCAGACGACGGAGTGGGCGGTTCTTGGCTGGGAGGAGGCGGGCGGCCGAGTAAGTAAGTAACTTTGAGCAGAGGGGCGTGGCGGAACGGGAGGAATGCTCACGGGTCGGCGGACTGAGATGCAGTACTCCGTACTGAGGACTACAATATGTATACCTAGGTATCTTACTATCCTCCACCAGACAGCAATGGCGAGTGAAGCGATGAGAGAGGCTTTCATCCGTCCCAGTATTCGCACGCGTTATACATATACCAACACCAGCACCCATCCCAGTACAAATACTGTACACGCACACACGCAGCGGAGATGTAGGCTGGCTCAACGATCAAATCCAGTTGTGCCTGCTGTCTGGAGCCTGTTACGTTGTTCGAGCAACTTACAGGTCCGTTCCCCATTCCTCAAACTCGTCCTCACACCGGGCAGCGATATCCGACACGACAAACTCTGTGCATTTATTCGTCCCTGTGGCCCTGAAATCCATCAACTCGCCAGCACGGCATCCACCGATGCTGGGAGGACGCATAAACATGCAAAAAAACTCCAACAACGCCATGCTGATGCCCCAGGCCGACTGGATTAGCGCGAGTGTCCCTTCCCTTTTGCGGCCACTGTTCCTGAATGCGATGATACACGTGGCGGTTAATACAGTAGTTTATGCACAGTCGAGACGAGGGTTGCCTGGCTTCTGCGAGAGGTGGCTTCCAACCAAGAAGGGGGAGACTGGGAGGATGGATGGTTTGATGAATAGACCGTGCGATGCCGCGGAAGTGCCCGACTTGAGGTTCGCTCTTGAAGCGCGACATGGTCAATTTTTTTGGGGATAAGTCGAGGCCCGCGGTAGTGGTTGTTCTTGCTGCGTGCCATGCGGCGAGGCGAGCAGTGTTTGCACTCGTCCCTTTCCTTTTATTCGGCACGTCTCGCGTCCTTCAGGCCGTGGCGATACGGAGGACCTCGCCATGTCGAGACCTCGATCCTCGAATCCTTGTTTGTCATTGATGCATTTCCGACTCTGATTTGAGCCGTGCTCTCCTCTCGGCCCGCTTTCTGCGTTTATTCTCGGTTTATATGGCTCCTCTCAAAACAGCCACACCCACGCAAAGAGCGCCCAGACGGCCACGAAGAAGAGTAGCCAAACCCTCCAGCCCACGCCCGTTCGTTCGGCCATCCTCAGCATCCGACGCATCGTGCCGCGTAACCTCACGCCCGTGTTCTCGAACGAGTCGTTAATCTGGCTCGCCAAGGCGCTGGAGTCTCTTATTTCATCGCCAATGGCCACAGTGAGCGATTTGAGCTGCGAGACCTTCTGGCTGAGGAGGGTCGTCTGGGTGATTTCATTTTGGGACTCGAGTTCCTCGAGCACCGAGGCGGAGTATTGGCCCCGCGAATTGGGTGTTGCGGGCCGGAAACCACCGCCGGAGGGCGTCGTCGAGCCGTTTGAGTGGCTATACGGGTTTGAGTTTGGGTGCGGATTTAGGTAAGGGGACGAGGAGGATGCGGAGGGCTGGGAGTATGCGTAACTGGAGGGTCGTTGGGCGGAGGAGGATGATGAGGGCCGTGAGCCGGGGTAGTCTTGGAAGAGGGAGGAGGCCGGAGCGGCGCGCCGGTTGAGAGAGGAATACCGATTACTGTTGTGGTTCGTTAGTCTCCCATTTGCTGGTTACATTGCGGGACTGAATCGACGTACTTTGACATTGTCAATTATGGCGTAGACGTGTTCATGAGGGTGACGAGAGATTGCTTTGGTGCATGGCGGATGCGAGATGAGACCGCGTGTTCAGTGGGTATTCATTGTTGCACAGCGCCTGAAGTGAGAATCTGCGACGATACTGTGTCCACTGTGGTCTACTGTAGGTTTTGCCTTGAGGCCTGAGCGGTTCAAATTATTCTTCGGTTTGGACACGTTCTCGGGTAAGGGAGTCGAGGACAGCGTCAGTGGCGCAAACAGCCGGCTGAAGGGGTTGCGTATGGTCTTTATGAGCTCCGCCGTATGAAAGACTGTCCTTGGACTGTATGAAGTTGACCACATCTCAAACCATATGAGCAGGGCCAGTGCTTGTCCATATGCTACGGCATCCGTCGTTGGGTCTTGCACGAGCATTCATGCGACCACGATGGTCAAAGAAGTGCTGACCAGCGTTCTCATAAAAGACTCTTTCTGAACAGCACCTCTCTCTAATTACCCCAGCGCCAGCTTCGTGAAGACGAAGCCTGTATCACCCAGTGGATCTTCCTGCTCCACTGAGAAGGTGCTGAAGCCGCTATAAAATGCCTGCCCACTCACCCGAACGTGTACTGGGGCCGTTTTTACTTGTTTTGGACTGCCGCCGGCGCTCTCAATCGTGCCAACGAAAGGAGGTGCTAGGTCGCGGTTTGACACCAATGAATGATAGGACCATGTTGATCCGGTGCCTCGCTCTCCTTTGCAGTATGCGAGGGCTTCTCGAGCAGCAACCCCACTACCGGTAGGTGATCGATCAACCTGCTGGTCTGCAAAGAAACAGACGCCCAGCTCTGCGCTCGAGACAGGGCTACCTTCCCGAAGAACGCTGTCTGTCACGATGACACCATACAGAAACGACAGGTCAGGCTCCTCGGGATGTTGATAGTAGCTTGTCAGCTTAGGTTGCTCACGTATACTCAGGAGGAGACGTTCCGTGGCCTTGCTCAGCTCTTGCATGTCGACATCTTGTAAGTGCCCCATGAAGCCAAGGCTAGAGGCATCGACGATGGCATAGAAGGCTCCGCCATATGCAAAGTCTACTAATACTGACGCTTCAGGGACATCTTTCTGTTCCAACTGCGGCCAGGGATGCCCGATGCTGATAGGAACCTGAAGACCGGTGGCAAAGGAGGGCACCGAAACGAAAGATACCGGTTTACTGGGATCCGAAGCTCTCCCATCGGGACTGACAGGGACTCTTAGTCGGAGAAGGCCACACGGAGCGTGGATATTGAGATCTGCAATCAGCGATTCGCGGTCCCAAATGATATCATTCCTTCGAGGGAAGGTGTTCAGGTCATGAGTATCGAGGAGGAACCTTCCGAGCGCAATCGTTGCGTGGCCACACATAGTTGAATAGTCGTTGTTTGTCATGAAGAGCACGCCCATATGGGCTTGGCCGAGTTGTGTCAGCTCGGTGTCGGGACGAAGGACTGCCCCATACATATCGTAGTGTCCCCGTGGTTCGAGCATGAGTCGTTTCCGGATGTGGTCATGCGTCTGGAGAGCCTGGGTTCTCTGCTCTAGAAGGGTACCCGTGACATTCGGGTATCCGTCGATTACGATCCTGGTGGGCTCTCCACAAGTATGCATCTCAATACAGGAGATAGGCTTATTTTCCGGCCGCGAAAGTTTCTGTGCGATATCCATAGTGAGTCTCCTAGCAATGAAGTACGGGCTATTTTCTCACAGGCAAACGAGAGAACGAAAGGTGAGGACTTTATCATGAGAATGAACTCGAGGCGCCCTCTGACAAGGCTAGTTGGCAGCCTTGCATAACTGCGGAGTCGCGCGAACCTCCCCGCAGACGCGCTGTTGACATGGGACTTTTGGCTCGGGAAAAAGGTCAACCACACGAGGACATCCATTCATACCATCTCCCGCCGGGGACGTTACCAGGCTGTCACCATGGCCCCTCGACAGCAGGAGAGCTTTGGCTCTGTAGGCGAGCTCGACACAGAGGTTATCTCTGAGCTAAGAGACAGGTTAACTGAGGCGGCCATCAAGTGCTCGGAAAGATGCTTATACCAGTCGTCGAAATGGTGCGTAATTACTCGGCGGGTTGGACAGACATTGACTGATATGCCAGGGCAGCCGAGATGCTGGATTCTCTCCCTGAAGCAGACTACACAGATGGCGACTCCCAGATGCACGACATGCCCAGTGCGCAATCCTTATACCGCAGTTTGACAACCAGTTACGATGACCCCGAAGAGGCGGCGCTGGAGGCTAAAGAAGCACCCAAATACCTGCTTGCCAAAGCCTTCTTTGACACCAAAGAGTTTGATAGATGTGCCGCCGTATTCCTACCCCCAGCCATACCAGCTGGAGGACTGGCGATATTCGACAAACCGAAAGGACGGACACCTACATCCACGCCCTCCAGAGGAAAAGGCAAGTCGAAACACAACGATACAGCCACAGTGAACCCATTTCCCAAAATCAGCCAGAAATCACTCTTCCTTGCTCTCTATGCGCGATATCTCGCCGGAGAGAAGCGGAAGGACGAAGAGAGCGAGATGGTCTTGGGCCCCGCGGATAACGGACAGACAGTCAATCGAGAACTAGCCGCCCTGGCAAGAGGACTGGAAGCGTACTTTGGTGCCCGGGACGCTGCGGATCCACAACTCAAGCGCTCTCAAGGCTGGCTAGAGTACCTCTACGGCATCATCCTGTCCAAGTCGAGACAAGAACAACTAGCCCAGCAATGGCTCCTTCGCTCTGTCCGAGTCAATCCCTACCACTGGGGCGCATGGGAAGAGCTAGCCTCCCTCCTCTCCTCCATCGATGACCTGAACGCCCAGCTCTCCCCGTCTGTCCTCCCTCAAAACCTCATGAGTATCATGTACCAGGCATACGCGAGTGTTGACCTCTTTTCCACAAGCGACCAATACACCACCTTGAATTACCTCCGCACCCTGCTCAACTATTTCCCCCGGTCGACCTTCCTGCTCACCCAGCTCGCTCTGAGCCACTACCACGCGAAGGAATACGAATCCTCAGCCGCCATATTTCAAGACCTCCTTGTTACCCATCCCCACCGCCTCGACGGGCTAGACCACTATTCTAACATTCTCTACGTCATGGCCGACCGCCCTCGCCTCGCTTTCCTCGCCCATCTCGCCACCTCGGTCGACAAGTTCCGTCCAGAAACATGCTGCGTTGTAGGAAACTATTACTCACTGTGCTCGCAGCACGAAAAAGCAGTCATGTACTTCCGCCGGGCCCTGACCTTGGACAGGAGCTTTCTCTCCGCATGGACACTGATGGGTCATGAGTACATTGAGCTGAAAAACACCCACGCCGCGATTGAAAGCTATCGGCGCGCCGTGGATGTCAACCGAAAGGATTATCGCGCTTGGTACGGCTTGGGCCAGGCTTACGAAGTCCTCGACATGGGTTTCTACGCACTGTACTACTACCAGCGTGCTGCGGGGCTAAGACCCTACGATCCGAAGATGTGGCAGGCCGTCGGCACCTGCTATGCGAAGATGGAGAGGCTCGATCAGGCAATCAAGGCATTGAAACGGGCTCTGGTTGCGGGCACCTATTTCGAAGAGTCAAATTCCGTGCAGTCGAGTTTCAACGCAAACGCCAGTGTGAGCAGCAATGTGGCTCCCAGTGCCTCACGCGGAAAGTCGACGCCAAAGACGAAATCGCAACAGCAGCAGCAGCAGGCTGGTCGGAAACTTCTCGATCCCGAGACGCTATATCAGATTGCCAGTCTGTATGAGCGACTTGGTCCCGAGGGCGAGGCTGAAGCGGTTCGATACATGGAGCTATGCGTCGCGCAGGAGACAGGGGGGAGTCACAAGTCGGTCTTGAAGGCAGAGAAAGCGTTCAAGAAGCGCCAGAGGAAGGAAGCGAGGCGTAATGCTGCTGCCGAAGAGCGAAGAGCGAGACTTTCCGAAATGCGTGCCGGGGAGGCTGCGAACATGGAGGTTGATGATGCAGAAGGTGACGCTGGAGGTGACGATGATACCGAGGTGCTATCATCTTCTCCCTCGCCGGAAGACTCCGCGTCGCAAGGTTCTGACAACGAAGATGAAGGTGCTGGGCCAGAAGACGGCTTTGGGACAGGTACAACGGCTACGACCTCAAAGGCGAGGTTGTGGCTTGCGAGATACTCTGTCAAGATTGGTGATCTGGAACGCGCAGAGCGGCTGGCGGAGGAGCTATGCATGGACGGCTACGAGGTTGAGGAGGCAAAGGGCTTGGTCAGAGAGGTCAGAGGTAGGAGAGACCCTGAAGGCGGTATAGGCATGACCTCGGGGTCACTGCAGAGTGAGCTTTGACGTGGTTTGACTAGCAGACCCACTGCTTGTGGTATCGGTCGAGCAGCTACAGAAATGGTGCGGACTGAACCAGCCAGATGCCCAATTATGATATAGCTCTGTATAGCGAGAGCGTCCGTTGATAGCTCTCAAGGGGTTCAACGGAGCTTGTTCGAGAACGCGGATGCAAACGTTGAGACTGCAAACCGACAGTGATGTTCCCTTATTCTGTAAAAGCATTACGACATCCCTGTCGTGTCTCGCAATGTTTCGATATATCATTTCCACACACCTGACCATTGAATGCCCCGCCCTTGCTAGGAGCTTCGTGTAGTGATAGGCGGGTCTGATAGGGTGTCCCGAGTGCGTTCGAGCTGTAGCCTTCTGCGACTGCCGTGTTGCACGCATGCCATAGGTGAATGGATCCAGTCTGGCATTCGGGACGGGTACCACGACGAGGTACGGAGCAGCCGGAATTGAAGTGGGAAGAGGAGGTGAGTCGCGGAAGACAGGCGAGCTTGTAAGCCTCATGAAACCGGCAGGACGGATAGGACAGGGGGGCATATACGGCTCGAGATAATAATGAAGGCAGACAATTTGTAGAGCAGTATCGTTGGAGCTGAAGACCAGCCGGCGGGACGAAGGGTATATGATGGCCGTGAGGAGCCGAGAGAAAGAGCCGGAGGAAGCGTGCGTGGTCAATAGGCGTCCGAGGAGACATTTCTGTAGCGGTTTACCGCGCCTTCTGGCTTCACCGGGACAGCACTTAGGGGCCAGTATGCCTGTCAATGCATCCATTCTTCGGCCCACGATTACCTCGTCATAGGCAAAGTCCTCCGCGCTGAGGCAGCGTCATCTGGGACTGACGGCACCATTTGCCCCTCCAGGCGCAGGCTCTCCACGCCGCATCGCATCCTGCGCGCAGACTCAATTCCCGCGCGCCTGCGCGACCTCGCCCGTATTCTCCCCCCTGACCACCCACAACGGATCAGTCATGAACGATCCCTGGACCAACGTCTGGATCTCAATGTTCCGCCACCCAGACCACCACAGATAGTCGCCCACCATGGCCAGCCGATCCTCCTCGTCGACCTGCAGCCACCTGCCAACGACTTTTGTAGGAAAGCACCGATTCGAAATAATCAGATGCACCTTTCCACCTTCCTTTGTGTGGTGTCGAATGCTCTTCAGCACCTCCAGGGGCTTCGTCAAATAGTCAATCGAGACCACACACGTCGAGGCGTCGAGTTTTTGGTCTGCCTTCGACCCCGACTCCTCACCCGTGGCACTCGCACCCGGCACTCGCACGTCTGGGTCACTGTTGAGATCCTGCACGGACCAACGCTTGAGAGCCTTGTTCTCGCTTAATTCGAGCGCGTTCATCCCCGTGCCCACGACTTCTAGGTGCCCCTCCCCCGACGCGGCGGCCTCCGCGACGTCGCGCGGATAATGCGAGATCCAGCTGGAGCAGAAGTCCAAGATACGCCCCCTTCGAGGCAAGACGGTATCATAATACCTTCGGAGACTATCGATGGCGTTGTCGTCAATGTGCGTGACGAAGCGCGGCGACGAGTAGAACGAAGTGTCGTTGCCGGGGTCTGTGGGCGTGAGATCTGCTTGCGTGTAGGGGAATGGGCCGTCTGGGTTCTTGGGCATATAACTCCTGGGAGGTAGCGGGTTGGAATCCATCTTCCGCGCGCCCGCGAATACTCCGGAGAGGAAGGAGATTGATCTCACCGAGGTGCGCGTCAGGACACGAGACATTGAATAATTACTGTCCTGCTAAATGTCGACCGACAACCGAGCACGATGAGGAGGATCCTTGCCTTTTTGAATGCCCGCTCGAAGAGGCATTTCGTCTACATGCCAAAGGCTCCCATCGTACTCCGTTCAAGAGATGGATGACGTTGACGATATCTTTGACGCCAATCTACATGGGGAATATTTGGTTCGGTGGGCAATTTCCGGGTCGTGTACCCGTCAGACTCACGGCGAGGCTATCCTCCTATCTTGACCCTCCCACCTCCTGAAGGAGTCGTCTTCGCCGAGCCACATATCCCTCCACGAGTGGCAGTCACGTCCATGATGGCGTAAGAGACAGGTTAAATAGATGGACAATGGACATACTCGGACTATACATGAATGAAACGCCCTTCACCGCTGCAATATCTTCTCTCCCACGTGGATGAGCGTCTGACATGTACAGTAGACGCAGTTGACAGGGTCAGGGGGCGTGCTTCTCTTCTCCAAGACCCAGCACAAGGCTGGATGCATGATGAAAAAAAGAATGAACGATACCAGCAGCAGTATCTAATGATGCAGCAGTTTTGTGTAGCTGTTTATTTGATAATGATGTTGAGCAGCAGGAGGGTGTTGGCAGCATAATGATATGTTTGTATTGATATTGAGGAGGATTTGAGCAGCAGCAGGAGGATGTCGGCAGCGTAAGAATGTGTGTAATGATATTGACGGGGTTTGAGCAGCAGGAGGTCTTTCGCGGCAGAAGTGTATAATAATGGTTGAGTATAGGGGCGGCGTCTTAGGTACTGAGGTGCTTGTTGAGTGCCGATAAAGATGGCCGCCAGGGTGGTAATGATAGGGTTTTGGGTTTTGAGGTAATGATGCCCGTCCAGTATAATGATAGTCGTAATGATAATGATGGCCTTGTGAGGCCCCGTGGTAATAATGAGGTTGGTAATGATGGCGGTTTGTAGAGTACACTTCGTATACTGGGTGGTGTAGGGATGGCGGCTGCTGGAGTGGTAATGATAATGATAAAAATGTGTGTGCCGTTGGTGTTCTTGTGCGCCGACTCCAAGGACAGACAGCCTAAGCTGATGGCTTCTAGGCGGTCCCGCGCCTAAGAGCTCTGGCTGTTCAACGCCCCCAACCACGAACACCGTACTCCTAAACGCCAACGCCAAAACGCCCCAACGCCTAAACACCAACGCCAAAACGCCCAGAACGCCATGACTTTTGCGCTCTTCAGAAACAAATGGTGCAGTCATACTTGCTGTTGGGCCCTCAAGGATACCACGAGCCGTTCGAAATGACACTACTAGTACTCGGGCACCTGTATTGAAGCTTGCCGGCGAAGAAGAGGACTGACCACACCCCATGATGTGAGGATTTCTTTCCCTCTTCTTTTCTTTCTTTTTTGGCCGTTCGGCATCTGTTCTTCTTTTTTTGGAGACAGTGTCTCATCTTCTCTTTATGCTTTTCTGGGGAGTGCAATTGAAAGAACCGAGAACAACCATACTTGCCGTTGGGCCCGCAAGGACACCCGAGCCGTTCGCAATGACACTACTAGCACTCAGGCACCTGTATTGAAGCTTGCCGACGAAGCAGAGGGTTTGTTCTGGGGTGCGGTAAGAGGGGGGACGACCTCTACCTAGTACCAGATCATGCTTTTGTTGCCGTGCAATATGAGCAGGCTTCTTCCCTGCTTCCGCACCTTGTAGAATTGAGGGGCGTCTGCCCTGGGCAGATCCTCCTGGAACGACACGTACTGCCGTGCCTTTATTGCCCGCATCTTGCGGCAGAAGCTGTTGATCGGCTCCCGGAGAATTGGCTCCGGGGCCACCGCTGCCTGTGCCTTACGCGCTGGCGGCGGCCAGGGAAACGCCTTCGCCAAATAGGCAAAAGCCTGCTTGATGCAGGAGGCGAACTTGGACACAACGGAGCCCATTGTGTTTGATGTGATGCTATAAGTTGCTGTTAGCATCAAGGCCATTGCTCATGGGAATAGGAAGCGCTAACTTACGAGAAATGTTGTTGCTGCTGTTGTTGTTGGTATTGCTGCTGTTTTTGCTGCTGCTGTTGCTGCTCTGGATTATTGTTAGGATCTTGTCACTGCTAATGGCGTACTCTTTACTTACAATTGCTGCCGTTGCTGTTGCTGCTGCTACTGCTGTTGCGCTGCTCTGGAATACGCTGTTAGAATTCTGCTTGCTGGTGTCTGGGAGTACAGAGCTTACAGTGTGTGTGGTTTGTGTGATATGAAGAGAAGAAGGAAAAAGAACAAGGGAAGAGGGAAAGAAGAAAACTTTTCTGCTGCGCCAGGCATCAGGCAGAGAACCCTACCTCTAGTTCTGCGGAGGCTGGAAGTCAGTGGAGTAATCATGATCATAGTTGACTTGGGTGCGTTCATGGGTTGAGGCCGGAACGTATTGCGGTTGGTAGGCGACGACGCGCTGCCATAGTCAGTTCCTCCAAAACCGCACCACAAGGATCCACTTCCAGCAGCACATTTTCTGGTACAGCACACCACTTCCCAATCGCACAAGCAGCATTGGCTGATTGAAGTGCACTCGACATCCGTGCCATTGACCATTGGAGTTTGCCTGCTCCGCTCATGCACCTTAGATTTGCCAGTGGGTCGCAGCTTTGCAAGTTTACCAAAGGGAGTGCCCCATCACGCATTGTCGCGTTCGATCCTACCTGTGACCATGCCCTAGTCTGCCCGACTCAGTATGGGTAAAGGGACATGGACTTTCATTGCGAGTTCCCGCATAGCCGTGGCTGTAGAGGATGGCGCAGTCCTTGTACGAAGCCTTCAGTTGCAAGAGGGGTCTGTCGCAACTCTCCGTGAAGCTGCACCACTTCTCGCAAGAGGCATGTTTGATAACATCCAGGCGCCGAGAGCTGTCGCGTTAGGTTTGGCGACTAATGGCCGTTGTGAAGTGGAGTTCGGAAGGGGAATCCGAACCTTTTGAGAGACGCGAGACCGAGTTTATTTCGACAGGTTCTTGGTGGCACGTCCACAGCGGCACCAGAGAGATCCAGGCGAATGGCCTATGTACCCTAGGCTTGGTATTGCATTGTGCCATTGCAGCAAGCGGTTGAGACGACTCAACAATGGAGAGTTCTCTTCGCCTACCTGCTTTTGGTGATGATAGTTAGTTTGATTCATCAAGGTCGATTTCCAAGGCCCGAGCTCCTACGGAAGACTGCAGAGGCGGTAGAGCAGCACTTGCAGCCCAACAATCCATTGTACTCGGAGAAGATTTCCGATCCGCAGGTCTTAGATTGTTCTCTTGGCTTCGTCGGATCTCAGAAGACTGTCGTCACCCGCATTGATACGGAGTGCCGGACCGCGACCAATGAAATGGTCCAACTTGTAGTGAAGACAGTCCCTGTCCCCAGCGAGAAAGAGATGATGCGACTTATAAACGTGACACAGTTCTCTTGCCATTCCACCTTGTCAAACTGCGATCAAGAAGTGCAGCAAGAACTTGCTAAAAAGCAGCACGAAAATTAACATTCATCTAGGATCCCACTCTCCAGAGCCTATCTCCCTCACAAGTCGCCGTAGCATCTTTGGGACACGATGGTCTTGCAAGGCCAGTCAAGGATTGTCATAAGTGGCGCTGGACAAGGTGAACCCGGTTGACTTTGCCACGTTGTTCGGAAACTCTGACCTCTGTCTCATAGGCATCGGACGAGCTCTTGCCCGTCACTTCGCTTCGGGTGGCCACAAGATCTTTATCCTTGATCTCAACGAAGACAATGTTCGACACACCGCCGAGGTTCATCTGAAAGAGTATGCCGACCGCGTTGGCTGGTCAGCCTGCAATCTGCGTTCTGTCGATGAGATCCGCTCAACTGTCGAGAAAGCCGTGAAGTTCCTGGACAACCGCATCGACTACCTCATCAACAATGCCGGCATTTCGTATCCATGTATGTTATCCCTCGCCTCGAGACTTCTATCCTTGTCCCTAGGCGTCTGCCCTACTGTGGTGCTATCCTAGACTTTCATATCTTTTCCTGAGCATTCGCACCCGGCTTCATATTTTATCTGCATAGGTTTAACGGGTATGCAGACTGGCCTGACGGCAAGACCATGGAAGACCCCTCGGTCCTGGACAAGTGGAATGCTTACGTCGAAACCAACCTTACTGGGCCCTTCGCCATGTCACAGGCTTGCCTTCCCTACATGAAGGTCAAGAGGCAGGAGGACAAGCAGAAGCTCCCCGACTCAAAAGTTGGTACTGCTGGCCCGTGCATCATCCATATGAGCAGCTTCCGTGCCATGATCTCTGATCCCAACCAGGAGGGTTATGCTTCGACCAAGGGTATGTTTGGCGATAGACTTGCACAGTGAGAATATTAAGCAAGCAAATGGCTGACTGCATCAATAGCTGCTCTGCTAGGTCTCACCCAGAGCATGGCGGTCTCGCTCCAGAGCTTCGGAGTCCGCGTCAACATGGTCTCACCAGGTCGTATCAAGGTCACGCATGAGAATCAAGACGCAGACGAGAGCGGGACGGAATGGAAAGCCGAAGAAGATGACATCGAAACCCATCCTGCCAATCGAGCGGGACTACCGGAGGATATTACTGAAGCCTGCGAGTACTTGATGGGAGCCGGATTTGTCACTGGCCAGAATCTGGTTGTCGATGGTGGTGTCAGTAAGGTGAAGGGGAAGGCCTAGTAGAATCCGGCCTGAGCTGCCATGGATGCGGACTTTGCGGAGGTGGTGTTCGCGTGTGTTGATAGGTGGGTGCTAAAGCATAGCAGGCCTAGATCTTTCACCCTGGTAAGCACAAGGACCAGAGTTCCATAGATTGAGCGGCAGCAAGCAAAGCAACACCTCCTAGATTGACTCTGACTCGGAACAAATGAAGCCGACTTCCCTTAGCTCCACCAGCTCCATCTGAGGATGCGTGGGACAAAGGCTGATTACTCAAGCGAGGATCGAGACCATCATCTCCTCGCGGCTCGTGACGCCTTACCCCGGACTTTCGCTGTCAATTGCTTCTCTCGTCGGTCACCGAGCCGTGCTATTGGCCAGCAAATACGGCCGCTGACCTCATCGCTCCTTTCAGGATTCACCACGACTCTGGATAATACGTGACGAGTCAGTCATCGGGGAAACTGGCCGCCGAAGTATAAGAATCAGGCATTTGGCGATAAAGGATATCCAGACTCAATGTTTGCAACGAGATCTCCTTTCACCTCGACAGCATCTGTGTCGTCCTTGACCAAATCAGGTCCCTTGAACACGAAGTTCGTTTTCCGTCGTTTTCAGCAGCGTCTTACGGTACCACCAAGTCGGCGCAGCATGGCTACCGCCTCTCATATCGAACTGGATCCCGCCGCAGCTGGCGTCTACCATGTCCCCGACATATCAGCCCAGGCTGGTAAGGTTGGAAGCCAATTATTGCAGGAGAACCATGACAAGTTCCATATCTACTTCAACAACGGTGGCTTCCACAACCACATTGCTCATCATCTGTTGACCATCTATGCTCTGGGTGCCCGTCCAGAAGAGATCCAGAAGGCCTTTGATATCAACCAATCCTACCAGCGCCCGCAGTTTCCCATCAAGGAACGAAATGTCCAGTCGATGGACGACCCAGAAGAATTCAAGAACTTCTTAGGCAAGGAGCAATACTTTCACGACTTTGAGGCTTTCTTCCGCAAGCAGATCGAGGAGAAGGGCTGGGAGCAAGTTTTGAACGAGCAAGTCTTCGCCAAAACGGAGCACTCTGAGCGGATATTGGACAGGATGTTTGCCGGTGCGTGTCATCGACCCGCCTCTCATTCAATGCTGACCTTTGCCAGGTTTCTTACATCCTTTGATCCATTTGGGCTTTGGGGTTGAATTCAAACAGCCGGCTATCATTGTCGAAGCCTTGGCTCAAGCATGCATACACGACGGCTGGACAGGGACATTCCTCCATTCTGCTGAGGATGCCGCAAAGAGCACACAGTCCTCGAAAAGCCTGGTTCAACTCATCAATGAAGCTCGTGCAAGTGACAAGCTCCGCGAGTCGGCGCACTGGGAAGATGGCAACAAGCTTCGTGATGGCGTGTTCGTTCGCGCCAAAGACGAGATGATCGCTCTGGCAGCACAGTGGCACGTCAAACCCGACGAGCTCGAGCAAAAGACCGCAGAGATGATCAATGCCGCCGTGTATTTCACAGGTGCGGCACAGAAACCGGACAAACAAGTCAAATTCGACTTCTTCTACATGCACTGCGTCAACTGCTCCATCTTCTTCTCGGCATTCATCAAAGAACCCTGGCTCAAGGCGGAAGATATGGCCAGGCTATTGGAATGGAAGGGCCGGATGGACCTCGCACTGTACGTGTCGAGAGGATGTCCGGAACTGTTGATCGACGAGATTAAGAACTACCAACCCAAGAATCCCAACGATGGATGGTCGGAGATCATTCGGCGGGTGGATCAGTTACCTGATGACGGACACGCGAGTAAGCTTGTGAGGGCGTTGGCGAACAGCGAGCAAGTGTGCAAGCAGTATGAAAGCCAGCCAGATGATGTTTTCGCGATCAAAGGGGATATGTTCTTGAAGCTCGGGCATATGGCCATCGACTCGGTGGAAGGTAGCGACTCCAACTGGGTGCGATCAGCAGGCTTCGATGAAGCATGGAAGGACGTCCCGGCGCGAGCGAAATTGTGAGACTATCGCGGTAGCTATACTCAGGAATGAGGATGTAATAGTGGATTTCTCGACGTAAAGGCATCGCCCTCGCCGTGTTGGCCTAATTGCCCTTTTGTTCCATGTCCATGCCCCTCATCCAATCACCTGGCGACCTCGGCGCGTCGATGAGACCGACGCCGACCCCGCGTCGAAGCATCTCGAGCATTATCGTCGAGTCACTCCAGGCATCAACGTTGGCCACCACGCCATCACCTTCCCCTCCTGTCTTATTACTTGAATTGTTTTCATCTGTTATTTCTTACTTGGTGGATCATTAGCCGCCTTCCAACATGCCAGACGATAAAGCTCCCAAAGACCGAACCTATCCCCCTCCTCCCATGGACCCTTTCCCCACCTATCAAACACCATTCCCTCGCTCGAACAAGGACGACGAGCAGAACCCCTTCATTCAATTCCGCCGTTTCGCCGATGAACAAGTATCGTCACTCTTGTCAGGCTTCCCACAATTCTTCGGTTTGGCGTCGGGTGCGAGTGACCATTGGAAGAGAGAAGTCGAAGACATTATGCGCCAGAGACAAGAATGGGAAGAGGGATTCCGCAAACAATTTGAGCAGGAGATGGAGGAGATGAGGCAGCAGTTAGAGAAGTCCAAAACCGAGGCTTGGAAGGGTATGGAGGATGCGTGGAAACAGCACTCCAAACAATATGAGAAAAAGGACGAGGGTGCGCCTACGCCATGGTGGGCAAGAGGCAAGGCTGTCCAGTGCCCTGCATTGAATGGGCAACAGCCGCAGAGCAATGCGGCAAAATGTCCTGCTTTGTACGACGAGAAGGGACAACCAAGGACCGAGTTGGATGCCTACAACGCTTTACAGGCAGACAGTGACAAGCAGGTCCAAGTCTTCCAGGCATCGGCTCCAGAGTCACCAAAGAAGCCATTGAAATCGTGGTTCTCTGCACTCGGCTGGGATGGACAACAAAAGGAGAAATCGTCGAACAGTGATGCTGCCTCTGGCGAAGACGCAATGGTCAAGAGCGAGAAACCCCTAGGACGGCCGACGACGTATTCGCTGTGGGCAGCCCGCCGTATGCAGCCATTCGACAACGCCGATGAAACCATCCCCTGGCTTATGTTGAGTCCATACTCGCCCATCTATCTTTGCAACCCAGCCCAGTCACGGCTGTTCAAAGTCAAAGTCCAAGATTCGGAAGGTGCTCCTTTGCAGATCTCCAGCGCTAGGTTCTTTGAGAGATGGTATACAGACGTTGACGAGAAGATGGCGACCCAGAAACCGTGGGCTGATGCCTTTGAGGATCTGCTGAGTGTCCAGCAGACTGGGAAGATGGTTGACAGGGACAACTGGAACACCTGGCGCACCCCAAGCACTTGGATCCATGACATGGTTAACCGGGGCAGTCTCGGAAATCGATGGGGATTCAATGATCAAGGGCTGTTGGTCAAGCGAGCTGACGCAACCAAAGTAACGCTAGAGACTGCACCAGAAAGCAAAGAGGATCGATGTGCCAAATGGCGCAAAAACCGCGACTGTCGCGGCAAGAAGTCCTCGGAACCTACCCCTGCGCCTGCCTCGTCCCCAGCAGGCGACGAAAGTGCCCTTGTCGACAAGGTTACCGAAGCGCTAGCACCTTTCCCGCTCTTCGGTAGCATCATCTCTGCTGCCGATGCGATCGTTTCAGCCGTTGATCAAGCGTCGCAGAAGGAGACCCAAACTCACGCACAAGCTGTATCCTCGACCGACGCGTCGGCGTCTGAGCGTCAATCCCATGCCGCTACTCAGGAGCAAAGCCAAAACACTTCCTCAGCTCACTCGGCCTCATCAACTTCATACCTATACGACTCGTCAGTTCCATCTCCTGCCAAGTCCATAGTCTCAACCTTGACAACCACCACAACACGCACCCTTCCTGACGGCTCAGTGGAGACCAAACGCGTCCTGAAACGCCGTTTTACCGATGGATCGGAGGAAAGCGACGAGAGAGTGGAGGTCAAGAATGCTTCCTCAGCGATAGGTACTAATACCAATGCCGATTTCAGGGGCACCTGGCCCATCACAAATGCGAAACAGACAAAGGACAAAGAGACACAAACTCAGGTGCAACCTGGAATGCTCGAAGACGCTCCCCTGCACCCGCAACGTCTCGAGGAGCAGCACCACCAGGCTGCCCAGCAGAGAGAGGAACACCCTGCTCATCAACGGCAACTAGACGACGACCAACTAGCTCTGCAGAGACAACCGCAAAGACAATATCCCCGGAGAATCGCCATCATTAACGACGATGAGGATGGGAATGTGTCGACGCCTGAAGCCCAGCAGCCACAGACGCCTGAGACGCAGCACCAGCAACAAGCTGCCGCCGCCACCAGACGGAGGGGAAGCGGATGGTTCTGGAACTAATCTTGTGGTGTGCCATGCCATGCTATGAGTACAAGCCAACGAGCAGGGCTTCTCGCCTCGTAGGGCATTCCTGCTTTTCTCGGTGTCTATTTGCAATCGAGGAGCAAAGGAGTACAGCCCAGCATAGCACGACACAGTGCAGTATGCGATGGGATGTGGCAGGACAGGACGGGACAGGATTGTAGGAACCGAAGTTTTATGGTTGATAATCTCTTCTCATTCATGTCTTCTACGAGAATATATGTGTAGCGCTGCGTTGCGGTATCTAATTTGAACTCGCATTGAATATGATCACGACTTCATCTTACCATACTACAGTCTACTCAGAATTAGAATCTTATGCGTACTGCATATGAGCGTGGAGGGGTAAAGGGCAAGGATCCCAACGCAAGGAAATGTATCACTGCCACTATATGCTCCGGTTGTGCCGAGCTTGAGTTAAAAGTCATCTCTGTTTGTACGAAGTACGCTCAAGTGAAAAATGCAGCACACATATGTAACCCGGTAGACCGGGTGCCTGGGTCTGGTTTCAGGCATTGTGGATGTTGGACTGGGCTCAACGACTCCTCAGCGCTGTAGATCGAGGCGGACTCCGTCGCTCTGGTCATCTTGCGCGCGATGTCCAAGCCACACGCCTGCTGAGTTCTCGCCTCGTGTGATGGCTGTGTTGATTGTTGCTCGTCGCCGTGCGTAAAAACACCGACCTTGAAACGCCTCTCCCGCCATGCGAGCAAAGAGGCCAAAGAGGCATGAAACATGCAACAAGAAAAAATGCCCAAAAACAGTCAGCCGCCATGATCCAGAGACTTCATCTCGCGTTCGTCGTGGATCTCATGATATCTCTCGTTTGTCCTTCATCAATACTCTATGACAGATCCTCCATCCAAGGACTCTTGGTGATTAGAACTTTTCGTTCCGTAGTTCGCTCTTCGTCAAATGTGCTCCCGCATCGTGCGCCGTTTAGAATACATCATCAGGCCATTCCCAGTTCTCGCGCCTTACAGCTTTGGCCTGCACAGCAACATCTTCGTGGACCTTGACTTCCTTTGCCGCAGCAACCCTCTTTGGGCTTCCAACTGGAGTTGGGATCAACTTGGGTATATGCTTCATTGGGTGCAAATTCTCTCTCGTCGGCTTCTTCTCCGCATCTGAGCCTTCATCTTGTTCCAAAATCATGGATACCGCACGTGGGAGCTCTGCGCCTCTAGCGAGTGACGCGCGCCTGCTATGCTTTGCTGTTGCTTTCCTGGGCTGTGCGCTTAGGGGCCGACCACGCTCGAGAGTGTCTTCAGGAACGGTCTTGAGGTCATCTTGGCTTGATATCTTCCGAGGCACATTTCTGGTGTTACTCAGAGGCTGCAAGGCTGCTCGTTCAGTCGAAGGTACCGGTGGGACCGGTGGCGGCGACACTCCCAGATTTTCCCGGCTTGACTTCTTGGTGGAGGACTCGTGCAGAGGTGCATTGTCCGCTTCGTAAGAAACTGGTGATTTTAGGGATAAGAGTGTTGAAGACGGCGTTATCGGCTCAATATTCACAGCATTCACCCGAGCACCTTCTCGTTGCTGTTTCAACATGGCTCGAAGCTGTCGGTTTTCCTTTTCCAATTCTCGACGACTCGGCCGCTTTTGGAGGTCGATGTCGTGAACACCGTCAAACGTCGTAGACTCGGCTGAGGCAACGGTAGAGGACGACCAACTCAGCCGTCGTCTGGCCTTATCAGGAATACTGCATGAAGGGGTTCGGCCTCGTGGTGCGACTGGAGGCTTTTCAGGGGATTCGTCATCTGAAGTCGCGAGAGCAACATTGGACTTTCTCCGCTTCATGCCAAATTGTTGAGAATATGCCTCCTCGGCTCGTCTTTTGCGATCATTAGCCACATCAATACTACTCTTCTGAGGGCTCGTGTCATCCAGATCGATTTGACTCGCAGCGGCCTTCTTCTTGTCACCGTGGAGATTCCACAGAGACATGCTTTTCCGGAGCCCTTTCTTCTTTCTCACAGTCTGGACCTCTTGGTCGGTCTTCATCACCTCCGCCTTGGAGGCATCTTTCGGCCTGGGTTTGGTACCTAATTTGAACAGGCGTTGGGTAAAGGTCGGAACAGCCACGGGCTGAGGGTTGAATTCAATGACGTCGATTGAGGAGGTTTGTGGTGAGGGGCGTGGTGTTGTGTCGTTGTCCGACTCGTCAGTACCAGAAATGCTGGCAAGTGAGCCATGATCGTTCCAAGTGGAGGAGATCCCGGCGGATCTATCATTCATGGACCCTTCAGCAAACTTCGAAGGCCGTGTAGAGTGCTCCTGCTCTTGTTGTAGGCTGTCTGCATTATTCTCTCCGAAGGGACTGGGCCCTGGATTAGGACCTCGCCTGGTCTTGGGTCTGTCGTTGACATCGAGCGAGTGTGAAGACGGCGCGAAAGGACGTAGATTGCGAGGGTGGACAGGACTGCCGTCTCCAGAATGTGTCCCGTGGGATATGCCCTCGACAAAAGCCTTGTTCGTTCTGAGTGGTGGCGGCCTACCCCAGACTTCACGCTCCTCCGTGATAAACTGTGGCCCATGATCGAACGTGTCAAAGGCAGACTTGCCAACTGTCCAAGTCGGGGGAGAACTGCTGCCACGCTGAACCCGTAGACTCGAGACGTGTTGTAATTGAGGCGACGCCTGAGGTGTTATTACCGCGTTTCGAGGAGGTGACGGGGGGTTGTCGTGTAAAGTCCGGATATTTGATTGAAACCTCTGGCGCGGTGACAGGGGCAAGGATTGGTGATTTGAGGGTGTCGGAGCTCGGGAGGGAGCCATCATTGCTTGTGTCTGCGACAAGAGACTGGCCAACTCTTGACGATTCATGGTGACCACAAGACTGATTATGCCATTAGTATCAGTAGATGCGGGCCTAAACGTATTAAGCAGTGGGAAAAGAATAACAGCCTCGTAAACTGTATACTGAGAGTTGTGGTGAATTGTAAAGGTGAAGATCGAGAGAATGGTTTGTTTACATGGAGATGCAGGGAATGGCCCGCATGCATGCACCTCGAAATTGGAGGGGCACCGATTGGCAACTGCGAGCCGCCGAGGTTGCTGACTACACACCCTCGACACCCCCAGACGCCCCGATCTACAGCTGGAGGATCGCCCGGGTGTCCTACCACCGTGCCAGCCGCGCCATCCCCGGCCATTATGGGATTGTCTCTTTTCGGTAGCTGGCAGAGGCGTCAGTCCGACGCCCCGGCAGTCTAGGTATGCTTCAGAGCTCATTCGTTGCCCGTCATCTCAGGTTTTCGGGGCTTCTGTTACTTTTGAGGGGCAGACAACTGTGGCTTTCCCTCTTCTGAGCCCTTGAAACGTGCCTCAATTGGTTCGGTATGGTCTTTTTTCCCCTTTGACACTCGACCAGGACTCGGAGGATCCCTAATCTACAAACGGTCACCAAGTTTGAGCTTCCCCGGTGCATGCTGACGGGCCTCATGCACTTCGACCCTGATTCAATCCCGGCTTACTGGGTCCTCTCCTACCACGACTCATGCTTTTGAAGCTAAGCTGAACTAGAATCAAATAGAGCCTTCACACGACCTTGTCCGAACGTCTGTGCTAGTAGCCTAGGTTCATCTTCTTATTCCACCAGACTCCCAAAACTCTGCCAGTCCACGCATCTCATCGCAAGATGACACCCACTCGACTGTGTTCACGACGTGTTGGCCAGCTTCCCACGCACGTTTCTGGATTGAGAGTCTGCTCAACATGGTTGGCGTCCCTGGGAAGAGTAAAGGCTGCAGCACATGCCGCCGTCGGAAAAAAGGCGTAAGTGTCGAAGATATCTCTAATTAATACACAGCCACCTCCGCTCTCACTTGCACACCTCATTTTTAACACACATGTTGCTCATTTGATCTCAATACAGTGCGACCTGAAACGACCCGTTTGTGGCCAATGCGCCTCGAGCGGATATGTCTGTGGAGGTTATAATCGCGATCGAACTTTTATCCACCATCCTGCGAGCAAAGCCGTTGCACATGCCATCTTCCTCCCTCACAACCGACCCACGCCGCTTACCCTGCCAGGCTCAGTCAACCGAGGTGCCGTCGAGTCGCAATGCAAGAGTCTTTTTTGGGACTTGTACATGCCCCGGGGAGATACAATGTGTCGAGACGATTTTATCTTACGTTGCGGGTATCCCATGAACTGGATCGAGGTCATCCAAAACGTCTCAAAGCAAGATGCTTCGTTAACGGATGCCTTCTCGGCATTGAGCATCTCAAGAGTCGGTCAGGGGCACAAGGACGTTCGTCTTGTCCACGAGAGCGCCAAACTATATGGAAGGGCCCTGAAAGAATTGCAACTTGCCCTGTTCGATGCTGACCGAATGCACTCCGACCATGTACTCATGGCTTGTATGCTTCTGGGTCTCTACGAAGTCCTCGAAGGACCAGCGCTCAACTCGAGGAGCTGGATGGCTCATGCTGCTGGTGCTGCTCGCCTGGTAGAACTGCGTGGACCGAAGCGACATCAACACTGGGATGCGCATCATCCTTTTCTCGCCACCAGGATCCCTACCATCTATGCTTCCATTTTACAGAGAAAGGCGACATATCTGGCCGAACCGGAGTGGCTAACAATACCTTGGGAATTCCAGCATCGGACTTATTTCGACAGCATGGTCGACCTGGGAACCATCGTCCCGGGAATCTTGCAGAAATTCGACATTCTCCGAGAAAGTGAAGCGGATAAAACTGCAGACCTAATTCAGCTGTTGGATGAATGCAGAGATCTGCAAAATAAGATGGAGAGGTGGAAAGACGGCACCAAGAAGGGCGCTTTACCTCGTGAAGTCCCGCATGACGCTGCTGACCCGGATTATCCCTTTGAAACTGATCTGTGGTTCGAAAATCATTTATTCATTCAAGCACGTCTGGTCTACTACACCTGCTCCCTGGCTTTGAGCGAAGTAGCTGGTGAGATCCTCCAAGCTCTCAAACATGGAGATCAAAAACTGCCAGAAGCCCTGGATCCTGCTACATCGGGGCAACATTTCGACTCGGGTCGACACGCTGCAAGGATCGCTCGCTGTGTCGCTTACTGCTTACAACCGGAGATGGGGGCTTTGGGTGCCAGCATCATCAACTTTCCGGCAAATCTGGCATTTACATATTATGAGAGAGTCGAGCACACTGCTGCCGTAGACTGGTTCACAAAAGCGTCCCGGTCTGCTAAAGCCAGAGGATTACATGTGGACAATGTATTCACACAACTCCTCCCCAACGTTCGAGACAAAGACGACCGCGTGCGGTTCCTCAAGAGAGAATCGAGTACAGAATCATCCGAGAGTGGAAACTCCACCAGCTCCGGTATGAGTATGGCGAGCTCCGCTACAACGATATTTATCTACGAGGACCCTGCGAAAGATTTTTATGACGCGACCGATGACCCGGGCTGAGAGGAATCTCCTGTGCTTCAAGACAAATTTACAAAGTCGGAATTCGTGGAATCCGTGGCCGCCTTAGTGCGACGAGACAAGTCCAAACTTGTGATTTCGCAGATCAAGTTCTATGCCCAGTCGAACAACTATAAAAGAACGCTCACACTCCTGTTGGATCAGTCTACCAGTTATAAACTGCTCGATATCAGCTCGTTTGAGGGCAAAGGATCATGCGGATTGCCAGGTTGATGCAGCTTGGTATGGCTGTGTCTGCAAAGTGATAGCATCTCCAAGGCCTTGCTGCTAGGTGCACTTTTGGTTGTTTCCCCACGACCTTCTTGTCCACGGCAATGCCAGAACGCGAACTTCTCCGTATTGGGCCAAAGACATATACCAGGCTTCCGGGTACGGAGTACATCAAGGCACCATGCATAAGAAGCTCCAGCCTATAGAACGGCCAAACAGCACATTAAAGCTCACTGGTACCGATCCAAAATCTCGCCAGCTCTCCAAGCACCCAGCAAGAGGCATGTATATTCAGCATGCTTGCTGCTTGCTGCTCAATCTGCTTCTTCCACTGCCACTCAATTCGAATCTTGAACGTGCTTCGTTACACCCCCCGGACGCCTCCACCCTCGTCTACATCTCCGGATCAGCTTTACCCAACAGGCAATGCCCTGTGAGTTCTTACAGCATCCAGACGCACAACAAGCTCCGAACAGGCGTTATATCAAGCGTCGTATTTCAAATTGTCGGTTTTGGGATATGTATTCCAGTCTCTGGAAGCGAGGAAATGGTTGATTCCTTCGGCGTCGTCAACTCCTTGCCACCGGAGAACACAGCCTCCACGTCTGGCACGATCGCTTCAAACGTCCATGGTATCGGCTCCGCAGAAGTCGCCAAAAGTCCACGCATTTTTGTCATTATTCTGGGAGGTTGCCAGAGCCAGACTTTCCGGACGCAACATGCTTTACAAGACTAGTCTTCCGTCACGGCACAAGGGGGAGCCTGGAGGAATGGCATTGCTCCACATTTGAATAGGAGCCCACTCAGCGAACCAACCGGCCGAAGGGAAAGCTGTATGCAGCTTCACAATGCATCAGTACTTGTATTTGTAGTCGACAACGTCCTATAGCGGGAGCTAGCAGCAGACAGTGCTGAAAATAAGGCATTGTTGTCCCTGCAAAAGCAGTGGTTGCTCGGCGGCAAAAGGATACCCCTAGCCATGACTTTTTTCACGTCCACGCCCAGATCAGAAATCCGACGGACGAGGCAGAGGAGCCTTTGGCGCTCTCATCGAACTGGACACACAATAGCTTTCTCATCGTGATTCCAGCAACCCGCCGCATCCAAGTGTGAAGTCGCCCGCCGTGGCTACACATTGTCACAGTGGAGGGTCGGCGAGCGGCCTCCTTAACCAATTTGTCGGTGTCCGTAGAACACAACGCAATTTTTGGTCTCGCACTTTTCGATAACTGCCACACTGCTTGGCCGGCTTGTGAAGGGCGATCTTCCCCAGTAATCCTCATCATAAAGCGTAACCCAATGCATCAGAATCCTCAGTGCATGTTGTATGTTGGACAAGCCTGTTGTCAGGAAGCGCCGCAACCAACCCCGCCACTGGACATGAGAGTGAAAGCAAACCGTAGGTTGAGACATAGCATATTCAGAGAGGTGCTACACCGTTGTTAAGGTTGTCCAAGGGTGACACCCAGAGAATTTCTCACACTGATGGTTGTCTTGAAGCACTCCTCTCATTGCTCTGAGTCTCCTCTCTGGTCAACACAGAGCTCGACTCTGATCGGATATATTACGTGGCGCGCCCTTTATGCATCGCTCATTGCTGGTCCTTGTCCTCGCCTCCACGCAGCGTCAAATTAGTCTCCAGCACCAGGATGAACTCCGTGCCGTCCTATCTTGGATTTTCCGCGCGTGTAAGACATATTGTTGACGAAGCTGCAATGTGCACTAGAATTTGCGGCAACAACACATCGAGATTATCTGTAAACACGCAGCTTTCCAGTTCTTGCAGACTCCACTCTACTTACGTGGTCCGATTCACCAACTTCTCCACATGCGACCTCGAACCACTAGGCCACGCTTCGTGCAACAGGACTCTGGCATTGCCTCGTTTTCGAACGCGTCCAGCACTTCTTTTGCTGCTCGTCACTTGATGGTTTCCTTTCGTGACACATCCCGACCACGGCATGTCCCTTGCTCCACGAGAGAACCATGACAATCCAACTCCCCGACACCTGACCAGCGGGTCTCTCCATGAAGGTCCACCCAGCGGGATAAGACAAGCCCTTTTCATTGCCGACGGGGTAAAGCGATCCCTACTGTACCACATCGAAAGCTTTCAGATATTATCTGACCAGATTCGTTTGCGAACAAAACACACCTCAGAATCGGGCAAGGGTGAGGAACACGAAGGGCGATGAAGCAACCCCCTCGTTGAACACTGATACAGCCTTCAGCTAACTGTCATCCATTAAATAGTAGTCACCGTCAGCCAACAACGACCCGAACCCCTCGACGAAGAAGACCCAGCGACCAGACGAAACCTCGTCCAACGCAAGCTCCTGAACGATCTCCAGCGCCTTCTGGACGGGACCGCGCGACTAGAGCGGTTATTACGCCGAGGCCGACTCATCCGATGGCTCGTTGATGGCACATTGTAAGTCCCGGCCGGCAGGTCACACACAGTGCAGTTACTGTGGGGACCTTGTTCCCTTGCCTGCCTGGTGTGCTCGATCGTGTCTAAGCTGACAACGTACTCACCAACCACCAGAGCAGCCCTATGGCACGCCGTCGTGCTCAACATGATAACCCCCGCCTTCTCACGCCGATACCCCAGGAAATCCCTCGCATGGCTCATCCAGATCTACCCGCACATGCATGTCAAGGTCCGACTCCCTACAACCTACCTGGCCACGATGGCCTACCTGGTGTCCCTCCCCTTATTTGCCTTCCCGCTCCTCACCTACGAGAAGCAGCTCTCATGCACGCTTGTCGTCCGGGACGAGCTTGTGGATCTGCAGCGTCTGGTGCGCCGTGGCCATATGCTCGGGGAGCGGGATGTCGAAGTCCTGCGTGATTCGCGGTGGGATGCCGTCCCCTGGGAGAAGGTCGAAGGGTTGCTTAGGTAGGTGGATGGTATTTCCGATCGGAAGCCACCAGTCAGTCCAAGGAGGGAATGACGCGCAAACCAAGCCAGAAGAGACGAAGTGGAATCCAACTTGATTGCGCTGTCAGCCTGCAGTGCTGCGTGCTGCATGCTACCAGCCAGTACGGTACATTGCAATAGCTTGCTAACACGACGGGGGGATTCGAAGCTCAGAGTCACCAGGGCATCAGCTCAGCTCAGCTCAACTCGACCCGGACCGGCTTACTGTGGCTGGACCTTTTTGTCGCATTTCGACATCCCCGCCGGTGAATGTTGAGATGCTCGACCTAATGTCGCTCTGTCTGTGGCGATTAGGGAGACACGCGCCCTCCTCTGGCGCCTGTGGATTGTAATCACCTGAAGTCAGGAGGCGGGCATCCACTCGAAAGGAACGCCATGTGTAGATCAGTCTAGGTGTAGACCAGTCGGACATCGCGCGATGCAGGGGCTGGCTTGTGAACGCAAAAGCGAGGATTCTCTCGTTCATGGGTGCTGGATCTATCGGCATACTCATATTCCCCGACGTATCGTGCCAGGATGTGGTTGATCACCCACCCGTGGACGGACAAAGCTTGTCACATGCGAAGCACGCATTCCGCAGCGCAGAGCGCGGACAGTGGCTATGGTTGGAGTCTTAGATTTGAGAAACCGGCCATTACACTATGTACATAAAGGACGTGTCGTAGGAACTGCCTTTTACCAGTAACGTATGACTCCACGCACCACGCCTAAATTCGCTCTCATGAGCAGAAGGATAGAATGTCGAAAAGATGAACACGCCCTTCCCAGACGGTGTGTCTGTATGTCCGTGTGCCTATGGTATATACAAGGACCATGCAACGCGCCCAATCACCGATGCTCTACCATTCCCGCATTCATCTCACCTCATACCAGCTGATCATCTCCCCATCTCGCGATATACATCCCCATGGCCTTGACGGGGAAGTAGAACTTATAGTTCGGGTACGTGATCATACAGCTGCAGTTGAAGACCCCCTCGATGGCCTCCTGCAACCACTCGCCATTCGCCTGCTGCCGCCGCATGATCATCTGGATCGCTCGCCTGATCGGCTCCTCGACCGGATACCCGGCGTACATGAGGGCAATCACCGCCCAAGCAGTCTGCACGACCTGCGACCTTTCAGGATGGTCGACCCAAACCTTGAGTTCAGACGCGCGGTAGCTCTCACCCCACCCGCCGTCAGCCATCTGCTTGTCGATGAGGAAGTCGCACGCCTTCCGGACGCGGGAGGAATCTTTGTACGTTTCGCCGACGGAGCTCAGCGACTCGAGCGCGAACATGGCCGCATACGTAAAACAGATGCCCCAGCTCCCGTACCATGAACCGTCCTCACGCTGGGCTCGGCGGATGTACTCCAACGCCGATTGCTTGATCGCGGCGATCTCCTCCGCACGATAGTCCGGGTAGTACTTCTGGAAGAGGCTCAAGACGGTGACCACCGCAGTGGTGCACTCCGGGTAATCGTACTCGACCATGATGCGGCCGAAAACTTCCGCCGCGTTGAGCATTTCCAGGTATTCGGAGCCTCGCTGGGGCTCGTAACTCGCGAATCCGCCGGTGTGTTTGTTTTGCATGGTCAGTAAGATATCGACAGCGTCGAAGATCCGTTCGTCCGAGATGATGCGCTGGTAGTTGTGCTGGTTCTGTAGAAGGAGGACGACTCTCAGTGCTTCGGACGTACAGTCACTGACAGTGTAGCCTTGGAGCTTGGTGGAGAAAGGCCATGCACCCTTGCGAGGTTGGCGGTAGCAGATCTCGCGGTCGGCGACTTCCTCCCGTATCTGTTCGGATTCGAGATATTGTAATGCGGACTGGAGCATTGGTTTCCATTTCGGCGCGTTGGCCAGACCGGCTTCACAGCATGCTTGGATCGAGAAGGCGGTATCCCAGACTTGGACACCGTTTGTGCCGTTGACCAGCATGCCGTCTTTGTTGACCCAGAGATATTCCTCCAGACGGTAGAGGTGGCGTTTGAAGCTGTAACTGTCTGGACCTTCTTTAATGAAGCATACCAGTGTGTTCATGGGGGCGTTGACGGGTGCAAGGTCCGCATAGTCTGTGTTGTGGTCCTCGTATTGCACGAGTCGCCAGGTCCAGGCTTCGGCCTTTTCAATGATGGATCGTGTTCGTAGGAACGGGATCCATACCCAGATGAGAATGAAGTTGATGAGATTTAGAAGCCAGGTTTTCGGATGGTAGTTGTCTTCGGGGGCGATCGAATTGCGATGAGAGGCGAAATCGATAGACTCGTACGGCTGGACGAAGAGTTCTTGTCGTAGAGACCGTATGAGGGCGTTCTCGGGCATGACGAATTTCTTGGACCAGATGTACGACATGGGCAGGAAAACCTGGCGCATATGAATCCACCAGCGCCACGGGGCGATGGGCACCCAGTCAGGGAACAGCCACAGCTCAGGAGGCACAGGATTGACGATGTCCCATCGTGTGACGCCCAAAACGCTGAGCCAGAACTTGGCCCAGTGTGGGCCGTTGACGGCGCCGCCCATTTGATGTAGTCTACCTCTTGCTTTGATTACTCGAGGGTCTTCCTCGCTAGCTCCAAGGATGCGCAGGACCGTGTAGTTCATGGCTGTCCCGAAGACTGAACTGTGGCCTTCGACATGCAAGCCCCATCCCCCGTCTTCATTTTGTACCGCAAATAGATAGTTTCTCATCTCAATCTGGTACTCGGGTGGTATGGGTGTGCCGGTGACATACCAGGCGCACACGATACCCGTCATGAGGAAGAGAGGCCCGCCATATTCGCACGCCCAGTTTCCAGGCGGGAGTTGCAGTTTTGAATAGAAGGATAGGCAATTGTCTATTGACTCGGACGGTTTCGAGGCGGGAGGTAGGTCGGGCAAGTCCTGGGCCAGTCAGTATTGAAGCCTTGAGCCTTGCCCTCAGTTTGAACCTACAATTGGTAACCCTAGGTGATATCTGTCCGCCGTCGTCTGTGGCCATTCTTCCAACTCCTTGTCGGTCTTGAGATAATGCCAGGTATGTCGCCCAGACTCGTCGAGCAGTCGCCATCTCGACCGGTCTGTCTTTTGGTGACTTGAGCTCAATGGTTGACCCTTGATGTGTCCATTGGCGTGTCCGTTCGCGCTGCCTTTCGCATAGCCATTTTCGTGCCCGTTTGTGATGCCATTGACGGCCTTCTGTGCAGAGTGTCGCACTTGCGCCATCTTCGAACTTTGACTTTAGAGGAAGGTGGACATCACCGAGGTGATTAGGGTCGCATAAATGTACAGTAGACCCCTCGCCTCATTCCAACTCCAGTACACCGCCCCCAGGAAACTTGCCGTGCACAATAAAATTGTGAGGCCACTCGGAGGATCGATAAGCGGATGCAAGGTACACCGGCGCGCGGATTGGCCGATGGGCGGACCGACAGAGAACTGCACGTCATGTTCTAGGCGGGGAATGGGCGTGGGGTGTCGAGACGATTCGGGCCCTGCATTGCCCGGGCTGCCGAACGCATATCAAACAGGCACTGCAAATCGAATCAACGATGGACGACATCCTCATACCAGATGAGGGAGTCGATTCGGGCCATGTCACTGTGACAACAGCCAACCAGCAAGTAATCGACTACATCGAGGCCACGTTCAATGCTATCCTTGACGAGATCAGACGGCCCTCAGCAGACGGTAAGCCAGTATTGATACTAGACCGGATCGTCTCGGTCAAGCCATACTACGACGACGACGACTTTGCCCGATTGAAGTGGCATGTTGAAGCTCGTGAAGTGAGATATCACTTCCCTGGCAAGAACAAGGACGAAGCATGGAGATTCGGTGAGTAGAATATACAAGAACCTTTTGGTCTTCAGATCTAACTTTGGTTGAGCCTGCGTTGGGCGCATTTTGAGTGAGATCTATGCTGCACTCCGACAAGGTGTAACTATCACAAAGCGAGACATCTACTACCATGACCCGGCGCTATTCAAAAATCAAGAAACGGTTGATCGATACCTTGACGATATCGCCCACACTTGCCGTGTGACGAGACGAGACTTGAACGTGGTAAGCGACTGGTCAACAGAATTGTTCATCCCCAAGATGCTCATGGCTTCTCACCAGGTTGCAAGCCCGAAAGGTCTTGTTGCTGGACTCTTCACTTCCTCGGCCGATGATCATACACCCGTCATTCAGTCCATATGCGAAGGCACCCCGGTCAATGCGACAGCACATATCGGCTGGATCCTTGTCGTAGAAAAAGAGGTTGGCCCGGAACCGCTTGGTGAGAGCAGCTACTAACAGGGAAGTAGGCGACATTCAATGCTCTGGTGGAAAGAGAATTCCATCAACATCTCACAGTCGGCCCAGGCCTCATCGTAACCGTAGGCGGGCCCTCCGCATGTTGACTGCCTGCGTACTAATCAAGGTCTTCAGGCAAAGGGATACCCTGACCTTGCCACCAAGCAATTCTTGCGCCAAGTTCTTGATTATGCTCAATTCTCTATTCCCGTCTTTGGCCTCTTCGATTGGGATCCCGATGGGATCTGTATCCTTAAATGCTACCTGTACGGCTCCAAGAATTTGGCACAAGAGCACGACTGCAACATCCCTGAGATGAGATGGATCGGGCTCAAAGCGCAAGACACGACTACCTGTCAGTCTGCATATGATCCGTCGAGGCAAATAGGCAAGCGCGATCGGATAGCGGCTATTTCCATGCTGGCGAACCAGGAGTGGCGTGAAGATACGGGGGATGTGCTAGCTGGGCTGCAGGCACCGCTTGCTGAGCTCCGGCGGATGCTCATGTTGAACCGGAAAGTCGAGATCCAAAGCCTGGACGAGGCGCAGGGTGGCCTTGAGGACTGGTTGGCTGACAAGCTGAGGGCGGAGCTCGACTTGTGGTAAAGATGTATTGGGTTTCCAGGTCCAGACTCTTCGGTCAAGATATCAATGCCCGCGTATCATAATCCCAAAGATCGTCTTACTCCTTGTCTCACTCTCTTCTCAAATTCTGGCCGTCGTTCCCGCCACATTTTTGCTGCTTCCACGTTGGCCGGACTTTCGTCGTTCGGTTCAGCCAGCATCGACATGACGGATATCAGAATCTTTTCAACGCTCTGAATAGGCGACCACCGTTCTGATGCGCTCTCGTAATGATTCGGGTCATCGCCGGGAGGGTGCAGAATGGAGATGCACACCTCGCCGTTTGTGTATACTGCGACTCATTAGTCCACTTTTCTCTTCCCGTCGTAGCAGCACATTGTCCATACCATTAGGGTGCCAGATTTCACCAAGGAATTTCATTTTAGGCGGGTTCAAAGGGTAATCCTTAGGGAACTTGAGTTCAGCAGGAAAGATGCCGCCTTCGAAAGGTGTCCCTTCAGGTCCCTGAATCAGAGCTTCCCAGATGAACAGGTCATCTTCGTTTACCGGTCCTGCGGTGATGCCGTCCGGTGGGTTCGTCAATAGAGACTTGTATTCTTGGAACAACCGCTTTGAGGCTACGCTTGCGGCCATTGCTAAGAGGCCTGAGCCCGGATCGAGGTGCGACCAGGTTACGAGGTAGTGAGAGTTGATGTTAGGCGAGCAATACGCGCAGCCACCTAGGTTAGGTACGACCTGTCCAGGTAAGGATAACTGATCTTGCTGCCGTAGCAGTGCGGCTCCTAGGAGCGATACACTATCACTGTCTGGCGTTGGGGAAAGAAGTCCACGAAAGTCGGCACTCCGAGGAAGTCGCGCCCTTCAGTAAGTGATACGAGGTAGAACTGGTCAACTCTAATGACACCGCGAAGACAGGCATGACCAGTTCACGCAGACCCACGTGACGCAGTGACGCACGTGAGATCCCAAAGCGGAAATTTAGCCAGAAGCACATCTCAACGCCCCTTCCCCTTCGCGTCTGCCTTTCTTTACTCAGTTTGCTGCCTCCCCCACCTCTGGGTGACTTCCTCAGGCCTTGACATCGGCGGCTGATCTCACAGCCGTGTAGCTACCACGCGCCAAGGACGGTGCTCGACCGTCAATAATACCGCGTTGCTTATGCTATGAAGCAGCGAACTTCCTGCTAACTCCTTACCACAAGCTGGGCAACTCTCGTGAAGCAGAAATATTGAGGCCTCAATTACTCATTCTCGTGTTGGCCCGTGCTCACTATGCCGATATTTCGTCGATATCGCTCATCGCCTGCCTGCTAATGAACGCGTATTCGCAGTGCAAATGACAAGGATAGGTAAAATGGTAGATACGTAGGGAGGCAGTACCTTGCCTTAGGGCCTGTCAACGAGTATAAGATGATCACTGTATCCGCTGCTGGCCTTGAACTGGAGAAGATCAAACAAAGGGCGAAGCAGAATATCGCCTTGAGCACAGCGCAGTACAGCACATCTTCACTTACACCCAGGTTCGTGTCAACCTTACCACAGTACAAACGTTACAGTCTGCTCCGCCCACTCAATACAATACAACAAAGTTCATAACGTCCAAGCTTTTGACCTCGACTGTGCCACAGGCACACAAGGCACCTCTTTCAGCAGCATTGCTCTCAAACACGGCATCTACAAGATCCGTGGAGTAACCCGCAATCCCAGCAGCGAAAAGGCCAAAGCTCTCGCCGCTCGACGCGTCGAGACCGTCCAGGAGGTGTGGCATGCCCCAAGTCTGAAGGTCTGTAGAACGCGCCGTGTTCCCACGGTATGCCGGATACGGCGTGAATATCAGGCGTTCGCCCAGGATGGTGCGGTTGATGACCAGGCGATGTCGTCCGCGTTTAGATGGATGGGACAGTTCATTCATTCTCCGTCCTCCTTTGCGGCGCCTGTCTAAAGCAATAGTTGGAGATATATGGCGAGGTTGCACGAGGCAAAGCGTGCTTCTAAAGAAGTTTCTGCCTGAGGGACGACGCGATCAGAGTATACGGCTATTGATTTTGGGTTCTCAGAACGATACTCTCAACCACGTAAGATCTTCGCCTTCAAACATAGGGCCAATCTCGCCCAACTGTCGGCAGCATACTGTGTTTCGACCTGCCGGGATTATGTTGCCTTGGATCCGCCTTTGACTAAACACAGCTTGTTCTGTAAGTCCGAGACGTAAGAGTCGAGATTGCCAGCGCTACCTCGCGAAGCCTCACATGTAGATTCAGATCGCAGTAGTCGACTGCAAGACCAGTGAGCCCTTCCAAACACTTGCAAAGGCCGGAGCCAACGGGCTCATTGTAGTGGCACAGATTAGCTGCCTTCCGGTACATAACTGCTCAACGATCATACAGCCAAGTCAGACAGAGCAGCGTCGTGCAGATGCCATTACCGACCCTAAGAAGCGGCGATTCATCATGTGCACTTCGAGGCCGCGCGAGCTAGAAACGAGGCAACTGAACATATTGAAGGAAGCACGAGAGCGAGAGTCTTCGAAGTAACGACCGCATTGGGTAGGAGAACGAGGGCTCTCTGCTCTTTAGACCGAATGATTGGACCTTGGAGAAGTCAAGCGTGGACTTTGGCATGAGCGAGAAAGCATGTGAATCCGCGTATGGTGGAGTGAATGGGTCGTTTCTCGCGATACGTTGTCACCATAGGCGTGTGGAAGCCCAATCCGATACACCGTGGACCACACGTCTCCTTTCACGATCAGCCAGAGGTTGCGGGGTTTGCTGATGAAGAGCGGCGATCGAGATTGTCCCAACCTTAGGAAGACTTTCCCGCTTTGTCGTGTCACCAAAACCACCTTTCTTTGCCAACAACGGCTCGGTGTTCCTCGAAAGGGTAATAACCCTGGAACCATCAGCGAAAAATATCCCTGGCGAACAGTTCCGCCCCTATCAACCGAAAGCGGAAAGACGGAACAGACCTGGATGAGGAGTTGGTGGGAGGAGTTGAATGTCTTGCAACCTTCAACCCTGCCAGGTCGGGAGTCTAGACCAGCCGGAACTTTGGCGCGACAACACCAGTGGAGCACTGGGAGCCGTGCAGTACGTTTGTTGAGGTTGTTCCACCTGATGCATGTGACGCAGCGCCACACTTGGCGCGATCGTGCACCTCAACTTCAGTTCACCTCACGTTCACCTGAGCGTCACCTCGACCTTTCTTCATTCTACAAGGCAGGCAACGGGTTTTCCGCCAAACTCAGCAGTCATAGATGCGCTCCTTGAGGAATGCTGCTCTCTATGGCGGGACCGTGGCCTGGCCTTCCTTTGCTTCCTGGCACCATGGAGTCCCGTTCGTGTCTCTCCGCAGTCCATAGTGGTATTGAAGCAGTAGCACTTTCAAATGGGTCTTTTGGCACTGGATGCCAAATTGCGCCTCCTGCCCGACCTGACCCTGGGGATTCGTTATGCTATTATGGAAGTGCCCCTATCGCATGATTTTCTCGAGACGATTGTCCAGATGATGGTCGTTCTACCACGCAGACGTTCGCCATCGCCACGTTCGTCCTCACCTCAATTCATTTTGACGCCCACGAATTATCCTCAGCCGCTGGCCATCGGCCGCAAGAAATACGAATACTGGATCAATTCACCAATAGTCCCTCCAAATTTTGAACCCGAACGTGATACTCTGATATGAACCAGATAACATGACTAGATGACCCCTTCCTGCGAACGCACCGCAGACCACGGTCTTAGCGAATAACCTCGATCAAGCAGGCATCAAGGGGTCAGCAACACCTATGATCTCCGCTCTTGAAGTATGCTCACACGAACATTCAACTTACCGTCGCGTTCCATGTCGAACTCTGCCGGAGGCTATGTGCTTGCGCAAGCCTTGACTTTACTTCTCCGCCATCCATAGATCAACCAACCGATCGATCTTGTCGAAGGCGAACTCGATTCTGTCACCTTCGGTGAAGTCGTCGCCCAGTCTACTTTCAATACTTCCCATCCCCATCGCCAGACGCGGTTCACCCAGAACGCTACGTCCCAATGTCGAGGACCATGTCCGAGATAGTGGCGAATAGTAGACCGAGTCCGGTGACTCCAGTGAGTCCGATATTTGAGACAACGGGGAATAATAGACCAAGTCCGGTGACTCCCATGTCTGCGACGGTGATGGGTAACACACCGACTCCGATAACTCGGATGATACCCGTGCCCGTCCTCCGTATCTCGGCGGCTCGGACATTTGCACGTCAGTCCACGACCCCTCTAAGACATTTGCTCTGACGATGTCGCTTCTAATGTCAGTCCGCAAGGTTGCGCTATTGAGTGCACTGGCGTAGTCTTCGACAGTATCGAAGTGGTCAGTACCCAGGACGTTTCTCATGGATGGTAAACCATCGTCGTACCGATCTGTCCGATAGCGATGGGCATTCCAGGTATGGTGATTTCTGGCCCCATGGCAATACCCGCCTTTGCGAGGCACTCTCGCTCGGGTCAATCGAGCAAATACTTTCCACTGGGGAAATGGAACCGTAGCGATGACCATGGCGAGCCCGAGCCCGATCCCGAGCGCTTGGTGAGTTGGTCACAGATTCGGAAGGGGTGATGGAGCAGGCACTGGTACTTACCGCGGACGCTTGCTCTTCGTGGCTCGAATAGCCAGAAGAAGTCACGGGAGACCAGCTCCCGTGTTCTGGCGTCAATACTCGAGAGCAGCGTTCCGAGTACGCCTCAGAACCTGCATCTGACGGGACGTAAATGAGAAGGGGAGACTGACATACCTGGCTTTCTTGTCGTCGCTGTCGTCGTTGTTGTTGTTCCTGCTGCTGACGTTCATATTGATCTGGACTCGCAGCGGTCTCATATGACAAATCCGAAGTGGTGGACGAAGACGAGACGTACGATCCACAATCTAGCCTATGCAAACCAAATGTTAGCCTTCATACCCAAATCAAGAACCCACGTCGCACGCCGCACGTGGCGTCGAAATCAGAAATACGAATGATACATACCTCGTTATTGGTTCGATGGGCGTGATGCCGCACTCAAATTGAACGAGGAGGCTTCTCAAGGAACGTCGCAGAAACCTCACCTCCTCCGAGGCCTGGGCTACGGAAGCTGCCTCCGAAGCAGCACGAAGGCATGACCACAGGCTGTCGATGAGCTCCCCGTCGGTGTATTCGTGGGCACCCTGGGAGATGATGGACCCGAAGGTGCTCAGCTGGAGGTACTGCAGTGCGTCGGCCAGGACGACCTGCACGGTTAATTCGGCCGGGAAGCCCCTGTCAGAGCAGTCAGAGGAGGTGTCGATGGCGGTGTCGGTATTCTCCCAGTCTGTTGACATATCCACATCATCAGCTCGCGCCGCAGAGAGGGCAACGTGGTCAATACTCTCGTACGTGGTGACCAAGAGGCGGGACATCTCGAGCCGTTCCTGGAGCACTTCGCCCGCTGATCGATTAGAACCCATCCTGTGTGCTCCTGAACACGAACTCGACGACCCTGGTGGCTTGGTCAGACACGAAATGCTTTCTCGGTCTTTGAATCTGCTGTGGCTTGTTGCTCTGACGTTCCTGGTATGCTGATGTCCTGGAGTCCTGGGGTCCTGGGGTCCTGGGGTCCTCCTGCCCTTATTTATGGACGAAAATGCGTCCAGAACAAGTGAAAAGAGAGAACAAAACATCATGACGCGTCGAGCAAAAGGAATTAGAAGAGGAGGCAGAGGTATTAGTGGCCCCTTATTGTGGCCCCTTGTTCTGGTCCTCTGTTCGAAGAATCTCAAAGATCTACTCCGTACGACGATCTACTTCTTTACCTCATGGCTGGTTCATCGAATGGAACAAAAATGCTGCCTCGACTCCATTCAGCGTTTCACGGACAAAGCTCCCTCATAGTGATAGTGGGGAATGCCGCCAAGTACAACCAACTCTACCGTATACACGTATGACAATGAACACCCTTGTTCGTTTGTTCTTCTTGTCAGCTAACACAAAGAATGAATGCCCCGAGACAATCACGGGTACCCCATACAAAGACTCGAGGACGAACATCACTACGAGGATGTGATACACTACGGAGCAAGTGTCCCACGTCACCGTGAGCCAATCATCTCGAGTTCCCAAAGCCAAGGGCTTTCCGGCAGCGGCATGTGCCTACATAGCTGTGCGCCTCTAGATGCACACAAGTCCTCCCTGATCATGTTCCAGTGAAGATGGCTATCAATGCAGATTCCCTTCAGCACGTGTGGACACGGCCAGCGAGGACTAGACATGGGACATCCCACATCCCACATCCCACATCGACCCTTTTCAGGAGACGCGGCTCTTTTGTGTTCCAAAAATAAACAGCTAATTAAGCGTCATTGACGGAAATCACTCAGACGAGTCATCCGCCGTGCTCCTACGCCCGGCAGGGGCCAGGGATACAGTATGTCAAGCCTAAGGGGGAGGTCCACAACCCTCGGGTTGGAGATCGTCCAAAAAGACTGAGTAATCCGAGCGGCGAGCACTTCATGCTGGATTACCGTACAGTATTGAACGTCTGATCTAGCTTACTGTACAATTATGCTTGTTACAGTATGAACCCGTGGAAAGAGGCGCGCCGCTGTTCATGATAGGACGGGATGCCCAGGGGCCAGTCTTGAATTACACAGTAGGAACGAATTCGGCGTCCACGTCAAAGTCAAAGTCCATTCTTAACCGCGTTAGGTATTTGAGACCACCATACTGCATTAATAAAAGGGAATTGGGATTTTACGGATTTTGTCTATCTCGTTCGTTGAGCCACGTTCCACGGCTGCAACATTGACAATAGGCAAAGTCCACACCCCGCTGTTCACTGGTACTGTAATGCAAGCACGCTGACTGCCTTCCTGTGTCCTGATGCGTTGCAATACTATACAAACATTCGATAACCCACAACCTCAAGTCACAAAACTTCCACTCCGTCATTTCGCACCGCGCCCCTTATCTCAGTCCTTTGCGTCCAACGTACACGGACTCCGTCCAGCACCCCCATTCGACCACCCGCGCAACCGATTCGCAATATCACTCGCATAACACCGCGTCGCCGCCGTGATATTACTCCCCAGATCCCCGTCCGTCTCCGGCGGCAGACTGGCGGGTCCAGAGTTATAGAATCTTGCAGCCCGATAATACGCCTGCGCGGGTTCGGCCTCGACACCGTCCACCTCGGCCACGGCCTGATTAAGCGCCGACACGATAGTGACGCCGTCGATGGGCGCAGCCACGCCGTCCATGATCATCCGATGGATCATCGACGGCGGACACGGCGTGTCGAAGGTGCCGTTGTGATTGCAGGTCCCGTTGCCGTTGTAGCTCTGCAGGACGCCCGGGTTGGGGTTGGCGAGGGACGTCGTCTGGACGCGCACGCAGCCGTTGGACTCTTGCATCACCGTCGCGAGGACGAAGCGCGGGTCGATATACGTCTCCGAGGCGACCGTCAGGATGGCGACCTTGAGGTCATTTGTCTCGGTGACTATATTCAAAGGGACACCGTCGCCGCAGCGCTGGCCGATGGAGGTCGCGATGATGTTCCACTGGGCGTTGAAAGACAGCCAGTCGGACATGGCGGGCCAGCCTTGCGCGGAGGATCCGTCGCCGTTGTACTCGGTGTACATGACTTCAGGGGGGCCCTTGCCGTCGTTGCTGTCAAAGGACGTCACAGCTAGACTTCCCGTGACTTGCGCCAGAGCGGTGGGCGAGGGTGGGATCACCAGGGTTTGTCCGACTGAGAGGCTGGTCCATGTCACTGACGGGTTTGCCGAGGAGATGGCAAAGAATGGGACGTTGGCCTTCGAGGCTATGATTCCGCCACTATCCCTGGAAGCGACAGTCCAGGCTGTGACAGGGCCAGTCGGGGTAGGTTGAGAAGTCGACTGGGCTGATGAGTTGGACAGACTTGTCATTGGATTCGAAATTAATGGCGGTGACGAAGTGACGGTGGGCGGAGGTGGGATTACTAGAGTTTGGCCAACCGAGAGCGCAGTCCATGTCACTGACGGATTTGCTGAGGAGATTGCAATGAATAGAACATTGGCCTTCGAGGCAATCACCGAACCACTGTCCCCGGAAGCGACGGTCCAGGCTGTGACTGGGCCAGCTGTCGTAGGCTGAGAAGACGATTGGTCGGATGAGTTGTACAGACTCGTGATTGAGGTCGAAGCCACTGGCGGTCTCGAAGTGGCCGTTGCAAAATCCCCTGGAGCTCCGGACGGGGAGCATGCAGCTGGAGGAATGACCAGCTCCATGCTTTCCTCCATGAGGTCCCAGAAGAGGACCCGGCCAGGGTTTGCAGCTTCCAAAGCGTCGGTAGTGATGTTGAACTTGGCTGCAATCTTTTCTACCGTGTCGAGGTGAGCGACGGTATAGGTGGGAGGTGGGCCAGAGCACAGAGGCAGAGGAGCACCCGTAGTTGTTGGATCAGAGCCAATTTCCGTGGCGTTCACCGGAATGGGATAAGGTGGAATCGATCCGGATTGCTCTGTTGGAAGAGGATAGGACGAGGACGAGGACACGGAGATCATGGTGATGAATGTTGTTGACGTGATGGTCGACTGGATTGCAGACATCCCAATCTCGGGCATCGATCCCGTAGGTGGGAGTGAATCATGCCTGCCAGGGATCGGGTCAACGGTAAGAACAGCACCGATGGAAAGACAGGGAAGAGCAACAAGGGCAAGAGCGCGAGCGAGATCTGAGAGACGAGCCATCTTGTGTAGACTGTCGAAACTTGAGGGTTTGAGCTTTCTTGATTTCAGGTTTGGTCTTGTCGAGATCGGGTTCGTGTCGCTGACGGTTATGAGGAAACATCGCGAGAGACATTGTCGAGGAAGACGGCTATTTAAATATAAGAAGGTCGAACAAGGCAGTGACAAGGCAGTGGCAGTGAGCCGAGCTGTGAATAGCGCAGTGCAAGGAACCAGTAGTGATAGTGAGGCATTTGACAACGAGGCTCGAAAGGCTTTTTATATTGATCAACATACGCGTTTGGACGGAAAAAATGCCAGGACAAACGAGTATGGATGTCCACTGTGTTGTCCCCATCGTGTTCGAGCAGACATTGGGGGTCATGTGCTTCTAGAGTGATGGCTGCCTTGTTTCGGTCAACGGTATGCTAAAACCTCTTCACTGTCGCAGTGGCCTTGTTTGAGCTGATGATGCAACGCGTCGAGAGTGGTCACAAGGGGGATTCGCAGCGAGGCAGGTCTTCCTCACTGTCGCAATGGAACGACGAGTCTGTTGATTCTATTATGTGGACGTCGGTAGTGACAGAGCATCGTCCGAAATAGTGGTATTCATTTTGTTCGTGATAGTCGAACCAAAGACACCTGTTTGAATGTGGAATGGGACATGTTGTGAAAGTCGAACTGGCCTCGTCTCGTATAGGCGTTCTGAACCCGGGGCGACTCTATCGGTACTCCATTCGGTGTTGCTACATGTGTATCTTGCTGTGAACAATTCGGTATAGGCTCAGGTGGCAAACTCGGCATCAACCTCTTGGTAGTGGTCAAAGAAGCCTTTATATAATTGTACTCCGAGGCCGGGGTCCAGGGCGCCGGTGGTTGCTCGGATTGAGTGCATCGACAATTGCGGGATGCCGCAATCGACTGCACGACAACCTAAGCGTGAGCTGCAAATTGCACTCAGTTGGTCACCGCACTTCAGATCAACATTAGGGAAGGGAACACGTACCTAGTCATCGGGCCAATTGTGCCCCCGCTTCTGGAGTCATTCCGAATTTGAAAGACCTGCAATTTACTTCCACACTTTTCAGCGACCCGGGACAACAGCGCGGTAGACACGCTATCAGTTGTCATGTGGCCGTTGGGGTCGGCCGAGACAGCCACTCCCACGTTCAGTCGTGGTGAATGGTTCTCGAGATAGGCATAGAGAAAGTTAGGGTTGACTGCGTGAATGACGTCTGAAGAAACAAGGAACGAGTTGGCGAGCGTTTGGTTGATGAGGTTCGGGCCGGAGTAATTGTTCAAAGCCTCGACCGTGCGCGAGATCACGCTCGGCATGAAGTTGGATAGAGCACCTTGTCGCAAGAAACTTCCGACTTCCTCGTCGTCAAAGCATCCGACCATTTTGATGATACCAGGAGAATCCTCATCCGAGGAGCCAAGACCTTCAATGGCGGCGAAACAACAAAGCTTGTCATCGATACGGCCGGCGAAGATAAATTCCTTATCTAAGCCACCGAGCTGGGCGGGCTGAATGTCGAAAAGCTCAAGTTCCCAGTTGACAATGTCGGTGTAATCCGAAACTCCTAGCTGCCCGGCAATCGCTTTGACCAGTCGCTCTGGCTGGCTTGCGACAAAGGTCCCAGCAGGAAGTTGCAGAGAGGGCTGTTCCTTTCCTGTTGCATCTGAATTGTCAAGTCCAATGATGGGAGTCATATTTGTTTCCTTGTTGAAGGGTCCTTGAGCTGCCGCGCCGAAATGAGGAGCCAAAGTCGGTATTCTCGCAATGGGCCAGTCCAGCTTGACCAGCTTCTCTACTATGCGGCCGTCGTGGGCCTTGACCAGTACCCTGCCACCAATACCCAGGTCACGATCCCACCAGGTAGAATTCATGCCTCCCGCATAAGGGGCGACTCCCAGCTGGACATAACCAGCTTTGGTCTGTAGCTTGGGTATGGGCTTGACCTTTGCCGTGAGCGCATCGATGTGTCCCGCCACTATCGCAACGCCATTGCCAGGCTTATAGTCCTTCCCGACAGCGAATGCTATAAATGCACTTCCATTACGCTTTGTGTAATATTTCCCTCCAGCCTTGATCTTCCATTGTTCTCGTTCGGACAGGTAGACATATCCAGCTTTTGCGAGCTTGGAGGTAAAGTGATCGACCGCATGGAACACCGTCGGGTTGTTGGTCATAAAGTGAAGGTATGGCTGGGTGTATTTCTCAGGCGCGAATTTCTCCTTCTGTAGACTCGGGGGCGTAGATGTCGGAGGGTAGGCAGAGTGCTGGACCATGCGGTCGTAACCCCTTGACACGTGTAGAGGCATGTCTTCGTGGATTGAGGTGAAGAACCCAGATGAAGTCTTGCGAACCATGACGGGGAAATCTATTCTCGGAACAACGTAGAAAAGACAGAGGAGCGAAGCAATTGATCCAACAATCTATGGAAGAGTAATGGTTGATCAAGGCTAGGTGATCTCGCGATCAGCAGGAACCGAAGCTCGTCATGCACCGTTGAAGCTGGAATCGTCAGCTGCAGGGCAACCTTATCGATAAGGACGGCAATGTGCTCTTATTGGTTGGGACTCGCCCCGCGGACGATGAGGCTGCATGAGAATGAAGCTTTATTTGGAGAAGGAAAGAAGAGGGACTGGGGAGATGCTCATGACACCCAGTGTTTTCAGAAATAGTCGTTGCATCATTAATATCATCCAGGCCATCCCTATTTCCTCGAATGCCAGACACGTCTCGCTACCCAATGACCGCCCAACCTCAATAACTTCAAGCTTGCTGACTCTGATCACTCGGCATCATACAGGAGGTGCAGCGTCGTCGGAATCGGAGACTCCTTTGCATTCGAATCGAGATAGATCTTCGCCTTGACACCTGCAATGTCGTGGTCGATGACGCTGAAATGTCCCAAGCTTCCCTCGGCGCGACGGACATCCTTCAGACGGAAAACTTCCTTCAGCGTGGCGACGAGCGCAGGCCCAACAATTCGGGCGCCGAAGCAATAATGCATGCCATGCCCGAGGAGCGTGTAAGACGACATTGGGCGATGTGGATCGATCTTCTCAGGGTTGGGAAACGCAAGGGGGTCCATGGCTGCCGAGGACGTCGCGATGAGCACGTATTGGCCGGCCTTTATATGGACTGGGCCGCGTTCGCCGTCTTCGAATGTGACATCCTTGGAAGCCACGCGAGGAAGACCAGGCACGACACCAGCGTGGCGCATGCCTTCGAAGACGAACCCAAGCAGTTCCTTGTCGGAGGCTTCGTCGTCCTTGTGCGCAAGTTCCACTATGCGTGTTTTGTATTCCTTGTACTCGGGTTTAAGGTAGAGGTCGATGAGGAGGGAAGCTTGTTGGGTGATGTTACCCGCAACAGGGCCACCCATGCCGATACAGTCACCGACCATATCGCCAATGTTCATTCCCGTTTTGTTCAAGGCGTGGTAGAAACGGTCAGCATCGGGGCCAACCTCATACGTAGAACCCTTTGTCAGCCAGTCTACGATGTGTTCCGTGAAACCCTGCTGAGTCTTGAGATGTGTCTCGAATATCTTCCTCAGGATGGGCGCCACAGTCTCGGCGGCCTCCCTGAGCTTCCATTCGTTGACTGGCAAGATGTTGAAGCTCTGGTATATGAACAGGACCAGGAAAATATCGAATAGTTGCGGAATCGTGACCAAGCCGCGAGGATGGGCCACGTCCTTGATGGGAATCGCAAAGCGGCGGGCGAGCCACATGATGGGCGTCACATTGCAGACGTCTCGCACGATGTCAATCGATCTCTTCTTGTCGTGATACTTCAACGTGCTTTTCTGGATCAGGCTCCTGACCGTTTCACGGAAGTACTGTGAGAGATTCTTTTCAAAGTTATCTTCGAAGAAGACCTTGTGAAGGGTGTCGGAACGTGGGTCGTGGCGCTTGTGATCGTCCCACTCGATCATGAATTCGTGGCCGTCGGTACAGTTGCGAATGGCAGCTTGGTACATTACGTGAAAGGTATCTCGGTCTTCAAACGCCTTCTTGACACCTTCTTGAGTATGAATGCCTACCAGCTTCATGACATTGGGCTGAGGTCTTTTGAGATCGTACTTTGCAAGCACTTTGTTGCCTTCGAGTATGCCCTTGACGGCTTCAGGTGTGTAGAATGGCAGCAAAGCATATGTGGACGTCCCGGTAAACTCGCCTGGAAGGCCGTTGAAGATGAGCTTCGCGAGTATGCCTCCGTATGTGCCTCCCGGAATATCGGCGAGTTTGGATACTCCCCAATTGGTTAGAGTGGTGCTGTTGAAATCGTAGGTCAGATAACGGTCGCCTCGCACCAGGGCTACGGCGTCGTCTAGGATGCCGCGTCCGGTTGTTTGACCTGGACAGACACCGCTGCCCGGCATTGACGGCTTGGTGCACTCTGCTTGCAGACCCGGATACAGTTCAAGATTGTCGATGTGGCCGTATAAGAGTTCGGCGGCTCGAGAGACTTCCGGATCATCGTTCCATTCCGAAAAACTCTTATACGCTGTCAAGTTGAGGTATTTTCGAAATCTAGGAATCCGTTAGCCAATCCACGACCACAAGAAACGTGAATGCTGATATTTGGGGACTCACTCGTTCAACGTGCAGACATTGAATGTATTTCTGGCTTGAAGTTGACCCATGAGGTCCACAACCTTGAGACTCGCTGGTGTTCCATTGGCACCAAATGCATGGGCAGGCTCTTCGATGCAATCTTTGATAAGGCGGCCAAGGTCGGCGTCGTCGAAACGGCCATCTGGCCCGCGCTTGAGACCTCCAAATACCCACTCCTTGGCGGGTTTGGACATCCTCTCTTTGGTGATTTTCCCAGCCATTTTCCAGAAGTGCTCCGGGTTCATGTCGTCAATGGATTTGAGCCCCGGGACATACTCGCTAATCACGTCTTCCATCCACTTTGCGTCGGCTGCACTGAGTGCAGCATGCCAGTGATATAGGACTGCAAATTCAACCGAGACCGCGTTGCCCGATCCTCTTTCAACACGTCCTTGTGACGACTTGATCTCCTGTCCCAGGTTTAGGGACCAGTCGGAATTGGCGCGAGGGGTATTCAAGATGGCAGCGACGTAGTCCCTCAGCACCACCGAAGCAAAGAAGCCGACGTTTATGTTCCTGGCGAGCTGGAAGATGTCTTCATCTTGCCTAGGTTGTGTTTGTCAGATGTGCTAGCCACCACGGTTTCATTCGGACGGACTCACTTCTTCTGCTTGTCTTCAGCCAACTTATCCCATTCACCATAGGCCCCCTCTTCATTGATGGACAATAGTGTTTCGGCGATGTGGTTGTGGTTCCTCGAAAACATCATCAAAACAGCAATGACGCCTGGTGGCATCAGCATGATTCTCTCCGATGCCACCGAATCAGGGTAGACCAATCCGTTCTTGTAGGTCCGCACACGCTCTTGTTCTTTGGCCGTGTTGCCGTAGAGCGTGCTGAGGTCGACATAGCTGGACGTCTCGTTCACCCACTTATTGTCCCGTGAAGTCTGGAAGCACTCGTGGATGACGACTGTGGCGAAGGAGAAGAACAATCGGTTGAGCCCGGATGGGTGTTTGCGGAACTTTCCTTCTTTTCGCTTGAGCAGATATTCGAAGACGAGTTCCACGTCTGGTAAGTTGGGACCTTTTGGTTTCATTGGTGGCACGCTTCGGCTGTAAGGTGAGCCGGCCTTGCCCAGCTCAGAGTCCCAGAGATTGTTATTGCCTCCGTCGTGCCTCCTGTACTTGGTTGTCGGGCCCGCAATGGTTCCTGGTGGGTGAGGCAAGTCATCCCACAGCATTTTGATGAACCCACCAGCGGCCTTTGCGCCCAGTCCGCTGTTGGGAGGCAGAGATTGAAGCATGTGCACGCCATGTTCAAGCAATAGCTCCTTGTCGTTCAGCGGTTCCCCTGAGATCAATGTGGTGAAGGCTTGGGCCATAGTCGCAGCATTCTCTCGGCCTAGATGGGTCAAGTCGTGGAGCAGCGATGTCTGGGTGACTGGGGGTGTTGCTGCGGCTTCCGCATCTGTCCGTCCATCTGGCGCGGTGGGAGCCTGCTGGAAAATGGTTTCCCGTAATTTATGCAATTTCTCCATATTGACGGAGATCTCACGAGGGCACCTCTATCTCTTGCTTTTTTTTTTGAGACAGACAAAGGCGGACCTGTGATTGCAAGATAGAGGGGAATGCCCTGCGTATATACGCTTGAGCAGGGTGGCGGTGATCCAGCCATCGGGGCACAGTTCTGGTCGTGCAGGTAATGGTGGGCGTGCAGAAGTGCGACATCTTCTGGCAGATGAGTGGAAGAAGACATCTCGCAGACACGTCTAGACCTGATGGACTTGGGGAGGGACGACGTCGTCCGTGTAACGGCTCCTGTTGGACATTTTTACGTGAAGCGGCACGAAATGGTGGCACAGCTGAATGCAGGCTTCCCGTCTGTCCTTAATAGTTTTGCTATCAGTGTTGCCCTATGAGAGGTCGTGCCACCATGCTGACCAGCTGAAGCAGCTTTCAGCTCCGTGTGGCTTGCGTGGAGTAGGTGTTCCCTGAGTGGGCCTCAAGTCCACACGTCATTGTCTGATTCGAGATTGATTGTCCAGCAGATGTAGAGAATCCTGGGATATCTACAGAAAGCGAAGTGGTTATTTTCCAGATTTGCCGTTTGATCAGGGCTGCTATTGACGGCCAGTTAATTGAATCGCTGATGCGAGGCCAACTTCTTGAGAGCGGGCCCAACCAACCCCCGACGCTGCTTAGCGCAACCAAGATCAGGATGCATGCACACGTGGCATCTAACCGGGCCGCTTGAGGAACCTCGCCAGGTAGTGTTTTCGGATGCGTCTAAATTGGGTACAGGCGTGCGTCTACTTGGGTAGGTTGGAGCCGAAGGCGACGATGCACTACCGAGTCGCGAATCTAAACAGTTAGCAAGTTTCTTGAGCCCGCCCTCGGCATATCTGACTTCGCGTCCATCCTACCGAAGTAACGACCAGAGATTAGAGATGTGGTAATAGCTCAGCATGGGACCTCAAATAGGCACTCTACCTATCCGGTCTACCATCCTACGGCGGGCTGGGAGTCACACGACCAGGCAAGCCATAAGGTAAAGATATCGGTATGCGATGTTCGTCTATTCCAACTTGTGCCTCCAAGTGAGTTGACCACTCTTTCATATACAATCGTCGACGACATACCCAGACCAATGGGCCAAAGCGGTGTTAGCGGGCACAAGAAGTGCTATGCTCGTTATATCTCGTCATCCTCCTCATCATCAGCGCCATCCGTCTTGAACTTCTGTCTCGACGAAGACTTCAAGTTCTTCATCTCAAATTCTTCGTGACCGGTCGACACAGCCACCGCATGGGCTGCACGGGGATTCTCCTCCAAGAACTCCCTGAGTCTCTTCTTTCCCTCCTCCAACGCTTGCTGCGATGCTGCATTTGCCATCTTCAACATGGGCCCCCAGAGGTTGAGTGTATATGTGACGTATGCTCCAATGGCAACAAGGATGAGGAATATGAAATAGACGGGATTCCTAAGCACTGTTTCTTTGTCAGTTTACAGTCCATTGACCGAGTGGTGTGCAACTTACCAGCAACTATCTCATTCCACCCTAGCGCCAGTAGCAAGCCGTAAAAGTACAAGGGTACTTGAGTCATGCCACCGATCGCACTACGCTTGGCTTCGACGTACACCCCGTCGGCCGCTTTCTTGAACCTGACAGTCAGGTCCTGCCGCTTGGCTTCGTTAAGGATCATGGTCTCCTCTTCCAGGCTTTTTCCTTCCTCCTCATCGACACCTCCAATGGGTGTGAGGTCTTCTTCGTCGGCTGGGGTGGCAGCTGCAGGAGTCCGGCCGATCCACCGGTCCAGGGGCGGAGGTGCTCCTGTCTCCGAGTGTCGGAAGCGGGCCAGAAGAGGAATCAGGGTTAATGTGCTTTCTCGCGCTTTGGTGTAGATTCCCTCGATATCATCGGTCGGCCGCCATATCCGAGGAACACCGGCTTCGTCGTATCTGAATTTGTCCTCGAAATTTTCGCGAAGCTTGAGTAAGAGATTACCTTCCATCATTTCCTCGTCAATCTTGGACCGCAGGACGGCCCACGATTTCCTCCTCAGCCGCCAGATGCCCACCTCAACTTCTTCGGCACTAGCGTCGAAGGAAGCAGCTCGGTCGGCAAAGCGCTTCTCAGCCTCCTGCACGGTGTTGACAAAGAGAGACCAGATGCGGTCCCAGATACCCATTTCCGTGAGTTTGTCCCCCTGCTCAGGCGCACCCGAGCCGCCCCGGCCCGAGCCAAGAGCGTTAAATTCAAGGCCGACGCTATCATTGAGCTTACTTCGGACCCATCGCTCAACCCGCGTGGCTAATCGCCGCATCTCGTCGCGCCGTAGTTGACCCGAGATCTTGTCCAGTTCTTTTTGATACAGTGCTAATTCCTGCTTGTAGTTGGACCAGGGCAAGCCTTCGATTGTAGCCTCCTTTCCGTCCGACTCAAATTTGTCGATGGCGATCTTCTTCTGCTCTTTGACGATCTCGGCAAAATCATAGGATGCTCCCTTCTTTTGCCCAGCCTTGACAGCGCCACTCACAGCGTCCGAAAAGTGCTGGACGCCGTCTTTGTGTGCGGCGGACAGTTGCCCAGTGAAAAGGACCTTGAGTCTCGTATCGATCTTGCTCTCAAGCTCGGTTCGCTTCCTCTGGTACACGCCCTTGTGGTATCTGCCGGCTTCGGTTTCGAAATCCTTGATCGTGCTGGCTCTTGCCTCCTTCATGGCAGCTCCCAGCCCAGCGATGACCTCAGGTCTCCCTGACCGCGCCGCATCTGCTTGTTGTGTTTCGAAAGGGGTGATAGCCTCGTCGAAAGCGATCATTACCTCCCTCATAATCTCGTCACAGCGGAACTGTGCGAGGAGTTCCTGTTGGGTCGGAAGATCAAGATCCTTGTTGTTCACAATCTGATCCCAAATGCCTTCAGCATAATGCGAAAAGCCATCCGCAGGAATCCTTCGGTGATATTCCGGAAGGAATATACCGCCCTCGAACTCTCCCAATAATGCGTCTCGTCTGCGGTCGCGCTGGCCGTCCCTGAACCTAGTTGACATTTTCGCGACCTCGGCCTTGAACTGTTCTGGTTGGTACAGTTTGTGTGGCAGGGCAGTAAAGGCAAAGTCGAAATAGTCATCGATGCTGCTATTCTCCAGACCTGGTGGCTTGGACAAACTGGTCCATATCCTGCCCATATCTTGCATCAACGTATTTCGTAGGTTCTGGAGGGGTGTAGTCCCAAGGAAATCTCGAATAACAAAGTACAACAGACTCCGCGAGGTCGACTTCTTGTCCTTGAGGAATAATTGTAAGTTGACCTCGAAGACGGTCTTGAGCAACCCCATGTTGGCGCCCTGGTATAAGCCGACCTGATGCTCCCAGATGTTGACCATCAAGACTTCGCTGGTTGCCAAAGCAAACAGAGAGCTTTTTCGCTCGAAGTCCTGGTCTTCCCCACGTTCCCGGCCGTCTGTACCTTCGACATCCATGACCAGGATATTATCAGCCATCTCTGTCGCCGAGGACTTGTTCTTCGCTAACCATATTCCTTTTGTCGTCTGCCGCCGTTCTGCTTCGGCCATCACGGAGAAGTCGGTCTCGAAGAGGGCATTCAGGAGGGTGGATTTGCCAGTTGACTGCGAACCGAAAACGGAAATGAGGTGATAATTGAATCCCGCGTGAGACACGCCAGTGTATTGGAGATACTTGGCTAGATCCGGACTATACAGAGATCAGCGAGACCACCTCGAGTCCGCAGGGGATATGGCGCACTTGAACTGCTTGTCCTCATCCACGACTTGGACACCATTTTCAAAATCGGCGTGCCCATTTTGGCCGGCCGACGCAAAATGGCCATTCGTTGACATCTTGTCCGGGGCAGTATTGGCACGGTTAATCGGTATAGGTCTATTGTTCGAAGTCAAGGAACGCTCCGGCGACTGCGGCGGAGGAAGAGTCGAGTTCGCCATGACGATGAAAGGGTGACGGCAGGCGGGTGATATAGGATCCCTGCAAACAAAGGCTTGGTATGTGTTAATTCGACATGGAAAAATAATTGGACGTCACTTGGAGCAGCCACCTGCCAGGGGATCAAGGAAATGATGGTGTGTTGACCGCTAAGGATTGCGTTCCGGCCGCTGGCAGATGATGCAGTTGTCGTGAATTGCGACTGGTGCAACCGTGTCGGGTGAAATGCAGACTTGCGAGGGTCGTCTCACGTGCTTCATTTTGCGCCGAAAGATGCCCAACAGCCCCTGGAGCGTCTTGGGTGAAAGGCGCTAGCCCGTGACCAAAAGATTATCCGGCTCCGGAGGTTTAACTGGGCAGGTCCCGCTTCTGCCTGGGGGGCGGCCAACTTCCCGTCAATCAGTTCACTTCAGCCTCGTCCTTGTCGGCTGGGTCTTTACTATATGTACTCTTCGCTGCTGGCACCAGTTGGGTCGGGACTACATCCATGCTCGCCATGACTGTGCCAGACAATTCTGTTTCATTCATTTTGCAGGTGGTGCTCACTGGTTCTCTGACCCTGGCACGGACACCGTCCTACGACGCCCCGTCAGCCTAATATCAGAGACAACACAACTTTTGCCTATCAATTCTCAACTAACCCGTCACATAGGTCAGGGCTCTGATGATTCTCAAACTTGTCAGCAACACTAAGAGATCGCCACTGTACCGGTAGTGTGCTGGGATCTTCTCTCTGGCAAGGTCCGCGAGGCTGAATCCGCTGGCCACGCGTACCGCGCATGAGGCGTGGAGACGTACTCAGTACGACCATGGTCGAATACGGTTATCGCGAAGAAAGGTCTTTTGCCGCACTGAGAAGAGCTGCATCATTGTCCCAGAGCCGCATGATCTGTCCTGCCGCGTTATTTATCCTTTTCGACTTCTGAAGACCGAGGCTCTGCCAATTCCTCAAATAACCGGACCATACGCTCCAGGACGCCTTCCGACAGTATTACACCTTTCCTTTTCAAATACAGCAAGCTGCCCCTCCATCTCTTTCTCTGTTCAGGCAAGAACAGTCATGGCGCCGAAGAAGAAAATCCGCAACAATAAGGCAAAGAAAAGCCAGGAAGAGAACCCGCGCCCACCAACCACAATCACCTGCCCGAAGTGCGATGAAGCCATAATAGTCCCCAGAACCTGCAAGCACGGCAAAAAGCTCATCAACTGTCAAGGCACAGGTTGCACGACAACGCACATCGAGGAGCACAACGCTCATTGCATCCCCATCACAATCTCCGCTCCAAAGAGACCAAAAGCGCCGAGCGGACCAGCACCAGACCATAGATCCAATTTAAATGATGTTGAAATCGCTGCGTCAATCCTTGGTGGTCCCACCGACCCAGTCGTAGCCTACTGGAGCGCAGTAAGGGCAGCTCGGGAAGAGAACAACCGACTGGCCAAACGACACGCCGAGACCCTTGCCTCCATGACGCCAGAACGCCTCCATGCTATGGGTGCGCTTACCGTCCAGCTCAACGCAGCCGTCAAGTCCAGGGGAGGAAAGCCTGTGCGATATCTTGAGGGAGCACCGTTCACGGAGTGGTTTTCGAAGCTAGAGAGTGGTCCCTATGACGACGTTAACGAGTGGAGGGAGAAGTTGAAGGGTATGGTTGAGGGCAGCAAGACAGCCGATGAGATTGGATATGATGATGAGGAGAGTGAGGATGAGGGAGATGCTTGCCCGACGCCGCAGGTTGGGGACGAGGGAGATGTCTCTCCAGCAAATGAGACAGAGGATTGATCAGGCAGGCGGATAACACTGCTGATTGGGAACCTCGGACAAGGTAAAACCCTGGCGTAGCATTCAGCGATCAATGTCGGTACTGGCTGGTCCTCGAACATCAAAACAACCTTTGAGGACGGTGACCACTTTGCTGGACGCAGCATCTGCTTCCTCTCCTGGGCGAGTGAGGACTCGATACAAATACTCCCCAATGAGAAATCGAGATAACAAAACGATTTCGATGACGTGGCTTACGATCCGCGAACAACACAGTCGACCTTCATTCGTGACGCCCTTGCCTCAGCATCGAGGCGAATGCTAGATATTTACAGATGTGGACGGACCTTCGGGCACTTTGTTGACCTTTTGCGGCCAATTTTTACCCCTTAGCCACCTATGCTTTGAACATGGTGCCAGAGAATGAACCGCCAGTATCATCTTCCGGAGCACCATTACGAAGCAGGCATGGATCCTCACCACTTATTGCGGCTGACTTGCATCCTTCTTTCGAATCCCCACATCCTTCTCCCATGGCATGACCACTGTAGGATAATCTGCAAATAACTGCTTGTCTCGTAGGTGGATGGGTGTCTGTCCTTTCGGTGTGTCGGGTATCGTCTTCTCCAGGCCCTGTATTGCCGTGTCAGCAAGAGTTTACCGTCCTCATAGACTTCCGGAGTCGTGCCAAACTGAACACGTACAATCTTTTGGAAAACACATTTGTTCAGCACTCTCTCCGGCCGTCGACACTGCCATAACTGGTGGTTGTTGTTTTCCAGGCAGGACCAGTGTGCTCGGAACTCGTCCAGGCAGGACTTGTTAATATCGGCCAGCCTACCACCCCGAAAACAGCCCATTAGCAAGCCCCTCTCGAACAGCCTTTACTCCTTCGCGTGCCGGGCCAGCAGGGGGTATACTGACACGCTTGCCGCACACCTCGTAACCTTCCTGCCCTCCTTCATGCAATCCAGCTCTCCTCGGCCATATGACTCGGTCTTACACTGCATGTAGTCGTCATTGTAGGCTTTACATCTTGCGCCAATGAAGTACGCTGCGCTCAGTAGCGGCGCTGAGCTGGCCCCGATTTCTTCGACTTTGGGTATATGGTCGGGCATCGGCGTCGTGTCGATGAGCACATCTGTGCTGAACCTGCAGGAGAGGGTCAATTAGGGAGCTCTTGGGGTGGGAAGAGGACGGTACCTTGCGTCGCGTTTCGACATGATTGCGGTCCTTGACGACGACGGCACCACTATGCTGGACCGACAATTAACAGTAACGTGAAGTCGGCAGCCGCTCGTCAAGTCGACTGCGGAGCTTCATGCCAAGTGAGATGTGCAGGGCAAAGGAGCTATGGCGGACCGGAACAATGTTATGCCGGGTGGCCCTAAGTGCCCTTTTAGGCTCGTCGAGGTTTCGTTCCTCCTCGGGCTCCAATCAACTCCAACTCATTTCTCATTCCTCACGGGACACCACAGAGGTACAAGAAAGCACCCAAATATTGAGATCTGCCAGCTGTTGCGTGCCTTCATCAGATATAACCCTCATCATGTATACAAGTTTAACTTAGTATCATGGGCATACGACTACGCCTTCTCTCTTCAGCTCTTGATTATCCGATCAATAAGCAGCGCTGTGGAGAACAATCGGAGACAAGAACCTCAGCGTGCGGAGAGCATGGTAAGCAATCCACGAGTATCTGGATAAAGAAAGCGTAAGTTCCTCTGCAGGTACGGGGTCTACAAATATCCTCTTCGGCCTTCTCAATCCCGCCTCAAGACGCCTAGGAGGTCGTCCGTCCTTGAATTAACTCACAATACCCTGACCTGGCCGTCGTAAGCCCACCCTCCAGCGAGCAGGCTCGTTCACAGCAATGTCATCACAACCTTCGACTCCATCTCGCTCCCTCCTCCGCGGCTCCGCAATCCTCATAATCTGGGGCCGTCAATCCAACCTCAGCACCGCCGACGAACGCGCTCTCAACGACTGGTGGACAAACGAGCACCTACCCGAACGGCTCGCTATTCCAGGCTTCCGCCGCACGCGACGATACTACCACACCTCGAAGGACAGCTCCGACGAGACCACGGCCTCTCGCTCGCACTCGCAAGCGCACGGGCACTCTTATTCGCACTACCTGGTAGTCTACGAAGTCTCGTCCCTCTCCACGCTCACATCCCCGGCGTACATGCACGCGCTCAACAATCCCACAGTTGGCACCCAGAAATTCATGCCCGTGCTCGCCAGCATGAACCGGTCGGCGTGTACCGTCTTATCCTCCGTTTCGCGGCCGGAGTTTTCGCAGTGTCAGCGCGGCGGAGTCGGTGGGACGCTCGCGCACGTACTCTTTGAGGCCCCCGGGTCGTCCGAGGCGCGAGAAGGGTTGAGAACGTACCTCGCCACTGAGGCCTGGGAGTTGATACTGAGCTTCTTCCCCAGCGTTCTGGCGATGCACCTCCTTGAGCACGACGAGGAGGCGTCCCGGAGTGGGAATTCGACCAGGTCGTACGATAATGTCAAGTTCCAGGCTGCTGCTGCTGTTGCTGGGGGTGGCGGTGGCGCGGATGAGCAACACCGGACGTGGATGCTGCTGGTCGAGTTTAGTGATCCGTTTGAGGCGCCGTTTGCGAGCTATAAGGAGAAGTGTCCAGGGTTTAGCGAGGGGTTGGGTGCACGTGGCGTCGATTTGTCGACGTTAAAGGAGGAGATTTACGGGCTGGTTGTTGCGATGGAGGAGTGATTCGTTGTGCGAGTCGATATGTGTACGTGGGCGCGTGTCTAAACGGTTCATCGGGATGAGCTGTCCCCTGCACGGGATGCGACTTGAACGCTACAAGGGACTGGCTGGAATCACGTTCGTCACATACATCGTCTGCGGTGTTTACGTGTGTCTGCTACGGACCAGGGCATGTAGACCTGACTAGATTTGCGAGCTCAAGCTTTATCGACCGATTAGCTGTGGTTGCAAGCAGGTGTCGTCTTTTTCCGTCGGGACCGTGATGATGGTGGCAGCTTCGTTGCGCTGAACTCCACAGTCTGCTGAAGAACCTTGAAAGATACCTTCGACGCCGAATATCTTTACATCGGTACGGTATCCTCCGCCCAAGACCGTCAAATCAACCCTCACTCATAGAAGCCGTATCGATCTTGAAGTTCTTGACCTCGTTGAGATACTCCGGATCTGCAGCGCACAAATCAATTAGCGAGTGTCGTTTACCGCGTCTTCCGCGATTCATGATCCAGTACGACTTACCAGTCTTCTCCTTGAGTATGAACTTGGTGACCTCACTGATGCGCCCGGTCAACTCACTCGTCAACTCATGCAACCTCAGTCTGACTTTGTCGTTCCTCTTCGCAGCACCCTTGATCGCTTGGATGGCAACGTGATACCGCGACGTGCCGTTCACCAGCATCATGTTGAACGGCGTGGTTGTACTGCCTTCCTCGTTGTAAGAGGCAATGGTTACACGGTGCATGTTTGGCCGACCGAAGAGGAGACCTTTGAGTTCGGTTGCATAGCCCTGCATGAAGTTAGCACCGAAGGCGGCACTCGGAGTGGTGGCCTGGTATGCGGCGTGGGTTGGACGTTGGCAGAAGCATCAGAGCTTACTTACGTGGTAGTTGAAGTGGATGGGTATGTCTTCGGTAAAGAGCGCGTCGAATGCATCATCTGTCAATGCGTGGGGATGGCTGCTAAACGCCCCGAGGATCATCAGATCCGTCACATTGACGACCCGAACACGCAGGTCTGGGATCTCCGATCTGAGTATGTCTGCAGCGGCGATGACCTCAAAGGTCAATTCGGCACCAATGCCAACGAGGACAATGTCTGGATTAAGGCCGTCGGCCGTAGACGCGAACTTCCACACCGAGGCGCCGGCTCGGCAGTGGTTTTCGGCTTCGTCGGCTGATAGGAAGACCGCGGATGGCTGCTTAGAACCGACCATCAGGTTGACGTAGTTCTTCGATTGCAGACAATGTGCCATGGTTGAAAGGAATGTGTTTGCGTCTGGAGGAAGGTAGACCCGAGCGGCGTTAGGTTTCAGGTTCAAGACCGCGCCGATAAATCCTGGATTCTGGTGGGAATAGCCGTTGTGCTCTTGTCTGGTCCAGGTCGATGTCTCGAGGTAGTTGATGCTGGAGATGTCACTTCGCCACCCCGACTCACGAGACATCTTGCCGAACTTCGCGTACTGGATCATCATAGTGTCAATGATGCCGAGAAAAGCTTCGTAGCTAGGGAACAGAGCGGTCCGACCGGTCAGGGTGTAGCCCTGCATCCAGCCTTGACACTGGTGTTCGGATAAGACCTCGATGAGTCGACCTCCCTGCGCCCGGGAGAACTGATCCCACTGGAAGTTCCGGTTGGTGGAGTTGAGGACAGCATCGAGCTTGTTGGATTCGAACTCATCTGGAGAGAATATTCGAAACGTCTTAGGGTTGTCTTTGACAATCTGCTCAAGAAGTCTCCCCACTGCTTTCATCGAGCTTTCCGACCTGCCTTTCTCGACTGAGAAGTTCCTCCAATCGATAGGCTTGAGTCCCCTATAAGCGCCGGACACCTCTTTCTTTTGACCAAGTCGCCGATCTGGGTTCGGGGGTATGATTGACTTGATCTCATCAATGACATCGCCGTTCTCCTTGAAAAGCTCCTTTGGTTTGTAGGATTCGAGCCATTCTTGAAGTTGCTTTAACTCCTCTGCGTCAGTTTTCGCTTGGGGCAGTGGAACCTGGTGCGCCTTGTAGGAGCCTTCGACGATTGTACCGTGGACTTTCTTGGGACCAGACCAGCCCTTTGGGGTGCGCAGAATCAACACGGGCCAGCGAGGTTTTGTGATGGGCTTGCCTTCTCGGGCAGCTTTCTGGATCCGTTTAATCTCTCTAAGAGCCCACTCCATGGAGTTAGAGAGGTCTGCATCAATGTCGTTCAAGTCGTCGACGACTCGTGGTTGATATCCATAGCCAGTGAAGAGGGCAGCCAACTCCTTATTGTCCATGCAGCCATAGATGGTACGCTCGCTGATCTTGAAGCCATTAACGTGAACGATGGGCAGTACAGCACCAGATTCAGCGGGGTCAATGTACTTGCAGCCATGCCATGCAGTAGCAGTAGGCCCAGTCTCGGACTCGCCATCACCCACAACGCAGCACACAACCAAATCTGGATTGTCCATTACAGCGCCGAAACTGACACTGAGAGCATATCCGAGCTCTCCACCTTCGTGGATAGATCCAGGTGTTTCGGCACTGATGTGACTGGGAAAGCCTCCGGTGGTACTGAAACCACTGATTAGGTTGTGTAGGCCTTGGGCGTCTTGCGAGTAACGAGGGTAGAACTTGGCTAACGAGCCTTCGAGCCACAAGGCCGCCAGAATAGCAGGTGCTCCATGACCTGGACCGACCACATAGAGCATGTCCAGGTCATGCTTCTTGATCAGGAGATTGAGGTGAGAGTAAACCAAAGTGAGACCAGGACATGTTCCCCAATGGCCGAGCAATCTCGGCTTGATGTCCTCGTGTTTGAGAGCTCGTTCAAGGTAGACATTGTCCTGCAAGAAGATCATGGCAGCAGCAATGTAGTTGGCGGCGCGCCGGAATTTAGCGACCACATCGTTGGTGTCGTCGGGCAAAGTGCGCTTCTCGAGCTTGACCAGGAGATCAGACACGTAATCCGGGACGTTCGACGGCAGCGGCTGCGGGTTGGGAGCATCAATCACTTCGCCCGGCATAGTGCAACAGGTGTTTATACTCGCGATTCGTTAGCAAGGGTAAGTGGTCAATGTGAGGATCGAGAATGGCAGTCCCTGCACAGTCAGCAAAGTCAAGAAGGAATGTCACGTAAATGTCTACGAACGACGACGGAAGCTGAGGAGGTGAAGCAGCAACCAAGTCAGTCTCATGCTTCATCATCAGTTCATCTGGCGGGAAGTTCGGTTGCCTCTTCCACCATGATGCAACTGTGTGCATGTCGCATCTCGGAATCTGGGAACCTGATCTCCAATCATCTTTCACAGAGCATCGAAACTGGGGTTACTTTCCATTCACAATACGCTCTGGTGGCACGGGTGGCATTGTGGTTCATAGACGTCACAGGACTGGACAGCTGCCATTGTCCGAGTTCCGCTGGTTCCTGGATGGATACGTGCCAGGTCGAAGGTCTCATGTGAGTTTACGGAGTTGATTGTCCGTCAGGCGCATGTGCATTGGTGGTCTGATTTCATCGGAGCCTCTACAAAACGACAAGTCTCCCGCGTCATCCATCCTGGCTTGGAGACTAGAGTAATTCCAGCTACGGGTCAGATAGACGTCAAATCATACCATGTCGGCCGTCATCCTTTCGATCAACGCAGGAAGCTCCTCATTGAAGACGACGTTGTTTGTCGAGGAACAGACCGAAGGCGGCCGCCCAGATCTTCGGCGACTCGCTAGCGCGGAAATATCTTCCATCAATTCCCCTCCCGCCCGCCTAAAATACCTCAGAGGCACCTACAAAGACACCAGTGAGGTCGGCGAGCTCACGGACCACAAACAGGCCTTTGAGCATGTTCTCAATGCCTTCGTCTCGGATTCCGAGATACCGGAAGTCTCCAGCAAAGATGACATTGATTATACCGCACACAGGGTAGTCCAGGGTGGGAACTTTGAGGAGAAGTCAGTGCCGCCTCTGGAATTGCAATACCGAGGGTGTTTGATGCCTATCTGGAGACGGCTAACACGTAACAGTCAGTTCATCACCAAGAAGACTTTTGATAAGATCAACAAGTTGTCGGATCTGGCGCCGTTGTATGTACCACCGCACTCGGCGCGATGCGTGGTAGTGGACGCTGACCACCGGCCAGACACAATGCTTCTGCAGTCAGTCTCATGAAAGCATGCCACGACCACCTACCCAATGTCATCAATGTTGCCTGCTTCGACTCGGGATTCCACCATACTATGCCTGACTACGTCAAGGCTTATGCAATTGACCAGAAGATCGCAAAAGAGAAGGGTCTACGAAAGTATGGCTTCCACGGGCTGAGCTATCAATACATCACTAGAACTGTGGCCGATTTCCTCGGCAAACCGCAATCCGCCACAAGCATTATTGCTCTTCATCTTGGGAGCGGAGCTTCTGCCTGTGCGATCAAAAATGGACAGTCAATTGACACAACAATGGGATTAACGCCCGTATCAGGACTGCCGGGTGGTTCCAGGTCAGGCGATATCGATCCAAGCCTGGTCTTCCACTACACATCTGAAGCCAGTGCGTTAAGTCCGAGCAGCACGAAGGATCTGCACATTTCCACTGCAGAGGAGATCCTGAACAAGCAGTCTGGCTGGAAAGCATTGACTGGGACGACGGACTTCTCCAAGATTGCTGTTGCAGATGCACCAGATACCCATAAGCTGGCCTTTAATATATTTGTTGACCGCATTGTCGGCTACATCGGCAACTACTATGTCAAGTTGGGTGGTAGCGTCGATGCTCTGGTCTTCGCTGGCGGCATCGGCGAAAAGAGTGCGTACTTGCGGCAAGTGGTAGTCGAAAAGGTCTCATGCCTCGGTTTCACCGTTGATGACGAGAAAAACAAAAGAGGTACAGACGGCAACGACGTGATTGAAATCGGCAAAGGCGAGTCCGCGGTTCGCACTCTGGTCGTGGAGACGGACGAAGATGTAGGTTTTATCTCAAATACTCCATGGAGGGATCGCTGCTAACATGAACGGCAGCATGAAATGGCACATTCAGTCTTGGGCATGCTCCACAAGAAATGATATCCCGGTGGGACGACTGCACGCTAGACCAGCTCCGGCCATAGACATAATTTGACATCCTTACAGTTCTGGTCATGGACTTCCAACATTGTCTTCAGCTCTTCGTTTATGACGGCGGTGGCCATGCGCTGGGCACTCCTTCCGGCGCACAGGCGGAGCCCCATGGGAAAGTCACTGGGGTCGCCAAACCCTACGCAGTAACGCCCAAATCCTTTCCAGCATCATGGAATGCATGGCGTGATTTGTCACCCCCTCGCCTGCATTTTGTTCATGCTCAGCAAGTGACTGCGTTACAAAGCAGCCTTCACCATCCACATAGAAGACGCGATTACATGCTGTGGCTTTTACCTTACTAATCCGGACAGCGTCAGGTCGAAGCAGAGTGGTGATTTGAAAGGCATGGGTTATCCTGATTGGGACGTGACCAATAACTTGTCCCCGGACCTTTATCGACTTGTTCGGAAGTACTCCGGGGCTTTTGCTGCCGAATAGCAGCTAAGCTGGAGACAAAAGGAGGCTGCGGCATGGAACTATTCCAGCTATGCTTCAAGAGAGACGGCGTGCACCCCTTGGCAAGAGGCTGGATGAATATTTAAGAACCCCAGCTGGTTCTCGACAGGTACAATGCCTACAAAGCGTACAATTTCTGGACGAATACACCCTTGAGGCGAGCAACCATGCACTTTTCTGCGTCTTTTCTCCCTTCGCTGGTGCTTGCGGCGTCGTTGGTGGCTGCTCAAGCTGTTCCCAAGCACAACTACACATGCACAAGCTTTATGGTCAAGGTCCCCGTGTCAAACGTGACTGTGATTGTCCCACCCTTCCCAGAACTTCCCAATCAATACGCTGCCACATCATTGGCAAATCAAATCACGATTCGGACACCATCCTCTCCAGAGGTCAACCTGACCACCTTGACCAGGACATTCAACATCAGCGCAGAGTACTGCACTCCAGCCAAGTCCGGGCCGAGAGCATCAACCCTGCAGATCCTCTCCCATGGTTTAGGCTTTAACAGAAGCTACTGGGACTTCTATCTCCACTCCAAGCGCAACGATGCGCAGTACTCATACGTCAACAGCGCCACGGGCGCCGGCTACAGCACGCTATCCTATAACCGTCTTGGGATCGAACCCTCCACAATCGCAGACCCGTATAGAGAGATCCAAGCATTAGTCGAAGTCGCAGTCCTCGCTGGCCTAACGACACTCGTCCGCGCCGGAAATATCACGCAGGTCCCCGTTCCCCAGAAGGTCATCCACGTAGGCCACATTGGGGCAGCGAGATCAGCGTCGGCCTCGCCGCTGTTGCTCCAGGCCTTTCGGACGGCATCGTCCTCACGGGCTACTCCGCGCTGTCCCAGTACACGGCCTTCTTCATCGCCAACACGGCCTTCCACCTCGCGAACCAGAACCAGCCCAAAAGGTTCCCACCCAGCAAATACTCCTCCGGGTTCTTGACCTGGCCCGACAAATTCGGCAACCAATTCTCCTTCCTCGAATATCCCTACTTCGATCCCGCAGTGCTGGACCGCGCCGAGGCGACGAAATACCCATTCACCGTCGGCGAGTTTATCTCAGCCTCGGCTGTTCCTGTTGCGGCGCCCAATTTTCCAGGGCCCGTGCTCTACCTGGCTGCGCAGTCGGATCTCATCTTCTGCGCGAGTAACTGCACGGGTCTCTTTGGACCGGACAGTGTTGCGGTCCAGGGCTTCAATGGCAGCAGCAGCGTTGAGACGTATATTCAACCGAACGTGGGACATGGCATCAACTTGCACCATAACGCCACAGGCGCGTACAATGTGATAATGGACTGGGCGGAAAGACATGGTTTTTGAGATATTGCGTAGATCACGGTACTGTAGGATTCATACACAGTAAGGGTATTGCGTCCCTATACCAACAGTCTATGCCATTGTATCCTAACTACCTAGGTACTTGTGATAGCAATCCCAAATCAGACTGCCAGGAGCTTCTATTAGAACCGTCTACACAGTAGAACTCCGGGGCAATCGCACGCGCGTCATTTGAACGGATAAGTGGTCAAGCACTGACTTCCCGCCATCTGAGTGCCCGTCTCCCGCATCTGATTCGATCTTCACCTCGTATTCATACTCCTCCGTGAACCATTCTATGTAACTGCCGAGCCGGCGGCACCGACAGTCTGGCACGGCGTTTCATCGCGCTCCTCTCATTTGTTGGGGGACCGTAGCACAAATTCCTGTCTACTCTTCCTCTGATAACCGCTTACGATACCTCTCAGTCTCCTACGCAAGCATAGACACCATGTCGCGATACAGGCATCATACACGGCTACGCCACCAGTAGAGAAGGCGAAGTGCTCTCGCACTTTCGAAGACCCAGTTCCGGCCTTCGCGAACACGGCACGTGGCGGCCATCAGGGCTGCCATGTCGCTTAAGAGAACAACAAAACAATGTTTCAAGTCTTGGTCGTGCTTAAGCGCCCACTCCCATCACTTCACCGGCGCCAAAAATGACCTGCTGGCGCATCTAGTATGCCGGTCTGCATGGGTCAACAGAACCAAAGCATGGTATAGTGCGATAGTCGGTTGGCTCTCGCGCGATGTTCTTCTCTCGCTGTAATTATCATCTGGCGGGCGTTGCATTGCATAGCCATCTCAACTGAGTCTTGTTCCGTCCGGCCTCAACATGATAATGTCAAGAGGCATGGTATGAACCCACCACTAACATTCCGTACGGTCCCATATAGCCAGAATCACGGCCGTATGAGGACGCAGTCCTTCCCCTTGTAGCTTCAAGCTGCGGGCAGCTCATTTTCGCGGGCTCATGTTCTGGACATACAGGACTTTGCACCGGTTGAGCTCAATCCTAAATGTCAAGCTGCGGCAAGTAAGAGGAAATGAGAGGTTCCTTACCGACGATGGGCACAGGCTCTGCTTCCACCATGGACTGGCGCACCCCAACCGCCATGTTTAGCTCTTTCTTGAGTGCAGTTCTGGTTGCGATTGCGCATCATATCCTTAATCTGAAGCTGGATGGAAGAGAAGTTGCTGAGCTTGCTGTGGACCAACAATGGATTTCTCGGATAGGAAATGCTCTGGCGTATGTTGTCAAGGTGCTGCTAGTGCTGGCAACTGGTACTGCCTATTTTCAACGAGTTTGGCATCACGCACGAGGGAAGCCGACGAAGCTCAATCAATTCGACTCGCTGTTTGGAGTACAGGACAGTATCCTTGAGTTTCGCCATGCGAAGTTCTGGCTCCGACGTCCTATCTTGCTGCTCGTCGCCTTGATACTATGGTAGGTCTTCCCTTCCCTGGAGGATTTGCTTCATGACTACGCTGACAGTGGGCCAGGCTCATCCCTTTGGCAACCATAACCACACCAGGTACACTGTCCGTTGTACCTGCATCTGTCTCCCAGCAGCGGAATGTATCTATTCAACAACGCGAATATGGCAAATCCTCCTACGGAGCTGCCGTGCAGGCAGACAACGGAACTGTCTTTTACGGTGGAGCTAGGTCATACCTGAAAGGACCTACGCTGGCAATGCTAGTCGAGACAAATGTCCTGTCAATAGGGAGCTTCTCCACGAACTTGACCTGGTCAATTGGCTTCCATGGCCCGGCTATCTCATGCTCAAAGGCGGGACCGGAGGTCACAAGCCAGCTGACGAACATCATACTCCCATATCAACAGGCCAATAAGACGTCCCTCATGTACGATGCGTGGGTTTCAAGGCCGAGCTCGTCGTCGAACCAAGCTCTTGTCGACGGCAAGCTGGTCCTGGATCCCGACCTGAACAGCAACCTTCGCATCCTCGATCAGACGTCTCCTGATGCTGCCAGGATCTATTACAGCCTAGCGCCCGATGGCTCAACTCAAGCAACAATGGCGAATCCCGTCTATGTTATCTCATGTGCGCTCTACAATGCCACGTGGAGCGTCGACTTCGACGTACGCAGCACAGGTGAACAATTCCTGAAACCAAAACTGAGATTCGAAAACTGGATGCCTGGCTGGAGCAGCATCACTCCGCCATTGACGGCTGGAATCCACACGAACACGATCCTTGATTATGCCGGCTTGATGGAAACCTTCGGCGCCATCACATCAGGCCGACTCGACTACTCTAATGATGCAAGCCTGCCATTCACACAAACCAGTCTCGCCCTGGAGACCAGTCCCGTCCTGTTCAACGACGCATTTCCTGAACTCTTCAACGACGCTGCTATGGTTACCCTGGCGCGGACCTTCGAGGTACTTTTCCAGAACATGACCCTCTCCGCACGGTATGCGGTCCTCCCGCGACAAGATCTCCGTGATGACGCTGCGGACTGGAGCTTCGTCAATGTAACGGCCACGTCTACGTTCTCTCGCAATGTCTACCGGTATGATAGCCGGGATCTCATAATCGCATACACATTGGCTGTTATTGGGAGCGCCCTCTGCATTTTACTAGCTATCCTTGCCATTCGGGACATGGGATCCGTGTACTCGAATGTCTTCTCCACCGCTGTCCGCGTGACAAGGAGTCAAGACAGGCTGGACGCTGTGATTCGAGATGATCACGACAGGAGCGGTGCGCAACCGCTGCCACCAAAGATTGCTAACGCATATATTTGGGTGGGCAAGGAGAACAAAGTTGGAATGGGGATGGGCAGAGGGCGAGTCGATACCGATGAGTCGCTGGCGTCGCAGAAAGAGCTTCGGCGATCATGGTGGGGGAGAGAACAGGAAATGGATCTCGAGAAGAGCCAACGTGTCAACGCTGTCCACGAGCCCGTCATCGTAGTCGGAGAGACCAAGGGAAGTGATGCTCTGGGCGGTTGGATATGATCCGTGGACATCCCGCCCTGCCGGTAGGGCTGTGACTGTCTTAAACTTGACCGCACCAAGCTTGTACAGATCGAACATGACAGCATAGCATATAGATTGTTCATATGAGCCCTTCGCTTGAACACGCCTTGTCCTCTGCACATACTTATGTACATACACAAACCAGAACTGCACGATTCAATACATGCATTCTCCTTGGTTCGCTGCGCTGTAGTATCAAGTATCCCCAATACGTACGGAGTACTTCCCCAGTGCTCCCGCCCTCAGCCTCGCCGTCCGCATCTTCACCCAGTCTCCTAGTCCGCAAGTTGCCTGCTACACCCTCTTCTCTTCACTTCACTCACCACCAGCGGCTCCCTTCACCCAATTCACTCCCACCCAGATCACATGTCCTGCACGAGAAACCAGTCAACATGACTCAATCGAGCACAGAATTGTCTCAAATATCCTCCAGCAGCCACGCAGACCTCCAACCGCACGCCGGCTCGGTTCCCTGTCCAACAGTAGACCGGATCCAGGCGTTCGAGCTCTTAGTTTAAGGAGTGCTTGGAACCTCCCCTTAACAATGGGGAGACTTGAAGGGGGTTCGATTCCCCTGTCTGCCTCGTCCGTGCAAAGTGGCTTGCCCAGAGATTTGTCCGATAAAAGCCGCTTCCTACACTCCCAATTCTTATGTTGTCGGGGAGGGGGTTGCGAGGCTTAGAGTTGTCCGGGGATCGACTCGTGGGCTCAATTCCCAGTCGGCAAATTCTCTAGAGACCTGTGTCTCCATAGCTATCACAACCTTGTTTTTTGGGGCCGCATCATTCTAAAGTTAAAGGGCCGTGGGGATATGTAGGGCGTGCGCGGGCGGCGAGGTACTTTTCTTCACCACACTCTCTTTATCTCCCTCTCTCCCTCTCTCCCTCTCTCGGCTTAGCGGTATTGCTTCTAGAAGTGCTGTTGACATAGACAACCCTCATCCGAGGGCTGAGATGGGCGGGTTTTACTCACTCCTAGTACACTAGTAGATATGACTGTCGGACTTAGGGACACCCACATCGTAAATGACGTCCCGGCTCAAAAGGCGGCCCAACTCTTCCTGCTTCTGCATCTTCGCCGGTCGATGTGTTGGCGTATTCCCAGCTTCTTCGACATGCGGCGACCACCACCTTGGCTTCCGCTCAATATACCGTCCTCGTTGTCGGTACCTTGTGTTCCCGGCTGCAACGAAGCTGGAGCTACGACATCAATTCCGGTAGCGATGTCTCTCACGGTCATCCTGGCGATCCAGCACCGTTTCCGCCACACCCACCGTCTGACTTCCCAACTCCCTTTGTTCCAGGCCAGCCTGGCGCGATGCGTCTACCGTACTGCGCACTGGCCCGCTCCGACCCCAGCAGGTCATCCCGACGTGTATCAGATCGAGTCATAGGCTGTAATGGTCGAGTCTCTTCAGGCTGGACAGATAGATGGGCATGATCTGGAAGTGCGGAAACGGGATGCAGACCAGGTAAGACAGACGGGAGATGATCAGCTGATATGTTGTAGGCCGGAGATCAATGAGAACATCGTAGAGTCTGCATGTGAGGTGGTCGAGAAAGACTTTCAACAGGTGATGGATGATCATCGATAATTATACACTCGCTTCCACGCGCCTAGGCCTTGGGCAATGGCCATAGTTGCGGCGAAACAAGACTCTCCCACCACGAAGCTTTGCTCACTTCCAGTGCACGAGCAGATGCGTGCCGTGCCGTTGCTCAAGCTTTTCGCCACAAGTGTTGCCCACGTGTTGTAATCGACGTTTCTGCTGCAATCATGCTCCGGTGAACTCCCGCCGTCATACGTGGGATCTTCACCCTTTGGTCTGAAGGACCAGCCGTGCTGGTGGACATTGTCGGCGTTGCTCTTGGGTCTTTGCCATATTCGACCATTAAGGTGATGGGCACGCTTTGCCGCAGCGTGACGGGACAGAGGTCAGCGACCGGCCCAGTCGCCCATGGACTAACATAGGAGCGAGGTGGGTTCGAGTACACAGTAGAGGCACCAGTGGTGCCAGGCCCAGCTCCTATGACGAAGTAATCCAGCCCTCAGCTTAGGCCGCGGTATGTGGGGCTACGCTGCTCCGTATGTACCAGAAATGGGCCAATCACTGGACACTTCCGACGACGGAGACGTAACGAGTGTTTGTTGAAATCTCAGTCTCGCGATCTTCCACAAGAAGTAAGCTGGGACTCATTTGACAATCTGATCTGATACACTGGTAGCGCTGTCATGCCGTGGAGGTGAGGAACGGTAATTAGCTGGGAGGTTCTACGAAAGATCGCCTCCGCTCATTAGCATCGGTATCCTTCGGGGTGTTTACGTGTCTGTCCCGTGTCGACGATGTGTACCGTGTACGTCGTCGAGGCATGTCAGCATGAGCATAATGTGAACTAGATCTATCCTTCTGGGTACTTCCATACGTCCGGCCACGTGCGTGCGTGCATTGCCAGGGAGAGCTGATGGTATCGTACTGTCTGTCCCGAGTCGAGGCACGTCCACCACAGCAAATGCACGCTCATAGAGCAGGAATTGCGAAGATGTACTGTATTGCATGTTGTATATCATATTGCATGTCGCATCTCGCATCTCGCAGATCGCATATACGCGTAATTTATCTACAGAGTCCGTTCTAATTAAGGCGATGGTTCTTGCTTCGACCCGTCAAATATGTCGTACCGCTTTTGTGGTCTGAGATTATGGATGGCTGTATACCTCAACCTTGCAGCCTTGCAACTCAACCCCTGGCATTATATACTTACTTTACGAAGGGGGGCTAGTGCGACTCAAGCCCAAGCATTCAGCCATGCCGTAAAAGACGTCGATGCTGTTGAACACGCCGGAGAATAAGTCCGTGCAGGGTCCGCGCGTGAAGACGGGCACATCAGTCAGGGAATGGACACCTTGGTCGGCCTAGACACAGGCGTTAGTACTTGTAGGCAATGGGTCGCGAATTTCAGGATGGTGAAAAGTGCAGAGGGAGGTAACGCGACTCACACTAACGGGGAGCGTCCCGTTGACAATAAACCCTGTCACGGCGTCGACGTAGTTGACATAAAAGTCGTCGTCGTCAAAGCCGGTGATGTTGATGGCGGGGACTCGTGGGCCGTTCTTGTTGACGCGGTAATCTTCTCGGTGGTCCGGGAACGCGGCCAGCCCACTGTACAGGGTATAACGGGGATCCCAGTTCGTGGGGAAGTTAACGCCAGGCCCGTAGACCAGGTTCTGGTCGCTGCCGACGCGGGCGGACGAGTTCGCAACGACGTACTGCGAGTGGCCTGAGTTCTGGTACGTGCCGATGGCGTCGCGCTTGTCGCGGGCGCCGTCCTGCGCGTTGAGGAACTGGGTGTCCACGCTGCCCATGACATCGAAACCGTGACCGTGGTCGGCTGTCACGAGGAGAAGCGTATTGTTCAGCTCGCCATTCTCTGTCAGCCAGGCGATCGTGGCTTTGATGGTGTCGTCGAGTTCGAGGAGCTCGCCCAGGGCACGGTCGTAGTCTAGCACGTGCATCATCTTGTCAATGCTGGCGGCCTCGGACATGAGGAAGAAGCCGTCTTCGGAGTGGCGCGTCTGCAGGATGTCGAGGGCCTTGATCGTCATCTCCTTGAGACCGGGCTGGTCGGTGGCCGAGGCGTTGGACCCGTTGGGGGCGGTCTTGGAGCGGTTGAGGTTGGCGGGGTAGACATTGCGGTCCAGCCACTTGGCCATGTTGCTGACGGAGAAGATACCCAGGTGGCGGCTGGAGTTATCGGAGGCTTGCAGGGCGGTGTTGTTGAGCACGACGGTATAGTTCTGCTGGGCGAATACTTCGTAGTAGTCCTTGCCTTGGAAGGAACCTGAACCGGGGTAAAATTGCTCGGCACCGCCACCGAAGAGCACGTCCGGCCCGGTCCAGTTAGTCCATGTGTAATTCGTGATGCCGTGAATGAAGGAGTCGACAACGGCACCATACTGGCTTCGGTCGCGCGTGTGGGCTGTCAAAGCGGCGGGAGTGGCATCCGCAATGAAGGCTGTGGACACGATGCCAACGCCGCCACCACGAAGGCGATGGAAGAGTTCGGCAATGGACTCAATCTTGGGGTCGTCAAACTTGTTCGGGGAGCTGTCGGCGTAGACGCCCAGCGCGTTGACCGTCGACTTATGGCCCGAATACAGAGCGGTCGCCGAGTTGGCACTGTCAGTGATGAAGCTGTCAATCGAGTGGGTCATCTGATGGCCGAGCATGGGGAATTGATCCATGGCCAATCGCGTTTGATATTTGCCATTGATTTGCTGATGACCAATCAGGCGAGCCGCTGTCCAATTATTAGCACAAAGTCGTACGAAGGAGAAAGTTTCAGCCTTACCGGTTATCATGTTGGTGGTCATTCCATCGCCAATGAACATGATGACATTCTTGGCTCTTTGCCGAGGAGCGATATCCCTGACGGTCCAATTGGCAAGAGTGGTCTGGGAGCCGTTGCGGTATCGGAGAGTAGCGATATACTGGCCAGGCTCGTAGAGAGCAACGTTTCGCCATGCCTTCGAGGCAACCCTAACTTGTGAGGGCGTATGGGCGGCCTGAGCAAACAAGTCTTCATACCAAGTAAAGTTCCAGGTCTCCAGTCTCGGTTCGGGGAGGCTGAAAAACGACGTGACTGGCTGGGGCGACCCGCCTTCCCGTTCAATGGTCAAAGTGAAGTTAGCATCCGGGGTGGTATAGCCACGAATGGCTTCACTGCCGTTCAGTGGAGCATGCACTTCGGCTCTGATGTCGAACCGTTGTCCTGGAAGGAAGTCGGCCTGGTCAGGTGGTATGATACAGCCCAGAGTAGGGCACGTCCCGAGTCTCTGGAAGGTTTGAGCAGCACAATGGGTGCAGAAGGCACCAAAGGCCAAAGCGACCTTCAGAGTAAGTTGCATGTCGAGGTTGCGATACCGAGGGATATCCGAGTCAGAAGCTGTGGGTGACCGACCTGAGAGAGCTCAAGAAGTGACAGCCGGCTCTAGGAAATCGTAGCTTTTGTAGCTGTCTTCCCCAGCCACAACTGGCAAGCTCTGCCGCGCACATCCCATTGATCTCATTTTTCTCGAGACCCAGAGCGCTTTCTCGTGGTAGTAGCCACGAGCTTCGCTTTACCCGTCGATATGGTGTAACCCGCATCGATATCCAACCTGATTTGGGCAGGCGGAATCGGGTGCCAAGGCCCCAGTTGGAGACCAAGAGCGTCGCCAAGGCCGGAGGGTGCAGAACAAGCATTGTGAGCCAATAAGCCACCCACGTTGTCGAGGGAAAGCGGCATTGCACGAGGTTGTCGACGCAAGGGAAGAATCCGCCCACGTTGTATAGCTGTCGTACATGAAGTATGCCAAGATCAAGCTCTCATGGTGTTCCCCGCTCCTCACAGATGCGTGAGATGCGTGGTTAGAGCTACCACAGCCATTGGAGAGCAGAAGAGAGGGCCAACAGAAGCAGACGCCACCACGTCAAGAGGTGGCACCGAGTTGGGGCAAGTGAACTCCCGTCAGGCACTCTGGAAGACAAAAAGAAAAGATGACAGGATGGAGGATGGAAGCTAGGAGTACGAGCGCGACCATACCGTTCCTGTGAGCTTCGAGCTCCAAAGCTCCAGAGCTCCTTGAGGGTTGCATGCCCTGGCATTCGTCATTATGATTTTGAGCCTCGCCAGTGTTCCTGAACTTCATCACCCTGCATTGTGCCTGACCGAATGGCCTAAATACCGAGGAGGTGGTTAGCCTTGGACCACCCAATCAATCATCAGAGTCACACTCTATTCTCATCGTCCTGAAGAAGCACTACAAAGTGATCAGACAAGTTTGCAAAAGTAGTAACTTGGAGGTGAAGAACGGAGAGAAACCACGTCGCAGCCCTGCCATGGGTCAAGACTCGGTCAGTCTCGGTCAGTCTCGGTGCCGGCACGCTTGCTCGCTGACCGAAGTTAAAGAAGCAGCAGTGTAGACTCAGTCTGGCATGCTGGATAGATGGCGCAAAGCAAAGAGCAATTTTCCGATACCACAACGGACGATACACGCGCACGGTTGTGGCCTGATGTTGGTTCGCTAACGGAGACAAGGCAGGTCACACGAGCAAGCCCTGTTATGTAAGATGAGATCTGGCTTCGTATTCTTGAACATCTGTGTGAGATCCTTCAAGCCACCACTGGCAGGGAGCTTGGGATGGGGTCCATGACTGACTGGTGACGGGATGCTGACTGCCGCTGTATTCTCCTTACCTCGCCAATGTTGCTGAAAATAACGTCAGAAGATAGAGAAGTGCGGCTGAAGCGTTCGCGGCGATGTTTGCGCCGCTCGGATGTCGGGAGCGACAGCAATTGGGCATCGAGGGTCCGGTACAGTAGCGTTCGTAGAACATGTGAAGGAGATCACGTAGGGTGGCACGGCGGCCGCTGCTGGCAATGCGAGGCTGATGTGCAGCCACGGGCACAAGCAGTCGAAAGGCACACGCTGTGAATACTGGAGCATTGTGTAGGTACTGTGTACAGTTATTGCGCATGTGGCCATGCGAGGCCATGGAAGAAAAGAACAGGGCGAGATGCGCCGGAAGAAAGCAACGGCCCAAACTTGGCAAATAGAAGCCTCTCTATCCCTCGGTAAATCTCTTAGGTACCTAGTTAGGCATACTTTAACAAAGCCCATTAGCCACTCAGGCCCTGCCACCGTCAGCTCGCTGTGGGCTCGCTCGGCCTCCAACGCTTCCGGCCAGCCCGCAAAATGCTCACTTCCCTCTCACTAGCCCCTCACTTTTCACCGTCCCGTTCTTCTTTTGACCACATATCGCCTTCCAGCACATGCCATATTCATAAGACAAGCTGCGGTTTACAGCTAGCCACAGGATCAGTAGGACTAAAGAAACTTTGGATCGTAACATGATCTTTCTTCGCTGGAGTCGGTCGTCCCCTCCGCCACTCACAATCTCCAGGATGGCACTTGCATCATCGCCCTGGTAATGGCGTGCATACCACAAACAATTGTCCCTGAGTTTGTTCGCAGCGCTATTCTATGTTTGTCTCAAACTGTCCATTCTGGGTGGCCACAGGCTTGTTGAGGAGTCTCCTGTGTCCAATCCGGCTCGGGCTGGATGACATGTTCCATGGCTCGGATGGCGTTGCCAATGGCATGCTCTGCGTTCTGTATGGCGTGCATTCCTCGAGCTGACTATCATGGTACTTAAGCAGAACGCCACTTTACCTGCAGCAGTCCCGTCCATACAGGGAACCTGTCGATCGGCTATCGGGCAGGAACAGTGTCCACTCACAGGAACCGAGAGACATGGCAGAGCCTAGCCCTGTCGAGAGCAGCTCACTGCTGTCCGGCCCTAAAAAGAACAAATGGCTTCGACAGTCCGACCTTTCTGATGCTCTCGGTGCTGGTCCTGGTGCTGTTGGTCCTCGTCGTCGCCGTTGGTTTTGGCCCATCATGGTCTTTGCGTCCTTCGTTTTTCTCGCTAGCCTGGCTTTGTCTCTGGCTGCTCCGCAACAGAGGCGACAGGCAAGCGGTCCAGTCATTGGTTCCAACTTTCAAGACCCTTCGGTCGTCCAATTGGCTGATGGGAGCTACGTCGCCTATTCGGGTGTTAATGGGAACCCTGCTGGGTCTAATATCTTGATTGCGACTTCCCCAGACTTTTCGACCTGGACTGTCCGGTATGGCTATGATGCCTTGCCCAATCTCCCTTCTTGGGCCGCATCGCCACCTCATGTATGGGCTCCTGATGTGATCCAGCTAGTAAGCACCCTTTCCGTGGCTTCAGTGCTCGATTCTCTGACGCAGGACAGAATAATGGGAACTTTGTGCTGTATTACTCTGTGGTCATGGCCGAGTCCCCGTCGAAGCATTGCGTTGCAGCAGCATACGCTCCCAACCCAGAAGGGCCATTTACCCCCGTCCAGACGCCTTTGTTTTGTGACCTGGGCGCCGGAGGAGCGATTGATGCGGATGGGTTCAATGATCCGACCACCAACCGCCAGTATGTCGTCTACAAAGTCGATGGTAATTCTGTCGGCAATGGAGGCGCCTGTTCGAACACAGTAGCGCCTATCGCTCCGACGCCGCTCAACCTTCAGGAAGTCAGTAACGACGACGGCTATACGCCCCTCGGCGGCACAACGACTATCCTCCTCAATGACCCCGATGATGGACCGAACATCGAGGCACCTTCACTAACATACGATTCCTCCTCTGGAACATACATCCTCTTTTACAGCTCAAAGTGCTTCACTACAACTCCTTACAACATTCGCTACGCGACCAGCACGAGTATCTACGGTCCTTTTACCAAGCAACCGAATTCATTCCTGGTGACCGGCAGTACAGCAGCCAATCTTTACATCCCGGGAGGCATCGACATCACCAAGGATGGAAAGAAGGCCGTCTTCCACGGTGACACGAATATGGGCTGGTTTGCAGGTGACGGCAGTAAGCGAGTCCGAGCCATGTATGCCCTCGACCTGAATTTTGGAGGCGGCGCAGTGTATCCGGGTGGCCTCTATTGATGCCAACTGCTTCCCTTTCCTTCTAGCCAAAGACATGAGCAAGATCCAGAACAGAGCCATGACGTCGACGACCAGGAAACGGACTCAGTCGGGGCTGGAGTGATGGATGTGTACAAAAGCACCTGCTTTCATACTCGTCTCAGTGAGCGGTTTAGATTAGAGGATGCTTTGGAGAAACGGCATGCAGAAATTATTTTGATCCGACGGATCGGCTCTTTACGACCTTTCATGTTAAGAAATGTGGCAACCCCTATGATGCAGTACTCCGTATCATCAATTTGAATGCCGTTGTTTCAATCCCTCCCAACCCGCTTTCCCCCTCGCCGCCCATTTAGCGAGATACGGATCTTTGCATGGCTTCTTGAGCCTGACTAGGCTTCCATGGGAACTTAGCCCTTGGTGAACCAGAATGGGCGGTTGTCGCTGTGAAGGTGAGTGATCAGTGTTCTGATTTAGGTTTTGAAGGAAGGCGATAGACACATGGACAATCAAGCAATCAAATCGATGAAGCTGTTCGTTCAGAAGCAGGATGGATAATTATGTGATGCATTTTGTCGCGCAGGTCAAATGACAGGCGTCGAAGGTCTGGCCGATGACAGGCGCGACTTGGTGTTGATTGGTGAATCCACTCAGATACAAATGACTTCAAGTTCATTTCTTTGACTTCTCTTTCTCCTTGCAACCGCACACATCCACCATATTGATGCCACTTGAAAGCAAGTCGTGCCACAAGCATTAGCAGAGAGACTTGTGCTGAGTCTGACCAGGAAAGTGCCTGGCTCAAGCTCTCTTAACAGGTATTAAAGCAGGTGCCGCTAACAGCAGTTGTGGATGAACCTCCAGCTGCGTTGGGTACCGGTATGGCCGTAAAGGTCGAGCATACCATGGAGGCGAGCGACGCCGTTACCAGCTTGTCGACCGTACTACAGCGAAATGTGGCGTAGGTTTTGTCACCTGCGGCAACCCGGTAAGTGACGCATTTCGGATAATCTGGGTTCCCACCACTATGAGTTACTCCTCTGTCAGTTCCATTCACTCGCTGAATTTCGTGAGTTACAGTTTGAGGCAGAGAGGGTACATACCAAACAGCCGTACGATGACCGCATCCCGTAGCCGAACAGGACGCGCTGCTTTCAGCCTGATCCAAGCATTTAGTCGGCAGAGCACAATTGGAGAAACTTCCTTCACTGTCGACCGAGCAACAGTCGAGAGCCATGTTGGAATTGTCGTATGCGCAATATTTGCTTGTCGGGCAAGTCAACAATGTGTCTCCTACGCACACGCATTCGCTCTCCAACTGGGTTCCAGCTCTTCGGAGCAGTTGAGGTCCGACGACCGTCCCGGTCGGTAGAGGCAAGCCTGACGATGATGCAGGGAGCGTTAACGTCGTCATTGGAGTCGAACCGGCAGCGGTGTTGAGTAAGGAGGAAAGGGCGACCAAAATTAGCCCGTTGGACCACTGACTGAACATTTTGCTTTTGTTCAGGAACTTGGGTTCTTGCTTGATCTGTCGAAGACCTTTCCTGGCAAGTTTATACTTTTACCTGGGTCTGAGGGAAAGTCCCGGGCCTAGGCAGCATCGGAGACATCGGACAGCTACGAAGCGCCTCGTTAACATCCGCCAATACCTGCTCCAGGCTCTGACTGACCGAAGCGACTGGCATTGGATCACACCCTCCATGCCTCACGCCCTTCATTTTCGCGGCCAATGAGATGCCGAGCACGCCGCCACAGTAGCACACAGCTGAAGACCCCTGTCGTCCACTTCTCCTCCGGCAGTCTCGCTCCCAAATCAATCGTACGACAATCACGCAAGAGAAGCCATGTGATGGATAATGAATACGAAAGGATTGTGCTTGTGGCATTTTCCTTTCCGATGTCCGCTTTCGACGAATCCTCTTCACAGAGAGCAACGCCAAAGACAAGTCAACGGTGGGAAAACCCAGATGGCTGAGGCGGCGCATCCATCAGCACTCATAGAGCGATATGCCATATTAAGACTTGGTGCAGACCTCCAATGCGCCATCACACCGGCTCGCTTCGACATTGTTGCAGGTCTCGGCCACGGATTTGAACAGAATGAGTCTGTCCATCCTCAAATGGGTGACCATCAGCCAACTTGTGTGCTTCGCTTTCCAACAAGCTATTCTCCGCCCGACTACCACTGCCCTGTCGCGCCTGATTGTCAAGTTGGGTGGATGGCAATGTTTGCGGCATCGGATATTGACTGTGGTCACAACGGGTGTCTTCATCGGCACTGTCCTCTTCGGCAATAACTCGACTTTAGCTCCGTCGAGATATCTTGTTAAAAGGTTCGGGTCGACTGTGGCTGTTTTGAGAATACTGCAAGGTTTGACTTCGGGCTTGACCACCTGGGTGTTGAGCGAAACCCTAGAATTGGTTCAGTGGACCTTGGTCGGTGGAGAGAATGGACTACGCCTGCTCAGCCTTCTCAGCATTTCGCCAACGACAGGTCTGTTCGGCATGCTTACGATGTTATTCCTTGCGAAACTGCCGGAGCGAGCTTGGGCGATGACGAGGTCAGTCCTTCATGATGGATGAGAATAATCCATTGTTAGCTTTGGCTGATCTCTCCAGGCTCCTTTTGATGGCTATGATTTGGGTGGCCGGAATTGTGTTATTCGGTATGTCATGTCCAACCAATCTCAGTATTCGCTTTCCGCAATTAACTCATGCTGTAGTCAACATCCGAGTGTCAACGGTGTACGATGCTTTCTATACGTCGTCTGTGACGGCAGGCGCCGCTGTGTTCGACGGGTCATTCGCCAAAGCAATGGTAGCCGCCTTCAATGGCAGCATAACCTATCAGATCCTCGCTTTCTCCAACACGTTTGTGACGAATACACAGTTTTCGGTCAGGTCAACGCCCGTCTCTTGTGCTGCGCAATACGATTCATATATCTTCCCGGGAGCGATGTGGTCCTTGAACGTAACCCTTCCAGCCAACTCTTCCGATGAGACTGTTGTCAAGATTGAAAACTCTCCGGCTATCCAAATCGATTTTAATCAGAGCATCGCCAACGGAGACAGCTTCTTGCCACATGATTGTACCGTCTATGGCGAGGATGGAAGCAACGTCGGCATCGAACTGTGCTTGGCAAAGAGCAAGGTATCCAGTGGATGGATGATTGCAGGTGGGTACAGTCTGCTTTATACCCCGTTCTCCTAATGATGACTTCAGGTGTGACCGTATGCACGCAAGTGCTGGATGGTAGCTGCCTCTCGTTCGCAAGGGATCCACTCCAAATCAATACTACCTTCTCGCTCTACAGCCTCACGGCTTCGACCGCTTGTATGAGGAGCAACAACAGCATCATATCAGTCACCCACATTGGCGAGCCTACGTTGCAAGACATCGACATGGACGGGCTTTCTCTGGCGCTGGGTTGGCTGCTGAACTACACAGCCCAGGGGATACCTGCCATGGCATCCCTTGTCTTCATGTTCTCAAATGGGGATACCGACCCCAACGACCGCCACGACTGGTCAACTGCCAGCGACTTGTCGCTGAAAAGTATACTGGCCTTTTCAGTCTGGCTGTTCAGCGTCAATAACGGCGGGGACCCCTTGAAGCCTACCCGCCGGCTCCCTTCTGAGTTCGAAACGTCCGCTTCGCTCTGCAGACCATTGGAGAAGGTCATCGTCGACCGAGGGGCGTTTATCGCCTACATTGTCCTGCAAAGCACTGTCCTCCTGTTCTTTTGGATTGTCGTGATCTGGCGCTGGACCCAAACAACTCTGCTCCAGGAATCGTCGTCTTACCCATTGGTCGACTTTGCGGCCAAGTTTGTCCGGAATGAGGTAGTCGCGCAGCCGGACCAGATTTGGGAGGTTGAAAAGGACTTTCTCAGGGATGCCGGGAGCAGCGATGTCATTGAGGTTCTGATGGACGCACGAGTAGTACGTCAAGGCTGAAAACGGAGACCACCAGGTGCTGAAGATGCGCGGTCCACCTGATTGTCGCCACTTATGGCCGGTGACACTTATACCGACATGAGACCAGCACCAGAACCAGGCATGGACACACACTTTGCACCCTACCTGTGGTGAAGCAGAGCCCATGCCGTGCCTGCCTGCCAAAGCACCAAAGACAGAAGATGCATCACCTTCACGTTCACCGATACTCACGACTTCCTTCATCGAAGTTGAATGCGCTCTCGATGCCACACACCGTTCAGCTAACAAACTTTGTCGATCTACTCCGTACGGATTACTCATTGCCCATTGTCCTCATGCTTCGTGCGAAGCCCGCCATCTCACCTTCTTAGCAAGACAACAGAACCATAGGGAAAAACCAACACACCGTCCACGGTCCCGTCGACAATTCTTGTACCCTGCCTAGAAGAGGAGGTTCAGTATCAATACCCTACTGGGGAACTCAAAGATGTGCTAGCAGGCTCACCTAGCCAGTAGTTACCCATAATGCGTCCCCTCGGCACTTCGCACGTGTACCGCACCGACACCGCTGCCACCGCTGCCACCACTTACATACGGAATATATAGATACGACGTACGTGTCAACGATGAGATCATCAGACAGAGTACGAAGCAGTCTCTGTGCCTACCTTCCTTTATATTCCTCGGTTGGGGGCGTGTGAATGGCTGTCCTCTACCATCGGGGACTGCATGTGCTCCGTGGTTACTGTAGACACTATTTATCGTCTACGCATCCTCAGGCCCGCACACGATGCGTCGGTACCGTCTGCACGGTCAGTAGGTCAGCAGGGCAGCAGGGCAGTAGGGCAGGCACTCGGCGCTTCGATATGCTAGGGAGAATGCGTGCGTGTCCTGTTTTCTCAGGGTCTGAACACCCGGTAGCGGCGCTCGGGTTGAAGTCGCATAGTTGTAAAGACATCGACGAAAGCGAAACCCACGTCAACGCTCGATGAGATAGATAGATATACTTTCTCGAGATGAACTTTTCGGCAGCGCCTGCCCACGAGCGTGCAGAGCTCAATGCTCAATAAGCATGCGCTCGCTGCTGCCGAGGATATACAAGGCTTATCGCTGCGCCACAACAGCATTCAAGAACCCTGCTGCATGACAAGCTCTCTTAGCGACCACCTCCACCCGTTCGTCCCGTCGAGCCCATCTTCCTCTTCCGCGTCCGCGCCCTTTCTCAACCACTTCTCAACCTTTCTCCGCCACCTTTCCTCTTCACTCCTCTGCCGCCTGACGAACTCGGGGCCGACATCAAACTCCTCGCTGACGCCGATCCCCCATTCATCACCACTACTGTGGCCGCCGACTTCACCATCGCCGAAGGAGTCCCTCGATTGATTCACACTGGATATATTCTGCAGAGTGCCGCTTCGACTCCTCGTCTCGTCTTCTTCTTTCAGATCTTCCAGGCCGGCAAAGACGTCCTCTTCCTCTTCGACCTGCACGCTTCCCCCTCGGAGACTGGACATGCTTCCGTCGGGGTTTTCCGCGATTTTGAGCCAGCGCATTTGTGACGGGTCGAAGACCATGCCGCCCACGACCTGCACACCAGTCACGCTGGAGCCGACGTTCGAGATCAAGGCCACTTGGGCTTTGGAGTTGGGACTTCCGCCGCGGGTGTGGGTGGTGGGACTGCTGACTCGAGGGTAGAAGTCAGGCACGTCAAAGGGCGCAACGTCGTTCTCGTTGCCTTCCCACTTGAACAGCAGCGGGTTATAAGACATTCCCTTCTCCGTCTTGGGCCGATTCACGTCGCCGCCCATAGGTTTGATGAGGTGGGGTTTGAGCTGCACCTTGTCACTCTTTTTCTTTCTCAGACTGCCTTGATTGCTGGGCCGTACAGCAGAGGAACCGGACTTCCAGTTCGTCGAAATCGGCTGAAGGGGTTCACCTCGCATGTTCTGGAAAGCGGCCGAGATTTGGCGCTGTTCACGAGCGTTACGAGAAGCAGCCGTGTCGCGGGCAAACCGCGGGACATTTGTTGTGTTGAGAGCAGTAGTAGGGAAATCACTCCTGGAAGCTGGCGTCAGGGGCGTCGCAGGGACGGGGGTATCAGTGCCGGGCCGGGTACTGGTCAATGAAGATGTAGAGGGGTTCAAATGCGACAAGCCGAGCTTGCTTCGCAGACTTCGCGGAGCACCGCGGCCGACAGGGACCTTTGTAAATTTCGACTCGAGAGTCGCGGAGGTAGGTAGGTCGTCAAAAATTTCCAGCTCTGTTCCATCACCGTAGTTGCGGCGCCTTGTGGGTTTGGTGATTGTCTTCTTTGCCTGTGCTGCCAATTCGGCCGGCGTGAGATTGCTCCGTCCACGGTTGAGGTCGACACCACGGCCTGGAGTCTCTGGTCTGCCCAAGCTAGCGAGTCGAGACAAGGACCTTTGTGCAGCAGACATGCTCTCGCTAGAGCCATCAGAACCCTGCCCACGATAGTGGGTTTTGATGCTGACGTGCTGTGACTGCCCAGCAGATGCGCCTGCCGGGAGGAAGGGTGCGGGGGCCTTTTGTGAGAGTCCCATGCGCGACTCGGTCCGATCTGTTGTTGGAGTCTTGGGGCGTGGAGGAATGTTGAGACGGCTTCCAGTGTCTTGTCTCGAAGGGGGCCGAACGTAGGGCGAAGATTTGGTGGGAGAAGTAAGACCTCGCATGACAGGCATAGATCTCTTCGCACGAAGGAGTTGAGCGTTAGTTGTTGTAGGCTGTTCAAAGCGCAGATCACGTTGCGACTCTGTACCTCGCAGGAGCCGGCGACTGGGAGTTGAAGGAGTCGAAGGTTGAGGAGCAGGGATAATCGAAGCGGACGGCTGAGTGCCATGGTTACCGAGACGCGAGTTCGCTCGTGGATATGAGATGGCTGCACCAGTTTCCGAGACAGGTTCCAAATTGGACCGGGCACGCTCAAGTCGGTCATGCGCCGGCTGAAACCGGGGCAGGCGTGAGATTGTGCCCTGGGACTTGGTGGTCGTAAAATTGAGCGTGGTGGTTGTCCTCTTGGGCGGACTTGTGGCTCGGGTGCTCTTATGTTTGACATTGCGATTCAGAGTCAACTTAGCAGTGTCAAACACCTCTCCGTCGCCGATCTCGAGACCTGAGAAGAAGTCTTCCTTCCCAGATACCTTCCTAACCTCAGCTTTGACATCTGGTGTGCTGCGAAGTGGAGGGTCAACTGAACTTTCATGTTGTCGTCGTTTGAGTTTGTCCTGGAACTGGATCGGTCCATCAGGCAGGACGAGGCCGTCGAGTCCTTCGTCCTCACTCTCGGCTGTAAAAGCGCTGGAAACACTGGGACTCAGAGCCGAGGCAGACGAGCTTCGCGCCGACCGACCTCCTCTGCCCCTCCCAGCATTTCGTGTTCCCAAGCTGCCCTCGGCCCATTCGAGATCGAAATCGTCACTCTGCTGTGGCGTCGAAGGCGGAAGCTTTCTCGTCGATAGGCGCAATTTGCCGTCAGGAGGCAGCTCAAGTCCTTCTTCTAGGTTCTCGATTTCAGGCTTGACTGGGGTGGGTGGCTGGTGGAAAAGCAATGGCTTTTGAGGAGATCGATGTTTTGCAACTTTTATTGTCGGCACATCTCCAAAGCCGGCATCCTCATCCGTGTCGCGAAAAGCATCGAGGGTAATAGGCATCGCTGATGTGCGGGACTTTGGTGATCTAATTGTGAGATCGAGCGCGTCTTTAGTGTCGGGAGTCTTGGGAGATGTCCTGAAGGCGGCACTAATCTGGCGCAAGCTCTCGGACAGGTCGCGGTCGTCGTGTTTAGCAAGCTTGAGGGGGATATCGACGCCCGGGAGATCCAAGTCTTCAGACCAGTCATCGGCAATTGCCTTCTTGATTTCTTTGCCTTTTAACCGTCGTATCGTGCCACCCTCAAGCGCAGAACGAGGTATGTTTGTTGGTAGAGGTATCCCTTTGCTCTTTGCGAGAGCTACAGCATCCTTGACTGAAGCCTGTTCGTCGACGAGTACATCCCAATTTTCGTCTCCTTGATTCGATTCGGATCGCATCGACATGCGCGAGGACACTGAGTCCCGGTGGGCGGCTTGAGGGTGAGAAACGACCGAGGTGGCAGTTGATGCAGTCCTGAAGTGGACGTCTTCCAAGTTGTCGAAGTCTTCATCGTCCCAGTTTTCCACATCCTCGCTCTCAACCGGGGTCCGAGGCTTGAGGGTGAGTGGTTCCATGATGCTGAGTTCGAAGAAGGAATTGCAAAATAATCAGTAGCGGGTAATAATGTCGCAGAAGTGACAGCACAGCATTGGCTTCAACAGAAACATGAAAAAGTTGGATCGTAATGTCGTTAAGGTTCGTAACGTCGTGAGAAACGGTGGTCGATCAGCGTGACTGATTGAGCTGTCCAACACGGCGCGTTTGTTGCTCCCCGACGAGCAGTATACGCCGCTCGGGGGCAGTTGGTGAGAGAGCGACCTTGAATGGTCGTACGAAGATGATGAGGAGTGAGACTATGCGCAGTGTGGACTTTTTCGAGGTCGGCCTCAGGTCTCGGAGTTTGGAGGAGGCTGGAGGATGATCTTGGTCATGGCCGTCGGGGTAGTTCTGGAAACAGAGGGAGGAGGAAGAGTGGATTCCGCGCGGACACCGCAACCTGCAGGAGGCCAAGCAGAAGGTGGCTGGCACGCGTTTTGCAGCCAATCACGGCCAGACTAAGTCGCCGCGACGCGTCTTTCCCCGCCCCACTTTCACGGCGGTCGCTGCGCTCAAGCACCGTCGTTGTGTGGTGTGATCAGCGACTGGTCCCTGCTCGAATCCGAACCACACGGGCGTTGCTTGGTCTATGCGACGCGGGGGTCTGGAGTCAACCATTATCTGCAGCCCTGCGTGCCTTGAAAGGGAAAGCACGGCGAAGCGGAATCCCATGCCACCATGACTTCCAGCTGGGTGGTTCGCCTGCTTCAAGACAACAAAGAGGAGACGCCCATTCTCATCAACGTCTTGCGGAAGGAAGGTGGCGACGAGCTTGACCTCGACCTGCTTGCCACAGACGGCACCGCAGCCTTTACCACTAAAGGTAAGTTGAATGGTCACGGGCTTTTTTGAACTTTGCGCTGATGGCTGCGTAGTAAGGCGACGAAATCTGAAGAAGCTACGGGCGAAGAACTACGACGGATCCGATGATGAATGGAGTAATACCATTTTATCAGTCCTCGGTCTCAAGACAGCGTCGACGGCAGGCAGCCCGCAGGAAGCCGACCTCGACGTGACCTGTTCATTCTCAGGCAAAGGATCGAAACGCACACTTTCTCTCGTCTTTAGCAATAAGGTCGAGGACATCACACAACGGCTGGGGACGGTTGAACTGCCTCAAAACACCGACGCCGAGGACGATGTAGACCTTTTCGGCTGGACTTCCCAGGCGATTGAACAAAGAGACAGGCTACAAGGCGAGGTCACTGGCTTGAGGGGTCAGGTTAAGACAAAGGATGATATGGTCGCGAGCTTGCAGAAACAAATCGACGAGCTGGTCGAGGCCAAAGCCGAACACGAGAAGCAAATGCTATCCAAGTTCGCTCTCCTGCTCAACGAGAAGAAGCTCAAGATCAGGAACATGCAGAGGATTCTCTCCACCGCCAAAATTGATCAGAAGAAACTCAGAGAGTTGCAAGCTGTCATCGGCGATGAACCGGCGGGCATCGTAAGGCGAAAGAAAAGAGCAGCTGAGGAAGAGGTTCAGCATGAATCAGATGATACCGATGCTTATGAAACAATGGATGCGGACCCCCTCCGGACCGCCCAGCAAGAAAACGAATCTCCCGAGTCTGGTAATTCGACTCCGACCGCCTCAGAAGCAGACGATGATACAGATGACCAAGACCTGAGTAAACCACCAGCATATTCTAATCAGCCCAGAACACGAGCTGCAACCAGCACAACTTCACAGAAAGAAATCAGAACACCGCCTCCAAAGAAATCACAAAAGGAAGGTGAGCCTGCACCGCCAACAGATGATGATGACGAGGCAACTGCAAGTGAGGACGATGAGTTATGAAGTCAATGACCTGGTACGAACTATTCGACGAGTTATGAAAAGGCATTGGATACCCCGGCACGCATGGAGATGGAGGATTTTGAGCAATATTCATGTCATTTCATTCATGGTTGTCACCAGTAGCGTGTTTACAAGCTACTTCCACGGCAACCCCAGAGGTCATCCGTGGCACTCGTATGTAGGCGGGATTCAATAGTTGAATCTTGGCTGGTCGCGGGAATTGGGGTCATATCGATCCATGTCGCCGTAGTGGTTGTCATACATGCCCTCGGCGGCCCTCTTGCCATGTTCCCTTGCTCGAATCTTGTCGTATTCATCCAAGCCCTTCGTCTCGGCGAGCTTGTCAACTTCGGCCCCGACAAACCCGGCCAGGAGTTCTTTGGCAAACCCGTGGTCGACAGCCTTGCCTGCACGTTGTTAGCAACCAAGCTTTGTGCTACAGTCGGATGGGCAGTTGATATACCTTCTCTGCGCTGTTTGTCTTCGTAAAGCTTCATGCCCTCAAAGGCTGCAGCGCCACCAATGAGCTCGTGGGAGAACTTGCCCTCGTGGCGCTCATCGTTTCTGTAGACCTGTTCGTGTGCATCGCGGCCATCATCTGAAATGTTGCTGTTAGCATGGGATGTGCTGACAGAGGGCATCTTAGCTCAACTCACCGAACCAACCCATGGTGAATGTTTCGAAGTCCTGTATTGTTCTTGGAGGGTAGTGTAATTCTTCGGGAGAATGGTCACGGCAGTGGATTTGATATGATAAGTTATCAGAAGGACGAGTGAACAAGGAATGATGGTAAAATATATAGGCTTCAGAAGAAACCCCGTCACCATTCACCAGGCCACTTGCCCCTCGCTGGCTGGCCATAGTGATTGCGTACCACTACCCCACCCCGTCACCGCGAGTCGTCGGATGTCCATGCTGTTTCAGTTTCCTCACCTTGGTGAGCATGTGCGTCAGTAGATGAGCACAGACCAAGGATTATCCACAGCGACCATTGGCGAAAGTCAACTGCCAGAAGGGTCTGAAGCCCGTTAACGTTCTGGGCGTGAAACAAGAAATCAGCTGGGCGAGCAGTGGCTGCGCAGCGTGTCGGGCTCTTCATTTCATCACCGATCCGACGTTTTGCGTCAATCATTTGCGAGCCGATGCAGGTCCGCTGCGCCCTAAGGTTCGCTTCGCATGGTGCTAGCCGTGCGCTCAGCTCGCTTGCTCCCGCTGGGCAGCCGCATACTGTGTTGGCTGTGAATGTTCAACCTCGCACTCGCACAGATATTTCTATTCCGGGTCACAAGTGCTTCACGAGCAGCTTGAATTTGCAGTACTAATACTACGCTCTACGAGACGGAAGTAGTCGGATTCTGGAAGAACCGCCAAGAGACCGGCAAAACGCAAGCCAGAGGCGAAGCTGGAAACGAATGCTTGTCTCTGAAGCCAAGTCAGGGCAGAAGCTTGTCCCTGGGCCCCACTAACCACGTCATGCTCAACGTCGCGCCTGCCTGTTGACTTTGGTTCCTGCCTCGCTGGCTCGAATTCAAGCCAACCGTTTGTTCACCGATCGATGCTCAGCTACTGTGTAGAGAAAGATCCGCCGACACAGCTGTATTGGCATATACAGTACTGGCTTCGGTGATACCCATACCTTGATTTCAGCCCAACAGCCTCAACCTGCGCCACAATGCCCACTCAGCAACCCTCGCCCATGCCCTCGCCCACGCCCACCGACTTTCCAGCATCCCTCAAGCCACTCATCCACCTTCCACCAAACAACAAACCAACCAATGCTATCGTCTTCCTTCCCGGCCTAGGAGACACGGCTGCCAATTTTGCTTCATTCTCGCGCGCTCTGAACCTCCCCGACGCACTGACGATCACGCTGAACCCACCATACCCGCTACCATTCCCACTCGGGCCGGGAGATCAGTGGTCCGAAGACCTCCACGTCGACACGAGCACCGGGAACCTGGACGCAGACTCCTCACCTCTGGGCAAAGCCGCAGAACTGGTCGCCAGGGATGTGATCCAGAAGGTACTTTTTGACAAGTTCGGTTTCCGGCCCGACCATATCCACCTGTTCGGGTTTGGGCAAGGTGGTTCGCTCGCTCTATCGGTGCCGCTGCACCCATCACTCTCGTCCTTGTCGTTGGGGGGTATTGTGTCAATGGGGGCATCTTTGCCGCTATCTACGCCCCTCCCGAGCACGAGTGGTTCCAAAAACAAAACACCGATTCTGCTTCTATCGGGCTCGAAGTCGCCGTTGGCCTCGGTGGACTCTAGCCCGCTCAAACGTATCAGGTCGGTCTATGAGTTTGTCACGTATCATCAGTGGAAGAAAGCGGATGACTCGATGCCTAAAACAAGAGACGAGGTTCTTCCCATGATGCAATTCTGGGCGCAGACGCTGAAGAGCAGGCGTGGTGTGCCTGACGATGCCGTCGAGATTGGCTGATGAGCAGCATCTGATAATTTCACCTGGAGAACGCTCAGGTACTAGTACAGCTATGTACCACCCAGTCTCTATTTATTTCTGCTGCAGTCGACGTAGCTCCTCTTTGGCCCTCATTACTGCATCCTCTGCCTGGCGTCGACTCTGGACTTCGACCTCATCCTCCACGACACGACTGCTGGTCTCGATCAGCTCCCTCATCCTCCTGACAAGACCCTTGATGACGGTCCTGCCTTCCTCGTACAAGGTCTCCTCCAGCCACTTGGTGGCCTTCTGCCAGTCGCCTTGCATCCGCCACAACGCGTAAGTGACGCCCAGCGCGGCTATTGTGCCGGCTTCGTACATGCTGCCCGTTGTGAGGGAGAGGTAAGTCAGGACCGACAGACCGCCTGAAAGCCCTGCGAGCGAAGCGGTCTTGAGCACGATTTGCTGGGCGGTGCTGGTCAACTCGGCAATCGCGCGTTCCATGTGCGCGGACCGCGTCCGGGATATAGACGAGGACAAAGGAATTGGTTGGGGAATTGGTGCCATCTTAACCTCGGTCCTCCCAGTGGTATTAACCAGAACTGGCTGCACAGGAGGCTCTGTTGCAATGTCGCTTTGAGCTTGCAGCACCGGCTCGACCTCCTTCTTGTTATGCATCGCAGGTTCTGATGTCGTCAGGGATGGTTGGGCCGGTTGTTCTTCCACCGGCGAAATGCCCGCCTGAGACAGCCGACCAGATAGCTCATAGACGGCCCGCTCTGTGCGCGGCAACCAGGCATTGGTGACCAGGTCTGTAATGATCAGACCTACATCGTCGACACGCCAGAACAGTTTGTACCATGCGAGCTTTTGCCAATTTCGTGAGCTCCACGCCGACGCCAATCCAGATTGGAGCTCTTGATGGGCGTTGCGGGAGAACTCTTCGAGGGCACTCTCGAGGTTTGCGCGGCTGGCGGGACTCAGTGCTCCAGCTGCACTCGACCGGGCTTCTAGAGCAGCTTGAGCTTGTAGATTGGTAGTCGCGGCTGTCAGCAGAGAAGATATCAACCGCTGCACAGGGGGGGGAATTTGTCCCTCTGATCGTGCCGTCGAAGCCAATGTAAGCCAGCTCGACACCGTCGGCATGCCTGAATCCACCCACTTGTGCTCGTAATCAGTTGCTTCTCCTATCGACCTCCGAATCGCGGCAAGTCCCTCTTCCGCCTTCCTCGCGTCCACCACAAAAACCTGGCCGGCGCTTTTGTCCTTGGTATCCTCCAAGTTGACCACCAAGCGAACAGACTTCCGGTCTTCCGGTGCCGTGAAAGTCGTAGACGCCAGCAATTCCGCCGCCAACATCAGCTCGTCCAACCCCCTAGTCACCACCAAGGTGCTGTGGACCGGCTGCGCGATCGTCACTTGTCTCCCTGTCGCGGCCGTGGGCGTCCCAATCGAAGGCGACAAGGCGTCCGAGGCCACCGTCTTGGCGGCTTGCAGAAGTTCACCAGTGCGCGGACTACTGATGCTGGACACCAGAATCTCGATGTTATTCCGCTCCAGCACCGTCGAAGGCACATACATGACCGGCACGCTCGTCTTGGGCCGCGGTAGGTTCGAGTTGCGCGGGTGTCCATACCGAATGATCACCCCTCGACTATAGTCCTCACTATCATGCCCATGCTGTGACCCTGACCCTGACTGGGACTGTAACTGTGATTGTACTAGCTCTTGCTCCCACCCTCCTTCCTCCTCAAGCGCGTCCGCAAGGAGTAACCTTACCAGCCTCCTCGCCGTGTCTTGCACGTTCAGTCCCAGCACCGCGACCCTCGTCACGGGTGTGTCGGACTCCAATCCCTGCAGCGCGAGTTGTAACCTGCTCAGATTCACCTGCGCGGAGGCTCTCTTTTGCACGTCGACAAGCGCATCGTACAGAGGCTTGTACCGAGGGGGGATCGGTTTCCTGGCGTTAACGGCCGTGCTGGAGGTGAGGTTCGAGGCGGAACGACGGGTGCCGGTGTTCGTGCTGGTGTTAGCTGCTCGCCGGATCCGCAGAGGCTTCGACGTGCGCCATGTCGTGCAAGAGGGGCAGAAGAAAAAGGAATCACCTAGGAAGGCGTCGAAATTTCGTGCAGAGAGGGGAATGGAGGCTCTTTTCATAGTGAACGATATCACGGCCTTCTGGGACTGTCGTTCAAGCGCATGCTGGGGTGGCCGCGTTGAATTTCGTGTTCTGGGTTGCACGACTTGGCTTTGCGTCGGTGCTTCCTTGGGACGCAACTATGTACGACGAGCAGCTTTCTCCAACTCGGAGCTTCAGTGCCAAGACTAGACCTTGCTTTCTGGCTCACGACACCAGCTACTGTACCGCCGTTACAATTGTTGCAACGGAAGTGCACGAATTCTTGCTAACGCTCTCGCGATGAAAACTCTAGGGCTCCGAATGTGTCTTCTCGCTCGTGACTTTTTTGACATGGGCCTTTTTCCCGAGACTTGCCTCATCAGAAACTGTGTGCTAATAAATGCCAAATCCCAAATCCCAACAGTGCTTCCGGTGCCTTGAAGTCCGACGGGTTGGGCTGGCCTGATGCATGCGACCGTGTATCGCGATGAGACAAATACAACCAAGCCCTTACATGGTTGGGTTCTAAGCTGCAGATGGATGCGGCCATGTATTTGGTCTTTCGGTAAATATGTGTCGGGGATGGCATACATGGCCAGGTCCGTGGCAGCGTCGCAACGTTTCGCGCAGAGGACCATTAACGTCGCGGCATCGACAATGGTAGCTGTCATTCCTATCTACAGCGTCACAGCACTGATTGGGGTCGCTCAGTACCATGGCAAGCAAATTTGGGTCGACACTGTCGAGGGGGACAATTACGTTAGCAAGAACATTGGGCTCTACGACGGACGGGGGGCCGCCATTTGCAACACGCCTTGCTTTTGCCTACGTTGCTGGCGTTAAGTCCAGATATGGGTTGAGACAGGTAGAGAATCAACTCGACAAGGGCGTGTACAGCCGTGAGGCCCTGTCAGAGGCCTCAAATGGAACAAGGAGAGCTAGCTCTCTGTGACAGGCTTTCGTGTCCACCTAAGTGGTCCGCTCTGTCAACTTCCACCTCGGAGGGCTGGACCGCAATGTCCCCAGGCAACTTAGATATGTACCAGCTGCACAGTAGTGGACCAAGCTCATCCGCAGCAATCCTTTCAGACGGGAACTGCAGTTGACGAACGACGTGGTCTCGGTCAACCTCTGTGGTCAACTGGCGAGATATACAGACAAAGGAGACAGCTCGCAGGCTACGAGGCTCCAGGGCCACATAGTGTTGCTTTCATCAGCTGTAGCTTCGGCGAACGCGAGGACTACGAGTATGCATGAAGCCTAGCGATGTAAGAGCCTTTAGAGTCAGAATTATGGCATTGCTTTCTCTCTCATACACGACCGCCGCACCACGATGTCACCGTCGCTAAAAGGGCCAGGCACCCACTGGGTAAGTCGTACTTGTAGATGCTGGGACAATGCTTGCCTCATGTCATTCGTAGCCTCGTCCTACGGTATCACCTTGCGTGTGCCAGGCGCTTCACCCACTCCTCGATAGTCCTCGGTGCCGATTCTTCTCCTCCGTCGTCGGGACGAACAAAGTTTTGGCCACATGGCACAACATTGGAAATCACTTGACTCGGCACTATCTGACCTTGACGGCAGGGCGCCTCCTCCCCGCAGTCTGACCCAGTCACCCCAGAAGATCGTCCTTCCGGCTGCATATCATCTCCAACCGAGTCATTTCCCCGGGACATCGCCGGGCGTGTCACGACGCCTCCCCGCCTTCCCGAGTCCGAAGGGAAGAGAATAGATGTAGCCTACATCATCGGCTGTCGTAACTTCTGTTAAGAATGAGCCTAATTCCCTATGATGAAACTGTCAACGCGATCCAGAGTCTGTACTACCTATTAATGACAATCTCGTAACCTAGAGACAAGTCAATAGTATTCAAAATGTCTAACCAGATCCCGCCATTCCCGTCGGACGTGCCAGTCGCCGACATAGCCACTGTCAACTTCGATCTTCTAGCCCAAGGAGACCCGGAGCAAGCCCAAACCCTACTACACTCGTGCCAGAACTATGGCTTCTTCTACCTGTCCAACCACCATGTGGACTCTCACTTCATGTTCAACCTTGCCGACTCGGTCTTCTCCCTGCCACTGGACGAGAAACTCAAGTACGACATGGGCACCACGGGCCACTACTACGGCTACAAGCGATCCGGCGCCATGTTTGTCGACGACAAAGGCACAAAGGACCACAGTGAGTTCTACAACGTCTCCAAGGACGAAGTCCTGGCTATCCCGCAGCCAGGCAAAACTGTGACGGGCCATCATCCCCAAGTGGTCCTCGACCGCTTCGACGAGCTCAAGGCCTTCATGAAATCATGCCATAAAATCATATACACCATTACGACGTCTCTCGGCAAGTCGCTGGATTTGCCAGCGGGTCTGTTGGAGTCCCTACACGAGCTCGGGAAGCCATCTGTAGACCAGGCTCGAGTCACTTGTGCGCCTCCAATCAGACCAGCCGAGACCATCACGCTCGGCGAACACACGGATTTCGGCAGCGTCACCGTCCTGTTCAACCGGCTGGGCGGGCTTCAGGTGCTCGCCCCCAACAAGCGAGACTGGGAGTACGTGCGTCCTCGGCCTGACTGTGCGGTGATCAACCTGGGCGACAGTTTGATCAAGTTGCTAGGGGGCAGACTGTACAGCGCGGTCCACCGCGTCGTGGCGCCGCCCGGAGAGCAGGGGAACTGTATGCGACATAGCGTGGTTTACTTTTCGCGTCCGAACTCGAGCGTGAAATTGCGGGATCTCTTCCAGTATCCCTCCGACGAGGACGTGGCGAGGCTGGAGAAGTCATCTGATGAAACTCTCCTGAATGCTGACGAGTGGGTCAAGCAGCGGGCACATAATTGGAATACGGCACAGTACAAGGGCAAAGAGTCGTACAAATTGAGTCGAGGAACTGAGCATAATCGAGAATGGGAGTCAGACCCCACAAAGTTGGATCAGCACCGACCGAAGGCAGTCCAGGCTGTGTGATGCTGGAGGTGTTACCAGCGATGTATCATGTACATGTGTGCGCGTGGCATCTTCGCTGTTGCCCTTGAAACGCTGCGGAGGAGCTGGTATGCATTACATGCCAAAAATTGGCACATGGTCTCAGATAGAATGAAACTTTTATATAAGCGAGCGAGACGTATGTGCTGTCTGATTAGCACAAAGCCTACCTGCCTTAGCCCTGGGCACGACAAAAAGCCAAGTTAAGATTGAAGTGAAAGTGAAGGAGGTTGCGCTCAGTGCTCACGGCGAAGTTCTCCGCAGCGCCTATCATGGCCTGTTTGATTGATTGTACTCCATAGACACCAGCAGTCTTGCCATTCTCAATACTTGTAATGACAACGTAGGAGAAGTCCTCGGGTGCTACCTCGCGTGTTGGTCGCGTTTGTGTTTCTTCAACACCGAGCAAACGTCCCTCCTCCCTTTTGACTTGCTGGGAAAGGCGGCTCTTGCCTCATCGATTGAATCTGGATCGTCCATTTCCAGATGATGCAAACCTTCCTGCCAACAGAAGAGGAGCTACCATGGCTTCTACGACCACCATGAACTACTGGCTCGAAGCGCTCGCCCTCACGTTCGTCCCGCCAGCAACTAATTCTACGATCGTCGGCAAGCACAAGGACAACTTTACCAGGCGTGTCAAGCACCACACATACGGACGGACGAACCAGTTTGCTGTGACGGAAAAGCTCGTCGGCCTGGAGGAGAAATTCCAGGTTCTCAATCTCGACGATGTGGCTGGCGAATTATTCTCACGACGCGTGGAGCTGGACCGTGACCACGGGGAAATGAAGTGGTTGCCCGATGTTCTAGATTTGTTGTTGCATTTGTCAATCGGCCCGGTGAAGTACAGTCGGGTTGAAGATCTAAAGACGTTGAAACCTGATCCTGCAATCCGACCCGTGTTGAAGTGGGAGGATATAGAGGCTGAGGATCCTATCGATCGGAGAGACCCGATTTGGCAGGTTCCGCAATATTCTGACTTCAGCTCGGACGAAGATGAAGAAATTGTTGCTTCGAGTACGCAGACTTCGCCGGCCAGCATAAAACGGCGACATGCGGAAAAGGTAGATAAGGGCAGCATATTCGATGCACCTCCTGTTGAGGTGACCTCAAAGCTAGAAGCCGCCCAATTCTGGCGGACGCTGGGCCACGATGTCACAATCACGGAGACGCAGGCTGTTAAAGAAGTGTTGTTCATGTTCAGTGGCCTGCCGACGTCGGTCTTCATGTCTTCCGATGACGGTTTCACGCCCAACGCTCGGTACCGCGTCCGCCACCTCGAATCAGCCACGTCTGAATCACTATTGAAGGAAGCCGCAGATATTGCCTCCGAAGTCCAACCAACACGCCAATGGCTGCGAGCTCGTCAGGATACAAGTATTATGCAACTTGTTCACAGTGAAATCAGCGAGGTGCTCGCGGATTTTGAGCGGACTATATCTGAAGAGCACAGTGGGATACTGCATCAGACCTCGCCTACCAGAGCGGTCAGCCTACTCCAGGTGTTACAAAGGATCAAGAGGGCGAGCCTTCCATTGAAAGCTCTCAAAACCATCACCTCTCAATCGGCCCGAAATGACCCGGTTACTGTTCTAAATAACATCCATAATGCCGTCGATATTGCGCAGTCCTCTTGCAACACTGTCGACGTGGAATCTCTGCTTCCCATATTTCTCTCTGCTCTTACGCTGTATGCGAAGTCCATCGACATCTGGCTACACACCGGCAGTATCGCGAAGATGGAAGCTTTCTTCGTCGCCGAGAACCACAAAAACCCGCAGCAAAAGAGCAACTTGTGGCATGATTGGTTCAGCTTGACATCTAATTCAGTCGACTTGATACCAGCATTTCTGAAGAGGTTCACGGCAAAGATGTTCACGATCGGCAAAACAGCGGCTTTTCTGCAACATCTGGACGCTTCGCCTCTAGATGACCAGGTAATTGATCTGGGAGTGACTGCTGCTGCACTGGAGGCCGCAAACTTGATCGCTAACTCGCCGCTGCCCTTCTCGGCTACCTTTGAAATGATTCTCGAGCGACATCTTACGGCTCTTCTCAACAGCTCAACAAGCACGCTGAAACATATTCTGGAAACCAGCTGCGGTTTGACAAAGCTCCTGGATGCCTTCGACTACCTATACCTTGGGAAGGACGGGGTCATACTCGACACGATTGAGAACAAGATGTTCGACCAAATCGACCGTTCTATGGATATGTGGAATGATCGGTTCCTGCTCAGCGACCTCTTGGCCGAAGCATATAGCGATATTAAATGCGTGGATGCCAACGCCACCACTATTCAGACAGCATATACCTCTTCGAGGACGATGGAGAATCGCCGTCGTTCCGTCAAGATCCTTGCCGCTGTGTCTATATCCTACCATCTTGCGTGGCCTCTCGCCAACATTATCCTCCCGACTTCGACGGCCTGTTATCAACGCATCGCGCTGACATTGAGTCAAGTGCGCCGCGCCAAACATCAACTCGAGCGGAGAGCCAATTTCTACATCCAGCATATGCCTCTCATAGACAATGGGACCCACATAAATGTGGCGCGACTTGTGTACTGGCAACTCTTACTTTTCGTCAACGTCCTCTACGCTCATCTGACAAGCTGCGTGATCCAGCCTCTGACACGGAACATGCGCGAACGGCTGCGCTCCACCTCAACGAACAGCCTCGATGACATGATTTCGATCCACCGCCAGTACATCTCCGCGCTAGAACACGCCTGCCTGAGCAGTAAACGGATCAAACCCCTCCGTGATTCCCTGATCTCCGTCCTCGACCTATGCATCCGCTTCTCTGACATGATAACGTCGGCAGTGACGAACACAGGGACGCAGATCGCCCCGCGCGAGAGACACGAAGGCGACTTCGAAGCCAGCAGCTTTATCTCGGCACGAAGTCGTCGTCGGCGGCGTGGCAAGAATACCAGCACCGGAGACTTCGCGTCGTCTTCAGACGACGACGACGACGACGACGACGAAGGAATGGGAGAAGGCTACTCGACATTCGTGTTCGACGAAGACACGTCGCTGGGCCAGGAGATCTCGAAGGTCCGCAATGAGTTTAAGAAACATGTCGGATTCCTCATCGCAGGGACGAGAGCTGTGGCGAGAAGTTCCACCACAGGCGTACGAGTGGTTGGGGACAGCGGCGAATTTGAGGTTGGAGAACGCTTTGAGTTGTTGGCAGATTCGTTAGAAGGCGCATTTCCAGCCAAAAGGAGGATTGGGACTATTTGATACATAAAGCGTGGTCGATTCCAAGAGTATGAGATCGTATGAGAAGTTGTCGGATTTGCCACAGGAGTCTACGTGAGAGCGGCCGCAATGTATCTCATTGGCGTGATGTCCTGAAGCCCATGACAACGCTGTAACGCGTTACGTGGACAAACTATTTCGTAGGTGTGCCGCAAAAAGCATACGTACCAGATCAAAAGTGATATGATCGGTGTCATGGTCTCGAGCGTCATGGGTATCTGTGCACTAGTAAAGGCTTTTCTACGCTTCTTGCTTTTACTTTTCCGGTCCGGGACTGTTGATCCGAATTCCATGATTTGCGCATGGCAGGCCTGCATGCACACCGGTTGTCCAGGTTCTCAATCCTAGATTCTCGGTTCAGCCCATCGGCCTTAGTCTGTCCGTCTCCATTTCGTGTCGTCGTCAGCTCCATTCCCTTGCTGGTCATCGTCTCGAGGTCGGACCGTGCCAGCGCCAGGGCCCAGAGAGTTACTATCTTCACCAGCCGTTTCCCCCTCCCCATTCCCGTCCGTCTCCTCCTCGTCTTCGCCTCCAATCCAGTTTCCTTCCTCGTCGAAAAATTCGTGCATGTTCTCCGCGGTGATCCACCCTCCACTGCCCGGCATCGCGGGCGGCAATCCACCATCGCTTGCGCCCGGGAACGCGAGACCCGCTCTGAACAGTCGACTTCCGCCTGCGTCTGCACCATCATCCTCGTCGGCTTCCACTGGGTCCGGGTGAAGATTGGAGCAGGCGGAGAGGGCGTTGAACATGGCCAGCACGGGCGTCTGTTCCTTCTCGTCCTCGCCTTCCAGGCCCGTCTCTGTCGTCCCCGACGCGGTGGAGGTGACTTGCGGGGGCGCGGACGCCGTGGGAATAACCGTCATGGATATGCTTTCTGGGTCTCCGTCTTCGTCTTCGCCTGCTTCATCAGGGGTCTTGGAGAGAACTTGCATGTACAGGCCCTGTTGTTCGCCCGGGGCTGGGGAGGGGAGGGATTGGATCGCGTGTAGTGAAATGGAGGGGTACGGTATCGCGAGACCGACGTTCGCTGCGGGTTGATACAGGAGGAGCTTGTCCGAGGTGACGTAGACGTCGAGCTCGGTGATGACTCTTTGTGACGCTGTCCCTGTCGCGTTGGCGTCGGACGTGCCGTTTGTTGTCTCGGTTTGAGGTTGAGGATGAGAATCTGGTTGCTGCGCCGATGCCTCGAGGAGGGGTGCTAATGCCGGGATTGAGTGGGCTTCATGCTCTAGCACGATCAACTTGCTCCGGTCACTGTAGTAGTGCAGGACGGGCGGGCCGGTATAGAACGAGGCGGGAGTGCTGGACTGATGCTCGATGAGGGGGACGAAGGAGGATGGCTTGGGTGCTTCGCGGAGGATCTCCATGCTGATGGTATTGCCCTTGCGTGCTTCGCGAGTTTGCGTCGGCAAGGTAGATCTGCTGTCTCGCTGTTGAGACGTCCGGGTCGTGGACGGAAAATTTTGAGCAACTCGACTATCTACGGAGTACAGTAGTTGCAATGGTGGGGGGACACTGTCGGTGCCTGAGATCCGCGTTAGGGACCCTGACGCCGCTGACAGGGCCGGGGTAGTTAAAGCGGGTCTGTAAGCCACGTATCGAGCAAGTAAGCGAAGGTTCGACCATCGATCAAACAATTTTCCACGGCGTGGCTCTTCTTTTCTTGGTACGAGGTAATTGTCTCATTCAGCGCAACACCACGTTCGGCCGAGTTTGCTCTCTTTTCGTCATGGCTGATGGCTAACAGCCGCTTCACAAAATGGCCATTGCGAAGCCCGTGCGGTTCCTGGGAGCCCTGTCCGTCGTCCTCTTCTTCTTCCTCATTTATCAGTACTTGCGGCCGGTCCCAACGATACAGCCTCCGGGAACAGTGACGGGGAATGGCGATAAGATCGAGAACTGGGAGCAAGATCCCTTACTAGAGCGTACGAAGACCGTCGACCCATCCAGGCGACCATACTAATGTGCCACACAGCCATCGGCGAGCCACCCGAACCATTATGGCGCCATACAGACCACGACTATACGCCCGACAGCGTCAACTCGGCACGCATCAATGCCACGCTCCTCTCCCTCGTCCGGAACGAAGAACTCCAAGACCTTATCCCCACGATGAAACAACTCGAAGAGACGTGGAACTCTAAATTCAACTACCCCTGGACGTTCTTCAACGACGTCCCCTTCACCGACGAATTCAAAGAACAAACCCAAGCAGTCACCAAAGCGAAATGCTCATACCACGTCATCCCCAAGGAGCACTGGGAAATGCCTTCGTGGGTCTCGGAGGAACTCTACCAAGAATCCGCAAAGATCCTGAAAGAGAACGACGTACAATATGCGGGCCTCAAATCCTACCATCAGATGTGCAGATGGAACAGCGGCATGTTCTACCGGCATCCCGCCCTTGAAGCCACGCAATACTACTGGCGCGTGGAGCCCAAGGTCAAATTCTTCTGCCACGTCGACTACGATGTGTTTCGATACATGCAGGACCACAACAAAACCTACGGGTTCAACATCAACCTCTTCGATTCCCCCGAGTCGATCCCCTCATTATGGCCTGAGACCATCAAGTTTCTGGCCTCCCATCCAGACTATCTACACAAGAACAACGCCATGGCCTGGCTGGTCGACAACAATCGCCGCCCGGACAATAACATCAAGGCGCACGGCTACAGCACGTGTCACTTCTGGTCCAATTTCGAGATCGCCGACATGTCGTTCTGGCGGTCCCAGGCCTACGAAGATTACTTTACCCATCTGGACCGGACAGGAGGCTTCTTTTACGAGAGGTGGGGGGACGCGCCGGTGCACAGTATTGCGCTCGGCTTGTTCGAGGATGCCAGCAAGATCCATTGGTATGGCCGCCAGTTGCTCGGATTACTGAGGCTAACGAACGACAGGTTCAAGGATATCGGATACAACCATATCCCATTCTACAACTGCCCGAACTCGCCGAAGTGTTCGGGATGCACGCCCGGGCAATTCTACGGAGGCGAACCGTGGCTGCAGCGAGAAGACTGCAGGCCGCTCTGGTTCAAGTATGTCGGCATGGGCTGAAGAGAAGGAAGTACGTCGCATTCTGGGACAGGACTACTCACCATTTAATCTTGTACATGCATAAGGTATTCATCGAATATACTTCAGCCGTCTATCTTGCGCTCCTGTCCTCGCCGTGTGTTGAGCTGCAGGCGAGCTTGCAGGCATAAGCCGTCGGGGAAAGCTCTCTTTACCGCCATATCTGAGGGTCTACAGAACCGCCGTACTACTGTACGTCTGTAGAAACTACTAAATATTCGGACTAAGCATGTGATATTTACTAACTAACCGCGGCGAGGCCAAAGTGCGCACCACTACCGATCAAAATACACAGCAGGCGGCACGATTAAAGTTCCGTCTCTATCTGCTGTGCAACAAAAGTACCTCCTTGCCGTGACTCCGTAACGCATGTCGCGGGCTACATGTGTCCTTACAGGCGTGCGTCTTGTGGTCGGGTCGGCCACTTATGACAGCTCCTACGCGCACCAGGACCGTGACAACCATGTCAAGTTCGGGATCAAGTCCGTTGCCATGCTGTGTCGGGAGTTCATGAAAGGGGGTTTTCTGGGAGTTACAGGCAGCTGAGGGCGGAGACATGAAGGACCGATGAAGCCGCTGAGAGGAATTGGCAGCTTCCTCCTAAGGATGAAGACCTTTGGAGAAGGGCAGCGGCAGCTGCCTGAACGATTTGCACGAGGACGGCTAGAGTGTTGGTTGCTGTTTCGAGACGATAGAGGCGGCCTGGTGACACTAGTCAAGATTAAATCTGTGTGTGTGTCGCTGATCGAGGCAAGTTGTCTGGAAGGTGTAGGTCAATACCGACCTCAACATGATGCCTTTGGAGTAGGTAGGTGCACCTAACGTGATCTAAGCTCGAAGTCTGTAGATAACGAAAGGCACTACGAGGTACGTACACGTTGCCTACCTGTCAGGTGAGATGGAAGCTCGTAGTTGCTAACCCACAGGTCGTCGTGAATTCCCTGCATCTTACTGTGTAGTGATCCTCATCAATATCACCCATCCTTTACTCGCCAGTCAATCATTTGAGCTCTGCTGATGCCCCCCATGGGTGGTTTCTTCTGGTGCATCAGCGAAAGACGGTTTTAACTGCAGTCTCCCAATGCCGAACAGCGATACTCGGGATAAACATAGTGCCTCGGTCTAGACTCCCCGATATCGATGCAGGTCAAATCCTTCCTGCCTTGCGTGCCTCACTACCTCGCAAGCTCGGTCAAATTCTCCTGTGATTCGAAGCAGACCAACTCTCGTGCATGGTTCATTCGCAGAAGTTGACTGGGAACAAGCACGCTTAAGAAACGTGGCTTGGAAGCTTGGAGAAGCCTAAGAAGTGCCAAATCGGACAGACACGGGAACACGCCGTGGGGAAGCGTCTTCGGTGGCCCTATTTCCCCAGTGGCGCCCCCGGTTCCTTGCCTGGAGACCAATCCTGTCGGCTGCCCAGGCACTACGCACCTGGAGATTACGGGGTATGATATCAACAGCCTCCGCACCGGACATCCACCTCACATCCATCTCAGCTCTTACTCCAAGACTGACAGCTTATGTCCGATTGTGACGCCGCAAAGTTATGCAGAGATCACCGCTCATTGTCCGGTTCGGCAGTCGCTCTCGCGCCTTCGAGAAGCGCTTCGGATGCGTTGTAGATCCATCGGTCATGACTACCACCGGTGTCAACGGTGATCCACGCCGAATCCTACCTCGTGCCATTTGACCCTGTTTCTGGAGATGAGCTGCTGCTGCCCGTGGGAACATCTACCGGTGGCATGGGAGCGAGCTGCCCCAGAAGAATCGCTGCTACACGACTGGGGAAGGTAGTCTCGCATGCATCTAGATAAAAAGGTTGGATCCCCCCAGACCCTGCGCGACTGCAACTCTACTTCTTTGCACCCCTCTCTCGGTGCTACGTGACCTCCGCTGCTCAGCTGATTCCCAACAGCTGAGGCTACAAGCCTTGTTAAGCCACTATGAATTCCAAAGAGATAATGAGCGAGAAGCCCGCCGCCACTGGGCTTACCCCCACCGAAGCTATTCACTCGCCCTCCTCCAAGTCGTCTTCGTCCGATGAGAAGCCGACTGTTTTGACAGCGGAAAATGTTCCCCCTCATGGGCACAATGACATTCTACACCCGTACGATCCCCGTGCCGCGCCGCAGTACACCAAGCAGGAGGAAGATGCCGTTATTCGCAAGCTCGACTGGCATCTCATGCCTCTGATTTTTGTGCTCTATTCACTTTCGGTGCTTGACCGGTCGAATCTGGGTAACGCAAGAATCTCTGGCATGGAAGACGACATCGACCTAGGAGGAAAACGGTATGACTGGTTGGGAACCACATTCTACATTGCCTGTAAGTGCGGAGCCAATTCTTCAGACCCAGAAAGCTTCCAAATTCCCGTTCATAGCAGAGTGAACATTCAATTGACACTTTCCCACGCACAGACATTCTCTCCCAATGGACACAGATGGGTTGGAAAGCCTTCCCACCACACGCGTGGGTCGCTTTCGTCGTCTTCGGCTGGGGCGTGGTTTCCACCCTGCAAGCCGCATGCTCATCCTGGGCTGGCGTCATGGTCTGTCGAGTTTTCCTCGCCATATTCGAAGCCGCGTACGGGCCCGGTGTGCCTCTCTATCTCAGCTTCTTCTATCCGCGCGAGAAACTCGGTCTGCGCACGGGCATCTTCCTCTCAGGGTCAGCAGCCGCCAATGCATATGGCTCGGCGCTGGCGTACGGCATCTCTCAAGCCAAAGCGAGCATTGGCCCATGGCGCATTCTTTTCATTGTCGAAGGGGTCCCGACCTGTCTTTTGGCCTTCGTGGCATGGTTCTGGCTGCCGGACTCTCCACACCATTGCAAGTTTCTCAATGAGAGGGAGCAAGAGATCGCTGTTGATCTCTCTCTGAGACAACCTGGTGACAGATCAGGCAAGAAGGGTCTGCAGTGGAAACAAGTGGTGGGAGGATTGCTCGACTACCGATGTGAGTGGCACCCCTGTGGCCAATATGCTTGATACTAATCCGCGACTGCGCAGCCTATCTTCCCCCGCTGATGTACTTCGGCTGCAACGTCTGCTTCGCCTCGCTCCCGCTCTTCGTGCCCACGATCATCTCCGAGATGGGCGAGTTTTCGACCATTCAGTCAAATGGCATGTCCGCTCCACCTTACGTTCTGTGCTGGTGCGCCATCGTCGGCACGGCCTTCATCTCCGACCGACTCCAGATGCGTGGCATCTTTGTCGCCACACCTGCACTCCTGGCAGCAGTCGGCTACATCATTCTCGGCACCACCTCATCCACGGGCCCGCGCTATTTTGCACTATTCCTTTCCGTCCTGATCTTTGTGTCCGTGGCCATGACGCTGACCTGGGTGGGCAACACACATGCGACGGACTCCAAACGGGCTGTAGCCCTCGCTATTCTCGCCACGGGAGGCCAGTGCGGTCCGGTCCTGGGAACCAACATCTTCCCCAAGAGCGAAGGGCCATACTATCGAAAAGGAATGTGGATCTCCTGTGGCGCGTGTCTGCTTGTCGTGGTGACCAGCGTTATGCAGATGGGCTTGCTGCATCGCGCGAACAAGAAGCGTGACGAAAAGTATGGGCGGGACCGCGAGACTGTACACCTTCAGAACCACTCGGAAACCGGGAATGACAAGCAGTTCAGATATGTGGTCTAAAAGGAATTGACGCGATGATGGAGGGGATGGAAGTCGAACGATATAGTCGGAGGGCGCTACAAGAAGGTAGAGGCGTGACGATGAGCTGCCATGCGAGGACATCTGAGCGATAATTCTGCCTGTGAGTCCGCCAGTCTCAAATTCACGATTCCTCACCATGTGACGGGGCGATTTTTGGAAATGGCTCTTCAAGTTCCTAAAGATATTCTGCATCGGGCTGAACATAGAGTTCTAAAATACTCATCCCAAAATTCCTATACGTGCTCTTCCCCCCATCGAACTGGTGAATATAACGATAACTACATTCTCCAGTACCGCGATCACTCCCGACTTGATCACCAGATACCCAGCACCGCAGCGCCAGATCAACCTTTCTGCATTACTCGGAATCATCTTTGTGCATAGCACACCTTGCCACACAATGAAAGACGAAGACGTGGTGCCTCGTATTGCTCGAGGGGAAGCGCTGTGATCCGGGGATATCTGTGCAACCGCACGGCGAGGACTTCCTCAGTCTACCGGCGATGAACCTTCGACCATTACCCACGCAGGTCAATACCTCCTTTGAGTTGATTAGATTGAGATTCGGCGAATGCCTCGAGACGATGCGGCTTATTCAGATAGAACACGCTGGAATGAAACTTTCCGACAATATCCCACCCGTGCGGATGATGTCTTCTCGAACATCGTCGTGTCCATTCATGTATCGAAGACGCATCACGTCTTGTCAAGTAAAGCGCCAGATGCCTCCACGTGAGATGAACACCCACGGCGTTTCCTTTGGACTGCAACCGAACACGAGAGCGAGCTGAGACTCCCGAAGAACTAATTATGATATTTCTCCACCGGCCGGCTGAAGATCAACAGTACTACCGCATGATACTAAGTATTCCTAGGCATCGGTAAGTGCACAGACGAGAGCACCGACTGGGACAATTCAAAGATGAAGGTCGCCCCTGTCATCGCACTCAAGAGATCGATATCGGGAAAAGGAGATCCCTCAGCTACTCATACACGGAAATCGGCTTCGATGTGGAGTTTACACTCGTCCGTATCCTGCGCACTGTTCCATTGACGCATCTGGCCATATCCGATGCGACTGCCCCTGCTTAGATGTCTCTGGTGCGGATTCATAGTCATTCTAACGAAGCCGTCGCGTGTTCTTGGGACGGCGTGCAATAATTAATGGATTCCCAGGCGAAGCAGGCGGCCACTTGAGGGTCCGGCCACAGCAGTATCGTTGATTAAAGTATCTCTTGGAGCATATCTGCACGGCTAATGCACCATGAAAGCCCGGACGTACAGCATGTGCAAGGTGGCAAGGAGTACCGCTACCGATGACTTTCTACCACTATACTATGGTTGCGCAAAAATCGACGTCTACTCCCGTTGTGAGAGTCAAAGAAGAGCCGCTGCGTCCAGGTGTCACATTTGGCTGGCACGGTCTACATTTGGGATCTCTCGTTGAGGCGGAAATGATCATGAGCTGATACGAACGATATGTTACGCATAGGGCAGCCTGCAAGCACGTGGACAGGGCATCCGACTGAGGAGTCGCGGTAGAGACTCACGACTGGAATACTACAGATGGGACGGGGCAGGACAAAACGGGACGATACGATACTGTCCTCCGATTTCCCATTGCGCTCGAGGGAGCCTACTCTATGATGGCCAATGGCTATGTACTCGTATGGAGACAGCAGGAAACTCTCCAGAGACGGAGAGCATGCCGTCCCAGCTTTCTGCTCTGACGCCCAAGGGACATGGGTGAGTAACCTATAACACCGCGACGGCGGTTCCCTATCATAACTCATCGAGGTTACACGTCTCGAGGAGATCCTGCGTCAGTTTTCCCTTGCGACTATACCCCTCGACATACCTGTCCCCCCACTCGCCCACGGTATTGTCATACGTGGTCTGGGGCTTGAGGACGCACAAATGACACATGTTGGCCTTGAGGCCCTTCATGAGGTTTAATCGGGGGTATTCCTGGTAACAATCAGCGTCAGCCAGTGAGGCGTGTGCATTGCTCAGCCGTGTCTTGCTCTGCTTTGTTTCGCTTTGCTTCTGTTCGACCCGCACCCGACCGCGAGGAAGGATGGTCGCCAACTCACCTTAACCACGGCATTATATTCATCCCAAGACAACAGTCCACCAGGCACCCTGTCCGGCCCCTGGAAATCGGCCCAGATTCCATAACTGCACGCCTGGACCTCGGGCTCCTTTTCAAACACGATGCTCCCGATGGTGTGCAGCGCAATGGCATCCCACACGAGTTGCAAGCGATGTTTGTCCCATTCCTCCGCGGGGGCCTCGCGCTGGAGGAACCTGCGCGCGGCGTTGGCGCCGTCGACCTCGAATCGCTTCTCCGTGGTGATGATGTCCGAGTTCTCGGGGTGGCCGATGGGGAAGCCTAGGTCGTGCATGATCGCCGCGACGGCGTGGGCTTCGCGGTCGCGGTCCGGGAGGACCTTGTCGGCGATGATGAAGCCGAGCAGGAACGACCGGATGATGTGGTTGTACGTGTCATCCGTCGAGTATTGGCGGGTGTAGTCGAGGGCTTTGGTGATGAGGGCCGTGTCCGGCACGGTGACGCCGGCGAGCACTTTCGTGGGGAGGGGAGGGGATGTCATGGCTGCGAGGCTGATAGGAGGATATGAAGAGGGAGGTGGTATCTGCTTGGGCGCTGCTGGTGCTGTGCTGTGCTGTTTGTTCCAGATCAGATGCGACGCACGCATGTCTTGTCTTCACGAGCAGACAGGGAGAGGAAGAGCACAGCACGGTGATGAGCGCGATATCCGCAGCTCACAGCTTACAGCTTACAGCAGAACCCCTCGTGATTGCGCACTGGTGAGGGCCCAGTAAGTTAGTCATGATCTAGCTCTCTGCATGTGTGCAAAAATGCGCCTCCACCGCACGCTGGTCTCGTCGCCTCGAGGAACGCATTCTGCAGGCGTGAACGTCCCCGGGCGTGGCCACCTGTGACAGGTACAGACGCTGCCGGTACCGCGTGTTAGGGCCTCTTGAAGTGGTTTGGCCATCGGATCGGGTCGCTTGGGTTTGCGGGCCCTGAAAGCACTCTTCAGCTAATCAAGGCAATTTCTGGCACGGTTATCTTGGACGGTGGAGCTTGTCGTGGACTTCATTGGCAGACGTGTCGACGGCGCGACGCCGGTGAGCACACTAATCACCGCTGCCCCACCAGCTACACTCGCGGCTTCGCCCCCACGGCTCAACGGGGCCAAAGCTCCCGCTCATCCGCCCATCGTCAAAGTCTTTTCTTCTGATCTGTATCAGGGATCGGGACTGACGGACAACCAAGATAGCAGGCTGTTATCGAAGTACCGGCAATTACATCGTCATCACCACAGGTTGTTGTTTGTTCCAACTTTACTGACGCACATCTCCTGCCGGCGAGGCTTACGATTAACGATCACGATCAACAGACTCTGATGCCTTCACCGGAGCGTGGTTCTGAGCCCGAGGGAAGCTCCGACTCCGCCACCGCCGCGTCCGCGTGGCGGCCATTGGTGCCAGCGGACGAGTCGACTGAAGCGCAAGCACCGATTGTCGATATCGACGACGACGTCGACTCGGCCTTCGAGGACGGCGACAACTTCTCCGACACCACCTCGGTCTCCTCGTCGATATACAGAGGCCGCGTCATAAATGGCCGCAAGTACTCCTCGCTACGGGACGACTACTGGGGCCCGTCGGACGAACAACAATACGAGACCCTAAACGCCGGCCATTTGCTGTACCTGGTCCTGGACGCCAACCAGCCGAATCCCTTGTTTCGATCTCCGGTCACGGAGCCGCACAATGTCCTCGACATCGGCACCGGGCCCGGCACATGGGCCATCGACGTGGCCGATCAATTCCCCGCGGCACAGGTGTATGGGGTCGACCTCTCCCCGCCGCCGTCATCGTGGGTCCCGCCCAACTGTTTTCTGCAAGTCGACGACGTCCTGGAGGAGTGGACGTGGCGGGAGAAATTCGACCTCATCCACATGCGGCTGATGCTCGGCGCCTTCACCGACAAGGAATGGGAGGTCGTGTACCAGAAGTGCTTCGACAATTTGAAACCGGGCGGCTACATCGAGGAAGTCGAGCTCGACGTCCGGGTAATGTCGGACGACGGCTCGCTCGACCCGAAATCCCTTTTGGCGGGGTGGGGACAGAACTTTCTCGATTGCGCCCAGCGGGCTGGTCGGCCGCTGGACACGCAGTTGACCATGAAGGCCAAGATCGAGGCCGCGGGCTTCGTCGACGTCCAGGAACATTTGTATAAGTGCCCGATCGGCGCGTGGCCCAAGGACCCCCTGCTCAAGGACGCCGGGAGGATCAATCTGGCCCATTGGAGCTCCGGCCTCGACGGGTGGGCCATGTACTTGTTGACGAGATGGGGCGCGCCCGAGCCCTGGACCGCCGACGAAGCCAGAGTATACGTTGCGCGAGTGAGGGAAGAACTCAAGAGGCCTCGGCTGCACATATGGCATTACACGTAAGTTTCTTTCACAAAACCCTGTCGACACGAGCAAGTACTAATCTAGTCATGCCAGGCGACGTGTATGGGGGAGGAAACCATGAGAGAGTGGCAATCTGGGAAACGTGTACGCCCGGGGCGAGTCTGCCACCGCTGCATTCACCGGGGACTTGTAACTGTAAATGTGACTAGTGGGCGGAACTTGGACCGCAGACGACGCGCTTTGCGTTCTGCACTTTCACTGTGCCAACCATAAGACCCCACAGAGTACTTCAAGAGTATATCTTTCGAGCACCAATATTGACCCTCGTTGGGGCAGATGATACGAACTGAGCGGCATTCCGAGCGCACCGCGGTTGATGAATGAGTTATGGTTTGCGACTCCACTGGATCCCTCAAGCCACCGCCATTCGTGCCGGAGTCGTCTCTAAGTCTTGGTGCCGACGAGCAGAAGAGCCGCATCGCGTTGGACTACCAATAGTGCTGTACGAACTCCAAGGCTGTTTCGCATGGCTCTCAATCTTGTACTCCAGATATTGAGCGCAAGTCGCCTGCGGGCTCGGTCTTCCGTGTCCCACCGGTTCCCACGAAGTTGAGGGAGCCCTGCCAATTCTCTTAGACTATTCTCAATCAGCACCCGTACCAACTCGTACTTGCAAGTGGAGTCATAAATAGACCCGTGATGCCAGTTGTCTGTATGCGCTATTTGTGATATCCAGGAGAGCAGCCTTCTTCTTAGGACAGACGGTAAAGCCATCGCCATCACCTGAGAAAACAAGGTGAAATAAAGCTGGGACTAAAACCCTTTATTACTGCCCATGGCGCAAAATGAGGTATGGGTTCCCAGGCTGTAAAGTAGCCACATACCATAGCATGAGCCGAGCCAGACATCTTGGACCGTGATGGGCGGTAGGGTGATTCGAAGTTCCAGCAGCCGCCGAATGACAGGCAATGCACCGCAGCGCACCGCAGTTTTGTACGCTTGCGCAGCTGCCCCCCTTGACATGCATTGTATGAGCAGATCCGCTACGTCGAATCTTCACATCCGAGTGGCAGTCTGGAGAACTCGGGTGCCTTGCATTGACCAGCATCTTGCGTGAGGCCCAGCCGCGAGTTCACGTACCACGGAGAATTTGCAAGTAGCGAATGAGTGGGAGTCTGTCAAAATGAGCACTTGGAGTAGCTCAGCATCGCTAAGTCCAAGTGATGTTCTGTCCCACAGTGTCTTATCGGCTTCGATTTCAGCTTCTGTGACATCTTTCCTGGTGACCGCTCTGCCAGCTTTGAACACCGCTTCGAAAAACCCCGGCAGGCTCAACTCTTGCGAGACTTACTACAGCGCGAAGTTTGCTTGCCCACAGCCGCAGTTCGAGAGTTTGACCGGGCTGATGATCGACCTCCATTGCAATGTCAGCATTCGATTCCAGGTCTCCGACTTCTTCATTACATGACGACGGCACTATCCATGAGGCAAATGGCTTCAGTCCCACAGGATCTGGTCCCAACCGACCCTGACTGACAGCATCTTCTGTGCCAATATTCCTGGTGACCACGAAATCGTCGTCCTTCCAGTCCCGAGACGAGACCAACTCAGGAGTAGGCGAAGATCTCTGCACAGTGTTTAGCACTGATCCTTCACCACCGGTCGCTGTTGCGAGGCCATCACTTCTGTCAGATGCCAAGATATGCTCTTGTATAGTCTTGTTTACCTGGGCCCCGTTGCGGGGCCTCCTACCATACAATTGCTGAGTTAAGTCGGTATGCCCCAAGCCATCTGGTAATGGCGACGACATCGACTCTCGGATAGAGCTTTCACGAAGAGAAGGCGCTATATCGCAGACGCTGTCAGCATATGCCGTAGATTCTTCCAGAGAGCGCTGCATTAGAATGCTAAGACCTGTGCGGTGCAGGTTCATGTTCATACGTAGCCCTGCGAGTTCTGTCCGTAGTTCCGCAATTTTGCGGTGTCCTCTTTCAACCCGGGAAGAAGGGTAGCCTTGACCCGAATGCTAGAGGTGTCGTTTCGGAGCGATTGGGTTGCTGAGAGGCTGACAAGGCCGACGGCGATTTGGAGCGCGGACTTGTGGGCCTCGAGGCTCTGGGGCAGTCGATCCGCCTCGTCCCGTGCGGTAGAAGACCACTGCATCCTTCTAGCTACGGAAGCCGATGAAAGTTTTGATAGCAGATCACCCATTTTGACAGTCACTCCATCACATTCCCGAATGATTGTGGTGAGATTCGGACGCAGAGCGCCTGGATAACGAAGAGATCAGGCTGTCGAAGGACGTCCAGGCATACAGTCAGCGAGGCGATTTCCTTGGAAAAGGCGTTCATTTCCGCCCTAGTTTCACGAGCCACGAGTGCGAAGGTGGTGATTTGCTTGGATAAGGCTGTGAGGCCACTAAGCAGAGAGACACAACCTGTCGTGATGGAAAGGGCAATCATGGCGGCATATGGGGATTGATGGAGGCCAATGGGCGAACTTCGATTGGATAGGACAGGGTATCAATGGTTCTTCCGTGTCGGATGTGGTGAGGAGCGTTGTCTGTTCATGAAGGGAAGAAGACAGCCTCACAACAGAGGGGTCGGGCAAACCGCGGCCAGCCCAGCCCAGCAAAGTCGCCCAAATAGCTCGCCTCATTCCCTCCATCATCACTGATTCCATGTTCTCCACCATCTGATTGGCTATTGCAGCAACATCAACAGTGCCTGTATACACGGCAGTATTGCGGTCAAACAACTACGGCTGGCAACCCCAGAGTCGAGGCGACTCAGCAGCACCCCTGGAATGACTCCGGCCATTACGGACAGTGCCATAACTGCGACAGCGATACAGGAAGCTCGTCGATCGAACCTTTGTGAAACCAGCAGAGCACTTGCTCATATGAGCGCCGCTACTGTGCTACCGTGGATGAGCGGCGAAGAATTCCATCTGGTAGATGCAAGCATGTTGTCCAGTATCTCAGGTTCGTGAAATGCACGAGTGTAAAATTGATGGAATTTGCGACTCTCGACGCTGACAAGATGAGAAGGATTCGATGCAGCTGATGAGGTAGGTTATTTCAAGTCTCAGACATTGTGAAGTGAGACACCTACCAAAGTGACGTTCACAACCGTGACCACCAACTGCTGACATCTTAATGTGCGCTTGAGAGTAGAGCCGAATGTCCTTGCTTTGACGGAACACCGCTTCGACTTACTCATGACCACTGAGCCTGTGTCTGCGGACAGTAGGGCGACCAAATGAAGAGCCAAGCTGACCTGGGCACCTTCTGCAACGAGAGGTATAAGTAGATAAAAGACCCCGGGAGATTTGGACAAGCTTGATGACTCTGTCCTAGCGCCATCAATACTGCTGTTATGTTCCGGTTGTTCGCAAAGAGCGACGCGATGAAAGGAATGCAGCCTGGAGAAGGACACTAACTGTTCGATAGTGTCCATTGTGATATCTGAGGAAGATATACAAAAGTTCAAATAGACTTGATGAAGGGCGTAGTGATTGGGAAGATGCTGGGTAACACAGTACGAGACCTCGGACAGGATACCACGTTCTATTTGTCGGTGCGTAGGGTTCGATGAGCCATTACCAATATGCTTCAGCTTATGCCCTTCTCTGCCGAGACAGAAGTTGTGTCAGGCCAACAAGCAGGGAGCCCATCTCAGTAGACTTCAAAGATCACGTAGGTGACCGAGCTTCGGGTCGCGATCGCACACAAGCGCGCACAAAAAAAGAGAAACGGGGGCGATTCCCGTCCGGCGTCCATGTCGCTGAATGGTTGCCACCTAGGTTGCCGGCGAGGGCATGAGATGACCATATGCGAGACTAAGGAAGCTGCGGCTGGGCACGGTTCCTGCTGTATAGCCGTTCGATGCACTTCGTTTTACAGACATAGACCACGTAAATCTCAGGAATCTCTCAAGGACTCTCCGTTGCCCACATTACAGTAAATGAGCAGCTAAGAAGAGCTAGGCTCCAAATGCGGCTAACAAGTCACGCTAAATTATCTGATTGGCCACTTGTTCAGCGGATCATGGCCAGTAAGAGCCGCTTCGCTCTTTCCCATCACCCGAAACTTCGGGCTTCCATCTCTGAGGCTGAAGCTGCCGTCTTCCAGGCATTTCGGGCAGCGTGACGGGGTGCAATGATTCTCACAAGGGGACTTCACGAAGTCTCGCGGTCAGCGCCCCGAAGTAGAGCAAGATCATGTGCTCACGCTGGTCGTGCTTGGCCCCGGCACATAATTCTGCATGTTGACGGTGAGGTCTTGTTCAACAGCTGTCAGATATGGGCTATCATCCTCCTTCGGCCTCAAACTTGAAGTGCCGGGCGATCTTGTTTGTGTGCGCCGTGCCTTTCGCCGGTAGCCCATGAATAGTCGAGCTGTCTGGTGACTTGTTAGAAGATAGGTGGACATGGCGACGGACAGCTATTCGCGGCATCCGGCACAACAATATGAGCTCCTACCAAAACGCCGCTCAGCTCCAATCTCTATCGTCTACGCTCCGTGCCATTAAGTATCAAAGTCTATCGGATGGAAACTCCAAGACGCCAGCAGCGGCAGCGGCAGGAGTGATATTACACTGTCGACGCCTTCGTTGCTGTCGAAATGTAGCACTTTAGCCACTAGTGCAGAAGCCGGAAGCCGCTCACATGCACTCTGCGACAAACATTGCTATACAACTAGCATTGATGTGGTGGACGATCTATGGTCCAGGTTCGACAGTGTTTTCGATCCTTTGAGAATGGACGGCTCTCTTGTGAGACAGGTGTACCTGTAAGTATCTCTCGTGGCGTATATCTGCGCTGCCTTGTGCTATCTCGGCTGGAAGGCCATCAACCCTCATCGCTCGCAGGTGTCGTTAACTAATTGTAGATCAGGTTTAATGAACGCACAACAGCGAGAGCTCACAGGGCTTCGGGTCCAAGTCCAGACACGCTTGAGAGCATTACGACTTACCCTGGTGGAAGTACGGACTTGCCAAAGAGAAATCTGCGCTGACCTCCATTTTGTTCGGCCAAAGCTCAGGTGGGTAAGCGAAGGCTAATGCCCTCTTCACACGCTATATGCGGATTCATTTTTCAGTACTGCGGAAATCCGTGCTGAACTCCATTGTGGCTTGTACGATAAGCTGACTTGGAACATATAGAATGATGACATCTAAAGCGGAACTGAAACACCCTCATGCATACAGTCGAGCAGTCTCGCAACATGTATCAAACGACCCGGCGAAAACGCCGCATGAGACAGAGCAGCTTGTCATCAGCGACATGTCCCAGTGCATGAGCCCTATACCCGACGAAAGACGAATCCACGCAGAGAAGATTTTGGGCGTACAGATGAATCCTCGATGCCGGCAACAATTGTCTGATTTGAACGGACCTAACATGCGGCAAGAACAATGTTCTATGTACAAGAGCCCTCCACTGCCTGCATTCGTGGATGGATCTATCTCCGTACTGTCAATACTTCATAGGCTGCAGACCACCGACGAGGCTTGTTTCGCAACTTTCTCAGCAGCAACCGAGTATCGTCAAATCCCAAGCACCGCGAGCAAGAGCGAGGGATCAGTTTCCTTTCCGGCAGCGGTCGTCTTTGCTAGACGCGCGCTTGAACTTGCGCTCGGGCGGGAAGGCTGCGATCGTCCAAAGTCGATCAGAAGAGCCTTACGTCGCATGTTCAGGTTCGCCGCAGGCATTTATTGTGGCGCTATTGTAAATGAAATGGACCAGTATCTGAACCTATACTCGCTGTCCTGCGAGACGCTCCTTGACCCGTACCGAGAGATCAAAGCACTGGGTCGTTGGATCAAGTTCTACAGCATCGGCGGATCTTTGCGAGTAACACAACCAACCCGACTCGGGTTTGAGATATGTCTAAGCAAATCACTCCACACAGCGAGCAAGGTCAAAAGGACGTTCCAAATACACATCGACGTATTTGGACAGTTGGCGCAACTCTTTGCTATTCCCCTACCAGCAAGCCCGCGAGACGGTCTGCACTCTCAACACGGCACGAACCAGCCGAAGTCCGGACCGAGCAGAGAACCAGGGAATGCAATCGTCATCGAAGCACTGGTATTCCCACATTCGCTCAAGACCCAGATCTTGGAAGACTGTTACCAAAGTTTTCTTTCGAAGCAGAGAATAACCCCAACCGGGCATGGCCAGGGGTGCGCTTCGGAACGGACTCCCCAGAATGGCGCAGAGGCTCCAACCACCACGCACTCAGATTCTAGTGCCAGAACGGCATGCATCTCCGCAGCTGTCGCGGGAGTAAGGTCCAACGACAACGACAACGACAGCGACGAAGACGCCACGGTGAGCAGAAAGCGAATTAGGAAAACAGCGGATGAAAAAGAAGCGGAGCTAAGGTGCCCGGAGGCCGCGGCAGGTCGTGGATACGCCAAATGCCTGACATACTCGACAAGACAGGTGCACAGGCTCAAATCGGACCACCTCATGCCGGATCATCAGTTCCAGAGACACATGCTTGAGATAGGTCGCGGGAAGAGAAGAGAGGCAGAGGAGCATAAATGGGTCCGACTCTTCCTCAAGCTAAATCCTGATTGGAACACGAACCCACCGTCCCCGTACTATAGCACCAATTACCAGACATTACACGACTTCGGGACCTTCTTGCGGGGTGAAGCAGAGCAGTTCTGGCAGGCTGGCTTCCGGGCTCTTGGTGATCGTGGTATGGGCAACACGCTTGCAAGCAATGTTGGCGATCACCCGTCGCAATCGCCAGCACCAGTCAGCCAGCTGTCTCACCAAGTGTCCATCTCCAATGACATCTCTATAACTTCAGTGGATGAACGGCCGAATCTGGGACACCATGCTTCACTTGATGAGCAGTCCTACAGCGCTGCGGGCCTCAATATGCTCGATTACCAATCAAACTTGCTCCCTTTCCCGTCTACTTCGTCCCGCAGCCTTGGGTACGTCCCACGGACCTCCAGCACAAACTCCAGCAGGACGTCTTTGTCACGGCTAATTTCCGGATCCTCAATGATTAGCTCGGTACCTTCATCGACCCAGGCATTCACGTCCACGCGGTCGAGTATATGCCGCTGTAAGAAACACTCACCTGTCTGCCAGGAAGCTACAAACTGCGAAACCCAGACTGGAGACCTGCCAGGGCTGTCAGGGCTGGTTCTCATGGTCGGCCAAAGCAACGCCTTACGTCGTATCCTCTGGACTTTGTCGCTGCGAATCGCACCTTCAACAATGTGTTTATTTCATGGACAAATACGACGCCGGCAAGTGCACGTGCTGCGATGGCCGGATGCCCTTCTCGGACCGCGCGACGCCTTTCATCCTGCCGGCCTTTAAGATTGATACAGGACCGTTGATTGACGAAAATGACTTCTCGGACATGATGAATTGGGATGCGTCGGGTCTGTAGATCTCGGAAGACCACCGGCTGATTGGTTTGCCTTGTACCCAAGCCCCGGCGTTGGGGCGTACATGTAGAAATGGAATTCGCAAGACACGACCGCGATACATATCAGATACTACGCGGTTTTCATGAATATGGCTGGCCCGCACTAAACGAATGAGCAAAGCCAGCATTGTTCGTGCTCGGTTGTCCTCGGACCTGTACATTTTGGACTAGCGTAGTAGTTTCTGGTGGGATGTTGCGCGCGAAGAAGATGAAGGAATACATGCACGGCCGTCTCTTATTTCTCTCACTGGGATGCACAGAGCCATGCGAATTCTTTTGTTCCAACCCTCCATCATGGATCGCGAGTACATGACATGCGCCCTCTTCATCGCTCATGGATTGTAGTATGGGCTGTCACTGTTATCAGGGTACAGATCCTCCTTCAGATTGATACCCAGCTCTTCACGCAGGGGCTTCAGCTCATCCAGGTACTCTTGGTATTGTTGCGCGTTCTCGACCTTTGCCTTGATGCCTGCAAATTCTGCGCGTTAGCAACCAATTCATCTTGCCGAGCCGGATCGGAGAATGATGCGCACCTTCGAATATCCTCACAGCAGTAGGGTAATCGTTGACACGTCTCGCAGCTTTTAGGGCAGCTGTGACCACTCCGGGCGAAGGAACCAGATCGTAGGCAAAGGCGTTGTTCAAGTTTCGCTGCGCAGTCCATTAGAGCTGGCCAATATGATCCGGGTTCTTTATCCGTACCTGTAGCTCGAAAACATCCTGGACGGAATCGAATTCCTTTTCGTATCTAAAAGACCCCAGATCAGCCGAGCTCCGATACACACAAGGTTGCATCGTTCTGCGGCCTGCCATGTCGAGAGCGGATAGACGTCCGCTAAAGGCAAGACCGAGCTCCGTCGGGGGTTGTACCTTGCAGAGAATTCTTCAAACGTCTCGTCTTCGTGGCCGGCACTCCGTTGAATGGCTGATGAGCTGAACGAGGCTCTGGCGGAAACATTTTGAGCTATGGCTGGAGCTCTCCTGAATGATCGTATGCAAGGTCGGAAGAGGGAGGAAGTGGCAGGACGTGCAGTCAGTCGGAACACCGCGAGAGAAGCCATGGCGCAGCGGATGAGCGCAGAGGGGAGAGCTGTATACGTATGTGGGTGGTTGGAATTGCTGGACCTTGACGCTGCGGGCAAGTTTGAGACGGGCTGTCGATTCAAGTTCAAAGTCACCTGAGATTCGTCAAGGTTGCGGATTAGAATCCCTGAGCTTGTGAGTGGTTGAAATGACAAGAGTCAGACAAGATGACGGCACACAGAAAGGTGTGCGAATTATGTTTTTCCTATGTACGTGTCTTGTATTTCTCTTGTCATCAATTGCGTTGCCCGTGATTGGCTCAGGTATTGGTCAGATCGAGCTCAAGCGTGCTCGTACCGCTCCTTGCATTCCATCCAGGGCACGAGGCTGAGCGCTCTCTCAATCCAGTAGTTCAGACTCTACTTGTCCGGTAGGAAGTAGTCCAATCTACGCACTGTATTCAACCAGGGCTGCTTCACATAGCCCTGGTTCTAACCCGTACAGTACACAGCATCGTTGAGGTCGATCTGCGCGGCTATCGTTACCCATACGAAGCGCGCGCGGCAATCGCAACAGCAGACCTATGCGGAAATTGACAGCCAGGCACGCAGCGAATGGGAAGTGGCGGCTGAGGCGGGGCTTGGCTTATTACGACACTGGCTCGCGGGTCGCTCACCACGGCTTTCCCCTGATTGCGGCCGACGTTGTCGTTGGGAGATTTCCCTTTCCATCCGCGAAAATTGCCAACCGCGACTGCCCGCCCAAACCGCGTTGAAAGGTGCAGATATATCTCATCGCCTTCCACTTCTTCCGGCTGCTCATCTATTTTGCCATCTTCTTCTTGTCCTTCCTTCCTCCTTCTGTTCTGTCGGGCCCTTCTTCAATAGACTATTATACATCGCTCCTTCCGGCTCAATCCGACTTCTGCGCTCAAACCGTGCAATCCACCAGCCTGCGATCCGCGACGACAAGGCCCCCTTTCTCTCAAGATGGGCGACATTCTCAAATCAGTCCCCCTCCCCACACTCGATCGGCCCTTCGGCGTCGAACTATGGCCGATCTTCGATAAAGCATACACGGCCGTCATGGGCTATTCCGCAACAGATTTCAACTTTGAGCCGGGCAAGACGCCTATGTCAACTTTCAAAGAGACGGTCATCGCGCTGGTCTCGTACTATGTCATTATCTTTGGTGGACGAGAACTGATGAAGCACCGCAAGCCTTTTACTCTGAATGGACCCTTCATGGTGCACAACCTATACCTCACCATCATCAGTGGTGGCTTGTTGGTGCTCTTCATTGAGCAACTGCTCCCCACTCTCTCCCGGCGCGGTGTCTTCCATACCATCTGCAGCTACGACGGAGGCTGGACTAAAGAGCTCGTTACACTTTACTATGTATGTTGGGTCACCCAGGGCTTCCGCTCTGGCATGGCTAACCATCGCAGTTGAACTACCTCACCAAGTACCTCGAACTCATCGACACCGTCTTCCTTGTCCTCAAGAAGAAGCCACTTACTTTCCTTCACACTTACCACCATGGTGCCACCGCACTTCTGTGTTACACCCAGCTTGTTGGGCATACCGCGGTCTCCTGGGTTCCTATCACTTTGAACCTGTGTGTCCACGTGGTCATGTACTGGTAAGGCGGCAGTTGATTGAGTGGTGAAATACTGGGACGCTGACAGTGGCAGGTACTACTTCCAATCCGCGCGCGGCGTCAGGATCTGGTGGAAGAAGTATATCACCATCATGCAAATCATCCAATTCGTCATCGACCTCGGCTTCGTCTACTTTGCGTCCTACACCTACTTCACCAGCTCCTACTTCACGTGGCTGCCCAATGCAGGCACCTGCGCGGGCGAGGAGTTCGCTGCTATCGCCGGTCTCGTCATTCTCAGCTCCTACCTCCTGCTCTTTATCTCCTTCTACTTCGCTACCTACCGGAAGCAGACCATTCAAGGGCGGCCAAGGAGAAATACCGGCAGAGAAGCCTTGATCGCTATGAGCGCCCTTCCGCTCCCTGACCCACACAAAGGCTTAGATGGTGTTGAACTCGACACAAAGAGCAATGGCGCTGTTACGACGGGCCGATCAAACGGTCCTACCACGAGATCCCGCAAGGCTTAGACGGCTCAGGTGGACGATCGTTTTGACGAGGAGATATTTCGCGGCTCCATAGCGGCGTTTCGAACCGAAGAAGGCGACGCGGCCGTGAAGATGAGGCGCATAAAACCCAGCAATCACTCGGTCAGGTCCCTACTAGACGACTCCGATGCTCGGCGAGCGCCTGATGAGCGTTGATAGGGCGCCTGATCCAGATTCACGCTTCCTGCACGGCTCGGAAAGCGGACGGGTCGAGGGATCAGGCAGCGGAGAACAGCGCGAACGATCCCCAAAGTCGACTGTACAAAAAGTTTCAGGTTTCCCGACTACGGCGCAGGTGCATTGCATTCGACGTGTGAGACCGGAGACGAGGTGGTGGCGTACACAGGAGGCGCTTCGAACTCCTTTTGGCATTGTGTGACTAGAAACTAACATACTATTAATGCACGACCGTCTGATGTGGTGGCAAAACGGTAAAAGGAGATAGAGACGAGGGTTGTGATGACAACCATGAACCCAAATGGAAAACCCTTGAAAAATGGAAACGAACTCTTCTGTCTATCGTAAAATGTCTATTGTGATTGCATGAGAATCGTGAAATGTCTATCTTGCTTGCTTGAGAACTTGTAAACGTCTGCAAATTCCCCTTTGGAGGCCCTTGTGCCGTCCTGTCGACCTCGACATAGAGAGTGTACAATCTCAAGAGTGTCTCACACCGTGCATGCTTCGGACTCCTCGACGGATGGTCGACTCTTATCTGCGAAGATCTCGACAAATGGTCAATAGTGGTGGTAGTGTGCGGAAGTCGGGACTTTGGTTACTCCAGGATCAATTCAGCATCTTGCCGGCAGACCACCTCCTCTTTCGCTACTCAAGTACTGACTGCATGCATGTAGCGGTCTCGCACAGTACCACGTCATGGTCATGTATGATTCCCTAGCCAACCCACCTCCTCGCGCTTTGAAACAACCTCATCCAGGGCCCATACTCTCCCCACTCCCCAAATCCGCCCTTCTCGTCCCGGACCTTGCCCTCGGGGATGAAACTGCCGATGCCACCGAGAATCGTCCTCTCCGGGTGAGGCATCAGCGCTAGGATGCGGCCGTCGTGGCTCCTCACACCGGCAATACCAGCGGGGCTCCCGTTCGGGTTCGCCGGGTAATCCGTCGTCGGCGCGAGGGTGTGGTTGTCGACGTACCGAAGGGGCGCGAGATTCGCGTACGCAAAGTCATGCGCCATCTGGGCGTCGAGCGTCTTGCGACTCCCCAGCGGGATCACGGAGCGTGGTGTATCCGTGGTGAAGCTGGCGCGACCTTCGCCGTGCGCGACGGCGATGGGCAACGACGAGCCCGCCATGCCGTGGAAGAAGACGCTGGGGGGCATGCCGCTCTCGACAGGCGGGTCCGAGACTTTGACCATGCAGACGCGGGCCTCGTACTGTTCGGATTCGTTGCGCTCAAAGGACGGCCACTTCTCCGCTCCGGGCACCAGATCCTTGAGCTTGGAGAGGACTTGGCACCCGTTGCACACGCCGAGGGTGAATGTGTCTGTCCTGTCGAAGAAGTGTTTGAACTTGGCGCGCGTGGCTGGGTGGAAGAGGATCGATTTCGCCCACCCTTGACCGGCGCCAAGGCAGTCGCCGAAGGAGAAGCCGCCGCAGAGCGCGAGGCCGACGAAGGAGGACAGGTCGTGCTCGACGCCCAGGTGCGTTTGGTGCGCCGAGGGGTTGAGGATGTCACTCATGTGCACGTCGATAGCCGTGAAGCCCGCGGCGTCGAATGCAAAGGCCATTTCGGCGTGGCCGTTTGTCCCTTGGTCTCGGAGGATGGCGACGCGGGGACGCGCCGTGGGCCGGACGTAGTTGAGCAGGGACGCCCGGTACGTGTTGATGTTCTCCTTGGGATTGAACGTCAGGTTATACGACAGACCCGGGTCGGCGTCGTTGAGGATGCCATTGTATTCCGCGTCCGCGCAGGCCGGGTTGTCGCGAAGTCGCTGCATCCAGTACGACGTGTTGGACCATTTCTGCTGTAGCTGAGCTCGTGTGGCGCGATAGATCAGTTTACCGCCGTGGTAGATCGCCAGATTCTGCTGGCTGGATTTCGTACTAACGCGGCCAATCTTGTGGATTAAGCCTGGCGGCGGACCGCAGGTTGCGAAACAAGCCTTGAAGCGGTTTTCGTCCGACTTTCGCACCTGGAAGACCGCGCCGAGTTCTTCGTTGAACAAGCACGATATCACGTCTGGTGTGCGTGGCGTGGGACAAATGTCATTGATCATGATTTCTATGCCGCAGCGGCCGGCAAAGGACATCTCGACCAGGGTGGTGAAGAGGCCGCCGTCCGAGCGGTCGTGGTAGGCGAGCACGAGATCTTGCTCGTGAAGCTGCTGTGTGGCATCGAAAAAGTCTTTGAACAAAGAGACGGAGCGGATGTCCGGGGCTTCGTCGCCAATTTGTTTGAAGGACTGGGTGAGGATGGAACCTCCCAGCGCGCGGTGTGCGAGACCCAGGTCGACGAAGAAGAGGGTCGTTTCGCCGACTTCGTGGTGGCGTTTGAGTTGCGGGGTCCATGTCTTGCGGATATCCAGGACCGGGGCGAAGGCTGAGATGACAACGGACAAGGGGGCGGTGACTTCTTTGGCTTCTCTGCTTGAAGGGTCCGACCATTTCATTTTCATGGACATGGAGTCTTTGCCCACGGGAATAGAGACGCCTAGTTTGGGACAGAGATCCATGCCTAGCGTTTCGACGGCCTCGTAGATTCCCACACCTTCGCCCGGGTGATTTGCCGCGGACATCCAGTTCGCGGAGAGCTTGACTTGGGAAAGCCGGTCCGGTAGGTCTGCTGCGGTCAAGTTCATCAGCGATTCGGCGACAGCCATGCGAGCGGATGCGGTCGGAGAGATGAGGGCAACGGTGGGTCTCTCGCCCATTGCCATCGCCTCGCCTGTTTTGATGCCGGTTGTGAGGGACGTGGCGGTAACGGAGACGTCTGCCACTGGGGTTTGCCATGGCCCGACCATTTGATCTCGGGCCGTCAACCCGCCGACGGTCCTGTCTCCAATCGTGATGAGGAAAGACTTTGACCCGACCGCGGGCATTTGCAGTACTCGAGAAATTGCTTCTTCGAGGAGACCGTCCGTGGAGGCCTGGGGCGCGTACATGGTCAAACTTGTGTCGAACCCGGGTAATTCCACTTTTCTCGTCGTTACGTCCCTGGTCATCTTCGGCGGCTTGCCGAAGAGAACTTCCATGGGGAGATCGATCGGGTCTTGCTGATCATAGCCATTCGCCGGGTGGTTTCGGTCGGTCAGCCTCAATACCTGTCGCTTCGTCGCTCTTCCGACAACCGATATCTCGCATCGTTCTCGCTTGGCGATTGATCTGAACTTGTTCATGCCTTCCTGTGCGACCGCCAGAACGTACCTTTCCTGGGCTTCATTGCACCATATTTGGAGGGGGCTCATGCTCTTATCTGCACAGTCAACATCACGAAGCTCAAATTCTGCCCCAAGACCGGAGTCTTTAGCAAGTTCCGGCAGTGCGTTCGACAGACCACCTGCACCAACATCATGGATGAAGAGGATAGGATTGTGCGGGCCGAGAGCGGTGCAAGCAGTAATGACTTCCTGAGCCCTCCGTTGCATTTCGGGATTGCCACGCTGAACACTTGCAAAGTCCAGTTCAGCAGTCCCCTCTCCGGAACTGACGCTGGAAGCTGCGCCGCCTCCTAAGCCAATGAGCATAGCCGGTCCGCCCATTACGATCAGAAAAGCACCATTGTTCACAATTCCTGGGTCCTTCAGTGCGTGTTGTGGCCGGACAGTGCCAACGCCTCCGGCAATCATGATGGGCTTGTGATAGCCTCTGACTTCTGAAGAGTCTTTACCTGTCTTCATATCTACCAACAGTGTTCTGAAGTAGCCTGCCGTACATGGTCTACCAAACTCATTGTTGAAAGCTGCGCTTCCAATGGGGGCTTCGACCATAATCTCAAGGCTGCTTGCAATGTGGTGGGGTTTGCCATAGTCAAGTTCCCACGGCTGCCGGTGTTCAGGTATTGAGAGGTCGGATACGCAGAATCCTGATAGTCCTGCTTTTGGTTTCGCGCCCCGTCCTGTTGCGCCTTCATCCCTGATTTCGCCGCCTGAACCTGTAGCGGCTCCTGGAAATGGAGAGACGGCAGTGGGATGGTTGTGCGTCTCGACCTTGATGAGCATATGCACTCCTTCTTTCGTTGCCTTCCACTGACCATTGAGATCGTCCGGAGCCCACTGACTTCCATTACTGCCCTCAAGCACGGCTGCATTGTCGCTATACGCACTGATAGTACCTTCTGGAGTTTGCTTATGAGTGTTTCTTATCATGCCAAATAGCGTGTTGGTCTTTGGCTTGCCGTCGATGGTCCAGCTTGCGTTAAAGATTTTATGTCGACAATGCTCGGAGTTGACTTGGGCAAACATGAAAAGCTCGACATCTGTGGGGTTTCTCGGCACAGGACCATCCTTCGAATATGCTTCCACGAGGTACCGAATCTCCGAGTCATCGAGCGCGAGACCTAGCTTGCGGTTCAAGTCTCGCAGTATCTCCATAGGGTTGTTGCCACCATCATATAAGTCATAAGTCCCAAGCGTACCGGGTTCCTGGTGCAGGAACAAGAGATTTAGGTCGGGCTCATCTGGTGAAATGGTTTCTGTCATCCGGTCATACAGGAAGTCAAGACTCGCTTTGTCCAGAGATTGGCCGTCCTCGAGAAAAACTGTGATCTTGATGCCTCTTTCGATCCTCTGCACGACCTTTCGCAGCCCGCACACGTGTGCAATGCTCGTAGCCTTCGAACTCCATGGCGATATAGTTCCCGGTCTTGGCAAGACGTGGAGTACTGTTGAAGACTCGTCCTCCTTTTCTTGCGCCTCTTCATGGTGCCCATCGGTCAACAATTTCATCAGGAGGGCGATGCTCTCAGAGTCAAGGGGACCTGCTGGTTCGACATAGTGAATATACTGCCCTTGGACATCTCGTGCACCTATGTTGGAGGCCAGAGCTTGGCGCCGAAACTCGGAGAACGCTGACACGCCGGGGATGATACAAACCTGAGGCGTAGCCATGACTGAATTGGTCAGTTTGTGATCTAGGCGCTCGCCTTTGCTGGCATGGGCATGTGATAATGACTAGACACAGGTAGGGGATTTAGTCCAGTCAGCGCAACGAGCTGGTAACCCTCGTTCCCCGAAGAATGCCAGTCTGATATGGTCAGACTCTCGAGAACCAAGAGGTGGCCATGCGCGGAAAAACCAAGAACGAGTCTGCAGGCTTGTCACGAGACTCGCATCTTATGTGCGCGATCATTTGCTGAAGACAGTCATCAGGCCGGGGTCATTGGTGCCGTTTGCTGTCGCTGGTGTGCGGTGGTAGGAGACGTGCAAAGTTTGCGCTCTCGTGGCTTGGCAAGAGTGACGTCTTTCCGAGGGAGAGGTCGGTAAGGTGGAGGGCGTGTTTTCGTTAAAGATAGGCGGCATGGATGCCCGGATAAGGGTTGCTGTGTCCCTGGACTGGTGCCTATTTCGCTGCTTAGGGCTGAGAGCCTTCCCCAGGGAAGCCTGGGGGCCGACGCCCCTTTTCACCCTAGGAATACTCGTACACAGTACGGAGGCGTGCACACAAAGGCGTTGCCGCGCTAATTAAAATGACAGCCCCCGGCGGAATGACAGAGCAATTTCATGTGATGACACCACTCTCTAGGGGCTCAGTGCCTAAAGCACGCCTAGAACCATCCCACACCAGGGGCGCCTCTAGGTGTCACGGTGGGTGCTCGCTAACCCGCTTAAATAAACTCAGGGGTTGTTGCCTCGGACAACCAATAGTAAATAGGCTTGTCTTTCAAAGCACCGTCATTCCACCACTAGCGTGGCAACGCCTTTGTGTGCACGCCTCCGTACACCCCCTCGTATCTCGCTTGATCCACCAACCTTCATCAGGCAGGCCCTCTGTTAGCCGTCGGCTTGTTTGCTCACTCACCTTTCTCCAAAGCCTCTTCGTCACTCATTTACTTTACCAGTTGGTCACTCCTGCATCCATCGACGACGCTGAATTGATCCTCCCCGTCTCCAGCCGAATTCGCAAGGGAACCGTGGAAGCTTAGTCTGCTCCGCCCGTCCCCGTGACCAAATCACCATCTCCATCTCCATGTTATCGCCATTGTTGGACTTTCGACCATTGACCAGGCGCTGTCTGCGTGTCGTCTGATCATTGAGCCCGATTCTCGATTCACACAGCTCACTCCCCACCACTCACGCGACCCACATACCGAAAATCTTGAGCTCACCCTCTATTAGACAAATACAGTCCTCATTGAAGACTCAGGGCTGGTCACAACGACCGCCCTCCCAACGCCGACACCATTCCTTCCCCTCAACGGCCCTCCCAGTCCTTCCTCCACCACCGATCGCACTCGTCTCGTTCTGGAACTGATTTCGAAGCCGCCCAATCCACATTGCGGAATTCCACTGAGAACGAAAAGGACGAAAGCTATCGGCGACCACGCTACTCGGGTTCCGAGTCTGACGATTTCTCCCTGTGGAGTGACACTGGAGATCTCGCAGAACAGCTTGCCAACGACGAAGACCCGTATCGGATCGAGCTCGACCCTCTCACACGGGGAGGACAGAGACTCAAAGGCTCCGGCCGTGGCCACGGTGGAGGACGGAAGAAGAGAGTCGGATTTCGAGAACAAGATCACCCCGAGCGGGAGCAACTCCCTCCGGGTATAGACAAAGAGGCTATCTTCATTCCGGAGCCTCCACCGAGGCATATCAGCAGCACAGAAAAGTTACTAGCTCTCATTATGGCTCCCAATGATCCCCAGGCCGCCCGGACGAAGGGTCTGGTGGGCAAGCCGCTATTGTATGCATACCGCCGAGCACCTACAAAGTATCCCACATTGGCTGACTGACGCGATCCAGGTATTTTACCAGTGTATTCGTGTCTCTTGGTGTGTTTCTTTTTGGATATGATCAAGGCGTCATGTCGGGCATAATAACGTATGTCCACCGTGGTTGTATTCCTCGCATTGCTAACAGAGAACCAGTGGACCCTTCTTCAGAGATGCCTTCAACCAGCCTGGACCCGCCGAGGTAGGCACGATGGTTGCGATTCTGGAGATAGGCGCTCTCATCGCATCATTGTGTGTTGGACGCATTGGTGATATCATTGGACGCCGGCGTACCATCCTTTACGGATCGATGATATTCTTTGTGGGCGGAATGTTACAGACATTCGCCAACGGCATGCCGATGATGATGGTTGGAAGGCTGATTGCAGGTCTGGGAGTTGGTGCTCTCTCGACCATTGTGCCCGTCTACCAATCCGAGATCAGCCCGCCCCATAACAGGGGCAAGCTTGCCTGTATCGAATTTACAGGCAACATCACCGGATACGCTGCGAGCGTCTGGGTGGACTACTTCTGCAGCTTCATCCAAAGCGACTTCTCGTGGAGAGTACCCTTGCTGATGCAATGTCTCATGGGTGCGCTTCTCGGATTTGGCAGTCTGATTATCTGTGAATCTCCTCGGTGAGTCGAAGCGGAACGCAGAATCACAGACAGTGGCTAATTTGATGCCCTTAGATGGCTCCTGGATAACGACCATGACGAAGAGGGCATCGTCGTCATTGCCAACCTCTACGGGAAAGGCGACATCCACAACCCGAAGGCTCGCCAAGAATACCGTGAGATCAAGATGAACGTTCTCTTGCAGCGCCAAGAAGGGGAGAGGTCGTACGCGGACATGTTCAAACGATACTCTAAGCGCGTCTTCATTGCCATGTCGGCCCAGGCGTTCGCACAACTCAACGGCATCAATGTCATTTCCTATTATGCACCATTGGTGTTCGAATCGGCAGGCTGGGTCGGACGAGACGCTATCCTCATGACGGGCATCAACGCAATTACATACCTGGCGTCTACCGTTCCACCCTGGTACTTGGTCGATAAGTGGGGGAGACGACCAATCCTCCTGTCTGGGGCGGTGGCAATGATTATTTCCCTCTCATTGATCGGGTACTTTATCTTCATCGACGTGCGGTGGACTCCGACACTGGTGGTAATATTTGTGATGATTTACAACGCAGCATTCGGAGCCAGTTGGGGACCTATTCCTTGGCTATACCCTCCAGAGATCCTGCCTTTGAGCATTCGGGCCAAAGGTGCGAGTCTGAGCACGGCCAGCAATTGGGCATTCAACTTCCTGGTGGGCGAACTCACGCCCGTACTTCAGACGACAATCAAGTGGCGGCTGTATCTCGTGCATGCCTTCTTCTGTGCCGTCAGTTTCGTTCTCGGTAAGATCACCGGTGAAACTCATTTTGTTCAGAGCTAACCGTGAATCAGTCTATTTTGTGTATCCAGAGACGGCAAATGTGAGGCTCGAAGACATGAATGCGCTATTTGGGGACGCAACTACGGCGATGCCAACACCTGCGACACAGGCGGAACGAGGCTCCCTCATGGGTGTGGGGTCACCATCATCCATCGATATCAGACAGGGTGCCCCTCAGCCCGGAGTCTTTTCAGCGGACGCCGCAATTCCCGGTCTTGATATAGATCCTCCAGATATCCACTTGGATGCCAATGGCAAGCCTCGAGGACGAAGTCAGAGCACCCAGGAAGGCCTCGGAGGCTGGATTGGCCGTATGGTTTCCAGATCACGGCAAGAAAGCGGTTCTCGTGGACAATATGGGAAGGTCGGACAAGATGAGGATTGAAATGGACAGCTGCAATCTCCAGCTATCGTTCAATGCCGTTGGACTCATACACGGCAAGGTGTACTCCGTATAGATTTAGAGACACATGGCTGGGCATTTATCGACGGGGAATGTGGCGGGTATCAATACCTAAAAGGACAAATGCGGGACCGTACCACTAGGTATGGCGCAAGAGGTGAGGCGTGCATGCTCCGAGCGGTGGTGACAGGCACCCCACAACTGTGAGCGTCTCGCCTTCATTTGTCGCTTTGTCTAGCGTCAATTCCAACTGACCACCGCCTGCTGCGCCTTTCTCATCCGTCGCAATCGTGAATGCCCAGCTGAAGAAGACCTTCAATTCGGCCTTTCCATTCCTCTACTCTTCCCGAGCTACGGCGAGTCTTGTACAACTGCGGTCACAGCTCCTCCAGTCTCGGCCACACTACCGGCCAAGCGATCCACCGTCGTTGGATCCATCTGACATCGAACCCTATCGCGCTGGAAGATCCCGCGATCCGATAGCCTAGCCCTCCTCATCCCTGTCACTTTACATGCGCAGCGAGGTGAAGTCGAAGGCGATGCTTCACTGTGATGAAGATCCATACGCCCCAGCTTGTCTCTTGAGCTTGTTAGCTTGAAAGTCTCGCTACAGACACTGGGATGGGAAGATAACCGCTCTTACTGCCTGTGCGACAAGATGTCCCGAGGCATGACCACAACCGCGACAGTCACAGACATCGCGGCCTTGCCCAAGAGCAGGCAGTCTCGCCCCCAGAACAAGATACTTGCTCAGTTGGACGAGCAATTGCACCACCTGAGCGTCACCACCCTTCCACCATATCCGTACCTTCTCTCGGTGCCATCGGACGTTCCCTACCGCCATAGCTCGCGCTTTGTCAACACCTGGTATGAAGGCACGCCCTTCGATCGCTCCGAAGAACAATTACAGTATCTTAGCTTCCTCCCACACCAGGGCGAACACGAGTCTCTGCTGAAGGTTGAGGGCGGTTGGGCAGACGATCGCGGCAACCCGATCGAAGAAGAAGAACTTTCGCCAAAGGCGCTTCCAGTAAGCGGTCGCCATACTCCGGCTGAACTGGGCGCACGCAAAAAGATCAGCCTGCAGGATTACAAGACGAAAGCCAAGACCCCGCCAGATTCTGCACCAAGATCTCAGCCTCTAAAGCCCGTCGAGAAACCAGCTCGGCAGCCAGCAGAACCGAAGACAGAGGTGCGGGACAGTCCACCACCGCCGCTAGAGAAGAAGAAAGAGGAACAACCCATCTCATCGAAGACGAACGAGATCAAAGAAATACCGCCAAAGGTCCTCCAGATGGATGCCCCAGGGTCAAGTAAGATCGAGGCGAAGTCGCAGCAGAGTGACTCACCTAACCCGGCCAAGCGAAGAAAGCTTTCTCCGTCTTCCGAAGAACCCCATAATGTCAAGATAGGGCCTAAGGTCGAGTCCGACTCGTCCGCCGTGAAGATGCCGAGGTTGCTCTCACCCACCCTGCCGTCGCCGGAAAAAGCGAAGGAGAAAGAGACACGACTACCGCAACTATTGTCTCCTCTCCTACCTCCGTCGCTGGCGAAGGAACTGTCCACGCCTTCAAGCACCATATCAATTGGTAGCCCTGCCACCACGCCGCACAAGCGCTCAGATCCCGTACGTTCGATCCTGGCTGGAGCCGATCTTGACAACGGTCAGGTTGGGGATAGGAACGGACTGAGGCCGGCCGGCAGCAGGGTGCGTTCGGATAGTCAGCATTCAGCAAAGAGCAGCGCACCTGGTACTCCAATCCCTGCTAAGGTCGCGCTGGGCGCAAAACTTCTGGGTAGGAACGTTGTCAAGGGTGCAACGCCGCTTCACAATGGAGTTACCCGCAGCCCAGGCCCTCGTCAGAGGCACACTATCATTCTCAAATATGGAAAGAAGAATCGCAAGAGGGTAGAAGCGTTACTGAAATTCGCGGCTCGGCCGAAAAAGGACTTGATACGGCATGAAGCAGCGGACCGTCGCAGTACTCCAGAGCTACATCAGAGAAAGGATGTGGCCAAGGAGTCAATAGTATCGCAGCCTTCTAGAGACGTCAAGCCGAAGGGCTCGGCTGTTGACGACGTCAAGCCGGAGAGAGAGAAGAAGAGAAAGGCCGAAGACAGCCCTGGCCCGTCAATGAAGAAGGTCAAGGCAGTCGAAGCCGAGAAACGCCCAACCACACCTGTGGCGCCTACTGTCAAGACACCACTAGCAAATCAACCACGGTCAACTTTCTCTACGCCCAAAAAGGAGTTCAAATCCGCCGCTATGAGGCGAGTAGAGTCGACCGATGGTGCCGATGCCCCAACCCCGACTGGAGACAAGGTGAGGGTGTCAACACCACAAGCCGCACTCAAGCCATCCCCTCAACCTCCAGGCAGCACCATCTCTTCCCGACAAGAAGACCGACACCAGTGGTTTAGTCTGAATGAGAAGTATTTCGCTCTGGGCCGCAAAGTCAAGAGAGAGGGAACGGCTATACAACCTCATCTTGAAACTCCCAAAGCCATGCTGCTTCTGATCGATGCCTTACTATGCTTCATGATCAATATCGGCTCGATGTCATATGCGCGCCCTAATGCTGACCCGGGCTGGAGAAACATTCTGGCGTATCATGTTTTCGTGTGGCGTGCTTCGAGGAAGTTTCCCCATCTTCATGCATTGGTGGTACAACTGGGAGCAGTCTGTCGGCAACTCGTCCACAAGTACGACATGGACAAATTGGCGCGAGATCCCTTACCAGAAGACTATTGCAATTCCGCCCCTACACCTGGGAGCGATGGCGTCACGAAGACAAACGAGGACGGGGAAAAATACAAGAAGGGATATGTCGAGTTCAAAGACCAGCTTATCTCAAACGCCCGGGAGTTACAGACCGCCTGGTTTGATGGTTCGCGCCTTTTATCGCTCGACCTTCTGGAACGCGAGTACCCGAAGACGTGGTCGAAGCGGTCGAAAGATTCGAGTACGAGACTCCAGGAGAAGCCCACGCCTTCTAGGATTCCAAATGACTTCTACCTGCCATTGGACGCCAGTAGCACACCATTTGAGGCTGTCAAGTTCGGGATGGCATTCCTCGAGGAGTGGGCGGAGAAGGAGAAGGTTGATTGGAAGACCAGGATTGATTTATGAGTGTGGATGCACGTTGCCAGCGTTCAAGCTGCAAGGGGCACCCTGATGATCGGGAACGTAGAGGAAGATGCCATGGTAATTAGCATCGACATAATGTTAGCACGTGCATGTGTTTTGATGAATGAGAGATACCACTTTAGCGAACCACAGAGAGCTGACTAGACTACGGTCTTACGTACGTATTTCGTACATATCAACGATCCCTCTCTCGATCAGGGATAATAATGCCACATGGACAAGTCTGCACTTCCAAGATTTTCTCAAGGCCGGTGTCTGAGATCTTACAGCAAGGCAAGTAGTGAACGAGGTACGGAATAGACGGCGAAGTGATACAGCAGATGAGCAGGGGACCAGGAGGCTTTGCTTGCTTCCCTGTGGTTAATTACCGAACAAAATCGAGCTGCCGGACTTACACCGTGTCTAGTTCTCGCATACGGAGGACGTTCCAACGTCCAACACTCGTCCGAGGACATTAGGAACATCGCCAGCTTGTATGCTACTGCAGGCTGCCGGTTCCCCCACTGATCGTCTTTGCCATCGTGGATGTGAAATTGACGATGGCTACACTACCCGAAGAAAGCACAGAAAGCCATGTCTTCGCTCGATGACGACCCGACCGACTTCGAAGGCGTCCTTCCTGTGATCCCATCTGACTCCCCTCCTATCTATAAAGACACCAAGAGCAATGCAGCAACAGGTGCATCGGCCGCCGGCGTACGTGCCTTTACGGCGCAAGCGGTCGCCTTCTACTTTCGCGCGCCCGTGAAAGCGTTCTTCCGCACTCGAGTCGATTACCTTGCGTTTGCGAAGTCCATTAGCCCAGCCGCGCAGACAGGGAGGTGGTCATGGAGGAGCACAACACCAGGTCTGCTGGCCAACGCCATCAGAATGTATGGCTGGCGTTTCGTTCCAGAGCAACTGGCGCCTCCCCTGATTGCAAACGTGGCTGTCGGAGCTGCGCTTTACACGAGTTATCTTCAGATACTGGCAAAGTTGCATGAGCCTTCCGCGCACGCCAAAAAGTCCGTATACCCGCCTCCGCCACCACAAAGTACATTCCTAGCAGGCTTTGCTGCGGGCACTATCCAGAGCGTCGTTGCAGCCCCACTCGATGCCCTGCAGGTGAGGTTCGAACAAAGAGGGAAGAACTATGAAGACAAGACGATGTGGGAGTACGGCCGTGGCAAACTGAGAGAGATCGGGCTAAGGGGCATTTTTGCAGGCTACGGGCTGAGCTTTCTGAAGGACAGTTGTGGGAGCGGTGTGTTCTTTTGCGTCTTCGAGTGGGTCAAGGCACAAGGGTACTATGGTTTTGTCAAGTGGTGGTATAGAGGCACCGGCGAGGTCGAGTTCTTCACAAACACCGGCAACGAAGGCGGGAGGAGGAACTTGGTAACCGGCCAGAACGCGCCGCCAACGAATGACGAGAGCAATCGCCGAGTCGTCAAGCCTCATTATGCCATCGAGCCAGGCTTTCTCATGCTCGCGGGCATGGCGGCATCCATCGCGCAGCAGTTTGTCCTTTATCCTCTCTCGACATTCCAAACTTTGCATTACGAACGACTAGAAGACCTTGACAAGAAGGCCATGACCCTGCAGAACTCGCCCGAGACACCGCTCGCGAGGCGCGGACGCATGCTCCGAGCGTACTATCATGCTTACCAGGAGACTTGGAAACAAGCTCGAAGCCAGGCAGTCGCCCAACAGGGTGTGAGAAACTGGCTGTATCGGGGCTTCTGGTGGTTTACGATCAGGCAGATACCCAGCACCAGTGCCGGGTTGGTCATTTTTGAACTGGTCAGGAGGAAGTATGGGCAGGAGGGACTTGGTGATGAAGTGCGGATTTCAGGAAGAGAGGGGCGCTATGATATCTTATTGGCTTGAAGAGCGTGCAAACATTGTGCATAAGCGACGGGATGTTGGGTATATGGACGATTTGGTGTCATTGACTCGTCCATAGAGATGTCAATCTCCCATCCTGCGGCGATTGCACCGTTTTCAAGCTACAGTCTCTCCTTCTCAAGCTACAGTCTCTTGTTCAACAGACTTCAATCTAGGCTTTAGCCATTCTTGTTCCTCGTTGTCAGCTATTTTACCGTTATACCTTGTTGCACAGGTAGAAGTAGAAACGTACAGTGAATGCCTGTGGCGTGATCCTGGGTAGTGGCTGGCTTTATGAGAACGAATTCCTCGCAACCAAGTACAGTGACACCGAGAGGCGTGCCTAACTAAGTACGCGTTGGACGACGCGTTAAACGGGGGCATGTCTCGATCGGGAAACTGTCGCGGCTTCGATAACTTTTGGCTTCATTTCACCATCAAGTTGAGGTCTTCACTCCAGCCGACGACGACTTGGGCTTGTCATTCTAGCCTGCTTATATCTTCTGCATTGTTTCCTCTACTTTCCACCCCGGATAAGAATCCTGTATATTCGCTTCATCACTGCCTGCGCAACGCCTGGGCGCAATTGCATCAGTCGGAAATATCGAGGCTGACCTCAATCGCCTCCGCCTGCTCGAGGCAGGCTGCACACCGCAGCCATGACCGACGTACAAGTCGACGCGACCGCCTTCTTTGAGCGCCTGCAATCGCTCTACAATGCATGGAAAGCGGACAAGAGAGCAGGGTCTGGGAATGAGGCCTTTGGTGGCGCGGATACAATTATTGTCTTGACAGGCAAGGCGGCTGATGAGACGGTGTATGTCAAGAACAACGCAATCCATGTAAGTGAACGTCCTCTGGTGGAATCCAGCCAGCATGAGTGGCGGGACCACCAACGAGCTGGAGTCTGCGATGAGTGAATGATGGCTGACTTACCGTCGCGTATCTGCAGTTTTGGCTGCTTGGTTATGAATTCCCTGCCACTTTGATGGTATTTACTACTGCTGTCCTCTACGTCGTCACCACAGAGAAGAAGGGTAAGATTTCTACCTTTGTAAGGCAACCTCTGACCATGAAGGCTGACATCTCCCCACAGCAAAGCACCTGGCAAACCTCAAAGATGGCAAGATCCCTGTCGAAATCCTCACTGTGCATGTGAAGCAATCAGAGACTCGGACACAAGCCTTCCAAAAATGCATCGACGTCATCCAAGGCGCTGGCAAGAAAGTAGGCATCATTCCAAAGGCTGAAGCGCATGGTCCTTTCGTCGATGAATGGGTCAAGATGTATGGCGAAATCTCCAAAAACATAGAAGAAGTCGACGTTTCCGGTGCCTTTTCCACTGCCTTTGCTGTCAAGGACGAGAATGAGCTGAGAGCCATGCGAACCGCAGCCCGGGCCGCCAGCGGCATGATTTCCGATTACTGGGTTGATGAGATGTCGACGGTCTTGGACCAGGAGAAGAAAATCACACACCGTCAGCTTTGTGACAAAATGTCGAAAAAGATTGACGACACCAGATTCTTCAGCAAGGTTTCGAAACTGCCCAGCGATTTTGACAACCAGCAGCTGGACTGGGCATATGGTCCTATCGTACAGAGCGGTGGGCAATACGATCTCCGGCTAAGTGCTCAGCCGAATGACGATGACCTCCATTCTGGCTGCATTATGGCAGGTGTGGGCTTCAGGTATAAGACCTACTGCTCTTTGGTGGCACGAACATACTTGATCGACCCGAGCAAATCCCAGACATCGAACTACAAGCTGCTTCTCGCCGCACATGATGCGGCTTTGAAGGCGATTAAAGAGGGTGCACTGCCCAAGGATATCTACAACGCCGCTCTGGGTGTGATCAAAGCCCGCAAGCCCGATCTCGAGAAGCACTTCGGCAAGGATGTGGGCGCCGCTATTGGGATCGAGGTCAGAGATTCCAAATATGTGCTGAATGGCAAGAACACCAAACCTCTCAAGGATGGTATGACATTCAGCGTTATAACGAGTCTTGTCGATCTCACCAACGACAAGCCGCAAGACAAGCGAGGCACCAACTACAGTCTTGTTCTCTGCGATACCGTCCGAGTCACTCGAAACGCCGAACCGGTCGTTTTTACTAAAGATGCCAACACGGACCTGGACTCGATCGAATTCTACTTCAAGGACGATGAAGAAGAGGCGAAGCCGAAGCAGGAGAAACCCAAGAAGCCAGGTGCTAGTGCGATAGTCACGTCCAACATCAAGGCGACACGTCTCCGAGGGGCCAATCGCCAAGACAATGCCAAAGAGGAAGAAGAGCAACGACGGCGAGAACACCAGAAAGAATTGGCGCAGAAGAAACAGCGTGAGGGCTTGGAAAAATATGCCGAAGCAATGGGCGACATGAATGGCGAGAACGAGAAGAAGTTCAAGAAATTCGAGTCGTACAAGCGCGATGGTCAGCTTCCTCCGCGAGCGAAAGACTTGGTAGTGTGTGTGGATCTCAAGGCTTCGACGGTGATTCTGCCAATCATGGGGAGACCGGTGCCAATCCACATTAACGCCATCAAGAACGTCAGCAAGTCCGACGAAGGGGAGTACACACACTTGCGATTCAACTTCTTGTCCCCTGGTCAAGGTGTCGGGCGCAAAGACGATCAGCCTTTCGAGGATCCTCAGGCACATTTTGTCAGATCTTTGACATTTCGATCCAAAGATCAAGATCGTCTATCAGAGGTTTCGGCACAAATCACCGAACTGCGCAAGGCGGCCGTCCGTCGCGAACAGGAGAAGAAGGAGATGGAAGACGTGGTGGAGCAGGACAAGCTGATTGAAATTCGCAATCGCCGCCCCGTCAAGCTTCCCGATGTCTATCTTCGACCTGCTCAAGACGGCAAGCGCATCCCTGGCGAAGTCGAGATCCATCAGAACGGTCTCCGGTATCAGTCGCCTCTCCGCAACGAGCATGTCGATGTGGTCTTCTCCAACGTCAAGCACTTGTTCTTCCAGCCTTGCGTGGGTGAGCTGATTGTTATCATCCACGTCCATCTCAAGAACCCCATCATGGTGGGTAAGCGCAAGACCAAAGACGTGCAATTCTACCGTGAAGCCACCGACATGGCCTTTGACGAAACGGGCAATCGAAAGCGTAAGCACCGCTACGGCGACGAAGAAGAGTTCGAACAAGAACAAGAAGAACGAAGACGGAGAGCTGAGCTCGACCGGCTGTTCAAAAGTTTTGCCGAGAAGATCTCGGACCAGGCACGGGATTTCAACGTCACAGTTGACATTCCGTTTCGAGAGCTCAGTTTCAACGGTGTCCCGAACCGGAGCAATGTGCTTATGGCGCCAACGACCGACGCGCTTGTGCAACTGACAGAGCCGCCTTTCACGGTGATTACCCTAGAAGAGATCGAGGTTGCACACTTGGAAAGAATACAGGTAAGCTATATGCCACATATCAAGTTCGCGGCAGCTAACGTGCTTTGAAGTTCGGTCTGAAGAACTTCGATCTGGTCTTTGTGTACAAAGACTTCCACCGCCCTCCTACCCACGTCAACACTATTCCGGTGGAGTCCCTCGACAGAGTCAAGGAATGGCTTGACAGTGTGGACATTGCTTACACCGAAGGCCCACTTAACCTCAACTGGTCAACCATCATGAAGACCGTCACCACAGATCCCCACCAATTCTTCAAGGACGGAGGTTGGAGTTTCCTAGGCACTGAATCCGACGATGAAGATCAAGAAGAGTCTGAGGAGGAGAGTGCCTTTGAGATGAGCGATAGTGAATTGGCGGCCAGCGAGTCTGAAAGTGATGACGAAAGCGACTTTGATGATGATGCGAGTGCGAGCGAGGATGAGGGCGAGGACGAGAGCGGGTTGAGTGACGAAGGGGAGGATTGGGATGAGATGGAGAAGAAGGCCAAGAAGCAGGATAGGGCGGGAGGGTTGGAGGATGAGGATAAGGGAGGCAAGAAGCGGAAGAGATGAACACGAGATGGAGGGCTTGTGATGAGCATGAGCTAGGAGGGCTCGTGTGATTTACTCTGGCTGATGGCGACGGACAGAAGAGTCTCACAGTTTGCCTTTGCTGAGACGAACCAAGCAAGTACGTATGCGATGCGGAAGGCCGTCTATGGAGAGAATGGGCGGAAAAGTCATACTCTGCGAATACCTGGTGCTGGTTGTATTGATGATCGGTATCTACCTGCGCAAACGACATCCATGGGTGCTGACAGTTACTGCGTGCGTTCCTCTGTATTTCCGGACTCGTGATTTTGTGTCATTACCAAACGAGTCCTCCCGCGGTTGTACTTCTCAACACCTTGGCGGTAAATTGTGATTCCCACTTCGTCGGTACGGGGTATCGTTGTAAAGAAATGGAAGAATGATGGTCAGTCATCGAAAGACGAGAATAACCAGCTGAGCCGTAATCAAATGCCCTATACGGACCGCCCATGGACCTGCTCAACAAAAAGCATTGGCACTGTCCTGTTCCGTTCTGAAGCTCAAATGACCGGCTTACGCAGGCAGCTCTCAGCCTCGCTCCGGGTAAAGTTAGATTATGTATCGCCGTACCGGACCGTGGAGTGGAGTGGAGTGGAGTCGAGCCTCGCATTGCCTCGCGCTGTTCTCGGCAATTGAACCACGGCGATTTCCCCGGAGCGTCCCCCAGCATCCCGTCCTCTCAACGCGCTACGATTCTACAGTACTCACCTTCTCACAGAGCATTTTCACCACTTGCTTCCCCCTACCTCGCTCGCTCTCTCATTCGCGCTCGTCCTGTCTTTTTCACCGAAAACACCGCACACTCAAGGGAAAGCTCTCGCTTAGTCCCAATTCATTCGACCGTCGCATCCGTCTAGGACTGTGCGCACTCCACGCACACGCGATCAATTCATTCGGAGTGATACTGTAACTGCTCTGCTCTGCTCACGCCACGCCTTGCTACGCTCCGCTGCGCAGGTTACAATGCCCCCCTCATTCACATCCAAGGCCCTCCAAGCCACGGGCGTGCTCACCTTTTTCGGCCTCGCCAGCTTCACCGTGTGGACCAAGCACAGCCGCTTCAGCACGCCCCGGGAATTCAACCCGGCGACGGACGCCCTATTTCAGAGCGAGTGGGTGAGGAAGTTCAATCCCCGGAACCACGCGGCGACCTATGATGAGTGCGTGAGGCGGATTGGGTTGCAGAAGGTGCGGGCTGAGTTGGTGGAGGATGCGCAGAGGGGGTGAGTACGCTACGCCGTCCGCAGTCCGCAGTCGTGAGTTCGATGGTTGTTTGCGTAAGTCTGCGGGTCGGATTGGAATTTGAGCTGTGAGCTGGGAGGCAACTTTGAGGCAACTTCATGGCCCTCTGTTCGATCGAGCTCTGGGCTTTGAGTGGACTACTTTGAGGCAACTGCATGTCTCAGGCCCGTGTTGAGGCTGTCGCTTCAGTGCTCCGAGCTCTGAGCCACGAGTGGACTTTGAACGGAGTGGATTTTGAGTCGACTCTGTATCCCTGGGCTGACCTGAGGCTGTCTCTTCTTGCTGGCTTGCTTGCACGCTTTGCTCTTGGTCTTGCGAGAGATACGCGAAGTCCTGCCCCGAAGTCCCGTGCGAAGTCGTACGTGAGAGGAGAAAGGAGAACCACGGGGAACCTGAATTCTTTGTGAAAATGTCCGAAAATGTGCTAACGATGGTCTGGGATATCAGGGGATCGAAGCTCCTTGAAGAGTTTGTGCGCGGCGTGTGGGGTGGTCCTGGTGAGTACTAACAGTTTTGCTATTACTGCTTCTGTCGAGTCAATGCGTCCTCGTCCTTCTGCTTGTTTTAGTTCTGGTGCTGGTGCTGGTGCTGGTGCTGGTGCTGGTGCTGGTGCTGGTGCTGGTGCTGGTGCTGGTGCTGGTGCTGGTGCTGGTGCTGGTGCTGGT